GAGTCCCAGGTCTTCTTCCTTTCGGGCTCGAGGTCCGCATCGGTGGGCGGCTTGGGAGGTTCGGGAACGTGGACGAGCACCGTCGTTGCAAATGGTCTGAGCGCTGCTTGCCAGGTGCGATGTTCGCTTTCTAACTGATCCCAGTACTCGTCCGGGACACGTTTCCCGAGGAAAGGGCGGTACGCTTTTTGGATCCATCTTAAAAGGCGGTCACTCCCCTCCTGGTCCTCGTCGGTCCTTATTTCGTCCTCAGGGAGGGGGCGTTGGCACTCGTGGTACAGGGGTGAAAGGATTTCACTGAATAGGCGCGATTCCTCATGTTCGGCGGCAATGTTGACGGGGACGGTGAAGATGTGCGCGAGGATGTCGTCGAAGTCTTGGATGCGGGTTCTATACTCCTTCAAAACTCTCGCGCTCCCTCCACCTCTTTTTCGCTTCTGGTCATCGTATGCATCGAACAACACGATCCTCCAATGGATGAGCACGGTCAACAGGCTCCGAGGCAGACGTCCATTCCCTTTGTGCCCTGCCCATTCATCCCAAACAAGCCACACGACGTAGTCGATCTCCTCCCGGACCTCATAGGCCAAATTTTCGTCGTCCTCGGGGATTGGGTCTTGAATCATGATGTCTTCGGGTTCCATCGCCAGCCGACGCGCCCTTTCCGCCGCCCACTCGTCGTGCCTCGCACGGTCCGCTTTCCCTGGCGCCTCCAACCCGTCAAGCTTGGCCTGCAACTGCCGGCGGTATCTTTTCTTCAGGTGGCCAAAACCCTAATCAGATCAGATAAGTACATAAACAAAGGTTTAGCCGAATTCCACATATTTTGTATCTGATCTCCTGGGAAAGCTGTTTAGCACTCACCGCTTGGACCTCACGGTCGGTACCGATCAGCTCAAACGCCGCCTCGTTGCATCTGTACCGACTGTCGACCGTAGACGGATTGAACGTGCGCTTGTGTATACGAATGATATGTTTTTTCAGGTTTCGTTTGGCCTCATGTGCATGTTCCGGTGCTACAGTTGGGGCGTCGAGTGACCTGTACCCCCCAGGCAGCTTGTAGTGTTTGTTGCAAAGTTCACAACGGACACGCCATTGGCCGGACTCGTCACGGATGAGATGCGAGTCGATGTCGAGCCAAGCGCGCTCGCCCTCGGTGGCGCGTGGTGCCATGTTGGACTTGGAGTGGGGTTTAGGGGTGAGAAAGAGAAGTGTCCCACTGTGTACCCCCGGGGGTACACGTCGCGCCTCGCGTCACCGAGCGTCACCGAGCGCGCGCGCTCTCCTCTCACAGCATCACCGACACCGTCGCGTCACAGCCGATCCGATGCCCTCAGCGACTCGATTCATACCAAGTTACAACCAGCGATTCTGTCTGCGGGACACAAAGATCAAGATCATCGAGTATTTGCACGAGACGAGATATAGTGGCCACCTGGCACATTGCCTGTCCCAGGCGTGAAGCAATACGTAGTCGGCACCGAGCGCGACCTATGAACGCTAGCGCTTGTATGCAAGCGACTCGGCCAACAACGAGAATTGCTACTACGAAGTCATTGACGCCTCAGCACCAAGCTGCCACTATATCGATGCCGACTTTACGCCCCCTTCCATTGACAATTCAGCAGAAAAGGCATTGATTACGCGTAATGCAGCGTCGTATTTCCCTGGCCCTCAGCTAGAACACCGTGGTCAGCTAGCAAGCGCGGACACCTTGCGATCTTGCGTCTGCAGGTCAGAAGTGGTGAACTACCTTGTTCCCTGCTTCTGTTTTATATCTATTGTTCCAGCGCCAACGAATAATCTCGGCTCTCCTTCTCACCGTGGGCACGCCGTTTGAAGAACCCTACGCGAAGCGTGTTATTACGGACATTCTCGACAAGGTTCTGCTGTCACTTCGCCGGCGTCTCGGGGGGTCCGAAGGGGTAGTCGAAGAAATTTGGGTGCTTTGCTGTTGGTCACCCCCCAAGCTCTGGGACGAGCTTAACTGCAGTTTGACATTAGGTAGGATGAGTGAGTGCTTTATTTGAACATCCATTATTTGCCTGAATCTACGGAGTAAAATCTGAAACGTTTAGCGCGGGTAAATCTATTTGCTTTGCGATTTGCTTTGCGATCAAAAATGCGTCGCATAATTGATCAACGGACGGACAGTCAAGCTAGTCAAGATGCGTGGAAACTTGTTGAATACCTCTTGCCACACAGGTCGATATCACCTCAACGACTACAAAAAGTTTGGCAATCTACCTCAACGCGCGATAGGCGCACCAACAATATACTGAACAACAGAAATGTAGTCGGATTCGGAATCAAAATGTTGCAGCTCCCAAATCAGAATCAGAACCAGAACCAAGATCAGAAGCAGAAGCAGAATCAGAAGCAGAATCAGATCTAGTGTCTTGGTCTTCTGGCTCCGTTTCCGACTGCTCGCTCATCAAAGTACTCTCGGCAGGAGTGCGGTCAAAAGAGACCTGGCCGATATCCTCTTTGAGCGAAAACGTAAGCCCACCCTGTCGCATCAATGGAATAATTCTTCTCAAATTGTTAACGGTCGGCTTCTTGCCATTGGTAGGACTGCGGAAATCACGCTCGTGAAGACCGTTTCCGAGCTCGATAACAAGGGCGGTTGGATCCTTCGCAAGAGTTTCCTGGTTGTAGCTCGTAAGCTTGGAAGGCACGTAGGGCTGAATAGACTTGTTTCTGTTGTGGCGACGACGGAGCGCTTGATCTGCACGGCCACAAAACTTCAGTCATGGGCTGCCAAATGTGGGCGCAGAGCGGTGGAGTGATTGCTTACTATAGTAATCGTCAATGATAATGCGATACCATGTGCAGAGCACTCGGTGAGACGCCTTGTCAACATCACCATGATGAGCTGCTCATCAGTTCTTGGAATCAGCACCAATCTATCGCCGAGCACAAGGTCCGTTCTGAAGCTTGTCTGACAGACCTTCCATCTTGAATTGCTCGTCTCGCTCCTGATTGAACCGGGTGCCATTTATGCATTCCGTGAAGTTAACGAGCACATCGTTCTTTTGAGAACCCCAGCTTTGGCGCCGCATGAAAGCTGCGCCGCCAAGCGTCGAAACGATGAAACGATCATTTTTATTCTCGAGCTTGTTCGAGCCGACGATGACTAACGCGTCGAATCCGTAGGTGTCAGCATGCTGATGAACCTGATGCAGTGCCAAGCTATCTAAGTCAACGGGAGGATCATGAGAATTGAGGAGAGCCCAACGAGAAGAGCTGAATTGTCACGGACCAGTTCGTGTATCGTCTTTTCGTACTTGTGACTCAGTTTAGTGATGGCAGCAGGATCGATTCGCCATCGCTTGAAGGGACGAGTGGTCTGCTCGTGTTCACGCGCTTCGGCTTCACTTGCTCACGCTTCCTTCCATTGTTCATAAAGATCTGGCGAGTCTTTGACTTTTTCCCAGTAGCGCGATCCAATTGTGTTTAGCGTAGAAAAATCTTTCGAGACTTTGTAGGGGTACAGAGTGATCAATTTATGAGTCAAAGAAGCGTAAAGGAGCGTCTTGAAATGCCAAAATGAACGATCTCGGGATGAGCTAGAAAGGCAGACGCCGCGCTCACCTTCGAGTCCGTCCTTCTCGACGAGACAGTGGAAAAAGCGGCTCGTCTTGAAAGCGTTCCAGTCGTTTGTGTCATTCCTTCGGATCGCACGAGGCATGTACGAGTCGAGGTCGTCGTCCCGAACGCCATGATGCAGACAATACTTCATTGTCTCGAGGCGACGTTGCAAGCCATAGAGCACATGGGGCTGCTTCTGCGACGACGACATTCGCGAAGTTGAAGGCAACGCACGAACGGCATCATGGAGAGCTCGAATCTCTTCCTGAATCTGTTTGATTTGTTGATCAATTGAGTTGGACGAGGTCGGCCTTGAGGCGAGCGGTGTGCTTCGTCCACATTCGGGAGTCGCGCCGCTGGGCGCAGGAAGGTGGTTCTGTTGGGTCTGAACCGTAATTGGAGACAGTACGGACACCATGTCTGCGCTGTTGGTCGATTGCACCGAAGCAGCTGTGCAGAAACAGCGAGGAACGGTGGTGAGCAGAAGGACCACCCATATCACAAACACGAGGACGCGTCTCACGGGTGGGAGCGGCAAAGTCTAACGCGTTGCTGGGAGCAGACAGGCTGGACATATCGGATCGTCGGATGGCGTCAAGTATAGATATATGACGAAGAGCGTAACGGCGACAGGAAGGGGCAAGACCAGGACTGCACGTGGTCGATAGCGGCGCGTCAAGCGTGAAGAGGCGTCAAGTCGCTCGTTGTCACTCAGTGTCGCTTTTGCGTTTGTTAGCGTGGTGAAAGGGCACGAGACTCTATCACGTTCAATAATGCCATTTTATCACTTTAGTAATGATGTTTCCTAATCGAACCTCTCCTCGCTGATAGTTTGCCGAAAAAATTGACACTGAGTGTTCCAAATACGAATTACACACTACGATGACTAGAATAACCTGATTTGAGCACGCACGTACATGAGATGAAACTGTTGGAGCCCACACAAGCCTCCGTGTGCCCCTGGCCTCGGGCCCTCAAGCAACCCGGGTTGCAGGGGGAGCAATCTGTATGAGTACGCCGCTTAAGAGCGGCGCTGGGAAGGGCGCTGCGCGCGCCACTTTTTGGTGTGCTTAGATATATAGCCAGAGGTGGGAAGGTCCAAGCGCGAAGGAATCCCGAGCTTGTTTGGAGGCGTTGGATGCGTTAGGGGACAGTAAAGGTGGGACGAGGGAGAGGGTTTGGATAGATCATTGCGGTTTGTTGTAAATTAGACACGAGTCAGGAACTTTGTGCGGGTGGGAACTGTTGGTGAGTCGGGCCCAATTTTTCGGGGTCGTGACTCGATCCGACTTGATCGGAGCCGGAGCCAGAGCGAAGCTGACGTCGATCGAGGGGGAACAGGGGATGAGGTGACGGCGAGGTTGGCCTTCGCAATCCCACATTCTACTCCGAGTGCAGCGCCAGTAGCAATGGCAACCGGACTGACCAGCGTTCCAGCTAGTCACACAAGAAACCTGTGCATCGTGGCTCATGTAGAGTGAGTCTTCCAAGGTCCTACACGATGGTGCCGCTCATGTAGCCAGAGTCAAGCTGCGAAATGGCCGAGTCGGATGCTCACCTCCTCGCACTCATCTTGGCCGGTCGACTTGTGCTGCTCGACTGTAGTCATGGAAAGGCGAGTCCAGGCCAGACATAAGCTCCACTGGTGCCTCACATGCTGATCCAGCTTCGTGGTGTCTGCTGCACAGTCCTCATTCGCGGACTCGCTGCTCGCCTCGAACGGGATCATCTCGTCTCGTCTGGCCGGGACAATACGTTACCTCGATTCGAGGGAGGATGAACAAGAAAGAGGCATCACCATGGAATCATCGGCCGTGTCACTAGGGTGGAGGATACCGAGTCAACCTACGGACGGTGAGCAGATGGCTCTCCTTCGCTCTTTCGGATCGGACGGATCGCTGATGGTGTGTGGGGGAGCGCTCCCGACGACGAATCGACTAGGTTCTGCGCCCGTGTTGGAAGAGTACAGGATCAACTTGATCGATACACCTGGCCATGTTGACTTCTCGAGTGAGGTCTCGACCGCTTCGAGGTTGTGCGACGGGGCTCTGGTACTCGTCGATGCCGTCGAGGGTGTCTGCACTCAGGTCGGCGTTCACCGAATTTGTCGGGCAGCGGGCAGCGGGCAGCGGGCAATGGACTCATCTGTGTTCCTTTATTTTCTAGACCATCACCGTCCTTCGTCAGACCCATCTATCCTATCTCCGACCTCTACTGGTGATCAACAAGGTCGACCGCCTCGTGACCGAGCTCAAGCTCTCCCCGTCGGAAGCGTACCACCACCTCTCGCGCATCATCGAAGACGTCAACGCCATCGTGGGTTCCTTCTACGCCGGCGAAAGGATGGAGGACGATTGGAGATGGAGGGAACGGCGCGAAGCCGCTGCTGCTGCTCGGTCTGGAGCAGAAGCGGGTGCGGACGTCGTTGATGAGGAGTACGAAGAGAGGGACGATTCGAACCTCTATTTCGATCCTTCGAACGGGACCGTGCTCTTCTCCTCTGCCATGGACGGATGGGCGTTCAGGATCTCCCGTTTTGCTCAATTGTACGCTGTCAAGTTGGGCATGAGTGAAGCCAATCTCAATCGATGCCTCTGGGGCGATTGGTACCTTGATCCCAAGACGAAACGAGTGATCAATCGCAAGAAGATGGAGGCGAGTGGTAAGAAGCTTAAGCCATTATTCGTGCAATTCGTCCTCGAGGCAATTTGGAACGTGTACGACTCGGTCGTGTTGAACAAGTCAGTCAATCAAACATCCGCGTGATTGATGTGCACGGCTGACCCCGCTCCATCGCTCCGCTCCAGCAACCCGACCAAGGTCGACAAAATCATCTCCTCGCTCAACATCAAAGTCCGACCGCAGGACCTTCGAGCCAAAGATTCGCGCAACCTCCTCCTCTCCATATTCTCCCAATTTCTTCCCTTGGCGCCTTCGACCTTCCGAACCGTGATCGACAAGGTACCTTCCCCACCCATTGCGCAGTCCACTCGAATGCCCAAGATGCTGCACCCCGACTTGGGGCGATCAATCCATGAAGTCGCACCGACGAATCGACTCGAGGAGCATCTCTATTCGGGCGAGGAAGGTGTGGATAAGATCAAGGTCGCTTACGTGAGCAAGATGTTCGCGGTCAAGAGCGAGGACTTGCCGCAGAACCAGAGGAAGCAATTGACCGCGGATGAGATGAGGGCTCGTGGGAAAGCCGCGAAGGAAGCAAGGGATCGTAGGAAGAAGGCTTTGGAGGAAGGGGTCGAGGTCGGCGAAGCGGAGGAGAACAATGGGGAAGAGGAGGAGGAGGCGACGTTGGATAAGGATCGGGAGGAGTTGATTGGGTTCGCGAGGTTGTATTCTGGCACGATCGAGGTCGGTCAGGGGATGTACGCCGTTTTGCCCAAATACAATGCCGCGCTCGGACCGAATCATGCTTCGAATGCGAAGCATTTGCAAGCCGTCAAGATTGAGCAGCTGTACATGATGATGGGCAGGGAATTGGTTGCTGTCGAGCAAGTTACTGCGGGGAACCTGTTCGCCGTCGGAGGCTTGGAGGGCGTCGTCGGTCGGAATGCGACGCTGTGCGCGATGCCAGGAGACGGTGAGGTCAAACAAGGTGCCGACCGAGAGGAGGACAAGGAATGCCTCGTCAACCTTGCAGGATTGACATTGACCGTGAGTTGAATCGTATTGTATCAGCTATGACAATGGAGCTTACGTCACGTTGCACGACCTGCAGTCGGCACCCATCGTTCGAGTCGCGCTGGAGCCCAAGGAACCGTCGCAAATGGACAAGCTCGTCGAGGGGCTCAGGCTGCTTAATCAAGCCGACCCCTGCGTCGAGACTTTGGTCCAAGAGACGGGAGAGCACGTCATTCTGACGGCTGGTGAACTGCACCTCGAGGTCAGCGAGGAGGCCTTTCTGCGGTACGATAACTCCGAACTGATCAAGATCGGATTTCTCTCAAGCAGCGCTGCTTGAAAGATCTGCGAGATCGTTTCGCAAGGATCGAGATTACCGTCTCGCCTCCCATCGTCCCTTTCCGCGAGACAGCGATCTCTGTCCCAGGTCAGTATCATCTCTGGCTCTTATGTTCCCCACCTCCATTCTAACATCATGGCTCGTCGCGCAGAAATGGCGCCACCCAAAGTCGCAGATCGACCGCGCGGCACGTTCCTCGGCTCCAATCAATCCAATTTCGTCACCTTCGCAATTCGAGCAGTGCCATTACCTGAAGCGATCACGACGTTCCTCGTCGCCAATATGTCGACTCTGAAACGGCTTCAACGTGATCGACGAGCCGGCAAATCGGTAGAGGAGGATGCCGTCGTCGAATCAAGAGGCGAGACCTTCGAGGGGGTCGAGCCCGTTAAGCCGGAGGATTTCTGGACCGAGTTGGAGGCCTTGTTTAAGAAGGCTGGGAGGGATTGGGTCGGACTGGCCGATCAAGTTTGGGCCTTTGGGCCCAAGCGAGTGGGACCGAACATCTTGGTCGATCGGACGTCGGGACATGTGCGGTCGTGAGTGACCATATCGGTCTTTCGGCTGATCGCTCATGCGATACTGACTGTCTGTGCATTTCTGAGGTATTTTCAGGCTTCGGAAACGACTTGAGCGACAAGGTTCACTCATTTCCACGGACGGGACAGCACTTGCTACGCCTGCACCCGGTTCACCCTCTCTGAAACCCTCAGCCGGCGAAGCCAGCCTCGACACCGACGAACTGGCCGCTCAACTCGAGGACACCACCATCGCCGACGATCAAACCATCTCCCTGCCAGATGTGCGAGAGTTGGACGAGAACTTTGACAGTGCTTTCCAACTCGCGACGAATCGGGGTCCGATGTGCGGTGAACCTGTCATTGGGATGGCATTCTTCCTCGAAGCGATCGAGCTCAACGGAGCCGAGCTCACCGATTCTCAAAGTAGGTCAACCCCGTTTTTGTTTTATCACATGTGAATAATGCACTGACGCTTTTGATCCTCCACAGTCCGATCCAAGTGGTCGCTCGCGCGAGGCCAAATCATCTCAACAGGTCGAGAAGCCTTCCACGCCGGTCTCCTCGACTGGTCCCCCCGTCTTCAACTTGCCATGTACTCTTGCGATATCCAAGCCACTGGTGAAGTGCTGGGCAAGGTCTACGGCGTCGTATCGAAACGGAAGGGCCGGATCGTCTCGGAAGAGATGAAGGAAGGCACCGCGTTCTTCACTATTCGAGCTTTATTACCCGTGGTGGAGTCGTTCGGGTTCGCGGATGAGATTCGAACGAGGAGTTCTGGCGCTGCGAGTCCGCAATTGGTCTTCCATGGGTTCGAGATTCTGGATCAAGATCCGTTCTGGGTTCCGACGACGGAAGAGGAGCTGGAGGACTTGGGGGAGAAAGCTGATCGGGAGAATATCGCGAGGAGATATATGGATGCAGTAAGGAGGCGTAAGGTACGTTTCTAGGTTTCGAAGGGAGGGTGTGGATGTTGATTACAGCAGTGTACTGACAGCGAGAGGCCTGTTTGGACGAGTACACAGGGCATGGCCGTCGAACGCAAAGTGGTGGAACACGCAGAGAAACAAAAGACGCTCAAATCGGTATAGACTAGAGTAGACCCTTGTCAGTTGATGGCTGCCAAGTCAATCCCGGCGTCGATGTACTTTTGACGCCAGTGCGAGTACTCTCGCTCGTGAGGCTCAAGCTGGAAAGGGGAGCGACTCATGATTAGATGTGAATCTTGACTAAGATTGGAGCACATGATGAGGACTTACGTAAGGTACGCCCAGCAAGTCAAAGATCTCTCGCTCGTTCGTCACGATGCGCATGGTGCCAGGCCGGAAGCCGTTCGGGTTCTGCGAGCGGGCTTCGAATCAGTAGGCGCAGCAGAACGGCGACTAAAATCTTTCCTAGACCCACCTGATCTTCTTTCTCAAACTATGAGCAAAGGAGAAATGACTCCACGTCAGCGTCTCTTCCTCCCGTCCGGAGAGGAGTAACTGACAGGTCTAATACCCGAGCTCACCTTATCCCCCATCCCGTACTCGTTCAAGCACATCCCGCGAGCTTTGGCGCGGTGTCGCATCAGTTTCATCAACAAGGCGTCACCTGATCCACCGAGGAGCATGTAAGGGTACGAGTCGTATGGACCAAGTCGGATGTCGATGCGTCGGTAGTGTTGCTCATCTTTCAGCTTGATCAGCCCCTGGAGTGACCGAAAACAGAGGATAATAAGGGATCAGCGGACCAATCATTGTAATGTACCGGCTTCCCCGGCTTCCCCGAGCTCATCTCGAGAAAAACGACGCACCATATACTTCTTGTCTCCATGAGCGAGCCTGTACTGATTCGCCAATAACCCGCTCGCTTCCAGTGCTTCCACAATCCTATCGAGCAATCTTCTCGCCTTTTCTTTGTCCTCGCTGTCCGTGAAAGAAGGGTGGCGAACTGCAAGATCCAAGTCGGAGGCAAAGTCGAGACCACGACGGTAGGAGCCGAGAAGCTCCGCCTCGAAGAGCTTTTCGTCGCCCGTAACGATTGACTTGAGACAATCTTCGATTCGGGCTTTGAGTTCGTCCATCTCCGAGCGAGAGATGAGACGCTCAAAGTCCTGTACGAAGGGAAGGAGACAAAGAGCTCTTCAGTCTCTCGCCTCATCTCAAGGCGGAAGCAAGTCTTCCTCACTCACATCAAGAAGTTTGATCCCGATGATCTGCGATTCTTGCAACTTGATGGTCCCCAACTCGTGGAGCTTGAGCAAATCCTCGAGCGTACGCGCGCCGGCGGCGTAGAACTGCTTCGCTCGAGCACGTCCGATGCTGTTAAAACAGGATGCAAAACAGTGTTGTGAACCTGTCAATTTTCGAAAGCTAGAACAGTGGAAGTTCAAAATATTTTACTCACTTGTAGATCCTCATGAAAAGAACACAGGTCTTCTGCTCCTTGTTCATACACGACAACTTGGACGCCTTGCCTTTGTTCAAAATGTGCGCAATCTCGGCCCAGGGCACCGTAAAACACGGTGAAAGGACCCCGACCAAATCCTTCATCCTCACCACCTCCTTGCCCCCGGATTGATCAACGCGATGCCAAAGGGGATAAAGCGCCCTCACAGCATCCTTGAACCCCCTCGCACTGACGGCTTTGGTCTCTTGGTAAGATTGCAAGAGTTGGATGTCCCGCATTTGAGACATGATCTCTTGCAAGGGGACGGGACGATCGAGGCCGTAGGTTTGGCTGAGATTGGTGACGAAGTCGACGGTTTTGGCGACGTAGAGCGCTTTAGTCGAGAGCGCTTTGGTCGAGTAGAGGCGGGAGTGGAGGAAACCCGATGGCGCGCGCGCCGCGAAAGGAGTCAACGCGCGCTTGGATCGGGATGATGAGGTGCCTAGGCCTAGGATGGGACCAGAAGCGACGCTTGATCCGACATGACGTGCTTCAGTCGGTAAAAGTGGTCGAAAACCCTCGAGTGTAGACACGACCGCGCTCGAAGGTCGAGCCTCCAACCCGACGATCGAGGAACCAACTTGTTCCAAGTCTCTGACGACCGAAACACCCGAGTGGAACCCGGCCTTGACGGGATCCCACCGGCTCGCATCCTTGGAAGCAAGGACGTTACGACGGACGTGCACGATCACATCTAAATGTAGGCCTACTTGACGAGTCAAAGACATGGGTTTAGGAGGGGAAAGGGAATGGAGGTGTTGGGCACGGATTGAGTGGGCCATGTGGTGGGTCGCGGTGGATTCGATCTGCTGCGTGGTGGAAGGGGTGCAGATTGTGGCGAGCAGACGTCGAAAGGAGGCGAAGCGGTCGAGGGAGGGTGGGGCCTTGCTGAGGCGTCGAGCAAAGATGGGCGACATAGCTCACTCGACTTGCCGAGAGGTGAGACGAGTATTGAGGTTGAGGGGGTGAGATGTGAAGGAGGCCAAGAGGAAGAGAAGAGAAGAAGGCCTGCTAAGTCGAGGAATGAAATGCAGTGATGGGAACAACAGCGAGGGGGGAGGGCGAAAGTTATGGGGAAGTGATGGATGAGCTCATGAAGCATGGCTGGACACGCGCGAGTAGCACATGACAGAGATGAAGCCCGTGCAGGGTGCTCGAGCTCAACGATGAAACAGGGGGAGTTGCCAGCCGGCCGAGCTTCCGAGACAAAGGGTAGTGAGTAATGGCAAGAGGAAAAGTCTAATTGCAGAATTTATGCATGTCCATAATCTATGACTTTTGAGCGTTCCAAGCATCGTTAAGTGCAGCAAAGACCAATCCTGCAATCATCCTCTGCTCGACGGTGGTGTTTTGCACGTTGAGCTGTGGGGAGGCAGGGCAGGCGCACACGCGTCAGCTTGGCCAATTTTCCCCGTCAACACATCCGACAACCAGCACTCACCTTATCAGGATGCAGCTTGGCAATAGCCCTAACATATCTAACCTTGAGTTGCGCCTCACTAATCAACTCATGCATACCAACCTTCTTCCACCCCAAATCAGGCCAAAGCACCGAATCCAAACTCGCGATCAAGGCCCTCAAGTTCTGTTCCTTGCCTCCCTTCCAAGCGAGGATCTTGGCATCGACACCGTCCTTGAGTTGCAAACGGAGATCGTCTTCGGCTTCAGAGGCTTGGTTCGCTGCTTTGAGGGCTTTGACGGCTTCGCCGGAACCTTGGACGACGGGCTTGAACGGCCGGGCAGGGGGGGCATTCGAAGCTCTACTCGACGGCAGAGGAGCAGAACGAGCATTCGAAGGTCCGGTCGAAGACGTCGAAGCCTCTGCGTTTGTAGGTCCAGCCACCATCTTTCGACACCTCGCGACACCATCCGAAACGATTTTGAACCCCCCAGCAGCTTTAACGACATCCCCACCAGCAGCCAAAGCCAAAGACCAATCCTCGGCCGCCGCAGACCACTTCTCGTTCGCCTCGTTCGCTTTGGCCCGTTTGCCCAACGCTTTTCCCAGCTGGTCGACCAACTTCAATTGGTTGACATCGCTCGGCAGTGTCTCCGCTTCGAGCGCAGCCCAAGCGACTCTCTCCCCGGCCTGTTTGGGTAACCCCCCATAAGGGGCCAAGAGGATATGGATAGCGAGCGTGCAGTCCTCAGAGGCAAGTCGTTCTTCTCCAACCTTGAGTCGAGCCGTCGCTCGATTGTTGAGCAAAGGCACGAGGTGTAACGTCCCCGAGGGCAAAGCGTCAATGGCCTGCGTGTATTCGGCCGAGGCATCGCCGAAGCGCCCGAGTTTGAAGAAGTCATTGCCTTTGGTCTTGTACGAGGTCGAAGTGGCCAAATCATCCGGGGAGACCGGGACGTGGGTCCGAGGTGGGTAAGAAGGACGAGCAGGGACTGCGGCGGGCTGGGGAGTCGGGGTGCGCGCGCGTGGTGAAGGTACTTGGGGCATGGACGCTACATCGACAGCTAGAGGAGCTTGTTGTTTCGCTCGTCGCCAAGGTGAGACATAGGCCGCTGCAGCCGCCATGGCCTGAGCCACTGGGGGAGGCGCCGAAATCGGTGCTGGCGAAGATGCTTGAGCGCGCGCGACGGGTGCTCGACTCACCGCCGCCGGGGGTTGAGGTCTTTGCGGCAAGACCTCGTCATCCTCACTATCATGGAATAGTGTTGGTGGTGGCTCCTCGGTCGATCTCGAAGGTTTGGTCGTCGTCCCAGCCGAGGGCGGTCCCTCCTCTTCCGCAAGCTCCTTCTCCATCTCTTCGGTCCACCATTTCGGTCTCCCCGGCGGGGCGGTCGAAGCGGCCTGTCTCGGTCTCCTCCCCGCACCCCCCGAAGGACCGCCTTCTCCAGGTCCATCTTCTCCACCGGCTCGTTGTTCATCCAAAGCCTTTTGCAACTGCGCCTTTCCAGCAGAGATGTACGCGTTCGCCGATTTGAACATGCTGAACCCAATCTTGGACGCCTGAGCCAACAACTCGTTCGCCTGACGTTGCGCAGCAGCCACCGCATCGTTCGCCGAATCGTCCGCGGTCTGCTGCTGACCCCGTTGACGAGCCGCAGCTTCCCTTGCTCTTCGTCCCGTCGGCAAAGCTGTTGGCCGTGGTGGAGGAGCATCATCGTCCACTTCGGCTTCTCTGCGTCTCCTTTCCCTTCGTCGAGCATCTTCTTCATCGTCCGAGCCCCAACCGCTATCCCCGACGACCGACGTTTCTCGGATCGCCCTTTCCTCGTCGTCCACAGCTACGGGTCGACGAAGTGCTGTCGGCGCAGGTCCGTTCTCACGGATAAAGCCTCCGTTCTGAGCACCACCAGCGCCTCCGCCCGAGGTCTGCTCGATCAAGACCTCCAAGGCCTCTTCGACGCGCCATTCCCCCTTCGGCCCTACGGTCGCACCGAGAGCGGCTTGGGCCTGCGGGACCGAAAAACCCATCTGTACGATCTGTCCCAGGATGTGAGGTGGAGGTGAAGCACTCCGTCGAAGCGGACCTCGTGAAGCGGAGGACGATGGTGGTGTCGGCGCTTGTTGGCTTGCTGCTGGGGTAGGTTTCGACACGGCAGCCGGTTGCGAGAATGCGCCTAAAAGATCAAAGTCATCGGATTCGGATGTGGTGGGAGCCGTGGATGTGGTGGTGCTGCCAGTCTGAGCCGAAAGAGATATCCCCGCACCAAAGGGGTCGTCATCGTCATCATTGTCGAAGGTCTTGCCTGTATTCCGAGGTGCCGGTGATCGGGTCGAAGGAGGAGGCGCCGCGGTCGTCTCGAACCCAAGATCGAAAGGGTCCAGTGGGGGTGCCACGGACGAGGACGGTTTGCTCGAAACGGGGGCCGGAGTGGCCTTTGCGAGTAGATCAAAGTCCCATGGATCGGATGAGCTGTGGATTGAAGGCCTCTGGTTTCAGTCTTTGACTCGAGCCTCGTAGAACTATGCGATATGACTGACGCTGCTTTGGCCGAAGACCCGTTCAAGGGGCTCGTTCCACCGCCGGGTCCAAAGCGAGCCGCATTACTCGTAGCAAGTTTCTCTGCCAGTGACATGTTGGTCGTAGATGCACCAGCACCCCTCGCGGAGGATCCTGAGCCCGAAGCCGAGCCACCGAAGAGGGATGAAAAGGCATCGTCGGCGGAAGTGGTGGGTCTGTTCGCACTCTGAGGTGATGGAGCCAGAGCAGGCGAATTGGATCCCGCGATGGACGGCGGGACGGGTGCCAAAGGGGATGGCGATCGGGAGCTGTAGAGCGGTGAAGGTGAGGGCGACGCGCTCTTGACTGAACGCGAGCTGGCATCGTTGGACAAGGGGCGGCCGGCTTGGGAGAGGTAGTCGAATGCGGTCTTGCGCGTGCCATAAGCGGCTTGGGGGTTCAGCTTGGAGCTGGTGGAGGATGAGGCTGGCTGGGTCGGAGGTGCCGACAGGTCGAGGTCGAGCAGGTCGTTCATCGCGGGTGAAGCGGGCCTTGACCCTAATAATGCACGTCGACCCACGTCGCGGCGGGCTGAGCGATGCAGCCTGAATTTGCCCAACAAGCCGCGGCGATTAGAGAATCGGAAAGTGGGACCAGGCGTTGCCAAGACGAAGATGCACGCCGAGGTCGGGGTCGTCAGAGCGAGTGTCCCCGGTGTCGTGGTGTGAGGTGGTGTGTGTTGTGCGCCGGTCGCCAACGCGCGACTGTGTCCGACCCACTGAGTGACGTGGTGGACGCGCGCAACGTGCAGAGACGTGCAGACTGACTCGGACTGAGTACGCGCGCTCCGAGGCCCTCCAGCCAGCCCAAGCTCAGCAGCTGACAGAGCAAGTAGAGAGCAGTGGAGAGCAGTACTCAGTCTCAGCTCGGGCTCGGCGCTGGCTCAGCTCAGCCGTGCGAGTACCGTGAGCGTCTAGACCCCATTCAGCTCTCGGCTCGACACACCCGAACCACTGCATTCTTTCGCCTCGAATCCTCTCACCCCCGCTCTGCTCCCAGTCATGTCCTCAAGTCCCCTCGGCTCATCATCAACCTCTCTCTGGTCGACCTGCGCCGCCGTCGCGCTCGCGAGTGGTGCGATCGGTTATGCAAGTCCGATTCACAGAGATCGGTCGGAGCACCAGCTCATTGTTTGATCATGTCGTATTCATCAGGTCATCGGTTTGGGCGCTTCACTGCCGCTCTCCGTACGTCGTTCCTTCACTCCGCCGAGCTCGACGGCCGGGCTTTCGCAGTCAACCCCACTTACCCGGATGTCGTCTCTCTTCACAGAGAGGGGGTAAACTGTCCTACCCGACAGCAAAAGACGAGGAAACAGAAGACGAAGAAGATGATGACTCAGGGGATGAAGTCAACCTCACTGATTTGGCCACCGTCAAGGCGAAGGGGGACGAGCCTTGCAAACTGGTCCGTGCACTCTGCCGGCATCAGCTTCGGACTTCGGGAGAACTACCACTTACCCTACTTCAGCGTTGCAGGTCCTCGTCGTACGAACGGATCTGCAAATGACCAAAGGCAAGATCGCTGCTCAATGCGGGTAAGGTTCCATCGCAGAAGCAAGGGCCGAGCTCGGCAAGAAAAATCTCTTACTCACCCATTAAATCCCTCTCGTTAGCCACGCCACATTAGCATGCTACAAATCCGTCATCAAGGGGAATCCAGATGTGGGTCCATGTAGACAAGATTCTTACTCGATCATTCACTCACGAGTCGTAGTACGTCGACATCTTCCCCACAGCTCGTACGGCATTGGGAAAGGACAGGGTGGGCGACCTCTTCAACGCCTGGTGCGGAGCCTCGGTCAAGTCAAGCTCACACCTTGCATCGCCTGGATCCACAGACAAGCCAAAATTGCCGTCAAGTGCGATTCGGAAGAAGAATTGCTCATCCTCCAAGCCACCGCCAAATCGCTCGGCATTTGTGCACGCTCGATCCAGGACGCGTTAGTGATGTTTGCACCGCTCCATCTGTTGAAAGCTAGATTACGGAACCTCTGACGCTTTGATATACTGAATTCAACAGAGGTCGCACACAAGTCGCTTCGGGGAGTACGACCGTGCTCGGCATCGGTCCCGCCCCGGTTCAGCTCGTGAACCAAGTCACGCAGCATCTCAAACTGTTGTAACCTCCACAAAAGTCCCTTGCAAACACACTTCGCATCCGAAAAATTCACCAATCAAATCCCTTCCTGCGCCCCCCTCCTCTCTGCCTCACTACCCCTCGCATCCCCCCTCCCGAATCCCGCCTTCTTCTTCCCATCCTCCACCTTCCTCCCCTCCCCAACCTTACCCCAACCTCCACCTCCAGGCGTCTCAATAATGATTCGATCCCCTCTCCCCATCTTGACCGTCGCCTTACCACCCAGATTAATCGTCCTCGGCTTGAGGCCCGAATCCCCATCCTGTTCAGGTCGGGCTTGCTTTATCCAGAGATTTCGACCGCGTGATCCGGAAGCACCGCCGGCGAGTCCGTAAGGGGCGTAGACGCGGCGCTCGGAAAGGATGGAGCATTGGATGGGTCTGTGGGGGAGGATAGGATCGGTCAGCTAGTGAATGTTGGTGGGGGTTAGGAAAGTCGTTGATATGCTCACTCAAGGAATTCAATCTCCTGTCCGGATGAGGAGAGGAAAGCAGAAAGAAAATGAGCTCATCACAACCCACAGGCAACCAGCGAGGAAAGCCACGAACGTACCCTAATGACACCACATCCACCCGTATAAGCCCCTTCGCCACCCGAGCCCTTCCGAATCTCGAAGCGATGCAAGATGGTCGGATACCGTCGTTCCAGGATTTCCGGGTCCGTGATCCTGTGCGTGCCCAGGTAACAGCTGTCAGTATAGCGGCGAAGCGATTTGCTATCTGCGAAGGATCAGGGACGTACCTCGTGTTTGTCATGTGGGTATGAACGCCGCTCGTCCCATCCCAAGTCGGACCGGCACCCGATCCACCGGCGATCGTTTCGTAGTAACCGAACCCTTCGACCGCTTCACCCGCTTCATTGCGTCCCCCGTTCCCGAACGTCAAGTTGTTGCAATCCCCTTGTGATGCGGCCGCAGCTTCGAAAGCTCGTAGGACGACGTCGGTGACGCGTTGCGAGGTGCAGACGTTTCTTTGAAATGTCAAAACATCCGGGTCAGTGCGCAGCTTGTATTTGTGGTGCTGTGGGGAGTACTCACCCTCCTACGACAGCCGCGGTATCCGAAGGGTTGAGGCAGCACCCGGGGGGTAGTTTGATCTCAACAGGTGTGAGGCAGCCTTGATTAAGTGGGATCTGTTCAAAGGAATACACGTGCCTGGTCAGCATATTTCCGAACCAAAAGATTCCGATTCGGAAGTGACTTACATCCTGATCAACCATCGCTCGCAAGCAGTAGATGATGGCCGAGTAAGTTACCGAGACCGGTGCGTTGAGGTTACCTGTCATCCAACGTGACAACAGTAAGTTTGTTTCCCAAACTCTAGTGCCCTCACCGTCACCCACTCACCAAAAATCTCGGGGCCCGTCCCAGCGAAATCAAACACAGCCGAGCCTTTGTCCTCATCAATCTGTACCTTCAATTGTATCGGCGTGCCATCATCAAGGTAATCGATCGCGTTCAACTCGGTCTTGCTCATCCTCTTGGCGACCCGTCTCAACAGGTTGCGCACGGCGAGTTCGGCATTGTCCCGAATGTGGTGCATGTACTCGAGCACGACGGGAAGAGCGTATTCCTCGATAAGGAGTTTGATTAGGTTCGCGCCCTTGTTGTTGGCTGCGATCTGCGCCTGGAGGTCCGATTCGACGTCGCTCATGCAGCCTGTGAAGAACATTGTCAGTGCACTATCGTCACATGATTCGTAAGCGTTAACTCACGAGTTCCACTACAACCCTCATACTGCGCAGGTTCGTCGACGAGCAATCTGACCAGCTCGTCGCGCTGGTATGCACCCTTTGATACGACCTTGAAGCTCTTGATCTGCGCGCCTTCCTCAAAGATCGTCTTTGACGTGGGTGGCATGGAGCCTGTTCACGTTCGGGACAGAACGTTAGCCACAGAATTTGGTATGGATACTATGTAGCCCCATTGGCATACCTGGAAGTATGCCTCCGATGTCTGGAAAGGAAAATGGACTGCGGTCAACGACTGAAAATCTCGCGGTCAAGAGAATAAAAGTTCTGACTGACCCGCATGATGCCCTCGCGAAGCGGTGAAGAAGATGATCTTGCCGTCTTGCCCAAAGACGGGTGTGATACCTTGAGATCGGACAAATGATGTTCTCAGTAAAGAGTAATTGGCTGCTCGTCCGAGCTTGAGGATGGAAACTCACACGTGATATCCGGTAGATGAGAACCCCCCGCGACGGGGTGGTTCGAAAGGAGTACATCTGTCACACACCAACATCTCAGTCAGGCGATGATCTTTTCAGAATGCGTATGGACGAGTGATAGGACTGACCGCCTTTGTGGAGGCCACCCTGTCCGAGGGTCTCGATCTGGTACTGCACAGCGAAGGACATGGAGCCGAGGTGCACAGGCAAGTGGGGCGCCTGTGGTAGTGAGGGAGTGCAGTGGTGGGGAAGAGGCATCAGGTGCCTTGCCCGAGGAGCTCGCAGGTCTGCAAAGATGAATGGACTTCCATCTTGAGACACTCACATTGGCGATGAGATCTCCATTCGGAGCAAAGATGGCGCAAGAGAAGCTAGAGTGGGCAGGAAGGGTGTGCCAAGTCGAGCGCGAGGCGAGCTCGGAGATCAACGCTGTGCCACATTGACACTGGACTTGACAGACTCTGCACTTACTCGAGGCCTGTAGCACAGTTGTGAGAGATCCCGAGGTCGTCAGCACACCTGGCCAGGGGGGGGGGGATGTCAATGGTCTCCGGCGACTATACTGATAGCAGCTCACGTTCCTATGAAATGTGCCGAGCATATTAGTCTACTACGTGTACCTGACCGAGTCACCCAGCGTAGTACACGCACTTTGATATTGGTACTGATCGACGTCTGCTGCAAGGCCCTTCCCCTGCAAGTGCGATGACGTCGTACCACATGCCGTCGTTGTCGTCGTCGATTACGGTCAAGAACAATCAGCGTCATGATGGCAGCCTCCAGCATGTGCGGCAACACTATACGACACAAGGACGTACATGGCTTCGGCTATCGAAATGAACCTGTTTGCGAACAGAGACAGCAACACGGGATCCGATTTTGATCCACCCATTCTTATTTCCGGCCTTTCGCGGGGGAGTGCCATGTGGGGGGATGAGGGAGGACGGAAGGTGAGGAGACGGGCGATGCAAGCTGCCAGCTGCCACTGCCAGCCTCTGCAGCGAGTTCCGAAGACCGCCGACGCACGTGACCAGGAAATTAAGATTGCCTGACGTTTGCGTGATCACTATCACAGGGAGTGCACAGTAATCCAATACAACAACACACGCAAAAGGAGGAAATCCGACATGAAACTCGCCAAAGTAGACATCATCGCCGTCGTCGGCGCTCTCGCGTCGCATCAAGCACTGCGCCTCACCCCACTGGTCCATGAGAAAGATCTGCAGTATGTAGTAGGATACGCCCGAAAACGAGAGCCCGCAGTCGACACAAAGATCTACCTCCGCTTATCGACCGGCCTCAGGCTGCTCCCAAACATCCGTTAAGTACTTTGACATTGCAGCATTCACATTATTCGCCATGGATGGTGTATCGATCGCGCTTAACCTCGGGGTTGAACACCTCCCATCGAGAAGCAGGGAAAATGTCTGCTCATCAAGTCGAAAGCATCAGCATAGAGATCAGCCACCCCCACGATGTGGCATCCAAAACTTACGCTTGGATCTATTGTACCAACTCCTTTCGACGACTTTACCCGCGTGGGACTGCAACGTCATCGACCTGGATCAATACTCGAATCTATGCGACGGGGACCCTATTCCGATGTGACGCACCTCATCCTTTTCGACCGAGGCGTCAGAAATCAACCGCACGTCTTCGTGTACGTCAAAGTTGAACATGGGGCCTGATTTTCCACGGTACCGATTTACGATAAAGTCGTCTGAGAGAAGCAACAGATGAGGCCAGTTCAGCACCTCGCAGCTGGTGATCGAGGGTCCAGAACGCTACTCACAGAATGTGTAGTGCTGAAAGGAAATTTGAACCCATGACGTGAGCCCCAACGAGTGCTCTAGTGGGAAACCACTCCGCTGTCTCAACTCACATGAGGGATGATCAGATCTTCCTTGATATACATCAGATTATCGACGCTGACGGCCCTCAACTCGGGGAACTGCAACCGGCATTTGTCCAGAAACTGTGCGATCGTGTCTCCCTTCTTGCACGTCACAACTTTACGATGCCCCGACCCATCCCAGTACGAGTAAGTGATCTCGATGTCCTCGGCCTTCATCGTCTCTTGCTTGGTCAACCATTCGCGTCGCAGTTCGTCGCGTACTTTACGTTCGGCTTCTTCGCGCTCGCGATCGGGTAGGAACGAGGTGTCGATCGAAGGGTTCTTGCCCAGCTTGGCCTTCTTCGAGGCTCGATCTGAGCGCGTAGGAGGCTCTGCTAAGATTAGTTTGAGCCTCTTCCGCAGCGACTGCGACAGTAAGATCATCCGAACCCACCTTCGTCTCCCGTGCCCTCCTCGTCGTCATCACCACCCGCCTTTTTTTCCTTTTTGGATATCGATCCGTCCTCCTCTCCATCATCGAATGCGAATGAAAGCTTGATTTTGCCTTCCTTCTTCTTCTTTTTCTTCTTCTTTTCCTCCTCCCTGCTCCCATCCAACGAACAAGACTTCTTGAGGGTCAGCTTATCTATTAGCCTCGTGCTCAAAGCGAGCATTCCCAGAAGGGGACTCACCTCAGCTCGCTTGTCCCCGCCGCTTCCCGACGTGCAGCTTCTTCCAACTTTTCACGCGTTTCCTATAACGCGAGTGAAAGTGCAGCGTAGAGCAGCCAGGTTCAGCACGAGCACCCACTGGCGCCATCTGTGGCACGAGGGGAGAGACGGGGAGAGGACCGACCTTGAAGTCACTCAGCTGCACCAAGCCGTACGTCGACTTTTTGAGTTGTTCATCCACACCATCACTTGCACTGGCAAATCGATCCGAGCCTGCGTATCATAATCGGACACCATTCGATCATCAGTCCGAGGATCCCCGATCGAACGAGGCGACCGAGTCGTCCGAGCCCGGCGCGGTTGAGCTCGAACGTACCTGTTCTGTTCTTGCTGGTTTCGTTGACGAGCTCGTTCTTTTGCGCTGCGAATTGGTCCTGTACGCCCAGAAGATACCAAGATCAACACGAGTACGATCGCGCGAGCGCCTAGGTGCAACTCGCTCGACCTCGGATCGAAGTGAAGAGTTCCACGCACCATCATATCCTTCCTCTTTTTCTCCAGAATGGCTGATCACGTCCAAATGGTTTATTCGTGGTGATGTTGAGTGTAAGGTCATGCGGTGAATCTTGTAGGGAAGGTCAGTTTTGGGTGTCCGAAGTGGGGGGGGGGTTGACAACAAACGGAGAACGACGAACCCAGCTTGCGCTTCTCATCTTGGGCCGACATGTCGAGAGTTGTATAGGCTGTCAAAGCTCAACGTTCGAGTTTCCAACGTCGCTGCAAGGTGGTTTCGACTGTAGGGTCCAAAGTGGCGTAGAGGAGCGAAAGAAAGGGGAGCGAGCGCGCCTCACCTTGGCATCGCATGAAACGGCGAGCTCGGCATTGAAGATACATTGAGACTCATCATTTATTGCAAAAGGGGAACAACGGAGAGGTACCAACAACGAAAAAAAAAAATCGACTGAAGGAGAAGGACTATAGAACCGGGTAGCATCCACAAGGACCCCGGCCCACGAAGAATCAAGATTAAATGTACGCGGCCCCACTGCATTGCCGGCCCGCAACAATCTGGGAAAACCTGAAGCTCAGGCACAGCATTCACCACGACCGGCGGGAGAATCGTCACCATGGTCGGTCGCAGTGTCACGCTATTTGAGCGAATTTACCACGACTGTCAGTATGAAGATGTTAAATGAGGAAGATCGATCTCGCCGACTCACGGCGCAGAGCAAGTAGCCGACAAAACCTCCAAAGAAGATGGCGAAGAGGATGTAGCCGTTGTAAGTCATTCCCAAGAGCACTGTGTAATGAGAAAACCATTTATAGTGTCAGACCCATTGTCTTCAGTGAGTGGGGTAGCTAAGACTTACTGAGAATGTCTGATCGGTCGAACAGCCGGAGAGAAGATGTCGAGACGAGTGGTCAGTTCACAGTTCCCAGGACGGGCGTCCAACCGACGCCAGCACCTACAAGCGGTGCCAAACTGAATCGCGTAGAAAATCGATCGAACCAAGTGTTGTGAGAAAGTAGGTCTGTTCGGAACCACTTCCCTGATTACTTTTGTGAATCGCTAAAGCTTTACTCGGGAAAAAACTGACCGGAACAAAGGCACCGCAGGCAGCTCATCCTTGATACTCGAATCCGACTGGATCTGCGCCAAACTCGCGTGGAACGAACGCTTGATTTGACGATCATAATCGCGGCTTAGACGACGTAAGGCCTCGAGGGCAATGACGCTGACGACGACGCCGACAATGGCCCCGACGAAAGCTCCGACCGAACGAATGTGCGCTTGTTCGGAGAGGAAGCAGAAATCGATGGTGTACCAGTTCCAGAGCATGCTCATCTGACGAGGCCAATACAGAATCGAGGTAGTCAGTGAAACGCCGGGGATCGAAGACGCATCCAAAGAAGCGCGGTGAGAAAAAGTCGTTGGTGGTGGCAGTCCAAAACCAAGTGCCAAGAGTAACTTACCTGACACGATGCAGCGGTGGTAGGCCCACTACTAGATCCATGTGACATGTCCATGATGGCTTGATTCGGGTTGCTTGAGTTTGGAATGAAGCTGACGCGAAGTGAGGCGGGCGTGTGAGTTGCGTCCCGAGCACTGCTTTGACTACCCGTTTGGGAAACCGCACGAGCCGCCGCGTCGTGAAGTGTCAGTCCCCAAAGTCACAATAGGAGCCCCGTACAGTATTCCAGGTATCACCCACCTTCAGCAAATAGTTCGTGAAGGGTTCGATTTGGCGGGTGGGGGACTTGGTACAACAGCGTCAGAGGTGTGGGAAGGAGGGAGAGCCGCGAGGGGTTTTGCGGCGGTGGGCTCCCAGCGGTCGCAAGGGTCAAGACGGCTTGGCTCATGCCCCAAATCGGAAAGAGTCGGAACGTGGGACATCGGCCCGAGCTCGAGCTGGCATGTATCTTGGGATGTAGCAACTAATGTGTGGGTATCTACGAGGCCGCAGCGCTTTGAGGAGGTCGAGGGAGCACTCGGGGCAAGCCCCTGAACAAGTCACGCCAGACTGGGTGGATTCCGACTGTTTCGGGCAAAGACATGACGAATGAGATGCGCGATTTTCGCCAACCGCTCTCTGTGACTTTTATAACATCTTCCGAAGCAGCATGAGGAGCCCTACGCCTAAGTAATTGATATATCCCACGGGTTCCAGGCTTTAGACAGGAGATTCTCGCACCCGATACCCTGGAAGTGAAGCCCGACGCGCCAAAGTGCTTGCGAGCCAGGTCGACCCGAGTGAGCGCGCGATTTACGCCAGGCGGTCCGTGCACGCGCCGTAAGGTGCGCCTTTCCGAATTGCAGCGACGAGGGGCAGCTGCACATAGGAATCTTGGAATATTGGGAACATCTTTGAACTTGGCAGTCCAAAGACAAGAATGCCTCAGGTCCGAAAGGTTGCCTTAGTCTTGCTCGCGAAATTGGGCACTCGTCTTGACATTATTGGCCCGCGATGATTGGCCGAACCGGCCAAAGACTTCCAGCTCCCCCCCTCTTGGGGACCTCGAGCGTGACCCAGCTGTCACGTCGACAAGCCCGCCAGCCGCCACCCCATACTTTACACCCTATCACCGCACCCACCTTCATTATGAACCGCCTTGCGTCCCAGATCGTGCGTGGGCCTGTCGCTTCCTCCTGGGCCTCGGCTCGCAACGTCATCGCAGCGCCGTCGACGATCGCTCGTTGCTCGTACTGCTCGCCCTCGACATCGACAGCGGGCTACATCTCCGCACGCTCGGTCACATCTACAAGTTCGAAGAAGCAATCCACTGCTACTGCTGATCAGTACGTTCCTTACTTAGTCCGCGACCCCTGAATGCGCCTTGCGCGGCACTCGATCCTCGGCGTGTTCCCCAGTAGCTGATCTCCCGACCCACTTTCCTCCCACCAGATTCGTCAACATCATTCAAGCCGATGCGGCCCGAGCTCTCGCATCCATCAAATCCCTCACCCCCTCAGCAGGCTTCACTTTAACCGATGGACTCGTCGTCCCTTCCCCTATGCTCATCCTCGACGGCGTCGTCTTCCTTTGGGACGTCGGACCTCCGAATCCGCAAACGATGAGTTGGGAGGGTTGGAATCTGGACAAGTTGAGGGCTTTTGAGATGGTGACGCCTAGACCAGGTCGGTTCCGAGGGGCATCTACAAGTCTGACACAATGTGATTTGCGGGAGCTGACGTGTTGGATCGACGATAACAGAAATTTTGCTCGTGGGCACGGGCAAAACTGGTCTCTTACCACCACCTGCATTCAAGAAGTACCTCAATGGTCTGGGCATCCAGGTGGATGTACTTGATTCGGTAGGTGTTTCCTTCTTTGCTCTCAAAGTACTCTCCGCTAGAGACGAACTGACAGGCGGGCATATTCTACAGCGAAACGCTTGCGCGACCTACAATCTCCTTTCGGAAGAAGGTCGTCGGGTAGGAGCCGCTTTGTACCCCCTGACAGAACTTTCGGCTAGGACAGGTGTAGTCGCCAAGGATGTGCAGCGGTGATATTTGAAGAATCGCAATTACTTCTAAAATCTAGTCAAAGCGATGAGGCGAGAGCTGGGAGATGTCTGCGCTCAGCTTCTTTGAGCCCAAAATGAGCTCGGCCATCACGAGACCGGTTCCAGGGGCGAGTGTGATGCCCTGGTAGACGGGAAAATAGTGATTAGCTGCTATACTGGAGCGCGGACGCTCAATTGACTCTTGATCCACTCACCCACGGGCCGTGGCCAGTGGCGACAAAGACATCGTCAGTCAAAGTCCCGATCTGCGGTTCGCCATCAAGTGAGACAGGTCGATAGCAGAACTGTGAGGCCTGGCTTTTGATCAGACCAAGTCCCTAGCATCTGGCAGTTTGAGTCAAGGCCCTCACCTGTTCTTAGTTGGTGTGTTGGGAATGAGGGTTAGGAACGGCGCGTTCTTTGGTAATCTGTTTAGAAGCGCTCGTCTGTTTAGTGAAGCCTGGCGATGCGCACCAACCGTTGTCTTCTCTCCACGGTTGGATTACACGCTCGTCAGGTACGCATGTTTAGCTTCACAGCCACTTTCGTTGCAATTAACTGACGGTTGGATTACACGCTCGTCAGTCTCTTATTTGGTAGCGTCTGTATTGCCGCAAGGCACAGATCCGCACGCAGAAAAGACGCAGCGCATATCCAAGATGGCTACGACCACGGTGGATTCCGGGTCCGCCATTCATCGCGGCCTTATGGGCGACTTGTATGGCAACGTCGACGCCACGAATTGGGGAACGGCCAAGGATCGACTCCAACGGGTGTTGGAGGGCGATGGCCGGTTCAAGCACGTCACCACCGAACTCAGCGTTGGCCCAGAGCCCGAACAGTCCGAGTTCACCCGTACGCAAGGTGGCTCCACAGTGGCCGACGTAGCCACGTTCCGTACACAACATCGGATCTACCGTCATGACGTCGACGACCTCGATCAAGCCTTGGCGCAGGCCCGCAACATCTTGTTCTTGTGCCTGGGGGAGGCCACGTTCGCGCGCATTGCAGATCAGCCAACGCACGAGCTGTGGGCGGCCCTCGATAAGGATCTCGGCGCCGCATCCCACGACTTCGCACGGTCGGAGAAACTCGATGCCCTGTTTTCGTACCAAGCCTACGTCGACGGAGACCCTCTCGACCCTTGGTTGTCGCACTTCAACCGGTTGTTCACCGATCTCAACGCCGCGCACGTTTCCCGCGACAAGGCTTACCAGCGCGCCAAGATCGACGGGGTCAAGTACACGCAAGCTGAGTTTGACAAATGGGTTCCGCCGCCTGCGTTGTCGGAAGGCATCCGCATGGACCTCTTGAAGGCGAGGATGCCACGGCCTATTGTCACGGTTATCGACACCCTCGGCCCTCTCCCGTCGCTCAGTGATGTGGAGGGCGCGATTCGTCGCGCGGCGATGTCTCGCTCTTCCGGCACCGACGTCGCCGAAGCCCTCGCGGCGAAGACTCAGGGTCGTCGCAGGCGCCCCGCTCGTTCGTCCGGCAAACCGAAGTCCAGTTTTCTCTCGGCTTCAAAGGTACCGGGTCTCGTGGACAAGTGGCCGCACGGGGTTGCGCAGAACGGTCGCCTGAGGCTGGGCCCGTTGCAGTGTCGGAAATGCTACGAGCAGAGTCATCTTGGCGACGAATGTACCGTCCCCGCGACCGAACTGTCCCGTCGTCGGGTTGCCGTCTTAGCCAAGCACAACATCTCCATCGGCGCGGCCGACGCGATGGCGCTCGTGGCTGAGTACGGTCCCGACCCATCGGTTGACGACGACTCTTACGAGAATTTTTTTGCCGACGTCGCCCTTGACACCGAAGTGTCTGCGCTGTACTTGCACGACGGTCCCCGCTACCTCCTCGACTCGGGGGCGACGCGCCACATGACCACTCGTCGGGATCTCTTGGTCGATTTCCAGCCTTTCACGACGGAGCGTGTGCGCGTAGTCGGCGCATTCAAGTCCAGCGCCATGGCTGTCGGCAAGGGCACCCTTCGCTTTGACGCCAATGGGGTGCCTCTCGAGCTCCGCGACGTCCTTCTCGTCCCGGGTCTGTCCGCCGAGCTCGTCTCTCTTGCCAGTCTCATGAAGGACGGGTACCAGCTGTCTGGGATTTGCGACGCCGCGGGCGAACACTCTGGTCTCACCGTCTCGGGTCCGGCTTCGAACCTCACCTTCGCTCTCGATCGCAACCACTACGTTCTCCAGGCGCGTCCGGCCTCACCTCCTCTGGCGGATCACCAAGCGCTGACAGCCACCTCCTTGCCTACAGATGTAGTGCTTTGGCATCAGCGTTTGGGTCATCTGTCCTGGGGTCGTTTGGTAGAACTTGCTAAGTCGGGCGACATTTCCCTCGACATCTCTGCTGTAACCCGGGATCAACTTCGTCTCCTTGATCAGTGCGATGCCTGCTGCTCCGGCAAGGCCGTGTCTGCCCCCAGTCGTGAGGCTGCCCACCACCCCGCCGACGCACCTTTCGCTCGGGTCTTCGCCGACGTGTGGGGGCCTTCCCCTGTCCCTGCTCTCTCCGGCGTCCGATATCTGTGCGGTATCACGGATGAATACTCACGTTTTCGCTGGGTTCGCGGCATTCGGCTCAAGAGCGAGGCTTCGTCCGTACTCAAGGGCTTCGTTGCGATGTCGAAGATCCAGTACGCTGGCCCGGGAGTGGCGACCTTGCGCACGGATAGGGGGGGGTGAGTTCGTCAACAACGACCTCCGGGATTGGCTTGCTGAGCGGGGCATTTTTCACGTCCACGGCATACGAGCACGGTCAGATGGGCATACAGGAGCGGAGTTGGCGTACGATTTTCAACTCTGTTCGGGCGTGGCTTCATCGTTCGGGACTGCCGTCATCGCTGTGGGAAGAGGCTGCGCAGGCGGCCATCTACGTTATCAACCTCCTCCCGTCGTCGCCTCTGCAGCAGCGCACCCCTGATGCCGTTCTTCACGCCGCTGCGGGTCCCGTTACGTCCACCCGTCGTCCCCGCATCGATCGTGTCAAAACCTGGGGCTGCGCCGCCCAGGTACCGTTTGCTCCCGAACAGCGTTCCAACAAGTTGGCTCCGCGTTCGCGCCTGTGCTACTTTGTCGGGTACTCTTTGCGCTCTAAGGCCTGGCGCTTCTACGACCCGGTTGGCAACAAGGTCTTCGAGTCGTCTCAGGCCAAGTTCTTCGAAGATCGCTTCTTCCCCGCCGCGGCAAACCCTGTACCTACTGTTGTTGCGCCCGCCGTTCTGTCCTATCCGTCCGCCCCGCGCAGGGTTCCTCCTCCCGACCTTCCCCCTGACGACGACGATACTGTCAATCCTGCGGGCGTCGCACCTGCCGTCGCTGCCGCTCCCGCTGTTGCCCCCGCCGCTGCCGTCCCGCCCGCGGCTGGTCCGGTCGACGTTGTGGCCCCACCTGTTCCGCCCTCCCTCGTGTTCTCCAACCCGGGTCCGGCGACCGCCCCTCCTGTGGGTGATCGTTCCACTCGTGCTCGTCGCCCCCCTGACTACCTGGGTTTCGCCCGCGCGGCTCACGACTTGGAGTTCGCCGCGCACGCCTCCGTCTCGATCGAGGACTTTGACGAGGACGATCCCGAAGTCCAGCTGTACTCGTACGAGGAAGCAACTGCCTTTCTTGCCAAAGTCGACAAGGACGACGCCCCTTCCGTTCGCGCGGCACTCGCTGGTCCGTTCCGCGACTACTGGCTGGCGGCCATGGCGACCGAGGAGGGCGCACTGGCGGCGAAGCAAACATTTTCCAAGCCGCTTCGTCCCCCTCACGGGGCTATCATAATCGGCAGCATGTGGGTCCTCATGGTGAAGCGCGACGCCGAGGGCAAAATCGTAAAGTACAAAGCTCGCCTCGTTGCGCGTGGGGACATGCAGAGGCGTCGTGGTGAGCAAATTGACTCGTTCTCGCCTACTGGCCGCGCCGCCTCCCATCGCCTGCTGCTCGCCCTTGCCGTTGAGAACGAGTGGGAGACCCGGCAATTCGACGTCTCGTCGGCATACCTCAACGGCAATCTCGGTGGGACGGATATCTACATGCGCCTGCCCAGTGGGCAAGTCGTGCGCCTTCAGCGCGCGCTGTACGGACTCGTCCAGGCGGGTAGGGAGTGGTACAAGGTCTTCACCGAGTGGATTTTGTCGATCGGCTTCACGCGTACCGACAGCGATCATGCCGTCTTCATTCGCAGGGAAGGGGACAAGCGCTGTTTCCTTTCCATCCATGTCGACGACGGACTGCTCACGGGTGACGGCGACCTCGACGGCGTTCTCACTCAGCTCAAGGCGCGTTTTGAGGCTCGCAGCACGGACGAGACGTCTTTCTTCCTGGGTCAGAGTATAATCCGTGAGGGCAAAACGGGTGCGGCCATCGTTACTCAATCTCATTTTGTGGATGCGATTCTCGAGGAATACAACATGGCCAACGCCTCCCCGCGCCCCACCCCGCTTGCGGCACCGTCGACGCTGAGGAACCGTGTGAACTCTGATTTCGACCCCGCTTCCATACCGTACCGTGCCATTGTCGGCAAGCTTCTGTATCTGTCCGGCACTACTCGGCCCGACATCGCTTTCGCCGTGTCCAAGGCTGCTCGTTTCTGTAACAACTTCGAGGCGGAACATTGGGAGGCGCTCAAGCACATTCTCCGGTACCTCGTCGGCACTCGTAACTTTGGCATTCGATACCAGAAAACCCATCAGCCGATGTCAGCCATTTTGGAGGGTTTTGTCGACGCGGACCATGGTGCCGACCCTGTGACCCGCCGCAGCGTCTCGGGTTACGTCTTCACGTGCGCTGGCGGGGCAATCTCCTGGATCGCCAAACGTCAGACTCTTGTCACTCTGTCGAGCACCGAGGCCGAATATGTGGCCATGTCGTACGCTGCTCGTGAGGGGATCTGGTTGCGTCGGCTGCTGGCCGATCTTGGTTTTGAGCAGACATCGCCGACTCGTCTGAGGGGTGACAATCAATCGGCTATCACTCTGGCCAAGCACCCGGCTTTCCATGCTCGCACCAAACACATCGGGATCCATTTCCACTTCATCCGAGATCACATTGCGGAGGGCACAATCGAGATGGTCTGGGTGCCCACGGGCACCATGGCTGCGGACGTCCTCACCAAAGGGCTCGGGACTCAGAAGCACTATCAGTTTGTACACGCGATGGGGCTTATCGATTCATCGCGTGAAGGGGCGAGTTGGTGTGTTGGGAATGAGGGTTAGGAACGGCGCGTTCTTTGGTAATCTGTTTAGAAGCGCTCGTCTGTTTAGTGAAGCCTGGCGATGCGCACCAACCGTTGTCTTCTCTCCACGGTTGGATTACACGCTCGTCAGGTACGCATGTTTAGCTTCACAGCCACTTTCGTTGCAATTAACTGACGGTTGGATTACACGCTCGTCAGTCTCTTATTTTCTTTCTCGATTATCGCTCCCTTTGCCTCGTCCAACCTCGCTGATGCCAAAGCAGCTCCTATTTTCAGCCTGACGACAAGTTTGTCATCCTTGAGCTTTTCGACATCATCGACGTTCGCCGGTAACTTGTTCGGACCATCCTGAGCAGAAGGCTCGATCCCCACCTGTTCGGCGACAGTCGAAGGCATCGAGTTTTCGCCCGCAATGTAAATGGCCCCACATGTCCTCGTGAACAACTCGGGCGCTTTCGTGAACCCCTGAGCCACCTCCTCGGGTGTCAAATCGCGAGCCAATCCCGAAGTGGCGGCTTGGATACCCACTTCTGCTCCATTGATGCCTGCGAAAACGGCTTCGGCTGAGATGGGGGAGCCGGGACTGGGTCGGATCAAGAGGGAGTGGCCGGGGAGGTTAATGAGGTGGAGTTTGGGAAGTTGGAGTGTCGAGCAGAGGATCGAGGACCATGGACCGGCGCAGATGACGAGTTTGGAGACCGGGATCGAGAAAGATTTCTTGTCTTGAGTGAGTTGAAGCTCGCCTTGGGCAGCTGAAGTCGAACGTTTGAATGACGTCGAGTTACCGAAACAGGTTCGAAAGTTTGGGTTCTTCGAGAGATGCTTGTACATCTCTGCGCAGAACTGCCTCGGATCACTGCGAGAAAACCTGCGCTTAGATGGAGCATCCCTTATCGGGCCAAGAATAGCCTGAGTAGCACTGACAGTTGAGCTATGCCGCCTTGCGCACCAACGTCCTCCCTTTGCCCATCGAGCCAATCGTGCTCGACGGTCTCCGAGGTCCCCTTCGGCAAAGTTCGGTACGCGCTCCGAGACTGATCACCGTGCCCGACCGTTAGACCCGTCGCAGAGGTCTCGCGATAGCCCCATTCCCCAATTCTAGACTGGGCAAGTTCTTGATGACAGCGATAACTCAACTCCCCAAGGGAGCTCGTCGTAGATCCGAACCAAGCGCTATCGGGATTGCCTCCCGCGACGAATCCACCGGCATTAGACGAGGCTCCGTGGGCGATGGTCTGCGAGCGAGAGTTTTCGACCAGGGTCACTCGAGCGTTGAGGGGAAGGTCATCGGAAGTGAGAAGGTAGTAGCATGTGCAGAGGCCGATGATGCCGGAGCCGATGACCACGAGCTCCGGACGCGGTTCGGCGGAGGCGGATAGAGGGTGTGACGGCGCGGGACTCATTGCGGAGAGCAATCAAACGGTGTGAGTGTGCGCTGCTCGGCGTAATCCAGATCTTTGAGAGTTCCGAATCGATGCGTCTCGATTCCGGTCGAATGGGGGTGAGAGGACGAGAGCGAGAGCGAGGGACGGAAGGCGGGACGGTGTGGACTTAGCGTGGAGTCTCGCGGGGTGAGTGCGGAGTGCGACCCGCCGCCGCTGGGATCCGTATCGATCCGTATCGATCCGTCGTGGGGCCGCTTTGCTTCCTCTCCCCATAGTTCGAGTCAACCTCTCGTGCGATAAGCCCGTTTGATGCGATTTCAAGTGAACCCATGGCTCCTCAAGACATCGGCACCCCCGTAAGCCCCCACCCCGCCCCACCTTTCGATTCAGCTGTTCAGCTGGAGCCCTGCGCTAACTCTCAGTCCACCATATGCTCCCACAGGATACCACGTGCATCAGTCTGGGCCAAAGAATACGATGCATCTTCCTCCTCGTCCCTGGGTCCCTTGATCAACCTCGCCCAAGGCGTACCTGGCGCCCCACCTCCTGCCGAGTTCCAACGACGACTTGCGGAGGCAGCGGCCAAACCCGAAACAACACGATACGGCGATCTTCGTGGGGATGACCACCTGAGGGAAGCTTTGTCACACGATGTTACTCGGGCATATGGCGTCAAGGAGGGAGGAGTTGCTGCTGGGGAAATCGTGGTCACCGCTGGCGCCAACTTGGTGAGCTTATGTGGGGGTCTCGTGCTTCTGGGTTTCGAGAGGCGCGGTGCTAAAGTAGGGAGGGGTCTCGTGCATCGTTCCAGGGCTTCTACTCGATAATGGTCTCTCTGGCACAAACGGGCGACGAAGTGATTCTCCCTACTCCTTGGGTAGGTATTCGCTTTCTCGAGCGCCGCTGAATCCACTCGGACCCCACACGAGCTGATTTGATCCTCTTGGGTCCTCGGCAGTACTTCAACCAGTCCATGAGTCTCGACCAACTCGGGATCACCACCGTTCCTCTCGTATGCGATGCCCCATCATTCCAACCTTCGGCCGAAAGAGCCGAGAGTCTCATCACTTTGAAAACTCGTGCCATCGTGCTCGTCACGCCCAACAACCCTACCGGAGCCATTTACTCCGACGAGCTGCTACACCGATTCGCAGTATTGGCCAGACGACATCGGATAGCCCTAGTCATCGGTGATTCACCACAGAGATGTTTTGCTCTCGGTATGGTCGCTGATTCGAGATAAACTTCACGCAGACGAGACCTATCGGGAATTTCTCGCACCCGGTGCACCCCCACATACCCTCTTTCAAGACCAAGATTGGCGCGCGTACCTCGTTCATATATTTTCTTTCTCCAAGTGAGTCTATGATTCAACCCCCCGACATATGTGCCATTGTTGATCAAGTTTTCGTGTGCACCACCAGATCCTACGCCATCCCAGGCCACCGATTAGGCGCTGTGATCGCTTCCGAAGACTTTCTCACGCAGGTGCACAAGGTAGGAGCGGTCCATCATCGATATCCGGTGTAGCACAAGTCGAACAAGATACTGGGACTGACTGCTCAAATCGGTGCGCCTCTACAGGCGCTTGACTGTCTACAGATCTGTCCGGCTCGACCAGCGCAAGAAGTCGTCGCTTGGGCTATGGGGGCGATGCGCTCATGGCGAGAGGAGACACGGGATGAGATTATGAGACGGCAAGACGTCTTCAAGGATCTTTTGGAAGATGTTGAAGGGTGGGAAGTTTGTGTCGGCGGTGGCTATTTTGCCTACGTAGGTTCGACAGTCCCAGCCTCGGAGAAAGGGTCTGGACCGAACCTCGCTGACTTCTGCGCTCTTGTATAGGTCAAACATCCCTTCAAGAAGTCGAGCTCGGAACTTGTCGCTTCAAGATTGGGCTCCCAAGTCGGCATCGTCGTACTCCCCGGCACATTCTTCGGCCCCGAATTCGACAACGTCGATGACGATCGCTACATCCGTTTCTGTGAGTCACCGGTCAACGTCAACGAGCAATTCGTGGGCCCCTGTTCACAATGTGGTCGATCTCGCAGCTATTGCGAACGTTTCGATCGAAATGCTGCAACTCGTACCGGCGAGGCTGAGAAGGCTGAACGAGATTTGGGATACATTGTCCCGGTCATGAAGTGGCTCAGCGATTGGAGATTGGCTGGTCGCGTCTATAACTGCATTACACGACACAAACTATACGGAGTGCTCTAGTTGCGAGTGTTGAACAGGTACCTCGAATCCCGTCGGCCCGTGAACCTCCACTTGACACCTTGGAAAACGCTGTTCTTGTCATTCATCGTCAATCCCCAGAGGTCCATGAAGGTGTCGTAGATGACGTCGATGCTCGAGGGGGTCTTGACCCATTTGGTGTCAAAGCCGTCCATCAGGATCAACTTGGTCGTCTTCCCGTTGGGGAGAACGAATTCGGCTTCGAGGCCACAGTCTGGAAGGGAACGTGATGGTCAGTTTTCGAACGAGAACGGACGAAGGTCGGGCTCTTGCTTACAAGCTGCTCCAGCGAGGGTGTTGGACCACTGGAAGTTGGCGAGCATCACTGAAACGTCCGGCGCGAATCCGGGCTGCGAGTTGTCGCTGCGCGATCAAATGAAATGGAAGCATTAGATTCATGTCCCAAATCCCGATCAAATTGAAAGACTCTCGGGCTCACTAGACGTTGTAGCACCAACTGTGTCTGTTGGTCGAATCCTGCGTCGAATCTGTTCGGAACCACGACATGATCGCGTTTGTATTCCACCCGAGCGACTTGGCGTTGAAGCCCGTGATGCCTGTCGACGAGATCTTGGCATCGACCATGTAGCTCTCGTCGGGACCTGCTGGAGTCGTCGAAGCAGCAGGGGGGGTGGTCGTAGTAGGTGTGGCACTCCAAGCCTTAGGATTGGGGATCGGCCCTCGTGTAGTTGTGGCGGCGGCGGCGGCGGCGACACTGCTAGCGATTACGCCGGACTTCATCTGACACAGAGAAGTTTTGGCGTTCCAGAAGTAGCCTGTTGAGCATTGAAATGTGCAGACACCGCTCTTGCATTGGCTGAACGAATTACGTGGCCGCGAGACGTTGTTGCAGTCCGCCTTCTTGTTGCAGCTCGTCCCGCGAGCAAACAGACGTGACTCGGCTCCTGTTGGGGAGGAAAGCGCCGGAGGAACGGGCCGAAGAATGGGTCAGTGTGGCGCTACACGGGAGTTTCAACGGGTCCGACTGGGTTCGAAATTAAACAAAATGTCGAGTTCTTGAGCTTTCGACGTACCTTCTGAGCCCGCCAGCGGGTAAGCGATGGGGAATGCACTCGACAGCTCAGCTGCGGCGAAGACGAAGGTGACCAGCGCCGAAATGCTCGATGACGAAACCATGATGCTACCAGAGCGTCGAGCAAGAAAAGAGACGAAAGGGAGGGGAGGGTCGCACAGCGAATGGGGAGAAGAAGAGAGAGGGGGAAGCGGCATTCAGTGGGACGGCTTGGGATGGCCAAGCTCATCGTCATGATCTAGTAGGGTGGTGCTACCCCATCGGTCGCCGGAAAGTCTCTTCTGATCACCGAGCGTCGGAGACCGGGGCGCGGGCTGCCCAGGCAGAGCGAAACCGAGATCGCTGCCGGTTTTGGTATCAGGCCGAACGGAGAATGATGGCGTTGGCCGTAAAGGACGCATGTTTCATGAGCAGTAATACCCAATAGTTATAGACTACAAGTAATGCGGTAGGGTAGATCCTAATTACCTATGGCCGACGCTAAGGGTCGTCCGAGGTTTCAGGCGCTCGCGCGGCGCGGGAAAGGTCTGCCGGTTCGAGAGAAATGCCAGCCCCTTTGGGTGAGATCAAGCCACGTCCCGGCCAGCGAAACACGAAAGGCATAATGGCTTCACACCGCAGTAGATGAGGTAAATGCTTCTTGGAGTTACGTCGACAACCTTGATTTTCATCTTGGGGTGATACCACTAGTCGTCTAGTGGTGGAATGTGTTGCCAAGTCACTACTCCGTCTGCGAGGCTTGGCCGTGACGTGCAGATCACGTGATGTGCAGCCCGCCGACGCGCACGGGCCTCGGGCAGCTCCTACTGCCATCATTGCCTGGTCACAAGTTTCAGTCCTAGCATTACTTGGGGTTACCGCGTGGTCTTATTCCTGATTTGATGCTGCTCCCAAACGCACACGAAAGTGGCATGAACGCACACGATAGTGGCATGGAGTCTCTGTCGCATACCGATGCGCTCGAATAGGGGGTGAGGTCGTCCGCTGGGGCGGCGCTGGCCGCTGGCGACAACTCTGCCGTGTATGGTGACCTCCCCGTCTTTCAGTAGGGAGAGACGAAGAAATTTCTAGCCCCGTCGCTTTTGATGAGGAGACCTGGGCTGCGAAGTGAATTCCCGTTGTGAGCTGCAAGCTGCAATAGGCAACAGGTGCCTCCTTCAGCCTGACCGAAAGATCATGTGACGGTAATGGTGGACGCGACGCGGACCTGCTGGCACTGCCAAACGACTTCGGTGCTCTGGTGAGTGGTCTAGTGAACGTTTAAAGGGCATCGAAGAAAGGTAAACACACCTCGTGCCTAGGGTAGGTACCTTATAAGCGACCTGCATACACGCTGAGTATTCAGGTCCGAATTCCGACGAAATTTGGCGCCGAGGCCGCGCCGGAGCCCGGGCGTCGGGTGTTCCGGGACGCGACAATGGGCGAAGGCGAGAACTCTCGCGACCGAGCTCCTCGAATCCGAGTCAATCAACAAGACGCCTTGCTGACCCTCTCGGCTTCTTGCACCAAGCCCTTCACCACGACTACCAACACGTCGGTCTGACTGGACAACAACTACTTTGGTCCATCAATGGCGCTTCCGTCCAAACGAAAACCAGTGCCGACCGTGCAACTCGATGCTACAGATGCAGCGCCAGGGTGGCTTTCGCAAGAACGTCATCGCCTTGGCGACGCGTCCATCTCGCCTGCGACTCTAATCGCCGACGCTTCCGCCGGAACGTCAGCAGATGGGGCCAGGTCAATGGCAAACGTTATTAAAAATGGTCAAGGGACACCAAGTCGACCCGTGAACCAGCAACAGCACCAAAGGTCTCGCTCGTGGCTCGCCGATTGGCTCAAGTCTGGCGGGGCGACCCCTTCCGCTATTCGAGCCGCGGATGAGAATGTTCCGCTGCCGCCCTCACTCGGACCCCGCTCTTCCATCACCCGAACCAAGTCCGAAGGCGACGGTAGAGCGAGTAAAACACTCTCAGTGCTTGGTTTCAGAAGAAAAACCCGTCGAGGAAGTCAATCGGAGCAGGCGGTGGCTCCTGTCGCACTCGTCCCGACACCGAGCCCGGCTTCCGATGTCCCACCTCGCCGAGCTTTACCGCCCACGCTTACCCCCGATCAAGGTCGGTCATCGTGCCAAGAATTTCTCGATATTCCCGCTGGAAGTATCTTGACTAACACATCCGATTCATACGATGTTCAGACTTCGTCGCTCTCCGATCGCCGCTCAATGCGACTCCTCACCACATGCTGCCGGCCGCCGCCTTGGCGGCGAACAAGCGCAGCACGATCGCACCTTCGTCCGCCACCTCCGGTGGTTTCCCCACGTGTCAATCGAGCGAAAGAAATCGCCCAGCGTCATGGAATTGGGATGGTGGCTCTGGCAACGTCTGGCCCGCACCGAATAGGGTCTCTGACCCTGACGCGCCTTCACGTGACCGGATCGATTCCCTCTCTTCAGTGTACTCGCACGGCCCCGTCGACCTCGGCGAGATCTGGGACGACCTAGTGACGGAAGGCGATATCTCAATTTCGGACCTTATTCCTACTCGATCCACGAACGTCTTCCCTACGACACCGACTTCGGCCCTGGCCACTCACGATTTCCACAGCGAGCACAACGAGCACGACGTGTCGACCCATGGGATGACCTCGCACAACCTCTCGAGTGACAATTCAGAGATCTCCTTCGTCTCCCTCTCTGCCTTCCCTTCGCCACCACTCGCTTCTGATGCGGTATTCGAGCACGCCACGACATTGCAGAGCGCGAGTTCCCTTGCCGAGCGACGGGGCCGCAAGCAGGCGATTCCTGCCTTGATCATCCCTCAATCTCTTGTCGCTTTGGCCATCGATTCGGCTTCTGACGACGGGTGTGAGTTCGGTGGTGATGGGTTTCCGGTAGGCGGGCCTACGATGTCCTACTTCTCTCCGGTCACACCCCCTTGCGGTGCTACGTTCGCATTCGACCTCAGCGCTTCGACCGGGTCTTCACGTTCTTCGTCTCAAATGGCAGGCTTGGCCATCTCGCATGCGGCCTATACGGACCAAAGCGATATAGACGAGGCAGCGAGCTATGAACAAGAACGGTCGACCTTCAGCGTGTCCGACGTGCTTGCGCGCCATCTCCCCGTCTCGAAGAACGCTTTCCTCCATCCATTCCAGCCACCCACTCTACCGCGATCATCCGCCTCGAGCCCTACCTTTGGCGAACGAAGTGATTCCGAACAAGCACCCAGTTCGACATTGACCGCCATCTCCACCTTCTCGCCCAATCTGTGGAGCGGTAGTGAGAGCAACGCCTCGTTCGAAACGCGCGCTTCGTCCGTCGAAGAGGAAGATTATCTTGACCCACCACCGAGATGTAGTAGTCGACGAGGGGGAGGTGAATCCTCCTTTGATCCAAATTGGTCCATTGCTTCGACGGAAGCGGATGGAAATTCCAATTCGATGGTGGAAGGGTCAAGTGCTGATGAGCAATCGATGGGGGATTCGTTCGGGAGGGGCAAGCGATGGATCGAGCAGGAGATGAAAGGCGTTGGGATGCCGGGGAACGATAGTACCCGAACGGACGAGACGAGAGTCACCATTCCGGAGGCGAGGCATGTCATCCACCACGACGATGAGGAGGACAATCTTGAGTCGGAGGATCGGACGCTCCGATTGGCGGAAGCTTTCGGGAAGAGGGAAGTCGAGCGACGACGCGTGGAGGCGTACGACTGGGGAGAGACGAGGGTCGTCGAGCCCTTTATGACGGCGTCGCAGAGGACGAACTGCGAAGAGGAGCTTGGGACGAATGAGATTGTGGCATGGGGGGTCGCGTTGTGATTAAATTTCTTATACCCATGAAGAAGCTTCTCAATTGGAATCGGATTCTGTTGTACTTTTCCTCTTTCTGGTACTCTGGTACTCTGTTCATACCCTCAAGACCTTTCACGCGTCCACGTCCATGCTCGTAAACGATTTGATTGTTACGACACATGGACTAAACTTGCACCTGCTGATAATGACATACGGCATTTGATGGAGACGGTACTGTTCTCTACTTCCCAATACAAAATCCACTAAAGATCTGGCCGAGAATTTCTTCGGTGTCGATGGCACCACTGATCTTGCTCAAAGCGAAAACGGCGTATCGCAACTCCTCTGCTGCGGAAACGATGTCTTCCGCTTCGAGGGAGAGGAACGTCTCGAGTGAGATGTGGCACTCCTGTGGTCAAAACGGGCTGGTCAGCGTACAACCCTATGAGTTCGAGATATGAAGTCTGATGCACGGCTTACTTGGAGATGGTGGCGATGACGAGCGTGCGTCACCAAGGGAATGTCATCGGCATCTTCGGGAAGGTCGAATCTGAGACGGACGATACAGGCACAGCGATTAGGCTCTGATCTGACAGTCCGAGCGGTCGAAGCGTCTTACCTGTCTTTCAATACCTCCTTCAATCCATCCCCTAACTCTCTCAACCCATCTCTAGTCTTCAAACTGACCTGCCAAAGTGTCTTCGTGCTTCTCGATCCCCACGAAGTTGATGCAAGTGCCGAACGAACGTATGCAAGTTGAGGTTCGGTAGCTCTTAAAGCGTCGACCTTGTTCAGAACCACGATGGTGGAGGCATCGATCAGGTTGAGTGTGAGAGGGTCTATGATGGCCTTGTCTCCCGATTCCAAGATGGCTGGGAGGGATAGAACGCAGAGTTTGACATCGGCTGCGCGGGCTCTGCAAGTCACGAGACCCAGCAATTCTCTTAGCGGGCAAACGCATCGTCATCACGATATGGCGACTCACTTTTGCAGGGCTCGTGCGATCCCTATGCCTTCGACCTCGTCATGTGTCTTGCGCAATCCCGCAGTGTCAGCGACGGTAATGGGGAAGCCGTGATAGTCCAAGGAAAGTTCGACAATGTCACGTGTTGTTCCCGGTGTCGAAGCCACGATCGCCGCTTCCCGTTGAGCTGTGAAAGCACTTTCCAGCACTCGCATCAATTTCAAGAGCCCTCTCTGCGATACCGAACGGGAAAGGTTCCCACCTAACCAATTCAACAGGCTACTCTTGCCCGCGTTGGGTGCGCCGATGATGGCGAGTTGGATCCCGGATCGAATGATCTCGCCTCTTCGTCCGTCGGCTAAACTTTGTGCTATCCGATCACGCAGTTGCTTTACCTTGTCTCTTGCTGTTTGAGATCGGTATATGCTCACAGGCACAGTCAGCGTCACGAAGCCGAAGGGTGAAAAGGGTCTGAAAAAGTTTCTGACCTTGCTCGAAAACGTCCTCGGAGATACCCTCGTCCTCGCCAAAGTCAATCAAGGCTTCAACAAGTGCCGTAGATTCGATGATCTGAGCTCTCATACCCTCGTACACTTTCCTCGTTTGACCCTGAGATCATGTGCGCGAACAGAGCTTGGTGTCAGCTTCGGTGTTTCTAGCCTGCCACGAGAGCAAACGGTGATCTCGATATCACCCACATTGGCCTGCCGAGCGGCGAGTGTCCTTTGACTCTCTGTGTGAGCATCGACGAGGTCTCGTATGCCTTCGACCTCGGTCAAGTCCATCTTGCCCGATTCGAACGCCAGTCGGGTGAATTCGCCTGAGGGGTGGGTCACGTGATTTCAGCTCTCCTCGTCTGCTTTAGGCCAATTACCTACCTAGAGCGCTTGAACGCACCTGGTTCGGCTATTCGGAACGATCTGGAAAGTGTAGGAAGCACGTCGATCAAGAGCTGTAACAGTGCGGGTGAGCCATGGGTATGCAGCTCGAGCGTCGGTTGCGAAGTCAACGCCGAATGGGCTGTCAAGCCGCGGATCGAGCGTACACCATCAGCTTGCGCGTGACAGCAGTGATAGTACGTCTAAGCGAGGTCCGACGACCGACCTGGAAAGTAAATGACAATGCCATGATCAAGAACCTCGCGTGACTGAGGGTGGAGGATCTTTCTGAGGACCGCCTTTCGTTCAGGTGGATTATGGCTTGAAGAACGTTTGCCAGGTGCCTTGAGGTGAGGAGGTTCGGTGCATTGGTGCCAGACGGTAAGCGCTTCCGGACCTGATATGCGGAGGATCGATATCGCGGCTTTGCCTCGTGCTGTAGCGGGGGCAAAGATCGTTGGGCCAGACCCGGTCGGAGAGGGCGTGGGCGTTGCGGTCGAAGTGGAAGCGACACAGCGATGACGGAGGAACGTGAGCTGGGCCCGGAGTTGAGAGGGCGGGAACGGTGGACGAAGACGAGGCATGCGGGTTGGCTGGGCTGTGCAGTCGATCGCGCCTCCAAATATCAAATGCGAGTCAGGAGACAGGCCAGTCAGCTCGAACTGGTTGCGAATGGCCGCGCCAAACTGTCGGGCTACCTCCGGCTACTGTCGGGTTCTCTCGGGCTCTCTCGGGCTCTCTCGGGCTGCCGGCTGGCGATGACGCGAGGTCAAAATCCACACTCTCTTGCCTTTTGACCTTGGCCCCACCACTCGGGATCAACTCGCGGCCAAACATCGCACGATTGGAGACCAACACCACCACCCACAACGAAGAGTAGACTTGTGAGGTGGCACGCAACCACGATGGCCTCCCAACGATCCCCCGCCAAGGCTCAAGCCAAAATCAAAACCAAACCCCCACACCCACACCCGTCATCCCCGATCGCCTCTACCTCCACCTCCACCTCCACCTCCACCTCGACCTCAAGCCCCTCCTCCCTCCAAAAGTCCAACATCCCCATCGCCTCCCCCTCCCGAACGAACGCCAGCGATGCTCTGTCCCTCCCTCAGTTCCTCAAGCTGCTCTGTTCATCCCCTCGCAACCCTCTGACCATGTCCGAAGCCATCTCGGTCGCCAAGATACTCGTCCCCGCCAAACTCAACTCCCCTTCCCGCCTGTTGACTCTTACAAAAACCGAGATGGCACGCTTAGGGATCGAGGATGAAGATCTGAGGAAGAAACTGAGCGAGTTGACCCATGTGGGCAAGGAGAAGCGGTCCAAGCCGGTCCGGAGAAAGAGAGGCAGCGATCTCGATCGACCTTTACCGACCAAGGACGTGCCCAGTGATGTCGTCGATACCGATCTCGACTTTGCAGAGATACTATACGAGGAGGTGGGTGACTGGTGGAGTTCGTGTGGACGATGGCTTGAAGTTCCCAGCTCACACTGCTTTTCGGAACACCGAGCCGCCGACAGGCGCTGCTCAAGAAATCGTGCATCACCAACCGAGCACCCGTAATGACCGCCTGGGCAACCGTGGTAGCCGAAAGGCTCGGATTCAGACGCCAGGAAGCTTTGTCCATAGGTGAGTCGTCAGCTCGAGGCGCTTCTCTCGGCGCTCGGTCATAATCGATTCGCTGAATATTTTGCTTTCTCACCTCCCTCATCGCTCAGCTCAAGTCTACACAGACTTGAACGCGACCTCGAAAGGTGTATCACTGGGCATTATGAAAGATTCAGCACTCGATCTGCACATCGGGTCATCCCAACCCTTTGTCGACATTATGGGTCGAAAGGTGGGTCTCGCGCCTTGGGTTTATGTCGATCTCAATGTTCAGCACTGACGCAGACAACTTGCATGAATGTGCACTCCCCACTCTCAACAGGTCCCCGTGTTATCGACGGCAACGGGCGAATGGAGAGCCATCACTAAAGGTGTCGTGGCCGATCCTCAGAAAGCTTATGCATACGTCCAGCGCGCGTTTCGGCAGCAGATGGGAGCGATCGTCGGTACGTCCACTTTGGGAAAATGTAGAGCTTCGAGGAGAGCCATATCGTAATTTCGATGACTTGGTCTTCGCATACAGGTGCTATGCGACTCTTGGCCCGATCCTACGACCCCATTGAGCTCAATAGCAAGGTAAGAAGGCCGAAGCGCACCTTCCGCCGGCGTCACTGATTAGAACGTCGAGTTCATCTCACATAGGGATATGGTCTCTACATCGAGTTCCGACCCGAGGTGAAGGAATGGGGCGAAAGGGCCGAATTGTTCTGTGCGACTCTACTCGATCTGCGATCCCAAGTGGTGGAGCAGGGACGCGCAGTCGACTCCCTGACGCCGAAAGTCGAGGATGTATTGCTGAGGCAAATCAAATTCGAAGCTGCGGATGGAACGACGTCGAATTTGGATGATACGATGGAGCCAGAGGAGGAGGTGAAGCCGGATGTCACAGCGGGGGCGGCCGAGGAAGGGGACGAGTATGATAAGTTATTGGACGAGGAGGATGACGTAGACTATAGCGCCTTGGGTTTGTAGAGAGTGGTATGGATCCGAGAATATTGATATACGATTTGATCATGTTGTTGTTGCTTACCAGAGCGCACGTCGGAATGATTTGATGCGAGCCTTTTAGGTAATGCAGGCGCGCAGCCATTGACTTCGAATTGGCCACCTACCTCCGCTTCTTTGCCCTCCTGTCCATGGCCATCACGTTTGCTCTGTGGCAGTAAGTTGGGCTACCTTAACCATACTCGACGTTCGATCACGACGATGCTTAGCCGCCTTGCTTGCTCGCCTGTCGCTCACAGGGGCCCGAAGCGACCGCTCCCAGCGCGATCAGATCCAGCTTTCCGTTCACACCTATCGTCAAGCGTCGACCCATTCGACGGAGAGCTTGACCCGTTCAAGCGTGCGAAACCCGAGGGCCGAATTCCTCCTCCCTCTGCAACCCCTGACCGCCGCGATAGACGACAGTCGCCTCATTTGGCGTGCGATTGCTGGCTTCCGAGCCGGCATCAAGACTGGGGGTTTCAATGACAACGTCGCTCATATCAAGACTTGGGGTTTCAATGACAACGTCCATTATATCACGTCCAGGAAGTGGAAACAAGTCGTTCAAATTCACGATCCAATCAGACAGTTCGGTCCAGTCCGCGTTGATCGACGGCCGGCGGTCGCTGCCTTTACAAAGGATCGTACCACCGAGATTACTTTGTTCAACCCGCCTTTCTTCATTTATCAGAAGGGAGACGGCAACCTGAGCCTCAACGGGTGAGCTTTGCCATCGGCCGCCATGAGTGGAGGCGAGGTGTGCATACAGGCAGCCGCCACCTTACAGTATCGTCTGACTGTCAGACTGCGTTCATTACAAAGGGAGCAATTGAGAATTTCGTAGATGATCGTCATAAATAGAAGTAATGCTCAAAACAATAAAACTGCTGCATCTAGATCTACTGGAGAAGACTAGGTGTGAAAGAAATGCTGGATCTGAGAGGTAACGTTGTCTCGAGACTATTGAATGCGACGACGACGTCTCGGTTGTGGACCGAGCGCTCGCTTCGGGCCCCTGTGAGCGGAAGGCAAGCAAGCACGGCTAAGCATCGTGGTGATCGAACATCGAGTATGGTCGATAACATAACTCACTGCCACAGAGCAAAGGTGACGGCCATGGCCAGGAGGGCAAAGAAGCGGAGGTAGGTGACCAGCTCGACGAGATGCTGCATCGCTTTGTCGGTGATGCGCGCGATGACCATCTGTAGCAGAGGATGAAAAGATGTGCATTAGCTTTCGAGTCATATGTGATATAGCAAATGAGACCATCCCGATGGACTGACCTTCGGCGCGTAGCGAGCCCGTAGCGAGACCGGGTAATAATCCCCTTGTCGAGCTCGACGGTCCAGAACCTCATAGTCAGTCATGATGCTTTCGTCGTCGCCCGAATCGTAGTCGTCACACTGACTCCCTTCCTCACTGTACTCGAGATCCTCCTCCAGCCCCATTCGCCGCAGAGCGACCTGGCGTCGGGTCAAACGTTCCTCTTCGTCGGTCGGTTCCTCCTGGTTAAAGACGTCACGGAACCGAGAGGAGACTACGCGGGAACGTTTGAGCGAACCGGCTCGGCTGCGGTGTTTAGCCGAGCGACGATGACGACGCCGCAGTAAAGAAGAGGACAGCGAGTGCAAGCTCTTTGCTTCAACATCTTCACGACTTTCGAGCCTGGCCATCTGCGGATCGATGTCTTCTTCTTCTTCAGGGTAGCGCGACCAAAGCTTCTCCTCGTCGGCAAATTCGTCGTTACCACCTTCGACCCACTCCAGCAGTCGCCCTCCTACTCGTCCGAGACCGTGGGGTGCCGGTGGATCGCGACCATACCCTTCGTCCTCCCACGCGGCTGGAAGCTCCGACGCGGCACGGTCGAGGTTGTCATAATCCGCGTTTTCGGGAGGACCCGAGTAGCGGAGCAAACCTCGAGGCACGAGCGGACGGGACGTATCCTCAGGAGGAGAATAGTACGGATCGCCGAATTGCCCAATCGTTCGATTCGAGGGATGCTGAAGATGACGCTGCGGAGTAGGTCTCGAGGTTTCGTGAGACGAGCCATTCGTGAGTTCCTCCTCCGCATCGTCCCCAACGTCGTCGTCACTATTGTTTGAGTCGTAGGTGAGATGCCGTTCGAATGGCACAGCTCCCGCATCGATATCGCCGAAGAGGTTCGACGATTGGACCTCACTGGTCGGCTCGACGTCGAAGGTCGGAAGATCCTCGAGATCGGTGCCGAGTTCGCTGCCGAGTGTGCGATGCACGGGCGGATATTTGCCTTTGCTCTTGCTCGCAGTCGGTGATTGACTAAAGCTGATGGACGAAGAAACGGAACGACTCGACGCGGACTGACTCATGCCGCTCATCGCGCGCCACTGCCCAGCCTCGCGTCGACGCTGCTTCTCGATCATGCGACGGTTGCCCTTCAGTCGCCCGGCCGGTACGTTGCCCAGCTCCAAAGGGTTCTCGTGCCAGCCGATGCCTCGACGCTCTTCTGATGCAGTCAAACGGTGCGTGCGGTCAGTATCTTTTATAGTAGCATCGGATGATGGCAATTTGAAATCACTCCAATCGATCCCTTCCATTAGGGCCATCTCCTCCAGCTCCTCGCATCGACGCTTGAACTCGTCGACCTCGACGGTGGCTTCGCGTAGACGCTGCTCCATCTCGACTCGCTCGTTCGTAATGATGTCGTTTGTCTCTTGTAGCTCCCCGATCTTGTCCATCAACTTCTGCACGACAAAATCCTGTGCCTTCTGTGCCTCTTCCGCCTCTTGGGCCTGAGCTTGAGCTTTTGCAAGCGTTTCACGCTCAGCGGGACTGAGCTTCAACGATGCATCTTGCTCAGGGGACGAGGATGTTGGGCGGAGTTGTCGTCGACCTGTCCCATCGCTGCTGCTACATAGAAGCAATGAAGTCGATTTCGAGTCGCGGGGCTTGTTTTGTTCGTCATCACTTGCCGAGGATCGCCGGCGCCTGGCCGCGGATTGCCTTCGCTCGTGGCCTAGGTCGGCTCTTCGAGCGTCGTATCGTTCCTTGTGTTCCCGCACACTTTGTTTCAGAGCATGAGCACCCGCTGCTTCGATGTCGGCTTGCGCTTTGAGCGATTCGTTGACGGATTCGACGCGATCGAGCTCCTGGCGCAGTTCGCTCAGCTCCTTTTCTAGTTTGCGCAGCCGCTTGCGCCCTTCCCGATCGGCCTTTTCCGAGTCGACCTCGAGCTCGTTCAACTGCAGCGTGAGCGCTTCGTTCCTTTGACTCAAGGCCTGCACGTCCCGTGCACGCATTGGGGACGTCAAGTTTGACTGATTCGTTCCGCGGTAGGAGCTTCTCGGGGGCGAACAGAGCGAGGACGAGTCGGAGTCGGCACGTTCTGGTCGGCTGGTGTCGATGTCGAGTTCGCCGGCCGACCATGGCGGTGGAGGCGATCGAGGGTAGTAGTGTGGTCTTTCTGAGGTCTGGAATGACGGACGAACCGCAGACGACGGCGGGACCCCGAAACCGAGCGCGAGTTGACGAGGACTCCATCCGAACGGTGTGCCGGAGGACGTGCCTGAGCTAGTGCGGGAGGACGTAGGTCGTGATGTCGATGCCTTCGCAGGCGAAGCCGACTCTGATCCCGAGGCCATCGACGAAGCGGTGTTTCCCGAGATGAGTGCATCATGTCGTGATCGCAGGGACTGGTACTCTTGCAGTAAGCCTTCGCCCGCGGCGTGAAACACCGTCAACTCTGGAAACAGGGGCGTCGAGGCAAATATAGCCAGCGCATGCGTCAGTTCTCAATACGAAGTACAACAGTACCAGATCTAGTCGCGCGTAAAGCTCCGGATGCACACTCTACTCGCCTTGTTCTTTGGCTCGAATGAGCTGATCCGCTCCCTGCAGCATCATCTCCAGCTCGGCTCGAGTCCTCGTTCCGAGGTCGCTGACCGAAGCGCCTGTGCGTAGATTCGAGGTGATGGTATCGGGGTCGTTCAGTGTCTTGGATGTTGAGTCGGCGAAAGGGAACGAGGCCATTGGCGAGAGATGACCTGCGGCGAGGGACGAGAGTGCCGAGGTCGAGGACGAGGGGTGCAGGCCGTCTTCTGGGGCCACGGCTCCGGGCGCCGAGCGACCGATCGCACGTGAATCCCACGAGGCCTGCGAGCTGCCGCTGCCCGGCGCGCCGGATGTGGGTGATCGGGGTGGTTGCTGGTCGTGCTCAGGGTGCACGAGTCCGTTACCTCTGGCTCGACGAGTTGAAGGTGGTGTGTGTTTACCCTTCTCGAGTCTAGCTTGCTCCGTCTTGGCATCGACCGACGGCTTGCTCGCTTGACCGCCTTCAAGTTCGCTGTTGCTCGGCGCGGGCGCCCCCACAGAGGAGCCGGCGACGGACGTGCGCGAGATGTGGTGGTGCTCGTGGTTCGGAGCGGCGTTGCTCATCGACGATGACAGCGACTCGGGGGGCGTAGACGAGTGGTGATCAATCCAAGAGGATGATGACTGATTCAATGGTACGTGGGTCGAAGGTGGGGGCATGTCCAAGCCTACGACCTTCGGTGGCGCGACCGACCACGACAGCGACGAGCTGGACGGTGTGGCCGACGACTTGCTCGTGATTGTACGCGACGACGAGTTGCGTTTCGCAGGCGGCGCCGGCCGTGGCATGGTCGCAGGGATCATCGTTGTCGCAGGGCCAGGGCAATGGTCGACCTCGACAGTAAAGGTCGACACTACCTCGTAAACGTAGGCGCAGCAAAACGCGCGGAGCGCAAACCCTCTCCAGATAAGAGTTTGGTGGAACAACTCGAGTTGAGGGACCCCCAGGTGGGTCTGGCCTGGTCTGGCGGCTCCTGCACAAACGCGCGCTCCGATCTGGAGCTTCGGACGAGTCTAACCTACCTTTTGTGCTCTCGAAGCTTCTCTTTGAGCTTCATGAGTGCTCGAGTGGTGGGATTTTCTGGTCGTTTAAACAGTTTTTTTTTTCTTGACCCAATTCTACAGGTGTGCAAGGTAATTACATGTGTATTTTATGCGAGATTGCCCCCCGATCAGACCTCCGATTGCCGACGATTCAGATCGCAATTTTGGAAAGCACATCAGATGGCTGCACTTTGGCCGATGGTAGACGATCGTTTGTTGGTTCAAGCGGGTTGGACTAAACATCTGCTCTAAGCTCTGATTATGAGTGTCTACACCGCTGTGGAACCTTTGACCTGGCTACCAGCTTTTCAACCATCGTTTTCGGTGTTCCTGGAGCCACGAAGATTGAGCTCGAGCTCTGATCCAAGGCGCGCGCATCTGTCCGAACTCCCGAGTTGAGCTTCTGATGTGCACCGTGACCGTGGTCGTGGGAAGGGCAGTGCTCATGCCGATGCTCCTTTCCACTTGCCACACCAAACAATAGAAAGGTCACCCATCCTCTCACCGAGCCCTGAAACACGACAAAAGGGGGTTGCCAAACTTGTGGTCCCAATAACTGATCACGGTCTCCGCCGGCGCCAGGGCGATGAGGTCGCTTTTACCCCACATTCCTAAGCTCGACGCCCCTCCCTTTGGGAGGGGCTTGTGAGTTATCCGCGCTTTTGGCTGAGTTGCCCTCCGAAATTTTGGCCCTGAAAAGTGCCCCTTGCTGTAGCATGGCATATATTGGTGCTATCTGAAAACTGGAGGAATACATCTTTACTTCATCATTATTGATGAGGCTACACCGAAGCTTGAAGTCTAGGAACGCTTGATCATCTCGCTACAGCAGCTTGATTCAACTGATTCCGAACGAGACGCAGGTCGGCGCACGGACCAGTCGTAGTCCAGTCCGCGTCGAAGGCTGCATAGAGCCAGGTCACTTAAGCCCGGCTGCGCCTCACGCATCCTCTCTCTCCTCCACTCAACATTGCACCTCACCTCATGATGAGCCATGTCGGTACAAACACCCAGGCCGGTTAGGGGACCACCCCGTCGACATCCATCAGTTCAGGGCGTCTCCCTTGCGATCAGCTTCAAGGGCCAGTCCTACGACCCCAGCACCGAATCATTCAACCAATCCGACAGCCGTTCTCGGTCACTGGAGGCCACGTTTGACTCACCAGGACCGACGAGATTCCAGCGAATTACGCAAGAAGATCAAAGTGATTCTGGGCGAAAGTCTTGACGAGGACTCACCCCCCGGCCTGTGCAGATCGAGGCCATTGCTGCCCTTTTCGAACTCGATCAATTTGGGAACCGGAATCGATATGACGCTGTGTTCGTCACAGCGCCAACGGTTCAGGCAAAAGTGTTATCTTCGAAGCAATGTATCTCATTTACGGACGCCGGGCCGTCACCATTGTTGTCATTCCACTGAATGCACTGAGCAATCACTGCATCAGGTGAGTTTTTCTGCCGACTGGGCTTGCTGGACAGACATTCGTGCTGGTTTCCGCAGTCACATGCTTCTTTCAGGCTGCCAATCTCATTGAAAGGGAAAGAACGCGATTGTCGTATCTGAGGAGACCTGGAGAGACGGCGAGCTGTACAGGCAGTTGGACGACCCCAATCACAAGATCTCCTTCATTCTGATCGTATGTGCCGGTTGACCTTGATTTTCCTTCCTGTTTGCTGCGTGTCAAGTCTCCTGAAATGCATATCAACAATGCAGACTGGGCAAAGTTGATCTCTAACGAGTCCTTTCGAGAGCGCGTCAAGTTGCCCGTCTATGACGAGGACAGGGGGGTGGTGTGCATCAAGAAGACTGAGGCCAAGATGAAGGACCAGTCGAGCAAGCGCTCGATATATCTGAGCTTTTATCCCGGTTGTAGATGACGAGTCAGATTGGGGAGTTGGGAGGAGATGCTGGAGATTGACTCGCGGTAAAGACGCTTGATGTGCAGAGTAGGCTCGAAGGTTGTAAGCGCCGGCAATATCTCCGTTCTGAATGTGGGCGTAACCAAAAGTTCGATGAAGCAGCTCGGTTCGTCGATCCAATTGCCGATCGTTGACGTGATGTGTGACGTCGATGTTGTCAACGGTCACATGAAAGTACTTGTTCGAGCCAATCTCCTTCAGTTCCGTTGAGTTCGCCTTCGTCAAGCTCGCAGCTGCCTGGAGAGTCGCCCAGCGAGATGTCGTCAAGCCGCAATCGTACAGAAACATTGTCAATCGGTCGTTCGCTCCACATGCGAGAGTCATGAGACCGTTGCGATGCTGCATGGCGTTGTTCCTTCGGTTGCAAGCGAATGCGATCTGACCCATGACACTGCGGTAAAGCTGCGGCCAGCGTGTTGAAGTTTTTGGTGTCAGTTCGCTGCGATACCCAGCCGAGCCATGGTCAGAAACACTCACAAACTCGATACGCTTTCTTTCGTGAGCAGGCTCTTGTTCTTGCCCCGGATCGGAACCATTCTCCGGGGTGGCTTCTTCCATCTCGACATCAGTGGAAGCTGTTGGGTCCTTGTCGCGATTGATTGGCTCGGCCGGTGGAGGGTCTCCGCATTGTGATAGCAAGGTACGAACCCGTCCGCTGATTAAAGGGTTGCCTTCGGCGATTGCATCGAGCCGGGCGTCGATGTAATCGGATGCGAGGACTTCGGGAGTCAAGTCATGGCTAGCGACGAAGGCGGACTTAGTTCGCTTCATCTCTTTAATGATGATTGAGTCGGCCTGCACGCGGATAAGGCAAGTATTCAGTAGCTTTTTCGAATCCGAGAATCAATCCGAGAAGTACGAAGTGTTGCCCACCTGCTCGGCGATCCAGTCATTGATTCGACTTCTTGACTCTGCGCCATCCTCGCGTGCAAGTCGTAGAATAAGATCAAGTACACGCTTGAGGCTGGACCAGTTGCTGTTGAATAGCTTTGGTCGGTGTGTTTGAACGCCCTTCAAATCGTGTGGATGGGCTGAAGTACCACGATAGGTATTGACATAGCGAGAGATCGCGGCTACGCCTCGCGGCGGTTGTTCTGGCGAGTTGACGAGGTGTGGCGTCTGCTTGTTCGGGTCATTTTTGGTTTTAGATATTGTCGCGCTTGACGTGGACGACGGTGATCGTGAAAAGAGGAGAATAGCGAAGCGTACGCAAAAGGATCAAGCCGAATTAGCGGGCTCGCCGATGATGAGAGCGCCAATTACACGATGCGCTCGGACCATCTGAGGCCCGATCGACCGAAATCGCAGACTTCGGATCGCTGTAGCTCCACCCACAGCTTATGAAAGCTCTCGCCACTTGGGGTATGTCATTTTTAGAGCATAAAGAAAAATAGGGTCCTTCACTTTTGCATGGATGCGCCTACTTGCCAAGTTACAGAGAACCACCCCAAAATGGCCCTGAAATTTCGGAGGGCAACTCAGCCAAAAGCGCGGATAACTCGTAAGCCCCTCCCAGAGGGAGGGCTTAGTTGAGCTTACCACATACCCTGCGGCGGGTCGGGCCAAAGGCGGTGCGTGCGCCGGTGCCCGACGCCCGTGCACTTTTCACGCTCATCTAAGGATGGTAAAGCGCGACGCCAACGCTCCGGTTTCAGTTTCAGGGTACAGACGGCTGGAATTCGAGGTGTTGTGACAGGGGTTGCCGGACAAGTGAGCTTCTGAAAGACGAGGGTCGCGGTGCAGCAATGGGCGCTGAGAGCCGTGGGCTCAAAGTGAAAATGTTGTCTGATCAACACCCGACAAGACAAAATCACGGAAGGAGCCAAATTTTCTGGTGGCTTCTGAGGCTTCTCGAGCCCGAGGATCAAGGTGATCTAACCGTATCGTGGTCTTGATGAAGAGCAAACCGTGGTGCAAGGACAAATGCTCGTTCGCAGGACGCCTCACTTGCACCTCCTGTTTCGGCGGCGCATTTCGTCTTCCTGGTCACACCGGGGAAGCACGCTCATGACCCTCGACGGCCTGATCGCGGACAACTGCCTGATATGTTCTTTTCGGTAAGTAAACATCGTTAAATACAAAAGTGGGTAACAGCAAGTCTGGAATTATGTTCCGAGCTCCTGGCGGCGGAGCGGACGCGACGCGTCGAGGGAGCCGCGAGGAGCATGGGGCGATTAAACTAGATTCCGATGATGTCTGATGATGTGGGGTAGCGCTTGGCGGGGATCTCAAAATTTAGAGTGATTAGTAATTGCGTTCTGACGGCTTAGGCTAGCTTTCGCATTATACCAACACTCTGATCAAGGCGCCTCAGGTCCCCTGTCATTTAAGGGCACGCGCGCCCTCCATACTATCATTACAACTTCAGTCCCGCAGCGTCTCGCAACCTCCTACTCCGGGCGTCATGTCCCCTACACCTCTTCCGAATCATAAGCCTTCCTCACCGCGATCCCCTCCTCCCTCCTCCTCTGCGCATCCAACCAAGAGATCGCATCCAAATACGTCTTGGGCAATACGTGACGCGCCAATGGGCGATCGCTCGCGAACGTGAAATGGAACGTGTTCGTCACGCGTCGTTCAACTGTGAAGAGATCGGTCGTCGCGGCTTCGACGGATACGTGGAAGGATTTGTGGGTGCCTCGGATGGGGGAGTAGGTGACTTTGGAGTCGAGGAGGAGGAGGGAACCGATCTCGACCGGGAGCGCGAAGCGGATTTCACTGGGGGACGTGGTGGGCGATCATTCAGTTATTCGAGGCCAGAAAGAGTGAAAGAAAGAGTACATATAGAGACTAACTCGAGAGCAATAAAGTGCACCGTCGAACGGGAGAACAAGCACGCCGTTGCGAATGCAGTCTCGTATGCCTGTAAGAGCGAACTGCATCAGGGGCTCGTCTTCCCGAAAGGTGCGCGAAGAGAGGCGGGCACAGGACTGACCAGTCGCATCAGGTATCCACCAAAGATTTTGTTGTGAACATTCGCTTCGGTAGGATGATTGAGTGTGGCCGACTTGAGTGCCGTGTCGGCCATAAACACGACATCGTCTGGGCAAGAAGCGTTTCGAGCTACACGTGAAGCCATCAGGCAACAGCAAACGGTCAGAACTGCATACAAACCATCGTCAACTGTGAAGCATCTCACCAAAGATCTCTTGTTTGCCCACAAACAAGTCATGCAACATCTTGGCCTCGGCCGCACTGGGCGGTGTCGTCTCCAAGCTCATCGCCTTCCTCCTCTTCTTGTTCTCCCTCATGTCCTTTCCCATCTTGACCAGTTCTTCCTCCTGTACAAAGACTTCGAGAGACGACTCGGAAGCGTACGAGACGTGGCCCGACAAACGAAGGTCAGGTACACTCCCATCGTGGAGCTGCGTCAGTGGTTTCAAGACGTCCATTCGATCGACGGCGGCGGTGACGAGATAAAGACCGTACGACTCGGCTTCCGAAACGGCGACTCCGTCAGGAAGGACGAAACGATACGTCGCTGCACCGGCGACGGAGTCAAAATCTTCCATCAAGCGACCCATACGGGGTTGTTTCGATAGACCACCGAGGTAGGATTCGCGAAGGACGGGGTCTTCGCTGAATTTGAGGTCGAGTTGGACGTAGGAGTCTTGGACTCGTCGAGTTGTGGGAAGAGGCTTGAGTTGATCGGGTGGGGTACGTTTTAGCTGCAGCATCGCAGGTAGTTATTTAAGGTCAGTCACACGAAGGGAGCTACTTAAACACAAGGACATCGACCCACCTTGTCATCCAGTCCACGATTCCGACTTGATGAAGCCCCTCTCAAGCGATGGGGAACCGAGGCGTTGCCTTGACTTTTGTTGGTACGAGCGAGGTGATCACTCCATTCGAGTAGCCTTGCTATCCTCGAGACTGAGCCACCTTCTTGTTTGGGATTGAATGAGTTGACCTCGGAGGAGAGCGGAGAGGGGCTGATGGATGACGACGACGACGACGTTGAGGAGGCTCGGGAGAGGAAATGAAGGGGACTAAAGGTTGTGGTTTTGGAGGTGGAGGTCCTGGCGAGATGGGCTATTTGACGTCCAAACATCGTTTCGCCGAAGTGAGGAGAGATTAGATTGGGGGAAAGAGGAGAAGAAGAGCTGAGAGGCTACTCGAACCGTCGGAGTCCCGATCCTTCCCGGCAAGTCTCGGCGTCTCGGAGTGAGAGTTTCCGATCGCAAGGTATACCCTCTTGTCGCCATAGACTACTTCCTGCATCATTGCACCACCTCACTTTTGAATATGTTGGACCAAGAACGGCACGACCTTCTTCAGCTCGACATACTCGTCCTCGACATCGAACATATGGTTTTTCGCTTCAAACTCCAACAGCTCAACCTCGACTGTCCCTTTCTTCCTCAACGTCTCGGCCAGATTCCTCGATTCTTCAATCAAGACAGCGTCATCCGTAGTTCCATGTACGAGAATCGTCGGAGGGAACGTCTCGGCTTGTTCGATTCCGAACTGAGGGAACGTGATCCTCACCTGTTCGGGAACGGCTTTTGCCCTCTCGGCATACTTCAACCCACGCAATCGTTTTCCGAGCCCTTTAACCCCCGAAACCATATCGAGGTAATCACCTTTTTGCATCAACCAAAAAGCGTACTCGTTGCGAGGGTCCGTTTTCTCCGTCCCCGTTGTCGCAGCTTTCGTTTTCGGAGTTTCATGAATGGCCTGGAAGCGCGGATCGTCCAGGGCGAGAAGGGGTCGATTCTTGTACCAAGGTTCGGTCTTGGGTGTGTACCAATGATCGAGTAAGAAATCTCCTCCCGCGCCGTAGATCGAACAAAGTGCTTTTGGGGTGGGTTGGGCGTGGAGACAAGCTTGGTAAGCGACGTAACCGCCGGCCGAAGAACCCGAAACGGCGACGCGGTCGACGTCCGCGAGTTGCGACGAGATGTTGGAGAGGTGCACGTTGAGTTGGGTGTGCACCCATTCGATGAGATCCTTTGCGTCTTCGATGACGATGTGTGCCGACGAGGGTGTGAGGAGCCGATAATCGGCGGATACCTGTTTCGCGCAGATACAACGATCAGTGGAGCTCAACGAAGCCTGCGAGACGGGTTAGGACCTACAATGATAAAGCCAGCATCGAGTGCATCATCTGTTGGAAAGCATTGGTTCACGTCAGACTTTCTTTCACTGCCCTTGAATCTATTCGTCAGGCTTACTGAACAGCCAGTGAGGGGTCCACTCCCGTCGATTGCCCGCCGTGAGTCCACCACCATGCCAGTAGATCAACACGGGCAGCCTGTGATCATCTACAACCGAGTGCTTGCCACCTGCCGAAGCCAAGATTTGACGCGTCAATGCAGCGACGACGCCGAATTTGGTTTCGCTGCGGGTTCAAGGGAGGAAAGTGGGGCGCCAGTTGCGGAGGAGATTGAACGAGGGGAGGCAGGGGAAGACGGGGTGGATGTCAATAGTCAACATTGAACCGAAGGGAGTTGATATTCATGCTGTTCTAGCTCTGAGGGGATGAACCCCGCCATCTGGGCATGGCATCTAGGGTGTCGGTGAGCAGCTGAGAAGATCGTCACCCCTTCGAGCGAGTTCGCAGCTTCTCCTGCTAGCCGATTGGGAGGTCTTGGACTTACTCGGGTAGATAGACATCGCAAAGAATGTTGACTGGTTCAGTCTTGTACGTGAACGTGTGTCGGGTTGAGTGCTTCGACATCTTGGCTCGCGATCTTGGTTGAAACGTGGCAAGAAAGAGAAGCTCGGCGGCGGCAAGCGGGCCGCTTGGGAAGATCGCCCGAAAAATACATGCCGATCAAATACTACGAAGTTCTGATCCGGCAGGAGACTACGTAGGGACTAAGCAGGTCGAGACGGTGTCAAGTTCACACTTGCTACAATCCAGAAAAAAACAACATTGCGGGAGGCGATGTACATATGCTAACCGCACCACAAGCGAGCGAATCCTTCTTCTCGGCTCGCCGAGACCCCCCTATCTGCGTTCTAACCATCACTCAATCTCTCTACCCTACGTTCAATCATCTCCCTGAAACGCATCACATTCGAATCTTTCTCCTTGTACAACTCCACTCCCGCATTCTCACTCTGATCAGGCGGCAAGACCCCGGGTAAGAGATGAACTTCGGCGATTTCGATCGGCGCTTCGAGGCTGATGGAACTTTGGGTTTTCGTTGAGGATGATGAGGAGGTTGGGGATGGAGGTGGTTTGGAGAGGGGTAGGTATCCTTTGCTTTGGGTCGTGTAGGGGAACGTGTCGAGGGCGTGGTAGAAGGAGATGACTGCACTGATAATCGTTGGTCCAGCAGATGGGTCAGCCAGGGAGTGCATACACCCAGCGGTTAGAAGAGGGGGGGCGATGTGGGGGGATGTTCTGTACCCAACGACCCGATTTTGGGAGAGCTACGTCCCACTCACTCACCCAGAATACAACGAGCTTTTGACTTGATCCACTACACTAGCCTCAACATCGCTCAAGACGTTGATCACGAGCGATGCCGCCTGGATGGCATGCTCTTGCTCTTGAATAGCTCGCCGTCGCCCGACTTGACCTTGCAACGCCGGATCGATGCCAGGGTTCGAGAGGGAAAGCAGGACCAGCTCATGGGGGTACAAGGTGACGAGTTCGGTGATGATGGATGCTTCTGGGATGCGGAGTCGGCCTGGGTAGTAGAACAGACCTTGCGATGGGCTCATCGTTGGCTTCGGGATTCGGAGTGGTGGGGGTGGAGCGAGTGGCAGAGGAGCGGTGGAGCCGAGCTGACAATGAGAATGAGAATTTGAATTCCAGCTAAGTCCTCAAAGAGACGACCCTTATCGGGCGCTGGACCACAGTAACTGGGCTATCGCCTCGCGTCGCTGCACTGTGGCCTAAGCCCCGTCCCCGTTTCAGTTCGAAAGACCTCCTACTGTAAAACCTGAGTTTTCCACAATTTTTGGGGCGTTCGGTGAGTGGAAAACTCATCAAGGCACAGGTTCACAACTGAACGACACCTCGGCGAGTCGATCCAAAACGGCATATTCTCCGTTCCCCGTTCCGGAGCAGATCTGAGGTAGGAAATACTCATTACAACATTGTATATGTGCGGAAATGCTTGCGAGATGGGTTTGCAGAGTGAGTTGCTGTTCGACCGCGGACGAATGAGGCACGTTTTCGAAACAAGCCGAGGACCTCAGCTGACTACGGACTCTGGAGGAGCTGGGATTGCCCTCGTTTCGAGAGCTGCTTTGAGTGAGGCTTGGATCTGGGCGTGGAGCGTCTCTGTAGCAGGTCAAGGATAGCCACGCCGTCAGTGCTCGACTCGGGAACAGGTTTTTCACCTGGCTCGGTTTTGCCGGGTCGTCTTACCTGCCAACTGCAACGCCTCTAGGTACTCCTTGTTGCTCTGTTGAATTTCCTTCTCCAGTTGCTCGAATTCCGGATCGAATTGGGCATTCGTGCCCGATGGATCGGAGAGGTCCGAAAAAGCGGTGGTAGAGGGGAGTACGGCGATGAGGTATTCGAGTTGCTTGGCTTTGCGGATGAAATCGGCAACGAGTTCGTTGGTGTTTTCTGACCGACACGGATCACCGTAGTGTCAGGAACGATGAGATGTGCACAGATGAAAAAAAGCAGGTCAAGGCTGACCTTGGAACACGTGAGGTGGGTCCAAGTCCGGTATGGTCTGGGTGACGGGGAACTTGGGGTCGAGGGGCTTGAAGTTGGCCTTGCGGGTGAGGTAGGATAAGGTCGAGTACATGATCTTGATGAGCTGTTTTTGTGGAGAGAGAAGGCGAGGGGTCGGGGATGAAGGTCAGATTCGACGCTCGTGTGGGGGAAAAGAGAGAGAACGTCTGCGGGGTCTTGCATCATCGACTGAATTGGCTGCTTGTGTAAGACGGTCCACTGCAGAGGACCGAGCGGTGTCAGACTACGATAGAATGCTCTCTGGTGCAGAGGGCCGACCGACTGTGGCTCGATTCGTCGTATGGCAAGTCCTGCATCCGTGTGGAGGCGCTGCAGGACGTTGTGGCGATGGACCGCCTTCGACGAAGAGGTGGTGGTGTGTGAGATGCTGGGGTGTCGTATGCGGGAGAGGTGGTGGTGTGGATGCTCTGTTCGCTGCCGGTGCCCAGTGAAGCAGAGTGAAGCCAGATCAAGCGCCAAATGTAGTCCAAACGCGTTTGCCAAGTTGTGTCAAGCCAAGTCAAGCCAGGCGCTGCTAATAATAGGCGCTGCTAATAGGCGCTGCTCACCGCGCTCAGCCACTGCTCAGCCGCGCTCACTCTCGCTCACTCTTCGACTCTGGCCAAAACACAACACCGAAGCCGATTCGTGCGCCGACGCGTCACGTCGTACCCCGCCCACCACTCCGAGGCGCCACACCACCGAATGATCACCACCTCATCCTGAAGCGATCCTTCCACCATGCCCCTCTCACCGGAAATCTCCCACAGACTGGTGACGCTGATCAAGGCGTTGATGCAGCTGTCGACCCACTCGACCCCGAGGCGGTACTACTCGACCATCTTCCGCGACCTGCCCGACCCGACCATCTACTCCGACTATTACGTCTTTATCAAGGAACCCAGGGCCTTGAACCCCATCATGGTCCGTTGATCTCGTAGCACGACGCGCGTTTGGCACGACGCGACCGCCGAGCTGAGCTGACCACATACATCCCTCCCGGTGGTTGTGCACCTCGACAGCAAAGCCTGCACAACTCGAGGTACTCGTCACCCCATGCTGTAGCCTACGATCTCTTTCTCGTCTGGTCCAACGCCAGGGAGTACAACGAGGTCGGGTCCCAGGTCTACAACGACGCCGACAAACTCCAGGTTCGTACACAACACTTCACGGGTTTCCATTCTGCGTGTGACCCAAGCTCACCTCTTCCTCACCCACACAGAGACACATGGAGCGCATGTGGAAAGACATGGTGCCGCCCTTGCCTCCGCTCGAGCAGTTGCCGCGACCGGGAATGCTCAACCCAGCCCAGGCAGCCGGTTCCTTTACCACCCCCAACTCTGCAGTCGGCGAGTACGCTTCGGGCTCCAACACGACCGCCGCACCCGTCCCCGTCGGCGATGGGGGCCACAAGCGCATCAAGATCATGTCCTCGGCCCTCGCAACTCACTCCGGCTCTTCGGCTTCGGGCGCTCCCTCCCCGACCTCGTCAGAGTTCTCGTCCATGCCCAAGATCCGCCTCAACGTCGCTTCGACCTCGTTCCCTTCCAGCCATCCGCCACCCTTGCAGTCACTGCCTCCGCTACCGCATTCCCAAACATCGGGTGCAGCACCTTTGACCCTCAAGCTGGCCATCAAACCACCCGGTGCGTCCGCGTCCTCCTCGGCAGCTTCCTCGCCCGTCATCACACCCGCCCTTGCCCCCTCGACACTTGGCGCGCCGCATCCGTCATCTTCGGCACCGTCCCCTCAACCTGCGCATACTCCGTCTGCGGCACCCTCACCCGTACCAACCTCGGCTGCGATCCCGCAAACGATGGCCACGTCGCGTGACGCGACCCCCAACCCCGCGACGGGGACGCATGACTCGACCTCGGCTGCCGCACCTCCACCGCCTGCCCAGGCCCCCGTCCCAGGACCTGTCCCACCTCAACAACATCGCCCCAGTCCAGCTCCGACCCCCGTAGCCCACGTATCAGAACCCGCACCTCAACCCGTCGCTCGTGAATTGCCGAATGGTACCTTGACCGATGTCGAATCGGGCTGGATGGGCGGCGAGATCGAAGGTGACCCCACGTCCTTGTATCTCGAGGTGCTCTACACCTTGCGCGACTACACCGACTCCGAAGGACGACGACTCGCTGCACCGTACATGACGCTATCCGAGCGGCCCGAGTATTACGACCAGGTCGACGATCCGGTGGCGCTCGATACGATCGAAGCTCGCGTCCATGCGCGAGCATACGAGTCACCCGAGATGTTTGATCGTGATCTCTTTCGCCTGTTCGAGAACGCCAAGTTATTCACTCACCCTGGAGAATCAAATTCGGAATACGCCGACTTGGTCGTCCTGCAGCGCGTGTACCAAGAGTTGACCAAACGGGTCTCCTCACTCACGCCTCGACCGCAGAACTTGACCGTGCCCGCTTTATCGTCGGTCAAATTGGGCCCGGGCAATTGCGAAGGCAAGGACCCGGTCGATGGTGAACCCAAGACGGCGCAAACGCGTATCTCGATGAAGGACAAGATCTTTCTCGACCACATCAACTTCAAAGGCCAAGTCCTGCGCGTCGGCGATTGGTGCCATTTGCTCAACCCGGAAAACCCTGCGAAACCCATCATCGCGCAGATCTTCAAAGTTTACAAACGGATGGACTCGCCTCAACGATGCTTGTCCGTTTGTTGGTACTATCGACCCGAGGAGACGATCCACCCCAGATCGCGCACGTTCTACGAAGGCGAGGTCTTCAAGTCGGGTCAATTCGTCGATCACGCGATCGAGGATTTCATCGATCGTTGCTTCGTCATGTTCTTCACGCGTTACATCCGAGGTCGACCCAAGGCTCCTGTATGGGACGAATCGTTGCCTTTGTACGTCGTCGAACATCGGTACAAGGATGAGATCCATAGCTTCAAAAAGATCAAGAATTGGAATTCGTGCGTGCCGGAGGAGATTAGGAAACAAGAATATGCGCTAGTGACGTTTCCGGGTGGGGATCCAGTGACGTTGCCGAGGTACCCGAGTCCTTTCTTGAGAGGGATCGAAGGCCCGGGTCGCTTTGGAGAGGCGTTGGATGAAGCACCTTCAGGTGGAGCAGGGGGAAGTGCAGGTAAATCGAACGAGAAGGAGACGTCGTCGTCCAATACGAACGCTACAGCAGGTCGATACCATTCCTCGGCGCCTTTGAACCCCAACGTCAATCCTCAACCCGTCAAGACCTCGACGCCAATGAGCGAATTCGATCTACCTCGACCACCACCGAGTGGGGTAGCTCATCATTCTTCCGTACAGCCTGAAGAATTGCATCCTTTACCACCGGATTCGGTCGGAAGACCGACGACGTATGCGCAGGGTTATGGTGGTCAGGGTGTGGTGAATGCGCCTCCGCCTCCCCCCCCGATGCCGTTCTTGCATTCCGCGGGCATGTTTACTCCTGTTGAGATGACGGCGCAGAAGGAACAGCGCTTCACGGCTTTGCCCCCTCAGATTCGTAAGTTGTTGCCCACTTTCTCCCTTTCATTTGAATACTGATACTGATTTATTCTTCCGCATCTCCTCGAAAACAGAATCCAAACTCCGCACCGACGAGTTCGGCGACGTACTCTGGTTCACCACACCTGGTCTCCCCGACAAGCCTTCCGCAAACGACATGACGAAAGATCTCAAGCCTACGCATTCGCTCGATTATTTGTACTGGAAGGTGATGCAGAAGCAACAGGGGCAGCAGTCTGTAGCGATGGATGTCGAGTCGTAATTCAGCCCACACACGAGTGTCGCGTACTTTCGGTGTTGTCTTCTGCGTTGTGTGGAAGCTCAGGGGAGTTGGAATACGAACGCGCAGTCAAAGACACGCGGGCGAGAAGAATCCGAGCTCCGGATCCCGAGCTCGGTCAGCTACGAGCCCTCAACAGAATCCAGGCTTTTTGAGGATGTGGTCTTCAATACGCACCAAGAACGTGACTGTGTCGTAGTCAGGGGCCTATGGGCACAATTTTCGAAATAATCAAGTTACAACTCGAACTGTTCCCTTTCGGTAGCCTATTGGGCTGGGGCCTCAGACTTGGTCAAATAAGTGAAATAGAAGTCTGACTTATCATAGAACCTAGGTGGGCGTTGAATGGTCGGCCGAGTGATGGGTTAGGGAACGCCTGCCAAATGTAAAGAGGTAGTGCGCGGGGGCATCAGCGGGGCCGACGGTGATGCAATTTCATGCAGTGGTGGGGTGGGCAGAGGTTCGGGATGGTCCGGTGGGACCGGCCAAGGAGGTGTTCGACGGTGCTGAGTTAGATCAAAGCGCAGAGGTCTATAAGTAAAACACGTCCGACAGTGTTGGTACAACAGATCGAATGGTGACTGAGGTCAGCACAGATGAAATGATATGGGTCCGTGACATTATATTGATCCCAGATCTGTCGGCGCGTTCGTCGATTCGGCGGTGACAATCACGTGAAATAAATGTTGATCAGATAAAACTGCGACCCACGTCTTGGCGATTCATTGGGATGAAGTGGCATGCGAGGGTGCATTCGACTGGGAGGCCTGTGACCAGACATCTTTGGTCACGAGCGAGGAGCGCTTTGCGAAACGGGTACTGTGGAAGAAATTGATGCAACGCAAAGGGTAGTTTTGGAGATCTTACATCGGTCGGACACAGTGGTACTTCTTACCTGGCCAGTTTCTGAAGACCTCTCGGAGTTGCTTACGGTGCTGCTGTCGCCGCATACAGCGATGCACGCCGGGAGACGGTAGGGGCGCTTGCCATCGGTCCGGTGACAAGCATGAAGTGCGATGCGCCTGTTCAGAGAAGAGAGCCAGAAAGAGCCAAGCATCGTACGACCAACGTTAAAGATTAGAAGGTGTTGTGACCCGTGCTAATTCGGCTCACATTCCTCATTCGTAACGAAGCGATACTTGCCCGCTGCCGGTGCCGTGGTCATGTCGACTCGCTCAAGCTTGTCATTGAGCAAGTGGCCTGACTCAACTACCGTCATCTGTGCGACTCGATGGACATGGTCCCACTTGAACGTCGGCTTCGACCGAACATGCCACTTGATCGGGACAGTAGCAATGACCATCGGCTGGGTAATATCAACGACATCTGCCGTGACGGTGATCATTGGCGAGTCGGCCCAGTACTCGAGGAACTTGTTGTTGGTGTCGAACACTAGTTCCATCTTCTCCAAGCGGTGAAAGTCGATTGTATGGGTGGTGTGAGTTGGGACGCATTAGCGGGTGCAGACGGGGCCTTGGCAAAACCGTAAACGTAATCACCATGCGCCCCCTCGGGCAGCTCGCAGAAGTTGCAGTAGTACAATCCTCATTCTCATTCATGCCTACTAGACGGTCTGGAGCCAGCGGTACGTCTGGCGAGCGCTCAGCATACACTACGACATTTTTGACTTTGTGACTGTTGCAGCTCTCGTCTCACAGGCGCCAAGAGGGTTCTGAAGGAGGAACAATGTCTGTTTCACAGATCCGCCGACCACCCACCGTGCATAACCAGAGGCATTCAAAATCTTTGCGAAAAGCACAATCATACACGACGAATACACACTTAGTCACACAATGCTCGATCAACCAACCATATTCGTCATTCACTAGGCGTAGTCCTGCGGGTATGGTACCATGGATGAACTGGCGAAACAAACGTTTGGGTCGCACAGGTATCGAAAACTTGGGCTCACTCGGGGATAGCGACACCACGAAGATTCAGCAGCACGCATTGGCGGTACTGCCAAAGGAGCAGCTCATCGCTGGGAAGAGCAGAATCATCTTCGGAATCGAATCTGGAACGCGGGATTACTTGGCCCTGGCGGGCACCGTAGAATGATTCGATGACAGGGTTGAAGATATGGACCACGTACTCTCCGCCCTGCGGTAGACGTGAAATATCGGTGGCATCAATATGACCAAGCACGCCAAAGACAAGAAAAGAAAGCCCCACGGTACTGACTCCCAGGGGGTAGAGTGCCCAGGCATAGTAGTCGAACATGACATGCAAGGTGCAGTCAAGCAGCAAACCGCACGACGCGTCATAACGCTCCCTCACGCCCAACTCCTCCCAGACCTGCAGTAGTTGGGGCCAGTGACAAAGGTAAGCAGCGAGGATTCACGAGAGGACTAGCGAGTAGTACTAGCATCTTCGCGGCTCATAGGGACAATGTGACAGGCGACACTGTATTGGTGAGGTAGGCCAGTGACTAGGCAACTTCACGCTTCAAGATCGCCCTGCGGAATGGAGACTAGGAAGAGAGCACGAAGAGTTGGATTGCGTTATTCAATCAAAAAGGACTAAAGGGTGGACATAGCAAACATTCGACTCACTTGGCCGCCCTCCGAGGAGCGCTCTGAGTTGCTCACCGTGCTGTGACACGAGTTGGTAGAGGTGAGGCACCTCGGCAGGCGGTACTTGCTCTTGCCGATCGGTCCAACGACGAGATTGAAGCAAGACATATCTTCATCGAGCGGCGTGGGTACAGCACGCAATCAGCACGGAGCAGCAAGTGGGACCACCAAGGCGAGGCGAACATTCGGCATGACTAAAGCTGGACGAGATCTCGATTGTCGAGCACAATGGTGTAATGGCCCGCTGCTGGTGCCGTGGTCATGTCGACTCGCTCGAGCCTGTCGTTGAGCAAGTGGCCTGACTCGACAACCGCCATCTGTGCGATTCGATGTACGTGGCTCCACTCGAACGTCGGCTTCGACTGAGCATACCACTTGATCGGGACGGTAGCAATAACCATCGGCTGGGATTTATCAACGACATCTGCAAAGATGGTAATCATTGGTGAGTCGGCCCAGTGCTCGAGGAACTTGTTGTTGGTGTTGTAAACCGTGCTCATCGTGATCTATCGAGCTCGGTGAGTCGTGGGATTGCACTCTGAGCCCGATGGTGAATCGAGGTCAGGACCTCTAGGAGGCGTGTGAAGACAACCTAGGACAACACGATGACGTATGTGGGTCGCTCGGCGCGGGCACATCCCGCGACGCGGTCCCTCTTCTTAGATATTAGTAGATTAGAAGTTAGTAGATAGTAGAGAGTGATGTAGATGTAGATGTAGTGACCAGATCTTTGGGTCGAGTCCGGAGTCTCCGGCCGGAGAAATGCGTAGTAAAGTGTAGTTCAACGGAGCAAGTGATAGGAGCTGCCACGTTGCTGCACTATAGTTCTGACGTCGCCACTGCATGCGTCTACAGATCATACCTCTTACTTAGCAGGAACAAGCACGATACTATGCAGGTACAAAGAGGGGTTTAGGCACTTAATTACTAAAAAAGGTTTTGGGCACTGAATTACTTATGCACGAACGACGGCCCCTTTCCACCCTCCGCAGAAACAGCAGGGACAGCAGCAGGGTGTAGCGATGAGATACGAATGTCGTGTTCTTGAGTGTCTCTTTTGAAAACGTTGAGAGGGAACAGCGGAGTTGTTCGGGAACAAGACCCCATATGTGATGCAGGTCAGGCACTCATCACATCCGAGAGGTCCGAATAGTCGTCCTCATCCTCATCATCATGAAGTCTCGTACCCCTCGACCTAGCTCTGGACCCTCCCTTGACCCTAGGTTTCTTCTTCTCGTTCTCCTCCACGACCTTCTTGACCTGTCCCGCGTAATGTTCTAAGGCAGGTGGTAAAGTCCACCCACTCTTCAACCCCCTCAAGAATCTCTGTCGAACCTGATGATACGATCGTTGAGGTACATCCCCAGCGACGTTCTCCCATCGAAGGCCGTTCTTGAGTACAGCACGGATCAACAATTCGTCCTCGTGGTCGTTCCACTTGACGTATGCGGCACGTTCCTTTTTGACCCCTGAGATCGAGACCCGAGGTTTGCGCGGTTTGCCATTGACCCATGCAGGGGCTTTGATCGGCCGGGGCGAGGACGGGGCTGGGGGAGGGTACAGGACGGGTACAGCGGCGACCGAGGTCGACTTTGATCCGATAGAACTCGACGAGCGCTGACGCTGTCGAGGTCGTTCTTGAGCGCTGACCTCGAACTTGGGCAACACCACCGCTGCGGGCGCCTGCGAGGGCGGGGACGGGGGTTCGAGAATTGGGGCACCAGAAGGGAAGCGTCGATGGCCGGGGTAGCCTCCTGGCGGCGGGGGAGGCGCGAAAGCAGACAGAACCTCCGTTGGAGCCAATGCCGACGACGAGATACCGCTGAACTGGGACGGATGAAGATTCTCCGAGCTGCCTTGACTTTGACTCGCCGCCGACGAGGCTTCGGCGAGGACGTCGAGAGCGGAAGGCACGCGTTTGGGTGGATCGACGACGGGGAATAGGGGTTCATAGTCTTCGATATCGGTCGCTTCGAGGTCACTCTTGTCATAGTCTTGCAGCGGCCCTTCCTCTTCGGCATCGAGTGCCGACGCATCGGACGTTCGGCGCCGTTTGTAGTGACGGGCCGAGGGCCCCGGCTCATCACCACCGCCTTGTTCATCCCCGTGCACCCTCGGCCGAGGAGGACATGCCTGTTTTGCAGCCGTCAAGTCTTCATCGAGTCCTTCACTCGTGATCTGCAGAATTTGCTTGGCCCGTCTCCGGATCGCCTTGTCTAATGGTACTTTCTGTATTCGACGAATCGTGCTCCCCGCTCGCAGCGCGTTGGCGGCCAGCAACAAATGTTCCGCTTCGGCATCGCCCAACGTCGCTGGTCGATTCACCTTGGCGCTATGCCGTCGTGTCGATTCATCCGGGGGTGTAAGTAGCCGGCCGGTCGAGGGCAACACAATTTCGGCGCGCTGCTCGATGATGGGCGCTGTGGTGAGGAACGAGGCACGTGACTTGCGCATTTCGGTCTCGTATCGCTCGAGTTGGGCTGTCGCAACGTTGAGCTGAGAGTGCGCACCGGAGTCATGGAAACGGGTCAGTATCACAGCATCATGGGCCAATTGTTGGATCCATAGCTACTGCGCTATCAGTCCTGGTCAGAGAGAGCAAAACGTACCCTTCGCTGGAGATATTTGACATCCTCGCGCAGCTCCCTCTCTCTCGACTCGGCTTCCTCGGCGCGAGTCCTGAACGAGCTGATGACGAAATCGTCGCGTCGGAAGACATCATGATCGACGGACCAGTCGAGGGCGTTGGGGAGGCTCGGTGCCCTCCGGCGTCGTGTCGGGTCGTGGACATCAGAGAAGGCCCGAGCTTGGGACAATTGATTCGCGAGCTCTTCGGCTTGTCGTTGCATGAGCTCCTTCTCGACCTGAGCGCGATCGAGGTCGAGTCGATGCGATTGCTTGAGCTTCTCGATAACAAACGAGGCGTCGGACAACTGCAACAAGATCAGAGAGTGGAGTCGGGCAAGTTGGGCGAGGAGAGCGTTCGAAAGCCCGAGATCAGTGCGCTGTTTTAGTCGGGTCGAGACAAGAAGGCCGGCGCGCGGGCGGTGCGAAACCTGGGCCAGGGGACAGAGCAATGAGAGCCTCCCAAACGGGTAGGGGAGGAGGGTACGTACTTTGACTTTGAGGGCGTCCAACTCGGCCTGGTCCACGACGTTGGGGTTCGGTCGAGGTGATTCGGGTACGGGGGCCTCAGTCTCGGCTAAAGAGATCTGCAGAGCAAGCACGAGTTCGGTCAATGACGGGCGGGAAAAGCGGTCGTCGGTCAGTCGGTCGGTCGGTCGCCCGCCAGAACGAGGCCAGCCGACACCCAGCCCGCCGCCGCCGCCGCCGACAACGCCGACGACGTGTGCCACCAGATGCAGCACAAAGTGGACAGGGTTCAGCCCATCCCTCGCATCCCATGAAATGCAACTTACTCGATCCATTCGTCCCGACTCGAAAGACTGTCGAAGGGGACGAGGAGCGGACGGCGGCGAGGAAGAAGGGAGGGTCAACACTCGAGATGTTTGTCCGTTTTGACTTCACGAAAACGCCAGACTGGGGAGAAGTGCCCGCCCCCGGGCCGCGCCTCTTCGTCCAACAGGCTAGCGCAATCATCACATTGATCACTCACATGGGCAACATCACGCAGTGGAAATGGAGTCACTATCGAATTCATTCGGTGGCTCGTCATCGCAAAGGCCGTGGACGTCGCGATGGCAGTCACGACGACCATGACTGGACCGAACGACCGAAAGAGTGCACAGCCAACGTCAGGTCGGTTAAACGCGCGAGCCCGTCAAAAACACCGCACGCGTGCGGCCTCTCATGCTCGGACCCTCTCGGACCAACCCGTGGGGGACGATCCCTCGGACATCTCCCGAACTTGACAAATAAGGTGCAGCGCGTGAAGCTCTTAGCTTGTGAGATTGAACGAGCTCTTGTAAGGGAGCTCAAAGAAGACTAGAAAAAGAAAGACGAATTACTACAACCGGAACACCTGCGAACCTGCGCCTCGAAAAACTAGGGTACCACCACCACCGCACTACTGCTAATAGCTGACAGCCGATCGCCCTCACCTCGAGACCAGGCCGACCAGGCAAACACGGCATATATAAAGTGTTGCTCTCTGATCGGCGTGATGTCTCTTCAGTCAACGACGCGACCTCGCCGACTTGCGCGAACCACCCGGGGTCGCGACCTCAACTTCGTCCACCACCTCGCTTTTGCGCTTCTTGGTCGCTGCATTGGCGCCGGTAGTCTTCATCGCCTTGGCGGTAGTTGTAGCCTTTTTTGGGGATACAGCTTTGGGCGTGGAAGGAGCTTTGGATCCCGCTCGTGGTTTTGGCGTCGTCTCACGGGTCCCAGGTTCGTCATCGGGGTTCACCTCCACGATCCCGTTGCTCGTACTAGCGGCGTTCGCGGTGTTGTCCTTGACCTTCTCCTCTTCCTCCTCGTCCTCTTCCTCATCTTCATCATCTTCGTCATCGTACGATGGTAAACCGGTCTGGAACTGGGGCCCACTCGATCGCAAGTTGCCAAGTCCACCCAAGCCGGGCGAGCCGCCCGGACCGTCGGGGTCAAAGTACATCGAGTAGTCGATCGGCGTCTGACCACTTGTCGGGTTCGTGTCTATACATTGTGCCGAAGATTCGACCGTCAGCTCGATTGTAACGCCAATACCCATGCGATCGCCTCACCGAACTCACCGTACTGGGCCAAGAATTTGTCCAGGTCCAAATCCCCATTCGCTCCACTCGACCACGCCCCAGGTCCACTCGTGCTCAACTCGTCCAAGCCCTGTCCCGTCTGCTGACTAAGTTGTTCCCTTGTCTCCTCCGGCAAGTTCTGCATCAATCGAGCGATCGCAGCTTCGAGCGCCGAGGTTCTCGCATCGATATCGGCCTTCTCATTCGTTACGTCTTGGATCGCCTGGGTTGAATCGCGGATTGCGGAGCGGTAATCGGGGGAAAAGTCGCTGTGGGAGAACAGGGCGCCCGTTTCGGAGGTCAACGCATCTAGAGGGTTCGAGGTGGGTGCTGCGACCGCTGGCGAAGAAGGCATGAGCGCGCGACTAAAGTCGATGTTGTTGCCTCCTGGTGTGCGAGGAAAGCTCGGCATGTCGATCGCACCGGGGAAAAGCGTGTTGGACGTCCCTGCGCCACTCGTGGAAGTCGCCGACGACTGCGATCGCGATTGTAGAAAGGAAACGAGGGCGTCTTCGTTCGCCGAAGAGGTCGATCCATCGCCCCCAAATATGTTGTCGATTGCGTCCTGCGACAGGTGGTAGTCGGGAGCAGGGGAGTCGCCTGTTGCAGAGGTCACGTTTAGACCGTTCGAGTCGGGTGTGGGGATGGTCGTAAAGCGGTATGCATCCGGTGAGTTACCAGGATATACGAGCGCCTGACTCGATGTAGGCGCACGTGATGTCGATGCGGTTGGTGGCATGCGAGGTGCTGAGATGGCAGGGAACGATATCAGGTCAATGGCCGCACACACTCGGATTCATCGCCCACCCATTGCGACTCACCACTCGAGATCGTCGGGAGTTCATCACTCGCCCTCGACGATGGAATCTCTTCAATCTCTGCGTCCTTATCATAGTCATCGTCATCATCGGCCTGGTCACGTAACCTTGCACTGAGCGTTCGCAAACGTTTCGCTCGATCGTCTTGCCGTCCCACGACGTCCTCCAGCAGCAGCTGACTCCTCATCTTGGGGACGACCGCACGAGCCTTTGCCGGTCCTTTCCCTTTGCCTTTGCCCCCCGACGCACCGTTCGTACTCCCCTCGCCCTCCTGACCCGTTTCCTCCTCCAGCACGACGCCCGAGCCGCCCGGCGGTGATTCCTCCTGTTCGGCTCCGGCGACTTGCCCGCCGAAGACGGTGGCCAAGAAACGCAGAATCTTGTTCAGTGTCTCTTGCTGTCGCGCATGCCGTTCTCGTGATTGAATCGCCTCTTGCCAGAGCGCGTGGTTAGATTGCTGCAGATCCTTCAGGTCGGCCGAAATGGCGGTTTGATGTTTGCGGATCGAGGCCAGGTCGGTCAGAAGGGTCGGTAGGTCAAGAGCCCCGGCTTCGGCATCATTGCGGGATTTTTGCCGTCGGATGAAGCACAGTAGATCCGGTTGGGCTTGAAGAAAGTTGGGGTTGGAGAATTCGACTGTCGAGAAATGGAGGGGGTCAGCGTTGATGATCTCATCGGTGTGTCCTACCGCGACTCACGGAGTTCTTGAACTTCGTCATCGCCTTTCAATACACCCTGTTGTAGACTTGGAACCTACGTGTACACCCCAGCGGTTAGTGAGTGCCCGTTTCGCCGTCAAGGGACATCGCCCCCGACCCCTCTTCGCGGACCCGAGCTGGAACTCCTACGAGTGAACACCAGTGATGATGATAGACTTGCCTTATGGAACCCGTACATGTTGCATTGACGTACGAAGGAACCGAAGTTTGAATGCTTAAAGAAGCGGGGCAGCACCTCTTTGGCAAACCGATCGGAGGAAGGGACTGCGAGAGACCGGAGGTCAGCATATCGGTCGTTACGACGGCCGGGTTCAGACACGCACTGAGAAACGAGTCGCCATCTTTGGACCAAGAAATGTAGTCATCCGTATCGGGGTCATTGACCATACTGTACAGTAGAGAACAATCGGGGGTCAGGCAAGGGCTTCGGCCGAGTCGAGTGGGGACATATCCGGGCACGACTTGCGCAAAGAGCTTGTTCAGGAAAGCCGGTACGCTCTTCGCCGTCGTCTTGTTAACTCCCTGGAGCAGGCAAGGTCTGTGTCATCAGTACAAGCGGTCTCTCCGGGCAAGAACAGCAATCGCACCTTGACGGCATTGTTGGTAGTCTTGAGCGCGACCTCCATCGTGGGCGGATCAGCTCAGAGCCGCGGACTCGCGGGCGTTGGGTGTGGATGAGCGCTTCAACCGGCCGACGGATGCGAACGTGCGAAAGCCGAACTTGAGCTCCGGGGAACGACCGATGTAGTGTCTAGGACCTGCCAGTCGAGACGAGCAGGGGTCGAAGTAGAGGAGACTTGCTTGGAATGTGAAGGTGTGGTCCAGTGTGCTCAAAAGGACGGCCAGGAAGGCGAAAGCGAGCGAAGCAGCAGTCTGCAGCAGTGGGGTGTTTGCTCGAGCTCGCGATTCGCACCGATCATACTCGATCGTATCGTCGCTGCGCCCACGTCGCTCGAGGGGCCAATCCGTCGGAAGTGGCACGCTCCGAGTCGCACTGTGCTTGCACTCCTAAAGCGAAACAGCGCTTTTTCAACTCGAAGCGAGCTGCGGTCATCATAGCTGAGCGCTTTTTTAAACTACATAGTAGCATTGAGCACTCGATTTCGGGCAAGTCTTCGATCGATGACCGATCACTCCGGCCAAGATATATATCCGAGAACGCGGAGTCGAACATCGCGGTCACGACAGAGCTCACATCGCGGTTCTCTCAGCTCAAATTGAGAAGGTTATAGCTGCCGCTGGTGACGTATCACTCTTGCCCGAACCAGGAAGCCTGCAAGCGAACGATCGATCGGACCCGGCGGTAAACGGCGGTTCGCTTCAGGGGTTTTGCAGTGGGTGAAGATCGAAAGCACGAGCGAGCTCAGATGCCACGATGTCTCGCTTCGGCAGTCTACTGGGTTCTAGATGAGAAGTGTCAGGGTCATTGTGTTCTTCCCGCCGTGTACCGGAAGTAGTACCTGACGCCGAATTTTCGCCGAGTGTATTCCCGAATCGGATTCGAAATAGGCTTGTCCCAATTTATAGCAGAAACGAAAGAGACAACGACATTGTTTGAAGTTGAGCAGGGCCTATTGTGCAGATGATTGTAATCGACATCGGCTCAACCGGTCAAACCAATCGACGAGGTCCGAGCGGCACACCGGTCTCAAGCTGTCTCAAGTGACCTTCGCAGCCGACCCCCGCAGGCGCTGTCTCGAGTGAGCTTCCCTCTCCCACACCCACAACCTTAGCTTCGATCTTCAACCCCCAGTCTCAGTATGGTCAAGATCAGAAAAAGTGAGCGACTTCTGTTCACCTCATGGATCCTCTTCCCCTTCCCCGGTGTATGAACTCTCACTCACTGACCCCGATCGTCGTGCCTTCGCAACAGAGTCGAGCAAGCGAACGACGACCCACATGAGGTCCAAGGTGGCCAAGAAGGTGTCCGAGTCGCACCGCAAGGCCAAGAAGACGGCCAAGAAGGACGTTACGTGGAAATCGAGTAAGTTGGGATGGATCACGGCTATTTGTGAAGACTACGACCTGGGGATCCACGCGATTCCGAACGGCCCGTCTTCGCAATCAAGGAGCAGGATCCGAAGTGTGATGAGCCAATGCAGGATACTGCAGGATACGACATTCAAATTAGATTCAAGCTCGGCATATCGAGACCACGCACACTGACTATCATTCATCTCTCGCCCCATCTCAGACAAACCCAAGGAGCTCGGTATTCCCAATTCGTTCCCGTACAAGGACCAATTACTCGCCGAAGCGGCTGCAGAGAAAGCTCAGGTATGCATACTTGCCTATCTTTTGTTTTGAAAGAGGAAGAAGACTGACCTGTTCCCTCCTCTCTCGCACGGCGAATCCTCGTTCCACTCCTCCCTCGACCCCCTGTCCTGCTCTACCCGCCCTCTCCCCACCTGTCAGGCCGAAGCTGAGAAACAAGCGCGACGAGAAGCCTCTCGAAACGGTACATCCGCCACCTTAGCCTCAACAGCCGCTCTTGCCGCGGCCCTCGCCGCCGACTCTCAACGACTCGAAGATGAATCCGCCTTCTCAGACGAAGAGGAGGGCGAAGCTCAAGTCAACGACGCGAGTCTCAAGTTGCACGCCAAGAGTTTGAGGAAGGTGTTGGAGGCGAGTGATGTGTTGATTGAGGTCCTGGATGCGAGGGATCCGGTCGGGACGAGGTGTAGGGCTGTCGAGAGGGAGTTGAAAGGTTTGGATGGGGGGAGGAAGAAGCTCGTGTTGGTGCTTAACAAGATCGGTGAGTGGCTGTCGTTCAGGTCCTGATCTACGGCATGACCTTTAATTCTGGAGTCTTGTCACACACAGATCTTGTTCCCCCTCCCGTCGTGCAAGCCTGGCTCGCGTACCTGCGCACCCAAGCTCCCACAATTCCTTTCAAATCCTCTACGCAGCAACAACGCCAACACCTCTCCGCATCCTCCGCCCACACACCCACGAACGCCTCGGGATCCTCGACCAAGCCCTTGATGGAATTGATCAAAGGCTTCCGCATCAATCCTACACCTTCCACTTCGACCGAACAAAAAGTGAAGCATTCGTTGACGATCGGATTGATTGGCCACCCGAACGTCGGCAAGAGTAGTTTGATCAATACGCTCAAGAGGAGTAAGGCGTGTTCCGTCGCGCCTACGCCTGGGTGGACCAAGGAGGTGCAGGAGGTCGTTTTGGAGAAGGGGATCAGGGTGCTGGATTGCCCTGGTGTGGTTGTGGAGGCGAGGGGTGAAGTCGAGGGTTCGTTGAGAGGTATGGTCAAGGCGGAAGATGTGCGAGATCCTAAAGCACCTAGTGAGTTCATACCTTGTTCAACCGAACCGCTTCCGTAGCATCTGGTTCTGACCCTCGGTCTTTCTCTTCCCCAGTTGAATTGATCCTACAACGCTGCAAGAAGGAACACCTCCAAATGCTCTACAACATCCCCGCCTTCATCGGCACCAATGGCTTCTTACTCGAAGTCGCTCGCGCCAAGGGGCGTCTGCGCAAGGGCGGTGTACCTGATATCGAAGGGACAGCACGTTCAATCCTTCAGGATTGGGTCGCAGGGCGAATCCCTTACTACACCTCCCCTCCTACCGTGCCGACTTCATCGACGACGGTCGGCGTCACCCCCGTCGCGGCTGCAACAGAGTCGATGGGAACGGTCACGGACACGGATGTGAACCAATCGACGCTGTTGACTGAATTCGCGCCCGCGTTCGATCTGGCCGCGTTGTTCGGTGAAGCGGATGCCGTCGCGTTTGGTGAACAAGGGGCTGCTGGATCGGCGGTCGTTGGGAAGGCGGTCAAGATGGAGGGTATGGAGGTGGAGACGGAGGACTCGAATGTTGGGTGGGTGACGGGGGAGGTGAGTGAGGATGAGGAGGAGGGTGGGATCGATGTGGATGATTTGTTGGATGATGAGGTGGAGCAAGTTGATGAGGAAGGTGACGTCTCGATGGACGTTCAGCCGACCAAGCCTTCGAACAAGAAGCAGGCACGTTCGATGCCGACGATCGTCTCCGTCGCTCCTGCGGTGTCGAACAAGCAGAAGAATAGATCGGTCACGTTCGAGCCTTCGGCCAACACGGTCAACACCAAATCGATCGTCGAGGAGACGCAAGGGATCGGGTTGAACAAGGCCAATGCGAAGAAGGCCAAGAAGGACAAGAAGAAGCTCAACAAGATCAACAAGGAGGCGAGCGAGTTCGAGAGTCAATTTGGCGAAGAGGCGGATATGGTTGGCAATCAGCCGAAGAAGAGCAGGGTTGTGGCTGGGGGCGTGGTCGGGGAGGCGTATTCGTTTGAAGAGTTCTTTGGGAAGAAGGATGGCGAGATTCTTCAGACTGAGGAGGATGACGAAGAAGAGTTGTGAGGATAAGGTGTTATATCATGGATTTGTAGTCTATCGTTTTCTTCCATTCTTCTCTTCGTCCATGCATGTCATGTATATCTAGTCGCGCTCCTGCCTATGCCATGGGAGCGGAGCGACCGCGCCACTTCGCGCCGAAGAGCATCGACTTGCGGTCTCTAATGCACACCAGCGAGCAACCCTTTCTAGAACGTCTCTACCTCACCAACCAGCCAAGAAAAAGAACTATAACTCATGCTTCGACATTACAAAAAAAGGAAAATCCAACCTTCACTGCCAGGCCTCCTGGCGTCCTCGACCCTACTGCGTCCAATTCCTGCTCGTCTCCTACCCATCACGACGACGTTCGATCTAAAAGAAAGGGCTGTTGACTTTCTCCGTCTCCCAGATGGAGTTTGTGGCGAACGCTTTCGGGGCTTTGGGCTCGGTCTGTGTGTGCGCGTCGGGATACGGATAGGAGGTGGTTCCAGGCGGTCGAGCGGTGGTGGAATGTCGCCGCGGGATGAGTCGGGAGGCGATGGGCGGATCGAGCAGGTGAAAGGAGGTGCTTCGTTAGTGCGTGAGAGCATTTCTGAATGAGTGGTATGCCTGTGATTGAACGTACAGACTGTCCTCGCAGACTGCCGGTCAATCGTCGATCGCGCTCCATCATGTTGACGTCCCACGTATCCAAGGTGTGCCGCGCGGGCTAGGTGCGAGAATCCTGGTAATCAGTATAGAATAGAGCGCCATGTAATGCACCGTGTGAAGTGGATCGGTCGTACCTTGCCATCGTTGGTCATTCGACGAGCGGCGGAGAAGAGCGTGCCCGTCGCGGCGAACATGACCGTCAACAGGCCTGTGGGAAATCAAGGTGGGTGGAAGCGATGAGCCCATAGATCGTGCATCGTGCATCGTGCATCGTGCATCGTGCTAGGATGGCTGCCTGGCATGAATAGACGCACCAAAGGGGATCAAGGCTTCGAAGGGGACAGGCTGCGATGCGGTCGGCCATGACAACCGGGAGAGTGTTAGCTCCGTTGCAGCGGGGACACTCCAAGCGATCGGTCACTAACCATGGTCGCAGATAGTGGGTTGAGTTGCGATCGAGTTGTGCGTGCGAGATGTGGACCAGGGAACGAGAGGCGTCGGGAAGTCGTCGGGAAGTCGCTCGCTCGCACCCAAAGTCTCGGCTTCTCATTCACCGGCCTTTGCTTCCTTTTGCTTCGTGCCAGCTCATTCGCGGCCCTGTCCCATCAGCCCACTCCGCAGCGCTCTACACCTCCCTCCCCTCTCGAGAGATGGCTCTCCCCAACCTACGCAACATAGTGAGCACCACACAGTTTGACGAAATGACCCCTTTCCTCGCCCAACTCGCCCAACTCGCCCAACTCACCCAATCCCCTGCCTCAACTCTCATCAGTTCGCCTCCTTCCGAACCGCGCACGAAGAACGACAATACTCCCAAGCCGCTTTTTACAAATTCCTTGGCTTTATCCTTGTTTCGCTTGGGATGAGCTTGGTCGCTCATAAAGGGAGGAGGGCGATCAAATGAGCCCCACGCGAACGGATCGGAAACCATCAATCCTCGGCACGAGCCGATGACTGAGGTGTTCCCTCGGGGTGCAAGAAGCCCGAAGCGAGTCTGCTCTATCATACCTTGCTTCGTTCCCACCGCCCTAGCCCCCTCCAACGTCACCCCGCCCGCCCTCCCCTCCCTCCCCACCACCACCACCACCACCACCACCAAAACAATCATGATGATCTCCAATTCAGCAAAAGGTAGACCCCCCTCTTTGGGAGGTCAAACAAAGTTCCGAAACACGATACCCCTTCGGCCCTAATCCTCGTCTATCTCCAACGATCCCTCGACTTCCTCTACCCACTGACGGACCGATCCAGTCAACCTCGAACGCAATTACTAGAAAAGAGCAGGATCAGGATCTTCGGAAGGAGAGTAACCCGATGCTCTTCCGTTCGGAAGAGTACCGTGCGTTTCCTTTTCTTGCGAAAACTCCGCTTCTCTTCAATTCGGTTCAAGGGCTTCTGGGTTATCCGTGGGTGGGAGTCGATTCGTTTTGAGATTCATGAACATCGGGTGGTGTAAGGGTGTCGGTTCATGTTGACTTTTTCAAAAAAAAAGGCCAGAACTGAATTGCTCGGGACACGGACTTTGGCTCTCTCGCTTCTCTATGCGTTCGTTTCGGAGATGAATGAAAGCTGATCCTGTTGATTTTTCGGAATACCCGACTACTTCAAGTCACGCAAAGGATCGATCCTTCGAAGACGAGGTTGAAGGAACGTCCACCGCAGCCGCCGCTCAAGCTTCGTCTCTTCGGCGGGGTAGGAGAAAGACCGACACTCCAAGTCAAGTCGATCAACGCAAGACGCATGATTCGCAAACCGTCTACACTGGCCAGTTGATTCGAGTGCGAACTCCAAGAGTATTCTGGCAGTGATTCGACCCTTGCTGGATAAGCGTTGGCAGTGCTTTTGGCTAGGATTGACGAGTTCGTGTTTTCAAAGATCTTGCACCCAGCAACTTGAAGCTTCCCAGTTTCAATTTGATGATTCCCGATCTTTGGCCCGGGGAGACGAGAACACCAACTTCAGTTAATCGTCGAGAGCGAATTCAATGGTGGGTTCGACCGTGAACTCGAATGGTAGTGCAAGGCCTTCGAAACTCAATTCGTCCAGCTTGACGAAAAACGCATGATCAACACTGTCCGGGAAGGGCCGAATTGCCAGAGGGAACCACTGGCCAATTTGGAAATCAGTTTCATCTTCAGTGTCATGTCAAGATTATTACGGATTGGGTCTTGCGAGAGGAGGAAAGCGGGGGGTTTTCATTCCCGAGTCCTTTTTTCTCAGCAATCCTATCTGCCAACCCTTTGCCTCTTCACCAACCCCACCGCAGAACCTTCTTTCTTCCCTGAATTGGAATCAAACGTTGACATTCGGCTTCTCGTCCGGTGCATTCGTCGTCGTCGCAGTCGGATCGGCAATCGTCGTCGTCGTCGTCACCGCCGGAGCGCCGACCAAAGTCGTCGCGACGACCGTTGGGCATTCCCTCGCGATATGTCCCTCCACACCACAAGCATAACACGTCTTGGGTGGACGAGGCGCACCCATCCCCGCTACTCCCACCCCCTTGACGCCTGCACCGATCGCTCCATTCTGTTGAGGAGGTGCGGTACAGAATTTGGCGAGATGGTTCGGTTGACCGCAATTGTAACAAATCGATCCGGGACGACCGACGAAACCGACGTGGTTGTTCAATCCTCCTCGACCACCGATTCCTCCGAACGGTTGGAATCCACCTCGGAAACCGCCGCGGAAACCACCTCGGAATCCACCGCGGGGTACGAAGCCGTTACGTTGGACGGCGGTCGGCGGCGGTCCATTGGGGTGCGAAGGGACGGCACCACCTTCGGCGTTGGGGCACGATCGGGCGATGTGGCCGAATTGACCGCACGAGTAGCACTTTTGACCACCGATCGAGGCGCTGCGCGAAGGGAGGAGAAGACGGTAAGCGATGGGCAGATCGTTCGCACCGAGCTGGGAGGTGGGGGGACGCCGAGACTGACTTTTGGCGCAAGGTGGGACACTCTGAAGCCAAGTGACCGATTCCACTGTGCCGGCGATAAAAGGTCTGCATCAGACTTGGTCACTCGATTGATGAGCCTCGAGCCGACCACAGACCTGCATCCATAGCACTGCTTGCTGTCGTTGGAACGGGGCTCGGGGCAGACGTTGGACTCGTGGTCGGGACTCTTGCAATTGTAGCTGGGAAGCGATTGCGAGCGAGGTCAGCTTGCTCTGAATGCAAGTTGAAATGGGACATGGACTCCAGGGCCAGCTCTTGCTGCCGCGACGACTCGGACTTTGGCGAACGTGAGAGAGAGAGGCATGAATACTTACCACAAGCGAGTGGGGCTATTGCAGTTCTCGGCGATGTCTGTAGGAAGTCGATACATGGATGAGTGTCTGCCCATCCCAATTGTGAATGTGGGTGATTATGACAGCCTTACGGGTCAAGGAACCACACTTGAAGCAGCCTTTGCGAGAGAGAGGGATCGACCTGGGGTGGGAGGCGAGGCGAGGGGGAGGGGTGTCAGTTGCGGGGATCTTTAGAGAGGAGACCAAAATATAGGGTGATGTCGCTGTGAAGCTGGGGCTCGTTCGAGGTCGAGTGGGGTCCGGTGGTGAGGTCGTCGCTCGGCGTCAAGGCCGAGGTGGGACGAGCCGATGAGGTTGCCAGAGGTGGATCATCGCCGAAGCAGGAACCCAAGGCAACGCGAGACGATAAGTTCACCGAGGAGAATGATCAGCTCACATGTTGACCCAGCGCGGGAACGTGCGGTCCGGTTCTGGCGACTGGTGTAGGATGCGGGGGGGTTGGTCGGTTGAGCGCGAAGACGGACGAGATCTTCGATGCGCGAGGAGGCGAGACCGAGCTCGTCGTCTGCTGCTACGGGTTCTATCTTCTGCTTCTGTTCTTCTCTCTGTCGTCCTGCTACTCTTCCTTCAACCCTTTGAAGCGTGGAAAGGAGAGCAAAAGAAGGGGTCGGAAGGTGTGAGATGAAAGGGGGAAAAAAAGAAAAAAGAAGAGGTGGCGGAGGGGGGAGAGGGGCGAAAGGAGAGGAATGCCTGCCCGCCCGCATCGCCCGGGGAAAGACGCCCGAGAAGCCGAGGCGAGCCGAGGCGCGCGCGCGGGGACGACCCATCGAATTACTGGTTACTGGTTTCCTCGTTGAGTGGAGGCAGAGCAGAGAGCTCGATTAAAGTTTGAAGAAAGACCTTGGATGTATTTTCAGAAAAAAAGAAAAAGCGCCAAACCCGAAATAGAGAAAGAGAATGATCGCGCTCCCAACTTGAAACGAGAGCGAGAGACGCCCGATACCGATACGAGCGGTCTGTTTGACCCCCCACCCCGAAAGGCGAGGAATATAGAGTCGACCCACATCCGTGCGACGCCAAGCTCGAATCAAGCAACATGTCGAGCGGATTAGAGAGTCAGTACGCCTTTCAGCGCTTACGGGGTGGTCTCTGTGGACTGACCTTGCTTGTCGACTCTACAGAATCCTTGTTCCAACTCAAGGTCAGGCTCCTGGGCCGGTACACCCCCCCCCCCCCCCCCCCGCCCCCACTCCACGACAATCGGACGGACGATCCACCGTCCCGGCTCAACACTGACTTGAGCTCAATCACCTCCACAGTTTACGACCAAACAACTTCAAAAACAATCGCGTAAAGCAGCCAAGGATGAGACCGCGGAGAAGGCCAAACTGAAAAAGGCACGTCGCTCCGAGTGATCCACATCCCCGATCTAATGATCCAAGCTGACCCATCCCTTTTCATACATCAGGCCCTCCAACAAGGCAACACGGAAGGAGCTCGGATCTATGCCTCGAACGCGATCCGTAAGAAGAACGAGGCGTTGAATCTGTTGAGGTTGAGCTCGAGGATCGATGCCGTTAGTTCGAGGGTCGAGACCGCCGTGACGATGCGTCAGGTCAGTACGGGGCGATCGATTGGGATGTGCGAGTCGAAGAACTGATGCATCGGGTGTTCAGGTTACGGGTTCCATGACGGCTGTGGTGAAGAACATGGATCGCGCGATGCAGGACATGAACCTCGAGAGGGTACGTTTCGACCCCGCTCGCTCTTTCAGCAGCACACCAACCAAGTCCCCACCCACCTCTCTCCCCCCTAACCCTAACCTGAATAGATCTCGATGGTGATGGACAAGTTCGAATCGCAATTCGAAGACCTCGACGTCCAAACCGGTTATCTCGAAGGCACCTTGTCCTCCGACACGGCGATCTCGGCCCCGACGGACCAAGTCGACTTACTGATGGCCCAAGTCGCGGACGAAGCAGGGTTGGAGGTGCAGCATGAGTTGGGGCAGAGCGAACTGGGGAACAAGGTGCCCGAGTTGACGACGCCGGTCGCGACCGAACAACAGGAGGATGCGTTGGCGGCGCGGTTGAGGGCGCTTAGACCGGCTGCGGCGACGAGTATGTGAGGTGGCCGAGGGTGTATATGTGTTTTGGGTTGTTTTCTTGTAATACTTTAGCTCTCTGTCTCTCTACTTTGGCGGTGAGCGCCGACACCGGCCAAGAAAGATCCTCTAGAAGCCGAGTTCTTGCTCTGCCAGAAGAGCCCCGTCCGAGAGCGGCGAGATGAGATGAGGTGGGTTGATGGGAATTGGTTCATGAATCAACACAAAAAAAAAAGGGGGGTTCATAGGTGGTCGCACACGTCAAAGACTCGAGGGGTGGTCATGGTCATCAGTTGAGCCAAGGATTTATGCCAAAGGCGAGATCAACCTGGGTCGGGTTCGTACGCGACGGTCAGCGCGATTCCAAGGAAGAGTAAAGGCTCGTGCAAGGACGAGCCGGTAGGTTGGCTTACTTGATAAGGTTCGGTCTCGGGGTCGAGTTGGTGTAGCCGACCCAAAGGATCAACGGAATCCAACCATAGTGAGCGACCGTCTGGAGGGGGATGGTAGGTGTGGAGAGGGTCAGTGGTGGTGGTTCGGGTAGGTGAGGTAAGGAGGGGGGGGGGGGGGGGGGTCGTTTACCTTGGCGTATTCGACCGTTCGGATGATGATGTCCTGGGTAGTGTGGCGGCAGGAGGAGCGAGACCGTGTCGTGTAAGCGTCCTGTAGGAGGAGCCCTTTGAGGACGATGCGACCGACCTTGGTATCCTCGGAAAGCATCGTGTACGAGTTTGGGGGTGTATGTGGTCCACGTCAGAGCGGTGAGCTTGAGCCTGGGCTCGACCGGATCTTTCACGAGGCGCCTCGCAGCCGCTGAGCAGCCTCTAAGCAGCCGCTTATTACCGCTTAGCAGCCTCTCCGAAGCGTCGATTCGATCCGGTTCGATTCGCCAGCCGAGGCCAGCAGGCGGTGATGCGCTTCAACTATCCGGGCTGGCGCGCTTTCCTCTCACACCACACACCACCACCACCACCACCACCACCAGCACCAGCCTACACCCCCAATCGACCCTCATGTTGAGCTCGACGGCCTCGCTGTCGCTCCAACTTTTGTCGAGGAGGACAGCGCTGTACGCCTCAAGTGCTGCTTCCACCCCCGCCGCAGTCGGACCCTCGATGACGCGCACTGGCCGCAACGCTGCCGGCCTACTCCCCGCTTCGTCCTTCGCTGCACGTCGTCGAGCGTATGCGACCCAGCAGAGTGCGAATCAACGGACAGCCGAGGAGAACGCGCCCGGTGCGGATACCACGCCTGCTGCCACACCGACGCGTGGTGCGCCTTCGCAGCCAGCGTCAGCGCGCTCACCCGCACCCGCACCCGCACCCACCGCCACCGCCACTCCTAGCGATGCCCCAACCCCCGCCGCCCCTTCTCCCACAACACCACCATCCGCCTCGGACCCTATCACCCCCCCTGCCCCACCCGCCGGGGTACCGCTCTCTACCTCCTCCCCCTCCCCGTCCGAATCGGCCCTCTCCCGCTCGAGTTCCCTCGCCGAATCCTACCTCGACTACACCCAAGTCGCGGCGAACCCTTCCCACACCCGCGGCTTGACCTTCCCCGGCGATACCACCAAGGCCAAAGCCAAAGGATCGGGCACCAAATCCTCGATCGAACAGAAACGAGCGAACCTCACCCGATTCTTCATCGGAGCCGGCCTCCTCTCCGTCGGCTACGGCGCGTGGTCCTTGGGCAAACCTTGGCAGAACGAGGGAGAGATGTCAAAGTTGTGTGGTCGGAGCGAGGACCACGATGCGATCCAGGACGCACAGTTGGGCGGCTTCCAGGGTTGGGTCGCGAGGACCAAGTTGAGGGGGTTCGACATCCTCGATGTGAGTGCCGAACTCGACCGCTCGGCACCACCTTCCTCGAGCAGAGCCTGACGTTCTGTTCGTCCCCACCTACAGTACTACAACAAACCGGCTTGGGACCCTCTCCTGCCACCGCCCATGCCCGAACCCCATTACCGACCCTACACGCTCGTCATCGACCTCGACGACATGCTCATCCACCCGATATGGGATGTCAGTCAACCACTCAAGCAAAAACAACAAAAAAAGTCACGGCATGCCAACTGATTTTCCTGCCTTTTTTCCTTCTCTAGACCAAACATGGTTGGAGGACGGCCAAACGTCCGGGCGTCGACTACTTTCTCGCTTACCTCTCCCAGTTTTACGAGATCGTGCTCTTCACCTCTCAGCCTTCCTATGTGAGTACGCGCCGGCGCATACGGTCCCACGCGATCACGAGCTGACGCTTTGTCTTGGTGATGTAGACTGCGGCGCCCATCATTGAACAGCTCGACCCTTATGGCGCTTACATCCCCTGGAAGCTCTTCAAAGAGTCGATGAGGTTCAAGAATGGCACCTACATCAAGGTGCGTTCTGAAAGCGATGATCCTCTCCAGCGACTTGCTAACCCGCCCATCACCTCAACACAGGATCTCTCCTACCTCGACCGACCGCTCGAACGTACCATCATCCTCGACACCGACCCCTCGTACACCCAACTGCAACCGACGAACGCGATCCATCTCACCCCGTGGAAAGGGACGCGCGGGGACCCCACCTCGAAGGAACTCGTCGCTCTGATCCCGTTCCTCGAAGCCTTGGCGGTGAGGAGAGTGCAGGACGTTCGACCGGTCATTCAACATTACGAGGGGAAACATATCCCGACTGCCTATGCCGAGGTCGAGGCGAAGATGAAGAAGGAGCTCGTGGACAAGTGGGAGAGGGAGAGGGAGGCGATGGGCCAGGGGTGGGGGTGGGGGAGGTGGGTGAGGGAGGCGTTTGCGGGAATCGCAAAGGTTCGTCATATCGCAAACATACCGTGTGATGGTTTCATGAGTCGCAACTGATGCTTCTTGCCGCGAACTACAGAAACCTTTGGACCAACCCCCCGAATTGGACATTGAGAAACAACGCCGCATTTCGCAAAATCTGTACGAGGAGGAACAAAAGTATTGGAAGGAAAACGAGGCTTTGATCAAGAAGCAGATCGAGGAGGACAAGGAACGGCAGTTGAAGGAGATGAAGGGGAGCTTGTTGACGTTTATGGGAATCGCGCCACCACCGCCGGGACAACAGGCGCCGGAGGGGCAGGCGGGAAAATAAGGGTTGAACGAGGCATTGTCTGTGTGTGTTTCCAATTTGTCACATCATGTATGGATTCGTTCAACAATGACGGCCTTGGGCAAAGAGTTTTTCGATGTGTAATCACCAGAATCCCCCATCACATGAACCTATCCGACACAGGTGTTCGTGGAATATCCTGAACCCAGCTTCGTTACACAGAAAAAATTGAGAGCCCATGGAAGAGATCTTGCAAAAAGGAGGTGGACTGGGAAGAGAAAGGGTGGCGGTCCTACTCCTCGAGACTCTCGCGCACTTCGGACCAGTTGTCCATCGGTTTCGCCGCCGCCGCCGCGTGGTTCGACGACGACCATTGACCAATCCCACCGGCTTCCTCATCGTCCTCTGCCTGATGATGAGCATACCCACCCCCATTCATCCCCTCCTCGTCAGCATGATGCGCATAGCCCCCGTGCTGTCCCACCTCCTCGTGACCCATCAAAGCTTCTTCATCCTCCATCTGCCCTCCCTCCTCTCCTACATCAACCAATAACCCCTGAGCCTCTTGTTCAACCATTTGAATCTCCTGTTCCAAGATGGACGCGTCCTCCTTCTCCCTCTCCAAAGCCATCTCCCAAACCTCAGCTCCACCAAATTCATCAACATGTTCGACGGGGTCCGCGATCGCCGAAGCTTGTTTAGGTTTCTTGGCTTGTTCCAACGTCTTGCGCCACTGAGCGACCGCTTTGGAAGTTTGTGAAGGCGCATAAGTCCTTGAGAACAACGCCGCTTCGGGTGCTCGATCGGCGGCGAGCAGAACGTCGACGCAAGCCGTCGGTTCGGAAAGTTGTAAAGCGCAAGCGAAAGCGATATTGTTCAACCCGGACGTACTCGCCAACTCCTTCAACTCGCTCAAACCTTGTCGATCGCCCGTGGAGGTGTAAATCAACAACAAGGCCGAGAGGTCATTGGCCATCTTGAAGCATTCTTCGGCGAGTTGGATCTTCCAACTCGCCAAAGCTCGATCACCGACCGTTCGCCATTTGGGTTGCGAACCCAAGTGGGGACTCGTACGCGCGAGCGCCAAGGCGGTGTCGAGGTCGTCGAGTTGGATCGCGAGGTCGAACTTGTGGTCCGGATCCGTAGAGACTTGCAACGCGAGTTCCTTGAGGTCTTGTGTCTCCAAGAAACGAGCGAGACGATTTCGTTGTTCGGGCGCGACCGTAGGCAAGACCTCGCTCGCGGCTTCGAGATCGCCACGCAAGATCGCGGTTTGGTATTCGATCACCGAGAGAGAGAGAGAAAAAGCGTAAAAGTTGACACCCTTGTCGCACAGGTAAATGCGGTTATGCGATGGCAAATACCCGAGCAAGTACATTTGGCTGTGGGTTCAGTTATCCAGGGCACCGCTTATTAGTTTCCACGCAAAGCAAGCGACTGGGGCAGCGATCCGAACTAACCTGTCAAAGTGGGTGACGTTATGGATTTGACCACCGACGGCATAGTTCAACCGGTTCGCATCGGTCGTGTACACGAAGCAGTCACCGATCCACTTGCCGGTTCGCACGACATCGGCAATATCAGCCTCGACATCGAACGCCTCTTCGACCCCCTCGTCGTCCAACTCGTTCCCACTCTCGACGTAGTTGAGGTAAGCGTCTCGGTCGTACTTGAGCACGTAGAACGAGTCGGCCCCGGCGATGGCGACAAAGTTGCCCGTGCCGGACCAGTAAACGTTCCTCACATCGACTTCGATGCGACGCACGATCGCTCCCGAGTCCCAGTCGTAGAAGACGACAAAACCCATCCCTTTGACACCCAAAAGCGTTCCACCGTAGATCCCATCGGTCGTGTAACCGACGTTGACGAGGTTCGGGCGTTCCTTGAAGTTGCGGAAGACCTTGATCTTACTGTTCGCCTCGCGCACGGCGTAAGTGTTCGAGTCTAAGGCCCAAGCAAAGCCGACACCCGGACCGAACGACTTGTTGCGCCATGCGAGCGCGGTGTAGATGATGTACTCGCCATCACCGCACACGGTGACGAATCGACCGTTTGGCGAGTGCTGCAACGACTGCGCGTAGACCTCGGTATTGCCCAGCTCGCGTGGGGCAACAGCAAGCTGTTGTCCGTCAGGGACGTTGTCATCGACGGCCGATTGCATCGTCGCGGTCAGAACCTCGGCGTTGCGCGTGAAGACGACTTTACCGGTGCCGTCCATCGAGATGGACGGTTCCTCACGACCAAGCTTGACGACAACGGCGCCTTCGTCGAAACCGAACGCAACGTCGTTGCCCTTTTTGGAGTAGGCGATGCACCATACTCGCTCGAGTCCATAGTCGAGCGTGTTCTCCAACCGGTACGTCGACGAGTGCCAGATCTTGACGGTGCCGTCCTCGGATCCAGAGATGAGGATCGGTAGGGAAGGGTGGAAGATGGCGAACGAGACGTTGGACGAGTGGCCCTCGAGGGTCTGGATGCATGATTTGGAGAGGTAGTCCCAAATTTTGATCTGGCGATCGTCACCGGTCGTGACAAGGTACGGCTTGTCGCCGCCATGGTAGTACTCGACGTAGTTGACACCCTTCTCGTGCGCATCGAGGGTGAAGTTGGCCGTGGCCGATCCGAGGGACCAGACCTTGACGGTGCGATCCAAGCACGCCGAGGCGAACGTGTTGGCGTCTTTTGGGTTGAAGGAGAGGTTCATGATGTAGTGGGTGTGTCCCTCAAAGACCTGGGGCGAGGGGTAACAAGAGTCGCGTCAGTCACGCTGAAAGCGGTGGGACGGTCTGTGTGGACCCGAGGACTGACTTGGATGCACTTCCATCCCTTTTCCCAGTCCCACAGCTTGATGGTCATGTCATCGGATCCGGTGAGGACCAAGCTCTGGGTCGGGTGCACGGCCAAGCAGCGTATGTAGTCCGGGTGGGCCTCGAGCGCGGTGACCTTTTCGCCCGTGTTGTAGTTGAAGACGCGCAGGTGGAAGTCGTCGGATCCGCAGATGAACCAGTTGCGTCGGGCGATGAAGCGCACGCATCGTACGGGGACCTCGGTCACTTCGAACGTCTTGATCACGACCTGTGGAGAGGGGGAGCGAGCAACGGGGAGCCGTGGCGGCGTGGGTTCGTACGAGGGGGGTTAGGGATTAGGGCAGGAGGGAGCGGGTCAGCTGCGTTACGATACAGGCTGCTGGTGGTAGATTGACGTACGCCTGTGTCGATGTGGTAGATGATGACGTTTCCGGTGTAGAGACCAGCACTGCGAGGAGGAACGCGTGAACGCGTGTCAGGTGGTGGAGCTGTTGGAGCGAACGGTAGCCGGCCGATCCGGCGCGTCTTACATGAGCCCTGTAGGTGCAAGTGAAGGGTGTGGTGTCAGTGGATGGTCGCATACGTCGAAGTGGACAGCGTGCGGCAGTACTGACATGGTTCTGATGGATGGATGTCGAGGGACTTTACCCGGTCGGACCTCGCCAGCAGTTTGCCTGTGGTGCGCCCGCGTTCTTGTCGGTCAGCGGATGGCTTTTAGCGCCTCTGAACAGAATCGGGGACTAACGGTTGATCTCGAGCAGCATCGTGGGGCAGGGTGAAGGCGTTCAGTCGGGTCGGGTTCAAGCTCTCTCGAGGCGCGACGTCGGCGGCGGGTCACTCGTCACGAATAGTCACACTGGCGGGTGACACGCGCGGGCCTGCTGGGCTCTGCAACGTCGAGAAAGGGTCTGTCTAGCTCGCACGCCGGGAGGAAGAGAAAGAACAGGCAAGAGCGAGATCACGTGCAGGCTCCCAAGATTAGACGCAACGAGGTGGTGTAGGTCGTCGGTGGCTGAGTGGGGTGTGCCGAGTGAGAGTGATCCGGCGCGCGTCGCTTAATAGCAGGACTTGGGCTTATTACTGCTTATTACCCATGCCCAATGGTCGCTTAGCCCAGCGTGCGATCGTAATTCGCAAAGGCGGCCTTCGCGCACGCTCGCTCGTTTCTCCTTCCCGCCTGCTCATCCGACCCATTCTCTCCCCCTTCCCCCCTTCCCCCCTTCCCCCCTTCCCCCAACCATGTCGTCCAAGATCAGCGTTTCCAGCGTGCGAGGTTCGATCAAGACCCTTCTCGAAGAGTCGACCGGCGAGAAGAAGCGCAACTTTGTCGAGACCGTAAGTTGGGAGCGCTCCGCAGACCGAGTGGCCACCGTTCCCGGGCTTGAGAGCACGCACTCGCGCACCGCGGCGCCGTCTTGGAGGCATCATTCGCTGATACGAGCACTCCGGGTATCCCATCACAGGTCGAGTTGCAAATCGGCTTGAAGAACTACGACCCCCAACGAGACAAGCGTTTCTCGGGAACCATCAAGTCAGTGGTCGCATAAGCGTCGAGTCTCTACGGTCGGTGCGGTCGTGGGCCCGGCCGCCCGTCGTCGTGCCTGGGCTCGTTTTTTTTCGCGGGCGCTGCGACCGCGCGTGCGCGCGTGCGGGTCGCGGGCGGGTCGCGGGCGGGCTCCTCTTCTCGGCCGAGGCAGCCGCTTCGACACCCTCCGCCCCACGCACCCCGCCCTCGTTCAGGCTCAACACACCCACCTCAAATCTGTGAATGTAAATGCTCACCCGTATGCTCACCCGTACCCCTCCCCCACCCCTCTCAGGCTCCCCCACCTGCCCCGCCCTCGCATGTCGATCTGCATTCTCGCCGATGCGGCCGACATCGATCGCGCCAAGCTGATCGAGCTCGAGTACATGTCCGTGGACGACTTGAAGAAGCTCAACAAGAACAAGAAGCTCGTCAAGAAGCTCGCGAAGAAGTACGACGCCTTCCTCGCCTCCGAGGCCTTGATCAAGCAGATCCCTCGTCTGCTCGGCCCCGGTCTGTCCAAGGCCGGCAAGTTCCCGACCCCCATCTCGCACGCCGAGGACCTCGGCAACAAGGTCTCGGACGTGCGCTCGACGATCCGCTTCCAGCTCAAGAAGGTCTTGTGCCTCGGCGTCGCCGTCGGCCACGTCGAGATGTCGGACGACCAGCTCGTCGCCAACACCATGTTGGCCGTCAACTTCCTCATCTCGCTCTTGAAGAAGAACTGGCAGAACGTCAAGTCGTTGACGCTCAAGTCGTCCATGGGCAAGCCCCACCGCATCTTCTAAATCGACCGTTCTCTTGAGATTCACTCGACGTCGCTCGTCAACTACTTCTTTTCCCGTTCGATCGCTTTTCTTATCTTTCAACACAACATCAACCGCCGGACTGGACAAGACCGAGGAAAAATTCAAGTCGTGACCCCTTACACAACAGACCATCATTCGCACGCTGGGTACCAACACGAGGCATTAAGTTGCTAGTTCGCGCTTGGGAGCAGGGGGTTCTTCGGCCGGTTCGTTTTTCTTGACTTTTGTGGAGGTTCCGAGGTGGGTCTGTGTCGGAGGGGAGCAAGCTTGGGAGGAAAGAAGATTGGCGTTTCTCTATTTTTTGTAGGGACGGTGTTGGCGATCTTCTTTTTTGGACCTAGAATTTGAATGATGATATAAAAAGCTAAAAAGACCAGCTATACCCGTTAATGTCGAGAAGATGAGTTGTGCGCGCCTCGCTGCCCTGGCAATCTTTGAACTCGCGCCCACACGTGATCGAACCCACCCCGGCGCTGGGACGGACCACAACGGGCGGGTAGACCAATGTCGACGACGCACATCTCCTTGGAACCACCAGCCATCACAGCTCAGGATGGCTTGGACGACGATCTCTTCGTCCCAGCCGCCAGGTTGTACGAGGTAACGCATGACGGGCAACAGGTCTTGACGAGGCAAGTGGGGTATTGAGCTTGATCAGGACCGCGCATTGTGCTGATCAGGGTTGTGTGTTGGGGCATTCGATAGAGAGGATCCGAATAAGCCCCCAACGGAACGGTTGTTGAGGATATGGCAGGAACGAGGGGACTTTTCACAGTTGACGACTCGGAGGATGAGGGACGAACAGGGCAAGGATCTCACCAAGTCGTCGACAGATGAACACAGTGGAGAGCAAGACGAGGACAAGGACGACGTGCACGAGTTGGGCATCACACCGGAACAGATGAGCGAACTACGGATGACGATGATGCAGCAGTTGGAGTAGGTCATTGCCCGCTATCGCTGAGTCTTTGCAGGGCCAGTCCACTGATGGACCCCCGTTCTCTCACTTCTCTCACAGTCTCGCTCGGGGTGAACTGACTACAGCTTTGGACTTACTGTCCATCATCGCTGCACCTACCGTAGCCACGACCGTTGATGCCGAAGGTCTACCCCTACCTCAACAAACGCTCACCATCGTTCCTTCCGCGCCGCCCATTCCTTTACCCTCCTCCGAGAACGACGATTCGGCGAACGAGCATACCGGTGCTTCAACGTCCCTCCTTCCATTGGCAACTTCCGTCGCATCATTACGAGAGTCAGCCAACTCGTTCTTCTCCGTTTCGAGCCAAGTCCTCGCTTCCACCTCCAACTCCACTACGTCCACTTCGACCTCCTCATCGCGCAACCCCACCTCGAAACAATGGTCAACCCTCTTACACCTCCACACCTCCACACCCTTCCCTCTCATCCCCTTGGGGGCCCGATCCAATGCTTCCTTCTCGGGTCAAGGTGAAACCCGTCTGGCCAAACAAGTTGGGGTGTTCTATGGATGTGCCGAGGCGGCTCCGTCGTTCAGGAGGGCTGGCGTCGCTCAGGTTGAGCAGGTTTTGCAAGAGGTTGAGAAAGGGAGCGAAGGGACGGGGAAAGGAGTGGGGAGGAAGAGGGGGAGAAAGTTGGTCGTTGAAGTGGAGATGGAGGGGAGGGGTAGAGATTGGTGCGTATGGACGTCTGGAGCTGCGGAGAAGGAGGGGAAGGAGCAGGGCGTCGAGGACGTGCTGAAACAACGAGGGCGGAACGTATTCGCGGAGGAGTTGTTTGCTGTCGTACGTACTAGTTTTGGCTTCGCGGTGTTTTTTGAATTCGGAGACTGGGGAAGCTGATCCCAGTTTCGTCTCTGACAGCTATCGAACGAGGCTAGGTCGGATGCGAGCGTCAAGTCGCGACTTGAATTGGGCAAGCGATCCCAGGGCGACTCGGTCATCACAGAGGGACATGGTTGGAAGCTAAAAATCACAATGGTTAGTGACACATGTTGCACAACATGAAGCCCGTGTTCATGTTGCTGATGCGAGCGACCGAACACATGCAGGTTGCCGATCCGAATCCCAAACTCGAGGCACCTACACCAGAACCAAATGCGATCGCGCCGCTTTTGGTGCCCCTTCTGCGACTCTTACTCATACAAGAATACATCAGACGGAGATCTCCCACCTCGTTCTCGGCTTCGATCCCCATCCTTCCGACCGTGTCCGCCTTCCTGTCCCACCTCTATCGGCTCAACTCCCTCTGCGGAGTCTTGACGACCCTCACATCAACCATCGATCCTTCGATCGCTACGTCGATAACTTATCACCCTTCATTGGCATCAGCACCTCTTTCAGCGGTCCGCAAAATCCTCTCCCCTCTTACAACCTCAACCGAACTCAAAGAACTAGGCGGTCGGATAGTCCTTCGCATCGGATCTTCACCTACCTCCCTATTCTACATCTCTCACTCAACTCTACTCCCCCAACCTTCCTCGACTTCACCGACTAACCCAAGTACCAATCCTAGTCCATCGATGGGCATGTCGGCGTTCACTTTGGCTTCGCATCAGGGTTTGGTATTGCAGGCGCCGAGGAGTGCTCCGGTCGTGGTTGGGTCGGTGGGACAGTTAAAGGGATTCCTGCAAGAGCAGATAGGGGAGGTGCTGAAGGGGTATGCGGGCAGGGAGGAGGTGGAGGAGGTGAATGGAAAGGAAAAGGAGGGTATGGAAACTTGATCAGAGTAGTTAAGTTTAATGAATAAAGGTGCAGAAACCTTTGTGTGACATGACCCCGACCCCTCGTGAGCAAAGAGGGGATTGGACCCATAGATGAGATTTCTCGGTTACGACGTACTGTATCACTTTTTCATCCACCGGGTCGATCCTCCACTGGCCAAAGCATGGGCAGAAAAAATGTTCGCCCACTGCAACGACGCTCGGGACTCTTTCCGGCACCGCCCTCACCCCCCTCAGCACCGCCAGCACAGGCCGTGCGCCCAAGCCTCCTTCATGCCCCTCGCGGGGTACGTCGGTTGATTTTGCGTGAATAATTGCCTTGATGCTTGGATGAGCTCGCACGCGTATAGGACAGGCTGTGCCGGGGCCTGAAGAAGGGCGTTCAATCGAGTCAAACTCGTCGTCTGCGAATTCGGCGCGCGGCGGTTGCTTCTCCGGGGCGAGAGCTGTGGCGACATCAAAACAAATGGGGGTTGAAGAATAACAATGTATTTCAGATGCCAGAATCGAGAATCACTGCATGTTTCCTGCGCCCCGTGCTGCTCGTGTTGCACCCGCATAGTTTTGATTGGTGACCGGGTGCTCTTGTCGCACACTCTTCGGAGAAAGGTTTTTCCACTAAAAAGAATGGGGGACATGCCTCAATTCTACTTGCGCTGCAGGTCGTCGAATGCTGCGCCGGAAGGGGCCCAGGAGGAGAGGACGAACGGCACGGTTCTCGCAATGTTCAGGCTAGGACGGGCCGAGCCCTGTGCATGACCAGCACACAGTTCGGTGGTCACGGTACGAGAAGACTCTTGAATGATCGCACATCTTCTCCTCTTCTCCTCTTTTCCTTTTACCTCATCATCATCCTTGTCTTACTTCTTCCCTCTGTCTGCACCCACACTCGTTTACACCCAATGACTGCGCGCCAACAACACAGCGCCAGAGCCACCGTCCTCACGACCCTCGTACTCTCCATCCTCACCTCCACTTCCGCCAAAGTCTCGCAACATGGAAAAAGAGCTGTAAACCCTGTATACCCCGTGAATGGAGCGAAATACGATTACATCATTGTGGGTGCCGGTACAGCCGGCGCGACACTCGCCGCTCGTCTTTCCGAAGATCCCTCCGTCACCATCGCTGTTCTTGAGGCAGGAAACAATCAACAGGATCTTAATCCTTACGCTTTCATCCCTGGTGCTTGTGTGGTTGGTGTTGGCGCTGATCCTAAGGATACTCAGCCCGTGAATGATTGGGGGCCGATTACGCAGCCTCAAATGGGTGCGGCGAATAGGAGCTTGCATTATGCTCGAGGGAAGGGAGTCGGCGGGTCGTCAATCAAGAACTTCATGGTGGGGATCGTGAAATTGGTGGGGACGTTCTTTCAATGTTTCGTCACCTGACCACAGGCTCGTTCGTTTTGATAACAGATCTACCAACGCCCGGACCGCACCGCTTTCGAGTCGTGGCAACGCGCCACGGCCGACGAGGCTTCACCGGGTTGGGGTTGGAACGACGTGTACCCTTATTTCACGTACGCATCTCCTTATCTACGTTTCTGCAGCTTTTATTAATTATCGACCGTTCTGCCCCCTCTCCAGAAAGAGTGTCACGATCACTCCAGCCAATGATGCGATCCGAGGTGCCCAGTTCAAGCCCCGCTACAAGTAAGCTATGTCAGCATCGACTTTCCCTCGCAAATGAAACTGTTATCAACTTCATGCCTTTTTCTTCTTCAAGTCCCCAAGCTTTCCCCGAGACCAACCCCTCGAAGGCTCCACTCCCTCTCACCTGGGCCAACTTTGCCTTCAACTACAGCGCGACCCTCACCGATGCCTACAACGAATTGGGCTACTCCCCCGCGTCCGACTTCTCGTCCGGTACGCTCAACGGGTATGCCTACAACCCGTCCACAATCAACCCTGCCAATGGTCATCGTGCGACGTCACAAATGTTTATCAAAAATGCACAACTCGGCTCAGCCGGGAGGAACCTCGTGGTCGCGACCCAGGTGCTCGCCAAAAGGATCAACTTTGACGCCAATATGAATGGTATGCTCCTCAAAGAAACGGTACACCTCATGGCAATCAATCGCTAATTTCTTAACCCTTGTATATCGCACCTACCCAGCGGTTTCGGTCACTTTCACCAACTTTTACGGTACCTTCGAGAAGACGATCTTTGCGAACAGGGAAATCATCATCGCTGCAGGCGCTTTCCAAAGTCCTCAACTATTGATGGTGTCCGGCATCGGTCCCAAAGAGCATCTCGCTCAATTTGGGTAACTCTGACGGCAGTCTCTCAATCCTTGAACACTCGCCAATTACTCACGCCCTATATTTGGAATTGCGCAGAATCAAGCCACTTGTCGATTTGCCTGGAGTCGGCCAAAACCTCCAAGACCACGCATTCTTCTCCCCAGGCTACGAGATCAAAAACAATATTTATAATCTCGGTGCTCAGACCCAACCTGCCAATTTAGGACGTGCCGAAGGGCAAGTCCTCAATCACAACCTCGGTTCACTCACCAATCCGGTCTCGGACCACATCGCCTGGGGTCGTATGGGCTCCGGCTTCTTCAAGGAACATCCTGCGGCGGCTGCAATCAACGACCCCAAAAAGCATGGAAAGCTGTCCCCACATTACGAGTTGATCTCCTCGGCGGGATTGACCGGCGATTTCAGCAACCTGAATAAGATGAACTCGGTTCTCGCCGCTCAGAAGCCTCCGCGTCTCTTCTATGCTCTTTTGGGCGCATTGGTCGCTCCGCTTTCACGAGGTCAGTGCGCGCGGCCTCTCTCTCGGGGCCCGGATCCAAGCGGGTGGGGCATTGATAACCCTGAGCTTTTGAGCAGGTACCGTCACCCTAGCTTCGGCCGATACGAAGGTCTACCCCAAGATCGATCCGAACTGGATCACCCATCCTGGGGACAAGGCGGTGGCGATCGAAATTTACAGGAAGATCCGCCGCATTTTCAATACCCGAGCTTTCAGGGCCGTCAGGGCCAATGACGAGGAGTACTACCCTGGTACATTCTTCGGGTGGTCGGTTCACTTCACAGAAACTGCACTGATCTCATCACCTCGACCTTAGGTCTCAACGTCACGACTAACGCTCAAATCCTTCAAACGATCCAAGCTTCGGTCCAAACGGTTTGGCATGCAGCATGGTCAGTTAGAGGCCGCCCCTGTGCGTTTGATTTACTAATTCGATTGTCGTAATTTGTAGCACCTGCGCCATGGGTGCTCGTTCAAAAGGCGGGGTGCTTGACCCCTATCTCCGGGTCCACGGTGTGAACCGTCTCCGTGTCGTCGACGCCTCAGCGTTTCCTATGCTCCCTCCTGGACACCCTCAATCGGTCGTGTGTAAGTAGACTTACTAACCCAACATCTACATGATACCCAGATCCCAAGCTGACCATGCCGATTTTCACGATCAGACATGCTTGCTGAACGTGCAGCCGATTTTATCAAAGAGACCCGCACGGGGGTGCGCATCCCTCCTCACCAGGTCACACTCCCCACAGGCGATTTCGGGGCTCCTTACACCGGTAATTAATTTTGAGTTGATTTTTCGAGCTCGAGACGTCACCCCGGATACTCTCGTGCCCTTGGAGACTTTTACCTGTTGCCTGCGAAAATCCTGAGTCGTGTCCGTAAGACCGAGTCTTCGACTTCGTTCCGCTATGCTTCTTGTATACCCCCCGGTTGTGCACAAATTATATCCCTCTTGTCTCAGGTGTAATGCAATCCGTAATTTTACTGCTTTCACACACACACACCACTTGTTCTATTGACAAGGTCACAATTGACACGATAGACGCGTGCCTGCACGACCCTTCTGAGCCGACAGGGTGAGACTTTCCGGTTCCATCACCGATTTTTTTTATAAAAAAAAGTCGGTGTCGGGGGAATCGCGTCATAATTTATAGGTCCACCTTTCAAGTCCCCAGCGGGCAATATTTCAGCAAGAGATCAGCTGTCCGGCAGATGCCCACGCGCCAGGACGTCGGTGTGAAGGCCTTGCGTACGCAAATTCGGCGAGCACGCTATGAAGCGCTTGCACCCGAAACTCGTTGGTGGGAAACTTCTCTTCTGTTTGAGAAAGTAAAACATTCTCAGACTATCTCTGAGATGCGGGGCTCTCGAGCACACTTTGGAAAGCTCGAGCGCTCGGCTTAGCTGCCCGACGCCCCTGCCATTAGTACTACCCTATCGAGAGCGATTCCTCCCCGCCAGATGGGAAAGACGGCGTCGTGCGGGCTTATCCTCCCTAGTCTGTGTTTTGGTTGAGCGGCTGTGCCGCCGCGGATTATGATCATAGTCAATTTCAGGAAGTAGCGCATTGTGCAGCTGAGGCCTGAGCACCTCAAGGGTCGTCACTTGGGACGGCCCCCACTTTCAGGAACTGAAGCCGAGGCACGAAGTGCGTAAGTACGAGAGCCGATGATGATAGTAAAGATAGTTGGAGAAAGAAGATAAGCGCTAAGGGAGCGCGCGCGAGGCAGGCTCGAGACGCGCGAGGCGACTAATATCAACAACTAGTAACTAATCATAATCGGGAATACCAATGGGATGAAACAGCAATATATTGACACCCACGTCCCGGATCGGTCTTGGCCGCAGCTCCGAGGGCTTGTGCACGCCTCCCTTCTCCAAATTGTCCGGTCGGAACAGCGGTCGTCCGGCGCTGACTGCCCTCGGTCGTCTGTGTCCTCTTGATCGTGGCTGCCTGTACTACCCAGCGCACAATCTCTCTCTTCCTTTTATACCTCCCGTCCATCATCACCTACCTTGTCCTCTTATTTCTGCCTCCTCTGCTGTCGCATCATCTCCAAGCACACTAGAGTCCATAATGACTGCGCGCGTGACCCATCATGCCCGTATCATCATCGCCGTGACACTCCTTCTTTCCTGCATCACTTTGACCTCGGCCAAGATCATGCAAGAGAAGAGGGCCCTTCCCTTGCCAGGTGCGACGTACGATTACGTCGTTATCGGAGCGGGTACCGCAGGCGCCACCATCGCCGCTCGACTAGCCGAGGATCCTTCCGTCACCGTCGCTGTGATCGAAGCTGGCGACGGTCTCCAAGACATCAACCCACTTGCCTTCATGCCCGGAGGCGATGTGCTTGGTGTTGGAGCGGACCCGTCCGACAAGCAGATTTTGAACGACTGGGCGCCGATCACGCAACCGCAGCGAGGGGCCAGTAACCGTCGACTCCACTACGCCCGAGGCAAGGGAGTGGGAGGTTCAACAATCAAGAACTTCATGGTCAGTACAGCAGCAGCCGGACGGGTGAAGAAGGCGTCATACTGATTTGAACGGACTGGCCAACCAGATATATCAACGACCGGACAAGAGCTCCTTCGACGCGTGGGAGCAGGCCACCGCAGGTCAAGACTCTCCCGGTTGGACTTGGGAAGACGTCTACCCGTACTTTACGTGAGCAACACACTCCACATTGTTCCTCGACCCAAGCTTGGCGAACCTACTGCTCATGCGAGGACTTGTCTATTCCTCCACCCTGAGCAGCAAGAGTGTGGTCATCACTCCTGCAAACAACCAGAAGAGAGGGGCTCAATATACTCCCCGCTACAAGTGAGTCAACTGACACCGAGTAATCATCTATTTGGCCGGTGGGCTGATCAGGTCTGATCGCATCCGCCCATAGCCCAGCCGCGTTTCCTCAAACCGACTCCTCGAAGGCGCCGCTGACACTCGGTTATGCCAATTTTGCCTTCGAGTACGGCACGACGCTTGCCGCCGCGTACGACGAGCTCGGATACCCAGCCGCATCCGACTTCTCCTCGGGTACTCTCAACGGCTACGCCTACAACCCCTCCACTATCGACGCGAGCAACGGGCACCGTGCAACCTCACAGAAGTTCATCAAGAATGCTCAAAACGAGGGACTGTCAAACCTCAAGGTGATCACGAATGCGATGGTCAAGAAGATTAACTTTGACTCGCAAATGAATGGTGAGTGGTGTACCAAAATGTGGGTTCCTTCCGCCCATTTTGACCAATCTTCGACATGTGGTGGTCCGTGCGCAGCTGTCTCGTGCACCTATACGACCTTGCTTGGGGCATTTCAAACGACTGTCTCGGCACGAAGAGAGATCATCCTCTCGGCCGGGGCTTTCCAAAGCCCCCAGCTGTTGATGCTCTCCGGGATTGGACCAAAAGCCCAGTTGTCCAAGTTTGGGTGAGTCAATTCCATATAGGCTGGTACATCCGCCGTTCGACATCGTGCGTATCACTAATGTACCTTTGTCATCCTCTTCGTGCTCAGCATCAACCAGCTGGTCGACTTGCCTGGCGTTGGGCAAAATCTTCAGGATCACGTATTTTTCTCACCGGGCTATGAGATCAAGAACCACATCTACAATCTTGGTGGAGAAACTCAGCTCTTCAAGCTGCTGCTGGCCGGAGGTTCGGCTCTGTTAACGAATTCGGGCTCGCTGACCAACCCGGTGGCGGATCATTTGAATTGGGGAAGGTTCAACGACTCCTTCTTCCAAGCACACCCCGAGGCCGCCGCCCTCAGCGATACGTCCCAATATGGCTCCCTATGGCCTCATTACGAATTTCTCGCGGCTCCCGGCTTGACCCAGGACTTCAGCAACCTGTTTACACTGAACAGCGCTTTGGCAGCGCAGAGTCCTCCGCGGTTCTTCTACTCGCTCCTTGGTGCACTGGTGGCACCACTTTCACGAGGTCAGTACTATGAGACCGTTCCGACAGGTAACATCGATCATTGAAGTTTCGATGCAATAATTGCATAACGCAGGTACCGTTAGCCTCGCGTCAGCGGACTCTAGCGTATATCCCAATATCGACCCCAACTGGATCACCCACCCGGGAGATCAAGCCGTCGCGATCGAAATCTTCAAAAAGATCCGCCGCATCTTCAACACCAAAGCTTTCAGGGCCGTGCGCGCCAACAACCAGGAGTACTACCCAGGTAGGAATATGGCATGCCTTGCAGTGCACGGGCGGCAGATCTAGCCGTGCTGACTGACAGGTGCCCCATATATGTTTCAGGCCTCGACGTCCAAAGCGATGCCGACATTCTCAAGACCATTCAAGCTTCCGTACAGACGGTGTGGCACGCAGCTTGGTGAGCCTGGATGGACTCATACTATTTGAAAGTATGACACTGATCGCGAGCCATTCCTCGGCTTGCAGTACCTGCGCCATGGGTGCTCGTTCAAAAGGCGGGGTGCTTGACCCCTATCTCCGGGTCCACGGTGTGAACCGGCTCCGTGTTGTCGACGCTTCGTCCTTCCCCATGTTGCCGCCCGGGCACCCCCAATCCAGTATTTGTGAGCAGTATATTTGTGCCTTGGGACGGTAGCTTGCACTATAGCTGACTTTTGAGTTCGGCTTCAGACATGCTTGCCGAGCGTGCGGCAGACTTTATCACAGCCACCCGCACCGGCGCAGCCATCACTCCTCCTAGCGTCACGATGCCCGAGGGCGACTCTGGTTCTCCCTTCATGGGGAACTGAGCAGACTCTTAAACTTACCCTTATCATATATACGGAGGCAGTATATCCCAATGACGCTAGTAACATTTCGTAACATGTGTCCGTGAAGGGCGTAGTTTTATGATGGGCTGGAGGGGACATCAGTGGGTCAGTGAAAGGCACGAGATTGCTCTCGAGCCTCACTGATTCCGAATCCAAACAGAAAGGATCAAACGGTGTATTCGCAGGCGAAGAAAGACTACCAAAAGGACTAAGGTCAAGAGGCGCCCGTGGCGCCGCGCGCAAGTAAAGCTTAGGCCGCTGAGGTTGGCTTGAGTTGTCGTGAGGCGTAAGCGGAGCGGCGCCTTACAGTCAGCTATAGTGGCGGAAGGGTTGGCGATTAACATCGATCCAAATGCCGCAACCCACCAGCCATAGTATTTCAATTTCACTATTCCATGGCTACGACCAGATGATCTAGAGAGATTGGCTTCCATTTCGAGGTCATGACAAGTTGAAACTTCACTCAGATAGTTGGGTGGGTATCGTGTCGACAGGCGAGCCCCAGGATTCATTTAGCGTGGACAATTCCGGGACATGCCAAATAGGACAAGCCGAGGCGCAGAACTCTGCAGCACGGTGGTCATGGCGGAATCCGTACTCATGTGACAAGCTAATTTCCTAGACAACCCCTCTTGGAACCAACAATGCTTGTAGGTAGGGCTAGGAGAAAGATCGACCTCAGTCGTTAGGGAGGTTGTACAAATGTCCGCACATGTGCGGACACTTGATTATAGGTCAATACATGACGAAATCGTATCTTTCGATGTCGTACGACACATATATAAGTATTCCTAGGTTGAACCTGCAAGAAGAATATGATACGGTATGTGCTGCAAGACTTATGATGATTTGAAATTTTCATGTGCGGACCGCAGCCTCATGTGCGGACATGTGTCGGTCAAGTGTCCGCACATGGCGGTCTGCGGTCCGCACTTGGCCCAGCAAAGTGCGGACCCATCCGGCCAAGTGCGGACCGCAGACCGCGGTGCACCGGGGGGCAGACGGCCACGACACATGTAAGGATGTATCCTTACACATGAGTTAAGGTCAATACACAACCAAATCTGTTCATCTTGATATTGTAACATCAACATATAACTATTTCTGAATGGTGTCTGCAAGGACTACATGATAGCATGTGTATTGCAAGACTTGTAGTGATTCAAAATTTCTGTGTCCTTACCGCACCTCCCGTGTACTTACCGCACCCTCGTATCCTTACATGTGTCGACATGTGTAAGAACACGCCCGCGCGCGCACGTGACATGCGTAAGGATACGCTCGCGCGCAAAGAGCACTGGCTGCTGCTGGTGAATAATTGACTCTTTCCGCACACCAATGGTTGTCAAAGTATCGCCATGCCCATTTTTGCACGAAGTTTAGTTATACATACTATTGCTGACCGCTATCATAGCCCCTACTGTACACTACATTAGTGATTGACAAGGCCAAAACTTCACTGGACCACTGGGGCACAACTTCGTGAGTCAAACTTGCCATCAACATGAATGTTCCCCACTGTAATTTCCTCCAGGAGCACTGCACCGCTGGAAAATATTGTAAGAGGAGAGCTTCGTCAGTTGTATTGATCTGCTTTCTTGGCGTTCCCGACACTCACTGTCTCGCATTCATGAAAAAAAGCCGACGCATCTTCCATCTTCCAGACACCTTGTCCTTCTTCAAGAGTCCCTTTGGGTGGTAGACTTGACACTTTGATGCCGATATCGGTAGGATCGGAGGGCTCATGGTATAGACTCCACATTTCGTGCCACTGCCGTGTTAGAATTAGGTTGAAGGCTTGCAAGAAGTCAAATGACTCCTCTTCTAGCTCGTAGAAAAGCACGGAAACTAATCCGCCAGCGTTCCTGTCCCCTATCGGCCTAGCGAGAGAGCCTTTGATTGCGTCGAAATGATAGCGTGTGGCCTCTTGCCCGTATCCAACCGTCGCGTTCGTAACGAAATGTGAATTGTTGATGTTGTACACTCCTGACCGAAGGCGCCAGACCATCTCCGGCATTTGGTCCGAAACACCGAAGCGTAGCTCAGCTGGGGCCAGTGAATGTTCCGGGTACATATTGTTGATGTTGATCACACTCACACGGGGGAGCGAGGTGATTGAAACGAATTGCACGTAAGAGCCTCCGGGGCAATTGCGCTTGTGATGCCGACGGCCTGAGTTCTTGGCCTCTGTGTACAATTTCAACGGTTGCCCAACGATTGAAGCGAGGACGTCCGACAACGTTTCCAGCGAATGCGAAGGCAGGTGGAGACTTGAGATGAGAAGGGGCCAGTCAACCACAACCTGTCGTCTTGGGGACACCTCAATCTGAATGCAGTTGCAGGCAGTGCAATACCCGGCTCGTTGAAGATGTAATTCGACGAGAGTTCGGTCGGGATCATTCAACGTGACAGCGCTTGGCAGAACCGGATGATCGACGGTGAACGAGTGAAGTGTCTCGAGCCAGGTCTGCCGAAAAAAGTGATGATCAGCGTCTAGTTTTAATCGTCTTGGGGGGGCGGGGTTCGCTAAGTGATTGACTGACTACTGGGCTACTATAACTCCCCCGCTTAAATGGAGTTGTAAAATGGCTTCCGCGCTCTTTCGACATCCCAACCACAGTGGAAATCATCCGTTCTCGTAATTGTGTGTATGCTTCAATGGCGTTCGCCGCCGGTTTCATATCAAACTTTCGAGCCAATGCTGTGTATTCGCGAATCGCATCCCATAGCTCGAGTGCCAAATATCGAGGGCGGAGCCTCAACACCATCTCATCGCCAAGTGGAGGAATCACGTAGGCCGTATGGGTGTTGAGGATATCCAGACACTGCAGCCATGGTTCCAATCCGTTGGCGACCGAGAGCAATGCGATAAGCGTTGAGTCAATCCAGCAAGAATTATCGCTCCACGGGCCTTGGATAATGACGACTGGCCCGTCTTCACCTGATCGAAGCCAGAAGTCTGCGTGGAGCTGCACAATCGTGCTACCGAGCGATGTCGACGTCGATGTCTTTGGCGGGGCGAATTTTACCCCTGGTGCACATCTAGAGTCCTCTGGGAGCTTGTCACTGGTGCGCTCGAGTGACGTCGACGTCGAAGCAGGTTTTGGCGTGGCGATTTCTACCTTTCTTGCAGATTTCGATGGCGTATCACGAAGGACGAAGATAGGAGAGGTGAGCCGGACGAAGGGGCTCGAGACGAGGGCAAGGGCGAGTGACGAGTTGAGAGGTGTTCTAGGGACTTCTCACAAGAGGCGAGGACGAGGGACGAGTGCAAGGATGTGACCTTTGACGAGATTCGAGTTGCAGAAGGGAAAGAGAGAAGTGAGCTACGGAACTGGGAAACTAGACCAGAGGAGTCGGGGACGAGGTGGCGAGCTTGAGGAGGCGAGGCATGAGGATCACGTAATAGTGTTGAGGCCAAGGATCACGTAATAGAGCTTGGTTGATGTTCACGTAAGAGTCGGGGGCGAGAGGGTTGTGAACGTATAGTTGGAGGAGAAGAAGGCAGTGCAGGTGCCGAAGCGGGGAGAGGAGGTCCGAAGCGCGGGAAGGCCGAAGTCACGCGGATGACGTGGGTGCTGAGAGGCCGAACTTGGAGTGGCGAAACTCCCATTCGTGACATGGCGCCAACTCCGACTTGGATGCAACCATGGACAGGGGAATGTCGAATGCGGACGTACATGTCCTCTTTGCCTCCGATTGTGATTCAGGTTCCGACAAGAGGAAGGCCAATCGTTTTCGAGGTATCCGGTATTTTCGACCACTGGGGGCTTCCAAATTTCGTGCATTGTGCTGCGCAAGAACTGTGAGGCGGAGGATAAATCAGAGCAGGATTTCCGTCAGCCAGGCCTCAGCGCCTCTGCACTCAGTCAACAGTCTGGGGCGGAGGCGTACGTATTTGGGACAACTCCGTTTCTTCATTGAGCGCCCTCACAGCGATAGGGACAACGGGGAGTCGTCGCGATCCGCCGCTGAAATCTGAGCGGGGAGGACTACCTTTCGATTTGGAATTGGACGTTTGATGGAGCTTGATGGAGCTTGATGGAGCGATCCGGCGGGGGAATGGCCTCGGATTAATTGCAATGAATTGATGGCGTCAATCCAACGTCGTCTGATGATTCGCTCGAACTATGCTCGTCAGACGGCGGGTCAGGAACCTTGCGCTTGTGGGGATAATCAACACGTCTTGAGCCCTTTTGGAGGCCATCGACTGCGTGTAAGGCGCCGCTCCGCTTACGCCTCACGACGACCTCGAGCCAACCTCTGCGGCCTCACGCTTGCCCTCGCGCGCGGCGCCGCCGCGTCTCTTGACCTTAGTCCTTTTAGTAGTCTTTCTTCGCCTGCGAATTACACCGTTTGATCCTTTCTGTTTGGACTCGGAATCAGTGAGGCTCGAGAGCGATGTCGTGCCTTTCACTGCGCAGTGGGCCCATTGCCCTGCCTTGACCGGTTCTTTGGTTGCTGCCGGGAACGATTTGACGTGGAAGGAGGTAATTTGGTTGATTCGCTCGGTGGTGGTGTTGCAGGACCCTTTGACGGGTCTGAAGGTCCTTGTGGTGACTCGGAAAACCCGATGCCAGCTAGACGAGCAGGTGCAGCGAACGAGATCGAAGGCTCAGGCATGTTGGCGTCACTGACGTAGGATGAAGGTACCCGATTGCGTGACTTGATCTCTTTGATATGAGCGCGGACGTTGCCTTGCTCGTGATAAGTGGAACTCCTGACATAGCCATCTGTTTTCAAAGCAAAGGCGAGAATGGTTTTAGATGAGGATAATGAAAGGCACGAGATTGCTCTCGAGCCTCACTGATTCCGAATCCAAACAGAAAGGATCAAACGGTGTATTCGCAGGCGAAGAAAGACTACCAAAAGGACTAAGGTCAAGAGGCGCCCGTGGCGCCGCGCGCAAGTAAAGTGTAAGGCAGGTGTGTCTTACGCACCTAATGTGGCACCCGGTATTTGAATTACATCAATTCAAATTGCTTTACTTTTGGATCACGCGTTAGGGTGCCGCGATGGGTTGGTGGTAACGCTATGCCAGGGCCTTACCGGTCGCATGACTTTCAATTCGGTCTGTCATTTTCGCGAAGTCGATAAGTCGCATCACCCCTTCCACCGGTCCAAAGCGTTCGCCACCACATGAATGGATTAGGAGCCAGTGGGAAGATTCCACCGCATTTGTTGTGGTAGCCACGCATCTTTCTGCGGATCCATTGAGTTCCTTGAATACCACATTTCGAATCGCCGGTCGTGTCCACCATTTGATCCAATTCTCTGACACAGGAAACTCGTCGATTGTGCGCTTTGCCATGGACTCAATCGATGCATGGGACTTCGCGTTGCGCATGGTGTTGACCAGCATTGCAAATCGTTCGCGCTCGGTTTGCGTACTGAGATGTCGGACCCCGAACCTCCTGACTTGCTCAATGAAGTGAAAGGCGCACCCGCTTGCCGCCTTCTCGCCAATCTGAATAGCCTCTGCAGTCCACTGTGACACCTGATTGGGTGTGACGTTCAAGCGTCCCACATCTGTGGTCTTGCGTGCCACGTACCAATCCGAAATGGCTTGGCGAAGACCCGAAATCTGCGCGCTTGAATAATCGACAACAAATGTGACTCCGTTGACGATGTCCTCCACGCTATAATTGGCATCGTCAAGAATCTGGAATAGGTGCGCAAAATGCCGGCGGTAGAAGCCCGATCGCTCGTGGTTGCCGACGGAGTACAGGATCGGAAACCAGCGACGAGCGCTTGGCGAATAGCAGACCGTGGCGAGCAACACCCAATTGTCGCGAAAGTAGGTGTTGTGAGCGTCGGTAGGCCATCCCAAATTGCCTTCGACTAGCCGGTCGTCAATCGTTTCCGAGAGCCTCGCTTTCATCTGAGGAGTCTGGATGCCAAATGACGTCTCAGAGTCGGTTAGCGAATTCGAGGTGATCTTCGACTTCGACCGCGACCCATCGTTCCTGGGTTGCTTCCGAGGGTCGGGATCGTGTATTTGCTCGGCAAGTGGCTGCCCTTGGCGCTGTCCCGGTATTTCGATGTACGCGAGGCAACCGGCATTGGCAACAGCTTCAATAGCTGACATCAACGTGTCGGGCGGGGCTCCATTACGCTTACTGTGGCCCACTCTTGGTGCGTATCTCGAGATTGATCAAGTGCTGTCGAATACAGGGCAAATCTCGGAGGCGGACGGCCGATGACGAGGGTCCTGCGGAAATGCGGTCATTTGTCCCATGCGCAGCTCGGCGGCCGATGCTTGTGGAGCGACTTTACGCAATTGTCGCAGCTCTTCCAGATGTTGCGGGGACGGACGCGACACCGGAGGCGGAGGATGCAAATGGTACCCTGAATGCCAGATATATATTTCCCCCGGGCATTCCTCACGCTGCCCTCGGGCAATCGTAGCGGAGTGTAAGGCGCCGCTCCGCTTACGCCTCACGACAACTCAAGCCAACCTCAGCGGCCTAAGCTTTACTTGCGCGCGGCGCCACGGGCGCCTCTTGACCTTAGTCCTTTTGGTAGTCTTTCTTCGCCTGCGAATACACCGTTTGATCCTTTCTGTTTGGATTCGGAATCAGTGAGGCTCGAGAGCAATCTCGTGCCTTTCACTTTTTTTTTGAAACCGACAAGTCGGCTGTACGACTCCGTCCTCACCAGACGTTAAACCCCGACCTTCGCAACCGCCCCGGCAACGCATGGTGCAGACCCGCTCAGCCGCTGCGAAGGAAAAAACGAACACGAACCCGAATCAGACCAGACAAGACACCGAGACCGATACCGAGACCACACCGAGACCGATACAGACACCGATACAGACACCGATACAGAACCCGAGACCGATACCGATACCGATACAGAACGAAGAAGATCAGATCACAGAGATGTCGAACGAGAATCGAGATACACCACCGCACACGGAGAGTACGGCACGACGAGTCAAGCTCGACATGCCGTCACTGAAGGCAGATTTCAAGTCAAGGGACGTGACGCGCTGGCTGGCAGGTTGCGAAGACGCGAAGGAGTCGGCGGAATGGAACTATGGCGGAACGATTGCCCCAGTGCACCTCATCCGTGAGGCTGGCAGCAAGATGGAGGGCGAAGGGGCGGACTGGTACATCGATTGTCGTGACAAGCTGAAGGCGCTCAAGTCCTGGGCCGACTTCGCACACGAGGTCAAGGCCCGATTCGTCAACGAGAAGACCGGGCTGGCCGCCGAACATGCCTTTTTCAACGCACACCAGAGCGGCCGCTTCAGCGATTTTGTTGCGACATTGACACAAGAACGCAGCCAAGCAGGGTCCGTCGACGGTACACCGGCCATCTCTGACGAACTTTTCAAGTGTCAACTCCTGCACCGATGCGACGAGCTCCTGTACCTTCGCGCAACCGCCTCCCCATCGTTTGCGCTCTCCAAGTTCACAGTCAACGGGCTTGTCGCATACCTTCAGACAATGTGGGAAGCCATCACCCTTGAGTGGATGACAACGGGGGCCCGAGGTATGAATTGGCGAAACGACCAAGTCCGCCAAGACCAAGGCGAGGCCGCACCGCATTCTGCGGGCACTCGAACACCCGTTTTTGACCGCGCAGCAACCAAGGAGAAGGCACTGCTCGAAGGGTGCTGCTTCCTGTGTAATGCTCATGGACACATTGCAACAAACTGTACGCACAAGCTGAGCACTGCGTCGCCGACGCCGACGGCCTTTGCCTCACGACCAACACCAGGGCCGAGAATGGTTGCAGCAATCCGAGCGTATGAGGACACCGGCGATTCAACCGCCTTTGTAGGCATCTCAAGCGATTCAGAAGATGATGACGAACAATTGTTCGCATCACAAGCCGGAGGAGGGAATTGATTCAAGGAGGGGTGAGTGTAAGGCGCCGCTCCGCTTACGCCTCACGACAACTCAAGCCAACCTCAGCGGCCTAAGCAGTGTAAGGCAGCTGTGCCTTACGCACCTAATGTGGCACCCGGTATTTGAATTACATCAATTCAAATAATGAAAGGCGCGCGGCACCCTAACGCATGATCCAAAAGTAAAGCAATTTGAATTGATGTAATTCAAATACCGGGTGCCACATTAGGTGCGTAAGGCACACCTGCCTTACATCCCACACACACACACGCACGCACACAAGTGAGTTTCTGTGGTGTAGAGTGAGTAGTTGACCTCCAAGCCCGTTAAGCTTTACAGGTCAACACAAACACGCGATGCCGGATCCGCCCGGCGCCGATGCGCCCCCGCCCGAGGACCTATTGGGTGGTAATGGCGCGAGTGATTCATCACTCAACACGCAAACGCGTGAAGCGGTCACTGGAGGAACCGCGAATCCTCCAGCTTGGTCGCCCGAGGCAACTCAGGTCCGGTTGGACCATGAGAAGCTGATGAAGAAGACCTTCCAAGTGCTCGGGATTGTTCCCTCCAGCAAGTCGACCCGCCGACTGATGGTCCTGATGCACGACGCCTCGACCCCACCTTCGCAGGCGCCAGCGCTCGCACGAGCCGCCCAAAGAGCGGTGCGAAACGACGCAGCCCCGGCCTCCAATGTGATTCGAGTCATTATGGATGGTCCTGGATCACCCAGAGGTCCTGTACAGACCGCGCTGCGCAAGCACTTTGGATTGGCCGAGACACCGTTCATGTTCGCGCGGCCCGAGGGCGTCGTGCTTGACCCCGAGGTCGAGAAGCTTTTCTCGAAATGCGTGAAGCTGAACCCGATTGTGACGAAAGCCACGAAGAGGTTCCCGATCGCTCGTCACATGTACGAGCTTGTATTCGAATCCGAGCAAGCTTGTCTTGAAGCCGCTTCAGCAGGCCCGTTCCCCTACCACGGCAAGGAGATGGTTACCGAGCTCCCCAGCGCCTCTCCCCTTAACCACGTCGTGCAGGTGCGATTCACCTTGCCCTCCTCCAGCGCGATCCCCGCTTCCGTGCTCCAAAAATCTCTCGATGATGCTATCACCCTTTCGTTCGGCCGTGCAGGTCGCACGCAAGGTTATACCCTGATGCAATTACAGCGGGGCCTCGCGGTCGATCCGAATGGCGATCCGATGGCCATGACCGAAGACGGGTTCCACTGCGCGTACCTTCGCTTACATGCTGATCTTTTCCAAGGCTCCATCGAGACGCAGAAGGCTGCGCTCAACGCCGCTTTGCCACAAGAGATCGAGATCCTGGGCGCCAAGTACGGCTTGCGACACGAATTCGAGATGCACTACTGCGTGGTGTGCGATCACGCCGGACACCAGTGGGGCGCTTGCAGGAAGCCGGTTTCGACTCCGGCCACCGCCGCCCCTGTTCCGGGGGCCTCGACCTCGACTTCGACTTCGACCACCGGCTTCCGAGTTGCTGGAAAGAATGGGAAGCACGGTGGGCCTGCCACATTGAACTCTCGTGTCTCTGGCGCGAACATGATCCAGCTGGGACCTCGTGCTAACCCCGCAGGTGCAGTAACCGCCAACAAGGACGACGCGAACGACGGCGACGACGAGTCGATCGTTTCGACCGAACCGGAGGGCGGCGACACTGGGGAAGAGACGTCGACGCGTGCGACCCTGGGCTCAACAAAGGAGACGCAGACGACGACGGCGGCGCCCGTTTCGACCCCGACCTCTCCTTCGCCTTTGTCCGGTGGCACGTCGGGATCATCGGCAACCTCGACAACCTCGACGCCTTCGTTCGAGCTCGGCACCCGGCAACCGACGTGTCACCCGGGCGGGATCCGCCATGATCCTCGGTGCATCAGGGGGTGATGGCTCAGGGGGTCACAGGTCCGAGGTGACCGAATTCGAGGGGGGCGGCGCTGAACTGATTTAATCATGATTGAGTCACTCACCGTGTTGACGTTCAACGTCCGATCGATGAAGAACACAGTCAACCAAGTCAAAATCATCCGTTATCTCAAAACCCTTCGGCCGGCCCCTGCGGCCATCCTCCTGCAAGAGCACCACCTCAGCTACAACGCGTCGCGCGAAGGCTTCGAGAGTGCTTGGCCGGGGGCTTGTATTCGTTTCACTCCTCATGTCCTTACCCTCATACCCGATGGCTCACCTTTGGCGGGCCATCTCCTTTCCTCTACCCCGGTCGTCTTTGCAGGAGCTCCTCGTTTCGACGGTCGGATTCTGCGCTCGGTGTTTCGTCTTGAGGAGCTCGATGTCGAGATCATCAACATGTACGCGCCGGTGCAGGAGGACGATCGTCGCGACTTTTTCGGGCTTCTGCACTTCAACGCCCCGAGACCCAAGATTCTTCGGATCTTGGCCGGCGATCTCAACGATTGTCCGGATGTATCGGTCGACCGAGTGTCCATCACCGATCGCGCTTGGACTCCTGTATCGCACTGGCAGACCTTGCTGTCAAAGATCGTGTTCAAGGCACTCGACACGGTCCGACATGTCCATCCTTGCACCCCTGCATTCACTCGTCCTCACTACCGTGGTAGAGGGGAAGAGCGAAAGATTTGCTCGTGGTCGCGGATCGACTATATTCTTGTCCAATGCAGTTGGGCGAACCGGTTGTTGAGCGCTTCTACGCTCTTCGATGCGCCCTGTTCGGACCACAGACCTGTAGTTGCGACTTTCGCTTTGCCTACATCGAACGCTGATGCCGAACCCCCCCTTTCTCTTCCCTCCACGAGCGATTTCATTTCGAGGCTCAACCCAATGGTCTTTGACGATCAAGACTTTGTCGCATCGATTCCCGGGGTCGTCGACGAGGTCTATCGAAGGCTCGAGGGGACCGCTCCGCTCGGCGACGTCTATGACGCCGCTCTGCGGGCGGTTGCAGTCGCTGGCCATGCACGATACCGCTCGACTGGTGCCGACATGCGCCGACTGCGGGCCGATAGCCAATCCGTCATGGAGGCTTTGGAGGCACGCGGTGAGCACATGAATGAGGCCGAGCGCGATGCGTATGCTCTTGCCAAGTTGCGGTTGGACCAGTTGGCGGTAAAGGAGGCTCAGTGGCTGCACATTCGTGCGCATGTGCCGTCAGTCGACTCGAGGGAAGGTCAATCGGCAAGCATTCGCACGCGCCTCAACCACCGGAGTCGCCAGACGAGCATCGTCTCGCTGGAGGATGTGGATGGCACCGAGACCGTTGACATGCAGGAGGCGCTGGGTATTGCTTCACGGCACGCGCAGTCGCTCTTCACGCCGGACCCAGCTCGTGGCGACCCGACGAACGCACGCCGGTCCCTGCTCGACCCTATTCGCGCAGCGAAATGCTACGATGACGACCGCTCGGACCCTACGTTCGGTCGTCGGCTGCCTCGTCAAGCGAGAGTGGCGCTTGACGAGCCCTTCACCCTCCTCGAGGTTGAAGCGGCGTTGAAGAAGACGGATTTGGGGTGATCACCGGGGCCCTCGGGCATTCCGTACGAGCTCTTCAAGGCGCTGCCAACCTACTTTGCTCCCAAGCTGTTGGACTTGTTCAACTCGATTTGGGAGGGCGGCAAAATGACGGTGTCCTTGGCAGAGGGGCTGGTGCGGCTCTTGCCCAAGAATAAACCGGGGGCCAATCTGAAATCACTGGGGGCATACCGACCGATCACATTGCGCGAGACGACCTACAAGGTCCTCAGCAAGGTCTTGGTGGCGCGACTCAATGGGGTGCTCGGCGAGCTTTTACCGCCGGCGCAACACGGTTTCATGCCATCAAGACATTCAGCGGACGCGGGAAGTCATCTCACTCTCCTTCTCGAAAAACTCAAGTCGCTAGGCACTGATGTTTTCCCCGAGGGCGCCCTCTTGTCTTTGGATCAGCAGAGCGCGTACGATCGGGTCGATCACGCCTGGATCTTCGAGGTCTTTGAGGCCTTTGGGTTCGGTGAGCGTTTCATCTCGCTGCTGCGCGCTCTCTACGATCCCGAGACTCTGGGGGTGCGCTACCTTGTCAATGGGTTCCCCACGGACTTGGTGCGGTTGCTGTGTGGTCTCGGTCAGGGGGATCCCCTCTCGTGCCCGGTTTGGAACATCACGTTCCAGCCCTTCCTCGATGCCCTCGTTCGGCGCGGGATCGCGCTCGACCTGCAGAAGGTGTGGCCAGGGGGGCCGCGTGCGCAGCTTACGCATCTGGCGTTTGCCGACGATGCTGTGGTGGTGGTGGAGTCACCGGCGGCATTGTCGAAGCTACAAACGCTGTCGCAGACGTGGTACGAGGCTACCAACGGGAAGACCAACACGGACAAGACGCTGGTGCTACCACTCGGACCGAACTGGCTTCGGGACGAGACTGCGCAGGCGCTGCCAACGGTGCAGGAGGGGGAGAGCTTCAAGTGGTGCGGCTATGCCTTCTTTCGCCACGGTGACTCGAAACTGTTTTGGACCCATGTTCTTGACAGGATCAAGGCCAAGGCCCGCGCCGCTCGAGACCGGACACTTTCGCCGAGTGGGAAGGTTTTCTATGCCAACACTCACATCATCTCGACGGTCCTCCACGTGCTGTCCTTCGACATACCGCCTCAATGGTTCATTAAGGCGGCGGAGACGGCACTTACGGACTTTGTCTGGGGAGGAGCAGGGCGAAATACCGTCGCTTGCGATTTCGTGTTCCAGGCTCGGGAGGACGGTGGCTTGGGTTTGATTTCGATTGGCGACATCGTTCATTCGGTGACGCTTCGATTTTGGGATGCTGTGGCGGGCTCGGACGAGGCGATCTGGGCGCCCCTAGCTCGCGAGAGCTGGAGGTCCCTCGTCGCTGCGACCCGCGATTTCAGTCCGTGGGGGTTCTTCAGCAGCACGGCTCGGGTCGAGAAGCTGTATCGCGACTCGACGCGCTGGGGGGCAGTCGTTGCAGCGGCCAGGGTCACAGTTCCAACCATTAAGTCCGAACTCCTTACGCTTCCCGAATTGCTCTCGCTTCCGCCTCGCCTCCCTTCACTCTATGCTGAAGGTGCCCAGCACGCATATGACGATGCGGACGCGGTGGCGAAGTTTGCGCAGATCGCGGACCTGTACTGGAGGGACGAAGGGAAGGGATGGGCTCTGGTTGGTCATCGACGCGGGTTCTGGCAGCACTCTAAGGAACCCGCCCTACAGCACGAGCACGTGTGGTCGCGCGTGGGTCAGTTGCTCAAGGCGAAAGCGTTGCTGCCCAAGACCGCGTTGCGACCTGCTCGGATACCTCTCAAGGAGGCTCCCCGTCCTCGGTGCTTCAACTTCTTTGGGCTCTCCCGACCTTTTACGATTCGCAAGCTTCGTCGGCTTGTGAACAAGGTGCGGTTCCCAGGGAGGGAGGACCGTGTCAAGCGTTTCCCTGATGGGACTTCTCAGAGCGATAGGAAGCGCTTCTGGAGATGGCTTCATGACCGGTTCGCGTCTGCTGTCGAGCAGGACACCCACTGGCGGCTCATGTACGACGTGACGCCGACGTGCAAGAGGCAGCATACTCAGGGTCATGCCTCTTCGCCGACGTGTCTGTTCTGCGGCAACGATGCAGCGGTCATCAAGACGGTGTCCCACTACTTTTTCGAGTGCGCGTACTCGACCAGCTTCTGGGGTGGGGTGCTACGCATTCTGCTCGACAAGCTCGGCATCGAGGATACCGACGTCGATCCGTCGACGTTCACTCCGGAGCAGCTGACTATGGGGCTCCCCCTTTTGCGGGGTCGTGGGAGAACGACCTCGAAATGGATGTGGGTTCGGCTGGCCTGCGCGATCGGCTTCCAGCGGCTGCACCTGCTCCGCTGGCGCGTTCATCAGCGGTTCGAGCTGGACAACGTCGTGGCCCCTCCCTCGCTTCCCAGTGCGCTCAGAGCGTTCGAGCGAGATTTTCTCTCTCGAGCGGGTTTTGTGCCTGGGGTTCGAGATTGGGAGGTGTGATGACCGAGTTAAGTCCTTCCTTCCCATTTTCCTCCCCTCCTTTCCTCCCTTCCTTTTCGGTCAGAAGCTGACTGTCTTGAAACTTGTTGCGCAGTGGAAGGCTGCGCACCTCTCCCTCTCTCTACTTTGTGCAGTAGCGGTTTTCGTTCTTGGATGGATCGGCAAGCCGGGTCGATCGTCGTTGCGTTGGAGGCTTTGTGAAGTTCTCCCCTCTCTTTCCCCTTTCTCCCTTCCCTTCCTCTTCTCGTTCCTGTTGCTCGGTTGTTGACTACGCTTCAGCCACTTCTCCTTTTATTCCTAAGCCGTGTGTTGGATTCCGTCGAATAGATCGTTCGTTCGCGTTGGTCAAGATCTACGGCATGGATCGGGAAGAAAGGTCGCTCGTTTTTTTGGTCAATATCCTCGCGTCAAGGCGAGGCTTGTTTCGTTGTATTGGATCGTTTTCGCTCGGCCCCGACGGCTCAACAGCCAGCACTCGAGACTCAGCCAAGGGAGGACATCAGGCGCTGTCGGGGTGACGAGTAGCTGGGGCTTGGCTGCGGCATGTCAGTCCCTGGGGACCTCTAGCTCTGGCTTCGACCCCCTCCCTTGGCCCCTCGGGTGTGTTCCCCTCCTCCTCCCCTCCTCTCTGTCTTAGTATTCCTGGTTCTCCGTGTTTCCGGTCGTGAATTTTTGTATATTCTCCCCCTTTCTTTCTCTAGGCGCTCTTGCCTGGTTTTCGAGTATCTTCGCTCCCGCTCTTGGGACGTGAAGCGGCAGCAGTACTCACCGCCCGTTGGAGTCCGCGTTAGGTGCTCGGCGAGTTTTGATCTGCGCAGCGCTCTTTGCGCGCAGGGGTTTGACTTTCACCCAATTGCTTGCCGTCGTTGCTTTATAACCTCTTTTAGCTCTTTTTCTAGCGGTCCCAGCCAACCCAAAGGATTGCAATTTATGAGCCCCAGTAAAAAATAAAATAAAAACGAGCCTTGATGTGCTCGTAGACCTGTGACATTTGCAATCAAGAGTCAGCTCAGCGACTAAAGCTCAACGACGTAGAATCCGTCAAGTCATGAAGCTATACGCACTCTCAAGGTAATGGTTGCTTCTGCTGGCAACGAGTCGATGTCGAGTACGAAGCCGGTCAATCCGAGAACCTTGTCCGAAGAATCGGTCGCAGCAGTAAATGCTGCGAGTTGGTCGTACCGGCAGGAGGCAAGACATGGAGTCGAGTGAGTAGATGACGTAGCCGCGTCGTCGACCACCCAGTAGTCGAAGCAGGAGTCCTCTGTACAAAGGCACAGATAAGTCGCCGAATTAAACGGTTAGCAACTGGCTGAGTGGCCTGTCAACACTGCTTGGGAACCGATCTAATCTTGTCTTGCATACCTTGGAGAGCCAGGCCAGTTAGCTCAGCAACCTCTTCCAAAATATCTCGTAGATAGACGAAACGATGTCCTGTCTCCGTGAAGTTGACGGGCACCAACAGCGTAAATATCATCGGCACGTTAGTCGCCAAGAGAGGTTTCAAGGAAACCTCAGAGTTGACCATCAACACTAAGAAAGGCAAGCGGACAATATCAATTTTCAGTGAAGCCGTTTGTTAAGCAGGCTGGGAGAGCGCATGTTGATGTAAAAGTGCACCACCTATAGAGGTGGCAGCGGTAGGATGATACGCAGCGCAGTGTCAGAACCGATAGTTGAGGAACAAGTGACTGAAGTATTGCAACTAACCTATATAGGTGGCAGCGGTAGGATGATACGCAGCGCAGTGTCAGAACCGATAGTCGAGGAACAAGTGATTAAAGAAAAGATAAACAAGGGATTCCGCTTTGCGAAGGCATAGGCCCACGCGCAAGAATATAATCCACTCAGACACTAAGTTTAATCCACTGCCTTAAAACCAATCGAGCCTCCGGGCGCGCGCCTCGCCTCGTTACCGATGGCCTACCACCTAGACAACACATGTGGCGTACCTTCAAGCTTAAGAGTCGTATGTTGATGCTTGGGAAGAATGGAGCTGTCCTTTGGAATAGCCTTGGGTTGTGAAACGCTTAGACGGGAGAGGTTCGGAGCTAATGCTGGTGAAAGCGAGCCGACTTGGAGGGTAGAAGCGGAATTCACACTCTCAACACTGCTTTGACTGCGCAGCGACGGCCAACCGGGATCGCTGTTCTGGGAGCACAGGAGGGGCATTGTTGACTTCTCGTGCTTGATGGTGTGGTGGAAGGGAGTGTCGTGGGCGAGCCGAGTGGAACAAGGTGAGTCATTGTCACGGTCGTCCTTGTGATCGTTGTGCTTATCGTCCACATAATTGTCATAGTTCTCCTCGCAGTCCTCTGCGGACTTGATGCGATTAGGCAAGTCGCTTGTACGATCGGAGATAGGAGAATCTCCTGTTGGAGTCGGGGATTTCGATAGCCGCGGCGCGGACACCGTGCAGGTCAATGCTTCAGCTTGAAGGTCGCCAGAATCGTCCTGAGGATGCGCTGAGTTTGCCGACTCGGGGACCGACTGGCCGTTTCCTTTCCTGATTCGACGATTGGTTCCTACGGTTGATCGGCGTTTGATGCTTGGGACTTTGAATCTCGACTTGGGAGTCCGCCGTTGGGTCCCCTCTCCAGCTCCAGAACGAGTCCGAGCCCAGGGCCCGGCGTCACGGTCGGGAAGTTGGCGGTTCCGCAATCTCATTGATGAAAGATTTGAGTCCGTGCCTGCTGGCACAAAGCTGGAGGTCGCAATTGGCTGGTTCGCAAAAGTCAAACAGTGCCACGGTGTTGACGTCGATGGGCGGTGTGGGGACAATTAGGTGAACAAATGTGAACAAAGGCTTCGAGCTGAGTGCGCCTCCTGTCGTTCCACATGGCACGTGCGCGCGCGGGCGTATCCTTCCGCATGTCACGTGCGCGCGCGGGCGTGTTCTTACACATGTCGACACATGTAAGAATACGAGGGTGCGGTAAGTACACGGGAGGTGCGGTAAGGACACAGAAATTTTGAATGACTACAAGTCTTGCAATACACATGCTATCATGTAGTCCTTGCAGACACCATTCAGAAATAGTTATATGTTGATGTTACAATATCAAGATGAACAGATTTGGTTGTGTATTGACCTTAACTCATGTGTAAGGATAGATCCTTACATGTATACAAGCCGACCGGCAGACCGCCATGTGCGGGCACTTGACCGACACATGTCCGCACATGAGGCTGCGGTCCGCACATGAAAATTTCAAATCATCATAAGTCTTGCAGCACATACCGTATCATGTTCTTCTTGCAGGTTCAACCTAGGAATACTTATATATTTGTCGTACGACATCGAAAAGATACGATTTCGTCATGTATTGAACTATAATCAAGTTTCCGCACATGTGCGGACCTGTGTCGCGGCCGAGTCGTTAGTAGTTCGCGTGCTTGCAGAGGAGACCCTGAAGGGCTTCGAGATGGATACGATGCCGGAAACTGCCAGCCCCTTACCTCGCGGATACGTCACTGCAGAGCAATCGAAGCAAGGCTAGGCTAGTTTTGAGGATTTCAAGTTGCACTGTTTCTGTTTCATCTGTACTCAGACTTACCTTGTTTCATCTGCTCAACCGGTAGATCAAACGGGGGCTTCAAGTTCACCTTAGTAGGCGCTAGTCGACACTCGGATGGCCGCGGACGCCGGGACCCCCGGCAATCGACTCGGGTTCCGCCGCTACAAAGAATAGACTCCCCGCATCACATATTGTTGGGAACACTAGGCTCGGGGGCGCTATGGGCCCCACCTCCCTGCAAGATTCAACGGAGCTCGCAACTTTCGAACCGTGGGGAGGAAAAAAGAACGGCGGGCGGGCCCCGCCACAGATGCTTACTTGATGGAGGTGTGTTGTGGTGCAATCTTTCAAGTAGATGTAGAAGGATTCAAAGTAAAAATGTGGACCGTTCGAGGTACATCTGCGCTCGATGCTGGGGAGCTCGTTCACCCCAGTGTCAATTGCCTGGCGGCTGGCACGGTCCACTGAGGATTCGAAACACCGAAAACGCTGGGGCACGGGCGACCTCGGCGAGTCGGCGAGGTGGGGCGGGCGATCGCTGATCATGATGTTGCAAACCATGACCGAGTCTCAAAACCTACTTGCGGCAAACTGCACTACTCTGCACAGCCAGGGCCGCGATGCTCGTCGAAATGCCGCTTCCGAGGCGCTTCCGGGCACTTCTGGTGCGCATCGCCGAGCTTCTGTGTCGGGAATGAGAATGGGAACCCTTTGTTCAAATTCGCGCGACCATTCGAACCGCGCTCTGACCGTTCGTCTGAGACAGTGTATCCTGTACATCTTCTAGGCCGGGGAAAGCCGTCGTGCAAGCCCACGACATGGGGTACGCGTACCATGCGACACTTGCAGTGGCGTACCAAGACCTCCCTAATACCATCCACTTTGTTGTCACCTTCTTTCTTCCTCGTTCTCATCACGCACTCACCGATTCCTTCCCTGTTTTCCTCCATTCCCGAGCCCCTTTCCCGTTCTCCAAGCGTCAATTCCAAAGCGCCCCTCCCAAGCGCTGAATCTGCACCCAGGTTCCTGACCTTCCCTTCGATCATGGCTGCCCGCAAGACCCGCGCTCGCCTCGTGGTGGCCACCACACTCTTCTGGACCTTGCTCACCGCCACCTCTGCCAAGATCAACCGTGGTAAACGTCAGCTGCCCCTCCCCGGCGAGAGCTATGATTACGTCGTCATTGGAGCCGGAACAGCTGGTGCAACCCTCGCCGCCCGACTGGCCGAAGATCCTTCAGTCACCGTCGCTGTAATCGAAGCCGGCGACGGCCTCCAAGACATCAACCCCCTCGCATTCATACCAGGTGCTGATGTCCTCGGTGTCGGAGCGAGTACATCCGACGTTCAGATCAACAACGATTGGGGGCCGGTGACCGAGCCGCAGCGAGGTGCCGCGAACCGTCAACTCCACTACGCTCGAGGCAAGGGAGTCGGCGGTTCCTCGATCAAAAACTTCATGGTCAGTGCAGTGCTCGAACTTGTGCCGTGTTTGTACGACTGCCGCCGACTCGGCCGTATACGACCGGACTTGATGATGGGTATCTGCACAGATCTATCAACGCCCTGACCGCACCTCCTTCGACGCTTGGCAACAAGCTACGGCCGGCCAATCTTCGCCTGGTTGGAGCTGGGAGGACGTTTATCCTTACTTCACGTATGTGTACATCATCTCGGAGCCTTATAGATCCGATTGTTCTCTGACCGCACGGTTTTCCTCTTCGACATTGTTAGAAGTATATGGTTGTATCGTCCTTCATCTGATTCTTGCTCCTATTATGGTACTTGGGATTGAGCCTAGCGACGCTTCATGAACTCCCTAGTCACTCATTCTCCCTGCTTTACTAGTCTCTAATCCCTCTTCCCTATTAGCATTACGCTTCACTTTCTAGCCTTCCGCGAGTCTGTCCCTTAGTCTCTGGCCACTCTGTTCTCGTCCCTGTTCATTGGACTGAGTTGTGGTCATCATCAGTTACCACTCGAGAACATTTCTGCAACAGACATTTTTCGCCAAACAGGAAGAGTGTGACCATCACGCCCGCGAACAACGCCAAGCGGGGTGCCTAGTACACCCCCAAGTACAAGTGAGCAACTCGAACATGCGAACATATGACGCCTTGAGAATGTCGCGTTGACGATATTTGGCCATAGCCCAGCCGCGTTCCCCCAGACCGACTCCTCCAAGGCGCCCCTGACTCTGGGCTGGTCCAACTTTGCGTTCGAGTATGGCTCGACGCTCCCTGCGGCTTACAATGAGCTCGGCTACTCTGCCGCCTCCGACTTCTCTTCCGGTACTCTCAACGGATACGCCTACAACCCTTCGACCATCGACGCCACCGATGGTCATCGCGCGACCTCGGAGAAGTTCGTCAGGAATGCTAAGGCCCAAGGTCGTTCCAACCTCAAAGTAATTACAAACGCGATGGTCAAGAAGATCAACTTTGATTCGCAGAACAACGGTGAGCTCGTTTAGTACACATAGGAGAAGGTCCAATGCTTATCCTCTCTGTATTTGTGTAATTCGCAGCCGTCTCGGTCACGTACACCAGTGTGTTGGGTTTCTTCCAAACCACGGTAGCTGCTCGCAGGGAAATTATCGTCTCTGCCGGTGCATTCCAAAGCCCCCAGCTACTCATGGTCTCCGGTATCGGTCCTAAGGACCAGCTTTCTCAATTCGGGTGAGAAAGAGTGCCTCCATTGACCCACGGAAGATGCTGAAGTTGCTGACCGCTCAATCATGACTCGTGCGCAGCATCAAGCAAATCGTTGACTTGCCAGGCGTTGGACAGAATCTTCAAGACCATGCCTTCTTCTCCCCTGCCTACGAGATTAAGAACAGCATCTACAACCTTGGTTCCGAAACCCAGCTGTTCAAACTGCTCCTCGCCGGTGGATCGGCACTCTTCTCGAACACGGGCTCGCTCACCAACCCCGTGTGCGATCACCTCAATTGGGGACGATTCAACAGCTCCTTCTTCGCCCAACACCCCGAGGCCGCAGCTCTCAATGACCCGTCGCAATACGGTGCATTGTGGCCTCACTATGAGTTGCTCTCCGCCCCGGGGTTGACGGGCGATTTTAGCAACCTCTTCACCTTGAACAGTGGTCCGGCGTCGCAGACCCCTCCTCGTCTCTTCTACTCCCTCCTTGGTGCTCTGGTCGCACCCTTGTCCCGAGGTGCGCAACCAGGCGGACCTTGACTTTCTTGCGAAAACCAAACTAATGGACGAGTGCTTCTCTAAAAATTAGGTTCCGTGACCCTTGCTTCGGCCGATGCGGGTGTCTACCCGAAGATCGACCCCAACTGGATCGCCCACCCTGGAGACCAAGCTGTGGCGATCGAGATCTTCAGAAAGATCCGCCGCATCTTCAACACCAAGGCTTTCAGTGCCGTCCGTGCCAACAGTCAAGAGTACTTCCCAGGTCAGTAGGCACACAGTTCTCGTGCGCTCTCTCGATTGATAGCTCACCCTTATTGGCTTGCTTGCTCTGCCTAGGTCTCAATGTCCAGAGTGATGCAGAGATCCTCAAGACCATTCAGTCCTCCATTCAGTCCTCCATTCAGACCGTCTGGCATGCAGCTGGGTAAGCGATCTCACTGAACGTGGCCCATTTCATTGAGTACAACCTGACTCACCTTATACACCGTCTGTTCTGACCTACAGAACGTGCGCCATGACCGATCGTGCCAAAGGCGGGGTCCTCGACCCCTACCTGCGCGTCCACGGCGTCAATCGTCTTCGCGTCGTCGATGCCTCTTCCTTCCCCATGTTGCCTCCTGGACATCCTCAGTCCACGATCTGTGAGCCCCAAGTGTATTACATCCTCAAAAGCTTCCAGAACTGAATGTGTTTGGAACTACATGACAGACATGCTCGCGGAGCGCGCGGCGGATTTCATCAAGTCGACTCGCACGGGTCAGCCCATCACCCCTCCTAGCGTCAACCTTCCGACTGGTGATGCTGGAGCGCCGTTTAGTGGCAACTGAAGGTCTTTGTACAGTTCTATGAGCCCATCTTGGCGACCATTCTCGTTTGCCGTCTCGACTATCAGGTTTCCTTTCTCGACTGCTTTTCCATCTCGGAGCCTGGCTTCCGACTCGTGTGTTCGTTCTTGTTCCTTATATTATCCAGACTGTCCTACTTGTCTTTTGGTAATAAGTTGACACCCTCCCTCATACTCGTAAAACCCCGCCTCCATTTATTTATCATTGTCTCCCTGCGGCCCACTGACGTTGATGAATATAATCGACTCGACGACTGCTTCGACGTCTTGGCCCCATATTTTCGTGTTGGACGCTGTCTTACGTTTCTTCGGACCACTCACGAGGCACAAGTGAAAGGAGCCAGCCCTTGCAAGCTAAACTGCATTCGCCGGTGTCTCCAACCCCGTCTACACGAAAATCGGGAGTGATCAGTCGTATATTTCCAACTAGCTCAAAGTGTTCGCAATTCCTCATACATCCTGCGTCGTCAGACTGACGAGGTCCCCAACCTTGATCGAAGGCCGGACGCCCTGGGGACTTCGACTTAGATCCTTCCTCCAAATCATATGCGTGCCTACTCAAGCAACAGTTCGTCAGGATCCTGATCAACCTCATCTTAAACGTCTTGACTAACTCACCAAATTCGATCCTCCCCTTGATCGATTTCCTCCTCCTCGCCAACGCATTGAAAGGTTCGTTCGTCTTGATCCCCGTCTCTTGATTGACGCCAATCATCAAACATCGCCTACATGCCCCTAGAGCTTGAAAGAATTCGTCCCCGATACGGAGGAGGTCGATCGAGTCTTCGAAGAAAGGTGGTAGGTCGACGTCCTCGTCATCAGCGCGGGTGGGGTCGGCGTTCGAGGTGGTGAGCTCAAAGTTGGCTCTGAAACAAGCTGATGAGATCGGGGTGAGGGAGGTCGACGAGTGGCTCGATTCGTCCAAGATCCAGTCGCTCACTCGTTTCGTGGAAGAGGAGCTGATGAGGAGGAAAGGCGATTCGTTGGAAAGCAAGAGGGGTCGAGGTGGTCCTTCGAAATGCGCATGTCGTGAAGACGTCGTCGAGCCTGACGGGAATCGACGTAGTTGACATTCGAGGCCGAGAAAGGTTGAGAACCATCGGTCGAGATCAGTGTCGACATGCTGTGTCGATACGAGATCACCGCACAGTTGAGCTTCTCGAGTCGAGGCATCGCAGGTCGGTTCGTCGAGAGGCAAGTCGAGAGCCGGCATGTCGGCTGCGGTGATGTGGAGTCGACGGGTGATGAGGTCGATGCGGGGTCGGATGAGGACCATACGAGGGTAACGCTTCTGCGATAGGGCTCGACCGGTCCCTGCATCGACTAGCATCCATTCTCGGTCGTGCTCCAGCCCTGTCGTGGACAGGGGCCACGAGAATCCCTCAGGTATGTGCTGACCTCCGCAGGATTTGATTGGGTCTGTATAAATGCAGATTAGGGTCAGAAAGGCCAGCATTGGGATTTGGTGGGAGGGAAAAAAACTTGCAGACCGTCATGGTGCCCAACCTCATCTGCGATTGACCCTCCTCGACGAGCGGCGTCCTCGCTCTGACCAACATCATCTCTTCCCAACTCTCTACAAAGAAGCGCTCAATAAAATCGACGAGAAGATCGACGTCCTCCCGACTCGAACTTGCGCCAAAGGAGATCCTAGCCACACCCAGGGGTCGACCCTCGTCATCGAATTCTTCGTCGTCCCAGCACGCTCGCCCTTTTTCATGCAAGCGCAACAAGTCTTGGTCGGTGTATCCGAACGCTCGTGTCCATACACCCGTATTACACAGCCCTCCTGTCCGGAGTTGGAAGCCATTTATGGTGGCGAGTCGATCCAAGTGCACATGACCGACAGGCGAACCCGCGGCGTCGTAGAGCGTGAAGCCGATGGTGGGGCCCGATCGTTCGTACGAATCGTTGTCGTGGATCAAAACGACTTGAGAACCATTCGCATGCTTCAGTTGTCCAAGTCTGGACTGCGCATAGTCGGTCAAGGCCAGAGCATGCGCCGAAACACGTTGATGGGACCCGTAGAGTCGGGTGTGGGTGTCCATCGAGTGCCCTAGAGCGATGATGTCGAGGAACGGTAGAGTACCAGCCTCGAGTCGTTCATGGCAGGTTGGGTTGGAGGCTCCTGATGACCCACGGGGATGAACCCATGCGGGGGAGGACACCGAGAGGGACGAGATGGATCCCCCTCCGAAATAGGGGTCCGACTGGAGCAAGTGAGCCGAGCTTCGCTTGACGATCAATGCTCCTAGTCCAGTCGGCCAACCCTGGACAAACATAGTCATAGATTAGACTATGGACTGAATTATTTCCTCCGTAGAATCCCGGGAACTCACGAAACATTTGTAGAACGAGCACGCCACAAAATCGGGCGCCTCTTCAAGGGGGATCGAGCCGAGATCAAGAACCGACGTCGAGAGATACGCGGCAGCATCCACAAGGACAGACGTCTTTGGAGAGCGCCTTTTGATGCGGCGTGCCAGGTCAAGACCAATACGGGACCCCGTTGCGTTACATTGCGCTGGGTACGCGATCAGAGCGGCGTCCGAGTTGATGAGGTCTCTGGCCGAATCGAGGCACGAGACTGAAGCCCCTTGTGAAGTCGCCACCCCCCGCATGCCGACGAGACTAGCGACAGGAGGAATGTGCTAGCGGTCAGCAATTGGTTGCGCGAGACAGGTCGACTCTGCGATGAAATACCTGGTGTGTGACCGTGTCAGATAGGCCAAGCTCGCTCTCTCCCGCTTCCAATCCCATGCGTTCGCAACAAGCTTGATGGCGGCTGTGGTGCCACTTGTCCAGACGACATCCCAATCTTGACTCTGCTGCGCATCCTCGAGACCAAAGAGATGGGATAGGACGCGGGTCCTCATGCGGGCGATGTCGATGTCGGTCTGCACGGAGGCCGTCGATCGCGAGTGGGGGTTCGCATACAAGGTCCTGGTGAGGGATGCATGGAATGCGAGTACGGATGCGGGTGCAACGGGAGGCGAGGCGGCACAGTCGAGGTAGTGCGTGCCTGTGGTTGATGGATTGGGGTAGGTGAGCACTGTGGTCTAGGCTGGTGAGGTCACGAGCTCACCTTTGAGATTGGGATACTCGTCTGCGCGTTGCTTGTCGAACGCGGTCACATCGCCGTAACCGTAGCTAGTACAGTCGAGGGTTAACTTGGACGTTGAAGCTATGGGACGGGTGTTGCAACTGTCATGGCACTCGTGGCCGCGCGAGGATGGTGGCGACGATGACGGGGAGCGGTTGTTCGACGCCGTCGACGATAGCACCGATCCGCTGCTCGAGGACGACTCGGGCGACGACGATAGTGGCAAGGCTTCGTCTGTGGGTCGAGATGTGGTCATGATGGGCCAAGCGCCTGGAGGTGCTGCCATGGTGAGGCGGTAGGGAAGGTGGCTGACCCCCAGCAGGTAGGATCTCCTAGGTCGTATCAGCCGAAACCGAACTCCGCCGGGGCCCGGCCGAGTCTGAGAGAGTCTGAGCAGGTCTGAGCGAGTGGCGGCGAGTGGGGGCGCAGTCCAAACGGGCGAGCGCTGATTCGCTCGAGCCGGTTGCCACCACCGACTGCACTCTCTCATCGAGTGTTGCACCCCTTACTCCTCTCGCAACACACCCTTCTACGCTCAACTTTCCCCAGTCATGCCAGACGGGTCCTTTGTCGAGCCGTTCGAGACCCAAGGATGGTCGTCGCAACTCGTCTTCTACCTCAACGGCACCCGCATCGCGCTCGACGGATCCTCGATCGATCCCGACACCTCGCTGCTGTCCTTCATTCGCTCCCAACCGGGGTTGACCGGCACCAAGCTCGGATGCGGTGAAGGAGGATGTGGTGCTTGCACCAGTGAGATGTTATTGTGGCTTTCCCAGTGTCAATCGCTGCAGTAGTGGCTAATCTCCTTGGCCGTTTTGCTCTGTGTCGCCGCGCTTATCATGACGATCAGTTGTCGTCCAGTCCAAGCATCCTGTACAAGGCCACATCCAGTCAGTTTGACATTTTGAAGCCTCACACCATCATCAAGGTCAATACTGACCTGTGAATCTCCAACCCTACAGACATCTCGCTGTCAACGCATGCCTTGCACCTTTGATAAGTGGTCCGTAGCCCCCCGGCCCCTCCCCCCCTCCGACGCCCACCCCGCCGATTGCCGAATCTCGCTCTCCGAGGACTCCGAGCTGACCCCAACTTTTCAATCTTGTGGGCGCGCTCAGTCGAGGGAAAGCATGTCATCACTGTCGAGGGTCAGTCGAGACTTGCACTCTCATACTAATGACCGATTTGCCAAGTAGCTGACTTCACACCTTTCCCCTCAGCCCTCGGCAACTCGGAGAACCCTCACCCGCTTCAGGAGCGCATGTGGAAACTGTCCGGGTCCCAGTGCGGGTTCTGCACGCCCGGCATCGTCATGTCCGTCTATGCTCTGCTCCGTGAAGCCGCCTACCGTGGTCAATTGACCGTAGAGGACGTCGAGCTTGAGGGTGTACTCGATGGCAATCTCTGTCGATGGTCAGTCCACCCCATGTTCCAATCAAAAGCCTGATGCTGACGATCGGTCATCTCGATACACTGGCAGCACTGGATACGCTCCAATTCTCGTCGCGGTCAAGTCCTTCGTCGGAGACTACCTCACCAAGGTGAATGGAAATGGCGCGGAAGCCTCCTCAGGAGCCAAGGTCGATGACTCGCTTGTCGTTCCGTTCAACTTTGACGCTTCGGGATTGGACAATGAGGATGCAACCAAGAAGGCCAAAGCGGGCGCCTGCTGCGGATCGAACGGATGCTCAGAGGCCAGCACAGACGTGTCGATGCCCGTCCCTTCGGGTAAGGATAGTTCCGAGCCCCCGATCGATGCGACCGCCGGTGCAATGGGTCGAACAGCGCCAACCGGATCGAGCACCGACATCAAGCCTACCAAGCCAAAGGGGTGTGGCCGAGCCGATTGCTGTCAGCTTGACGGAGGCAAAGGACCCGCTTCGACTGCGCCTACGCATTCCTTCCCTCGGTTCGAGTTCAAGCCTTATCGGCCTGGCGTCGAGCTCATCTTTCCCCCGGGTCTGCAATCGCACAAGCTCGCGCCAATCAAGTTCGGTTCCAAGGGCAGGATGTGGCTCCGACCGACGACGCTCGACCAGCTCCTGTCGCTCAAAGCCCAGTACCCTGACGCCAAGCTCGTTGGTGGTTCGTCCGAGATCGCGATTGAAGTCGGTATTCTCGGTCGAAAGTACCCTGTCTGCCTCTTCGTGTCGGACATTCCCGAGCTGTACGCGATCGAGTTGCCGGACCTCAAATCGGACAAGCCGACTTTCACGTTTGGCGCCAACACGCCCTTGAGCGAGATCGAACAGGTCTGCAAGGACCTGACCAAATCGTTGCCCAAGACTCAAGCCGGTCCCTTCAAGGCAATCAAGGATCAGCTACGTTACTTTGCCGGCCGACAAGTGCGCAACACGGCTTCCGTCGCGGGAAACATCGCGACTGCATCGCCCATCTCGGATTTAAACCCCGTCTGGCTCGCCACCGGGGCGACCCTGATTGCGAGGAACGAGTCGCGGGGCGAGTTTGAACTTCCTCTCGCCTCCTTCTTCGTCGGGTACCGCAAAACAACATTGCCTGCGGATGCGATCATTGTGAGGATCATCGTCCCCGTCAACACGTCGAGCGATACCGAGGTAGTGCGTGCCTATAAGCAAGCTAAGCGAAGGGACGACGATATCTCGATCGTCTGCGCGTGCATGGCGATGCGAGTCGATGCAGATGGCACCATCAAGTCGGCCAAGCTTGCCTACGGAGGCATGGCTCCCTTCACGATTGCCGCCACCAAGACGCAGGAATACCTCGTCGGCAAGAGTATCACCTCGGACACACTCGAAGGTGCCCTGGATGTCCTTGCCAAAGAGTTTGATCTCGCGTTCGATGTACCCGGTGGGATGGCGGCCTACCGACGGACTTTGACGCTGTCCTTTTTCTTCAAATTCTTCGTCACGGTCTCGATCGAGTCGGGTCGACCCCTCGACGTCGCCAAGGAGCTATCGAGTACCGAGGAAATCACCGAGTCGATTCACCGCTCCATTAGCTCTTCGACGCGTGACAACTCGGACCCCTATGCCCTTGAAGTGGTGGGCAAGCAAGAACCGCACATGTCGGGGTTGAAGCACGTGACGGGAGAAGCGATTTACTGCGACGACATCCCTTCCATTGCCAACGAGGCGTACGTCGGACTCGTCCTGTCGCAGCGCGCTCATGCCAAGATCGTCTCGGTCGATGCGTCCGAGGCGCTCGAGCAAGACGGTGTCGTGGGCTTTGTCGACCACAACGACGTGCCGAACGAACGAGCCAACTGGTGGGGTTCGGCCGCGATCGACGAGACGTTCTTCGCTACCGACGAAGTCATCTCCCACGGTCAAATCATCGGTGCCGTCGTGGCCAAGACCAAGTTGATCGCCGCCAAGGCCGCTCGATTGGTCAAAGTAGAGTACGAGGACCTCCCCGTCATCTTGACAATTGAGGAGGCCGTCGCTGCCGGGTCGTTCCACCCTCAGTACGATCGCAGGATTTCAAGGGGTGACGAGATCTCGAAAGCCATGTCCGAGTCCGAGTGCACGCTTGAGGGAGCGACTAGGATGGGTGGGCAAGAGCACTTCTACCTCGAGACGATGGCATCGTTGGTAGTCCCGAAGAGGGAAGGCGGTGAGGTCGAGGTCTACTCGTCGACGCAGGCCCTAAACGACACCCAGCGGTGGGTCGCACAAATTATGGGCGTACCTCGCAACCGCGTCGTCGCCAAGGTCAAGCGACTTGGTGGTGGCTTCGGTGGCAAAGAGACGAGGAGTGCCATGTTGACCGCGGTGTGTGCCTTGGCGGCCAAGAAGACGAAGAGACCCGTTCGAGCCATGTTGGATCGAGACGTCGATATTCGAACGACCGGTCAACGCCACCCTTGTCTCGGAGAGTGGAAGGTCGGCTTCACCAAGGAGGGCAAGTTGACCGCATTGGACGTGCAGTTCTATGCCAACGCTGGCTACTCGCTCGATATCTCTGGAGGTGTGTGCGATCGAGCTTTGGCTCACCTCGAGAACTCGTACTGGATCCCTCACGTCGACGTCCGTGCTCGATGCTGCAAGACCAACACCGTGTCCAACACCGCGTACCGAGGTTTCGGTGGTCCGCAAGGCATGATCGTCGCCGAGCATTACCTCGAAGCCATTGCCGAGCACCTCAACCTCGATATCGACCACGTGCGTAAGATCAACCTTTACAAGGAAGCTCAAAAAACGCCTTACCACCAAAAGGTCCTCGATTGGCATGTCCCTCGATTGTTGGAGGATTGCCGAAAAGAGAGCGATTACGATCAGAGGAAACAGGCTGTTGAGCAGTTCAACAAAGAGCACAAGTATAGGAAGCGTGGGATCGCGCTTGTGCCGACCAAGTTTGGGTTGGCGTTTGGTGTCAAGGCGATGAATCAGGGAGCTGCTTTGGTCCATGTTGTGAGTTTTGCGTGTCTCCTAGCTTGATTGAGAAGGGGAAGCAGGTGGCTGACGGAGGGGCCCGATCATCCGCAGTACATGGACGGGTCGGTCCTTGTCGCTCACGGTGGAACGGAGAGTGAGTGGTTCGACAGCTACACCTGGCAAATATGAACGAGTTCTGATGCTCTTGTACGCCTCGCAGTGGGTCAAGGTCTATACACCAAGTGCTGCCAAGTCGCGGCGCAGGAGCTTCAAGTGCCCCTCTCCTCGGTCTTTACGTCCGAGTCGGCGACCAACACCGTGCCCAACGCGGTTCCCACAGCTGGTGAGTTCGAAAGTCTCTACATGAATTGATCGATGGCGTCACTTACATGCGAGAGAGTACTCGACCTCATAGGTTCGGCCGGTTCGGATCTGCAAGCTTACGCGGTGTACAATGCTTGCGCCGAGCTCAACAAGCGCCTCGAACCGTATCGTCAAAAGCTCGGCCCCGACGCCTCGTTCGCCGCCTTGGCCGGTGCAGCATGGGGTGATCGCATCTCGCTCTCCGCGACGGGTCATCACGCCACGCCTGACCTAGGCTACGTCTGGAACGAGCAAAAAGAAACGGGCAACTTGTTCCACTACTTCACTCAAGGTGTTGCCGCTGCCGAAGTCGAACTCGACACCTTGACGGGTGACCACACCGTCCTGCGAGTCGATCTCAAGATGGACGTTGGCAAATCCCTGAACCCCGCCATCGATTACGGTCAAATCGAAGGCGCTTTCGTGCAAGGTCAAGGGTGGTGCACGATCGAAGAATCGCTTTGGCTCAAGAACGGCGCGATCCAAACCGTTGGTCCAGGGGCGTACAAAATTCCCGGCTTCGCCGATATCCCCCAAGTCTTCAACGTCGCTTTATTGAAAGATGCCGAATGGCCCAACTTGGGGTCCATCAAAGCCTCGAAAGGGATTGGTGAACCGCCTTTCTTCCTTGGGTGTTCGGTGTTTTTGGCGCTCAGGCAAGCGGTCAAATCGGTGAGAATGGATCAGGGTATTCAGAAGAGTGCCGAGTTTAGGTTGCCGTTAACGAGTGAGAGGTTGAGGTTGGCGTGTGGGGATCGGTTGGTGCAAAAAGCCAAGGTGGAGCAGAAGGAGGGGAAGGAGGGGAAGAAGGGGTTCTTTGTTTATATCTAGGTGCGCGAGTTTGTGTGTACGTGTAGGCCTCGCTATGATTTCCGCGCTTGACTTCTTATCTGTGCAATCGGAACGGTGTTTTCACTCGGCCCAACGCGAGCTCAAGTGGTCCAGAGCGTTGTCCAAGAAACATCTCATCAAATGGCAAAAGGGCGATCTGAACACACACACACACACACACATATATAAAGAAAAACATCTTCGTCTTCATTCATCAGCTCTTCTTCAGCTCCAAATGCTCGACCTAATAGCCGGCAGCACCAGGGGCGTTCTCTCCCTCCCTCTTGAGCGAAAGGAGCACCTCCTTGAACCGGGTCAGGTCGTTCTTGCTCTTGGTCGAGGTCTTTGATCGCGAGTCGTTGAGGTCTACGAGCGCGCACACGCGTTCCCATGTCGTACCCTTGGCCAAAGCGTCCGTTTGAGCGGCGTTGAAAGCGGCTTCTTCGTCCCTGTTTTCGAAACATGAGGGGGTCAGATTGCGGGCTCTATCGCACACAAAGGCCGGCGTTCTCCCAACGCACTTGTTGGCGGCGATGTTCTTCTCCTTCTTCTGGTTGTACTCTTTGTAAAAGTTGTCGATCGCGTGCTGGGCCTTGACGATGGTCTCCTCGCGCTTGGCTTTGGACGCCTCTTCCCTCCGCGCGATCTCCTCCTTTTGTTTCACGCGCCAGGATCTGTGGACGCATACGTGTCGGGCTACGGTTAGGAAGGGGTTTGCGTCGTATCAAGCGTTTGGATCGCGTGGAGCTGCTGACTGTATGAATTCAGAGTCCTGCTCTGATGCGGGTGCGGGTGCGGCGGTGCCGGGTTGGAAGGCGGGTGTGGAAGGGGGTTGGGACGAATGGAAGCGGTTGTCGTTGTTTGAAGAAGAGTTGAAGCCGTTCGACTGTGAGCGGTCGGTGAGTTGTCGAGTTGGGATGAGATGGGTTGGGTTGGGTTGGGTGTGGGGTGACACGCATGCCCGCAGGTGCACACGCGCGCGAGCACGGAGACGGAAGCGACAAGAGAGAGGAGAGAGCCGGCGTCAGTGTGATCTACGATAGAACGACCCAGCTTGGAGCTTGGAGCTTGGAGCTTGGACTGACCTGCTGAGAAGGGAGCTCGATCTCGGGGTAATCCTGCTCGAACGCGGCCAACTCGGTATGGTTCGTCACGCTGACCGCACCCGTCCCATTCGATGTCGGTGCGCCAACCCCAACCCGAACCGGTGCCGATGATGCACCTCCCAAGAAGTCCAAATCATCCTCATCGTCATCCTCATCGTGCTGAGCACCAGGGGCATCCAGATCGGGGAAAGCGGAGGCGGATCGTTCATAGTCCTTGCCCGAGCTCGACGCAGCGGCACCGGTCGTCGTCGCGTCACCAAAGCTTTCGCCCAACGCGGCCCTTTCACGAGCGAGGAAATCGGCGGTAGGGTCCGACGAACTCGAGTCCGTGGGGGGGTTGAAAAAGTCGTCCATGTTGGCCGAGTTGAAGTGTGGGATCGGTGCGGGTTGAGGTCAAAGTGTGTAATCGTGGGGGGAGGCGGTGGACTGGCGGTGGCCGCGCGCGTGTCCGGCCTGGGAGCCAGCCCGAGCCAGCCTCAGTGAGTCGGTGTGGGCCAGGTGCGGGAGGGTGCGGGCCCGCCCAGTCTGGCCCAGCCCCGAAAGCTGCCACAAGCTGCCACAAGAGGAGCGCGTGCACACGAGGCGGGGTGGCAGGTGGCGATCGTTCCTTCGCTTCCCGGCCTCAACTCCTTTGACTCGGTGGCTCGCCCAGGGGGTCAACTTCGTCATGGGTCAGTGCATCTTGCGTTCATACCGCCTTCACACCCTCCGCACAACCGCGACTACCAGCTTTGTCCCCTTCCACGGCAGTGCGGCAGTGCGGCACGCCCATCCGCTGCGTCAGCCCCCTGTGATGCGCGTCAAACGAGTGCATGTACTGACCCCGACGGGCTCTCCCCTCCCTTCCCTCCCTACAGGCATCTGGTCCCCAGCCGCCTACGATGCACTCCTGCTCGAAAAGATAAAAATGATGCTGTAAGAACACACTGACCGCATTCACTGCACTGCACAATCCCTCGCACAGTCCCCGCGTGCCGTCCCACCTGATCACTGACGTCTAGCCTCCAACTGACGAACAGCTCGTCGCACCTCAACTCACCCAAACACGCTACCATTCGTACGACCTACGAACAGTTCGTCCTCGACCTCGACGTCCAGGACGAAGGCAGCAAGAACGCCGTAAAGTCACTCATCCGCGTTAGCCACGTCCCGCGCCAAATCCTCCACCTCTTCCCGCCCACCACTGACCTGATCCAATCACCCCATCACAGGAAACCGTCGTGAGGAGAAGGTTGTTACCCCATAGTCAACCGAGCCATCCTCCGACCGTCGCCGAACCAGCCCTGACATCCGATCCTCGATCCGGCTTACTCTTTGGTTCGAGCGCTCGGACCTCTGCTGCGGCATCAACTTCGAATGAACCGGCTCTTCAGTTGGAGGCTGCTTCGAGAGCAGCTTCGAACGCGTGGACTACCACCTCCGCTAGTAGTGGTCGAGAAACGAGGATCCATGCCCCCTCTGGTCCTATCATCAGCATTGCACCTCGTCGATCGACGACGGGTGCAGAGGCAGCGACGTTGTCGACGACTCGCGTACCTCGTTCTGCCCGATCGAACGATGCCACCGACTTGCAGACGACTTTGAACGACGATCCACGCTTGTCTTGGCAGCAGTTTTTGTCCGAGAGTACGGGCGGCGATCAATCGGCGTTCGAAACCACCTTGGGCTCGTCCTTTTTCATCCCTAATCAAGTGCCGACCCCATCAACGAGGGAGAATGACGGGCTTCCTAGACCAGGAGGTCACAACCACCACAACAACGACAACGGTGCCGCCAGTCCACCTTCCACAAGACCGACCCTTCGGACGATCGTCTCGCTCCGACCTCGACCTCCCCCACCGCTCTCGCTCCAACCTCGAGCTCCCCCACCGCCTCGTGTAGCGACCCTTCGACCACCCCCAACGGCCGAACAAATCTGGTCCACGCTCTTCGATGACGTTCCCTTCCCCCTCGACGACCTCGTCCACATCCCCTTCGAAGTCTTTCTCCTCTCCTTGAACGAAGTGATGAACCCTCCGATCGCGCACGCGACGACCTTCTCGAACTTATGCGATGAATTACAATGTCGTGATCCGGGCTTCAATACGCGCTTGAGGAGGATCCAAAGAGGGGAAAGCGCTTCGAGGTTGTTGTATCAATTGAGGAATGTGGCGAATTCGGAGGGAGGGGGAATGGAGGGGCGTGTTTCGGTTGAGGAAGCGACGAGAGAGGATAGGGAACGGGAGAGGGGGAGGGGTGGAGAAGGGAGGGAGAGGGAGAGGGGTGCTGCGGAGGAGGCTGAAGCGGACACGAGCGCGAGGGCTGATGACGCGAGGGAGAATGTGAGGAGGTTCATGAGGGAGACGGCGGGGAATGACGATGAGGACGAAGAGGATGAGGAAGGGGAAGATAATACACTGAGGACTGGCCCGTTCTTTGATCCGGACTTCAACTACGATCAAGACATGTCTGATTCACTGGACGCAGAAGAGGAAGAGCAAGTGGCGAATGCGGAAGAGAACTTCAGGGAATATTCGAGTCGGTTGAGGAGCTTGTGGAGGAGTGGGGCGTACGAGTGGGTTCAAGAGGTATTGAGGGTCGAGGAGGCGGGGACTTCGAATACGGGTACGGAAGATTCGACACCTGTTTTGGAAGCGACGACGACGGCGGCAACGTCGACTAATGTTTCGCCACCACCGATGGTAGCGACGACGAGGGAGTCGGAGTGCCCGCCTGAAGGATCGAGTCCCAGAAGATCGACCTTGTCGACGTCCATGCCGACGCCGAGGAGCTCAGCAGAGATTGCAGAAGCCGCACAAAGAGCAAATCGCAGGATACGGCCCATCCCCTCCCGACCTCAAGCTATCCCTACTTTATCCTCCTACTTGGACACGACGACAACGAGGAGGCCTACACCACCTGCGACGGATGCGAATACCAGTGGTCCTGCGACGATGGGTGCGTTGAGGAGACGTTTGAGGCTGGACGGAGGGCCCGAGTTGGAAGGGGATGGTATGGGCGGCACGAGGTGGACTTGGAGTGATCGGGGTCGTAGGGAGGAAGGGCGTGGGGAGGGAGCCGATGTGTATCCCCGTTTTAGTACGAGGATGGTGACGATGACGGAGTCGGGGACGGGGAATGGGAGGAATGATGATGACGCGGGGGAGGATGTATATGAAGGCTCGAGGGTGTTCCATTTGTGAAGAGTGGGGACCGGACGGAGATCCGTTCGTGTGACTCATGCTGTGTTCTTCGTTCGTTTTATTTATGTGTGTTTGTGATACAACATTTTACTTCAATTTTTCAGTTCGTACTCGAATAGATTCGTACTACAGGCTTATATCTAGTGAGTTCATCAGATGGCCTAACGCTGGCGGTCGCATCGATTTCCTTCACTGCGAATCAGCGGCCTCTTCTTCCTCCGGTACCTCTATCGAATCAATCAAATTCCGATAGGTCGTCTCATTCGTTTTGGACTGGTGCATTGAACGGTCCAAGAAGCGCAGGTGTGAGCCTCGGAAGAGATTCCGCAAACTCTTATTCCGGTTCCCCACTGTGAATCAGCTACTCACCTTGACCTGTAGAAACCCTTGCCTGATTTCGTTGACCATGGTTGAAAGAGGTTGTTTGTATACTTCCAATGTTAGGTTGACGATGTAGGTGTACCCTGCTTGAGCCATAATCAGTAATACGGGCGTTGGAACACCTCCGATCTGGTCCCACCGAAAAAAACTGACCAGGTATCAACCACCTCCTCGGCCCTTTAACACCCCCTTCGTCGACCTCTACGACTTGCCCCTCCCCCCCTTTTCCGCCTTGAGCTTCCCTCGTCACGACCAACCTAACAGCCTCTTTGAACCTCCTCCGACATCGATTCCTCACCACCGCCGAGTTGTGCACCCCTTTCTTGGACGCCATGATCGTTAACTGGAGTTCGTACGGATCTAAGCGATTTTTGCGGGGTACGACGAGGTGGTGATAGAGAGGATGATCTTTGGGGAGTTTGGAGGAGAGGGAAGGAAGTAGACGAAGAAGAGGCGGGGAGAGATGCATGGCTTTGCCTTTAGGTTTGGGTGCGGAGGACTCGTCATTTGATCGGGGTGAAGAGGTGGGAGAATGTCGTGCGATCAGACGTGGTTGGGCGGGAAAGCAGCGGAGAGACCAGGCGCGGGAGGGTGGGGTGTAGGCTTGTCTGGGCGCGTGGCTCGGGGGAAAGAGAAGGTTTGGTGGGGAGGAATAGGATAGGGAGGCGAACTGCGCGCGTGTGAAGGGGAGGGAGGACGGTTAGGGACCGGGTAGGGACCGGGTAGGGGTGAGGCTGAGGGGCGCGGGTTGTGGGTGCTTACTGTGAGGGACGTTTGGGACGGTGGGAGGGTGGATAGTTGGGTGTGGCGCGGTCGGGGCGGAGGGGGGAGGGTTGGTTCGGAGGTGCCCGGGGAGGTGCCCGGAGAGGGGGACGAGGAGGTGGAGGAGGAGGACGAGGAGGTCAGGGTAGGAGAGGCCTTGGGACGGTCAGAGTAGTATCGTGGATGGGGGTGGGGGGTCGTAGTTCGCAAGAGGGAACAACATGTCCATGGTGATCGGACTTGCATGCGCGTCGGTTGGGGTAGAAGGTGTGGAGGAGAGAGCAAGAAGCAGCTCGCGAATCTGCGGTGCCCAGATTGCTCCAATCACGTGACAGGCGTCGATCATGATCGACAATGATGATTGAGCAACCTTAAGTTCACGGTGTAAGATGCATTCCACTTGGACTGCGATTTTGCCCCAACATAAACTAAAGAAAAAGGGATAACTTCTCGGATGCGACCGACAAAAAACAACGAAACGAACAATGGAACATAGTGTCCCCACGTCTGCGAGTCCCTCCCTTCTTCCCATCGAAACCCATCCGGCCATTGTTGCAAACGAGAACCCCTTCACGAGATCGGTCGGGGTTCTGGCCGGCAAGCCATATCATGGGTTAGTGACAGGGTCGAAACGATAACATAATGTGCGGTCCGAGTCAGTGGCAGGCGATGATGTAACGCGTCGCGCAGGGTGGATCAGACTAATAAAGAGTAGGGTGCCGGAGTGGACTTACTCAGCATCACCGCTGGCTTGGGACCTTGACACAAGTATCCGAAGAGCTTCACGCCTTTCAAGAAGCTCCGGGGTCTTCGAAGGAGTTTGGTGAGCAACTCGGAGAGACGGAATGAGAGGCCGGCGCCCATGCTCAGGCACTGCAGTCGTCCTCCCCGCTCGAAGAATGGTGTTCGCTCGCTCCGGTGTCGTCGGAGAGGTCTTATTCTCCCTTCAGTCGACCCTCTCCATCGCTGTTCCCCATCTCGGAAAAAGCGACCTATAAGCTCGAGAGGCGCATCGCCCGCCACACCAACGAGAGCGCCATCAGTGACTCGGAGTAGGATCGCTCCCCTCGGGACCCACTCCGAGCGTGGATCGGAGATGCCATTCTCCCCAGCCGAGTTCCCAGCCGTGGCAAACGGACATCACACCAAGCACGGATGATACGTCTTACCTTCGGTTAGTTTCTCTTCTCTGTGCCCAGGGCAGCTGATGCCCCTCGTGTTCCAGCTATACTGTAGTTCGTCGAATCGGCTCAGCTCGAATTCCGCCGGTTCGGCCATGAGATGTCGGCCCAAGCTGTCGGCACAAGCTGTCGGGAGAATTTGATACATTTCGCATCGATTCGATCACTTCAAGGTGGTTATCATCGAGCCGATCAATCACGCCTCTCGCCGTCTCGTTCCGTCCCGTCCGAATGACTGGTCAGCCTCAGCGTGGTCAAGCGAAGGCTGAACGAAGAATGACTCCTCTCCCTCTCGGCGACGGGCCAAGGGGGGCCGGCGCGCTCACACTTGGATTCGGGAGGAAAAAAGTACTCCTTTGGGCTTGTCAAACCGTGCGATGTTTTCTCCGGTAGAATTCGACAATTTATTCGTTACAATGGTGTCGTTGCACATCGATACAACGCCGCGCACGGGCAGTTGACGGTGTCGCCTGCTCCGAGGTGTGGGTCAAGCCGCGGGGTGGCACGCTCGGCAGCATCCGACATCACACTCGTTCTTGGGCATTCGGCCAGGCGCTTCCGTGAGCCATCAACAATGCTACTCCCTTCCTGATGGTCACCAACCTGCCGAGACTCCAGAAATTGATTCTCGTCGCGATCGCCATCTCTTCGTCGGCTCAGAGGGCAACAAGAACATCCAGCCCGGTATCAAGTACGTCCAGGAATCGCGATCGGGATGACTGGGACTGTTCGGGACAGACTGCGAAACTGGTCTCCCCCACACAGTGGCCACACTCCTCCGGTTCGACCTCGGCTGTCGCGATCCAGGCTTAATCGTGTACACGAGACACGTCAAGACCCATCAGTTCATAGCAATGCTACCTCTGTGCATGCGAAAACAAGTGCGTGGTCGAGATCAAGCCGTCCCGGTGTGCTTGCACTCGCGACGGTTTCGCCGTGCCAGGAGACCACCGGCCGGGGCGCGGTCGGACGGTGGCCACCTAAGATGGCTCGCATTGCATCTGCACATGTTATTACAGCCCCTGTTACTCTATAAAATTTTAGTCGTCACCAAGCTCTTGTTGTTGTTGCTGTTGCTGTTGTCGTACGCCACCATGTCTCGGGCACCCTTTTCGCCATTGTCGTCCCGAACCAGAAACGTTTGTCCCCTAGTCCGAACCATTGCCATCTACCAAAGACTGAAGTGGAGCGGTTCAAAGACGCTTGTCAGCTTCAGTGATCGACAAGAGTAGGATCTGAATCGTTTGTAATAACTCAACTCCAATAAGCACATTTCCTGCCCGCCCATTTGGCAGCAAAAGGCAGTGCGACGACGTTCCAGATCAATTGCAACTGACGCATCGAGGCTTGCCACTGTTGTTCGTCCTCGTACGCGATGCGCGAGGAAGTCCACGAGGATTCGGAGGAGAGGTCGGAGAGATCGTCTTCGTCTTCTGAGGGGGAGGGGGAGGCGAGACTTGAGCTGAATGAGGAAGAGGAGGTGAGGAAAGGGTGAGGTTTTGGTGTGGGATGGGATGTCGAGGCATAGGATGAGGGGTTATAGGACCATGCTCCTGTGGTGGCGGAGTCTGTAGGCTCTACGCGGGTCCTGTTGGAGGTGGAGGTGGAGGCGACGGCATTCGATGAAACGGTACAGGTGGACGAGGTGGGGGTGTCATTTGCGGAGGGATCAGCGTCCAGTTTGAGATACCCTGTTGTAGGGGAAGTGGGGTGGGCCATCCTTGTGCCGTATATGAGGGGTATACGAGGCTCGACGGTGGTTTACAAAAAAGTAGAACGTGGCAGAGATGTGGTGGATTATGGCGTCGTAATTTGCGCGGCATGATGTGGTCCTCGCCGCGCTTCAATCAGTCAGAATCAGTCGGTCTGAGCGCTCGGGCGCGCTCAGGCGCGTTGCGTCGCCGCGGGTTGGTTTTCATCCGGCATCGCACACACGCTCGCACGCGAACTCGCGCTCGAACTCGCTCTCGCGGCAACGGGGTGAACGAGACGCGATGGACACCCCACCCATGGCCTCATCGTCCCATGGTCGTGCGCTAGATGGTGACCATGAGCCTCCTCAACCCTCTACGTCCACCACAACCCCCACGGGCTCCACGTTGGACCTAGCTCCTCTCCGACTGTACCTCAACCAACTCGTACCCCTCATTCTGGGCGCACGGCCCTCGGAACTTGAACCCATGTACAACGACCCTTCGTTCGAAGCGATCGTCACCAAGTGGGCGAATGAACCGAGTCAGGGGAGTGTGTACGTCGTCAAGTCGAGAATCGAACCTGACGACGATGAGGATCAGCTCGAGCAGTCACGAGGTACGCGCCGGAGTCAGCCTTCAGCCTGGACCACACAGTTGTGGGCACTCTTCAACACGCAGAAAGGCACAACCACACATTTGCAACAAGAACTGATTGGAGGCTCGGATCCCCCGCAGACGCCTCGGATGCACCGACCTATTCGTTCCTGCTCGCTCCCGTGCTCTCCTATTCTAGCACCCAAGCGGCGACCTTGGCCCTGATCAAGCACTCGTCGACGCTCGACCCGAGTCTCCCCCTCTCGACCCAACTCCATTGCCTCAACCTTTTCGGTCCCGCAGCTTCGGCCTCCTCATCCTCCAGTACCTCGGCTCTGAGCCCGTCTTCAGAATCTTCAGCGACCAACGTCGGATCAACCGTCTACGAGGGTTTGCATCGCCTTGTCCACTACGGTGTCGCACCTGCTTTCGAGGCGTTCGTCGAGAGTAAAGCGATCAAGGAGAAGCAGTTGGAGCTGGCGAGTGGCAGAAGTCGAAGGCGACAGGACGACAACAAGGAGAACGACTCCAAGTTGGGCATCCCCATGACCAAGAAGAAGTTTGCCGAACTCGAATTAAGCTTGTTGCACCGTACGTCATCCGAGTTCGTCATAAAGGTTACGGTGGAGCAAACGAAACTGAGCTCTCCATTGGAACATAAATAGTCCAACAAAATGTCGAGATACCCGACATCGTCTTGTCGATCCACCCGACCATCTCCGCCGCCATCGCTTCGGCCCAAGCAGCCGGGGTCCAACCCTCGGTCGACCTGATCGACGCCTCGATCCTCGAAGACTCGACTTTCCTCAACAAACTACAGTCCGAAGTAAACTCGTGGATCAAAGAGATTCAAAACGTCACCAAACTCTCACGCGACGTCGCTTCGGGTACGGCTTCGCAAGAGATCAATTTCTGGCTGGCGATGGAGAAGGCGTTGGAGAGCATCGAGGAACAACTCAGAAGCGATCCGATCGTGTTGACGTTGGATATCCTCAAGACTGCAAAGAGGTTCCATGCGACCGTTTCTTTCATGTCTGATACGGGGTTGAGGGGCGCGACAGAGATTGGTGGGTTTGCTCGGAAAGCTGGCTCACCTCACGGAAAGCTGATTCAACGCAGAGGAGTGCTCCCACAGTCACCAAGTACAACCAGTTGATGAAGGATTTTCCGTTGAACGAGTTGCTCGCTGCAACGGACCTCGCCAAGGTCCAGGACTCGTTGCATTTGATCTTTGGTCATGTCAACAAGAAACTCAAGCTTTCGTGAGTGTCCATGTGGTGACCCACTTAGACTGCGTTTCCTGATTGAGCCGATCTTGTGGTCCCGCGTCGCAGACCTTACCCGATTCGACGCGCCTTACCTCTCGTCGAAGCCATCTCCCAAGACCTCAATGACCAACTGCTCAAAGTCCTCGGCTCGCAACGTCTGGCCTACCTCGACTACGCCGCTTTTGAACGTTCCATGTCGGCATGTTCGGCCGTCTTCCACGCGTGGGACGAAGGGCTCAAAGAGTTCACGACCGTTGCGCGTGACGTGACGAGGAAGAGGAACGAGAAATTCATTCCTATCAAGATCAATGCCCGGCATGCGGCTTTGCAGGAGAGGGTTGGATATTTCAGACAGTTCAGGAAGCAGCATCATCAGTTGCAGGTCATGGTGGGACCGCTTGGGACTGAGGTCGGTGGTGCCAAGAGGATCACGACCGGTGCGACGGCTGAGGGAGGGCAGGAAAGATACGCGAGCGTCTTGAACGATGTTGATATGGATGCCGAGGTCAAGCTGGCGTACGAGAACGTCAAAAACGTCGATGTGTTGGATGTCTCTTCCGGTGAGCAGCTAGTGATCCCCCGTGGTTACAGCAGCTTTGTATGCTAACGAGGCGAATTCCCTCATAGAGGGAACCGAGATCTGGGTCACGGCCGAAACGAGCTACAACGAACGCGTTGCGCGAGTCGAGAACCAAATCATTGCTCGACTGAGGGACCGTTTGGCGAGTGCGAGGAACGCGAACGAGATGTTCCGCGTATTCAGCAAGTTCAACGCCCTCTTCGTACGACCCAAGATTCGAGGTGCGATTGCCGAGTACCAGTCCGAGTTGATCGATTCGGTCAAGGAAGATATCCGCGCCTTGCACGACAAGTTCAAGCGCTCGTATGCGCAGTCCGAGGCGTACCATATGTCGCAACTTCGTGACCACCCACCTGTGTCGGGTGCGATCGTTTGGGCCAAGCAGATCGAACGTCAGTTGTTGGCGTACATGAAGCGCGTCGAGGACGTATTGGGTAAAGGGTGGGAGTTGTATGCCGAAGGGACCAAGCTGCAAGCCGAGTCACAGAGTTTCCGTCGCAAGCTCGACACTCGACCCATTTACGACGCTTGGTTGCACGACATCCAACGCCGCAACTTGCAAATCACGGGAAGGTTGTTCGACATCACCAAGAGTCGAGCGCAGGGTGGGCAACTGCAACTCGTCGTCAATTTCGATGCGCAGATCATCACGCTTTTTAAGGAGGTTCGCAATCTTGTTTGGTTGGGCTTTTCGGTCCCTCATACAATCTCCAATATCGCCAAAGATGCTAAACGCGTGTACCCGCACGCCGTGTCGTTGATGGAGACCGTCCGAACCTATTCGCAAACAATCGCCAAGCTCCAAGCCAATCCTGGCATCGCGGCGCTCGTCGCCGAGTTTCGAACGAACGCTCAGCAGCAGATCACCAAGGGAATGAATGTGCGATGGGAACACGTCGTCAACTCGTTCGATTCGAGGCATGCTCTATCGACGTACCTCCCTGGCTCGAGTTCGACGACGAGCACTTCGAACGATGTTGCGATCGGCGGCGGAAAACATGGCGTCTACGTGCGTGAATTCGCCAGTGTCGTCTCCGCGTTCCAAGACCGCACGGACGCGCTCATCGACATGTACGCCGAGTTGACGCGCACGATCGACAACCTCGCGACGTGCGCTTATGACCCGACTGCGTTTGCGGCTTTGCTCGAGTCGGTGCAAAAGACAATTGATCAGCTCAATCTGGAAGGGTACGCCAATTTGGACGCTTGGGTCGCCGAGTTGGATACCAAGATTGAGGCGATTTTGCTGACGCGGTTGAGGGCGGTCATCGATCGATGGTGCGTCGAGTTCCGACGAGAGGCCGAGCAGGGACAGAGTGGTGGAGGGGAGGGGTCCGCCCCGAGGAAACGTGTCGCGACGAATGCGGGTGGCGTGGTCAAGGATGGTGCTGCCACCGCGACGACGGCTGGAGCGCCTGCCGTTGAAGGAGATGGTCTGCAACTCGAATCCGTTGTGCATGAGATCCGCATTCAGAATCAAGTCATCTACCTCGACCCTCCGATCGAACGAGCTCGTCAGAGCTGGTACTCGCAACTTCATCGATGGCTCGGCGTCTTATGTGGTCTCAGGCGCATCCAATCTTCGCGGTACGAGATCGGTCTCAAGTTGCGCTCCTCGGCCGCTCAACAACCCGCCAATTACATGGGTTTGTTGAGTCAATTGACGGATGGTACGCTCGAGAAACCCTTCGCGCTCGTCGAGGACAAGTTGCGCGAGATCTTGCAGTATGTCAACAAGTGGCTGCAGTTCCAATCGCTCTGGGACCTCGAGTCGGACTTCGTCTCTGCACGCCTGGGCGACTCGCTTGCTTCGTGGCAACAGTTGTTGCTTGAGATTCGTAAGACGCGTGGGACCTTTGACAATTCAGAGACACAGCGCTCGTTTGGTGTTGCCGTCATTGACTACGAACAGGTTCAGAGCAAGGTCAACGCCAAGTACGATACGTGGCAGCGCGACATTCTTGGTCGTTTCGGATCCAAGTTGGGTTCCACAATCAAGGAGACCCATGCGGCGATCCAGAAAGCTCGACATGACTTGGAGCACCATTCGATCGAGGGGTCTTCAACGGCTGCGACGGTGTCGTTCATCACGTACGTTCAGGACGTCAAGCGCAAGGTCAAGCAATGGGCGCCCATGGTCGAGATCTTTACGCAGGGGCAAAAGACGCTTGAACGCCAGCGCTACCAGTTCCCCAATGATTGGCTTCACGTCGATCAGATCGAAGGAGAATGGTCTTCTTTCAATGACATTTTGGCGCGCAAGAACGCCTCCATCCAGGATCAGTTGGCGGGTTTGCAGCTCAAGATCGTTGCGCAAGATCAGATCTTGCACAACCGCGTCAACGAGGTTGTCGTCGATTGGGAAGCAAACAAGCCGATCCAAGGGTCGCTCAAGGCTGATGCGGCGATGACGGCGATCAACATCTTTGAACAACGCGTCGAACGCCTCAAGGATGAATTGGACGAAGTTGCACGCGCCAAGGAGGCGTTAGATCTTGATCTCGTCAAGGACGATCGACTCGAACCGGTTCGGGAAGAAATTCGAGACCTCAAGGCCGTATGGACGGCGTTGTCGGGCGTATGGGCTCAAATCGCCGAAGTGAGAGAGACGTTATGGACCTCTGTCCAAGCTCGCAAATTAAGGCAATTGCTTGATGGTCTCCTCGCGACGACGAGGGACATGCCCTCCCGCATGCGCCAATACGCCGCTTTCGAATACGTGCAGGAGGCATTGAGGGCGTTGCTCAAGTCGAATGCTCTGATCGGGGACCTCAAGTCCGAAGCGTTGAGGGAGAGGCATTGGAGGCAGTTGTTCAAGTCCTTGAGGGTCGGGGCGACGTATTCCCCTAGTTCGATGACCTTGGGTACGGTGTGGGATTTGGACCTGAAGAGGAACGAAAGCATCATCAAGGAGGTGATTGTGCAAGCCCAGGGGGAGATGGCCTTGGAGGAGTTCTTGAAACAGGTCAGTTGGCGATCGATCATCCAAGGATTTGAGCTCAAGGACCTGAACTAATCCAAGGGGTTTCCCTCTTTTTTGATAGGTCAAGGAGACGTGGACCAACTACACGCTCGACCTCGTCAACTACCAGAACAAGACGCGCCTCATCCGCGGCTGGGACGACCTCTTCTCCAAGTGCGGCGAGAACCTCAACTCGCTCACGGCGATGAAACTCTCGCCTTACTACAAGGTCTTCGAGGAAGATGCGTCGTCGTGGGAGGATCGCTTGAACCGCATCCACGTGCTCTTCGACGTCTGGATCGACGTGCAACGGCAATGGGTCTATCTTGAGGGCATCTTTTCCGGTAGTGCCGACATCAAGCACCTGCTGCCGATCGAGTCGCAGCGCTTCAACAACATCAACGCCGAGTTCCTGACCGTGATGAAGAAGGTGTTCAAATCGCCGTTCGTGCTAGACGTGCTCAATATCCAAGGCGTGCAGAAATCGCTCGAACGCTTGGCCGACCTCTTGTCCAAGATCCAAAAGGCGCTCGGTGAATACCTCGAACGCGAGCGTTCGTCCTTCCCCCGCTTTTACTTTGTCGGTGACGAGGATTTGCTGGAGATCATCGGCAACAGCAAGGAGATTGTGCGCATCGGTAAATTCCTCAAAAAGATGTTTGCGGGGCTTTCGTCGATCAAGCTCGACGACGATATCACGCGCATCGAAGGCATGGCCTCGAGGGAGGGTGAAGAGGTCATGTTCTCGACCCCGATCATCTTTGCCGAACACCCCAAGATTAACGACTGGCTCACGCGACTCGAGTCCGAGATGAAGGTCTCCCTCGCCAAGCTTCTCGCGCGCGCTTATGCCGACCTCGAGGCGTTCTACGTCGCCGATTCGGGACTCGATACGGCCAAGTTCCTCGCTTGGATCGATGAGTACCCTGCTCAGCTCGTTGTTGTTGCGGTACAAATTGCTTGGACGCGCCTCGTTGAGTCTGCGATCGAAGGCCGCAAGTCGCTCACTGATGGCCCCCTCGCCACCACCTTGCGCGGTCTCGACGTCCTCGCCGACACGGTCTTGACCGAGTTGGCACCCATCCAACGACGCAAGTGCGAGCACCTCATCACCGAGCTCGTGCACGAACGTGACGTGCTTCGTCTGCTCGCGGCCAAGGGTGTTTCCTCGACCAAGGACTTCGAGTGGCTCTACCACATGCGCTTCTACCTCGACATCTCGCGCGAGAACCCGCTCGAGCAGTTAAGCGTCCACATGGCCTCGGCGACGTTCACTTACGGGTTCGAATACCTCGGCGTCCCCGACCGATTGGTCCAGACGCCGCTCACCGATCGTTGCTACTTGACCTTGACGCAAGCGCTCGACTCTCGACTTGGGGGATCGCCCTTCGGTCCTGCCGGTACGGGTAAGACCGAAAGTGTCAAAGCTCTGGGTGTCGCGCTCGGTCGATTCGTGCTCGTCTTCTGCTGTGACGAGACATTCGACTTCCAGGCCATGGGACGCATATTTGTCGGCCTGTGTCAGGTTGGAGCATGGGGATGCTTCGACGAGTTTAATCGACTGGAAGAGCGCATCCTTTCGGCTGTGTCGCAGCAGATTCAGAGCATTCAACTCGGTCTCAGTGCGGGTTTGACCGACCCCAATGCCGAAGTCGAGCTCGTGGGCCGACACGTCAAACTCAGTCAAGACACGGGTATCTTCATTACAAGTAAGTGAAGCGACGCACCTCAAAGTTTTGCATCTCAAACAAAACTCATGAGTTTCTCGGCCGTCTTGACAGTGAATCCTGGCTACGCTGGTCGATCGAATCTCCCGGACAACTTGAAGAAGTTGTTCCGTAGTATCGCCATGACCCGACCCGACCGCGAGCTCATCGCGCAGGTCATGCTTTTCTCGCAAGGTTTCCGCACTGCTGAGACGCTCGCTTCCAAAGTCGTTCCCTTCTTCAATCTGTGCGCGGAACAGTTGTCGTCGCAACCGCATTACGACTTCGGTCTCCGGGCGCTCAAGGCCGTCCTCGTCAGCGCTGGTCACCTCAAGCGCGAACGATTGCAAGCCGCTGCAGCCGCCGCTGCAGGTGACGAGGACACGACGACCACGATCTCGAGCGTCGATATCCAGGAACAAGAAATCTTGATCCAGAGTGTGACCGAGACGATCGTACCCAAGCTTATCGCGGACGACGTTCCACTCTTGACGAGTTTGCTCGCCGACGTCTTCCCTGGCATCGATTACGTTCCCGTCAATCTCGACAAGCTCAAGGAACACGTCCTCGCGGTCAGCGCCGAGCGTCATCTTGTCGCCGACGAAGCATGGCTCCAGAAAGTCATTCAGCTCTACCAGATCCAAAACATCCAGCACGGTCTGATGATGGTCGGTCCTTCGGCGACAGGAAAAACCTCGGCTTGGCGCGTGTTGCAAGCTGCGCTCGAGCGCTTGACCGGCATCGAGGGTGTTTCATATGTCATTGACCCCAAGGCGATCTCCAAGGAAGCGCTGTACGGAACGCTCGACTCGACGACCCGCGAATGGAACGACGGTCTGTTCACGCACATCTTGCGCAAGATTGTCGATGATGTTCGAGCCGAGAGCACCAAGCGCCATTGGATCGTGTTTGATGGCGATGTCGATCCCGAATGGGTCGAGAATCTGAACAGGTGAGTGCATGGATGTGCGCTGGAATTGCGAGTTTTGCTTTGCTGCCTCTTCTGATCTATCGGCACCCTCACAGTGTTCTCGACGACAACAAGTTATTGACGTTGCCAAATGGAGAGCGTCTCAATCTGCCCCCGAACGTTCGCATCATGTTCGAGGTCGAGTCCCTCAAGTACGCCACTTTGGCGACCGTGTCACGTTGCGGTATGGTCTGGTTCAGCGAGGATGCGGTGACCCCTTCGATGCTCTACCGCAACTACCTAAACTCGATTCGCGCCGTTGCGATCGACTCGGTCGAGGACGATGCCGCTATGTCTCGCCCCTCTGCGCGCGGCACCGGAGAAGATCCGTCAGAAGTCTCGTCCAACCTCGCGACCCAATGCCTCGTCGCCGATAAGCTTGAACCGCTATTCCTCGATGCCGACGGTCTGGTACCGAAAGCGCTCGCCTTCGCCTCGCGCATGGACCACATCATGGACTTCACAAGTATTCGTGCGATCACGACGCTCTTCTCGCTGCTCAACAAGACGATTCGCAATGTCGTCGAATACAATGCGCAGCACTCGGACTTCCCGCTTAGCCCCGAGCAGGTCGAGTTGTACGTCATGAAGCGATTCCTGCTCGCGATCGTATGGTCGTTCACCGGTGATTCGAAGCTCGACACGCGGGCGAGCCTCGGCGACTTTTTGCGAGAGAACTCGAGTCTTGACTTCCCTCCCCTCGGACCGGGGTCGTCGCTCATCGACTTCGACGTCCACGTTGGGTCCGGGGATTGGACGTCTTGGCAGAGCGCCGTGCCGACGATCGAGATCGACACGCATGCTGTCTTGTCGGCCGATGTCGTCATTCCTACGATCGATACGGCTCGTCACGAGGAGGTCCTGTACTCGTGGCTATCAGAGCACCGCCCCTTGATGCTCTGCGGTCCGCCCGGTTCGGGTAAGACGATGACGCTGTTCTCGGCGCTGCGCAAGCTTCCCGACCTCGAGGTCATCGGACTCAACTTCTCGAGCGCAACGACTCCCGATCTCATTCTAAAGACTTTCGAGCAACGCTGCGAGTATCGCAAGACGCCGAACGGGATCATCCTCGCCCCGGCCCAGATCGGTCGGTGGATCGTCTTGTTCTGCGACGAGATCAATTTGCCGACGACGGACAAGTACGGTACGCAAAAGGTCATCTCTTTCATGCGTCAACTCGTCGAGCAAGGTGGCTACTACCGCACCTCGGACAAGGCCTGGGTCAAGCTCGAGCGCATCCAGTTCGTTGGTGCTTGCAACCCTCCCACCGATCCCGGTCGAGTGCCGCTCAGCCATCGATTCTTGCGACACGCGCCTTTGGTCATGGTCGACTACCCGGGCGAAACCTCGCTCAAGCAGATCTACGGCACGTTCGCGCGCGCCTTGCTCAAGGTTGTGCCGACATTGCGAGCCTATGCCGAGCCCTTGACGGCCGCCATGGTCGAATTCTACCTCGCCTCCCAGCGTCGTTTCACCTCGGACATCCAAGCGCACTATGTCTACTCGCCTCGTGAATTGACGCGCTGGACCCGTGGTATCTACGAGGCACTGCGCCCTCTCGACAGCCTGCCCTTGGAAGGTCTCGTGCGCGTCTGGGCTCACGAAGCGCTGCGCCTCTTCCAAGATCGTCTCGTCACGGAGGAGGAGCGTCGATGGACCGACGAAACAATCGATGCCCTGGCGCTCAAGCACTTCCCGACCATCAATCGCGAGGAAGCGCTCGCTCGCCCCATCTTGTACTCGAACTGGCTGTCAAAGCACTACGTCCCCGTTGACCGCGAGCAGTTGCGGGAATACACCAAAGCTCGACTGCGCGTCTTTTACGAAGAGGAGCTCGATGTGCCACTCGTGCTCTTCAATGACGTGCTCGATCATGTTCTTCGCATCGATCGAGTCTTCCGTCAAGTGCAAGGACATTTGCTGTTGATCGGTGTCAGCGGTAGTGGGAAGGTGAGTTGCGACCGTCCAGATCACCCCACTTTGCGAGCTCAGAGCTGACCCTCTGTGCGTTCTTCTCAGACGACATTGTCGCGCTTCGTGGCCTGGATGAACGGGCTAAGCGTGTTTCAGATCAAGGTGCACAACAGGTACTCCGCGGAAGACTTCGACGATGATCTCCGAAGCGTCCTGCGCCGCTCCGGTTGCAAGGGCGAGAAGATCGCCTTCATCATGGACGAATCGAATGTGCTCGACTCGGGCTTCCTCGAACGCATGAACACGCTGCTCGCCAACGCCGAGGTCCCTGGTCTGTTCGAAGGCGACGAGCACGCCGCGTTGATGACGGCGTGCAAGGAAGGCGCACAACGTGATGGTCTCATGCTTGACTCGCCGGAAGAGCTGTACCGCTGGTTCACGACCCAAGTCGCCCGCAATTTGCACGTAGTCTTCACGATGAACCCTCCCGCTGACGGGCTCGCGTCTCGTGCGGCGACCTCGCCCGCGTTGTTCAATCGATGTGTGCTCGACTGGTTCGGAGACTGGAGCGACCAAGCCTTCTTCCAGGTCGGCATGGAGTTCACCAACACTCTCGACCTCGACACGCCATCGTACGCGCCGCCCGCAGCTTTCCCCGTCGCGTATCGCCAGCTTTCCCTCCCGCCCGTGCACCGCTCGGCGATTATCAATGCGCTCGTCTACGTTCACGCGTCGATGTACGAGACGAACAGGAGACTGTCACGCCGCCAAGGCCGGACGAACCACGTCACGCCGCGCCACTACCTCGACTTCATCAACCAGTACGTGCGCATCTTCAACGAGAAGCGCGACGAGCTCGAGGAGCAACAACGTCATCTCAACGTTGGACTCGACAAGCTGCACACGACGGTCGTGCAAGTCGAGGAGTTGCGCAAGAGCCTGGCGATCAAGCGAGGCCAACTCGAGGCCAAGAACGCTGAAGCCAACGACAAGCTCAAGCGCATGGTTGCCGATCAGCAGGACGCCGAGCAAAAGAAGGTCGCTTCGATCGAGATGCAGGCCGCGCTCGAGACGCAGAAGAAGGAGATTGCCGAGCGCAAATCGCTCGTCATGGGCGAGCTCGCCGATGCCGAACCGGCCGTCGAGGAGGCGCAGTCCGCCGTCAGCAACATCAAGAAGCAACAGCTAACCGAGGTGCGATCGATGGCGAATCCACCCGAGGCGGTCAAGCTCGCGATGGAGTCGGTCTGCACGATCCTCGGGTTCCAGATTGACAGTTGGAAGACGGTACAGAGCATCATCCGTCGCGACGACTTTATTGCGAGCATCGTCAACTTTGATACGGCCAGCTCGATGACCCGTCATCTGCGCGAGAAGATGCGCCGCGAGTACCTCAGCCGCCCGACCTTCAACTTCGAAACGGTGAATCGCGCTTCTAAAGCCTGCGGTCCGTTGTGCAAATGGGTCATCGCGCAAGTCAACTACTCAGACATTCTGGACAAGGTCGGACCCCTCCGTGACGAGGTCATGGCACTTGAGAACCGCGCCGAGACGACGAAGCACCAGGCGTCCGCCATCATCACAATGATCGCCGAGCTGGAGGCTCGTATCGTATCGTACAAGGACGAGTACGCGCTTCTGATCAGCGAAACTCAAATGATCAAGACCGAGATGGAACGCGTGCAGCAACGTGTCGATCGGTCCATCACGCTGCTCGACAGTCTTGGATCGGAGAAGACCCGATGGGAGGCTGGAAGTAAGACCTTCGAGGTGCAGATGAGCACCGTCGCCGGTGATGTGCTCCTGTCGGCTGCTTTCTTGGCGTACGCCGGCTACTTCGATCAGTACTACCGCGAGTCGATGTGGTCTGGATGGACGGCCCATCTTGCCGAGGCTGGGATCAAGTTCAAGCCCGAGCTGTCGCTGTCCGAGTACCTGTCGACAGCTGACGATCGCCTGTCCTGGCGTGCCAAGTCGCTGCCCGATGACGACCTCTGTACCGAGAACGCGATCATGCTCAAGCGCTTCGATCGATATCCGCTCATTATCGATCCTTCGGGCCAGGCTACGACCTTCTTGCTCAGCGAGTACAAAGACCGCAAGATCTCCGTCACGTCCTTCCTCGACGAAGCTTTCCTCAAGAATCTCGAGTCCGCGCTACGATTCGGAACGCCCCTACTGATCCAGGACGTCGAGCACCTCGACCCGATCCTCAATGCGGTGCTCAACAAGGAGCTACGTCGCGCCGGTGGCCGTGTGCTCATTCGGCTCGGGAACCAAGACATTGATTTCTCGCCCGCCTTCACGTAAGTGACAATCCGGATGAGCGTCTGGTCCTTTGTTCATGTGACTGATATGGGGATCCTTGAATGCAGGCTCTTCTTGTCGACGCGCGACCCTTCGACCGAGTTCCCCGCCGATCTTAACTCCCGAGTGACGATGGTCAATTTCTCCGTGAGTGATCGTAAACAGGACGAAATATTGCAAGCTTCGATGACTGATATACCTCGCCCACCTGTCTCACCAGATCACTCGTGCGAGTCTTCAAGCCCAGTCACTCAACCAGGTGCTGCGAGTTGAGCGGCCCGAGACGGATCGCAAGCGGTCCGACTTGCTGCGCCTGCAGGGCGAGTTCCGCGCCAGGCTGCACCATCTCGAAAAATCGCTCCTGTCCGCTCTGAACGAATCGCAAGGCAACATCCTCGATGACGACAAGTAAGTCATCTCATTACCGAATACATTTGAGGAAGCCCGCTGACTCCCTAGTGACGATCATACAGGGTCATCGAGACACTCGAAACACTCAAGCGCGAGGCGGCCGATGTCACGCGCAAGGTGGAAGAGACGGATGCGATTATGGCCGAGGTTGAGCAAGTCACGAGCGAGTACCTGCCCTTGGCGCAAGCGAGCAGCTCGATCTTCTTCATTCTCGATGAGCTCAACCTGCTCCACCACTTCTACCAATTCTCTCTGCGCTTCTACCTCGACATCTTCGACTATGTGCTCTTGCGCAATCCGTCGCTCAAGGGCGTGACCGATCCTCAGCAGCGACTCTCGATTCTCATCGGAGACTTGTTCCTGCACGTCTTCAAACGCACTTCGCGTGCTCTGCTCCACTCCGATCACGTCGCCCTCGCCGTCCTGCTCGCGCAAGTCAAGCTGCGCAACTCGAACATCGCTTTTGACGAATACGAGTTCAGCTTCCTCCTCGAAGGTGGCGATGGTGCGCCGCCCGAGTCGGCACCGGAGGCGCGTTCGTCGCTCCTCGACTCGACTCAACAGCGTCGACTCCGATCTTTCGCCCGTCTGGCCTCTTTCAAAGATCTGCGCGAGCATATCGAAGCCAACGAGAATGAATGGAAAGCCTTCTTCGTTTCCAGTGCTCCGGAAACCGTCGTGCCGGAGATCTGGTCGGATGTGTCTCGTGAGTCCCGGCAGGACATAATGGTGCCAATGGGAGTGGATTAGCTGACTCCCCACATCCCCCTTGATCAGCACTGGTTCTTGCCTTACGCCGAATTCTTATCGTCAAGTGCCTGCGGCCCGAACGGCTGCTGCCTGCGTTCGGGGCCTTCGTCAACCTCGTTTTCGAGCGCGACATGTTTGTCGAAGCGACCTACTCCCTCGAGAGCATGGTCTCGACCGAGGTCGATGCGGCGTCGCCCGTGTGCTTGTGCTCCGTTCCGGGCTACGATGCCAGTTACCGCGTCGACAACCTCGTCGCTACGACCAACATCAAGTGCGTTTCAGTTGCCATGGGATCGCAAGAAGGTTTCGCACTGGCCGACCAAGCCATCGCCGCCGCCGCTCGCACGGGCCACTGGGTCCTGCTCAAGAACGTGCATCTCGCCCCTTCGTGGCTCAGTCAACTCGAGAAGCGACTCCAGAGCTTGAATCCGAACAAGGCCTTCCGACTCTTCCTGACCATGGAGACGAATCCGGCGATCCCGGTCAACATCCTGCGACAAGGACGAGTTCTGATGAACGAGCCCCCGCCCGGTATCCGAGCCAACATTCTCGAGTCACTCAAGAGCATCTCGCCGGCCCGCCTATTGAGTGGCCCTGCTGAGAAGACGCGTCTGTACTTCTTGCTCGCTTGGTTCCACGCCGTCGTTCAAGAGCGTTTGCGCTATGCCCCGCTGGGTTGGAGCAAGGTCTACGAGTTCAACGACTCCGATCAAGAGGCGGCTCTGGGAATGATCGACTCATGGCTTTCGGCCACCGCCAAGGGTCGCGCCAATGTCGACCCCGCTCTCATCCCGTGGGACGCAATCCGCAGCCTAATGCGCGAGTCTGTCTACGGTGGTAAGATCGACACCGAGTTCGACCAGATCCTGCTTGACAGCTTCGTTTCGTTCCTCTTCTCGCCGAGGGCTTACGAAGTCAACTTCGAACTCGTGCCGAGCGGGTCTGGCGAAGCCGGCCTCGTTATGCCTGATGCGACTCGATTAGAGCAATTCGTATCGTGGGCGAGCGGCTTGCCCGAGCAGGAGCCCCCCTCGTACCTCTCGCTGCCGCCTTCGGCCGAAAAGGTTATCGCGGTCGCTCAAGGGAAAGCCCTTCTTGCTCGACTGCTGAAGATGCGTTCGCTCGACGACGACGACGAAACGGTCGCTGTAGACATCAAGAAGACCGCCGGCTCCGCGTCGCAGCCGGCATGGATGCGAGCCCTTCGAGACTCGTGCACCGAATGGCTCGAGCTTTTGCCTAAGGTGAGCTATCTCGTCGCACTCAACTACTTCATTCGCTCGTATTGACCTTTGCAGCGTTTACAGACTTCGGTGGCCCTCGCAAACCGCAATGTCGACTCGGTTCACGACCCATTGGCTCGCTTCTTCGACCGCGAATGCGCCTTGGGCCAGAGTCTGCTCGCGAAGATCCGCCAAGACTTGACCATGATCATCCGCGTGTGCGATGGCGAGCAGAAGCAAACGAACGACATCCGATCGTTGCTGCAAGACTTGACGAAGGGAAGCGTGCCATCGCCCTGGCGCCGATACCGCTGTCGCGATCTAGCTGCCGGAGCTTGGATCGCCGACTTTGCTCAACGCCTCGCTCAACTCGTACGGATTGTGGAATCCGGCGGTAAACTCGGCTCGGCTCCGACTTCCCTTGGATTGTTGTTCCATCCGCATGGCTTCGTTACAGCCTCTCGCCAAGCAATCGCGCATGCAACGCACACCTCACTCGAGCAATTGAGTCTCCAACTCGACCTCGAGGAGACCGGTGCGCCCAGAGCGTACACCGTCGAAGGTGAGTCGATGGTGCTTGGGCGAGTCGGAAGTGATTCAGATCGCCTTTGCTGATTTCTGCCCTCCTAATTTTCAGGCCTCGCGCTCATTGGTGCCGAGTGGACGTCCTCACGCCTCGTGCTCAACGATGGATCGACGACACGCCTCGCGCCGTCGCAGATTCGATGGATGAAGGCCGAGGATACCTCTGCTGTATCAAAGAAGGGCTCAAATGTCGTTGGTATTCCCTGCTGGCTCGATGGCTCTCGCTCCGACGCGCTCTTCACCGTTCAACTTGACGCCGGTTCGACCGATCCTAGCGCCCTCAGTCAACGCGGAGTTTGCATCGTTGCGGCCCTGTACTAGATTTAAGCTAGTCTTACTTATGTCTATTCCATATTTCAGTAATTTGAGTCTCTCCCTTTTTCTCGGTTAGTTTTTTTCATCCAGCACATGCAATTTCGATCTTTCGGTCCGGTCATTCTAACGGCTACGAATATGGCAATCATTTCTTGCTGGCCGAGATGGTCTTCGCCTGTACATGCAGTGACTTTCAAAGCATTAGCACATGTGTGTACTTGAAAAGGAGTAATAGGAGCTTACATTCATTGTGGGAAGCCCCGGGATAGACTTGGGAAGTCCAGGAACATGCTTGGGTAGTCCAGGGACAGTACCGGTCTTCGTCGGAGCGACTTCGACTTTCTTGATTTTTGCTTGACCCTTGGTGCCGTGGATCAGCGACGAGCTCGAGCGACGAACTTGTTCCAGACCTGTATTCGTCGAATGAAGCTTCAGCTTCGTTGAACAAACCTTAAGATATTGAAAGCTTACCATATTCGATATCCTGCACACATCACGCGGGCCAAGCCTAGTGAGCTGGTGGCCTCTGTCGCTCGGCGGTGCCGTGACTGACGGCAACCTCACCTCCATGTAGTCTTTCTTGGCCCATTTGGGAGCCTTGCTGGAGAAACCCTCGTCTATGATCGGGTTTTATTGCATACATTCGTTGAACAGGGTAGGGCTTCGCCTCAGCAAGCTGGGCCTAGTGCATGACTCACCTTCCATATCATCGCCGACAGCGTAGGCTGTTTTCTGCGTGCGGCCCCTGTGATGTGATGAACGAGGACGTTAGCAAGCAAGTCATTCGCCAGAGAGGAAGACAGTTGATTTTTTCACATCTCAGCTAGATGACTTGGAGATCAATGAATCGATGACTAGAACGACAGAGAGCGCACAGAAAGCGACTACAAGAAACAGGGCCCTTTGCCGCAGCTGATCGTTGTCATGAGGGCTGCACGGTGCTACGGGCAAATTTGATAGGTAGCAGTAGCGCAAAGAGCCCATTCCAGCCTACTGCCCGTTCTGCGTTCCGGCTAATGATGGACTGGGCGTATGGGCTAAGCAGGTGACCCCTATCTCTCGACACTCTTTCAAAGCGAAAGGGGTGTCGAAGTAAGAAATGCAGGGGCATGCTAACACACCAGAAATCCGGGAGTACTACTCCAAAAAGGCAAAAACTACCCATCCTTCAAAGCATTATGCCAATTCATTATCCTCTTCCTCCTCGTCTTTCTCGGACTCAGACTCAGATTCGGTGTCATCGTCACTCGAATCGACAAAGGCTTGACTCAGAGGTTGTTTCTTAGAAGGGGTCCGCCTATGTTTCTTGGTGTTCGTCTTGATCCTTGACTTTGCGGCGATCCCTTCCTTCGTCTTGAGCCATTCTCTGTAGCGGAGGTGGACTCCTGGCTCGGGGTAGCGGTTGAGCAACCACCTGACCTTGTCTGCATGGCGAGGAGCCACGTTCAGGGGGATTGAGTCAAGTCAAAAGCGATTGTAAAGGTATGAACTAGAGTATCGACTAACCCGCATACGAGTAATCCTTCCTATCATCCTCCCTTTTCAGTGCCTTCAATGCCCGCTTGAGCAATCGGGTCCATCTATCATGCAACGTCTTTGCACTGTGTTGCTTGAGCGTTGGATCGTCAAAGTCCCACGACTGGATCTCACTCTCGTCCTTGACTTTGAGATCTTTGAGGCTGTTCGTAATATCTCAACCGTTAGCACTTTTGTGGGGTGACAGGTGTCAGTGGATGCGGTTGGACTTACGCATGGACGAGGTTGGATCGATGTTCAGGAAGAGTGAGGAGCCTGTCCAGCTTGGGAGAGGGATTGCGCAGAGCAACGCCGTCATTCCTAGTCAGATGTACAGGCGGGGTATTAGCATGGCTGTAAAAATTCTCGCCAGATTTTCCGGTGAACTGACCACTTGGTCCTGCACTGCGCCGGTGTGCGTTGCCCGACGATCTTGGCCACCACAGACCAATTATTCGAGCCATGCTTCGCAACGGCTTGTCGTAGACGGTCAGTCTCGTCGTTCGTCCAAGCTCCCGTCTTACGTTCGCTCTTCATCAAAAGTTGCTTCTGGTACCGATCTTGACAGTCGAAAGCCGCACGTCCGACCTCATCGCCAACCTGTTGCCAATTCGAACCATGTTCCTGATACGCGCGCCGCAGCGCCGCGTCCTGTTCCTCCGTCCAAGGACCCGCTCGCGCAAGAGGGTTGTACTTCCTCTTGACGTAGTTATAGATCGAAAGAAGGGAACGTCGATCGACCGATGCGGCGATCTCGGGCCAGAATTCTTCGTGACCTTCGAGGAGTTCCCTGATGTTGACGTCGGTTTGTTTCTTGTTCCTAGGGGTGGTGATGATGATGATCATCTCGGCCTCGGTCAAGCCATGCGCAGACCGGTACTTTTCAACGGCTTGACGGATCTGCTCTTCCTCCGTACGGGTGAAGCGACCCGAGTTGTACCAGAACCCTGTAGCATGTCAAGGCGCATGAGCGAAACCCCACCAGTAATGCCGTACATGCGTTCAACTGACCAGGATTCGCCTTCTTGACAAGCTCAAGCTGCGGGGCGGTCAACCATTTCGATCGAAGCAGCTCCATCGGCTCCATGCCCTCAAAAGCAGCAATACTAGCCTCCTTGTCATCGCCATCGCGTCCTGGTGAGGACCTCGGGAGGGCCTTCTGCTTGCCCTTGTCTTTCTGCACCTTGCGTCCCTCCTCACCGCCGGTCGGAGTCGATTTCGGTGCCTTGTCGGATGTTGCGGCCTTGGCCTTGGAGCTGGACTTGGGACGCGCGACCATGAGGCTTTGGATGAGGGTTTCGACGTCAATATCGGCATCGCTATCTGAGCCGTCAACGTCGACCTCATGTGCTTTGCGTGCTTTGGCGGGAGCTGCAGCTTGTTTCGATGTTGTAGCTTCTTGTCTCGTGCCCTTTTTCTTAAAGTGAGAAGAAACCGGTCGAGTCTCGGACGCTGTGGTGACCGATGCTTTCGACGTGCCTGCGGTTTCGCTCGGTCTCTCTTCAAAGGCGTTGCCGTTCCCCCTGCCCTTCATCTTCTTCTGCTCGCCGTCCTTTTTGCCTTGCTTATCAACGGAGGGTCCCTCATCAATGGCCTCTTCCTGTAGTTGTTGTTGCTGATCCCGATCTTGCAAAGCTTGACGAGTCTGCGGCTCAGCCGCCGCGACGCGCTTTCGTTCCTTCTCGGCCTTTTTCACCGCCTTGTTCCTCGCCTTGGGATCGTCGTCGGCTTCTTCTGGTGGCGCGTCTTCAGTCGACTCCAAAGAAGTAGTTTTGGCATTTTTGCTACTCTTCTTGTCCTTCTTGCGTCGCTTGGACTCGCTCTCCTCCGCTTGATGCTCCTGATTGACATCACGGTCGAGGCCGATCCCGTTCGAGTCCGAGTTCGCACTAGTCGTCGGCTGGTGGCGTTGGCCAACAGACTGGTTTGGTAAATCGTCTGCATGATTCTGGAATGAAGAGCTGCCGGTGGGACTCACGTCTGATGCAGCAGCATGAGGCTCCTCCCGACCTTGGTCCTTGTGAGCTCGGTTGGCGTCGTTGCTCGTACGACCGAGGGGTTCCTCCTCTGTTTGATCGATACCTTCCTACGACGAGTACGAGAAAGAGATGATCATGAGTCAGAACATCCGCATCATCAACACCCTCATCGCCGATTTCGAGCCCCGAACTGACCTGCCCCCTCTTCCGCTTCTTGCCCTTGTCCTCCTTCATCTTCTTCCCCTCCTTCCCGACCTCAACATCCATAATCCCCTGCGCTTCCTCCATCATCGACCCCGGACCCGACGCGCCATGACCGTCGTCCACGAGTCCGTTGTCCTGTTCTCGTCGTTGAAGCTTCTTCAACCGCTTCATCTCCTTCTTCGATGCCTGGCTCGACATCTCGGTACTCGAGTCAGTCGGAAGGGAGTGTTTGGTCTTACCTTTGGCCATGATGAAGCAGGGAGGGGTGGAGCTCTTGGGCTTGGGTGGAAGGGCGAGGTGAAAGTGAAAGAGAGGAGGGAGGGGACAAGCGCGTGGGGTTGATCGCCCTGATTGGGGGATGTCGCAGGATGTCGCGACGCGCCTCATCACGTGATCCGCAGTAACTGACTCTCCCATGCCCCCAAAAGACACCTTGATCGATAGATAACACACAAGAAAACGACCCTATATTGCGATGAACTTTTTCCGAAGAACAATCTCGTCCAATAGCTGCTGCCCAGCGTTCTTCATGCCGTCTCTTCTCTCTCCAAATCTCCGTTCTGCGTCTAAGCCAACCCAGCCTTGACCATAGCCTATTTCGCATCCAACATATCCACAAAAAAAAGGACGTCAGTACCAATCCAAACTCTGCCCACCACCGACCGAGCTCCCGATTCAGTCGTGACTTACCTCCTTGAGCAACGCGCCCAACTTGGCCGGCGAATCGGTGACGATCACGCCGGCCTGTTCCAGCGCCTTGACCTTGTCCTCGGCACCACCTTTGCCACCGGAGATGATCGCGCCGGCGTGGCCCTGAAGGAGTAACGATGGAAGAGGAGGTCAGTTCGGCGGCCTGCTTGGGTTAGAGCCTGTTCGCGACCGAGGGACTTGCCATACGACGACCCGGGGGAGCGGTTCGGCCACTGTAGAGAGTCGTATAAAAAATAACGCGTCAGCATCCTATCGTCCATACTGTGTGGGTGAAGAAGGGGAGGACGTACGCGATAAATCCAACGACGGGCTTCTTCTCGACGTTGTACTTTTGCAGGTACTCGGCCGCCTCCTCCTCCATCGTGCCACCGATCTCACCGATCAAGACAATACCTGGAACTCACTCCCCACCAGCAGTCAGCTACGTTCACGCCTCCCCGCCATCTTCTATCCCCCAACGCACCTTTTGTCGCCTTATCCTCCATAAACACCTTGAGCACATCGATATGCTGCGAGCCGGGGAAAGGATCACCTCCGATACCGACGCAGAGGGATTGGCCCAAACCGACTTTGGTCGTTTGGTCGACGGCTTCATAGGTGAGCGTTCCGGAACGCGAGACGACACCTGGGAGATGGACGCGGGAGTAGGCGGCGACCTTTGTCAGCGAACTTGATCCGGAACCAGGATCGCGGCTTAGTTTCCCCCGGACTCACCAACTGATCCAGCCTTGAAGATGTTTCCTGATGATGAGAAACCACGAGATGCACAAACGCACGATCAACACCTCCGGGGCCGGAACCCGCTCGCCGAAAAGCCATCAAACTCACCAGGCATGATTCCAATCTTGCAACCGCCGTTCACACCAGGTGCAATGATACCCGGGCAATTAGGTCCCACCAAACGGGACTTGGTCTGACGACGCAACACCTGGGCGACGCGAACCTCATCGGATTGCGGGATCCCTTCGGTGATGCAGATGATGAGAGGGATCTCGGCTTCGATCGCTTCGATAATGGCGTCCGCGGCGAAGGGGGGAGGGACGTAGATCACCGTCGCGTGGGGTTTGGTTTGGTCGTTGGCCTGCGACGAGGGTGGTTTCAAGTTACTGGATCAGCCTTCGGGGGATCACCTCCGCCGGGGTGTGTTCCCTCAACGGACCTCTCGAACGGAACCAAAGACGGGCAAGCCGAGGTGTTCTGTTCCAGCCTTCTTGGGGCTGACACCGCCGACGAGTTTTGTACCAAACTGCAGCGCTTCACGGCAATGGAACGTGGCCTGATTTGGAGACGTGTACGGGAGTGGCAGAGTTGCGGAGGATGTAGGGATGGGAGACGGCACGTTTCGGGTTAGTTTTCCTTCTTCAGCTGCGGAAGTATTCCGGAGTAATTCGTAGGACGAACCGTCTTGCCGCTGTACGATAACGGGTAAGATCACAATTCTCAGCTTTCTGGACTGCCTCCTCATAGAGCAAGCACCACGCGGCGGAGAGAGAGAGAGAGAGAGAGAGAGAGACACGAGGACCACAGAGTGGACGACCCTCTTGTAGTGTCTCGCCGCTCTCCCCGCGGACAACACGCCGCAAAGTGACTCACGTGAACCCCTGGCAGATGACCTTGGAATCCTCGGTGATGCGCAAGTTGGGGATGGTCTGGTTGTACAGCTCGAGCGACGACGCGGCCGCGCGCGAGGTGCTGAACGCTCGGCGAGACGCTGCAGGGGAACGGGAACAGGTAGGACGTGGTCAGTGGTGTGCAGGGTAGATGAGCTTCTTCGAGTCCTTCCGTGGGAACGCACCTTGACGCAAAGGAGCAGCAGCGACGGAGAACATGGTGGTGGTGCTTTGCGGGGAGAGCGAAGGACCGTGTGGTAGGCAACGGAGCGTGCCGTGAGGAGCCGTGCGGCGCAAGTCGGGAAGCCCCGCACCAGCCCGCACCGCGGCTACAGCTCAACCCCCTTTTCTTGCGCCGCAAGTACGCGCCGTGCATCTCGGTCCGGTCGAGGCCAGGAAGACACGTGTCGAAACGGACGGATTTCAGTCATCGTTTCCAGAGACCATCTCGAGTGGAGGCAAAACATGTCGACTTGGTGTGAACGCAAAAGATTTACAACAAACCAACTCCAAACGCCGAACAAAAGCCACAAGCCCCTCACAGGTCCATCGCGTCCGCGTCCCTCCCCTCCGCGCCCTCGCCTTGCTCCCTCAACAGATCATGAAACGACCACTTGGGATAATCCACGTTCCGCTCATTCAACAACGTCTCCCCCCAGACCAACATCTTCATCAACCCCGGCAGTTTAGGATCCTTACTATGAGATTGACTGGTTAGGATCGCGGCGTTAAGTTCGCTGGCTGTTTCGAGGCGTTGGGATTGGTCCAGCAGGGACGAGATACTGGAGGGCATGGCGATGGAGGTATCTTCGGTCGTGAGGCCTGATCCTTCCCCTCCTGCACCACTCTTGCGACTCTTCTTTCCAGCACCGCCGCTCGAAGCGCGAGGAGCGGATGCAGCCGGAGCCGAATTCGTGGAAGGCTCCGTCGCAGCGAGCAGGGAAGGCATCTCAAAGGCCAGCAACGCCATGGTCCTTTCGAGCTCCTTGAGGAACTGCGGTGATTCCTCACCTCGAGGTGCGAGCTCGGATTGAGCAAAGGTGAGCGCCTCTTCGATCTCGCCTTGTCGAATCAACTCGATCAGCTGCAGTTGCAGTAGGTGGAAGTGCAGTGCAGGGTTCGTGTCGAGGAGCTGAGAGGAACCCGTAGCGTGTAGGGACAATCCCAAGTCAGCACTCGTGTTCTCAAGCAAGCAGAGCGATCCGTTGTGGTGCCGATGGGGTGAACAGCAATCGATTGAGCTCATTGTTGACTTGGTTTGGTTGTCCTATTATCATCTTCGAGCGTGGTCCGAGGGTCATTACAACCTGCGGACCTACTCTGAGAGTGGTGCATAGTACAGTATAATCTTTGCTCGACGACGAATCTGGTGGTGGGCCCTCCGCGACGGAACGGGAACGGGCACAGGAAAAAGGGGAAGCGGAGCTCACCTCTGGGTCCAAGTTGTTGACCAACTCGGTCGCTTCTCTCACATCGCCCCTCTGCACGGCACGACGTATCTCCATGCGCGATTCGATACTGTCGAGGTCGATCGGAGGGGAGATGTTGGCCTCGCGAGAAAAGTGCGTGGCCGCATCGAGGTACCCTTCGGTGAAGAGGTAGTCGGAGATGATCGAGTTGAGATCACTGAGAGGCGGTTCGTGAAGCGGTAGATGAGGGAAAAGGGGATGCTACGGGGTCAGTTCATGAATGCTGGGGGTCAAGGCCACCGGGGCAAGTCGAGGTTGCGAAGGAGGCAGCCGTGCGGCGCGGGGGTCGAGTCGGTGATCAGAGGTGTGTTATGTAAAGTTTCCTCGTGGACGTGTAATTGGCACGCTAGGAGAGATTCCCACAGAAGTTCTCATCATTCCAAGGACAAGCGTCGGTAGTCGGGGCCATGGAGCGAGTCGAGGAGGGGTGTGGGAGGAAGCTCTTTTCGTTTGCGAGAGAGGAAGGGACTCACTCTTTGGAGACGTCGACGGCGGCGAGACGGTTGTTCCATTCTTCAGGAGTGGTGGCTGGCCTTTTCGAGCTCGAGGAAGAAGCCTGTCGATGGGTCACAGAGTGGATGAGTTGGATGCGCCGTCATGGATCATGGACGCGGTCTGGACGGGTCGCCCGGAGCGAGGACTGACCATGGCCGGAGACCAAGGGCGCGAGCAGCGGGCGCGCGCCAGGCGACTCGATGGCGCTGAGCGGCGGCAGGCGGGGGCGGCTACGGGCGGGCGAACGACCGGCGAGCACGGACCTGGTGGAGGGAGCTTGGACCTGGCACCTACCACGACAAAGTACGCGACTTTTGAGAATTGGATATGCGCGACCTGAACGTGCAAAGTACAGCTCTGGAGTGTAGATACGGTTCAATGAGCTCGATGAACCGGTCGATGACGAGTGCTAGTGCGTGTGGAACGGATGATGCGCCGTTGTGGAGGTGGTGCAATCCCAATTCGGAGACAAGAGGAAGCGAGCCGGACGATCAGAAGCGATTCAGCTGAGAGGTGGTGTCTCGAGAGCGGTGGTTGGTGCAATGGAAAGAGTCGGCCGATGCGATGTGGTGGTGGTCGAAGCGAGTGGGGCGGCACGCCTGCCAGCGCCTGCCCGCGTTGCACCGGCCGATTGACGGACGGCGGTCAGTAAGGCCATCAGTACTTGTCAGTCTCGCGTCTCATTCGCGCCTCACTCGGGATGCCCTACGTCAACGTGTCCCTTTTGCTTTTCATTCACTTTCAGCCACTTCTGTAGTCTGTGAGCTAACCGGAAACCATAACGGAGCTTCAACTTGTTCTGCATTTGATCGGAAAACTGCAGTGCTCCTTGGTCCAAGTCGAAGACCCGAGATGGGGTAATAGCCTGCCGCGCCTTCTGCCCGCCGACACTACTGCAACTTCCTGGCATGTGTTTCTTGCCTAGCGAAGCTGTATCTGGAAGGTTTTGTTCATACTGATCTGATCAACATGGGGTGTCTGCGCGCCGACGCTCTGCCCAAGTGTGAATCGTCGCGGCAGCCTCTACTCAAGCGCAGACTCTTTCCGATTTGTGCTAGTCTGTGCTAGTTGTTCGCGAGGCCTCAGCGCGGGAGCACGGCCCCTCTTTCTCGGGATCACCGCGCGCTTTTAGTTCGAGGATCGTCGCTCTTCTCGTGGCGAGCAGCACCATCATCAGCACCGTCACTGATCGTTGGATGATATGACCAGTCTGAGCTACCATACCCATGGTCTCAGTAGTGGTGGATCAGGTCCAGGCTCGTCAATGAGCGGCAGTGGTGGCTCCCCTTCCAACTGCGGCTCCTCCCCCGCGAGGCCGACCTCTCCTTCGCTCGGCTCATCCAGCGCTTCCACCGCTACCGTCACCCACCCCGCACCACCCGACACCGTCCTCACCGCCCTGAACTTCACGCCCTTCAAGACCAAAAACACCCGACGTGATCTGACGACCTCGTACCGTGCCTTCAAACAAGCCTGGTCCGCGATCGAACGAACGACCGTCCTCCAACACTCTGCTCGAAGGTTGGGCGAACGAGCGGCCAATGTGCTGTTGGTGACGACCGACAAGTTGCAGGCTTATGAACCCAAGGATGCGAGGGACAAGATCTTGGGCAAAGTGCCCACTTATGAGTTTCAGGCCGAGGCGAACCCGCAAGAGACCATGTTCAAGCTGCAGTCGTGAGTTCGCAGCTGGCAGCTGGGATGCGGCGTGGCCTCGTTCACCTCCTTTCCTGCGAGTCGCGCGCGGGTGGGAAGGGGTCGAGGCGGAGGCAGCGTATCTCGCGCGGGATGTCCCTCACTCGCTCAGGTACTGACAGCGCTGTCTTATCTCCCTCTATCAGCATCATGATCGACCTCCAAACAGCCATGACCCTCCTCGCCTCCCCTCGTCAAGACCAACAGGTGCTTCTCGTGCGCGACCTCTCCTCGACCGTCCGTTCGCTCGAAAAACTCAACGCCCAACTCACCAACGCTGTCGAGATGTACGAGCTCTTCATCTCGACCGAACCGTGGGCTCTCGAGAACGAACATGATCTTGCCGCCGATTATGCGACCTTGCCTCGTCTGTTTCAACTCGCTTTTGCACTGAGGGGTCCGCTTTATACTGGTTTCCTCAAAGATCATCCCGCACCACCTGGGGAGATCGCTTCCATCTCCAAACGAAGGGACAATTATCTCGCTTGGTGTCTCGAGACGAATCCGCTGCTGAGACAAGATCCCTCGACACCGACGTCGGCGAGAAAGAGATGGGTACTGATCACGCCTAGCCCCGAAGCATCACCCGTGTCGCCGCTTTTCCCCAAGGGGGGTGCGGGAACAGTACCCGTTCTATCACGATCACGTGCACCATCGTCGCCAACTGCAGCTGCTCCCGCCGGTGGGTCCAGACGAGTAAGAAGCTCGACCATGATCAACGAAGTCAGCCCCTCGCCGCCCTCGATCAAAGCCGGAACCGTAGTAGAGACCAAAGATATCCCATCGAGTCCCACCACCAGTCCAGAAACGTCTCCAACAATCCCAAGCTCTTCCCCCTGGACGGCTTCTCTCTCAAATTCTCCCAAAGAACTCAGCGCCGATACCCCGGACTCGACCCCTCCCACCACACCCCAAATTGTGACCTCGATCTACCCCAACACAGTCGCCGATCGTGCCTCTCGCCTTTCCACCGAACCCGACGAACACTCTTTCCTCTCCATCGGGGACCATCCCAACGTAAGCTCTGACTCCTCCGGTGCATCGGACGATGAACCCGATTCACCGACGTCGGGTACCCCTCGTCAACTTCCTCGTCTGCTCGAGAACGGGTCATCCAAATCAAGTCCGGCTTCCGAAGTACCCCCTGCCAAAGGTCTAGGGATCCTCGATTCGCTCAATGCAGCGGTCACTACCGAACCCGACGCGGCTCCAGATTCTCCCGTGGAGGAGAAGAAATCGAACTTGCTTAGCTCACCCAGATCACCCCGACGCGTCCCTTCGATCCCTACCCTCCCCGCTATCCCAGAAGACGAACTCTACCGACCCGAACCGCCGACGCCGACGCCGATCCCGTCTTTTATCGTTCGACCCGCGACACCTCAGTGCGAATCCCTCCAAGCGGGGGAAAAGGGATCAACACCTCAAACCACAAGTTTGCGTATCCTCTCACTCGACGGAGGAGGGATCCGTGGCTTGACGCTCCTATACACCCTGCGCTCCAAACTCGCCAAAGACTCTCCACCACCATATCAAGTCTTTGATCTTATCACGGGATGTGGAACCGGAGGATTGGTCGCGATCTTGTTGGGTCGATTGAGGATGACGATTGATGAGGCGATCAATACCTATTTGTCGATCGCGAGGCAGGCATTCATCTCCAAGGAGCTCGTGCGCAAGAAAAGTCGCTGGAGTCGACTGTTCGGAGGTCCAGGTTCAACAGCTGACCGAAGCGAAATCGGCAAACTCCTTCCCGGAACCCGCGACCATGGGCTCGAAGAAGCCCTTCTCGAACACCTCGACGACGTCCCCATGCTCGAAGAATCTTCTGCTCTCGAAGCGAAGCGATGCAAAGTGGCCATCTTGGCCTACGAACAAAGTTCCTACGGAGGCGACGGTGCCCCCGTCTGGTTCCGTTCTTACCTCGACGACAACGACGAGAACCTCGATTCACCTTGCATCCGAACCGTCGTTCGAGCGACGATGGCTTCGAGCGCCTTCTTCAGACCTTTCAAACTCGCCGAAGAGCGAGCATCTTTCATCGTCGCTCCTGAATCACTCAATCCCGCCGATCTAACGCTAGACGAAGCGCATCGCATCTCCGAGACCCTCGGACCGGATGCTACCGAACTCCCCAAACTAGAGATCGTCCACTTCCTCTCCCTCGGCGTAGGTCAAATCCCTTCCGGCATCCGTCTTTCCTCCAAAACCAAGATGCGCTCTCTCAAACTCGTTACCCGGATCGTAGAAGAGAACCAAAGTGCTTATGAACGCGTTTTGAGAAGGGCGAGGAGGGAGGGGTGGTCGGAAAGGATCGAGAGGATTGATGTGGATTTGGTCGGGAGGGATGACAAAGGGATTGATGAGTGGTTTTATCATATTCTTTTGAGGGACGCTATTGAACGGTTCGTGAACGGTGGGGACCTGAGTACCACTACTTCGGGGGCTGCGGATAGAGTGGGGAGTGGGGATTTCGAATTTCCTTCGACGACGCCGACGGAAACGATAAAGTCGACAAATCCAAGACGTGAGTATCCCGGTCTCTCTCTCTTCGGTCCTCCAAATCACTCACCTTCTTCTCCAATCCCAGCCACTTCAATGCTAAGCACCTTCACGTTCCGCCGCTCCTCAATCCAGCGCTTATCCCTCCGGCCCGAAAGCTCCTCAAGCTCCTCAGCAACCTCCCCCCTGCGTCGATCAGTTTCGCTGACGAACCTCCGTACAAGTCTTAATCCCATGTATCTACAACGTGACGCGTCGACAGCTTCCCTCGACGCGGATGTCGCGAGGGATTCTCTCACGAATTCAGGGACGAATACTGCTTTGTGAGGAGGGGTTTGTCGGGCAAGGGATATTTATTCGGTCGGATTTCCGAGAGGGGTTGCCAACCTGGACTTTGTGGGGTAGCTTTCGGCTTATGCGAGAAAAATGTACAAGCAGTTCTTTCCTGAAAAACTGCGGCCTCTGTTCTATATCAAGAAGAGCAGTGAGAAGAAAGTATACACATCACCCAACTTCCGCCTTTCTAGCCCTTCCCCCTTCAATATGCCGAATCATAGGCCGTCGAATCCCCCCCATTCGCACACTCCGCCGTCACCCAACTCATAATCTGATCAAACGCCTGGCCATGCCCGACCATACTTTCCCCATGTTTCATCGCATGATGAACCTTGAGTCCTCCCCTAGTCGGTCCTACATTCTCCCCCCGTTTCACTTCCTTGATTCCTGAACGTTTGAGATAAGTCCGTACCCTTTCGGCGTTGAGGATCGCGTCCCTTCCCGCAAGATAGAAAGCCGCGTGGTAAGGCGATGTAACGCGCGGGATTTGACTCGGGAACAATAAATTGGACGACCAATCGAACGTCCGTTGAAGCATGAACGCGACCCCTAATTCCCTCGAAACGAAGTACCTCATGAGGTATTCCAACGGTTCACGTGGTTTGGAGTAGAGGAAATTGTAGCAGACCCAGGGTTCCCAAAGGGAGAAACAAACGGGATCGACGAAGCAGGAACGAATGACGAGGTCGGGAAGTTCTTTGAGTATCCACCCATGGACGATCGAGCCGTTCGAATGGGAGAGGATCGTCAGACCCGAGAGATCGAACTTCCATTTTTGAGCGATCGCGGCGATCCCGACTCCGATGGAGTTTTGCGTAGGTGGGAAGAGGTAGTCTCGTGAGAAGAAGGCCATCGAGATGTGAGGTTGGATCAAAACGATGATGGGCCGATCGGCGAGTAGTTTGCTCGTCGCGAAATAGGACAACATCGAACCGTACTGCGGTAGTCCGCAGCCTAAGCCGTGTAGGACCAAGAGGGGACGACTCGCTTCCGTGCAGTTTGCCGTGGGTTTCCACCCGGCGGGTATCCGAACAAGGTACCGTAGTCCACCATCTTCACACGTGACGAAGCCGCGAGCCCGGAGCTTGAACCCGACGTATTGTTGCAAACACCCGACAATAGCTGCACGCGATGCAACCATCGCTCGATGCGCTTAGTTTGGTGCACATTCGGCATGAAACGAGCCACAAACACGTACAATACAAGAGGATAGGTCTCTGCGTGACTCTGACGGGGTCCAAGGTCAACCGAATAACTTTGCACCGAGGATTCCTCCCTTCCCTAAGCGACCCGCCAGCTCGGAACTCGACCAAATCCAAGCAGTGTTCCAACAGGCCCAACTTGTCCTGTTCCAATTGCAGGCCACCTTGGTCGACGTCTAATTCGCCATCGAGATGTAGCGGCGGTTTTCCTGCCGCGACCCAGGCTTGCCGTTCCTCTTCGAGTTCTTCGAGGGTCGACGAGTAGAGGCACCATGCGAGCCAGTCCGCCATATTGAGCCGATAGATCTCCTTGTATTCTGCGCGTTGGCTCGAGGTGTTTGTCAATACCTTTTCAGGGGTGTAGACCTCCAAAGGACGACGTCTGCTCACCACATCCATTGAACCACAACCGAATAAAATCGCGAAAATCCTCAGCTCGTGGATCCTCCGCGTCTAGCTTGTCCATGAACGAGGGCGTGTAACTCGAGCTCCTCGGTCGAACGCTGTGTTGCCCACCTCCGCTCCTTATACTCGGTCCGTACCCTTCGTCGTCCTCGACTTCATTATCCTCATTGCCATCATTTGTATTCCTCGGTGTCGCAGGTGAAGAATCCTCGACCTTGGGGCCATTCTTGTCGAGCTGTGGCAGATCCGCGACGCTCCCATTCGGTACGGGCGTCATCTCAAACTCGATCGAAGGCCTCTCCATCTCCGGTGTCCTCGCCCCATCTCCCAATCGAACCTGATTCAAACTCCGGCTCCTCAAAGCCCCTTCCATACTCGCTAAACCAGGGATAGCTCCCCTCAATCCTCCGGACCTAGGATTGGCCCTCCTCGATCTACTTCGTTCGAGCTCAGCACCCCCACTAACGATTTGTTCGCCGTCCTCGTCGTTCTGCAACCCATTCTCCAAAGCCCTCTTGATGATGTTTCTCAAGAACCTCCTCGAAGCTTGAGGCGCTTTTCTTCGCTTGTTGGCTCGAATGGCGAGGTAGCGGTAGTAGAGGGAGAAGGGAATCTCGACGGCGCAGTAGGACAACGTCATGTAGTGGAACACCTTGAGGACGATGTGCGAAGGTGCTGGTCGTCCGGCGTGTAATGATGGGATCAGAGTCAGGAGGGTCCAGAGGACGTAGAGCCATGATAGAGGGGTTATGGCCCAGACCAATCCGATGGCTAGCCCTGTAGGATGATCATCCACGCGGGCACGGCTTCATCAGCCGGAGGATTCAGGCGCTCAGCCCCACGTCGCCAGAGTGACGGCCACGAGGTCCAAGCGCGTCCAGGTCCCCACCGAAACGGCGAGCACTCACAAACCGCAGCGAGGGTGAGGTGGAACATGACTCGAAAGCCATTGTACTTTCTCCGTGGTCTCCCCGACGTAGGTGAGGTAGGGGATGTCGCATCGTTGGACCGAGAACGCCTGAGACCGGCGCCATTCGTGCTCGAGGCTGACGTCGTTGCCTTGCCGTTCGCCGTGGGCGTGGGGCGCGCCGGTGGAGGGGTCGCCGTCGTACGAGGGAGGGACATGATCCGTCGGACCCTACGTCGTCCTACCAAGAACCCACCACGAATGAGAACCCAAGACTGGACCTAAAGTACGACTGCCGGTTACTAGTGAAGGGTAGGACGGCAACCGAGCCCAGCGGGAGCGAAGCACAGGAGATTGCCAATGCCGACCGCGTAAATCGAGTGGCGCGTGCAATCTGCCCAGCCAGGCCCAGCAGGGCCCAGCCCAGCTGCTCCAAGACACCCCGCTCCAAGCTCCAAGCGCTCCACGCACATAGATATATACAGGATACTTTCGGAAGTGATCGACGGCCTGTGCCTGGCACCTCCAAGTAAAAATCAGCGCTCGGCAAGGCTCGTTCGATCAAGCGGGTACGGAAACACATCTCGTCACAGTGAGCCAGTGATTTTGTTCCACCGTCACACTCACACCATTCTCAGAAGGCGAGTCGAATATTAATCTTCGGGGTTACGTCGCACCGATCGAGCTCGCAGGACTCGCATTCCCCTTTTCCACTCGAGCGGACCGTCCATCGAATGCTTCACCCCCCAAAGGAACTCTTATTACACATCTTTCTTGAAACCAGGCCTTTCTAATCCGTCTCGTCTCCCTCTCCAAGGTCGCAATCCTCCCGCACACCAGCTTGTGATCAGATTTCGTCCCTCGTCCTCGCCTCTTGACGAATTCCTCCGAGCCACGAACGCACTCCCACTTGCTCCCTCCAGGAAAAGTTTACTTTTGGATCGGTCCATAGATCGGCCATGTCTTGTCGTGGATCTGCGGCTTGTCCTCGGGCGATCCGGGGATGTTCTTGGCCAGTTTCTGTCTCGGCGGTAGATCGTAGGGGAGGGAGGGAAGTGGGGGGAGAGGGGCATATCGTACGGCGTGGAGTCGCATCGGCGTATTCGATTGATGACATGAACGAGTCGGAGAGCGAACGAAGTTGAATCCAAGTCAAGGGGAGAGACGATCCGTTAGTAATCGCCCAAACCCCAAACCAACCGGGACCAATGCCCTAGACGTCCACGCACCAGTTTCTCGAATACGCAAGAGTTGAACACTCGTTCCGGTTTGCGACACAGGTAGAATTCCTGTACCAAAACCCAATCTCTGAGATCAATCTCGGCACTTGCTCTCAACGGGGGAGGGCAGCCCGATCTTGATCTTACTGACCTGGTTGTTCCGCTCCAAGCACTCCCAATGGGCGTTGAACTCTGCCAGACACGTCGATCGCACCTTGGTGATCCTGCGCACAGCATGCAAAGCATGTTAGAGGTGTCTGAGTCGCAGTCGACGATGAGGATGCGAGCACTTACAAGTCCTGAGCACATCTCGTGACCTTGCGGCCTTCCTTCAAGCAATGTTCCGGGTTCCTGTTCTCGGCTTTGCACAGCATGAAGTCCTCTGTGGTAAGAAGGAAGAGTCGGAGGTCAGTCGTGAAGTTCTACGATCGTCCAAGTGGTGAGCCCGCCGTGAGGTGCGGAGTCGCCCTCGGCTCGGCTCGGCTCGGCTCGGCTCGCGTTGAACCCCTCGCGATATCGACTTCCACCCAGCCAGTTCCCAAACTGACCGTTGTACTTTTGGCAGTGTTCGCCGATGAAGAAGGACGCGGATTTGAGGGGAGCCGAAGTGACGCCGAGTTCGTCGACGTGTGGGATCGAGGAGGGCATCGGAGTTGGGCTGTTGGAGGTGGTGCACGAGATCAGCTGGTTCTTCGGTGAGAGCGAATGATTGGAACTGGATGGCCTACTCGACATAGTCCTTGTCGGGGAATCTGAGGAGGGGGGAAGCAGTGCAGTGTCAGTCAATGGGGGACGAGCGGAGCGGGAGGGCGACCAGGGGGAGGAGGAGGACAAGGACCGACTTGGCTTCACGATGCGTCGACTGTGCGTAGAACGAGCATGCTGTCAGCTCGGGTGAACGACGAGGGCACTGCGGCGTGTACTGACCATGATGGATGAGGTGTGCCAAACGGGTGTGCGGGCCCCAAGAGAGGCTCGCCTGTCGACCAGCCCGGCATCGAGCTCTTGAGATCTGAGCGAAGCGCGCCGACGCTCGGACCGCTTGGATGGACACGGCCACTCTGTCCTGCCAGGGTCGCAGCTTGCCCTCGTCCTCATCTCTCCGACACGCACTTCCATCCTTCCTTTACGTCATGGTCAGTCCGACCACATCAGCTATACCCGTATTCATCTGCATCATCCACCTAACGCGTTCAGTGATATTGCCCGTGATTCACAGCCGCCTCGAAAGCACCCTCTGACCGTGTTCCGACTCAAGCTCAACAAGAGTACGTTCGATCCCTACACTCTCTTACGTGCACTTCGCTGAACGTTATCTACCTCACACCACAGCCACCGTATTCCTCCCCGTTTCCTCCTCCACGACGCTCTCCTCCTTGCGTACGGACCTGATCCAAGCCCTCAAGCACGGACGTGACACCGAGGTCGATCCTTTACCCGCTTCACCCAACGAAATCGCTCTGTGGAGATCGTCTGGGGTGGAAGGGGAAGAGACATGGACCCGATTGACAGATGAGAAGAGTACGGCTGACAAGTGGGGACTGTGAGTTGCAAGTCTCGCTTCAGAGTGAATCGCTTCAGAGTGAACGAAATCTCGGATCATTCCTCAATCGTGGCCCTCGGCCGGTGGTTGACGTCGGCCCTGACAGAGCGCGTGTGATCATTGTCATCATCCTTGTATGAAGCATTCATAGTATCTTCGAGCATGTTCTGACTGACCCAACTGCCCTTTCGGTACATTCCAGTCAAGAAGCCGCCGAAATTGGAGTGTCGGTCAAAAACTCTGATGGTCAGTCTTTCAATCGCTCTCTTCGAAAGCGGGTCTGGTAAAGTTCGAGGTCTCAATCATAACGGTGCTTCTCAGCAGGAACATTCCCCGAACCGACAGTGGAGCGACCGGTCGATTCTGACGATGAGGAGTAGGCCCCTTCGAACGAGCTCAGTCGGTCCGAGCGCTTCAGATTTCACGCCGACAAATCCAATATGATGCATTGGATCACGAATGCAGGGACTGAACGAAAGCACGCTACAATTTCTGCATACCTGTACCGTGTTGTCATACACTGCACTCTTTGTGGTCCCGCGGCACTGTCTCTGCGGAGCGCCACTTGCAAGTCATCTGACGGAGACTCAGCGTGCCATCGACCCAAGTCATGACGAAATTCGCTCCAGACCGCTGCGAGTCATCTAACTTTTAGGGCTGTCCTCCTAGTCATAGGAAGAAACGAGCGTTTTTAGCTAGCCATCTGAACCAAACCTACCATGACTTGACGTGACGAGAGAGCAGCAGCAATCGCGGGGCCTCGTTTCGGGCAAGTCGAGTCACTTCGGGCGCGAACGCCCAACTCCGAGTTGCTGGAGCGCGCTGCGCAAGTGACTCCGGTGCTGCGGATCCGGGTGACTCGAGAAGACCTGTGTTCGCTCAAAAAGACGAGGCTTTTCTTCATTCCCTCTCTCCGTCCTGATCCTCAAATCTCTTCATCCATGCTCAACAACATGTCCTCCTCAGCTTCCTCCAAGAACCCCTCCAGCGTGGCCAAAGTCGAACTCAAGCTCACGCTACCTTCGGCTGGCCCTGCACACCACACCACCACCCGTTTCCTCTCGGTGCCGGCGACCCCTTGCCCGACTTGGGACGAGTTCCTCGTTCTCTTACGCGAGCGCTTCCAGCTCGATGCTTCAACCCCCATCATCGGTGTCACCTACCGTGATACCGAGGATGACGAGATCCTCCTCTCTTCCGATGCCGAACTCCAAGATTGGTGGTCGACCTTGACCGCCGAATCGTCGTCGACCGACTCCTCCACCATCACCGCCACCGCCACCACGGCTCGGATCCTCATCGATGGACAAGCCCAATCCGCCGCGCTGGATGAAGAACAAATCCAACTGCTCGGCGAAGTCAAGTCGATGATTCAAAAAGACCATTCGTTCGCTCATCGTATCGGCAAGACCATCGGCGAAGCATTGCACCCCCACCACCACCACCCCTTCGGCGGTCGCCGAGGAGGACCGGGAGGTCCCCCACCGCCCCCTTACGGCGCTGGCGGTCGCCACACCCACAGCCATGGCCCTCCTCCTCCTCCTTTGGGCGGTCCTGGTCGTCACGCTCGTCACGCTCACGGCTCCCGTCATGGTGGTCGCGGCGGTCTCTTCAGCCTTGGTCCTCGTTCTTCCGGTATTTTCGGACCCTCCGGTCTCTTCGGACCCTCCGGCTTGTTCGGGCCTCCGGGCCCTTCCTCTTCTTCCTCGTCCTCCAGCTCGTCCGGCTCTGAAACCGACGTCGAAGATGGTCGAAAGGAGAAGCACGGCAAGAAGAATAAGCATCATTCCGGTGGTCGAAAGCACGAACACGGTGAACACGGCAAGCACTCTCGTCGTCGTAAGTCTCCCCTATTGGAGGCTTTATTGGGTTCCCATGACTCACTTTCCCCCGCTTTGTTCGCTCGTCGATTGGCTCGTTCGACTGTAGCCCATGATCATCATCCTCGAGGACCTCGTTCCTTTCCTCATGCTCCTCCTCACGCACCTCATGAACCCCATGGTCCTCACCCACCTCACGGTTCTCAACTTCCTTTCCCCTTCATGAATCACGGCGATCGTCCTCGTCACGGTCACGGATACGGTCATGGACATGGACACGGCCACGGCGACCACGCCGGTCCTTCTTCGCCCCCTCCTTTCGCCGGACACGACCACAGTCAACCAATGGGCGAGTTGGTCGATCTGGAATTCGAGATGCTCGATTTGGACGAACAAGAACGAAAACCACACGGCCGATCTCGTCCTCATCATGGTCATGGACCTCATCGCCATCGTGGAGGTCGTCATCATGGACTAGGTGGTCGTCATTAGCTAGAATGCCGGGAGATTGCCGGTTCTAATTTGTTTCGGATTCGTACGACTTTATTATCTGTGAAAAAATAAAAATGCTTGTGTATGTACTCCAATCTGTTTTGTATAGTACCACTCAAAGAAACCTGATGTGGAGAGAGAGAGAGACGAGAGAGAATATACCGAAGAAGCGAGACTTCGCACTCAAGTCTGAACTTGCACGAGTGGCGAGCGCCGAGCGCCGGACGCCGTTAGCCAAGCCTGATGACCTCACCTCCTAAAGTCCTGTACCGAACGGATAGGGTGCAATTTTCTCGGCCGAGCGAAAGGAGCGCTGACAGTGAACATTATCCGAACAAGTTTGGGTAACTTCACAAGACCATGACCTTTTGTGAGAGCGAGACTGATATTGCAGAAGAAGGGTTAGACGCCCTCGGAGAACGTGACACCGCAAGACCTTCACTGAGGGCTCTCACCGCAGCGCCTTTTCGATCTCAAAACAGGATCGCGCAAGTATCGCGGATCAAAGTCGAGTTGGGCGTGGTTCCAATCAATGATACAAACCGAGCCATCATCCCGTAGCAAGACGTTTTGATACTCTGCGTCACCATGTTGGATCCCTTGTTCGTAAAAGACCCGGAAGGCCGCCCTGCGCCAATCGGGTGAGGGGTTGCCGAAAAACCAATAGGGAAGAGTTGCGTCGCAGGTCTTCGTTAGTGGTGGATTGGCGGTCGGAGGGAGATGACAACACCATCTATGATGGGCCAACACTCACGCCTTTTTTTCTTCGAGTTCGGCGGTCTGGTCTTCGGGCCGGACAAGACGACCGCCGTATCCCAAGACCAACATCATCGCCTTCCCGTCCGTCGAACGGAACGTGCCATAATAACGAGGGAGAAGTGCTTGAGCTTCGGGAGACAAAAGCGGGAAAACGTGTTCGTAGAATAGCGATTCGGCAATGATAGAGTCCCAATCGTTCTTGCGGAAGGCTTTGATGACGACGGGATGATCCCAGGGCATTCGGCTCTTCGTCGTCTGTAGTCGCATCGTCGAGCTTGGTGTTTGCCCATCATCGAGGTCGACGTTGAGTTGTTGGTTCACCAACTCCTTCTTCGTCGGATTCGGAGGGGCATCCAACCTGTGCGCAGATTGCGATCGAGCTCGCGACAGTTTGCCGCCATACACCCACCCCGTCCCGCCAAGAGCAACCAATTTCAGAAAGTCGAGCACGGGCACGTTACTCGCATTCTCCACACCGAGAGGCGATAAACGAGCTGGCTGTTTGATCCGTTCACGGCGTTGAGCACCGCCACGTTCCAGATAGGCCACCAAAGATGGAGGAAGAACGCTCAGGCGACGACTCGGTCGGTGCGTACGCCTCGGCTCTTCAGTGGATGGTTTCTCAAACACCTTGAACTTGATTGCTTCCGTCACGCTTGACTCCTCACCAAGAAAGGGCTCCAAACGACCTCGGGTCCTGCAAACGAACCGTTGCTGGTAATCAGGTGCACAGGACGCGTGTCAGTCAGTGGGGAAGCGAGCCCGAACTGGGGCCAAGCCCGAGCAGGTCGACGCTCACAGGTTGCTTGTTGCGGTCGAGTTTGGCCCGCACGGTGAAACACCGGCCATTCCATACTTCAACCGACGACGGGAGTGGCGCCCAACCCGATCCGACTCGATAGGCTCGTTTCCGATCCTGCTTCGATACGCTCCTCGGTTGCTGAATGTCGATTTTTGGAGCACCGAACAGCCGCGCAATCGTTTCGGGTGGTGGCACTGGTGTATGGCTGAGGTAGTCGACCAATGCCGCGAGAACAAGAAGCGTGGGGCATGGAGTTTTGAAGCGGAATGGCATAGGAAGATCGCGCTGTGCTACGTCGTCACGCGGATCAAGAAGGATCGAAGAAAACACATACCCGACTTCCTGAGCGTTTTGCGGGTTCTCGACTTCGGAAGAGCAAGCGTATGGAGGCGAGGTTCAGGATCCTCTTAGAACATATAGCTTGGCGGTGAGGAATGATGCGTGATGTAGTGCTAGAGCTCACCCATTTCTGCTAGTACGCTCATACGCGAGCCGATTATCATGCCGAAACGAGGTGCGCGCAAAGTCGTCCCTGTCACCGAGTCTTGTAGAATGGCCGATTCCATTGCCACGGCCAGCTACGGAACAAAACAAGTCCAGACACAGTCAGGTCAGTGAAGAGCGCCATCGCTTGTATTCAAATTGTGGATCCATCTCCAAGTGATTAGACACTTGAGGTCTGACCTTGTTCAACATGGCTTGCGCACCAAGACTCTTGCCGTTCGGGTCGAGCGGAATAGGATCCTCTTGCTCCAGATACATTGCGCATTGGTCCTTGCTCGCGAACAGATTCGGTTGCGGCCCAAACGTCATGAAGCTAGAGTCGGGCTCGAAGATGATCGGCAGGCATGAGGTTGTGCCTAGACCTGTCTCGCTCAGAAAAAGCGTGATCCCTGCCGGCTGGGAGGCATCCGGGGGGATGAAGTGCAAGCCATTATGACTTGGATCCACAGGTGACCCCAACGTCTTGTATGTGTAATGACCCAGAAGGAATGCGAGAAGAGGTTCGAGCACGCGGATGCGCCACTCGTGTATCGTTGCGGCGCACGTTGGCTTCGCGTAGCAGAAAAGGGGATGTGGGGCGTAGTCCAACAGCGCTTCGGCCTTGGCGAGCACCTTGTCCGCCAGATCGTGTTCCCCCAAAAAGGTGGTGAGGGCTCGATGCACACGCTCCTCGAGCAAGATGTCTTGTAATGCCGCAATCGGACGACGTGATCCGTGTGGGAGTCGTATCCAGGGCTCCAGTTGCTCGCCGACCGCATGGTAGTCGAGGTAGGAGACATCGCATTCGCTCGAGTTGTGGCCGTGCCATACACTCGGAGGATACTTTGACGACCGCAGAAGAGGAGGGCCAGATAGATCGAGTCGAGAGGTTTGAAGAGAAGACTTCATGATCGAAGCGTCATGAAAGCTCCCGTTCGCCGCTCTGAGTGGACGAGGATTTCAGAGCGAGTTGATCGATTTCAGAGCAAGGATCTGGAATCGCCAACTTATCACCAGCTGGCAGGTCGCCGCAGATGGCGCGCTGGTGGCCAGGGAGGCCGGGCAACTGCACGACAGATCATCCCAAAGCAAAGTCCCAAGATCAAGCAAGCAGGTGCACTGAAGTGGATCAGGCCATGGCCGAAGAGCGGAACACTTGTCACTCGGCGCTCCCTCCACTTTTCACTTTTAACTCGGGATCTGCGCTTACAGCTGCTTACAATGCTTATAATAATCCGCCTATGGCAGCCTCCGACTTTTCCGAAGATTTCTAGGTATTAATATAATTATGCTGTTAATGAAGTCTATCAAATAAATAAAAAAGCCCGTTGGTCATCGGGTTCGCGCTCGCTCAGACAAGTGGAGGTGCGCGATCGCTGTCGATCGCTGGGCTCCACATTAGCTCCACATCATGGACGACTCGAAGCGACTCTCGGTCGGCCTTCCATTCCCACTGTCTTTCTTCTTCCTCCATCACACTCTCACTCCACACTTTCAAACCTCCTACCGCCTACCTCTGCTACCATGCCCTCCCTGTCTCAACCTCGCAAGATCGCTGATGTGCTCGTCGGTCCTTTGGGATACGGTCAGTCCCCGCGTCCCCTCACGTCATGCCATGTTCCCAAGCTCCGTCATCGTCAGCCATCTTCACTCAACTCAGTCGCACTGCAACTGACCTTGTTCTTTCTCCCACTCTAATCATCCTACACAACCTACTTCATTATCCCCTCATGATCCTCTCCAACTCCTTCGCAGGCGCAATGAACATGACGTGGAAACCCGAGGCTCAACACACCCCGGACGAGCAAGCGTTCGAGACGTTGAAGACCGCGATCGATGCCGTTCCCAAAGAGGCCAAGGCATTCATCAACTGTGAGCATTTCTGTTTTCAGATTGCACATCGAGCAGCAACGCTTACCTCTGTGCTGATCTGTTTTTTTTTTTCGCAGCCGGAGAATTTTACGGACAACCGAAGAGGGAGTTGAACCTCGAACTGCTGGCAAGTCGGTACCTCCTTCTACGAGGGGCTTCAAGAAACACCAAGTCTTACCCTCTATCGTTATAACCAGGCCCGCTTCTTCAAGAAATTCCCCGATTATTCGGACCGAGTCTTTCTCTCGGTCAAGGCCGGTATGACGCTTGAGATGAAACCCGACTCGAGCCTCGAGGCGCTTCGTGAAAAGTGAGCTCTCATTTGAGTCATCCCTCAGCTCACCTGATTCTGCGGACTTGAGGGGACTAAACTATCCCGAATTTTGGGTTTGATTAGCTGCAAGAACATCAACAAGCACCTCGGTGGTCGCAAGATGGACTTGTTCGAGCCGGCTCGTGTAGACACCACCCGACCGATCGAGGAGGTCAGTGTTTGTCGAGGATGAAGTTTTCAAAGAAGTCGTGATGTGGTTCCCTAAGCTGACACATCCCACCCCCCACCACAGACGATGGAAAGTCTCAAGACGCTTCAAAAAGAAGGCCACTTTGCTTACATCGGTCTATCCGAGACCGCTCCGGCAACCCTCCGTCGCGCCGCCAAAGTCGGCCCCGTCGCAGCCGTCGAAGTCGAATACTCCCCCTGGTCGACCCAAGACATCGAAGGTCCCGACGGCATCATCGAAAGCTGTCGCGAACTAGGCATCGCCATGATCGCTTATTCACCCCTTGGTCGAGGCTTCATCACCGGAACGATCAAGAGTCGTGCGGATCTCCCCGAAGGGGATTCGAGATTACATCTGGATCGTTTCTCGGAGGAGAACTTTGAAGGGAATTTAAAGTTGGTGGAAAAGTTGGACAAGATCGCGAAGGAGAAGGAGTGTACGGTCACGCAGTTGGCGTTGGCGTGGAACTTGAGTCAGGCCGACTTTATTGTGCCTATTCCGGGATCGGTGAGTTGGAGGCGTGCTTCAGGATGGAAAGAGTTGACAGGGGCCACTAGGAAACTCAAGCTCGTGATCTGTCATTATCACAGACCCGACCCGAAGGCGTCAAAGAAGGTCTCGGAGCCCTCCAAGTCGACCTGAACTCACAAGACCTCGATGCGATTCGTGAAGTCGTCGATAGCGTCACCATCGTTGGAGGTCGCTACAACAAGCACATCGATGCTCATTCAATGAAGTAGAGAGGTTGGGTAGTCGAGATTGTGGCGTTGTGATTATGTAAAATCTGAAAATACTGTAACTCGACCTTTTCCTTGTGAACGAAATGACAAGAATCGTGGGGTCACGTATACGTTCGGGCCTCACTATCACGTCTCTTATGAATAGGGCCTTTCACGCAAATAGATATCACGGCTAATGCGTCTTGCAGAAGGGACCTACCCCCATAAGGGACTACTTCATAACCATAACCAACTCTCTTACACATTGAATTTAAGCAGCGGCCTTGACGGCAGCGGTGGCGGCCTCGTCCAGTCCGTCAAACGCAAAGATCTTCATCCCACTCTCCTTGATCAACCTGAAAAAAAGCACGACCAAAACAAAACTCTCCGAGGATCAGTCCAAGAACCTCACGACAATCCTGCTCAGATGAACTCACTTCTTCGCCTCGACCTCCTTGGTGCCTTGCAACCTCACGATCAAAGGGATCGTCAACTCGAGCTCCTTCGCAGCCATGATGATCCCCTCCGCAATCACATCACACCTCATAATACCGCCAAAGATGTTGACGAAAATCGACTTGACTCCTTTATCCGACAGGATCAACTCGAAAGCGTTCTTGACCGCTTCGGCCGTAGCGCCTCCTCCTACGTCGAGGAAATTGGCGGCTTTCCCACCGTTGAGGTTCAAGACGTCCATGGTGGCCATCGCGAGACCGGCACCGTTGACGAGGCAGCCGATCGATCCGTCGAGTTTGATAAAGTTGAGGCCGTACTTGGCCGCTTCGACTTCGGCGGGATCCTCTTGGGTCAAATCGCGTAGCTTGAACACGTCCTGTGCGAAACCGAAATGCAAGAGGACATTGACTTTAGCACGTATGCCTTATACTTCTTGACAGCGACGCTGGTTCTCCTTACCTCTTGTCGGAACTCGGCGTTCTCATCGAAGCCCAGCTTGGCATCCATGCACAGCACATCGCCACCCTCGACCTCAGCCAAAGGGTTGATCTCGATTTGGGTCGCGTCCTTCTCTTTGAAGAGTTTGAACAACTTGACAAAGACGTCGGCGGCCTTGTCTTGGTTCGCGGATTCGAAACCGAGCTTCTGGGCGGTTTCTAACGCGGCCGAGTGGGAGAGACCTTGCTCAAAGTCGATGGGGACGGTCAGGATCGCCGAGGGGTCGTCGCGCGCGACATCTTCGATGCTGTGAGAGGAGAGAGAGGGTTCGCGGTTGAGTATTCGGTAGGGACGAGGATGGTGCGAACGAGGGACTGACTTCATTCCACCTTGCCTCGATGCGACCAATGCGGGTCCGCCGAGTCCTCGGTCGTTGAGGATCGCGACGTAGTACTCGTGCGTGGGCTTTCTTCGCTCGGCCAACATGACCTGTGGTAGGGATCGAACGTGAGCAAGTTGTGCCAGAGAGACGAGGTACCAGCCCAAGAGCTCACGGCATTGCACGCTCGTCCTGCGGCTCCGGTCTGCTTGGTGATGAGCTTGTGGCCGATCATCTGCGCGGCGAACGTTTGTGCTTGTTCGGGCCTGTTGGGTAGGTATAAAAAGACGGTCAGAGTCCAATGATGAGCACGGGAAGGGTGTGCGGGGCGAGAGGCGACGCACGAATCGACCATCTGGACACCGCCCTTGAGTCCGTCCTTTCCGTCAAAGTGACCCTTGCCTCGACCGCCGGCCAGAACCTGGGCCTTGATCACCAGCTTGTCAGCACCTGGGGAGTGTGGTGGATGGTGTGAGTGGGTTGGGTGAAAGGCCAGCGAAGGGTGTGCCAACTCGGGGAAGGAGGCGAGCAGAGAGTGGGGATTTGGCCACTCTGCGCTCGCGGCCTTGCCGTCTCCCAGAAGATGAACTGACCAAAGTTCTTGGCGACCTGGAACGCCTCATCGGCCGAAAAGGCGGGTTTGGATTTCGGTGTCGGGACGCCGTACTGCAGGTGAGGCACCCATAGTCGGGGGGGGGGTCAGTTGTCTCGTGTGCGCCGGCATTCGGCGACGAGATGGGTTGGGGTTTGTGGGTTGTGGGTTGTGGGTTGTGGGTTGTGGGAGACTGACTTGGTTGAGCAGGTTCATGGAAAGGTATTCATGGATCGAGAGGTGACGGCGTTGCTGGGACAGGGTCGAAGCCTGAAGTTTGATCGCGGGAAGGGCGTTCGGCGACGATCGGGTCGGATGAGGTGGTGGTCGAGGAAGTGCAAGGGTCAGTGAGGGACTCGATTTGGTAAGAGTGTGGATGAACTGACCTTGGGGAGCTTGGCTCGGGTCGATCGAAGTGCTGCCAGCATGGTCGGAGTGGTCGGAGTGGTCGGAGTGGTGCGGAGCGGTGGGTCGAGAGAGGGACCAACGTGCACAGCAAGCTTTATCGGGAGCGGCCGCGAGTCGGAGCAAGGCGCACGCAGGCGCACGCGGAGGGGAACACCGACGCGATTACACCGCGGTCTAATGGGCTATTAGGTATTAGTACACCCTCCGAGGCGCGTCGCTATTAGTCCGGAAGTAGTCCGGGCGGGGCGGGACAACGGCACCAGCCTCAGCCTGGCAGCGGCACGATGCCCCTTTTCTGCTTTCCCCCAAAAATAACGACGGCGGACCGTGAGACTGACCTTTTGATCGGCTCGGCTCTTTGCACGTTTCGAGAGGTATCCCCGTCGAGGGGTGTGGGTGAAGGAATGAGGCCCCTGACAGGGATCGTTCGTTGCACACACCCCTCTACGACGACCAGTCCGCCAGATCGGGTGTCGATGATGACCCGGACCTCTATTGAGTTTGCGCTGGACGATCTCTCTCTTCAGTGATGACTATCCGTCCACGGCCAGTGCATAATTTTTGAGCGTCTACATTCCTCTTCGTTCTGTGGTGTAGGCGGCTGCTGTGAAAGGGGGTCACGCCTGTGCGAAATTGCGAATGCCATACTCTAGCTGCGACGTCGACGTTGCGAAGGGGAGTGAACGGGTCGTGATCGGACCTTGTGACGAGTCAGGTGTTGAGCACCCATCGGAATTTCTTTTTAAACTTGTACCGACATGCGCTCAAGCCAACCTCCCTTCGCTTCTGTGAGCCTGCTTGAGCCTGGTCGCGCTATTGGGTCGCGCAGTGGTCGCGCTGACGGGCTCACACCTCGGGCAGCCTCAGGCGACCTCAGGCTACTCTCAGGCTGCTCTCAGGCTGCTCACACTCCGCCTCGGCCTGCTCTGGCCAGCTCTGGCCTGCTCACACCCCATCTTGGCCCCGTGGCGCCTCAGTTGCGCCTCTCACCGATCTCACCCTCGACCTCGACCACGACCACGACCACGCACCAGCCAGCATGGCCTCGCACCACCAGTTCAAAGATCGGTCACTGATCGCTACCATCGGCGATGAGGTCAGTTCACCCGATGCAGGTTGGCGCGCTTACTGCCCAGTCGTCGAGGCAGACAACTGACACCCCCGATCCGAACGCTCCTCGGTCGTCTCAGGACACCATCACCGGTCTTCTCCTCGCTGGCACGGGGCACGTCGATGCGAGGGGCAAGAAGAACTTTATGGTCGTCACGTCGAGTGCGTTCGTACCTCTCGCCGTGCTCACTTTCGCTGTCATTCGTCCGAGACGTCCCCCGTGCTCGCTCTATCGCTTCGTCTTGCATTCTCGGCTCGCCTCGACAGGACAGGATCGTCATCGCATACCGCCCATGTGTGGAGAATAAACCCGAGTTGCTGATCTCACAACACCTGCCTCTCTGCAGAAACACCGGTCGCGACGATCGAATCCGCGTTCGCCGAATACACGGACCGCAGCGACATCGCGATCGTTCTGATCAACCAGCATGTTCGTACAAGCGCGGACCCGCATCCCACGAACTTGCGCCGCCTGATATGCTCCTTGTGCACGTCGACAGATCGCGGACCAGATCCGTGCGTTGGTCGAAAAGTACGAGCGGGCGTTCCCGGCCCTGTTGGAGATCCCCTCCAAGGATCATCCGTATGGTACGTGCGATCGCGCCGCATCCGGCCCATCGGGCGAATCTCAGACTGATCTGGCAAGCTCGCTGCGAGGCGCGTACAGACCCTTCCAAGGACTCGGTCTTGAAACGGGTCAAGAAGCTGTTTGGAGAATAGACGTCCGAGCGAGTCGAGGCGGGAAACTGGGAAAAGGCTGTGGCGGTGGGTGTTCTCGATTTTCTTTTGGTGTTCAAGATTTTTGTTCTTTGCAATGGTGTCAACTTGTATTTCGAGAGAAAGGGTGGCGTAAATCGAGTCATGTGGCACGGGCGGCCCGATCGACACCTATCGACACTCGATCGACGCCGGAAAGTCGACGTGTTCGGTTCGGATCCTCGTTCTCTCAGGTTCTGTTTCTTCCCGTCCGACTCGAAACTCGACGCGACACGCGCTTCCGCTCAGAGCACGACGCTTTCACGTGCTGTCACCAACATGGTCTCGGCCACCACCTTCGACGACACCATCGTCTCGGGAGGTGTGACCACCTCCATCACGGCCTTGCAAGCGCTCCTCGCCCCACCTTCCACCGCCTCTTCCCAACTCGCCGCTTCCGAATTCCTCTCCACCGCACTGTCCCCACCTTCCACCTCCACCTCCACTTCAACCTCTTCAACACCTCTCACCCCCGCCCACCTCGCTGCGACCCTGCCCCTCCTCCGCAAGCAACAACAGCACCAAGCCCAAACGCTCGAACCTCAATTCGAGCTCAGCACCTCCCGCACCTCCCAACTCGTCCTCCAGGCCAAAGACACTCTCGCACGCTTGGCCCAGCGTACAAAAGAATCCAAAACCAACCACGAGGCTCTGCACGACGCCCTGATCGATCATAGGGAGGCGTTGGTCTCGAGTGTCTCCGCCTCGACGACGGGGACCCATCGGGACCAGGGTGACGAAGGGGGTACCTTGAGGGAGAGGTTGATGGCCTATAGTAAGAGGAGGGAACAGTTGAGATGCGTGTTGCAGTACTTTACCGTGTTGGCCAAGGCCGAGGAACTGGGGTAAGCTTCCCAGCTCGGGCTCGGGCGAAAACCTTGCCCACTCCCGACTGCCCCTGACATCCACCTCCACCCCTAGACTCATCTCGTTACGAGCCCTCCAGGACGAATCCTTACCCGGCGCATTGTCGGGCTACGTCCAGTTGGTCGGATACATCAGGGACATCCACGACAACGCACCGGCCCTGAATTTGACGACCCATTTGGTCGGCATGGCTTCGAGCGTCTGGTCACAATTGCTCAAGGCTTTGTCCGCGTGAGTAGAACGGTGTCGTGGCGTATTGAAAACCCGGTGCCAAGTCTTCCTCTGACTATCTTGTTTGGTAGCCGTCTACTTCAACGCCTCGAGGCTCTCGGATGGCCTCAACCCATCAAGGAACCGCTTGACGACTATGATCAAGCCACCGCCGATTTTAGAGCCAGTTTCACCGACTTGCTCATATTAGAAAACATGTGCGTCAATTCCAGCGAGCTCTGAAACAACGATCTCCCACCCCTTACTGATGACTCGCATCCTGCTCCAGTCAAACCAAACATCCTCTACCCTCGTCTTCAAATTCAGTCACCACTCAGCCAGCTCGACCTTTACTCGCGTTGGCCCCCCTCGTGCATCCTCTGCTTTTGAGGTTCCGGTGGCATTTCGATGGCGACAGGAATACGAATCGTATTGACAAGGTAGATGACTCCTCTTGTTCGAGCACAAGGACTCCATACTGATTGATCGGAGTCATTTGGCCTACAGCCGGAATACCCGCTGTCGCATATGCTCAACTTGCTTTCGGCGCACGACGAGTTTCTCTCGACCGAGGTGCAGACTTTGCTTGATGAGAATGGGTTCGAGCACGTCGATGCCATCGTAAGCTCTTGGATACTCTACATCTTCATCTCAATCAGATGCTGACCTAGCCCTATCTCCTCCCTCAGATCGATTTCACGACCCTCCTCCTCCCCCCCTTGGCCGCGCGAATCAACCACCACATGCCCCAACTCCTCGACATGCCCCCGATCCTCGCGCACACCATCTTTCAAATCCTCGAATTTGACGCCGTGCTCCGATCCCGCAACTACCTCCCGCGAGGTCAAACTTCCGAAGATTGGAAAGGATTGAGTGAATTGATCCTCGGTCGTAAAGAATGGTTCGACCATTGGCTTTCGTCCGAGAAGGCCTTCTTCGACGAACGCTATTATCTCGCCATCAGTTCCTCCGACGCCTGGCAAGTCGTCCCTCAAGACGAATACGATCCCGATTCGGCCGACGCGCAATCCGAAACGAGGCCGACGGTCTCGGCGTTAAAAGTCGCCGATCTCGCCCACGCGATTACGGACCGGTACCGCCCTTTACCGGTTCAACATGGTCTATCGTTCTTATTCAAAGTTCACCTCCCTCTGATCGCAACTTATGCCGAACGCATCACCTCCTCCTTTGACGTGTTCGAGTCACTTTCGTTCGGTTTGTTACCCGGTGCCTTAGGCACCACCACAGCCGCTACAGCAGGTGCAGGAGGTTTATCTCGCATCGTACGGAGTGGTATTTCCGCGCGATGGATGGGGGAAAAATGCCTCGAATGGGGTGAGGACGCGTTCTTCCTCGAACTGTACGAACACGTCAAAACCCAAGGCGTGCCGTATGCGTTGGAACTGGTCGCCAAGGACGTGTTGGAACGGTCCGAAGGCACCTTGTTTGATCGGGAGCGGAGGACGTTCGAAGCTTTGGCCGACCGGGCCGAGGAGTTGATCGTCAAACATGTGGCGAGGGAGGTGTTGGGGGAGCTCAAAGCTTACCTAGCCAAGAGATGGGATTACGAACGACCGTCTTCCTCGTCGTCGATGTCGACGACGATCACGGACGAATACGATCCCGACCTTTCGCTTTCACAAGAATTGATCGCCCCCCTTTCGCTCTTCACGGCCATGCTCAAGCAACTCGTTTCGGCGTACCCTCCCTCCACGACGACCACTCTATACCGACGCATCTCCGTATCCCTCTCCACATCGTTGTACGATCGTCTTCTCGTCAATCGAGCCTGGTCCGAAGCCGGCGCTCTCCAACTCGTTCATGATGTCCACAATGGTTTCTTACAAGCCGGTAGAGAAGCAGCGATCCAAAGGGGCGTAGGCAAGGGGTGGGAATTGTTACAAGGTGGGGCGAGGATCATGGCTTTACCGGCGGCGACCTCCACCGTCGGGACGACCACGCCGGAGTACACTTTCTCCAAAGTGATGCAAATCGCTTTTGATGATTCGGAACCGGAGGGCGAAGGCACCAAGTTTGGGATCATGATGGATCAACTTGGGGTAGGGGAGGTGTTGGGCAAGCCGGAGGTGAGGCAGGTGATGAGGAGACGGCCCGAGTGTTGGAGGTAGGTCTTCCTTTGTCTGTAATGCTCGAGTCTCTCTCCACCAGCTGGCCCGATGCGATGTCGATTGTTCGAGAATGCCACAGAATAGAGCAAGCCACGAGCGAGACGAACGAGGAGAGAGAAAGGGACATTAAAGTCGTAAACATTGGTCGTCTGAGTCAGAAGTCAAAGCATTCTAAAACACAAACGCTTCGTAAGGTGGAGTAAAAGAGTCAAACATAAAAGGGAGAAGGAGAAGGGAGAAAAGGAAGAAAAAGTGTAACATCCTGTTAGGGAAGAGACGAAGATTGTCTATGGAAGCGCGACCTGTCAAAAGTACAGAAAGGCAAGATTGCGAGAACGAAAATCAAACAATGGCGTTGCATGCGCAGAAACATGAGGTGAGAGGGTTCCAAAAGCTCGGTCCTTTGTTGCGGAGGTTATCATCACACTGCAAAATAGGAATAGGCATTGATCAGCACTCATTCTTCGGTGAGGAACAAAATTAGAAACACGGGACTTACGATCATCACAGACGGCGCAGTTCTTCAAATTGATCTTGTTCTTGAAGATAATCTGCGAGATTGCGCGAAGGCCCATGTCAGCCAGCATGTTCAACGCCATGACAATGGACCGCCAAGCAAGACTCACAGGCAAGACGATCAGGCAAGTGAAGAACGCAAAGACGAGACCGAACAAGACGCTGTACTTGGCGACGATGGTCTTGCGTAGTGCGCGTTGCTTGAAACTGAAGATGGGACTGCGGATCTGCTTCGACGGTCGCAGCCAGACTGTATTAAATGAAAGGATGTGGCCGGATCAGTCAATGGTCCAAGCAAGTCTCACTCGTCTACTCAGGGCTTACAGAGTGCAGTTGAATGAAGCGTGTCCACGCCCGGGATCAAGCACGGAAGGACGAGCAAGAACAAGAGCAAGTGCTGCAGGGCAAGGGAAGGGCGAGTCACACGTCAGCCCATTGCAGGCAGTCATACTGCCGCGGCCTGACCGTTACTTACTCCGGACAAGAAGTCGGCAGCAAAGAGCGACAGCTCGATGATCTTGACCATGTATTCTCGGAACGGTTGCGACCAAGCCGAGGACCCGAGACCGCGGCCGAACCATCGCCCGGTCCAGAACGCGCGGTTCGTCTCGTCGTGCTTGAACTCGCGGGAAATGCAGACCGAGATGAGGATCTTGAACAGGCACCTCTGGATAGCAACGGTCGCGATGATGCCCAAGACGGCGTGGGACACATCCCATCGCTCGAGCAACCACAGGAACTCGAAGAAGGCCACGTAGCCGACGACACTGCCGATGTGGGCGATGCCGGCCATAACGGATCCAAAGTTGCCGCAGCAGCTGCCGAGAACAGGACCAGCTAGCAGCGCCGATAAAAACAGGACGAGAAGCAGGACGGCATTGAATGCGACGGGACCAATGGCGATGACGGCGACTCGCAGCAACGCATTGATGGGTGGGTCAGAGAACGACTGGAGAAGAAGAAACAAGGTCGCGTCAGGAAAAGTCACAATATTTACGAAACTCTGTCGCCGACTAGGCCAGCTCTACTCACCTTTACGAAGAGGTAAGCGATGGTCAAGATGACGGCCAAGGCCAAGGGTGCGAACACTTCGTTGACGATGATGACCTTCCAGCTGACGCGGGGGACATCGGCCGTGAGCTTCTCGGAGGGGTGACCCAAGCGCTTCTTCTTGAAACCGGTGATCTTGGTGCGAGACAAACGGCAGTACCCGATCCACGAGTTGGCGTGGGCTCGCGAATTGCCTCGCGACATCCAGCGCAGGTATTCGCGGTAATCGATGATGAAGTCGCCAAAGGAGAATTGATGAGGGTTGAAGAGGAAGGGGGCAATGCAAAGGGCTAAAATGGAGATCCAGAAGTAAAGCACTGCAGCGGAGTGAAGCAAGGATCACACTGTCAGCGTCAATCGAGTGGAATGAGCGGAGCGAGCGACGTACAGTGCCACAGCCAAACAGTCAACGTAATGTAGAGGAGCATCATGAGCGTGCGCAGTCCAAGGTAGACACTAGGTCCTGCAAAACGCGAGTAAAGAATGGCGAAAGACACGCGTGTTGTCGCAAAGCCGCGACCCGTGGCAATGTAGCGAGCACCACCGTACGTCAAGTTGCTGAGGATCGAGTGCGACGAAATCTGCGTGCCGAACACCTCGAAGACGGGTGACAGTGAGATGAACTGTTTGCCGAGACGAGTGATAGCCGCAAGGACACCGTGACCGGTTAACTCTTGGAGGAACAGGGGTAGGAAAGCTAGGGACAGAGCAGGATAAAAGGTATCAGCGGGTGGTCAAGAGAGTTCCAAAAGCCGGGGAATCGGGCTCACCGATGAAGAACACAATGAAGATGGAGATGACGCAGCGCTTGATCCAGTCGAACGTGGGCACGATGTTGTAGCAGCCCGCATCGGAGATGAATTGACCGGCCGCGTTGTACTGACAGACCGTGAGCTGCTTGTTCATGGTGCCCAGGAATACGAGCGCGAACATGAAGAGCTGGACCGAAAGGATAACGAGGATATTGTTGATGTGGAAACCTGGTGGGAGCAGCATACAATTCGGCTCGTTAAATACGCACCTCCAACAGCCAGAGAAATCAGAAGACGCGTACCAGGATGACCGTAGTAGAACGTCAAGAAGCGATCCATGGGCAATTGCGTGCCGAGGTAGTAGTACTCGCGCGAAAGCATCTGCTCGCCCATACCACTCCCAATCTTGGTCTGGAAATTGAGAATTGTTCCAAACCCGAGATCTCGACCTTTACCGCATTGGTAGTACTCAGTGTGCTTGATGCGACCACCTCGACCAAACGCGGTCATACCGGCGTAAATATCCTCGTTCAGGTGCAGACCTTTCTGCGCCTTCGAGACACCACCTCGCGTGGTCATGAAGATGGCGTTGAGGAAATCGGGATGCCCGTAGTGGAGCTTTCCGCCGATGTAGGCCATTGACCGTGCCGCGAGCGTACCGAACGTCTGTTCCTTACCGGCCGCAACATCACCGAGGATACCGATGTTCTCGGAGAAGATGTATTCGCGAGCTCCAACGATCGCGACCGGGTCGTCCGCAAAGTCCTCGGCCCCCTCGGCGGTGTACGGGTTGCGCGACGAGATGTGGTAGTCCTCGAATTCGCCGAGGATGTTGCGCACCTTCAGGCACTCTTCGAGGTAGTTGTCCTGATTCGCATCGATAAGTTGCAGGTACTCGCCGCGGTAGAAAACGATGGCGTGATTTTGATTATCTGATTTGCCGTCACCAAGTATAGGATTTCCTGGTAGCTCGATGCGAAACTTGGGTCGACGCTTGCCATCGGGGAGGATCTCGGAGTGGCCATCGATGAGCGAAGAGAAGATGCGGGGCTCGCCACCTTCCTTGCGCGGGCGTTCTTCGTCGAGGTAGGCAATCTGCAGGTCGGGGTACGCACGCAGCAAGAACTCGGTGTTCTCAAGCTCCTCCTTGGAGAACTTGGAGTAGCGCTGCATCGAGACGACGAAGCGGAACTTGCGTCTAGCCATGCGCTCGAGTTCGCGCTCGAGTCGCTCGGTGTTGCCGCCGAGGACCTGGACGACGTCGGGGTTCTCGACACGGTAGAGGAGCTTGATGGCCTTGTTGTAATTCATGAAGCCCGAAACGGTGCGGTAGAGCGTCTGCGCTCGCAGCGATGCCCAGATCCGGGTGCGGAGCGTGTATTCCGGTGCTGCACTCTTGAAGCCAATGGTGTAGAATGGGATGTCGTCGGTCTTTTTGTCCGACTTCTCGTCCGCGACGTCCATGTCGGCAGATTCCTCGGCTAAGATCTTGGTGTCGCGTACAAAATTGTCCCACTCGATCGGGTGCAGTTGCTTGAGGTATTCGAGCAATGTGACGCGCGTGTTTTGGTCCTCCTCACGAATGATCTCTCGCAGCGACAGCAAAATCTTTTCCGAGTAGTGGGGTGTCAGAACGGTGAAGGTTGGCATAGTATCTACCCCGAGAGGTTGGGGTATCGCGGTCGACAAGGACTGCGCGAAAAACGAGATTCGACGCGCGGCTTCAGAGCCAGCGGGGAAGAATTGGGACTTGACGCCCGAGCCATCTTGCGAGATAAAGAAGAGAGGCGCGCGCAGAACACGCTTGCCGTCGACCTCAGAGGGCACCTGGTGGTAGAGCAATCGCTGAACGTGGTCGATCGACAAAAGATGTTCACGGTACATCGAGATGACGATGGCGTTCCAGATTTGCGAGACGAGCACCTTGGGTTTATACTTGACTTCCATCTCGGACGTTGCGAGCACTTTCGAGTAGATACGCTTGGGCAAGCGCTCGAAGATGTCCTTCCACGGGGTCCAGATCGAGAGGCCGAGATGGAAAGAGCGAGCAACCGAGAATACTGAGTTGAGGCATCATAACACGTCAGCGCCAATTCGTAATAATGGGACAACGGAGGAAGACGTGACTCACCAGTGTTCCAGATGACATACCACAGAAATGTGTCGAGAAAGAAGAGACAAAGATCCATGCAGAACATGATTGCCAAAGCAAAGGCAGGCTGGTTGCGGCACAGCGCGCTGCCAAAGAGTTTGTCCGAGCACAGTTGCACCTTCATCCCGACAAGTACGCGAACCGGATTCTCGAACGAGAGCGTTAAGAAGAAGTAGGATTCGGTGAGCTTGCAGCCAAAGACGAGGACCCAAAGGGCGATACTGGTCAATCGAGCCTGTCGCGACAGTTTGGGGTACGAGGCGGTGAAGGTTTGATTGGCGAGGTACTTGCGGTTCTTGCCGGCTACGCGATCACCGAACAGGCGACCCGAAGGCACGATGGCAAAGACGATGACGCAGATCAGCGAGAGCGCGAATTGGACCATACCGATAATCTTGGACGTTTGCGACGTCTGATCAAAGAAGGCAATATAGATGGTCGGGCCGGACGTAATACCGAGGCACACGCAGAGGAAGAGGAAGCGAGTGACGAGGTGCGACGTATTGTTCCAGGTGGTGGGGACGTAGCTCAATTCAGCCAGGGTAGCGGCCATCATGATCAACGACGCGACACCACCGCCGAGCGCGGTGACACTCCAGCGCATCGCCGGATAAGCGTCATTCGCGCCCGCAGGGGCGTAGATCTTAGTGGCTGTTGAGGCCGTGTAGAACCAAAAGACCGAGATGTGAAGGACCCAGATGCGGTTGAAGTTGACAAGCAGATGCAGGAACGATCGTCGCTCGTAGTAGGTCTTAATGAACGCGCGGCCCCAGTCGATCTTGTCAAACTTCATGAATCGTTGCGAGGCCGGTACGTCGACGAGGCACGTGCGGTCGTTGAGGACGATGCGAGCGATACCTTCGGGGTACCAGAAGAGCTGGTTGACGTCGTCGTATCCGATGATGTCCTCGTGGTCCTTTTCTCTTCGCAAGAACGCGCCATTGATGACCTCGTAGCCCTGGTCTCGGATAAAGCGGTACAAGGGGCGGACGACCGCGCGGAGGTACAGACCTTCCGGTACCGGCTCGGAGCGGTTCTGGCACTCTGGTGATCGATAGTAGTCGTCCGCGCACTTAAAGATGAAGCACAGGCATTCGGGTACGAAACGCACCTGCGCGGCTTCACCCCAGCAGAGGAGGTAGAGCGCGAGCTGGCGCACACGATCATAACTCGACATTTGCACCATCGCGGTGCGCCATCGTGTCTGTGCCGAGTCCAGCGTCTTGACCGACGGTGGTGTTGCGGGTCCTTTGCTCACCCCAGCCTTGCGGCTCGCTCGTCGTGCCAAACGACCAACGGGTCCGTGAGCGTTCGCTTGACCGATCGCGTCATCAAGGTCGAGCTGCGCTGCAAAGTACCACTTGCGGTAGTTGGCGTGCTCGCCTCCGATGTAGTCAGCGTGCAGCGTCAGCAGCGCTTGGTTCGGCGACATACGCGACGCTCGCGAATCGAGCTGGATCATGAGGTGGTCGTACATGTTGCGCATCGAGTCGCGCTGGAAGCCGAACTTGTTGGTGAGGTCGATGAAGACATCTTCAATCTCCTCCTTGGACAGCGGGATCTTTTGCTCGTTCGACCACGCTGGGTAAGGCTCGCGGTGACGAGACCAGGGACCATGGTGGGCCGACGACGAGTCGTAGTCGGTAAAACTGGCGGGTGAGTCAGCGCCGGATCGGTCGTACGGACCCTGGAAGGGGCCTTGCGGATGCGACTGCGGCCCCCCTCTTCCTCCATCGTCGGTCATCGGGGTGTGTGCGAATGGTATCTTGTCGTTGTAGTACTCTGCCGATCCTGTTAGGAGTAGCGAAAGCGCGGAGATAAAGACAGAAGGCGGCGTCATGGTCGTGGAAAGGAGGTGAAACGATAAGGCCGAGCCAAGGAGCGTGCGCGTTCACAGGGGGCGAGGTGTCAGTCAGTACGGGTGCGCTCTGTTCGATGCGCCGTGACTACGCATCGAGCCCATGTTTGAGACGATTTTGTTCATCCTCGAACACAAAAACCCGACATGACTCTTCGGACTTTGCCTTCAATGCAGCCCAACATGCGCTGTGCCCTCGGCTGCCAGCGCGGGTCTTGGCAGTTGGGTCAGGGCCGGCCCCGATCAAAGTTGAGGTGCACCGCACCCGTAGCGTTGGCTGAGCCGAGCCGCGCGGTTGCCGCGCCAAACATTCGCGCGCGAGCAAGTCACAGAGAGCTCGGCCCGGGGCTCGTCACGATCATCATCGAGAGACGATGAGCCAGCGCGTGAGCACACCCTGGCGTCCATCGATCGGCAGGTGCCGTCGAGCGAGACACCGAGTGCGAAAAGGAGGCAAGATCGAAACAAGAAAGGCGAAGACGTGTACTGACCTGCACGATGCTCGTCCTCTGCCGAGCCTGCCCCGTATGGGTCTCCGACGCGTCGGTGGTACTCCTCGCTGCCGCTGCTGGCGTCGCCGCCCATCTCGTATGGGTCGCGGTCACCCGGCGCTGCATAGCGTGGCCCCGTCGCACCACCTCCACCACCTCCGGCGTGACCGGTCGAGGCGAACGGGTTGGGTGCACCAGCGAGATGGTGCGGTGTTTGGTTGTACGACATCGCGTGTTACTCGTGATTTGAAAAGTTGAGAAAACGAGTAGGACGTGCGACGACGACGGGCGGAATCCGACCAAGCGTCGTTGCTCGGTTCGACGTTCGACGTTCGACGTTCGACGTTCGTAGACTTTGAAGCCGGCCACAGTCCAATCAGGCGTCGACACAGCAGCAGTCGATCGTCAGGGCGGTCGGTCGCACGACGCGTTGGTTGGGGAACAGAAGCTTGCTGCTTGGCACCGACTCTATGTGACAGGTATCGAGTCCAAGTCCGAGGCGAGATCAGAGGTGTGAGGGGAGTTAGGCACATCAGTCTCGGCTCACCCAGAGTCGCGAGTCGCGACTGCGCGTGGCCGACTCGCGGCTGTGCGCCTGCGGGCCGCCCTGGCTGGCTGTTCGTCTAACGAAGGGCCTGAGGAGATTATAAACCTCAGTGGCGCATGGACCCTCGCAGCGAATCTCCGCGGACGGCGGCGGCGGAAGAGTATCACTCGTCTTGCACGTACTTTGGTCACCAGCGAAAACGAGATAACTCAAATTCCCTTTCAAATCTTGTTGGCCATCTTGTCGGGCGATCGGGTGAAAATACTGGTTGTGATGACCAGATGCCTGGTCAAAAATAGATTGATGAAAAGTCGTGAGCGCCAAGACCAGAGCGTCCAGACTGCAGCGACAAATGCTCGATTGACTAACTTGCAATGATACCTGATTACAATACAGTGCTCTGCTAACTTTGTGGTACACATGAAGTGAGGGCCCGTGCTCGCAGGCACAGGGTGTGGTGCCCCTCTCCTGGTCAGAATTTTGGCAGCTCCGAGTAGAATTATTCGTGTAGACTGGAGTGTTCGAACGCAAGGCTGCCTCGCGTGGCTATACGAGCTTGTATAAACACGCTGGATCAGATCAGATCATTCTATAGAAAAAGAGGATAGCTTCCGGCTCTGCAGATTGGCTCGCAGCTCGTGCTTGGTCGTGAGCGGGCAGAAAGGGACAGAGCGCAATTACCGATCGATCCGATAAGCCGGACCGTTCGCTTCGCTCCTTTTACCACCCTCTGCATTCGAACCGAGTCATGGCCTCTGGGTACTCACAAGACAAAAGAACAGCAACATCGAACACCGGATCCACTATGTCAGGCTACCCCCATGACACGCCTTCGACGTCGATGCTCGCGGCAGACGAGGACGACGTGCACGTGAGCCCGAACTCGAGCCCGGCCGGTGGGGCCAGCTCGGATAAGTGGTTGCTGCTACCACAAACGCCACCCATCACGCTCGACCACATTGGAAACAGTCCAGTACACGTACTTTCATCATCCCCCCCGTTCGAATCTCTCTCTTCCTTGCGCCGACGAGCTTCCATGGCGATGTCCAGCCTGCCGCAAACTCGCCGCGCCGATGGGGACGATCAGATCTCGGTGGCAGGTGAGACCGATCTCCAGCGAGACGTCCGATCGGAATCCATGGGGCCGTCTGGTCGCCCACACTGTATTCTGTGGCAATCATCTACGCTGTCTTCCTCCGTTTTTGACAAAGGCAAGGGTGTTGCTGTCGTCGAAGAGGAGCGATCCCCGGACTGTGCCGTCACGGAGGCTCGTGCTCCCGGCACCGACGCCGAGCAAGTGGGGCAACGGCGCGAGCACTGGACGGCGACCTCCACCGGTGTTACCGCATCACAGTATCTCGCAGGTCCATTAGTAGCCGGACTCTCCCAGAGCCTAGCATCCTCGTCCGAACGATCCATGTTTGCACAAGATGATGCACACTCGGCGGCATCGTCGATAGCGCCATGGCCTGCACCGACTGAGATCCTGCGACTCGATCCCACCCCCACACCACTCGCGGCGGCCATCGGCACGAGCATCGATGGCGATGAGGGGTCGGCAGCGTCCAACACCGGCTGGGCCACCCCATGTGCCTCGACATCTGAGATGATGCACATTTCCTTAACTGAACTGTCGATCCAATTGACGTACGTGGAACGAATGCAGAACGACCTTCCCTCGCCCAGGGCACAATTTTCCAGTCACCGAGCCAAGCCGCCGCGTCGCTTCTCCAAATCCTTCACCACCGCCTTGTCGCGAGCCTCGCCCTCGAGCAGAACTAGACCGCCCACACCATTCAGGCTGGATTCAACCTCTTCCCTGGCAGGCATGACCACTTCGGCCAGTGCATCACCACTGACTCCGTCGCCTTCCCCAGCTCGCAACGGAGGGAGTGGTGCGCGCCACCGCGGAGAGCTCCTAGAGCTTTCAACTTCTGAAGCATCGTCCGCTTCGACACCTTTCGTGGACAAGTCACCCTCGTCCGACATTTTCAGGGTACGAGCACGATCACGCTCGCTGCCCGTCATGCTGCAGAAACCCTTGCGCGTCACTCCTGTGGTTCAAGTCGACTCCCGGCGGGCCAAGGAGCTCAACAGGCTGCTGGAGTCGGATTTTGTAACGGTCTTGTCGAGTCCGACCCTCGAATCGTCCCCAGTCGTTGATTCGGATTCAGATCCGCAGTCCAAGCCCAGGGACATATTTGGGACGCTTCCTTACGAGGTGCAGGCTCGGATCTTATGCTCCCTCGTCCACATCCATATCGACGAGCACGAACGCCTGGTCGCGGATGGCAAGTGGCGTGGTCCAGTCGTACTGCGAACTAGATGGCGCGGTGAAGCCTCTGGAAGGCGAGAGCTGGTCAAATGTGCTCGTGTAAGCTGATCGAGGCTCCTGTCTTCGAGCTTGTACTCGCCTGACTGGAGAGTAACCCGCCCGTCTTTCCGCAGGTGTCTCGGCTTTGGAGAAATCTCGCCTTTGACGGGCAGACTTGGCCCATACTCGACGTAGCATCCATCGGTCCCGACGTGTTCTCCTCTCCTGCATTGTTGCGACTCGCCGAAGGCGCCGGCACCTTTGTTCGAAAGGTGGATCTGTCCAACATGGCGCAGACGACTGGTTATACGATCGTCGAAATGACCCGACTCGTGGGTAGCGAAAGGGGGCAGACGAACTTGACCTCAATTAACTTGCAAGGTGAGGACAACCAACGCTTCCATTCCTTTGGGTCAACATAAATTTGACCGTCTATCCACGCCCAGGCTGCTCTTCGATCAGCAATAGCTCACTCGCGTTCCTCCTCGCGCGCTCGCCAAATCTCCGAAAACTCAACTTTCTTGCGCTCGCGGCGGTAGACGACGAAACACTCCGGATTCTGGGCAAGTCTGCTCAAAATCTCGAAGACCTCAACGTCAGTCGGTGCAGCGTCCTCCACGCCACGAGTTTATACTTCATCACGAGCCCACTCAAGCGACTCGGTGCAAGTCGAATGCACAGTGCAAGTGACCGCGTTATCGGGGAAGTGTTGAGACGACAAACCGCGCTTGAAAGCCTAGACTTGTCCTCGAGCCATCGCCTCACTGATCAAGTTTTCCAGTCGAATACTTCCCTATCGAGTCTGGATGCCTTGCGCCACCTCAACCTCAGCTCGTGCCGACTGCTCACGGACGAGACGCTAGCATGTCTGGTCGATCACGTACCACATCTTGAAACATTCGAAATCGCATACAATCGTCAAATTGGAGCCAACGATGCTTTAAAACGGCTTCTGCACTCGACTCCGCTGTTGAAGCGGCTCGATCTCGAAGGCAGCATCGTGCTCGAAGATGCCGCGCTTTCGGGAGTGGCGAATTGTTCTGACCTTCCCGAGCTTGAATGGCTCGTCCTCTCGGGGTGTACGACCTTGACTCAACAATGCCTGGCGAGTATTGCTCGATCACAAGGTCTACCGAAGTTGAAGATCCTCGAACTGGACGGGACCCACATCGATGAAGTATCCATCGCCTCCTTCGTCATCCGGCAGCACCAAAAACATCTCCAGCCGTTCTCGCCACAATTGCCCTCGCCGGACGGCTCCTTACCCTGCTCAGCGCAAGAACTTCCGTCCAAAATTTCGATCTTGGACGCGCACTTTCATACGCGCCGACTTCAACGTCAATTGAGTCGTCACATCCGAACGCGCGACGGTCGACGAGGCTACGAGTTCCGTCACTTCGCCTACGCAGATTTCGACACCGTAGTACCTCAAGAGTCGACCTGGTCCATCAATCCGGCCATACAAGAGCTCGAGGGCTCGACAAGAGTCGTATTGAGGTCGTTTGAAGGGAATGCAGATGTCGATGGGCTACATTCGAGGACTGGGCCGAGTCGTGCCAGGACTTGGAGCGGATCGGGTAGGACGGGTTGTATTGTTTCATAGTCAGGGACATCCAGAAGATGCAGCGCGTTCAATGTGGGAAATATAAGCATCTGCTGTTGATTCTTTTCGGTCCCTTGGATGTTGGGCTGCATACATAGTGGTAGATTTCGGTGCAACAGCAGATCTTTTCTGTGACTTATCGCGGCTCTCCTTGCGAGCCCAGACTGGACACAAGATGAACGAGACACCTTTTTTCTATATCAAACACACAAAGAAAGACACATTCCCAACATTCGCAAGCAACGGAGGTCGCCCAATCGAATCTATACATGCAAATCTACTCATCGTACTCTTCATCCGACTCGTCATAAATCCTCTTCTTCTTGGAGCTGGTCCCAGCTTGCCTGCCCGTCGAGCGACGACCCCGCTTCTTGGTTTTCCCAAACTCGTCGTCGTCGTCGTCTTCCTCGTAAGGCTCTTCGTCCGAGTCATCGTCGTCACCGTCCTGTGCCCCGGGGACCGAGAAGTCACTTCCGTCGTCACCCTCGGTCGGGTCCATGGCATCGGTGATGGACTGGCGGGCCCGAGTTGATCGCTTTCCTCCCACGCCGGCCGCCGGGCCTGGTGTACTGCTTCCTACAGATGGTCCGCGTTCCTTGCGTGGCGACGAGCGCGACGGCCGGCCTGAAGGCGTCGTTTCCGCAGCAGCGTTCGTCTCCTTCTTGAATCGAGGCTTAAATAGATCATACAGTTCTTGTGCCTTGGTCGTTGACCCTTCCGGAGCTGCGGGCTTGGTTTCGACTACTGGAGTGGGCTCTTGCGGTGATACAGCAGTGGAGTCATCGACCTGCATTGGCTCGGGCGGGTCATCTTCCTTAACGCCACCGACCGAGGGAGCCGAAGCCGTTGGTTTGGCAATCTCCGTCGCTTCTTCAACTTCGGGCTTGGCATCCGCCCCGTCCTCCTGCACCGACGTGCCTTCGGCGGGCGGCACGTATTCATCGTGCAATTTCAAGAGTCGGCGAGTCGCCTCCTCCATGAGCTGCGTCTGTTCGATGCGATCGTGGGCGGCGGCTGCTTTGGTGAGCAAGTCGTCCAGCTCTTCGTCGCCAAAGCCAGCGGCGGCTTGCGCGAGAGTCAGAATGATCTGACTTCTGCGGTGCTTGCGTTCGACATCGGCGACGTGCTTCGAAGCGGGCGACATCTCGCGACGACGACGACCGAGCTTCATTCCGAAGCCCACACCGACCGGACGATCGGACCGGGCATCCTGGCGAGCCGAATCGCGAACAGCGCGATCGACAGCACGGTCGGCAGGGTTGACGGGGCGGAAGTCGTCGCCACTGTCACCATCAGAGCGCACTTCTTCGTCGACGAAGTCGTCTGACTCGGTATCGTCGTCGAATTCGTGGTCGCCCTTCCGTCGCTTGTTACCCTTGGACTGCCCGTCCGGTTGATAATGAACCTACGATAATCAACAAGCGACAGATGAGCTCGTGCTCTAGACCACCATTAATCAAGCAGATCAATGAGCTTACCGTAGACCGGCGCTTGCCACGCCCACTCTGAGCACTAGCCAGCAGCCGCCTCTGGCGCTCCGCCTCTTCCTGCTCTTGCAAGATCGTGGACCAGAAGCCATGCATGTTCTCGCTCTCTTGCTCGCCATCAACATTGACGGTGTCCAGTTCCCCGCGTTCCCAAATCTTGGCTTGGGCGAACGTTCCAGCGGCCGACTGCGCCTCGGCCTTCAGCGGCTCGGCACTCCGGACCAACAGCTCGTCGATGTCGGCGTCGCTGTAGCGAATGGCCGTCGCCTCGGCCTCCTTGTCGTCGAAAACGGCCTTGGCACCAAACTGAAGGATCGTCTCGACGTCCTCCGTCTCGTCCTTGGCATCAATTCGTTGAATGATCAGATGATCAAGACCGAGCTTGCGCGTACCAGCCGTGAAGATCTTCTCCTCGCAAGATTGCTTGACGAGGAGCTTGAACACACGAACGGGCTTCTTTTGTCCGATACGGTGAGCACGTGATATGGCCTGGATGTCCTGGTGGGGGTTGAAGTCTGGAAAGATGGAAACAGATTAGTCGTCTGCTCGCTCACTAGAGGATGGCGGATCGACCGACTCACCTTGATCGAACATGATGACCGTGTCAGCGGTGGTCAAGTTGATACCAACACCACCGGCACGGGTCGACAAGAGGTAACAGAAGTAGTCCGAGTCGGGTGCGTTGAACTCGTCGATGCCTCGTTGACGGTCAAGTTGCTTAGTGTCACCATCCAATCGCAGGTACTTGAGCTTAAGCCCTTGAAGGAGAGGCTCGATGATGTTCAAGACGATCTTGAATTGCGAAAACTATGGAGGGCAGTGACAGAGATGGGTAATGGTCAGCTGAGAACGACATTAGAGAGCATGGGGCGAATCGTCCAAGGGACTCACGACAAGAACACGATGCCCCGCAGCCTTGAGCTTGGGAAGAAGCTTCGACAGCAAGACAAATTTGGACGACGCCTCGATGAGATTCGTCAACTCTTGTTGCGGTCCGACTCCACGGGGTTCAATCTCGGGCGCGGTGATGTAAGGATGGCAAAGGACTTTGCGCAGCTCCATCAAGACGTTGTTGAAACTCGTCTTGCGCTTCTTCGTCACCGCCGTCTTTTGGAAAATGCTCTCAATCGCCGCCGCGTTGTGTTCGAGCACGCTGCGATAGATCTGACGTTGGAGCACCGACATGGAAACGGGAACGACGATCTCGGTCAAGGGAGGCAGGTTGAGCACGAGATCTTTGGTACGACGTAGGAAGTAAGGCTTGAGGATCTCGCGCACTTCTTCGACCTTTTCGGGCGTGAGTTCGGCGTAGCGCTCTGTGATGACGTCCATATCGGTCCACTTCTGGGGATCAATGAAGTGGAGCAAATTAAACAGCTCCTCGAGGTTGTTGTTGAGCGGCGTTCCCGACAACAAGACACGATGGGTGATGCGCAGACTCTGCAACGCGACGAAGAGCAGACCATTCTTGCCGCTCTTGAGACGTTGGCCTTCGTCGACGACGAGGCATTCCCAGCGTTGTACGCGTTGGAAAACGGCGATGTTCTTCTCAAGGGCTTCGTACGTCGCGAGGACGACGTGCGTCTTGAGCTGACCCTTGGGGTCGTACAGCTCGAACTCCTCAATGATCTGACGGGACTCGACGTCACCACTGAAGGGGACGACGCGCATAGACGGGGCCCAGCGCTCGAACTCGCGTACCCAGTTGCCGATCGTCGAGTTGGGGACCGTTACAAGGAAAGGCCGAGCGGCGTGCTCGTGGTGCAAGACCGACAGGAAGGTGATGATCTGCACCGTCTTGCCGAGACCCATCTCGTCGGCAAGAATGCAGCCCTTTCGTTGCCACCACTGGAAGTACATAAAGCTGACACCGGCGAGCTGGAACGGCATGAGGTTGCCTCCGACGATGTAAGACGGCTGCTCCGAAACCGGCTTGAAGTTGTCCCTGTTGCCCCGAGGTCTGTCGAGGTCGTCCATCTGCTTGGGTGTGAGCGTTGGCACTCGCATGGCCGGCTGGTTCGCAATAAGGAAGCGCTTGTAGGCTTGAACGTATTCGATATATCCAGGGTCGGTAGGCTCGGGCGGCTCCTCGCGGGTAGCCGATCCGTAAGGGAGGTCGCACCACTTGAAGAAACCTTTGGCAACGAGCTTGACGCTTTCATCGGGGTCTTCGGGACCGCCTCGCCAGTTGCGCCAGTTGACGGGCTCGCGACCCTCCGTTTTCGCGTGATAGAAGATGTCGAGAACGCGGTCGACGGTCTTCCAGCTCTTGGGAATGCGATCCTCGGCATCCGGGTCGGGCAAAGGGGCCATGATCGGGAGCTCACGCGGTTTGCTCGGGTCCTCGTCGTCCTCGGGATCATCCTGGGTCGGCAGATCAAAGTTGACAGTCGACCCACGCGAGAGGAAGTTGTTGAGCTTGGCCGGGTATGCCGCAACGAGGAAAGCGTGGGGGACCCAGTCCAACGTTCGGTAGGATGAGCCTTGCCACTTGACGAGGTAGCTTGCACGGGCAGAAGGATCTTTCGACGAAGGAATCTGGTAGACCTGGCCGGTCTTGGCATCCCTCTTCTCGACCATCGCGGACTGATCGACAATGTCGCCTTCCTCGACCGCCTCGGGTTCGGCTCCTTCGCCGGGCTTGTCTTCTCGCCACGCGAGGATGACATCGAGAGGGACATTCCACTGGTAGCAGTCGTGGCAGTGGCCGTCGAGGTAGTAGGACTCGGCCGACTCTTCGATCGAAGTTCCGAAATAGTCGAGGCACTCATAGTGAGAAGCTCGTCGACATTTGCTGCAACGGAACATGAGGCCGCCTTCGGGCTCGTCGGCGGAACCGTCGCCTCCTTCGCCGTTCACGAGTGATTGTGCTTTTGAGGGAGGGGCCGACTCCTCCACGAGCAGTGTAGGTGGCTGAGCGGCGATCGCCTTCACGGCCGGGTTTGTGGCGGCCTTACCATCCGCAGCGGCAGCGTCATCGCCCGCGGCATTCATAGGAGCTGTGAGAACATGAATCCGGACAGTGAGCACAGGTTGCGTGGGTCCAGATATGCTGTCGAGATCTTCCATGCTGACGGCAAACGTACGAGGGAGATACTTGCGACCACTGACACCGCAGGAGAGGCATCGACGGCCACCGCGCTTTTTGCAGGTCCAGCACTTGCGCAGTTCAAAGATTCGGCGTGCATCCTCTTCGATCTTGACACGCGTGGGCAACGGTTGCGATGGCACGGGCGGGCCGGGGGGAGGAGGCACCATGCGACCTGTGACGGGATCAGGGATATATGTGGAAGGGTCCGGGTCTGGTACAGGCAAAGGCGGGTACTTGGCGAGGTGGTCTTGAAGATGCTCGTCCTTGAGATCATCAATGAACTCCTTGCGCAGAGCGCCCGGAAGACACTGGTAGTGGTACACATCGATGCAGACGCCGCACTTGAACCACGCGCCGAGCTTGCTGACACGGTCCTCTTCTTGATCAGAGTCCTCCTCGAGATCGCTGTCGCGCTTACGCGACTGTCGACGCTTTTTGTTGCCATTCTTCTTCTTCTTGGCTTTGAGGGCGCGCATAAGGACGGGTACGGGTTCCCGGCCGCATCGGCCGCAAAAGGTTCGGTGACGGAACTGGGGCAGTTGCGAGTACTCGTACTCCTCGACCACGTTGCGGTCGGAATCCGAGGTCAAGGCACCACCGCGTTCGGCCTTTTGGGGCGCGGCGGGTGAAGTGTCGGAATCGTCGCCTTCATCGCCAATTCGAGAGATAACGCGATCGCGCGCACCGCGACGAGCGCCTCGACCTTCGGCGACAGCCGAAGCGGTCTCGGACATGGAAACGTCGTCACCGTCGCCGAGAGGAGTACCCTCGGCAGAGAACCCAGGGACCCGCAGTGAGCGAGACGAGGTAATCTTGACCTTCTTGGCCGGCTTCTTCTTCTTCTTGCTATTGCCTTTGCGCCCTTTGCGCTTTCTGGTGACGACGGCGTTCTCGTCATCCACGAAGTCGGATTCGTCCGAGTCATCGTCGACATCCTCGGATTCAGACGTTTCCTCACCCTGGAAGCTGTCGGCGTCGGCAACCGGGCGACTGCGCTCGAGCTCCTCCTCCTCCTCCTCTTCATCAGGACCCTCGGCATAGTGCTTCGCCCCAAGCGAGTTCTTAGCAGCGCGCGAGCGCGACTTGACGTCGATGCCGGTGAACTGTTCGATAGGAGGCGCCGGAACTGGTGCCGGTGCCGATTTCGGTTTGAAGATCGCTTTTTCGGCGTCAGCCGCCTCTGGAGCCGGTTCCTGCGTGGCAGCATCCAAAGCTGGATCGATAGCAGCAGTCGAATCACCGTTGATTACCGATGAAGAGCCTTCAGTGCCATTCTTGAGAAGAGAAGGAAGAGGGCCCGGGGCGTTGAAGGCAGCCACGAGCGCCGGTGCTTGAGCAGCCATCTCCTCCTTCGAGCGCTTTGAACAGAGCACAGAAGGCAAGGGACAGGAGAAGATCAGTATTCAGGACTCGATGATGTAATCGTGCAATTTGAGTGAGCAATGTGGCAAGAAGAGGCCGCAAAGTTATGCGCTGTCGCGGAGGCTGCGAGCATTCTAGAAGTCCCGTGACGGGACAGCGGAGCGCCGAACGCGTCGACTGACGCGCCCAAACAGGCCAGCGAGCGATGCGCGCCGCGACACGACGGGCAGCCAATAGAGCCATTGCAGCCCTCCAAAAACCCTGGCGAGCTGGGGCAACCCGAAAATGGCGATACACGTCGATGTCACAGATGAGACACTCGGTGCACTTAATCAAGTGACCACTCGAACCCAGATCTGAAATTCGCATAGACCCAGCGAGAGCAGCACGCGAGGCGAAACGCCAAAGTCGGGCCGGCCCGCCAGGCGTGGAGGACATGATAGCCACAGGACGCACGCACACGCATCGCATCGGGATAGCATGGCGAACCTTCGGTGACGGAACACTGTCGCGCATCATCACCACTACATTGACGCCCTTCCACCCCAGCAGCGAGCGCACTTCGGTGGGCAAATCGTCTCGGTCGATCCGGCTCGCTTCGGCGGATTCGTCGCAGTTCGACCGTGCTTGGGTGCTCGGGTGCTGGGGCTGCTGCAGCAGCAGACGAAGGCCGGCGCCGCGCACGATATACCAAGAGCACACACAAAGGCTCACACCGCACTCCCCACACAGGCTCGACAGCGCAAGCTGCAACTCACCTCGATTGTACCGTTCTCGCCTTGTTCGCGAACGACAAAACCTTCGCCGTTGGCTTTCTCGGCGACAATCGTCGTCACCGTCGGGTTCGAGGGCAACGACGAGGTCGAGGACGACGCGTTGGCGGGCTCAGCAGCGCTCGAGGCCTGGTCGGGACCCGGGGCCGAGGACGTCGACAACGCGGGGTCTACAGCATCCTGGGCAACAGCGGAGGACGGATCGGTCGACGACATGGCGCAGGACAAGTGCGCGACGTCACAACCGTCTTTTGTGGATCCCGCACAGCAGCGAACAGGTGGGATGGGGTGGGTGTGCAGGATGGGGGACGCAGACGTCTGCGCGTCTGCGCGCGCCGGCATCCAGTCCAATATTCAATGGACCAATATTGGCCTGCAGTGGCCTGTGGACAAAACATATCGCCAATCTTCGTACATTGACCGAGGTCACTCTCGGGCACAGTTCTCCTGCAAGCTTCCTCGCCCTTCGACGCGTCCAAGACGTCGAGTCTAGCCAGATCTGACTGTCTGCCGCAAAGTCGATCAGGGATCGACAAAGTAAGAAGAAGTAACTCAGGGCGCGCGGGGCTGCGGGCAGGTACGTGGTGTGTGTGTTCAGGAGGTGGCAACAACGTAGGGCTGTGATAGACACTAGGTCATCCCACTTATATAGTATTCCAAAACTTTACTGGGACAAGCCGGCGTCGGCTTGGAGAGGAGTCCACCCGAGCTATCGGTCGACTGAAGCCGAGGTCGTCCCAAGGTGGAGCAACAAGAGGTGTACAACGTTGAATTTGGTGTCGGTAAGTCTTGATGTCTATGTTACGGTGTTCGGTCACGACCTAATTAATCACACGTGTTGTGGAGAGATCAGGAAGGCGTGTTTTTGCGAATGTTCGGAATGCCGATCTCATTGTTTCGGCCGAGCAGATCTGCCTTTGCCCGTCCTAAAGCGAGCAAGGTGGGAAGGGGGTGGAGAGAGGGGTCAATTAGGGGTCCGTGCGCGGACACTGCCCTGAGCACTCACCTTCGGCACGCCCTGGTACATGCAGGCTGGCGCGTAGGGTTCTCGGGAATTGATTTCACCACTGCCCAGATATCTTGATCTTTGACATAGGTATGTGGCGACCTTTGGTATCGAGGTCGAGCTGAGCCAGCTCCGAGCCGAGTTCAATCTCGAGGAGAGGATTCCCACTCGCATTCCCGTTACGCGGAACGTCGTCTTCAGATTGACCATATCCAGCTTGGAGGATGCTTGTGCGTCTATTTGTGGTTAGATGTACACTTGTACCATCCGATTCGTCCGGTATTGAGCCTTCCGAATCGCCCAGCCGCGGCTCGGCATCACCCTTCGCGGGCACACTGGCGATTCCGGCATCGACGTCCCCATCCTCCTCTTCCTCCTCCAAATTCCCCCCATCCGCATGAATCTCATTCCACACTCTCATCTCTTCCTTCCAAAGTGTCTTGACACAAGGCTTGCACGAACTACCACAGCAGTCCCATGGGTCCGGTTCGCGAGGCGGTTTCGCACCCCTTGCGGCTTGCAGCAACTGTTGCAACCGGATTGGCGCGAGACGACCCCTCTTCAGCTTGACGAGAAAAGGAGACCGCTCATATAGCTCCAAGTCGTCCAGTTTGGAAGCGAGAACCGGTATGACGCCGGGGCGGCGAGGTGCACCAGCTATAGTCACGAGCTCGGGGAGCGGCGAGAGGAGGAGGGCCGGCAGCGCCGTCTTCCCTTCGATTCTGAGCGTCACCTATGCCATTGCAGGCCATTGCAGGCCCCCACTTACCGCTCTCGAGGCCCGCCTTGGATCGCAGTGAGCGCATGAGCTCGTTGCAGGGCTGGTTCGAGACCGATGACCGCGACACCAGGCTAGCCCTGCAAGTGCTTAACAGTTACGGCATCACACGAGGTCGGTCTGCTCCCTGGTCAACGGGTCACGTGGTCATAGCGGGCGGGCCCGACGTCCAGATGTTGACATTCCCTGAGGCCCCTGCCTAGATGTCGAACTCGCATTCGTAAACATCACGCACCTCGCACCTCATCCCGATCTGACACCTCGGATCTTGCAACAACTGCATCAGCGTGCGATATCGCGGCTCGCAGCCGAACCGATCGCTGGCTTGAGTCTGGTCGAGCAATTCCTAGATGACGCCCCGGAACATGCAGAGTTGCCCGGACCATCGTCAAGAACAATCAGCTCGACCATTCCAGACCTTGACGAGCTGTTGCAAGGAGGTTGGAAGCGAAGCGAGCTGATCGAGATCGCCGGCCCTCGAGCTTCTGGCCGTCACTTGCTCCTCTTGCACGCGATGCTGCACGATCTGGCCGTGAACCCTACCCATCGAGCCCTCTACGTTCATTCGGGAACCCTCGACGTCCAACGCTGCCTGCGAGTGCTCATGTCCATCATCGAAGGGCTTCGATCTCGTGGCGCCTCGTTCACTCGAGAAGAAGACGGCGCCCAAGTCGACACCCAAGAATTCGCAGTGGATATTCTTAGGCGCTTGTCCGTGGCTCAACCGACCCTGTCACCCCAACAGGCACTTGAGCACGTGGAGACTGAACTAGGTCGAACGGATATTGATGAGTCACTTGCTCTATCATGTATAGTCATCGATCCGATCGATGCCCTGCTAGGAGGAAAGATTCTCTCCGATAAGTCTGCAAAGGGTAAGTCGGCGCGTGACACTACGGATCATGGTAGCTCTCATGTTACCCCTTTCTGTGCCTTACTTGCATTGCTTTATCCCCAACTTTGTCACCAGGGTACGCCATGATGGCGACTTTCATGGGCAGATTGAAAGAGATCGCTTCTTCGGCAAAAGATCGGCCCGTCGTCTTTGTACGTCCGAAAAGATGAAATAACTCATTCCTCAAACGTTCCCCTGCTAATTAACCAATAACCCACCTCTCAGTTTATCAACTCGGGCAGTGCACCTTCATCATACACCAACAGCGCCAGCGGAGTATCCCGTGTTTCCATCTTCCCCACCATCCCTCCTCCCCCATCAGCGCCACCTCCACCAGCCCTCCGACCCTCTTTAGGCACGACCTTCACCTACCTCACGGACATGACGCTCTGGTTTACCCGCGCGGATCATATCTGGACTTCGATAGGATCATCTACTACGCCAATCAAAACAAGATTCGTGATTGAACTGGTTAGGAGTAGAAGAGGCGAATCGGGGGGATGGACGATGTTTCAATCGGTGAGTGTAATCCGTAGAGCCCTTATGAGAGAAGTGGGCTGAGTTATATTCGATGTCATCATTCGCACAGCCGGATGGGATTTCTCTCCTCCCCGAAGAATGAACGGGAGTGCACGTGATAATGCTTCGGCATGGATCCTCTCAAAGGCCATCCGTAAAACACTGTTGTAGCAGAATCGACTAACGCAAGGAAATGGCAGAAATGTAAAGCATGCGTCAACCAATTTCAAGTTGCTGCATTGACTTGTCCAACGCCGCCGCCGCGTTCTCTTTCTCCTCCTTCCACATCTCAGCGACCCTTTTAAACACTTCATCCTGCTTAATCCCCGGACTCTCTTGGCGCACTCGAGGGCTCATAGTCTGTGGCCAGCGGATAATCTTTCAGTTCATGCGACAGCGAGCTGAAATAGGGGCTCGTTAACTCACTGCAAGGTAATTCTGCCAAGCCGTCTTCTTCGCGGGTGTTCTCCTCATGCCGCCTAGAGCACCTTTCTCATGCCCGTCGGCGTCAATTTCCACCAGTCGACTTCCACATGGACACCCATGGGTCATCGTGTCAATTGACCTAGAGTGGCGTTGGAAGCTAAGCTCTCCTCCGTACGTGGAGTCGTCAGTGATCATTCAGCAAGGTCTTCAGTGTCGGAGCTTGCAGCAGAGGGACCTACATCTTCTGACAATCCAGCGATAGGCATCTCCAGCGGTACTTGTACGTGATCTGGTACGAATGCGTCGTGGTGACTTCGATATCGGGCCTGGCTGCCATCACTCGGGCGGCCCACAACTTGAAGGCTCTGCAATGCCGAGAAAAGTATTGTCAGACGATTACACCTGGCACTGAAAACGGCGTGAATCCCACTCACTTTCCATGTGGCGGACTAAGCTCATTACTAATCACCCAAGCCGCAAGATGACACAACTCATGCGCCAGCGTATTGTTGAGCTTCATGACCGAATCAACGACCTTGACGCTCAACTCGATCGAGCTGATCTGCTCAACGGGTTGAGACGCCCGATCAGCTCGATCGCCATCCTTCGTCGTCGACGTCTTCGTTCGTTTCCAAGAGGCTCTTCCGGCGGTCTTGAGTAGTTTCTTATTCCAGATGATGTCAACGTCCGCTGGGAGACCCCGGCTCGAGGTCGAGGCCGATAATGCAGACTCGCCGGAACTCGGTCGGATCGAGGTAGCACTTGAGTAGTACCGGGAAAAGACCGATTGGTTCAACTCGGCGATCAACTCGAAAGGCAATCGGTCGCGCTGCTCGGCCGTCAGCAGATTCGTGGCAGCTCTGCGCGGGGTCGATTTGGCCGTCTTGTCTGCTGACTTTAACGATCGTGGTGTCGATGGCGTCAGGTATTGACTGCGCGGCGTCTTGTTCCGGAAACGAGTCGGCAGATCTTCGTCTCCGTCCCCTTCCTCATCACTAGAGCACATTGTAGTGGTCAGGTCCACCTCGGCCTGTCGAATGCTTTTTTGGCCTTTCGCATTCGACTTTGGCGCGGGAGTGGAGATCAGGGTCGTCGATAGCTTTTTGGGGCGCGAAGGCGTTCGTGTTGGGATGCTGCAAGTGCAAGATAGGTGAAATGATATGGATAACGGGTACGTAAACTAGAGTAGACCTGAGCCTCTGAAGGGCGACGCGACGACTTACAAGCTGATCACCCCGGCATCGGGATCAAACTCCGATTCCGGCTCTTCCACTTCGAGACCGAGCTCGACAGACCGCTCAGCTTCCTCTGACGTAGATTTATCACTATCTGAATCGGAGAGGACAAGGACCTCGATCCCGGGCTTCTTGCTCTCGGCGAGCAGTCGTCCGTGGCTGGGCAAAGAGACATCCGAACGTTGGACATCGACCGGACTGGTGCTCCCGCCTTGGCGTCGGACCGATCTTACTTCTCGAGGAGAAGGAGTCTGAGAGAGAGGTAGTCTCGGCACCTTTTTCGGTGTCTCTCTGCGAAAAGCGAGCAAAAAGTACATCAGTACTCGCGTCTGTGTGTAGAGTCTTCTGCGCTACGTCTTACCTGATGATCAGTCGACCTAGGCCCTGATTAATCGACGGTGCATGGTCGTCTTTGGTGTGATCTTCTTCATCGGACGAATCGTCGAGCGTGTAGATGGTGAAAGGCTCGTTCTTGCTCACAGTCTCGACCCGCGACTTTTCGCCGATCGGACTCGAGCATCTCCGAGACGTTGGTGCAGAGGGTGGTGCTTTGTTGCTTGAGACCTTTATGTTGGACGAGTCTCCATTTGCTGGATAACTAGTTCCTTCCTTCGAAAAGAGCTCCGCCAGACCATTCTCGCCCTTGTCGTCGATCCCCTGCGCATTCGGAGGGGAAGGAGGGAACAAAAGGTCTGCGAGCGAAGGCGCGCTGCCATTGCCATGAGTCACGGAGTTCGGCACAGCCTCTTGGGAATCTGGAATCGAAGTCGGACTTGATGATACTTCTGTGCCCGAGAGTGCTCTCAGACGAGGGGATCGACGAACGGCTGCAGGGCTTTGATCCCGGCGATGAAATTGTGTTGAGCCCGCTGGCGCTGACGCCGGCGTCGGCGTTGAATAACCTGATCCGACGCCGACGTCGAGCGAGCCCGAGCGAGAGCTTGGGCTGCTCCCACAGTCGGTGGAGCAGGTAAAGTGATCCAGCAACTTTCTCGAAGAATAGGAAATGGTCTTGCTTGTAATGGACGTTCGTACAGCCGTATCCGAGTTCGTGCGGTGCATTATCTGAAGAGGCTCCGATTTGGGGGCGGTGATCGCTGGGAGCTGCTGACGAGGAAGTTCAGCTAGCCATGGTGTGGGCAGTTCGCCATCCGAGTCAGCATCCGAGTCAGATGTCCGAATCATCGATGTGGTCTAAAAGGGTTGACCTGATAGTCAGCATCGGGGAGGATGTCAAGAGTGAGACCACCGCAGGCGATCAAGTCACGTCGAGGCGCGCCGGCCCAAGTATTGCCCAAGTAAATAGGCCCAAGCTTGCCCAAGCGTGCCCAAGTAGCACAAGCAGGCACACGAGCAGGCCCAAAAGGCACAAGATCCAAGATCTGAACGCGTGACACGCAGTGACATCTCGCGTCGACTCAGTCAATAGCAACAAGCGAATTATATTGCAGCTTTTGTAAGTCACTCCTCCGAGAATGAGACAAGGGTAGGAAAAAAGGGGGAGAGGACCACAACTCAGATCTAGATACAGAAGGAAATAAGCCTGCGACTCGCCGACAGTTGGCCGCCCCACGCCCAGGGTCTTCTGTTGTACTTAATGCTCGGTCAAAAGCAAATTACCGGAGACGAGCTTGTTCTCCAAGATGGTCCCGTCGGGCAAGTGTATCTTTTGACCTTCGTTGGCGACGATGATAACCGTTCCTCGGAGCTGCGTGTTGCGACCAAAGACAACATCTCCGGCGACAGTCAAGTGGTCCAATTCGAGGATGTTGGGGATCTGCGGGAAGCGCTTCAGGAACGCATCGACCTTCTTGAAGTGATCGCCGAGCTTGACCACGGGTGTGGTGGAGAACATGCGCAACGGCGAAAGCGTCAACGTGCCGTGCTCGAGGTCGTACAGATCCGACTTGATGAGCAACAAGTCCGAGCACGACTTGACGGGCAAGAAGCGAGCACGCGGGACATTGATGCCGATCGCTCGGTCAAAGTGCTTGACGGCGGCACCGACGGCCGTCTCGAGCTGGATCACGGCCTCTCCGTTGGCCGCGACCTTGTTGTTGACAATAATCTCGAGATCCATTCCCTCGCCGTCCATGACGCGCTTGATCGCCTTCAGGTTGACCCACAAGTTGTTCGTGTTGAAGATCTTGAACTTGCGCACCGACTTGAAGTCCTCGACGTGGTCGGACGGGACCTGCGCGATTTCGAGCAGTCGCACGTTGCCCTCGTAGTTGATGAGCGTTCCGCCTTTGACATCAGCCTTTGTCTTGTCTGTGACTTCCATGATGAACTGTGGATGAACGAATTAGGGCTTCAGAGTCAGCTTCTAGCTTCACCGTAGGATTATTCGGCTTCTGCGGTGGACGACTAACCTCGTTCTGGTTCGCGTGCATGTGCTCAAGAATTTTCATGTCAACGACGGCACCCAAATTGTCGACGTTGGAGACAAAGAGGTACTCCTTGCCGCTCGCGAGCAGCTTGTCGACCAGACCCGAGTTTGTGATGGCGTCGAACAAGTCACCGTGGCCTGGGGGGTACCATGAGCCCTTGTCCTCGAGCGCGGAGCGGGGCGTTGGGAGCAGCGACTCCTTGTTGACGCGGGGGTATCGCGACTGGTTGAAGGTCATGAGCTCGATGTTGTGGTTGGCGTACTTTTGAATGATGCGCGCCGTGTCCTCGTCGGTGTTGAACGAATTCATGAGAATGAATGGGACATTGACCTTGTGTAACGAGTTGAGGTGCTGTGAAGTGTGTGGGCGTCCTCATTTAGCATGGATCACACAAGAATGGGATCCATGGGGCCACAATCGTGGCGAGTTTACGCACCTCGATCTGCCTGACGGAAAGATCCAAGAAGGTCATGCCTTCTCGGACTTCGATGACGGATTTGGGCCCGACGCAACCCATGGTCGTACCAAGACCACCGTTGAGCTTGAGCACGGCGAGTTTGTCCAAGAGCATGGGGCTCGACGACTCCTTAAGGTCGGCGTAGGGAACGACCTGCTCGGGCGAAGGGGGCTGGATCTTGTCCCAGTCGCTGATGACATGAGAAAGAGCGGAGTCAAAACGTATCCCAAAATGCTTTGGATCGAGTGGGCTCTGGGGTCACGATTGAGACTGACATCTTTTGGCCCTTGGCGCGCTCGGCCAAGTAGCGGTTGAAGAGGATGAAGAAGCTTTGCATCTCGGCTTCGAAAGCCTGCCGGCGAGATAAGATATCCAACACAGGTTCAACAATAAGTACCACACCAAATCAAATTAGCCCTGTCTGATGTCGTACCTTCTTGTACTCGGGATCGTCAATCTTTTGGATCATCGAGTTGAGCTCATTGCGCATGGCCTTGGCCGAGACACCGGTCGCGGCGGATTTGAAGTCCTGTGTCAGGGCAGGAGAAAGAGTATGGTCAGTTGGGAATATCCAAATGGGTTGCATGGAGATGCGGATGGCGATAGCCGAAGGATGAATCAGGGGCTTCGACGAAATGCCGACCGGACGAAGGTGAGTCGGAGGGGCCGGCACCAGCCGAAGAGCTGGAGCGGGCTCAGCCAACACGCTCTGCATGATCGGGACAATTTCATGCATCCCGTGAAAGCGAACCGCAACTCATAGCAGACTAGCGGGGCTCTGCCTAGGACGGGAACGTGGCACCCTCATCCCCCTCGGATCTGGGCAAAGACTGGGTAGGCTGCATGCCCATCAAGACGATCGGCATACATCCAAATCGGCTTGAATGCTAGATTCACTGGTTCCATTTGATGGGCTGCACTCGACGCGGGGATGCCCGCTGCGAAGAGGATTGCACCGAAATGTGATCGCGCCCCCGCACCCAAGTGGGATCCGAGGCGGTGTTGAGTTGGGCCTTTCGAAGCTCTCGGTCGATGAGCTCTTCTCCTTGCCTGAATCACAAAAGAAATCCAGCAGCCTCGGCATCCGTGGAATACCACAGCAAGCCTTGGCATACCGTGACACACTCTAGCACCCGGTAAGAGAGCACAGAGTCCTTCATCGAGCACAATCGACTGGCCGCCGACTCCGCTCCGTCCACGCCCACACCGATGACGGGGGCAACGACAGCCAGAATCACCACGCCGAGAGGGCTGAATAACTGACCATGGCCGAATGTCCACGGGCACGCTTGGGGGCGGCGGCTGCGGGTGTTTCAAGAGATGACATGTTGATGGTCGTTCGGGGTGGAGTGAGGAGGGAGTGAAGGGGCGCTCAACAAGAAAGCGGAACGTGGAGTGGCAGGTGGCAGGTGGCCAAGCGCCCGCTCAGCGGCGGCCCGCGTGTGGGCTCGTGTGGGGTGGGCTACTCGCTGCTATTACTCGCCGCCTGGACTTTGCCGGCTGAGGGCGGCAGCATTGCTTTTGGCACAGGCGGCACGAGGGCCCACGTCATTTGGAATCGATCAGGGCTGTCAACCGCACCCCGCCGCACCCAGCATGAAACACTCTGCTCCCGAGTCCCCCCACCGGTACGGAGGCTTCTTCGCTTGATCGCTTCGCAGGTCAAAGCGCATACATTCAGCTTGTCCCCAACAAGCTACTGCTGTGATCCACCCGGCTTGCATCTTGAAGTTTCACTATGCCTTGCAGAGGTTTACTTGCCCAGCTTGACAGGTATATCAGGATTCAGCCCGGACGGCGCCCTCGGCCCTCTGTCACTCTGTGCCATGTGGCTCCGGTGGCCGGAAGCCCCATCGGTCCACTGTGACCCTGCCACACCCTGGGCTTCACGGCGTCAACGCAGGGGCACAATTTGCTGTACAAACAATGGACACAGTCGATCAGCATCACAGCATACCTACATCTGAAATCATTTCACGAGAATATGGGGTCAAAGCTCCACATCCCAGAAATCTGCTTCATCGAGTGGAGTGCGCTGGGAATCGTCACGATGAAATCTAAAGCACCCTCTAGCACCCTACGGACAGCTACGGACCGCCCTTCCCCGCCCTTCCCGTGCCAACGACTCTTGACTTTTTGCTCCGCTCTACATGTATCACTAGATGTACCTTTCTGCGGCTCATATTCAAGCTCTTCCAGCCCCCTCTCGATTCATCTATCCGGCCTCATCTCGTCGGAACTGTTTCACGACCACATCACCACGTCATCATAGAGGCAGCGACCAGCACGAGGTTCTTGGCGATACCCACTGCAGCCGATACCCCGACTTGGTGACTCGCCTCTTGAAAGCGTGAGACACTCGCAACTGGAAGACGACGACAGGTTCAATCCGCAATGACCAGCATCCTCGCGACTCCGCCCCCGACGTGCAGCGACTCGCAATCGATCGCCATCTTCGGCTACGGGTCCCTCCTCTTCAAACCACCACCATACGACCTCGAATCGGAAGCAGGGTATATCAAAGGCTTCAAGCGGAGGTTCGCGCAGGATTCACACGATCATCGCGGGACACCGGAGAACCCGGGTCGAGGTTCGTCGCCGAGTCGCGGAGACGGCTTCTGCTTCGTCCAGAGTTAGCTGCTTAAGTCTTTCTGCACTTTTTGGACCCCAGTGGTCACTTTGGTCACCGAAGAGGACTGGGAACTGCATCGAAGGGTGAGACAGCTCGGGTGCTGTGAGCACTCCAAGATCGGGCCCAGTGCCAACAGTTTGTATCGGTCACGTGAGGGAAACTATTGCTGACGATGCGCTTTAACACATCGGTTATCACACCAAAGGACGAGCCCGCAGAATCAGGTCATGTATGGGGTCAGTGACATCAGACCTTTGATCCTATGCCCGAAACCTTGTCGCCAAATACCCGCTCTCCTCCTCGGAACAGGTCGAGTCTACCGGATACCACCGTCCCAAGCGACCGAGATTTGGGCCTACTTAGACCATCGTGAGAAGGATGGATACACACAACGCCGAGTTGATGTATACGGGCTCGACGCTCAAGGACAGGAAGTCGTTATCGAGCACAGTGTGGGTCGGCTCTGAGGCATCGATCAGGTTTCAGTGATCGGTTCGCTCGCTGATGATCAGGTTCTTTGGTGTGGAGACAGTGTCGAGTCTACGTTGGAGAACTCGACAATCCCTCTTTTGCAGGAGGGACACCGATGCGAGAATTGGCCCGGAAGATAGCTACTGCGCACGGGCCAAGTGGGCCGAATAAAGTACGTCGAGCAAGTCCGATCCTTTCCTCGCTTCCTCCGGGCGACTAAGACTGATCACTCTCGTCCAAACTCGATTTCTCTGTAGGAATACCTCTACCTGATGACGCGAGTCGTCCGGGAACTTGGTCCCGACGCAAAGGACGAGTATTTACACCAACTTGAGGGGCTAGTTCACGAGATCGATCCGGACTGGAAGATCGGCGAAGCTTAGGTCTGGCGTGGGAGCACAATCTCGGGCATTGTCGTCGTCTGGATATAACATTGAAATCGCAAAGATGCCCTCGGCGTCATCTGATACCCGCATACCCGTGACCTCTTTCTGGGGAGCGCACACTCACGCCATCCCCCTAATTCCGAAAACATCGCGGCCCTCGCAATGTTGTCATTGCAAGACCCAAGAGCAAGCTAACAAGATAGCTAAGAAGGGGCATAAAAAACAATGAGCGAAAGGTGGATATGATTAGTGCCGTTTGTGCCGCAAGAGTGAGAAGGGGATGTGGGTGTACGAGAGAAGCTGTCAGTCGGCAATGTGAAAGAGAGGAGAGGTAGGGTGGAATTCCGGGTCCAGGAAAAGCCTCCATCCATGATCGAGGCCTTCTCGATTTCGATTTTTACAAGAGGTACATCCCACCGGCGACGCCGAGAAGGAGACTCCCGGACAAGAGGAGTGATCCGCCGAAAGGGGCCTTGATCGACGAAGCCGCCCCGACAACCTGGGAACAAGGCGAAATTTTGAGCCATTAGTCCGTAAAATTGAATACCCCGGGTCCCAAAGTTGCAATTTTCTACCTGAAGGTGGGTCGGGTCAGGTTGGAGGTTGCTGGCGGTCCCGGAGGCCGGGCTATTGACAGTCCCGGTGGGAGATACAGTTGCGACGGGGACCGTATATACAAAGCTGTCCGTGAGGTTCCCAGCACCGCCCGAATTGATGATGGTCGTAACACTGTCAACAGGAGGATGATGGTCAGGGTCCTGAATGCGGGTCGGCGTCCGAAATTATCGACGCGCGTGCGCGCTGTCCAGATCGCCGAAAGGGGCATGCCGTCGGTGCGCCTGTGAGGCTGACGGCTGAGCGCCACAGCACGTGACGCATGCCCTATCGGATTACCCGCTCGCTTCCCTCAGGTTGCCCGACACTCGTCTTCACCGTCGTTGACGGTCCTGCCGGTGCTTGGAGACTTCTACTCACGCTCCGGGAATCGGCGCTTGTCCTGTCGGCAGAGCTGAGCCTACTGTAGGCGCGGAGAAGAAGGGGATGGGCGAAGAAGATGTGCTGGAGGTGGAGGCCGCGGCGGCTGAAGTAGCAGCTGCTACAGGCGTTGTTGTTTGAGCATTCTGGAACGGGGAGTGAGATATGATCAGCAACGCTGTTGGCTTCCCGTCCTCAGGATCTGAAGAGCGACTCGGCCGTTCAGACGACACCGATGACCCCGGGGCCCGGTGTTTCGTCGGCGACTGAGGGCGCGGCGTCATTCGCCCGCGACCAAGCTACGAGAAACCGGCATTGCGTGAACACGTACAGAGACAGAGACGGATGCAAAGGCGACAAACAGGGCGACAAATGGAGAGCGCATCGGGTTTTGTGTAAGGTCTCGGTGCGAGCGTGGCGTCGGTGTACAATGCGGGAAGTGAGTGTATGGAGAGATGGCCGCCGTCGCACCGGCTTGTCGCGCCCCGCGACTGCCCGCGGTCTCCCGCGGTAGTCCGCGGTCGTGCCCGTGCTCGGTCGCCGGCGCAGGGGCAGCTATGGAGCTCTGCAGCTGGAGCGCGCCGGCTGGGACGCTGGGGCCCCAAGGTTTGCCATTTGATGCGTCTACACCGGTGTTCTACCCCTGTGTCCGTTAGAAAAGGAACAAGAGTTTCAATGCTGCACAAGCTCGTATCTTGGGTGTAGTGACTGTTTCGAGGCGGGACTGGCACAGGTGAAAGCTCTCGCGATGCTTTCTCCGAATCCGAAGTGATACTGACCACGAAATACAACCAACCCCACCCGAGCCACCATCGTCGGCGAACGCTTTACGAGAATACGCCTTCCTTCCGATCGTCCGCTGAACTCGCCCGTCCCAGGTCCGACCTTTGCCTAGCGCCCATTTGCCACGTCGCTCCGCACCGTCGCCATGGTCCCCCCTACACCGGTCACTCGTCTTTGCACCACACCATCTGTCAACCCCTTTGTGCCCTTCTGGAAGTGTTCGAACGAGGGGGGGTGTTGAATTGCATTCTGTCAAGCCTTCGAACACTTCGACATCGGACCGCCGTTTGACGGACTTGCCCGCCTTTCGCCTCGCGCCTTCGCCTCAGCGCCTTGCCTCCACGCGCTTTCGCCTCGGCGCCTCGCCTTCGCCTTCGCAAGCCCTCACTCCTTGGGGGCGGCGGCTGCGGGTGTTTCAAGAGATGACATGTTGATGGTCGTTCGGGGTGGAGTGAGGAGGGAGTGAGGAGGGAGTGAGGAGGGAGTGAGGAGGGAGTGAAGGGGCGCTCAACAAGAAAGCGGAACGTGGAGTGGCAGGTGGCAGGTGGCCAAGCGTCCGGACAGGGCTCATAACCTGTTATGAGCCCTGTCCGAGCCACGCTGTCCCTTCCCGCCGCACCCGCCCTCTCCGCCGAGCCCCAACCCGCTGAGACACGCGACGCTGCCGCCGACGCCACCGCACCACACGCTGACAACACACACACGTCTGGTCCTGCCCCGCGCGGTTGGGGCGACAGTGCGGCTTGGCTCGGGGTGGGGCTCTCGGCGGACGATCGATGTGAAGGCGTGTTCCTGTGACGCGTTCGTCCATGGTGGCAGCGAATTACTCGCCGCCTGGACTTTGCCGGCTAAGGGCGGCACGAGGGCCCACGTCATTTGGAATCGATCAGGGCTGTTTTGTCGGATCCGAAACGACCGTAGATGCTGGAGAAGTCATTTCTGCATCGACCTTGGCTTTGGAGCCTTCGTAGGGGATGCAGAAGGGAGGGAAAGCAATGACGAACGCAGCCTGGCAGAGCACCATGGGGATCGCATCGAGGCAGATGAAGAATGGTTCGTGGGCTGTCAGAAGCGGACAGGGTGTAGCTGAGTTGGGTTGGTCCGGGATGATTGATTAAACGATTGCTGGACTGACTGATGAGATAGCCCGTCCAGCCTTGCGAGAGCTCGACCATTCGGTAGAGGCACCTGTAGTCGAAAAAGAACGACAAAAGAAAAGGGGCTCGAACTGTCGTCAGCTTCGGCGGGCCGGCGCCAAGCAATTACCTCCAGTACAGCGATCAGTTGACTGACCGAACGAGGATCCAAAACGCGGCCCACACCATACCGTATACTATTCGTTGCAGCTTGACTCCGGGCTGCGTCTTGCGTTCTTGGTATGCTGGCGATCGTATTGCCCGTCGGAGAAAGTCGTAGCCGAGCGCGCAAAACGCGAGCATCGCGGCGAGTTGTAAAGCGATGCCTGCGACCATGATGTGGGTTCCTATCGGGGATATAGAAGATAAGGGTGCAAGTAGATGGATTTTCGGCAGGAGACTCCGAGCATTTTGGTAGAGAAGCGGACGAACCCGTCTCGGACGCCTTTCCATTCTCGAGAGCGATTGCAGCCATCGCACCACCCACAGCTTGCACAACCAGCGCCTGGGAAAGGGCAATGTTAGAATCCAGTAAAAGTAGATTTAATAACAAGTGGGTCAAACACCATGTATGCTCATTTCTACTGACCAAGAGATCGGCCAGACAGAAAACGAGCATGTAGAAATTCGGTCGAAGGCGGGAATGCTCGGCCCCCAGCGTCCGAGTCAGCATGCCAAGCGATCCGTACAGCGCAGCAGAGTAGAAGCAGGGGGATATGATGAGGCTGATGAACAAACAATCAAGATTTTTCATAAGTAATAACGAAAGGAGGCAGTGTGCTATACTGCGGCGTTAGAAGTGTAGATCACCCAGGGACTTACGCGCATTGTTGGATCAAGAAAGCGTCGAGGCTATAAACGTTCTTGGAACTCCAGAGCCTCCCACTCCATCCGATCACTTGACCTGAAACAAGCATTGATTTATTTACGGATCAGACTCAGATTTTAGCATTCGAAAGGTGACTGTGATTAGTGATTTATTTACGGATCAGACTCAGGTTTTAGCATTCGAAAGGTGACTGTGATTAGTGAATATGATAGGAGGTCGGGACGGACTAACCTAGCCCACCGAGAAGAAGAGTGGACATCCACCATACTTTGGACTTGAAAACGTGGAACGCATTGATGATCGTAATGAGACCGAACAGGGTGATGAACACAACCGCTGCCGCTGCAAAGGAAAAGTCAGGACTGGAGTCAGAAGGAGTTGCGATAGCTGGCTCGGCGGAAGCCATCCTGGCGCGATAAACAGTTTCCTGGCATCACCGATGGCTTACCGATTTAGCCAAAAGCGGACGGTCCGAAAGCGAGCAATCCTGCCTGCGCCTTCGAACTGAAGTTGTTGGGAAAGAGGGGAGGAGGATCCGAGGCGAGAGTTGTGGGCGATTATCAAGTTCCAACTGAGCTCCACCTCTGCAGGAAATGCTGCACTGTGACGTTCCACTTTCATTTATTAATAGCCTCGGAATCATTAGCGGATGCCGTGAGCTCCGAGTCGGCACCCGAAAATAAAAGAATGTGTTCACGACACTGTGCCGAATTTGCGAACTTTGATTGCTAACGTATTAGTACAGGAGCAAGTCTCATTAATGGTACTGCTTGAAGGGGTGGTGGTCGGAGAAGAGGCAATGGAGGCCCGCGAACCTGATATTCTTGCCTGCGACCAAATCGCGATGGACAGGGGGTTGACATCCGCGTTCGCACTGATAAACGCGGAACAGCGGCTTCGCGCTGCCCTCGACGGTTCCCTGGTCGTTGAGCCTGTAGAGGGTAGGGCGACGAAGGAGAACAACGTTGGTGATCAGACCAGCAAACATGACCTCGACTCGGCCCTGTTCGATCTCGGAGACTGACCTCGACCGGTGGCCGTGCTGTTCCGGCAGTCTTGGTTACTGCATAGCGACGACGTCAAATCTTCATCGACGTAGTAAACCAGAATATCCAAGCCGACGCGCTTCAGACGCTCGATCTCTGCAACGAGTGCCCGCAGGAAGACGTTGGTGCGGTAGGTCGCGTGAACCGTGCCACGGCTCGAGCCACCCGCGCCGATGAAGAAAATGAAGAGGCGTGGCTCCGACGACAGGATGTCGTCTCGAAGCGCCAACTCGGGCGAGCGCAGGCTGTCGAGGGCTTGCTGCTGGCGAGCTCCATTCAAGGCTCGTTCTGAGTGAGGAAGGGACAGACCAAAAGAAAAGAGAGAAAACTCCGCCGTCCGGGCCAGAGTCACGCAGTGGTCAGTCACCGGGGGGGGGGGGGGTGTTAGGCGTGCCACCAGAAGCTCGATCGGCGCCGGGAGGGCCCCTGTCAACTTGGTGCACTCACCGACGACGCGGACACCCGTCGCGCTCATCACTTGGTCGACGAGGCGCTGAACGGTCGCTTTGGCGTGGACCCGGGAATTGTGCACTGCTGCCTGGCGTTCTGACTCGGACTGCAGCCACTCGGTCGAGGGTGCGTCGTCCGATGTGCCAGCGTGCGACCGATGGGCGTCGGTGGCAGCTACTGCGAGCGCGTCGGTAGGGGCGATTGGGGCAGGGGCGCGAGGAGCGGGGCCAGGAGTGGCGGTAGCGGGCACGACACGAGGCATTCCGGCGGTGTCCGGCCCCGACGAAATCTGCAAGCCGAACCTAAGTTCGGCGCCGAGCTCGGCGTCGATTAAGCGCGTGCGCTCTTGCGTCGAATGAAGGGCGTGATCTACGGAGGACGCGTATAACACCAGCTCGTCTTCCATTGGGCATCCGTTCCGATCGTACAATCTGGAGGAGATGGCCACGGGGCACTTGGTACCCGTGTCGATGCCGACAGTGACTACATCGCGGTTAACCCCGGCTTCGAGCTCACTCGCCAACTCGTTGCAGCCCGGAATGCAGGTGGAAATGGGTGGGAGCTCGTAATCGCCCCACGACTACCCGGTCGATATGAGGTGCAAGGAGGAAAGGCACCACACGAGGTTAGCAAACTTGGGTTTACAAAGGATCAATGCCCCCCGCTCAGCTCGCGTAGGAGTGGAACGTACCTCCCCAGTCGCCTTTTGAAAGATCGCCTGCAGCGCCTCTTCCCTCCCGTTCTCAACCCTCTGGATCATTGGCATGCCCCCGGGGAGGGTGGGAAGTTGCTTGACCGCACGTTTGGGGACCCAGCGCACCGACTGCTCCTCGTGTCCCACTCCCTTTGGGTTTGTGGCGGTCTTTGGGACGGAGGGGATCTTTCGAAGACTCTGAATCAGCTTGCGGAAGATGGGACCCGCGTTCTTGGACGAATGCCACGTCGGGTAGTGCTCGGTGACGAGGTCAAACATTTCGTATACCGTTTGGCGAGGAACAATCGCAGCTTCAGAATCAGGCGACGAGCGAGCTTCGAGAACGGCCTCTGCGACATCGAGCGTGAGGATCTGGACCGAATGGCCGTTGGTCTGCCACTGACCATGTGGAACTCGGTGGGGACCAAAGAGCTCGAAATTGAAGAGCTGCAAGACGACGAGCGGTCCCTTGCCGGTCAGGTAACGCGGAACGCCATCCGAGTTGGGCTTGAAGAGGCCTCGGTCGGACTGGGCGGCGGTCACCTTGCGCACCTTGGTGGGTGGGCCGAGGTCGGCGTCGTCACTGTCGGAGTCGCTGCCAGGAGCTTCCGACCGGGGTGGGGTTGTGACAGAAAAGATGCCATGAATCGTCGCTTCGCAAAACGCAAACCACTGGGCCTCCCATTCGGGGCGAATTACCCATTCCTCGCCTCCGCCTCCCCCTCCCAGCAGCACACCCTTCGTGTCGACTTGTCGCCTCAACATCTCGCGAACCCTTTGACCGGCGCCGGCGAATTCCTCGTTCGTCGTCTGCGCATCAGCACGCTGCGCAGCCCACGGGATCCAGACCCCATCGAGCCATTTGACAAGCACTCGGGCAACCTCCGGTCCCTTCCAGAGGATGATTGCGGTACGGCGCAAGGACATCGTTATAAATTCCGGCGCAAAGTCCTGTGAAGTATCGGGGAGCGGGTCGAGCTTCGGTCAGTACGAAGCGCTCACTTGGCTATACCAATGCAGTGGCAATTCCGCCCGAAGGTGTCAAGGGGTGCTCACCGGTCCGATGCCTAAGCTACGACCACTTTTGATCTTGAGCGCGTGCAGTGCCGGAAGCAGGACCTGGGTCGGCAAGAACTTGAACTTCCCCTTCACCAGGTCGCCGAGCGTGTGCTGGCGGCGGAGTTGATCGCGCTCAATCGGACCGATCATCCTGTCGAGGTGTTCTTCGACGACTTGAATTGCGTCGAAGATCACTTGGCGGGCGGATGCGTAGATCGAGTCGAACGTCGCGGCATCGGGGACGATCTTGTGGGCTTTCTTGTACAAGGCACGGAGAGCGGCCTCGAGCTTGGGGTCTGCAGTGGCCGGGTGGGTCGCCCTGTCGCGTAGCAAGGGAACCAAGAGCATCGCCTCGACAATGCGCTTGAGGCTCTGGTTCCGAAAACTCGCTTCGGCCACCTTGAGCTCGTAGACTTGGTGGCGACCCCCGGCGGAGGGGGTCACCAAGCCGGCCGAGGCGAACACGCGAAGGACCGCAGGTACCCGATCCTTCCACCCAAAGAGCCCGACGATCAGCATAATCACACGGTCCTCCCACCAATCCGCCGAATGAACGAGCTTTGGCACGAAGACCCTGTGCATCTTGGTCTCGATTGTTGCTCGTATGACGCTTGTCCAGGCCTGCGAAGTGAGACAGGGGGGAGGCGTGCGCAGTGCAGGGCACGCGTCAGGTCCACACGTCCACGTTCAACGGCAACGAGACCACGTTACGCATACTCACATACGAAAAGCAAATGACGTCCTTACCACCCGAGACGCGACGAAAGAGGGCTCGCTCTTCTTCGTATGCGTCCGACCCGACTGACGCTTCTTCGGGGAGCGTGAGAGGGTCGTCCAGCCGGGTGCGACCGTTCCCGCCCGTTCCGGCCCTCCGTCCTCGCGCAACAGGTAGAGTATGGACATGAACAACGCGCGCCAGCGGTTTGGGTTCAAGCCAAGCTCCTTCCACTGCGCGCGCGTCAAGAACCCGAGGCATCGACCGAGCGCATCGGCGACGACGCTCTCGATCTCACGTGGGAGATCGCCAGGAGGCGAAGGAATGGTTCCAGAGCCTGTAGGGCAGGCCTGGGGCGTTCGGGGGTGTCAGAAGGGTGGGGAGGCATAGTGTCTGCCTTTTTTTATGTCGAGAGCACTTGTGGGCGAATGTTGATGGTCAGGAACCGAGAGATGGGTGGGCGATTGGGTCCGTGTGCCCACCCCGCCCCAGCGCTGGCGCACCCTGTCCGAAATTGATTTCGGACGCACACCTATGCGAGACGACGATCGCATCCACGCGCGAGTGGAAAAGACCTAAGATCTTATTCTTGGCCCACGATCACGTCCATTCACGCAAGGTGCACTTGTGTAGTAGATCATTCCAGCGTATCGAACACAACGAGAGATCATGGCATGATCTCAATCACTACGAGGTATCATCTGACCAGATCAACTCTTGAGCCATTTTGAGGGTCAAGCCGATCAAACTCGTGAAGGACGTGAACCCCCGGAACCGCCGGCCGAAACCGGTCCGTTTCTCATTCTCTAGGCGCCCAGGAGTGATCTCGTAGAATACCTATCTCTGAGTGTAGTTTGCCCATCGTACGACCTGTCTTCATGGGGTTCATTCATGTGAAGCTAACAAGTTCTACGATTCTGATCCGGAACGACACCTGGGAAACATCATGAGGCTACCTTAAAGTGCGAGTGGCGACTCCTACCTACGAAAGAAGGCGGTCGACTCCGAGTCGACGGCGCAAGAAAACCCCGAGAGCTGCGACGACGCATCGACCTTCTTTGTCTTTATACGGCTTCACCTATCAATCTCCATTGCTGCAATGCTGTAGCTGCGCGAATCGGATTCGTCGACGACCAAAGCCGCATCCGAGTCCACGTCCATCAGCCCGAGCGAGCTTGCTCGGTTTCGAGTTGCCGCCGGTGGTGCACTTGCCTCAGCCTGACGTGCCGTCCTTGCCGGGGGTCTTCGAACCCGATGTGCGCCTTGCCTCAATTCTCCGGACACCATGGATTCTCGGACCAGATCGTCGAGCGTACCCGTCATTGTTGACATCCTGTAGATAACTCCGCCAGGAGATTTTCCGCCGCCGCCGCCGCTGCTGCCCGAGTCCGATTGCTTCGAGAACAGGGCACGTACTTCGGCCGCCGTGGTCGCCTTGTTCCTTTCGATCGACTTTGAATTATTGGACTTGCGAGTGCGCTGTTCTGCGCTGTCCCCGAATTCGGGATCGACCAAGCGGTAGTCCGACGCCCTGACGGTTCCTTGCACGGCGAGCTTGTGCGTCGAGACCATGCGGGCCGGCTGCTCGGCTTGACGTCGTCGAGCCTTGGCGTGGTCACGTCGGAGTTCAGGATCTTGAACGGTCGAGAGACTCGAAAGAGAGGGCAGAGGTCCGGTGGAGGCGACCCCGGGTTGGTGGACGAGAGGGGGGTTGCGGCGAATCGGCGCATAGGCATATCGTGAGACTGCCGACGGGTCTTCATGTGGCGTTCCCTTGAACCGCACCCTGGTCCCCTTTGTGACTGTGGTGATGGACTCCGCGGTTGCTTTTGCGAACGTCTTGTCCTTGTAGTGGTGCAACAGATTTTGGATAGGATCGATCGCGGCGCAAAGGGACTTGACCTCCTCAATTTGTTCCTCCGTCGGCGCCGGCCCCGAGTCGACGTTCCTGATCAACGCCCCCGCGGCGCCATCCCAGCCACTCTGCCACGTCGCCTCGTCCAACCACTGCCCAGGCAGGTCTCTAAGTCCCCCAGGCCCGACCCCTTTGATGCCCCTAAAATAGTCACACCCGAGGATGAGGCTCGCGACGAATCGCTGACGAGAATTCCACACCGTGGGGTGAGCGTCGAGTACGGCAAGGTCCACCAAGCTAATGTTTTGGTCCTTGCCCGATAGCACGGCGCGATAGCGGGCCTGGTCGGCGCCGAGAAGCACGAAAAAGTCGCTGTCGGCGCTCACGAGGACGACGCGGTTGGGTTCGAGCGCAACGTCGCAGATCTGGCCAAACTTGGTCGACGCCGAGACGAGGGGATCGGCCTCGTGGGCCGCGACGACGAGCAAGCCTTGCTCGGACCAGCGAACAAAGGTGGCGACTCGGGTTGGCTCGTCACCGTGGCGAAAAGCGACCTCCCATTCTTTGCTCGATCGTCCGTGAACGCACGCGGCGAGGGTGTCGTTCGTGATGAAGGGGACGGGGTGGGTGACAGGGGTCGATTTATCGGAAGGCTCTTGCGGTTTCTGGCGATCTTGGCGATCGAGCACGGTGTCCTGCTTGAGCTTGGGCCGAAGGATGGGATGATCAAATACCACGACCACTTGGATCCGCCTTGCCGTCGCTGCAATGATTACCTCGAGGTGTCGAATGATCGCATTGAGGAACAGCCGGCCTCGCTTCGGCTCGTTGTGTTGCGCCCGGTCCGTCGCGGCATGGCGCTGACGTGCGAACGCGGTAGCGCCGTCGATGATGGCGACTGAGTGGAGCACAGTGATGGACAGCGTAGAGGGTCAGCTCGGGTTTGCTCGGAAAATCGGGGCGGAGCAGTTACGGGCTGCGAAGGGGCTTTGAGGAAGCGACTTGCCATCGATCTTGCCGACGAGGGAAGCCAGCGCGCTGCTCAGGTTGGTCTCGCGAGAGAGCAGGGCGTCTGGAACGATTTCCAAAGCGCCACCGAGGCAGTCGTGACCGTGTTTTACCGTCATCGAGGGAGATATGAGCTGTGTAAGTGCAAGGCGCAAGGCACAAGGTGCAGGGTGCAGGGTGCAGGAAGAATCAACGGTGGTTGAGAAGGCTGCGCTGCCCATCGCTCCCAGCCGAAAAGCAAACGGGGGCAGGTCCAACAAAAGGTCGTTCGAGCTCAGAGTAGTGTGAGAAGATGCATCATAATATCTCAAATTGTACCGTAAAATAGCCTGTACCCCATATTCGTTATTTTTGCTCTCAATCCTAGTCTGGTCAAGGCAGCGAGCGGCCTCCTTTCGGAAGACCGCAGTGGGGAGCTTGAGCGTCCACGATCTAGGCAGCGAGAATCTGCAATTTTCTAATGAACAATGGTTCAACGTACATGTAAAAAAGATAAAAAATCTCCTTTCAATATGATTTTGTATTTGGGTGCCACCCTACTTGCATGACGGCCTCGACTCGCTGCGTCGGAGCTCTCGCGTGAAGCCGACCCCGCGGCGGACTCGGAGTTCGGGGTCGTCCCAACTCGGACCAAGCTACTGGAGCGACAACCGCTGTATCGATCGCGGCGATCTCAACTCTGGGGTGATCCCTGGAGCTCAACCTACTTGCTGAGACTTGACCGAGCTTGATCGACAAGGTATTCGGTCTTTCCGAGGGATGGATCGTTGGCCTCGATGTCGGGTGCACGGTCCCCTCTCCGTTCAGATCTTCGGCGCTCTCGGCCGCCCTCGGCCGAGGTGGAGAAGATCGAAAGCTTAAATTCACAGCGTGGCGTCATATCGATGAGATGACTCATTCTACCAAGCGCACACCCCGCACCCCCCGCACCCAAGTCAGCCACCACCTCGAGCTCGTCGCCTCTCTCTCTTTTCTCCTTCCTTCTCCTCGTCGACGCGCTCTGCACTTCTCGCACCACTTAATCTTGCCGACATCGCCCCCCTTTTCAGGAGGATACGAAACGGTGGCCTTTGTGGTGTGGTAGAGTCTGTCGTTCGATCATCCCCCCTTCCCACCCTCTCTACCTGTGAGTTGATGCCTGGTGCGACTCGACGAGCTTGTTTGTGCCCCGAGCGGTGATGCTGACTCGATCGTGGCGACCTCCCCCTCACCTCCCCCTCACCTCTTCACCCCCCCCCTCATTTCAACCTCATTCAACACTCCTTAACCCTCCCCTCCCCTCTCGTCTCACCTGACCCTCGTTTCACCCCACCTTGATTCCACCTTGACCTTGACCTTGACCTTGACCTTGACCTTGACCTCCCCTCACCCGATCCCACCCTATCCCATCCCACCTCGCATCTCGTCTACCTCGTCTCTCGTTTACCTCGTGTCTTATCGGTGGTCGTCTCTCCTCACTCGTCTTTGACCCCTCCCAATTTGCCTTCGCCAGCCTCCCTCCCCCTCCTTCCTTCCCTCGTCGACGCGCTCCACACTCTGTGCACCACTTAATCTTACCGACATCGCCCCCCTTTTCAGGAGGATACGAAACGGTAGCCTTTGTGGTGTGGTAGAGTCTGTCGTTCGATCCCTCCCACCGTCAAAAGTGTGAGTAACCACCTAGCTGTGATCGTGTTCGTGTGGCGTAGGGTCGGACTGACTCTCGTGTTTACCCGTCTCGCGTCCGTCTTTCACCACCCCACCTCCATCATCTTACCCCACCCCACTCCTCCCCTCTCCCCTCCACCTCCATCATCTTACCCCACCCCACTCCTCCCCTCTCCCCTCTCACCGTGATCTCTCGCTTCCCACCTTGCCACTCGGACCTTACCGTCTGTCACTGCGTCACGGCTTGCCATCAGCCTATCCACTCGTCGACGAGTATTGAATGGCGCCTACGGCATGTCACTGAGGTTGTTCCTGGTCCACAAGACCGCTTGCATTTGATCGTACCCCGTGAGTCTTTGCTTTGACCCTTGATGATTGATCGATGGATCGATCGTGCTCGCCGGCCCTTGACGACGGGCGAGGCGGGGCTGACGATTCGATCCTCGCCTACACTCTCCAGACAAGCAGCCTCCACTGCGTTCCCGAATCGACCGATCTCCCCTGCTCGGATCGAAGGAGGTTCACGGTACCCCTAACATTAGTGAGTAGCAGGTACCCTAATCCTGTGGCACCAGGTAGCTTACTTCTAGTGTACGCATCAACCTCCAGCTGCACACGGTCTTCAAGCCATCTCCACCTCGGTCGACAAGGTCCCCTTTTCTTTTTCTGTTAATTTCGAATTGGTTACACCTCGGAACTCTATGTTGGCGGTGCCAAGTGGCAGGCGACTTGTCCTTGTTTAGCCTAGCCAGATCCAACTCCTACATTGAGCCTCCCTCGTGAACCCTTTTCGTTTTTTAGTAGTTTTTGAGTGCACGTATCGAGATGCGCATGCACCACGGATTTGAAATTCGAGTTTTAGATGCTGCATAATCCTAATGGCAAGAGAGTCTACAGCTTGCTAAAAACATAGATGGAACGAATTGCTTCTGGTCGGCAATATGCGTTTCGGGCCCAGCCTGCCCAGCCTGGCAGGGGACGGCCACTATGAAGCGCTCGCTTGGTGCCTGGGCCGAGTGCCACGCAGCGGTCATGCTTCGGGCGTCACACCACCCGCAGTCCCAGGAAGCCTTGATGGACACATGCAGTCACGCTTCCAGATTACACACAAAAAGCAACTGGTGCGTCACGTCACCGAGATGAATAGAATGGGTGCAGACAATCAGACTCAGCGTACGGCCGCGGATGGCCCAAGCCTTATGTTCAAGCTACGAAAAAATGGATGTACGTTAAAAACAGAACTGGGATTTAAATGGTCCGGGCGCAATCGTGCGAGACGGTCGGACTGATTTGGAGCACAGAAAGTCGAGACTGAACGCTATCAGACGATGTCCGAGACACGGCGAAGCTCGCAAGTGCCGGTCATCAAGCACTGGAGCCCATCACAGCCGTGGAGGACGAGACAAGAATGGTGCACGGTGTCGGCGTCGGGGATGTCGATCAGTCGGACGATAGGGAGAAGCTCACTGGTCGACCGTGATGCCTCGGACGTGAAGCATCACGCACTGGGCGTAATGCCAACGAAAATATTCGTCGGAGGGAATTTCATAGTCATTGACGGTGCGGAACGCGTCGCGAGGGATCTCCTTCCCATGGAAGGGGTGGTATATGTCGCACTGCGGTTCGAAAAAATGCAGAGTATATCGGCCGTCCTGTGGGCAGGCGGCCGGAATTGGGATCGTCAGGGGGAGTTGCATGAGCATACAGTAGGAGAGCGAGAGAGCTCGAAGACACTTACTCCGTTGGGGTAGAAGGAAAAGGCGTAGCGCTGGTACATCGCATGCAAATCGGGACTCAAGGTGATACCACAAGCAGCTCCGTAGGGTTGCTCGACGCCGAAGTGAGCCCAGACCTGTGGCGGTGCGATAAGATGATCGTTCATGCGGCCATGATGGACGATTTACGCATCATGGGCGTACTGACCTCTGCCAGCCTGTGGGCGCGTGAAAGGGATGATGGGGCATGCGACGCAGAAGTGGGACTTTGCGCCGGTGACTAGGCATTGCCCGTCACGAGCAAAAACGGTGGCACAGAATGAAGACTTTTCGAAAACCGCAGCAAACATGGTTGGCAGAGGCGAACGGGCAGATCCCTGCTCGTGTCTGGCAGGTTGTATCTCGACTCACATAATCACTTCCAGAGGAATGCGATGACGTACTCATCGAGCTATCGCTGTCGTCGTCATCAGACCAGGGGAATGCGGGAAGGTCGTCTTCGAGGTTCGCGAGAGGCCCAACAGCGAGCGAGAGTGGACGCGATGTGTCTGGGTCGCACAGAAGTTGAAGTCGCTCTCGGTCAGTGTTGATACGGGGAATACGCAAAGGCGTGCAGGAGCTACTGCTCACTATCGTCATGGGCGACGAACGTGTACGCGCCAATGTGAGGCGTCGTGGCCATGTCGACCGGTATATGGCGATCGTCGCACAAGTACCCTGGTTGATCAACGCACACAGTAGCGGCATCGAGAATAAGATCCCATTTGCGAGACGACCTGAGAGTTTGAAGCCAGATCATTGGAATTGTCACGAGGTCGAGCGCGTGCGGGGCGTTCGTGGTGACGGCCGAGACGGTCAGGGTCACGTGGTCGGGCCACGCCTCGAGGAACGCAGTGTTGGTGCCGCTCATCGAGAAAGCGAGCGGCAGGGTTTTGCCAAACGTCGAGTGCTGTTGAAGGCGGGCGAAGGATGTAGTCTGCGAAGAGCAGTGAAGGGGTAAGACACCCGGTGGAAAGGGCAGGAGGGGGAGCAAGAGGGAGGCAGAGGGCGGGAGCCGGCAGGAGCAGCAGCCTGCAGCACCTAGAGCAAGCTAGAGCAATGCCGTCAGAGTGCCGTCAGCAGAGCAGCCGTCAGCGCTTTAGCAGCCGTCAGCAGCTAGTGTCAGTTTCAGCCTTCACCTTGTTCCATCTCGCGCCGTGTCTTGCCGTGTCTCGTCTAATTCAGCATCCCACACCACCAGCCACCGTCCACAAACAGAAATGGCGCGTACTGGTGTCGAAAAGGTCGGGCAGCAACTGCCTCGTGCACCGGTTGCGAAGCCTCTGACGTCGCGCATCCCCTGGACGGTCTGGATCTTGCTCGCGCTCGGTGTCTACGCGTTTTGGAGCTATCTGACACAACGCAGCAAGCGATCCAAACAACCGTAAGTCTCTTCCCATTCAAGCCTGCTCTCAATGACTCGACCTCGTGTCGTCGGACGGCCAAATTAAGCTGGTCGCGACGAGCCGTCCGTCCGTGATCCCACCTCGCTCCAAATTTATCCAATTACACGCATGCTTTGGGGGTCACTATCGACCGTGACCCTATGACACTAGCTTTAAACTTTCGTCCGTCACATCCGGTCCCTTATTACGGCTTAATCTGCCTTCTCTGCCGCCAAGTCATCACAGCCTTTCGACGCGCCTCTTTCTTTCCAGAATGCCCGTTTGGGGCACGGTCGGGACTAGGTGGCTGACAAGTACTATCTTCCTGAAAACTCTCAGGAGACGGCGGATCGCTACCAAAGCGGAACCTCGTCGACCGACGGCTCTTGACTCGCCTCGACGACTGGGCTCCGCCCCCAAGCTCTCGCGAAGGAGCTCATTCGCACGCGGCGTTCGCGAACCGACGAGCGAGTCCTATGGCGGATCCCAAACGACGAGTCGAGCAGGATCGCCCTTTAGGCCAAGCTTTTCGTCGGGTCGTCTCGCTCATCTCGCTCAAAGTGCAGCCGGAACACCCGCCTCCTCCACCGGAGGCCCAAGTCGCCATGCCAACTCCTTTGGCCCCGACATGTCTGAAGTTTCGTTCCAAGGCTCTTCCTACTTGCCGCACTCACCTTCAACCCTCGATCAACGGTACAACCTCGCCAATCGATCGAATGGGTTGTTGAGATCCGCGAGCTCGTACGCGATCGACTCTCGAGGTGGTCGGGAGGCCTCACCGGGGCCTCGACGCTCGGGCTTCAGCGACGTCTACCCACCCCACGTTCTCGACTCTGCCTCTCGCAAACGCCGTGATTTCGATACCGAAAGTCTCGGTACTATCAGCCAACGCAGCGAGAAAAGGTTCAGAATGACGGACGACGAGCAAGGCGCTTTCGATGAGGATGACGAGGATAGCGACGACGCGGCGATGGAGCTCGATGAGATGGTCGAAGTTGCGGCGGCCGAGCAGAAAAGAGGGACCAAACGTGGACCGAAATCTCAAGGCGGTTCTGTGAAGCGCACTCGTCAGGGCGAGACTGGTGACGATGCGCCGAGGCACGAGAACGATGAGATGGATACGCAGCCAGATTTGGAGTTCTTGAGCAAGAAGCGCACGCGCCCTTCGCGCGACGTCAACGAATCGTTTGCCGAAGAGTCGGCCGTGGACAAGCGCCCGAGAAATGACATTCAAGGCAAGGGCGGATCTAAACGACGTCTCGACTTGGTCGATACCCCAACTGAAGAGGACGTATTTGACTTTGAGGATGAGGATTCCGACGATGATCGGTCGCCCAGGAACGCAGATTCCGAGGTGGATGAGGAGGAAGAGCTCGAGCAGGATGACAAGAATCGGGAACAAAGACGCAACCACAAATCTAAGCGCGCTCGCTCAATGGAAGAACGCACAGAGTCGGGGGAGGACTCGCTGATGGGTGACGATGACTATGAGGCCGAAGCAGCAGCCGATGCACCCCTTGCTCCGTCCGACGTCGCATCAGGTTCGTCCCGGAAACGTGACGATCCTACCAAGGTATCGGCAACCTCTTCCATCTCGACCGAAGCCGGCGCGAACAAACCCGTTCGTCGTCCTGGAGATACTTGGGTCAATTTGGAGGGTGATCGCTGCAGGATGGATACCGATGGCAAACAAAGAAAGCTTTGCGAAGTGAGAGAGATGAGGAGGAAATACAAAGTAGGTCCACATATGTCCGGCCTTCATACCGTGGTCTCAATGGCTGATTGCCCTCGTCGATGTGAGCACTTAAGATGCCCAAGGACTCGATCCATCCCGATGCCAAGATCATGCATGTAGTCGTGACCGAAAAGTGGCTGACGCAAGACGAATACACGCAACTTCTAGCCCAAGGGAAATTGGCTTGGCAAGCTGTCGAGGATAAGGCGGCCTTGAAGGCGGGAGTTCAATCTGCTTCGGATAGCTCCACGACGTCCCAGAACAAGGCTGCTCAGACAAAGCCCAAGGGGATCTACTTTGCGACCGGAACGCGGACGCCCCTTCGGACGCACTCGGTGCTGTCATCACGTCCTTCCTCGGGCAGCGCCTCACCGGTTTCGACACCTCAGTCACCGGCATACGCGACCCTGCTCAATGGTCGGATGCGTCTTCCAAGTGGTGCTCATGCGAGTCCCGCGCGATCGTGGTCGACGAGCAAGTCGGCGCGGCTCGTCGAGGACGAACAAAAGGCGAAAGCCGAGAGGGAGCGAAGGAGGAGGGCAAGCATCATGCTCGGTGGGGAGGATGAAGAGAAGGAGGTTGCTCAAACGGCACCCGCACCCCCTGCCCCTGCTTCTCTTGCTGCTCCACCATCGACCCTGTCTGCCCCATCAACCCAACCCGCTGGCAAGCCAGCCAACGAAAAGAAAGACGACCAGCCAAAGCTTTCGTACAGTTTTGGCCAACCACCTGCGACAACGTCTGCACCTCCGTCATCCTCTGCAACCCCACCGTCTTTTTTCAGCAAACCTGCGGTAGCCGCGGGCCCCGAGGCTGCCAAAGCCGAGGGGGCACCCAGATCTGCCGCTCCGCCAAGTTTCTTCGCCGACGTTACCAGGCCGCAATCGAACGCCACAATGTCGTCTGCTGAACCCGCCAAAGCGGCACCCTTCTCGTTCGGGGCCCCGTCATCGACCTCGACACCTCCATCCAAATCCGCGCCCTCTACTGCTGCGGCCAAAGCGCCCTTTTCCTTCGGAGCTCCGCCACCTTTATCTGCAGCACCGTCGACGAATGTATCGGCACCCTCCGCTGCTGCGTCAGCCCCTTTTAGCTTCGAAGCTGCTACAAGCTCCAGTTCATCGACCCTGCCGCCATTGTCGAGCCGGCCACCAAATATCGCTTCACCTGCAGCCTTCAGCTTTGGCGCAGCCTCGACCGCATCTGCAACAGCTCCTGCATCGGGGTCTGCTCCCGCTCCGTCGTTCGGTTTCGGCGCTGCTCCCAATCAACTCGCGGCACCTACAGCTGCGCCGGCGCCGTCATTCAGTTTCGGTTCCACTAGAGCAGGACCCCCTCCGCCTGCGAGTACCAGCTCAACTGGAGGTTTTGCATTCGGTGCACCCAGCACACCTTTTGGTGGCAACACATCTGCGGCGCCTGCGCCCGCAACTGCTGCCCCAGCCCCATCGTTCTCTTTCGGAGCTTCAACCACACCCGCCCCAGCGGCTCAATCATCCGCTCCGCCATTTTCGTTTGGAAACGCTGCCTCAGGTTCTGCTCCGGCACTCTTTAATTTTGGATCCTCTTCCGCAAACGTTTCAGGGCCTGCCTCACCCGCAGGGACACCCGGTGCGGGTCAACCGTTCATGTTCGGCCAATCGACGAACTCGTTCGGATCGGTTACGGGAGCATTGATAGCTGCTCAAAACCCTGGCGCTGCCCCAGCTGTGTTCAGTGAGTGACTTCCTTGCCTCGTACGATAGACCGTCTAGACTGACCCTGCTCTGAATGCTTTGCCGATACACAGATTTTGGATCGGGAGGAGATGAATCCATTGGCTCTGCACCGAGGCGAAGGATTGCCGGGAGGAGGCCCGCGGGTGCAAGATGAGAATAAGAAATAAACAAGTTCGCGTGGATGGACGTTTGCAAGCCCCAAGAAAATGAGGTTGTGACTATTTCTAGCAAGTTCCCACCGCCGTCGAAGCATTCATTGCTTTTCGACAACAGGCGTTGCTCCTGTCCATTGCCTGAAAGCCGCTTGCGACACTGTGATGGAACAGAGCTGTTGCATTAACGATGGTCGCTTTTAAACTACCTACCTGCATGGGACATTCGCGAGGCTTGTGACTTTCAAATCTGGCCACAAATATTTTTCGCGATCGCTTGGAGCGCAGCAGCGATGACGTCGTTGTTGAGGAGCTAGCCTAGAGGCAGAAAACCATAAACTTCATAGACGATGGAGGTGATGAGTACTCAGAGTCCTGCCTGATTGCATGAAAGCGAAGATTCTTATCCAATTTTGCTTCTTCTGTGTTATGAATTGTTGTATGCGCTCGTACAGCATTTCCATGCGTGTAACGACAACCCCCGACGCCGCCGTGTCAGCGTTGCCCCGATCGAGACCCACTGGCGCCTAAAACCTCCCCACCTTGGCCTTCCTGCCACTCCCGCCACTTTCCTTCCTCAAGTAACAAAGTCACATCGTTGTGTGTGTCTCTGCAGAGTCAACATATCCACTCTGTATCATGTAGTGGATGGGACTGACCTGCTCTTCCGCTGACCGCCGCCCTTCCCTCAAGTGCCCCACATCCCTTGACCCTCCGTCAGCATGCCCATCAAAGCGCGTTGCTATTGCGAAGCGGTGCAGTTCGAGCTTGACGAGGATGTTTCGGCGTTGAGCGGTATTTTCTGCCACTGCCGGTGAGCTTTGAAAGCATAGCATTTCTATCGCTCGATTTAAGCAGGCCATTCACTCGTTGCCTGTCCCACAGCACGTGCCAGAAGTTATCCAACGACCGCAGCTACAACATTACTTCGAGTGAGGACAAGCTCAAAGTGACGAAGGGTACCCCCAAGGTCTTTGACGATCAGAAAGCCGATTCGGGCAAGTCGATTAAGCGTTCGTTCTGCGGCGACTGTGGCTCGGCCCTTTTCTCCAAGCCCTCGAGTCGACCTGGCGCCGTCTTCGTCAAAGTCGGTGTTCTTGACGAGGCAGCCAAGGTCAAGCCTGGTGCTGAGATCTACGTCGACAGTCAGTTACCTTTGATCGATGCCCAATCGGATTTCAACACCAAGATCAAGCGATTCGAAGGCATGATGGCGAAGGAGGTCTGAGGCCCGACTGCAGTGTCGCCGTCACGGTCATCAGCTATCAAGCTATCAAGTGCTACGGGTGCGATCAAGTGCTACGGGTGCGATACGAGGTGTGTGCGAGCAATCGATGGTGTTGTAGGGTACGAACAATTGTGCGAGAAATAGCAAAGAATTTAGCAGGTGCTTATGATGCGTGATCCCCACTATATGGCCTAATAAAGCTTACTTTGGGGCACGAGTCGCGTTTCAGAAAAAGAGAGCAACCCTCGTCATTGTCTGGAAATATGGGAGAGCCTACCATATCTGTCTCCGCCGCCCAGTTGCAAGATCTCTTTCTTCTCCCGCAGAGCCGGAGTACGGGCGCCCGCTGTTTGGTTGTGCCCATGATCAGGTTGGCGTGTGTTGACAACCACGGGTACGTACGCCTGGATCCTACCTAGCGTAACCAAGGAGTTCTAGCTAGGATCACCTGGTACGCCTCAGAAATCGATGTGAGGATTTTGCTCAGAAATATGACCGCGGTTATCGCCCACCTTCACTTCAAGTCGCCGTTCCGCAGGTCGGTGCACCGAATCAGAAAAAACGGCTCCTCGCCGTGCCGCCACTCGTAGTAGTCGCGAGATCTGCCGAGAGTGCCGGCCGCGAAAAATGCGCACGGGCTTCGCAATGCTGCGCAACCCAGATCTCTGGTAATCTGATTAGCGGTCGCTGTTGGAATCTCGCCGACCCCGGGATCGGTGTCCTGGAAGCACGAGGTTTCGCGGGAGAAGTCGGCTTCAGGCTGACTCGGTGGGAAAGTCAGGTACACCACGGCAATAGAATTCGGAGCTGCGAAAACAAATGTGGCAATAAAATTCCGAGCTGCGAAACCATATGTGCTCAAGCTTGAGGCACGCAGTGACTTGAAGTTGTTGACGATAACGTTGATGGGCCCATGGGCGATTAAAACTCTACACGGGAGTCTTGCCTCGCCTCCGACTTGAGCCCCCGAAGCAGTGAGACAATTTTTTGGGGGCCGCTGTGATGCTGCCTAATAGTCTCCAATAAGGCGGAGATCGCCACCTCGCACCGCCCGAAATGGGGCCACGGCGATTCAAGTTCCGTAGTGAGCGCTTGATTGGGGAACGCTGTGGATCTCGGGCTTGGCGCGCCGTTTTAGCGAACGTCGCGGCAAGCGACTGCGATCGGGTAAAAATCGCTCATCCGGGTGGCCGAATGCCTGTTCCAGGGGACTACTTCGTTCCGAGTCCTTTATCTTCTTTCTTTACTCTAATCATCTCGTGTGCCCTCTCGAGCTACCAGTGCTTCGTCGACAAGATGGCTACCCGCACTTCATCGTTGGACAAAACTTCACAAGCCGAGGCGCACGGTCCCTCTGGCGGCGACTCGCTCCACTCGGACTTGCATCTAGTCGATGAGTCGGCCGGTGTTCAGAAGATCACAGCCATGTCCAACGAGATCGATCTGCCTCTCCGTATCTTTCTGTTCGTCGGTAAGTTACACTATCGCATGATCATGTTCAAAATACCATCAGGAGCTAGCCCCCTGTGATCCCTGACCTGCCCCGTCAACTAATCTTTCGCCACTGCGAAATCCCGTCAGGCGTCTTCGTCATCTCTTATGCCTGTGGCCTCGACGGCACCATCCGATACACATATCAGCCGATCGCAACAGCTTCGTATTCGCAGCACTCTCTTCTTGCCACCATCAACGTTTTGCGTTCGATCGTGGCGGCGGCCGTCCAGCCGCCATACGCCAAAATTGCTGATGTTTTTGGTCGCTTCGAGCTCATCCTCCTCTCAATTGTCTTCTACATTGTCGGAACGATCGTCGAGGCAACCGCAACAGGTGTAAAAGGATTTTGTGCCGGTGCGGTCTTGTACCAGTTCGCGTACTCTGCCATTATTCTGCTCGTGGAAGTCACGATTGGCGACGTCACCTCGCTCCGCTCTCGTCTATTCTTCTCCTACATCCCGGCTGTGCCGTTTGTGATCAACACCTGGGTCTCGGGAGATGTCACGAAAGCCGTTCTCGCCACGACGACATGGCGGTGAGTCTTTGCCAGAGAGCATGTATAGGTATACTCTTGAAAACTGACACTTGGCTTTGCTCTGCGCAGATGGGGCATCGGGATGTGGGGCATCATTTACCCTGTCTGTTGCCTCCCTCTCCTGGCTGCGTTGTTCATCGCCAATCGACGAGCCAAGAGAAATGGTAGCAAAGCCGGTGTACAGACTCTATACCAACGCCTCGGATTCAGGAAGCTCGTCGTCCACCTGTTCTGGGAGCTAGATGTGAGTCACCTCGGTATTGTTTGGAATAGGTAACTGGTTCTCGTGCTCATCACGTTGCCATTTGCCAGATCTTCGGCCTCATTTTGCTCATTGCCGCGTTTTCCCTCTTCCTGCTGCCTTTCACCCTCGCGGGAGGAGAAACGAGGACCTGGGGGCGTCCCCACATCATCATCATGCTCGTGGTCGGCATCCTCTGCATCCCTGCCTTCGTTCTGTGGGAGCTTCGCTTCGCGCCCGTCCCTGCGATTCCTTTCAAGCTCCTCAACAACCGCACCGTCCTCGGCTGCCTCGGGATCGCTTCCTTGCTCAACTGCTCGTGGTACCTCCAGGGGGACTATCTCTACACCGTCCTTGTGATCGCGTTCGACGAATCGATCAAGTCGGCGACTCGTATCACATCGCTCTACTCTTTCACCTCGGTGCTCGTCGGTGTGGCTTTGGGCATCGTCGTTCGCTTTGTGCAGCGCGTCAAACCTTTCATGATCGCTGGTATTGCCTTGTACGCCGTCGCTTTTGGTCTCCTCATTCGTTTCCGAGGTGGAACGGAGTCGCACGCTGGGATCATCGCCGGTCAAGTCATGCTCGGCTGCGCCGGTGGAATGTTCCCCTACCCCGCGCAAGCCCTCATTCAATCGACGACGCAACACCAACATCTCGCCATTATAACCGCGATGTACCTTGCCTTCTACAACGTCGGTAGTGCGCTCGGTAACACCATCTCGGGCGCGATCTGGACTCAGGTTCTCCCGGGCAAGCTCGCGCGCGAGCTGGCCCCTTTCAACAACTCGACGATGGGTGCCGATGTATACGGCAGCCCCTTCGAGTGGATCGCGGCCTACCCTGTATCGACTCTGGAACGCCAAGCGGTGATTCGAGCCTATCAAGGAACCCAAAAGATCTTGTGCACGGTCGGTATTTGCCTCGTCGTCCCTTTGATGTGTTGTGCCTTGCTCACGAGGAACACCAAGTTGAGTGCTGCGCAATCGCTTGAGAAGCCGGCGGAGGGCGACAGGACGATCGAGCGCGCCGTCCTCGAGAAAGATGGTCATGCATTGGCATGAACCTTTGATACGCCGGTGTCTTCTCACTAGGAAGTAGTGAATGGGCACGGCATTATATTTCCTCTGGACTTGCATATTCATAGCGGGTAATGGGCTTCTATGTTGGGAATAGCACGATTCACGGTTATATTGATACGAATATGTTTACAAGATGCCCTGGCCACCCTTCAGCATTGGATATGATTCTACTGCGCTTTGTGCTGGACAGAGCGTGCCGAGCTCTAGTCAATAAGGCGGAGAAGGTGATCAACTGTGACCGAGGCCGAGGCCAGAGCACTGCCAGAGCCTGATGAGCCTGCCAGAGCAGCAGAGCAGGCTAGGCAGGACGAAGGGAACCCCAAGCCAAGAGGTCAAAGCGGCTCACGTTCACGCCCCCACCTTCAGCACGCTCCTCGCCCCGACACTTTCCAGTACATCGCGCCGTCATGCCTGTAAGGACTAGCTTCGCCGCTTGGTAAATCCATTTCCTCACACTCGATCGTGCCCCCCTGTGCAGGCCTACCACTCCTCTTACAATGACGAAGACGAGCATCGCGTGGTCGGCAACATGGCCCTTCTACCGTTCAACAGCCGCATCAGGGGCCCTGCACCACCGCCAGGTATGTTCCTTTGGATAGACACTCTGAGCACCCCTTCACCCCACGCTAGTGCTGACACTCGCCGTGGATACAACCGGCAGCGGACCCGTCCCGTGACGACATCATCGCCGAGGCGTTGGACCTGTTCCGTGCCAACTCGCTCTTCCGCAACTTCGAGATCAAAGGCCCGGCTGATCGGCTATTGATCTACCTGATTCTCTTTATCGGCGACTGCTTGACCAGGATCACGCAGTGTAGGTCCTTGTGCGCGCGAGGCCGGATGGAGCGAGGAGGCGGTGACGTCGCGTTCGTCGCCGGATAGCACTGGCTGCTCCCAAAGTGCACTCTGCCGGTCCAACGCCGTAGCGCAGTACTCCTTCCACCCTGAGCTGACTCCTTCGTTGCTTTGTTCTCCCAATACCCTCTGTCCCTGTCCTGTTCGCCCGCTTCGCCGGTGCCGCCCCACTCGTCACTGTCCATCCACGCCCACGTGACACGCCGCTCCCCGAACACAAAGCCAAACCCGCTTGGGGTCAAAACGAAGCTCTCAAGCACCTCTCAAACCACTCGATCGAAACCTTCACCATCCCCGGCGAGCCCGGCTTCCCCCTCAACTCGCTCTACGCCGCGCCATCCAACCGCCTCGACGCCGATGCGCTCAGGGCCTACTTGACCCAGGCGAGGCAAGAAACCACGGTGAGGCTCGTCGAACGTGTTTACTCGGATGGTACGGGACGACCAAGTAAATGGTGGCTGGCGTTCGCCAAGAGGCACTTCTTGGGCAAGAGTTTGGAGACGAGGGCCTGAGCATCGGGTCGAGGGCTGGACGGAGATGTGTAATTGCAGGAGATTAAACGACGATACACTCTATGAGAAGGAGAGCTGTGTCAAGGCAATAGCAGATGGAAAGCAGGTATTAGCCTCCACTGCCCTCCAGCTAGGCTTGGACAGCCGATCTATTTACTGTTCCGGTCCACTGAACGGATTCGTATACATCTGAACCGTTTCGGGACTGCGGCAAAGGGGCCTCAGCAGGTCAGATGCTTTATTGACATGCCATAGGTCCGTCGCATGTGTTGGTGGCCGTGGCTCGGGCTCGATTCATTTTTGAGTTGAGGTTCTCGAATAGGAAAATGGCCGGTGGGGTTAGTCCATATTATTGTCATCATCGTGAACTCATTTCATGTCTGTTGTAGGATATTGAACTCAGCGAAATGTGTAGGGCTGTTTGATAGCTTTTGGCCCCATTTTGGCCGATTTCGGCCGATTTCGGCCCTGGACAGTTCGCCCGACAACGCGCTCGCTGTCGCACCTCTCTCTTCGCCTCCCACCTTCAACTCACTCGACGTCGCATGCGATCGCAGCACCACACCATGGACTCGCCTGTCCTCTCTCCCGGGAGGGACAGTACGGTCAATCAACCTCGGTGATCAGCTGTCGGACCAGGCCACGCTTGCACTGTTTTGCACTGGTATGCGACTAGGAGATGGGCTGCGAACAAGGGCCGTTTTTTCTCCCTGCGCGCCCATCGCACCGGCCACCTCGCACACGGCGCACTCGGTCGAGCTGAGTCTACTTCCCTCATGCCTCACGATGGCTCCATGCGCTTTGTCCAGTGGACTTGGGACTCGATGGCAAAGGATCTTCTTGGGATCTCTTGCTGGGGCTGCCCTTGACTCGACGGCGTCGGTACATCCATTTCGTCGTCTCCTTCGGCCTGTCTGCTCCCATCGTCGTCGAGCGTGGTAGGGTTTCATGGTGAGCCAGGATGCCCGAGGGTACGGCTCGTCTTTGGCACATGAAAGCGAAGTCGCTTCACCTCTCGCGTCCCACCATCATCCATACCTCGCTCGACGTCGCGCAAGTTCGGACTCGCCGAAGCCATGTCCAGACACCCCCAAAAGGATTGTGGTTCTTCATCATGATGAAAAACCTTTACAACAACTTTAAATGAATTTCTTCATCTTATCGTCTTCTTGACGACGTGAAGACTATTTTTTAACACTGAATGAAAACCGAATCATTTTGGGGATTTTCTCTGTCATTGGCTCGGAGGTCGTTGTTCTACCCTTTGGCCTCTATCCTCAGTTCTGCGTGCAATCTCACATGGCATAACAATCAATCTGATCGGACCATAAGAAAAAGTGGAACCACAACCTCATACGTCGTAGACTCAGCTTCGAGCTTCTAGAAATCCCTCACGGCGCTCTCGGCAGGCAAGCCAACGCGGGCGGCGACTAGTCAACACCGGTAGTCAACACCAAGAGTAGCCACACCAAGTCCTTCTCGGGGATGCATCGACTATCATGCGGGGGCATAAGGCTTTCCGGCGTACGACTGACGATGACGCGAAGCATGGTTGCAAAAAAAACACCGTCACCTACCTATACATTTTTGGGGCTAGTCCCATCTGTCTTTCTATGATGCTGATTTTGTACAGTGACACTATACTGCTAACCCTAAGCCAATCGAGACTTCATAAGCGATCAATCCACTTCTTGAGCGTCCCCAGCAACGCCGAGTCATTGTTCTTGAGCGCCTCATCATGACCCCCGGTGATGGTCTCGTAATCGACCTCCAGTTGCTTGCCCTGTTCGATCCCCAACTTTTCCAACGCCTGGACGAACAATCGAGGCTGCACCAAGCTCAACAACTCGTCCTGCGCCGAATGAAGGACCAACAACTTGGCCTTGAGCGCTCCCAGTTCTTCACTCGGGATTTCCCACTTCGCCGGTGATTCCTTAGCCCAGACTTGAGGATCTTTTCCGAACGCCATTTCGACGAAGCCGACATAGTCGGGGTATTCTCGGATCAAGTCGGGAATGTCGTAGATACCATCTAGGAAGATGGCGCCCTTGATTGCCCTTCGAAGACTCGGGTCGACGACGAATGAGGGCGAGTCGGACGGCATCAACGACGGTGGGGAGAGCAGCACTTCGACGATCATGAACGCGCCTGCCGAGTGTCCGAGGAGGATCAAGCGTTGTCGATCCCAAAGGGGGTGCTCCGAGGTCTCGATTCTGGGGAGAGGGGTTTTCGAGGTCAAGCGGGTGAGCCCGGATATGACGTCGAGTATTTGGGCAGGGTGGGGGTCGTTAGGGGCCAGGCGGTAGTCGAGGCATGCGGCGGGAATACCGAGGCTTCGTACGATGTGAGGCATCAAAGATTCGGCCCACTGCTCTTTGGATTCTGGTGGAGGTTGAGTCGGGCATGAGCGCTTGATCGATTTCGGCAAGTCTACTAAGACAGGAGCACGATGGTTGAATTCGTTCTCGTTCGCACGAAGTTTGACGTACCCGTTCGCCATGCACCACCTGTGGGCAAGAACAGTGTCCAGACTGAGCGGCTGGAAGCTCTCGTGAACTTGGAATGACAGGCGACTGACCATGGATAAAGACACAAAGCGGCGGGGGCGAGCCGGAGGACGAGGACGGCTTCGTCGTTGAAGAGGAGGGGATGTACAAGTCGAACGCCTGCCTCTTGCAGCTGGTGGAGGTGTAGGGTAGGTCCTTGTAGGTGGTGTAGCCGACCATCATATCTATGCTGTCCTAGCCCTTGAGCTTTGCGATTGAGTGCGAGTTACACGAATGGGGACGCAAGAGGAACCTCAAGGAAGGTAGCCAGATGATGTGCACCCTCGATCGCCGACGAGTCGTCTCGGCGAGATCTGGCGAGACGTCCGTCTGGAGACTGGACCTGTCCGTCCGGTTGAGGCGGTGCTGCAGGATGGTCATCTCCTCGATCAGAGGATCTGCTCCAACGTAAGAAATACAACGCCAGGTCATGCTCGTTCATTCGTAGAATGCATAGCACCCTACGCGAGTGACCCCCTCCGAGTCGGCGCCTAGGCCTCCCCGAAAGTGGTCCGTGCACCGGCGGACGGGAGCGGACGCCCTGACAGGTCACGCGGCGGTCACGACTGAAATTGGCCATTACTCATTACGCTCGCGCCGGCGCTCCCTCCCTCTCGCTCGTGCGCATACATCGAGCTCAGCCGCATCATCATCATCAGCGCACGCTCGAGTGCCGCTGCTGCCAGGCTGGGGCTGAGCGTAGGCTACTGCGACCCCAAGAGGACCACCGACCATGACGGGCCTCACCACGGACGAGTCGGCGCACCATTTGCTGCAGAGGGAGGTCGAGACCCACCTGAGCTTTTTCAAACGAAGGTCGGTCTTCTCTGGGAATGGTTCTTCTGCACGGCGTGGTTATGTCGGCAAGGCAGGACAGACCGGCTGGGCAGCCACCCCGTGCCGCCTCCAATCGTGCGACCGAGCCCGGTGACGGCAACTGATCGTGGTCCGCGTACTCCGTACACCAGACAAGAGATCGAGGCCAGATATGTTCATGATCTACGAGAGGTGCGTAGGCTCAGCTTGGAATGGCCGATAGCCCGCTCCGGGACTCGTGGTACCTCGAGTCGGAGCCTGTCGGAGCTGACCGCACACAAAGTGATCGTCGACCACATCCGCTTCGCGCACCGTCTCGGACACAAGCAGCTCGCGCTCAAGGAGGTCCATACCGATGACAAGTCAGTGTCTTCGGTCACTGTCAAGGTGACCACAGTGCTTACTTTGGTGTGGGTGCGCCTCCCTCCCTGCCTCTCTCCTCTCTCTCGCCAGGGACCGGCTCGCTGCACTGGTGCCCGAGGCCTGGCGCAGGGCCGCCCAGCTCATACGAGACAATACGCTGCTCGAGTCACAAACCCACGCAGCGAGCGCCGAGGGCCTGTCCAAGATGGTTAAGAACCTCTCTGATTTTAGGGACAACAAGGTACGTCGTTGTCGCACCTGATTCCTCGTGTTGTTCCGTCCCCCGAGCCCATGCGCTGGCCTAATCAAGGCGACACGTTCGTCTGCTGCCGCCGGCGCCAAGCTCGAATGGGGCACCGCCCCCACCTCCTCTCCCACCTCGGTCTGCGCCTCTGCCCGGCTTCGTCCCGGCGACTTCTTGACTCACGTAACCCTCGTTCTGATGGTCATCCACAGGAGAGATCCCGCCGGAGGATCCGCGATGAACTCAAGGACAATGCACACGCCGATTACAAGGTCACGGTCGCTCGCCTGCGCAAAACGTACGAGCGCAAAGTCGAGGAAGTGCAAGCCCACGAATCGGAGGAGCGCGAACGGGAGCGACACGAGCAACACCAGCTATCCCTGACCCACATTCCTTCGTACGATCATGTTCCGGCTCAGTCAGAGCACTGGGCGGCGGGGGCGGAGCCGTCGGCGTCTTCGTCGAATGTTCATGCGCACGGCGGACCGAAGACGAGGGAACGCGCCGACTCTTCGACCTCGAATCGAGCATCGCACGAGAACGTACTCGGCGATCCTTCATCTACATCGCACACGGTTGTCGGATCGCCACCAGGCCCTAGCGCTTCTCCTGTTTTCGTCTCGGGCGCAGGATCAAGTCATGCCGCTTCAGCCTACCGAGATCCACCGAGCTCGAGCAAAGGCGGCAACGTGTTTGAACAAATCACGAAACGGGACTGGAGTGGCGAGAAACATCGTATCAACTCGCTAGCACGTGCAGTTGGTAACTTGGCCAAGGGTAACGATGCCGGTGGAGGCAACAATGGTGGATTGACGTCCAAGAGTGGCAGCGTCAGGGGTCAGAAGGCGAGGCAGATCTCGACCAAGTTGAAGCGGGAAGCCGAGCAAGCAGGTTAGTTCGAGCAATGAAGTGTAACTGAGCTTGAGGGGATTAAATCTTATCCTCAACCATTGTGCCTTACTCATAGATCGTGACTATCGAGACGGCGTTTTCCGATTGGAAACGCTGCGGCTGCATCGCATGCGTCTCCAGATGTCGGCGCAGCAATTCCTCAAGGAATACGCCATCGAATACTCGGCCACACTGAGGGACATTTGTACAAGTGTGCCGGCTATTGCGAGGTTGCTGAGATCGGGCCGAGACGGGGCCGACACTCCACCGCCTGGAGCCCTCGTCATCGAGCCCATCGCGGATGGCGAGAAGTTCGCAATGGTGCTGAGAGCTCCTGTGCCTGATCCTCCCGTCTACTGTGAGTTGGGATACTTGGAAGCTCTTTCAGTCATGCAGGGAGGACTGACGTGTAAGCCCACGTGTAGACGTCAATTACTTCGTCGGCGAATGCCGCAGTCTGCTGTTTGGCGTATCCCTGACGGATTACCACTCCACAAATCCGACTCGGCTTGTGCCACTCATCGTGCAGAAATGGTCCGTCACTTCCTCACATTGTGTCCACTTGATCTCTTGCTGAATCTCTTCATTCGACTCGCAGTATCGAAGCGGTCGATCATTCGGGCTTGCAGATCGAGGGCATCTACCGCATCTCGGGGAAGGTCGCAACCGTGCAGCAAATCATCCACGAGATAGAGCGCGACGAGGAGTCGTTCGCGTTCCGGCCAAGCGATGATCCTGCGATGATCGGCGGTGTATTGAAGCTCTACTTGCGCCAGTTGCCGTTAAGGCTCTTCCCCGTCACTGCCGCCGAGTGAGTCGTCCGGATTATAAGCGCTTGTTGCTGGCTGCTGATGGACATCTCCTTAAACAGCCGATCAACCTACTCGGCTGATTTTATCAAGGATCCCGACGCTTGCATTCTCGCCCTCGCGCGACGGATCCGTCGTCTCGGTCTTCCCCATCAGGCCACGCTTAAGGCACTTTGCGAGCATCTCGCTCGAGTCGTCAACTTTGAATCGGTCAATAAAATGACGGCATCGAATCTAGGCACCATATTCGCGTACGTCACATGCCCCTTTCACTCCAACAGCCTTCAGAGCTGATCGTAATCGCGCCTAAATACAGACCTGTGGTTTTCGGAGAAGAGGAGGCGGCCACACTCGAGGCGGCCAAACGGAACGACCACATGATGGATATCCTCATCCTCAACCACGTACGAATATTCGATGGCCTGCCGGCTGAATCGGGAAAGCCAAGATCACGTGGTGCGAGTCTTTCTTCGGGCTCTGCGCCCCCGCCACCACCTTCGATGCATGCGGCGAGCGAGCAGCTTGCGCATCTGTCTGTGAACGAGCGTCACGAAGATGAGCACTCGATGGAGAGGGTGATACCGACGAGTGCATCACAAGGTGAGTTCGGCACACTGGGGATCGTGCGCCTTTTCGCCTTCTCCTGCCGACATAGAGACAATTATCCCACAGCCATGGAGAACGGCGGGTCCTACGATTCTGTGTTCCGATTATATCAAGATAACACTATCTCTTTACTACCTCACGGGCGACCGCGCAGTTCACAAGCGACTTCGTCTCCTCTTGCGCGCCATCACTTTGAAACGGTCCATCCCCCGATCCTCCTTCCCACCTCGCCGACACGGAACATCACGGCTCCTTCACCCTCGATGGACAGTGTGGACCAGGTTGCACTCAGCTCGAGTTCGGTCAATGACTTGTCGGCACCGAGTCCGCCCTTATCGGCTGCGCTGGGTCGACACGTTCCTGTACCTGACGAGGACCCGCAGAGAGTCTGATCTGGCAAAGGCATCAATTCGTTCTCCATCGAGGGGTCGTGAATAAGCTTTACTCCGCTTATGCAGCCTTTCCGTTATCTTCCTCTTTTCATTTCATATCCTGACCTATTCAATCAGCGACTCCATCTTCCTCCCTCTCTCTTTCTACATGGCCACGTGCTGCATGGCCCTTCCCTTGGCGCCACGTTCTCTCCCGTCGTTTCGTGCATTCCACCCGTATGCTGTGAAATCCTAGGCTGCTTTACGTTCACCATCTCCAAGGGTTTTCACGAACAGAGGGTATGCTCACAAGGCAATTTAAACAAACTTTGAATTGCAATAGAGGAAGCACAAAGGAAGAGGGGCAGGACCACACCACAGATTCATGATCAGGAATTAAAACATTTTTTTAAGAGTCTTCACGTCGCCTGTGGCAATAAGTTGAAGAAGTTCTGTCAAGAGTTTTCATCATTTCTGAATCCGTTGGTCCTCCCCAAATATTCTTCATTCTTGTCCTCTTCCGATTTCGGAAAAGATCGAGGCAGATCCGACCAGTCGGGACGACGAGAAGTGGCTCCTTCGCTTTCATGTACCAAAGACGAGTTGCCACATCCTCGTATCGTACAAGCCGGGATCTCAATCTTCCGCGGAGAAGACGAGAAGTGGAAGGGAAAAAGAGAAAGGGGGAGGGATCGACGCCACCGACGAGAGTAAGCCCCATTCTGATACCTGGCAACCACGCCTTCGAAAAGGGGAGTTTTCCAGGCGGTCGCATAACTTTCAAGAATGACGAACGGTGTGGTCGGCGAGCTCAAAAGAAAGGTGATCCCCTTGACGAACTCCGATACGAAAGCTAAGACCTCGAAAGACCCACGAGCTAAAAGCCATCTCGTCCAATGGAGCTCTAACTCTCGGACTCGACTCCTCGAATGTATCGATGCCTAGAACTCTGTCCCATCTCTTGCCTTCGAGTAAAACGCCCGGGCAAGAGACGATACGCAGGCGAGAAACGAAATGCCGCCAAGCTTCCCCTCCTGACGATCCTCAAACTCGACACGAATCAAACACCCCCGGACCCCGGAAGCGCCACGTGTTGCTCGACGAACAGCTTCACGATGCAACGGAAAAGAGAGGAGAAAAGGATGCAGCAAAGACCACAGGTCAAGGGACAAGGAAAAGAGAAGACGATATGCGACTGGAGCGAAACCAGGCCAGAGCTCGTATCTTCGCTCCAACCCGGTGGTCCTTGTCATCGCCCTCCCCACTTCCCGGGCCCCTCAACCTGAGTCACCACAAATCATTCCCCCGATCTCACCCCGCCATGGAACATCGACAGACCGCATCTCGCGCACCATAGGACACCACAGACCCGTAACAGGAGCGCAAGATTGCATCGAGCCGTATGAGGACGTCAAAGAGAAGGACCCTCGTCAACCCTCATGAAAAGCCTCCTGTTCCCAACCGCCTCCTTCGTCTTGACAGACCAAGCGCATTCTCTCCTTATCCACCTGTCACTCCTCCGCCCTAGTCCCCGAAAGTTTCGTGACGGAAGAGCAGCAAAGGAGTCGGAAGCGAAGCGGCACCTGACCCAACGACCGGCAGAAAGAAGAGCAAGATAGCCAGAGGACGACGAAACGCGATCACAGATCGCCCCTTTAACGTCTGCGCAGACGGAGAAACACCGAAAGGGAGAAGAGGAAGAGAGAGAGAGAGAGCAGAGGATTCGTCGATGGCAAGTGATAGCCGCAGGTCCGTAGGAAGAAGCAGCTCGGTGTTGAAGCAAGATCAAGGGTGTTTCTGAGCACACAGTTCCGACCGAAGCTGCGATCGCGAGCCAAACTGAAGGGTGAACCGCGCGCACGACCAACGACCCAAAAGCCAGACTTTCAGGTCTTCAAGCGGTTGAAATGAAGCCCCGAACGGCAGGACCAAAGACGGAACCAGCCAAGTCGCTATCGCACCGCCGAGGAAGCAACGAAGGAAAACGAGGCACATCTTTTGACCCGCGTCACGTGGGTCCTTCAAACCGTAGAAGGGATCCCGAGTAGCCCTCCTGCCATCGTCGACCAAAGGCTTCGAACCCGCTTACCAAGCTCGACCCAACAAGTCGATGCACCCCCAAAAGAAGTCCGACCCCTTCGGGTCGCCCGGCCCAGACAAGCCTCGCACGGCTTGCTCCCCGTCCCGTCACGTCGGATCAAGGACGGCCGTTTCCGAAAGGACGGGGAAGGCAGGCAGAACAAGCACACACCCAAGAACCGTTGGATAGCGATCGAAGGAAGCCGGACGACGAGAGGACACTCGACCCGAATGGGACATGTGAGCATGGTAGCGAGCTTGAAGCAGCTTTGACCGACTCGAGCGGCAGATGGCAGTCGAGGGTGGACGTGGTTGCAGACACCCCAAGAGTCGACTCGACGGAACGCATGAGGGGCGTCCGGGGACTGTAATCAGCGCAGAGACGTGGGTCAGCTCGACTGCGTGCGCGGGACTGAGTGCGCGGTGCGACGTGGTGTGGTGGTGCGACGCAGGTGGTGGGTGTGCGTGCGGCTGCGAGAAAAAACGCGGTGCGCGCTCGACTGGCGCCCATCACGCCGGGTCACAGGACCTGAGGGGGGCCAAGACTGACCTTTTCCCACAGCTGAGTCAACGTGGTTGAATGACTGCACTTATCTCTAATGAAAGAGGTTCAGGCGGGTCCATGGTGTGGTGCTGCGATCACTAGCGACCCTTCGTGGCGACGTCGGATGAGGAACGAGTCAGAGCCGAGTCGTGCGACGGTATACTAGCGGCGAGTCGCGCGCTCGCTCTCGCCCGCTCTCGAAGGCTCTCCAAGGCCACTGGCAGCAGCAGACTGAGACCCACACAAGCCTACTACAGCCCGTGATATAGAGAATAAGAGCGGGGACTCTCAGGACTTTCATCCTTGCCTTGGACGTCTTTGGCCATCAATGGTGCTTGCTCCCGATCACGTCATACTCCTCATGTGTTTCCTACCACTGGCTACCAGGTAGTCTTGGTGTTGTTGCTGCCAAAGCCCGATCGTTCATGCATAATGTTGACGGGATCAAATATCATTCTAAGCCATGATCCAGCTTTCCCCCCTCCTTTCCTATGTGCCATCCTCCGATCCCTTCCAACGCCGCTTCACTAGCTCCCCACAATTTTTTTAGGTTCAAGTTATGTTGTTCAAGTTGTTATGGAGCCGATCCTACTGCTTCCCACAGGCCATCAATCACTGCCCACAACAAGTGCAAGCGCAACGAATTCACGGATGAAACGTCCCTTACCTTTGAACACCACTTCTTGAGTCGTCCGCAGAGGCGGGAGCTCAGCAGTGTCCGCACCGATTTCTGCAATCCGCCGAGTTGGGGCTTTAGGGGAAGGGGGAAGGCAACGATCTCTCAGCTTGCTGAGCACATCATTCCAGGCCACACAGTAGAGCCCGAGAGCCAACGGAACAGCTCAGATCTTACCCCCCCTGGCAGCCATCGATGCATCGGCTATAGAGTAAATGCAGAATACCCGGGTTAGATTGAGGGCGAAGACGTAGGATGGGCGTTCTCCTCCCGCGAGCAGAAGGACGAACCGGCAGGCCGGGGTAACATATCGGGCGAATGCCTCGGGCTTGTGAACAGGAGTCTCACTTTGAGAGAACGCACAAAGAATATTGCTGAATGAATGAGCACTGGCGTTGACTGAGGGAACGGACATCGTTCAAGAGATGGACTCACTTGGGAACGACCGCGCCGAGGACCGTAGCGACGAGTGAGGCAACGAGGATGAGGATGGAGGAGCGCATGTTGGAGGAAGTCTCAGTAAAGTGAGGATTGGTGGTTGGAAGTGGGAGTGGGTGAAGAGTGAAGAGATGTGACGAGTAAGAGAGATAGAGACTCGGTAGTGGGTGCCGCGGTTTTATGGTGCGATGAGTGGGAGCAAGCGGGACCGAACCAAGGTTATTTTTCCGGTCCTCAGCGGTCCCGAAGGGGCGCCGTCTCCTCTCGCTCAGGGATCTGACTCACGCTTGCGACCCAACTATAGCAAAATCAAGCGTTGCAAGTACTGAGACCGAACTTCAGCGGAAGTATCAGCGAATTCGATCCACTCCGATGCAGAACACCGATTTAGGTGTTTCCCACCTATTGGTAACCTACTAACCATCGGGTCTTTTGGGAGCGACTCATGCGTCTGCTCACTGACTGAGAGGGCTTGCGAGCTCAACCAGACTGTCATGGCATTGGAAAAAACAAACAGAGAGTATGCTGCTTGTTATCTACTCCGCAGGCTGCCGAGGACCACAATGTCTTACGGTGATGCGGAATTGGATGAGCGGACCGGGAGCGATGTCGGCAGACTCGATGTCTCGGGAGTCAGAAGTCCGGTTGAAGCGCCAAGAGTGGCGCTTCACATGCTTCACACGACACCCGTTGAAGCTCCGATAGTCACTGAGTCTTGGATTCTGAGTCTTAAGTTCCAGCTAGTTTCAAAGACAAAATCTGACAAAGCCTAGAGGGACACCCACCCATTTAAATTATGGGCCCCTGTCAAGGAGGTCCTGACGAAAGACTCTGACGAAAGTATCTCAGCAACCCTTTGTCGCTCTTCTTCCCGGATGGGCCAGGGCTTAGCGGACGAACTAGGCTCGGCTTGGGATGCGTGACCGGATGCCTCCCGGTAATGGCCGACTCAGTGCAACGATTTCCGACAGGAAGCATCAATAGCGGCCTCCTGTCGCGGAGAACCGGGAGTAGCGGCATGGCCGAAACTTAGACCGAGTTCGCCAATCTGGGGTGATTGGCCGGCGTGACGGCGTGGGTCTCTTAGCTATGTCGTGCCAGAGCGACTTGCTCCGGTTCGTGAAGACAGTTGGATGTCCGTGGTAGGCTGTGCCAATGTAGAGAGCTTAGTCCAAGAATCCCGTTGCGCTCATTTCAGCTCCCGGCTCCCGCAGTCACGGATCTGCCTTTGTCCCTCAGCCTCGTCTGCGAGAAAGCACTAATGAACGGCGATATACGAAAAAATAAGTGCAGTGACCTCGTATATTGTTCCTACATCCCTTCCTGGCCGAATGAAGCAAAAAAACTGGTGATCAAATAGCTGGGTCCGGGACTGTGCTCGAGAGCAGGGGGGCGGCGACGTGGGGTGCAGTGATCGTGCCAGCCGTGAACGATGAAGATCGAGAGCACGAATAGCGCGAAAGTGGGGCTCAGCTTTGACTTCGTCGTAATATCTATCGACCACTCCAGTTCGTGGGGGTCCGCTTTGCACAAGGTACTAGAGGGCTGACAGCCACGATTCAGCCCACAATGATGCCGTCGTACAAACCGAGCGCAGTGCTATACGACAATCTCCGCGACGATGCGAATCGACCACGCGGTGGCCATGCGCCGACTCTTCTTGGCTTCTTGCTCGTCGCTTTGGCTCTCACTTCGTCATTCTTGGGGGTCCCATCTCCCTTTGCGAGTCTATCAGGATGGGTTCACGAGCCGGCGCACGATCCAGCTATGTTGAAGCGATGGGACGACACTTTGCTCAGGTGTGAACGCTTGGATCGCCTACCCGGACCGCCGAGTAGCTTCAACAGCAGGACTGAGAGCGACCGCTTCGTTTCTGTAGGTCACATACCATAGATGGGCTTCCAAAGTATTTATCGGAGTGTTCCGCTTATCGCATGTTCCTTTTGCTTCCTGCACGCATCTTGGACGGCCCGATCCGATAGGGCACGAAGCCGACCTTAATCCGCAATGCGACGATCTGGACAGGTGCCGCAGGAGGGCATGAGCTTTTGCAAGCGACGGACGTCTTGTTGGACCGCGGTCTCGTCGTCGATATTGGTGTCGACCTCGCTGCACCTGCAGGAGCCGTGATTGTCGAGTCTCGAGGGGCTTGGCTCACTCCAGGAATATTCGACATGGTGCGTCGATTCGAAGTGACCTGCCATGAGACTTTCTGGCTGATCGATCCGCTGAGACCCTACGCTGCAACTACATCCGCGTACATCCGCTCCCCATGCTGATAGCATTCACACATCTCGGTCGACGCGTTACCAAAATTGTCTTCAGCTGACGATGTCAACTCGCTCGCCGGCCCTGTCTTACCCTGGCTTCGTTCGCTCGATGCCATCAATACTCGTGAGCTGTAGCTTTCCAGCGTCAAAGCCGATTTTCGAGAATGCTTGAGCTCACGCATATTTTTGCAATAATAGATGATCTGGCCTTCAAGCGTACCGTGTCGGGTGGGGTCACCACCTCGCTGATTCTGCCAGGCTCGGGCAACTCGATCGGCGGACAGGCATTCCCAATCAAGTTGCGACCGACGAAGGAGAAGACCCCTGACTCACGAGTGGTCGAGTTACCGTACAACATTGCTGGAAGCAAGGTCGAGTGGAAGCGTGAAGATCCCCCTAGATGGAGGCACATGAAGATGGCTTGCGGCGAGGTCGGACAAAATTAATCACCCTCTCTATTGGCGAGCTTTGTGCATGATGCTGACCTGTCGCATCGATCATTGGCCCGCAGAATATCCGTCGTTTCTATCAGCAAACTCGACTGGACCTCGCATGGAACTTCCGGTCGGCCTTCGAGAAGGCCCGCAAGCTCATGGAGGAGCAGGATACCTTTTGCATCGGAGCGCGCACCGCCAAGAAAGAAGGCAAGGTCCTCACCACCGCGTTCCCGGACGATCTGCAGTGGGAGGCGCTGGTCGATGTCTTGCGTGGAAAGGTCAAAGTCAATACGCATTGCTACGAAGTGACCGACCTTGCCGCCTTTGTGCGATTTACTCATGAGTTCAAGTTCCCTTTGGCGGCGGTGCGTGCCTCACTGCTCTGATGCAGTGATCTACCATCACCGTCTAACAATCGTCAAAGGTTTCTTTTTCAGTTCCACCACGCTCATGAAACTTACATGGTACCCGACCTGCTCAAGTCGGCCTACAATAACACTCCAGCGGTGGCGATCTTTGCGGCGAACGGCCGATACAAGCGAGAGGCTTGGAGAGGATCCGAATACGCCGCCAAGATCCACAGTGAAAACAACATCACTGTCGTAAGTTGTCGCATTTCCCAAAGACCAAAAGCTCAAAACACTCAGGTCAATTTTCTCTTTTCTCATGCACGATGTCACAGATCGTTAAATCCGATCATCCCGTCCTCGATTCTCGATTCCTCCTGTTCGAAGCGCAACAAGCCCACCATTTCGGCCTCCCCGAACATCTCGCTCTTGCGGCAGTGACGACCTCACCAGCTACCGTTGCTGGCTTCAGCCATCGCCTCGGCTTCATCAAAAATAATTTCGACGCAGACGTGGTGCTGTGGGACTCTCACCCCTTGGCATTGGGTGCGACGCCGCTTCAAGTTTGGATCGATGGCATCCGACAACTAGACAACGCCTTTACAGCCAAGGAGCTTGACGTCATCACCCAAGCGCCGCCGATCGCCAGTATTCCCAGCCACATCATCTCACACGAAGAGGATGATGACGGAACGCAGCAGGGTCCCGATGCCCAGACGGTTGAAGGCGTGGTTTTATTCACAAATGTGTCTGAGGTGCTTCTGTCGTGGAACAAAAGCACGGCGGCCCTGTCTACGTCCAATCAGGCGCGACTGGAGGTCGTCGTTCGTTCTGGACGTATTGAATGTGTCGGGAGCAAAGGCGAGTGCTCCAATGGTCTGAGGAAAGGAGCAAAGACCGTCGACATTGAAGGCGGATCCATCTTGCCACCTTTGCTTGCCTTCGGCCGGCACTTGGCTTGACGGAGATCGTTTCAGAGCCATCAACGACCGTGAGCCTTGGCCAAGCTTTACTTAGTCACTTGAGAGACCATTGAACTGAGATGGTCTACTTTTGCGGCACAGGACAATGGGGTCTTCGACCCTCTCTACTCCGGATCACTATCGTCACTTCAGCAAATTTGGGGCCCTCATGACGCGGTGCGGGCCGTAGATGGTCTTGAGATGGACGGCAAGCACCTCCGCACGGTTCACCAGATTGGGATCACAAGAGCAGTTACGGCTCCTATGGGTAGTGGGTTCTTCAGAGGCGTCTCTGTGGCGTTCAGAACGGGAGCCAAGAACAGTGAGCATCGCGAGCTCTCAGGTCCGGCTAGCCGAGACGGGGGCTGAGGGTTCCGCCTGCAGGTCTGGAGAAAGGATCGATCGTCAAAGACGCCGTCGCCCTCCATATCACAATCGGTAGGTCAGCTCCGCACGTTTCTATCGTATGGAATAATGTCTGATCACCCCCACCCCTGACACCTTCAGGGCATGAGTCGTCAACGCCATCCATCTCGACGAAGCACCAGAGCGGCAAGATTCCTTTGCAATGTTCCGTCACTTCTAGGTTTTCGACCCGTGAGCCCCTATACAAGTTCTCACGCGACCGTGGCAGTTCGGGTGGGGCGTCGACGGCGTCGGCCGGGGAAAGCCGGAGACTTCTTGCCTAGGGGTATTGCATTTTACCTGGATGGACCTGTGACACCTAGGAGTATGCAAGCCATTGGACCTTCCCAGCTACTGATCTCCGCAATTCTGAGCCGTTTCCCGAGGGTCGTATCGACGGAGGGCCGGTCCACGCTCTAGGTACACGGATCTGATACTTTGTGTAGCTCGAACATCTTGGAGACGCCAGGTTTCAGCTTCAATCGCGAGAACCGAACCTCACGGACACGCGCATAAAGGACTTCCTAAAGTGCGCGCCCTGTCGGAAGCGAGACGGTCGCCACGCATGCATGGTCGGTTCCGAGCTCGAGGCTTCCGGCGTCCCGGGCTCCCACATCGCTCGGTCGGAAATTGAGTTCGTCTACCGAGCCGCACGGCGAGACCGAGGTTGTAGATTGCAAGGTTTCAGTCTTCAGTTCCACACGCATGCCGGAAGCATGTCCAATCGAGGGGCGGCAAGATGGAATGCCGAAACTTCATCGGCTCACCGGGCCGAACTACGCATCTGTAAGGGTCAGATCCCTCAAAGGTCGCGAAAGCTGCTGCAACAGACTGTTGATGTGTTCGGGTTCCTTCCAGACCACCCGAATCGTCTAAGTTTTCTAAAGGAAAGAGAGGAACGAGCGACTATCCCAAGGTACTTTGACAAACCTAGTCAAATAAGGAGCGGAGCGCTTGTCTCCGAGTCAGTTGTGGGCAAGGCCCGTGCACCATAGCCTCCGCATGAAATCGGGCTTTGACTCCTGACGGAGCCACGACCTGGCATTCTGCGAGGCCAAAAGCGCGCTTGCTGTCTTTGCTCACAAGAATAGCTTCAGGAGTATTTGTTTGATACTCAAACCCGATTGAGTGCGTTGAAAGGCCCAAAGCGCATAGGTCACTGCCGAAGGTTTCTACGTCACGTGTCCAACGGGGGGCACCGAGATCCCCATCATCGCCGTCGCAACTTGAAGGCCTTGAATCAGTAACAGGTAGGCGAAGCCTCTTGTAAATGCTCAACAAGTCGGGGGAATTCACTAAGCAATTGCTCTTTAAGACCCAAGTGAACTGTACACCCTGATCAACGACGGGTGATTTCCACCTACTCCACTGTGGCCATAACTCGGTCTCGGTGACTCGCGTCGGCGGGTGGTGCGAATCCCAACTCAACTCTGGCTCTGACTGCACCCATCAACCAGCTCGAGCGATCCGGCAGCAGGCCAAAGTATCGCACGCTCCTCATCCTCTCCCTCAGGAGACGGGCCAGGCCCCAGATCTGTGGATGGCTTCGACGTCGGTTCATCAAGCTGAAACTGGGACCGGGGCCGAGTTGGACGAGTCGAGCGTGGTCACGTCGTCGACGCGAGGTGGTCCAAGTCGGGTGGTGCTTCCCGACAGTCCGCCATTGCCGTCGTCATCGTCGCAATTCCCGCCCTGGTCCACGTCAGCAAGATCACCGAGACCGACACGCATGTCGTCCATGGCTTCGACCTCATCCGTCTCGTCCTCCACCGGCGGTGCCGTGGGTGAATCCGCCGCGAGTGCCGCCGCGCGCAGGTGGAGGCAAGCCGCCGCCACGAACCCGTCCATGAATGGACAAGATGATACCGCCCCATCAACTGCGTCGACTTCCATCCTCGACGTTGCACTGCTGCCTTTAGTTCCGTACGTCCCACGAGGAGCCAAGGGATTGAGCTGTTGCTGCGTGGTGCGTGTGTGTGGACTGACGCGCGGTCTGAACACGCGCCCGTGTCTCATTTCACAGCCTGCCCCACCACCTCGCTCCCTATCTCACCGAATCTTCGCCCTTGACCCCTACGGAGAAGCGCACCCTGTTCACCTCGTGCTTCCTGCGTGCTGCATCGGCGAACAATCACGACACTCTCGAATGGCTGCTGTCTATACCGCGTGATCCGACGCTTTCACATGCCGAGAATGCAGCCAACCACCGACGGCGCTTCTCCGCGGCGGGCAACATTGCTCTCGAATCCCTCGCCGCTACAACATCACCGCACCTAGACGAGACGCACAACCTCCCCGATGATGCACCCCGGAAGTGGGTCGACATTGAAGCCGTAGACCAGGGCGGCAACACCGCATTGGTTCTCGCCGCAGCTTTGGGCCATTCCGAATCTGTGCGAGCGCTCGTCGAAGGCGGAGCTTCTGTTGCGCAAGGCGACAATGCAGGATGGACACCGTTGCACTGGGCCGTGCAGAACAACGATCTCGCCATCGCGGCTTACCTCTTGAATCATCGAGCCAACCCCAATGCCCACAGCAAGAAGGGTTTGACTCCGAGGGACCTCATCAGCAGGCACGAGCAGGGCACAGCGATGATGGATGTGTTGGATTTGGCTGACGCGATGGCGAACGAAAGGGAGAACGAGGAAAGTATATTAGAAGAAGACGGGTCGAGCGAGATCGAAGAGGGGAGAGTGATGATCAGCGGTGCTTCGAGCGTCAGCGAAGGCAGACTTTCGAAGACGAACGTACCGCCGCTTTTGGCAACGGGGCTGGGGACACCATGGCCAGGCGGGATAGAAAAGCTCGAGAAGGACAGGAAAGCCGCAGAGGCGCAGAGGATGACGGAATTGATCGCCGAGACGGCGATGTATCTCGAATTGGACGCGGGACTGCTCGGAGCGAAGAAATCCACCGAAACAAAGTCCGTTTCGCCAACATTGATGGTACGCAAACGTTTTGTTCGTTCCGGTGTCGTACTGGGAAACTGACACTTTTCGATCCCGCTTCACAGGGCCGACTCTCCACCGATGATCCGGAATCGGACGAAGACGAGGAGCCGCCCCCGGAGTTTGATTGGGACGGATGTTCCCCAGATCAAATGCTCGTCTTCACGTCAGAGGACTTGCCTATACTTCTCGACGTCGTTGTATCCCACTTTAAACCGGTGCGGCGGCGGAGCCAACGTATGATCCCGGCGAACGCCCTCTTCCTTTGTGCTCGCTATGCTCACCGATACGGGCCTCCCGAGTTGTTCGAGGAACTTCTCGTGGGGGCAATGGAGCGGATCGAAGCGGCCCTCCACGATCGGCCGGACGATATGGCCGTGTCGTTGTTCTGGCTATCGAACAGCTTGCTGCTGCTGTACTACCTTCGGAAGGACACACCGCTGTACAACGCGACCGAGATGTTGAGGGTGCACCTCGCCGACCTCATCAATGTGCTCTTCGTTTTCATCCTCCGCAACGCCGAGCAAAGATTCGACAAAGTCCTGGACATGGCAATAATCGAATACGAGGGTCTGCCGGGCCTCGAAGATGTTGATTTCGAGGATGAGTGGCGATTCGTCAAGAAGCTCACAGGCCGGAAGAGTAAGAAGGCAGGAATGGTCAAGAGCTCGTCGGCTCGAAACATCTTTGGCGGGAACGACGTCGCAGTATCGCCACTTCGCACTCCAAACTCGACACAGGCCCCACCACCACCCGCGGAAGCGACTCCTGCCACCGTCACCGCCATCCTTTCGTCACTTCTTTTCGTCCTCCAAATTTATGACCTCCCGCCGTCGATCATCGTCCAGGCCTTCTCGCAGCTTTTTTACTGGATCGCATGCGAGCTCTTCAATCGGCTCCTGACGCAGAAGAAGCATCTTTGCCGATCTCGAGCGATGCAAGTTCGACTCAATGCTTCTGCACTCGAGGAATGGGCGCGTACGAACCGGCTACCTCGACGTATCGTGTCGCTTCATTTCGCGCCGCTGAACCATCTACTACAATGGCTGCAATGCCTGTCGAGCGAGACATCAGTGGACGGGATCATCGGGACAATCCAGAACCTTCACGCGCTCAATCCGAGTCAGTTGCTTCGAGCGGCCAGGGACTATCGCTACGAGGTGGACGAGATCAAGATCGAACCTGAGTGCACCGAGTACCTCAAGCAGATCGAGAAGCAATGGGAGAGAAGCAGGATACAGAAGACGACGGACGAGGTCATCAATGGGGGTGCGAGATCGGCGCCACCCGTTCCGCCCTCGTCGCGATCGAACGAGAAAAGAGGGTTGCTGGATGAAGGCGCTGACATAGATAGCTCACCCGAGTTGGGACGGTCACCGGCGCTTCGACCTCGTCCTTTGACCCCGGTCCAAAGAACCAACGGTGGCGTTACCCCTCCCACATCACCGCAATCAGCCGAAGCTGAGATCCTGGAAAAGGTGACCAAGATGATCGATCAGGTCTTTTCCGACCCCGAGTTGTTCGACTCCTACACCCCATCCGGCGCGGCTGAAGCTTTTGGAGAGCTCTTGAACTCCAAGTACATGCTCCCGTTCGCCCTCCCCACCTCTGCCGATCTACTGCTCCACTTCGATAGCCCCGACGCCTTCGGAGCCTTCGCAACGCCGACGTGGGGCTCCGTCGCAGGCTCGCATTCGCACGCGGGATCAATCGTTGATCCAATGTCTCCCTCCAAAGCGTCGAACATGTCCAATAGCGTTGCTTCTGATGCCGGGTCGATCATCATTCGAACGGCTTTCGCACCGGTGTTGTCGGAGGAGTTTTTCGACTTGCTCGACGCGGCGAAACGACGCGCTCGCGTTGGTAACAACGTGGCGGAGGATCTTGCTGGAGGATGGAGGTCAAGATTACCTTCAAGCGATGATGAAGAGGACGAAGATCCGGAGGAAGAGGACGCGTCGTCTGGGGTTGTCGATGGAGAAAGATCTTTCGATTCCGTCGACGTCGATGCCACGCCTCGACTACCATCCTCGGCTACGATGTGATAAGGGTTTCTCGACCTCGGTCGAACTTGGCTCTGCACTCTTCTTGCCGAGAGTCTTGTCCGTGCTTTCGCAGCTGGATCTAAACCTTCATTCCTACTTTCACCTATGTTCAAATTGCATTTCGCATATCATTTTGCACGGAAACCTTGGTTTGGGCGACGGGGGAAGCGCTCGGGAGCTGTATTCTAGACCGCTGTTTTCGACTTCGACTAATCAGAGAGCAAGAAGGACGCAATCACTCAGAAAGAAAGAAAGGGCACGATCACTCAGAAAGAAAGAAAGGACACAACTACTGAGAAGGAAGAAAGAAACTCAGAAAGAAAGAAAGGACAAAAGAGAACGAGATGCTTTTGCTATGACGACGAACGAAACCAGACCAGGACGCACTGCAAGCTGCGATTCGATGATTTTGACAGTCCGGTTGCGGTTGCGCTTGCGGTTGTGCGAAATGCGTGACGTTGTGCGAGTTTTTAGGAAACTTCTAGTAGCTGCGTACACGTTTAAAAGCCCGTGCTGGGGAATCTAGTGAAAGGGAAGTTGCCCACTTTAGTGCAGGCGCGAATTTTCCCTTCATTGGAGTGCTGTTACTGCAACAGATCATTCTCTCACCTTCCGCGCCATTCGAGATAGGCTCGGTCCCATCGACATTCATCGCATCGGCCGCAGCATGGCCCTTCGATACGACCTCGGGTTCTGATGACTGCTCCTCTTCCCCATCCTCGTCGTGATCCTCCTCCTCCTCCTCGTCCCCAAGAGTCCTCAACTGAGCCTGCCTCGCAGCCAACGCATCAGCCAATCCACCATCATTGGCCACGTCGTCAATCAATCCCTTCTCCTCGTCAAGCTCTTCGGCCCTCTTCAGCCTCTCCGCTTCGACCCTCGCCGCCTCAGCCTCTTCTCGGCAAGTGCAAGGCGCCTCGACGAACGACTTTGTCGGTGCAACTTGTTCTTTCGATTCCTTCTCGAGCAACTCGAGAGCGTCACGAGCGGCGAGTTGGCGTGCGACGTTTTGGGAACCATTCAGTCGAGTTGCGACGATAACGTCGTGGATCATCGCCGTAGCTTCGTAGGTGCGCACCACCGCGTCGGGGACTCGAGCGACTTTGACTCTGGTCTTTTGACAACCATTGGCTTGCGAATGAATGAGCAAACGACTGAGCGGGTCCTGGTCATCAGAAACCAGGGCATGTCAGTAAGGTTCTTCGGATTCGCTTTGGTCCAAATGTGACCGACCCTGGTCTCCACATTACGCATCAATGGCATCACCTCGGCGTAGATCCGGTCAAGCGTGGCAAAGACAGGTTCGAGTCGACAGCCACCATCAAGGAAGATGGCCCCCAAGATGGCCTCAAACGCATCACCCAGAACCTTGGGCGGGCTCCACAACCAAGTCATGTCACCGGTCAGAACCATCGCCCACGTCATGGATTCGGCCTGCTCCTGAGCCTCGAGCATCGCGAGCTCGAGCGATGCCGATCCGTGGAGAATCGTCTTGTGCAAGTCGAGCTTACGAATGGAGAGGAATGCGAGTGTCGGATTTGAAACTAGAAGGGCACGCATAAAGGTGAGATGCCTCGGAGTAGCGTTCTCGAACACCTTGAAGATGCGGTCGGTGGCCCAATAGTCGAGCAAGGCGTCGCCAAGAAACTCTTCACGTTCGTAGCAATACGTGGTGGCAGCCCGACATGATCGATGGGTAATAGCTTGCAAGAGCAGCCGGCCGTGTCGTTCGAACTTGTAGCCGAGACGACGCTCGAGGTCGAGCAATCCGACGGGCACTTCGGTCGCAGGAATTGCGGCGATTCGCGCCGCCCCTTCGCGAAGATGCCAAGGCGTCACGCCACCGAAGCAGAGCCCAAATTGTTCTCCGACCTGCAAGGCTAGGGGCATACCACCGGTCTTGATCGCAGCACCCAACGTGCTTTCAATCACATCTGCAAGCGTCTTGCGGCCGATTTTTTTCTGCACCGCATCGGCAGCAGCGATCCTCGGATCCTCAGCTAGGATCTTGGGCTCCACTCCTCGGGTAGATTCTTCGGCGCTTGGTTCCGGCGGTGGGATCTCGGCATGTTCGGGGATCCAATGCGCAGTCAAGAACTTGCGGGCGAGGATCGCATTCGAGTAGCCTTTGGCGAGGTTTAGCGCACGCAGGAACGTATTGCTGACACTGTTCTGACGTACGACCGAAAGTCGTCCCTCGTCGGCTCCAGGGAACTGGAAGTAGATGTGAACCGTCGTAGCGAGCTTGAGGAAGGAGTCACCGACGGTCTCGAGGATCTCGTAGTTGGGTCCGGCCATGACGCTTGGGGGGGTCAAAGCCTGACGCAGCAGGTCCCTATCGACCATGGAGATGTCGAAAAGCTCGGCAGTGATCGAGACGCGGAGGATATCGGTGATCAGCCTCTCGAGCGAGGGGATCATGGGGATGAAGGCCCAGAAGCGTTCGTCGAGCTTGCAGGTGCGACACATGCTGACGGGGTAATTTCGAGTCGTCGTACGGGGCACGAAATCCCCTTGTTCACCCTCCTTGATCAGTGGCGAGCAGAGGTAGTTCGGTATCGCCACCGGGACCGAGGTCACGGTCAAAATCTGCTCGTCCGTGTCTTCTTCCAAGCCGTGGTACCTGTACGCGACCTTGATGAAGATCCACCAGGCTGGGTATCGCTCGATGAGCCTCAAACGCTTCTTTTGGGCCGTTCCATCGATAGCCATCGAGTCCGAGCGGGTCGTCACATCCTTCCTCACTTCATCGAGCCGAGCGACGTGACACGTTCCAGAGCTGAGAACAATGATACGCGAGCCAGGCTCGACAGCGTTGGTATCGACCGGAACAAAGGCATTATCGAGCATGTCCCAGTCGATCGTGGACGAAGTTTGTTCGAGAGGAGCCCATAAAAGCTCAAAATCGGCATTGAAAGGGATGCGTCGATTGATGACGGCCCGCGTCATTTGCCGATTGACCTCCTGAAGCAAACTCAAACGTGCCTGGCGCTGGTCTTGTGACTCCCATTGGATCGCTTGAGCTGCGACAACTTTCATGACGATCTTGTCGCCTTCAGGAGAGACGAGATCCTTGGCGTCCGCTAGAATCGATCCGAGACAGCGATCCGTGACGAAGCCGATTCGATAGGGTTCGCCGACAGCGGGAGACAGTTCGACGACGTGCAACGTCTCTGTTGCCTCCTGTGAGCGACCGGGAACGCCAAGCAAGTTGTGGAAGGCGAGTCGCACCTCGGGCTCGGGTTTCTCAAAATCGTCCAAGGCTCGACCGTAGGCGTCCTTACCCGAATGGCCAAGTCGCTCTCGTATCGGAAGCATCCACTTGTCAATAGCACCGACCGTGTGCAGCGCTAGACAAGCTTGGAACGCGACGGACTGCTTGGCGACGCGTTTCGACGGGCAAGGTTCAGAATGAAAAGTGCGCAGTCCGCCAAAGGCGTGAATCATCGGCGTCGCGAGGTCGCACTTCCATTGAGTACGACCGAAGTCGTCCCTCCCTTGCGCCTCGATCTTGTAGTCTGGTCTTTGCCATGAGGAATAAGTGTCCGCACGCAGGAGAGAACAGTACTCGGAGAGCAAGGGGATGGCCGTGCCGTAAGTCAGCAGCGCGCCGGTCTCGGGAACGCGATAAACCGGCGTGTCGGGCAGCTCAGGTCCGTCGTCCTCATCAATCTCGGGCAACTCGGTCCGGCTACCGTACATTGCTCGAAGTTCTGGTTCCATCTTCTGACACCTCAGAAATACTTGCTCCTCGATCGATCCGGGCTGGGCGAGCACGACAAAGTCCGAATTCTTCTCGCGCGCACGTCCACGCGACTGGATGTACCCCGTCATCGTCTGCAGACCATCGAAACGGATGACGACGTTGCAAGCACGGAAGTCAAGCCCTTCTTCTGCGACCTTGGTTGCGCAAACAAGATTGACTTCGCCCGTGCGGAACGCAGCGACGACGCATTGTTGTTCTGCGACTTTCATCCCTGAGCTCGCGAGATTCTCGGCCTTGCCTTGATCGCCGTGGCCAACGAGGAACGCTGGCCTAAGCCAATCGAACGACTCGACTCGCCTCAAGACCTGAGTCAAGATCTGGGTGTCATGGCGCGCTTCCATGAAGCAAATCCCGTGAAATTCCGGCCGGTCCCGATACTTCGCCAAGACGTCGACCAAAGCGCGAGCGTGAGTCGCGAGATCGTCGACATCGATACTCGCCGGAACGAGAGCTTCCAGTCTATCTTGTACCGAGACGGCGAGCTTGAGATCCTTCGCCAGCTGGGACAAGTAGATCGCTAATCCCGCCTTACCGAACTTTCGTCGGACGAGATCGATCCTGGCGGGGATACGTCGGTCAAGCTCGAGATCTGTCGCGTGTTCGACTTCGCGACAGAAGATGGTCTCGCTCGGCGTAATGCCGTCGGAAGACGGTTGAAACGCAATCAATGAGAGGCGTTCCTTTGGTTTCGAAGCAGCATTCTGGATCGAGTCCGCGTGACGGGAGGATACTTCGTAGATGCGAGCGTCGAGATTGGCTTCGAGCTCGCTGATCGACTTTTCGGGGCTCTTGGCATTGAAGATGGGCGAAGCGGTGAGGGCCAAGATTCGAGGTACTTTGTCACCGGCCAGTTTTCGAGGATGGTAATGATCCTTCATGCTGAATCAAGACCAATCATCCCACGCGAAGAGGACGATCAGCGCTCGGGCACTTGGTGCATTCATAACGAAGTCACGTGCTAGTTTGGGTCGCTTCGTCGCTTTGATCGCAACGGGCACGAGAACTCACATTTGGGCGTAGGGATGCCGCTTCGAGCAATGGTGTGCTTCGTCAAACACGATCAACGAGACCTGCGGAGTGATAGTGTCGTACCATCAGTCAATCGCACCAACCGATCCCACTACACCAGGATCGTACTGACCCTTTCCAAGTCCCAATAGGCATTGGTCAGGATGTCGAGCCAGATCTGAGCCGTCATAACGACGACGTGCGCATTGGCGAGATGGGCGACCCACTGCTCCCTCTTCCAGTACTCGACGCCCATCGCGCCGATAAAGGTCGCGACTGTGAGCGTGGTCTGCCTGCGGAGGACGGCGGCGACTTGGTCGACGAGCGAGACGGTCGGGACGATGAAGACGACGAGGCGGTGCACTTTGCGTTCACTCGCGAGGACGGGTTGCGAGGTGATGTGGCGAGTCAATAGGATCGCGATCAGGGTCTTTCCTGTTCCCTGTGTGGTATAGTCGCGAGCCAAATAAGGACGTTGAGCGGGTGATCAGGTGGGGGGGGTGTTCGGACACCAAGAGCCAGTCGTCAGTCGCTGCAGTCTCATGCACGCCATGCCAGTCGATCATAATCATAATACAAGCTTACGGTGTCCATCCTGCAGATGATGTTGCGCTTGACTATTGCATCCGCATCGACACGAGCCCGGGTGAGATCGCACGCGGTGATTGCGAGGGTCCAATTGGCACTCGATCAGCGCCGAGCCAGGTCTCCGGGCTGCCCCTCCAGCGAAAAACGAAAAAAACAGCGTCGACCAAAGCCGTCCAGCACTCACCTGCAGCATCCATCGCTTCTTCCTGGTACAACCTCGGCACATGCAACCCCGGCGGAGCGGCATCAGCCACAGCAGCATCGCCCATGATCAACGTCGTCCAGCTCAGGGGTGCCCCACAAACAAGCCGGTTGCGAACCGAGACACTGGCAAATCGGCGAGCGCGCGCAAGCTGAGCGAGCGGTTCGCCAGCCTGCCAGCCACCCTGAGCTGCACAAAGTGTTCACAGCTGCTCACGCGCTCACGGACCGTGCGCACAGAAGCACAGACGGCTCACAGCGCTCAGCCCAAGCACGCCGATATATGGAACGCTACAACTGCGCATGCTGAGTATTGATTCATATTATTTAAATCTATACACAGCCACTGTTGATGATAACTTAGAAAGCAAAGGCTCCTGCGCCCATATGTACTTGGCGATCGGAATAAAAAGCCCCTTCCTTCCTTCAGCTTCATCCCTCACTCGACCGGCTCGCATCCACGCCGTGCGGCTCACTTTCATCGATCGATCATACATATGCGATGCTTGCTCCTCCGAACGAAACATCCCGTTCGAGTCTCTGATCCTGAGCCTAGGCCGACGTGGGCGTGCGAGGGCGGAACTTGAGCCGCGTGCCGTCCTTGGGGAAGATCGTAGCAATGATCCTGTGCCGAGAAAGACAAAGTAAGTCCCCGGTAAGACGTCTGACCACCCGCCAAAGTACGCAACTCACTGGATCTCGTCACTCTCGGCCGTCTTCTCGTGCTCCCAATCCATCAACAGCGCTGCCGTCCCCAAGCAAGCCGTCATGTGCATGAACACATAGTTCTGCGCGATGCATCGATGCGCTCCCGCGCCAAACACGAGCCACGTCTTCGAATCGGTTGTCTCGAAGTTGGCTCCTCCCGGCATCCAGCGCTCGGGGATGAACTCGTCCGGATCCGGGTAGATGCTCGGGTCGTGCAGCGAGTTCCAGAACGAAGGGATCAGCATTGTCCCCTTGGGCACCGTGTAGTCGTCTGTAATCGGGAACGCCTTCTTGGTCAAGTAAGGCACCATAAGAACGGGCGGTCGGTGACGAAGCACCTCGCGCACGACGGCGTTGGTGTAAGGCATCTGTTCAAGCTGCTCCAAGGTGACTGCCGATTCGTGATCGCCGGCGCGGATGCACTCCTGCTCCTCACGGACCTTGGCGAGAACGGCGGGATAGTCGGCGAGATGTTGGAAACCGAACGTGAGCGAAGAGGACATGGCGTCTACATAGGGGCCATCGAAGTCCGCAAATATCAGCAACCCGACCATATATGAAACCAGAGCTACAGGAACCAGACGACGTACCTTGACTGGCGAAAATGAAGGACAATAAAACCAACGACATCTCGTGGTCCGAGTATTCCCTAACGAGCAGGTTCGGTCGTTCGGTGCCGCCATCCTTGTTGTCCTGGTATTTCTTTGTAGCAAGGATCTGTTCGACCCAAGCGTCGAGCAAGCAGTCGGCCTCTCTGCCGGCCATCATCGCTTCCTTCGATTGGCGAGCAGCGGCAGCAAGGTACTTCAGCGTCGAAGCGCGGGCTCGGCACGCGTTGTAGACCTTCGTACCGGGGAAAGCGAAGGGGAAGTTGACCAGTTCGAGCGCTTTGGTGATGAGCCAGTACTTGTCCGTGATCTCGCGCACGTTCTCCTGCGCGATGTAATCACCGCAGAAGACTCGGAGCGAGGTTTCCATGTTGAGGTCGCGGAACAGGAACGTGTAAGGCTTGGGCTTCGGATCGGGGTCGGCTGACCATTCTTTAAAGAAGGATCGGTAGATGCGGTCCTGAACCTTGAGGTAGATGCTGCAGAGGAGGAAGCGGCTTGGGTGGTCAGATGAAATTCCACTGAAATTTCTGAAGCAAGGGAAGGGCGACTCGCGCGAGGGCCTGGGATGTGAACAAGACATTCAGTCCCTTTCGGTACTCGTTGTGAACCTTTCCATTGAGGAAGACCCTGCACACGAAAGAATAAATCGATCAGACGATCGTTCACGTGACGCGAACCTCCTCCCATGATCCACCGATGACCCACCAGTTCTCCGCTGTTGATCAAAATTATCAAGATGTCGGGTCAGTGACAATGTTGTTATGAGTCGAGTTGGATGAAAAATGATGAACGCACGCAACAAGATTTGCTTCGCCGACCTGACGATGCACGGCTCGGTGTAGCTTGAGGCATTCAGGATCTTGCGCGAGTAGTCGGTAGTGGAAGCAATGACGATGAAGCTGTCGAGGAGATCCACACGAGTCAACACCGGTATCACTCCAGACTGCAATCATGCATTTCGATGCGCGGAGATCTCTGAGACCCACATGTTGAAGACTCTGTTTTGACAGGACGGAGCGAGCGGGAAGGCCGAGGACGATCGCGTCAGCGCGGCACTTGGATCGGCCACAGGAACCCGAACTCATCTGCAAGACTCACGAGACCGAAGCCAAAGGTTTGGCCCAAGCTGTTATACCAGAACAGGAAGATGCGAGAGTGCCACGTGATCAGTGGTCAGCTCGAAGAATCCGCCGACACTGGCGTTGATCGCGCCAAGATCGTGCAAGATCGTGAGCGCATGCGTGGGCGGCGGCCATCTGTCGATGAGGTAAGCCATGCTCTTCGCAGCGGGCCGGACACCGAGGCAGCGCGCGCACTCACATCGCATGTAAGCCTCCATTGACGGATGCAGCGACTCAGAGAACTGGCCGATCAAGGGCTGTGTAGGATGATCACCACAAAGTAAATCAGTGCATGTTCCATCTCCTCTTCGGCTGCTGAGGGAAGTCCATGTCCGTGCACGCTCGTTCCGCAAGGCTGGCTCGGCCTTGAATGGTTCAGATTCGTGTTGTGATGGTCCGCAGCGACTGCTTCCGCTCTCTTCGCGCGAGCAAGGGCGCGCGCGCATCTATTCACAGCCGAGCGGGAGCTCCTCGGCGAGAGACAAAGCTAGGCCTCCGGCGAAGTTACGTCCTCAATGTGCTTGAGATCCGCGAACGAGGCAAACACTCAAGACGTATGGGGCTGAATACTCACAATCTGCCACTTGTGTCCGGGTAAGCCGCCCTTCCTGTAGCGCCACCATGTCTGCTCGGCCACGAGCAGCGAAACGATCAGGATAATCGTCGTCGACCAGAAGCTCGTCGTCGTCGAGCCCGACGAGAAGAGGTTGAACGAGAACGGGCTCGAGAAGGTGCTCAACGAAGGCAACGACGAGTGCGTCGGTTCCGTGATGTAGGCTGAAGGTTGCATCGACGGCATCATGGCTGAAGTCTGTCTGATGTCGATTGGGAGCCCGGGTTCGTTCAAAGAGAGAGTGGAGGGCGGTTAGAGATTGAAAAACATTCTCGAGTCGTCTCATGCCGACCGCAGCCGACCGCCTCCGACCGCATACATGCCGTCCGCTCGCCGCGCTTTTTCGTCGCCGGGCGCATGCTCTCTCGCAAAGTGCCGACAGTCCCTGAGACTACTCGGAAGTCGGCAGGGTGTGGCAATCTGCGCGCACGGCCGCGCGATATGCACGCGTTAGCGAGCAATGTCAAGGGTGGCCTGACTCATCATTCAGGTCGGGCTCAAGCTCGGATGCTCCGTCGGCTCAAGTGAAGTCCACGATTTACCGAGATTTGTCGCGTCGTCGATCAGCACTGACTCCAGACAGACCTTTTGGTCCCGGTTGACCTCTCCTTTATCTTAGATACCTGCCTAGGGTCTGTTTTTGAAGTGTCCGCCATGCTCGACCTCCGAATGAAGGCCGTGCGCCGAGTGCGCGGGCGCGGGCGCGGGCGCCGCTCACTTTTTCGACGACCTATTTCGAGCGACTTCGAGCAACGGGCTGGGTTAAATGGCGAGCATCCTTTTGCCAATCACTAATTTAACAAATGCCTCTTTCACGTCCCAATGGAAAATTGCAAGGTTCAACCTCCTTATCGCATTGCATAACTGCCTGCCTATTGGCACGCGTGCAGCGCCGATACTAGAGATTTGAAGAAGCGAACTAGTAGTCACATACGTTTGAAAGACTCAGGAGACATGCGCTGGTGTACTAGTCCCCGCTGTTCACCCCAAATTCGCTCGAAGTAGTTGTTGGCGAAATTACTGTTCAGGGAAATGGTTGGAGGATCAATGCTTCGTGCCGAGCTACCAGTCGGCGCGAAAGTCGCGTCAACTTCGAGATCGTTTGGTACGTACAAGCATGCTTGTGCTGTCTTCCAGTCGACAGAGGTGGGTTCTCTTGAAAACCAGAAACCACGTGAAAAGGATACATCAGCATATTCCGATGAGTCACAGGGGCAAATTACCTACATGGGATGTTCCAGCCTAGAGAGGCCACGATGACGAGGCTGACCAAAGTGAGGACGGCAGGATGAATCGCATCAAAGTAATGTAAGTGACGTTCTTGGAGCACACACAATCTGATCGTCTCCTGTTCTCAAGGATGAGCATGGGCTTTCCCTCGTCTGATCATCACTTCCACGCGGGTTCCTCGCTTCCGTACACTCTCCTCCTGATCGCCGTGCACGGACTTCCTATTTCAATCAAGCAACGCATGGACTGTCCTTCTGCAGTGACACCACCCTGATCGTGTCCTACCAGCGAGAGCAAGAAAAAAAGAAAAAATAATCGATCGTATTATACAGCACCCAAACCACGCAAGAGGAGCTAAGAACCCCAGTCCTCGATGGACCCCAGTATATTCGGTCCCCGACGCTCCTCCACCAGCTAATTACTGTTGAATGGCATCCAAACTTAAGTGAGCGCGCTCCCCTCAACCGAGATGTCGCTCAAACAGAGTACTGACTTCGCTTCCGGCATCATTGGCAAATTCGAGATGCCTTACAATATCATCCTTGGTCACCGTGGGTCGGGCGGATTGCACCGCTCGGATGAAGTCGTTGTATCCACTGTTAAAGAGCGATTTCTGGCTGAGTAAGAAGACTCGAGGCGTGAAGAATTGGAATCACATCTCTTCACAACTCACAGTGGCGGTTCAAGCAATTCGTCCGAAGAGACGTCACTCCATGTCTTTTCAGCCGCTCCAGCATCCCCAGGTGAACAAGGCGTCAACTTTTTGATCATTTTAGAGGGATCTTCCGGATCAGGGACCTCGACCTTGAACAAGTATGGACGTCCAGGCAAAGTTGTCAGCACCACGACTCTTTCCTGAACTCAAAGTGACCCATCTCGTACCTCTTTGAAATGCGTCGCACTCAACACCTTCCTCACAGGCTGCATCAACGCATCCCTCACGACGACGGCCAAATCCGATCCCGAGTATCCGTCCGTCTTGGAGGCCAACGTCCGGTACTCTTGTTGCGTCAAGGTGCAAGGCGTCGTACCGACGTTGAGTTCGAACATGCGTTTCCGTGCGTCCGGTTCGGGTAATGGGATGTAGATACGTTTTTCGAATCTGGCGGAGGCGCAGACTGGTCAGCTCGACTCTCGTGCTCTGGAACAATGTTCACTGGTTCACTCACCGTCGCTTGATGGCGATATCCAAAGCCCAAGGGATGTTGGTCGCTCCTAAAACGAGCACACCTTGCATCTCGTTCCCGACGCCGTTCATCTGGACTAAAAACTCGGTCTTAATACGCCTCGAGGCCTCAGATTCACCTTCGCCACGCGTGCCGCACAGAGAATCGATTTCGTCGACAAAGATGATTGCTGGCTTGTTTTCGCGTGCCATTTGAAAGAGCTGCTTCACAAGTCTGTGTCGGAGTATGATCTCAATGACCGGAGTAATTGGTGGGCACTATATGAAAGGGGACCACGTACCGTTCGGATTCACCCATCCATTTCGAGACCAAATCGGACGAACTGACACTGAAGAAGGTACTCTTGGCTTCTGTGGCGACGGCTTTGGCGAGATATGATTTACCAGTCCCTGGAGGTCCGTACAGGAGGATTCCTCGCCACGGTGTTCGCTTGCCGGTGAAAAGGTAGGGGAACTTGATGGGCAGGATCACGGCTTCCTTGAGCGACTCTTTGGCCGCGTCCAGCCCGGCCACGTCCTCCCATCGCACGTTCGGTGTCTCGGATAAGATAGCGCCTGCGGTCGAGAGGGAAAGATCAAGTAAGCACTCGTTCGTGCAGTGTCATTCTTGAATCTCGAGACTAACTCGACAGGCCCTCTCGCAGTTTCTTTGTGTCGGCATCGTCGTCATCGCCCCCTCCTCCTTTCCTGTAGTATCAACAGTTCAAAGATGTCAGAAACCGTACTGGAGAAGAGAGAGATGTGCACAGAACCTGCTTTTGCGCTCCCCCACCACTCGAGGTATGGGCCTTGCCATTGTTCCCGACGGCGGTCTTTTGGCGCTTGTCCTCGGTTGACTGGATATGATCCTTGAGCTTCTCGGCGCGGTCAAGGTATTCCTCTACTTTGGATCGGATCAGGTCGCGTAACTTGGGGTTCTTCTCGTCTGGAGGTTGGGTAGATTGGGAGGGGAGTGGTGTGAGTACGTGCAGAACGTGGGGGAGAGACTCGATTCGGCCTTGGGCTCACATTTGTAAGCCATGTTGAAGTAGTCGAGGGAGTTTCTAGAGAGATAAAAGTGGAGTAGTATCAGTCACTACGTATGATTAAGCTGGATAAGGACCTCTTGTCCAGATTCCACAGTGCTGAACGGCCAAGTTGATCGACTGGCCCATCGGCGACATACGTACTTGTAGAGCTTGAACGCCTCGGCCCATTCCTGCTTGACATCGGCGTCGATCGCCTGCTTGACCAGCTCGCATGCTTTCTGTGCGGGTGAACCGCGGACCGTGGACCGTATCGTCGTTGTCGTCGATCGTTGTCGTCGCAGCGATCCGTCGTCGCCGTCGTCATCATCGGCGTGTCCGGGATCGAGGCCCAGCCGGAGGTGAGAAGGCGGTGAGTGGGTGGGTGGGGTCAGCACGTCAGCACAAACACAAACACGGAGATCCTCAGCGGAGAGTGTACTGACATCGAGAAAGTTGGAATTGGCCGACATGATGTGCTGCAGGGAGGCTCTGACCCAGAGTGACAACGGTGACTGCGCTGACCAAGGGCAAGCAGTACTGGCCGGTTGCCAAAGGCGACCAACGGGCGCGCCGAGCGAGTCGAAAGGCGAGTGCGGTGTGAGTCACTTCCTCTCACTAGAATCATCTGTTCTCGCTCGCAACATCGCCTGTTGCTCGCTCGAAACTTCAGAAATTTTTGCTTTCCACGCCTTCCCACGCCAACAAACCTCTTTCTCCCCACTGTCTCGTTCCAACACGAACAAGTGTCCCACTTGCGGCGATCGCCATTCCCATGTCGGACATCAATCTCGGAGGCGGCGAGACCGTCGCCCCACCCCCCCGCGGTGTGGGGGGTGCTGGCGGAGCTGTGGGTGCTGGCGGTCCTGTTAGTGCCGGTACTGGCGGTGCTGGTGCTGGTTCTAGCTGTCTTGGTGCCGCTGATGCGGGTGCGAACGCGTCTGGTGGTGGGGCGAACCCGCAGGACCTAGTACTAGCCTCTTTCGGCCGCGAACTCTACAGGAGTTTCCAGGCGGGGGCATCGGATTCCCAAAAGAAGTCGTTCAGTTCATACAAGGTCACAACGTCTCACTCTCGTCCCAGTTTGGTTGCGGCCTACGCGGACTCGCCGGTCACAGTCTCGTCAGAGCTGTTTGACATCGCGTCCAACGCGGCGACCAGAAGCGATACCATTGAGTCTGTTCACACCTGGAGCCAGCATCAAGTCTCGGCATCGTTTGCGGATCGACGTTCTTAGACCACCCACCCATTCGTCCCAGCCACGAATTCAACTCGGATGCCTGCACTCGTTCCTCGTCGGGAGCCTTGTTTCACAAATTTTCCAATCGCCAGTGAGTTTATTCGCAATCCGCGCACCTTTGATACGGCCATGTTCGGCTTTACTTCCATCACACAGCCATGTTCGACTCTACTTCTATTGTACGGCTACGTTCGGCTCTATTTCATATGGCCACATTCGGCTTTATTTCGTATGGCCATGTTCGGCTTTATTTTGTTTGGCCACGTTCGGCTATACTTCTTATGGCCATGTTCGGCTTTATTTCATATGGCCACATTCGGCTTTATTTCGTATGGCCATGTTCGGCTGTACTCCCTATGGCCATGTTCGGCTTTACTTCCGTCACACAGCCATGTTCGGCTCTACTTCTATCGTACAGCCATATTGGCTGTACCTCTATCATTTGGCCATATTGGCTTGACCTCTATCGTCTGGCCATGTTGGCTTTACTTCTATCATACGGCCGGATCCGTCCTCGAATGTGGTCGCTTTCTCAAAGCCCCTCTTTGGCCCCGTATTTTTCGGTGCCTACGTTTTCCACGCATCCAGTGTCACCCGCCCAGTTCTTAGCTGGGTATTCCACACAGACACTTCTTTTTTGACCTATCTACTACAGACCCTTCTCAACGGGACACTAGTTTCCTGTTCATGCCTCTTCCGAGTCAGCGAGAGCCCCTAGGTCGGGGTTGGATAAGCTCTCCGCTCTCCGTTCCATCACAGTTTACGTGCGGCGTTGACCGATGTCGTTGCGCCCCTCAACGTTAATCGATGGCAATCGGCCATGAATCGCCTTCGCGTATACTGTGGCAACACTTCTTTCGAGCAAGTCGCTTTGATTCCGACCCAGATCCGCGCGGGTTTCGACTTCGGCCTCCGTCACCTTCCCAGGGAACCTTTTGCTCCGAGCAAGCACGTTTCGGACGATGATGACGCATTTCGTGAGGTAACGGCTAGCGAAATTCCCCGTTTCTCCATGCAAGGGTCGCATCGCGGAGCTTTTTGACTACGACTGCTTTCGCCTTCAAGTCGGCCCTCTCCGCTCGATTTCGCTGTCGGTGATCAGGAACGACGCGCACCCGGTCAATCGCGGACGCGTCTCCGGCAATGTGAAACATGGGATCTGAGGATCGCCCAGAAACTCGCTTGGTTTGTGCTGGGGGGCGAGCTCTCCCTTCGACCCCCTGTTTCCCCCCTTTCGGCCTCGCTCGCGGCGGCGCAATATGCGCCGGTTGGGTCGCCGGTTTCTTCGCGGGGCCGTGTTGTGGGGAAATTCACCCCCAAGCCCAAACCAAGCCATTTACTATTTATATTAATCAACAAAATGACGTTCAGTCGGAGACTGCTCGTCGTATTACTTGGCCGACACGAGACGCTCGACGAGCGACGAAGCGCCCAGCGGCACGGCCAGCGCGCCAGCGACCACCTCGACCTACCTCGACCAGCCTCGACCTACCTCGACCACGCCGGCCGGCCGCGGGCCGACGACGGCCGACGCCCGATCATGAATCAATCACTTTCCAGCATGGTGCAAGTAGGATACATAGCTTGTAATTCCTTGATGTGAATTGTACTTTTGCAGGGGGAGAAAATCTAACATCTCTCATACCGAACTCTTAGCACCAGCTTTGCGAGGAAATCGATCCAAAAGAATCGGATCACTTGTTGCATAATTGACACTACTTGTACGGTCCTTCTTCTTCGAGTCCCCATCGCGAAGAAATTCTAAGTTTACTAATGCCTCTCAATCCGGTCCCACCCAGTAGTGAAGGCTCTTTCAAATCTTTCCTCCCAAAATCTCTCTGCGCAATAATCGGGAGCGTTCGTCAACTGAGAACTCGGTGGTGGAACGCAGCGGCAGAGGCCAGTGGTAAAGATCGTCGACGGTGCAGTGCCGACTTCCCCAAGAGAACTTGCAAGTGACCACCTGTGAGCCCGCGGGTGTGAGAGGACAGCTATAGCTCACTTCATCAGGGGAGAGCCGGAGAGGGGAGCGGGGACTCCGGGGAGGTCCGAGCGTGCGAGCTCGATCCGGCGCGTCCCCTTGCAAAGGCCGAGAAGCGGAATTCTTCGTTGGCTGTGCGAGCAGGCGGCTCGTCCTTGATCAGCCTGGCCAGATCCGAAATACATTGAGCCTCTTTTGAATTCTCCTCTCACTTCCTTAGGGTCTCCCTTTCTGTTCTGTAATTTCGAGTGCACGTACCGAGTTGCTTGCGCATGCCTCAAGGATATTGAAATCCGTTAGCGACCTGGCAGTAGTAGTGACCGTCACGCCCCACCGGCCGATGGGCCCTTCATCGGCCTGTTGCCTCTACCTTCGCCACGCACCGCTTATGCGTTTACAACGCTTCCGACCGTCGGCCCTTATTTCTAGATACTTTGAGGACTCTTCAGCACGCCATAGACCAACATAGACATACCTTCCAGGACGTTCTTCGCCTGTTCCATACCGCAACGCGATCCCATCGCCACCTGAAGCCGAGCAACTCCACCCGCCGATTACAAGGACTCTCTACATCATCCGTCTATCTATCGCACCGTAATCCGACCCTGGCGCAATAATAAATAGTCCACTGCCTCACCTGCGCTTAGCGCCCATTCGATCGACGCATTTCCCCCCCGCATTCTCGGCGATGGTGCAGCTGTTCGAAACGTCGTGCACGTTCGGGTTCCCGTGGACGGCGCAGGTCTTTGCGGTGCTCAACAAGTACCCGAACCCCCTCGCACCCCATGTCGTCAGCATCGATGTCATCAGTCGCACCATACTCGACGACGGCACCATACGTAGCGAGCGGCTGTTAGGGTTGCAGCAGGATTCGCCCAAGTGGGTCAATCGGGTCAGTTCACACAAACCACCGAGCAGAATACTCCCGACCTCGAACACACTCTGTGTGGTGACTCAGAATCATACTCGTCCCCTGCTGAACCTCATGGGCGACTCGTACAGATGCTCGGGTCACAAGACACGACCTATTGCCGCGAGGTGTCGTTCGTCGTACCTTCCTCCCTTGTAAATCCTGCCGTCTCCTCGACCGACGCGACCTCTACATGCCACCTCGAGCCGCCCAAACTCCTCATGGCCTCGACCAACCTCACCCTATCGCACATCATGCAGTGCCGCGAATCCATCTCCTACCTCCCACTACCATGGCCACACGTACCCGAAAAGACCGTAGCACAACTCGCGCCATCCTTACTCTCCTCGACCCCAACACCCTCAACCCCTTCCTCCACAACAGACCCAACATCCCGCCATCCCCTCAGCCATCCTTCCTTACCCCCTTCGACACTCTTTTCCCAATCCGCCCTCATTTTCACCACCGGCAAACTCGCCGCCGAATCTTACCCACCAATAGGAATATCCGCCCACTCACCCATCAAACCCTGCTCCTTCCCATCGGCTTCAACGTTCCCACAACGAGCGGCAGGAAAAAAGATTGAACAATGGGCGCAGGGGAGGTTCGAGATGAATGCCGATGGGGGGAGAGGCGCAATGGAGTGGGCCGCCAAAAAGTTTTGGCAGCAAGAGTGGGACAACGTCTCGGCTGCACCGGCGGGGGCGTCGTATTAGGGTGGAGCAGATCGGTGAAGAATTATAAAGTATTGGCTAGGAGGAAGGCGCAGATGTAATATGGATTAGAGTAGAATATAAGAAAATATTATGTTTCGCGAGCACACGGACGAAAAGAGTTGAGGGGGCCGAGCGCGCGCGATCTCCGATCAGATCAGAACGAAGGTCGTCGGGATCCCGTCGTCCGTCCTTCGGGGCAATGTCCTTCGACCGTTTTCCTCGCTAGCATCTTCCTCTCGTTATCTGCTGGTCACCCACAACTCCCTTCTGCACGTCTCGCAGCCAGTTTAGTCATCCCGTTCAACCCGAGGTGAAACTCCACGACTCCTGACTCTTCGTACGAGGTGTCGCTCGAAGTCGGCGCCAACCTCCACATTCGAACGAACGACGAACGACCAACCACCGAACGTCGGTGAAGAAACCGCGCCTTACCGCAGACAGGAAGGCGACCTCCACACACAAGATGCAACGCCTCCGTTCCATTCTCACATCGAAGAACGTGAATACCAATGACCCTGGTCGTCCCACCTCGTACCGCGTCAATCCAGCCTTCGAAGACGATCTCGACTCCGAGGACATCAACGCCGAACGTCGCGGCGCGGCCGGGCGTCATCACGGTCGAAAACATCTTTTCCGACGCTCTCAAGCCCTCCCGGACCATCGACCTCGTACATCTTCAACACATCATAATAGAGGGAAGTTCACGACGCTTCTTTTGGTTCTACATATTTTGTCTTCGCCGATCGCGATTACCGTGCTTCAGATCCTCACAATCGTCCATAGTAACCAAACGGTCAAAGTTTTGGAGGGGCTTCAGGACGGGGCGTTCTTGCCTTTGAATGGGACTAGGGTGATTCACCCCGTCACGGGGTCAGCAAATGGTGGCGTAGGATCTGCGAGGAGATCTCGAAGAGCGACTGTGGTCTTCGAGGGGTTTGGATCGTTGGTGTCGTTGGCGGTTTCGGACCTGGAAGGTCGTTCTTCGGCAAAGGAAGAAAGGAGTTCAAGCGGCGTGCGGGCCACACTGTGGAAGAGAACTTCCGGACTCGTAACTAACGAGCTTGGAGCAACTTCGACTCTACAAGCATCCACCGGCGATAATGGAGAGCTCATCGTCTCGGAAGCGTGTGCGACCTACCTCGTGAGTGTCCTCACCGCCGCGTGGCTCGAAAACGAACAGGGGCTAGACGAACTCACCCTCTCACCTCCAAGCTTTCAGAACGAACCAATCGAATGGATCGCGCGATTCAAGATCAGTTCTTTGACGCTGACGATCTTCCAGATCTGGATGTTGGTCATCCTCGGTGTAGCGTGGTACCACACTTCGAGTAGCCATCTCGGCGCGGTCGCACTGTCTCAAACGCTGGTATCTTGTTTCGGTAGGTGATTGCAGGCGTGGGATGCCTCAGATAGGGAAAGTTGAAGGAGGTGCGATTCCTCACCTTGTCATTCCGCAGCCATCGCCCAAGCTGCTTTCACTTACGAGCACTATGCGAGCTTCGCAAGTGGGATCTTCCTTGGCCCTTGTTCGCTCGGGCAAGCGTTGATCCCGGGTGAGTCAACCTGCGATACATACTTCACTGGTCTTCAAATTTAAGTGGGAACCAAAATCTCACGAAGCGATTGATGTCGGTCCACAGACTTTTGGTCCTTGGCGGTCAAATCACAAATCGCTGTCGCCATATTGCAGCTATTTGGATCCGCCGCAATCGCAGTTTTTGCGGTCAAGTTCGCCAACGTGAGGCTGCGGTGGCCAAACTTCAGAGAATTCAGTCTCTCGTCTCTCCGATCTTGGGCACTCATTCAGCCCCACGGCTACTACGGGGGCTCGAACGAGCCCTCGCAACACGCTCGTCGCCGAGTCCTCGTCTCCTCTTTCGAACTCCTCTCGACGTCTTCAATCTTCTTCGTCGTCGCCCTGCAAGCCATCTGGCTACGCGAGACCATACATCGCCCGTCTCCAGCATTTGACTCTGCACCGAATTGGCTCGGTGTGCCAGAACAAATTGGTGTAGGGGTTTTGATGGTTCTAGGAACGTACGTTATGGCCATGGGTCAGGTAGGACTGCGGTTTCAGTTCATGTCTGTGATGGTTCTTTCGTTGTTGGGCAATCTTGCTTTTCTGTGAGTGACGTACTTCCTCGTTCGTGCGTCAGGAGCTGTCTTACTGATCTGCGCCGATCTCGCACTTAGCGTCCACACTAGTTGCCTCTTATCTCAATCGACGTTTCGCGTGGTCCAAGCTTCGTCTTCTTTCCTCTCATTCTTGCTCGTCATTTCAACCGCATTGGTCCTCCTTACTCTCGTCTTAGGAACTGCCACAATCTTTTCGAGACCAGTTTGGTCCTCGATCGGAGCGGACGGGTCAGAAGGTAAGTTCACTCCAGTGCATGCTGAATCCCAGAAACCCGTGTTGACGTGGACCCTGAATCGGACCCTTCTATCATGGCCAGTCGCTCAATCCGACAGCTCTTACGACGATGGAGATGCGAAATTATCTGACCTACACCACTCCACCGCATCTTCAAAGGATATCTCCTCCACCGAAATAGTAGATTATCGTCGTCCCAAACCGGGCCAGGCTTATGTTCAATCCCACATCCTGAACCGCCCGCCGAGCACCAGCCACGCCTCCCACCACCCTCGGCACTCACGCGTCAGCTCCACCTCAACCATCAACACGGCTGGAACATGGAAGGAGTCCGTTTTTGGCCGACAGAGATCCCGCTCGATGAGTTTGGAGCTGGCAACGTCGAGGATGATACCGTTGCGATCATTGGGGTCTCAAGACCTCATCCGCGTTGAGGCGCCTGCAGCGCAGTCGCTGCGTTCCGAACGGATGACCTCTGCAAGCGAAAGAGGGACTATCCTAGCCATGGCCAACGAAGACCTCATCGACGAAGGCAAAGAAGAAACAGACTTGTTCCGTCGAGTCACACCTCGACGCCTGAGGAACCCCTCCAAAGCTTCGCTCGACGTACCCATGCCCGCCATCCCGGATGAAGATGCCTTGGGAGTTGGTGGGGACGATCCTTTTCGACCTGTTACGCCGAGGAGACTGAGGCAACCTTCCGTACCTTTAGACGCGGAAGATGCGGAGGACGTCGACGCGATCGTGGCGGGTGAGGCGGCGGTGAGAAGCTCGGCGCGAGGGGTCGATCAATTTACGTGGACGACGGCCGAGCCATTTGCCCCCATCACGGCTTCAAAGGATGAGTTTTCGTCGCACTCAAAATTTTATCCTGAATCAGGTTCAATCCTCTCCCCGACCCAAGCCACACCTTCCTCGCCTTCCCCGATGCGTTCAGTCCGAGCTCCTAAAGGCCCACCCACCCTCTCCGCCGTCCCCAAACCTAACCTCTTTCCCCTCTCCCATCTCAGTCTTTCGGATTTCCTATTCCAAACGCCCTCAAATGCACCCACTTCCATTCCCGTCCCTGTTCCGACCCTCCGAATTACCGATGCCCAAGATCGTCAGGACCATGGCAGCGAACATGATGTTCCTCTACGACCACTTCCCCAGGCTCAGATTTACGATCGGTCGAAGACGCATCGGGTGAGGTCGGCTGATCAGCAGGGAGGGCAAGTCAACTCGTCGCATGGACGAACTTCTGGTCAACCGAATAAGAAGCAATCTACGATGGGTCATAAACCGCTCCAAGATGCGTCCATCCGACTTCATCAGGAGGATTGTGCAGACTCCAAATCTTCGTCCACCTCGACTCCTCTAGGTCCTGAACCGACGGACCGAAGGGAAAGCGTTTTGGACCGCCCTCATCCACTCGTGTACGAACGTTGGACGGTCAATTGGCCCGCACTCGAGTAGAGCACACATACATCCGCCCACCCACTCACCCACATACCCACACGTTTAGACTTTGTAGGCCTATGACCAGCTTCCATAATCTGTTGAGATGCTGTTTTCCCGCCTTGAACTTCCCCGCTACGAAGCTCGAGAGACTGATCAGAGAAGCTGGGTACCTAATACATTGGTTTCTTCTATATCATATGGTTGTGCGACGTTTCGTTAGGACAGACCGAAGAAGAGAAGAAAAACTATCGTCCCTCGAGGGAAAACCTTCGAGGTGAAAGAAGAAAAGGAAAAGGGGGTCCCAAAAAGCCGTAGCACGGAGGGAAAAGGAACGAATGAAAGCGGGTGACGGTTGACACAATGTCACACGGGAACTTGAGAACGAGGAACTTGAACTACTCGGGACAAAGATGCGGCGCGGGGTATACACCATAAAGGATGAAGCTGCCGTCGGTCGAGAGGTTCCGGTGGACAGAGTTGGTCATTAAGAGGCATTACTGACATCGAGAGTCGAGACATAATATATGGCGGGTGGGGCCGAGTGTGCCGAAAGCGGGAACGAGGATGGAAGTGTGCAGAAGCGGGGTTATTCGTAGAAGCGAATGTGGAGGAGGAAACGGTGTTGTAGGTTAGACGAGGATAAAGTCCAAGACCCCAATGAGAGAGTGTTCGGAGGCGTTCGTGGCTGTCGACGATCGATCACAGGATAGAGCAACTCTTCGGAAGCCTGTGCTTTTTCCCACCCGCTACCTTTGACCCCGGTGTGGTGCCTTCACGTTGTGCTCGGACTGCCACGGTTGAACCCAGAAAGTCAGCCTCTTCCCTCTCCTCCCATCGCAATGGGCAGTGCACTCACTCATCCTCACGACGGTGTAGTAAGCCAACTCGAGATTGAGCCTCGTCTTGGCACTCGTTTCGACAAACTCGCACCCCAACTTTTTGGCCAAGGCCTGGCCCTCGTCCCTACCAACCTCACGTTCGTTGGCACGATCGGCCTTGTTGCCGACGAGGACGATGGGAATTGTTTCAGAGTCCTTGACGCGCGTGATCTGATGCCTGAACCGTTCGATGCGTTCGAAGGTGGCACGAGCGGTGATGGAATAGACGAGTACGAAACCTTCTCCTTCCCTGTGGGTGCGGAGCGGGATGGGCTCATGGTCAGTGAGCAAATCTCTGAGACGCAAGTGGTGTGAGAGCTCGTACCGAATCCATTGATCCCTCAGTGCTGTGTACTCCTCTGCAGATTGAAGCAACCGCCGGACAATTGTCAGTGGTCGATTCTGCCTTTGCCTTGAATCGCGCGTGCCGAGGCCGCACCTTGCCCAGCGGTATCGAGGATTTCGAGCAGATAGGGCTGATCATCAATGATAGCATGTTTACGATACGAGTCTTCTGTGGTATGTGTTCGGGCATTATCGAGCAGCGTGTCAGCGTTGGGCTACCCAGCGGGCTCGGACGGCGGGCTCGGGGCGGGCACGTGACTCGGCATTCCTGCGCGACCACACGCGAGCACAATGCAGCAGGCCTGCGACGGACGGCGCGGGTGGGTCGTGGGTCGTCGCGTGGGGCCCTCCATCGAGTTGAGCCCGAACGTGAGCCAACTAACCGATCGTAGGGTCGTATGTCTAACGAGGGGGAACAGATGGCGGTCAGTGTATTTGGACTCCCACAGCGGATGACGGCGGGAGCGTGGACGAGCGCGGCGCAGTCGTCCTCGATCGCATTCGACCGGTCGTCGTCGTCGTCAAGCTAAGAGCTCTGAAACGAGCATGCTCACCTCTGTCAAACCAGCGCAAATGGGTCAGTACAAGTCCGAGTATGACAGGGTCTTGCGCGCCCAAACTGACCAATGAAATGGTTCAGGCAGAGCTGGATCGTCAACGCGGTCTTGCCCACTCCACCGTCGCCCAACACCACGATCTTGCAGCTCATCACCATACTGGGCCAGTGGGCTGATCAGCGAGTGAGCCGTAGCGTGGTGGTGCAGGTTCCGATACGCGTTGCGCTGTGACTTTTCAAGAATGAACCCCCAACGGGAACTCGGGGCGCGATTCCGACGGTGGAGCGGCGTAGCGGTGGCACGGCGGTGGCCAGGGCACTGGGCAGTCGGGGCGAACACGACTAGCCTGCCAGCAGAGGGCGGTGCGAGCGAGCGGATGAGTTGGTGGCGAGAGTAGTGCACGCAGCAGAGGGTGCTCAGTCGAAAGTGATGGATGACGAGGGCGATGAAAGAGTTGCGGAGGGCGGATCGAGTGGCGTGAGAACAAGAACAAAAAAAAAGGTGCACCAGAGATCGCCGTGCAAGAGGAGCTAGTTTGTAGTTTGGGGGTCTCGTCCTGTCTCGTCGACACACATCACGCGCACGCGCACCCGTACTCGCACCGTCCCTGCCCGACGCGTGACTCGCTCGTCCAACCATTACAACTAGTATGTACTCGGCACGGTGCCATCTTCATGCCTCAGTCAGCATGACGGTCCTTCCAGCAACACGAGGAGAGCTCTCGGATTTTTCCACAACATATGTGATGAACAAGAATCTCGGAACTATCTCTCACAAGATCCTGTACAAGATATATACTACGGCGATCCAACCCTGCGTCGGAACCGCGGACTGGCTGAAATCGCCGAGGCGACTAACTTACATAATTATCGATCTGGAAAACCAGCCACCATCTTTTTCGTGCGGGTCAGGTACCCGCGCCATCGAGTTCAGATGCTATTCAAGTCAACCTTTGATTGCATAGACCACCTCATACTCCAAGTTCCACCACCTCGGTCCCACCCGCGGACTTGCGAGCGCGTTCCATCACCGCCAACCCAACTCCTGTCTGCTCGACCGCCTCGATCAGAATAAGGTCGACCCCAACGGTTGTCACATCCGCACCGCTGCCTCCATTATTTGATACAAGATCAGGCGAGGCTGTTAATGAATCGAGGTATCGTAGTCCTGCGAAAAGTCGTTGTCCAGCCTCGATCGGTCGAGAGCGAGAACCCAAAGGGTACGAGTAAAACTTGGGTAGTGTGGGCGTCCCGTCTTCGTGGACCGAAGAGGGCTTCGACCGTCTGTTCATTCCCAAGGTGACGAGGGAACAGCTTGAACAAAGCTCTTGTGTCGTCGTAGGTGACAGTCGTTCCATCGAGTCCGAGCACAGCATCAATCCGACTCTCTCGACCCTTCGACCCGGCCCTTGCTTCCGTACCCGCTCAATCAACTCGTCCAACCCCAGGGCTTCCTTTGATTCAGAGAACCGTACCAGAACGACTTTGGAATGTGTGGGCGCGTAGTGCTTGTACTTCATCCCCGGCGTGGTCGGCTTGGCCTCGAGTTCGCTCGATTTGAAATCCCTCGCGTAGACTTGGATCCCACCTCTCCCGTTCTGCTTCCCCTTGCTTTTATCTCCAACTCCCACAGCGAACCCAGCTTGCTCTAAGCACTCTTCAATTTCTTCGGCCGTCACTCCTCCGGCCCTGAGGATTCTCAACTGCCCGACACCATCCTCCTCTCCACCTTTGTTCCCTCCCGACCTCACCCAATCCACGACCGTGCTCTCCACCCCGACCGTACACTCCCCACCATCGAGAATAGCTCCCAATCCCCTCCCCTTGCCCAAATCGAATTCGACATGTTTCGCACTCGTCGGGCTAGGTCGTGAGCTCAAATTCGCCGACGGGGCTGCCAGCGGTCGATCGGCTTCTTGAATCAATCGAAGGGCCAAAGGATGACTTGGCATCCTCAATGCCAAACTGGGTTGTCCTGCCGTCACTTCTTGAGCGACTCGGTTCTTCGGTGGTCGATGAATGTCTTCCTCCAACGGAAAGATCAACGTCAATGACCCAGGCCAGAACTTTCGCATCAAGGGACGATAGATGGCGGGGATAGCCTTCTCGGCTCCAGGTAGAAGGTCGAGCATCATTTGGTGGGATGAGACATGAACGATGAGGGGGTTGTCGGAAGGCCTCCCTTTGGCGGCGTAAATGGATCGAACGGCGGAGGAGGAAAGGGCCGAGGCGCCCAGACCGTAGACAGTTTCGGTCGGGAAAGCGACGAGGCCCCCTGAGCGGAGGATCGAGGCTGCTTCGGCGATTGCGCTCGGGGAGGAACCAGAGAGGATGGGCGCAGTCGGTTCAGCTACGTAGGAGCTTGTTGTTGGAGAATCCATGAGCACAACGTTGGCAGAGGACAAGGATATGGAGGTCGGATCGGACGATGACTTGAGGAGGGACGACGGGGTGCGCAGGACACGGACCCAGGTGCGTTGCATCCACTTGCGACGAGTTAACAGTTCTTGAAGTCCTTCGATTATATTCAGACTGGGGTATATATATATAGGCCTGGTCAGCTAATGTGCTCCAGCATCGGCGACGAAGAGTCGCTCCAGCTCCAACTCGACGTAGAGTTGCGAAGGTCGAAGCGTGATATGGCGAGTGCCGGAGAAACGAGGAGAAGCCAGAGGATGATTAGATGACATGACTGACCTGGGAAACAAATGACCTGCCGTGCTCTCAAATCACCGTGCCAATGAATCGGGCGTTTCAGCAGGGATGCATATGACGAGGCGACGGACAGGAAGCAACCTGGTCATCCACCAATCGTCGCGCGAAGGGAACCCATTACTAATGCTGATCCGGTCTCACCGTTCGTAGTCTGGGTGCTGTTGCAGTGGCTCGTATGTTCACACAAGCTCGACACAGTTCAAGTCTTTTGAAACAGAGCCTCAAAGTAGTTCAGGCAGTGGCTACAGCTTGTCACTTGCAATTTGTAGTCGAATCTTGTCAGATCACGTGACCACATCATGACGACATCCTGTTGGCAATATTGAACCTGCCCATCATTGAGCCAGCATCGATTGCAGCAAAATCTTCCAGGTCTCTTTCCTCGAAACCGCACTACTCCACCTCGAGTCATTTCGCAACATCTTCATCCCTGTTTTGGCGTCGATGAGCGAGAAATTTTCCGAAGGTGTTTCGGCCGAGGCGAAGGGTGAGTCAAAGTCCTGCACTTGGTCGTACAGAGATTTGTCACTCCCCGACATTGGGATCTGTACCAGGGAAATATGGTAGCATCAGAAACCATTGCATCGATCAGGGGATCCGCCTCGGACCCAAACTTGCGTTCAATTCGGCAAAGGGATAAGGCCCGAAGACCAATCCTCTACACCGCTCTATAACAGGCTTGCTCGTCACCCGTAACAGAATTCTCGTATCCGTCGAGTCGTGCATCCGAAACTGGACCGAGTCAAATCTGTGTCAGGTGTCGCCCTGCCGAGAGCCTTGGGAGACTGGTCGACGCGGTGGGACTTACCTGATGAGACCCCAAAAAGAAGACACAATCGTGACAGTCGTGGACCATGATCGATCCCGATATAGGTGGGACAATAATACAACTCTTTCGAATGCTATAAAGGTAAAGGGCCGAACATGATGTGGGTTGGGAGTTGGAAAGGTCCACGAACGAGTTTTCCAAATCAGCGAGCAACAGGGCTTGCGATGCTGAGGTCGAGGGGAGGTCTTGCGAGCAGAGGTAGCAATTGCTCTTGCCGCTCATAGTGAGCGAGATGGAGGGGATGTTGTGAGGTTTCCGACGATGACTGTCGGCCTCCGGTGGTGCAGCAGGCGGTTGATCCGAGATCGGCTGCGGAAGTTTTGGTGGGGCCGACTTGGGCTCGGTCTTTCGAAAGCTGAATTTGGACTTTGTCGACGATAGTTCTCCTTTGGATCTAGACACCGCTTCTTGAACGGCTTTGATTTCCTACAAAACAATCCGAAAAAGTGATGAGCTGCGGCACCGCATCCCACCCCTCTTCGGCGAATGGCACAGCCTGACTGACTCGCTCGCACCGGCCCAATTCAAACACTGGTATCCTATCAGCGTTCTGACTCAGTGCCTGCTTGAGCTGTTGCATTGATCTCGACAGTTCGTCGAGTTGGGTTGGTGATGGCGATGGGTTCGTGGCGTTCAGAGTCGCTCGAAGCTCTGATGGGGTGTTAGGGGATCAGCTCACTGCGTGTTCCCATGCAGCGCAAAGGCCCTCTAGACAGGATTACGATCAACTTCACTTTTGAGCTCATCGAACCATCGTGCAACGAATTCGACTCGGGTTTCTTCTGCTGCTTCCTGCATCCTCGCCTGCACTGGTGGGGTCTGATTCGCAAATGTCGCGTCGTACGGTCACTGGCAGGCACAAGACTCGTTCTGAGACGATGGCTCGTCCTTTGTCGGAGGCTTCGGTAATGACCTGGATCTAAGACTGATGGGACCCGCGGTTCCGAGTGCGGATGGGCTCGACGACGTGCGCGGTAGGTAGCTCACGAAGCTTCTTCCTCCGGTGCGATCTCGGTTCATTGCGCCGAGAATCTATTGACGCCTTGTGTAACAGGCAACTCTTAGCGCATGCCGCTGGATTGATCATCGATGGCGCACTATGACCTGCTGCATAGGAAAAAGCTGAGACAGAGGAAAATTGAGGACAAATTGCAGATTCGCCGATGGGCAGAGCGGCAGAGCGGCCGGCGCACGGGCCTCCTCAGTAGGTCCGGCCGGCGGCCTTTAGCCCGTTCTTCGCGCATCATTCATTTGCTCACCCCTGATGAGGCTGAAAGGAGGAAGATACTGGAGGATATCGGAAGAAATGGAATTTATGAACTTGAACTTAAACTTAATCCTACTTCAGATCGATTAGGTAATTGGTGGTGATCCCTACCGTATAAGTGCCAACGTGCCGATGTTCCCGTGCGTGGACGAACGGATCAAACCGGATAAACCCTTGCACTCTCGGTGACTACTTGCTCGCGATCGCGCATGTGATTTGGATTGCCCAGAGCCGACACGGAAAGCCATCGTCGGGATTAGAGGTAGTACGTTCGCCCGACGGCACGCCACTACTTGCCCAGTAAATAATTATGTCAAACTGTCGCTGGACACCAGCTTGGCGGTGATGACTCTGCTATGAACGACAGCAGGCCAGGACACTGCCTGACGGAGACGGAGACAGTCGACTTCGGCGACAAATTGATACGCTCCCGACTCGAACTCGCGAGTAACTCGCGGCGCAATTTCGGTGACTACCCCGCTTCCTCCTAGGCGCACTCTCCTTCCTTCACCCCATCCCCGTCCCCGGGACGCTCGACCCCGAAGTCTTTGCCCGCCCAGTACCTACGCCCACACGGAGGACTCTCCCTGTACTCCCCTGCGCCCAATCGTACTGAACGAGATCAAAGCGAATGGCTACGGCGGCCTTACTCCACTCGTCGTCGCCGCACTCGCACCACCCGCGCTATCACCAGGCCGCTCCCGCCGGCATCATGTCGACCCCAGCGACGGCGACGATCGCGGAGGACGAGCTGATGGACCTGTTCGCATCGGACACCTTCTCGCTCGAGTCGGCGCGTGACCGCGACCTGATGGCCTTGTCCAAAGTGCTGCAGACCTCTCTGCCCAGCTCGCCGCCACTGGCTCATGCAATGGTGCCGACGTCCGTCACCTCTACCGGGCCGGGTGCCAGCTCCGGCTCGAGCTCGCGGCAGTTTGGCGCAAGTGGCGCTCAGGCCCAATGGATCACCTCGCACCAAGGATACGGCAATGGCTACGGCAGCGGCTACCCACACGAGGCCAGTAGCAACAATGGATGGAGACCCGATGCATCCACTTCGGCATCCGCGTACCTGCACCACGGCGCTCCGACCTGCACGCCTTCTTCGTCGTTCAACCCTGCGCAAGCCGGCTTCGGCGCCGTGGGAGCCGGCTCTCACTTCGGCCAAGTCCCTCCGCCCCCGACACCCCAAGGCACACCCATGTCGTACTATGCCCATCTCCCTTCGCCCAACCTGGATTCGTCGTCACGTAATCTATCCGCGTTCCCCATGAACGGTATGGCCGTCAACGCGGCGCCTTTGGCCGGGTGTCGAGCACCCGCGGTTTCCCGAGAACGGGCGCCAGCCGACATCCCGGCGAACGAATGGTCCAGTCGACTCCGCAGTGCGAGTTCGGCGGGAGGATACGCGATACGACCTCCATCTTACGAAGATGCGACTTCCGTAACGAGAATGTCGAGATCGGGTGCAACGCCGAATGGAAGGGGAAGGCGAGTCGACGACGACGACGACAACGACGATGCCATGATGGGCGAAAGGGAATCGGGCGATGGCTCTTCGACGTCGCAGGGTTGGCCGGCCAGATTCTAATCATTCGTCCTAAGGACATGGTCAACGCTTTGCTTGTCGAATATCGGGAGCAAACCATGACTTCGACCTTCGACACCCTCGCTCGAAGAGCTTTTCGCTCCGTATTGATCACACCTCACTGGTTCCGCTTCCAACCACGGTTTATTTTGTACCTCGCATATCTGTATTGATGCCTTTCTACGAACGATTAGCTTTTTTTATTTGGTTGTACCATCATTTGCATTATTCTCTGATTTGTAAATTCACTTGGTCCCCACTCGAATATTCTGCTGTCAAGCGTGCTCACTTGCGAGCAAAAGGAGGTCAAGGCCAAGACCTAATCACCTAACGGATCCTGCGTTTCGTGTTCGAAAAAAGTCTTTCCAATTGCAGCAATTGCTGCGCAGGAGGTGACGTGAACAAAGGGCGAGCTCGCAAGGAATTTAGGGGCTCGCATGGTAACACTTGCATCTCTCGTTCGAGCATGTCGAATATCGCCATTGATGCCATACTTCGAGCGTTGTACTTGAAACGGGTCAAACGTGTGGCTCTGTACCAGGGGGGAGGGGTGATCTTTATTGCGAGTTACTTCAAAAAACGTCCATTTTAAGGGGATCGGAAAACATGGCGTCTGACAAAAGGGAAGTCCGTATCGAAAGAGGTCAAGGCTGTTATACTGGAAGAGGATCTGTCGTCCAATCCAGATAGGACTCAAAGAAATGGAAAGGGTAAAGAAAGAGGCGGACAGTCATGAAATCTGAGACGAGAGGACTAAGACAGGGTTTGGGATCAAACTTGAGGCTGCGGGCACGTTTGCTGAGGTAACGACGAGGGCGCATCGCGACCGGTAACTTGATACCAGAACTGAACGAGCTTGAGGATGTTGGACCTCTCAGCCGAGGTGTTGGGACCTGTAGGGGTGAATATTGATTGACTGGATCAGAATCTTCGGCGCCGGAAGATCGCAGAAGGATGAGGGTCGAAGTGTTGCCCACCGTTGGGATAGTAAATCGAATAGGCGTCATCGTGGATGACATACGACGAGCATGGGGTATCGTGGGTGAACAAGCTCCAAGCCATGACGCCGACTGCGAACTCGCGAGGAAGTCAGCTCGAGACGTTTGCCCAACACAGGGGCTCATCACTGTCGCTCGTCAACTGACCGCTCTGATAGTTGTACAGCAAGTTCAAGTAGGCACCAAATTCTGCTCCACCATTATTGGGAGTCCAATCCATCTCGCCAATGAGGAAGACCTTGCCATTGCTGTGCGCGATGTCGACTTGGCGCTTGAAGAGGGCAATGTTGCGAGGGTAGGCGTGGTCGGTGACAATGTCGACGTAAGGGGACGTGACACCAGGTGCGACGGCCTTGGCTGTTGGTGGCAGTGGAGAATGAAAGAATGAGTGGGCGACAGCAGAGTTGGTTCGGCGGGAAGGGAGAGCTCACTGGTATAACTGCGGAGTGAGACGAAGGAAGCTGGGGCGTAAATTGAGAGCAATCTTTAAACACGGATATCGAACCCGAGTATGACTCACTTGTAGAATCCGTCCGTGCCATCCATGAACAAAGCTTGAGGTGCCAGAGACTTGACGTACTTTGCGATGTCCTCAGTGAAAGACAGGGGTGGAAAGCCTTCCTTGCCCATGTAAGCCCCGAACTCATTGCCATCCTCGATGATGGCGATGGTGGGGTCTTCTCCGTAGGCGAGGCCGTTGTATTGATTGACCCTGGTCAAGACTTTGTTTGCGGCAAGAGCGCGATTCTCAGTATGAAGAATCTAGGTTTCGGGTAAAGAACCGGAAATGATCACACCACTTACGGAACTTGATGTACCGCTTGAAGGCTCGTCGCACCTGCCTGTCGGTGAAAAACTGCGCTCCGGCGTTGTCGGTTGGGACGTTGAGCCACCTCAGGAACGTGTACTTGCCGCCATGGTAGTAGTCATAGTTGTCGGTGAGTGGGAGAATGACCTTGAGTCCGTACTCGCCGGCGGCGTAGATGACGTAGTCGTGAATGTCAAGTTGCTCGTCTGTGCCATACGTGTGCAAGCTAGGCTGGACGGCTTGAGGGAAACCAGTACTGATCCCACACGAGTTGATGCGGATAGTGTTGGCCCCCATGGCAACCGCAGCAGCGAGAGCCTCGCCTGAGGAGATTAGCGTTAAATGGCCGATGCGGCGAATCAGCCACGGCGAGCGGCAGAGAATAACCAAGTCAGGAAGGTCGCAGAGTACTCACGAATACGTGACTTGTCGGTATAGTAACCCCGCGGGAGACAACTGAGACTCTCGTCGTTGCAGAGCCCTGGGTAGGAAAAAGGTGTCGAGAACTGTCAGTAAAAAGGAAAAGATTGCAGCGTGATTCACAACGTGAAACACAAAGTCGCTTCATGAAAGCGCACAGTAGATATCTGGTAGTCAGGGCCCAAGGAAGTTCCAAACAAATAGTTTCAGTAATATTTCTGGTGAGACCTTCCGGACGTACTTCAACTCACTGGGTCCGACTGGCCGGAAAGGTTCGCCATCGAGCGTGAGCGCCGTGCCTGAGGGGTCGACCTCGAGGTAGTTGCCGCTGCCTCGAACACTCGCGGGTGGTCCATCGATTATGATCGACGCTTCTGCTTGTATCGTATCAGCAGCGCTCGCCGACGAGTTGATCGGCACGGTACCGAGGTAATCTGTACCCTGTCCACCCGTGGCCCGCGGGCGGACTGCGAAGTTGCGAGCGCTGCTCGCCGATGAAACAGCGGCTCCCAGAGGGGGCAAAGCGAGGAAGTCTGGTGCCGGTTCGACAAAGTCGAGATCTCGCTCAAGATTTCGCTTTCGCAAGTCGAACGAGATGCGATCGCCGTTCGAGTCGCGCCAGACGCCACGCAAGAGCTCCGCCTGGGCTCGGACTCGTTTGGGGCAGCTGCGGTTCCAGGGCTGGACCGTATCGTCAAGCCTCGACGCGGCTTCGTACCATGAGGCAGCAGCGCCGTGGACGAGGATAGAAACGAGCAACAAATAGGAGTGCAGCATGGTGACTGTTCCCCGTGAGCGGTGGCTGTGACTCCAAGAAAAAGGGTTATCGACTGGAGATGACACGGCTCGTCTCGAGAAAGATAGGGGCAGATTGCAGACGTGAATCTGGCGCTGTTGGTCGACGTCAGGGACCCAGACAGAATACTAAGGACCGAGGAGGAAAGGTGGTGCGTCGATTTTGGTGATAGCACGAACGAGTTGGATGAGAGCGAGATGAAATTCGCAACAAGGCCAACAGTAAAGCACAGGAAGATCTCGAGAGGGTTGGCTAAGCCGCTAGTAGGTTTGGGGTGCCACTAGGCCCCGGCTGAATTTCGGAACCGGCAAGTGGAGGTACTAAGCTCCTACACCACAGGTGGAGATACTAAGCTCGTACACCTACACCATAGATCGACAAAGACAATCACCACTTCTGCGGAGTTACGAGCGCATTGATGTCCCGGAAGTTAGCGTGGTTTTTGAGTGAACGACATGACCCATGAAAGAGGCTGACGCACAATACAGTGCCTCTCTTGTCCTGCAAAGATCTGCCGTTCCTCGACGTTCCTCACCCTCGAGCGCCATACTCGCAATGCGAAGTAGCCGAGCAAGAGGGGATCCACACGTCTTGTGATGAAAAGCTGGTACACTCAGGAGTCACTCGTCTAGCGCGTAGATCTGGGCCAATAGTCCTCCCAGATGAAACAGCGTCGATGTGTTGGGTCCCTGCCAAGCACATGTTGCCTACTCGGGATTTACTCGGGATTTGGCCTTGGAAGCGCGGGATTCGGGACATCACAGGCAAGTTCAGATGCGCGGAGTGTTCCCATACTCGAAAGTCCGAATAAGGGTTTCCAGACGAAGCTGACCGTGATGGATGGAACTGGAAAACAGTATTTCACGCGTCGGCAGCACTCGGCAGGGTGTCGGCGATGTTCAGCTATGAGATATCTCACGCCGGCTTTCCGGCCCCAACTTGACCGCCGCGAAGCGATCCGCGTCCGTGCGCTCACGCCTGGAATTATCTTTGCATGGCATGGGATTCGTAGTTGTGATCGATTCTAAGGGTGAAGATAGGAATATATCCAGAGTCTGAGTGAAGGACTAACGATAATAAAAACTTCAGATCGAGCCTCGGAGTGCAACGGGCGTGGGAAAACGGCAGTATCCGACAGCTGACTCCAGGCAACGTCGGTCAGGTGGTTGGCAAGAAGATCGTGAGGGAATCAAAACACCTCTTGGGGGCATGCTTGAACAGGAAGGACCGCGGGGACCGCGCGATCTGTCACGCGGTAGAACCACTGCACGAGCGACCAGATGTTCTGCTTTTCCTCAGGCGTGTTTGGACCTGCGAGGACATGCAAGGAACGGCGATGAGTAGGCACATCGACCATTCTGTTTATCCATAGGGATCACAACTCACCATCGGGGTAATAAATGGAATAGCTATCGTTGTGAAGGACGTAGTCCGAGCACTGCGAGTCGTGTGCGAAAAGGCTCCAGACGAGCACACCGACTATGTAGCACATCAAGTAGTAGCGCGAGTCAGCACATGCTAGTGGAATACCGCGATGATTCTTACCGCTTGGATAATTGTCAAGGACTTCAAGGTAGTCGGACAACTTCGCATTGGTGGCGCCCGTGGGCAGCCAGTTCATTTCGCCGAGGAGGAAGACCTTGTTTGCGGATTTGGCGAGTTTCGCCTGTGTTCGGAACAGGTTAATGTCTCGAGGGTATGGGTGGTCCGTGACGATATCGACGTGAGGTGACAGCAAACCTGGAGCCGTGGCTTTTGCTGAACGACCGTCAACCGAGGGGTGGGAGAAGGTGTCAGGTCGGACATATGCCGCGCGCCCGGCAGGAAGATTGCTTATTGGACCAGCTGCCATGATGAGACTCGCTCTGTCAGTCCTACGCGCCCTCAAAAACTCTTTAAAAATTATGGACTTACTTGTAGATACCATCCGTGCCGTCCATGACCAAGGCCAGGGGCGCCAGTTGCTTGATGCGCTGCGCAACCCGATCCGTCCAATTGAGGGGTGGGTAACCTTCTTTCCCCATGTAGGCACCCAATTCGTTGCCGGTTTCGATGATCGAGACAGTAGGATCTTCGCCGTAGGCGATGTTGTTGTACCGATTGACCCTGCCTAGAACTGAGTGTGCGAGACGGAGATCGATCAGTATCCCGTGGCGTGGTCTGTGTGCAACATCTACGCACCCCACTTGGCGTAGCGCAAGTAAACTTGAATCGGTCTCTCATCAGCGAAGAAGCGCGCTCCGGCATCGACGGTTGGTTCCCCAAGCCAACGCAGGATTGTGTACTTGCCACCATGGTAGTAGTCGTAGTTGTCGGTTAAGGTCAGAATCACCTTGACTGCGCAACACTTCCCGACGTCACGAACGGCCAAGTAAGACCTGAGAAAAAACGATTCTTACGGTCGTACAGTCAAGCAGCCCAGATCGCATAGTCATGGATGTCCATCCCGTCGTCATCGGCATAGTGATGAAGGTCAGGCTGAATCGCATCGTGGAAGCCAAGCGAGGTTCCGCAGGAGCCGATTCGCACTGTGTTGGCACCCATCGCGACCGCGGCGGCTAAGGCTTCTTGAACTCGTGTTTTATCGGTAGGGTAGCCTTTGGGCCGCCCTTCGATGTTTTTGTCGTTGCAAAGCCCTATGATGACACGTGGAGCAGTCGTTAGGACACGTACTAATAGCCAGCACGAGAACGAAGAGGAGGCAATGCGCGTCCGGTCCGTGCGTGTGAGTTTTGCAACGGACAAAAAATGTCTAGTAGATATTGACATCAGTACATCTAAACCGACTGAATTTGAAAGAAGATCTGGCATTTGACTCACTGATCCCCACAGGTCTGAAAGGCTCGTCGTCCAACAGCAGTCCCGTACGCGTGTCGTCAAGGGTGAGATAGCTATCGCTCCGCGGAAGCGTTCCAGGACCACTAATGACGATCGGCTCTTCACTTGGAGGAGGGTAAGGATGCTCGCAACCATCATCACATGGCTGTAATCTACTTTGACCACCAACCTCAACATTGGCTCTGACGCTGACGCTAACACCTGAGGGGACCGCGGGGGACCGTTTACCGAGCCCCACAATTTTCGACATTTGATTTGGCGCAGACGAAGCGAGGAGGGGAACACCGCGGGAAGCATCGAAGGTATCAGCAGAACGCCTCATCAAAGCATTGATATGTGCCAAGCCGCGGAAACGTCGAGGACGGGTACAGTCACCGTTGTTGTAAACCTCGGGGGTTACAGCGGTGACGAGTTGACTAATGAGGCCGAGGCCGAACCAGAGCTGGCGCGAGTAGCGCATGGGGCGCCTGCGATGAACAGGGTCAGGGGTGTGTGGAAAGGATCGTTGTGTCTCGTGGTAAGCGGCGCTCGAGCGAGGAAAGAGTGAAACGATAGGATTTGGGGTATGATGAGTCGAAGCGAGGTAGGAACACGACGAGGGAACTGTAAGAGGGAAAGAGAGAAGCGAGGCCTAGAGACCCACGCCGCAGCAGTACTCGCCTTTCACCATAAGGGGCGACCCTTCGCCGAATCGTTCACTCGGCGGTATTTCCTCTCATCAGGACCTGGAGAAATTTCCCAGCATGCGTCATAAATTTCCACGTGGATGGTTTAATTACTCATTCGAGGCTCTTCAAGTACTCGATCAAGTTCTTCAGAATCTCCCTCTGCTCCTCTGCTTCATCAATCTCTGATCCTTCCTTCTCCTCGGTCTTGGCCGCCCCTTCACCAATGTTGTCCCTGTACTCGGATAGAACACGAATGATGTCGTCGAACGACTTGTTTCTCCGTGCGAGCATCATCAGGATGTGCTCTCTGGCCTGTAAGAGCGAGGTCCGCAAGGCAAGGGTCAGCAAAATAGCAACGACTGAGATGCCTTCGGCACCAGACCTACGCCATCATCTTCCATCGTCATCCAAGCCAAAATGTAATCAATCAACTGCAGACTGAACAAGCCCCTCTCGAGCTTCTCGAGGTAAAGCTCGTCCTCGTCCAATTCGCCGAATTCATCATCCCCATCTCCAGCATTGACGCGCGACTCGGTCTCCTCCCTTAGATCGATCAGGCGGTCCAGCTTTTCGTAGTCCGCTTCGACGAATTTGGAGAGTAGTCGAAGTCGTTGAGGCGAGTCGGATGCGAGAGATGTCAAGAGGGAGGAGAGGATTGACAAGAGGTGCTCGGTCGATTCGTGTGTCAATTGCCCTGATGCCTTTTTGGACGCTCCCTGTAAGACACATCACGGACTCGAAGAGGTCAGCTGAATCCCTCAAAGTAGCCAAATACATTGCGTAGTCACCCACCTTGCCCATGAAAGTTGTAAACAACACCTTGAGACCCAACGCCTCAACAAACTCGACACACAGCTCCATGCCCGCAAAGCCTTGCAGCGCATGATCAAGGGTCTTGATCGCCCTTGTTTTGGACAGCTTCTTCTCCTTGAGCATCAAGCACATCAACTCGATCCCTTCACCTTGCATGAACACTTTTTTGACGGTAGGTTCGGAAAGGGACGAGCACAGGATGTCGAAGATGTTTTCCATAAACTCGGTTTCGTCCGCACCGGACGGGTCGCGGCGGCGATAGGTCTGCGATCAAGCTTATCCAGTCAGAAGTTGAATAGGGCCTATCTTTGGATCCCCAAAATGTCACTCACCGACAGGATCTTGAGCAAGGCATCGACATGACCTTGTTCAGCCAAAGTCTTCCGCCCCTCGGCCACACCGTCCACGGGCAGGGAAAGCAACAGCGAGAGCATCTCGGCGGCGTAAAATCGGTTCTGATCCCAGTCGGCGGGTTTCTTGTCCATTGATAGTCGTTCGACGAGATACGATAGTAGGGTGGCCGTAGGGGCCAAGAGCGATGTGGCGATTGCCGGTGTCAAAGAGATGAAGTTTTCGAGGAGACCTGTGGACGAACAGGCTTCGCGTGAGCTGCTCATTCCTCCGGAATTGAGCAATCGCTGGATGACGAACCTAATATGTGAAACACTCCCCCTCGCTCTGACCCATCCTCTTCATTCAATCTCGCCAGCCCCGAGACGGCCAAATCAACGATGCCGAACTGAGTCAAACTCTCGACCAACTTCTTGGTCGCCTCGAGTTTCCGTTCACTGCCTCCTTCATCGCCACCCTCCTCCTCCTCGTCCTCGTCGTCCAATGATTCCGGGTCGAGCCACTCTTCAAGCACTTCGACGACGGCGTTCGAGACGTCGGTATTCTCGTGGGAAAGTAGGTCGGCCAAGGATTCTGGGGTGTTGAGTTCGATGAGGATGGGGTACGAGAGGGCGGGGAAGGACGAGAGCACGAGCAAGGCGTTGAGAGCCTCGATGAGGGTGAATTCCGAGTCGACGAATCTGCGCGTGAGATCCAAGAGCTATCAGGATGCATCAACACCGAATCGTCTTTGAAAAGTGCTGCGCACTTTGTTGGGTCTGTGGGGAACTTTGTCCTCAACCGCCGGTTCTCGTCAATGGCCTTTTCGAGCGCGAGCAATTGTCGTCGTACGCCTGGGGCTGTCAACTCGCCACTGGCTGCGAACTTGTCATCCGCCTTGTCCATCATATTCAGGACCTCCTTTTGAACGGAGTTGAGTCCTCCGCCGCTATTGTCGATCGATGATCAGAGGGGGCTCAGCGACCCTTGCCGGGCTGGATGCTCGCAGCCGAACCGCACGAGACGACTCACAAGAACCTTCCATCCTCATCCTCTTCAGCAAAATAGTCCGCATCATTCCCGGGTGCGAACTCTCCATCCGGAGCGCCATCGTTGTCCCCGTCCTGATCATCATCGTCGTCGTCGGGCCCATCTCGGATCGTGACCGAAGCCTTGCCCTTGCCTTTACCATTCGTATTCGCGCTCATTGCGGCAGGGGGTGCCCCATCGGTAGGACTGGTGTCGGTCTTGTGCTGCTTGAAGGATGACAAGTCTGGTGTAGGAGCCTCGAGCTTGCGTTTGGTGCCGGCTGCCGCTCCGGACGGAGGCAGTGGGGGCCGCTGCCATGAGCCCCACAGGGTCAGCTAGATCTGACGGATCTCCCGGCGAGGTTGCTTCTATGTACCTTGAAAATGTCGTTGATGTCCATCGCGGGCGGGTTGATACGGGCTTCTGGTCCAAGCACGTCGGACCAAAGAAGTCGCGTCGGACCCCCAGAGCTCAGAGAGCGCGCCGGTCCAAGGCCCAGCTCTGGCCAGCTCCTTCAGTCTCCTTCAGGCCTTCAGTAGTGCTATTGCCCCTTTAGAGCCGTTTAGAGCCTGCCAGTGACCCGCCACTCGTCCCCGCAAATTTAGGAGGTGTTGTCTGATCATGAGCAAGTTGCGTGAAGCTACTCAATTCAAAGAAAGTAATCCAACGGCGATCATAACTCGCAGCGAAAAGTCATGGCGACGTGCAAAGAGGTGCAAAGCGCCGGATTGGCCGGATCCGAGCTGACCGAAGAGCGGAGGTAGTGCGGAGGTCTCGCCCTGTCAGGCCCTGTCTCGCCTGTGGCCTCGCCTTGGCAGTCCTCGGCAGTCCTCGGCACTTACTTCTTCGCTTCGACAGCCGAGTTGCCGACCGGACTGCCGCTCGACTTGTTTCTGTCCACACGCTAGCACACGCTACACCTGTTTTGTCACTCGTTCAGCTCGCGCGCACTCGGCTGTAGCTACTGCTACTGCTGCTCGCCAGCCACGGCAGCTGAGGCTTGCGCTCTCTCGCCCGCTGGGCTGGGCAGATCATCACGTGCAGCTCCAGCCAGTGCTTCAGCCGTCGTTGCTGGGCGCTCTGCAGGCTGGGTACTCTCAGTACTACTCAGTCCCGAGTGTCTCCGAAGCTAGCCCGGCCTCGTACGAGTGCGCGGCCTCGACACTGGTGGTTGCAGCACGGAGCATTTCGACGACGACCCGTTCGCTAGAGCTACTCGGAGCCCATATTGATAGAGGCCGTCGACCACACTATAGGCGAGTACGTTCACCACCGTCGCGACCCGAAAGACCTTCGACGCGAGCGAGATTCACACCACACGCCCGCCGCAGCGAGAACGAGAACGAACGCGCTGCAACGCGCTGCAACGCGTCGACGACCGCATGGATCTCGATACACAGAACGGGAACGACATTGGCATGATCAAGGACCGCAAGCCATTACGCTCTCCGCGGAAACGCACTACCATCGATAGGCTCAAGCGCAAGCTCATCGCCCATGCCAAGTTCGTCGGACCGGGTGAGCCTGTCTTCCGAGGAAACTGCCCGAATGATGGGTCAAATCAGAGGCTGACTAGATCATCGTTACCATCGTTACACCCAGGTGTGATCGCAAGCGTGGCCTACATCGTGAGCACTCCGGCTGTGATTCGATGAGCTTGACTCACCGCAGGGCGCTGATATATCCGGCGAGCGCGTCTCTCCCCTTGAATAGGACCCGGGGAACTGGGCTACCGATCTTCAAGCCGGCAGTCAATTCGGATACAGCCATCTATTCATCATCCTGCTTTCGGGACTGATTGCGCTACTGTTCCAAGTCCTCGCGACCCGTCTGGGATGCGTCAGCGATCTCGGTCAGTAGTCTTTGCTGGTCGGTTTTCTCCGATGTTGTTTTCACGAGCTCAACTGACCTTGTGGAGATGTCGTTGCGCTCGCAGACCTGTCCCAAAACTGCCGAAGAGCGTTGTACGATAGGCCCAATCACAAAAAGTTTTATCGCTGGGGCGTCCTGTATCCTCTCTACGCCCTGTCCGAGATTGGCATCATCTTCACCGACTTGGCCGAATTGCTCGGGTCGGCCATCGCCATCAACCTCCTTATTCCTGCCATTCCCCTCTGGGGCGCTGTCCTAATAACCTCACTCGACGTGTTCCTCATCCTGCTGCTCTTTAACCAATACCCGACCCGAATGGTCACTCGCTCGATGCGAATGTTCGAGCTCTTGATCGGTCTGCTCGTCATGACCGTCCTCGGCTCCTTCGTCGCGTTGCTCGTCAAGGTCAGCCCCGTGTGGAAGGACGTCTTCCATGGCTACGTCCCCGGTTCTGGGATCATCCGAGATGGTGGGCTTTATGTTGCCGTTGGTATTGTCGGTGCGACCGTCATGCCCCACGCTTTCTTCATTGGGTCCAAGATGGCGACGATGAGGAGGCTCGCACCGGAGCAGTACGAATACGACGATGACGACGAAGATCTGATGGGTGAGAAGAACACGGCAGCTGTTCGAATGGGGAACATCTCGACGATGCCTAGCCCCGCGAGGCGACCAAGCCATGGAGGAGGCCCGCACCTTCACCTACCGCAGCCCGTTGCGTTGGGGAATTTCAACATCCACTCCAATCGTAACAGAGCGGCCACGTCGACATCGGCGTCCACCGCTGCGGACATGATCGTCGAGACGGGTTCTATATCACCTGCTGAGAACTCCGGTGACGCAGCGACCCAAAAGACGGACGACGGAAAGAACCCTGGCCCATTGTCCGACCACCCCAAGCCCACACTCGCCTGCGTTCGAGCCCATCTCGGTCATGCCGTCGCCGATGTTGCCGGCTCGTTGCTTGGCTTTGCAATCCTCATCAACTCGAGCATCCTCATCCTCGCTGCCGCCGTCTTCTACTACGGCAAAGGACGATCCTCGGTCGGCAACGAAGGCGTTTCCGATCTCTTCGACGCCTTCGATCTCGTCAAGCAGTACCTCGGCCAAGCTTTCGCGTACCTCTTTGCAATCGGCTTGTTCATGGCAGGTCAATCCGCTTCGTTGACGGTCACACTTTCGGGGCAAATCATCTCGGAGGGGTTCATCGAGTGGCATACAACACCGTGGAAGCGAAGGCTGGTGACGAGATTAATTGGAATCGTCCCCAGTCTGGCTGTCGCCGTCGCCATCGGTCGGGAAGGGATCTCGGTCCTGTTGGTGGGATCTCAAGTTGCACTTAGTATTGTGTTGACTTTTGTGCTCGTTCCGTAGGTACTCTACGACGCGCCGATGCCCGCCCACGAGCGATGCTGATCGTACCTCTCACTCCCATACAGCCTCATCATTTTCACCTCGCAATCGCACATCATGTCGATCCCGATCACATCACCAGGCGAAAGCAGTGCACCAATGGGCACGACCGACTCCTTCGCTCGGGCATCCGCTACCCCCCTCCTCGTTGAATCCCCCATCTTCATCCGGCGGTCCTTGAAGGAAACCCTCCGGATCCTGAATCCCATCCGCAAGCGCGCCGCGCCAGAAGGACACGTCTCCTTTGTCAACTCGGCTTTGATCGTCTACCTCTGTTGGGCTTTGTGGCTGCTGATCACGATCGCGAACTTCTTCGCGTTGTACGACATCGGGGCATCTAAGGAGTGATTCGTCTGAGACGGGTTCTCTTCTTCTCAGTGATGGTACACTCTTCAGTTTGAAGTGCTCTTTCTGATTGTAAACGCCTTATGCTGCGAATTATGTTCGGATTTAGTGAAGAATCGCTCATGTGTGGGATTCCTGCGTATGCGATTACGGAGAGCACAAATACTATGGACAACAAACAGAAAGCGACCGACCCAAAGAATCCAAAAATGCCCATCCCAGGCGCTGACCAATGTCAAAAGAAATTTCCAAGTTTCACACCCCACTCTTCAAGGCGACACTTCCAACACCTCGCACTTGCCCCATCGTTCTTCGCTCCGAGCCTCACGTCTCAGAGCCCGACCTTTCGACGGGGTAGGAGGCATATTCCCAAGCTCCCGAACCTCTAATTCCTCCCCACCACTCCCCTCGGAACCCTCATCATCATCAACGACCAAGAACGTAGGCGGCGGCGCGACTTTGATCTTCTTCGTCGGCGACTCCAAATGTTCGGCTGTGGCGATGACTTTATGCGGTAGCCATGATACAGCCCCAATCGATTTGGGGTCTGGTAAATCACCATCACTGTCGTCCTCGTTGTCGCGCACGGAAGGTTCGTCCTCCTCGTCGTCAATCACGAACGGTTCGGATTCGGGATCGTTTCCGACTGTGAAGAGCGTTCGCCTCGTTTTGGTCTTGATGGGTGAGGTAGTAGGCGAAAAAAAGGTCTTGCCCCCATCAAGATCCTGCTCCTTCTTCTTCTCCTTCCCTTTGCTCCCAACTTGAGCTTTCGCCACGCCCCCTTTGGTCGCTTTGAACATGAGCGTATTCGGAGCCCCTTTCCCTTTCGCCGCCGCTACGACGGGCACCGTCTTGATAGGTGCCTTCTTCTTTCTCGGACTAGGGTTCGCCTTCTTGTCCTCCCACTTTTTGACCGCTTCTCGTCCATCAGGATGGGCCTCGACATAAGCGACAGGGACCCAATGCATGAAAGGGGAGATTGAATCGCCATAGTCTTTCAGCGCACGACGTTGCTTGATCAAAGAACCATCGGCGTCGAAATCACCCTCACTGACTTCAGCGCGGGGGTAAGGATCGATAGCGGGTAAAGCCTCGTCGATCAACGTTGAGAATGGAAGTGGATCAAGTCGCACACGATACGAAAGGACGTTCTGCGTCGAATCGGCGTTCTTGAGGTCCCTAACCTCGGCAAAGAGCGGACCCTCGTATTCGGACCGATACGGCGCTTCAGGCACGATTCGATCGGCAGTTCGATCGTCGTACAACGCCCTTCGTCGGATCTCGAGCATCAAGAGAGGTTTGTAGACGAGACTACGGAAACGAGCTCGTACGTCGGCGTTGCCCCATTCGAAATTCTCGGAGCAGTAGAGCACCAATTGCTTCAAGTTGACCGGCGTGTCCCACACGGGAGGGTCCAAGCCGGACGAGACGTTGGGTGAGGTATAGTGGCGCACGATCTCGGGGTTGGGGAAGTCCGTCTGGCCTGGAAGTTGTTGGGATAACTTTGGAGCCTTGCGCATCAGGAACTTTCGAGTGTCGGTGCGAAGCTCTTCGGCGACTTCGGCTCGCCAATCGGCGAAAGCTTGTTTCTGCTCGGCCGAGCCATCGCGGTGGAGCTCGAGGCATCGAAGGAGCGAACGACCAAACCCACATCTCGCTAAGGCGCAACCAATCCTAGGACCGACGAACGCAACCCCTTGCGGGTGGTAGTCACCCCCCGAGAGCAATGCGACGAGGATCAAAGATTCTTGGTCCAGCTCGAGTGTGTCGAGGATATTGAGCGACGTGTAGATTCGGCGGGCGTCTTTCGACGTTGTTGTCGAAGTAGTAGAGGACTTGAGCTTTCTCAAAGATGGTTCTTCGACTGCACTTTCCTCCGCTTTGGATGGAGTGGGCCCAGCTAACTTGCCCGTCTTGGGAGGGTTGCGGATGACCTGGAGGGTGGAAATCGAAAACTTAGTGGCTGAACTTTCTCTATCGCGGACAACCCGGAACTGACCAAGGGAGCTCCGAATAACAGAGCGTCAACATCGTCCTATGAGACCATTCAAGGTAGTGAGTAATTACACCGGAACCTGCTAACAAAGAGCACAAGGTATCACTAACCGTCAGAACAGCATCAATCTCGCCTCGAACCGCCATCGCCGCCAACTCGGCCTCTGCTTCCCCCGGAGCGATCCTCCTCCTCATGCCAAAGAGGTCAATCAATCTCCTTATAAGCACGTCCTCTTTCTTGTTGGTGTTGCCAAAACCTGGGCCTCCTCCTCCGATCCTTTTGCCTCGCTTCCAGTTCGGTTTGCCGGGACCATCGAACACGAAGATCAACAGGCAGCCTTGTGAGAGGAGTTCGACGATCCGAAAGAAGAAGGTCCGGACATCGGCATTCCTGTCAAGGTCGTCGGAGTCTTATGTCAGTCCAACATGCTTTCCCCCGCCGTCCATGACGGGATGCTTCGACCTGAGCGAGCGAGCGAGTGCTCCGGCGTCGTCATCGTTCAACTCATCGACCAGTGCGACTGCCACTCACGCTCCGACCTCGCTCGCATCCATTGCAGCCACCTTGCGTATGTGCTGCGACCAGACCTCGTACGCCAAGCTCAGCTTCGTCGTGGACGTACGCATCATGATCTGACTCACAAAAAGCCATAAGGAGGCATCGATCCCAAGTCGAAAGCCCCTCACGCCCGGAGAGCTCTGGAACTTGGTCGTCGCGATGCCCATGATGGTGTCCCTCTCTTCCGCCGCTTCCAGTTCTTTCCAAAATGTTGGGACCCCCATTCCAAACTGGTGGTGTGGCCTGAGAAGAACCGAGGCCGGATGAGGCGTGGACGTCGCCGCTCGGCCCGTCGAATGATGGGGTTGCCAGTACAACCGTATCGGCAATCAACCCTAATCACCCAGCCGCGATCACGTCAACTCTCCAAAGCCGCTTGCACAGTGATTTTTAGCGAGAGAGGTCATGTCATGTTGCAGCGGGGCTCGAGAAACCGAAAGGGACCGTGTCGTAACTAACAACTCGGTCACTATAGAAATGTATCAAAGTAAGAAAGAGACATTAGAGTGTAAATAGGGAAGGTGGGCGGGAAGCTTAAGAGACCGAGAGATCGCTTTGCGAGGCGTAGCGATCGGGGATGATAAGTAACAGGGCAACTATGACAGAGACACGGCGTAGCATACCTTTGCGAGGCGTAGCGCAGGCGTTCAATACAATTGAACGAGCGTCCGGGAAGACTCCGCGGACGGTAGCCTATGGGATGCTATGCGTTAGTTTGGTGCGCCCAACTAGGGCGATCCAGGAAAGGGTAGAGATCGTACAGAGAGGTCGCGGGGAACTACTGCACGGCAAGTGAGCTATGAGTACGTCGTGCAACTAGCCGAGCGTATTCTGAACACTTACCTCGAGCGCGTGGCAGGCGTGCGTGCGTCGAGGGTTTCTGGAGAGCAGCGGGCTGCTGTAAGGTCCTGATGAAGGAGATTACGGGGTGAGCGACGGATCGCTTGGATGAGGATCCAATGTTGGAGGACCAACTGACCCTTGGCAGAGGGTGGCAGTGCTGGAGCAGCGAGCTGGTCCCAGAATGTGTCGACGGTGCGGAACCGAGGAGAGGGTGAGCGGCGCGGACGCAAGGTACTCGCAGAGGCTGAGGCTCTGAGGAACTCACGGAGAGACCTAGGACGCTGAGCGCTCCGGGGAGGCTAGGAATACGCTGAGCGCTCCGGAGAGGCTAGGATCGGCTGACGCTGAGTCAGGACTAGAATGCACGGATGCGCGCTTGAACAATGAGCGTGGAACTCTTACCGCTAAAGCTGAACAGACATCCAGTCAGTCCAGCTGCCTGGCAGGTCGGTCCTACTCAGTCGATCACATTCGATCACCCTCGGGCCTCGGGCCTCGGCGCATACATTGAGCTCTTCTCTATTAACTCCGGAGATGACGGAATAAATTCGACTTTCAGTTTCCTTCTATGAAATCTACAATGCTATGAACTCTATATGTATTGCTATGCGGGACCCTATCGGAGCGAAAATTCATGAGCTTCGAAGCGGAGGACTGATCTGGTCATTGGTGATCCGCCGACTCAGTTCTCAAGAACGTAGCGGTAACGAGCCTTGCCCTTGTCCATGTCCTTGACGGCTTGCGAAGCATCCGACATGGGTCGCACTTGGATCCAAGGGCGGACGTTCTTCTCGGCCGCGACGTCGAGCATCTCCTTGATCTGGGTCGAACCGGCGATGAGAGTACCGGCGAGAGCGACACCCTTGCCGACGAAAGCCTGGCCATACATGGCGGGCAACTTGGACTCGGGGAGACCGCACAAAGCCATCGTTCCCTCAGGTCGGAGCAAATTCAGGAAGAGTGACTCGATCGGCATGTCGTCTTGGAAGGCCGTGCACACGATCAGGTCGAACGAGCGCGCCCACTTCTTGGCCGTCGCCTTCTCGTCCTTGGTGATGATGAAGTTCTCGGGCTTGACACCGAGCTTCTCCGCATCGGTGAGCTTCGAGTCGCTGTGCGAGAGAGCGAAGGTCTCGGCACCGAGAGCGTTGGAGAATTGCAAGGCGAGATGACCTGAGAGTCGAAAACAGGATGGGTTAGTAACCGTGAACAAACGGGACGGGGGACGGCCGAGGTGACTCACCGAGTCCTCCGATACCGACGACGGCAACACGCTTGCCGGGGCCAGCACCGAATCGCTTCAAGGGCGAGTAAACGGTAGCACCGGCACACATGAGACTAGAGAGGCGAAAGGTCAGCGCGTAAGTTATTCGTGCTCGGCAAGATCTTTTTTAAATTCAGACGACTCACGGAGCAGCCTCGGCTGACTTGATCTGTTCGGGGATGGCGATAGCGAAGCGACCTTGGCAGCGGATGTAGTCGGCGTCTGTAATAGGACGAAATAAAGGGTTAGTTTCGTGTCAGGTTAGTAGCACGACTGCCCTTGCAAACACCACTCACAACCTCCTTGAGCGTAGTTCTCGGGGTCTTCGGGGTAGCGTCCCTGGTAGGTGCCGCGCATGCCCTTGGCGCAGTAGTTCTCCTTGTTAATCTGGCACATGTCGCATTCGCCGCAGCTTCCGCCTTGGGCTCCGACACCAACGCGTTCGCCGATGTTGTGGCCAGACTCCTTGCCGGCACGTACGACGGTTCCGACAACTTCGTGACCAGCGACGCAGGGGTACGAGGTCGGGCTCGGCCAGCCGTTGGTGAGGGTGTGGATGCATGAGCCGCAGATGCCACAGTGCGAGATCTTGATGTCAACCTGTGGGCGATCGCGGAGCGATTGTGAAACCGTCGTCCAGTCAGTTGCCGGAACGAGACAATTTTCCTAGAGAGGAGCTAGCCCGAAGTACTCACATCGGCCTCGGTCCACTTCTTGGGAGTGTCTGTTGGGGAGCGAAAGAAGGAAAAGTCGCAGTTTAACAATGATCAGCTATTGGCCCTCCAGAGGATGCAGAAGCATGGTGACTTGCATTGGATCTTGGTCAAGTTCAAAACCTTGCCTTCCTCCTCGTTGACGGCGGCATAGCCAGTGAATTGCTCAGGGATAGCTTGGGTCGACATAGTGGTGCTGAAGAGGTATATTTAGGTGTGGGAAGATAATAATGTGGATGAGAGAAGGGCAGGAGGAGAAGGAAGGCGGCGAGGTAAGACTCGGTCAAGCCTTCGCAGCGCCCAAACTCGTCCGCAATCGCGACGTCACAATTTGTCATCGAGGGTCCTCCACTTGATCGCCGAGTGTAAGCGGCATCCTCGGTATCCGTCAGCTCGGCTTGTCGCCGTTGGCAGCGGATGTTTTTTCTGTCATTCTTCACGTGAATCGAGAGGAGCATTGACGAATGACCAAGCCAGTATCTCTTGGGGCTGACAAAGCAAGTATACCTTGATGCTACACATCGCACGAATCCGCTCCTGGTATCCGCAGGGCCTGACTCGAGTTTCGCGCTAGCCTCGCTGTGCACGCGGTGCTGGTTCATACGTGAAGTTTAGATTGTCACTAGGTTCGGCGGCGCGCTCCGCGCGCCACCTCCCACCGTAACCGTTGACCCGTTGCAAGACGATCAAATGTACAGAGCCTTCATCTCATCACTGAACTACTTTTTTGTTCTCTGGGAGCCCGATGATGGGCTCAGACCGTCGTCGAGACCCGCGTCGAGTGTGGAGCAACGCCATCCCGGTGATGTTGAGACTCTGAAGGTACTCGATCGAGAATAGTCATTCGTCTTCGTTTTCGACCGAATCCGCGCTGTAGAACGTTTGAGCGTCACCCGACAGCAGGTCGAGCACCATGTCGTTGATCTGACCCACCTGCGAATTTTTGGGCGCCAGAATTGCTCGATCTCGGAAGTATTCGATTTTTTCGCCTATTGACATATTGTCCAGTTCGAGCGCGGGGACGGGATAAACGTGTCTGATCAACCCGGATGTGTTCCTCGCGGTCGCCGGCAAGAGAAGCTCACGTGGGAGCGCGATAGAGTCTTCTGTTTCGTTCGCCGACCCGTCTCCAACTCCTAAGAGCCAAACTGCAAAGCCCTGTGCCTTTGCCCGTTCCGTTTCGGTCGTGCGATCTGCAGCGGCCAGAAGACGCATGTTTGTCTGCGCTCGCACCGTGCCATTGTTAGTATAGGGTCTAAAAGTCAGGCAAGGACTACTACTTACAGAGAGATGCAGCACCTCAACTTCCCCCCAGAAGTCAGCATTCATGATGCAAGCGTCGACAATTTGTGCAGGCGATGACTTGGGAATAACGGGAAGGCATTGCTTCGGATCCCCTGTGATGTTACAGTCCAACCGGTCAGTTAGTCATGCTGCCCTGCGCTTTGGTTTTCAAAGATTGGCACACATCTGCCAACACGACGGTCACTCCACCGAACCGAGCCGTTGAGGATCTGACACGGGCTGGTGAGCCGCAATTCACGGAACCAGAGCCTGTTTTTTGCGTGATTCGTTTATTACAACTATCAGTATTCTTGCTGTTGTCCATCTGTAGCAACGACAGTGAAGACTCACATTTAGTGTCCCATGGACCCGGATTCTCAACCGTACGAAGTCAATCCTTCCGCTGTATTTTCCCGTGGCCTTTGACTTCCAACATGACTGCACATATGTCCCCACCCTTAAAATGGTGCGTACAGCTCAGCATGCCCGTCAACGTTTACGGGTAGCGGCGTAGCGTAAGACTTTGCTAATTTTCGGCCATTGTAGCTTCCTTCGCGAGCGTTGTTGTAGAACATGTGGTATTTGTGGGCATCGATGTCGTTTTCCCAGGCAGGCCACGGTGGGTGCCCCCGCTTTTCGGGGATAGGGTCACCTCCTGTCACTGACGTCCAATGTCTGTTTTTCATATCAGTTTTTCCGTCATGACTGCACAGCCAATGTCAAGTGATAACTCACGAATGCAGTGTCACCAGTTGATGGTGGAAGAAAGCAACTCGAGGGTTGACATTCAACGAAAACGTGTTGAAGGGAATTGCTGCTTGGTAGTTTTCCATTAGCTCCTCAACAATCCCACTAGAGCACAGTTCATGAAGTTACTTACTCGAATCCGTAGCTATGCTGCATGCTGCAGCCATTTCTTGAAAAAAATCGTCCCGTATTCGTGGCAGAGCTTCCACGACGACCCCTTCAGGTGTCACGAGCTCGAGGCCGGTTTGTCTCGAGAACAGTTCGGATCGGCCCACGCGTTCGATATCTGCGTCTAAGGCTGGATGAATGGTTGGTTGACACGCTGAAGCTATATCAATGGGCTGCTCCCCTAAACGTTTTGCTGTTCGCGTTACTTACTACACGGAGGTATTCCTGTTGAGGGATCGATCAATCGACACGATCTTCCTAAGCATTGTGACAACTACTTGAGCCGTGTCCTGGGCCAGGACCGTATGGCGGCAAGTCGATCCACCTCTGGCTATATTTCTAAGCACATCGAAAAGTGGCGCGCGCGGCGCCCCTCCCAGCGCCGCTCTTAAGCGGCGTACCCATACAGGTTGCCCCCCCTGCAACCCGGGTTGGCCGCTGGCCCCAGGCCAAGATTAACTTGCTAATGAGATTGAGCATTTAGTGACTAGTATGCCCGCAGACCTGTCTCTTTCAGCTTCCGCTCAGCGCCAAGTGAGACCCGCCTCAGTTCTAACCAGAGCATCAACTATCGAGACACCCTTCCTAAATCTCGAAGCTACGCAATTCACATCGACGATGGGCAGGCATCGATGGAGACCTTTCAAGGTCCGTCTGGACTACTTTGAGGAGCATCCTTCCTATAGGCCTCAAGGCCTCCGATCGGACGCCCGACTCCGCACCAACATCCCCGGAACCCGGCACCGTGTTACTTACACTGCCCGCCAAATCCAGCAAGGAACCTTCGATGATTTTGGCGAAGCTAGCTCGCCGTCTCCTCAGCGTCCAATGACCCTTCCAATTCAGGCCGATTCCGACGAAGCCGCGAGTGACGCCGCCAACCCGAGTGGGATGGATTGGGATGAAGAGCGTTACAGCGAGTACGGTGGTGGCTTCGAACACGACTTCGATCCAGCCCCATACTCTCCGGATCGAACATCCCATTTCCCAACCTCGCCTGACTATAGTGCAATCGCCGAGCGATTATCACTGGCTGACCTGCGCCAAGTCGAAAGTTTCGAATCAGCCACACGTGGTCAGTCGAAGCAAGAAACGTACAAGCAATTCGTGTTCAACGACGCTCGCCTTAGGCGCTTGGAACGGCCAGCGCTTCTGCGCCAGTACATCGCGTTTTGCGCTGGGGTCAAAGGTCATCTACGGCCCTTGATTGACGTGGACGAGGAGCTGTGCCAGGGTTCGGTCGCTAGCGAAGTGCCGCCGCCTTGTTCATGCAAGAGTCCCCTCACGTTACGGCTTGACGTGTACGACCTCATAAGCTGTATGTGAATCAGGCGAATTGGGTCGCTGTGTCGAACGTTGCGCTGACAAGGTCGAATGGTTGAATCAATGCAGTGGTCGAGGTGCCGATCGCTTTTTGTCCGAGATCCAGCAGCGATAGCCCATGCCTTACGTACGCCGAGCGCCTTGCTCAGATTGGATTAATCGGATCGACCGCAGCTGCTCCTCGCTCTGCATTCACCTTTCGACTTCTGGTGGAGCACCGCGCCGTTTCCTGTCGATGGAGCAGCTCGCGGGCTCGACATTTTCTATGAGCAAACTGGATGGGGTCGGCCGGGCCTGAGTCAGCATAAATTCGTGAGTTCGACCTCCTGTCATGATTGCTATTGAGCATTATCTGATGTTTATCATCGTTTGCGCAGGACAAGGAGTTGCGAAAGCAACTCCAGCGCGCCCTTGACGAATTTCGGGCTCTCACGACATCCGAGCGAGAATTGGGCGACCTCGTCCTCGGTGTCGCGGATTCTCTCTCGGACAAGTGTCCAGCATGCTACGGATCGACGCGTCTAAACCAAGCCCACCATAGAGTCGAAGTGCAGCATCTTGTCGCTCTGGATGGCAACTTCCAACATTCTCGCGACACCTCAGCCAAATACGATCCTCAGGAGTCGACGCCAGCCCTCTTCCTCGGCGAAGATGAGCTCGAATCGATGAAGGAGATCTGTGATGGTGGCGACAGCAAGAAGTCAGAAAAGGTCCGCTGATCCGAGCCGCCCCCTGCGATCCTTTCAACGCGCTGACGCCTTTCCTCTTGCGTCTTGAAGGCTTGTGCTGATTCGTGGAAAGCGGCCAACGGCGGTGCGACACAAATCTCGCGGGGCAAGTCCGATACGGGCCTAGTTGCCTGTGTCTGCCGTCACGATATCGCGTTGAAGATGGTCAACTTGTATCAATCAGGTGAAAAGTTCGTCAGCTCAGCTCCTCTCTCACCCGCTTACAAGGCCTGACGCTCGTTTTTGATGAGGCAGGCGCTACTACGGCTTATCGCTGCTGCAACATATTTCGAACCAACTCCCGTCCGACGATACACTCGGAGTGCTGTATGATGTTGCGTGTAATTTGGACGGCTACATGCAATCGGTCAGCAAGAGTGGCGGATCCGTCGTTTCTTAGATTTCTGGCCCTGGGGCGCCGCTGACCTTCACTGTACTTCGATCGCCCGCAGAGAGGTATCCTTCCCGATTTGTTTCCGAGATTGAAGTTTGCCACGAGCGTGTTTCATGCTTTTGCTCATCAATGGCCCTGCCAGCTCGAGTACAACCCGCGCCTGATTCAGCACTTTGGGTTGACGGATGGGGAGGGATGCGAACGCGTTTGGAGTCAGCTCCGATCGCTCATCCCGATCAATCGTCCTGCGAGCGCTTCTCACCGGCGCGTCAACATCTCGCGTCGCATCGACCTGATGAACAAGAACGGTGTTGATAGCCTCGGTATGCTCTGCCATCCACACTTTCACGCCGTGTTCGTTACTCAATCATGCGGTCCCTTCATTCATCGTCCATTCTAGGCCGTTGGCTCCGCAGACGACTGTCGAATGCTCAAGATCAGCTTGGAAGGGCACAAACTGATCTGAGCGACGTTTCGGCAATATGGTCCGAGTCTGACCTTCTCGCGCAATGGGATTTACAGCGAGCTGCTCAAGCGGCCACAACGGCGAGTCAACGTCGGGAGAATGAGGACAAGGAGCGATTCGAGCTTTTCAACATTGTACAGAAGCTACACCAGGTGGAAGAAAGGCTGTACGTTCGGCGCGTCAAGCCCCATTGGAGGACAAGGGCGTAAAATTGACACTGTGTCTTGGCATTGTGTGTTCAGATTCGATCCAATGGCTTCCGATGAAGCGAAGGCTCGCTTGCAGCAACAGCTAAGAGCTTATCAACAAGAATACAATCGTACGAAGGAACTTGCAGCTTCAGGTGCGGCGCGCGTCCTATCTTTATGAGTACCGCCACCTGATATTTGATGTCCCATGACATACCTAGATTTCCAGCATTTGTGCAACTGCGTAGTCAAACTTCGCGCATTACACAAAGCGACGGTCCAATTGCAATGCTGTCAAGAACGAATTGACTCAATGGGTCGGGGACGAAGCGGCGCGACAATCGGTCAAGTCGAAGCCAGCAAGCTTGTCAGCGTCTCACAGACGCACAGCAAGAAATGAAAAGTGGCAATCGATATGTACAATAAAGCGGTCGGGGATTACCGAAATGCTGCGACCGAGCAATCGGCCAAGATTCTGGACAACTTGCCGCTCGCTACCACGATAAAGTCGCTTGTGACTCTGTCGCCAACGGACGCTTTCTGGCAAGACGGTTTTTTCGAACACGACACTGCGCCTTGGGCGATCGATACCGACGTTCAGAAAGGGATCAAGGCGGTTCTACTCAAAGCCAGGGCGGAAGAAGAGATTCTTCGAATCGGAGCTGAGGTTCGACAACTACTCGCGTGGCTCGAAGATGAGGACACTCGCTTTGTTAGGGTATCTCAGGCATGGGCAGAGGACAAAGGTGAGATGGACACACTCTTTCTTTGTGATGGTGCTGTACCTTACGTCGCCCCTTCTATTAGTTCCCGAAGAAACGATCGAAGCGGCTAGGAAACTTCTCGGAACTGATGGCGCGGGCGAGGTTGGCACGGCGGTGTGGCATGTGCTTCAACGCCGACAGATTTCGTTCAAAGAGCGTCTGGATCGGCTCGCCGAGCGCGATGATCTCTCGGTTGTCTGGTTCAGAACGCGTTCACCCGCAGTTCATGAATCGCGGCCCTCGGCATTCGGTTTGATCGGGGGACTTTTCGCCGGACGGCCGAAACAGGTGTCGCGCCGTTCGCGCGGTAGTCCACGTCATTTCGGTCGCCGCCTTTCGACGCCGAATCATACTCAAATGAAGAGCCTCGTCGCTGAGTCGAGCCGCCGCTCATCAGGTCCTTCTGCCGTGGACGTGCGCCACACAACCATCGACCTCGACGCATTCCGAAGGGAACTTGGCCTGACCCCCGATCCAGCCGCGGAGCAGGCCGAGCGAGACCGCGATGATGTGTATGAAAGACGAATGGAAGAACTTTTGGGCTCACGATCGGAGCAGGAGGTTGAGGAAGAAGATGATGCTGAGCTCGGGGAGGGCGGCGGAGAGTCAGGCTCGACAGGGGGTGAAGCCTCGGACGACCTCGAGATTCTCGACGAGCCCATGGGCTAGCTAGGGATGGTTTGGCGCATTTGTTGACTGTAGATTGTTTGTTATTGAAGAACTTTGCTTTTTGTATGCGGCCCATATCGCACATGGTGGAATGTGGACGCCAAAGTGCACAAAAGTAAATCGAATGTCAGCCTTAATCAGGCGTTGACGCGTTGACGCGTTGACGACCACGATCCCACGAGCCGGTCGCCACGGCCACAGTCGCCGAACTGCAGTGCGTGCAGTGACAAGCTTGAAGGTTCTGCTAAGTTAAAGACTGGAAATTGGTGCGCATCGGTGCTGACATTTGCATTTTCAGATTTGGGAACGTTGCCAGACCTTACAACTCAAAGTTCCTTTTCTCTTCTCAGTGACAATGCTCTGTGCGCTCGGTCGATTAAGATCGCACACAACGGATGCGAGCGCCGGAATGCATTACACCCCAGTGGAAGGTTCTGCTTGGTGCTGACCGGCAGTTCGGTGAGCATCGGTGCTGACATTTGCAAGTTCAGGTAAGTTGGGAACGTTGCCAGAGCCGGGGGGGGGCGGGGGGCGGGGAGGATTGGTGTTGCTGTAGTTGTCTGTTCCAACAGAACCCCAAAGTGGGTACAGACGCGTTCCGAGTGAACAACGGCGCTCACTGCTAGTACTACTAACACGGAGGACTCGACTCGGACCTGCGGTCTTGGGTGCGTGACCCTACACGCCCACGGAGTACGCAGCGGAAATCGCAGCGGCGGAACGCTCGTTGTACAGTGCTTGCGATAATATGTCAGCAAGAATCGAATACGTCACCGCATACCTTCTACCCCGTTGACGTGATAGTTTATGTAGTCGAGTGAGCAGGGATATCGGTCCATCGGCCAAGGACCTTGTACTAGGGGCTTTGTACTCCCGGGGGTACACACATACACAGTCAGAGTCGGCGCGTGACAAGAGTGTAACCCCGGGAGGACGCGGCCTGATCCGCCGACAAAGCTGTGTACTCCCGGGGGTACACAGTCATTCGGCGCGCGGGGTGTGGCCACTCCCGGGAGTACACAGCGGAAGAGCGGACCGGTCCTGCGTGCCCCCGGGGGTGCACAGGCGCTTTCCCGCTTGCGGCTTGTGTACCCCCGGGGTTGCAAGGCCGGTCACCGGTGGCAGATCACTGTACAATGGCATATACGATTCTCCAACGGCAGGAAGTTAATCCTTTCGGTAACTTCAGACACATCCTGGGCTTTGAGCGGGTGCGTGGACGTTTGTTGTAGTGCAGTTTCGCTCTGCTCGGTGGTTCGAACGAAGCATTCAGCTAGGGAAGTGTGTTGGCCTTGCGGGCTTTTCAGAGTGCAAGTCGGATGTAGCAAACGAATCTTTCGTCGGTCTCGTCGCAGGAGGTTATTCCATTCAGTAACTGCAGACACATCCTGAGCTTTGAATGGGTGCGTGGAAGTTTGTTGTAGTGCAGTCAGCAAGGGCGTCGGCGACGGACCGCGCCTGAGCCGTGGAACCCCGGGGGTACATAGCTGGAGAGGGCACCGGTCGTGTGTACCTCCGGGGGGTACACACCGCCACGCCGGTTGTACAATGCTTGTTAAGAGTGTCCCAGAATTGAAGAAGCACGTCGTCGCATACCGCCTCCTCATTTCCGGAGGCGCGGGGCTCTGTTGTAGTGTATCTACGCCATGCCCTAAGGTTTGAAATTGAACAAGAATTTCCGCCTTCGGAGTGCGTTGTACCCTCGGGGTGAATCATGGTTGCAGTGCAGGATCTCCATTGACACAACATACAAGCTAGGCAGCTACACACGCTCACGGAAAACTCGAGACGGTCATCGCCTAACCGGTGAATTGACACTCATGGTGCCTCATGTCCCAGTATCCAGGCCGCGCTCCAGCTCGCTCAGGCTGGTCAGCTCGGAGAGGGTGGAGAGGGTGCTTTCGGCCTCCGAGCCGGCTGCCGATCCGTGGTCGGAATGTTGGCCGGTCGCCGAACTGTGTTCCGATATCGCGTCCTCCGCTCGTGCCCCCGAGGTCGACGCGGCGCCCTCACCGCCGGACCCCTTCTTGCGCATCCAACAATACGCGTCCCTCTGTTCACTCGACAGCGCCAACCACCTGTGGGCACACTCAACAATCCAGGAGTCCCAGGTCTTCTTCCTTCCGGGCTCGAGGTCCGCATCGGTGGGCGGCTTGGGAGGTTCGGGAACGTGGACGAGCACCGTCGTTGCAAATGGTCTGAGCGCTGCTTGCCAGGTGCGATGTTCGCTTTCTAACTGATCCCAGTACTCGTCCGGGACACGTTTCCCGAGGAAAGGGCGGTACGCTTTTTGGATCCATCTTAAAAGGCGGTCACTCCCCTCCTGGTCCTCGTCGGTCCTTATTTCGTCCTCAGGGAGGGGGCGTTGGCACTCGTGGTACAGGGGTGAAAGGATTTCACTGAATAGGCGCGATTCCTCATGTTCGGCGGCAATGTTGACGGGGACGGTGAAGATGCGCGCGAGGATGTCGTCGAAGTCTTGGATGCGGGTTCTATACTCCTTCAAAACTCTCGCGCTCCCTCCACCTCTTTTTCGCTTCTGGTCATTGTATGCATCGAACAACACGATCCTCCAATGGATGAGCACGGTCAACAGGCTCCGAGGCAGACGTCCATTCCCTTTGTGCCCTGCCCATTCATCCCAAACAGGCCACACGACGTAGTCGATCTCCTCCCGGACCTCATAGGCCAAATTTTCGTCGTCCTCGGGGATTGGGTCTTGAATCATGATGTCTTCGGGTTCCATCGCCAGCCGACGCGCCCTTTCCGCCGCCCACTCGTCGTGCCTCGCACGGTCCGCTTTCCCTGGCGCCTCCAACCTGTCAAGCTTGGCCTGCAACTGCCGGCGGTATCTTTTCTTCAGGTGGCCAAAACCCTAATCAGATCAGATAAGTACATAAACAAAGGTTTAGCCGAATTCCACATATTTTGTATCTGATCTCCTGGGAAAGCTGTTTAGCACTCACCGCTTGGACCTCACGGTCGGTACCGATCAGCTCAAACGCCGCCTCGTTGCATCTGTACCGACTGTCGACCGTAGACGGATTGAACGTGCGCTTGTGTATACGAATGATATGTTTTTTCAGGTTTCGTTTGGCCTCATGTGCATGTTCCGGTGCTACAGTTGGGGCGTCGAGTGACCTGTACCCCCCAGGCAGCTTGTAGTGTTTGTTGCAAAGTTCACAACGGACACGCCATTGGCCGGACTCGTCACGGATGAGATGCGAGTCGATGTCGAGCCAAGCGCGCTCGCCCTCGGTGGCGCGTGGTGCCATGTTGGACTTGGAGTGGGGTTTAGGGGTGAGAAAGAGAAGTGTCCCACTGTGTACCCCCGGGGGTACACGTCGCGCCGAGCGTCACCGAGCGTCACCGAGCGCGCGCGCTCTCCTCTCACAGCATCACCGACACCGTTGCGTCACAGCCGATCCGATGCCCTCAGCGACTCGATTCATACCAAGTTACAACCAGCGATTCTGTCTGCGGGACACAAAGATCAAAATCATCGAGTATTTGCACGAGACGAGATATAGTGGCCACCTGGCACATTGCCTGTCCCAGGCGTGAAGCAATACGTAGTCGGCACCGAGCGCGACCTATGAACGCTAGCGCTTGTATGCAAGCGACTCGGCCAACAACGAGAATTGCTACTACGAAGTCATTGACGCCTCAGCACCAAGCTGCCACTATATCGATGCCGACTTTACGCCCCCTTCCATTGACAATTCAGCAGAAAAGGCATTGATTACGCGTAATGCAGCGTCGTATTTCCCTGGCCCTCAGCTAGAACACCGTGGTCAGCTAGCAAGCTCGGACACCTTGCGATCTTGCGTCTGCAGGTCAGAAGTGGTGAACTACCTTGTTCCCTGCTTCTGTTTTATATCTATTGTTCCAGCGCCAACGAATAATCTCGGCTCTCCTTCTCACCGTGGGCACGCCGTTTGAAGAACCCTACGCGAAGCGTGTTATTACGGACATTCTCGACAAGGTTCTGCTGTCACTTCGCCGGCGTCTCGGGGGGTCCGAAGGGGTAGTCGAAGAAATTTGGGTGCTTTGCTGTTGGTCACCCCCCAAGCTCTGGGACGAGCTTAACTGCAGTTTGACATTAGGTAGGATGAGTGAGTGCTTTATTTGAACATCCATTATTTGCCTGAATCTACGGAGTAAAATCTGAAACGTTTAGCGCGGGTAAATCTATTTGCTTTGCGATTTGCTTTGCGATCAAAAATGCGTCGCATAATTGATCAACGGACGGACAGTGAAGCTAGTCAAGATGGGTGGAAACTTGTTGAATACCTCTTGCCACACAGGTCGATATCACCTCAACGACTACAAAAAGTTTGGCAATCTACCTCAACGCGCGATAGGCGCACCAACAATATACTGAACAACAGAAATGTAGTCGGATTCGGAATCAAAATGTTGCAGCTCCCAAATCAGAATCAGAACCAGAACCAAGATCAGAAGCAGAAGCAGAATCAGAAGCAGAATCAGATCCAGTGTCTTGGTCTTCTGGCTCCGTTTCCGACTGCTCGCTCATCAAAGTACTCTCGGCAGGAGTGCGGTCAAAAGAGACCTGGCCGATATCCTCTTTGAGCGAAAACGTAAGCCCACCCTGTCGCATCAATGGAATAATTCTTCTCAAATTGTTAACGGTCGGCTTCTTGCCATTGGTAGGACTGCGGAAATCATGCTCGTGAAGACCGTTTCCGAGCTCGATAACAAGGGCGGTTGGATCCTTCGCAAGAGTTTCCTGGTTGTAGCTCGTAAGCTTGGAAGGCACGTAGGGCTGAATAGACTTGTTTCTGTTGTGGCGACGACGGAGCGCTTGATCTGCACGGCCACAAAACTTCAGTCATGGGCTGCCAAATGTGGGCGCAGAGCGGTGGAGTGATTGCTTACTATAGTAATCGTCAATGATAATGCGATACCATGTGCAGAGCACTCGGTGAGACGCCTTGTCAACATCACCATGATGAGCTGCTCATCAGTTCTTGGAATCAGCACCAATCTATCGCCGAGCACAAGGTCCGTTCTGAAGCTTGTCTGACAGACCTTCCATCTTGAATTGCTCGTCTCGCTCCTGATTGAACCGGGTGCCATTTATGCATTCCGTGAAGTTAACGAGCACATCGTTCTTTTGAGAACCCCAGCTTTGGCGCCGCATGAAAGCTGCGCCGCCAAGCGTCGAAACGATGAAACGATCATTTTTATTCTCGAGCTTGTTCGAGCCGACGATGACTAACGCGTCGAATCCGTAGGTGTCAGCATGCTGATTAACCTGATGCAGTGCCAAGCTATCTAAGTCAGCGGGAGGATCATGAGAATTGAGGAGAGCCCAACGAGAAGAGCTGAATTGTCACGGACCAGTTCGTGTATCGTCTTTTCGTACTTGTGACTCAGTTTGGTGATGGCAGCAGGATCGATTCGCCATCGCTTGAAGGGACGAGTGGTCTGCTTGTGTTCACGCGCTTCGGCTTCACTTGCTCACGCTTCCTTCCATTGTTCATAAAGATCTGGCGAGTCTTTGACTTTTTCCCAGTAGCGCGATCCAATTGTGTTTAGCGTAGAAAAATCTTTCGAGACTTTGTAGAGGTACAGAGTGATCAATTTGTGAGTCAAAGAAGCGTAAAGGAGCGTAAAGGAGCGTCTTGAAATGCCAAAATGAACGATCTCGGGATGAGCTAGAAAGGCAGACGCCGCGCTCACCTTCGAGTCCGTCCTTCTCGACGAGACAGTGGAAAAAGCGGCTCGTCTTGAAAGCGTTCCAGTCGTTTGTGTCATTCCTTCGGATCGCACGAGGCATGTACGAGTCGAGGTCGTCGTCCCGAACGCCATGATGCAGACAATACTTCATTGTCTCGAGGCGACGTTGCAAGCCATAGAGCACATGGGGCTGCTTCTGCGACGACGACATTCGCGAAGTTGAAGGCAACGCACGAACGGCATCATGGAGAGCTCGAATCTCTTCCTGAATCTGTTTGATTTGTTGATCAATTGAGTTGGACGAGGTCGGCCTTGAGGCGAGCGGTGTGCTTCGTCCACATTCGGGAGTCGCGCCGCTGGGCGCAGGAAGGTGGTTCTGTTGGGTCTGAACCGTAATTGGAGACAGTACGGACCCCATGTCTGCGCTGTTGGTCGATTGCACCGAAGCAGCTGTGCAGAAACAGCGAGGAACGGTGGTGAGCAGAAGGACCACCCATATCACAAACACGAGGACGCGTCTCACGGGTGGGAGCGGCAAAGTCTGACGCGTTGCTGGGAGCAGACAGGCTGGACATATCGGATCGTCGGATGGCGTCAAGTATAGATATATGACGAAGAGCGTAATGGCGACAGGAAGGGGTAAGACCAGGACTGCACGTGGTCGATAGCGGCGCGTCAAGCGTGAAGAGGCATCAAGTCGCTCGTTGTCACTCAGTGTCGCTTGCGTTTGTTAGCGTGGTGAAAGGGCACGAGACTCTATCACGTTCAATAATGCCATTTTATCACTTTAGTAATGATGTTTCCTAATCGAACCTCTCCTCGCTGATAGTTTACCGAAAAAATTGACACTGAGTGTTCCAAATACGAATTACACACTACGATGACTAGAATAACCTGATTTGAGCACGCACGTACATGAGATGAAACTGTTGGAGCCCACACAAGCCTCCGTGTGCCCCTGGCCTCGGGCCCTCAAGCAACCCGGGTTGCAGGGGGAGCAATCTGTATGAGTACGCCGCTTAAGAGCGGCGCTGGGAAGGGCGCTGCGCGCGCCACTTTTTGGTGTGCTTAGATATATAGCCAGAGGTGCTACTCAGAGGCTACTTATGGGGCTGTTTCTGTAAGGCATCCCCTTACAGAACCCTAAAATCGTTTCTAGACGTTGCCCTGTGTCGTCCAGCCGGCCAGTGTGGTCGCCGGCTGACTCGCGGCAGATGTTTCTGCGAGTCCCACTACACTGGCATGAAAGCTCACGATTTTTGTTGGAGTGTGCCTCACACCCGGAGAAATCATGGTCGGACCAGCTACCTTCCTACGTAAACAGATTATCTCGCCAATGTCCTTGGGCATGAAATTGTTAAATTGCGCCGGAGCTATTCGCGGAGTTTTGGGGACAGCCGGTTGAAAGGAGCGTGCCGGTCCCGGTGATGGTCCAAGCTCAAAGCCCAAATCTTGGCCCGCGTAGATCAGTTCCGCGTCTGGCGCGGGACAATTGACGACGTTGGTTTCCTCTGCTCAAAGCGATCCAAAAAACCCGACTCTCTGTTTAACCCCCTACACCGCATCACCATGTTCGCCGCCGTTCCCAAGACTCAGCTGTTGCGCTCCATCGCTGCTCGCTCTTACGCGTCCCAGGCCTCGCAGGCGACCCAAGCCGCTGTGCAGCCGATCGTCGAGAGTCAGTTGGCGTTTGAACTGATGTTTACTCTTGGGGCCTTTGGCTGATCGTGACCTTTGGCGAATTCAACCGACAGACAAGCCAGGATCTCAATTCGCTCCTTTCCAATGGCAGGACCCGCTCAAGATCGAGTCGACGTTGCTGAGCGAGGACGAGCAGTCCATCATGTCAGTCTCGAGACTTCTTGCGCCGACGTGGTCCCCGGACGCTCTCGGCAAATCGCGGGGCGCCTCCACGCGTGTCCGAGTCGACTCTGTGGCCGGGGCAGTTCAGCTGAAACTGGTGCATGCTTTACGGACCATACCACATGGCGCAATTTGTAAACAGGGAGACCGCTCGAGAGTACTGCAAGGAACAGTTGGCTCCTCGCGTGCTCGAGGCGTACCGAAATGAGAGTGAGTGACGGTGGAACTCGTGTGGAACGGCGTGGGCCGAAGGACAACACCGAACCTGACGTCTTTCAACTTTTGTTCAGACTTCGACCGCGAGATTCTGAGCGAGATGGTGCGTGAACACCATGGATTTCTCGATGAAACTGGTCGCTCTCGAGCTGACCTGGACGTTGACTTGCGTAGGGAGACCTCGGTTTGCTCGGCGCGACGATCAAGACCCACGGGTGCGCAGGCATCAGTTCGGTCGGCTATGGATTGATTGCACGAGAAGTCGAGCGAGTCGATTCGGGTTACCGCTCTGCCATGTCGGTCCAATCTTCTCTCGTCATGCACCCGATCAACACCTTCGGCTCTCAAGAGCTCAAGGACAAGTTCTTGCCCGACTTGGCCAAGGGCAAAAAGGTCGGATGCTTCGGTTTGACCGAGCCCGACCATGGATCCGACCCTGCTGGAATGACGACCGAGGCGACCGAAGTTGACGGTGGCTTTTCACTCACCGGTGCCAAGACGTGGATCTCGAACTCGCCCATCGCCGATGTCTTTGTGGTGTGGGCCAAGTGCAAGTGGGACGGCAAGATCCGTGGTTTCGTGATGGAGAAGGTAAGGGCTTTTCTTAAAATCCACTTCGCGAAAGCCAACTGTGAGTATCTGACTCGCCAACTCGGTTGATTGGTTGCTTGATCGCAGGGAATGAAAGGTCTTTCGGCTCCTCAAATCAAGAACAAGCTGTCGCTTCGCGCGTCGATCACTGGATCCATCTTCATGGATGGTGTCAAGGTCCCGCATGGCAACGTTTTGGACGTGACAGGTCTCAAGGGACCCTTTTCGTGTCTCAAGTGAGTGCGCCGAGTCGATGAATTGATCACTTTATGGCGGACTAACGTCTGAAGTACTCTCCGTTTTCCCAGCAACGCTCGATTCGGTATCTCGTTCGGTGTCATCGGTGCTTTGGAGGAGGCGATCGAGCTCTCGAGATCGTACGCGTTGGAGAGGTGCGTTAGGCTCGCTCGGTGTCCCCAGCCCGACATAATCTGCGCTTACAGTTCACATATTGGATGTAAAACATTCGTAGGAAGCAATTCGGCAAGCCCATCGCTTCGTTCCAGCTTATACAGAAGAAGCTCGCCGACGCGAGCTCAGAAGCAGCTCGTACGTCCTTCGTCCACCTGAGGTAATGAATTTTTCTGGTGTCGTGGAAGCTAATCTCTTTCCTCGTTATCAGTCGGTCTCATCGCGTCCATTCAGCTCGGCCGACTGAAGGACGCTGGCAACTGGTCACGTGAGTTCCGAGGGACCACTATGCGACAAACTCAAGACTTGGGACTGACGAGCCGTGTTTTGTACAGCCGAGATGGTCTCGTTGATGAAGCGCAACAACTGCTACAAGGCAACAGAGAATACACGAACGTTAATGGAAATCTTCGGTGGAAACGCCTGCGCCGATGAGTGAGTCGCGCCGCGCGAAAATGCTGACCGCCTAGATACAATTCTGACCCTACGCATTTCGATAGGTACCACATTGCTCGAATCGCATCCAATCTTCACACTGTGTCGACCTATGAGGGCGAGTCTGGCTTTCGAGATCTGATGGGACTCCTCCCTCTACCGGACGAGTGCTCACCGGCTTTTTGAGTCTTGTGCAGGCACATACGACGTCCACGGCTTGATCTTGGGCCGAGCCATCACTGGCATTCAGGCTTTCCAGTAAATGTTTTGATTACTCTTGTGCAAATATTGTGTGTGGGTAATATAGAAGGGATGATTTACTCGCAGCCGCGGCCCGGATAATGTCTAGTTCCGGGCCCCAAAGCCAATGGGATTGCGCCGCTTCAAACGGTACTTCCTGCGGCTTAACCATTTTTCATGGTGTCTGTGGGCGAAGTCAACCGCCGATACAGTTGATTCTGACAAAAAAATGACAGCAACATTGATCCTTGTTTGCACGGGTCAGGATGGAGGTCAGTTGTGCCGACTACCGCGTCGTCCGTGGCGGGGCGGCGCAGACGCGGAAATGAACTGGCCGCGTCACCTCTGCTCGCGCGGAAGGGTCGAGGCCGCCAGGCGATAGAGCGGGTGGGCGATTGGCAAATGGCGTGCTCATCGCAATCGAATTTTGCTGGGGACGCTCGCTCGGCGCCCATCGCGCCCGGGGTTTTGGATCGGTCATGCTTGATCAGCAACCCGCATCATTTCATCGCCTTGCGCCCGCCCACAGAAGCGGTTTCTTGTCTTTGTCGCACCTCTGTTCAAAGGATCAATCACCTCGAGCTACAGCTTTGACCACCTTCTTCGCTTCCTTCACCTACCGCCGTTGCTCTCTGTGCGCCTGCTCCCTCACCTTCTTCCGTCAGTCGCAGTCGTCGCCGTCCCCCTGTGATCATCGCCGAGTCCGAAGTCTTCAAATTTGTGCCACCCGCCGCCGCCCCACCGCCGCACACCCCCCATCCCGCAAGATAACGATGGCATCCACATCACCCGTAGCGTCGACGTCGACATCGATCGCCAGCTCTCCCTCTCTCCGTGCCTCCAGCCCAGCATCGTCCGTTTCGGCCGGATCTGAGGCGATCGCCCCCTTCGACGTCTCGACGATCGATGTCGTCAACGCGTCCCTCTCCGCCGCCACGCCGCAGGAGATTCTCGCGTGGGCGATCGCTCATTTGCCGAACCTCTGGCAAACGACCGCCTTTGGTCTGACCGGTCTGGCGGCGACGGACATGATTGCCAAGATCACAAAACGTCAAAAGGCGAGCCAACACCTCGTTCCCATGATCTTCATCGACACGCTGTACCATTTTGAAGAGACGCTCGCGCTCGCGGACAAGGTCGAGCGCAAGTACAAGCTTAAGATGTCGGTCTTCCGACCACCCGGAGTCGAGACGACGGCCGAGTTCGAGGAGAAGTACGGTCAGGAATTGTGGAAGACCGATGAGGATACATACGATTACTTGGTCAAGGTGAGCTTTGCACGACCAAGGGGTCATGCTCGCGTGGCGAGCACCCTGCACTGGCGAACCGAAGAATTATCAAGCTGACACTTTGTGTCCGCATCCCGCATTGTCCCACAATAGGTCGAACCTGCACGAAGAGCATACGAGGAATTGGGTGTCAAGGCTGTCATTACCGGTCGACGACGATCCCAAGGTGCGGACCGAGCGACATTGCAACCGCTTGAAGTCGATTCGACCGGCTTGATCAAGGTCAACCCCTTGTGCCGATGGGGCTTCAGCGAGGTCAAGGACTATATCGACATGGCCGGCGTTCCTTACAACCCTCTGCTCGACCAGGGCTACAAGTCGGTTGGCGACTGGCATTCGACCAAGATTCCCATTGATGGCGAGGGAGAGCGTGCCGGTCGATGGTCGGGCAACACCCAAAAAACGGAGTGCGGGTTGCACAAGGACTACTTCAAGATGTGAGCTCATTCTGAGCCTTTTATTGCAATTAGTGCAAGATCTAGATGCTGACATTTTTATTTTTTTTGATCTTTGGGACGCACCACAGGAAGAAGGCCTATGAGAAAAAGCGACGAGAAGCCGAGCTGGCATCCCAGGACAAGGCCCGTGGAGAGGACGTTGTTGGCGAGACGTCGGTACAAATGGATCTCTTGGCTCTTAACTAGACTAGGTCCTTCTTTCCTATAATATCTGCATACACTACTGTAGAGCTCGATTGATCACCCTTTCACCTGAAGTTTCCGTTCTGAGTCCCATGTTTTGTAATCGACCCGTGTTCAGTTTAGCAGTCACTGTAAGGGGATGCCTTACAGATCAGCCCCATAAGTAGCCTCTGAGTAGCTAGAACTGTCGAGTTCTAGTTACGACTTGCATCAGGGATGGGAGCAGGCCATAAAGCTGGATTCTGCTCCCAGCCAGGAACACGCAGTTGAGATACTAGCTCGTACTCCTGTAGAGGTTCGACTTCGTACATGCGGGGCTCGTCAGCCGAAGAAGTCCGCCTCACGTGCAGGCGACGGCATCAATGACTTCGGAGCAGAGGCCGCCGACAAGGGTCATCATCGTGAATCTTCGGGACGCGCCGCTGGCTCTTGAATGAAACGTGGATTTGCCGTTAGAGTTTCTAGCCCGGCTCGTCTTGCGGTGGTTATTCGCTTGCGGCTAAGTAGGAGCTACTGCTTATCCTCGGGCCATGGTTGTGTGAGTGTGACGTTATAGAGGGCACTGGAGGTTCAGGGACTGGTCCCCGCCCCGCGGTGCGTTAATTTTGGATGGAACAGGAATGAAGGTTACATGTAAGGTATGCACCTCTGATGTGCATAAAATACAATCTGTCGTTCTTGACCGCTAGGCTAAAAGCAAGTCGTAACTAGAACTCGACAGTTCTAGCTACTCAGAGGCTACTTATGGGGCTGTGGGGTTTTCTCGTCTTACATAGGCCGCGCGGCGGGTGACTCTGGTACCGAACCGCCATACACATCCACACTCGAGCGAGGTCCCACCCAATGACATCACCGTCGTGGGCCTCATGCTCCTTCTTTCCCCAGTATCTGCGGTGATTGGGAACCACCTGCACGTACAACGGGACTCGAGTGTGCGTTCCGAGATTAGGACTACGCCGCAAGGAAGCGAGGCCCCTGCGGAAGGTATACCCCGCCTCTTGTCTCCAGCCGCGCGCCGGTGTTGTCGGCCACCCGCCCGCGCTGCAGACCGAGGCGGGTCCAATGGACTGTCACATGCTCCGTGACTTTCCCCGGAAATCTCTGGATTGTGTGTTTTTGTGCGAAGTAGGCCTGTTTCGCAGTTGCAGTCATTGAAATGGGGGTGATCTGGGGTCGTGCGGTCGCGAGGGGGGGCAGACTTTGGTAACCGAAAAGGGGTTTGGAATCCGCGGTGCAGATCCAGCGCAGTTGGGTACAAGGGGTATGTGATTGCTGCGGTCGCAGGGGGTTACATCCCCCCTTTGGACCACGTGAATCATTCGGAATGAGCGGGATGTTTGTGCCATCGGAGGCCTTGTTCGACGCGTGTCAAAGAATTAAGGGGCCTCAAGGAGTATGGCGGTCTCAGGGGGGTCTGAAGTCATAAGATCGAAGAAGGTTCAACTGTACAACTATGATCGGATTCGCACAACACATGTACCACCACCAACAATTCCTCCATCGATTCCCGATTCCTTGTGTATTATCTTCAATCTTCCTTTCATTCGTCTCTGGGAGGGAGCAACCTTGGGCGGGGGGGACTTGAACTCGGATGTATCGGGTTGGTCTGTTCTGCTAGTTACAACGCATCGAGCGGCGGTTGTGGTCATCATCGTGCATACTGGGCAGCATCTCCTTTAGTTCCGTAGGGGGTTTTCTCGTCTTGCAAATTAGCGATGAGTTTCATACAAAAAAAAAAAAAATGCAAATTAGCGATGAGTTTCATACCAAAAAAATCAAAAATCTGTAAGGCATCCCCGGTTCGAATCCCGCCTAGAGAGAGGGGCGCTTCATGCAAAGAAGGGTGCCCTCCCCTTCAACTATCGCCAATACAATTCCCCAATCCCCCTCAAGCAAATCCTCAATCAATCCTCAATACTCTTCAAGATCCGGAATCGCAATTTCAATTTTCGTTACACTCCCTCGGAGTGGACCATTTGATTCCCCCATGGCCTCAAGACAGTTTCAAATCCCTTACTTCAAATCGGGGAAGAAGGAAAGGGCAACTATGGGGCTAAGCAACTTGAATTCCAAGTTTCGAATTGGTTGACTTGGCCAGCCAACGCAATATATGCGCATAGTTTGTTATTAGCCTGGCGCAACCCTCATTAGTTTCAGTACTTGGTTCGGTATGTTGGCTGACAGTTGGGCGCTGCAATGCATGGTTCTACAAAACAAAACAAAAACCTTACATTACATATTCGCCCGGCTGCGGGAAGGGACTGCTGGAACACAAAAGCTGAGTCATCCGCCTCAGGGCCAACAGGCTGCATAAGCTCCCGGGTTCCAACGCAAAAAAAATGCGCTTCCTCGTCCACTGCGGTGACAGGCCGTGAGTGACAAACGATTGGGAGCACCAAAATGCAGAGCGCATGGCAGGACAAAAGCTGGGGTACTGGGCCCCGAAAGCGCTTGCCGCGGGGCCGCGGGCGCAGCCGTCCGCCACCAGGGGCATGCCAGGGGCATGCCAGCAGGCACGGCGCGCCACCGCGCCACCGGCGTGAAGCAAGCCGGCGACCGCCTTTCGCGCCTTTCGTAGCAAGCGATCTTTGACGGCGCGCGGAGCTGCCGGCGTGACGTCAAAGCTCGAGCCGGCGCTAATCGCGGACGCGAATGCCCAATTCCCGCCTTGAGCAACGAGATCGATGGGGTGAGCACAACGCCCGTTCACCCATCTCGGAGAGCATTTGCCCCCGACGTCCGAAGTTCGTTAATAAACGTCGTCGCCCTCCCTCCCCTTTGCTCCTTCCCCCAATCCACCCAGCCACCAGTCGACCCGTTTCTCGTTTTCTTCCTGTGCATCCTTTCCTCCGACGATCGTCAACCCCTCACCATGCCTTTCGAAGGTCTTGCCCGATCCATCTCCCAAGAACACGAGGCCGCGGCCCAACTCGAGCGAAGAACTTCGGCAAAACCGTCTTCGCGAGCCCGTACGGGGACCCTGACACGACCCGCCGTGGTCGCAGAAGGCCACGATTCGACAGATAGTGGCGATGGTGGCGATGGTTCGACCCTGAACGGACACAAATCTGATCTCGAATCCGGACAGAAGAAGAAGGACGACTCCGAGAAGCAGCCCTTGCCGCCACCTTCGCACGACGACGACGATGAGGACGAATTCCTCGTGACGCTCAAGGGGCGCGAGCACCTGAATCCCCACACTTGGAGCGAGGTGTACCGGTGGTGCATCACCGCATTTGCCGGTCTCTTGGTCTTGAATGCCAGTGAGTCGGGCGTTTCTGATCTCGCTCTTTCGACTTTTCCTCCTTTGCGACAGAGACAGCTCGACTCTCGCGGCGGTGCAGAGACTTGAACCACGTGCGGAGGCCGAGGAGGCCAGCGCGCGGAAACGCGATGACCGAACGGATAAGATCCGCGCTGACACAAAATTGTTCTCTGCCATAATTCGCTGCTGCAGCTTTCGCTTCGTCGGCTCCTTCGAATTTGATTCCTTCGATCATCACCCACTACGGGGTTTCTAAAGAAGTTGGCATTCTGCTCATCTCAAGTGTGTGATTTTACCTTTTTGCCACGAAGTTGCCAGCGCGGAAGCCATTTGGGCCTCCGGCGAGGGGCGTGGATGTTCGCTTCCGGTACCGTCGCTTGAGCCCTTTCTTCGATGTCTGATTCACGCGTTTTCTTCCTGCAGTCTTTGTCGCCGGATACTGCGTCGGCCCTCTAGGTGAGTCGCGTGCTCCTGCGCTTTTGAGCTCCTGGCAAAAATCCATCTGACGTATCACAATCGCCGCTCGCGCAACAGTCTGGGGTCCGCTTTCTGAGCGATATGGGCGAAAGCTGGTCATGATCGTCGCTTGGGTCCCTTACATCTGCTTCCAAGTGGGCTGCGCCTTGTCGCCTAATATTGGATCGCTTATCATCTTCCGGTTCCTCGGTGGTTGCTTTGCCGCCGCTCCCTTGACGAACTCGTGAGTAGGCGCTGTCTTGCGGTCTACAGGACAGGAGCTGGGCCACAATATTGATTGAAAACTGTGTTTCATCATCTCTACGCAGTGGTGGCGTCATTGCCGACTTGTGGGGACCCGATCAACGTGGCGATGCTATGGCCATCTTTTCTTTCATGCCCTTCGCCGGTCCGGCGCTCGCTCCCATCATTTCGGGCTACATGGAAGTGACGCGCACCAACTTCCGATGGATCTTTTGGGTCCTCACCATCTTTGGTGGCGTCTGCCTCGGCGGTATCCTCTTCTTCCTGCCCGAGACGTACGTCCCTTACCTTTTGCACAACGAAGCGAAGCGCCTGCGCAAGGAGACCGGCGACGAGCGATGGCACGCACCCATGGACAACAAGCAAGAGACGACCAAGGAGGTCATCAACCGAACCATTCTCAAGCCATTCAGGATGGCTGGTGAGTTGGCGCGAGTTTGCTATTGTTGATGTCCACCCGCTGATATGGCACTGCGTCCCACAGGCCAAGAGCCCATGCTTTTGTTGCTCACTCTCTACATGAGTCTGGTCTACGGTGTCATCTACTTGATGTTCGAAGGTCAGTTGGCGTCATGCGATTGAAGAAAATTCGGTCCGGATGCTGATGCTCATCCCCGTCTCGCTTTATCATGTAATAGCCGTCCCCATCATTTTCCAAGTGAGTTTAAGTGGTATCTGAGACATTGCTAACAAGTGCACGAGTTGATTATTTTCCCTGTCCCATCATCAGGGCAATCACGGCTTGAACGCTGGCGAGAGCGGTCTTATCTTCCTCGCACTTCTCGCAGGCTGTGTCATCGGCGTCTTGACCTACATCTTCTACTTCAACATTAAGTACAAGCAATACCACCACTCGCTTGAGGGCAAGCCAGTTCCTGTGAGTCCTTCAAGCCACATTGTATGTGCCATGCAGTCGAGGCTGACCGCTCTCATCACACCCTTGTCTCGCCAGCCTGAGTACCGCCTAGTGCCCCTCATGTGCGCCGCGCCCTTCTTCGCCGTGTCCTTCTTCTGGCTCGGATGGACTGCGTACCCTAGCATCAACATCGCCTCTCCGATCCTCGCCATCGTCCTCCTCGGCTGTACCGTGCTCTTCATCTTCCTGAGCATTTTCAACTACCTGATCGACGTCTACCTGATGAACGCTGCCTCCGCACTTTCTTTCAACACCGTCTGTCGATCTTCCTTCGGTGCTTCTTTCCCCCTCTTCGCGGGCCGTCAGTCGTTTTTCTCAATCCTATATGTGTTGTATCTGGCTCGCACGACTGACGGCGTTCTTTTATTGCTGACCTTAGAGATGTTCCGAAAACTCAGTATTCCGGGCGCTTCGAGCTTGCTCGGAGGTTTGGCTATCGTGTTCATTCCGGCACCATTCCTCCTTTACAAATACGGGAAGAAGATTCGTTCGATGAGCAAGAACGCTGTGGTGCGACCAAACGAAGACTGATGCGCTAAGGTTAGGACTCGCACGCTTTGATCCGCCCACGCTCCACCCTTGACGAGCGGCTCAGGGCAAACGCGGCGTGGTTTCCTTCTTGCGCTCGACCCTTATAGCGCTGACTTTAGACTATGTAACAACTTTAATCGCTTTAATCGCGAAATATATTAGACTGTCTTCTCTGCGGGTATTATCACCAGAAAACACGGCAATGTGACAGTGCCATTGGGGTGTCTTGCGCCTCCATTTCCTGCAAACATCTCCTCAAAGGCAGGCCGGCTCTTTCAGGAACTGAGGCCGAGGCACGAAGTGCGTAAGTACGAGAGCCGATGAAGATAGTAAAGATAGTTGGAGAAAGAAGATAAGCGCTAAGGGAGCGCGCGCGAGGCAGGCTCGAGACGCGCGGGGCGACTAATATCAACAACTAGTAACTAATCATAATCGGGAATACCAGTGGGATGAAACAGCAATATATTGACACCCCCCCGTGCTGTCATACCACTGCACCTCGCAAACCCAAATTCTCCCGATGGAAGATGAACGGCTTGGGACCCAAGGCTTTGGTGAAAATATCGGCAATCATGTCGCCGGTGGCGATGTAGCGGACCTCGATCTCCTTCTCAGCTACCCTCTCGCGGACGTAATGTTCCGAGATGCGAACATGACGAGACCCCTGATGGTTGGTCGGGTGCTGCGCAAGAGCCAGCGAACCTTGGTTGTCCCCGTAGAGTACGACTGGACCGGAGACCGGAGCGCCAAGTTCAGCCAGGAGTTCGCTCAGGTGGATGGCATCACCGCTTGTGTACGAAAGAGAGAGGTACTCTGCGTCGGTAGTGGACTTGGCCACCCTGTGCTCGCGTTTGGAGCACCAAGCAATAGCGGCTCCGGACAAGATGAACGCGTAGCCCATGGTCGATCGTGAGGTCGTTAGACAGGCTCCCCAGTTCGCATCCGAGTAGCCACGGAGTGGTTGGCTGGTCTTGCGATAGGTGAGGCCCAAGTCCAGCGTGCCTTTGATGTAACGGAGGACCTGCTTGATGGCTGTCCAATGCTCCGGGCCAGGCTGCTGGGAGAAGCGAGCGAGGTAGCTGACCACGAAGGCGAGGTCCGGACGAGTTCCAACTGCGGCGTACATCAACGAACCGATGGCCTGCAAGTAGCGCGTACGATCCTGAGGAGTGGCCGCCAAGTCCTCGAAGTCAAGGACGACACCTGGCTGCATTGGAATACTTGCCGGCTTGGCATCGGTGAATTGGAACCTGGCAAGGACGTCCCGAAGGTAGCGCTCTTGTGAGAGCGTGATAGAGCCGTCTTGTCCACGTTTGACTTGGATGCCTAGAATATATTCGGCAGGTCCGAGACGTTTGATGCCGTATGCGAGTTCCAGCGCGTCCAGCACCCGCTCGATTTCGGCGGTAGAGGGACCAACCAAAAGCAAGTTGTCGACGTACAAGGCAATATAGTGTGAGTGCCCGTCGTGTTCGCGGCGGTAGATACAGATGTCAGACCTGGTGGGGACGTATCCGAGGGACCGCAGAGTCGAGTCGATCTCAGCATTCCAGATGGTGCCGGCCTGGCGAAGGCCGTAGATGGATTTGGACAGCTTGAGGATCTTGCCTGGCAGGTTTATGCCCTGAGGGACGCGCATGTAGAGAGGCTTGTCAAGTTTGCCGTGTAAATACGCCTTGTTGACGTCGGCCTGATGGACGTGATAGCCGTTGGCCGCGGCGAGTGCGATGAGGGCTCGAATGGACGTGAATTTGACGACAGGGGCGTAGGTCTTCTCGAAGTCAAGGCCAGGGCGTTGGGCACATCCGTGAGCAACAAGTCGGGCCTTGTGATCGGTGATGTCGCCATGCTGGTTGCGTTTAGTCCGGAACACCCAGCCCGACCGCAGGAGGATCTCACCCGCTGGGAGCTCACAGGATTCGACGATTTGAAAGACCTCGTAATCGTTCAGAAGCGAATCGAATTCATCCTGTGCCGGAGCGCCCCAAACGTCCTCTTGTCCCGATCGGATGACGTCGCCCCAATTTGCCGGATCGCGAACAACCGACAAGTCATGATCTGCGAAGCCGGCCTTGGTGGATGCGAAGGCAAGGAGCAGGCTCTTGAAAGAGGCGGTGGGTCCGTCGGTGCCGTCGACTGGCTGTTCCCGCGTGATCATGGTGGGAACGGGTTGGCGGCGAGTCCGGGGGCCATCAATGATGTTTCGAGCGTCGACTTCACCGTACTTCCCTGGATCGGGACCAACCTTGGCGACGTCGCCGTACTCCCAACTCGGCTTGACTTTGGCGAGTGGAGCTGGATCCGGAGGTGGTTGCGGCAGGTTCACGGCTGACTCCGTCGTTGCGCTCGTGGTCGATGAGGCGTCGTCGTTGTCGGCCGAGCTGGTCGATGCGGGCGACGCGGGTGCCTCGACAGGCGTTGGGGCCGGTGGCCGTGGGGGAGGCTCGACGGGTGTTGGAGCTTCGACGGGTGGGGGCTGGGGGGCGTAACCCGGGATGGACGGCTGCGTCACTCGGGTGGGCGCGATAGCGAAGGGGAACTCGGTTTCTACGAACGTCACATTGCGGCCCAGACTCACACGCATGGAGAAAGGATCGAGAAGACGGTAGGCTTTCGCGTGTCGATCGTACCCGACGAAGACCAGAGGAATCCCTTTTGGGTCAAGCTTGTCCCGTCGGTGAGCCGGCACGGTGGTCCAAGCGCGACAACCGAATGCCCGAAGACCCCCTACGCTTGGTGTGTGGCCCGACCAACGACTGTTTGGGATGGCTCCACCAAGGGCCGCGTGAGGCGAGAGGTTCTTGGCGTGAATGTAACACATGGCAGCCTCGTCCCAGCACGATCGTGGGAGTCCCAAGTGAGACAGTAGAGCCAGGGTGCCCTCGACGATCGACCGGTTGGCTCGCTCAGCCCGACCGTTTGGCTCGGGTGTGTACGGTATGGTCAATTCGCGATGAATTCCGCGGGCCACGCAATAGCCGTTGAAAGCGGTAGAGACATACTCGCCCCCGTTGTCCGAGCGAAGTGTTTTGACCCTGCGACCCGTGGCGTTTTCGATCTCCAGAAGCCAATCCTTGAATGTCTGAAGGACCTCGCTCTTGTGCCCGATAGGGTAAACCCAAGTCTTCCTCGAGAAGTCGTCGATGAACGTGACGAGGTATCGCTTATGGCCTAAGGATTCCTCGGGGAAAGATAAGACGTCCGAGTGCACCAATGCGAGTGGTTCCGCGGCATGCGACGACGAAGAGGGGAAAGGCAAACGATGCGCTTTGGAGGCAAGGCACGCGTTGCAGGTGAAGCCATCACACTCGAAGTCACTATAGGGCCAATCTAAACCCTCCACCTGGCCAGAGGCCGCCAGTTTTTTAAGTGTCTGGACAGAGGCGTGGCCGTAGCGCCGGTGAAGGGTAAGTAAAGGTAGCCTATTGGACTTGGTGGCAACGAGGGTGTGTCGCGCATCTTTGCTGGCAGCTTGGACCGAAGCGTTGAGTTTGTAAACGCAGGACGCGATGGCTGATGCTGTGGCGATGCACCCTTGCGGCGTGCGGAGCTCGACTTGTCCGTGTTCGAAGGTGATGCGAACGCCTTTGCGGTCGAAGGCCCGGACTGAGATGAGGTTGGCAGGGCTCTCGGGGGCGTAGATCACGTCGTTGAGGGTGAACCTGGTACCATTATCGGAGACGAGCTTGACCGAGCCGATTCCCGAGGCCTTCACCGTTCCCCCTAGACCTTGCAGGACTTGCGGGGTAGGCGAAAGGGGGCCGTCAAAGAAGGACGCATCGTTGACGACGTGGCACACCGACGCCGAGTCTAGCAGAAGGATTTCCGCCGGTGGCCCGATGTTGACAAACGTAGCAGAAGAAACGACGGACAGGTGTTGATCCTTGGATGCTGCCTCGGTGGCCACGAACGTGGACGCAGGCGATGATGAGCCTTGGAGTTCCTTCATGGCGTTCTTGAGCTCGAGGTACTTGGCTCGCTTGCGCGATTCCGGACACTTGTCGAGCCAGTGTTTGCCTTGACCACAAGCTGGGCAGTTGCTCGGGGCAGGACCAGAACGATCCCATTTTCCCTTCTTGCCTGGTGCAGAGCGTTTGGTCGGTACGACCGCCTTCGCAACGGGGACCGTCGCTCGATTCGTCCGAGCGTTGAATCCAGCCCAAGAGGGCGGGCATGGCGGCATCGTGGGGACCCAGTCAACGTAATTGTCCTCCGTAAGTTTCGAGTCGTCGGGGAAGACCGGAGGGTTGGCTGGGGGTAGGCGCTGACGCATGGAGAATGCGTCGTCGTCCCGTGCGGGGCGCTGGTTCCTGATCAGCTCGTCGAATTGCTCTTTAGTGAGCGTGACGGAGGTAGTGGAGGCGACGTCGTTGGTATGGTACGACGTTGATGACGGTGGTGGAGGCGTTGATGCCATGTCACCGTGGACGTCGAGGTCGCCCGCCGCTGATAGGCTAGGTGGGCTCATAACTTTTCAGGAACTGAGGCCGAGGCACGAAGTGCGTAAGTACGAGAGCCGATGAAGATAGTAAAGATAGTTGGAGAAAGAAGATAAGCGCTAAGGGAGCGCGCGCGAGGCAGGCTCGAGACGCGCGGGGCGACTAATATCAACAACTAGTAACTAATCATAATCGGGAATACCAGTGGGATGAAACAGCAATATATTGACAGGCTCGTGGGACCGCCCTTGTGAGTGATTTTGACAACGCTTTTGTCTTGAACCCGCGGGCACGATCCCGAGTTTGTCGGCGGCAATTAATTGAAGAGCGAGAAGAAGGAGCCCAGTGCACGACCGGCGAGAGGTGAACTGTCCAGCTTCCGAGCCAGGAGACACCTCGCGAGTCCGTCTCGGCCGTTCACCCGACCCACACGTCCGTGCAACCCCAACGTAGCAGTTTTTCAGGGTTTTACTCACATTTCAATCAAATTACTTGGCTCATTACGGTCAGTCTTATAGCGCTTTACGGTAACACAGAAACCTACATTGTCGTTTTCCGCCGCAGTTACTGCTGGGCACCTTTCGCGCCAAGCTCAGTCAAAGTCAGATCTCTTCGTCAGCTCGATCGAGGTCGACCGAAGGTCAGAATACAAAGAGTGCAACAAGACCAGTGCCATCCATTTCCCACCATGCTTCATCTAGTGATACGGTTCGAACTTTCGTCCCGTTATTGCAGCGCCTTGTGAGCCTGGGTGAACTTACCGAGCTCGGGCGACCTCGGAGGAGTTGCCGAGCCTATAAGCCAAGATGGCTTGACGATCCCGAGCAAACAATACATTAAAAATACATCGTATTTGACGTATCAGGTGGGGCTTAAGAGACGTCGAGAATGCACGGCATCAGAACTCTACTCATCAAAGGAAAACGGAGGAAGAGCTTCGATTGAGAGTGAAACTTTTTTCAAGATGGTCAATTTGGAGTGTTAAGGCAATGTACAGGACACCGCAACCAGACGGCGCTTCTCAGTAGCCACTCAGCCAAAAGATATGTGCAAGAAAGACATTGAACGAAGGTTGCTCTTGGGGACGAGTGAGCCCTTTGCAGCTTCAGTTGTGGGATGCAGAGCCTGCTGCCGATGCATACCTACGCCGAACGGATATTTAACTACAAGCAATAGGGCATAGCTTGCGACGATTACAATATATATTATCAACTCAGGAGTTGAAGATTTTGGAATGCAACTGATCATGCCGGGCCTGTAAGATCTCCCCTAATGGCCACGTTGTCGCGACGATACCCCTCAGTCCATCACCATCCGGCGAGCCCAACCCATAATCTTGCTCTGCCCTCACTTCCTCTCCCACTCCCTTCCCCACTTCGTGTGTTGGTTCTGGAACCATATAGGTCCTTCGGTACTGCTCCAGACTCTGGTCGATCAAAGGCCGCGTATCGTGGAGAAGGATTCGATGGGAGAGGTAAGGCCCGATGAGGTTGAGTCGGATCGCGGAGGAGAGGATGGATCGGCAGTGCAGGAACAGAAAGAGGTGTTGTGTGGAGGCTTGAATGGTCGGACGAGGTCTGAAAGTCAGCGCACCAGCGGAGCTAAGAGAAGATTCTGCTTGAACGTACCGAGTGATATCCCCAATGCGGCGGTCAAGACCCCGAAACATATCGGGAAATGGCCTTGCATCTGCCCCATTTTGGTCGCAGCTTTAAGTTCATCAACCAAGCTCTTCATTGTCGCATCGAACGGGGAATCCTGCTCCGCGACGACTCCGTTCGTTTTCGGCGGAGGTGGTGGTGGGGCGGCAAAGGCCCGTTCGTACAGCGTCAACAGCGCGATCCCTTGTGCTTTCGACGCCCTTCGTACGACATGATTCAACGTCATGGCTTCCAAATCCTGATCCAGCCATCGTAATTTGTCCACCACCTCGTTTCGTACAACTTCCGGTGCTACCGTCGGACTCCGTAATCGGGAAACGATGCCGAATGACCGCGTAACGAAAGGGAGGTTCAACCTCGTGCAGGCGTGGAGCGAGTGCTGGAGAAAAGTGATGATCGTTTCGGACTTGTTGGTCGAGGTAGAGTGGCCATGTTGGAGGTAGGATTCGAGGCCGGAGGAAGCGATGAACCCACCGGTGGGGAGATTGCTGTTGCGAGATGGCGTCGATAAGCGATTGAACCGGGCCGGGGTCAAAGCGATGTATGAGACCGGGAAACTTACGAGTCGGAGAGTAGTAGCAGTAGATACTGCTCCAAGGAATCTGGATTGGCCATGAACGTGGGGGTGGGGCGAAATGAAGGAGCGCAAGAAGCACAGAGGAGCGCCAGACTGCGCCAGATGAAACCAGATGAAACAAGTCCCAGTCAAGTCCCTCCAAGGCCCCGGAGTGGATCGCTGCCGAGGGCTGCCTCCTCTCGCTCTCGCTCTCCACGCTCAGCCCCTGACTCGGCTCGCTTCCCATCCTGGCGCCCCAGCCATGTCGCTTCAATCCCTTAGGAGCTCCCTCCTACGCTCAACACGGTCCCTGAATCAGACCCGACCCAGCCACAGTACCGTACTCACAAGAAGCTCGTTCATTCTTCGTCGCTCGCAACATACCCTTTCGGCCACGCCAGAGCAGTTCAAGGCAGCGATCAAGTCCGAACAGACGACCCTGGTGGATTTTTATGCTGAATGTACGTTCCATCTCACTGCTTGGGGATGCAGCAGTCTATCGAACGCCGAGTCGCAGCTCGCTTTGATCTCCGAATCCGCCACAGCTGACGGTTACGCGTCCTAAATGACCTCTCTACACGTTTGCAGGGTGCGGGCCATGCAAGCAGCTCACACCCGTTCTCAAACAAGTTATCGCTTCCGACTCACAGGACGTGCATTGCAAGTCCAGTCATTGCTCTCCGGCGCATTCTCCTTCGCCTTCTCCTTCTCCGAAAGCTGACAAATCCTTACCTCACCTCCTCATGGGATAAACTGCAACGTTCTGGTGGATCCCCCTGCTTACAACCGAGAACAGTGGTGACGATCGATACCGATGATCACTATGAACTCGCGTCGGAATACAAGATCAGCGCCTTACCGACCGTGATCGCGTTCAGGAATGGGGAACCGATTGGAAAGTTCGTCGGAGGGAGGAACCAGAGTGGGGTCGAATCCTTCTTGGAGGAGGTGCAGGCTTGATGAGGAAGGTCTATGAGTATATCAATTCGTTGGAGAGATACTGCTGTGTGGGTCGGTCGATCCTTTGACATTTTAGAATCGTGAGGTCACGTGCAAGCGACGATTAGCCCGAACGGGCGCAACGTATGCGGTCACATGACTATGATTACAACAATGAGGTTCCATATTCCATCAGAAAAACACCTAGGGCACTCATTCCGCGTTCGGTGCAGGTGGGTTTCCTCCCCCCTCTTTTGTGGCAGCAGCATCTTCATCGTCGGCAGTCAAAGATGCGGTCGTGTCGAAAGCATCCTCGGGTATCTTGCCCTGTGAGTCGGTCAGGGCGCCTGAATGGAAAGAGATACGACGATGAGCTACGGGGCCCTTCGTAGAAGAGATCCTGATGGATTAGGGACGCACCCGCCAGTAAAAAAGTGGCATCGCCTTTTCCTCCGGGGATGGTCTCGTACGCGACCTGGAGTTTACACCGCGCGCAATGAAGCGGACCTGTAGACCCAGAATCGACGTTTGACCGCGTCAGACTCGGACGAACCCAAGATTCGCATAAGCGGTCCTTGCGCCGATGATGCCCAGACCTACGTTGGTACTCGTACACCGTTGAACCCTTTTCGGGATCGACGGAGGTGGACAAGATCTCGCGCCCTGGCTCGGCGTTGAGTTTGTACACGACGCGGTGATCGCCTTGGTTCCTTAGGGCGTAGGCTTGATCCGATGGTCTTCGCGGAAGGTTCGCGAGTTGGGCTTGGGCGACGAGAACGAATTCACCCTGTGAGATGGGAACTCGTGCGTTAGCGAGTCGGTGTGGCCGAGTTGGGGCGTGTGCAGTCGGGGATGGCAGCGCACGCATAGGCAGTAGTAGATGGTCAGGGACTGGAGAACAAGTTCCGTTCGGTATCAGCCCAAGTTCAGACCACTCCTTCCTCTCTGGATCGCATGCTGACTGACGGAATCCACCGGATCGACCTCGTCCTTGCTCTGCGACACCGCGCCTCGGGCGATCATTTTGGGCCTAGAAAGGGTGGGGATTCGAGCATCAGCAGGAGAGCAGGAGAGCAGGAAGCGAGTACAATACCGCACATGTTGGGCTGGGGGAGGCTACGGCCGGTGTGTTGATGTGGGGGAAGGAGAGAGACAGAGAGAGACGGGGAGAGAGAGAGAGAGAGAGAAAGAGGAACAGAGACGACCGCGCCAGCTGAGCCAAGTCGTGCGCTGCAGCTGTCGTGCGCTGTCGTGCCTGTCCTTGCCTGTCGTGCCTTTTCCCTTCCTTTCGCCCAGTCTCACCGGCTCGACAACGCACCCTTGCGAAAAGGATTGGCCCCCCACTCCAACAAAAGGATGCGATGGCCGACCGGTCAACCGCCTCGCTCGATCTGACCGAGGTGCGTTCCTCCGCGCTGCTCGTCCCCCACCCGGAGATCAGCGACGAACTGCTCTGCCTCGCCGCCATTTACCCCGACTTGAGCGTCCGACGAATCGACGACCGTTCGCTCGAGCTCGAACTTGGCACCTGTCTGAACCACGATGACGACGACGCTCACGAAGGCGCCAAGCGCACAGCGCGCCGCACCCCTTTCGAACTCGTGCTTTCGATCCCCCTGCAGAGCTACCCCGAGATCGAACCTCCTCGCATCCAACTCTCGTCCGTCTACCTCGGTCCTTTCCTCATCCCTCCCGAACTGCACCACCAGATCCATCACTGCTTACATCAACCCGAGCCATCCTTGCCAGAGCCGGTAACGCGGAGATCAGAGTTTTCCTCGGCAACTCAGGGGAAAGATCTCATCCAGGTCGATTGGACACCGGGCCAAGTCGTCCTCTTTGATGCGGTGCAGATCATCACTGACCAGTGTAGCGCTTGGTATCGAGAGCGAGTCAAGGAGATGAACGAGGCGAAGCACGATGCCACGGCGGCAGCGGATTCGGCGCGGGAGGTAGGGGGCAAGTATGAGAACGCGTTGGCCTTGGAGGATGGGATCTCTGAAGCGGTGGGACACCTGGCGTTGGATGAAGAAGGCGTGTCGTGGGAATCATCGTTCAAGAAGAAGGAACGAAGCGCCGCGGCCTCGGAGGGCATCAAGATTTGGTCCTCGGACCCGCTCGTCGATAGAAAGTCGGTAGGTGCTTCAGGGCCTTGACTCGTGGTGCTTGGTCAATTGATGGTTGGCTGACTCGACTGCTTGTGCTATGATCTTCTCTGAAGGTGTTTGTGGGGCACGCGGCTAGGGTTCATTCACAGGCCGAGGTGAGCAGTAAGAAAACCTCCTGCTCGTATTCGGTGACGAGTCATAGACGAGGGCTCAAGCTGACCCCGTCTTATCATCACCACTCGCTTGACTTTATAAACAGGTCGACCAAGTCATGTCGGAGCTCCTGTCCGACAAGAAGATCGCCAAGGCATCGTGAATTTTCCTTTCCGTCTCGCTGCCGGATATATCTTCAGCTTCCGGAGAGGGTATCGCCATCATTGCTGACAAGCTCGCAACACTTCTCATATTTCTTTTAGACACAACATCACCGCCTTCCGATATCATGACTCGGAGACGCACGCGCTGTACCATGACGTCGATGACGATGGTGAAACCGCAGCCGGGGGTCGACTAGGGCATCTGTTGAGCCTTCTCGTAAGTCGAAATGTCTGCGACAGGGCCGAAGCTTTAAAGGTCGTCGATGCTGATTCTTCTCAGCTCCAACGCCTCATGTAGCAAGTGGAGAACATCTTGGTTGTTGTGACGCGGTGGTACGGGGGCATTCACTTGGGTGCCGATCGCTTCAAATTGATCAACCAGGCAAGTGGCATCGGCTTTGGTGCGCTGGAAACACATGAGCTGACTCTGATCGTCCTTTCGGATCTCGGAAATTCAATCGGCCTCAGGCGGCCCGGGACGCTCTTCAAATTGGTGGATTCTTGTCTGATGAAGCTATCGGGAACAAGAAGAAGTCGGGGAAGAAATGATACCCCTCGGGCACGCCGGTCCAAACTGCTACAAGAGCCAGAGAAGATCACGACTAGAGGCACGTGTTCGAGACTGTTGTTGTATTGTTAACTCTCAAAGCCGACTCTTGCTTCATTACGTGTGAGAAAAATGATGCGTTCCACTGCTAGTGATACATAAGATGCAAAGCCGCGACCGTGCTGTCGACTCGGTTGCTCACTTCCACTTGAACCATTCGAGCCAGCTCTGGCCTTTGACGACCTCTCCCCTCGACGCTCGTGCGATCCCGTCCTGCATGCGGGCGTAGTGCTTGGGGAACGAGGCGGGTTGAAGTGTCTTTTGTGTCATGGGATACTGTCGGGTCAGAAGCAAGGCGAGGAAGTTCGAGTCGGTGAGGTGAGGGGGTGCCTGCGAAGCACGAACGCTCCGCGCTCGATGGATCGGGTACAACTAACCGATTTCAAAGCGTCATTGGCCAACAACCTCGTCAAACTGTCGTGCATCTCTTGCGCCTTGAGGATCTGCTTCTGACCGAGTTCGGCCGCTGGGGTGGGGGTAGCGAATACGCGATCGACGGCGGCCTGGAGCGAGTCGGAGAATTGGAGGGTGGGGCGGAGAGGGTCTTTGGGCCATTGGCGCGCGAGGGAGTGCAGAGAGGTGCGCAGTGTTGCGGAGGACATGGACATGGTGCGCGGGTGAAACGACGGGTGGTGGATGTTGGGGCTGGGCGCTGTGGAATGAGCTCCGACAAGAAGCGGGAGCGAGGGCGAAGTGCGATCGTCAGGTGGCGGCGGTGGGTGCGAACCAGTGCGAACCAAGCTCTACCAAGCAAGTCAAGTCGCCGATAGCCGAGCGAGGCCGAGCGCACTGAGAGTGAGCAGTCCGGTGTGACCGCTGTAACGCTGTTGTAGAATGCGCGTGCCCTGCCAGTGTGGGGTCTGGGGACAGACAGCCTTGAAGGTGGTCCGTACTTTATTACTTTATTCTACTGACCTTCTCGGCGCGCCCGGCGTGTTTCAAGAAATCACTCGCAACTCGAAATTGCTCGCTCTCGATCACTTATTTAGTTCAGGGGCCGCTCGCGAGCGTACTTCGCAGCCGGCCGCCTTCGTTCTGGTCGATCGCCCCACCCACCCGCGCAGCTTCAACGCGTCGTACAACCGGCCGACCAAGTCATCGCCCCGCTCGACTGGGCACATATGGCTCGTCTATCAACCCAACCTGCTCCCGTGGCAGCCTCAGCCTCAGGTTCAAGCCCGTCCAAGTTCAAGCCTGTCGCTCTCAGATCCGGATTCTACGCTCTCCCTCTCGCCGTCGCTTCATCAGCGTCCTCCTCCTCGTCCAGACGCAGCTCCACTTCAAGCACCGCCGTCGAATACGTCTTTGTGCGCGCCCACCACTCGTTCAACTCGGCACAGGACGATGACGAACCTGAGCAAGCTGTCGCCGCTTCGACTTCGACGACGCTCTTCCTCACCGGATTGCCGCTCGGAGTGACCGAAAACGCTCTACGGAAACTGTTCAAGGCCCTGTACCCACGCCACAAGATTGTCACCGTGCAACTCTTGCCCTCGCCGAACGCAGCCGCAGCTAGCAACACGCTCCTGGCGAGGGAACTCGCTTCCCCCTCGGTCACTCCCTCGATCGACCCTCTCTTCATCAACTCCGACGCGATTGAAGCCGACTCGATATCTGATGCGCAATCAACTTTGATCACCTTCGATTCCACACCTGCTCTGCCCCCACCGGTCCCATCGATCGTCCCATCGTTATCGGCCCCGAAATCCCCAAATTTTCTCACCCGAGCTCGAGCCAAGTACGACCAGGCGCGACCTCATCGATCCATCATCATCTCCCACACCGACACATGGATGCAGAACCATGATCAAAAAAAGGCCTCTCTGCGTCCGTCTTCCGCAGCCGCAGCCACGGCCACGACCTCGGCCTCGTCCTCGAAAAAGGGCAAGAAAGCCGCCGCAAAGGACCCCGGTCCTCTTCCAGGTTCGGCCGCGTTCGCCTTGGCCCAATACGCGGCCCAACAGGCCCGACTCGCTTCGGCTTCCTACAACCCCGACGACCATACCGGTCCCCAAGACGCCGAAGGCTGGACCTTGGTCTCTCGTGGTGGAAGGCACGGTACGTCCGCTTTGGACGTCGAGGCCCTTCAGAATGCCACGACCGACGGGTACGGTGGTCGAGCCGTCAAGGTCGCGAGCAAGACTTGGCTCAAGGGGCTCGAGGGCGATGGCGCGACCGATTTGGAGACGGGTCAGAGGAATATCGTAGGCAAAGGGTTCTATCGGTTCACCAAGTCGGACGAGAGGAAACAAGGTCAGCTTCACATTCGGGACTTGAGGCCAAGGGGAACAGATTTTTGCTGACCCGCTCACGTGGTCGTCGCTTCTTTGGTTGTAGAACTTGCGGCTCTCAAGGATCGCTTCGAACAAGACAAGAGTCGGTTGAACGAGTTCCGCGAATCGTACCGCGGACGTGGGGGCCGAGGTGGTCGAGGTGGGGGAGGATCCGGTAGAGGTGGTGGTGGTGGTGGATCGGGGCGAGGTGGGAGAGGCGGCTCGAGTTCGAGAGGTAGACCGGGGCGTTCGAACGACGGTGAGAAGAGGTACAAGCCTTATTGAAAGCAATACCACTCGTCGATGTACCCGACCCTTTCCTTATCAGAGATCGCTCTCGAGCACGTTCTCGTTCCGGTCCCTTGAAAAAGAGTCCGCAATCGCTCTCAATCGATCAAGGTGCGCAAGGAGACGACGAACTCCTTGGCTCCAAAGAACCAGAAATGAAATGATGTACGACAACGCACCACATTATCCAAAGACATGATAAATGACTGCAACAACGTTGCTCTAAAGTAACGACTGATATGCGAAAAGATACTAATGCGTGGTCCGAACCTGACCTGATCCTGCCATGTTTTGTCCTTCACTTCAGGAAGGCTTAAACGACCCCTGTGGTCCCACCTAGGACACCCCCCACGGCTGGCGCAGCATTGTACGCCCTCATTTCGGAGATCCCGACCCCGTTTCTCGCCACCGCGGCGCCGGTGATGGTGAAGCGCAACGAGCTCGTCGTCTTGCCCGCTCCGAGGTTGATTTGGGTACCGAACGGCGACAGGACGCCAACGTTGGCTGTCGAGCCATCTGAGAAGGTCAAGGTGCCGGCTCGGATCGCGTTCAGCAGATTGACGGGAGGGAAAAGGACCACGGTCTTGATGAGGTAGCTCTGAGGCCAGGTGAGCTGAATCCAAGCCGGTACGGTACCAGTGCCTGTCGACCATTCTTGCGCCGCGTTGCCCGATCCATCGAGCTCGAGACCACCAATAATTCCGTCGTTGGCGCCCGACGGCGGAGAGCTGGCACGGAACGACGACGCGGTCGCCGTGACCCCGGGGAGGCGAGCGATGTTGACGTTGGACGGCTGTGCCCTGCTCAAGCCTGTGGTGGTCGTGGTGGCACTGCTGGTACTGCTGGTGCTGGTGCTGCTCGCCGACGGCGACCTCGTGGACGATTGGGGCGTGGTCGTCATCGACGGCGAAGACGTCGGGGAAGAGGCGGTGCTCGAGGCGGCGGACGAGGACGAGGAAGACGTAGAGGACGAGGAAGAGGAAGACGCAGAGGCAGAGGACGTGGACGAGGAAGACGCAGAGGACGAGGAGGCGGCAGTGCTAAATGACGCGGACGATGAAGACGTAGAGGACGAGGAGGCGGCAGTGCTTAAAGCAGAGGATGGACCCGTCGTGGTTTGCGGCGCGGTGGTGCTCGATGTAGTCGTTGTGGCCGCCACAACCTGGTATTGATAGCATCCACTGCCGATACTGCCCGCGAGAGCAGTGTACGATGCGCACACTCCTGGGACGTAATGAACCCAGGAGGCCTCAGCAGTGTACATGTTGTCTGCGTTGTCGCCGAAGGGGTACAGGTCGGTGTGCGTCCAACATTCCTTGGTTCTGTGCGAGGTGGCCCAGAGGCCTACAGATCAGTAAGGGGGGCGAGTGATCGGAGGGCCTCGCATAGGTACGTACAAAGCTTTCCAGTCGAAGGAAGTGCACTGCGTACGGTCGCACCTGAGACCGCACGCATTGGCTGACGACTCGTTGGTTGAGGACTGCAAGTCGGCACTTCAGTGGATCAGTATTGGCCGTCTCGACAGATCACCCAGCATCTTCTCGATTGCTCCGCTTACCGCAGTGCCCGCCGTTACTCGGGTACCGTTGTAGGTCGCGTAGCTGCGGAGAGATCCAGTCGGCTGAGGAGAATAGGCTGGCGAGGAAGTCGTCGTCGTCTGGGTAGTGGTGGCGGATGAAGTCGCGGATGTGGCCGCGGAGGTGATCGTCGTCGGAGACGTAATCGCAGTTGATGCCGTCGTCAACGACGACGAAGCTTTGGTGGAGGAGTTCGTCCCAAGCGTCGAGTTTAATACTGTTGTGTTCGCGCTAGTCGTTGAGTTGGCTAGGGTCGAGTTTATTGACGTCGAATTGGCCAAAGTCGAGTTGGCGATGGTGGCATTGGGTGAACTCGAATTGGCCAAGCTGGTGTTGCCCGAAAGCGTCGAGTTCGCCAGCGTCGAGTTCGCAAGCGTCGAGTTCATGCCAGCGCTCGAATTGGTGGTCAGCGTTGAGTTCACCAAAGTCGAGTTGCTCAAAGTCGAGTTGCTCAAGGTCGAATCCGGGATTGTCAAATTGGCGGAGGTTGAATCAGATTCATTCGTGGAGTTTGCCAGGGTCGAGTTGACCAAGGTGGAATTGGTCAAGGTCGGGTTGGACAAAGTCGCGTTCCCCGTCGTCGAGTTTGTCAAAGTAGAGTTGGCGAGAGTTGAATTGTACACCGTCGAGTTGGCTAAGCTGGCATCACCGGCGAGCGTCGAATTGTCAAGTGTCGAATTGCCAAGCGTCGAGTTCGTGACGGTTGAATTGTACGAGGTCGAGTTGGTCAGGCTCGAATTGTCCGCAAGCGTGGAATTAGACAGCGTTGAATCGCCCATGGTCGAATTGAGGTCGAATGTCGAGTTCGTCAAAGTCGAGTTGGCCGAAGTCAAATTGCCAAGCGTCGAGTTCGCCAGAGTTGAGTTGTCAAGAGTCGAGTTGGCCAGGGTCGAGTTGGTAAGGGTTGAGTCACTGAACGTCGAGTTACTGAAAGTGGAGTTCGAGAATGTCGAATTGCCTGCAGTCGTATATCACATTGTCAGAGCCAGTCTCAAACCAGTTTAGAGCGAAGACACGGCGGCGCGGCGACCTACCTAAGGTCGAGTTGCCAAGCGTCGAATTGCTCAACGTCGAGTTCGCCAGTGTCGAGTTGTCAGAAGTCGAGTTACTAAGCGTCGAATTCGTCAAAGTTGAATTGGCCAGTGTCGAATTAGTCAGGCTTGCGTTTCCCGCAAGCGTCGAGTTAGTCAGAGTCGAGTTGGCCAGGGTTGAATTGGCCAGGGTCGAGTTGGAAAGGGTCGAGTTGGCCAAGGTCGAGTTGACGTTGACGGCTCCGAGCGCCGAGCTGGTCTCGACGGTGGAATTGGTCAACGTCGAGTTGGCGCTGCCGGTCGAATTTGCCGAGGTGTTGACGGGCACGGCGCCGTAGACCATGATTTCCGCCAACCCGATGTTCGACGACGAGGGCGAGGCTCCGGTGACGGTCAAGGTCAAGACCGATGCAATGATGGGTTGCGCCAGGGCGACAGAGGTAGCCGAGCCGTTGTTGGCGAGCGCGCCGAACGACACGACCGCACCAGAACTGAAAGTGAGCGTACCAGCCGTGACATGATCGGCGAGATTGGGACGATCGTACAGGACGACCTCGTTGATCTCGACGTTGGAAGGCCACGTCAGCGTGAGCCAAGCACCAACGGTTTGGTCCTCGGTCGCCCACTCTTGCTGCCAGATGCCCGAGCCGTCCTCCTTGTAGCCGCTGACCTTGCCGTCGTTGGCCTTGTCGGGTTCTTGGCCGGACGCGCTCGAGGACGCGGTCGCGGTCGCGTTCAACGCGAGATCCACGCTGGTGTCCGTGGTCAGTGAGATGATCGCAGACGTCGAGTTGCTCGTGGTGGCCGTGTTGTTGCTCTGGACATAAGTCGTGTTGTTCATGACGAGGTCGGGGGTTTGCGACTTTGAGTAAAATACGCCCAGCTCGGCCAATCCGGCCGAGCCGGTAGAGGGCCCGACGCTGGTCACGGTGAAGAGCAAAGACGAAGACTTGACGGCGGTCGTCAAGTTGACCACGGTGGCCGAGCCATCATCGTTCAGGCTCGGAATGGTGACGGTGGTGCCGTCGCTGAAGGCGACCGTGCCGCCCGTGATCCAATCTTCGGTATTCGGGCGGTCGTAGAAAACGAGAGAGTCGACCATGTAGTGACTCGACCAGGTGAGGTTGAGCCATGCGCCTGTTCCTTCTCCCTGGGTCGCCCATTCGGCGGTCCAGTTTGATGGGTAGCCCGAGATGACCCCGTCATTCGCCCGGTCTGTGGTCTGCCCGCTGGCTCCCGACGACGCCGAGGCGGAGGCCGTGAGAGCCAGATCCGAGTAGGCATCCGACGAACCTACGGTGCCCGAGCTGGTCGTCGTTGTCGACGTCAGCGTCGTGTTGACCGCAGTCGTACCCGACGAGCTTTGCGCTTGCGAGTAGAATACGCCCAGCTCGGCCAAGCCGACCGAACTCGAGGAGGGTCCAGCGCTCGTCACGGTGAAGAGCAGCGTGGTCGTGTTGACTGCCGCGGTGAGGTTGACCACAGTGGCCGAGCCATCATCGTTCAGGCTCGGAATGGTGACGGTGGTGCCGTCGCTGAAGGCGACCGTGCCGCCCGTGATCCAATCGTCGGGATTGGGGCGATCGTAGAAAACGAGAGAGTCAACCATGTAGTGACTCGACCAGGTGAGGCTGAGCCATGCGCCTGTTCCTTCTCCCTGGGTCGCCCATTCGGCGGTCCAGTTCGATGGGTAGCCCGAGATGACCCCATCATTCGCCCGGTCTGCGGTCTGCCCTCTGGCCCCCGACGACGCCGAGGCGGAGGCCGTGAGAGCCAGGTCCGAGTAGGCATCCGACGACCCTACGGTGGCCGAGACCGCAGTCGTACCCGACGAGCTTTGCGCTTGCGAGTAGAATACGCCCAGCTCGGCCAAGCCGACCGAACTCGAGGAGGGTCCAGCGCTCGTCACGGTGAAGAGCAGCGTGGTCGTGTTGACTGCCGCGGTGAGGTTGACCACAGTGGCCGAGCCATCGTCGTTCAGGCTCGGAATGGTGACGGTGGTGCCGTCGCTGAAGGCGACCGTGCCGCCCGTGATCCAATCGTCGGGATTGGGGCGATCGTAGAAAACGAGAGAGTCGACCATGTAGTGACTCGACCACGTGAGGTTGAGCCATGCGCCTGTTCCTTCTCCCTGGGTCGCCCATTCGGCGGTCCAGTTTGATGGGTAGCCCGAGATGACCCCGTCATTCGCCCGGTCTGCGGTCTGCCCGCTGGCCCCCGACGACGCCGAGGCGGAGGCCGTGAGAGCAAGATCAGCAAACGCGCCTGTGGTGGTGGTGGTGGTGCCGGACGTGGTATTGGAGGTGGTGTTTGATCCAGTGGGTACGCCCCCGACTTGGCCTTGCGAGTAAAAGACGGCGAGTTCAGCGAGGCCAACGGATCCCGAAGAAGGGCCCGCGCTGGTTACGGTGAACAGCAACGACGTCGTCGTGACGGCATTGGTCAGGTTGACGACCGTCGCTGAGCCATCGTTGTTGAGGCTCGGGATTGTGACGGTCGAGCCGTCGTCAAAAGCAAGCGTCCCCCCCGTAATCCAATCACCGAGGTTAGGGCGATCGTAGAAGACGAGCGAATCGAGCCAAATACTCTGAGGCCACGTCAGGTTGAGCCAAGCACCAGCGCCTTGGCCCTTGGTAGACCACTCGGCGGTCCAGTTTGCTGGGTAACCCGAGATGACACCGTCGTTAACGCGGTCCGCCGATTGTCCGTTCGCTTCCGAAGACGCCGTCGCCTGGGCCAGCAGCGCGAGATCCGAAAAGGCCGTCGCGCTGATGGTTGTTGCGTTTTCAATGGCTCCGCCAGTGTCCTGGCACCCAGAACAAAGGTCACCAAACACCTGGATTTCGGCTAGACCGACGCTTCCAGTAGCAGCCGACACCGAAGTAAACTTGACGACCAGCGAATTCGTGATGACGGTTTGCGACAACGTGACGAGCGTCGCCGAGCCATCGTTGGCCAGAGCACCAAAGGAGACGCTCTTGCCATCGGCGAACGTGATCGTGCCACCTTTGGCCCAATCGTTGACGTTGGGTCGATCGTACAAGACGATCGAGGTGACACTGTACGTGTCGTTCCAGGTGAGGGAGAACGTCGTGCCCGCTGTGCCACCGTCGGAAACCCACTCCGCCGACGAATTGCCCGGATAGCCCGAGATAATTCCGTCGATGGCTCGGCCCGGGACCTGGGTCGGGCCAGCATAGCTCGAGGCGGTAGCATTGGCGATGCGGGCGATGTTGGTTCCGTTGGGAATGGTGACGGGCGACTCGGCCGAGCCGGTGTATGACTGCTGCGCCAGCGCCGACGTCACGACGTACTGTCGAGCCAGCCAGTAGGACTCGCCACGGCCGGCGCTCGTGCAGGCTGAGTAAGATTGGCATTCACCCGAGTCGAAAGGCGTGTACTGGAAGAACGCGTTCGACTTGGCGACGAACTGCGCAGAGCCCGAGATGAGGGTGGGAGCGAAGTTGTTGATCGGGTAGCCCATGTAGCCGGCAAAGTTGGCGCTAGGTGCGGTGTTGCCGACCAGAGCCGAGGTGATCCTGGCGGTCGTAATGTGGTCAGAATGATCGCCAGCATCGTAGTCGCTCAGATGGTCGAGAGTGCGAACGTTCTTGGCCTGGCGAGCCGTCAGGATGTCGCTGATGGCATTCTTGAGCGTGGCAAGAGTGAAGGTCGCGCCGCCGTCAACGCTCGAAATGCTGGAAATAGAACCAAAGTAGAGGCCACGAAGCGATTGGTAGCCGTTGGGGGCATACCCAGTCTGCAGAGCAACACGCAACGCTTTTCGTCAGCTTTCGCCTCCGAAAGGCTCTCTATGAAGCCCCGGCGGCGAAGCGCAAGAGCTTAAACTGACTCCATCGACGTTACCATCAGGCAGCCGGAACCACACACGCTGTACCTGGGGTGCACCGACCAATGTGCGCACTAGCACTGGCTGCCCGCCGAACGTGGCAACGAATCTACGACGCAGAATGACAAATCAGCGTGCGCAGTTGAGCGTCTACATCCCTGCTTTCACTCACTCTGTCCAGCTGTCGTCCACGTTGGCCATGTAAGAATTTGCGGCTTCATTGCCGCTCTCACGAGCCTTGGCGTACGTAAGTCCCACACCTGAAATGGGTCCCAAATGTTCAAGCGGCCACGGCAACAGCGTCAGTCACGTGCGCGAGCCCGCGCGACCAGACGTCACCCTGCAGTGGACTTACCCGAATCTCCAGAGGTGAGAAAGATGGTGGTGATACATGCTCCACTGACGACATCGGTCCACAGATCGGGGGATTGGAACAGCAGATCATCGTCGGGATGCGCGACGACGTACACGGTACCGCTGCGGAGGGTGGGAGGAGACGAAGCGCCGGGGCCAAGTGTCAGCGGAATGTCCCAGCCAAGGGGATAGGTTGTGCGCTGCGCTAGCTCGACGACTCACCCGACGCAACTGAAGACCGTGGCCGAGACTGCCGAGAGTTGGTAGCAGGTGAAGAGCAACACGACCGCGAGCCGAAGCAGCCCCGGAAGCGCGCCGGACGAGCGTTGGCGCGGCATCAGGCGCGCTGGGCCCAGGGCGAGGCGCATCATCGTTGTCGGGGCGCCGGTAGTTGCGCGCAAGGCTGGCTGGCAGGGTGATCGACAGGCTGAGCAGTGAGCGTTCCGAGCAATCGCACAATTGTAAGGGGCGGTAAGCTCATCAGCGACCGTGTCCATCCCAACGAGGGAACATTCACCCTACTCACCTGACTACAGGTCCGGGGTATAGCACGTCCCAAGCAGCGACCTTGCGAATGTCCGATAGGGTTCGAGGGGTCGAGCAGTCGCGGCTGGACCTGGATCGGCGGCCGAGTTCAGCTGGCCTTCAATCGTAACGAGTAAACGAAAGTGTAGGTTCTCGTGCGAACACGAGACGGTGTAGTGGGAGATTTGTTCAAGCAAAGAAGTCGAAGGAGCGCCAAGAGGGTGTATATGGCCGTGAGGGGGCGCAGTCAAAGGTCGGACGAAGTTTGAATTGCTGTCCAAGTGATCCTCCATCGCCCCCGCGCAGGCGCAGGCGCGCTATCACTGGCCAGCCTCAACTCAGCTCTGATCATAAGCTCCGTGCCGCGGTGATCAACTTGGTCGTTGATTGCCCCAATCCTCCAGAATATCATTTGTGAAATTATAAACGTCTCCTCGCCTACAGCAAATAAACAAATTGTTCTAAAAATGCAATTCTGTCTGGGCTGCCATGTGTGCCGACGCCCAGGCTGGGCGAAGCAATTGGTTGACCAAGGAAAGGGGCTGGCGTGTTCAAGCCGAGAGGTGGGCGCTACGGCTCCCGCCTGCCTGCGAAGGGTCCCGGCTCCCAAGCCCTTTTGGGCCAACAGCCGCAAATGTCAAAGCCACATTCAAAGCCTTTCATGAGGCCCGGGATCCAGAGCCCGGGGCGGCGCGGGGCCGGGAACCAAGTCGAGGCGCTCCTTCTTGAGACTTTCCTCTTTGGACTAAACCTAAGACAATGAAGTGCCTGCTCAAAGGATCGCTTCGGGACTTCGATGCGATCTCCTGCCGTTTTTTCTCCGAAAACATGCCATACACGCGGATCTAAAGCATGTAATGAAAGTAACAAATCAACAAGAGAGCAAGAAGATAACTTACCTAGGCAAGGAGGGTGTTCCGATCTTTTCAGAAGGGCACGTTAAATCAAAGCAGCAGCTGCTAGGGTGCGAATATACACGTTAACAGGGGGATCTCTAATAAGCCAAATTGAGCCACCCGCGAGCGTGCGCTGTTGTGTGGTCAGCCAGCGCACACTCCCCGCTTCTTTGTCAACTCTTGCCTCGCATTGCCAACAACTCACCACAAGAAAACTGCCAGTTACTTCCTTCACTGCACCGCTCTCTGCATCCTACACTATCAGCTTCGCTTTTGGGACGCTCTTTACTCTCGATCTCGACCGCTTCCAGCGGCATAACCGCACCTCTACCTCACTCAGCCTCCGTCGCAATTGTCTCACCCAGCTCTGCGCTGCACCAACATGCGCTTCACATCGCTCACCTTTATCGCCACGGCTCTTCTGACCTACTCATCCGAGGTCATCGCACACGGAATGGGAGCAAAGGCTCCAGGCTCCCTGCGCCCTCGACAGGCACAGCACGTTGATCCGTAAGTCGTCCGGACTCCGGGGCGATGATGGGTTGTTCCTGAGACGCCGCCGCCTGCACGCCTTGGGGTGTCGGGAGGTGACGATGACAATCCGTTCCCATGCGAAAAGGATCGGAACGGGAACGCCCGGAGTAAGACCTTTGTTTTTTCACAAAGAACGTCCGATTGACCAGCTCTGGGATCCCTCTTGATGGATTGCAGTCATTACAGGGCCCGTCATCTTGCCGCACGCGCCGATGCTGGCGACGGTGAAGTCTTGTCGGATGTGCCCGCCTCCGCAACGGCAATCGTAACGGTCTCCAACACCGCTCCAGCCGCTGCTGGACAAACCGCGGAAGCCAAGGGGTCGATCCGCTCGGATGACAACAAGCTGCCCGACTGCTCGTCGGAAAGTGCCCTTGGTGGATCCTGCGATCCGACCACGGGGTCTTGCTGGTGAGCTCGGTCGACCGGATGATCACCCCGCGTTCTGCTTCGCTGACGCACAGTCGCCTTTAAATTGGTGATCTTCTTTAGCGGAACTGGTTTGACCTGTCTCCAAAAGTCGTGCGCTCGTCTCTGCGGGGTAAGAAGTATCGAGGCATACTGCGCCAACCAATCCGAATGCGACAACTCGCTCGGCTACACCTGCACCAACAACCGCTGCCGACCCCCATTAACCGCGGCCCGCGTCGACAACGGTGAAGCATGTGATCAAGGTGGTGCCAACACCGCTTTCTGGTAAGTGAAACTGCCGCGATGTGTCGTGATTCCTCCGTGAAAACTGTCCTAATCGGTAACCTTGCCACAATTCCACATTGCGCAGCATCCCGGGTCGAGGTGTCTGCATAGGGGGGACGTGCCAGCCTTGCACATTGCATACGTAATCTGTGCAACGATGTCGAGAATTTCAAGGCGTCCCCTCCCAGGTGAAGAATCATATCGTCACCAGAACGTGACCTATCAGTACTATCCTCCTACCACAGTCGCGCATCAGTGCACTTTTTGTCAATCCTAGACTTATGCGTGTGTCTCCATGCTTTTGCTGTTTCATTGTCTGTACAAAACACATTTTCAGCATCGACTGGTTGCGTAAGAGCCTGATTTGCTTGTTTTCTTTGGTCTTTCACGTACAAAGAAGTATGCGAACGCTGGACGTCGGTGCCTCATGACAAAGGGGTGTCGCGTAGGGGACTCGGTGCTATGGTTTGGAAGGAATTACTGTATTACTGATGACTACAACTACTGCGAGAACTAAATGAATGATAGTAATACAACAGCTAAGAAGTTTGAGAAACTAATAGGGTTCTGACATACGGAGCCGGGCGGGCTCATCATCGCTTGCGGGGTGGCGGAGGAGCACGGCGGTTCGCCTGCACTTTCGAAACGGGTGCGCCGAACTTTGCTTTATGTTCGGGGCCACTCCAGACCGGAATGGTGCAATCGCGTCCATCGGCAAAGTATTCGAACGCAAACCAAACATCCGAGCCACAGTCGGTGCCTTGTCGAAGAGCCATGTTCTGCCCGAAGAGTCGAGGAAAACGCAGGTTAGGACAGGAATTTCTCGGATCGTTCCTGACCCAGGGAGGTGTTCGCGACGTACCTGGACATAGATTCGGGGCCAGTTTAAACGAGCGGCTTGGTTCCAAACAGGTTGCTCTTTGGCCGTGAACCTAACGCACGCCGAGTAGGAGTCGGATCGTCAGCTCCACAATCTAGCAGAACGGGGAGGACGGAAGATCGCAGCACGTATTCCGGCGGGCCACCCGATCCCAAATCATGACTCACTTTTGCAGGGACGACTGTCGAATCGTCACCTTCATCGTTTCCTCTGCCCACCAGTCAATTCCTGCCGCTTTCCCGCCGTAGTAGCCGCCCTGCAAACGGTCGGAGCGGTCCAATTCGCCACCCGCGGTAGCGCCGTTAACGTAGTCAAGCCCAGGCGCAAAGGGCTCCTGAGCGGCTGAAAGCACCAAAGTGTCGTCCGGAACACTGCTGTAGATGTGGTCGAGCTGCTTTTCCAATTGCAAAAAGTCGTGCTTGACCGACGAGTCGCGGAAAGCCCCGGCATCGACCTGTGTGCAGCAAGAGTGGTGGCAAAAGTTTAGTCGATGGGCTCACGTGATCACGTCCGCCGCAACGCCCGAGAAAAAGACTTGCCCAGACAAAGTACTCGGAGTTGTAGTAGTCGGCGTCCTTGACCTGCTGGACCATCCACGGCTTCGCGGTCCACACCCCGTAAACGTCCGGCACGTGCCAATTCTGCTCAGGGTCGATCGAGTTCTGCAGCTCCGCCCATTGACGTCCGCCGAGGGTTTCAAGCGGAGGCATATCGAAAGGGGTATCGTAAGAGTCGATGATGGTAATCGGCTACAGTGAAGGGAGCGAAGGGGAGGGAATGGAGAGGGAGGGTAAGAATGGCGCGCCAAGTGGACGCTGAGCGGACATGATCAGTGAGGGGGAAACAAGTAGCACTTACTTTAGATCCTCGGAGACCCGTGATCAGAGGGCGCATCTCCGGGGCACAGTAGAACACGATTGGCAGTTCGACGTGACCCAGAAAGTTCGAGAGCCATGCGTGGTATTCTGCGTCACGAGCAAAGCATCCAGCGGCAAGAACAGACGCGTGAGCGGACGCGAGATCAGGCGGGCCAGCGCGCGACGAGCGATTGAGGCATCTCTTATTCGCGAGAGGAGCACGTGACCTACCGGAAACCCTATGTTTCTTGCCGCTGTCGATGCGATAGAACGCAGAGATCAACGTTACTCGGCTCTTTGGTGCTTCGCCCTCCACTACCTCGGCCGTGCCCGAGTGCGAGTGGGCCTTGGCGGCCGCGCCGTCGAACGGTTGCGACGGCGCAGGTAACCTGACGAAGGCCGAGACGTCGAAGCCGGCCTTCGACCCAAGTTTTCCAACGGTTTCCAAGTAGGGCTGGGTGACGTTGCGGAGGCTCATCACACTTGACTTGCGTGACTCGGCATCGGAGTTCGTCATGGCCATGGCCAGGAAGAGCACAAATGCGACGAGCCAACCCAGCACCGCAACCACACGAACTGAGTGGCGAGCAGAGGGCGTCGAGGGGGACGTCAGCCGGCTATACGAATCTCGCCTGTCGATGCGGTGGTAGTGTGACGTGGATTCAGTCTTGGGGTCTCTCCACTGGAGGCCCTGGTTCGAGCTGGGTCGAGAATCGTATTCTTTCGAGTAAGGCGACTCGGCGGGGCGAGCCGCCGTCGTCGACGTGCGTCGGTGGAGATTCGGGAAAGGGACGCTAGAGTGTTGTCGTTCCGACTCGGAGTCGAGCGAGCTCGGCTCATTCGAGACGAAAGGCAGCAGCTTGAACATGGTCGTGTCGTCGAGTGTTGCAGAGGGGAGAGTCAAGCACAACAGGCTGGTGACAATCGGGCAGTGCACCCGGAGTGCTAGAACAATCAGTGATCGGCTGCGACACCTAGCTCCACCGCTTGGCCGCCCCTTTCATCCAGAGTAATTGCACTGATGGGGGAACGGCCGCGGGGCCCAAGACACCCTGAGGCCCCAAGAGCCCACTATAGAGTGTTCCAAGCGCGCGAAGCGTGGCGCGAGCGCGAGGCCCTCCCCGTGCCTGTGAGGGCGAAACATCGTGCCCATGATCCGGATCGCCCTTTATTTTTACCCCGCCGCTCGTCCACGGTGACTGGCTGTTCGATGGTACCTGTGTAACGCTTCTTTTTTCAATTTTGTGTTTTACGATGGATTGGAACCTCAGACATACCGGATCGGTCTTGACCATATTCGCAGCAGCTTCCCGGGGGCCATTGCACGAGGTGCAGGGACCGTGCGTGCGGTGCGTGCGCAGCTCTTGCATTCGTCGACATCAGGCGTTGAGAAATAGCCACCACTGAGTTGGTGATCTAGGCTAGTGTAGGCAATTACCGCCCGCTCCCGCCCTTGGACAGGCGTGATATGCGCACATCCGCTTTGGGAAGAATCGGTGCGCGTGAGATGGTGCACGCGTAATAGGCGCCGCGATGGCCTGCGCTGAGCCCGCTCCTCAGGACTCAAGCTCAAGCTCCCGGGCTCCCGACGTCCCGACGCTTCCCGCCTCCCAGACGCTTCCCGCCTCCCAGCCCTCGCGCGTCCGCCCGACGCAATTTGCGACTAGTTTCAAGTCCCCTGCGCGTCGCGGCCGGCAAAAATTTCGACAAAAGGGACTTCAGCCTCCTTTCACAGCAGTTCATTCGTCTTTCACTTGCCAATTTGAAGAGCCTGATCCCATCAACCCATCGAGTGCATACTTCGCATACTTTGACAATCGTATTCCCAAGCTGATCGTTCGTGGGTAGATGAGCCGGCCGGAAGGATCGTCCAAAACCTACTCCACAGAGCCGAGAGGCAGAGAATTGGTTTCACGCCGAGGCCACACCATAAGTCTCACCTTTAATGGTCCTCGGCAAGGGTTTTTTTTCACAGTCGGCCTGGTGCGACAGTAGCGTGAGAAGCCTGGAATTGCGCTGCGCCGAGGACGCGGCCCCAATGTCTCGGTTTCAGTGGACCGTGTCTCACCTCGTCGGGATCCGAACTCGGCCAGGGCCAAGGCGTGACCGCGGGTGAGTGGCTGTTCTGCATTACATAGTTGCTTTCCCAAATGGCCGAAAGGAAAAAAGAAAACCTGTCACAATCTAAGGACCTAGATTGGTCTGAGGGGCTACTTACTGCTTCAGGCACATGTTAGCCTGTGCCGAGAAATGATAATGGAGGAGGCTTGCTCCACGCAATCCGAAAGGCAGGAAAAGGTTGCAGGCTGCAGCGCCGAGAGCGCTGGAGGGGGCCGGGCACTGGGCACTGGGCGCTGGGCACCCGCAGGAGCCCGCAGGCGCATTGCAGGCCGGCACGAGCGTCATCCACTCCGTCACGTTTGAGCTCTCCCCCGCTTACACGACATTGCACTTCGTCTGCGTGCTCAATCACCGAGCCATAGAATTGGTCGGCTGCTCACCCAATCCTTCACGACCACCCTGATCGTACACCAACCTGGTGCGAAGTCTCTGTCTGCAAGCAACGATCGCTTCGAGGCCGATATCATTTCGTTCTGATCGCCCATTTGGGACCGACACTTGGTCACCTCGACCTCGACCTCGACCTCGATAGAATCAGCGTCTGCGGTCCTACCTTTTCTTGGACACGAGATTTCTTGGATACGAGACAGCACTCGTCCTAGCACCACTCTCTAGCCTTGTCTCTCTTCGTCGACTACAACGTGTGTGACTATCGTCCGTCTCTCCTGTCTCATTTTACCACAAGATCTCGGCGACTGGATCGACAGCAAGCGGATCGAGCGGATCAAGAGGACTGTGCACATCTGCACAAGCTCGAGTAGGCGCAAGTAGGAGCCATGTCGAAGGATTCTTCAGCAATGTCCCCAAGGGCTTTGAGTCTGGCGGCCGTGTGTCTACAGTCGACAGTGCTGGCCATCGTGTAAGCCCACGCTCTCGGATCGTTCCTGCCTGATCCTTTCCACCGGCCAATGTGCTCGGCTGACGCGACCGCTGGCTGACGACCCCGCGGGGGCTTTGGAATTAACCATTACAGCCTTCATATTTCTCAAGCAAAAGCAAGTCCCGGTGAAAGGTCGTACAAGGCCTCGAGTGCCGTCCTCTTGACAGGTGAGTTGTACGCTCACGCTGGCTCGACGATGAATGAGGCTGGACGATCGCTCCGGGCCGACATTCGCCAGCCGGGATGGCGGGCAGGCGGGGTGGCAGCTCGCCGGGCGCATCTCCGAGCAATGCCAGGCTTTCGGGCGTCACTCTCAGATGTTTCCTGTACTCGCACTGACATGCAGCGCGCCCATCCTATCTTGATGTTTAATCTCTTTAGAACTCGGAAAATTATTGCTCTCCTTGTTGCTGGCACTGCGGGACGTGTGGAAGGAGCGCGCGACATTGCTGGCGCCTAGACACGCCTTGCCTTCGCCCGAGCTCTATTCGTCAGGCTACGAGAACGGCAAGGACAAGTACTCGCTACCACCGGATGCGGCGCCACCAGAGTCTCGTCGGCACACACTCCGACGACGGAGCTCCGCCATCAGCCTCGACCTGCGAATAGAACACAACGAAAAGGTGCGGCGCTTGTCTGGCAAGTCGGCCCTCGCGGCGTTTCAATGGCCTCGCACAATGCTCTCCCCCGTGCCAGATATGAAGGGGTCGCCACTGCTGTGCGGGAGTCCCGAGATTGTGAAGAGGCTCAATGACCCGACTTTGTGGACGCGGCGCCGTCGCCTGGGTCTGCGAGCGATGCTCTGGGAGGACATCTTTGGTTCCGACTGGTGGAAGATGGGAATTCCCGCGGTGCTCTTTGCGGTGCAGAACAATCTGATGTGAGTCGAGAAAATCATTTATATTCCGTTCTATCTACCTATGCAAGGTGTCGTCGAGCTCAACGTTTGGTTTTTGCAGTTACGTCGCCGCTCGTAACCTCTCCATTCCCGTCTTTCAGATCACGTTTCAGATCAAGGTGGGGCGCCCAAGATACTGGAAGCGGAGAAAGGGAGCCTAACGAGTATCACAACAGACTGACGCGTACTTTTCCACTTTGGTCTGTACAGACTGTGGTCACCGCTTTGTGCGCGGTAGTGATGCTCGGCCGCCGGCTGACGGCCCTGCAGTGGGTCACGTTGATCACACTCGGTGCCGGTGTCGCCTCGATGCAGCTCGGCGCGATCCATGCCAAGTCCGGCGGCGACCCCGGCCACTCACCCAACGTTTCCGCTGAGGAAGATATGAACCACTTGGCTGGGGTGGGTGCCGTGCTTGTTTCATGTTTGGCTTCGGCCATCGCCGCAACCTACTTCGAACTCGTCATCAAGAAGCCCGCTGTGGTTCCTCAGATCCGCGAGTACATGATGGTCGCACCGCCGGATCTCAAGCCAGCGAGTCTTTGGGTTCGCAACATCCAGCTGTCATTATTCAGCACCTTGTTCGGCATTGCGGTCGTTCTCGTGCAAGCCAGCCCAGCTCATTTCGCCTTCCACGGAGGACTTTCGCTCGACTTCAAGGGCACGCTCGATCCCCTCGAGCATTGGTACGATCCGTTTTCACTGGCGGCCGACGGCTTCTTTGAAGGCTTCAACTCCGTGACGTGGTTTGTCGTCGCGTTGCAGACCATTGGCGGATTACTTATTGGTACGTCACCGAATCATGAGATGCTTTCCGCGCAATGCGCTTGTTCACCAAGCTCATCCGTGGTCGCGTGTCTGACTCTTCTTCGTAGCTCTCGCGATCAAGTACGCCGACAACGTTGCGAAATCGTTCGCACTCTCGGTCTCGATCGTGTTCACCTTCCTGCTTTCGGTGCTCATGTTCGATTTCCAAGTCACACCCTCGACCGCTATCGGTGCTCTCGCTGTGGTGGGATCGACGATGCTCTTCGAAGTCGACCAAAGCGCACTCAAATCGGCGATCATGCTCGACGGTCATAAACGAGCTGGCCCGCTCCTCCGCAGATGGCACTACGTCTTGTTGGTGGTGCTCGGGACCAGCTTCCTTGCGACGGTCACCCCACTCTCGCGTTTCTCCGTCACCACGGCGGCTTGGGACGCACTCAGCTCGCACGTCGACCTGTCCGCTTCATCGACGCAGCCGACAATCGCCATCGCCGACATGGTCCGCATCAACGCGTACCTCGCGAGGGGCGCTGGTCCGGGCGAAGGGGAATGCGATTGGGGCTTGTCGCCTTTGCGGCTGTCAACACGACAGGCATTCGGGCCCACGACTGACAAGGGCCTTGCGGCTTCCAATGTTGTGAGTCATTAGGGCCTTCAAATAAGAAAGTAAATTTTTGGAGCTGACCTAGTTGCGTGTGACGTGCTATACAGAACTTTCCGTACTACGAGTTCGAGACTGGGCAATATTCGCTCGACGACATTCTTGCCACGCGCATGACTGACTATGCGCACAACGTCCCGATTCTCGCGTCGCCCTCGCCAGACTTCATCTTCCTTCCCCTCCTCTCGCTGTTCTACTCGAATCCGTGGAACTGCGAGTCCAAGTCTCTGCAAGAAGGAATTCGCCAGACGACAGAATACATTCGCGCCATCGTTCACAGCGTCGGCAAGACCGCCTACCCTCGCATCATCTTGCCCATCGCGGGTGTTCGCTCGGACGTCGAGGACAAGCTCTTCACCCCAGAGCTGATGGAAGAGTTCAAGGATAGCGTTGTCGTGGTCTCCATTGAATCGGCACCCAAGAGATACCCCGAGGCGCTTAAATATCTGATCGACGTTCCTTACCCGACCTGGTTCCATCTCTCGACGAATCGCGCGGGTCGCAAGCCCGGAACCGACGACTACTTCCTGCTTCAGAACCGACCGAACCTCGTCTTCTACGCTGCAGCAGTGTCACACCCCTGGGGCGCCCCCGCGTCCGAGCCGTTTAATGGCTTTGCGCTTCGCCAAGTTCTGCAGCGTCAGTTCTCGAACTACGTCGCACTCCCTGCTGAGCAGCAGACATCGCGCGTCATCTTCGAAGACCTCAAAGTCGACCACGATGGCTCTCAGGACTTCGAGGGCTTCCATAGCTCGATGGCGTCTTCGGTGTTCTGCCCCATGCCCGCGGGTGACTCACCCACGCGCCGCGCATTGTACGAGGCCGCGCTGCTCGGCTGCATTCCCGTCATCTTCCGCGAGCGCTCGTACGGTCGCTTATTCCCCTCGTCCCCCGAGATCAACGACCTGTCGCGATGGACCGTCTACGTCGACGAGCACGAGATGATTGAAGGAGTCGGGCAGGGTCTGATTGAGCGCCTCGAAGCGATTACCCCGTACGAGATCCAGCGTCTGCAACGCCACCTCGCGTCCATCGCGGCCGGTCTGCAATGGTCGGTCCTTGACGAAGACCAGTGGTACCCACCCGCGCGGGTCTCCCATACCAACCCGGGCGTCTACAACCAGACGAGCTTTTACAATCATACCAAAAGCATCGAACAACAGAGGAGAGCCTCCCCGGTCATCGATGCCTTTTCTCTCCTCGTCAAAGAGCTGGAAGGAATCCGCGATGGCACATGGCGAGCCGGTATCGCCCGGGACCATCGCGTCGGCAAACATTCGAAGCATTTCGGAAAGTCTGCAGCGCATCAGCAGCAGCAAACTCAAAAAATGCAGCAGGTCAAGCGCCAAAACACTCGTCGGCAAGCGGAGGAGCCTTGATGGCGGCCGTCGCCCGCCGCCGGCCTCGGACTCAGCCGAGGACCCGTTCCCACGTTTCATGGATCCAGTCGGTATACCATGTTGTAATCTTTACCTAGGAGGAAGCAGTTCGCATCATGTCACTAGAACTGTCGTTGTTCACATGCAGTACCTGCTTCAGTACCTGGATTATCTGTGTCATGATGACAGACCCACTTGCAATTGTACGGGTCCCGTCACTATCACCCTGGCCCCAAACCGCTGACTCGCAGTTGGAAAGTCGTGCACCCTGTCTCACGAGAGCTCACGCGCTCACGAGCCGGCCACGAGCGCCCCTGCCGGCCGCCGTGGGCACAGCGGCGCCTTTGTCCTGATCTGGACCCTGGCAGAGCCGGCCGATCAAGCTGCGGCGGTGTCGGGTTACGCCCTGTCCGAAGGGGCGGCGCCAAATTGCGGTTTCCGCAAGGGCGGTGTCTCAAGTAGCGCTTCGAGCAATAGCGATCACACCTCCGACTCGACGCGAGCTCGGGCGACTCGTGCTTCGTAACTTCGCTCCCATCTTTGCATCAACGTAGCCTTCGACCAGTCTCCAGTCAAGACACCCATCGTCATTCTTTCGACGATTGATCCAAGAGTGGTCATCTCTGCAGCGCCGATAGGCCCGTTCCCTGTGTAAGTGGGCTCGCCGCCGAGCGATCCTACTTCAATCGGGTGTCCCTCGGCCGGAGGCGGGCGCTCAAGCCTTGCCCGGTACTGATAGCCCACCCTCATGATCGCTCGCTCCACCATGACAGGCTATATGTCCCTTTCGATGTATTCTCCGCACGAACTTTCGAAAAATCAGGCTGCGGAGGCAGCCAAACATAGTTATGATGGCGTACAAAACCAGCAGCTCGTGCGTCACGGTATGAATGGGATCGCACTTTGCGAGTGAGCGGTGCTGGTCCGCGGTACTGAACGTTGCCGGTTGTTCCTCACACCAAATGTAGCTACCTACTCCCCAAATGAGCGTGGGTGGCAATAGGAACAGCAGGTGAGTTCTCGGTAGCCCTAGTGAAATCTCGGCGCCGTAGCAAATCTCCGAAAAAAGGGATCGGCGATCGCCCAGCGCCTAAGGGTCGCCGTTGCTGTGCCTTGTACAAGTGAAGCAACCCTCTAACAAAGTCGATACTGATGATTTTAGAATGTTGCGAATGGATACACAGATCGGTCGAGATTGGGCTCGATGGTTATCGTCATTGGAATAACGACATCTGCCGCTGCCACGAGCGGCCTTGGTTGGCCTGTGCGGCGTATTGCTGTCCTTGCCTCATCTGGTCGTTGATTCACTCCAAGACGGAGCATCTTGTTGCCCACGGTACTCGTGCGTTCCCTCATGCGGAGTGGTAGCTGTCATGTCACGTGCCCCTAGCCCTGGATTACTGACACAGCTTGCCCCCTATTGCTGTCGTACGCGCCCCGCTGACCTCGCATCTTGACAGCTCATCCCAATCCACGAAAGGTGGGGTCATGGTGCTGCATCATTGCGTTCTCGCCTATTTGCGTGGCCCTCCCTGAGGTCTTGTTGGACTATGCGTCCCGCGCCGAAACCCGCAAGCGTTACGGCATTCGAGGGAACTGGGCCGAGGATTTTGCCATCGCGTTGTGCTTACCTTGTTGCTCAATTGTCCAGGTAAGCTTTTTTCATTCGCGTTGCGGCCATTTGCCGCCAGCTGTCTCAGCCTCTCACACTAAGTGCATGCCATGAATTGATGAACACCGCACAGGAATACCGCGAGATTGAAGACGAAGAGATCGCACTCGGAGTTGAACCGGCTCCCCGCCCCACTTGGCTGCGCCCGCACAACGTCGATTGAATCATCACGCGTTTTGTTTCATTTCTGTCTCGTGGCTTCCAATATGTATGTCGTAGATTTATCGAGGGGGGTTGTAGGTCATGACAGTGATGGGAGCAGCTTTGAATTCTAAGCTTTCAAGCTTCACTGAAGGGCCGTGGTGGCTACTAGTAGTTGGCCTGTCGCCGGCTGACCTCCGAGGTCACCGCAAACTTTGATCTTGTGCCGGACGCCGACTGGACCGCTCCAAAGGACGTGTTATGTGTTACGTTGCGTACATCGCATTATACGGTATAGCGAGTCATGTCATGTGTTCGCAATGGTTGAAGCTTCCGTGCACATGAAGCCCACAGCAGAAGAACCTGTGGCTCCAGCGTCGGCACACGATCGAGCTAAGCGAAAGTAAGCGAATAGAAGCGAATCGGCTCGATTGGGTCCGAGCGGAGCCGGGCTGAGACGTGCAGCCTTCTGGCACCGCCACCGTCCTCGAAGACGACTCGGTAACGTTGCATTCTGTCCCCGTTCCACGCCCCCTCTGACATCTATCAAGGTAGAACGATCCTTTTGACCAAAGGTGAGTAAGCTTACTCGGAGCAGTCGTGCAGTCCCCCAACCGTACCCTACCGTACCCGTGCATTCCAACGTGACTCGATCCAGCGCTCGATCGGCCACGCTGACCTGAACCGCACGTCGTGACTGTGTCCTCTACAGATCCCTGTCCTCGTCCCCGTCCCCGTCCCCGTCCCCGCACCAACCTATACCGATGACGATTGACTCTGCTCCCGCCAAGGGCGAGTTGCTAGTCACCGTGGACGATGGTTCGGATTCGAGTCCCCCTTCGTACCGCGCGGCGGCGATCATGGCCGAGCAACTCGTATGTGCTTGGATCTGAGGGCGGCTGCAGAACACGAATAAACTGAACAGAGTTAGCCTATTCGATACCACAGCAACCCATGAATAAGATGACCATCGCAGGAGCTCGTAACAGCAAGTGAGTCGTCGAAGGACGGCCACGTCGCGTCTCGCCCCTCCCCCCCTATCCATTCGGGCTGGGCTTGCTTCACCAGAGTCGCCCGTACTTTCAGAGCTGCATTTCAATTGCGCCTCTTGCGGTTTTGCTGAAGTGGTTCCGCGCCCCACTGCAGATCCGTTCCTATCGGTCTTGATGGTCGACGAGCTTGGAGTCATGGTCTGTGCGCGTGCCATGAACGACCCGGCCTGTCGCTCGCGGCGTTCTGCTGCCCATGCTCTCTCTGGGCGACGAACCATTCGAAGATCAACCACCTCGCCGAGACGGGTATGCGTGAGTCACCCCCTCTCAACAAGGCCTTGATGGTCCTTTCTTGCCAGTGCACTGTCGCTCATCGTCCCATTCCTCGGATCTTCGCTTCAAGCCGATCCCTCGCCCGAGCGCGTCGGCCTTTGGTGTGCGCTCTACGCCATCTCACCGAACTTCCTCGGCATTGGTCAAGTCTTGATGCAAACCGCTTCGCGCTTCCAAGCGCGCGAGCGTTACGGCGTCCGCGGCAACGTCGTTGAGGACACCCTCATCGGCGCGTTCCTGCCCTGCTGCTCTCTCGTTCAGGTTCGTTTCTCTGCCATCTACACCTTTCACCCCTGTGAGCTCTCCGACTGAAGAATCTTCATACTTTATACCAGGAATATCGAGAACTCGAAGCCGAGGAAGCTGCCTTGACGCAGACCTCTGCCGCTCCCGAGACCCACTTCCAAGACGAAGAGGAATCCATCGCTTCGGGTCCCACCGAATCCCTCATCTGATCGTCGACCCTGATCCGAATTCTCGCCTCGACATCGTGTACCACTCCATTTAACCCTCATTTGTTATTGTTTGTTCATATTCGTTCCCCCCCCCCCGTTGGCTCTAGCTTGTCATTTGTATTACATCGTCGCTCGTTCGTACCTTCGGTCTCAAATGAGACCTCCTTTGATGAGGTCCTCATCGAAGGTGAGAATTGAGAGTTGCACCGTGCCAATTTCAATAAATGAGGCGCACCCTTCCCGAAGCTGGCTTCTGATGAAAAGATCATCTCGAGCACACATGTTTACATAACCAATGGACATTACACAACATCTCTAAATTTCAAATATTCCGTTCGCTTCAAGGCAATGGTATTTAGATCCTCAACTTCTTCCCTTTGAGTGCCCAAGCGGCGCCTACAACGAGGGCGCAATACACGATCAAGCTGAGCATCGCGATCATGGTGCCCGTGTACATGCTCTCGATCGAGACGTTGACAAGGCCGGTCAACAAGTTGGCCTTGAGAAGATTGGATAACAAAGTCACGGATCAGAACCAGATTGGCATCTGAAAACGGCGCCTAACGGCACTCACGACAAGGAAGACGAGCAGGCCGTTCTTGTTTATGGCTTCAAAAATGCGAGGCGCTGAGCTGGATCGCGTCGTCGGCGATTTGGAAGCCCAGAGATGGACGCAGAGGTAGAGGAACAAGAAGGCCGTGTTGAAAGCCGCGACCCAGAGGACATAAGGGAGGTTGGCCTGTATGCCCATCCAATGCGACATCCACTATCAGCCCTCAGTCGCGGGTGGCCCCCGGACTAGGACGTACCAGCCTTCTTGAAACCTCGATCCCCGACCACCTCACAAGCACAAACAACGTCGACCAAATGATGGCATAGCTACCCAACACGCTCGCCAACTTGTCCGGTTTCGAGCGCCAGACCTTTTCCTTCTTCTCTGCCAGCTTGCGTTGGACCCCCTCCGATGCGTGAGAATCCGCGGTCGTGGTCATGACGTGGTAGAAGTACGGGTCCGGGGGTAGGACATATAGCCCTGTACCTAGCCCCAGCAAATAAATCGCCAGGTAGCCTGTGGGGAGTTGTTTGGGTGAGCGAAGGGCACGTGCAAGAAGCGGTATACACGAAGCACTTTACCTGGCAAGCTGACGAGCCCTTCCTTGTTCTGGGACACGAGGGACACTCTTGCAGCCGTCAAAACCCAGCTCGTCAAGCTTGTTCGGCTTAGGATGAGTTGATGCACTACATCGGAAAAATGCGCCGACGCGTCAAGTCAGCTTCAGGACCCCGAAATCAAAGGGTTCCGGACGAGAGGGTGTTGCGTACCAGCGGTAACGATGAGGGCCATCAAGGTGAATCCGATTATGGGTACTAGTCTCTCGAGACCGGCTCCGAACACGGGCAATATTGCCATAGTAAAGAAAAAGTTCCAATGCACGCCGTATTCGGTGACGTGTTCCTATTCAGAAGACAAAAGTTGAGGTCAGCACCGATTTCATTGCTGGTTTCCTCAAAAATGACAAGATAGCGTACCGGATAATCCACGCCTTTGACCATGACGACTCTGACCATGCCCAAGGCCAACAATCCGGCACTGTGCTGGATCGACTTGAGAATCTCGTGCAGGACGCTCGACTCTGTTTGTTTTTGCCGCAGGATGGGCAAGGCCGAGATGAGGCCGAGCGAAAAGACGAACGAGCCGACTCCCAGATCCATCTTTTCGTAGGTAAAGTACGAGTTAGACTTTGGCCAGAAAACATCATGAAAGAAAGGTAATGGACTGAGAGAAAGTGAACTCACTATCGAGGTGCCATACGTCTCGGCCTTGGCAAAGGACCTTGGGAAAATAGGAAAGTCGACCGCAAGGATACAGATGACGGTCATGAGCATCATGTGGGCTCGGTACACCGTCACGAACGGTCGGTTAAAGACTTGGAACGAGGGGAGATGGGTCGACGAATGAGCGCCGGGTGTCGGCGTCGATCGCTTGGACGTCATCGGCGATAGGGGTGGGGAGAGCGGTGTTGGCGGCAGCACGCTCGAGCAGGCTACGATGCAGAGCACGAGGAACGCATTGAGGAGGAACGCATGGGCCGCTGCCAAGGTAAGAGCGAGCAGCAGAGGCACGACGAGTACGAGGAATTCGTAAAAGGGGGCCTTGAGGGATGATGCGGTGCGGGAGGAGAAGCGCGCCGAGACGATCGTCCACAGCGCGTAGGTGGTCTGCAAGGTCCGTGCGCGCGAGTGTTCAGCGATGCAAGACCGAACCTTTTACCGCGTATCGCGGGTAGATGTGTGAAGCATGCTACTCACAACAGCAGTGGCACATACGGTGTTGATTGTCAGGATGGATCCTCCGGCCGAACCCGACACGAACTGCTCCTTGGCGTGCTTGTAGCCGCTCATCCTTCGTCGAGCGGTCGTGTGGGTGGCTCCAGGAGCTCCGTTCGAGGTGGAGGGGTCCCGAGAGGCCGAGCTTGTCGTGCACGGGCGGGTGAGACACGTAGGGCGCGTCACTTATTCCAGTGATCGGTCCATACTGGGTCCTGCGAGTATGCGCGTTGCACGGCAGCAGGGCACGAGTGCGAGCACAACCATGACCGTGCCGGGCTACGAAGCGCGAATCCCGAGGGGAAACGGTTAGATTCACCATTAGCCCCAGGGGCGCGCGCATTAGTGATGGCGTCGATCTGCGCTGATTGGGCTCTATAGGCCTCTACTGGCCTCTGTGGGCCTGATCGCGCCGGTATGCTGTGTGGGCGCGGCCTTGATCCGGCCACGCTTCTACGCACACCCACCTCTGACCACCTCTGACCACCGCCGTCGATCGCAACATGGCCTCTCTCGCACCTCGCACCGTTGTGAGGTCACTGTCCTCGGCAACGCACTCGGCACGCCGGTCCGTCGCTGCAGTCCATGGCGCCGCGCTTCGATCGTCGGCTGCCTCGTCCTCCGCCCCTGCGTCGAGGCCGCTGACCACGTCCAGTGCGGCCCGATCAGGTACGTACCTTCCCTTGCGTCGTGTGTTCAATGCCGATCCATTCACCTCGCCACCTCCTTCCCACCACCCAGCAGCTCCGGCAGGCCAAGAGTCGCCCTTCAAGGAACCGGCACCTCGCAACCCGAACGAGGATTACCTTGCGATCGCCCCCCAGCTGCAAGAGTTCGGTGCCTACCTCATGGCCTCGCTCCCGAAATTCATCCAGCAGACTTCGGTCTACAAGGACGAGCTCACCCTCTACGTTGCGCCGTCTGCGGTCGTGCCCGTGCTCCACTTTCTCCGCGACCACACAAACACCCAGTACAAGCAGGTCATGGACATCGCTGGCGCCGACTACCCGACCCGCTCCCACCGGTTCGAGGTCGTGTACCATCTCCTCAGTGTCAAGCACAACTCGCGCATTAGGGTCAAGACCTACGCCGACGAGGTCTCTCCCGTGCCCTCCGCCACCGGTCTCTTCAGGGGTGCAGATTGGTACGTGCCTCCTCCGCAGCAGGGTTGATCGCGTAGCCGCATCATAAAGACGATCCAACGTTGCCGACTCCTTCATCCTCCCGTCGCCGTGGGCAGGTACGAACGCGAGGCATGGGACATGTACGGCATCTTCTTCACGGGTCACCCCGATCTGCGAAGGATCCTCACCGACTACGGCTTTGAAGGCCACCCTCTCCGCAAGGATTTCCCCTTGACGGTACGTTCACCATGCATGTGATATGAACCAGTGCTAGCCATGCGACGAATCTGCGCTGACCCGGTATGACCCTCTCTGTTTCACTGCCGTTCCCACTCGACGCGGAATCTGCGTTTGTACGGCATCTGCCGATTCACAGGGCTACACCGAGGTGCGCTACGACGAGGAGAAGAAGCGTGTCGTTTCGGAGCCTCTGCAACTCTCGCAAGCGTTCCGCAACTTTGAGGGTGCTCTTTCGCCGTGGGAAGGGACGGGAACCGGTGTCGCGTCGAGGGCCGAGCAGTTCACGCTCAAGCCGCCGCAGGAGGAGAAGAAGGAAGGGGCCAAGAAATGAGCGGGAATATGACTCGATGGTTACAGTGACTCGCGGTAGAGGTGGTACCCCGTCTTGGGGTCTCCTTTTTACAATGGTCAGGTGGGGGGTATTTAGAGGTGCGGCCAGTCCATCTTGTCCTAGGACAAATGCAATACTCAGTCTGCGTGTGTTTGTTTCATCCATTTCTGTTCTTTTGCGTCGGCCAAGGGGGAAGAAAAAAAGGTTCTGGGACGTACTAATGTAGTCAAACGGCGAGTAGTGGCCCGGGGCCGTATGCTGCACTCAACGGTTCGGTGCCGGGCAAGTTGCAGATGCCGAGGCTCTCACCCGCGCAACCGCCCCACAGAGCTGACGGGCAGCGCTTCAAACGGCTTCCGTAGGCTTCCGTAGGCTTCCGGAGCCCGGCTTTAGCCCCCCGGACGCTCGGCTCTCGACTCGATCCAAGTTGAATCCTGTTCTCGTCACAAACCGCGTATCGATCATCTGCTCAACGTCATGTCGCCCCAAATCTCTGCCCAAGACAATAAGGAGCACTACACAGCGTTGAGTCCTTCCTCCTCCTTCCTTTGGCGGGCCGGCGTTCCCCGAGTCTGAGCGCCAACGCTGACTGGTTACGGCTTTTTGGGAAATGTGGGGCTGCGTGCTGCTTCGCCTTCCGAACCCTTCTTTGGTGATGATGGTGACCCAAGCAGTATCATCCTCGGTGCTGGTGTATCAGGATTGGGCGAGTATTCATTTCATCAGTCACTTCTTCCGTGGTCTTGATGCCTTGAGTGCTGACGGCGACTCTGTCCCGCATCGGCATGGCTCCCATTCTACTTGCGCGGCCCCAGCTTCCAACATCCAGATTGCCCGACGATTGGGTTTGACCGATGTCCTCTGCTAGTAAATCACCTTTCTACTCTTGTTATCTCTCTTTGGGATGCTTCACTAATCTTTGACACCTGTTATGCGCAGTGAAAAATCTGGAGACATCGGCGGCACCTGGAACCACAATCAATACCCCGGAGCCGCTTGCGGTTAGTCGTGCCCCCGATGGCGCTCCAAAGATTCAACCTTGGCTAAGCTCCACCCTCGATTTTGGGGTGTTCCCTCGTCGTGACGGGGGCTGACAATTTTATCTGACATTTCAAAAAACGAACAGACATCCCCATGTCACTCTACTCTTTCTCGTTCGCTCATCCCCACAAGCTCACGACGCAATGGGCCGGACAACAGGAGATCATGAGGTGTTCGTCCATCAGATTCTCCGTCCCGCGGGAAAAGCCGCTCAAGTCTACTTTACCCCACTTCTATACTTGCACGAGGTGCAAGAAAAGTTCCAAGTCAACAACATCTGCTTTCACCACGAAGCGAAGCAGATGCGCTTCTCCCGCGACACCGGTCTGTGGACGCTCGAGCTCAAGGACCTCAAGACGGGCCAGACCAAAACGCGGACTTGCAATATTTTGATCTCGTGCGTCGGCGGTCTCTCGATCCCCAACGACCCTACCTTCGACACCAAGGACTTCAACGGTGACGTCATGCATTCGGCACAGTGGAACCATGACGTTTCGGTCGAGGACAAGGACGTCGTCGTGGTTGGTAATGGCTGTTCGGCCGCGCAGATCGTCCCCGAGATCGCAGACAAGGTCAAGAGCTTGACGCAGATCGCTCGATCGAGGCAGTCCATCCTGAGGAGACCGCCCGTGCCCGATGGCGGGTGGATGGTCTTCATGCAGAACTACATCCCGGGAGTAAGTTACTCCAGTGTCCCTCGGTGTCAACGCGACTGGAGCAGAAGTGCGCAGCGTCTGACGCGCATGGTCGCGTTCCCGACCCTTGTGAATTGCTTCTTACAGATGTCGTACCTGTTCCGATTCCTCGTCTTTTTGCTCGGGGAATACGACTTTAAGGGCATGGACCTCATCCGCGGGCAAAAGCTGCGACAGTGGGTCTCCAAGGACCTCACCTCGTACATCCGCGAGGTTGCACCTAAGAAGTATTGGGACGTGTTGGAACCCAATTTCGAGGTCATGGCCAAGCGTCGTGTGTTTGATTCAGGCTATTATAAGGCCTTGCATAACCCCAAGGTCGACCTGATCAGCGACGATGCGTTGGAGACGGTCAAAGGCGACACGGTCACGACGAGAGGGGCGGAAGCTCAAGGCCGACGTGATCGTTCTTTGCACGGGGTTCAAGATTCAAGAGTGTACGTTCCCTTGCCGATGTAAATATCTGCTCTGATTTTGCTGATACTCTGCATCCCTGGCGCAGTCTTGTTCCCCCTCAAGATCGCCAACGACAAGGGCGAAGATCTTGCGACCGTTTTGGGCTCAAGCAACGCCAGTAACTACCTCGGAACACTCGTGGCTGGCTTTCCCAATTACTTCTGGATCATGGGTCCCAACACGGCGTAAATAAATATCCCATGCTCCGCCAATCCCTCGGGCCATGCGAGGTTAGGAACCGGCTCCTGATGCCTTCGATTGCCTTTCCGCAGCACCGGTCATTCGAGCGTCATTTTCACGAGTGAATGCCAGATGGGTAAGCTAATCGACCCAACAGTCCGTCAGATGTGCTGTCTGGCCGGCACGCGCGCTGACGCCGAATGTCGTACTACGCTCCTTCAGCATGATGATCAAGCTCATCAAGCCGATCCTCAAGAAACTTAAGCAAAACCGAGACGCATCCCCTGGACCGATCGTTGAAGTGTCGAAGCAAGCACAAGATGCGTACATGGGCAAGTTACGAGCGGAGATGAAGAAGAAGGTCGGTCCTGGAACCTTGCCGTGTTATAGTTCAAGTCGAGTAGAGTGGTGATCTGACACGCGCTCGCGCCCCGTCTTCATTCAGGTCTGGGAGAAGGACGGCGGTGTGAGTTGGTATGTCAACAAGAAGACTGGTCTCTGCACGACACTCTATCCATGGTCAGTCTCTCAAGCTGTTCAGACTCACAAGGATAACTCCACCGGGGCAGACAGCACGAGAATGCTAACACGCTGGCGCCTCCTGATCGATTTCAGGTCGCAAGTCCATTTCTGGCGCAGCACCGCCTGGCTCAGCATGAAGGACTTCATCTACTCCAACTACTAAAAATTGGTGACACGAGACCTCTTCTACTTTGCTCTTTGATTCTTATCTGTCCCTCATGTCTAGTGATCTTCTTTGTGCCTTCCTCGTGTCAAGGCATGGGCTTCTCGTTTCGTCGTGGTTATTTTCCCTGGCCTTGATGTTAACCTCTCGTTTCCAAATCAGTATCCGTAATGACTTTGAGTGAAATTGAGTGAAGTTTCACTTGTCGATCCTTAGGCTCTTAAGGGTCCGTCGGGATCGTTTAAACGCATGGACGAGCATCAAGGAGAATGATCTTAGATCATGAAAGCCGTACCAGTGTTACATACAGAGGACAAGCTGAACGGATCCCCCAACACTATACACGATGAGCTGTCTCCTCCCACGACCTAATCACACAGCCTATGCAACTCGATCAAGCCTTCCTCCTCAACGTCGTCTGATTCGCCTCGTCATGGAACGCGCTCCAGATCCCCCTGACACTCTCGTTCGAACTCTCGACCTTGGGTCGTTTCAATGTTGTGATCTTGCTTCCCGACGAGTCGAGCAGCAGCTGCAATTTGGCGCCAATCGAAGGGGGTGGTAAGGAACGCACGCAGATGACTTTGTCCCGACCGTTGACTGGAAAGAAAAGAGGAACGTCGGGGAGGAGAGTCGTCTCAGTCCAACGATCCAGGCCGATTCAGTGAAGGGCGGCTTCGTCCACTGACCATAAACTGCTCTCAGATGGGGATGTCGGTTATCGACCCTCTGCACGACCATCTCAACCCCAGGGTATTTTCGAGCGAATGAGACGATCGGCCCGTTCGCGAGGAACTCTCGCATCCCTCGGTTCGAACCCCATGTCTCGCAGTATTCGAAGACGACCTGTTGGAGGTGAAGCGATTGGGTGAGTAGGGTGGAGAGGGTATCGATTGTCTGCGATGCGCAACCACAGAGGAGTCGCGTTTCGCAAAGAGGAAGAGCACGATGTCGAAGTTGACGACGAGCAAAGGGGCAGGCCACACTCTCGATGTACCTTCTTACACGGCAGCACAAACGACTTGGTCCCATTCGCGACGGGCACGGCCAAGGACCGCCGCAGGATCGGTTGTAGGGACATGGTGGGGCTGTTGCTTTGAGGACGATGCGGTGACGACGGTGGACGAGGGCTTCTCTTGGTGCTGCAACGGTGTCACAGGGGATGGAGTACGAGAGCGACGACGATGGATGATGAAGTGCCCCGCTTGGTCCGTTGGTCTTGTTCTAGGTAGGTGAGTGTGCGCAGGTAGGTGCAGGACCCGATCGAGATCAGCTCGATTCGCCCACGCTTCGACCGTCTTGTCTTCGCGAAGGGTCACTCGCACGGACCCCCCCACATCCGAACGCACGCCGAGTCACCCAGTCGTAGTCTTGTACGGACAGTAGTGACAAGACCTATATCGTAAGAGAGGGTCAAAAATAGCATCATTTGCATAAATCGTGAACTACTGTCGTGACGAACGAAATGGCTACAACTACAACTACAACTTCTGATTCGGTGCCACTGGTAAAAAGCTTTGCTGTGGACTGGTGCTGGTGCGTGTGTATCCCAGTTGGAGCAGAGGAAGGTAAAGCGAAACAACAGGGGACAAACACATAAAACAACTGCGACTGCGAAATGATCGTATACAAGCCCCCTGAACAAGTAGAAAAACGAGTTCGTCGATCGACACAGGCTGTGGAACCCAACAACATCGATACTGCCGAGGTAAACTTGGACGGGGGAAGTGGCGGCGGCAGGCGTGTATAATGTCGGGGATTGAGAAGAGAGAGAGAGAATAATCGATGTGATATTTTATGGTCTCGAGGCGATCGTGGTGGTTAGATTGGAGACTGGTTACAGCAAGGTAGAGTTAGCTGCTGTGGATGCATGTTCACAAACACGCAGGTCGACTCACCATCGGATCGAAGAAGACGTAGGGGCCGAACTTTTCCCAGCTGAGCGAAGCGAAAGCGTAGACACTGTTCGAGGGAGAGGACAAGGTCAGCGATCTGCACCAAGACGCCGAGACAAGCAACAAAAGCAACAGCGCCCGAAAGAGAGCACTTACTCGTTCATTTTGTCCAACGTGAGTCGGCCTTGCTCAAACAGGTAGACACAAAAGACAACGTCCTCCGTGAAAGCCGAGGCGTAGAAAATCTTTTCGTACGTCACGAGCTCGCCATCAGCCGTGCGCTCGCCGTTGTAGTCCCTGGTACCGTCGAGTTGAAGGGCCCCATCTTTGGGCGGCAAGGCAACGACCACGACGTGAAGGTTGGGTCGCTGCTCGTGCAAGAGATCGGCTTGACGCTGAGCAAATCGGCGGAGGGCCATGTTTGAGATACTCCAAATCGATTCGGAAGGTGACAAGGAAGGCGACTGGAAAGAATGGGTGCTGCTGAACGACGACGATCGCGGCGAGTTCGAGTCGGAGCCAAAGTAGTCAAGGCTTTCCGAAGACGACGATGACGAAGCCAAGCTGACTGCATTTGAGTTGTTGAGCTTGCCTCGAATGTATGGTTGTTGAAGTGAGCCTTGATAGTGTAGGTCCTGGGAGGATGATGACTTGTACGCGATCCCGGTTGGTAGGAAGCAAGGGATCGGCGATGGATCGTCGTCGCGCATGGGCCTAGCCGATGGTGCAGGGGCCAGCGCGGGCCCGTGCAGCGTGGGCTTCGGCTGCGACGACTCGAGCCGACGCTGAGATCCTATTGTGGACACTGTCACTGCGGCGCCGAGGCCTGGTCGATGCTGAGCTGTAGTCTGAACACCGGAGGGGGTCGACTTGGTATCGATGTTGATGTATGGTGTGCGACGAGAGCTACCCCCCGCAATGATGTGGGATAAGCCAGAAGAAGGAAAGGGTAACAATGGGTGGGTAAGCCAATGTGGCGTGAAACGAGCGAGACAAGTCGAGCCGAGGTGCAAATTCGCATCGGAAGAAGAACGACGATTGTTGCTTCGACGCAGCGTGGCATTTGCACCAAACTCGCATTTTTTGAGTTGAGCTTAGCCAAAACTTACACCGAGGCACACTCCACCGGTTCTCCGCCCGAACCTTAGCTAGCTCCAGCGCGCAACGGCACCGCGAAGGTCTCCACTAGCGCGTAATGAACCCGATCGAGCCCCAAACGCCGATGCCGATCAGAACATGATCGGCTCGATGAGAGCGCCACGAAGTGCTACACCATGATACCGACTTTGTCACGAGAGGGGAAGTTATCGAGTGCATGATTTAAATGTATCGGAAGGTCAAAATACATCTTGTGGTACCAATTGTTGCGTGGGAGTAGGATTTGGATCGAGATGGAACGGCGATCGGTAAGATTGTCTTCGGTCCGCGGAGTTTACGTCGTGATGGGTGCTCGAATTTCATTATCCGTAACTAGGGCTCGTTATCCGTGATGAATGCTCGATACGTGCACTCGAACTACGAAAAGAAAACCTGAGGTAGCGAGAAAAGGGTTTACGAGGGAGGCTCAATATTGAATGCATGTTGGATCTGGCCAGGCTGATCAAGGACGAGTCGCCTGCCACATGCCACACCCGCCAACGCTGAGTTCCGAGGGGAAACCAGGCAACACAAGAGAAAAGGGGTCCTCGACCGAGGTGGGGTATGGCTTGGAGACCCGGCCGTATGCAGCTGGAGGTTGCGTACACTAGAAGTCGTGAGATAGGGCTAGGGTACATGCATACTAACTGATGTTCAGGGTCTCGTAAACCTTCTCAATCCGAATGTGAATCGACCTTGAGCGTCGAGCCGACTCGACGTCGGAAAATTCGAGGCTAGTGTGGAGAGTGAAGGCGAGGATTGAATCGCCAGCGCGTCAGCCCCGAGTGGGGATGGGGGCTGCAAGATTCAAGTGTTGCTGAAGCTCTGCAGACTGAGCGAGCAGACACCCATGGCACTGGCGTCCGCTCCGGCGCGCCGCCGCAATCCAGACGCCAGCCGCCGCGATGCCGCCGCAAAGCCGCCGCAAATCTGAACTTGGTGCGGCATCGCTGCGGGAAATTGTAGACTAAGTGTTGAAGTCATTTAACCTATTGGAATGAAATTGTGTCGAAATGAACCTCGAGGGGGGGGGGGGGGGGGGGGGGACGCACAGCGCCCCCGAGCCCGACTTACTGAAACGCGACACCGTCGCTGTGCTTTCTTCGTATAGGCTGTATACCACGGCATAAGACCGCTGGACTAGACTCTTCTGAATGTAGGGAGTACGATATAATGGCTTAGAATGAAATTCGAATATCGGGTAGGATATTTGTGCCAAAAAAAGAGGGGGGGGGGGGTCTCTCACTCTGGGCCTCGCAGGCCCGTCCTCGCAGGCTTTGCTGTCATTGAAACACACTAGATGAAAGAAAGATAAACAGATCAAAAGACAAAAACGCATATTGCCGTGCGAAACCGGCTTCGAAAGCAATTTGAGGGATGCGTAAAGACGTGCCACTGGCTGACGCGCTTGTCATGATGGATGATAGATAGGATCCGCTGCGTAGGCGGACCCGAGGAGGTCAGCACCAGCCACGCACTCGTCGGGTTTCGCCATCGTGCATGAGGCGGGGAACTATATCACATTCCGACCTTGAATGGCTTTTCGATAGACAATTTGCGAGAGCGAACTACGTATGCAATATTTTGCGAATGCGAGTGCGAGTGTGAGTGTGAGCATCAGCAAAATGGGCACTCGGCGCGCACCGCTTAAAGGCGCTTAAGCCCCGCTTAAGGACGCTTAACAAGACGTCCTTAAGCCCCGCGTCTTGTTAAGCGTCCTTAAGCGGGGCTTAAGCGCCTTTAAGCCACCTCAGGCAGACTAAAAAGTAACCAGTCTTAGTAGCGCCGCCGCGCGGCCAGAAAAACCTATGCAAATAGGCGACCTGGGCCCGGTAGCAACACTGCTACCGACGGTAGCAACTCGGCGCGGGAACAAGCTCGCAATGGTTTAAAGTCATTACAATTGATCCGGAAATGATTTTCCGCCTTGACCCTATGACGTAATTCATTGGCGGGAGAAGCTTGTAGAGCTTATAGAAAAGCTTGTTGAAGTCCAAGTATCCATTAACGCCTCAGCACTGCTGAAGCCGTGGTATGTCTGGCCCAATGCAACACGTGATCTGACGCGGGTTGCGCGAGGTTGCGCGCGCAGGCGCGCGTCCGAACAGATCCGAACCTGACGGAATCGACGCGTGTTGTGCGTTGTTGATACGTAGACAGCTCTTGTCCTTAGGCCCGCTTTCGCCCGTACATTCAACACAAGACCCATTGGTCTCGCCGCGAATATCCTCGTCCTCGATCGCTGAACCGCATACACGTCACACGTCACGTCCCTCGTTGATCTCCGTTGATCTTGTGATCCTTTCACATCGCCAACTCATACCAACTTTCCACGCTTCGGCGCTCGACAAGCCCCACGTGTATGTCCGGCGATCGTTTTCCGGGCTTTTACCAGAGAACGAGCTTCTGAGGGCCTGCTCACATCCACGTCTTGACTATAGATTCATCGCGTCGCCTCGGAACATTGCGGGCTCCTTCCCTCCTGGATAACCATTCACAAACAAGGCTCTGGGTGCGTGGTGGAAGTGCGGCTGCGCGGTCGTCGACGCGCTGTTTGATTGGTTTGATGCAGCACCGTGTCGTTCTGACCTTCCCCTGTTCGCCTTCCAGCCTCTGCCTGCACGATGTTCTCTTCCAATTCCATTTCGTCTAGCGAACAATATGATGCATACCATCCAAGTCCTGCGCCGCCCCGCCGACCGCTTGACGCTCCCGCGTTCGCAAACATCGATTATCCAACCTATTCGCTCGAGTCGGGTAGCCACGCGTCCGCCTTCCCAGACGACCTCCCTGTCCTAGGCAGCACAGCTAGCACAGGGCACCCATCAAGTCGACCCTCCTGTCCCGCCGATTCCGCCGCCAATCGCCTGCTGCCTGACCCCCTTCAATTGCCAATGGAGGAAGCCAATACATCGTCGGGCGTCCTGCAGCCCTCGCCGAGTTTCTCATCAGTAGATGGAAGCACCCCGACAATGCATCCATCACCACTTTCCGCCGCGGATCAACAGTTCGCCCGCGTCGAAGTCCCTGTCGCCACCGTACCGATGCGAGTTTCGCCTTTGACGCCAGCGAAGAGGCCGATGGGCCCTAGCCTCCACGAACAGAGCAAGGCTATCCCTAAGCGCAACTGTCGCAAATCCGAACGACTTATGCACGAGCAATGGGCCCAGAAAAGACACGACGAAGAGCTCGAGTATTGTATCCGACACAATATTCGACTCGATTATTTGAGGAGCATTGTTGCGCCCGTGACTCGCCTTGGCTCTCCCACTTCCTGGAATGACTTTGTGCAGAGCAAGTACTTCGAATCGCTGGCAGTTCAAGATGGATTGGAAGGTAGGCACAGCTCTTGACTACCTGACTACCTCGTGCTAAATTCTAGCATAGCATTGCACTACGCTGTTGTTGAACTAACGGGCTGGGTTGGTCCGCTTTAGTGCCGACCAATTTGGTGGAAAGGGTTAAGCTCGCAAAGCCATATTGGAACGACATAAAGGATGACGCAGAGGCGATGACGAGGTTTGACGCGGCGCTTGCCTTGGAGCGTGAGGAAGCGACGCAAGCAACGCAAGCGACCGAAGGTTCATCCTCCATCAAGATCGCCAGAAACAAGCCGATGAGTCACGAAGCCATCAAGAAAGCGCGCCGATGCATGCAGGCCGCGTTGGAAACCATGGTGAGTCCAAGCTCAATTTGATACTGCTCACAGTAAAGTAACTGAAAGGATCATAACACCCTCAAAACCAACCCAGAGCACTTCATATGCGCAAAAATATGGACTCCAATTGTTTGCTGTGGTCTCTTCTGATCTTCCTGAACTCAATAAGGAGCGTTTCATGGTCGCGAGCCCCGGTGGTTTGGCCTTTGCCTATCGACAAGACTGGGGCGATAGTTTGGGTTCAAGACAGCTGCTCTCCGACTTCGCGGATTGCGTTACCGGTAGAGCGTTCTTGGAGGACAAAAAGGCCGAATTGGAAGCAGCTGGTCAGTAGGTGCACGCGCCGACAGACTATTGTCACTTGCTGATTGACGTCCGTTACGCTGTCACGCAGTTTGGGAGGCGCCACTGAAGGAAGCGAATCTTGAAACAAAAGCCTCGTGGTACAGCACGATTGTGAAAAAACTTTTCAGTGTGGACTATGTTCTAACCGAGATTTCAGTTGCTGCTCACTTGTTGACTGCTAACGATGAGTCTTCTTCTCGGTGCAGATGATGCCGTGATGCGACGTACCAAGAACCAAGGGCACGAAAACAAGAGCAAACCGCCCAGGTTGGTGTACGACCCAACCGCGCTCATGCAACAGGCCAGTATCGTAGTTGAATGCGGCCCGAGCCTCAACTTGGAGACGGACTTCGCCAGCCCCATGGGCAAGCAAAAAATGTCGGGGGCCGACTTGGATCGTATCATTCCCCTGCTGCGTGCAGGAGAGTTGAGATTCAGGCTAACGGAAGAGGTACTAGCGGATGAAGAAGATGAAGATGGTGCAGCTATCCCTGCCAACGGCCAAGATGGCAGCGCGGTGAGCCGCCCCGATTCCGACGAGCACTCTTAGAGCTTAGGGCAGCAGCTCTCGACGCCGAGATGAGCCGGCGCGCTGGGACGGACATGAAGTGTAGGGCTGAATTGGAAGATACAACGAGTGGATGCCGCTGGACGAAGCAAGATGACTACTGGACTTAGTACACCAAGGATCGTGTCTGTAGTGCACCAAAGCCGCGAGCGTATGCTGCATGATGTTCGCCGTAATGATACCTCTGCTGCTTCCGCAGAACAAGAATACTGAAATGCTCCGTTTTCTGAGAATTTCGGATTGTAACATGCTCTGCGTCCTCCGAAATAGACTGCTCTGGATCCGCAATTCTCTAAGTGCGCTCTGACATACGCAGTTCCGGATTTCTGAGTATTCGAGGTGTTCGAGGTGTTTCGAGATCATTTTACACTGGCGCACGGCCCAAAAAGTCTTATCCGATCTCTCATTATGACGACTAGCGACCGAGTATGACGGTCCATGCTCAAGTGCTTGCCCCGAGTTGAACCCGCCAGCATCTCGTGCCTCGTCCGAAAGTGTGTTTCACGCGGTGTGGGCATCAGGTATTTGCCACGGGGGTCCCGACGTTTCGGTCCATCTGATCTGTCCAATCAACTCAGTCTGAAGGCGAGCCGGTCTTCTCAACTCCAAAGTACCAGGCGACTCTTCGTGCTAAAGTTGAAATCATCATTACTAGGGTTTGAAGTGTGAGGAACACTGTCAGGGAATCTCGCCGTTCCTAGCATCCGATCCAAGTGGCGCTGCTCCCGCTCGGTATGTAGCAAATCGCACGTCTCGTATTGGCCGCCTATTACAAATATTACACGCCACCTTGCCGGGAATCCAGTGAGTGGGCCCGGGACTCCGACGGGTAACTCACAGTCGCCGCTCCTTCGCCCTTGCAGGCTGACATGTGGATGCCTGTCCATGCCAAAAGAGAATTGGTTTGTCGCATTCACATTACTTTTTGAGCATTGTCAAGGAGTAGCTTGGCGGATCCCGGCTGGTGTGGGACTGCGGCGACGCCACTAAAATTGAAGCTCCTCAAAAGCGACTCAAACTCCGGTTGAAAGTCGATGAAAGGGTTCAGATTTTGTCACAAAGCGATTTCGGTGTGTTGAAAACAAAAATTAGACGTTCACAACGGATTGGAAACATCCGAAGTTGCCACCGGCGGCCGGCGCCACCAGATGTCAAGCGACGCCAGAATACTACTTTTTTATATTATTGAATAGATCTCATTAACAGCACAATTATTTTAGTACCAAGAAATCTTCGGACAAGTCGGAGGAAATGCTTTAAGCACACTGGCTAACGGCCACAGGTATTAGCTTGGCCGCCTTATTTTGCTTTGTAAGAGTAGATATTGCGCACATTTCGCTCCTTCAGCTCCTCTCAACGTCCTGTCCGCTGCTGAGAGCGCGTAGTGAGGCTCGGAGTCACCGACGCAGTGCGGAGAGCGCGTACGTAGTGAGGCTCGGAGTCACCGACGCAGTGCGCCGGCCCAATAGCAGGCAGTGAATTTACTCGCTGATGACGCGTGGGCTCTTCGGTACCCATGACCAGTCAGAACCCAATTCGAATCGCAAGGGTTTCCCCGGAGTGTATCACATCGGACTCAATCGGAGTGATCCCACAGTGGCCTCTCCAAGGCGGCAACTTGAGCTAAGCCTTGAAATTTCAGCTTCAACCTCCCGGATGATGTCAGCACAAGTCGAGACGCATAGAGCATGCGACAGTGCCCACAAGGAGCGATGCTTCTAGCAAAATCGTACTCAATTCCGAGGTAGGGGTGGCAACAGGCGCCTTCAGGTGCAGTGCTCACGGGAACATGGCTCGGGCAAGGGGAACCTCCGACCCGTGTTCCCGTAGGAGGACGCTCGTGCGTACATCCAAGTATTGCGATTGAACCCCATCTGACAACAGGAGGTATGTTGGTCATACTGAAGGGACCTGCTCACCCATTTTGACAAGGTTCGTGCTTCAGTTACTCGAGTAACAACTGGCGCTTCGAGTGAAAAGTCACTCGGCTCGGGCAAGGGGAACCTCCGACCCTTGTTCCCGTAGGAGGACGCTCGTGCGTACATCCAAGTATTGCGATTGAACCCCATCTGACAACAGGAGGTATGTTGGTCATACTGAAGGGACCTGCTCACCCATTTTGACAAGGTTCGTGCTTCAGTTACTCGAGTAACAACTGGCGTTTCGAGTGAAAATCCACTCGGCTCGGGCAAGGGGAACCTCCGAGCCATGTTCCCCTGATAAGAGGACGCTCTGCAGAGGCACGCTCGCACTCCCCATTACTTCCGACCATCCGAACAGTGGGCTGAACCCTGCCTGACATGTCATGGTTCATGCACATTGATATTGCAAATGCAGTAATCATTGTCACACCATTAATCATTCGAACTCATGGTATAATTACTGCAGCCAGTGTTTTTCACATTTCATTCTTCCGAGTCAGAGTCCGACAAAGAACGCTCCTCGTCGGGAACCAGATCATCAGAGCTGTCCGAATCGTATAGCATGCCCTCTTGCTGCTCCAGCATCTCATGCAAAGCCTTTGCGCCTTCTACATTCATGTCAGCATCCAGCTGCTCCGTGATGCGCCGCGCGAGCAGACGATCGTCATCGGTGGTCCGGAACGACTCGGACGGCGCTGCATAGGCGCCCGATGCGTCCTCCCGAGGCGCAACACTACGCGCGCCAGCTCCAGTAGCTGTTGTCGTCTTGGAGACGTTGCTCGGGTTCAACAGCAGATGCGGGGTGAGACGCTTCAGAGCTCGAGGGACTGGTTCGTGCGTATCCGCTGGTCCTCTGGTCGTGTACCACAGCAGTAAGAAAGTGCTATCGCGGAACCAGTCTCGTTCGCGCTTTTGAAGAGCCCTCATCCGAGCTTCCAGAATGACGAGGGCACGGTCCCGGATCGTTGCGTAGACGGTACTGCCAAATGCGCGTTCAACACGATCATGGTCATAAATCGTTGGAGCGGAATCTGTTTGTGTTATCAAGAACGTATCAGCATCTAGACTAGTGGAGTAACGTTCGACTGACAACTGACCTGTCGCGCTTAGCCAAAGTGCTTGGCGACTAGAGATGAGGTCGTGCTCGTCTTCGAGCCAAGCAAGGGTTTGTCGCACCTCGGCGCCAATCCGAGCGAACTCCTCCGCAGCTCGATCCAGGTCACGCACAGCAACGATGCCCCGTTTAACCCACGGATCGGTGGCCCAAGCAGCTTCAACATGCGTGAAAAACCCGTCTTGCCAGAAGAAATCCGTGTCTTCAAGATCAAGAATCGATGCTAGGCTGCCGACTGATGGAAGATTGTTGAGGAGGTGCGATGGTGATGATCCGCCTGCCGTTCGAAACGCGTTGACAGCCTTGTTGTATGCCTTACGTGCCTTTTCAGCGCCAGAGTGAGTCTTGACTTCCGTTTTGCGAGCTTTGTTGGCCTCTCTCTGACCAAGTGTTGACCCGCCCCTGCCGCGACGCGTCGATAGCAAATTTTCACGGCTAGTTTTGTAGGCAATCACTTCTCGATGAAGCTTGCGCAGCGCAACGGAACACTGGCACAAGTGACGAAGCTCTGTGAAGCAAATAGGCACGTCATCGCAATCAGGAACAGGGAAAACTAAGTAAGAGAATTAAGGCCAACCTGTGGGCGAGATGCGGGGCTTGTCCCACTTCTTTGCAGTTGGACAATTGCTGCTTGATCGATCTCCCTTGCAAGACGATCGTGCTTCGAATTCAGCCCCACAAGCGCTTCTGGTTCAGACTCGTCACTGCTCAGCAAGATGATGAGTCAGTGAGAACGAAGGACAAGCTCAAGCTCAAGTAGTTATCACCAAGCACGTACATGATGCAGTCAATCCTGTAAAGTTCCTCAGCAAGTTTATAAAGCTCGCTTTCCCTCAAACGATCTTCCTCAGCTTCCTGCGTAGCTGTTTTCGACGCTTGCGCTCGTCGCTGGTCTTGCCAAGCGACGCGGAGCGCCTCCTCCGACCAGGTGGCATCGTGGGCGATAACGGCGTCAAGTTCCTTTCGAGCAGCAGTGCTCCGAGCCTTGGCTGAGCGAAGTCGGCGGGTGAACCAGGACCCTAGTCGTGTGCAAAGAGTCAATGCGGCGAAAGACGAAGCGGCGACTGCGGAGCACTGACCAAGCCTTGAGACGTTCGCGTCGTTCACTGCCTGCGTGCGGACCGCCAAATTGACGAGGCGGTGGGACTTATTTGATGGACGATTGATGGGGATGAGGGAGCGCAGCGCGCTCCATAGTCGCTCACAACCTTCTCCATCAGTGAATCCAAAGTTCGGGATGAGACGGGGGTTGTAGTCAACCTGGCAACCCCAGGTATGGGCGTATGCATGGAAGACACTTGTGGCGAACTCGAGTCGCTCAAACAGCTCAGGCAGCAGATGCCTCTGAAAAGGTTGAAACACAAAGCCCATATGATCAGCAACGACATATCGGAGAGGGGCCCGAGCCGAGGTGGTCAATGCAAACCTTCTCAATGTGGTGCTTGAAATTACAAGCGATGTCGTACAAAATTCCAATCCTAGCATCTGGGGGAAGATGGTCCGAGATGTGCTTGACAATGGCTAAAGCGAAGTACAGCCTAGGTGATTGGAGCGCAGGCATGAGCATCAGCAGTGAAAGTAAAAATGCAAGTTGGAGTTGAAGAACATAAGCTCAATACACTCACTTTTCGCCGGTCTTCTCAAGATTCACCATTTTTAGGGCGATATCATGGCGGCACACGCCGGCGACAAGTCCTGTATCGATCTTGCGCGACGAGACTCGACCAGCGCCCCCGTCAGCAGCCTTCCACGACTCTGTGCACGCCTTCCGACGGGGCCGGAGCGATATTACTCAGTATTCGAGGCGGATCGCAAATATATCACGCTCCTCACCTTCTTCGTTGGCCGCGCTGTATTCTCGACGAGTGCTTTCATGTCCAGGACGGCTTTATCAGACAGAAACAAGCTCGGCACTATTCCTTGGACGTCGTATGTCGCATTATTTTCTCGGGTTTGCTGGAAGTTGCCGTCGAGCGCGATCATATAATCCAGTTGGAGGGTGTGATGGGGTCGGTTGAGCCGTTTCGGCCCGAAGCACGCTGGGCATTTGTTGGCCAGCGCGTCGACGGTGCCCAAGAGAAAGTCGCCAACGTCGCGCTCAGATGCTTCGATGACGCGAAACTCGTCGATCGCCCGCTGCCATTGCTTCCTCAGCTCTTTATCCTGAGCTCCACAATCAGGCAGCAAATGAGTCCAGGTAGAACCCATGGCAAAAAACCGATAACAAATGCTCACATATGGGTGTCCATGATAATGCTCTGGTTTCGACCACCCGTTGTCCCCGAAATAGTCTTCGAAGCCTGCAGCGTGGCCAGTGAGGGCGTAAGGGGCGTTACGCCAACGCGAGTTTTCTAGGCGGATCATGCGGAAGGAGAACGCTGATCCTGGGTTGACAGCGGTCGATGCTATAAACCCAAGTTGAGCCAGGCGTACAGCTTCCGCAATACAGGGCGGATTGGAAGCGCAGAACGTGACTTGCTTGGAATAGACTGAAAGGCAAGGCGCAGAGGGGGTTTCACGTGTCAGTGATACCAGGACAACGGCGAGAAAAGATGCATCGCGCAAATCGGTGAACGGAGCTGGCATGACACATACCGGTCAGTCCGTCGTACAGGACCACCTCGCGAGCATACACGTGCTGACAGTGGCATGGTGAAGGAACGTTCAAGTCGTCCTTGTCGCTGTTCGAAACGAGCGGCAGAAACTGCCCATTGGTGCTTATGCGTAAATCAAGATAGAGACCCAAAAGGGCAGCGCGCTGACTCTCGCGCTGCTCGTGCTCGAGTGTGATAAACTTGAAGTAACCTTCTTGCTTAGCGGCAACCGGCGGATCGGAGACGCGGGGAGTTGGTAAAACCTCCTGTGCGAGTTCCTGGTGAGTTGGGCGTTGTAAGTCGGGGTCGGGTGGGTCCCAGCGCTCCATGGAAAGATCCATTCCCCCTAGGTCTTCGTACTCGGCCTGCTGAGCAAGAGGGAAGTCCCTGAGATAATCCTCGTTGAAATCATCGTGGGAGAAGTTCAGGTCATTGGCGAAGACTGAGGTCGAGGCGACAGGGACGCGTTGGTTCGTGCTCGTTTCGACGTTTGACGTTGCAGATGTGGTGGGAGTGGCATCTATATCTGTCTTGGCCTTCCTCGGCCTCTTACGTCCTCCTTTATCGACGACCGTACCTCCGAAAGTGACAAGGCACAGCGGCATCGTGGCGTATTGATTCGGGCAATCGGGATGGTCGAGGTAGTCCGAAGGCTTGATCCGCGGAAAGCGTGGTTTGAGTCGCGAGGGGCGGCCCATGGTGACTGAGCGGAATGAATACGAGAACACAAGTGTAGTAGCTCAGCAGCAACGAGCTCCGGGTGGGTTAAGTCTGCGACGATCCAGGTAGTACGTCCTGCAGGAAGCAGCGGCGGCCGCCTGCATGCACGCGCGACAGATTCCTTGCGTGCCAATTTGACGTGTTCCTCATCTTACAACGCGTCAAGCACGTGACTGGACACCCGCCCATGAGCATGAGCCCCGGCCTCAGGCGCTTAGAGTCTTAACATTTAAAAAATTACGTGTGGTTACTGATTCAGCTCGAAATCAATCTTTGCTTCTTATTATCTCTCATGTCGTCACATGATCAATGTAGTGGTCTTAACGGACTTGGAAGAGGTGTACGGGCCTGTCCCGGCGCCGAGTTGCTACCGTCGGTAGCAGTGTTGCTACCGGGCCCAGGTCGCCTATTTGCATAGGGTTTTCTGGCCGCGCGGCGGCGCTACTAAGACTGGTTACTTTTTAGTCTGCCTGAGGTGGCACCGCTTAATAAGCGGTGCGCGCCGAGTGCCCATTTTGCTGATGAGTGCGAGTGCGAGTGCGAAACCCTGAGTGTGAGAGCGAATACGCATGCTAATGGACGATAACGGAGCAGGAAAGGACAAAAGAGATGGCTGAAGAAACGAGAGACTGATACAACTTATGTTGGTTGGTGTGTTTGTGGGGTTGACGGGTGCATGGCATGCATGCCTATACGAGCTTGTGCGATGCTTTGCTCTTCTTCTTCTTCTTACCCTTCGTGTCGGGACTGGTGCGGCGAGCCAGGTTCTCGGACTCTTGCGCGGCTGCAGCAAATGAAACTTCAAAGGGAGCGTCCTCGAGCACTGGCGTTCCCGGCTTGATGCCTTCGTGACCTGATTCAACGAGGATGGTCTCGCTGGCGCGACGAAGCGTGGGCCAAGGCTGCGAAGGCGAGATGGGCGAGCCCTGACTCGAGTAAGATCCGGTCGATTCGTGCACCATGGTGGCTCCTCCAAAGAGCGCAAGTTGATGCGTAAACTCGGGAGATCGACTGGCCGTGCGAGTCATACCGGTCGCACTGGTCTGGGGCTGCATCGACTCCGAAGCAACACGCGAGCGGAGAGCCTGGCAAGAACGGCTGGGTGCGGTCACAGGGTCGTGCGAAGTTAGGAGACGACCGGTTTTGCTGAAAGAGGCTTCTTTCATCACGCTGGGCTCGTCTTCGATCTCGAACGGGCTGTGAGGGAAAGGTCCGGGTCCCATGCGAACCCCGAGGTCACCCTGGTCGACGACGGTGACCCCTGTCGAGCGACTGGAAGGCAGAGCGGCTTGGGCGGCGTCAGACGGCTCGGCGGGGTGTCGCACAGCATGCATCTCGGGAGTAGAGGCTTTCTCAATAGCTTTGGGCGAAGAAATTTGGCCTTGGGTGCTTTGAAAGCCGGGGGACTCTTCTCGCATCGACTGGTCCAACTGGTCCTCGGCGACTCGAGCGAGGCGTCGCGCACCAAAGTCAGGCCAGTCGCTATCGGAAGGCAACGACGAGCTTGCCTCCTCCGGGGTCACGAAAGAGGTCGCCTCGGTGATGATTCCGGTCGGGATCGGCTGTGGAACGTCCAGGTCCCAAGCGTATTGTCCACTCGGTTGCGAAAAGGATACTCTTTTTCCACCTGAGCTCGAAGGTGCCTTAGTCAAGTCGGGGACATCGAGCCTATAGACACGATATACAGTCAGTAAAGGGCTTATGAGTGTTTGCTTGATCGGCTGGGGTGTACAAACCCAGCTAGCGACTCGTGCAGCATTTGCTGTCGAGTCTCGTGAATCTTGGCCTTGGAGTGACGGCGTATTTCATCGGGGCGTGATCCACCGTTGGGGTCAAACGGCAACCCCCTGTCCAGCCCAACTTGACTGCGAGTATAAGCCCCAGTCTCGGCGGTGATCATAAGACCTCCGAGGAAGAAGACCACCATACGACGGATGGTCCGAGCGATCATGCGCGCTTCGGATGTCAGCTCGCGACCAAGGATGCGCAGCCCGTGCAAGCCCTGGCCAAGCAAGCGCAGGCTTGCGTGGGTGCGGCGCATCACACGACTGTACATCAACTCGTTGTTCCACTTCGCTTCAGTGGCTACCTTCAAATCTGCGCTGAGAGCGTACGTCGAGATGTGATCGCTGCCATCGTCCGAGTCCCGTTCATAGATTCGAAAGGGGGCCGAGGCGGTGTTGAAGGCGGGTTGGTCAATGGGTGACGACGGAGCTGTCGGGGAGTACCCAAGATCGCGATGTAATGCACGAAGTATCCTATTCTTTTGATCTCTCTTGCGTGTCTCGATCGAGCTCGACAGCGACCTGGTGGAATAGTCGAGGCCGACGAGCAGCAAGAGTCTATAAAGCATCGCGACCACAAAATTGGCGATTGGACACTGGAGCTTGAAGAATGAACGCAGGATCCAGTTGTACTTGAGACACGGGGCCAGGAATGCAGCCGAAGAACCCGGACCCCAGTAGCAGACATGCGTGAGCTGCATGTCGGGTGCGCGGCGAGCACGAGGGGTATCCGGTTCTTGTCGATGCATCGCCGCTCGAGAACCTTCGCGCAGGGCCTCGTCAGTGCTCAAGTACGCCACCTTGCGATCGCGATACTCCTCTTCATTGATTTCGTTGAAGAAGAGATAGACTTGGCGACGTGTGACGTACTCAAGAACGAGACGGTTCGCCCACGCCTCGGGCAGAATCCACGGGATAGGAGTGAAGCGGAGTGTCCAGACAAGGCTTGCCTCCCACTGAGTAGCGCCTTCGAACTGCTCGGGTTCGACACTGCTCGGCTTCCGCGCATTTGATGATGCATAAAGAACGATCGGAAGTACGCTCCTGACCTTGAGACCCCATTCGCTGCCAGGAACGACCGAGTTGACCAACCACGTGAAAGGCACGAGATCGCTCTCGAGCCTCACTGATTCCGAGTCCAAACTGAAAGGATCAAACGGTGTAATTCGCAGGCGAAGAAAGACTACTAAAAGGACTAAGGTCAAGAGACGCGGCGCCGCCGCGCGCGAGGGCAAGCGTGAGGCCGCAGAGGTTGGCTCGAGGTCGTCGTGAGGCGTAAGCGGAGCGGCGCCTTACACCACGCCGGGAAGCGCAACAGAGCGAGGCGCTGAGTCGCCACGGAATGGGGTTCGCGAGGCCTAGCATTGGGGGCCCTGGCAGCCCGTTCTCTGACAAAGGGACCATGAAGAATGGGTGTCGGTGCTTGTGGGGAGGACCCAAGGTGGGGAAGTCGAGTACGAAATGCGGCGAGATCAAGCCTCGAACCGAAGCGCGAGCCTTCGAGGTAGGATCGGGGTCAAACAGGTGTTGTATGACCGCTGCAAGCCAAAAAAAAAACCGCCGAGGTCAGTTCCGTCAATCCGAGAGATTATATCCAAAACACCCGCTGTAATGTTGTTGGGGATCGACTGGATCGAGCGGCCATACTTGAGAATGTCGGAAAGTGCGAGTCAAACTGATGCGGGGCCCCACTCCCGCTTTTCTGGCCTAGAGGCAACGGTCGGGGCAACCACCGACATCGACTCGGAGGACCGTTTGAGCGCGTCAAGGGCACGTTACCCGAATCTGACGACCGCAACTTAGACATTGTCGAAGACTCAGGTTGTCCATCGTCGAGCACTACATTCGACGGCTGTGACGCGTGACGCCATTTCCAGTCGAGTCCGTTGTGCGGTTGACTTTTGCACGGTCGCTCGTGAAAGAGGACGGCCGATGCATGATCTCGACCTGGAACCCGAGAAGACCTTGAGAAGTTCATGTACTTACCTTCGACCACTCGAATGCTGAGCGAGGCCTGCAGCATGTGGACAGGTGTGAAATTCGGTGCGCAGTCGATCTTCACGCTGGGACCGTGATTGTGATGAGCATGAAGACTGAGAGAAGCATACAGCGGAGCTTGGCGGCGCAGGTGGAGGAGCCCAGAAAGAAGCTTGGGGCCCCGGCATAGTAGCGGGGATGTTGATCTAGGGAGCCATGTCTCACGATGGCATCCCGTCGTTCTCGAACACAGGTATCAGAAAGGGGAAGTGTAATTGTGGTGTGACCTCCGTTGTTTTACTTGTGTTTCGGGCCTGGTGATGTAAGAGTATGCTCGTCTTTACATGGTGGCGTCAAATAAAGTTGACTCTTTCCGATTGCGCGAGCTTGAGTTTATCTGAAGGCCGGCAGCAATTTGAACATTAAAGGTGGAGCTGTACGCTACATAAAATCGTCTGTAGAGAGTGGTGAAGCACATTCGAAACAAACAACTCAGGGAGAAAGCCTCAGAATACAGCAGAATTCTCTCATGAGAGAAACTATTTTGTCACGTGACTTGCGGCCCACCTCTTCCTTACGTCATCCACCTCCACCTCCACCTTCGCCTCCACCTCGGGATTTTGTATCACAGGGGGGTTTCTCGTTCGTCAATCAGCAGCGCAAGAAGTCGTAAAGATGGTTTGTCACAAAACGAGTAGTTTTGTGCACACCGTGTTTTGACTGTCTACTAGTAGTTCTCCTTAGTATGATCGGGCCCCAGGCTCAGCCTGTGCCCTCGAACGCAAGTTTCAAAGTTGCGAGTTGCTGTCAAGATCGTCGCCCGCTGCCAGCAGCGTCTGGGCTCGCAACACGTCGAGACAAGTCAGATGAGGATGGGAATGATGGGCAGAAAGTGGGTGTGGGGAGGGGGCCTCTCTGTGTTCGCCTTTTCACGTGCCGAAATAGGCCGCGTTGCACAGCGGTTCCGACTGGTCATGTCTGCTTTTGGTCTCTCATTGTTTGAGTAGAACAGAGTTCGTGATCACCATAGTGGAATACCGAGACTGGGTCCCGAGATGTTTGTCAGTAGCAGCACTTCACGTGAAACTTGCGGCACTTCTCCAAGACTCGCCGGCCTGCACCCGCAACGAACGACTCGAAAACTTGTTCTCCTAGACGGGCGATTGCTGCGGCTGCTCGCCACCAAACTCGAGCCTCAGAGCTCAGAGGGTCAGGGAACATCATGATGCCGGCTCATGCGAAGCAGCCATCGCGGCCCTATATCAGAACGCCTCAACGACCTTTTGTGAAGCGCTCGACGGGAGAGGTACGAACCCGAGAATGCCTCATCGAGTTCCGGCCTTCACCGTCGCGACTTTCTGCAGTCTCGGGCGAAACCGAGCGGCCGGCTCGGCCGCCGAAGTTGCTGCCGGGGCCGAGGCGGTGCACAACGTTAGACCACGTCTTGCTCCGGGTTCCCTTCCCGCCGCGGAGACGTGGGTCAAGTCATCACGATCGACCAACCTAGCCTTGCATTAGGATAGCGAGGGATAACAACACACCCCAGTCTCCAAGACCAATATTTTGACTCAAGGAGGCACTCGTGCAATTCACGTCAAGACCCGATTCGACTCGACTCGACTCGACTCGACCCGACCGTGCGCGCTCATCGTCGATCATCCCGTGCGACGACCGATAACGCCCGTGCACTTCGCGTTGGTGCCGAGCCTGCCCTCGTTTTCTCGTAGAAAGTAGAAACTCAGCATCCTCGGTTCGTCGGGTCCTCATCAAACCTCGACGCTCACGAGGCTCTAGCAACTCGATCGTGGCCGCTGTGGACCTCGCTACGCTTCGTAACGAGCCACTGTGTCATAGCGGCTCTCTCCAACGGCGCTCCGGCGACCACAGCACAGTTTCACTGCAAAGGATTACAAGAATTGCATAGGTAGTACGACCTCTCGCACACTGTGACATGAACGGCTACGACGCAGACTCGTTTCATCGCCCAGCGGCGCCGCATCCTTCCCAAGATCGCACGCAGCTGTGGGGCCCAACCACCGCAACCACGAGCCGGCCACCAGCATATGCACCGGCATACGCACCCAGTCCAGCATTAGTGCCAGCACCTGTCGACTTCAACCATCCAAATCAAAGACCATCGACTCAGGCACTCAACACTCATCAACCGCAAGCAAGTGCACATCGACCAGAAGTCCAAGTCGGTGATTTCGGCGAGGATCCTGTGAGTGACGATCTCTTAGACCTCGTTTTCGGCTGGACGCTGAGATTTGATCTTACTGCGCTCTTCGGATTGGATTCCGTCCCCACAGCAACTCGAGGCCATACGAAGAGAGTCCGTACAGATCGAAAAGGAACGACAGGCTCGCTTTCGGGAGAATGAGCAGACGTTGCTGCGCACACTTGCCGAATCACAACGAGTGGACGAGCGACGGTCTGCCGAAGAAGCTCGGGCGGATCAGCTGCTGCGGCAAGCGCTAGAGGAAAGTCAAAGAGGCAAAACCCGTGAAGCGGAGGAAGAGGAGCTTCAGATGGTGTTGGCCATGAGCCTGAGTGAACACGAGTTCGCGACCACGAGTGCACAACGTTTCGCCCAGCTCAGTCACACCTCCAACTCCATCTCGCCCGACGATTCGGCGCAGGCTTCAAACGACACTCCACATTCGCTCTTCCAGAACGTCATCGTTGATGCATCAAACATTAATGGCCAACAGCCGGCTGCCCAACGGAATCCGCCCCTTCGTCGGGCCTCTCTGTACGATTCGTTCACCAACCCCGATGAGCTTGTCAGCCCACCAGCGTATGCGCAGAGATCTCCGATGCTGTCCTCAGCGTTGAAGGAAGTTAATGGGATTTCGCCGAACCAGCCTTCGCACCCCATTGATCAACGGGCTTCCGACGATACTGTGGAATCCACGGATGGGGCCTATTTACCAGCACCACAGCGAGCGCCCTCCTCGGTCCCCCCGTCACAAGCGCCGGCCTCGGCATTCTATTCTGGAGCAGTCGCTGGAGCAATGATCCCGAATACCCCACCTATCGACAGAGCACATACCCCCACGCACAATGCCTTGCTCCCGTATCCTGCACTCTCGCTCAGGCGGTCGTCCCACGCCTCGATCTCGGAGCTGCTCGATGGCCACAACTCGGTGCGGTTGAGCGTGCTCTCGACCACCAGCGTAGCAGGGTCTTGGGCAAGCGAGGCCAGTGACGATACCCTTGACGACACTCGAGCGACGAGCCAATCCTTGTCTTGCCTTTCGGAAATGCATGAATTCCCTATGGAGCCTGGGCCGAGCCAACAGCTTCCACATTCTCCAGCGACGGAAACGGGCGACGACGACATCGATCCTTTCGACGATCGCTTTGCAAGTGTCGACGGGGACGATTTGGATGCGAACCTACCGATGACTGCCAGCGAAACCGATTCAGACTTATCCTTCGCCTCGAGCTTTGTGGTTCAAGATCGGGATATGTTTGACATCGCTCGGCGTCTGTCCAAGGAAAGTATGTCGAGGCCCTCCCTGTCCATCGTGGCACCCGTTCCCTCCGCTCCTGAATCGGCCGTTCCTGAACCGGGGACATCTTCGTCGCATGCTCCAGATGATCGAGATGAAGCTCTAGCAAAGACACCGACACATCTAGACGTAATGGATACGCCCTCGCCCCCGCCCCAGACATCTGTTCGACCACCATTGTCCCGAGATGGCTTCCCGAACGATTCTGGCGCTTCGGTGCTGCCCACCAGTCCCGATGCAAGTTATTCGGCATCAAGCTCGACCGACGTATTAGACGCATACCGAACGAACCCTTCTTCCGGTGGTCTAGTCATCGATGCCACAGCGGGTGGTGTGGCGCTCGCAACGGAGGACATCGTCGAAGGAGTGCGGTGGGGGTTCGTGCCCGTGGACAAGCTTGCACAACATCCGCCACTCAAGCATGACGGCCCGTTCCAGAAAGCCGCACAACTCTCGACGTATACTGATGAAGGCGCCCATCAACGACCTTATGAATGTTTCGCCATCGAGGCGTCCAGTTGGCACCGTCTGCTGTGCTATCTCATGTGGTAAGCTGAAGCCTTGACTGCCCTGCCGAATCGGCCTTAACAAAATGATCCTTATCTTGTGCCACAGGTTTGGTCTTTCGCAATTCGAAGCAGCGCCATACGACCATGCGGCTCTGACAAAAGATCATCGTCACTTTGAAGTCAGCGTTCTGGTGCAGTTCTTCCGCTCCTTTGAGGACCGAAGTCCTCGTGTGCGGTGCCTTGTACAAATCCTCCCTCTTGCCAGGGCTAGCGCGATCGACACTGCACCAACACGTAGGAGTCAAAGCAGATTCGACGTCTCTTGTCCCAACATCTCCATCCCTATCGACGCTGATCCCGATCGGCCGCTTCACCTGCCGCTCACATTGGCGACACTGGGATCTGCGCTCTCCAAAGCCCACACTATCTCGTCTCGGTTAGGTCGCTCGACTTTTGGAGCTCCGACCTCCCGTGGTGGGACAGTGATGGAGAAGACGCTTGCGTCCGCCGTCATCTTTTGCAAGCAATTGAACGGGGACTTTGCGACGGCTTCACCCGAGGCGGATGACTTTGAAAGGAGCACCTTGGAGCGGCTCAAACTTCGCCTGAAACGGGCCAGGGGCAAGAGGGTTGGCGTGCAAGGTCGCATGGAAGGGGGCCGTGACGACGTGCCGGAAGAAGCGAGTTTAATCACACCATTCATCCTGGAGGAGACAGAAGATGGGTGTTGAGATCGGCGACTTTCTTGTCTGAAGAACGACCATGTACCACGTGACAGCAATATTGTAACATCAGAAGGTAAATGTAAGGTTCGGCAGCCACCCAGAAGGTCCCAGCTCAACTTTGCACCGACTTGCCCGACCTCACTTAACCTGCCTTTGACTCACAATCTTTGTGCATCCCTCTGTCACCCTTCCTATCTGTTCTCTATCTTCTTCATTGTCCTAATTTTCACACAGAACCACTTTTTCGACATGCAAGATCCCCTTTGCATAGTGATATGTAGCTCTCTTCTCTCATTTCTTCTCTCGGGACCCACACCCTTGGGAGCTTGAGAATCGACTGATTCTGGGACTGTCTATCGTCAGGAACCTTCTAGAGTATTACCGAGGAAAGCCTTTACTCACGCCTACCGCTGAGTAACCTGGGCTCCTTACAGTAAACAACAGATGAAATTACGATGACATCAATCTAGAGAATAAGGCTATGCAATTGAAGAAAATCGCCCGAAGGGAACCCCCAAAACAGATGTAGAGCGGGAAAATCCTTCCTCCAGCGCCCCCAAAAATGGTATTGGAACAAGAACGAGATCCTCGACGAAAAGGAGAATTCTTGAAGGTGAGACGAGTTGATGGTCCGGACAGTACTCAAGCCGTCAGGTCGAAGCTCTCGAAACCATCAAAGTTGGCCCCGTTGAAGAACGAGGTGTAGTCGACGAACTGCCCTTGATCCGGAACGGCCGATCCGAGAGAATTGGTCGAAGTCGCGAACAATGCGTCGATCTCGTCCGACATCATGGTTCCAGCTCCAGCTCCGGTCCCGGTTCCGTTTCCGTTGACTCCCCCAGTCTCCGAGCCCGTCGAGCCCCCCTCGTCCAATGTGTAGAAAGCACCACCCGTGGTGCTGCCGAGTTTCGAGATCGGATCGGAAGCCTCTAAGGTCGCAGGGTTGTAGAAGATGGACGAATCCGACAGGTGCTGAGGTGATGCGACGGCTGCACCGGACGGAATTGGGCCCGTCTCCGTCGACTCGGTGGCCACGATGCCCGTCGGTGCCGGCGTGGACACTGGCAGAGGGGTATCACCCAAGGCCGGAGAGGGCGTCGATGGCAACGCGACATTGGCCGGCGTAGTCGCCGAGGCGGTCGAGAGAGAGCGTTTGCGTTCGTTCGGCCCGCTCCTCGGAGGCGGCTTCGCAATTGCAGCAGAGGCAGCTCGAGACTTCTTGGTTGCGGCCGAAGCTTCCTTGGCCACTTCTCGCTTCCGCTTCGCGGTCGTCGTATTGCTTTGCTTCAGCGCCACGGGAATTGAGCCTGGCGTCGTGGCTGAGGTCATCGCGTGCGGAGAAATGCCGCTTGAGGTCTGAGGAGTCGGCGTTCGAAGCATCGTTGGCGAAGTGACGTATTGGCTAGGTGTCTCGGGTGCTCCGACGAGTCCATTCGCGCCGGGCGTCGCCGCAGGTGTCCTGGATCCGCCGGCACTTGCAGAAGGTGTTAACGCATTCCGGAGCGCGGGCGCGGGCATCTGCCCTTCCAACTGGTGCGCTTGCAGTTGCGAGCGGGAAATCTCTTGCTGCAGCGCAACAGTCGGTTCGACCGCCTGGATACGCGGTGTTGTCGAGGAGGGCCGCGAGTTCCCGTTGACCCCATTACCTTGTTGGGCCCCTGGAGTAGACGAGGGTGGGGCGTGGGGACTGGCTGCGTTCGTCATGGCTGAGGCCCCGTTGAGGTGATTCGGGTCAGGCAAGGAGGCCATGCGCCGGAACGAGGCATCATCAGCACTTGGGTAAAGTGAAGAGGATTCTGGCGTAGGGGCAAGTCCGACGGGCTGATAGTTGCCGCCGTACTGATCAGGTCGCACTGGGCTGCCGTAGCTGTCCTGAGCGCCATTCGTGTACGGGGACGAAGTATTAACAACCAGCGGAGGTTGAGAGTGCTGTGCCTGTGGGTCATTCCCGTTAACAGGGCCCCCTTTGGCCGCGACAAATCGCTTCGCTGGAGAGGGCGGGTTGCTGTTGACATCGATCCCCGAGGGGTGCATTCTTGGCGCATTCGACTGCATCGTGGCGCCTGGCCCGGTTGGAGGCGACCGCCGGTTCGCCAACATGATCCGCTGCTGCTGCAGAGCTAAAGCCTGGGCTTGCGACGACAGTTCCGCAGAGCTTGCGACGGCTGCATTCGCATGAGGATACTGATGGCCCGGTGAGGGACCGCCGACCGGAAGCGGGGAGGGCCCGGGTTGTCGCTGGTTCTCCATCTGCGATTGAGCTTGCGCGTGCGAGTGGTACGCACTTTGCTGAGGTGGCCCCGGGTACGCAGGTTGTTGATGTTGCTGCTGCGGCTGCTGTTTCGACATGTGTGGCTGGCCCGGATGATGTCGAGCCCCATTGGTCAGACCCTGACGATCACCCGAGTACACCGCGGCTGATCCGTGCATCTCCATAGCCCCGTTGTGCGCATCGAATCGCTGCTGCTGCTCCGAAGGCTGCGGGTAGGCCGGTCGCTGCCCTTGAGGTGCCAATCCAGCGTTTTGCCCACCTGGCGCCGACTGCGAAGGGTGCGAACCCCTATAGCGAGCGAAGTGGCAAAGTAAGGTCAGTCGGCAAGCCCGTAATTCAACTGGAATCGGTCGCGTCAGACTTACTGCGCCGGAGCGGGTCGGTGGCTCATCTGCCTCTGAAGTGGACCTGGAGGTTGCGCCTGTTGCATCTGTGTCTGATGCGGTCCACCCGGCGGCCCACCGGGTCCACCCATCGTATTCGCCATGATCCCCCGCTGCTGCGGTAATTGGCCGGCTTGGCTGACCTGTAATGTCGCGTGTTGCTGAGGCGCTGCACCTCCCGGTGTCGAGTATGCGTTCGAGTTCTGTTCACCGCCTGAAATGGGCCCACCTTGACCTGGACCATAGGAGCCGCCAGGGGCAATGATGACCCGTTGCGGCGGCGGCTGCCTCCCCGATGTCGGGGTGGCAGCGGATGCACTCGGATACGGTGAAGGCTGGCCTGTAAAACTGCCCTGGTACTGTGCTGGTGGCTGCTGCTGCTGGTGGTGGTGGTGGTACTGTTGCTGCTGTGGGCCAGGTGGCACTGCTGTCACTCTTCGCGGCGATTGCTGTTGGGAGTTCACAGGCGTCGAACCACGCTAAATATTCAGGCCCCAAGTCGAGGAAGCAGACGGCGTGAGCTCCCACTCTGGCTCGAATCAGACGGGCTAAGGGATATTCACTGCTCACCGGTGGCCCACTACTGTTTCTTGTACCGACATCGATCGCATGGTGGGACATGTCCACCAGTCCGCGCGATGACAGTACGCCGTTGGGCCCGGCACGTTGTCGAAACACCTCGTAAAATATTGTCCACCACCTGTGCAAAAACGACTCGGGTCAGCAAACGGGGCATCTAGTAAAGTACACAGGCCATGAAGCACTCACTCGAACAGAAACCCGGCAGGCGACTCGATTCGCACGTTCGCTTGAGGTATTGTCCGGGGGTCGATCTCTGGCGAGTTCCCGGAGGGGTTTGATTCTTGCATGCGACCCTTCCCCTTGTATGATGCGGGATGAACTTGACCCGGCCCGAGAGGTCTGATTGGTGTCGTCGGCACGTCGCGCAAGAATGCATGAGCTGCCGTGTGAAGACCGCTCTTCTGGAGGTAGTCAAAGATGTAAGAGCTGTGCGGAAAAGGGGTACAAAATCAGCCAGGATGAAGACGTGAAACGGGTGAGCGGCCAAAATCCGGTGACAAGGGAACACACTGGAAAATGGGACGTAGATCACCAGAGCCTAATGGGGCAGATTGTTGACCTTGGGCTTGAGCTTGCTCTGAGCTCGGGTGCGAGTTGGGATGATGGGGCTGGGGTTGGGACGGAGGTTCAGCCGGCGGTGGTGGCCGCGGTGATACGACGAAACTGGCCGATCGTGATGTTGCTGCAAGTCGCCCGTCCCGCTCGGTGACAAAACTGTTGTCGGGATACCGCCCATCTACCGGAGAGACCGGCCGGTTCCAAGACTGAGGACCCGCTGCGGAACCGGGTTGCAGCCGTTGTGATTGGGCTTGTTGCGGCTGCTGGACTGGCTGGTGTTGCTGCTGCTGCTGCTGCTGCTGCTGCTGCTGCTGCTGCTGCTGTTGCTGCTGTTGCTGCGGAGGCTGATGGTGAGACGCATTGTGCGGCGACGAGGGCGGTTGGAGCTGTTGTTGATGCTCGTGCTGAACCTGATGGTACTGCTGCTTGGCTGGCGAAGGCGAGGCACGCGTCGCGTAGGATGATGGGCCAGCTGCGGCGGAGGGACCGTTCGGGCCTAATTGACCCGCTGCGTGTGGGTGAGTTTGAGGGTGGTGCTGCTGCTGCTGCTGCTGTTGTTGTTGTTGTTGCGGTTGCAGCTGCATCTGAGAACCATTGACCATGGCGACACGTTGGAGCGAAGGATGGACCATCACCGGACTGCTGTGGAGCGAGCGTGCATCACTCGGTCCGTACGAGCCATGAGGTGGGGGTCCGATGGCGTTGCTGCTCGACGCCTGAGCCTGAGCCGGAACGGCAGTCGAGGGTGACACGAAGACGGGCAGACTTGACATTCGCTGTTGATGCAACTGGTGCTGCTGCTGCTGCACATGGTGTTGTTGTTGTTGTTGTTGTTGCTGCTGCTGCTGCTGCTGCTGCTGCTGCTGCTGCTGCTGCTGCTGCTGCTGCTGCTGCTGCTGCTGCTGCATCAAGTGATGAGGATGGTTGGCATGACCCTGATGTGGTGGTGTGTACATGCGTGCATGCATCATCGATGGCCCTCCTGCTGGCACGGGCACTTGTGGCTGGCCGCCGGTCGTCGCGTAGCTGCCAGTCGAGATTGGCGCAGACGTGGTGGAGCCGGGGGGACCGGCGGGTGCCACGCTCGAGCCGTACGGTTGCGGTATTTGGTAGGCACCTCGGGGGTGGTGCTGAGGATGCTGGGGGTGCTGAGCGTGCTGCAAGTGTTGTTGCTGCTGCTGCTGCAACGACAACTGAGGCGGTTGCGACGACTGCTGGTGCAATTGCAGCTGGGTGGGTCGCAGCGGTCCTGAACCCTGCGGCGGCGGATCCGAGACCGCGTCCCCGCGATACATGCCTCCGAACCCTCGACGAGCGACCGGCACTCGAGCCACAAGGTAGCTGCAGCTACCGGCTCTTGGCGGCTGTCGCGCAGATGGAGGACGACGAGTCGCACAAGTCCGAACACGCGGCCGAAACACGACCCGAAACAGGTCGGTGGGAGCAGCACGACGGAGCTCGATTCTCGACTGCCGAGTGAGTCGTCGCCTCCCTCACGCAGGCGCCCTCAGGCGCTCAGGCGCCCACCGGAACCTCATTGGCGCAACAAGACGCTAGTCCGGGAGTCCGCGAGTCGCCTAGTCAATTCGGAAAGTTTCCGGTTGGTAGCGGACGATATCTGTCCGAAATTGATCAGTCATTCTCATTGTTCTTCCTACATTAACCGATAGTAGGTGTCACGTACAGTCGAGGCCAAGCCGTGAGATTCCCGCCGCATGCCCATTCGCGCGACAAAACGTGGATAATGACAAACTTGCGGAGCTCCGAAAATCGGCATTTCGCGCGATCGATCACTGTACGGCCCGACCCGCGGATCGAACCGGAGGCATTAGGTAAGCGGAGTACCTCCTCAAGTTATGAAGTACTCGTCTATCGGTTCAAAGCCCTCGTAGTTACACAGGCAGGTCACTTTGCACCGACATTGAACGCCTCCGCGTTGTATGGCTCGTCTCAGAACGGTTTCTCCCGAATCGGTTCGAAATATGCTGGTAGCACGGGCGGTGGGTCGGCGTCACGCGCCCCTATTCCGATCGCCGAACGTTCCATCGGCAATCTCCGACGCGGCCTGGCCCGACCAGACCTGATCATTCTACCACAACGAAGGCCAACTCGCACACCCTTGCTATATTTGGCAACTCCATCCCTTGTGCATGAATCTGCCTTGTCCACGATGGCTCCAGTGACCCCAAGCAGGGTAGTTTTCCAAAGGTCCTCGCGGATACCGAAATTCTTTCGTGGGGAAAGAATGCTGACAGAGTAACATTACCAAGTGCAAAAAATCTGTGCGCTTTAAGGGGAATCACTTCAAGAAGGACTCGGCCGAACCTTGTGGTGGAAACTCATGGCGGACTCTCCAACAATCGCTCCGCACCGCGCGCTGAGCAGTTGAGTCGAGATCGAGCGATGAAGTAGAACAGAGGCATGCCGCATGTTAACTATCATGAATCACTCTCTCAAACATGGTACGGGCTAACTTCCGGATTAGAATGAACATGTGATTCGGATTCATTCCAGAACACAGGACAGCGAGTAAACAATGGATGTAGGTGGTTGTGCGAGCAGAGTGCCTTGCGATGGTTTTGGTAGCGGTAGACGAAAAGAATTAAATAAATAGAAAACGCCCCCTTATATAGACTCATGTATGATTAATCCACGCGAGAAAGTGGAAGGAGCGAGAAAAAGGAAGGAGACAACCGGTGGAAAAGCAAGAAGGACTGAACAAGAGGATTCGAGATCCCATTGGGAGATCGAATGCATGGTATGGCATGCGTGCGACGAGCGGAGCAATTGTTGTACATGGATCGAGACAGCGAGGCCAACGAATTCGAAAGACGGGCCGAGGCGAATGAGAACGAGACGGAAAGCTCTGAGAGGGGGCCGAAAGGCGTAAAGTCGGAGCGGATGTAGCGGTTGCTGGTGAGGAACGTGGAAGAGGTGACACGGAAATATGCTGTTGTGCGACTGAGTGTCGCGAAAACGGGGGGTCTTGCACTAGAACCGTCTTGAGGAATGCGAGCTTGGGTTTGTGTGTGTACTGGTTGCTGGTTGCGGTGGCGGTGGTGGTTTGGGGTGGCGGCAGGTGTAGAACGGGATGAATGCAAGTATACGTAATTCTTTGATATGTTCATGGAGTTTGCGATGTGCTTGTGCGATTCCGAGGCTAAGACTGTCTTGAGACTGAATCTATGCGTGCACACCGTTCCACCCGCTACTCCACGGAACGCTTCCACCATGGGCCGCGCTGTCGTCGTGGCCAACGCCGTTAGCGTTTCCATTACGAGACGCGTCCGGTATCGATGAAGAGCTCAAAGAATAAAAGCTTGGCGTGCCATTGTGCGAGGATTCAGCCGCGAGCGAGCGCGGCGGCAGCGCAGAAGTCGACGAACCGAAGCCGAGGTTGGCGAAGGAATCCTCCAAGCCGGTACCTGGCATTGGAGGGGGCATGGTCGTGTAGGCGCGGTCCTGATATTCATATCCACCATGTTGAGCGCCATATGCTCCGCCTGCATCCCCGCCGCCGAAGTTCGGGTTGTACGCCTGCGGCATGGGGGGCTCGGCGTATCGACTGAACGAAGTAAATCGTTCCTGCGGTCGCATGTTGCCCTCCGCAAAGTCTACATTCGCATAGGGTGACACCGGTGCATGACCCATGTACGGGTCGGTTCGACTTTGGGTGTAGGGTGAAGAGTTTAAGCCCCGCGCTCCGGATGGGGGACCAAAGCCTGCACATCGGCGGATACGCAAGTGGGTCAGCTTGACGCGTCTGAGAAACGCCGACACTTTCTCGAATACTCACCTGGGTTGCGAGTGAATTGCTCACCGCCATATTCATTTCGATGCGCGCTCAAAGGCGGACCTGCAGCACCACCGACCTGACTGCGACCTCCCATCAAGTCCAAGACTTCAGCCTCGGTCAAACCAGCGGCACTAGCGACGCTCGCGACGGCTCCTACATCGAGGCGATCGCCACGGTTCGACTGTGGGTGAGCGTTGTAGCCTCCGCCGCCGCCAGAAGGGGGTTGTCGAGCTGCCAAATGTGATGACGGCCCGTTGTGGTTGGTGCCACTCCCAACAGCCGTGGTGATCTGCTTAATGGTCGAGTTGTCCTGACCTTGGACCATGCGCCAAACGGCTTCGAATGGCACCCCAAGCGCGCTCGCAAGCTTGCGCACGTGCTCGACCTGTTTGTCGCCTTGAGATCGCCCCCAGCTGAGGCGAATGCGCGACTTGCCGTGGATGGGGAAATCGTTCATCTTCGCGATGGCCAACTCGGCATCCTGGCGTCGCACGAACTGAACGAAACCACACCCTTTGCCGGCAGGAATCTTGCAGTATGTGATCTCGCCAAAGTGGTGGAAGAAGGACTTGAGCGTCTCCTCGCTGATACACGCCGGCAGTCCACCGACAAATACGGTCGTATTGTTGGGGTCCGCGGGCGAAGAGCCAGGAGCGGCAGGGCCTCCGATGTTGGTCAAGAAGCGACGCTGCCCCTCGGGGGCACCAAAACTGCCAAGCGAGGGAGAGAGGGGCTTGTTGGCGCCCGCGTAGGGGCTCGTTGCTCCCGGCATAGGTCTGTTCGGACTGAAGGCACCGGAGAAGGTCGGCGAAAGAAAATCAGGATAGTTGTTGCTCGTAGCCGTAGGCGAGGCGAGATCGTTCTGTGGGCCTGAGTTGTAGGTCGATGCGTTCGACATGCTACCAAAGCCCGGTTGAATCGTCAAGGGTCCGGGCATTCCACTTCCATCACTGCTCCTCGAGCGCGTGCGAATGCGATCAAGCCCACTCAATCCAGGGCCAGTCCTGCCCTCCTGCCCTGGCCCACTAGCTTCACTAATTCGCAGCGTTCGTCCGTGCAACGACAATCCACTTCCGGGGTTCTGGCCGATTAGAAGAGCCCGCTGCATATCTGATTCCTCGGCGAAGCGGACAAAGCCATAGCCGCGCGAGAGACCGGTCGAGGGATCGCACATGACTTTGGCCGACTTGGTCGAAGGGAAGATCGGAGTGAAGAGGTTCTGCGGAGTCAAAGCCACCCAAGGTCAGCACTCAGTCAGCAAAGCGTGTCGATGAGCTCGAGGGCAGACGACTCGAACACACGACTTACGACCAGGTCTGCTTCTCCAACATCTCGCCCCAAATCTCCCACAAAAACGCTGTGTTCACCTGACCATCTCGGCTGCAAACCTGGTAATCCTGTTCCCCAGTTGAGCTTGAATGTTCGACCCGAGCGAGGCATGAGCACGGGCGGCGAGGCGTTGAAACGGGCGAGGACTTGTGCTGCTTGCGCAGCTGATGCGAACGTGAGGAAGCAGTACCCCGAAGGACTAAAGAACAAGTGGAGAGTAGTCTATAAGCTTCATGCTCACGAGACCGGCAATCTCTGATATGGCAGCAACTCACCTCGAACCACGGATCAGTTTGATGTGTTGGACCGAGTCCCAACCCATTTGTGCGCAGCACTCGCGGATATAGGCTTCGTCCATCATCCAAGCATCGAGTTCGCCCAAGTGTAGACTGGCGTTCGTCCGCGCATCGCCATTCTCCGCAAGCGAGGGCGTCGAGCCATGCGCATCGGATTGTGCTGGAGGCGAAGAAAGCGGCTGATTCGACGAGTTCAGCGCGCCCAGTGTTGGCGGTTGAAAGAAGGAGCTCGGCGCGACGAGGCCGTTTGAGGTCGGAGCCGTGTGCTGAGCAAAGTCCCGAGCCGAGGACGAGCCAAGCCGAGCCTGGGCCGACGTCTCGAGCGAGCGTCGCTCGTGTTCACGGAAGAGTGCCGCTCGCTCCTGGTGCTCGTTCGCATCCCCTGCCGAGACAGATGCATCTGAGCCCCGCTTAGGTAGCGAAGGCGTATGTCCGCTCGGTGGGCTCTGGCTCGACGAGTTGCCGCTGGGCTGGCCGGGCTGCGACGTGCCGTTGTTCAGGACGACCCCGTCCGACGATGCTCGAGTTGTGCGATTAGGGCCCCAGATATCGTCATTCACCGACTTGATGGACTGATCAGAGATGCTATTGCCGTGATTGAGAGCGTGATATGGCGAATGCGCGGGGTAGCTGACGCGTCGTTGCCGATCGATGTAATGATCGGAGGCCGGATTGAACGACTGGCCCCGAGCCGCTGGGGGAGGGCGCGCGGAGGCCGACGCCGAGCCGGTGCCTGGAGCAAATGAATCCGTGCTCGAGGGCGATACAGCGTCATAGGACGCGTCTTCCTCCTGCACGTTACCGCTGCTGGGGTGAATAAACGACACCCTGGCCGTCAAGGAAGAGTCGTCGGCCTGTACGAGGGGCGACGGCGGATGCGACTCGACGGGCGAAACGGGCGAGGTGAGCGGCGAGCCGGGGCCCGAAGGCGACAGGTGGAACGACGAGCTCAAGGTGTTGAGCAGTGGCGACATGATGGTGGTGATGTCGTGATGTCGTGTCTCCACGGGCACTGTCTTTATCGTCTGCAGATGTGGCGGGTCGGCTGGTGCTCACGATGAAGGTTGAATGTATGCGGGGCGACGAAATCGGGCGTGGGCTTGTTTATACGGCGCGCTGGCGTGCCGCCTGGCGGTGGTACGGGGCAGGGGGGGAGGAAGGGGGGACGAGGAGGGCGAGGCCCGGCCAGCACAGAGCAACCGCGAGCTTAAGGAACCCAACGACGGTGCAAGACGATGTTGTAGAGTCTATTGGTTGCAATATCGGGTCAGAGATCGGGTCGGCAGGCTTGGGGCGGGCCGGCAGGGGTGCAAGGGAGGTTGTATGCACGTACCACGTGAGGAGTCAGGTCCACTGGACCAGTCTCAGGGGAGGGAAGGCGTAGGGGCGGAGCGCCAGGTACTACTACGGTCGGCGGTGTCAGAGGTCCAGTCGTCGATGTGACCGCGACTCGAGTACCGTATTGACCAATCAAGGTGCCAGTCCAGGGAGCTCGGATCCAGACGCCGTGAACAGGAAGAGCAACACGAGCAGATCCGAATGGGCGTCGGAGGGCGCGCACTGCGCTGCCGGGCACCGTAGTGGCACCCTTGATTCCTGGACTGTGCCCCCGCGCCCCGGCGTGGCCACTGAGAGGAGGAGAGCGCTGGACGGCGCCCTTACGGTACCCACCACAGGCGGGCGGGCGATTTGAGCTAGCCTTCTCGAAGCTTACCTACCGAATCATTCACGATCCGATCCACAGCGCGGGATTCGAAGATGGAATTGACAAAGATGTGCAGAATCAAAATGATAAATAGTGTTTCGCCTGGCCCGAGCTCACCGTCCGTATCGCCATCAGTGTCATTTGAAGAGGATTTTTTTTACAGCTGATCCACTCGATCGGCTCGGGCCCGGCAAATAAATGAGCTCGAGCTCGCGTCGCTCGACGGGCCGTTGTGATCGAGCTTGCAACTGACGATAGTGACTCCTGTTACGCCGCAGTATCGCAGATATTAGTATCTACGAAAAACTCGCCCATCTTGGAGGGCGAAAATCGTGAATATCTTCTTATCTGAGACCTCAGTTGTCCTACAACTCCTCCAAGCAAAAGCCTGTCCCCGAAACTTCAGTCACGCGTCGCGTCGATCCAGGCACGGCACCAAACCGCGCCAAGTGTGACGAACTGGTATAGCAGGTGGAAGATGAGGTTTCTCGGACCGGTCATCATCCTGCATTTGACCTGTAAGGGTAAAGATTCCGGGGAAAGCTGCGAAAGTTCAATTAAGCCGCAGTGGGGCACGCTGTAGTTGAAATGAGCGCTGAGCCAGTGCGCGAAGCGATAGAGCCCGACCGCCTGATCAGAAGCGAGAGGCAAATTCAATAGTCGGCCTTGCAGTGAAGCAGATCGATTGCTCTCTTCGTCTCAAGCTAGGCTTACGTCCCGAGGACCTGGAAGTACAGCATCACATTTCGTATCCAGCACCCGGACCCCTGGACACTGTACGCCTCATAGTAGTCTACCCCGACAGGATTCGACCTCTGGCGCCTTTCCAGAATCGAAAAATTCGAGCAAACTACCAGACCCAGTCATCGTGTTGTGCGTTCAGCCTCGAGATGACATGTTCGATCTGTAAAGTGGATGCATGCATAATCACAGGCGTAAGTCGCATGACAAAGTTCATGCGGTACCTGGCGGAGTTCTCACCTCGTTGCGCAGCTCGGCGCATAAGAGATCGAGGGGCAAGTCGGAATCATCGAGCTTTTCGTGCAATGACGTCTCAGGTAAATGTCAGCGCGAAGCAAAAGAACTGATGAATTGAAATGTAGTGGCTTACTCCGAATGGCTGTGAATCCAGTAGGCCGTGCAGCAGGAGGAACAGCAGTCAGCTCGGCTTCAGAAGTCCGTCAAACCCCTGAGCGCCCATCTCATCGAGGAGCACTCACCATTTCGATCTCGGACGCAATTCCTTCGATACCCATCAATGTGAAGGCGCACAAAGTCACAAATGGAACCATCTTCCAACCCATGATTTCGACCAGTGTAAAAGGCAATGTGAGTAGGTAGAGTGAAGTGCTCTGTTTCAAATCTGTGCAGTTTCGAGGCGATGCGCGAGTTGCCATCGTCAGTTCAGAGTGGTAGTCTCCCCATGACCTAAATCATCTCGGCTCACGAATGCCATATACGGGTGGGATGGGAATGACGGCCAGTCTTTCGACAGTGGTGAAGCAGTCGGTCAGGGTGGACACCGATGCCGACATGGCATTGTAGCCTGCTGGACCGACGGACTAGTCGTGCCCAAGTGAAGAACGTAGTCAGAGGCAATTCGAATCCTAAGGCAGGGTGATATCAGGCTACTCACCTCCAAAAGCCCTTTCTTCTTGCACACAGCCAAATACAGACCAAGTTGATGCGTAATTAACAGCGGAAGAGGGATGCTAGGCTTAGCGAGCGAGTCGTTGAGAATGACCGCCGAATGGGTCGAGACGTGGGACGCCGAATGACGAAGCAAGGGCGCTCGCTCGTCGTTCGAAGTATGCGAGTGATGGTGAGGAGAAGTTGAAGTTTTGGGTGATTGAGGTGGAGGGTGAAGGGAAGGAATGGAAGCGAGTCGACGGAGCTCTTGGGCGATCGCTTCGGGAGCACGGGGTGAGGCCGCGGAAACGGTTGCTGAGCCTGCAGCGTCAGCTAGAGACACGACCATTCGGGCTTCAGCTTCCGAAAGATCACAGTAAGTACTGGTTCTGCGAGCCCTCACCTTCTGCCGCACCCCACCCAAACCCAGTCGTCCCCGCGATTTCCTTGAACTTCGAAGGCAGCAATGCCGAAAGATCTTCGTAATCCGTTCCGTACTCGCCTCGAAGATGGTGTTTCGTGGCGACCTGTTTGCAGAGGCTTTATTAAGCTACATTCCGCACAGATTCAATAGGACCATGTTCTGTTTCCAGGACTGACCACAACAGCCACCATCAACCTCAGTGCTTTGACCTTAGCATTGTGATCCCTTTCGGTCAAGTCCGGGTCGTTGCTTGCGATCTGGGACCCATCTCGTTCGAATTTGGGTGGAGTGGCAGCGCCTACGTTGATCCAGACCGAGCGAGAGAGACTACGCGTGGTCGAGATCTGTGTGATGACGGATGAGCCCGATCCCACAACCTATTCCGATCAGCGTCTGTCGGGTCGGTATTTCATCGAGGTGCCGAGCGATGTATGGGTGTGGAGCCAAATCTAAGAAGGACTGACAAGCGTTGAAAAAGCCTTTCGTCCCTCATCCCACCTCTGGAACGCACTCGAGTTGCGGAACACCCTGTGTGTTGACGATGAGTGTAGAGTGACGGGACGAAAATTCAGTCGGGTACCCTTTGAAGATGGACCGCCGAGTGCCAGAAGTGCGGCGAGAGGCAGGTATTCCACTGACAATAAGAGACCCACGACGACCGAGAGGAGTGGTGTGACATTGTTCGTCAAGCTGAGGCGTTGCTGATAGTTGAACTCCAAGACGGCGATCAGAGCGGCCCACAGCGTAATGATGGTGACGGCACGCCAGATCCGAGGCCAGGTCGATCCTTTGATCCTGCGGACGTCACTCCACCACCCTACTTTGGAGGTGCGTACGCGGCGGGAATCGATCTCCTCCGCCTTGGCGAGTGCTGACAATGCCGAGAAGGGCTGGGCTGCGCGCGAGGGAAGAGGCAGACAGGGGTCGACATTGATCAGCGGGGACGGATTCGAGGATCAACACAACACATGTGTCGCAAATTGATTTCGATCAGTCTGAATCCTTCGCCGTGGTGTCGAGACGTGTGTGACGTATCCATCTCCGCTATTCACTGTTTGGAGGCCCAAGGCCCCGGTCATAGTGTCGTGTTCCCCCCTCCCCCACTTGAAGCACGGGTGCGCGTACCTCCGCGGCGACGCGTACGACGTGAGCGGATCACGAACGGAACAAGAGGTGTACTCACGCAGAGAGGCAAACGCAGGAAGGACAGAGTGTACAGTATCCATTGTGGCGGTGGGAATAAGCCCAAGCGGCGGCCACCAGTAGTACAACAGGAACCAAGCGGCCTCAGGTCGGGCGGGCTTCGCGCGAGTCGGTGCCGATCGCACTAGATCAGTACTAGATCAGTACTAGATCACTACTCAGATCAGACTAGATCAGCTTTAGATCGCACTCTGATAGCGGCGCCGGCACCGCGCCTCTGCGTACCTCCCTTGCACCTCTCGCCATCTTCGGACCCTCGTTGAAGATCGGATCGCATCACGACACGTCGATCTTCGCACTGCCTTTGGTCGATCTCACATCTGACGCGCTAGCTGCCTCCCGTCTCGATCGCCACCCCCTCCGCTTCCCCCGCCGCACCCCCACGACGTCATCTCGGATCGACCCTGCCCACAAACCGCAGTCCATCTTGTCGTTCTGGGCACCCACCACCATGTCCCACTCTTCTCAGCCCGTGATCAAGTCGGAACTGTCTCCTTCCGCCTCGGGATCTCTAACCGATGCCACCTCCCTCAAGCCAGCGCCCTCGCCGACTCCGCCCGTCTCGACGCCGCAAGGCTCCTACACCGACTTTGTGCTGCGTTCGTCCGCACCTGGTTCGCAAACGGGGTGGAAGTACAACGTCATGAAGTTCGCTGCGCTCGCCAACAAGTCGGTTGACCCTTTGGACGAGAGCGAGTTCGTGAGACCGTTGAGGTTGAATCGCAAGGATCCGCGCACGGTGCGACGCTTGACCGATCAGGAGAGGGAGAAGATCAAGAACAAGTCGATGGGCTTGTTGGATCAGGACGGGAACCTCATTGATCAGGGTACTGTGGATGGGGTCAAGAAGGAGGGTGAGGCCGCCGACGCCGAAACGGCCAAGGAAGCCATCAACCCCGATCTCGTAGGTACAGGCGTGACGGGTGCTCTTGCACCGCAGCAACAACGACAAAAGAAGCATGGGGGTCGGTTCGAGAAAAAGATCAAGCGCGTCTTTGTCAGCTCCGAGGAATCGAGAAGGCTTCGGAGAGAAGAATGGCAACCGTGGGTGCTCGAGGACGATGAGGGCAACGAGAGGTGGATCGGCCGACTCGAGGGTGGGGCGAGTGAAAGATCGATGGCGATCGAACAAGAGAAGAAGAGACAAGAGTTGGAGAACAAGGGGCAGGCCACCATGGCAGGGTGGAGGCCAGCGAGCGAAGGATCGGCTACGGGTGGTGGGGGATCGAGTTATGTCGCGTTCGTCTTCGGTCCCGACGGGGACGAGTTCCAAGTCGTGCCCATTCATCGGTGGTACAAGTTTTCTCAGGGTCCCAAATATGTCACCTTGGGCAACGACGAAGCGGAAGCAGAGGTGAGGCACCACTTCACCGTGAAAGCTTGCATCGGCATCCTAACCGAGCAAGTTACCTGTCATCTCTCTCTTCGCTCCCCGCACACAGTATGAACGACAACAAAAGTCTCACGAAGCAGAACGATGGATGATGCACAAGCGCAACCCGAATCATGCCTCGTCCTCAACAGGGCAAGGCAGCGGCCCCTCCAGTGGCGCAGCGACACCCCACCTCCCACCAGGCGACGACGGTGGTCTACCCCCTCTGTCTACGGACATCAAACCGCGGATCAAACGCGAAACCTCCGCGGGGCCTTCGACGATCCGATCTCGTCTTCTCGACAAGTCTGAGCTCTCGGGGCGTCGTGCGGGATCGGAAGCGCGTAGTGCTGCTGCGGGTCGACCCAAGCTTCGGAGCGTTGATACGGGTGGTCGTGCGGAGAATGATGATGATGAGCTGTACGGAAGAAAACGGGGCGACGAGGGCAGGGGACAGGATCAAGATGATGATGAGTTTGACTATGATGAGGAGTTTCAGGATGATGAGGAGGGGGTGGCGAAGATTGATGATTTGGCGGATGAGCAAGAGACCAAGGAGCTCGAGGTGCGTGGGTCTTCACTTGCTACCAGGCACACTCATGCTCACTTCGGTAACTTGCTCCCACCTACCACAGGAGCGCATTCGTAAAGAGATGCGAGCCGTCGAACGAGCGGCCTCGGAGCCCGAGGAAGACGACGACGACGAAGAGCACCTGACCGCCACGGGCAAGGATCTCAAACGTCTCGTCAGGAAGCAGGACCAAGATGGCATCTACGGGTCCGACGACGACGATGATCTCTCTTCTTCCGATTCCTCCGTTGCAGAAGACGACGATTCCAAATCCGTCACTTCGGCCAGTGGGGATCCTTCGACCCCGCGTCCCGCATCGCAACAACAGCAGCAGAACAAACCCCGCCGTTCGACGGACTCGATCTATCGCACGCATTCATCGTCGTCTTCTCGCCCTCATTCGACACAGACTTCTCGGCACCCTTCTCGAGCGGCTTCCCCTTCGTCCGGGTCGGCGTTATTGGCCAAACGAGCGACTTCGCCTACGCGGTCGAACCCCGGTAGTCGAGCGACGTCACCAAACCCTTCAGGGAACGGAGCGAATGGTAAAAGGAAGCGGGATGACCATGATGGGTTCTCGAAGCGCCGTGCTCTTTCACCTTCCGCCGGTACGGCAGCAGTAGGAGGATGGGACGCACCATCCGACGCCTTGATCGAAGACCGTCACTTGATCGATTTCTTCAAGACCAAAGCTTCGGAACCTAACAAGTCGACGACGAAGGAAGTGTTGAATTACTTCAGGAGGCAACTCAAGGGGAATGAGAAGAACAAGGAGAGGATCAAGGGGGCGCTGCATAATGTCGCGAGTATGCAGGATAAGTTTTTGGTGCTCAAGGCGGGAATGTAAAGCTTCTCTGAGAGGGAGGGGCGTAGAGGAAGAGTCGTAGATGAGATGGGCTTTGTTGTGATCCTCGTAGCCGAAGAGATAGTTTCATGGTCGTGTGCTTGCGATGCCAGTTCGTTCTCTCTGATTGGCGCTGACGATGGTAGGAGGACCGCAAACGACGGGATGTGATTAACAGCATAATAAGGGTTGAAGAGGGAAAGGAGAAACTCGAGACTAGAGAATGAAGTTGAGGGAACATCGTGGAAAAGAGAGTGGAGGAAGGACGAGGGTTACGAAAGACCTGGTCGAAGTGATCCAGCCCTGACTTTGTCGGGAGCAAGAGTCGAAAAAAAGGTTGCACAAGGGCAAGAAATATACGTGAACGAGTGAGGGAGATCGCATTTGAGTCGTGGAAAAGATCGTTCTCCACACCACCACCGAACGAGAGAAAGAAAGGAGGGGGGCTCCCTTCTATTATATTGCGCCATCCGCCCCTTCTATGCGGTCGTTACGAACTCGGGGAGAGAAACAAAAAAGCCGAGAAACGAAAGTTTCCGATCATGTCGAGACTGCTGTCGTCGTTGTTCCAGCTTCAGTAGGTTTGGCCAAAGCGGGGGCGTCGGCGTCGGGGGCGGTGGATCCATTCTCGACCTGGTGCGAAGCCGACTCGTCCGAAACCAATTGTAATGCGTCGTTCTGCTCCTTCTCCTTCTTGACCTTCTCGAGAATGGCGGGATCGTTCCAGGGCCCAGCATCGGACATGGAACACCCTTGCGAGCATTGACAGGTCCCGCCGAGGAAGGTCGGCAACGATTCGGCGGGAACTTGCTCGAGCAGGCTCTTTTTGTAGTCCGACGAGAGGATGTGGATCTTGGCGACGGTCGCTTCGTCGAGCCAGCCCTTGACGAGGTTCCATACGGTCGAGAAGGCCCAAGATGCGTTGACGATGTAGAACTTGCCCATCTGTTTGATGGTAAGATGAGACTATGGTCAGCTGCCTTATTATGTTCTCCATAACAGGTCCGAGAACTACGCACCCTTTCCGGGTAGTTGTTTTGCGAGACTGGGGCAGGAAGAAAAACGCACGTGATCAGAGCGCTGCCCATCAAATTTGAGCCAGTCCGCTTTACTCACTGGCAGAAGCCTCCTGAACATAGTTCTTGACACTCCAGAACGAGCTCATACCGACGCCCTTAAGATCCATGATGGTGCACGAGGTCTCGATAAGGTGGCCGGCCAAGGCGGAGCAGACGGGGAGACGGTCGCGTTGGAATTTCTCGTATTCGACGACGAGCGATTGCATTTGTCGTTCAGGGGTGGTAACCTCGTACAGCTTCTTTAGGTCGAGCTTGCCGAGTTGCTCGATGTACAATGGTCGGCCGTCCTGGAGGAGAGAATGGACAAGCGTAGGTCACGGTGAGGTGTTGTTCGGCTGCACTTGACATATGCAACGGACCTTGTCCGTCTTGTGGTAGAACCTGGATGGGAAGAGTAGACAGGTCAATAAAGGAGAGACCCAAGAACAAAGGTAAAGACAACGTACCTCGGGTAAAGCTTGTCGACCTCTGCCTTCTCCTTGTACTCGAACGTGTCGTAGAGCTCGTCGACCTTGAAGCTCTTGCGCCAGTTCTGGGTGTCGATCCACATGATCTTGGCCTTTGGGATGTCGAACTTGCGGGCACGGAGGAAGCGACTGTGGGAAAGGAGGTGCATCAGCTTGGGCCGTGGGCTGCGGTGATAGGGGCTTGTCGGTTCGAGGGAGCGCGGTATGTGCACGAGATGGATGACGGCGCGTGGGATGCACGTGGGTCTGCACGCGTCAGAGCCACGATCGCCATCGCTTTGAAGGGCTACACCATCGCTCATGATCCAAGATGTGTCGCCGGATCGCCAAGGACAGGGGGGGGGGGAAGAGTCGAAGAAGGTGGGTTCACACGCACAGCAATTCCGGGTCATCGTTCTTGACAGGGTCGTAGTAGCCTGCCTCGGACAATTCCTTCTTGAACTGAGGGGAGGGGGGGAGGGAGAGAGAGAGAGAGATCAGATGTGTGTGTGTGAGCCAATCGGTGAGGTATACCGGGGTGGTAGCCGGTCGTCGATCGAGAGAGAACGGACGACGCGCGACGATGGCGACGCGAGCACAAGAACCGAGTCCGTCTGCGGCTGCGGGCTGGCGGAGTCGGGCGACCGACGCGTGCGAGCGAGCGAACTGAACACTGACTGACCTTCTCGAGGGTGTGCTGCTGTTCGACCGAAAGATGGCCTGGGTGACCGGAGAGCAGATCCTGTGTGGGGAGTAGGAGAGGACGTCGTCAGCAGTGCATGGGTGCATGGGGGGTCGATCCAGCTGCATCGGTTCGGCGCCGTCAAGCGCCACGCGATCGCACTCGCACCACACACGCCGCAGCAACCGGCGCCAGAGAGCAGCAAGCGGACATGGGTTCACAGCGAACGACTGACTGACCCTCGAAGGCGCCTGATTCTGCGCCGAGTGAGTCGAGCGACCCGAGCTGTGCAGTGAAACCATCTCGCAGGGGCCTGGACGGTCGGCGTGGAGTGAGAGAACGGGAAGCGGCGCGGAACGGGTTCAACCAGCGAGTGGTGAACGGAGGGGAAGGAGGGTGAGGTCAGGTCAGGTCCGGTCGGTCGGTCGATTGATGGGGACGCGGTGACGTTCGGACCCAAGCGAGCGACTGCGAGCGAGCGCGCGCCAGCCTGCCAGAGCCTGCCGGAGCGAGCCCACTCCCAGAGTACTCCGGGCGCTGTTGGGCGCGCGAGGGGCGTGCTAATGAGCATGACTAATTTAAACTCCAAAGCGCACTAATACCCAGCATTACCCAGCATGACTCCTGGTTCAGGGTCAATGAGTCCTACACTACTGGCTTCTGCCAGTGTGCCTAACAGCATTCCCTCCGACTTTTCCGAAGATTTCTAGGTATTAACATAATTCTACTGTTACTGAAATCTATCAAATAAATAAACACAACACCCATGGCCGCCTCCCCCGCGTTGGGAACGAGCGACCCTCGCCCGTTTCGAGCTACATAACAGCAGTCGCTCGCCACCCACATCGACCCACATCCGGCCAGCTCGGAGTGCTGAGCGCTCGGTCGCCGAGTGCTGTGTTTTGGTGTGCACCGCCTAGGTGTGCTTCCGGCAGCGACGACTCGGTCACTCCGAACCTTTCGCTCGTCGTCCTGCTTCCCCAGCTTGGAATCACCACTCGCCTTCGCTCCGGCGGCTAGAGTACCTTGGCTCGACCGCAACCTCCCTCCCCGAGGCTGCCTCCCCTCTCGCAATCCCTCTCGCATATCAGACAATGTCAGTCATCCCGCATCCATCCCGCATCCATCCCGTCGCGCGGCATCCTCGTTGCCCAGTGCTCTGCGAGTGCCAGCGTGGTCGCTCCCCGCTTCGGCTTCTTTGGGGGGGTGTCTCCTCGGTCGGCTCGCTCGCCTGTCTCACAACCCACCTTCAGCGGGACCGAGCCAAGTGCAGCGCATTCGGAATGATCCATCACTCAGTCCAAGCTGATCCGGTGCGCACCTTCCTATTCAACAGCTCCCTCTGCACCGCTTCGCCCCGACCTCGACCGAGAAGATCAGGTCTCAGGTCGTCCCCCCAAGGCCACCAACAAAGCCTGTCCCAAACACGATCCCGTATTCCACCCTCTCCGCAACCGGATCTAGTAGCCGCAGCTGTCCATTCTCTTTCGCAAACATCATCCACCATGGCTGCCACCACCGAGGATATCGTCTATGCATTGCACGACTTTGAAGCCGAGAACGAAGAGTGAGCATTGACGCCTGACGCCCCCCGGTCGATCATGCTCAAAGCTCGATCCCTTTCGGATGCCGGCCCCAACTTGACTGATCCCTTTTCTTGATCTGTCCTTGCAGTGAGCTGTCGTTTGCGATGGGTTCCAAGATTGTGATTCTCGAGCGCGATGACCAGTACGGAGACGGGTGGTATCAGGTTCGTGTCTTCCCCTCGGCCTTCTTCATGTCGTGAGGGCTGTCGTCTCTCGTAATCACCTCGGAGCAAGCATCGCACGGGACTGACGCCCCACTAACCCATGTACACAGGGTCGAAACGAAGCCGGCGAGGTTGGCCTCTTCCCCCAATCCTACACCTCCATCAGCCCCCCTTCGCCCGAAGAAGACGACGATGACGTTTCGCTCGCCGAGACTGGTCGTCACTCCTCCGTACCCGTCGTCGCGGCCAACATGAACGAGGTGCAACAAGCGCTCGCGTCTCTACAAGTACAGCGAGCCGCCAATCTCGAACCAGCGGTGGCCCAATCAGGTGACTCGTCGTCCGAAGACGAACTCGACGAGGGCAAAAGCATCGCCGAGCGCGGGAACGTCGGACCCAATGGCTCCCATCCCGAAGTCGGAGTGAATCACCGAGCCGCTCTGGCAGCAACGGCTGCGTTGAATGCGGAGCGAGCAGCACGAGAGGAACGCGAACGAGAGGAGCAGCGCAGGAAGGACGACGAGGCCGCGTACGAGCGATCACGGCAGGAGGGACTCGTCGAAGGGCTGCAGCTCAGTGACGAGAGCGACGACGAAGCGGGTCTTCCGCTCCCTCTTACGGTCCCGCTCCATCCAACAACCCTCCCCGCTGCCTCGACAAAGTTCGACGCTCCATCTGGATCGACAGTGACCCCCGCCGTCGTCGTATCCAACGGCGACATTCCGCACGAGCCGGTCACCCCGAACGGATCAGTCGATGCCGCAGCTTTCGTCTCGTCAGATAACCCCGTCTCACGCGATCTCGAATCGTCGTCCACCTATGCCGAGTCTACCTACTCCGAAGCTTCGGTCGCCGAGGAGCCCGTCGACGATGCCGTTCCTGCGGCCACCGGGATCGACAACGGACTTGACTCGATCAACATTGATCCATCGCATGCACCCATCCTCGCCACCTCGGCTGTATCTTTTTCCAGCCCACCTACAACAGCTTCCGCCGCCGCCGTTTCCCAACCAGCTCTCGAGTCGGCTGCCCCGATGCCCCAGGCCTCCAGTGCTTCTGATCACGTACCTCTCCTGGCCGGGGCAGGCCTTGCTACCGGTGCCGTTGCCGTCGGTGTCGCCGCTCATCATGCCTTCGCAAGCAACGAACACCTTTCAAAAGCCGTCGAGGCCACCTCCTCGGCAGCAGCTCGCGCAGTGACCCCGGACTCGGTTCTACCACCGTCGATAACTTCTACGCCTGTGGCTTTACCCTTGGCTTTACCCGTGGCTGCCGTCGTGTCGCCAGGTCCCAACTCCGGCCGTATCCTCTCCCCGAGCCAGTCGAGCTTGTCGATTTCGACGCGTGCAGGGAGTGGCAGCGTGACCGACGCCACCACGAACGGGACGTCACATGCCGCCGGGACACTGCCGTACGACCCTCGAGTGTGGAGTGTCGACGAAGTGTGCGAATGGGCGACGAGCAAAGGCTTTGATGCGTTGACGTTGGCCAAGTTCCGCGAGCATGAGATCTCGGGTGACGTCCTCGTTGAAATGGACGTGGCGATGCTCAAAGAGATCGACCTTGTGGCCTTTGGACGACGGGTGCACATCTACAACGCCATCAAGGAGCTCAAGGGGCGATTCGCACCGCGCGGTAACGCTTTGTCTCCGACCGGGTCGGGGTATGAACCTGATACGCCGAGCACGATGGGTTACGCGACTCCGGCGACGTACCATCCGACGACGTTTGGTTCTTCGGGTCAAAGAGCTATGGGGTTCGAAATGCATGGCTTGGGTCTGGATGGCTCGTCGGACCAGCACCGACGTCCGATGTCGTTCCGGACCTCCTCGGATGGGCCATCGCGGTCAGCCTCGCAAACACATCTCAACGACTTGCAATCGTCGCAAAACTCGTCGATGCATTCATCCGGAATGGTCGGCGCCGATCTGGGCGCAGCACAACACCACGCTTTGATCCATCGTCGATCGTACACGGGAGACACGGGTCGAGAAAGTCTTGGAGCGGATGCCGCGATCCCGGAAGAAGTTGAGGAGTCCCCTGTACCGGGTAACAAAACGTCGACGAATGCGACGCCGGTCCTCGGCGCGGTCGGCGCCAGCTCGGTCCGCGCAGCCAAGTCCCAGATTCAACCCAAGTCCGCACGTCGTGTCTCGGATTCCGAGATCAGTCTTCCTCCCAGCCCGACTCACAGCACTTCGACGAAGGGCACGAGGAAGGACAGTGGTGATCGCACGTTCTTTGGCGCCATTGCGCGAGCGAGAAAACCGCCGCCGAGGGTCTCAAATTCGGACTCGGTCGCCTCGGGTTTGAGCAGCGACGGTGCGACCTCGACGACGACTCGACCTGGTTCGTCGAGGGCGAAATCGGCATTGACTCAGGCGAGGCGTACGACGAGGTTGTTTGGCTCCTTCGGTACCCAGAGTGCGGAGGGCGGTCGGTCGTCGAACGAGCGTGTTGGGACACTCGATGTGTCAAAGGCATCGACGAGGAATAAGCGAATGAGTGGTATCTCGGCGACGCGCGATGCGCCCTCGAGTATGTCTCCCAAAGCCGTCGACGCTGTGGGAAGCGAGATGATGCGCAAGGAACTTGAGCCCGTTGCCCCCGGCGCGAACTTGATGGAGAAGATCGGGACGCCGGACTACTCGGGTTGGATGCAGAAAAAAGGCGAGAAGTACAACACATGGAAGCAGAGGTTCTTTGTTCTCAAGGGAATACACCTCTACTACCTCAAGTCTGAAAGCGAGCAACGCGTCAAGGGCGTCATCAACCTCAAAGGTTACCGCGTCATCACCGATCCGAACATTCACCCAGGAGAATACGCGTTCAAGATCGTACATGACCGCGAGCGCTCGCATTTGTTCAGCGCTCGCGAGCAGTACACCGTTCGCAATTGGATGCGCGAGATCATTAAGGCGACTATTGCGCGCAATTACGAGGACCCCGTCGTGTCCTCTTGTGATATCGATACCATGCCGCTCACCATCGCTCAGACCATGTACCCACCACCTCGACCACCCTCGCCCACCGAACGTGCGCGCGTTCAGAAGGAGCGATGTGAGTTCAAACGCGGTCGGTTCGTCGGAGGCACGCCCACAATTGACACATCATTTTATCTGACACTTGACAGACGGTGATGCCAACCCCAACACTCTCACTCCAGCGGATGCTCAAAAATTGATGGAGTTCTCAGCCGGCTCAACCTTGATGCCGGACCGCGGCACGGGTTCGACTGGTCGCCGAACTTCGACGGCACCGGATGCTGGCCGTCGCGCCTCCCTCAGCAACCTCGCCCCCGGTACCGGTCCCGGAGCTCTCCCCGCGATCCCGACACAGTCTGCGTCCGTCGCCAAAAGCCCTTCGAATGCATCGAGGAATCTTCCCGCACCGTCGATCGCACCGGCTAATCCTTCCGAGGCCGAGAAAGCCGCTCTACTTGCCTGGGTCAACGCCAATCTGCCATCCTCGACGCCGCTCGCGACGGACTTGGGCGCCTCGCTCAGTTCGGGTCAAACTCTCGTTCGACTGGTCGAGAGCTTGAGCGGCAAGCCGAGCAACATTTCGGATGCCGATTTCGCCAAGCACAAGCCTGCTCCGTCAGGATCGACGATGGACGTCGATTACTTTGATACCGTGTTCAACGTGTTTGACTACCTCTCGCCAATTGTGTCGAGTAAGTCGACTTTTGCCTGCGAGCTAGAGTTTGCAGACTGGCGCTGACTGGGGTGCCTTCTTGCAGCGGATGAGATCTCCATGTCGGACTTGCTCTCCGGGAACGACGCTCGTCTCAGTCTGCTCGTGACGAGGATCAAGACCGTCTTTGATCCGTAAAGATTTGCGCCTCGTCGCCACCCCTCGGCTATAGCGTGGCCAGCGTGCGATTGTAATACCCTGCCACAACAGATGTACCGTTTCCCACAAAAATTATCGGGAATCTGCCTCATCATCCCTCCTTCCTCTCTCTTTTCCTTCCCTGTTCCTGTTTTGCTTTCTGGGGCTTTCCTTCTTCTTTTGACTCTACTCTACTACTTTCTGTCCCTCTAATGCACCGGTCTGCTGTCCGCTCCATTCCGATTACCTTTCCCTCCAGGAGTGGACTCTTGTAATGTTTTAGAGTGTTTGTCATCCACTCGCACAGCCCTCTTGATGGAAAGGGAGAGGAGAGGAGCACGTTTTGGGGTTTTACATATTGAACGGGGAATTACATCACCAGCCCCGAATTAGGAGGCGATCCCAGAATGCCGCCTTGGCGCAGGTGTCCAACGGCCGAACCCTTGCGAAAACAAGCGCCATCGTTTTTTTCTCCCCCTTCCGCGCTCTTGCTTTCCCTTTCCCCTGTTCGCACTCGCAGGGTTGAGAACTGCTTCTCGGACTACTTATCTCTTACACCACCTACTCATCTCGACTGGTGCGTCATGAGATACTCCCTCGGCGGATACTCGCCAGGGCGTGGCCGTTTCGACTCCTAATTGACTCTTCACCCCTGATCAACCAGTAGCCGTGGTCGCCTCTCTTCTTCATCGCCCCCAACGCCCACACTCGCCATGCACGGCAACTACCTCCGCCTCTTATTGGGATCGATTCTCATCTGTCAAGTCATTGCGAAATGGTACAAGTACGACACGGGTGATCATAGAATCCCTCGACGACACCGCGGGGTCGATCTGCGGGGCCGACACGATGCTTCAGGCGTACTTGGGGGCGACTTCAGCTCCGATATCGAAACGGCGAACCAAACGATTCAAATCGATAAACGCCCTCAGACTACCGACGCGGAAGGAGGAAATGAGGATCTACAAGTCAGTGATCAAAGGGGAAATGGCCCCTCGCTCGACGAATCGGACAAGGCCTCGAACGGTCGAATCATCATCAGTCGCCCCCCTCGCTATGTCAACCCCGCGGTCCGCGAGAAGTACCTCAAGATCGATATGCGCTCGAAGGGGTTTACTCTGGACGAAGAGCCTTTCCGTGTGGTTGGAATCAGTGTGTTGGCGGTGTCTGATCGGCAAGGGTGCCAAGGTGCCAAAGAGGGATGCGAAACTGACCATCTTACTATTGTGATTGGGGCAGATATTTACTGTAAGTTGATCCGGTTAGAAACAAATGTACGAGGAGTATATTGCACGGGAAAGGTCCGCCTCAAGCTCGTTTCGCCCTTTCGTGATGGTTGGCGAGTTCCATCCGGGGGGCCCCGAGCGGCGCACTGCGGGCTCGGTGCTTCGGAGGCCATCGCTTCTCGTACTTTCGACTGATGAGTCCACTGTACGCAGGGCTTTGTAATGACGAGAATGTTCTCGGCGTGAAACCCGGAACGCCCACGCAGAAGCGGCGTATCCGCGAAGCACTCGCAGCGGCGGTCGCCATGGGGGCCAACACGGTCCGCGTCGGATCCTGCGGGATCTCACTCGGGTATGCGGACGCCCTTCAACCTGATCAACACAATCGAGCGACCCCTGGAAGCGCCGCGATGGACGTTCACGACTACGCAATTTATGCGGCTGGTAGATACGGGCGTGAGTGCAAGTATGAGGCGCCTGTTCGCCTCGCTCAAGGAGCTCACTACATCGTGTCGTGACTACCAACCACCTCGATCGGGCAGTCAAGATTATTCTTCCGCTGATGGACAATTACGATTACTACCATGGTGGGAAGTATACGGTCCTGAAATGGCTCGGCATCTCGGCCGAGAACAACGGCGCCAACTTCTTCACGGACCCTAGGGCGATCGCGTTTTTCAAGTCCTACATCGAGTTCGGTCAGTTCGCTGTCTCACGAGAGAAATACCAGCCTGGTATATTGTATCGTTGAACCGGTGTAGAGTCAAACCGGTGTATTGTACAGTCCTCAACAGAAAAAATCCCTACACTAAGCGCACGTATGGAAAGGACCCCGTCGTCTCCATCATCGAGGACGGGAACGAGTTTGGAGCCTATAAGGGGTCAGAAGGCTACCCACCGCTTGCGTTCACGGACGAGATTGCTGCGCAAGTCAAAAAGTTTGCACCGCAGGCCCTCTTCATGGACGGAACGGATGGCTTCTTCAAGTAAGTTCCTGTTTTTTATTCAAGGATGCAAGCCAGACATCAGGGGCTGACAAACCTATCGCGCGATGTGTAGTCTCACCGGTGGGTTCTCAACCCGACTCCCGCACATGAAAGGAGTAGACCAGTAATGTCCGGTGAAACAGCTCATTTACAGGCACCAGGACTACGTTCTAAAGCGGTGGACATCGTCACGGACCACCCTTACCCTCGAGACATCCCCCTGTTACACATGCAGGCATTTCTTGCTCGGATCAGCGGTAAGGCCTTCATCCTCGGCGAAATGGACTGGGTACCTAGTGCTCCATCTGGGAACCCGCATCCACGCCTAGTCGAACCGAGCTTGTCGGCCTATCTTGACGTGCTTGACCGCTACCCCAACAGTAAGCTTCCTTTACGGCGAGTGATGACCCGTCCCGTCACGGATTCTGACCTGCATCAATCTCGCAGTCGGAGTGTTGGCGTGGAGCCTGTTCGTCCATACCGACGACTGCCGTGACTGGGTTCGACACCACGATGGATACGAGATGTATTACCCTCTACCCCAAGACACCGTGGAGAAGCAAGCCAACGTCTTGACGCTCGTTCAGTGGTTCTACGCCCGGACCGGCCGTGAGGTTCCGTCTCTACTACCCTACCAAACGTGTCCCCAAGAAGAGTTCTAGAACTGCGGGGCAGCTCTGTGAACGCTAGACTGCTGTATTTTACCTACGCGACGAAGTAGCCCGTGCGGATCACATCTAGTCAAGGCCTCTTAATGGAATACACGTGCCCAGTCTCTGGTACCTGATTCACGTTTCTCCGGCAAAGGAGCTGAGACTCATCTGTGATCTGGTAGATCTTGGACGGAGGCCAGAGAGTGGACAGTGTAAGAGACAGTACCAGGTTGCAGCAGCCCAAAGGCGGGTAAAAGGCAGTAGTATGTGACATAGAAGAGTATCCGAAGATTTCCGTATGCTAACTCGGAGGTTAATGATGCGTCGATGCGGTGCGAGAGTGAGAATCCGGATCGAGAGGGAAGACTACAGGGCGAAAGATCCAAAGAATATCGGATACGTAAGGGGGTGCTAAAAAAGACGAGCTAGTCGGGAGGAAGAGGAGAATTGGCGGAATGATACAAAAGTAGTGTCCTTGCGGTGACATTTTGGGGTGGAGAGCGATGCGAAGTCGGAGCGTGAGTTATGAGTGTCTGTGTGTGTTCCGAGTCGAGTTGCGAGGCTGTGATTAATTGAAGATGATGAAGATCCATGAATGTTCATGGCATGGGAGTGAGGCGGAACTGGGATTGGAATCGAGAGGCTGATCGGTTGCCAAAGAGTCCCAGCGCGTTCGGAGACGTGGAAGAGTTTGACGATTTTGACGAGGGCTTGAAACTCGACCTTTTGGGTGGCACGGGGCTCGAGGCACCCGAGCCGGGAGGGGTACTTGCAGACGAGCGGGACGAAACGGGGCTGAGAGTGTTTGCTACCTGGGTTGCTTCACCGCTGGCCTCGTGCGCGCTGGGCAGCTCGAGATCGGGCGTGGACTTGAAGGCGAAGCGAGACGGCGCCGAATACGATGACGAGACGGGGGTGGGATTCGGACCGCCGGCGAAGAACTGAGCCAGGGAGGGAGTGGAGTGGGCGCGTTTGGAAAAGAAGTCCCCAATCTTGTGAGAAGCGGCGGAAGCTCGACGTTGCAGACTAGACGGTCCGAGGTTGTTGGGCTCTTGCAGTGTCTCGCGGCGAGAATACGGGTCTCGCGACGAAGGATCGTCATCTTGCGTGCTGCCCAAAAGGAAGGCACTGCTTCGTCGACGCAGCTTGAGCACATCGCCGAGCGTCGACGTCATCCGACGAGAACCGCTTCCTTGCCCAGATTTGGTTCCATGCGACGAGTTGATCGCAAAGAGCCTCTCGTCGAAATCGCGAAGATCAAGATGATCACGGTAATCGGGTGACGGCGGGATTGAGGACGGCGGCGTCTCTGTCGATCCAGCACTGCCCGTATTCGACGTGGTCCCATGCGACTCGGACGAATTGGTGCCCGACGTGGACGACGAAACAGAGTTCTGTCGGTCGACGCCAGCCGTGGTAGAGGCCTTCACGGCAGAGGCTGCAGTCGCGGCGGAAGGCGTGGTCGGGGTGATCGCCGACATGCCTCGCAAGGAATGCAAGGAAGAATGCGAAGACGCGCGCCGGACCGCCTTGCCTTTCCACGATCCCAGCTTTTTCGACGCCGGTAGCATCTGCGTGTCGATCTCGGCCAACATCGGGCGGGAGCTTTTGAACGCGCTGGGGTTGTTGGCACTGCCACTCTTGCTTTTGCGAAGCGAAGTGGACCAATTGCGGTTCTCGAACGCCGAAGAAAGAATGGGAGAGTAGGCGTTATCGGGATCCCCAACGTGAGATGACCTCGACAGGCCCATTGGATCAAAGCTCGACATGCGCCGTCGCTCCTTGTCACTGAGAGAAGCCACCTGGCTCGTCATGCTCCGACGGGGTCCGAACGCAGATCGAGTGCGACCGGCGAGAAGTCGTGCTTGGGTCAAGTCTTGCGAGAAGACGTCGGCGAGACGCAAGTCGATCGCGGCATAGGAGGCAGCCGAACTCTTGCCGAGCAAGGCCGAGGCCGTCGAGCTGAAGCGATTGCGAGAAGACATCGTGGATGACATCGACACGTGGTTGAACGAGGTCGCAGTGTGCGGGATCGGGCTGGTCTCGGACAAGGTGGGCGAGTCCTCGGTCGTCACATTAGTAGGAGATCGTTCGTACAAGCCCGGAAGAGACAGTCCGCTGTTCGTTCGCGAGTGCGAGCGCTTTTGCATGGTCGACGGCGTCACCGCGACCAGACTGGAGACCAGAGTTTCGTCGAAGAGTGTCGGCAGACCCTGCGAGTCAAGCTCTTGGCTGTCCCATGCTCGATGAGATTCGGTTTTGGCGGCCAGAAGTCGCTCAAGCCAGATCGCCTTCTCGTTCACGCAAGTAGAGCCCAGCTCGAACGTGTGCTCGCGGCAGGAAAGGCGGATCGAGCAAGGCAGCGCACCTGTGGACCAGACGTCGTAAGCCTCAACATCAATGGCTTTAGACATCTAGGTCGGTGGGGTCGAGTCCGACTCACCTTCGCCGTCGGGCAGATCAACAATGTCGAACAAGCGCAAAGGTAGCCATTCCCGAGGTTCATAGCTATCCCGCTTCTTGATCTTGCCGATGATGAGATGCGACCGATACAAGAAGCACCTGAGTAAGAAATTTTAATTGGATCAGAATGAAACCGGACTTAAGGGTCACGTCTTCCGTGGAGGTCGTGCTTACCCGAAGTACTTGACGCGCAGGCCCGAGTCGGCCGAGTGCGATCGGTGCAGCACGTGCAGCGATCCTACAAGCAACGTCGGTCCGAGCACATCGCAGAACGCCGCATTGGCGGGGGCGAGAAACTCCATCCTCGTCGCGACAATCTTCGTGCGAATCTCGCCTGCGCGAGCTCGCTGCGCCGCATCAACCCCCTCAGCGACAATGTGCAGGCCGTCTCTGGCGCTCCTCATCACCTCGTAGTCCGGACCAGGAGCAAGATGTTTGAGAACTTGACTGAAAACTAGCGGGTAGCGGCAAATGCGTTGTACGGGCGTGATGGCATAGTCGGCATACCGAAGGCGACTGCGAGCGGCGGACGCGACTGCTGAGGCGGAGCCGGCTACGCTCGAAGTGGATGGAGCGTTCAGAGTGACCGATGACGAGGGATGGGAGAAAGCGGTGGCGATCGATACCCTGGAAGAGGAGGAAGCTGGGGAAGGAGGAAAGAATGGCGACTGTCCAGTGGCAGCGACGGGGGTCTGCTCGCCCGATGAAATGGATGGGGAAGCTGGGCCGGCGTGCGAACTGCATTGACGTTCGAACGTCTCCCATTCTGGCGTGTCCTTGAGCGAGTTGACAACGTCGGATGCCTCGACATAGCCCGCACAAAATTGATTATAGAGGAGGAAGTTCGGAAGCTGCGGATCGAAGGAAGGATCCACCGGTGGGCGAAGAGAGGCGATCAGCGATTCGTCGGTGAAGTTGAAGCCCCTCCACCGAACGCGTGCACTCACTTCATCGAGGAAAATCTGAGAGATACGACCCGCAGCTTGAGCTACTTGCGAGCTGCGTTGCTTTTGATATTGTTGCCCTTTCCTGCGCCAGTCGAGCTCTCGCTCGACCTCCTCGATGCGGGTGCCAATGCGCTCGTGCAACTCGAGCACTGCCTCGCCATTGCGGATGACGGTCCGCAGCTGGTCGACCGAGAGCAAGGTTAAAAAGGGCAGGGTGTGGAAGTAGACCTATGTTTACGAACGAATGTTGGGTCAGATGCACATGACCTCGAAGTTCAGGAACTCATAGAGAACCACACAAGTGCACTGACCTTGACTAGCACCCTCAAGTGCTCAAGGTAGAGTGCTTCGGTGTCGACCAGCTCGAGCAGGCTGTGGAAGCGCTTCGAGTGCCTGCTCTCCTCCTCCGCTTCCTGCTCTGAATCCTTTTCATCGGGAGACGAAGACGATCCTACCGGGGTCGCAGGCAAGACGTTCGCGTCGAGGGGACATTCGACCGCGCAGGCCAAGGATAGGAGTGGGGCCGAGCACGAGTGTTCGGGCATCGCGTAGAAGAGAGGTGAGCTGGGCGAAGCCGGCCATGAGGGGATAGACTGGGTGGCCGATGGGGGTGTGAACATGAGATGGATGGGTGAGGTCAACCCAGTCGAAGGTGGTACGCTGTGCACCGGCGGCGATGACGAACTGCGAGTAATCGGAGCCGAAAGAGCCACGGACTCGGGGTTCGTCGAAACCCCTGTTGACACAGGGAAGGGCAAAGCACCACCAGCTGCATTGTCGAACATTGAGGTCTGATTGGTCGAGCTCGTACTCGTGGGTGATGGAGACGTGCTGACCAGTGTAATCGGCTCGTCAAGGCGCTGCCTGAGCTGGACAGAGGGCGTGCGGGGTGAATCGAGTGGGGAAGGCTCGGAGCCGCGATCTTTAGGTAGTGAGGTCACAAGTTCATCGAGGACCGAGTTTGTAAACACACGATTCGCCCACCGTTCCGTCGTGTCGGATCGTGGAGGGCGCGGGGCCAAGTCGACCAGCCCTGCCAGTGGCTCCAGGCGCTCGTGGGCCGGAGGCGGGGCGCCGCTCGATGAAGCGGTCGCGATCGACAACCGCGATGGCCACGACGAAGCGTCGCCCGACGATGATGCTGGCCTTCGGAGCGTGCGCGGGGTGGAACTGCGTCGGATCGTCGAGGTGGGAGGTCCGGGAAAGATGGGAACCCAGGTACTAGGTTCAAACGAGGACGCGCGACGATGACTGTCGGCGTGACTGCGGAGCTCAGGCCCGTGCCTGTCCGCGTCGGCGAGCCCCTCGTCGCTGTCGTCGCCCTGCTCGTCAAAGTCGAACGGAGTATCATCGCCGCCAGCCGAAGATCTTTTGGATCGAAGCAGAGCCCTCGATAGCTGGCCTTGCAGCTTGATGAGCTGCATACGATGATCCCTGCTCGTCGACGGCTTGACCGCGGCGGGCGCGATCGCGAGCAGAGGACCGAGCGTTGACGTCGTTGGCGGCGGCGGCGTTATCGTCGATGGTGGTGGTCCGTGCGGGGGTACGGAGGTGCTGCTGCACTCGTCCGAGCACGCATCGTCGTCGGCGATGAGTGGTGGTACGACAGTCGCAAGATCGGGCATGCTGTGGGGCTGCGTCGCTGCGTGAGGAGGTGGGGCTTGGCAGCGGCGTCGTCGTCGTACTGCCCCCTCCGATTCGATTCGCTCGATGGGTCGTCTCGTCTGCTCGCCTCGCTCGCACCACGCGTCCGAATCCCAATTCGTTGAGCGCCTTGAGCACGTGCTGGGAATGGAATCGTGGACGGAGGAGATTGAACTTGTCAGGGAAATAGCTCGATGTAAAGGATACGAGGTAAGAGAGGCTTTGCAACCTACGAACTGATGCGCTGAGACACACACAGAATCAAACTTGCGAGAGGGAGAGGAGCGGTCCAACAGCCAAGGGCGACGGCGATGAAACGGCTGCTCGCGACAGGTAGCGACTGGCTGCGGCGCTAGCGGCTTCAAGGAACCACGATCGGGGGACTGCTCGACCGGTCGAGTTCGTCGTCTGAGTTCGCGTTAGTCTCTGCAGCACCAAGGCCACCACTTATAACGTGATTGGGGTTGACGATGAGGCGGCCAAGCCGGGAACCACGCCAATGATGAAGAAGCACAAGCTCGGACCAGCTTGCACGGTACGTCTGGCAGAGCTGAGGAGCGTTTAATGCCGTCGGCTGACCTCTGGGTGGGGCGCCCCGCCTGCGCCGGGTGTGAATATGGCTACAGTCCTAATCCCAGCGAGGTAACGGCCCCGCCTGCAAAATGGGATACTATGTATGATATGGAAGGTGGTAGGGTGTCCCAGTCGATCGAGCAGAAATATCATCGATCCACGCGCTCCTAATCAAGAGATCACATTTCCGGCGCAGGCGGGGCGCCCCACCCATGATCGACGGGTGCATTTCTCTATTTCCCGATCGCCACCTCGGGTATGTCTTTCTTCCCGTCAGGGGCTTACGAAACAGAAGGGCGTCATTCCGCAATGTCGATCGAGCGAACTAGCGTAGATGCTTCTTGCTTCTCTTCCTATCACACCACATTATTCACTTCAAGATGAAACACTTCTTCGTGCCCTTCCTCGCTTCTGCGATGGCCACGTTTTCCAGCGTCCAGCTCACCCGTGCCCTCACCCAACCAAGACTCTAACCAAACTAGCCCCTCTCTTCCCCGCGCTCGGGCCGGCGGGATCTCAGTACCGATATATCTACTTCATCATCAACAGGAGTGCAACAGCCCAAAACTGTTTCCAACAAGACCAAAGGTGGCAATACCGCCTGAGGTTTATCATAATGTTATCCAAGTATCCCAGTTGTTGCAGGAATCACCTGGCCCGGGGGCGTCTTTGTCGTGTGTGGGGGTCTGGAACGCATGTGCGGCTACAGGGTATTCGAACAATTGATTTCCACCTTCTCTATCCTGGGATTTAAAAGATACTTCACATGCGCCGCCATATGCTTCGAACTCCCTCAGCGACTCAATCTAGACTCGCTGGCTTAGGCGAGGTGCTAGAGTGCTAATATTCGGTCATCGTACATCATGCACTGCATCATGTCCGATCGCAAGGCTTCGATCTCGTCAGACCATTACATCTCGACTTCTTTGGTGGCTGGTGATTGAGCCTGTATAGATGATGGTAGTTTTTTAGATAAATTGGTAGAACGTTCAGTACAATTGGCAAGTAATCTCCAGCCCTACAACTCCAAGATCCAGGAAGTAGTTGTCTGCCGCACAACTGCCCGTTGAACATCTACCCCGGGGATCCCAAGGTAGCACATGCTTAGCCTATGACAGGCTGCAAGGGGGGCTTTCACAAACCTCAAACCTCAGGTTTGGTTTCTAGAGACCAAAAGAAACCCCTTTTCGACCAAATGTATGTGGAACACGAGCCCCGTCCTTTCTGCGGTTATCGCGACTCGGTGCGGACGTTCGGCGGTTATCGTCCTTTTTTCCCAGGGGCTCGAGCTCACACCCAGACGAGGATTCTCGTGTTCGCTATCATAGATAGGAAGACCACATTCAGTGGTTTGCTATGTCTTCATTCGAGGTTATGTAATCGATCTCCGGATTCGGCTATCATTGCGTAGGGAGGAGGTCGACGAGTGGCCGCTGAAGCGACAAACGCTTCGGCCGCTCATGAGGCTTAGTAGAGCAGAAAGTGGAATGACGCAAGGTCAGTAATTGCATACAGTATATACACGTATACACCAAACATTTGAGACCAGTATCTTCCCAGAGAAGACCCGATCTCTCCCATCCTTGCCCGGACCCTCGGAGACGCCTCCCTCGCCTCTCGCTCAATCGTCGCCGGGGGGCATGTTCTCTTCCATAAACCTGACTAGCGTGACCCTCAACTCGGTCTTTTCGTCACCTCGTAATGCGTCGCTCACGATCGTTGCCGTCACACTTGTTTGGATCTATGAGCAGAGGGAAGAGGGGGAGCATCAAATTCTGCTCAGACGGTCTCGTCTTCTTCAAAGCGGGAGGATTATGTGCACTCTTTTAGGGATACACAGCTCGCGAATTGCGCCACTTACCATCTCCAAAGCCCCCCTGATGACACCTTCCAATACCTTGGCATAGTTGAGTCCGCCCTCGATCGCTTCGTCAGGCAATTCGACAAAATCCGTCAAAGGGTTCTCGTCAAAGACGAGGGAGAAGGAAGGTTGTTGATTGGCTGAGAGGGCGGGATGGTGTACGAGTGTTGGTGTGATGGAGAGGAGGGATCGGAAGGCGACCTGAGGTGGGGAGATGGGCATCAGGGGATCCGTGGGGGCCAAGGCAGAGGGATGGGAGAGCTGGCAACGTACCTTGGAAACGACCTCGCCTGTTTCTGCGAAGTCCCGACATCTAGTGAGACCTGTTCGGGCGAGAAAGTCCTCGATCAAGCGTACGCCAATGTTGTAGCCCCTGCGGAGCGAGTCGGTCGTTCACGGTCGGGCCAGGTCAGCAATGTGGGGTTATGGGGAGTCGGAGCACCCAGTACGACTTGCATCTTTGCCAACTGCGTGTTCACCTGCTGGTAGTCCTCGTAGTCCTTGATGAGCTGTACGACGAGTGCGCCGTACGTGAGCGAGAAGAGCTCGGCGTTGATCTGGCAGGGCGACGTGACGTCGATCAGTAACGGGGCAGAAGACGGCTGAGAAAGGAGCAACACAACGCAATGGCTTGCCTTGTCGGATTTCTTGTAGAGCTCGTCACCGAGCAACTTGTGCTTGCTGGGGCCGGCACTGAGAGGATTGAGCGAGGACATGTCCGCGACGTGGCCTCAAACTGGGGATGTGGACGAGGCGAGGTGGAGCGAGGAGCCACTGGGCAATCGATATGCCAGTCGACAAAGACGGTCAAAGAGTCCTCCGAATACGGGGTAGGTGGTGGCTGGAAAGGGGTGCGTCAGAGTCCGCGGACAAGCGCGGACTGCAAAGGTGGGGGCAGCAGGGGGGCAGCGGCCTGAGGACCCCCGAAAGCCCGGCCTGAGCTGCGGCCTGTCCTCTCTCCAGCTCTCTCCTCTCTTGGACAAAATCACGTCCTGCTCGTTCCGTTGCCCGCAGAGAATTGTGTTGCTCTCGGCAATCGTCCCAACTGCCCCGTTCAACCTTCCAACCCCCCGCCTTGCCTACGGGGTCGCTGCCTGGTCTCCCATCTCCCATCGTCCAGCTACCCTACCGACCACTCACCGTGTATCCCCATCCAGCCGAACGCGGCACTATGACTTCCTCCTCGACCAATCCCTCAATCCTCATCATTGGAGCTGGTCTTTCTGGCTTGACCCTCGCCCGCTCACTCAAGCATTACCAACCGATCATCCTTGAGGCACGCCATCGTCTCGGTGGAAGGGCCTACTCGGTTCCCCTCGGTGCCGGTGACCATGACGCCAGCGTCGATATGGGTTGTGCGATGGTCCATGGATGGAATGAAGGCAATCCTGTCAGGGACTTGATTCACGCTTACGGAGGCGTGAGTTTTTAGCCCATGCTCTCCGGAGTGCAAAGTTTTCGGCTTGCAAAGAAGACTTGACCTTTTCATCTCCATCTCGAGCAGAATGCCCAAGTCGTCCCCAAGACGAAAAACATCATCATTAGCTCAACAGGGCCATTGGATTTCTCCCAAACCGAAGCGCTACAATACCTGTCCTCGAAGCATGCCTTCTCAAGATCCTCCGACTCCTCCCCAAGTGCAACCGATTCGATCGCTTCCCTTTTGTTGCCCACGTTCCCGAAAGAGCACAAGAACGAGCTCGAGGCTTTGGCGAGAGCACAACAGAATGGAGCGGGATCACGTTGGAACAGACCTCGGCAAAGTGGTTCGGGTTTGCGAGAAACTGTTTTGGAACCGACGCACTCCCCGAACGAGGGTACTCGACCGAGGTCGTGGACAGATTGGCTGAAGAGGTTCGAGCAGATGGGGGTCGGATCGAATTGGGGATCAATATCGTCACACTCGAGGATCTGGGTTCGGAAAAAGGCGTCAGAGTGACAAGTCAGGATGGTCAAGAGTGGACAGCCGATTACGTCGTCTCGACGATCCCGCTAGGCGTCTTGCAGCAGGGCGCAATTTCCTTCTCCCCTGCATTACCTCGGGATCTACGCATGGCGATCCAGAGGACCGCTGTGGGTGTGTTGGAAAAGGTCGTGCTGACGTATGACGAAACTTGGTGGACCGAGTCGGAACAAGTCGGTGGTTTCACCCTCTTGCCCACCGCCGAGGACCGGGATCTTTCGCGGGCCAAGACACCGAAGGAGATCTTGGAACGTACGACCTTGGCTGTTCAATCGCTGTACCGTATCGCTTCGACGCCGACACCTACTCTACTCGTCTACCTCGGAGCTGATTCGGGCCGACGGCTAATCGAGGACCATTCAAAAGAGACCATCGCCCAAGCTGTGCACGACTACTTCATCACCAGGATACCCGTTGCAAAAGGAAAGAAAGCCCCTGCTCAAGCGAAGCACTCGGTGATCTCGGACTGGGTCAAGGACCCCTTTTCGTCCGGCGCAACATCGACCCCTGTCAGTTTGAATAAGAGCGAGGATGGAGAAGCGGCGAGCCCGATCGATTTCGTCATTCTCTCGAGGAGTATCTGGGAGGGAAGGTTGGGCTTTGCTGGAGAGCATAGTGAGATGGATCATCGGGGAAGTGTTGTTGGTGCTTTGGTGTCGGGGGAGAGGGAAGCCACGAGGCTGAAGGAGGTGCTCGAAAGGAGAGCGCAATCTGGAGGGGCAACGGGGAAGTTATAGCTGATAGGCAGCAATACGAGATTACAACAAAGTAGATTATTAGGTAATTTCTACAATTTGGCCATTTGTCCCTTGGCCTGTCGCTTCTCCCACTCGACCTTCAGCTTGGGTTTCAACTCCGTCTTGAGCGTTTTGCCCGTCGCGTTTCTCGGCATGTCCTCCCAAAACAGAATCATCTCCGGTACGCAATGCTTAGGCAATTTTGCGCCGACGACTTTTCTTAGTGCGGCTTCGTCGACCTGACCTCGGTGTTTGAAGTGCAGGACGACAACGGCCGCGACGGCTTCGCCGAGTTTCTCGTGTGGGACTGCAACGACTGCAGCATCCTTGACTCGATCGTCGGAATAGAGCGCATTCTCAACGTGGATCGAGGCGATGTTTTCTCCTCCTCGGATAATCTGTCGCGAGGCCACAGCGGTCAGCCATCACATCGGCACTTGAGAGATCGCTTCCCTCTCTCGCGGGGACTCACAATGTCCTTGGCCCGGTCCGAAATGTACAAAAACCCTTCCTCATCGACATGCCCCATATCCCCACTTTTGAACCACCCATCCTCCGTAAACGCCTCCTTGGTCGCCTTCTCATTTCTATAATACCCTTCGGCGATATTCGGTCCATGGATGCAAATCTCACCCGTCTTGCCGGTCGGCAATTCCTCGTACGTCGCAGGGTCAATAATCTTCAACCTCGTCACCGGAGTCGGTAGACCACATGACGTTGGTCGTTTCACGTATTCTTCCCCCGCGACAGAAGTGGCGACCGAATTCGTTTCCGTCAATCCGAACCCTTGACCCGCCGGAACTTCACCGATCGATTTCTTGACCATCTCGGGCAACCTCGAGCTCGCGGGCCCCCCACCGAAACTGAGGGCTTCGAGGGCGTGGCTCTGTTTCGAAAGACGGTCGACAATCTCGAGGACCATGTGAGGAACTCCACCGGCGAGGGTCACGCGTTCACGAACGATCAACTCGGACGCCTTTTCGGCACTGTACTTGTGCATCATGACGACCTTGCCTCCCATTGCGGTCATGAGCGACAGGAACGAATGCGCGCCAATGACGTGGAACAAGGGGACCGAGAGCAGGACGGCTTTCTGAACGTTGGGATCGGGGACGGGGAGACTGAGGCCCTTCATGAGCGTCGCTCGAGCACCGGCGACACTGGTGTTGAGTCGGTTCGAGAGAAATTGTCGATTCGTTGCGAGAACCCCCTTGGGTTTCGAGGTCGTACCCGACGTAAAGTAGATGGTCGCGTTGTCTTCGGGTGCGATCGAAACGTTGGGCATCTGCTTGTCCGAACATCCAGCGAGGGCTTGATCCATCGAATCCATTCCTTTGGGTAAGCTCCTGCTCGGTCGAGCCACCAAGATGGTCGAACAACCTAACCGAGCCAATTCTTCCTGTTGCTCAGCCAAGAGAGTGGCCCTCTCTTGATCAAGCACGAGCAATCTGCACTCGACCATCTGGAAACAGTGCATCAGCACGTCCAACGTCCCCCACGCGTTGACCGCCGAGATGATGGCACCGATGGAGGCCGCGGCCCAGAAGGAGAAGATGAATTCGGGCAAGTTGCGAGCGCAGATCGCGACGCGGTCCCCCTTTCGAACGCCGCGCGAGTGGAACAGCGCCGCGAGCGCCGCGACGCGAGTGTGCGCCTCGGCGTAAGTGTACGACTCGTTATCGTACACGATGTATTTGCGTGAACCAAAAGGGGTCTGTTGGGAAAGGCCATCCGAATGGGTGTCAGCGAACTACCGCGCGGTACGGAGGTCACACAGGGACGGCGAGACATACTTTGGTCGCTAGCCAGAACTCGCGCATGGAGCTGGGCAATTGCTTGTACACTCGGTAGGTTCGACCCTTAACGGTCTTTTCTTCAGTTTCCCATGGCCTGAATCGACACAAGAGGTGACGGGTGGTCAGCTCATTCTTAGAGACGACGCTGCACTCGACCGCCTTTCGATGTGGGGAGCGAAGCTCCTGGAGGGGAGTCGCTTTGCGGAGAGCAGTCGTAGCAAGCGTGGTGCTTACATTCCGGGACCAGTCATAATCTTCATCGCTTCTTGAATTGTTCTTGTTTTCGCCATGGCGGTGAATGCTTTGGTGGTGTTTGAAGTGAGGCGGTGGGTTGGTGCCGGAAGCCGACCCCAGCGGCGAGAATTAAGCTAGGCTCGCCTGGGTCGAGTTCTACCGGGCCGGCGCGAGAGCCGAATGCCGATGTGAGCGGAGATTTGAAGGCAAGATTGCGGCAAGCAACCTCAGCCGTAGGAACCGGACGTCAAAACGTTGATGCAGCCCCGGGTTTGCAGAACCCGACGCGTAGTATGTGTTTGAGCTACGCTATGGTGTGAAATTGCAGTTTTGATTCGTACCTGATTGACCCCTGAGAAATTCGGTTGATTCTTGACTTTCGGCCGGCTGCCGAAAGCGAATCCGGATCCTCGGCTCGGGGTCTGGCTCGGGAGCTTTTCGCGAGCGGCTCTGCCAACGGGCAGGTCACATGACCTCGGGTCACGATCCGACGTCCGACGGCTGCCTACGGCTGCTATGTATTCGCTTGCCGACCCACAGGTCGGCGCCATCTCAGGCTCTTCGTTTTGCTCTTCCCACAACCCGCCGCACCCGGACTCGCGGAATATGTCCACACTGATCACTAAAATCCGGCCCAGTTTAGCACGTGGCACCGTGCCGTCGTATCGCACCACGCTCGCGCGCCGACTGCCAGCATCAAGGCACGCCTATTCGACCGCTCCCAACCCCGACGCCGAGGCAATCCTAAACAAGAAGGACGACGGCATCACACTTCTGACACTGAATCGACCCAAGGCCAAGAATGCGTTGTCGATGCAGTTACTTGCGGATATGCGCTCGGCAATTGACGAGATTCGCTTCGACGGGTTCGTTGTTCCCCACATCTCGCATCTCACACGCGTCGACTAGCGGCTCATCCACCCCATAATCTGGATACTGATCTATCCACTTGCGTGGCACACAGTAAAACGCGCACATTGATCCTCAACTCATCCTCAAGCGGCATCTTCTGTGCCGGTGCCGATCTCAAACAACGCAAATCCATGACCCAAACCCAAATCGCTCGCTTCCTGCACGACTTGCGCAGCATGCTCAGCGAGTTGTCGTCCTTGCCCTGTCCTGTGATTGCGGCTTTGGATGGAGCTGCTTTGGGTGGAGGTTTGGAGTTGGCGTTGGCGGCGGATTTGAGGGTCGCTAGTCAGTCCTTTCCGAGGCGGTACAGCTAGCCCCCCACATAACCGCCGTCGGGAATTGATGTGTTCTTCGATCCTGCACCCACAGGTCATCAAGCAACCAAGATCGGCCTACCTGAAACACGTTTGGCTATTATTCCTGGGTACGTACCTCTTGCTGGACGAACGAACCTCCCGAGCAGAGAGAGCTAATTAATCTCTTCGATTCAAACTTCTCTGCCTGCTCGCGCCGCCTACAGCGCCGGTGGAACCCAACGACTTTCGAGATTGATCGGTGTATCCAACGCCAAGAAGTTGATTTTCACCGCTCGAGCCCTGAACGCACAACAAGCTCTAGATATTGGTAAGATCGTGCCCCTCTCTCGTTCTTTCTCCCCGAGGTTCGAGCTGAATTTTCCCGCGGGTGACAAATTTAGGCATCGTCAACTATCTCGCGAACGAGGGGCAAACAGCGACTGAGAAAGCTGAAGAAGTTGCCAACGAGATCTTGAAAGCTGGTCAGTTGAGACCGGGATGCTGACAGCCACTCGAGCTTGCGATTTTTTGGGATCTAGATTCTGATTCGCCAATTTCTCATCCGCTTTCACTTCGTAGGACCTCTTGCCATCCGCGCAGCAAAGTTGGCCATCGATGTGGGGTCGGGCTTGGATCTGTGAGTGGTCTCAATGATACGATTCTTCCATCCTTCACGAACCACTGTCACTGACGACCCCACCGCTACCCAAACACGCAGCGAGGCCGGCCTCGATTTCGAAGCGACGGCCTACAAAACCATCTTGACCAGTACGGACCGAGTCGAGGGCCTCAAGGCGTGAGTTGTACAACCTTATCGCGCTTGACTTTTCGAAGAACTGATTAGAGCTCGCTGTGGTTCACGATCCCGCAGATTTGCGGAGAAGAGAGCACCGGTGTACCAGGGCGAATAGATGGCACTCGTGTTCGAATTTGCAATCTGTGCAAGCGAGGATCTTGGAACACAGGGACCATGAGGAACCAGCTTCGAGGTACCATTGAGAATCATCCCCTCAGAATTTCTCCTGCGGAGGTGTGAAACGATGGGAATAGGGCATCAAAGACGCACAGCTGAAGAGAATGAGAGGATCTCGGACTCACTTTACCCAGGTAGAACTTCGCACCTTCTTCACCGGGCTGCGTTTACTAGTTGCACACTTGGTGGAGACTCGAGCCGAGAGGGTCCGGCTGTGAGCATCCAGTGCATCCGCCGGTCAATCGACGGCTTGCGTGTTTTCGTGGCCATGTTTGAAGAGCAACTGACCGCGCAAAAGAAGATCCCTGTCTCCGTCGCCGGATGCGTCGCGGCGATCGACTGAAAGATGCGATCCCATTTCGGTCGACCGCAAGGTACAGATAAGGCTGGAATGACCAGCATTCCGTGATATGAAAGGAAGGTAAGGGAGAAGGCGAAGGCCCGTCAGATCGAGCTGGACAATTTAATGGCGCGGAGGGAGGAAAGGACGGTGCGTGCGCTTGAGGTAGCTCAAAAGAGTCCGAAAAGTTCGCAAATGGAGCAAGCCCATATTCTATATAATATATTATGGTATGATTAACACAAAACTGTAGAGTTTCTAGTACGCCATACAATTGTCACGTTGCTGTGAATTTCCGACATCTCCCAGCTCCTCGGCGGCCACGTGACTGGTCGCTTTCACCTCGCGATTGCATCAGCGCCGTGGCTTGCCCGAGCGAACCTTGGACCGAGCCTCCACTTCACATCAAACGCCGGACCATCATCTGAACCATGTCAACATCCAACTTACAAGCCTCGACAGGCATCAGCCACTACACCTCGGCCGCGGCGCAAACCCTTGCAGTAGCACCATTGGACCCGTTGACCGACCCCTCCGTGCCGATCCTCCATGCCTTGCCATCCAACGTTGCCGTCTATCGATGCGCGACATGTTCGGCCGAGTTGACGGTCCAGGACGAACTCGTTTCGAGGGCATTCTCGGGAGGTACTGGGCCGGCTTATCTCGTGAGGACGACGTGAGTCATCGCGTGCGGTCCCATGTGGGGGTGGTGGGGACGTGGTCGCCCGTGGCGACTCGATGACCCTCGATCGCCGGAAGAGCGCCCCAGAAGCCTGCATGTATAAGAATTGATCTAGACAGACCCACGTCCGACCTTCACAGCATCAACACCTACACGGGCCCGAAGGCGACGAAGCAACTACTCACGGGCAAGCACATCGTCTCGCGTGAGCTCACCACTTTAAGAAAGCTTCGATCACGCTCTAATCTACCCAACCAAGAGCTCATCAAGTCGAATCCCTTCATTCACCACCAGCACTCTATTGTAAAGGATGTCAAATCGAACTCGGATGGACCTATGTTCGTACTGATCTCTGGAGATCACCTCCAGAATTGGAGCAGATTTGGAGCAGATAATGGGGCTGACAGGTCACCTGACCTCGACCGTTTACAGCACGTCGCACCGGATAGGACACAAAAGTACAAGGAGCACAAATCGATACTTGAAGAGGTACGTCTTTTCAGTGAATCTGAAAAAGATCGAATGGCGTCAAACTCAGGGTTGATCTGATTCTTCGCGACGGCTTCCCAGACCAGGATATACAAAGTGAGCTGAGACGGTCTAGAACATCCGCACCCGCTCACTCTGACACTTGCTCTTTTGATTTAATTTCAGGACAACAAGTGGTCAACATAAAAAGCTCACTGCATCGGCCACACTATTTGTAACCAGAGGCCGAGCGTAAATCCAAAGCCCGAGACACCCGACCGGTGATGCACTGCCGAGCCTAGTTTTCAGACATGCAAACCGACTCGCGAAATTGGCCACGATGGAAACAGATGTCTCATGAGCCATTGTTCAAAGGAGGAGATGGTCGGTCGAAAGCGCTCAAAGCGAGAGGGAGAGGAGGACGTCCGGCCGCGTGGGTCCAAACTCGGCACCAGAATATACCGTGCCAGAATTTACTCGTATTGACTGTGTTAAAGTCTGCGGATGTGTGGCGCCGTGACGCTTCAAATTGACGTGCTTCTCTGATTTTTGTTGTCATGATTGAACCGCTTTTGGGATTCACGCGATCGACGCGCATGCTCCGAGTCGGAGAGGCCCGAGCGGGACCAAGCCACAGCTGTGCGGAGCTAGGCCTCTGCGCACTTCTGCCAGCCTGCCCTGCGCACAGCTAGGCCTAGCTCCGCCCAGCTGCCTCCTGCTGCTGGCGGTGGTGTCTCCTTTGTCAGTGCCACGCTCGAGCGACCAACGAGGACCAACCGACCTTCAGCGCCAACGCGAGTGTGGACCCCTTGCACCTGCCTAGACTCGCCTCTGGTCTGATTCCGCTTCCTGGCCACTGTCGTCGTCGTCGTCGTCGTCGCTGGTGCTGTCTCCGTCACGGTCGTCACTCGGACTCGCAAGTCGCGGTCGCGCGATTGGTGTTCGCTCAACGTTCAACCTGGGGCCGGGTGCAGCTAGCTCAAGAAGGCCCGACTCAAGACCACCTTGGATCTGATCACACCCAGTCGTTCTCGGTCAATACACCTTTCGTCAAAACGGTTGCCTTCAGTGATAGCCAGTCGTCATCCAACTCCAAGTCGTTCATTAGCAGTCAGCGCGCAGCTTGCAGCTTGCAGCTCGTCACCCGTCGCACCCGTCGCGTCCGGCCCGCTCGTCTCGTGTCTCTCGCGTTGCTCGTGGTCGTGGTCGTGGTCGTCTTCAGGGTTTTCAAACGCTCGCACCGCCCCTCGGTCTAGGGACAGTCCTATCAAATCGATTCAGCATCCAGCATGGCCAACTACCACCAAAACTCGCACTCCCCACCTCACACTTCCCAGGATCCCTACGCCTCGTCATCGTACTCGGGCCGAGCTGCGGCGCCACCGTCTCGCGAGCGGTCGCAGTACCATGCGCAGTACTCGTCACCTCATGTACACCCGAGTGATCTGTATGCTCGACCTCGGCCACCTTCAGAAGTAGAGTTCCATTTCGGAGACGATGACACTATCGTCAGTTACCAACTTGAAGGATCCCAGCCGCTTTCGGGCGTGGTCCGTGCTAACCAGTCCCTGTTCTGGAGATGGGCAGGTCCCCGGCGACTCGGTCTCTCAACTCGGTCGCAGAGTGACTCAGAACGAGAACAAGCGCGTTGCAGGTCCCAGACCGATGGAGCTCGAGACCATACACGCCTCACCGGACGTTGAAGAATATTCACCCAACGAAGCCACCGGACCGAGGATGCCCTTACCTGGCGCCCCGTCGAGTGTTCATTCACCCCGCCATTACGAGTCGTCACAAATGCCGTTCTCATCTCGACAACCTTATCGGGGGCGGCCACCTCTTGGACAGGATCATTCTCGCTCTTCGCCTGAGTCCTACGATGACGACGCGAACATGATCCGCAAGATTCCCAGCCCCTCTGGAAGAAGTTACCCCGATGAAGATCCTTACCCGCACCCAGACGATCAGGAAACGCTATATGCACCAAGACGAGGGCATGCATCCGATGAGACCCCCTTGACAGCACCGCTCGTCGACAGCTATGTCGACGAGGCTTTACGCCCGCGACAAATGAGGAGTGGTGAGCCAGGAGGTCGAGCACTACCCGCCGGAGCGGGGCACTCACAGTTGCCTCGAACAGGTGCAGATGATGATGATCGATCGATATACCCGTCTTCGCGAATATCGAGGGGGAGGGAGATACCCCTTTGGCCCGACTCGAATACGCTTCCCCGCCCTACCCATCCGATGCATTCGAACTCCGTCGACACCCAGCAAACGTACGCCAAGGATTACTACTACGACGACTACAACTCATCCAAAGACGCCACCTACCCACCCGATTTCTACACTTCGAAATCTCAGTGGGCCCACGACGAAGAACCCAACCCCGACGCGATCGAACCGCTCGACGTCGTCGGGCGGCAATCGGACTCGGTCGACCCTAGCCTACTACAAAAACCACCAGTGTGGAAGAGGATGATCTACGACGGCAAGACGCCGATCGCGCTTCGGATCGCCGAGCACAAGAAAGGTGACGGGATACAGAAACGACCATGGGCTTGTTGGCTCCTGGCGACGTCGTTTTGTGCCGTGTTGGCCTTCGAAATGGCTCGCATGTTTCAGGTGGGTCCGGCGTCGGCGATGAAGGGTCTTCCGGGATATGAGCTTATACCACGTTGTTGGTGCCCCACCAGTATACTGGGAGTCCGATTCAGACCAAGCCGAGCTTCAATGTCATGGTTGGTGAGTTTTGCACTTCAGTTGCGACCCTGTTTGCAAACCAAGGACTAAACATCCGCATCCGCAGGGCCTTCTGGTCCTGTGCTCATCAACACAGGGGCCCGATTCGCGGGATGTCAGAAATATATTGCGAATGTGGGTTTCATTCTCGGTCTTCGGAGCTGTAAGCGAGCGCACTTCTGACCCCGTTGCTCTCTCAGGTCACGGACATTGACTGGATTTGTCTTAAGGATTCGAACAAGCCTGCTACGGCCACATTCGAGACGATGTGTAAGCATTCATCTTGCGTATTAGTTGTGACCCTACAGCTCATGTATGTTTTCACTTCACGAACTTTTTAATCGCAGGCACAATGAGCCAGATCTGCGGGTTTGACGGATTCGCCACACCGCAGCAGGCGGACCAGGCCTTCCGCTTCGTCGTCCCCATCTTCCTGCACGCGGGGATCGTCCATCTCGTCGTTAACCTCCTCGCTCAACTCTTCTCCTCTTCCATCGTCGAAAGGCAGATGGGTACCCCCAAGTTCTTGATCGTCTACTTCCTCTCAGGCATCTTCGGCTTCGTGCTAGGCTCGAACTTTTCGCTCGTTGGTCAGCCTTCGGTCGGCGCGAGCGGAGCCATCTTTGGGACCCATGCCGCCATCTTGGTGGATCTTCTCGCGCATTGGGATATCGAGTTTCGTCCTTTGCGCAAGCTCGTGTGGCTCATCGTTGAATTGATCGTCGGCCTCGCGCTTGGTCTCGTTCCCGGTGTCGACAACTTTGCCCACATCGGTGGGTTTTGCATGGGGTTGTTAACGTCGATCCTCCTCTTGCCCATCATTCATCAAACGAAGCGACATCGAGGAATTTTCATTGCGTTGAGGATCATGGCCTTACCGCTGGCGATCGTGCTGTTTGTGTTGCTCGTGAGGAACTTTTACGTCAATGATCCGGCCAAGATGTGTCACTGGTGTCGATACCTGTCTTGCTGGCCGACCGCGGCCAACAATGTAAGTCTCCTACGACTCAGCGAGCTCCCTCTTGCTCTACAGTTTGCTGAACACTCTTCAACATCTTCGTTTTAGAGATGCCAAGGCACCGGCCTTTCAACCGTCACGACGACGACGACGACAACAACAACAACGACGACTTCCTTCATGCTCTCGACGCTCATTTCAGTCCTTCTTTTGTCCTTTGTCATCCCTTTACTGTAGTCCATCTTATCCTTTCGTTGATGGCCATGTGAATACCAACTTGCAATCACTACCCTGCCGTGCAGTCGTCTCCCTCCTCCTGGCTTCACAGTGGCAAGCCAACTTGATTATGTTACAACACGACTCTCGACATTGCAAAACAGAATGTGAGCTTATCTATATCACATTCTCACAGGCGCTTCCGGAGAAGCTGTCGCAACAACTGCCGCAGCTGTTGTGCCTTCTTCATTCGTTCCCATCGATGGCTCCTCGGAGCCCGTGTTGACTTTTTTCACCTCGGATCCATTCGACTCGTTCGCGAAGTCCTCAGGCGCTTCCCGTTTCACACCCGCAGCAGTGACACTATCTTGCATCGCCTTAGGTTCAGTCGGAATTGGGGCGTTCTGCATCCTCTGCTGATGCTGTTGTTGTTGCGCTCTAGGGCCAGTCGGTACATTATTCGGCATCGCTCCAGCATTCATGCCCATGCCCATCCCATTCATGCCCTGATTCACCCCTTGCCCCATCGCAGCCCTCGCCATCAAGCCCTGCAACATCGCCTGCATCCCCTGCATCCCCTGCATCATGTTCATGACGTACATCTGCCTCTGTTGCATCTGATTCTGCGCATGCATGCGCACCATCGGGGGTGCGCGAGGGTTCTGCAAAGTTTGCGAGAATTGGAACATTTGCGCCTGGGCGTGTTGCAGTTGCATTTGCGAGACTTGAATTTGTTGGCGGAATTGGAGAATTTGTTGGTTAAGCATGTGTTGTTGTTGCTGTAGTTTTTGTTGTTGCTGATGGGGTATTACGGCACCACCATCGCTTGCTGTCGAAGCGGCGGCCGTGGGAGCTGTTGCCGTGTCGTTTGGTGTAGGTGTGGATGTCTAGTGAACGAGAGTAGAACACCGTTAAGCCTTCGTTCTGGATGCCGCGAGAGCAGCGCCGAGATAGTCTCTTACCTCCTTGACCTCACTCACGGCACGTGTGGTTTCCGTCTCAGGTTCCTTCTCCCCTTCTTCCTGCTTGACCGTCGCATCCTCTCCTTCCTTTCCTTCTTCCTTCTCCTTGTCCTCTCCCTTGACTTCAACCTCCTTACTAGCCTCCACCACATCCTCAATATACTTTTTCACCCTTTCCCTCCTCTCCGAATCCGGCTTTAGCTTCTCAAAGCTTTTGATCCTCGTCTCGCACTCGGGGCACAACAAATCGTTATCGCTCAACGCATTCTCGACGCATTCGCGACAGAACGACGTCTGGCAACAAGGTGTCAACACAGCCTCGCGGAGCAGCTTGGAATCGATGGGGCAGGTCAAGTCCGGATCGGTGGGAGCGAGGTTTTGCACGTCCGAAGCACTGAGGTTTTTGGTGATCGCTCGATGGGCCAACCAAGATGCTTGATCGGGTCGAGCAACGACGAAGCCTCCTTCGGCGGTGACCATAACGCCCGACGCTTTGAGGTCTTCGGCTGTGGCGGAGTCGATCGGACCTTCGACGGCTTCGAGGAAACTCTTGGGGATGCCGGTGGTGCGCTTGATCTTGGGTCGGTTGTCGTACGCATGGTCGTTGTTGGTCGGACATTCTTGGATCCAGTGGCCTGCGATTGAGTCGACGCATCAGTACACAAAGCGGTTTGGAACATGCCAATAAAACAACAACCTCACCTTTCTGGCCACACCTATAGCAGATGTACCCAGGTGGCGGAGGCTTGGATTGCTCAAACTTGTCATGCCTGGGGCGATCCCCGACCCCCGGTGGTCCCGTCGTTCCCGAAGGGGTTGCTCGAGGTTGAGATGGTCGATTCGCACCCATCATCGGTGGCCTCCGAACAGGCGTCTGACTGGCCATTTGTTCTTGCGTTTCTTGCCATTGTTGACTGGATGCGGCGAACATGGCAGCTAGCGCGTTCGCTTCATCCGCGGGAGCAGCGGAAGGTAAGACGATAGGCGCGGGTTCCTGAGGGATGGATGCAGAGAAGAGGGTTCTCAGTCTATGAAACGGGGAGCTACGTCGATCACAATCCATTAAAATGGTAAATCACCTGAGGAGCCGCACTCGCGTTCGACGAAGGTGCATCGTCTCTCCCATCAAATCGTTTCGAAAACGAAGATGCATTCCAACCACCCCTACCGCCACCACTCTGGACTCCACCCCGAGGTTTTTGCATATCCCCACGACCCCCACCACCTCCGGCGTATCCGGAGAAAGAAGCCGCGGAGGCGGGGCCCATTTCGGCTGAGATCATGTAGTCTTGCGCATTGCCTCGCCCTGGTCTTGCGGGTGGGAGACGACGAGCCAGGACGGAGGTTGATCGCGGGACGACTTGATGGTCGTGATATTCTGAACAGGGGGGAAAAGGGGTCAATTCTCAGGTCAAGCAGAGGAACAGTCCGGTATAAGCCTAGGCGTTGGGGCAAGTCTTGCTGTTCGAATTGAGACAGCTTCGAGCATGGTGCATCGTCTTGGACAGGTGTACCCAACATTCATCCACTCAAGTCACCGTACACAAAAGCTTTTCAGTCACCGACTCACCTTCCTCAGTATCCGCGTTGTAAATGGCAAAGTCAAAGTCTGCCCCGCGCCCCATCTTGTTCTCCATGATAATCTCCTTCTTGAGGTCCCAGACCGAGATGCCGGTGCCATCGAACGCAATGCGGGAAGGCTCCTTTTGCGACCGAAAGCGGTAAAAGACGTGACTGTGTGGAGGAGGGCCGACAGCTGGGCTTGAGTATCGGATTCGGCCAGTACGGTCAGCGGTGATAGGCTTACGAAGACATGATCGGTTGCTGTTTGGAGATCAATAGGCAGCTTTGCGTATCGCAGACGGCTCAAGCAGAACAGGCAGCGTGTCACCAAAAGAGCAGGCCGAAATGCCGACGAGGTAGGATGCGCGATGCAGGGGGGCGCAGGGAGCAGAAGTGAGACGTCGCCAAGCTCAAGGGAGGCAAGTAGCGCACGGCAGATGGGTTTGATTGCTAACAAAAGGACCAAACCAATGGCGCCGCGCTATCCAACAACAGCAGAAGCGGGTGGAAGGGAGAGGGGAGTGGGCAGGCGAGAGGGATGGCCTGTGACGTTCGACACGCAACCAGGCACGACCGCGTTACGAAGCGGGGGAAGAGGAGAACGATCCAGCTACAAGCTTGTCAAATACTGAGATCAACTAGGTCGTGATGGTCGCTGCAGGTCCAGTGTGTCAAGCGGGTGACAGACGTGACGATGGCAGAGCGGACGATCGACGCGTTACACCTCGGCGGAGAGATGTGACTCGACCACAGACACGCTCGCTCGACGTGGAATGAGTATCGTCGATATGATGTGTCCAAGTGTCGCCTGCTGAGGTGCGATAGCGCGGTGGTGCGGTGGTGCGGTGGTGCAACAAGCGGTAGGAACGGTGGGCGACGAGCGATGGTAAGCGGCAGCCGGCAGCCGGCAGCCGTCAGCAGAAAGACACAAGAACCTTTTTCTTTTTTCGACTGCGCCCTGCCCGACTGTCTTGATTAGCTCGACACAATTCACCAAACGGGGGCCAACGCGCCCCTGAAAGCGTGTGTCAGCCGCTATTTCCCAAGATTTTCATCGGCGGTCATGTACGAGGTCCACTTAATTGATTTAGCCGACCCGTGACGCCACCAAAAAATCAAGCTGACTCAGCTTTTGGATGGTCGTGAATCCCGCGGCAGTACTACTGGCTCGGGCGCCCGGAACTGAAACTCGTTCTCCGGCTAACGGACAGGCGACGCCTATTATGTACGCGACTCCGAAAGCGCAAGGCACTCTACTCACGCACCCCTTTCCCCGGTCCCCCTCTTGCATCATCCCTCATCACTGATCGTCACAAGATCGTGACCGCTCAACCATGCCGACTCCACCTCCCGACGTCCCCTTGCATCACTTGATTGAAAGGGCCATCGTAAGTCGAACTCCGGCGGGCAGCGTTGGCGGCCACGCTCGTCTTGGCAGCCCCACCAGCTCGCCGACGTGCCAGCCGCGGCGCGGTTGCTCGTGCCACCTCGGCCGGCGAGCTGCTTAATACCTCTTCCGCGCCCAGGTGAAACCCGCGATGAGGAGGCCCAGACTAGACCGCTGACAAACCCCGGATCACTCTCCAACAGCTGCTCGAAAAGATCGATCGTGATCTGTACCGTTCCAAGGAGCTCTGGAAGGTGCGTAACGCGACATTCCCTTCCGCCGCCGTCGTCTTCGCGTGCAATGAGCAACCAGCGTCGGGCCCCACACGTCTCGGCGCGGCGATACAAAGCTCGCACATGGCATAGCTCTACGGCTTTCAAAGTGCGAGATCTCACCGGAAAAATCTGACAACCCGTCTTCTTTGGTCTACCCCCGCAGCCATCGGGAGGCCGAGGCGTGTTTGGCGGACAAACGATCGCCCAATCCGCGTGGGCAGCAACCCTCTCGGTCCGAGACGACGAGCCAGGCACCGCCAAAGGTCTTCACTCGCTCCACGTGAGTACGCCTTACTTTCCTATCATCGTGTCAGTCAGCCCTACTGACCCTTCTACCTTTGCCCGCCCACCCCGGATCACTCCGTGACAAAATTTTCTCGGCTACTCGGTTGCCGGACAGTCCTACTTTCTCTCATTCGGCAACGTCGACAACCCTATTCTTTGTGAGCAACACCCAAAAGACGGCCCAGCTGCTGGATTTTCATTCTGACGATTCCTGGTCGATCGTGTGCACAGATTCGGTCCAACGCCTCCGAGACGGGAGATCGTATTCGACCCGAACGGTCCTAGCAACCCAACTCGGCGTCCCCATCTTCGTCGTAACGTGTTCGTTCGCCGTACCCGAACCCAATCAGCCCATCACCGAACCCGTGTTCCCCAAATGGCCCCTCGAGCCGTCGCGTGGCGCAGGGAGGATCCAGGATATACCTCCCCCAGAGGAGTGCCTGTCGACCGAGGACAGGCTGCAATACGTTTTGGACAACGTCAAGGTCCCTGAGAAGCTGAGGGTCTAGTAAGTTTAATTTCGATGCTTCTCGAAGCGTTCCTGCGCGCAAATGACTGACCATCGTGCCTTCATATGAATCATCACCAGCGTCGACCGACAAGCGGAAGAACGTCGCCAATCGGCGATCGAGGTGCGCAACGCCGATCGCACCGAGTTGTCGGGTTTGATCTCGGCCAAGAAGAACGATCCGAGGCCTCAGCAGATGCACTGGTTCCGATCGCGAGCACCCGTGCGAGATGATCCCGCTTTCCACAAGGTGAGGCTTTCGTCCCCCGAGGTGCCTGTGCCACCCTTCTACCTTTTAATCTGCTGACTCCCGCGATCGTTCGGCTTGATCCTTGTAGTGTGTCTTGGCGTATGCCTCTGACTTGCAGTTCATCGGCACCGCTGCACGAGCCGCAAACTTGGGAGCTCGTACGACGCCTCGTCTAGGCATGCTCGCCTCGTTGGACCACGCCATGTATTTCTACGACGATACCGTCGACGCGTACGACTGGTTACTCTTTTACATGGAGGCGACGGTCGTCAGGAGTGGTCGTGGGTTGGTCACGGGGAGAATTTACAAGAGGGATGGGACTTTGGCGGTGGTGTGTCAACAGGAAGGGGTGGTTAGGGCTCAACTTTGATCGAGATTCCTCCTTCCAAGCTGAACTGTTTTCTATTGGGGGAAGGCCTCGGGTGTAAGGATTTGTGTCTGCAGTAGTAGTGTCTTTCCGTGTTTCTTGAACCGCGAGTGAACGCCCATTCAGCCAACGAAAGTCTACTGAAAGCCCTATCTTGGTGAAATCCTGTCCTACCCCTCAAGCCAGCTTCGGCGGCGGTCAAGATGCACAAGAGATCCACTCCTGTGTATCAGTGGGCACGTGAACCGGGCAAACGTCCCCAATCGGCAATCAAAATCCGCACCTTTGGTCGTACCGCATCTTCAGGCCTGATCTCAGCCAAGAACGATGGACCTCGGCCCCAACACACTGTGCGTTGGCTCCGATACCGCCGAGCACCCCTTCGAGGTGAACCCGCTTTCCACGGCAAGAGGTCTGCTCGAGGGTACTGGGCAGTCCTTGCTTCTGCCTGCTGACTTGGGGGAATCCTCGACCCGAACTGCGGCAGTACGTGTTGGCATATGCCACAGAAATGCCATTAGTTAGCTGTCAGCTGAAAGGGGTGATCAGGGTCAACTTCTGATGATAGGAGGCGAATAATGATGTCCGTTTGCGGCACTTCGTGTGTGAGTGCAGCAATATTATTTTCTGGAAGCTGGTATCGTCATCGCCTCATCGAAGATTGTGGAATGTAGAGGAGGACACAAAGGTTGCTCAAATGACAATTAGGAGGGACAACGCCTTCCCACCGAAACGTCTCGTATGGGGGACCGAACAAGAAAAAAGAGCGACAATGCATGCGAGAAGCACAAACAAAAGTATGTAGCAAAGAAGGAATTACTAGCGAAAAGTTAAGTTGGAGTTAAAAAAAGAAAACACCGATCACGTCGGGAAGAAAAGGAGCACGGGAAGAAGGGTCGACATCATCCCTGATCGACAGGGACGGACTCGATTAACATTAGTGGTTCGAGGCCATGGTGGCGGCGGCATGACGACGTTGTTCTTCGTCGGCCATGACCCTGTCGAAGGCAGAATGTTCATCGGTCATCAGACGCTTCGAGTAAAGTCAAAACGCGAAGTATCAAACTTACGAGTACAAGCTAGTTTGCGTAAACGACCACGTCTCGGGCAGCGTGAGGAAAGGATGCCTGAGAAGTTCATAGGCTTTCGGTCGCTCATCGGGATTGCTGCAAGCAATGGCGGCGAAACTAGGTCAGTCATGACAAATTTAGGTCGGATTCTTCTGCGACGCCTTCGCTCACATGGCGAGACAGTTGTTGATGAACTCGTCGGCTTCGCTTGAAAGCGTAACGTCCGAAGGGATGGGTGGCCGACGTCGCTCGGTTGCGATCTAGAGACGAGCGGATAATTAGCCTCCGCAAACGCAAGATGGATGAGAACCACTCTGCAACTAACCTTGAACATAGCTTGCAATTGCTCGTCCTCGGACCAAGGACGGCGCCCGGCAAACATCTCGATCAAGATGCACCCAAAGGACCAGATGTCGGCTTTGGCCGAATACCCCGTCTTCATGTTGTAAATAACCTCGGGGGCCATCCAGAACAGCGAACCTTGCATCATCGACATGTTCTCGTCGTTGTTGTAGATGTCGGCTGGGGAAGAATGTCCGGTTGAGTGACCACGAACTGTGCGTTTACCCACATCATAAGCCAGGTCGAACTCACTGCTCTTCTTGCTGGTACCAAAGTCAGAGATCTTGCACATCCCGTCATGATCAGTCAAGATATTGTCGGCCTTCATATCGCGATGCAGTATCCCGAGACCATGAAGGTACGACAATCCTTCGAGGATCTGCATCGTGAAGAACTTGATGACATCTTCCTCAAACTTGCCGTGCGTTCGAACGATTCGGCCGATGGAACCACCGGGGACGTATTCGAGGAAAATGGACAAGTGCAACGGTGTTTGCTCCATCCCGAGGTACAACACAATGTTGGGGTGATCGAGGTCCTGGAGTAGTTCGATCTCGCCTCGCAGCGAAGCGACCATGCTTTTGGTTCGCTCGTTGCTCGCGTCAGACTGAGTTTTGGGAAGTTCGACTTGTTTGACTGCGATCGTTTCACCGGTCGTGACACTGAAGCCGATGTAGACGTGGCCGTAAGAACCGCGACCAATGAGGTCACCCTTGATCCACTTGTACGAGACTGTTCAACAACAATGAAGAGATTGTGCTCAGTCCATCAGTCCAGGCACATCCTCTCGAGGCCGACCAGCCGATCGTGCACTCACAGTTATCAGGGTTGTCCTCTCCCGCATCCTCCCGAATCGTGTTCGACAGTCGACCCAAATCGGCACCAGTGACTTCCTCAATGCGCGCACCAAACAACTTGGTGCTCTTGCGTCGCAGTAAACTGGAACCAAGACCGTGTACAACCGTCGCCATCGTCCGACCGGCTTTTTGCATCGCCCTTTTGCGATCTTGAGCGACGTAGCGGATCGACTTTCGTTGCATCAGACCGCTGTTGGTGAGCGCGCGTCGGACAGCGGGAGAGAACGCGGTACTTGCGACGGAAGTAGCGGCCGTCGATGCTGTGGTGACTTGCGAAGACGCCTGTGAGCTTGAAGATGACGACGAAACGGTCGCAGGAGCAGGTGGGGCGGTCTCTTTGCCAGGCGAGGGGGTCCCCGGTGCAGGTGTGGGCATGGCGAAAGCGGGCTTGTCGAGATCAACATTGGGGAAATAGACGTCGAGGTTCTCCAACACGGTTTCGACGGCCGGACGAACGGCCCAAGAGAGGTTCTCATCATCGGCACGATCTCGGAACGAGCCCCTTCGCGAACCCATTCCAGGCGAAGGCGCGTTGAGCGAGATTGTCTTATCCGCCTTGTTGGACGTGTGACGAAGCTTCTCCGATCGCTCGGCCCGACGTGAAGATAACATCGTCGATACGTCTCCGCTGCCATCACCGCCAGGACCAGCAGAACGACGAGCGGAGCTCGGAGGCGCTGCGCTCATGACCGATGCCGATGCCGATGTTCCTGATGACCATTGGTTGTGACGAGTTGCCGTCTCGACGCCACCGGATGAAGCAGGCTCGGACGGCATCTCGATTCGAAGGTTGGGTCGCCGCGTCGGCGTGCCCACTGTTGGCGACGAGAGTCGACTCGCCGGCTCATCTCGAAGCGTGTACGAAACCTGAACGGGTGGCGAGGTCTTAGCCGGCTGCTCGTCGACGGTGGCCGTACGTGGCGGCCCAAAGCCAGGCATGAACGTGCCCCCTTCCTCGTCGACATCGTCGCCAAACTCATCCTTGCCCGCCGACGCGGGGTTTCGATCCGTCCGCACCATCGTTCCAGAGGCATCGTCATCCTCGATGTTCAAGCGCTCCAAAAGGGCCTTGCGCGCTTCCTTGGCCCACTCTCCTTCTCGCATCGTTTCACTCTGTTCATCAATCATTTCGACTGGCCGGACCGACGGCGCGGACGCTTGCTTTCGCAACGCGCTCGCCACCTCCAAAGTGAGCTTGGTGGAAGGCGCCTTAGGTGCGGGCTGGTTGACCGGGAACCAAGTCGCCGATTCTTCGTCGATGGGATCGCCGAATGCGTCGAGCAAGGGTGGGGATTGACCAGAGTGGAGCACGACGGTAGGGATGGACGGCGCGCGCACGCCACCCGAATCCAGGGGCGGATTGTCCTGAGCCGGAGTCAAAGGGCCACTTACAGAAGCCGAGGTCGAACTGCGTGCCGAGGAAGGGGGACTCGCGAAAGGCGGTCTCTCGTCGTCGTTCGAGCCGAACCGCAAACCATCGTCCTGACCAGCCATAGCGTGCGTAGGTGAAGCGTTCGATCCGCGCCAGCGACTCGAAGACGTATTGGAAGCCGATGAAGTCGACGAAGCGAACGACGACGACGAGCTGTCACGCCCATGCTGTAATTGCTCGAACTGGCCCGTCGCTTTGAGAGCCTTTGGCGGGGCATTCCCTCGTCCACTGGCACCGCTGTCGGTCGTCGAAGAACCTCCCGAGTTGCGATGCGGCGTCGGAACTGAGCCGTATCGGTCTCTATCGACGAGATCCAGCCCGTTCGATGACGCACGTCGGTGCGCCAGCTGCGCAGGGTCCGGCGTCGACGGATCATGCGACATCATGTGAACTGCAGAAGGTGGAGCCGCGTCACTGGCACCTCGTTGTCGAGTTCCGGCGGCCTGGAGCGTCTGCCCTGGTTGCAGATCCAATCGCCGAGTAAGGTCGGGGAGATTCGATGCCGGGGAGGTTGGGTTCGCGCTCGGGTTCGAGTGTCGGTCGTGTCGGTCCATACGACGGGTAGGAGCAGGCCAGACTTGACCAACGAGTGGGATGGAGGAGGAGGACGTGTAAGGCCCACGAGGAGGAAGTGGTGGCGGTGGCATGCTGTTGGTGTAACTCCCCAGGCCAGATCGGTAGTACGAAGAAGCCGGAGTAGGCGTCGAGTTCTGCGCCATGATGCGCGGGTTGAAGGGCATCGGCGACTGTGCAGGGGCCGGTTGAGAGGTGCTTGAGCGATACGGTTGAGACGTGAGTATTGGCGGCCCTGGGGGAACTGGCGGAGGAGACCGCATCGAGCCATACGCCCCGGGATACCCCGGTGGTGCCGATGAGTTGAACTGCCCGCGCAAGTTATCTACGCTCTTGCTCATCATCTGGCGCTGATTAGGAGACAGGAGCGTCGAAGAAGACTGCGACGACTGCGGTGTTGGCCTCGTGGGGTGCCCCGGTGGGGGTGGGTTCGATTGTTGCAGCGCGAGGTTGTGGAACACCGGTGCCGAGAGCGGCGCTCGCCCCGCCTTGACGTACGGCTGGTACTGGGGCAGCACGGCCCTCGCATCAGCGGGGTGCATCGAATGCAAAGGCGGCGGTGGGTGAGAGGACTGCTGAAATTGATAAGCCCGTGCGCTCCCACCGCCCGTGTTGGTGTTGGTCCGTGACCAGGACGACAGCGTGTCGGATGGCGCATTCGGCGCCCCTCCGGCGGGTGACAAGACTTGAGGAATCGGGTTCCGGCTCGAGGGGGCATTGTGGTTCCCGCTACCTCCACCACCGCCGCCAAATGTTTCGAATCTAGAACCAGAGCTCCCCAAAGGCGGCGAATGAGCCCAGGCGGAGGAAGAGTTGTTGGCTCGCCCAAACTCGTCCGGGGTCGGCGTGGCATCACCACTTCGATCGTGTCGGGGGTCCAGTGGCGCGCTGTGGGCGTGTGAGACCGTATCGAGTTGATTGCCACTACTCGAAGAGCGCTGGTGGCCGGACCGCTGCGAAGGTCCCCACGTCCAACTCGGTCGGTCGCTGCGAAGGCTCGTCGAACCCTGGGCGTGATCGACCTCGTTCTGGCCCCCTCGAGGCGAGTGTTCCCGGGCGGGTGAAACGTGTGGCAGCCGTGTCGCCACAGGCGAGCTAGCTCGTCCTGGAGGGTGCCCCGAATGGGAGGTCTCGGGGCCTCCTTTCGATCGCGTCGCCTGGTTCAGCCGCTCGGCCGACATCCCAACAGGAATATCGTCATCATCATCGCCTCGACGATCGGGCACATACTCTCGCAAGTAGATAGCCCGCCCTTTTCCTCTCCCACTCGACCACAAGTCCCAAATCTCGTCCGTCGATATCGGTCTCCCCGCATCGCCATCGACGGTCGTCAAACGCACCTCGTATCGACTCGCGTCACTGTCGGCGATCTCGAGCCGTGAAAAAATGGTCTCGCGGATTGCCTCGCCCGAGGTGCACTTGTCGAGATTGACACGCTTAAGGTCCTCATCGAGATCCTTGGTCGCCCACAAACTCGTGCCGGGCGGTAACATCGGGGAGTTGAACGTGCGTGAGCTCGGCGATTGCGGTGAGTTCGAGTTGGCTCGCGTGCGACCGAGGGCATCGCCGGACCGTCCCGAGTGTTGGTGAGGGTGCTGGAGTGGGGGAAGTCGGGGTGATCTTGCGCTGGCGGATGAAGAGCCTTGGTCATGCTGCGGCGGGTACATGTTGTTGCCAGACGGCGGACCATAGGGCTGCGAGCGAGTCAGGTGGCGGTCAAGTCAACGCTTCGTTTCGTTTCAGGTGGCGGAGGGGGGGCTGTGCGATCCCCGCCTCTTGTGGGGAATTGGCGCGTATGACTCACGCTATGCATCATCGAGTTGTCCCTTCTATACCTCGAATCAGCCGAAGCCGACGGCCGTCTCGTCCCATCGTTCGACGAAGGTTGCTGCGGTATCCTCGACGACGAGCTCGAGCTCGAACTCGACGACCCCGAGATGGGCGACATCAGCCCCGAATGAGCACGCGACGACGGTGAGGGTTGTGAATAGTCACTACGCGTTTGGTTCGAGCTCGACTGGTTGTTGCCCGTATAAGGTGTAGCTGAGGGCCGTGAGCCTCCGCCGGCGCCGCCTCCCCCTGCGCGTCGTCGATCGTCCTGCTGCATCGCCCTCGAAGCCTACGACCCCTTTGATCGACAAGAACGGCGATTGTGATATCTGTCTGGGCGTCTAGGTGTTATGTAGAGCGGTATCAGCATTCGTCGGGCAACAAGGAAGGCGGATTCGGAATCCAGAGAGCGTAGAGCGAGGTGCTTGTGCTTGGGGTCGGCTTGATCTCGTGGATCTCTCCCGTTGCCAACACAGGTAGCATTGATGGAACTGAGAGAAGATGTGGTCTCTTTCGTCTCCGAAACGATGTATCCGAGAGACGGTTGTTTCCCCTGGTCAGGCTCCTCCACGGCCGTCCACTGAGACCGACGACGGACGTAGCACCTCCCCACGCAGCCTCCCACATCACCCCGGGTCCCCCTGTCTCGCGACGGTCTGCTGCGACGGTCTGAGCGATGAGCACTCACCACGAACACACACGGTCTTAGCTCTCCTTGAAGAAGCAGCGGTTGAGGTAGAGGCCCAGAGATGATGCGAGGGAGGTAGGTCACAGTCGGGCGACGAACGCTGGGCTGGTCGATCGCTGCTGCTGGTCGTGGCGACTGGTGAATGCTGGCGCGGGTCGCGGTCGCTCGCGCAGGCGGCTCGTGGTTGCCAAATCGCGGCGGGCCGTTGAGAGAGGTTGAGGAGTCGACACCGTGCAAAACGACCCGGACCTCTAGAGTGAGAAGCAAGAGCACACGACCTGGGAGAGCGTGGCCACAGAAAACCGAGCTTCGAGCACAACCAGGTAACGCGGACCGAACGAGAAGGCGATGGGGAACAGTCGGCGGGTGGGGTGAAACAACTGGCAGCGACCAGCAGTCGACCAGCGCGAGTCCAGCGCGGTTTCGCTGGTTTGGCTCGCCCGCTCGCCCGGTCTCTGCATGCTCTGCAGCTGGCAGGCGCGCAGGTGTTGGTGCTGGATGCCGTCGCGCCAATGATGCGCCGGCGCACAGCCCGAAGCGCTCCGGCTCAGTACTTCGGGCCGTCTCGGACCCTGATGCACCGGCACCAGAGATATTCATTTCTCCATGGTATGCTCGAGCACAGCCACTTCACAAGTTCTACTTGTGATCTCTGCAAATTCGCCGCGGCCCACTCTGCAACGGCGGCGAACCCGAATCCCTGGTGCACCTCGCGGAAAGTTTAGGTGAGCACCACTGTGCCTAAACTTCGCGCTTATCGGCGTTGCATGTTGCCGGCAAGGCTCGGTAGAACCCAAGGATGAGGCAGCGAAAAAATGCAAGGTTCATCACCGCCCGGCGAGAGCCTAGGGGGTCGCCTTGAGGCAGTGCGCGCGTTATGTACTTACGCGACCACACTGGCAAATCACCGAGTCCGGGATCTTCTGTCTGGTTCCGAGATAGGTACCGAGGTCGGTTACTGAGTACCTTCCCTGAGAGCAAAAGACCGCTGCGTCGGCTGTGCCAAAAAATAAAAAACCCCGGTCACTCTGACTGCGCGCTCCCGACCGCTCTAGTTTCCATTCAGACAGGGGCGCCTCCAGTTCGGAGAAACCTTTATCGCCGACGACAGCAGTGTTTGACTTGAGAGAAGCTCTCCTTTTTCTCTTCGACGACCGCATCAGCTCCGAGTCGTGCTTGCGAGAAATGGGAAGAATGGACAACTTGCGGGAAAGATGACGCGGTCCTTGCACATGCGGTCAGAAACTGTCGATCGCACTGTAAGTACGGTCATCGGAAACGGAGCGTTCGGGGTTGGTCTTTTCTTTTCACGCGTCACGGTGCCGAACACGTGCTTCGCGCCGCCGCCCACCGACCGCGCATCGCGCTCCTCCCGAGCGGTTCTCCCCCTCCTAAAACCCCCGCACTCGGTGACTTCTTGACTTTTAATTCACCGCAAATCTTACTCGACGAGGAAGGAGACTCGAGAGGACCATCGTTCGCAACGTTCGGCCGCGAGTCACTTGGCCCACTTTTGACAAGCCAAGGGCACGCTACAACGCCGCCTATAAACGCATACCGACCGACATGCCGTCCTTCACCTCCCGTCTCCCCACCAACCCCAACCTGTCCTCCCTTCCCAAATACTACGGTGACGCCTCCACGCTCCTCTCCTTGGACAAGTACAACCGACGTCATTCGTTCCGCCCTTCCTGGATCTCGGACGACGAACCCGATCATACGGTTTCGTATGCGTGTGTAGGAGCGGAGAAGGAGGACGAGTTGGAAACGGTTGTATGGCTCAATGGTTTGGGTGGGAATCGATATGCTGCTGGTCAGTTATTTGTGACCTTGATTCGCGATTGACTCGTCGGCACCCGACTTCCCCACTTCTCCCCCGCGTACACGTACGCACATACTGCGCACTCCAGCGAATATTGACGCCCTCCTCGAGCACCTCCACAGCTTTCCTAGACGGTATCTTCGCAATGTATCGCCTCCGTTTGATCCACATCGACCGACCTGGAGCAGGACACTCAACTCCCGTCCCCCTCTCTCACCGCGTCGAATGGTCAACCGAAGCCCTTCTCTCCATCCTCTCCCACGAAGGAAGACCCCCCCACCTATCCGTGATCTCGCATTCCAACGGCGTCATCTACACGCTCCATTTACTGTCCCACCTTCCTCGAACGTACGCAGTCCGACATTGGTTCATGAGTTCCCCGTTTGTGATTCCCCTCTTGTCCGGGAGTTGGTCCTTGGGTCTGGCGAGTTATCTCCCTGCCCCCGTGACGGGGAGTTTGGGCACGTTGGCTTCGACGTTTAGTACGAGTTTGGGATGGTATCAATCTGCGAAGGGGGTGTCGAGCGGTGAATTAGGTGGACTGTCAAAATGGTGGGGTGGGGTACCGATGACCTCGACGACGGCCGCCGAAGCTGAAGACCCTACACTATCCACCGAAGAGGATTCAACCCAAGCGACCAGAAAATCAAGACGACAGTACGAGCGTTTCGTCAAGAAGCAAAACGATCTCCACGCATCCCCTGACGACGCTCGGCAGAACGAACGTCGTAAAACGTTCGAAGGGTATTTCTTTGGGCCCGATTTGTTCAACGAGGCGATGAAGAGGGCTGGGGAGGAAGGGTTGGGGTATATGGGTGAAGAGGCGTTGATTTCTTTACGAAAGGGGGAGGGGGCGAGGTGGGGCTGGCCGAAGGAGGGGGCGGAGGGTCGGGATGGGAATGTGTATTTGAGAGGGTTCAGGGAATGGAAGGAAGGGTGGGAGAAGGAAGGGAGAGCTCTACCGAGGATCAAAGTGGGGTACGGGAGTGAGGATGGGATGATTCCCAAGAGGGGAAGGGATCATCTCAAGTCTGTGTTGGTCGATCAGCTGCGTTTGGTCAAAGGGGAGGATTGGAGAGAGATCCGGGGGGCGGGACATGATGATACGCTCGGGGTGACGACGTTGATTGAGCCTTGGTGTCAGAGCGTGGTGGCTTCTGCAGAGGGTCACTAGAGCGGTGTCTATTCATTGGAGTGGTGCAATGTCGTTTCAACAGGGTGTGTGGTGTGTATACAGCGATGGACGCCTAGCATTGCATGTCCAAGAGAGTGAGAGCGAAACCGAGCGATGAGAATAGACCCGAGAAGAGAGTAAAAGGATTCGAGCGAGCGTGTCTCGGGTTGTGTGCGCTCAGATAACGACGATACTTGGTGGGGTGTATCGTTTGCTGTGGTAGACGGACTTGCCCACCTGTGCGATCGGGGACGAGGGGGGATCAGCGAATGAGTTCCGCTCAGGCTGCCCTAGGCCGCGCTCCATCACCACACGAGCTGCGTGCACCAGCCCCAGCCCCATGACCATCAATTTATCCTCTCCAGAACGCACCTCCCAACCCGGCACGTCCTTCATGATCTCCTTCTCTCGGGCCAAAGCGGCGTGTTCCCTTCGGTAGATGTCGCGGTCGGCTTCGGCCAACAGGAGGGGCACGAGGTGGATTCGTGCCCAGACTTTTTCGCGTTGTAGTTCCCTGATGTGAGCATGGGGACGATAATTAGTTTCAGTTCCGTTGTTGGAGCTGGACGATTCCTACTGCAGCTGTGCGCTACGACCTGCGCTGGGAACTGATCGATCACTGACGCCGATCGCCTCCTAGCCGGGTCCCAACCCCAACCCCAACCCCAACCCCAGCCCAACCACTCACCTCTTTTCCAAATTACCCAAGCCAACCCTCCAGAACCCAAAAGCACAGATGGCGGTGACGGCACCAAAGATCAGCGCTCCGCCCGGTCCTTTGGTCGGCAGGTTGCGCTTGTACTTGATCGCTTCGAAGCCGCCGGCGGGGGGCAGGTCCCTTTGGAAGGGGGAGAAGAGGGGTCAGTTGTACAAAATACGAGGGGTGGTGTGTCTGGATGAACGCTGGCTTACTGCTTGTACGTGACCATGGTGGTGGTGACTCTGGGTGAGGCGAGAGCGCAACGAGTTGACTGCGCCATCGACCCCGCCCGCCCGCCCGCGCCATCGCAGGCCATCGCTCGCACGCTCAGCTAATACGCTCAGCTAATACGCTCAGCTACGCTCAGAGACGCTCAGCCTCTAGCTCAGCCTGCAGGACGAGCCAAGGCAAGACCATCCCATCGCCTGTAACTCTTGGCCCCTCTTTCGCTCCCCATCCTCGCCACACAAGCAGGCGCACCCATCCACTCGCAACTCAGCCAGCCACCCACGACTTGTCCATCATGGCTTACAACCCTTACGCCAACCCGTATGCCCAACCAGCCGCGGGGCCGTACGCCGGTCCCTCACCATACGCCTCGACGAGCACCGCCAACGTCACTCCGTCCTTCCCGGCCGCCTACCCCTATGCCCCCCAGGCCGCGCCAACGAACCCAGGCTACCCGTCCACGTCGACCCTGCCCATGGCCGCCGGTCCCGTGTTCCCCGGTTACGCCCACATGCCCCCACCCCTTCCTCAAACGATGGCCATGGGCCCTCCCCACTCGGGTGGTGCGTACGATCTCGATCTGGCGCAACAACAATCGGCTTACACCCCGGAGGGAGCTCAGAGGGCCGCCGCGCACGTCAAGGCCCATCAGGAACGCAAGCAGAAACCCCAGGGACGCACGACCGTGTTGCGCAAAGGTGGCGGAGAACTGTGGGAGGATGCGACTCTGATGGAATGGGATCCAAGTCAGTCGCGCTCCTCGAACCCCCTTCCTCGGCGTTTCCCTCTCTCTCTCTCGCGCGCGCGCGAGTCGCTGCTCAACTTTTCCCTTTTTTTCGTGTGGCAGCCCACTTCCGCCTCTTTGTCGGTGACTTGGACCCTTCGCTTTCCGAAGATCAGTTCAGGGAAGCCTTCACCGGTAACGGCCGTTACAAGTCCTTCGTCAAGAGCAAGATCATCCGCGACAGAAAGACGAACAAGGGCAAAGGGTACGGCTTCGTTTCCTATTCCGATCCGGAGGACTTTCTCAAGGCTTGGAAGGAATTGAACGGTCAGTCGACCGTCGACGAGTGCATCCATCCCTGTCCAGATGACGAACTGACTCGTATCTCGAACCGAACCGAACAGGTAAATACGTCGGCACCCGACCGGTCAAGATCTCCAAAGCCACCACCGGAGTATCTGCCGTCAAAATCGGAGCGAAGAAAGCGGCCGTGCTCGACTCGAAGAAGGTGCAAAAATCTGGAACGGTCCCTTATGAAAAGGCCAAGGCCAAGGAGGCCGAGGGAGGCCATATGAATAAGAACTCGAATGGGTTCGGACCGCAGAGGGTTGGCAAGAGTTATATTCGACGATGAGGGGGAAAATCAGGTTTCAGTATGTTGATGGTGATTGCTGCCCTCACGTTTCGGTGGAAGTGCGTTAGTCGCTGTATAGGTAATGCAATGGACTGATTTATCAAACGTTCATGAAATTATCGATTAGGCTCGGCCATCGACTCCAGCAAAGTCAGGAGTATATGCAAACGATAGGCAACTGCAAAAGATGCTATATAAAAAAGAGCGTGTGATAAATAAAAAAGATGCTAGTGCAACTATATCCAAATATGATATGAGAAACCTACTCCGTTCCGACCCTCCTCTTGACTCGAACCTGGACATCCCCTACGAATTGGAAAATGCCCATCCCAGCTGTGCGACCATAAACAGACATGCAAAGATCAGTCCTTCATTCCAAGGTACTTGAAACATTTGTAGTAACTTCGAAGAATCGACTCACGTCTACCCGGTGCCGGTAGGGGTGCGATACCCGTACTGCCATCGATGAACCTCAACGTCTTCATCGGGGTCGAATTTTTTTTCGGTAGTACGGTGATTTCGAAGCGGGATAACGTCTCGGTAACCATCGCTTTGAGTTCGGAATAGGCCAGGTTGCGCCCTTCGCACTGCGTATGGTCGACACCGGAGGCTGAAAAATATCAGCTCACGTTTTCAGAGGGGACGGAAGCGATTCGAGCTCCGGCGTGGACGTACGATCGAGACACCCCCGCCAAAAGCCCTGACCTCCCTCGTCCTCTTACTCCTCGTACCCGCCACTTCTCCCTCCCTATCAATGAACCTCTCCCCGTCCCACAGTTTGGCATCCTCCCATACTTGCCCATCGAGATGAGCGATTCGCGTTACGGCCGCGATACGAGAACCTTGTGGGATCCAATAATCACTGCTAGCCGGTGAAGCTTTGTCCTCCTTGGTGAGCTCGTAGTCGTCTTCCCGTTCGATGCGAAGTAAGAATTCCTTCTGGACATCCCTCAGACTCGACGTCGAAGACGCTAAACGAAGAGTCTCGTGAATCGCCGAAGAGAGGATCGGAAGAGCCGTCGACGGCGCCAAATCGGCTTGCGTCGGTGCAGCGCCGCCGAGGGAGGAGAGGAATTGGCCGATCTCTTGGAGTATCTTGGGGTATAAAGGTGATTGAATTACGTAGAGAATGGTCCACACGGCGGCAAAGGGGCCGTTGGCTTGGAGTGCCCTGCACACATGATTTTTCGACGTCGAGTCAGCCTGATGACTAGAGAAGCGATCGATCAAAGGTGAAGATGACGTACCACAACGTTCCATTCAACGTCGTCCCGGTTTCAAAATCCGTCAACCCATTCTCCTTCGAACTATCGACGATACCCCTCACCAGTCCCTTCTCCTGCAACCCAGGTGCTCCATCTCTCACCCACGCCCCCAAAAATTCCCTCAGTCGTTCCCTCGCTTTCACTCCCTTCCGAATGAAGGACACCATCTTGAGCACCGGGAGAGGCATGACTTCACCCGCAACGGGGGGGAAGGCGAGATCGAATTCATCAAAGAGCTTGCGAAACTCTTCGAGTGAGGAGATGCCATATTTAGGCGAGGTATCGAAGTCGAGCAATTGAGTTCCAAAAAAGGCCGCGAGCCCAGCGTCGAACATCGTATTCCTGATCCAAGTGACTAAACCCATCTCGGTGCCTTCAGACGACTCAGTCTCCGCATCAAGACGTTGTGCAAGCTGTTCGAGCTTGTCACGTAAGTGAGAAACGAAGGTATCGATCGGTTCTTCGAGTCGGTTCCTGCTTAGACCCCGACCATGAGCGGGGAAGAGAACTCCGTGCCATAGGGCAACGTCGCGGAAGATGGGGGTCGAGCCTCCAAAGGCGGAGCGGAGCATGGTCATTCGGATAGGACCCTGTCCGGAGCTTGCTAGCGCGTCAGCTCGATCCGCCTTCTCCTAATTCAGGAGCGCGTCAGCTCGATCCGCCTTCTCCTAATTTAGGAGCGCGTCAGCTCGATCCGCCTTCTCCTAATTTAGGAAGGCCCGAGACACGAGGAGGAAAGGACAAGTCCTGCGGTACTGACAAAGTCCAGGGTCGAGGTCGATGTTTCGTACACTTTGGAGACGGTCGCAGGATCGAGGACAAAGTATTGCTTCAGCGGCCAGGGGAGGTAGACGATCGGCCCATACGTTCGCTTGAGGGACACCAGGAACTCGTCCTCGTGCTTGCTGAGCCTACAGAGCAGGGAAGTGAATGAGATCAGGGTACTGTTCGTGCTTGGTAACCAGAGCTAAGAAGTCAATCAAACTTACCGATACGCAGCCAAGAGGCCCCGTGCGAACCAGGGCATGTAACGAGGTCCATAAGTAGGTGGAGCCCCGTGACAGCCGCCGTAGTAGAGCCACAGGAACAGCGGCGCGAGCAGCGATGGCAGGTAGACGGCGATTGACTGGACCCAGCTGATGTAGCAATGAATGCAAGGCATGCTTGAGTCGTCGGGTGTCCGCCCAGACCGGAGTGGTGTAAGAGCGTGGCCCCGAACGAGGAGGGGCGAACGAGAGGGACAACCCAGCTCTCGGTCATCCGCCGGATGCGCGTCAGCTACTGACTGAAAGCAGCTGAAAGCCTAGCTATTGAAAGCAAGTCTTGACTTTCAGTCTTGATTGGAACTCGATAGTTCTAGCTACTCAGAGATTATTTGATTGTGTTGTAAGGTCTCCCCTTACAACAACGGTGGTCCCGAAGTTGTAATCAACGCGACACGTGGCCTCAGCACCTGTCAGCAGCGAACAACGACGCCGCTGTGGGACGACTCGGACTAGGACCATGGTGTGGCTCATCCTCGTCCATGAACTGAACCTCCTACTTTTATATTGAAAATGAGGCAGTATCTGCTCTTGGTCACAGATATTTTACTTTGATGCTGTTGTACTCCTTTATCTCAAAGACAGTAGACACTGCACCGCCTCGGCCCTCACTGCGACTGCACGAGCATGGGAACGGCGACAGCCTCTTTCGCCCGCGCCAAGATCGCCTTCCGGACGAGTCATAACCTCCCCAAAGTCATACCGCTGCCAGTGCCTGGACTTGGCGTGGTACTCGAGTCATCGATCAAAAGGGCCATCGATAAAAGCGATCATCGAGCGAGCTCCAAGATTTTATCCCGTTACATCTTCGAGCGTCTGAATTTATTCGGTGGGACAGGTGGGACACCCGCCGCTTCACTTTGGACTCATGCAACACCCACCCCCACACCGTAAATCGCCGAGCCGAGTCGCCGTTAACGTTGCTGGCGGACGAGTCCAGCCTCTGTCCCCCCTGCATACGTGTGCGTACACATGCATGCACGTGCCCGTCAGTGGATAGTCATACCCATTCATTCTTCTATCAGTCAAAGGGTTCTGCACGACATTGCACGGCTATGCACTCTCGCGCATGCCTGGATCGAAATCATGGCCTCCCGGGACCTGCTTCAACGCCCACTGCCGAGCGCCCGTCGAACCGAGGCGAAGTAGGAGCAGGGCGAGGACCACCAACCACGAGAAGTGCTCAGCGGGACAGTTGAGGGTATGAAGAGTCAACGACGGAGTGAGAATGACTGTAAGAGGTTTGGCAGGAACGTGCAAGGGTCTCCCCCGCCGGCCGGACAAACAATGATCCGTCCGTGACACCTTCGGAGCCGGCTGAGATGAAATCGAATCAAGTCCATAATTGGGTAATACTCTAAACAAGGATCCGAAATACAAATACGACACTCCGACATATCAGTGCACACGTATGCGCATTGATGCATAGCGATGTACGCGTATGCACCGCTGGGCAGTCTCGGCGTCTCGGCTGCAGACCATTTGAACTGCCGTGAATCGAGCGCGGGATACTCGGGTCCGATCCCCAGCGCTTCCACGGGGGTTCATGACAAGGCATATTCGTGCAGTTCAATGATACATTGAACCCAGACGCACAACTATGCCTGCCCATGCACAAGCATGGTGTACTCGAAAATCGAGCTGCTTTTGCAGCCCACGACCGACTTGCTCCTAAGCAGCGAAATTGAAGCTAAAGGTGTCTACTTGATTCAGATTTCATTCATTGGGGAACACAAAAGTTACTCTTTATGTTTTCTTCCGTTGACTCGCCGCGTCGAAGCTCTTCAGCTATGGTGAGCCCCGCACCGCAACCCAGCTCCGTGTCGCAGCGAATCGAGGTGGAAGGGAGGTCGCCCCAGCTCGAGCAAAGCTGCTGGAGCAAGAGCAACAACTGCTGCATCGTTGGCGGTCATTTCGAGACTGGGATGATCTTTAGAGCTCACGTTCTCTGCTGACTTTCAATTTAGCTCGATTGACATGGTGTTCGGTCATTCAGAGGGATGGATCGGTGACCTCGGTGTGTGGTGCGTGGTGCGCGGTCCCCTGTCCACGATTTCGCTTCAGGCCCGCGCCGCGCCGCGCTCGGCCAGAGGTGGAGAAGGTGAGAAGCGGTGGCGTCAACAATATGCCGCTCAGGGTGACCCACCCTCAAGTCGGGGACGACCTCGCACATCTCTCTCTCTCTCTTCTTTCTTCTCTATCCGCTTGGATCGCCTCTTTTGAGCCGTGCAAACGCGCCGATTCGTGCACCACTTTGCTCACGTTTCGAAATTCGCGTGGGGTTATAAACAGACTGGAATGTTCCCGCATACCCACCGGGCTGGGTAATACCGTCACCCGGGGAACCCGGGTATCACCCGCCAAATGTCCCTCAATATCACGCCGGCCTGACCAATCTCGATTCCCTGAAGGTTTCACCTCGGCCTCACCAATGTGTTCTCTAAGTCTTCCTATGTCCAGACCTGGCCGAAGCAGTTGACGCGCGTGCTTTCTCCCTTTTCCTCCATAGTTCTCTTTTTATCGTAGACTTTCGACAGGCTGCGCGCGCCCGGTTGGCCACCAAGCAGCCTCCCGTACCGATCTGAAATTGACCCCATTAGGCCCCATGCATCAGCAAGAAGTCGAAGGAGTCGACCTACTCAAGACTCGGCCCAGAGTCAGGTGGCCGATTGCGGCGTGAGGTCGTTGCGAACATCCGCTTCATCTCCTGCTTTCGTGTACCGACTCCACCTCATTTTCGATTCGACTTGATCTCTGGTAGCCGCTCGTTATTCAACGAAAAGCTGCGCCAATCGGCGGGAATAGTAAAAACCGTTACCCAGTACTCCATTGCCGGCGTGAACTTGCTTTCGCTCAACCGAGCTCCGACCGCTCTCCCCCTCGCCGCGCCACTTCTGTTGAGTCGAGACGCCGCTGGCCACCGACCTCTTCATCCCGCCACTCTCTTGCCAACCATCACCCACGAGGGTCCACACCGTGATACAAGATGAAGTGAGCAACTTTGCACATACCTCTCCTACTTTGCACCGAGGGGTCCTAATCGAGCGGCGACGCCATCTCGTCACAGCTACATCCAACTCGAAAAGCTCGGAGAAGGCACCGTGAGCTCCCATGTTCGGGAACTTGACGTGTGCATACCCCAACTGATCATCAGCTCATCGTGGCTTGAACTCACAGTACGCCACCGTACACAAGGTCGGTCAAGTGCCCCTCGCAATCCCCGAATGACGTTCAGCCGCCGGTTCCCCGGGCGACGGGCTATGGGTTGTCGTGGCTACGGGACATCGTTTTCGCTGAACCTTTGCCGCCATTGATCTCATAGGGAAGGTCACGTATCACGAATGAACTGGTTGCTCTGAAAGAGATACACCTCGACGCCGAGGAAGGCACTCCCTCGACCGCGATCCGCGAGATCAGTCTGATGAAGGAGCTCAAGCACCCCAACATTGTTCGCCTGTACGACGTCATCCACACCGAAGCCAAGCTTATGCTCGTATTCGAGTTCATGGACCTCGACCTCAAAAAATACATGGATTCGCACGGTGACCGAGGCGCGCTCGAGCCCGCCGTCGTCCGTTCCTTCATGTGGCAGTTGCTCAAGGGCACCGCGTTCTGCCACGACAACCGAGTCCTTCACCGTGATCTCAAGCCGCAGAATCTGCTCATCAACAAGAAGGGCGAGCTCAAACTCGCCGATTTCGGTCTCGCGCGTGCGTTCGGTATCCCCGTCAACACGTTTTCCAACGAGGTCGTCACACTGTGGTATCGCGCACCCGATGTCTTGTTGGGCTCAAGAACATACTCGACCAGTATTGACGTATGGAGCGCCGGGTGCATCATGGCAGAGTGAGTGATAGAGAATGCCAAAAATCTCAAGACCGGCCGCGCGAGGAAAGTTGACCGACGAACGTGCGCTCTCAGGATGATCTCGGGTGTACCCCTGTTCCGAGGACGAGACAACAACGATCAACTGAACCAGATCTTGCGAATCCTGGGGACCCCGGATGAAGCCACACTGCGTCGAATCGCCTCCGAATCGGTGAGCCTCGATGCGTAACATGCGCTCGGCACCCTCGCTGCGACGCTGATTTTGGATGCTCTGCTCGATTGCAGCCCGAGATCCAACTTCGACCATTCCCTCGATTAAATAGGGTCCCTTTCGCTTCGCTCTACCCGAAAGCCCACCCCATTGGTGAGTGATCATAAGCTCAATCAGTCGAGAAGGGTAACAAGACTGGAAGCTTATGTGGTGACTCCACAGCTCTCGACCTGCTCGACAAGCTGCTCCAATTTGATCCCGCTCGTCGTATCGACTGCACGACTGCGCTTCACCAGTACGTGTACATTCACACGCGGGAAGGCATCTCTGGCTGTACTGACGTAGACTCTTCCGTCACACCTCATAGCCCGTACTTTGGGCAAGCGGCGCAGCAGCAGACGGCGCAGCAACAACAACAGAGCTCATTACAGCAGCAGCAACAACAACAGGCGCAAGCTCAGGCTCAAGCCCAAGCACAGTCGCAAGCTCAATACAGGGCTCAACCTGGTGCTTATGCTGCTCAGGGCTAGGTTCTGGTCCTACATGAATGCCTAGAGTTGCCCGCTCCCTCGTCCTTTCGTGCTGTTCTCGCTTTGCTGTGGTTGTACTTCGCCGTGATTCTTTTCTTTACCGAGTGGGATTCGTGTATTTTTGATGGGGATGGGGTAGGTGACGTTTCATCATCTTGACGACACCGAATGTAACATAGGACCCACCGTCCAAATAACAACTTCCTGCTACCGGACCCGTTGGACTGTGTCAGAGAGTTTGGAAACGGCGCCGCATTGGCCTATGGGCTTTCGGATTTGACATCGCGTCGTTTTGTCTGAGGGAGCAATGACTGATTCTGCATGTCGTGGTTCCAAGATCAGCGATCCTCGCTCGGTGTCCGCACAAGTTGTTCGAGTGGGGCGGGCTCAAAGCCGAGACTCAGCCTCGTTTTCGGCCCCGATGGTATCTGACCACGTTGTGACGACAAGACCCCCTTTCGAATTTCGTGACCGCGTCCAGCCCTCACTTAGTACTACTACTTATCATCTCACAATCGCGCGCTCGCCGCTCGGGATCTGTATACGCGTCGAAGCCGATGACTCGAATTTGGAGCAGCCCCTTTTTACCCGTCATCTATCTCCAACTCCCAACACCGCGCTCCTTCAGATTTTGGGGGAACGAGGGATCCGGGGTCACACGATCTGGCTATGTCGCGTGACTCTAAGTCGTCGTCTCGAGTTCCGAGGTTTCCTGTTGAGGCTGCGCCAAAGGAAATTTCCGAAATGGGTTGCCGGAACGACCACTGCAAGCCCTCGACGAGTTGATCCAATTTTCTACCGACGCGCCTGCTGGGGACGCGCGCGTGCGCCGCGAGTCGCACTTGGCCTTGGAGGAATCCACACTTGCGGAGATTTGCTTCAACGGCGGCCCTACGGGCCCTGCCCAAACACCTTTCCATCTTGTCTTGTCTCCTAACCACACCGTAATCGAACCCTCGCATACCTCCCGGGAACCAGTCGTACACATACAACCAGCCTTCGGCGCGTCAAACAAGTCCGCGTCGTCCCAGCAACCCAGTCTGCCCTGTGTCGCCCAACCCCCGATCGCTCTCCGTCTCCGATCAGTGCATCGCCCACTTTGCGTAGTAACGCGCGCTCCGAGACCCTCCTCCCTCCACCTCGATCCATCCCACCCATCTCCAACGATGGCCCCTCTCCGATTCCTTGCAACACCCCTCCTCCTCTCCTGCACCCTGCTCATCTCAACCGTCACCGCGATCGGTGATTTCCCTTGTGCGAATACGGCGGATTCGCAATCGTGCGCCAAGTGGAGCGTCGATGTCGACCGGCAGGGGAATATCTCGGCAACGGCGAAATGCGTGCCTGGTGCGTACTTGGTGGGAAGGATGGGAAGGAGAAGAGAATGGTCTTGCTGGAAGGGGTCGAGGTGCTGATGATGTGGGTACGACGTATCATTCCCCATAGATCCGTTGAACCCTTCGGTTTCCTACTGCGGATACGCTCGAGCCGGATGCCGAAAAGACGCCGACTGCGACTATGGTAGGTCTTCCGATGGCATTTTACATAGTTCAGCGCATAGAAGTGGGACTGATGCAGTCCCATTCTCCAATTGACAGGTACCTGCGGTAAATCCGGCACCTGCCAGGGATTCCTCGGCGACCCTTGTCCCAACGGCAACTCGGACTGCCAAGCCTTCTTCTTCTGCGGTACCGATGGCTTGTGCGGTGGTCAGGGAGCGTGAGTGATGAGTGATGAGTGATGAGTGCCGGGACAAGCGCGAAGGTGAAGGAGTGGAGAAGCAATCTGATCACTGGGTGCTTTCACTTTTGGTCCTGCAGAGCTTGCGCGAACGGCGATCCTACCTACCCGATCCCTTCGCCGAACTTGCAGTGCATGAGTCGTCAGTCTTTTTTCCTCCTTCTTCAGGGCCGCAAATTCATTCCCCCATCGTCCGGTGTTCTGAACAAAAACGACCTCTCCTTTTACACCATGATTGACAACTTTAGAGCGCTGCGTCAACAAAATGTGCAACGCCGTGCGACGACAAGGTGTCGGAATCGGCGGCGCGTGCGTCAAGAACTCGGCTTGCGAATCGGGTAAGGTCGACCTCCTTTTTCTCCTCTAGCCCCTTGGCCCCGCAACTCATTCCTTGCCTCTTCTGTTCCTCCAACAGGCTACTGTAGCGAGACTACCCTGTTGTGCGCGTGCTTCCCGACGTCTGGAATACAATGCTCGAGCACCAAGGCGAAACGATCTTACGACTCGGACTCGAGCGATCTTTGCGCTCAAGGACAGACGGCTTGCCCGACCCCTTTCGCGGGCGACTTGGTGCCTGACGTGAGTGAACAACCTTCCGCTGAGTTGTTTTCCTTCGGTATTGTGTCTCTGACGACTTGGAGCTTATCCTCGTCTAGTGCGTCGACACCTCGAGCGATTTGGAGAACTGCGGAGGGTGCACGACCAAGGGTCAAGGGCAGGACTGCACCTCCATCCGCGGCGCTTCGAGCGTCGAGTGCCAGAGTGGTCGCTGTGTTGTTCGTGAGTAACCCAAGAACAGATTCGATCGAAAGAAGAAGCTGGGATCAATTGATTAACTAGTGATCTCTTCGCTCGCTCGTCTAGTTTCTTGCGACGCCGGGTTGCACGTCAACCTCTCCGGAACAGGATGCATCGTATGAACCCCCTTCCTCGCTCTAGTACCAACTCATACCCCTCTCCTCTCCTCCAATTTTGAATATCCCCCGACTTTCTCGTCCGTTGTCCAATAATTCTCCCTTCATCTTTCCTTCCGAGCGTGCGCGTCCTTCCGAGAAGCAGCGATCGCATCGAAGCTCCCCTTTTCTCTTCAGATTCCCTACCCAAATCTACGTCTTTCCTGAATGTCGCCATGTCGGGGATTCCTGGTCTCGGGGAATTTGTTCTTGTTTTGTCTACTTTCTTTGTCATGTTCTTTGGTTGTTGCACTGGAGTACATCACGAATTTTGCATCCTCCGCGGCGACTAGGCGGCGAACATCCCTGAGTTCGTGTTCGAAACAGAGAAATAGTGACGAGGTGGTCAGAAGTCAGGATTATGAATCTCTATCCCTGACATCGGTCGAATGACATTTAACCCCGAGCCCAAAGTTGATGAGGCTGACGGCGGTGTCGATCCGCCGTCAAAAAGGTGGGGTCCGTGCGGGTTCGTTCACTTCCAAAGTCACGTGATCCTATCCGGTCGCGCGATCGCGTGTCGTCATCGTGAGGCCCGGAGGCTCTTACGCTTCCTCCTCCCGCATCCCGCATCCCGCATCCCATACCCCAGCATTACCTCCATCGAGCCATCCGAGCCGCCCGACCTTGAACATGGCTCCCGCGGCTCCACTCTTCCGCTTCGCGTCCTTTTCGATCACGAACCAAATCTTCTACCAGTCGAGTCTGTCGTTGGCGTTGGTCAATCTCAAACCATTGGTACCGGGTCGTACGTTCATCTATGCGCTCTCTTGACCCCTGATCATGAACGGGAAGGATACTGATCACCTTGAAGGTTTTCGATTCGCAGACGTGTTGGTGATCCCCAAACGAGTCGTCCCTCGGTTCGGCGAACTCACAGCGGACGAAACGACGGACCTGTTCCTCTCCGTTCAACAGGTCGCTAGAGTGATTGAGAAGGAGTATAAAGCACAGTGAGTTATGCATACTACGGCCTCTCTACCTGTTCTTTGGTGAGCAAGGAACGCTAAGCCGTTCTTGCCCCCCCACACACACGTGTGAGCAGATCGATGAATATCGCCGTTCAAGACGGTGCATTGGCAGGGCAGAGCGTGCCTCATGTGCATGTGCATTTGATGTGAGCCGGCGAACGAGCGGCTCTTCGAAAGTAGTCAATCGTGGAACTGAGTCGAGAGGTGTTCTTTCTCGCGAACTCACAGTCCTCGGAGGAAAGATGATTTCGAACCCATGGATGAGGGTCAGTTTGCCGAGACTCGGGGGGGTTGCATGATCCGCTTCCTCGACCGCGCCAAGGTCATAACTACCGCACCACCGAAACCTCGTACTCATTCCATCCGAATTCACACCTACAGTCTACACCGCTCTCGACTCGGCCAACATGGCCGCGGACTACCTAGCTCGTCAATCGAGAACTGATCGGAAGAAAGTGTTTGGCGTCGATGATGAGGATCGAAAACCTCGTAGCAAGGAGGTGATGAAGGAGGAGGCGAGGAGGTTGAGTCTGTTATTCCCGGAAGGGAACCGCGGGGTTTTTACGGAGGGGGGTGGGGAAGAGTGATTTTGAATGAAGTAGGGTATTCTTGGGGGAGGAGGGTTTTTTTTTCTTCCTCGTGTGGGGGTCGTCTTGGCCATTTTACGTCGTCGGTCATGCACAGCATTTCACATGTAAAGTACAACACTCGTCAAATTGCCTGCGTTTGGAAGAGAACTACCTCAGGAACAGATCATACAATTCTGGGTCCTCGTCTCTCCTAAAGGTCGTAGCGATACTCGGATCAGCGACGATACGAATCGGTGCTGAGGATGCGGTCGGTCGTCGCGCTGGTGTAGCGGTGGGGGCAGTGTGTTCTATGACGGACTTTTCGTAGTCCGATCCGGCCACGGTAGAGGTCGCGGTGGCGGTCGGTGTAGGGGAAGCAGGGGCGGTGGTAGAATCGGGATGTGGGGCTTTCTGGAGGGGAAAGCGGGGAGAGGGTGGGTGAGCAGGTGATGCGATCACCGAGAGTACTCGATAAAAGAAGCTCACTCGGGAGGATGAAGCGTCCTGTGTGCTCGTGAACGGCGGTGGCGGTGGATGGGCTGACCAAAGCAAGGCCCGCGAAATGTCAATCAACTCGTGATTGCCCCGGACCGAAGCTGAAACCTACGCATGCTCGTCCCCCTGCCAAACGGACTCGTCACGACATGTTCCCCGCCGTCTACAATCGACGACTTGTTATGCCTCGACATGATGGAGGGAGAAGGGGAGGGCGCTCCGGTTGAGCGTTCGCGAGGTGGGAGAGGCGTGCCGAGGAGCGTCGAGGAGGGTGCTTTGCCGTTGCGCAGGGGAGTGCCCATGCTGGAGTCAGAGGGGGGGGGGGTGGGGGGCGTTTAGGAGGTTGGTGGCAAGTGTAGGGGCTGAGGGTGACTGTGCGCGAGGCGGTGATCACGCGCGTCCTCCAGTTAGTACTACCCGGTACGTAATAACTCAGTATACTCAGTTACTAACTCGTCGCGCGGCTATACTAACTGATTTCGCTCAGCCTGGACCGAGCTCACTCGGTTGCTTCTTGCTTCTTACCGCCTTACCTCTGGTCGTGACGCCGCTGTAGGACGTTCGCGGGCCTCATCGCCACTCGCCAATTTTCCCCAGCCTACTGTGTGGCTGCGACACGTGCTTGGGTCCGTATCGGCCAGGTTGTAGATCCCTTTGGCCGCCTAGTCGATCGCTCTTCCCTTCCGTCGACGTCGAGGCCGCCCCATTCAAGCGGAGTAAGCGGACCTGGCTCGGATCCAACACTCTAGGTAGAGGCCCAACGCAATCATTCTTGAAGAGCTCCATTCATCAGGTACGTACGTACGTACGAATCTGAAGCTCAAACGTGTCCCTTCTGCTTCTGGTATCGCGCTCGGCTGATCTCGGTGAACGTCGTCCACTTCGCAGTCCCATCTTGCTCCACCCCAGCCCATCGAGCTCACCCGCATCTGGGCCCACGGAGATTCGTTGGTGATCGTGGGGAAAGGGTTCGACTGTAGCCGGTGGTCGGGCGAGGAGTATGGGATGGCCACCGCTCGTGACCGCGAGATCGAACGCCGTCGTCGCACTGTGGGCACCTTCACCCCGACTCGTTCGACACTTTACCACCCACATCGCCCCATCGGTGTCGACACCGGCTTCGACCAATCCGGCCCAACAGTTGGATGCCTCCTCCGTCGTTGGCTCGTCACCATCAGCCTATCCCACGCAGGAGCCGCCGAGACCGCCGACGACGATCAAGAGCGCTTTCCCTCCTTCCGACCCTCCACCTTCGCGAAGCTTGAATTATCGGCTAGATGCAGTGGCGAAGAGGGGGCCACAAGATCCTCCCCGGATACATCGCTCATCACCGCCTACAGAACCCTCGACACCCGCGATAGCCATGATGTCTGAACCACCGATACCGACACCACGACCCGAGCGACCGACGCCCCCACCTCGTCCCGCTCGCACGGCCCCTCCTCGCTCTCCCTCCGTCCTACTCGACGCATCTAATCTCCCCTCAAAGCTACCCGAAACCACACGCGAGCTCTTGACCCTCATGCGCCACCTCGCCATCTCGTCCGAGCCACATCGGACGAGCCACTCCCCTTTCCCACTCCATCATCTCTGCTCCTTCCATGCCGATTCTCAACTAGCCCACCTCGTCACGACCGACACTTACCTCTTTCTCTTGCGCCGCGCCTACGCCGTCTCGAACTACAAGCTAGCCGAACACCTGCTGACCGAACTGACCGACCGTGGCTTCTCGAGGAACGACGAAGCCATCGTGCGTTTGGTACATCGCTACGCTCTCAAGCGAGGCAACGGTCAACTCGCCTTCGAAGAGAGGCAACGCCTCAAATCACAAGGACTTGCCGCGCTGGAATGTCTTAATTCGAGGAGGGATCTGCTTGAAGATGGCAAGGGGCAAGGGGATGCGATCGTCACGTGGAAAGGGAGGGAAAGGGGTAGGGTCCCGCGCAAACGAAGGGTTTTCTACGAGACCCTACGCAGCAGCACCTCCTCGTCGGGGGGAAAGAAACACAACGTAAAGGCACCAATGGGGACGCCGGATTCGCATCACGTCATCGATCGATTGTCGACGCTGTTCCAGAGGGCACCTTCGACTCGCTCCCCGTCGGATGTGACCAAACTCGCTTCGGTCGATATCGCCACCCTGGTCGATTCGTATGTACTCGATCGGAATGCACAGAGGGCTTTCGAAAGTGCTCGAGTATGGCTTGACCACACTCGACGCGGTTTGATCAACACACATGCGAACCTAAATGCGAACCCTACCACAACTCGCCCCACCACCGTTGCCACCTCCCCACCGTTGCCACCGGACCTCGCGCGGCAAACGCACCACCTCCAAGCCTGTCGCTCTTACGAACAAACCGCTTTGGTCCTCCTCAACATCCTTTTAAAATCGCTCTACGCCTCCAGAGTATCGACCACCTCCATACGAACCTTCGTTCTAACCTACCTCGATCAGCATTCCTTACCTCAACGATGGAAACTCCGACCTGCTCTAGCGACCTTGAGAACTCTGGTCGTCGGCAATACGGGCTATCATGGTTCGTGGGGCAGGAGTGTGAAACTTGTCGCATGGTTCGATCAGCAATTCGGACCGATCGAACGACTCGAACTCGAATGGGTTCAGGGGCCCAAACATCACTTTGCTCGAAGAGCGTGCGTCAGAGCCGATGCGTCCGTGACGTATCTTTTGTTGGGGTTGGCGATCAAGGATCAGAAGAGGAAGAGGGATAAGGAGGGGAAGATGAAGGGAAAGGTGAGGGAGTGGTGGAAGGAGGTCGAGGAGGTGAGGAAGGATAGGGGGTGGAATGGTTTGCAGGGGGGTAAGGGGAAGCAGAGGATTAAGGAGGCGAAAGAGTTGGGGTTGATTGAAGTGGAGGAGATCAAGGGCAAGGTCAGGCAGGAGGTGAAGAAGTAGAAGGACGCTTGGAATGAAAGATGTGTGTTGATCATTGGATGCATTGAAGAGCGACGCTCGGGGGGAAACATGGTCGAGAATTGTCTATCTGGGGCGTCAGCAGTACATTCAGCAAGGAATCTAGATCCCTCGCTCGGTCTCCGTCGGAGGAAACGAAAACCCTGAATTTGAGTCCCACTGAGGATTACTTTCCGATGTTGGTCACGAGGGAGGTTTACGTCTTGCGTGTGCCAACGCACGCACCCAAGAAGCCGGCGACGGACGAGCACGGACCTCGGTCGTCAGATACCTTTCACGTCGTCATAGACACGAGATCACGAGATACAGCCCGCACTTTGAAGCCGGGCTAGCGAAAGATTCTTTTGGCTCAACCTCAACATGCTCCTGCGTCTTCTCCCGCTTCACGGACAACTCCGGTAATCCCTGCCTCTATTTTGGTCCCTCGCAGCCTCACGGCAGTGGCCCGGCTGCACCGCATTCTAAGCGTCCTGCTACCGTCTCTTCCAGAAGCCGTTGACGCCGTCTAGTCATCACAAATACACTAGGTGTCCCCGGTCGGAACGGCTCCACTCGCTCGGTGCCCGAGCGGTCACCTTTTTTAGCGCCGAACGGTATTCGCTGACGAGGACAGGACGAACGGCGTCCTCAAAGTTCATGGCCACTCGGGACCATCACCATCCACCTCCCTCTTTCCCTCTTTCTTATTTTCTGTATCCAACCACTCACTTGACCACAGCTCACCCCACGACGTCAACTCTCATCTCTTCAACATGAAGTGCTCGCTCATCGTCTTCGTCGCCCTCGTCTCGAGTGCGTTCGCCGCTCCCCGAGCGCAACCGCAGCTCTCCAACGTCATCGCGTAAGTAGTGATAGTCAGAACCTCCTACGAACAAAAGACTATCTGACCGACATAGCCTCGACATTCTGTAGCGGTGCCAAGGAAGAAGTCGTCCAAAGCGCGACAGACAGCAAGTGCGCTTCGCTGTGCGCCAAATATCAGACCGCGTCAACGTACGTTCACAACAGCCGTCAAAGCATAGATTATTTCTTCAAGCACTTCCGTTGCCGTACTGAAAGAGTTTATTGTCCTCCTGGCTCTCCAATTGTTGCCCAACAGTCAGGCGTACTGCCCCAAGGTCTGCAAGGCCGCCGTCGCAGGATGGGCGGCTGCGCATGCGCAATACAAGGCGTAAGCTCCGGCCTCGCGAGAATTCGGATGACGTGCTGGTATCGACTCGGTCGTTGACCTTGACCCTTGACTTTGCTTCACACTCTACAGTACTTGATACTTCAATATTTCTTTCCACCTTCCCGTACATTCCAACCACCTTCGGTCTCCTCCTGACCACCACTTAGCAATAGTTTTCATCCATAGCTCTGAACACTCTAGTCATTTACCCACCTGTTTACAGACCCTGTCCTTGCATCTTGTCATAGTACTTCTCCACGCACCTTCTCCCCAGACTATCTTCCTCTGACAATGCATGGAGACGACGTCCTCCACGGAGCGTGCGCTGAATCCCGCTTCGGACTAGCGCGACAGACGTCCGTTTTCGCGAGCGAGCGTGAACGAGCTCTGCTTGCATAGTACCGGCCGAGCAGCCGTTCGTTAAGCTTATTGGTTCTAGTGTTCCTCCGTGGCGTCGAAAAGGCATGAGCCTGTCTGACTAACACCGAGAGTGACGATCCTTGCAACTCATGGCCTCGCCACAATGCTGTACGGCGTGTGGCGATAAAATCAGGGGAGGAAGTAATACCTCCAACTCCGCCGGCAACAATGACTGAACAAGCGAATTTGGCGGGGTGCTGCTATGTCGTGTTATACCTAGCGTATATATTTTCTTCCAAGTAGTAACAACTATCACGTGCACGCAACAGCCCCTCTTCACGGCAACAGGGGGATGGATGCGCAGTCGAGTCGGCGTCCTAAGCCCCTATCCACCAGTCGACCTCAGGGGCCTTCGGCAGTCGCGCTATTTTGGATGCCGCGAAGCGGCTACAAGTTATTTGAGGATATAGACGATACCCGTTCGGCGCACCCCCCGGACGCAACGAGGAAGAGAACAGGATCGTCCCGGCAACGGTTCGCACTGCGTGAGCCGACGTGCGCGGAACGATCAGCGGCCATCCCGGCGCACGGTCGAACGACATGGATCGCTGTTCGCGAACCTACGCTCTCCATCCCACTCTCTTTTCACCAACAGGAAATAAGCTCTCCCCCGTTCTGTCTTTCGTCAACAACATGAAGATCGCAGTCTTGACACTTGCCCTGCTCGTGTCCACGGCGCATGCACTCCCGCTTTCGTATCGCGTCAAACGTGGCAGGTCCGTCGAATCGTCTGACAAGTTCAGATGAAGTTCGAACGTTGTTACTGACGAACCAAACGGCTTGGAACTCTTACGTTTTCAGTTTTCCGGGGGAAGGCGGCGCTGGTACCATGGCAAGGTCCGAAACACCAGCTTCGCCCAAACCTGCTGAACCCTTGCAAGCGGGATCAGCGCCGCCGCCGCCGAATATTGCGAAAGCGCCCTCGATGCCACCTAAGGCCGAACCCAAAGCCGCTCCCCAACAGTCTACGAATCTCAAGCAAAGCGCTTCGACTCCCAACATTGGTCCCTCGACTCCCGGCTTCGGAGCTTCTTCTCAAGTCAAAAGTGGTGGTAGCGTCGGCGGAGCGGTTGCTGCGCAAAAGCAAAATCCAGGCTCGTTTCCTTCGACATCGTCCAGCAAGGGTGCGCAAGCGTCGTCGGGCATGAACTTTGCAGGCTTGTCACAGGTTCATCCGTCACCTCCAGCTAATACGCCACCCAAGGTAACGACACCCAAGTCGAGCGAGCCTGTAGTACCCCCCAAGGTCGTAACCCCACCCCAGATCGTGAACCCCGTGGCTGGCAAGCCCCCCGCCGCACATCCGGATCAAAACTCGGAGACCAACACTCTTCTGGGCACGCCACACACTTCCGGTGCACATATCGCTACAGCTCAAACTCCAAAGAAGGATGCTGGTAAATCCGGACCATCTGTCGCGGGGTCAAAGAACCCTACCGAGGGAGGAAACAAGGGCTCGACGCTCGACGCAGGTTGGCCTGGAGGAAACAAGGCAAAGTCATCCACTTCGAATAGCTTCGATAATTCAGAAGAGGGCGGTGGCATATTACGTGGTTCGGGGAAGGGCATCAAGGAAAAATCGGGCCACACCAAGGCGAAGGAAGTACCGACCACCGGCCAGCCTATCGGCACATCGAAGGGCTCGAATGACGAAGAAGCGAACCGGGGTAAGAGCAGCGACAAGGGCTCGGTACATCCGGGCTCGACCAACATGACCAATCCTTCGACGGATGGGAAGAAGGGCATTCACTCGAGCAAGTCTTCGGACGACGGATCTCCCGATCTTCCGTCAGGTAGGGGTGTCCCATCACTCAAACATGCAGGCAAGTTGCCCAAGGATGCAAGCCCAAAACCGACCAACACTACCGACGACGGCTCGGGCTCGGACTCAGACGCCGACAAGGACAAGTCCACCGGCGACGGTGCGGACACCGACAAAGACAAGTCTGCCAATCCCAGTAGTCCGGATGACTCTACCCCGGATGAGTCTCCTCGGGACAACTCAACCTCACCAGGCACACCGGCCACCTCAACGCCCGATACCGACACCACCCCCGACTCTGATTCGGGTACTCCTACATCGGATAGATCTGGGGACGAGTCGAGCCTTCCTTCAGGCGATGAGGAGACACCCAGTAGCACCTCGGGCTCTCCGCTCGGTCTCAACGGTCTCGGCAGCGGCAGCGGCAGCGGGACCACTCCCGATCTTTCAAGCTCGACTCCGGATACTACCAGCCTGGGATCGACGCCGGACACGGCATCGAACGATTTGCCAGATTCGGGATTATCGAACACTGGGGCGGATGGTCTGGGTTCCAGTTCAATCCCCGACGCCGCTTCCTCGGACTCGTCGCTTCCTAATTCAAGCTCTTTGCCGGATCCGAGTTCGCTCAGCGAGACGCCAAACACCGACGAGAGCTCGCTTCCTGGTATGAACGATACGAGTGATGCGGGTCCTTTGCCAGACCTCGCGGGGGATGACAACTCGACGTTGCCGGACGCTACCGACATTATGGACAATTCCACTACCGCCGCGCCGGATGACACGGCGAACGACACCACGGATGATAGCTCGGATAGCACTTGCGACCTCTTTTGTACCTTCTGGAAAGAGTGAGTTTGACTAGAATTGCTCGCGACCTGCATCAGTGCTAAGCGTTTTCAACTGATTTTGATCCAACAGTAAAAGCGGATGCACCAAGACGTGCAAAGCAATGCTTCAAGGGCTAAAGGAAGCGCAAAACTCGACCGACACCGAGTCGTCTTCGAGTCTCGATGGCGCTGACGATACCCCCATGCCAAGTGGTTTAGGGGACCTGCCTTCCGACAATAGTACCTCCATCGGCAATAGTTCATCTGAGGGTCTGAAGGATATCTCTGATACCGATAACTCCTCCGGAGCGGGCAAAGATACCAGTGCGTCCGACCTCGGCAAACTTCCTGACGTCGACAACAGCACCGACCCGAGCGGTTTGGACGGCACGAACAGTACCCATCTTATGGGAACGCCGGATTCATTGAACTCGACCGACGCTCTCACTGATACTCCGAATGGCATGGGGGCCGCTGTCGACAGCTCTGGGGATAGTTGCGACCTTCTTTGTGGATTTTGGCAAGAGTGAGTCCCGAGACATTGCTCTCTGATGACTCGATCCGGGGCGGGAATTGACCAGTCTTCTTCTCCTGGGATGATGTGTGAACAGCAAATCCGGGTGCCTCAAGACTTGTCAAGCGATGACAGCGGGATTGAAAAAGGCCAAAGATGAGAAGACCTCGGGTGACGATAGCGGCGACGATCCTTCAGACCTGTCCGACCCGAGTGGGCTAGGAGACTCGAGCCCGACCGACGATCAGGATCCGTCGGGTGATAGTTCGGATGACCCGAGCACCGCCGATGATTTGACGGACAAGGGTGCGCCGGATGATGGACTAGGTGACAACACCGATGACACCAAGGACAGCATGAGTGATGTCACGAAAGACTCTGAAAATGGGAAGGGGAAGAAGAAGGGTAAGAAAGGGAAGAAGGGGAAGAAGGGGAAGAAGGCTAAGAAAGCTGGAGAGCAGGATGGGGCTGAAGGAGCTCCAGAGTCAGACTCGTATTGGTGAGCCAGGGTCACCGCATTTCTTCGGTACTATCTGCTGCGGATGGACTGACACAGTACGCCGCGAACGCAGATCAATCCCTCCGGTGGCCGAAGTGAATCGTGAAGAGCATTTCCTAAATACATGGTTGTGTTTTTGCCCAGTACATATCAATGATCCGTGCTGAAATTGAAGGACCGTTCAGTCTCACTACCGTTTCATACGATTGAGCGCCGCGCGGCTCAGCTTGGAACAGGATATGCCTAGGTTGGACTGGCTGCTTTCAATTGCAAAATCAAGCGCTTGGCAACATTTTTATTTAATACCTCGGACGACCTCCACCCCCTCCCCCTCCTCCAACAGGTCTTGCACCATACCCATAATCCGGTTCCCCCCTGCCCCCTTGTTGATGCGACGGACTCGCCTGTCTCATACCTCCTCTCTTAGCGCCCCGTCTCGCCCCTCCATTCCCCCCCTCGTCCCTAGGTCGAGGAGGAATCCCCAACCTTTCCCCCGGTAATCCCGGACCCGGTGCGGTACCCGGTAACATCGTCGTCGCGATGACGTCGACCATCGTAGCGGGGTTGATGAACGGGCCTGTGAAGGTACTTGCGTGGGGGAGGATGGAGAGGAAGAAGACGACGGCGTCGGGGAGGACCGCGATGGCGTCTCCGTGGGCATCGAGTTTGTAGGGCACCGGTCGGTTCAGGGTCGATGTTGCATCGTCGATTGCGGGTGATGCGGTTGATTTGGGGGGTGGTCGTCGACGCACGATGTCACCGTCTGGTAGACGAGGACGAGACGGTCCTCCGCGAGCGGCTTCAGAGTCCGGCGTTTGAGCTCGGTTCGAGCCGGAGCGTCCCCAGGGTCGCAGACCGGTTGCAGTGCGCTCCTCGTGTGCCGCCGTGGGTTGGGGTGATTCGTCCTGGTGGGCGGCCTTGTGCCGTTTCGAAGCGTAATCGTGGCGGTCGACGGAGGCTTCTCGTTGATCGACTGCAGCGTGAGAGACATCGATGGACGCTTCTCGTTTCGTCGCTCGGCCCCCACCCACACTCAAGAACTCGTCCTTCCGCTCACCAGAGGCGGAAGAGAACGTCGTCCCCAATTCTCGAGCCACAGCAGCTTCTAATCCATGTTGACCATATCGCCTCGCAAACGTCTCTGTCACCGATACCTCTGGGAAAGTCTCCGCGAACCTCTTTGCAATCTTTTGCGCTGCAAGATGATCCCCATATTCATACTCGTACTGAGCCATGCGATCCCAAACCGCGCGAGCTTTACTAGGTTCCACGAGCGCGACCGTTCGTTCGAACAAGGCTCGAGCATTGTTGGGGTTGTTGGTCATGATGAGGAAATCGAGGTAACGGAGCACATAGTCCGGGTCGGCGGAGAAGGATTTCATCCCGAATTCGAAGATGTTGCCCGCAACTTGGGCCGCGTTGTTCCAAAAGTACTCGATGCGTGCTGAACAGAATCGGAGAGGTGATTAAGCCTATGGCACCTCGTCGATTTCAGTCGTGTCGCACCCCTCGACTTACCCGAAGCATCCACGACCTGCCAAGTCACATACGGTGACTTTCTCGCCTTTGAGAAAACCGATCTGAACTGTTTGACCGCCTCATTCCCCGGTGTCGCGCGTCTCGCGAACGTCATCTGATTGACCCAAACGCTCGCGACGGCCTTCTTGTGCGTCTCCAGAATCGCCTCGCGTTGGTTCTCGATCCGTTTCTTGATCTCGTCCTTCTCCTGTACCCTCTTTTGCCTCGAGTCATCATCGTCTTCTTCCCCTGCTCCATTCTCCCTCCGTACCTTGTTATCGAACTCTTCGTCCAGCCTATTCCAAGCCTGCGCGACCAACTCGTTCGTCTCTTCGACCGTCTGCGTCAAAAGACGATGGAAATGTTCCAACAAGCCTTCATAGACGCGATAACACGCATCAAGGTTATTATGCCCTTCGTCCACTTCGACGAGTTTATAAGCCAGCAACAAACTACCCGGATTGGCCTTGAGTCCATTCTCCAATAACGTTTTCGCTTCGTCCGTCTTACCCAAACGGGTGTGGTAATCGGAAGCGAGGTACCAGATCTCGGAAAAGAACCTCATGTTCGCCAGGGCTTTCTTGTAGGCGAACCCGACGCGCGCATGCAAGAGGTTCGGATCTTCGAGATCGAGCGGGTTCGATTCTTCCCATTTGAGATACGCTTTCCACAACTCGAGGTCGGAACGGTCAGATGGGGTCGACCAATCAGGTTGGTGCGGCAGTGCTGGGGTCGCCAGTCGACCGAAGTGGGCTCGGAGTTCTCGCAACGCTTTGCGAGCGGTCATGTACGCCGGGGAGAGCTCGGCGAGGAACTTTTTGGCCTGTTGCAGAAAAAGCGATGCGTGTGCCATGATCACCATCAGCCTCCTGAATGAATGATGTGCGGGTAGTAGTTCGTGGGACTGACCGTCAATTTGCTCAAGTTGTTCTCGAAAGCGCTGTATTCTTGCCAGATTTGTTCGACGTTCTCGACCGGGATCTGAACTGCGCCCTGCAAGACCTTGCGCAGCGCGTCCATTCGCTGTTGGTCCTCCCATTGAGATCCTCGACCCTGCTCAGTAAAAGACCGCATCGAGATGAGCGCCATCTGCTGAGAGTGAGACCTCTTGATACACGTTACTTACCGAACCCTCTTTCAAAAACTCGAGATACTCGGACCACAAGCTCCCCGCCTCTCGATCTTGTCCCACGTGCTGCAAAGCAAATTCAAAGCTCTTGGCGATCGTCGCTCTGGCTTGTTTGGCCGCTTCAGGTTGGGCCAAATCGATGGGGTTGCGTCGACGGACGAAATCAAGGTAGAACTTCCATAGCTGGATCGAGGTGGAGGGTCGGAGACAGCGGATGAAAATGTCTTGGACGTGGTCAAAGAGGCCGTGCGAGAGCTCAAGATCGCAGTAAGAGATCCATTGACGGGCCTGAACGAGGTATATCGAGAGCATGAACGCGACACGGGGAGTCGCATTGCGATATCGACGGGGCGCGAGTCAGCTCTCTGATTGCCGGGCACCGGATACTCGGTGTGGTTGTGGCTCTCCTCTGCTCAAGGGTGACTGATCGCATTGCTGGATCTCGGATGGTGTGGGGCTTGGAATGACACACGGGGTCCACACAGAAAGCGAGAGCATACGCAGAGTAGCCAAGACGAGCACTCACCGCATCGGGGAACACTTTGAGGAAGCTCTCGTAGACCTCTCTCGTCTTTTCGAGGTCGCCCTTTTGCTCGACCTCGTGGAGAAGGGCGAGCTGGGCCTCGTGGTCGTAAGGATCCTTTTCGATCCTAGCCGAGAGCTGCGCGACGCGGGACAGACCGACGAGCGATTTGGCTTGTACGGCTCTGATGAGCGAGGACGGAGCGGCGTTGGTGGCGTTCGCGGAGGAGGATGAGGCAGCCGGTTCGAGCGATGCGCGGGCGGAGCTGGACGGGTCATAGACGTCTTCGGTGGTGGCTCGTGCGAGTTGGGGCTGAAGTGCAGCCAAGGGCATGCTCTCATCTTGTGCTGGTTGCTGTGGGGGGGCTGTGGCCTCCCCGGCCTCGGCGGCCTCGGAGACTGGCTCTACGGCCTCGGTGGTGAGGGTGACGGAGGAGCGTTCGCCGGCTGTGGCTCCTTCCGACGAGGGATGATCGTCAGCCTCGGCCTGTTGAGCTTGATCATCGGGCGAAAGCTCTGTCAGCTCTGTCGGTAAAGTTGTAGTGGTCGTAGTAGTGGGTCTCGCCTCGTCGTGGTCATGGTCGATCGCGGCGGGCAAGGGCGCGGCGATCGCAGCCTGCATCGATGATGACGACGTATCAACGGGTGGAGCAGCAGCCTCGACAGCCTCGGAAGGAGCCGTCGCAGGAGCGTCTTCTGTCACGTCCATGCTGGGCAGGGGATACGGGAGAGAGAGAGAAAGAGAGAGAGAGAAGAGAAAGACAGCGCGCGCGTCAAGTGCGCCGAGTGGTGCGAGGTAGCCCAAAGTATAAAAGTATAGCTAGCCACTTACTAATCAGTAATCAGTAGCCCCCAGTATTATTAGCAGTCTCTGCTCGGCCCAAAGCTGGTCTAACCCAGTCGTACTGGTAGGCTATTAGGCCGACGCGGCGACCGTCCAGGGCCTGGTCGGACCCCATCCAGCCCTCCCACCGCCTGTGCCACCCCCTGCACGTGCACTGGATCGTGTGCACACCTCCGAACTGAACCCCATCGCTACCTTGGCCCCTTCAGCCCTGCCTGGCCTCCACTCGCACGATGTCGCACGAGCAGCGGTCCCGTTCCCGTTCCCCGTCGTCGAACCCGTTCAACCAAACGCTCGATGCGTTGCCATACTATGACCGTGACCTCGAGTCACCGCAACACCAGCGTCAGTACTGCTGCCGCACTGTGCGGTCCCCGCGTTCACAGCGAACCCGATCACTGAAACTGCTGCCTCCTCCGCTCTCGTCCCCTCCAGCGCTCCGAGGCGAGATCAACTCGCTCATCGCGATCGAACTGCGTTCCATCCTCCCCCCTTCCTCCTCCGCCTCCCAACAACCGACGAACCTGACCCATCTCCCCGCACCCCGTTCGCTCCCCATCTCCATCTCCGCCTCCTCCCCGCTCCTCGCCTCGGAGCTCGCCCGCGCCCGGTCCAAGAAACCGCTCCCCTCCACCATCGGCCTCGATACCACCCGTTATGCGATGCCCGATCCGCCGACCGAGAACGCCGACGATCTCGAAGCGTGGGAGCGCGCTTACAAATCCAGTTTGGCCCAACTCGAACACCAACGCCTGCGCTCGATGAACGGCCACTTGCTCGCTCAACCGTTCGGCGCGAACGCGTGGAAGGTGCACAACTATGCGCTAGAGAACACGCTCCAACGCGTCGATGCGCAATTGCAATCCGAGAGGGACCAGGTCGATGATCTGAATAGGAAACGTAAAGCCGAACAGGACAAGGCCGGCGAAATCTTGACGAGCTTGGAGAAAAAGTGGACCGAGTTGGTCAGTGGGAATATGCAGCTCGAGATTGGGTGCATGACTTTGTGAGTCTGGTCGCTCTCATCGTTCGTGATGCCTCTCATTCGTCTACTCACACCGCTCTTTTCTGATTCTCAGGGAAGCCCAAGTCGCCGAATTGCAAGCAAGGCATGCCGAGCTCTCACATCGACTTCAGACTTCAGCTTGAGCGGGGGATCGCCATCTTTGTAATATCACACACACACTACCTCAAAGTACGCTCCAAGAGAGCCGTATGTTTTGAACTTACACCTCACCGACCAACCTATTCACCGGTCCTTTACATACGCTACCCCCCTCGACTCAGTCCGCCAACCGAGCAAGTGCCTCCCCTTCCAAGCGCATACCTTCCCATTCCTTCTTCTATAAAGCACGGGGAGCAGAGTTCGACGTGTCAGATCGGTTCATGACAGCTCGAGTCGACGAGAGGAACTTGCGTGTTGGGCCCCCATCGCCTGGTACACTTTCTTCGCGGGCTCGTTCCAGTCTAGACGAGAGAGAGTAACGATTTTGGCTCAGTCGTGGTAGGGGATCTTGTGTCCGCCAGGAAAGAGGATCGTCACTACTGACCGAGCACGACCCTATCGTGTGAAGAAACCCATCTCCGCGCCACGATCAGTATCCGACCAAACTTCCTCGCCGAACTCCTTGCGCTCGCACGAAACTCACCAATCCATCCGAGCCAAATCCTTATCTTTACAGATCTGTCCCAAATACTTGAAGAGCGCCTGGAGAGAGGAGACGTCAGATATTCGCCTGCCCCAACAACCGCCGTCGCCCGGGGGTGAACAGCGCATCCGAACGGACTTTTCCAACACCCTTGCCACGAGCTTCTTCGCGCACGAACAAGTCTTCGAGATCTGAACGATGAAGGAGCTTGGTAAGCGAACCTTCACACAAATGAATTCAGGCCTTCGGATTTACTTACATAGACCACCTTTACCCGTCCAAGTCTGCGAATGCGGTCGTTGTAAAAAAAAGTGCCGCCCCACATGATCAAGATCGATCGATCGTCGGCATCGTTGTTGTAGGCACCGCGTGAAGAGCAATTCCGACAATCAGCCTCCATCTCTTTCATACGACCACCCACACCCAAATTTACAACCCCAATCGACTCACGGAGAAGGTATAAAACCACACCGCCATACCCAACGGCTTCGAGTCCCCTCCCTCCTCCTCATAAACCAACACGCACTGCGCGTACTTGCCCCCCTTCCCTTCCTCTCCCTTCCCTTCCTCCCCGAACAACGATCGACGCAAGAGTGGTAAAGTCGCTTCTACGGCATCGGGTTCCTTCTCGTACGTTGCGAGCGCTTGGATGAGTTCCAACGTTGGGGGAAGGGTCGTGGACGCGTTCGAAGGGGTCACGAGGACGAAGTGGTAAGCCATGTCAGGAGGTGCGGTGGGGAGTGTCTTGGATAGTTGGAAGAAAGGGTTATGTACAGGGGAAAAGCCGCCGGGTTTCGTGCGTTGATCAAGAGAGGAAGCGCGAGAGGAAGCGCGAGAGGAAGCTGCGATCCTTCGGGAATCGTCCAGTGGTGGATGAAGTTGACTCGAGCATCTACGTCAGGGCCGGAGCGAATTTAAAATGTTTCTTTTTTTCCACATGCATCCCCTCCGTCTGAAGGTAAACAGCAGTGATTTCACAAAACAAAACAAAAATGTCTCTTGAATATCTACAGAACAATTCAGAGTCTAAATGAGAGGGAGGACCCCACCTGGGCCAAGCGGTCATTCTTCGGGGTCCGAGATCACGTGTGGACGTACTTGCGGCTCATCGTCGGTTTCACGCCCCCTTTTTCATGACCGTTCAGTTCATCGTCAGTTTCCAAGAAAGAACGTAGGAGAAGTACTCGAGCAAAAACTTACAGCCAAAGAGCACGAAAGGCATCCAAGCCAATCGAGCGAGCTTGAAGAAATGGAAGACCCTGTGCTCGTCATCCCCGGTCATCGCGTCAGTTCCATCATCCCAACCGCACATTTCGCGCCAGAACAGTACTTACACAAGCCAAATGAGCAGTTCGGCATAAGTGAAGAACGCCAAACCCGAAGTGCCGTGCTCGCCGAAGGCGGTGCGCTTGATCCAATTGATCACGTCGATCCAGGTCTTCATTGATTTGGGCAACGGTCGAGTACGCTTGTCGAGTAGGAAGAGCATCAGGACGCGAGCGAATACGCCGATGTGGAATGAGCCGACCGTGCCACTGCGAGAGCGGTTGAAGCTCCGTAAGTCACGCTGTATGTTCAGCAGAGTAGGGTCGAGGTGCTTACATTGCGTCGAGATAGGCCGCGTTGGTCAGAAGAACACTGCAATCCTCGGTAGAGAACATTTGGATGTAAAGGTTCGGCGGCTGGTAGTCTCGGGCACCCTCGACACTATTACAGAATAATCGGTACATCTGGTCAGACTCACGCTCCATTCAAATGTTCAAGGAAGACACATACGGGAACAAGTCCTTGGGAAGGAAATCGATGCTCGGGCGTTCATCTGCAAAACTCGTGACGACCAGGTCAGTGCCCCCCCCCCCCCCCCCCCACTCACACACGCAGGAAGCGATCAACACAACTCACATCCAGTCGCAAAGACAACGATATCCGCAGTCACGACGGTATCAATGCCTTCTTCCCCAATATCCTGATCCCTCTCTCGCTCACTGAAGCGCACACCTTGCGCAGTGAATTCTTGCGTGTCGCCTCGCTTGTACGCGATCTTGCCTTCTCGAATGTGATCCAAAAAGTCGTTGTTGACGATGGGGGTACTGTGAGCAATCAACCGTTTCAGCATCGAGCTAGTCGACGTCAAGGTTCGACGTAATACGGGGCTCACCCTTCGAAAATACCTTTCCTCTTCGGAGACAGGTTGACCAGGTCTCGGTAGTGGAACGAGCGAATGAACCATTCAGGGATGAAAGATAGGGGCTGCGAGTCGGTCCAGTTTGCCCGTCAGGGCTTGTGTGATCGATGAGACGCATCGGCACAACTCACCATCTCGCGACCGAAAGGTTGGAGGGAAAGGAGAACGTCGAACACGGTCGATCGTGGAATGACCCACTTGTCCGTTCGGGCGAGCACGACGACTTCGGACGCCTGTTTGGACACGGCTAGCTCGGCGGCTTCCACGCCCGAGGCGCCTGAGCCGAGGACGACGACTTTCTTGCTCTTCAAATCACCTATCGAGTCAAGTTGAGAAGAGTGCTGTGGAAGGAGAGGCGGAGCATGTGCCAAGTCAGCCTTACAGTTATTGACGCCGAGTCAAGCCGAACGGTGTGTTGCACTGACGAGAAGTCTGCCTTTGAATTTGTCCTTGTGAGGGAAATCGATCCACTTGGGGGTTCCGCACGTGCCAACAGTCGCAATAACAGCATCGAAAACACCGTCTTCTCCATCGTTGACGATCCAGCGCGCATGACCACCCTTGTTAGGGTCCGTGGAGGAACCTTCGTCTCGAACGATCTTGGTAACACGGGTCGAGAGCCTGGTTCGGGAACCAAGGTGGTATCTCTCAAACACGGTTTGAATCTTGGACACGATCTCGGGCTGTTGAGGGAAACCACATGACCAACGAATGGAAGGGTGGAACCGGTACAGGAGTGAATTGAGTTGCAGCGACGAGGTTGAATTGACATTGGCCCAGATGCCACCGATTTTCTGGAGCAAAGGTGAACAAATTTGCGGTCAGCATCCATGCACTCCGGGGAGAGGCACTCATAAGCTTCCCATTTCCATCGAGATTCGACTCACATCATCGGCTTCGTAAATGACGACGTCGAAACCATGCGCTACGATATGGGCCGCCGAGGAAATTCCGCTCAGTCCAGCGCCGATGATCGCAACTCGGCCGAACGGCTCGACTCCATCGGGAAGAGGGCGGTACTGGGGGGTTGGAAAAACAGGTGCAGGAATCAGTTTAGGATTCTTCGCTGACATGTTGCAGCGACCATTCGTTCCGACTGCTGCCGCGTCGGTTCGGGCTCCCGAGTCTATCGACGGGTTCGTGCGAGGGCTCCGAGATCCCAAATCGGAGCTGCACGGGCAGTAGTAGTATGTACTCACAGGTGCAGTAAAGAGAAGATCCACACCAGCCTGATAAATTTGATACCCGACATTACAAAGTGCATAAAACAGATTGAGGAATGCGTTGAACCAAGTCCAAGGGCTGATCAGATGCAACACGTTAAGAACCGCTTGACGCGAGGCGTTCCATGATGACGAGGTCGCCGAGGTTGAGAACGAACGACGGCCACGACGGGTCGGCTTACGTAGGTCTTCTACAACCGTATCGGATGAGGCGGAGCTGAGAGGTGGTGAGTTGTGCGATGAGGTGGCCATTATGATCGCTGTGTTTTTGATGTGCAGAGGCGGACATGGGGCGAGGCGGATGGACGCGATTTCACGCCGGACTCACCACTGCACGCCATAATTCGCGACGCCCGGAGTGACGTATTCGCGGCCTGCCAGTCGGGGGTCGGGGTCGACCACGTTCCCGAGCCCGCCGAAAGCCGAGCCCTCGCGCCTGCTGGATGCAGACCTTTCATCAGCCATCGAGACGAGATAGTTGTTTGAGATTTGTTTAGTGGATGTTTCGGGTTGTAGATCCTCATGTATCATAATGGAGGCGTTTGCACGGGAAGAGACCAACTCCTCGGAGCTGCAGTAGGCGAAGAGCTGGCGCCCACACGACTCGGAGCTTACCCCTGATGAGACAACAACTCATTTGCATGGCGTGATGAACAAAGAAAAAGAAAAAAACAAGCTGAAGAGGAAACACGACTCAAGCCAAGACACCCAATCGATTGAGCACAGCAGCCATGCCCATCGTACTCATTCCAGCGAACCACTGAGGAGGAAGATAATTTTTGTCGGCGCCAATATCAGGTCACGTGGCCTTGGCACCGGGCGATGCTAAACACACTGACCTTGACGGTGTTAACCATGGCGTTGATGGGAGGGACAACCAACAAGAGACCCGAGGATCCAGGGTCGGTCGGGATGTTGTCTGTGTAGCAAGCGGAGGGGGCTGGGCAATCGGTTCCTAGGTGGTGGACCTCAGAAGAGCCTGCTTGGTACCCTGCAAGTCTCACCTTCTTGCTTTGTGATGTACCAGAGGTTATCGGCACCTTTCCTCAGATCCACTCGTACAAGGAAGCGCACGTGAAAGACCTGTCGAAGCGCTTCCGGTGAGTGGCTTGACGCCCGAGAAACTCGCGAACTGGCAGCTCGAACGCACCGGATTACGCGCTTCGGGAAACGGTAGGAAGCGGAGCTGCAAGTGTTCGGTGAGATCTAAGGAAGGATGTAGAATTTCAGAAGGGTTCTATGTGTGCTCCACGCGTGGGTCCGAACTCACCAATCAAGCAAGCCCGAGTTTCGCCTCCCTTGCTCTTCGTAACGTCTTCGAAGGCGACGGCGTGGTACTCGATCTTGTTGTTGAGGGTCAAGGCTCGGAGCATTCGATACGCAGCTTTGACGCCGTCTTTGCCCTGGGCGCGCGGTGAGTTGAGCATGGGATGCACGATCACTGTTGGGGCCACGGGGAGAGGAGAGAGATTCTTTCAGGTTCGGGCTCGGAGATGAAATTCGTCGAGGGGCCACCGTCCCCGATGAGAAGTCAAACGTACCCGAGTCACTGAGATAGGATCAAAGAGTATGATCAGTTGCAGGATGTAGAGAAACTTTGAACGAGGACGTCTTTGGCACTCACTCTGAAAAGTAACGATCGACGGAAGCGAGAATCTTGGCCGATTCCCTCGGCTCGGTGATCTTGCGTACGACGTTTCGGATCTCACTTGCAGGGTTCTCCATGGCGCCTCGAGGGGTGTGGTAGACTGTTGCGATTTGATTCTGTGCGCTTCCATACGGCATACGGCAAGGACAAGTACGACATTCAGTTCAGCTTGTCCGGAGTTCGCCGAGCTTCCCGTAGTCACGGTCACGGTTGCGAATGCCGGGCGACGGGCGTGGTGGGATACGCACGATGGGGAGGGAGTCGGACTGCAAGGTAGGATGCCCCCGATTAGCACATTCAGACAATAGGTGAGCTGTTTCAATTGACGTACCTTGTTTGGGTCTCCGCGAGCGATTGTTGTGGACGGGAGAGGGGAAGATGAGCTTGAGAAGACCCCGGCACGCCTGGGGATCATGACGATGTTCCCGGCGAGAGCTGACCGAGTTGCGCGCATCATGAGCTCCGAATTCTCCGCCGAAACGCCAAACAGAACGTCAAATGGCCAAAATATGGACTGTTTGATGTCTGGAGCTACCAAGCCAAAATTAATCTGCACGCTGTATTACACCATAGCCCACTGCTGAACCTCCGTGTCCGCGTCACAGGTGAAGCAGTGCCAGCGCGCCAGCAGGCCCACCGCGTACGTGCGGCTGAGAGTCTCACTGCACGTACTACATCATCAACTTTACCACTTCCCGATGCGCGGCTAGATCTGTCTAAATGACTTTACCGCTCACAAAATGACCGGATCGTCTGAATCGTTCTGAATCGTTCTGGAAAGTGTCTAGATTCACCACATCGTCACACTGAAGTAGCAACGTGTGCAATGAATTGTCTTCGCTGTCACGGTCTTATACACACTAGTCAGAGTCTTATACCACACGGCAGGCAGTAGTGCACATATCCTGATGTAGTCATTGCAAACACAGTCATAATTTTTTTTCCAGCAAGTGGGTGCCATTAATCGGAGCATACACAGTATGTACTGACATTTCAAATGCTATATAGGGGCTCTTTTATTCGTCGGCCCACCCGCCGCACGTTGCTCCGCATCACCCCTCCCTCTGATCTTTGAGGATATTGACAAAACTCTCACCAATATACCAGTAGTACAGAAAAAGCATTGAAAGTCATTTTCGGGTTTGCATTGTACAGAAAAAGCATCGAAAGAAATCTGACCCTCGCGGACCGACTTGAGCGCCGTCCGTCCCAATCACCTTTCGTCCGCTGAGAGGCAGAAGACGAAAGGTGATATCAGGTGACGACTATTGAGTGGTTAGTTCTGGCTAAAGAGAATATTACAGTCTCCAACATTTTCGCTCCGCAAGGCCAAGAAGGGTTGGTCGCGCTTGCCTGCGTCGAGCCCACCCGTACGCGCGCCTAGGGTGCCTCGTGCTAGGTGCCAGCGTCGACGACTCAGGACGACTCGAGACGACTCGTCCTCGACGCGCTCGTTGCCGTGCGAAGGTTGTGTTTACTCGCGCCTTTCCCTCCTGCCCTTCACTGCTTTTCGCCACCTTTACGCCAGCGTCCCCCTACTCGACGCTCTCCTCGATTCTTTTTATCACCCATCCACATTCCAACAGGTCACCGTGATCATGCCACCACGCGGGGTGGTGAGGAGGATGCTCAAGTGGAGGTTGCAGTCGCCAATGAGGCGGCACAAATGAGCACCTAGTAAGTCGGTCCTATACCATCTGTGCCAATAGGCCTGCTACTTTTGATAAATGATCTCAGATAGGCCCAAGCGTAAACGCGCTCGCACCGCCTCGGCTAACTCAGGGGCTCAACCGTTGTCGAAGAACTGGCGTATCGCAAAGTCGGTTACAGCTACAGCGAGACAGTCTGCTTACTTCTCACACTGGCCGGTGGTATCTTGGTCTCGTGACATGGCTTACAGCTCCTACCTTGAAGCCTCGATCGCTAGTACTGCCGCCCCGCCGTCGAGCCTGACTGGGTGAAACCGCTTGCAGCGATGCCAGGAGTCGTATTCGCCGGCAGACGACTTCAAAGGGACGACCTGTCCGACGACAACATCGAGATTGATCCTTTCTTACTGTCCGATGAAGACAATATTTACGAAGATGCTGCTGTTCACGATGACCTCGACGCAGACGATGACGGCGACGATGGTGTCCTCGAGTGGTGCCCAAGGTGAGTGCGCACATCCACAACAACAATTGATTACAGTCGTATATCAACCCAATGCTAAGTGCTAGCCTCTGCTCGATACGTGAATTCAAATCGCGCAGAATTTCGAAAGGGACATCTTTCGAAAGGTTAGATGACCGTGCCCCCTGAGCTGGCTTTGAGCTTTTTCTGACGGACACGGTTAGCAACAGATGCAGGTCCCCGCCGCGTTCCTCCCGCACAAGGCCACTCCATCTCGAGGGCGCCCAAAGCGCGCACTGTTCTTGGTGAGGATGACAGCCCGTTTGCAGTCCACCCCTCACCTTTCTCATCTCACCCCACGGGCGCCATCGTGAAGTCGACGCCATCGTCGGCCCGGTCGCAATATCATGTGCACTACCCTCAGCTGATCCCATGGACAGTTGCAAGCTCACCTACTGTTGCGACCAGCCCTGCTCCTTCATTGGACGGTGGTAAGCCCTTCGCCTATGGCGGCAAACCTTTCCTCGCTCCGCCCTTGGGTCGTCCGTCACGGAGCCGCCGAACCCGCGCGTTGGACAACATGACGCCAGATGAAGACAAGGTGGCTGGCATATGGTGCAAGCACCAGTTTGCGCAAAGCATCCGCCGCAGATCTGGACTGTGGGTCATATCCCACTGAAGTCCGTTAACCGTTGGACCAAATTGCTACAAAGCTTCCGATCGCGTCCTTCACCGTCAATGATGTCATCGTTGCCACGGTAAGTCACATGTTTGCCCGGAGATTCAGAAACACCTGCTGCATCATCAGTTCATTCCAACATGAAAGGGTCTCTGACATTCCATGCAACTTCTTGCTGGCTTTAGCTGCGGTGCGTGCTGGGCAAGTTGCTTTACACGGCGGACAAGTTCTCTGCGGAGGTCTACGGACCAGTCGTCTTCAAGATCATGGATCACTGCTATGATGGTTCGTATACCTCGATTACAGGTGTGTCATTGCAATGTGTGTGGACTAGCGTCGCAGCTTGGGTTGGGCACAGAACTTCGTCGATTGACGGAGGCCCGGCTGAGGCCGCCGCTGAAGCGGCTTCGTTCGGATTTGCCTAATTTGTGCTCTTAGAAGAACGTAGAATCTAACCCCCTTCTCTGTAAATGCAATGTGATCATACCATTGTACATAACCCTACCTGAATATGTCATAATTGGTCTGAAATGGCACTGGAAATGTTCTGAAATGGCACTGGAAATGCTCTGGAAATCCACTGGAAATGCTCTGAAAGCTCTGGAAGCGCTCTGAATGCCTGAATTTCCAGACAAAATCTAGAGCAATCTAGCAGCGCAGGGCTGAATGCGCTTTACGCGCTTTACGGCTGAATTGTTCTAGATCGGCTCTGAATTGCTCTGAATTGTTCTGAAGCGCGCGTGGTAAAGTTGCTGATAGTACTCACGTCCCGACGACGGGCGGCACGGGCCGAGCGGCTTCTCAGGTGCCCAGATAAAGTTATGACGATATAAAGATTCGTGTTAAAATATTGCATGATTACTGGAACAGTTTGGTGAATTTTGAACGGCCTGAGTTTGCCAGCCGGCACGCAGTGTGCCATGAAAGTGGGTCCTAGTGCCGCTTGCAGTGAGTAGCTCTAATTCCTAACAGCGTTTTGCAATTGTGAGCGCGTCTCGGCCTGTCTCGCCCCGGCGGGCACTGGCGGACACCCTCCGCAAACGAGGCGCTCCCCTGCGTCCCGTCCCACCCACGTCGCCTCCTCGCCCGTCCCACCCCACCCCGACTTTTTGCATATCGCCATGTCTGCGATCCGATCGTCGATCACGCTCTCTGCGACATCACGCACGCTCGCGACGGGCGTACCGTTCGCGCGCGGGTTGAACCTCGCTGCGCCGGCGGGCGCTTCCGCCGCGCACCACGGTCACGGCGATGCCTCGGCTCGTTCCGACTTTGGGCAGATCCCGACGTGGTCGCAAAAGACCGAGCTCAAGTCGGTTGGTGGTCTCGTTTCGAGGGCCAGCGTGAATGGTGAGTGCGCAGTCGTCGGAACTGTGACTGTGCGCCGTGCTCCGCCTAGCCCATCGCCCATCCCGTCGCTGCCTGCGAGCGGGCGTCGATTCGGAAGCGTCGGGATTGGCCTAGCCCAGCCAAACGGGTCCGACCTCGACTCCGACACGCCTGCAGGGTGCCACGAGTAGGGCGAAGGGGGAAAGCATACGTGAAAGTCGAAACCGGAGGGGGATCATGCACTCGATCCATATATGCACTCGTCGCTGCGGGTACCAGGCGCGGGATGGGGGGTTCCGCCGCGACGAGGCGTTTTGTCGATCGGGGCCGGCTCAACGGGGGCGGAACGATTCGGACTCACTCCTCTGCTGCACACGCCATCGCACGCCCCGTCCTGGACGACTCGACATGATGGAGTTGGTACGATGCCGACGATGCGATGCGCCTGGGCGGGCCGGATGCTGCTGCACGTGCACCGCTCGACCGTCTATTCCGCATCATCGGCCCGCGATCGCATACCCACCTGTCCACCTCTCTCCACGTCCACAACACCATATTCGAGCCCATGGCCATCTCCATTGACATTCAACTGACTGCCTCGTTGATCTGTTCTCCTTCATTCAGCCTTGCCCGCCCGCCCCTTCCAACCGCGCTTCATGTCGACCTCCTCCCAGCAGCTCGCACCCACGACCCAGGTCCCCGACTTCACCCCCTACACCAAGGGCACAACCGAGACCTCGGGCCGAGCCTACTCTTACTTCCTCGTTGGTGCCATGGGTACCTTGACCGCCGCCGGTGCCAAGTCGACCGTCGCCGATTTCTTGACCAACATGAGTGCCTCGAGTGATGTCTTGGCTTTGGCCAAGGTCGAAGTCGACTTGAGCGCCATCCCCGAGGGCAAGGTATGTCGTTGTACGGAGAGCGTTAGATCGGGACGTAGCAGAGACTGACAGGCCCCGGTTACCCTGTCGCACGCAGAACGTCATCATCAAGTGGCGCGGAAAGCCCGTCTTCATCCGTCACCGTACCGCGGATGAGATCGAGGAGGCCAACAACGTCGACATCAAGTCGCTGCGTGACCCCCAGACCGATGCCGACCGTGTCAAGAAGCCCGAATGGCTCGTCATGCTCGGTGTCTGCACCCATCTCGGTCAGTCCTTTACTTTGGGTCTGTCCAGACGCTTCCCGATGTGCTGCTGATTCTCGGGCTTCCACCTTGCACCCAAACAGGATGTGTCCCTATCGGAGAGGCCGGTGACTACGGAGGGTGGTACTGCCCCTGCCACGGATCGCACTACGATATCTCGGGCCGAGCGCGACGTGGGCCGGCGCCGTTGAACCTCGAGATCCCCGAATACGAGTTCGAGGAGGGAGATTCCAAGCTCATCATCGGTTAAAAAGGAATCTTCGCGAGACCGGGTCGGAGATAGAAAGAAGATGAGGTGGTGTATGTGTTTTGTGTATGTTTTTCTCTCTGGTTAGGGAGTGGTAAAGAGTCGCTCGTCGGTGGTGGGATAACCATGGAATGATCATTCTTCTTGTGGCTTTTTTCTGCCTCCGCGGGGCCGTCTGGGGACTGCTTTCTTGCATCTGTTCCGATGGTTTTGCTAGAGTGATGTCTTGATCGAAGAGAGTCGGCGTTCGATTTCGAGATGTGTGTCTGAAACGGCTCCGAGTGTACCAACGGAGAGCGATGTTCTGGACCGGTGATTTTCTCTGCTGTACGCTTAATGAAAGATACTGCTCTGGGTAAGCTGGGATCATCGCGTACTTTGAATGCATGAATGTATGAACAACATATACGCGCTGGAGGATATATCCCCGGGCTTGGTCTGGCCGGCGCCGCGTACGCGCGTAGGGAAGTCAAACAGCCCGAAACACGAATCCGACAACGCGTCGTCGACTCGCGCGACTCGACTTTGGACCCCCCCCCCCACGTTGTTGAACGAGCCTCGCGGAACGGTCTCAACGCCGCAACCAACGCGCCATGGTTCTCCGACGTAGTAGGTCGTCGTCCTCGAACGTCCGATACGTCGAGTCCGACGATGACGACGACGACGACGACGCTTTTGCGCCTTCTTCTGCGACGAAAGCGCCGGGCAAAGGAGCGCATCCCAAGGCGTCGTCGACTGGCGCGAAGGGCAAGGTCAAGTCGCGTCGCGCTATGGACGACGATGACAGTGATTTTGTCATTGAGGGTGTCGACGCGGAGGAACAGGATGATGATGATTTCATGATGGATGAGGATCTGCGGGATGACGAGGAGGGGGATGGAGCGTCGAGCGTCGAAGAGGACTTTCAGGAGGATGATCTGGTCGTCGTCGAGGTGAGTTGCCGTCGAATTCACGCGACAGAAGGGGTTATTGCACGCCCGGGAAAACTCCTTGAAGAGGAATTGATGGCTGATCTCTCGTGCGTTTGCTCTAACACAGAAGGGTGCAAGAGGATCGAAAGCGGCTGGCGGTCGCAAGGGTGCCAGCGGCAAGACGTCGCAAAACGTTTACTCTCGCGGCAAGTCGGCACTCAAAGGCGAGGACGGCACCAAAGGCGCTTCGCTCGACGAGTCATTGCCGCCGATGAGCGACTTGAGCGAAATCTTCTCCGACCTCGTCGGCAAGGTCAAGGATGAGCTTGGTCAAGTCTGCGATCAGCTCGGCAATCGCAAGCTTCGCGTCGGAACCATGTGCAGGTTCGTACGACTTGTGGGGCGCAGAAGGGTAGCATAATCGCGATCGGATGTTGCCCCAAAGTACATCATCTTCTCGATCGGAAAAGTATACTGATAAATCCCACTGTGTTCTTTCCATAGTGGTACTGAAAGTCCCCTGCTTGCTCTTGGCCTGATTTCCGAGTCACTCGAAGAATTGACCGGTCGCAAACTTCAAGTCGAGCACATCTTCTCCTGCGAGATCGAGCCGTTCAAACAGGTCAGTCCAATGGCTTTCGGAATGAAAGCGCGGGAACACGATGCTGATACCAAACCGAGCAGGCCTACATCGAGCGCAACTTTTCGCCGCCCTTGCTGTTCCGAGACGTGACCGAGCTAGGCGGAGAACAAGCCAAGACGGCCTACGGAAGTATCGCCGACATCCCGGGCCACATCGACATGCTCGTCGCCGGCACGTCATGCGTCGACTACTCGCCGCTGAACACGAAGCAAAAGACGATCGACGACCAAGGCGAGTCCGGACGCACGTTTTTTGGCATGCTTGATTACGTCGAGAAGCATCAGCCGCCGATCGTCATCCTCGAGAACGTCTCCAACGCGCCGTGGGACGAGGTCGTAAAAAAGTTCCACAGTATCAAGTACCATGCCGTTTATGTCCGACTTGACACGAAGCATTACTACATTCCTCATACTCGCTCTCGTGCGTACCTCATCGCCGTGCCCAGGTCCTCTGGGGTCGACGTCGTGGAGAAGTGGGCGACGATGATGAAGAAGTTTGTGCGACCATGCTCGTCGCCGCTCGAGGCGTTCTTGTTGCCAACCGATGATCCTCGCATCCATCGAGCGAGGCAGGATCTGTCCAAGATCGCCATGACCAAAGATGGTGTCAAACGAGCCCCGACGGATTGGATTCGCTGCGAGGGTCGCCATGCCCAGGCACGAGAGCAAGAGTTCCTCGGCCTGCAGCGTCCTCTGACGGCATGGAAGGACAACGGCGGTGCACCAACGATGCCCGATGGCGCATGGAATGACTGGGCCTCGGCGCAAACGGAACGTGTGTGGGATCTGATGGACATCTCGTACATGCGGCTGGCGCTCGAGAACACCGACGTATCGTACAAGTCGGCGCTGTGGAACCTGTCGCAGAACGTCGATCGGCAAACGTCGAATCCCATCCTCGGCATCTCATCATGCTTGACGCCCAACATGATCGCCTACCTCGCGAGTCGCGGCGGACCCATTATCGGTCTTGAAGCGTTGGCCTTGCAGGGCTTGCCCATCAACAAATTGCTGCTGACCCGCGAGAACACGGATCAGCTCGCCGATCTGGCCGGCAACGCCATGTCGTCCACTGTCGTCGGCTCGGCAATCCTAGCCGCGTTATTGGTCGCTCGCAAGACACTCGGTTCGAATCATCCCGAGTCCAACGGAGACGCGCCCGCCGGGGAGGAAACGAAACGGGTTAAATCGGTCGATATTGAGGGGCGCATCCGCGGTGAGGAGCGCCTTCTGCCTCACCCCGTCGATCTCGCGGCCTTCAATCCCCTGACCGACGGCTTCCTCGAAAGGGCCGCGCAAACGGCGCGCAAGTGTCTCTGCGAGGGCCGCACGAGCAACACGCCCGATGACGTCGCCATCATGGTGTGCGACGCTTGTGGGCACTCAACCTGTGCGAAGCATGTCGCTCGACCTGATCATCGCTACCGGGTCGAGACGGGGAAGCGCGCCAGTCCCGACTCGTTCATTGCCGAGCTCAAGGGATTGTTGCCCATGCGCTTTACCCTCGCTGGCTTTGATCTCAAGTCTCTGCAAGACAGAGTCGCCGACCTTCTGGCAGGGGGTGTTCCTCTCGAAGAGTCGCAGTCGGCTTACTACGAGCGCATCGCCGCGGCCATCGATGGGGTCGAGTTCCACTTTTCCGAGTTCGTTCGTCGTCGAGAATGGTTCGTCACGTTCGCTGCCGAGGATGCAACGCTGGAATTGCACATCTCTGCGCATGGCTGCGAATGGCTACTCCGCGTTGCCTGCGAGCGCACGCTGGCCGTCAACGATCCGTTGCGCAAATTACTCGAGGTGCCGATTGCGCGGAACCAAGTCTCCCCCACGGCACAGAACCTACTGGATGGTCAGTGGGAACTCGCAGCTGTGATCGATGGAGCTGGAAAGGGGAAGCAGGCCTTCAGCATCGACATCGAGGTCGTAGGCGACATGGTCCCTTCCTGGCGAGCGCGCATGGGACTCGTCGACTTCCTTGGCGAGAAGAACCAGGACGGAGTCGAGATTGCACCCTCGGAGAAGAGACCCCATCGCATGCGGGTCAAGATGTCAGACACCATCACTCCATTGGTAGACCGATCGCTCGACGGTCTCTACGAACTCGAGGCCGAGTGTGGCACGGCATGCCAGTCCTTGTATCGTCGCATCGAGCCCATCGAGTCGAAGCCATTGTACTTCTTCTTCGACCCGACGCGTTTCGGAACGGCCGACATTGATTGCTTCGTGTTTTCCGACGATTGCGAACGGCTCGAATACGGCGAGCACCGCAACAAGCTCGCCACGCTCGCGCCTTCGTGGCGCTTGCCTGGCACGTTCCCTACGGTTTCTCAACAATCACAGATCCGAGTGGCCAAAGCTGAAGCCCTCGCGAGTTCTGGAACCATCGCCGTCTCGCTTCCGACTATGTGGACACCTCTGCCTGGATCCCACATCGTTCACGAGAAGATAGACCGTGCAGATGCGACCTTTTCGACTTTGTCGACGACATTCGAGTTGACCGCCGATGCGGTGGCGTGCTCGTTCGCTGACAATCTTCTGGTCGCCCGAGTCGAGCAAGCACCGCCGGCGAGGAAGCTCAAATGGGCAACGGAAGAGTGGCACGAGGTCGATCTGCACCATGAGGGACCCGAGGTGTTCTCCAAGATCTCGTGGATGCTCACCAAGATCCCGGCATGGGATGCCCTGCGAGAGTGGCAACACATTGCCGGAGAGGTGAGCTCAGGTTGCAACTCACGGGATTGTTGTCTGCGCAGTCGGTGATTGACAAGTTCTTACACCACCTACAGCTCGAAATGGACTGCCAAGCCTGCTGCCCTCCAGCTCCCATGATTCATTGGGTCAAGCGCTCCGAGCAAAAGGCCAAGATGCTTCAAGTGTCGATCGTCGCAGTCGAGGACGGTCAACAAGCGGCCCAGTTCGAGCGAGCCCTCAAGGCGAGACCCTCGCCTTTGCTCGTCCACACTCGTCAGACAGCAACGCATTTCGAGTTCCGCATCGGACTCAACGCCGCCACGCTCGCGCATCGTGCTCTCGGGACTTTGCCCGTCAATCGCTTGCATACCTACGAGATGAGCGAGCCGACCGTAATTTGGCGTCTAAAGTCGTCGAACGGCGTCGAGCTCGGCTACGGCAAAGACGGCGAGCCGACCGAGTTCTCTATCCCTTCCAACGACGCTGACGTGATGGCCGATCAACCCCCTCATTTTAAGGTCTTCCAACTCCGCAACGAGCAACGTCGATCTTTGCAATGGATGATCGAGCAAGAGGCCAACCCTCGTCCCTGGGTCGAGGAAGAAGTTGCCGAAGCGATCCTGCCCCAACTTGGCTGGCAGGCCGAGGCCAAGGCTTCGCGCGAAGTGACGGTCCGAGGTGGTGTCTTGGCCGACGCGGTTGGCTACGGCAAGACGGCCATCACGATCGCCTTGATATCCGCTCGTTTAGGACAGACTGAGCTGCCGGTCGAAACGGATCGAATTGCCGTCAAGGCGACGCTCATCGTCGTTCCTGCTCATTTGACCTCTCAATGGCCGTCCGAGATTGAAAAGTTCACCCAGGGCGCCAACCAAAACTTCGAGCTGCTCACCGTGAAGGATCTCAATGATCTGCGCCGCAAGACGATCGAAGACTTCCGCAAAGCCGACATCATTCTCGTCGCCGAGACCGTGTTCAACTCTCCTCTCTACTGGCCTCAGCTGTGAGTGACGATCACCGGAGAAGGTTGCTAAACTCATCTTGGATCACTGATGCCGTCTTGGGTCGCGAATTCAGTGGGGACTGGAGTGCCAGTGAACGAGGCGTCAAATACGACAAGAACGCAGGTCGATACTTCCGCACCTGCGTCAACCAAACCGTCGCTGCTCTGCCCGCCCAAGTCGAAAAGTTGCTCAATAACGACGCCAAGGGCGTCTTCGACTCCATCAAAGCCGCGCGGAAGGCACGTGACCAGATCAAGGATCTCGTCGATGAGCCTTCGAAGCGTCTAAAAGGACAGGCCGCTATCTTTGCCAAAGAAGCGGCCGAGTTCCTCGAAAAGCGGGATGGCAAGAAGCCTGAGGCTAAGCAGGAGCTCAAAGTCAAGAAAGATCTGGAGAAGAAGGTCGAAGCCGATCCGTGGAACCTTGGCTCGAAGGACACGCAGAAAGATTGGGAACAGATGACTTCGCCTCCGTTGTCAATCTTTTCGTATGAGCGTATCGTCATTGATGAGTTCACTTACACTGACGGGCCTCAGCTCGCTGCCGTTCATGCGATCCGTGCTCGATCGCGATGGATCCTGTCGGGGACACCTCCGTTGGAGACTTTTGCTCAGGTCAAGACGTCAGTACATTTGCCCGGCTCTCGCCTCAGTATGTCCTTACTTACGTGCTACTTGTTTGCTCTACCACAGCATCGCCAACCTCCTCCACGTTCATCTCGGAGTCGACGACGAAAGCGAGTTCCAAGGCGGATCCAACGGCGCGCGATACAAGGAAAAAACCGCGGCCGAACAATTCCATTCCTTCCGAGACGTGCACACTGTCGGGTGGCACAAGAATCGTGATCGGATCGCGCAGAAATTCCTCGATCAATTCGCTCGTCAGAATTGGGCCGACACAACAACGATCTCGTATTCGGATAGCATTAAGATGATTGACTTGCCGGCGGCGGAGATGGCTATCTACCGAGAACTCGAGCATCATTTGCTCGCTTTGTCGAACGATCTGTAAGGCATTGATTGCTCCTGATCTCGGTCGTTCGTGGATGAAGGCACTAACTCCCGGTGCGACTTGCTCGATGCAGTGGCAAGATCCAGCGTATCAAGAAGGAGAAGCGTGGTGATCGAGAAGTTCGCTTGTCGGAGGCACTCGGCAACAGCAAATCGCCTGAAGAAGTGAGCTGTCCCCGTCAACTCCGAGCCATTGCTCGGTGCGCTTTTTTGACTCAGAGTTATCTTACCGAACCAGGCCTTACTCAAGCGCTGCTCGCATTTCTCAATGGACATCGAGGAATACGACGACTCCGTCAAACACATTGGTGCACTACACGTCTGCGAGCGAATTCTGGCCAAACGTGTCGCCCAACTCACGTCGTGCGAGGACCAGTTCTTGCAACTCGTCAATACCTGTGCGGCACAACAACGTTGGCTTGACAAGCATGGGTATTATAAGGGTTCTTTCGGCACCAAGGGGTCAGAGCCTCAGCACTTCAAGATGTTCCTCCAGACGGTGAACAGAAATGATACATCGAAGTATTAGCTTTGTGAAACTCTGCTGACATGTCGTTTGTTTGTCGTTTGTACCAGGTCTTTGGCAAATCCCAAGACGAGGAAGGCTCCGAAGCCATCAAGACCTTCTGCAAAATGGTTGGCTGTTCCGAGTCCGGCGAGATCAGCAAAATCGCCCCCGAAGGAGCTCCTGAACCAACGGACATGGGTGCCTTCCTCACCAAGAACGGTCAAACATGGGACGATGAGAAGAACCGTGCTATCGCAGGCAAAAAGATTCCCGAGGAGGATTACCGCAAGTCAAAGACCTGGATCTTACGTCAGAACGTCTCGGCTGTCGAACGTCTGCGAAAGGAAGTCATCGGACGCTATCGCTCGCGTCGCTACTTTCAATGTGTGCGGAACGTTCAGCGCTCCAAAGACAACTCGTACGAAGGAATCACCTTGCTTTCGTGCTGTGGTCATTCGGGCCCGAGCGACGAAATTGAACGTCTCGTCATCAATCAAGCTCAACCGCAGTGCATCGAACCTAAATGCGATGCTCGCGTAAGCAGGAACAACTTCGTTCGTGCCGAAACCCTCGGCGTCGATCGCTCAAGCGGGACCTTCGGAGTCAAGCTCGAGACGTTGGTCAGGCTCATCTTGGAGAAGGTGGCCCAGGACGATCGGGTGCTGGTCTTTGTGCAGTTCGAAGATTTGTTCGCCAAAACAAGGGAGGCGCTTGAGGCTTATGGGATCAAGACGGCTGTTGTAGAGGGTACAGCCAAGCAGAAGGGCACGACGTTGCACAATTTCCAGGACCCCGACAATCGTAGCCATCGGGTGCTGTTGCTGCAGGTGACGGACAAGTCGGCATCCGGTTAGTGTCTCATGTCAATATGTTTTCGGCAACAGTGGACTAACATGGCCATTGTCGTGCGGCATAGGTGCGAATTTGACCGTGGCGAACTGGGCGTTCTTCGTCTCGCCGTTGCACACCGACACTACGCAAGAGTACAAAGCCTTCGAAACGCAAGCGATCGGCCGTATTCGTCGGTGAGTCACTGTCGCCCCATGATTGTTGCTCGAGTAGCTCTCTGAGGTTGGCTCTGCTCCCCTTGCACAGCTACGGTCAAACCAAAGCCGTCAGCATCTTCCGCTTGTTGACTCGCTCCACGATCGATGTGGAGACTTTCGAGCAACGTACCGGCAAGATCGTCGAAGAACTCATGGCCGAGCAAGAGCCGCTCGAGTTGAGCGATGTCGCTCACCCCAAGACCCAGGAGTTCGAAGAGATGGTCGCTGAAGTGAGTGATCGATCAAAATGTTGCTCGTGGACCCGAGCTTACCTTCATCCTGCGCTTTGCCTGAGCAGAGGAGTCGTGGCGGTGGAAATTGTGCCATCGCTCCCCTCGTGACCAAACAAGTCAAGAAAGCCAGGCCCGTCGCCGCGCCCAAGAAGTCACGAAGCTCCACGAACAGCAAGGGCAAAGGCAAAGCGCGACGAAACAGTTTCAGCGAAGACGACCTATCCGACCTATCCGACCTACCGGCCATCGTGCTCTCGGATGATGACGTACCCGACGTCGATAGTGAAGCCGACCAAGCCGATCTTGAGAGCTTGTTGGTTGGGACTAGTAGGCCGTCGAGCTTGAAGAAGAGGACTACGGCTTCGTCGGTGACGCGACGACGATCGACGGTCGCTTGGTCTGATCAAGTTGTCGATGATGAGGATGACGTAGATGACGATGAGGAACCTATCTCGTTGAGCAGTAGTGTGAGTTTGAATTTGCTCCAGTCTAAACCTTCTTTCGTCCTGATCCGAAGTCTTGACTCGGTTCCGCAGCGACGGAGTAGCGGCAGACTTCGTCGGCCGGCCATCAAAAGCCGAGCATCGATCACTCTGTTGGATGGCGAGAATGACACCATGGATGAAGATGAGCCCGAGGCCCGACCGCCTATGGTCGATTCGCCTGCTACGGCCAAAGTTCCCGTGGCCAAGTCCAAAGTTCCTGCCAAGCGACCTCGCGGATCCGACGCCGCCAGCAGCAGTTCATCACCGGCGACAGAGGCCTCCGCACCGAGGGCCACTCGAAGCACTCTGGACAAGACAACACCTTCTCGACCAACGAAGAGGCGACAGACGTTCGAGCTCGTAGTTCCCTTCCGCAGACTGCCGTCGTCGCCGGTCAAGAGTCAAGACGCTGCGCGCCTTACATCGTCCCCCATCAAGTCATCCAGTGCTCTTGTTCAAACCTTGAGCGTTAACCTACTCCAAGCTCCTGCGATGCTGAAAAGGCCATCAACCTCAGGGACCCCCGAAACGGCGACTTCGGTGGCTTCGGCTCCCGAATCGCCGGAAGAGATGGCCGAAGCCGAGGCGCTTGACAAGATCGTCGCTGAGCGTCAGGGGTTGAGGACGGATTCTTCGATGACCGAAGGGGAAGCGGAGCTGTGGAAGGGCATGTAGTTTGGTATGATTCAGTTTTCCTCTCTGTTCGGTTCTTTAACTCGGAATCTGGATACGATGCCGGTTCGGAGTTGGTGTCCCTTGTTGTAATTGCATTGAGGCTCGTTCGTGCCGGTTCGCTCATTGCAAGCTGGGTGTATGCGCTTTCCACGTCGCGGCCCCTGGTCGCTCGCGCCAGCTCGCGCCTTTGGCCGTTGGGCGGCTCTTGAGCTTCGCGCCGTCACTCACACCTCGATCGATCACCCATTCATCCATCATGGCTGCGTCCCACACGAGCACCACATCACCCGCTCTCGCAGCAGAGGGCAAGAAACGCAAGAGGAAACGACCCAACAAGACTGGCGGTGACAAACAAGAGGCGCCAACTGCTGCTTCCGCTTCAGCCGTGGCTTCGACTTCGTCGTCGGGCAGCGCTGCGAAGGCCGCTTCCAAGCCGACTCCGACGCCGGTCAACGACGAGGATGTCGAGCCGTACATCGACGAGCACTTTCAAGCCAAGGAGGCAGGCGAGAAGAACAAGAAGAACAAGACCAAGGCACTGGATGCTGGCGAGGGTGCACCGATCGGTTTCGAAACGGATCAGCCACCGTCGGGCGCCTCTTCGCAGCCAGCAGCAGCAGCGGGCGACGGCGATCCGCTCGCTCTCATGACCGGCACCGCTCAGCCGGTCGCAGCGATCCCAACCGCCTTTTCGACTTTGGATCTCTCCCCCGGGACCAAGAAGGCGATCGACGGGATGGGCTTCACCAACATGACCGAGGTACAGGCCAGGACGATCCCTCCGTTGCTCGCCGGCCGAGACGTGTTGGGTGCCGCCAAGACCGGATCGGGCAAGACGTTGGCTTTCCTCATCCCTGCTGTGGAGATGCTCAACAAGCTCAAGTTCAAGCCTAGGAACGGTCAGTAGTGCGATCTTGGGCGCGAGCTAGAACTTCCCATTCTGATCAGAATTCTCCGTCTCGCTCCCAGGTACCGGAGCGATTGTCGTTTCGCCGACTCGGGAACTGGCGTTGCAGATCTTTGGAGTCGCCAAGGAGCTGTGCGAACATCATAACCAGACTTTCGCCATCGTTATAGGGGGTGCGAACCGCAAGGCCGAGGCCGAGAAGCTCGTCAAGGGCGTCAACCTCTTGATCGCCACTCCCGGTCGATTGCTCGATCATTTGCAGGTCAGTAAGAGTGAAGTTTAGGTTCACCATGGACCAGCAGCTCATCACATGCTCTAATATGCTCTCGCAGAACACCAAAGGATTCGTCTTCAACAACCTCAAGGCGTTGGTCATTGACGAGGCCGATCGAATTCTCGAAATCGGATTCGAGGATGAAATGAGACAAATCATCAGCATTCTTCCCAAAGGTCAGTTACCATATATTTCAGCGACCAATGACATGGAAACGGTTACTGATCAAAATTCACACCCATTGCGGCCACAGAGAACCGACAATCGATGCTCTTCTCGGCGACCCAAACGACCAAAGTCACCGACCTGGCTCGCATGTCGCTCCGACCCGGTCCCCTTTACATCAACGTCGACTCGCACCGCGACACTTCGACCGCGGAGAACCTCGAACAAGGCTACGTCGTCTGCGACAGTGACAAGCGATTCTTGTTGCTGTTCACCTTCTTGCGAAAGAACCTCAAGAAGAAGGTCATTGTCTTTTTCTCGAGTTGCAAGTCGGTGCAGTACCATGGCGAACTGCTCAACTACATCGACGTGCCCGTTCTGGACTTGCATGTGAGTCCGCTGTACCCAAAAATTTGCATGGGTTTCGCAACGCTGATCTTGAGATGCACTGATTCGAACAGGGCAAACAAAAGCAACAAAAGCGCACCAACACCTTTTTCGAATTCTGCAACGCGCCCACGGGGATCCTACTCTGCACCGACGTCGCCGCGCGAGGGTTGGACATTCCCAAAGTCGATTGGATCATCCAATTCGACCCCCCCGATGATCCGCGCGACTACATCCATCGCGTGGGACGTACGGCCCGAGCAGGTAAACAAGGTCGATCGCTCCTCTTCCTCCTCCCCTCGGAATTGGGGTTCCTTCGTTTCCTCAAAGCCGCTAAAGTCCCCTTGAACGAATACGCTTTCCCACCCGAAAAAATCGCCAACGTTCAAACGCAGTTGGAGAAGTTGATCTCGAAGAATTATTACCTCCACCAAAGTGCGAGGGATGGGTTCAGGGCTTATATTCAGAGTTATGCGAGTTATTCGTTAAAGACGATCTTTGATGTCGCCGCGTTGGATTTGGCCAAGGTCGCGAAGGCGTTTGGGTTCCAGAGTCCCCCGAGTGTGAATATCAATATCGGGAGTGGGATCAAGGGGAAGAAGAGGAAGGATTCCAAGAGGGGGGGAAGTGACGAGGACAGTGGGGATGAGGAGGGAGAAGAGGAGGATGAGGATTTGGATCAGGTTTCGAGGAGGAACAAGGTCGCGAGTGTGCGAAGGGGTGGGAATGGGCAAGATAAGAGGCGAGAGGTAGAAGGGAACCGCAAGGTCGAGAAGGACTTTTATCGCGAGGGGAGGGAGAAAAAGGCTAGGACCGAGCAGGGCAAGCAGTGGAGTCGGTGATCTTGGGTTGGAGTTGTCTCTGATCTTTTCTGGTGTGCATTCGGTATCGTGTTCGTCGCTTGTAATACAATGTTCTCTCACTGCATGATAAACGGGTATGGTGTCACAGAAAGCAAACCGAGAGCCTATTTGGTGGCGAGAGCACCGACGAGCAACCGAAGCATCTCGGTCGAGACTTGCTCATTCGTGCTCCTGACGGTCAAGCGACACAACTGCAGTGAACACCACGCTGGATTAGCTCAGATAGGTCATTCGATCGTGTGTTCCTTCGCGACTCACTTTTCGTTCCGGATTAGGTTCGACCCTCAACAAGCACCCGACCTTACCCACCGACGACATATGCAACACCCCCGCCGCAACCAGGTTATTCGGGTTCGGATCGACGCCATCCAAGAGGCCCATCCGAATCCCACCCACGACCTTTCGCTGCTTAGCCACGTCCACTCGGCCCCCTTCGAGAATTACGATCGGGAAGATTTTTTGTTGTTCCCTCGGTGCGCCACCGATCTGCTTCCACCGTTCGAAGAAGGCGTCCGAGGAAAGTTGGACGGGTTCGATGAATTTGGTGAGGAACGCGGGTAGACGCAGGACGAGTTCTTGGTGCGAGCCTGCTAGGTAGGAGATGCGCAAGAGGGGAGGTGTGGAGAAGGTGCTTTTACCTTCGACTAGGACGAGTTGTTGGACTTGGGCTGAGGCGGAGAGATGGGATGGTACGATCGAAGGGAGCTTGATCTCGAGGGCATCTTCGTCCTCGACGTCAAAGGTGGCCGTCAGGGACTCGAGCGCGACCGAAAGCTTGTTGCCGAAGAAGATGGCGATGCGACCTTGATGACCATGGTATTCGGTCTTGACGCCAATCTGCAGCTGCGTATCCTCGTACAAGACGCCATCGGGGTTGTAGAGCAATCGAGCGAGCCATTTCTCGGAGCCGTGCGTGAGCGGCAGGGACGTCTTGCGAGATGTTGTCGGTGTCGTGGCTGTACTACTCGTAGCGGCACCGAGCAAGGGGAGTGAAGCTTCGCCGGCGGCAGGTGAAGGTGCAGGTGCGAGAGGGGAAGGGGCCAATGAACTTTCGCCCCTCTCCAGTGTCGGTGACGAGAGGTCCAGCCCAGCAAGTGAGGACATGACATCGGTTGTGTCGACTTCAGGAATGGCCTTCGACCTCCCAGCTGTAGTCGCATCGATAGGGGCTGCGCCCGTCGCGTCCGCGGTGGGATTCATCTTCCGTCGCCCAAAGCCCTTGTATCGCTCGGCATCCTGGCCTCGGTTGATGTCCTTGCCACCGATGTGCCATGTGCGCTTGTCGCCGGTATCGCCGTGCTTCTTCAGTAATCGACTCAGCAGCTGCAAAGTGGATAGTATGGCGATGTCAGCGTCTGATGGGCCATCCAGCCAGATCGCGTCCACTCACCGCACTTTCCCGCTCAGGATAAGGCGGCATCTCATCAGCCACGACCTGCAACAACTCATCATCCGGCTGTTTCGCAATGACGAGATATTCGCAAGCGCGCTGTTGCAACTCGGCGTCGAGGACACGCGAATACCGTTCAAACAGGTTAACGATCTGCTCGTAGATCTCGGGGAACAAGTTGAGCCACTTGAAGTAGGCCGTCAAGAGGAGAGCTTTGGTCGATGCCGAGGCGAGGTTGGCGCGCGAGTTGACGAGTTGGAATTGCTCGATCGGGGATCGACCCTGTCCAAACCGGCCAAGAGCTTCCGCATCAGTTGTGCTCGCTGACGGACGTAGACACAGTCCGAGATCCTACCTCTTCATCCGCGATGAGATGCCCATATTCTCCAAGGATGTATGCGCCGACCTTGAGGATGTTCTCGTGGCAGTTGGGGAGGCTCAGGTGATCGAACACTTTTTGTGCGGCATACTTTTAGACGCGGAGGCCTTCATCAGTCTCATCTTGTGCCAACAGACCAAGTCGACCCGTGAAGACTGACCTCTTGAAGCTCCTCGGTGTTGGTGACGATTTGCACGATCCGGTACCAAACCTCGTCGCCGACATGATCGCCGGCGGTGCTCATCAACTTGAGGATCGTATCGACGTACCACTCGTACTCGACAGCGAACTTTTCGGTCAAGATGGCGATCTTGAGCACCATCTCTTCCCTCAAGGTGTAGTCCGCAATGGGGAGGTATTTCAACAGCTCGCTGACGATGACTTTCGAATTGGAGGTGTCGCACATCGAGTAGAGGAGGTCGAGACCTCGACGACGGACCGAGATGTCCTTGTCTCGAAGCGATTGAATGATGACGTTTTGGTGGACCTTGATCGCGTCCAAGGAATCGGAACGTGCAGCCAAATGGGTCATCGTGTCCAGTCCCAAGTACCTCACATTCGTCTCCTTGGCCGAGATGAATCGGCCCAGCAAGAGTGCGGCCGAGTGAACGATCGAGGACTCCGTGTCGAGATGAATGGCAAGGTTGATGGCCTCGAAGAGAACAGCATTGAGCGCGTTGTTGTGTTGGGGGTTCTTGGGCGTGTCTTGGGAGTTCTTGAGAATGCGCTCGAGGACCTTGTGCAAAGTCAGCCGGAGATTGGCGTCTTCGGATGGGGGGTAGTACTGGAGCAGTCGGAGGAGCTTGACTTGAAGCCACGGGATGGGCACCTTGTAGTAGAGATAGTCGGAGGGGTACTCGTTCTCCAGAACGATCTAAGTGAGACGGGTCAACTTGCGGGCTTGTGTACGGTGACGAGACGCCGTGCTCACCTTGGCTAGCCGTTCAACGGCTTTTTGGTATGCGACTGTGTAGGCACTGAGGTTATCTTGGGCCAGGGTCAGGACGAGCGAAGCCACGGCGAGTGCAACGCCCTGGACATCAAGAGTCTCGAGAGAATTAGTTTCGGTGCGCTGGATCGTCGTCGGGCTCCCGTGGCACGTACCAGGTCTTGATCGTCCATGATGGAAACGATGCGGGAGGCCCATTCGGCGGAAGGGATCACTCCGGGGTGCTTGCGGTACAGTCGCAGCAAGGTCAGCGCTGCCTTTTTCTTGACAAAGCTTCGAGATGTTCTGTGGGGAGAAGGAAAAGATCAGCGACCTGGTCTGAACCTGATCGAGGGTGCCAAGCCCACAACGCACGGCGAGATCAAGAGACGGTGTACGTCGCTCGCCAAAGCCTCGGCCATTTCTGCGCCGCCAATGTTGGCGATGGCGTGAAGTGCGAGACAGTTGACGGTCTCGTCCAAGCCATCGAGGTCTTTACGGATCGAGTTCACGATCAGCCGTACGAGGTCCGAGTTTTCGTGCATGAGCAAGGTCAGAGCGAGGTACCCCTGTGAAAGCGGCGATCGCTGGTACGGTGAGATGGGGGCTGGCACAGGTCGGGCACGGGCAGAAGGCAGACCGGTCGACTGACGATCTGCTTTTCCGAGTACTTGGTCGACGAGATGAGGTTTACGGCTTCCATGTGGCCGACATCGACGGGGTAACCGAGGATGGAGGTGAAGATGATCTTGCTGATGTACCTGTGCGATGGCGGCGACGGAGAGGTGACGGGGTCAGTCGTGTGAGGCAGGGTTGGGCAGCTCGTCGGGTGTGGATGGGAGACACACTTTTTCTTTTGCCTTCCATCCAGGTTGCCCTCTGAGAAGGAAGCGATCGCTCGTCAGTGGCGGCCACGCACGGAGGGCACCACGCCAACGCCGAGCCAAGGGCCCCCACGTCGCCGTCGCCGTCGTCCGTGGACGCACCCTTGAACTTTTGACGGATATGGGCCATCTCCTTGTTGATGCGCTTCTCCTCGAGTTCCCGGACGCGACATGCCCTGAGGTCGGCGATGTACTGGGTCAGGCCCCTCATCTCATCCTTGTTCCTGTGGCGACAAGGTACGGTCGCGGTCAGTCAGTCAGTCAGTCAGTCAGTCAGTCGGGGGTCGAGCCGTGTGACATCTCGAAGTGCGGCGCGCAGTGCGGCGGGGCGCGGCGAGACTGACATGTTGGGTACTCGTAGCATGGTGGAGGGGTGTCTGTCTGGACGTGGGGTCCGACCGAGTGAGGTCGTCTGTGGCCACGGCCGGGCGGTGACAAGGTGCGGGGGGCGACGCTCAGAGTCGTGGTGGGGTCGGTCCTCAACGCGTCGATGGCGGATGACCGATGGCCGATGACGGGACCAGGGGAGCCGCGACAAGGACCCATTAGCTTTCCAGCGCGAATCAAGGTTCGCAATTCGGCTCGACTGTAATGCACTTTTTTTTCTCTCATACGCTTTTCACACCTCTCACGTGCGACCGGATTATTTCTCTCCCTCTATTCCCCCCATCCCCGCCCACCACACACTCGCCACCCACCTTCCCTCCTCCCTACGTACAAACGACTACTTGGAGCCCAAGATGCGCTTCTACGAGTCAAGGTCAGCATCCAGTCTGTGTATGGTGTCGTGTCAAGCGCGTGGGTGCTGACTCGAACCGGTTTCGCTTCGCTGCTTCGTGCTGCCGGCCGGCGACTGCACTGCACCAGGTTCCCCGAGGTCAGTCACGAGAGAGTATCGGCACCTTCGATCTCGAGACTAATCCCCAACAGGTCCTCGTCCCTGGGTTCCGCAGGTCGACGAGCTGGTGATGGTGCAGGTCAAGCAGATCCAGGAGATGGGCGCCTACGTCAAGCTCGTCCGTACCAGCCACACCTCATCTTCTCGATCACCACCACCACTGACCATCCCCCTCGACTCTGCCAGCTCGAATACGACAACATCGAAGGCATGATCCTCCTCTCCGAACTCTCGCGAAGACGAATCCGTTCGATCCAAAAGCTCATTCGAGTCGGCAGGAACGAGGTCGTCGTCGTCATGAGGGTCGACAAGGAAAAGGGTATGCTAGCCCAATCGATACACCTCTTACCTCGAGAGCTGACCCGACATGTCCCGACATGTCCCGTGTTTCCCCCTCTCCTCCACCTTGCCCGTCCCCCCACCGCGCCCCAACTACCACTCCTTCGCACGCCATGCCCACTCCACCCATCCCATTCCAGGCTACATCGATCTGTCCAAGCGACGTGTCTCGGCCGAGGACGTCATCAAGTGCGAAGAACGCTACAACAAATCAAAAACGGTGCACTCCATCATGCGCCACGTCGCCGAGAAGACCGGCACCGACATGGACGCCGTCAACGACCTCGTCGCGTGGCCCCTCTACAAAAAGTACGGCCACGCTTACGAGGCCTTCAAGCTTTCCATCACGTGCGTAAAAGTTTTTTTTTTTTTTTTCAGTGTCCGGGAGCATCAAGGTGTGCTGATGATACCCCGCGCCACACGTAACCCACAGCGAGCCCGAATCGGTCTTTGGCGAACTCAACATCCCCGACGACATCATGGAAGAGCTGCGATCCAACATCGCGCGACGATTAACGCCCCAACCGGTCAAAGTCCGAGCCGATCTCGAAGTGACCAACTTTGCCTACTCCGGCATCCTCGCGATCCAAGAAGCGCTCGCGCTCGGTGAAGCCTTATCGACTTCCGAAATCCCCATCAAGATCAAATTAGTCGCTCCCCCGTTGTACGTCATGGTGTCCAACACGACCGATAAACAAGGTGCGATCGAGTTGTTGGAAAAGGCGATCGAGACGATTGGGGAGAGGATCAGGAAGGAAGAGGGAGGGAGCTTGAACGTCAAGATGAAGCCCAAGGCGGTTAGTGAGACCGAGGATATGGAGTTGGCCGCTTTGATGGCTAGGGTCGCCAAGGAGAATACAGAAGTGTCGGGTCAGTACACCGATCTCGATTCTCTCTCCGGCGGTCTTCAAGTTCGGGTTGCTAATACAATGCTTCCTTTGCGCTCGTGTCAACAGGAGACGAGGATTCGGAAGGAGAAGCATAGACCTGCGGCCTCTGTGTACTCGATTTGTTCTTTACCATCCTTTTTTTGCGCAATAGCTGCTCGAAAAAGGGTACAGCAGATCCTATATGCGCTGCCAAAACATCGGCGTATGAAAAGTGATATGCAGGGAAGGACTTTGGCAAAGATGCTACGGTCTTGGGATATCGATCTCTCCCGGACCGTTCAAGGAGTAGCCATGTGTCTCGTGTCTCGTGGTGAGACCATTCACCTCGTGCTTCAGACCGAAGACTCGTCGCCTCCTTTCCGCAACTCTGGCTGGGAACCGAACGAGGTTGCGTCGATCGACCGGAGAAATCGCTCGAGACCTGCTTCGAGACTTCGAAGCGAGCTTAGGGTTCTGTTCTGGGTTTCAGGGAAAAACGTATCAAAGAACTACCACTGATACGCGGTAGCACGTCTTTGGATACCTTCCCTGTGATCCAAAGTCGTACTGCAGGTGTTTCTTCCGTTCTAGCAATTTCGATCCCTCCTTCGATCTTGTCTTCGCTTTTCACGAAAGGCGACCACGCTATACGAGGAAGTGGTAGCGTACTTTCTACACCTCCCGATTGAACCAAGTTCATTCGACAAATACAAGACCACTCGTCTCTGGGGGAAAAGACAAGCAGCTGCCCGGGGGACGCCACGGCGAGGAGAGGGAGGAAAGCTTTGCCACTGAGCTCGGTCGGGGGAGAGGGGAGGATCTGGAAGGGCGGTTGGATGGGCGAAGGTTGAAGTAGTATGTATCCCGAGGTATCGCCTATGTGCAACAACCAGTTCGCTCAGCAAGATTACGAGAGAGGAACTTTACCAGGAAATAATGTTGCTCACCTGGTGCGACGACCCGAAGTTCGAACCGATCACGACGTCGTCGCACACACATGACGATTCTCAACGCGCCATCGATGATTAAAGTGGCGATCGCTTCGATCCTCTTAGGTCCAAGGTGGAATTGAGAGACGTGGACCCATGGATCGTCCGGGTGGTCGAGCTCGCTCGGTTCGCGGATGTGAAGGATGTTGAGGCTGTGGTCGAAAGTGGCGATAGTCGAGTTTGGGCCGTCCATACCGAGGCACTAGGTCATTCAAGAGGAGACAAATTTGGTCAAAGGTAAACCGTCGTCAGCGGGTATGGTCGTGCTCCGAACGCAATGCGGCGGGTTGAAGGGGCCCCCGCGAGTCGATTCGGCGACGAGGTCGAAACAGGGGCTCTTTCCGTCCACGCACTATTTCACTCGGACTTGCGATCCAGACCAATTCGGTGGCCAATAGTTCACAACAGGACCGCTGACGGACAAGAACCAAAATGCACTCTGCCAAAAAGGGGCTCGTGCACGCTCGGCCAGGAAGCACAACCGTCGGGAAGCACTGATACTCACTGATACTGACCGGCGAAGACCGGCGAGGGCTGGCGAGGGCGCAGGCGACGCGAAGTCCGAGCTCACAGGCCCCCCTAAGCCCTTTGCTCTTGGCCTTGCTCCTCTTTGGATCTGTTGGACCGCCTTCGCCCTCTCATTCCCCATACCCCTCCAGCCCTCCAGATCATCGAGTGCCAGCCTCGGGACCCATAGAGAGCACCCCAGGGTGGCCACCCCTTCCCATGTCACCATGGTTAGAAGCGATCCGCTCTCAACTAATCGAGCGCGACAAGCGGGAATCCTCTCACCGCACCTTGATCGCGCATTCCCAACGTCTGGCCCAACATGCAGCGATGTTGCATCAACGGAACCAGGCTCTTTTGAACGCGAGTTTAGGGCAGAACAGTGGGGGTACGGGCGCAGGGACGGTGGGGGGTCCGGGAGGGACAAGTGGGGGTCAGACCACGTCGGGAGCAGTGGGGGTACAGCGGGGACGAATGAGTAGGTTTGAATGATCGATAGCTGGTCAGGGCTGCTCCGGATCGAGTGTCGGTCGCCTGACACGACCTCGTTCTCGTATTGTCTCATCATTCAGCGCCGTTCGCCAAGCCATGATCACCTCCCTCGAATCCCAACTCGCCTCAACACGGCACGAACTAGCCGAGCAATACAAAATACAATCCACAAATGCCCAACGACTACTAGGCTTGACGGACCAGTTGCGCGAGTTCGAGGATAAGGGGAGGGAGGAGAAGGATGAGTTGAGGAGGTTGAGGACGGAGGTCGAAGGCCTGAGGGATAGGGCAAAGTGGCATAAGGAGGTGGTGCAGGAGAAGGAGAGACAACTCGTCGTAGGTTGCTGTAGCGGGACAGTCTATCTTGACCCAGGAGGCCTACTCGAGCATATTCGTGGAAAGGCAAGGGAGAAATCTGACAATCTCGAGTCCTCTCCGCTCTTCACTCTCAATCAGATCCTACAAGACGACCTCTCGGCGCTCGAACTGGAACTCAACCAAGTCACGAAACAGAACAAAGACCTCAAGACCGACAATGCCGGATTATTGCAACGGTGGTTGGAAGCGAAGAACGACGAGGCTCGGCGGATGAACGAACTCTTCTCGACAGAAACCACGCGAGCTAAAGGAATGTCTTCATCGCCGATAGCACAATCTACATCGGATGAACCTCCACCGGATATTACAGTGTCGACAGAGGCGGAAGAGCCCGCTATAACGTCATAGGATTCTCCGTTTCGAGTTCAAATGCCGATCTCACTCGGAGGAACGCACCCCGTTCCCTGGTTCCCAGCTATCACTTAGTCACAATCGCATACAGTTTTGTATGTTAATCGAAGCAGCATCAATCCTACTTCTCACATCTGAGAGCCTGACTACGCAAGCGTGGCAACGATTTGAGCCAACACGCTGGATACGGGAGAATCCGAATTGGCTCGCGCGTGACTGGTGCTCAAGCGCTCAAGTTTCAGGTCGCGCGAACCTGGCACATAATTTTCGTCATGGGCTCTAGTCGTGTTCGACGCCCCCTCAGCCACACCTAATGTGTAGTGGTAATAATGTGTCTCTTACTTCATCGACCTATACGACTAATTTCCTGCGAATAGTCACGCACCAGGCAGTTCCACGAATATAGTCTGCGCTACGTGTTTCGGCGACTCGGACGGCCTTTGCGGGCGGTTTGCCTCCCGAGCTGCTCCGAAGAGGGTGTCTCTTTCACCACTTCGCAGCGCCAGTACATCCCCTTCGTTCGTCACCACGCTCACTCCTGCCAAGTGTCTATCATATTCTTAGCCTTCGAAAAGGAGTTCTGGACTCCGCTTCCCCCGGCGACCCCGCCAAAGATTCAAGGCCACCCCTGCATACACTCCCCGTTCTCCTACGATCATGCTCGCCCGACGAGCTCCTTACGGCAGCCATATCGCCAATCTTCACTCGAGAAGAGCGTTCGCAACCCAAGCATCTATTCCCCAAACCTACGTCGAGAAGATCGTGCAACGCCATGCGGTCGGTCTCCCCGAGGGCAAGGTCGTCAAGGCTGGTGACTATGTCATGATCAAGCCTCAGCACGTGATGACCCATGTCAGTCTGGTCTAGGGGCGTAGCTTTTGACTCCGAGAACAAAGATACTGATGCTGCTTCTGCTCCTCACTGGTCGCAGGACAACACCGGACCCGTCATTTCCAAGTACGTCGAGCACTTTGACTCGGAAGAAGCCCCGAAACCTCACGTACTGATCGATCCTCACCCCTTTCACAGATTCAAGTCCATCGGAGCATCCAAGATTTCGAACCCTCGTCAAACGGTCTTCACCCTCGACCACGACGTTCAAAATCGCTCCAAAGCGAATCTCGCGAAGTACTCCAAAATCGAAAGTTTCGCCGGCGAGCACGACGTCGATTTTTATCCTGCTGGACGAGGTATTGGGCATCAGATCATGATCGAGGAAGGGTATGCTTTCCCGGGGGTCATGACTGTTGCGAGTGATAGTCATTCCAACATGTATGGTGGGGTGGGGTGTGTCGGCACCGCCATCGTTCGGTGAGTCCGACGAGGGATTTCGAGCGCGGACCAGACAGGCGACTCACTCTTGCAAGTCCAATCACGATAGAACGGATGCCGCCGCTCTCTGGGCCACGCAACGTACATGGTGGCAAGTCCCACCAATCGTTCGAGTCAACCTCGAAGGTGAACTACCGCTCGGCGTCACGGGCAAGGACATCATCATCGCGCTCTGCGGCAGCTTCAACAAGGACGAGGTCTTGAACCACGCTATCGAGTTCGGTGGCAGTGGTGTCGCGCAGCTCAGCGTCGATGAACGTCTCGCCATCTCCAACATGACGACCGAATGGGGTGCACTCGTCGGTGTCTTCCCCGTCGACAGCGTCTTGCAAAAGTGGTACGATGGACAACTCAAAAAAGCCGAGCTGCGCAAGTTCCAGTTTGCGGGCAAATCCTCCTCCGTCCCTACGGTTGACCACCCTCGGTTGACCGAGAAGCGCCTCGCGGAAGTGTTTGCGAACCCGATCAAAGCCGATGAAGGAGCGACCTACACCAAGACGCTCACTCTCCACCTCCCTACGCTCTCCCCTTCTGTCGCGGGCCCCAACTCGGTCAAAGTCGCGACGCCTTTACCGACGCTCGAAGAACAAAAGATCAAGATCAACAAGGCCTACCTGGTCAGCTGCACCAACTCGCGCGCATCGGATCTCCAACGCGCGGCCGAGGTGATGAAGGGGAAGAAGCTCGCACCGGGGGTCGAGTTCTACATCGCCGCTGCATCGTCGGTCGTGCAGAAGGAATCTGAGGCGGCGGGTGATTGGGCCGCGCTCGTGGCGGCGGGTGCAAAGGTCCTTCCAGCAGGCTGCGGACCTTGTATTGGATTGGGGACGGGCTTGCTCGAGGATGGCGAGGTCGGCATCTCGGCTACGAACCGAAACTACAAGGGTCGAATGGGGTCACCGAAGGCCCTCGCGTACCTGGCTTCACCCGAAGTTGTCGCAGCCAGTGCGATCGCAGGACACATCTGCGGACCCCGAATCGAAGGTGCTACACCATCGAAGAATGAACCCAAGATCGACCTGGTGATTCACACTTCTGCTGCCTCTCCTGCTGCTTCGGAAGGCCCCGCCGCTGCCGAACCGCTCTTGCCTTCATTCCCCCCCTTGTTCTCCGGCCCATTGATCTTTGCGCCTCAAGACAATCTCAACACGGATGGTATCTACCCCGGTAAATACACGTACCAGGACGACATCACACTCGAGAAGCAAGCCGAAGTCGTGATGGAGAATTACGACGTCGATTTCGCCTCCCTCATGGCACGGATCCGATCACCCGCTTCCGAGACCCGTTCCAAAGGTCGGGGCGTCGTCCTTGCGAGTGGCTACAACTTTGGGACCGGATCTTCTCGAGAACAAGCTGCGACGGCGTTGTTATCCTCCGGGGTGCCTTTGGTTTTGTGTGGTTCGTTCGGGGACATCTTTAAACGCAACTCGATCAATAACGCCTTGATCTGCGTCGAATGCCCTGAATTGATCGAGGATCTGACTAGGGATTTCGGAAAAGATGGGAAGAGGAATGCAGGAGGGAAGGATGGGAAAGGGACGGTCGAGACGCAGTGTTGGGTTGAAGTGGGGAGTGGGGATGGGAAGGTGACGGTGAAGGATAAGGAAGGGGGGAAAGTGATTAAGGAGTACAAGGTTGGGACAGTCGGCACGAGCGTGCAGGAGTTGTGGTTGGGTGAGTCTTGGGTGTCGTGGACTTGCTGGACTGGATCGGCGTGCTGATGACTTTTTGTTGGTGAACTTTGACGAACAGCCGGCGGTCTCGAGGGGTGGGTGCGCGAGAGGATCTGATTGGATTAGCTTGGGGTCGCTATCTAGCATTTGCAATCATGACTCTGTACATCACCTTGACGACCCTCGCTAATGATTCGTTTGCCAAATCTGCTACCGTCCAAAATCGGCCTGGGAAAGGTTTTCTTTTGTAGGCTCGGTCGAGGAGGATGGCCTGAAGGGGAGCTTATTATAGCCCCACCCCACGGCCGAATCGGTCAAGTGACGATTCGAGCGCAATTCGAGTTCGCTCTTTTCTTTGCTCGGCGCAGCATCCACACTCGATCATCTCGCCGGTTGCCATCCTCTCCTCTCACACCTCTGCTTGAACAGGATATACCCGCGAAAGTCCCAATGCTCCCTCTGCGACGCGCGTGCCGTTCCTTCGCAACCACTCCGCTGCGGTCCTACCCCATCGCCGAACCCACGACCACGACCAAGTCCGCGACTGCCACCACTCGATCGGAGGAACATATCGAGCATCCCAAGAACTACAAACCGCTTTATACGCATTTGAAGGGAAGGGCATTGCTTAATGAGCCTAGTCTGAATAAGGTACGCACTGGACGACCCTGCGCTGATTGGCGGCGGCGGAGAGTGATGCAGTGTGGGATGTGGGATCGATAAGTCGACTGGCAAGCAGCTCGAAGCTGATCAGTCGTTGTACGATCCCCGACTGGACAGGGAGCTGCGTTCTCCAAAGAGGAACGAGATGTATTTGGATTGAATGGCCTGTTGCCGTAAGTCAGATACACCCGCGCCATTGAGTGTCACCGTCAAAGAGGGTCGCACGTGGGGGCGAGCGGTGGTTGAGGCGGGCAAAGTGGGGCCTCAAAAATTCGTGGGGGATCGTCCGAGCGGAGCAACGCGTAGTCGGCGCAGGCAATATGGAGGCAGAAGGCATTCGCGTAGAGAAAGCTTACATGCGGTTTATTTTCGCTCCATAGAGCCCAAGTGCACGACCTCGACATGCAGTGCCAACGAGCCTACGGTCAACTGAAGGCACGAACGACCCCACTGTCGAAATACACCTTCCTGACCTCGTTGCGCGAGCAGAATCAAGTGCTATTTTACAATTTTGTCTTGAAACACTTGAACGAGTGTCTACCAGTCATCTACACACCTACTGTCGGAGAGGCAAGTCCACTCCTCAGAAGCTGGATCAAATTTCGTTCTGACTCGATCCGGGTCTCGTTCCCCACAGGCGATTCAAAAGTACTCCACCATCTGGCGCCGATCCGCGGGTCTCTTCATCACCGAGGAACACTTCGACCGAATGCGCGAGATCATGATCACCAACCGATTGCCCAAGAACGTCGACCTCATCGTCGTCACTGACTCGGAAGGCATTTTGGGTATTGGTGATCAGGGTGTAGGAGGTGGGATATTTTCAACCACTGTGCATGTTCGGAACACGGTCTGACCTGTCTCCCTCGATGGTCGCCTCGACGCGCAGGTGTACTTATCACAGTCGGAAAGGGCAATATCTACACCCTCGGAGCAGGCATCAACCCCGCCCGAATCCTCAACGTCGTACTCGACGTAGGCACCAACAATCAAGACCTTCTCAACGATCCGCTCTACCTCGGCGTCAAGTCGCCCAGGTTGACAGGGGAACGATACGATCGCATCGTCGACAAGTTCTGCAATGTCGTTCGGGAGTCGTATCCGGATGCGTTCTTGCACTTTGAGGACTTTGGGACGAAGAACGCGGGCAGAATTCTTCAAAAATATAGACCTAAGCAGTCGTGCTTCAACGACGACATGGTGGGGCTTCCGATCGCACTGTAAGGGTTGATCAAACTGCATGCTCACCGCGTCGTCGGCTACCTTTCACAGCAAGGAACGGCAGCCGTTGTTCTCGCTGCGCTCATGTCCGCAGCCAAAGTCACCGCCACAGCCCTCAAAGACCAGCGAATTTGTGTATTCGGTTTTGGTACAGCTGGATTGGGTATCGCCGATGGTATCCGAAATGCTTTGATGATTGAAGAGGGTCTTTCTCCAGAAGAGGCGAACAAACGCTTCTGGTCAGTTCATGACCCCCGGCTGCTGCGCAGTAGAGGCAATCGCCGCTAACCTAGCTGCTGGACGCGTATCGATCCTAGGGTCCTTGATCGACCTGGACTGCTCACTACTGGCGTTTCGAAAGACCAAATCCGATCCGGGCAGGAACACTACCTTCGAGACGAGTCCGAAGTGGAAGGCTGGGCGAAGGATGCGCGTTCGGGTATCTCGCTGCTCGAAGTGGTCAAGCAGGCCAAGCCGACGGTTTTGATCGGCTGCAGTGGCATGTCCAACGCATTCACGGAAGAGGTGCGTTCGGTGGCACGTTTCAAAGGCCTTGAGCTTGACCTTATATGGCCCAACCCTTCGGCACAGATCGTACGAGAAATGTCAAAGAACTGCGATCGACCTTGCATCTTCCCCTTGAGCAATCCCACGCGTCTTGCCGAAGCCAACCCAAGTAAGTACTGTGGTCTGGTCCACACTTGACTTCTGATTGCTGAACCCCTGGAAACTCACCTCAGGCGATCTCAACGAATGGTCCAACGGACGCGCATTGATCGCGACCGGATCCCCTTTCCCGCTCGTCAAGAACGTCACCGATGGCAAGATGTACAAAACCGCCGAATCGAACAACGCGCTCGTATACCCCGGGCTGGCCCTCGGCGTCGTCCTGTCCAAAGCTTCGGCCCTTACAGACTCGATGATCACAGCTGGTGTGACGGCTCTCGCTGAACTCGCACCGGCTTTGAATAACCCGAATGAGAGCCTGTTACCGCCTTTGGAGGACTTGCGTTCGGTATCGGTCAAGATCGCTACAGCTGTGGCGAATCAAGCGAGGGCGGAAGGGTTAGCCAAGACGCATACGGATCGGGATTGGACGGAGGAGGAGTGTCGTTTGAAGCAGTGGGATCCGGTTTATCGTCCATTGGAATTGGTGGATAGCGCTTGAGCGTTCGGTCGAGCACTCGTCCTCTCTCAGAAGACTTTCTCGAGATAGATCTCCGCTTTCTATAGGTGTATTAGATGTAACTGCATTGTTATTACAAAGTGCATGTCTGTGCATGCTCCTCAAGATCTCATACAGTGATGGCGTTAATCGCGACGGCCCTCTTATTCCCCTGCTGACTCGAAGCAAACACCATATCCAACGCTCCCCTGACAGCCATCAACTCCCTCTGGAACCTGAGTTCCTCATCGACTTTCCGCCTCAAACGATTGAACAAACCATCCACGAGTGGGGACAACCCGAGTGTCGGGGTATAGATTTCGATGAGAGCGTTAGCGACATCGGAAGCGAGGATGCAGTGGCGAGGGTTGGTGATGTGTTGGACGAGGAACTTGAGGATCGGTTCGAGGGAGAGGTCGTTGCGGTTCGCTAGGGCGATCGTCAGACCATCTCGGTGGATCAACTCTTCCAACAATGCAAATGTCGTGGGTGTTGTGATACCCTGCGGCACCAAATCCAACACAAGATCAGAAGATCGTCGAGGCGCCTGACATATTCCGTCCTCTGCACTCACCTTGCGCAACACCGAGTCCAACGCATCCCCATACCTGAAATCCTTCAACATGCGATCCCACTCCATCAACTTCTTCTTCCTATCCTTGCCCATCTTCTGCTCCCCTTCGAACGCCCCCATCCCTTCCATCGCTTCCTTGCCTTCGTAAACGACCCCACCTGCTGCGGCACCGGCTAGGAGAGCGTCGTATGAAGGGGCTTTGAACTCGGTTGGTAAACCGGCTTTTTTGGAGGCGACACGTGTTCGGATTGAGAGGGACCCGTCGGAGAGACCGGCGACCAAGTGAGACGAATTCGGCTGCGCAGGATCAAAAGTGATCCGTAGAACGTCAGCTACCTGATAGCACATAACCTCCGCAAATGGTAGAATACAAAACTCACCGAGATGGCCAAACTCATAACTTGCCCACCGTACCTCATCGTATGCCGCACCTTCCAATTGTTCTGCGGATCATAGACCTTGACCAACCCATCCAACGCGCCACTCAACACACGCTTCTCCCCATTCTCCGCCTCGGCCCAACACAACGAAGTGATCGATTTCTGATGGTTACTCAACGCTCTGACGCAGTAACTTGTCCCCGTGTCCAAGCGTTCGTCATCTTCGTATTCGGGCGCTTCGTCGCCCGTCCGATCGACGGTCGTGATGCTGCTTGTTGTCGCTCCGAGCAGGTCCCAAACTCGAAGGATCGGTCCACCGGCCGAACATGCCAATGTACCGTTATCGCCAACCAAAACCTCGTCAACGGGTTTACCATGCTTGCCCAACCACACCTGCCCATCCCGTTCAGCCTGCCTCGAGTCCCACAAGCGCACCGTACCATCGTAAGCTCCCGAAAAGACGAGCGACGGCGACGAAGGGACGAAGGACGCGCAGCGCACGTAGTCGGTGTGACGGGGGTAGATGCGCACGTTCGCTGAGGTGGAGAGGTCGAATAGCCGTACGGTCGTGTCGGACGAGGTGGTGAGGATCTGCGTTCCGGCTCCGGGGGAGAATTTGGTGGTGTGCACGGTTCTGGTGGGGCAGCAGCGAGTCAATCAGCATGCTGTGCGGTGCCAAGACGGGATCTCCTCTACTGACTGCTTGTGGGCCTTGATGGTCCTGAGGATAGCCCTCGAGTTGATATCAAAGACCTGCACAGCTCCCGAGTGATCCCCGGCAATGCAGAGTTTGCCATCATGACGAAGCTCTCCACTCGTGGCGGTTTCCTTGAATCGAGCGATCGTCTTGACGACGCGGTTCGTCTTGGGGGAGTAGATTTGTAGACGAGATCCCGAGGTGACGATGTAGCGATGCGGCGACGAGGGGGAGAACTGGACGTGGGTCACGGGCGCGTACGACTTGATAAAGATGGGCGACTGTGGGAGGCGCACCAAGACAGTGGATTAGCGCTCGAGTCGAACCTGTACACATAGAAGCTCGAGTAACGCGCCTTGTAGGATTTCCAGTACACGGACTCGGACTTTTGCTCGCTCTCGACCGAGGTCCGAGGCGGTCTGGGCACGACCAATCGCGAGAATTCGGCCATGACTGAGGCGAAAGATGCACGCTAAGGGCGTGTACGCAGTGCTGGTTGTGCTGTGCTGCTTGAGGAGACCGCGTGGCGAGTGTGGGGTGTGTATGGGTCGTCGGAGAGCTGCGGCGGGAGCTCGAGCTTGGATCGGCCTTCGCATGCTTCGCAGCCGTCGCAGGCCGTCAGAGGCCGTCAGAGGCCGTCAGAGGCCGTCGCCGGTTGGGACCTTTGCAACGACCGGGCGCGCGTAGTTGTAGTCGGTGGTAATCGGTTGTAATCGCGAATTGGAACTGATCGGCACCGGCATCCGACGCCGTACGAATAGTAAGTAGTAGCTCTTGCTCCGCTCCCTTTCCCGTCGTCGGCTTTCCCCGATCCTCGACCATGGACACGATCAACCACATCTTGGCCCATCAGCTCGCTCACAATGACCAGATCCTCGCCAACGATCGCCATGTGATCGACACGCTCACCCGCCAGCGCGCCATCATCCTCTGCGAAGCTCAGGACGGTCAGGATGGGCCCGTGATGCATAGGTCAGTCGAGGGCAACGGCCACACTGTGCCACAATCAGAGCTATAATTCATGTGCTCGATCTCCATCCGACAGGTGGAATTTGCGAATGGCATCCCTGATCGCACCGTCGACGAGCTCACCGATCCGAGCCATCGCCTTTGAGCTACTGCAGCTCACCTACACCGCCTCGACCGCATCCATGCTCCATCAGGGCAGGCACTGTCTCGCCACAGCGCTCAACATCCTCGCGTCCCCCAAGTCGGACCATGCCCTCTTTGTCGCCGCGCTCGGACTCGTCCAGCTCGTGCTCGCCCAGAGCCAGTGGCATCCCGAGTGGGCCAGGGATGTAGTCGGAGCACCGGTTGTACAACGTACCCTCAATGCTCTCGTCACCGCTGCATCAAATCAAGCCCATCCCATCGTGAGTGGGAGGCAGCAGAGCGAAGCGCGCTCGGATACGAAGGATTTTTCGATCCTGAGCCCTAAATCTCGATCTCGTTCTCCGTTCACAGATCACGATTGCCTCCCTCGAAGCCATCATCACCCTTATCCCCCTCTTCCCGACCGCACTGAGACCCGTCGCACCCTCGATCCATTCGCTCGCCATCGACTGCATCGGCAGCCCCTCCGAGCTTGTGCCCCTCGGCTCCCAGCTCTTTGCCTCGCTCTACCTCCTCGCGCCCAAAGGCCGTGAAGGGTTGCGCGAAGCTTGGCGAAAATCGGTCGAGTCTTTGATCGGGACGATAGATACTCTGATCCCTTCTGTCACTTCGGACATTTTCGCCGAAGACGAGGCCAGGCTCAATCACACCCTTCCCTCGTTGGCTCTCCCTCCTCTCGCTTCGTCGTCGTCTTCTTCCTCCGCAACACCGCTCGTCACCCTCGACCGGATCGAAAACCTCGCCGAGGTCCTCCGAACCGTCCTCCGTACCCCTACAACGGACCGAGTCGGCTCCGTCCCCATCCCTTTGGGCGCGCTGTGTGAACTCTCGGTCCGACTCTTGTCCCTGCACGCCGAAACGCCCGTCAAGGAACGAACCGACCCAACCGTGGTCCAATCCGTCATTTCTTACCTGCCTCGCCTTCAACTCGTCGGCGCGCAATTGGTGGCTCAAACCGCAGCCTGCGTCGGAATTCGTTTGGCCCCTCATTCACACGAGATCCTCACGACCCTCGTCTCGACCTTGGCTACTTATGCGCCTCGTTCTCCCATGAGGGCGATGCTGACCTCGACATTCTCGGTGCTCTTGCAACACCTGGGTGCTTCGATCGATCCGGAGGAAGGCAAACGCTCGTTGGCGAGGGTGTGGCGAGTCGTCTTGGAGGATATTGGGGCCGTCGCTGTTGAACCTACGTTGGTGACTCTGAACAAGGACGGGGATGTCGTCAAGAACGGGACGTCGAACACCGTCAATGGCGGTAGGAAGAACAAGAAGCAGAGGACGTATGACCCGAGTGAGGCGTTGGCACTGAGTGGGAAGCGTCCTCATCTCGATGGAATGGATTTGGAAATCGCTTTGCAGTCTCTGAACAGTAAGTCACCGGCTTCCGATGCGCACCTTGCAATGCTCTTACCCGATTCCATGCTTCCTCTCCGCAGCCCTGAACGAGCTCCTTTCCCACCCCCACTCGCACTTCCTCCCACCCAAGCTCCAACTATCAACCTCGCGCCTCCTCCTCTACATCCTCCTAACCTACTCCTCCGTCACCTCGACCTCCTTCCCTTCAACCCCATCAACCGTACCCCTCTACTCCTCCTCCTTCAAAACCGTCTCCAACACCCTCGAATTGGCCTTCCAATCTCCCGACTTCATCCCCTCCACTCTTACCTGTCTCCTGACCCTTCTCCGAACGACCCAAGGCGGTGGTGCACAAGGTACGATCGATCTAGCGAGCTTGATCCTCGGTCAATTCATCCGAGCCGGTTCCTCGACCGATGATCGGATCGTAGCTTTGGCGAGACAAGGTTTGGCTTGGCTCGATGGGTTGACCCATCCTTTGTTACCTCCTACGAGGACCGATACGAGGTTCGTTCGAAGGGTTAGGGAAGAGAGGGGTGGGGATGTGGGGGATGTGCATGAGGAGATTCTTAGAGGTGTGGAGGAATTTGGGTTGAAGATACCTGTTGAGGGAGGGGAGGGGGATGAGATGGAGGAGGAAGGGGAAGAGGAGGAAGAGGTTAGGTTGAGGAGGGAGGAGAAGAGGAGGTTACAGAAGGAGAGGATCGAGGAAGAGGAGAGGCAGAGGGTCGAGAAGAGGAAGATGGAGGAGGCGAGACCAAAAGATCCGATTTTCTCGACCAAGGCATTTGGGTTCAATTCGTTGAGCACTGCGGGCGAGGGAACGACGACGACGGTCGCGATGACGATGGTCCAGCAGGATGTGGAAGAGGAGGAGGAGGAGATGCATGTCGATTCGACACCTGCACTCGTGTCGGCCACGATCGCGAGTGTCAGACACGGCGGCGACAACGATGGCGACGACGGTGGTTCGAGTGATGATGATGGCGCGATGCCGACGATCAACATGGAGTCGGATGATGAGTAACTCAATCCATTGATGAACACAATGCATAAAGAATGTTCTTCGTTGGGGATATCGGAGATTTGACTTGATTTATTTCAATACATCATGGGAATATGTACAAAAGCCGAGGGCGGCCAAGGCTTTCAAGAGCATGTCCGTTTAAAGGGGCTTCTTTTCGGCCTCGGCGCTGTCAACGGAGCAAGCCAAAGAGGATCGACAACGGTGAGCACGCAGAAGAAAAGCCATTCGACCTGAAGTCGACAACGACTCACGCAGCCTTGTCGAGCCCCGACTTGACGTCGGCGTAGGCCTTAGTCGCGTTCTTCTCGATCTCACTTCCGCCCTTCTTAGCCTCGGCTTGGGCGTTACCGAAGGCCTGTGCGGATCAAGTAATAAGGTACGATGAGCTCCGACTTCGAACAAATAAACTGAGACAAATGAGTGTACTCACGCTCTTGAGCGTGTCCGTAATGGGCGAAGTACTATCCTTGACCGCATCTGTAGCCTTCTCACCTCCCTCAACTGCCCCAAGCGCAGCATCACTAACGACCCTGTTGACCTTCGCAGCGGCGTCCTTGACCGAATCCGTCAACGTCTTGGAGACGTAAGCCGAACCGACGAAGTTGCGTTGTTGGGTGCGGAAGACGGTGCGGAGAGTGGTAGGGGCTGAGCGACGGAGGGCAAACCTGTGAAGTGAGGTGACGTCGTCATCGGAGTGGCGCGGTGGACGAGAGATGAGGGGGTTTAGGCACGGAGCGTCAGCTGGTCTGTCAAGAGATCCTGCGGAGGATCAGCGACATGGACTGACATAACGAAGATAGCTCTGTCTGCTGTGGTTTGAAGGGCTCGTCGGGTGGTGTGGAGAGGAGGAAAAGACTCGAAACCGAAAGAGAGGTCCAGCACATCTTGAATTGGCGGTGTTAACTGGTGTTAATGGCCTCGATCACCAGCCTCCCCGAAGCGATGACGTCGACTTCGGTCGCGCCCCGTCAAGCCTAATAGCGCCCCCTAAGGGCTGTACCTGGCGCCCCAATTTCCATTTTTCGATGCTGTCACTGTGCGTGTGAGTTGTTCACTGGGCTTTTCGACTCATCTTTTCTTCAGCAGCCTCTGTCAGATTACCTCAAAAAAATGACACTGCGACGGATTCACCCCCTGACCGCTCGTCACGATGGTCCTTCATTCGAGAGCGTTCGGCTGCACCAACTTGGTATAGCTGGATTGGGTCTCAAAGATCGATACATGCCAAACTCAGAACATCAGCAAACCTACAGCTCAATGTCGCTGCAATAAAGCCGAGGTGTTACAACACCTCTTGACTTTGGCGAGGATGTCCGACCGTGGACTTTACTCGAAGTCGGGTATCTCCGACTCGGATCCGCCGGACGAAATTCAGCGCACATTCACGGATCGGCAAGCAGCTGACTTTCTTTCGCAGATCAAACACATTGGGCTTGCTAGCATTCAGAGTGAAGCGGTCCTCGGTTCATCGTTCGAAAGCAGTTGTTGCTGTTTCGACTCATACTCCTGTCTCGACGCAGGTTTTCGTCGGCGATAAACGTCACGGAGGACTCAATAATTCCGCCGATATGTTCCAATTCCTGATCTTTGGACCTTACCATGCGTTATCCCAGCCACATTAAACGGGCATGTTGTAAAGAATTGAATTGTCGCGCCACCGTACCCGTCATAAATCGCGACGGTGTCCTAAGGCCCTCCCAGACCGAGACATCGGCGCCACGGCCGTCGCCTGCGCGCCTGCGCGCCGCCCGCCTGCGCGAGCCAGCGTCTGCCAGCGTGAGGCCCAGCCAGCGGTCCCAGAGTTCCCCCTGCCTTACCCTGCGCTTCCTTCCCTGCCTTTCCTCGCGCCAGGGCCACGGCCACTCTGGTCCGCGCGTGTCTCAAATCGCCTCTCGTCCTTCTACTCCCACTCTTGCCTGCCCCATATCAACAGTGAGTGACCGACGTCGCACGACGTGCAAAGCGACACGAGAGCTGATTGTTGTGCTCCATCCCCTACTTTGCCATTCGATCAATCGCTCCACCGCACTCCTGTGCTGGGTGCTGATTCCGCCGTCGTCGTCATCGTCACCTCACTGGCTGCTGCTCGCCTCGCCTGCCCTCGCATCGCCCCCCGCCTGCGCGCCATTGCAACGTCCAAACGCGAGCAGCTCCCCGACCGCTTGCCTCGCCCCGACTCCTTTCTTCCTCAACCCACCCTCCCATCAGTCAACATGTCCGACGACCGAAGTGAGAATGTCTACATGGCCAAGCTCGCCGAGCAGGTGAGTCGTTACAGCACGGCAGCAGCAGCAGCAGCAGCAACAGCAATAGCACGAGCGGGAGGGATGGGAGGGTGCGTGCGTGCGTGGCACGCGCGTTGGCCCGTGTTCGGTCGGTGCACCACCACCAAGCAGCATCATCCCCCCGTATCGCTGCTGCGGCCCGCCGCTCTTGTCGCTTTGACGACGCGCGACCCAAGCATCAACGCGCTGATCCCTGATTTGTCATGACCATTGCTAACAGGCCGAACGGTACGACGAGGTATGTCTACGTTTTGACGCGTCATCCGTGTCGTGACTCGGCAGAGGGGCCAGAGGGGGCTGCTCGCTCGCTCCGCCTACGCCGATTTGGGGCACCCACACCCGTCAGCCACGCCACGCCAGCGTTGGCGGGCCTGCGGGTCCGGGCGACGACTGGCTGCTACGGGGTTGTGGATTGGGCCGCGGTCTACAGCTCACTGACCATCTGGCGCGATCGACCGGCTGTTCACACTCGTAGATGGTCCAGCAAATGAAGAGCATTGCTTCGGTGAGTCGCGCAGTGAATTTCAAATTTCAGACTGGAGTCGAAGGGGGCCTAAGCGTCGCGCGCGACGTGAAAGACGCGTTCGAGACGACGTGGCGCTCCAAGGGAACGCCCTTTGCCAGGATCGTATACTGACAGGAAGTTCCCACGCCTTCTTCCGTCTTTTCAACAGCTTGACTCGGAACTCTCGATCGAGGAGAGGAATTTGCTTTCGGTCGCGTACAAGGTCGGTCCGGGGAACCCGTTGCCGAAAACGAGCTAAACGAGCCAAGCGACTCGAGAGCTGATCGCGAGCATCACCCTGTCCCTGTGTTGTAGAACGTGATTGGTGCCCGACGCGCTTCGTGGAGGATCGTTTCGTCCATCGAGGGCAAGGAGGAGGTCAGTTCACCCGCCAACCGGCCACGCCGTCGCGTCACTGACCTCGCGTCCGCTGTGTCTCCTTTTCCCGCCGTTGCGTCGTCCACACCAGGCCAAAGGAAACACGACCCAGGTTGCCGCTATCAAGGCTTACCGTGAAAAGATCGAGGGCGAGCTCGCCAACAGTCAGTCGGCCATACACCACAACAAACCCGGCGATCTCGGAGCCTGAAGCTGACGATCGATGCTCCGAATATCTTCATCAGTCTGCGAGGACATTCTCAAGGTTCTTGATGACCACCTCATCAAGTCGGCCGAGTCCGGAGAGTCGAAGGTCTGTTGATACACTCGTGCGGATCCTCACCACGTTACATGAGCACAGTGCTGACCCACGCGCCACCGCCCTTTCCCTTTCTCTCAACAGGTCTTCTACCACAAGATGAAGGGTGACTACCACCGCTACCTCGCCGAGTTCGCCCAGGGCTCAACTCGCTCGTCTTCGTCCGAGGCGTCTCTTGAGGCTTGTACGTCGAGCAGAACTAGTCCCGCGTGCGATACAGGTGGACGGGGCAAGAGGACGTGTTTGCTGACCTCAGACGAATCTCTGTCGCTCCCCTTTGCGTTCGCGCCTCACAGACAAGACCGCATCGTCGATCGCCTCGACCGAGTTGCCGCCTACGCACCCTATCCGCCTCGGCCTGGCCCTCAACTTCTCCGTCTTCTACTACGAGATCCTCAACTCGCCCGACAAGGCGTGCGCGTTGGCCAAGCTTGCCTTCGACGACGCCATCGCCGAGCTCGACACCTTGTCCGAGGAGTCGTACAAGGACTCGACGCTCATCATGCAATTGCTCCGCGACAACCTGACGCTGTGGACCTCGGACTTGCAGGACGCACCGGCTGAGAAGGAGGAGGCTGCACCGGCCGCAGCTGGGGAAGAGGCAGCCCCTACGGGCGAGGAGGCGGCTTAAATGTTTACAAAGACAGCGGTCCTCTTCCCTCTTTTGCCCGAGTTCGCGCGGAATTGGGGAGGGTTGATCGTGGGAGAGTAGGGTAATTGACGAGGGCTCATGAATTTACCGTGTTTGCTCATGTTTCGAGGCCCGCGTCGTCTCCTTCTCACCCTTGGATTCTCCTTGCGCGTATTCCCCACATCCACCTATACTTTTTTGGGCTTTTTCCGTCTTTGTCTCCTTTTCGATTACCTGCACGTTTCTTTCCATTCTTTTCCTTCTTCTGCCCGTGTTCACAAGCGAGCTCTCCCCTTTTTTCTTCTTCCTTTGTTTGCTTTCGTGCTCTCGATCGCCGAATCATCATCTAGTATCCAAAGCCCGAAACTCAAGAAAGTGTGCAGCCGAGAGAGATCCTGATCGTGAATGAGTGGTGGTGATACAAATCCATCGGCATGATAAGACCGTCGGGCCCAAGTCGAAGCTGGTTTGGATGCTCCGACCCCTGTCTGATCCCCTTGGTGCCTGCTGGATTCCCGAAGGCCACGATTGGCTCTTATCCACTGGAAAGTTCGCAGGAGGCGATGCAGGGTCCCTTCAGGAATTTGGTGAAAGATCTCTCCAGCCTCTGCCACCCGGAAGGTAGGCACTCAAGAAATCTACTCCTGCGGATGAGTTGCAACAAAATGGGACTGCTGAGTGGAGAAAAGTTTGCCACAAGACTATATTGGTACAAGTCAAGGGATCATATTTGGTCAAAGAACTGCCCTTGTGTCTCGATGGGGTTGTCCTATGCCGTCGTAGTCGATCTCGACTCGGACGTTCCATGATTCGTCGTGGGCCCCACATGCGACTGGGCGGCATTCGCGATCGCTTGTTCCATCTCCTTCCTCTCAATCTCCAGCACTCTCTTGCGTTCCTCTTCCGCCTCTTCCAATCGGATCCTCTGTTCCCTCATTTGTGCCAACTTCATCCGTGCCTGTTCGACCTCATCGACGATCGGCCCTCCACCCCCATCAGCTCCATTGATGGGTGGTCTTTCATCCTGCGGTGAAGGAGGAACGTAGCCCGGTGGTCCATCTTCCAGGCTCTGCACTCCTCCTCCTGCATTCGCTCCATTCCAAGCGCCTCTGAACGTCGCAGGCCCTACAACCCTCCCCGCGTCAACCTCAACGAAGCCAGGTCCATACCCATTCGTATCAGACCCATCACTGAACTGCTTGACCTTCCCATCGGTCGCTTTGGTCCAAGCCAATCGTGCGACCTCGTTACTGGCCGTACCGATCTGACCTAATGGACCAAAGGCTAAAGGACCCAAATGTATCCAGTTGCGATTCGCGAGGAGGAGAGCGGTCTTTATCGCTTCGAAGGCGCGCGTGACGGGGGAGTTGTGGGGGAAGGAGAGGGCGGTTTGGTTGTAGAATTTGCGTTGGATCGAGATCACTTTGGAGAGAACTTCGCCGGGACTGGTGGGAGGGCGACGATCGAGCGATTGTCCGGGGTGATGGTCCATGGTCCATGGTGGGGAGAGAGCGCCAGAAATAAACGTGCGGTCGGCAACACGAATGGGTGGCGAATGGCATGGGTATGTAGAGTAGTAACGGAGTTCGAAGGCATCGTTCGGCGTGGAAGAAATCAAAACACTCGAGGTCAGTCGTCTGCTTCTGCATCATGGGCCAATCTCGTGAGGGTCGAGGAGGGAAGTTCCCCACTCGGGGTCTCCGGACTCCGACGACTGACAGATTGCCCCTGGACGCCTTTGAGTAGACGTATGCGGCGAGCACCTGGTAGACGATGTGCTGTGGAATTGCCGGTAGTTCCTTTGCCAAGAGGGCGATGACTGTGATGGAAAAGTCATGGAGGTTAACGGTTTGGTTCCGCTTCGAGGGTTCTCGTGGGGATCGACATGATGGAGACCACTAGCTCAGGCTGCATTCCGCTCGTCTGAGTTGCCAGTGTTCGTTGACCAGTGCTACAGGAAGCATCAACGTCGAAGGAGGTGACCGGAGGGTTGGGACTTGCCTTCTTTTTGAGAGAGCATGGTCCCTAACAAACCGCGTGTGCTGGACCTGACGACGGCGAACAAGCAATGGTGGACGAGAACTTGCTCCGAGGAAGCTCGAGGGCTCAAGCGCTCAAGGACGAAGGCCAGCGTCCGCCAGCGTGGCCGACTGTGGCCGGGCACGGGTGGCTGCTTTAATGGGGCAATTCGAAAGACTCTAATGCGCATTTTGGAGCTTGCGCGCGGGCCACCGTGGATCCCGTCGACGACAAGCGAGGGTTGCGCTTGTGCTGCGTGGCGATTCTCAAAGATGAAGCTGTTACGATTGCTGCCGACCCTTTTACTGGGTGTCGCATTCTCTCAAGGGTGCGTCGTGCCTACGTCTTGGCTCAGTGTCATATCGCGCATGCACTCGGTGCGTGTGCTTGTGCCGCGGGCCCCCGTGGCTGACCCTTCCTGGCTCACTCACCACCCACTCTCAGCGTTCTCGCCTGGGACAACGAAGATCAGTGAGTTCCTGCAGGGCTCTTGTTGGGCACTGCAGTCCGGGAATATGCCTCTGACCAGGCTCCTTGTTGTGATGGTGCTGTAGTGAAATCTTTGACATTGTTTCTGCGCTCGAACAAGCCGAGGGCAAAGGCACCACCTTTTGTACGTCTTGCCTTCTATCCCGTTCGGGTTGGTCGCTCGGCCTGTGCTTCGATGGGCTCACTTTGTACCTTGGTCCTACACAGACTCTTTCGTGAATGTGACCAAATCCGCAACCGAAAAGGACATCACAAAAGCGTACCGCAAGCTGTCGCTGGAGATGCAGTCAGTTCCCCTTCGCTCGCCGCATCGTCCCCCCCGCCCCGCACCCGATTGGCGAGCTGACTACCCCCTGCACACTCTCACTACTTGACCCCCCTGCTCGTATACAGCCCGGACAAGGTTGGGGATGACAAAGTCGTCGCAGACCGCTTCGCCAGGCTCGGCACGATCGTCGGTATCCTCCGCGATGCTGAAAAGAGGAAGAGGTTCGTTGTATCTCGAGATTTCGAGTCGCATCGCAGGTGAATCTTAGAATTGATTTGATTCATTGAGCTGGCTGGGTTCAGGTACGACTTTTTCTACGACCACGGTGTCCCCAAGTGGCGAGGAACGGGCTGTAAGTAGGACGCGTCTCGACTGCTTCCGGTCGCGTGACCTTTTTTTCTCGACTTGAACCCGTGTCACGCGTCGGTCGTACATACCTGAATCATTCAAGACTAAACCAGGACATCTTCTTGTTCAATTATAGACTACTACTCGCGTTGGAGGCCCGGATTTGGCACGGTTGTGGCTTCGTTGCTCGTCTTTTCGTGCTTCGTCCACTACTTCATCCTCGTCGTGTCCTACTACATCTCCAAGATGAGGATCAAGGTGTGAGTAGTTGATGGGCTCATGTTTCCTTGCAAGTCGCGCAGAAAGGCTGATTCGAATTGTCCATACCTGCAGCTTCCACCAACAAGCGCTCGAGCATGCCTGGGGAGCCGGCAAGAAGCCCCTCGCCGGTCGCAAGCGTTTGCACCTCAAGACGGGCGACCAAGGCGACCCTCTCGGCGTGCCCGGTATCAATGGCGGTCGCCCGACCGCTCCTGGTGCGATCATCCAAATGGTCGTTGAAGGCACTTCCGTCTACGTCGTGGAGGATGGAGAGGGTGAGCCTTCGATCTTGAAAACGTGCCCCTCGGATTCGCCGTACCCACTGATGCCCAACCCTGTCTTGCACAGAACACCTCTTCTCGGAAGCCAACGCCAAGTGGCCTTCGGCTTCTCAAACCTGGGTCCCTCGCATCATCAAGAACCGTTCGGAATGGTACGCCTGGGCCACGGGCCACGGACCCGTTGCCGATTCTTCTTCCAACGGTCAAGGCGAGTACGAGACGACGACCGAGACGCGCGTTAATGAGAAGACGGGCAAGAAAGAGACGGTCGTGGTGAAGAAACCTAAAGGACCTATGAGGGGAGTGGAGTTGCAGGGCAAGGTCGGCGGAAGGAGGCGTGTGGTCAAGCCTTCGAAGCCTGTTGCGCCGGCTAAGGAGGAGAAGAAGGAGAAGTAAGGGAGACGGTGAAGGCTCGAGTGAAGTGTGGAGTTGACGTGATGAATGGACAAAGCAAGGCGGGAGGAGGAGAAAGTACGAAACGATGGCATGCGTTCGAGGAAGAAGCAGATCGGAATGAGGCATGACTATCCGTGGTGTCAAGTCGAAGACACCATCACCTCCTCGAGGTATTTCACAGGAAGCGATTTCAAGCTTCCATGTCTTGGGTGGGGACATAATATGCACTCGGTGTCGTAGTGCCATCCCTCGCGCCTGGAACTAGAAAAAGTTGGTTAATTGCAATTGATCATTGTATGCGGCATAAAGAGTTCAACTTCGAGCGAGCGCTGTTCTTTTCAGTTCAAGATCTGTTCTACACCTGACAAGCGTCTATTTCTCCATCTCCTCATCACCCGTATCCTCAGTCGACAAGACGGCAATGATCTGCCATCTCCCTACAAAATCACTCTTCCACAACCTCACCCTAGCATCATCCCCAGCAGTACTCAACACCGTGCCTGTTACGTTCCACCCAACCTTGACGGTCCCGATCCCACTCGCTCCGGCATTCCTATTCGACGTCCCTGACAAGGACTTGGGATGCGAATGTAGGTCTTCGAGTTCGTCATCGACTTTGGCCCTCCATTCTCCCGTTGAAAGGGTTAGTTCATCCTGGGTGTCCAAGGAAGGTGGATAGATACGCCAAACGCGAGCTCGACCGTCTCTCGATCCCGAGGCGAGAAGTTGGTAAGAACGACCAGAGGCGGGGGCCCAAGCGAGGGATGCGGTGGGGGGCACGGACGCGTGGGAGGATGAGGATGAGCCGGATCGGGCGGGGAGGAGGTTGAGGAAGTTGGACCAGGGGGCATGGTCGGGGAGGTGGAAGAGCTGATCGATAAAAGCGAAAAAAACTGGTTAGACCCAAGTGAGAAATCCGTGCTTGAACAATGGACTGACTCGAATAATACCCGACGTGCCGGACGATACGGCCAGTCGTTCTCCCCACCAAGCCTCCTTACACCAGCTCAGTGACCACCCACCATCAGTCTCGATCGTGCCACCTTTCCTGCCATCGAAGCTGCCTCCGCTGGCGGAGGAACCCATCGAGCTGACGGCAGCGGTCCCGAGGGAGGACGAGGCGACCGAAGCATGGATCCCACTCCTGTTAGGGCTGGCCGACGTATCGGATCCGCTCAGGAGGGACGAACTGGCATTGAAGCCGTCAAAGGATTGGGCCTGACTGCCCGATGGGTTGGCACCCCCTGTCGCGCTTGCCGAAGTGGGGAAATTGATCGTACTCGACCCGGCGGTCGACACCCTCAAGGAGGGTCCCTGCAAGGTGACGGATTGCGCGGTCGAAGGTGCGGCTGTCAAGACGGTGAGGTCGATATCGTTGACGAGGGACCACTCAGACAGGGTCACCGGGTCGAGGCATTCCCATACGCGGAGATGGGAATCACTCGACACGGCCGCGAGCTTGAGTCCAAACGCGGCGGGAGCGAATTCGATCGATCGGATCGTTCCTCTGGCGTCGGTCAACACGGCTGTGGGGATCCATCGCTTGGTGGAGGAGGATGTTTTGTGCCCCCCTGGTGTTGCTGTAGAGCCGGTTGCGCCTGATGAGCCCCTCACGGTCGTACCGGTAGCTCCTCCGGTGCCACCCGCCGCCGTGGCGCCTTTGACGTGATCCCAGGACCAGAGCTTGATCGAGCCGTCTACCGCACCACTAGCGAGTACAGTCCCAAACTGAGGCTCAGCCCAAGCGAGGTCAAGCACAGGCGAGTCATGGGCCTTCCATTCGATGGGCCTGGCATCGTATGCGCCGGTGGTGGGGTCGCGTTCGGTGACGCGGATGGTGTGGTCAAGCGAGCAGGTCGCCAGTCGATGGTGTTGCGAGAAGCGGACGGCCGTGATGAGGTCCGAGTGCTGCGACGAGATGGCTGACTGCGAGGCCATCGTTGAGCGTCCAGCTGCGGGAAAGAGGAGCGATGTCGCCGTGTGGGGTAAAGCTGAGTCGCAGTCGAGCCGAGGCGCGCAGTGCGACTCACTGTGGCATGTTCGGGCGGGCGTCGGGCGGGCGTCGGGCGGGCGAGCGCGGGCGTGTGCGACCGAGCAGTGGCAGTGGTACCGATCTCGTGCATCTCGCTCCTCTTCTCGTTTCCGGTAATCACACCGCAAAATCAATCACCATGTCGAACCCTCTGCCTGTGTCCCTGCCGCAGGAATGCCGCAAGGCCGCCAAGCTGCTCAACGCTTTCGCTGACCGTACGTCACCACCACCCACCAACCACCGCGACCCCACTCTGCAGTCGCAGGTCGGCTTCACCTCTTCACCTCCCCACCGCTTCACGCGATGAGCATCGACGGCTTACCCCGCTTGCTCATGTACACCACCCCACAGCTGGTAAAGGTTTGGACTCGATCATACCTCCCAACGTATTGCGCAAAGCCAAAGGTATGTGTCATCGCGCAGCCCACCCAATCTGCAACCCCCGGACTGGCACTCCGTAGTGCTCGGCGTTCCCCTCGGCGTTCCCCTCGGTGGCTCAGTGCCCACCCACCGACTGAATAGCCTACTGACCATGGTTCGACACCACAAACCACAGGTTTCGCTTTCCTCACCGTCGTCAAGGCCGGCTTCGTCTTTTCCGCTCGCGCTGGATCGGGTGTCGTCATCGCTCGCTTGCCCGATGGCAGTTGGTCCGCTCCCTCGGCCTGCGCGACCGCCGGAGGTGGGGTCGGCTTCCAGGTCGGCGTCGAGATGGCCGAGTTCATCATCATTCTCAAGTAGGTCCCCAACTTCTTATGGCTACTTTCAGCATCCAGAACAAAGCTTATCTCGTCGCATCGTCACTCTCGCTTGCAGCTCTCGGGCTGCCGTAGCTTCCTTCATGGCCGCCGGCTCCATCAGTCTCGGCGGCAACATGTCCATCGCCGCCGGGCCCATCGGTCGCAACGTCGAAGGCACCGGAGCCATCTCCTCAAAGGGCAAAGTCGCCGCCATGTACTCGTACTCGCGAACCAAAGGCTTATTTGGAGGCGCCTCGATCGAAGGCTCCGTCATCGTCGAACGATCCGATGCGAACCGACAAGCCTACGGATTCGATGTCAAAGCCAAGCAGTTGCTCTCGGGTCAAGTCGATCCTCCCGCATTCGCCGACCTCTTGATCGACACCATTGTTCGCAAATGTGGAGGAAGTTCCGAACATGCCCAGAGAGGCAATGGTGGAGATGATGACGATAGCATCTACGACGACGACTTCTTTGAGAACGGTTTGGGGCACGAGAGAGGCGATTCGTTCGGCGGCGACCCTAAAGCGTATTCGTTCGGAAGCGCCTATGCGAGTGGAGGTAGCTCTTCTCGACCTTCAACCCCTGGTTCGCCAAAGATGGAAAAGTCACTGTCTGCTTCGAAAGGGTTTGGCAGCAAGTTGAGCAACTTCGTCCCCGGGAGTGCGAGTCGATCGAGGAGCAGTTCGATCGCCGCCGCGCGAGCCGAGATTGGTGCACCGACCAGCTCGTTGATGGGCAAGGAATCGAGCCGCGATGGACCCGTATCCACTGGAACGACAAGGTTCGAAACGGAGTTCACAAACGAGTTTGAGCAATCGGACGACCCCTTCAAGGATGGCGAGCACTGGAGAGGAAGCGTGGATAATCGAAGAAGCTCTGCGGCGAAATTGACCAAAGCTTCCTCGCCTCTCAACTCTTACTCGTCCCCACGGGTAGGAGCGCCCGGAATCAAAGACGTCGGTGCTGTTCCGGAGTGGGAGGCCCAGGCTTCTCTGACGAGGGACTCGTTCGATTCTCTGGATGATGATCGAGCCGAGCGAAATGGGTTCGGGAACAGATACGACGATGGAGCTCAGACCGATTATGGAACGATAGGAGGGTCTTCGTCTTCCTCAGGAGCTCGTTTCCGATCTTCGACTGTGGGTTCCAATACTCGACCTACGGGACTGTTCGCGAGGGCACGAAGTGCGTCTAGTCCTTGGTCAAGCAAGAGCAAGAAGGCCGCCGCAGCGAATGCACGTGCGGCTTCTCCTTATATCAACGAGCGGCCATCGCCTTTCGAGGACGACGACCTGTCGAACAAAAGCACGTATTCTACGCGAGCTCGATCAGGATCTGCTGGTCCGGCACCCTGGGATTCGGAGGAAGAAGGTTTCTACAACACCGACGACAGTCCGGCCTCACGATTACGTTCATCCTCTAGAGGCGACGGGAGAGCCGACGAGAGCCAGCAAAACATCATCACGACACCGAGAGGCGAGCGAAAGGATCCGTTTGACTTCTCAGAGGTCGACGCCGATTTCGCTTCGAGCATCTCTTCGCATCATCCTGGTCGAGCCGCAGGGAAAAGGTCCGGGAACTCGACGCCTAATGGAGGGAGGTCGAGGTCGGGCACGATCGGGGGTATCGGGAAAGCGATCGCGTTGTACGACTTCCCGGGCGTCGAAAGTACGGATCTGCCATTCAAGAAGGGGGATGTGATTACTGTTCTGAGCTGCGATGATGAGGAGTGGTGGAAGGGGAGGTTGAATTTGATCACTGGCATGTTCCCTAGGAACCGAGTCGAGGCTCATCTCGATAAATGAGCAAATGGGCCAGGAGTGTAGTTTTGAACATCAGCTCTTTTGCGGGTCATCAGTGCGGCGCTTTTTTATTGGTTGGAAGTTGCAACACGAAATAAATTACATCTTGACAATAGAGGCGAAGTGGGACCTGCAATAGCTAGGTTACTCGTCATCTTCTTCCTCCTCCTCTTCTTCGTCCTCGTCGTCAGCTTGAGGAGCAGGCACACGTCGGACTGGAAGCGCAATTGCCTCTTCTTCCTCCTCGCTCTGCTCAGCAGCTGATTCAGCCTCATCCTCCTGGCCCGCCTCCTCATCTTGAACCCCCTCAAGGTTCGTCTTGACGAAATCTCGAACTTCAGCAAACTCAACCGACGCTTGCCACGCTTCCTCATCCACCTCATTGACCTGTTCCTCGCACGTCTTGACGACCATCTTCTCGAACCTCTCCAGCGCATTCTTGGAAACCGTGTCCGACAAAGCCCTCTTCGATTTGGTCGCTTTGATCAACCACAACAAAGCTTTGACCTTCAAACGCGGCGCTTCCAAGGGAATATACAACTTGGGTAAAAGTTGACACAACAACTTGCGTTCGTCCTTAAGGGTTTGTTGGAACAGTGCCTTGATCATTTGCACGCTCAGATCGAGATGGATCGTGTCGTCGAATTGGGCACGAGAGGCTTTGGTGTCTTCGGCCGCTAGGATCGATTTTTGAGGATCGGTCCAGTCGAGCAATTGAAGACCGATTTGTAAAGGTGCAACCATGGCGTTCCGTTCCGTCGTACCCAATTCGTCGTACACGTCCTTTAGCAACGCCAATGTTGGCAAGAATACCTTGGACACCCGTCGTTGATTCGCGGGGTTCGAATATGCGTAGACGGGGAAGAAGTAGGAGAGGCATTGGCGCAACTTTTGATTGTCGATCGTTTCGGAAGCAAAGTAGAGGAGCACGAGGCGGGAGAGAATCTCTTCGTCCGTGACAAGGTTCGAGAGCATAAGTTTACATACGCCGATCACGCAGGTTGCTTCGGCTTCGGGTTCTTCTTGTTCCAGCGAGGACATGAGGAAGCCGAGAATGACGTCGGCCTATAGGAGCGAAAGGTGATGCCAAAGTGGTTCCGTCAGCATTGACGAAATACTCGTTCAATTTAGAAAACTTGAGCTCACCCCGAAACCGCGGTCGGCGCCGAGATTGATCCCATGCAAAACAAGCAGATCAAAGAGAGTTTGCAAGATCTTGACCCGGAGCTCGCCCTCCGTGTCTTGACTTTGGCGCGCGAGCAACTCGAACGAGTCGACCGCTGTCGGCTGCAGTGAGTCATTGAGATCGTTTAGCACTCGGCCGCCCCAACACACGCACCGCCACAGCCGAACTGCTTACCTTGTCCAGTAGGGAGATCAATCCGAGGCAGACGAGGCCAGACGATCGGACCTCTTGATCCTTCTGCTTGATCGCCGGCACGACCAGTTCGGTCACGAGCCCGTGAAGCATCGAGTTCTCTTGCAACGCCTGTTCCACATCAATCAAGCCACCAAAGAAATCAGCCCCACCCCCTCCCCCCTTGATGAAACCTGTTGGTAAAGACTTACGCCCATGACTCGTTCGAGCAAGGCCTTGACGATCACGAGGCATCGCAAATCAAGTTGCTTGCGTCGAGCGAAGATGACGGGCTCTTGGGAAGCCGTGTAGCGACGCTTACGCCGGGCCTTGCGAGCTTCCGCGTCTTCATCTTCGTCTTCATCTTCTGAATCGTTGTCGAGATCGGCATCATCGTCTGTCGTCATCAGATGCGAGTCCGCACGAAGGGATTGAACGATCTCGACGACGATCCTCATGAATTCTTTCTCCGACGAAGTCACCTTGAGCAAAACGTCCAAGCACTTTGGCACCAACGAGTAAGGTAAAATCGAATTGGACATCATCTCGCGCATCAGTTCGAACATCTTGCGACGACCAATCTCGTCACCGTAATCGAGGTCAATGGCCATCTCGACCAATTCACCGACGACGAACTCGAGCTCGAGTTCGGCGCCTTCGTCTCGTTCGGCCGCGTCGAGCGATACGACCAATTTGGTCCACTCGTTTTGGACGAAGAAGGCCAGGGCAGTGACGACGGGTTCGAGGTCGGCGAGGCGAGGGTCTTCGAGTTGGCGCAGATGGTTCAAGTAGACGCGAGTCGTGAAGGCCGTGTGAGGGGTTAGACTTTGCCAGAATTCACCTTTGGGAGAGGCACAAGGGGAAGGGAATCAGTTACTGCGAATTGAGGGACAAATCAACATCCGCGACTTACCTCCAAAGTCCATCCCTTCCATGAGAGCTGGGTTTGATTCGAAGATGGCCGAGAGAATGTTTTCCGCTGCTTTCCCTTCATAAAGATCGAAAAATTTCAAAAACTGTACGAGAGCGCAAGTTCAGCTTTCGATAGAGCGGTCAAGTATAATCTCGGTGGACATACCCGAACGACGCCTCCCGCTTCCTCGGCCCACTTCGAAACCAATTTCTTGGCTGCTCGTCGAACCCCTTCCTCTCGATCCCTCAAGCCACGAGCAATCGCGTCCTCGCGCTGTGTCTGAGTCAACCGAGCACAGGGGATTTCATACAGAACATGAAGGTACGCGGCACGTCGATTGATGGGGTCGACGTCCAGAGTACGCATCAGCAAGGCCGGCAGGGTCTTGGGCGAAGGGATGAGATTGAAGAGCGCGGCGCGTCGAACCTCGCTGTTATACACAGGGATAGATCAGTCACTTGCCCGTTCACTCTGTTATGATAGTCACCATGAGAGATGTATGAGGATGTGAAAACTCACGCGGCAGGATCGTGGGTGAGCACGTCGATGAGCACATCTGACACGCTCAGCTCGTCGTCGTCATCCTCATCGACCTCGTCGGCTTCCTGGAGCTTGGCCAAAGCCACGACGGCTTGCATGCGAACGGTCGACTCCTTATCCCGCACCCGTTCGAGCAAGGCCTGTTTGAGCAACTGATAAGTATCGTCACTGATGAAGAAGAGATGGGCATGTTAGATCAGAGCGGGTACCCTAAGCCCGACAAGGCATGCGAAAATACTGACTCGATCTCGCCGAGACTGTTGACCATGAGCGCGACGAGTTGCACGCTGCGGAAGCGAGCGACCTTGTTCTTGGCCTGGAACCCTTTGAGCAAGAAGGCGAGGAGTTGGGCCACGAGTCGCGAGGCGGGCCCGTCCTCGTCCTCGTCGTCATCCTGTTCGCCTGCTTCGGCCTCACGTTGTTTGAAGTCTAGTTGGTCACGGGATGGCAAGCAAATGAACGCCGACATGAGCGCTGCGCTTTTGACCGAATATGCCACAGTTTGATTCCAACTTACCGTGCTCGACCGCGAAACCAACGAAGCCCGCAATATACTTGATGATGCGATCGGCCTGCTCGACACCCTTCTTGACGCCGAGCGGATGAACGACCGCAGCCCGGAACGCGTCACCGAACGCTTTCTCGCCCGTCAACCTGAGCGTCGTTCCATCGTTGGACAGGGTCGTGACCTGCGCGGCTCGAAGAAATAGGCCGTGCAAGGTGTTGATGTTCTTGCGGTGCGACGCTACCGAGTGCTGCGACGCGCCAAACAGTTGCGGCACTTGCTGCTGCAGCGTCCGTTGAACTGTCTCGAGCGAGTCGAGCTTGGAAGTTGAGGGAGCTGCTTTAGGGCCTGGCATTGTGAATATAGGTATCCTGTAGACGGGCTGGCGGTGGAGCGCGTCAAGAAGGGGAGTGGGCTCGGGTGGAGCTGATGGGGCGTGTTGATTGATGCGCCAGTTCGTCGCCTACGCCGTGTTGCTCGTTGAACGGCGGTGAATGTAGCTAACACGGGTCAAGGTCTTGATCTTACAAAATTCTGCAAGTCGACTAGGCTCGTAAGGCGAAACAACGCCCGGTTGCCTGCCTTCGCTGTTGATGAGTAGTGGAAGACCGGTCAACAGCCGCCCAATTGCGTAAACGAACACCCACAAACTTGAGCTCGGACCGCTTCGTCGGCAAAGTCGGAGCTGATCGGCCCCGGCCGGAGATTGTGATTCATTTGTGAACAGGAACCTTCGAAAGGCTTACTGACGGCAAGACAGGTTCCCATGATCAGAGTTTCATTTGAATCCAGTGAACTTCACTCACACATCTTTTTTGCACTTTTGATGGCTCCATACCGCGGTCCGCCACTCGGAGGTCATTAGCTAGTAGCGGTTCGGAACGACCGACATGCACTTTCGCAGAAGGGGTCCAAGATTACGTTCAGTTGCCTCCTCCAAAAAAAAAACTTCGAGGCGTGTACACGCGCTCCAGTGGTAGTAGTGCGTGTGCCAAGACTCAGGTCTCAGGTGCGGCGTCCCGATCACGGTTCTCGGTTCTCGGGCAGGAGCAGATTCACAGTCGACCCGACGGCAGAGGCTGAGTGGGCGCCAACTGCGGGCCGGCGCGCGGCGACGACCCAGTCCGGACGGCCCGAGTGCTCGTGAGTGCTCGGGTCGCGGGGTTTGAAAATCTGACCAGGCTCGCCCATCGCGGCTTGACCACCTTCTCGTTCTCCATCCCCCTCTCCGTATCCTCCTTCTCTCCCCATAGAAGTGAATAACCGCATTTATAGATTGCACAAGTCACCTCTGCATCTCCGCATACTAGACTGTACACGACTGCAACCTCTGTCCAAGAGTAGCAGCCTCCAGTCCGTCATCGAACCTTCGCATTCGCAAGCTTCGCACGCCGCCGCCCGCCGGCCCTTTAACGTTCGCTAGCTCGACTCGTTGAGCGTGTGAGTAACCGCGCCTTTTCTTTGCACGCGTACTTGAACCCGATCTGCGGAAGTCAATGTGCATCTTATGCTGACTTTGCTGCTCCCTCCCCTGCTTTTCGCTTTGCCACACCGCGCGCTCGCCGACTTGTTGCTCGCTTGCCGCTTGCCGCGCCCACGCCCACGTCGCTCGATTCGTTGCCGACCCGAAAACGTGTCGCCCCCGGCGCCCGGAAACGTCCTACACTCGCACTCGTACTACGCGCCGCCCGGACACACGCTGCGGAACACTCGATTTCAACTCGATCTCATCTCCGCTGCCCGGATCACGCAGTCTTGGAAGCCACCTACCTAACCGTACCGACCCCCCAACCCTTATGCCCACCGCCGTCATGTCCAAGAACGAGTCGCCCGCCGTCTCGACACCGATCAAGATCGACGCCGCCGCCGTCAAGGCCGAAGGCCACCACGTCGCGACCGGCGATGAGGTCCAGGTCGACATCCACACCGTCCTGTCCTCGCCCGACCGCGCCGCGCGCGAGAAGGCCGCGACCGAGCTCGTCGACCTCGTCAAGATCGAAGGCCCGCAGGCGTTCGTCCGATTGGGCCTCGCCGACGCGATCGAAAAAGGACTCAACGACAAGAAGAACGCCGTCGCGCGTGAGGGCGCATGCGAGCTCTTGTCGATCCTCGTCGAGCAGGGTGTCGGCAACGCCGTCGAGCCCTTCTTCTTCGAGAAGCTGATGCAGCAGATCGTCAGCGAGACGTTCGCCGACAAGGTCACGTCCGTGCGCGAGGCCGCCGTCTCGGCCGTCAAGTCGATCGTGCAGGTCGCGACGTCGTGGGCGACGCCCATCTTCTTGCCCATCTTGCTCCACCAGATCAGGACCGCCGGCAAGTGGCAAGTCAAGACGGGCTCGTTGGCCATCATCGACCAACTCGTCGTTTCGGCCCCGGAGCAGTGCGCCATGCTCATGCCCGACATTATCCCTCCCATGGTTGAGGCCATCTGGGGTGAGTTTTCCGAGTCGGCGTGCTTTAATTCTCGCACAGTGAGCCCGTGCTGATGAATCTTGCCTCCACCCTCCCCCGCAGACACCAAGGCCGACGTCAAGAAGGCCGCCCGCGCCTCGTTGACCAAGTTGACCGCGCTCGTCTCGAACAAGGATATCGAAAAGTTCATCCCCGCTCTGATCAACGCGCTCATCAACCCGATCGAGGAGGTGCCCAAGACGATCCAGCTGTTGGCCGCGACGACGTTCGTGTCCGAGGTCGACTCGCCTACGCTCGCGCTCATGGCCCCGCTCCTGTCGCGTGGTTTGAACGAGAAGCTTACGTCGACCTTGCGCAAGGTCGCGACCATCATCGACAACATGGCCAAGCTCGTCGACAACGAGTGGACCGTCCGACCGTTCTTGCCCAAGCTCTTGCCCGGTCTGATCAAGGTCAGCACCACGATCGCCGACCCGGAAGCGCGTGGTGTGGTGATCAAGGCGATCAAGACCCTGCGCGAGATCGGCAACACCGAGGGCGACGGAACGGACTTGCCGCCCTTGCGTCACCAGACGACCGAGGGTGCCGCCCCCTTGGTCGTCGATGCGATCAAGAAGACCGACTCGGCGTCCAAGCTCGATGCGTCATCGCCGTTGGTGCACTATATCGCGTCGCTCGTCGCCAATTTGGTCAACGCGCGCAACTTTGAGCCGACCGAATGGGACTCGGCTCTCGTTCCCTATGTCTCGCTCGCGCTCCCCCACTCAATCCGTGCCAACCAGGCGCAGACCGTCGTGCGCGCCGTGCTCGAAAAGTCGGCGTCCGACGAGGGCGAGGAGATCGAGGTGTTCCCCGATGAGGAGGAGGGCGAGGACTTGTGCAACTGCACCTTCTCGCTCGCTTACGGTGCCAAGATCTTGCTCAACACCGCGACGCTCCGTCTCAAGCGTGGCCACCGCTACGGTTTGTGCGGTCGCAACGGTACGGGCAAGTCGACGCTCATGCGCGCGATCGACAACGGCCAGGTTGAGGGTTTCCCTTCGCCCGACGAGGTGCGCACCTTCTACGTCGAGCACGATGTCGACGGTGACGAGACCGAGAACACGATCATCTCGTTCGTGCTCAAGGACAAGCGTATCCTCAAGGACGAGGCCGAGTGCCGCCGCGTGCTCGACACGGTCGGGTTCACGCCCGAGCGACAAGAGTCGGCGATTGGCTCGCTGTCCGGTGGATGGAAGATGAAGCTCGCGTTGGCGCGTGCCATCCTGTTCGAGGCCGATATTCTCTTGCTCGACGAGCCGACGAACCACTTGGACGTGCTTAACGTCGCCTGGCTCGAGAACTACCTCACGTCGCTGACGACGTGCACGTCCATCATCGTCTCGCACGACTCGGGCTTCCTCAACAACATCACGACCGACATTTTGCACTTGAACCGCTTCAAAGTCAAGCGTTATCCCGGTAACTTGCAAGCGTTCATCAAGCACGTGCCCGAGGCCAAGGCCTACTACGAACTCTCGGTCGAGGAGGAGTACCAGTTCAAGTTCCCCGATCCCCCTCTGCTCGACGGTGTCAAGACGAAGGAGAAGTCGTTGATGAAGATGCGTCACGTCGGTTTCCAGTACCCCGGCACGGCCGCACCGCAGTTGTACGACATCTCGCTGCAGGTCTCGTTGTCGTCGCGTGTCGCCGTCTTGGGCCCCAACGGAGGTGGAAAGTCGACCTTGGTCAAGCTGCTCGTCGGCGAGACCGAGCCCAACAAGGGCGGTGAGGTGTGGAAGCACCCCAACTTGGTGCTCGGATACGTCGCGCAGCACGCGTTCCACCACATCGATTGCCATCTCGACAAGACCCCGCTCGAGTACATGCTCCAGCGATACCAGACCGGCGAGGACTTGGAGGAGCTCAGCAAGGGCAACCGCATCCTGTCCGAGGAGGAGCAGAAGAAGATGAAGGAGGGTTCGATCGTCGTCGTCGAGGGCGTGAAGCGCACGATCGAGGACGTGACGAACCGCAAGAAGCTGAAGCAGTCGTTCGAGTACGAGTGCTCGTTCAAGGGCATGTCGTCGTCCGAGAACATCTGGTTGCCGCGCGACGAGCTCATCCGACGTGGTTTCGAGAAGAAGGTTATGGAGGTCGACACGCGCGAGGCGCAAAAGGCCGGTCTGCTGCGCCCTCTCGTCCGTCGCGAGATCGAGCTGCACATGGCCGACTTTGGTCTCGAGGCCGAGTTCGTGACGCACAACACGATGCGAGGTCTTTCCGGTGGACAGAAGGTCAAGGTCGTGCTCGCTGCCGCGACATGGCGACGACCGCACGTCGTCATCCTCGACGAGCCGACAAATTACCTCGACCGAGAGTCGCTCGCCGCGCTCATCGCCGCGCTGAAGACGTTCGAGGGTGGTGTGCTCGTCATCACACATAACCGCGAGTTCTCCGAGTCGATCTGCACCGAAGTGTGGGCCATGAACCAGGGTTACCTCGAGGCGTCCGGCCACAACTGGGTCGAAGGTCAGGGCTCCGGCCCGCGCATCGACAAGGTCGACGAGGAGGAGAAGGACGTCTTTGACGCCATGGGCAACAAGATCGAGCAGAAGAAGGGCCCCAAGAAGCTGTCGTCGTCGGATGCCCGCAAGGCCAAGAAGGCCCGCATGGCCCGCAAAAAGCTCGGACTTCCCTCCGACGACGAGGAGGAGCTGTAGAGGGGCTGTAGATGTTGTCTTCTCTTACTTTTGCAATCAGTTATATACATTTCGTCTCATCCTTCCCTGTATTTGCATTCTCTCAGTGTCGATTCCGTTCGCGCGATTCGGATCTCTTGTGGCTTTGGAAGTGACTGGGCACTTGATTCACAAATTCGATAGCTAACCTGTTGTTTATCTCCATCACGAGGCTCTAAATTGGGCGTCGTCGGCATTGGCTTGGGATCGCTTGGTTCCTATGGTTGCACCCCTATCTCAGCGGGCAGCGCCACCGCAAAATCTTCCCGGACTATCTGCAGCGCGGCCAGGCTGACCGCCGGATGTCGTTTTGTTCTCGGGACCGACCAATCGACGTTCAATCGGGTCGCGGACGCCGCCGATCTGCATTCGATGTTCCACCTGCTGCTGAACGTGCGGATGATATCTGAAGCGCCGGTGGTGCGACTTGGCGTGAATATTCAAGGACTGTCGGTGCAGATATGCAGATGGCTAGGCCAAAAGTAGGGGCTGCACCGCTTCATCGTCTAGTCTTTTGCAGCTCCCATCAGATTGAGTGGCGCGCGCGCGCATCCGGGGCATTCCGACGAGCGCCAAGCCTTTTTGACAGGATTGGATTTCATTGCTCGCGACGAGTGGGCGATGCATTCCGGAACCGAACTACACGCGAAAATGCGCCTGTTGGTTGTCGGCTGTCGACCTGTCAGGTTTCAGTTCCCATAGCGCCGAAGCCAAGAGATCGGCCCAACCGGATGTTGTGAATGCTCGCGAATGTTCCCCGGCCACGGGAGACGACTCTGACCGCCCTCTGGGCACCGCGCGACAGTGGACCTGACTGGACCTGACAGCGGTTTGTTTGCTTGTTGCCGATCCTATACATGCAATCACATCTTTGCTTCCTTCCCCCTCTCTGATTCCAACTCGCTACCTCCAGATATCCTCCGCGACGCGACGCCTCAGATAGTCTTGTCCTCCGCTGTCGTCAACGTGTCCACTCGTTCTTGACCCTTCGAAAATAAACTTCTTTGGCTGCACGCGATTGGCTCACTCGCGGTCAACCAAGTTGGGATTGCCAGCCACGTTGCTTCCCCTTCGCACCATCACCTCGGACGATCACAGCTGCAATCCGGAACGAGATGTTCTCACACGTCACCCTTCTCCTCGTCGTTGCGAGTGTTGTGACTGCGTCGACACCCCATCCCCTGTACGAACGCCAAAGCCGGAGTGAGTTCAGTGATGCGCGCGCGCACGCGTGCAATCGTGCGATCGTTTGAAGAAGAAAAACGCGACGGGCCTCGACTGACACCATCACCGCGTTCCGTCTCGTCCCGTCGGTTCCCCCGCCTACTTTTCAATTGTAGCCTACCCTGAGCCCCTCAAAGTTGGGCCTCAGCCTCTTCAGGTGTGGATTGATACCTACAATCAGGCGAAAGCTGCAGGCAAAATCCCTTCCTTCGCGCCAGCAACGCTCAGCGGCGGAGAGCCGGTGTACGCCTCGGGCGTCGACACGGGTGTAAAGGGAGTCTGCTCTTGGACACGTAAGTACCGCAGAATCTGGTCTCAAAGTCCACGTCGCGACTTGAATGATCGAGTCGCCGAGCTTATAGTGTCGCTTGCCCACAGTCGCGCATTGCTTCAACACCAACAAGACTGGCGCATATGATATCGAGGATGGCCCAACCGGGGTAAGTCGCGCACGCTCAACCTGATTGGACAACTCGCGTTGTCCTATTCGGGTCGGCTGACTTACATTGCTTCGATATATGATGGTCATTAAAAAAGCATGTGGGCGTCTCGTTCGACGATGGACCGACACCCGCATCACCGGTGCTTTACAAATTCTTGCAGTCCAAGAATCTCGCAGTGAGTTTTCTTCCGCGGCGCAAATATGACACATTGGCCTGCACCCCGCTCACATTGTGATGATCTGTTCGTCATCGACAGGCAACACACTTTTTTATCGGGTCCAACATCGTGAACAACCCCGACATCTTCGATCAAGCCGTCAAATCTGGCGGTCACATTGCCGTCCACACCTGGGCTCACAAGCTCATGACCACCTTGACAGACATGCAAGTGCTCGGAGAGCTGGGATGGACCATCCAGATCATTTATGACAGGGCGGGTGTTGTGCCTCGATTCTGGAGGCCTCCTTATGGCGACATCGACAACCGAGTCCGAGCGATCGCCAAAGAAGGTAAAGCACGACTCGGGTTCGCTGTCACTTTTGGAGCGCATACTGACCCCTGTCGCACTCGCGCGGGTTAGTTTTCGGTTTGGAGCACGCAGTCATCTGGAACCACGACACCAACGACTGGTGTCTGAGTGAGGGTGGAGGATCGTGAGTCACGCAATGGGTACTCATCTCCTATAGCTTTACAGCCGATCTGACCGTTGGTCTTTTTGTTTCAACAGCTCTTGCCCCTCCAGCGACTGGACTCCCAGCTCCGACGCTGAACTCGACCAAGAGCTGAACGGCTTTTACAACGGTCCCAAATCTCCAGGATTGGTAAGTGATAACAGCGCAACGTTCTACGCCTTGATCTACCATAGCTGTCATTGATCCAACAGTGTTCGCGTCACTCCTCCAGATTATTCTCGAGCACGAAGTCACAAGCCGATCGGTCGGTGCTTTCATGCGCACCTTCCCCACGCTCATCTCGAAGGGATGGATTCCTCAGTGAGTTCCGGCCCGCTTTCCTTGTGGATTGTCTTGAATCGGCGCAGCTCCAACTGATGCAGGCGTGCTGCTCTGTAAGATCTATCCCTGATCTCTTCAGTCAACCTTGGTACCTCAACGCCGCCGGGCCCAGCGACACTCCCACGAGAGGCTTCGTCGTCGGAAGTGGCGACCTACCCAACGTCAACAACGCGGCAGTCAACCTTACTAGCTCCTCTTCTTCCGCGGCCGTGGCTCGATCCTCGTCGACGTCCATCGTCACGCAGACCAGAAGCTCGGCCAGGGCTTCCTCGGCCGTCGGTTCCAGTATCTCTGGTCAAGGAACGGCGACAGCTGCTGCTCAGGCGGCGGCGTCATCGAAGACAGCGTCCGGCGCGGCAATGTTGTCGTCCTCGATCTTCCTCCCGGTGTCCCTGATGATCTTTGCTTCCCTTAGACTTTTTTAGACCCTCTATTTGACTGGTAGTCCTCGACGGATGCGTAGTTGTCAGAGTGAGGTGTGTAATCCCTATACCAACCATACCCAGTATACCCTTGCCACGCGCTTCCACGGTGATTGTCGGCTTCTGTCATTGGACGGCGACGACCTGATCGAAAGCAAGTGACTGAAAGCCTTCACAGGAGCTAGGGTTGGCTGTGATTTCGCTCGCAAATGTTCATACTGTCACGAGATAATGCCCGACGGCATCACTTTTTCGCTGAAACGGGCTCAGAGCTGAAAGCGATGCAGTGAGAGTCACAGGACATCCCGAACAAAGAAGGAAATGAACCAAAATGATGAATTACAACCTGCCAGAGAGAAAGAACATCAAACAGAAGCATCTATGGGGTCTAGAATATTTCAAACCGCACACAACCACATCATCTACAGCCCCTCTACAGCTCCTCCTCGTCGTCGGAGGGAAGTCCGAGCTTTTTGCGGGCCATGCGGGCCTTCTTGGCCTTGCGGGCATCCGACGACGACAGCTTCTTGGGGCCCTTCTTCTGCTCGATCTTGTTGCCCATGGCGTCAAAGACGTCCTTCTCCTCCTCGTCGACCTTGTCGATGCGCGGGCCGGAGCCCTGACCTTCGACCCAGTTGTGGCCGGACGCCTCGAGGTAACCCTGGTTCATGGCCCACACTTCGGTGCAGATCGACTCGGAGAACTCGCGGTTATGTGTGATGACGAGCACACCACCCTCGAACGTCTTCAGCGCGGCGATGAGCGCGGCGAGCGACTCTCGGTCGAGGTAATTTGTCGGCTCGTCGAGGATGACGACGTGCGGTCGTCGCCATGTCGCGGCAGCGAGCACGACCTTGACCTTCTGTCCACCGGAAAGACCTCGCATCGTGTTGTGCGTCACGAACTCGGCCTCGAGACCAAAGTCGGCCATGTGCAGCTCGATCTCGCGACGGACGAGAGGGCGCAGCAGACCGGCCTTTTGCGCCTCGCGCGTGTCGACCTCCATAACCTTCTTCTCGAAACCACGTCGGATGAGCTCGTCGCGCGGCAACCAGATGTTCTCGGACGACGACATGCCCTTGAACGAGCACTCGTACTCGAACGACTGCTTCAGCTTCTTGCGGTTCGTCACGTCCTCGATCGTGCGCTTCACGCCCTCGACGACGACGATCGAACCCTCCTTCATCTTCTTCTGCTCCTCCTCGGACAGGATGCGGTTGCCCTTGCTGAGCTCCTCCAAGTCCTCGCCGGTCTGGTATCGCTGGAGCATGTACTCGAGCGGGGTCTTGTCGAGATGGCAATCGATGTGGTGGAACGCGTGCTGCGCGACGTATCCGAGCACCAAGTTGGGGTGCTTCCACACCTCACCGCCCTTGTTGGGCTCGGTCTCGCCGACGAGCAGCTTGACCAAGGTCGACTTTCCACCTCCGTTGGGGCCCAAGACGGCGACACGCGACGACAACGAGACCTGCAGCGAGATGTCGTACAACTGCGGTGCGGCCGTGCCGGGGTACTGGAAACCGACGTGACGCATCTTCATCAACGACTTCTCCTTCGTCTTGACACCGTCGAGCAGAGGGGGATCGGGGAACTTGAACTGGTACTCCTCCTCGACCGAGAGTTCGTAGTAGGCCTTGGCCTCGGGCACGTGCTTGATGAACGCTTGCAAGTTACCGGGATAACGCTTGACTTTGAAGCGGTTCAAGTGCAAAATGTCGGTCGTGATGTTGTTGAGGAAGCCCGAGTCGTGCGAGACGATGATGGACGTGCACGTCGTCAGCGACGTGAGGTAGTTCTCGAGCCAGGCGACGTTAAGCACGTCCAAGTGGTTCGTCGGCTCGTCGAGCAAGAGAATATCGGCCTCGAACAGGATGGCACGCGCCAACGCGAGCTTCATCTTCCATCCACCGGACAGCGAGCCAATCGCCGACTCTTGTCGCTCGGGCGTGAACCCGACCGTGTCGAGCACGCGGCGGCACTCGGCCTCGTCCTTGAGGATACGCTTGTCCTTGAGCACGAACGAGATGATCGTGTTCTCGGTCTCGTCACCGTCGACATCGTGCTCGACGTAGAAGGTGCGCACCTCGTCGGGCGAAGGGAAACCCTCAACCTGGCCGTTGTCGATCGCGCGCATGAGCGTCGACTTGCCCGTACCGTTGCGACCGCACAAACCGTAGCGGTGGCCACGCTTGAGACGGAGCGTCGCGGTGTTGAGCAAGATCTTGGCACCGTAAGCGAGCGAGAAGGTGCAGTTGCACAAGTCCTCGCCCTCCTCCTCATCGGGGAACACCTCGATCTCCTCGCCCTCGTCGGACGCCGACTTTTCGAGCACGGCGCGCACGACGGTCTGCGCCTGGTTGGCACGGATTGAGTGGGGGAGCGCGAGCGAGACATAGGGAACGAGAGCCGAGTCCCATTCGGTCGGCTCAAAGTTGCGCGCGTTGACCAAATTGGCGACGAGCGACGCGATATAGTGCACCAACGGCGATGACGCATCGAGCTTGGACGCCGAGTCGGTCTTCTTGATCGCATCGACGACCAAGGGGGCGGCACCCTCGGTCGTCTGGTGACGCAAGGGCGGCAAGTCCGTTCCGTCGCCCTCGGTGTTGCCGATCTCGCGCAGGGTCTTGATCGCCTTGATCACCACACCACGCGCTTCCGGGTCGGCGATCGTGGTGCTGACCTTGATCAGACCGGGCAAGAGCTTGGGCAAGAACGGTCGGACGGTCCACTCGTTGTCGACGAGCTTGGCCATGTTGTCGATGATGGTCGCGACCTTGCGCAAGGTCGACGTAAGCTTCTCGTTCAAACCACGCGACAGGAGCGGGGCCATGAGCGCGAGCGTAGGCGAGTCGACCTCGGACACGAACGTCGTCGCGGCCAACAGCTGGATCGTCTTGGGCACCTCCTCGATCGGGTTGATGAGCGCGTTGATCAGAGCGGGGATGAACTTTTCGATATCCTTGTTCGAGACGAGCGCGGTCAACTTGGTCAACGAGGCGCGGGCGGCCTTCTTGACGTCGGCCTTGGTGTCTGCGGGGGAGGGTGGAGGCAAGATTCATCAGCACGGGCTCACTGTGCGAGAATTAAAGCACGCCGACTCGGAAAACTCACCCCAGATGGCCTCAACCATGGGAGGGATAATGTCGGGCATGAGCATGGCGCACTGCTCCGGGGCCGAAACGACGAGTTGGTCGATGATGGCCAACGAGCCCGTCTTGACTTGCCACTTGCCGGCGGTCCTGATCTGGTGGAGCAAGATGGGCAAGAAGATGGGCGTCGCCCACGACGTCGCGACCTGCACGATCGACTTGACGGCCGAGACGGCGGCCTCGCGCACGGACGTGACCTTGTCGGCGAACGTCTCGCTGACGATCTGCTGCATCAGCTTCTCGAAGAAGAAGGGCTCGACGGCGTTGCCGACACCCTGCTCGACGAGGATCGACAAGAGCTCGCATGCGCCCTCACGCGCGACGGCGTTCTTCTTGTCGTTGAGTCCTTTTTCGATCGCGTCGGCGAGGCCCAATCGGACGAACGCCTGCGGGCCTTCGATCTTGACGAGGTCGACGAGCTCGGTCGCGGCCTTCTCGCGCGCGGCGCGGTCGGGCGAGGACAGGACGGTGTGGATGTCGACCTGGACCTCATCGCCGGTCGCGACGTGGTGGCCTTCGGCCTTGACGGCGGCGGCGTCGATCTTGATCGGTGTCGAGACGGCGGGCGACTCGTTCTTGGACATGACGGCGGTGGGCATAAGGGTTGGGGGGTCGGTACGGTTAGGTAGGTGGCTTCCAAGACTGCGTGATCCGGGCAGCGGAGATGAGATCGAGTTGAAATCGAGTGTTCCGCAGCGTGTGTCCGGGCGGCGCGTAGTACGAGTGCGAGTGTAGGACGTTTCCGGGCGCCGGGGGCGACACGTTTTCGGGTCGGCAACGAATCGAGCGACGTGGGCGTGGGCGCGGCAAGCGGCAAGCGAGCAACAAGTCGGCGAGCGCGCGGTGTGGCAAAGCGAAAAGCAGGGGAGGGAGCAGCAAAGTCAGCATAAGATGCACATTGACTTCCGCAGATCGGGTTCAAGTACGCGTGCAAAGAAAAGGCGCGGTTACTCACAATTCGATCTAGCCGGGGTGGTGAGCAAAGTATGCACGTAGAGGCTGCGAACGGGCGACGAGCGACAAGCAGCAGACACGGGCGACGCCGTAGCAATAAGCGACCGCGAGGTTTATGAGAGAGGCTGGAGATACGACGTGCAAGGTAGAGGAAGTGTGGCCGAGTCGGAGTGAGCTAGACTCTAAGCGGAGATGGGGTGAGAGGTGAGAGGATAAGGAGGAAAGGGATCGGCGCCTGAAGCGGAATTTGACCCGAGCTTCGCAAGGACGCCGCTGTCTGCCGCTGTCGCCCGGCAGCGCCCGGCAGTCGCGCGGTCTCAGGCGCCTGGATCGCTCTCTGGATTCTTCGAGCCCTCGCGGCGACTGGGCCTGGGCTGGCAGGGGCTGGCCATCGGTAGCCCGGCCAACCAACGCGAGCCCCCGGGCGCTGCCCCTCAGTCGTTCGGACTGGAATCCATCTAGCGATCAGACGTCGCGCTCCTGCTCAGGGTCGCAGAGATTTAGCCTTGCTGAAGCAACCAACAGTATCGAAGGTCAAACAGAGAGATCACTGGGAATTAGATTGTTTCTGGACCCAGCATAGTTCTTCATCTTACGACCGAGATCGTGGGGTCGTCTTCGCCTCCGTGTTCGGCCTGGCAACATCGCATCCAGCGCGTACTAGTACAGCGACGTCATGGTCCCGGCCGTCCGCGTGGTCCATCTCGATTCGAGGGATGCACTGGCGTGTGGGAACAGTCTGAAGGAAAAGACTGTCGTTGTCACGGGTATGTCTTTCAAGCACTCGGGCACTCGCCACTCGGCGACGCAGTGTCTCGGCGAGGACGGGGATGACTTGACTTTCGCTCTCGGCGATCATCACATGATCAGGTGCCAGTTCTGGCTTCGGCAAGGCTTTCTCGATTCAAGCTGCTCCCTTCGGGTAAGTGCTATTCAAAAACGTGACTTTGCTGGACCCCGGTGACATGCATGAGAACGCCGCATTTATCGTCACTCCTTCTCCTCTACCCGACAGAGCTTGCTTGGTCATCTCGGATGTCAATATTCGAGGTCTCGAGTTGGTAGCTGAGGAGATCAGGTCTGCCGGGGGGTGAGCGAACATCGCAACGGCCCTAAGAGGTACTTCATGTGCCCTAAATAGTCACTTTTCATACTTCGCCGAATCGTGCGGCGCATCCCAAGCCGTGCGACACGTCGAATTGGGACCACCAGCTCGAAATGTTTGTGAGTCGAGCCTGTTCATTCCTTTAGCATAACCCTCCCGCCTCAGGAAGGCGAAAAGGAGACCTTTTTTTGTTAGGCCGACCTCAAGCACTGACTGTTCATCATCTGCAGGAATTTGCGTGTGAGACTTTTGGTCGTGTAGATGTTGTGGTCGCTAATGCAGGCGTCGGAGAGATGAGCCAGTTCATGAAGGAGGAAAACCTTGACGCGTCCGGACATCTCACGGTATGCCGCGCTTTCACTCTCTACCCCAAGACAACGCCCGACTTGTCCAAGTTTCTGAATCTATGAACTGAGTTTGGGCATCATTTTTAGTGACCAAGCATCCTCACCATCGATGTCAACCTCATTGGAGCGCTGTTTAGTGAGTCCTCCCGCCCCCCATAGTTCGATGTCCAAGGCGCTACTGGACCGTCGACTGAACCTGTTCATTTTTTCGTCACTCCAGCTATCAAGATCGGCTACCACTACTTGAAGAAGAATCCTGCAAAGGAGGGCAAAGCTCTTCTATACATCGGATCCATCTACAGTGCCAACGCGTTACCCAAAGGACCCCTATACGCCACCGTGAGCCCATCCTAATCGTCCTCACTTCCTGTGCACGATGCTGATCCCAGCTGCCATCGATACTAGACAAAGCACTCCATCTACTCTCTGTTCAAATCTATGTACGCAGACTGTCAAGAAGCCGGGATCGCGTGCGTCCTTCCTACCAGGCTCCGCTTAACATGGTAACAGCGCGGCAGCGCTGAAGCTTGTCCCACCCGCAGCACCAACATCATGGCACCCTGGTTCGTAAGAACAGGAATTGTCGCCATCAGGACCGCGATAGTACTTCACGGCCTTCCCTACGCCTCCATATCCGACGTCGTAGCGGGTATGATCAAATCCTGTGCCGACCCCAACTTCCACGGCAATCATGTCGTCGTCGATCCACAGGGGTTGCTCGTCTTCCCTTTCGCTTGTCCTCATCTAGGTCCCCAAGGGTATATCGGGGAGAGCTATGGGAGGTCGACGATCGAGATGGATCGGAAGACCAAGTTCAGAGATATGTTGCTGATTGTTAGAGCGATGGGCGGAAACTTGATTTCCAAGTCGAGGTTGGTTCAACTCGCTGTAGCCGTTGCTCTCGTCGCCCTCGTGCGTAGGAGACTTAAGTTAGGAGCGGGCGAGCACCTTGAGGAACCTTGACATACGCTGGAAGCTTTGTGACATCCTCATGTACGAAACGCTTTCACAGTTATGTAATCAGCTCGATCTTGTCTCTTTCCCACTTCCCAAGCAAGACCATGGGCTTCCACCTGACATTTGATTAGGCAACGTAGCAGTCTTCGCAAACTCTTCAGACTACTTATACACAGCCCGAGGGACAGGATCATACAGACAAATGTCACTGATAATTAGGGTTTGAAAAGTAACTAGTCCACAATACCAAGTGCTTTGAGTTGGTTCCTGAACAAGTCCATGCGACCAAAAGCGTACGACAGGTAATCAAAGTCGACGGCGATCATCTCTGTATCGTCTTCCTCGACTTCCTGCTCCGCCGTGTCCTCGGGATTGACAATCTCACCACTCTTGCCCCTTCTCAAGACCGGTCGGGTCGCTCCTTCGTCTTTACAATCAGCCGATTGTTGTTCCTCGAGGTTGACCTTTTCAAGGCCTTTCGCGAGACCCACCTCTCCTCGTGTCTTGCGTTCCTGGCGGATCTTGCAAACCTTCTTCCACTTCTCCACCATGACTAACAAGTCCTCCTTGCCTTGGACGATACCCCAAACGGCCCACATCGCATGCGAGCTCGCTTCCCACACCCTCACTTCATCTTCCAAGCGCAAGACGCGTACATCCTCCCTCTGCGGACTCGCCGCTCCATCCGAATACAAGGACGAGCTCGAACTTTGTCGCGATACATCTCGACCTTGATCGCATCCGACGTAGGCTCGCAGAAAGCGCTGACGCTCGGCGCGGTTCGGGTACTTGTTCGTCGACAAGGCGTGCGACATGGACGGGTGGTGGTAGTCAGCTTGCCATTCTATGAAATGGTTCGCAATGTCGAACGCTCGAGGGTTTGCGGAGGCATATTCGAAGTCGACGACAATGATCTTCTGGTGAGGTGCCGCGAGGGAGCGATCGAATGCGGCGACGTCGTCCTCGCCGTTCTGCCTCTCTTCGTCGGTCGGCGTCAGCAGCAACAGGTTACCGTACTGAGTGTCGTTATGCGCAAAGACGCGCTTGGATTTGCCTTCCCGCTTCTCCCACTGGTGGACGTAGCGACGGTACATTTTGACTTGCTGCTCGAACAGCGGCAGGTTGAGTGCCGCGCGGAGGGCGATGGTGTGCATCGGGGAAGACAGAGGCGGGACATGCTGGCCACTGCTCGACGAGGCACCCGTGCCATCGTTTGGGGGCGTGACGGTCGGTGTGGCAGTCGAATCACCCAAATCGACGGCTCGGATTATCGGCGACGGAGGCGGCGGGTCAAAGAAGGAGTCAAAACCGGGCATCGACGCGAGCTCGTCGAGGGCTTGCAAGACGACTTTGGCTTCCCTCGTCCAACGCGTGATGTTTTCCCAGACCCCGAGTCGGTCCTTGGTCGACCGACGACTGCGCAGACTACTTCCACTCGCGATCGAGCCAGCGCGACTGCGCCTCTTGTTCCCAGACCGCGACTCGCTCGCCTGACGCGGCAGCAGATGGGGAGAGCTGACGACGGGGGTGCCAAACTGGGATCCCTCCATCGAGCCAGCGTACGAACCGGCGTTACTCGACGAGTCAGAATAGTACGAGGCGCCGAACGAGAAAATTGAGGAGCTCGACGAAACAGAGTAGATCGATGCCGACGACGACTTGTGAGCACCGGCATGCTCAAGTGGCGGCCGCTGCGGTTTGGATCCCGATGAAGGACTGCGCTCTGGGCCTCCCGATGGAACCATCTCGTCCAGGCGGACAGAATGAAGCTCGCGCATGCGTCGACCGATCCAACGCGAAATACGCTCATCCCTCATTTCTTCCTTGTGCAGCGCCCGCGAGTGGAAGTACTCCTCAACGCGACCATTGGAGAACGTGCCGAGCACACGAGGACCGATCTGGTAGGACGAGGATAGGGTGTGGAGGATGTGCAGCTCGGTGCGGCGAGAGATGAGCGACCCGGACGAAGGACCGTAGATGCGAAGAAGCAGAGTTGGTGCCGAAATGGCGACGCTCTCGACTGGCCCCTTCGAATTTGACTTGGAGGCGGGAGGGATTGCCCTGCTGGTTAATGCTCCGTTGGTATTGAGGCCACCTTGGCCAGGCTTGGGGGTCGATCGCCCCTTTTCGAGCTCGCTCAGGACGGTGGCTCGGTTCAGAGGGGTGGACGCCGCCGACTCGCTGTTGCCGTACGATAGCGGCGGTGTGGTATGCCCATCAGATGCAAAGGAGTCCGGTTGGTCGAGATGCAATTCGAAGACAGTTTCCGGCACCGAAACAAAAAAGACGGCATTGGTGAGAGACCCGGATACCTTGTGGATGTGGATCGCCGAAGGAGGGAGGTCGATAGGGAGTTCAACCCAACCAGGCACCTGCAGGTCGTCTCGCAACAGCTCGAGCAGAGATGCACTGAACTCGGGCGATTGATAGTGTCTGTAAGATGGTAGAACAAGGTTCAGATCTTGTACCGTGGTCGGACGATCACAAGGTGGGCCAACTGAGCTCTAATCCGCTTCTCCCCATCCCTACCCAACCTAATCGGCGACAGCAACGATTGAAAGATGACTGACTTTGCGGATAGCCTCATGTTGCAGCTCGCTACGCCAGCGATGTGACCATCTTCGAGCGAAAAATCCTCAATGTCTTGTTCATCGTCGAGCTCGTTCTCATCCTCGTCAAACTCGGCGCCGTCTTCGCTGTCACTCCTGCCACTACGGGTCTCGCCGTCGTCGTCGTCGTAGCTTCCGGAGCGGTACCGATCGGTGTAATCTCCCGGAGCCATGAACTCGAGCTCGAGGTCTTCGGGAATGTCCTGCTCGAGCATGATCGAGTCGACGGAGCTATGACGGTGCGCGGCGCCATGACGACTTCCGGCCTGACGACTGCTCCCCGTGGTTGCATTGGGTGCTGCTGCTCCAGCTGCAATCGAGCCCGAGGCAGAGCTACGACCTCTCGTCGGCAGTAGAAGAGGGCTGGTAGCGGGAGGAATCTGTACAAGATCTTCTACCGACGACATCGAGGCGAGCTAGAGTCGGAAGGCGACTCGATGAGATGGTGGGGGGAGAAAGAGATGCGCGTGACCGGGCACTTGCCGGCGTGCATGGCGTGCACGGTCGGGGCAGGTCTGGGCCTTCGAAACCAACCGCGGCGCCAAAGCGCAGAGCCGCAGACGCAGGCAGACCCTCGCAGCAGACCGCGCCCAACGAGAGCTAACGAGAGCCAACGAGAGCTAACGAGAGCCAACGACTGCCAACGAGCAGCGCCTGCCCTCGCCTGCCCGCGCGACCGCGCTCTCAGCCCTTCTCAGCCGCTGCCTGCGCACTGCCTGCGCTCCTGCTCCACCCTGCTCCAAACGTCGTTCACTTGCATCGACGCGCTTCGACTTTGGCGCGTGAGATCAGTTGTTTCGCCTCGAGTGTCGCGTGCGCCAATTGCTTTTCCAAGGTGTACGCCGGCCCTACACACGATCACCTTTGAACCCCACAACGCCTACGCGTAACGATGGTCGACTCTGGTGCCGACGGTGAGTGTGCTCTTCCCACCCAACAGAAGGCGAGCTCGCCCTCTAGCTCGAATCCGCTCCCTCGCTACCGTGTGTTTCGCCTCGCTGACCTCGCACAATGATCCCGGTCCGCTCGTCGTCGCGCTCGCTTGATGCACGTGCTCCTATCCCCCCGGCCCCTCGGTGAACGCTACCCTACGCTCGCGTCGCCACTTCGTATCTGCAGTCCCCGTCGCTTCGCCTGTCGCCTCGCCTCCACCTGCCCCCGCTGCTGCTGCCTCGACCCCGGTCGTGCCAGCAACCAACGGCGCGTCGACGACCCATTCGACGTCGCAATCCAATGGCTCGACGCCCGCACCACCAACTCCGGCGGGCGAAGCGCTAGCTGAACCATCATCGACCGTTGTCGCACCGAGTGCAGAGCCTGGCGCGACCACCACCGGCGCGAGGGAGGCGACACCTGCCAGCTCCACTTCCACTTCCGCCTCTGCCACTGCGCCTCGCACCCCGGCAGCTGCAGGTGCAGCTGCAGCACCGGGAACAGCTTCAGCTCCTGCACCGAGATCTGTGTCGACACCTGCACCCCCGCGCAAGCGAGGTCGACCACCCAAGAACGCTCAGGCTCAAAGCAACAACCCGACGCCGGCAGGAACTCCTGCAGCCGCCGCGACCGTCGGCGACAGCAAATCGTTCCTGAATGGACAGGTCTCCTCCGTTTCGGTCGCGCCACTGGTCCCACCACCACCGCCAAAAGACCCGCTGGAGGACGTCACCTTGACCGACGAGGAGCGACGGAAGATGTTGGTCGTTCTGCACAGGTGCGCTAGCGACCGAGCCAAAATTTGACCGACTCGGCTCATTCACTCACCATTTACTTCTGCTTCTCCCTGTGCGTAGTCTCGACCCGTCTCACATCCTTTCCCAACCCATCACATCACCTGATGCTCCACCGATCACACTTTCCGAGCTGCTTTCGAACGCATCCTCGACCATCCCTCACCTCCGAGTCAGTATCACGCTCGTATTATCCGGAGGATGTGCTTACCAATGACTGACCCTGAGAGCTCTCGGAATGTGACCAGACCAACCTCAACACCGCATGCACAACATCCTTGGTGCTCTCCTTCACCACGGAGCCACCACTGCAATGCGCAATCGAGTCCTTCCGATCAACCGCGTTGGGCATGCTGACCGAACTCGGTCGCCTCCATCTTCGAAAACGATCATCGACGACTGCCCCAAACGAAGGTTTGAAAACGGCGATGACGCTCCCGAGACCGACGAAAAAATACATGTTGCATCGATCTCTGGTCGGTGGTGTCGACCTCTTTTCTAGTACGACCGTCTTGAGTGACGAGGAAGTGCAGTCTTTGTCGACCCGTGCGTCCCTAACCGGCCGGTTTGGCTCAAAAGTCTTACGCGCAACTGATTTGCTGACTCCTGACCTACTTCTTCCTCAGTGCAAGACACCGACGTCGTCTCAGTTCATGCCCTGACCTTCCCCAGTTCCACCACCTCTGCCCCCGCCCCGACCTTGGGCCACCTCAACCCTCGACCCTACGTCCAAACCCGTCCGCCTCGTCCCCTCCCCCGTTCCAAGCCCTCCCAAATGCTCTACTACGACCCTTTCCAATCCTTTGCGCCCAACTACGATTCCTCAGGCGCGACATTGGATTATCAACGGTCTGTCGCTTATGTCGATTCGAGAACGCGGGTGTACGAATGGGAGAGAGACTTGGTTGAGGCGAGGGATGGTGGAGAGGTGGGTTCGGAAGAAGGGCTGAAGGCTTTGCAGGGTTTGGCTGGGAAGGAGTTGGAGTTGATTAATGAGGTGTTGAGGACGGAGGAATGGAAAAAGGTTGTGGAGATGCAGGCTGAGGCAGTGCAGGAGGAGGAAGTGGAGGCTGGCGATGTCGATGCGAGGTTGAAGAGGAATAAGGCTTTGTTGGAGAAGCTCATCAAAGCTCAATTGGCGAGGACTCTGTTACCGCCACCACCGCCGCCACCGCCGAAGATGGGCCCACATGAGTCAGGGTTGTTGGCAGGGGAAGCAGAGAACCAGACTGGTGCGTGGCATGCCTTCTTCCACTTGCGCTAGCCTTTGTACTAACCCAATGGGGGTTCTTGATTCGTGGCGGCCCACAGCCGACAAGCTCATTTCCTCCTTGTCGACAATTCTCCAATCGATCGCGCCCTCGAACTCAGCCACCGAGCGACGCCGCGTCTTCCCTCCTGTCGACCGAGTTCGAGCCGCGACGCCACGCATCATGCAACGCCTGGCCAAGGACGAATGTTCCTTCGGGAATCTGGATCCGTACAACTGGAGGGCTCTCAAGGAATCGACGTTGGTCTCTCCTCCCAAGGTGGAACAATGACGCAGGCCATCGACAGCACCTAGGTATCAAGGAATTATGACTCCTATTTCAATTGTATCCCTAGGAGCTTTGGTTTCTATCTGAAGTGACTGGAAGAAACCATGCTCTTTTCATGTTGCAATTTAGAAGGCTAATGTACACTTAGTACACAAAACTTCGGAGTTCGAGTAACTGGAGAATAGTTCGGGACTGGACGGAGGAACACCAAGGGATTCTGCATACAACGGGCCAAGACAGACAAGAAGATGAAAGTGAGGAAGGACAGCGAGACTTGAGAAAGAGGGGAACGTCAATTTGGTAGTGGGAGAAGGATCCGAGATAGGGGTATCAAAAGCCAGTAAAATGAGAGCTGATGTGCCCAGCGACGGGCAATTGGGTGGGCAGAGATGCAGTCATTCGTGTTTGAGATCGGGATTGACGTCCGCCGGGTCGAGGGGGTAGAGGTGCTTCCTGTAGGGTGGAGTGTACGCGTTCAGCCGGTGATACCGATACCAATGGGGAACGAAGCGATCCATACCCGATGAACTGCGGGTGATTGGATGTACTTCGGTCAGAAAGGTGGCATAGCGATGCGATCAGTAAGAGGGGTACTCACTTTGGCCATTGTGAAAGAGTTGACCTAGGTGGTAGAGGACAACAGGAGTCAATTACCGCGGCACATCGCAAACCCGTAAGCAAAGTACTGACTGTCGATCCTGGGAATATTCTCTGTGCACGGGACAGGAGAGGAACGGTCAGCGATCTGATTCGCAGAGACACAGCAGCGATCAGGATTGCTCACCCTCAGCTTCTCGTCCAGTCGGATCTCGGTCTTTTTTTCAGGAAGTTGCAAGCTACGCGTGAAACCGCTAAGCGTCAGCGAAGGCAAACTATTCATGCCTCGCAGAGAAAGTGACTGACTCGTTCCCTTTGATATACACCTGCAAGCACACCGAGAACGTTCTTAGCGCTTTCCACTGCCCCTGATCACACCCAGTTCAAACGTACCCATAGCGCCTTTGTGACCTGAGGCCGACTAAGTTGATCGCTCCCACACACATCGGCCATCTCCTGACTAAGCCGATGCAGCTTGTTGAAGCCCGTATTGGACACCTTGCGCTGCTTTTTCGGCGCCGAATCGTCCTCGTCCGATCCGATAGTGGCGGCCGACTTCGACTTTCGCTTCTTGGTTCCCGCACTCCACGAGTTGGCTTTGGACTTGGCTGATCCTGAAGCCGTACTCGTCCCAGCTCTGGATGGTCGAGCGTTGAGTTCGTTTTGGAGCCTCATGGCTATTTGTTCGTCGGTGAGCTGGTTGCTTGCTCGCGGGGCCGTCGGTTTCCTCTCGGCCTTGATGGGCTGAGCAGGGGAGGTGTACGGTATGGCGTGACGACCGTTGGAGCCGTTCTCGTGTTTGACACCTTGCTTGACAGGCGCGTGGACGGGTATGTCGTCCCCGTACTCGTTCCCCTCGTGTTCGTCCGAGTCGGCTTCTTCTGAGTCGTCATTTTGGTCGTTGAAGATGGCGAAGGTGACCGAGTCGATCGCGGTCTTGTGGGCTTTGATGTCCATTTTCGGATACAGGTCCTGTTGAATTGTATACCAGCCGTGGTTGTCATGTGGGTCACAGCGACCGTTTGTTGCAGCGCGTTCGGGGGCGTGGTGGGGAAGAATTAGGATCGCGACGGAGGGAGCACGAACAAGGTTGGTCAGTACTTATGCCGTGCATACGGATGCAGGGAGTATCCAGCGTATTGACAGGATCCTTAGCTAATGGTCTGCGAGTCTATAACGCTGGATGGACTGACCTGTAGCTGCTTTCGCACCCCCTTGGCGGTGACGCTCGCTCGATCGGAACCCTTCAAGATCATCTCCTGCGAGGGGTGAAGCGCCAAAGTCGACCATTTCAGTCTCCACCATCACGCTCATGCATACGCTATCCTCTCCGCCCGCCGACTCCTCCCCATGAACCAAGAGGTCGCGTCGCCCTTTCCCCCCACTCGACCTTGATGTGGGCGCGCGGCGTGGGGCCCGTGCGCTACGCTTCGATCACCGCAAGCGCCCTTGTAAGTTGTCTCGCGTTCCTCCGGGACTCACAATTGCAGGTCGAAGCAACTCGACCTCAAAGTTATCATCCGCCGAGTCCGACATGGTGTGCGTTGAGGCGCGTGGTCGCAGGAGTGCTTCTGATGATCCGAATCGAGACGATCGCCGTGCCAGCTGGTGTGGGCTAAAGTTGGCCGGCCGCTTGATCAAGAGCTATCAAGAGCCCCAACACCGGCTGTCCCCGTCAGTCCCCGTCCGCATGGTCTGAGCGCGAGAGAGCACGAGCAGCTGCCACCCTAAGCTCCTTCCGCCGGCCGACCGCTTGAAAGCAGCGTCAGATGTCGAGATCGCAACACAACGAGATTAGAACGCTTCCATGATAATTGTCACAAGTGGGTATATTAAGATGGACCGTGTTCAAGAGAAAAGAAAGGCTAGCTGAGCAAACACTGTATTCAAGCCTCAAGTCCGAAGCTCAGTCTGGCAGAGCGCCCAGCGTCAGCAAAAGTCTGATTTGTCTGGTCGGCGAGCTGCACGATGCAGCTAGAAGGGGTGCTTGAAGCGCTCGCGATATAGTTGATTTCTCATTCCATTCGTATCTGGCCTCAATGTGGCCGTCTAGTGCCCAGTCGTAATCCTGGGGGAGCCTTTCAATGAGCGCTCGGATATCGCGCAGTCAAAGCGTTCCACGTAATGAAACGAAAGAAGAGGCTTCGACTTTGAAGCTACAACGCATTGTCACCAGGCAAGAGACCGTTTAAACCAGGCAAGATAATTCTATCAATCTTCTTGGGGGAAAGGCGGAGACCACGGAAAAAGCAAACGAGTCTTAAACAAGTAGGGGTATGCACGTTTCGTGTGTTGCAACCATAACTTGCGACGCATTTAGTTTGACAGGCTATCCCAAATGGTTGGACGTGACTGAAGGCTGATGTAAAGAGGAGCGTGGCAAAGTCGTTCGTGAGCGAGTGATCGAGATTGAACGGTTCTTGAAGGGTCGATTCGATTGCGTGTGATGTGAGTGCAACGTACAACTCTCCATCACTCTTGGTCTCGGGGAGGGGATTGGCTTGGATCGTCATCGCGACGATTATGAGCGCGAGGAATGACCCAATTGAGCACAAAGAGAAGAAAAAGAGATGTGCGCGCTCTGGACCATTTATAGTTATGAGCTCTGCATTCATCAGCGACTGCGTAATCAAGTTGTTCACCAGCGCGCCACCGTCGCTAGCTGCAGCTACAGCTTCAAATAAAAGTGTGGTGCCGAGCTTTCTGCTGTTCGGCGTGCGGACAAACGATCTTCTCATCCAATCACATAAGGATGAATAAACCAGAAAGGCCGCGAGGAACTTGTTGTGAGCTTGGCCAAGCACGTATGCTCTCAGACCACATGGTGAAAAGGAACGGCCGAATAAAGTTATCGAAGCGCTGGCCATGCCCCACATTGAATCCTCGGGAGATATTCTGTCATCACTCGTTCAAAAGGTTTTTTTCTGGCCGCCCTAGCTTCGATGTCATTCATATCACCTCATCGATCTCTCGGCGTCCACGAGTTTGAGAAAGGGTGGACAAGTTCGCATCTCGACACCGAACCCGAGCGGGGGTGTCACTTCCGCGATAAGCCTTTCACTAGTCGATCAGGGTTTCTCTTCTTGTGGCCAGGCAGGATACATAATCAACTGAAGACCTTTTCCCAACCGAACGCACCACCTTATCGGAGTGATCGTTCTTCCACCTGCGGGCTTTATCATCCTCATTCACCTTTACCCCTCAATGCGTTGATGGCCCCTAAGCCTTGATTCATCCGCTCCGCCTGGTCGATCATCCCAGCGTCATTCATACCCAAGAGACGAGAAAACAGTACCCTTAGCATCTGGGCTGCGGAATATGCGGACCGTTGGCAGGAAATCGACTTACGTTGGTCAAGAAGACGTCGACGGCCCTGACAAAGTTGAGCTTGGACATCCAGCAGCTGTGAGGCGTGAGGATCATGTTGTCCAGTCCGCCGAGAAAGACATGCCCATCTGGCAATGGCTCAGGGTTCGATACGCTGTACATGTTGATGAAATATCAGTACGCCCGTCACCAAACACGTGCGGACCACTTCCCCAGTCGTCATGTCCACACCCACGAACTCACTCAATCGACGCCCCCGCGATCCTCAACGACCCCGTCTGACCCATCGGCTCGTCCTCCGCCTCCAACGAAGCTTTCAAAGCTTCGGCCAACGCGTCCTGATCATTCGTATCCCCTCTCCCCAAATTCAAATAAATCGCATAGTCCTTCATCTGTTCAAACTCGTTCCTTCCCATGATGCCTCTCGTGTCCGCCGAAGATGGAAGGAGGTTCAAAACGATGTCGGCGCGATTGAGTAGGCTATGGAGTGACGAACGGGACGTGGTGGTGTACCATTCGGACGGAATCGATCCTGTTGGGTCACCGGTGTTGGGAGGTGGAAACCTTTGATAGGGGCTTGAACGCCGGAACGGGTCGCGACGATGATGTTGGCCCCAAAGGCCGAAGCGAGGCGGGCAACTTCTCGAGCGATGTGACCGTACTGTAGAGGGACAAAAAATAAGACGAGCACATCAGTCAAGACCACCAAGAAGAGTCCGATCATCCCGGCTTGCCGCCTCACCCCAAGGATCGCAAAAGTCTTGCCCCTCAACTCGGTAAAGAAAAGCTGGGCATCTGGGCCCCTCCCGCCCAGTTCATTCGGACCAACCCATTTCTTCTCCTTCCGAATAACCCGATCCACTTTAAGAATCTTATGCAAAAGCATCAAGGTGACCATAAGCGCATGTTCACCGATCGTCGTCGCGTGGATCCCTGCCGTATTAGCGAGGGTCAACGGATGCTCCTCGGGTACGGATTTGTGAAAGGGTGAGTCGGTGATTTAGGTCGTCCCCGATCCAACAGTCTGGATCAACTTGAGCTTGGGGGTCATTGTGAGGAAATCGCCGTCGAAGAGATCGGGGTAAAGATGGAAGCAGAGGATCGCATCGATGTTGGCCAAGATTTCGGCGGAAGGGACGGGGGCCGGACCGGCGGTCGAGTTGTAATCAACGGCGGAGCGTTGAGGGTAGAAATGGACGTTGGGTATATTGGCGCGGAGTTTATCGACTAGGTTGCGTGGTTCGAGCGGGTATAGTACGAGGAGCGAGTTGATCTGCGGTGTTTGGGTCTCCTGGTTGGAGGTGGACGCGGATGAAGCGGAGGAGGTGGCCATGGCTGCGAATGAATGTGGGGGAGACGGGCGAAGGCCAAACTGGAGAGGTGGGTTGCACGGAGGTCCAAGTGAGCGAGACGCTGCAGGAACGACCGTAGAGCGGGTGAGAAAGGAAGGCCAACAAGATACGTCGCCACACGTCGTCCGTCGAGCCAGCATATGAATGGTGTGGACCGGACCCAAAAGGTGCCAATCAGACTCGACTCGAAACGAACTTGGGCGAGCTGAGGCCTGCTGCAGGGCGCTTCCGGCGGCTCGGGCTGCACGGGCGGGCGGCGGCACCAGTGCGGGCGGTTTGCTGCTTATCTCCGGTTTCGCAGCACAGTCCTGGCCATACCGCACATTCGAAGATCATGACCAGAGCCGCTCTCTTACTCGTCGACGTTCAGTACGACTTTCTCGACCAGCCGACCCCGGGATCCCTGGCCGTTCCAGGAGGACACGAAATCCTGCCCCACGTCCATCATTTGCTCGACACGGGCGATTGGCAACTCGTCATCGCGTCACAGGTCAGTTGAAGCATAGACTGCCATTATATCCTGCACTGTATTGAAACCCCAAAGTACCCTGAGGACTTTCATCCCTCTGATCACATCTCCTTCGCCTCGCGCCACCATCGAGAGCCCTTCACCAAGCTCGTCGTTCCCAGACCACCCTCGCAAGAGGCGCACCAGCAGGAGCTATGGCCCGATCATTGTGTGCAAGGCACACACGGGTGCGCGATTGAGCGGGGCGTACAACAACGATTGGATGCGTGGCAGGGGCCTAAACTCGTCGTACAGAAAGTAAGATGGGATTTGACTCGCGTCGGCATCGTCCTTTCCTCGTTGACTCGACAAAAGTGGGGCTCAGCTTTTCAGAGCCCTCCTTGGCTCGGCTAGCTCAGCCTAACACTGATCCTCACCACACCGCGGGCTCTTTGGTGGTCTTCTAGGGGACAGATGAAGACCTGGACGCATACTCAGCTTTCGCCATACCCTTGACAGCAAAAGATCAACAGCTCTCCCTGCTCACTCGAGCACTCATGGGTACGCTTCCTGCGCTGCACCCAAAGCGCCCGAATGTCTCGCTGAGCTGATCCAACTGGGCACCTATTTGTCCCTATCATCCAAATAGAACACAACATCGACATAGTCGTCGTCGTCGGCCTCGCCACCGAGTACTGCATCAAAGCCTCTGCCCTAGCGGCGATCGAAGAAGGTCGCACACGAGGATGGAAGGTTCTGATCGTTCAAGAGGCCGTCAAAGGCATCGATACTGAACAATCACAACGTGCATTGGAGGAGCTCGAACGTAAGGGTGCGAGAGTTGTGGCTATGGCTGATGTAGAGTTGAATGCATTGGCTAAGAAGCGGTGATCTGATCCTGCTTCTCGGTTTTTCGACTTCTCCCGGCTCTTGCTCGCGTGTTGTTGACTTTTTTTCTTGACTATGCTGCATTTTTCATTGGTCCTGTAATCTACACTGGAGCAAGCCTTCCCATACTCTCTCAAGGGTTCACTCATCGCGCCTCCCATCCCTCATCGGACTATCCTCCTCCCTCTTCGAGGTCCTCTGAGGTGAACTCGCCTTCTTGGTATCCCACTCTGTCCCCTTCTCCCAAGTATCCCCTCCCTTCCCCTCTTTCCTCGGAGGCGATCTAGGACCAGGTGAACGACTCCTACTCCTTTTCGACGAGATGGAAAGTCTTCGCCTTGGTGCACTGTGAGCATCCTGGGTCCCTTCTCGTGCCGAAGCGGACATTTCCGAATTCGTCTTCCATCTTTCTTGCGCCATGGCTCGATTCGAGTCTCCGAACCCAAAGCCCGAAGGACCCGAAGAAGGCGGAGGACGAGAATCGTTTAAATTCGATGCCCATCGATCATCATTCGCTGAAGCTCTGCTCGTCGCAGTGCCTCGAATCCCAAAAGAAGGTGTCGCTAGTGCTCCGGCGTTGAATCGATCACCAGCAGGACCTCTCGTCGGTGCACCACGGAGCTGGAATCCCGAGGACGACGGTGGTCCTCGATTCGGATAGGCATTCTGAGGCTTGTTGGCCCCGAAGGAAGGTGCACCACCGGCATTGAACGTGGGTTGTAGAGCGATGGAGAGGTAATCTCCGACGACCCAACTCGTTTGGTGTAATGTCTTGTCACCCGGTGCTGTACCGGTCGTAGACTTGGTCGAGTGGAAGATATCGCGGTTGGTGAGCGATCCGATCGGTTTGCTTCGGTGACGAGATGATTGCGCGTCGTAGTAGACGAGCTTGAAGCTGTAGCGTATGTTGGGTGGAGTGGTGGGGAGCGGAAACGAGGATGCGAGCGCGTGGACGAGTTCCTTTAGGGTCGAGTCTCGCCTAGGTGGAGGCGATAGAGGCGGGAAGAGATGAGTATCAAAGTCCTAGTGTGATGACGAATGAGTGTGACAGGTACTGACCAGACGTAGAGCTGATACTCATCCTGCAGGATCGATCTCGCCGGACCCGTTCCATCAGGGGAAGAGAAGAGCGCGTCGTCATGGTGTTGAGGCGTACGAGAGACAAAGACGCGCAACAAGGAAGGTACGGTCGTTGATCGCTTGACTTTCGGTGGAGGCGAGGGGGAACGTTGACGGGGTGGGCGTGGTCCTCGTGAGTGCGCTGAGGGGGGTCGGTTTGGATAGGATGATGGTCCCGAGGTGTGGTAAGCACCTCGACCGCGGGATGAGGACGAAGCGTAGCCCGAGGGACCACCACTTCGAGGCCGTTGGTTCATCGGAGGGGGAGCTGAGTTCGTGTGAGCAGGCTCGTGCGACCTGGTACGACCGAAGAGGGAGCCACAGGGAGCAGGGGGGATAGGAGGGATTCCAAAGAGGAGTGCGCGATCACCTGCGTTGCGAGGTCGGTCAATCGCTCTCCTTTCGCCTCCTTTCGCTTGCTCCCGTTGACATCTTGGTCGCACCACCTCAACCGACCCCACCCCACCCCACCCCACCAGCTCGTCGCACAATATGTCGCAAGGGCTCAGAGTCACCCTGTACGTACAACAGTACTCTACCATGCGTCTACACAGCGGCAGTACTCACTCCCCTCCCCTCTCGTTCCTCCTCCACCGCGTGTCGTCGTCATCCACTTCTCGAACCTCGCAGTCACCCGCTGCCGCTGCTCAACGTCTCGGAGCACCTCACCCGTGTCAGCTGGCAGCAGAATGACCCCAATGTCCGAGGTAAGCACACATGATCGTACACCTACCGGCAGCCGGCAGGGTACTTACTGATCGGCTCCCTCACCGTTCCCTCGCCCCCACTTGTGCTCCCCCTCCTCCCCCCCCACAGTCGTTGGAGCCTTGTTGGGCACTCAAGTAGGACGCGATCTCGAAATAATCAACTCGTTCGAGATCGTATGTCTACCTTCCGAGGACAAGCCCGGCCATCTCCTCGTCGACCACGAATACTTTGTCACCAGGAGGGATCAGTGTCAGTCACCGACTCGACGAGCACGAGGGAGAGGTAGAGGTGCACGAATGCTGATCGGCCTGTGACATACCTCACAGTCAAGCAAGTTTTCCCGACATTGGATGTGCTGGGATGGTACAGCGTCGGCACCGAACCCACAGAACAGGACATTGCTCTCCACCGTCAAGTAAGCTGCCGAAATCAGCTTCGCAGCTCCATGTGAACACCAGCATGCTCATCCCGTACCGTGCTCATCCCTACAGTTCCTCGAATACAACGAGAACCCTCTCTTCCTCCAACTCGATCGCTCCAACGCCGCCACGGCCAACTCGAAACAACTCCCCGCGACCATCTACGAATCCATCGTCGAACTCGGCCAAGGCGACCAATTGGCCAAGACCGTCTTGGTCCCTACGCCGTACGAGATCGAGACCGGTGAAGCTGAACGAGTCGCGGTGGATCATGTCGCGAAATCGTCTGATTCGGAGGCGGCGGGCGCCAATTCGAGTCGTGAGTGCTGTCCCCTCCACCGCCCAAGAGTTCTCGCTACCGAAAGCCGGAACTGATGATCGTCCTGACGGTACCAACAGTCGTGGCTTCGTTGACAACCCAACGCAACGCCGTCAAAATGTTGCACGACCGCATCCGTACCATCGTGTCCTACCTTGAAGCCGTCCAACAAGGCACCGCACCGAGGGACGACGAAACGTTGCGTCAGATCTCGGCGTTGCTGACGAGGTTGCAACCCAAGACGACGGCCAAGGCCGATGCTCGAGAAGGAGAGGATAAAGGTGGAGAGATGGATCTGCTTGATGATGGGTACGAGGAAGAGTTCATGACCGAGTTCAACGACGTCATGTTGACGACCTATTTGGCCGCGATGACGAAGGGCTTGTACTCGGCGAACGATGTGAGTTAATCCTGGCCCATAATGAAGCACGAAGTCCTCGCTGATATCGTCTGCATTTCATATCCACAGCTTCTGGACAAACAACTCGTGCTCCTCTCGGGATCGAATGTCAATGCTGGGGAGGAAGGAGGTCTCATGGGTGGTGGTGCGAGGACAAGAGGTGGAGGACCTGGAGGAGACAAGAGCTCTCAAGGACCCTCGGGCCGTGCGCATCCTCGAAGAGGGCTGTCTTCTATGGCCTGAAGAAGTCTCGTGTGAGAGAGGAACGAAAATTCTCTCCGCACTTTTCAACTTGAAGATGCTTCCTTAGATCGTTTGTAGCAATGTGTACCATACTTGTCGCTCCTGCAATTTTCGACTAATCTTCTTGTGCTTTTGGGAAGTTCAAGAAGAAGAAGAAGAACAGAAGGCTAGAATGCTGCTAAGCAAGCAAGCTGGGACAGAGGAAGACAGAAGGACTTATATTAGAGATCTCTGGCAGAGTCGAGGTCTTCCACTCGAAGTTCTTGGCGGCGTTTTTTTGTCAATTTTCGAGTCCGAGGCCGGCAAGTTTGTTGAACATCTAAACCCAAACCCAACCCCAACTTCGGTGACTGAAGACCAAGAAACAACTGTAGAGACAAGGGGGCGGCTTAGGTGCCCTCTGGCTTTGGGAATTTGTAAAAGGCGCCGCTCCGCTTACGCCTCACGACGACCTCGAGCCAACCGGCCTCACGCTTGCCCTCGCGCGCGGCGGCGCCGCGTCTCTTGACCTCTCTCTTAAGTCCTTTTAGTAGTCTCTTTCTCTCTCTCTTCGCCTGCGAATTACACCGTTTGATCCTTTCAGTTTGGACTCGGAATCAGTGAGGCTCGAGAGCGATCTCTCGTGCCTTTCAGAATTGTTGAAGGTGCATGGCCGGCCGGAGGTCAAGGAGGTCGAGGTCTCCAACCAGGAGTCAAGTGGTGTGAGTTAGCTACTCTGGAATAGCACTCTCTGGGATGCACCAACACACTCTCTCTCTCTGCTTTGGATTGCGCCTTGCCCTTCGCCCCAGGCTCGCCGTTTCGGTCAACTCTCTTGGCCACCGCGAACAACGAGTAGTTCTCTCACCGGAGGCGCATTGTAAACAAACATTACAAATTAGGAAATCCTCGCGAATAGAGGGCAGCGGTTGACAATGTAGGCTCTAGAGGGGATGAACATAGGCGGCTCTCCGCCCGGCAAGGTCAAGGTGAAGTCGAGCTCTCTCGTTGACATCTCAGGGGCAAAGGGGTTCGGACACTTCAAGTATTGACTTGCTTACTCACGTTCGCCGTGTTCTCTCTCATGCCCATCACCTTATCACGTTGTGCCTTTATCAATCGTGCAATATGTGCAGGTACCGACTGTTTGACCCCGCGAAACAACTTCCGATGGCCCCTGTCGACAAGTTGACGCGGAAACGGCCCTGAAACCTACCCCTGCCTTGAACCCCCCGCCCGCAATCCTGAGCCGCCCCCTTCTACTTCCATCTGTTTTCTGACGACCTAGGGTTAGCCCTGCTCTCCCCCCCCCCTCTACCTCCATTTGTTTCCTGACATGCCTAGGGTTAGCCTCCGCTCGACGTCGGCTTTTCGGTCGCGCCAGCTTCTCGTCAAGTCGCCGTCGTCGATCGACGACGGGGACCGAGAAGGCGAGGTTGATCGACCTTGGACTGGTTTGGCCGATGTTACGTTTCGAGACTTCGTTCATTGTTTTCTTTTCGCAAGCTTTCCTCTTTGTGGGGTGATTCGCTCTCGGCCTTCACAGTCTTCTTTCGATTGTCCTGGTGCAGAAGATGCAAAAAGGACGCAGAAGGCAGGCTGAGCACTGCCAGGAGCACCGGCCGTTCGCAGGCTTGCGTAGGTCGAGCGGTGGCATACACTCTGAGCCCTTGCCCATAAATCATGTGTAAGGTATGGAGTTTATTTGAATTGCGAGAGCAAAAGGCAGTTACTAGATTAGAAAGTACAGAAGACATTCAACGAGCAATGAAAGGAGAACTGAAGACCGAGCGAGATTGACCTTAGAAACAGTGGCCGCGAGGACAGGGATCAGAACGAAGACATCCCAAATGGTACACATATAATTTTCGTCCCCATCTATTCGGAATTTAGCGGTTCTCCTCCGGTAAGGCCTTGACGATCGCGAAACTTGCTGCTGCTGCCGCACCACCAACAGCTAACGTGCTCAACGCACCCCAAGCGTACCCCGAAGCACCAATCGCCGCTCCCGTATAATACGTCTTGAAACCACCGAACAAGATCAGTACAATCCCGGTGATAATGACGGAGATAAACAAACCCTGTTGCGCCGTTTCGACAAAGAAGTAAGGTAGAAGAGGGATCAGACCTCCGAGGAAGTAGGAGAAGCCAATTGTGAGAGCCGACATGAAGAGTCGCAAGTCGGTCGTTTCCTCGAGTCCTTCGCCAAATTTGAGCAGGAAAGCTGTAAGACCCTTTTCGTCCTCGTCCTCGTCGTTCGATTGGGCGAGCAAAGCTTGTCGTTCTTCGTCGCGAGAGGAGGAGAAGCGAGGTTTCCGGGCGATCGCTTTGAGGCATTGCGACATGATCGAAGGCGGGGCTTGGGGTGCGGGGAGGGTGGCTTCGACTTTCAAGAGGGATCCCGCAACGCGGCGTGAGATGGAGTCGTCGATGCCGAGCGGGGATAGGATGGCCGAGACTTCTCGTTCCATTTCGCCGGCGCACGAACGCTTGACGCGGTCCTGCAATTCGAAAAACGAAGAATTCAGCTTCCGGTCTACGCTTCTTTTGTACGTCCAGTCACCTGAACTGACACGGGTGTTCTTCTTGAGGTACCGGTAATGATCTCGTTCGGCCTGGGCGGAGAGGTAACCGCCGACGCCCATCGACAAACTACCCGAGACGAGCTCGGCGATACCAGCAATGTAGACAAGTCGCGACGATCCGAGCGACGACAGACCGGCGCAGAGACCGAAGGGAACAGTGAGACCTGGACAGAGTGTATGTGAGTCAGCCAAGTGAACGCCCGGATGATCGTCGGCGAAAGTCTCGGCGACAAGTGAACGGCAGCAAGATCGACAGCGGTGACCTGGTCCGAGATGCTCCACCAAGGGGAGGACCGCTGCACCCTGGGGTCGTACCCGATCCTCCCTTCGATTCGTACGACAGCTAAAGACCACATACCATCGGCAAGACCAATACTGGACGGCAGTAAGGAGGGTAGCAGGCGGTGGTCAGCAGCGGGTCATGCCTGCCGCGACATTTGAGCGCTTTTCGCGCAAGTGGCCCGTGTACAGCCAGCACAGGTAGCACACTCACATGATGTCGCGCACGACGTCAGGATCGATCAAGGAGCGCTCATCATCGCCTGGAGCGCTCAGCGGCGGCCGAGTAGGACAGGTGCCCGTTGCGAAGGGAGCCGGTCACGAGGGAACGACGACGGTGAAAGAGTCAGCCGCGTGGGAAGTCGATGTCGATGCACAAGATTGGGTGCTCACCCTTGAGTTCTCGGCAGCAGATGGTACGTTCCCTGTTGTGCTGGTCGCACTTTGACGCTGTGGGCGTGCCCCGAGTGACCCGGAAACCGGACCCGACATGATTAGCTCGCTGCTGATTCGTCGGCGGCGAGACAGGAGAGAGATCGAGCTCGAGATGCCTAGGTGCCTTGCCTCGCACCACGCCTGCTGGCGAACGGAGCACAGCAGCACAGCAGCACAGCAGCACAGCAGACTGACCGAGAGGCACGTCGGCATTGGCACTGCCGTTGAGACTGGTTTCAGGACCGGCCTGGAGACTCCACACCGGTGCGGCCGACGTAGGCGCGGCTGAACCCGAGTTGGCGCTCGCCGAGGCGTTTGCAGCTTTGGTCCGCGGTGGCAGCGAGACCGCCGCGGTCGAGGTCGAGGTCAACGAGTTGGACGAAGGGTTGGGGGCTGCCATTGGAGTTGTGCGTTCTTTGGAGCACTGCTGCGAGGTCGGTGCGGGTGGCGAGGGCGAGGAGGAGCCGAAGCAAGCCGGTGGTCAGTACCGGTCAGTGGGCTGCAGCGAACCACCACCCAGGCGCGAAGGGGCCGGCCGAAGCGCACTAGCGTGGTCTGCATTACAAATTCACCGCCGATCAAAGTTGCACAAAGTTGGCGGCCAAGACCTGCCAGGGTCCGTGCGTCGGCTTCGAGTTCCCGCGCTGACGCTCGCAGCCATGGCCAATTCCCTCATTAGGATCTCCGCGCGCCTGACCAATACCCGAATACGGGACACCGCCTGGCGCCTATTGTTGCCGATGTCCCACTTTGGGCTAAGCGCTGAACGTTGCCTCTCGCGCCGCGCCCCACCAAGAGTTGACCGTCGCGGCAAGCCGACCCTCTCGCTCTCCCCTCCTTCCTTCTTCCCCCCATCCCCCCATCACCCGACCACCGCTTCCTCTCCTACTACTCGACACCATTCTTGCCCCAGCTTGCTCCACCTCGCTGCCCGCCGTCGTCCGTAGTACTTGGCTGCGCTCGAGTGGCATCACCCCAGCTTTGGCGGCGAGTCTGCCTCGGACTTTGGCTAGGACATTGCTTCCTCCTCCATACTGCGATCGTGCCCGTGGCCCCCTTCACCGTCGCGACCTTTCCAACACATCCATTCCGTACCAAAACAAATCTCAAATCATGTCCAGTGCGGCACTTCGTACCTCGGGCGGTTTCGCTGTCTCGGACAAGGTCATTCCCGAGTTGGCCAAGGCCGCCGACGTGTGGACCGTGTTCAGTCCGTTGGCCGGCTACGTGCCCAACGATGCCCTCAATCTTGGCCAGGGTCAGCCAGCTCCACCTTTGAAAGTATCTGCACTGGCGGTCAACTGAGCTGACATCCCCGCATCACCCACCGCAGGCTTCATGAACTGGAACCCACCCGACTTTGTTCGCGAGTCCTACTCGCAAGCGCTCCAAGAGGTTCCTTCGAACCACTATTCGTTGCCCCGCGGACGCATCAACCTTAGGAATGCTCTGAGCAAGACCTTGTCCGAGTCGTACGGACGAGAACTCAACCCCAACTCCGAAATCACCGTCACCGCCGGAGCAAACGAAGGTCGGTCTAACCCCACCCACGGGGCTACGGGCTGAATGACGTGATCGGAGGAGCTGAATGTATGCAGCATCTCTTTGTGCGCGCGCAGGCATGTTTGCCTTTGCGACTGCGTTCCTGAGGGAAGGGGACGAGGTCATCCTGTTCGAACCTTGTGAGTAGTTGCCTACGATATCGACAGCTGCGTGCTCGATCCAAGGCTTATCGAAACCTGCCGCTCCGATCTCTCAGTCTTTGACCAATACATCGCGCAAATCAAGTTCAACGGCGGCACGCCCGTCTTTATACCTATCCGTGCACCCGAAGCCGCTTCGACGTCCAGCGTCTCGGCCAACGATTGGAAGATCGATATCGACGAGCTCGAAAAGGCCATCACCCCACGCACCAAGATGATCTGGATCAACACCCCTCACAACCCCATCGGCAAAGTCTTTGACGAGGCCGAGTTGACCGCGATCGGCAAAGTCGCCGAGAAGCATGATCTCATGATCTTGAGCGACGAGGTGTACGACGTCTTGACGTTCGACAAGATGAAGCACGTCAGGATAGCTTCGTTGGGCGATTTCTGGAAGAGGACCGTGACCGTTGGATCGGCGGGCAAATCGTTCGCCGCGACGGGATGGCGCGTGGGATGGTGCATCGGTCCTGCCGAACTCATTACCCCGCTTGTAGCGGCCCAAACACGTATCGTCTTTGCCGTCAACTCGCCTGCGCAAGAAGCAGCAGCCAAAGGCCTCCATCTCGCTCAAGAGAACAAGTTCTTCCCTACCCAAATTACCGAATACGATGCTCGACGAAAAGTCCTACTGAAAGCATTGGACAAGCTCGGCTTGCCTTACACAATCCCTCATGGCGCTTACTTCGTCCTGCTCAATACGGAACGTTTGCAAATCCCCGATGACTTCAAGGTCTTGGATATGATCAAAGATCGAGCGAGAGATTGGAAGGCGGCTTGGTTCGTCGCGCAAACGGCCAAGGTCGTCTTGATTCCCGTCACGGACTTTTTCAGTGAGGAGCATGCTGGGTTGGGAGAGAACTGGATCAGGGTCGCGTTCTGCAAGGATGAGGCGACGCTGAAGGAAGCCGGGGAGAGGCTGCTTAAATTGAAGCCCTTTGTCAGAGACGCCTAGTCAAAAATAGACAGGAAGAATGCTATATATCGCGATTATGACATGCGAGAAGGTATCGGCTAACTAACGGGCGTGTCTCTTGTGTGCCCCCAACAAGGACTGAACGAGACGAGCCTGTTCCGAGACGAGGGTATCATCATAGCGAGGGGCTTTGCCGGCTTTGAAAGCAGCCAACAAGACCCTTCGTCGATACTGGAGCATCGCGTTTGAGGTATCTTGGCCTTCTGGCTCGATGGGCTCGGGGCCAATCATATCTCGAATGGGCCGAGCGAGTCGTTGCTGGAACGTCCGGATCGCTTCGGCGTCTTTCGAAATACCCCCACTCGACTGCTTCTTCGCCATGGCCATGTCGACCAACCGATCCAGCTCGATCTGCTGCAGCGACTCGACCTGAGTAACCAATGCTCCCACCAATAACGTGCCCATCTCCGTGATCCCAATTTCACTCTTCCCCTTCGCATGAACCAAGCCCGCTCTTTCCAATCGATCCACGATCTGCTGGTCCGCGATCCTGGAAAGGAGACTCTCGGCCTCTTGTCCTCGATCATTGTAGTAAGAGGGGTTATCCTCGATCCTTCGAGCCATGAACGTCCACGACAAAGCATCGACGACGTCTTGCCGATTCGAAATGAGTTGTCGTTGCGCCAGATCCGACCACATCAATTGGATCAAGGAATCCCCTTCGGTATCGTTCTGATCGAGCAGCGCGCTTTCGAGGGGCAACCCCTGGTCCAGGTACCGACCGTATAGCTTCGCTTGCTCGGCTTGGCACAGAATGATGAACTCGGCCGAGGTCGTTGATCGGTTCGTTACGGCGAGGGATTGCATTTGAACGATCTCCTCCAGCGGGTAGTCACGAATATCCCGCTCGGTCGGCTCGGAAGGACGAGGTACGGCGTATTGCGCGCCTAGAACGAGGACTAGATTCGCTTGAAGGGGGAGGGTCCAACAGGCGTCGTGGGGCGAGATCAAGACTTTGAGGGCTCCTTGACTGAACAGCATCAGCGCAAGGCGTTGCTCATCAATCGTGAGGCCGGGGTGATACACCGCTATTCCGTGGTTCAATGCTTCGTGGAGCGTCGGATCCGCGAAGGAAGAAGCGTAGGCTCCGATCATCTCCATCGCGTCGTGGCGAACGAAGGATTGCTCAATATCCGAGGCCGTTTGGGTGATGAGGTCCGCGGCGACGGTGCGACACATAGCACGGGATGGGACGAAGCAGATTGTGGAGCCCGTGCTTGTGCGCATCGCTGCGTAGGCAGGACGGACCATCGACCGAATGAGACCGACGGAGTGAGGAGTGGTGAACGATTGGAAAGACGTCGTCAGTGACGAGGTGCGCGTGCTCGGAGAGAAGTTGTAGATCGCATGCTCGGGGACGCCCAGCCAATGCGCAAGGGAGGTCGCGTCGGCAAGAGAGGAAGCTGATCCGACAACACGGGTGGTAGAATTTTCCCATCGCAGTCGAGTAAGCACGAGCTCGTATGGCCCGTCGAGGGCGTGTAGATCGTGTGCGACGACGAGATCAAGACTCTGGAACAGGCTCTTGTCGTTGGTGAGGTGACTGAGCAGTGGCGTGGGCGAGGCAATGGCGATCAGACCGCCAGCTTGCGGTAAGGTGCCGAAGTCCTTGGAATGCGTGAGCAGAACAGTCGAGATTTCGGGTAGACGCGAAAAGAGGTGGCGAATGCGAATCGATACCTGACGCGCCAGGGCTTTCCGAGGGGTGAGGAAGATGATCCGAGCTTGGGGGTTCATTCGGAAAGCGCGCCTGTGGAATGCGAGTTAGCTCTGCAGAGTGAAATCTTTGACAGTAAACAGACCCACCAGATGGCCATCTCAAGAACTACGCCACGTGAATGCGCCGAGGGAGCGCACAAGAGCGCATTGCTTGCCGAGTGGTGGAACGAATGAAACGACTGTGTTTGCACGGGGTCGAACACGGGCGTGTCATTGGCGTAGGCTTGCAATGCCTTGTCGTCCTTTTCTAACGCATCACGGCACGAAAGCAGCGGTAGATCGAGCAGAGGCAAATGAGGAGGAGGCGAAGGTGGCATCGAGAGATGCTCGAGCGCGATCGTCTGCACCTCCTCGGACCCGATCCATCGATCCGAAACGACGCGAGCACGCAGAGCTTTCGGCACCGAGCTGACGGGGACGACAAACTCTTGTACCAATACATTGGTCGTCGGACGGACCACGACGCGTGCCAAACCGAGGATCGAAAGCCCTTCTTCATCCTCGATCCAGACCCAAAAGGCTTCAATGGTTCCGTGATGCTTCTCTGACCACTCGAAAGATCGCCTGAGCTCCAAGCGTACCCGAAGCAAGTCGTGGGCGACTGGACGTAGCGTGTACGAAATGCCGAGCGAAGGGAACTGTTTTGCCGCCTTTGTGGCAAACCCTCCCAATCGCTCGTTCTGATGGATCAGCGTTCCAAAGTCGGCATCGGACATTGAAGCCACTTCGGAAAGCAAGACGTCGTCGGCCCACCGCTCAATGTTGTACAACAGTTCCGAAGGCAGGTCGAACTGCGCGAGCGGGTGACTGAAGGGCCACAATCGCTTCTCGATCGCCTTGCTCATGGACACGAGGACGAGCGTGACGGGTGCCCAACGCTTCGCCATGGCAATCTCGAGGAGGGCCCGGACGATACGCCCGGCGTTCTGGGAGACGTAACCCGAATCGGAGACGAGAGCAAAGTCCTCGATGAACGCACGCGAGATGTAGGCTTGCAAGAGGATGTTGACCTTGCCCGAACTGGACTGGGTTCCACCCTTGACTTGACACGGCGCGACCATCTCCATGAGCCTCGTCAGCTCCTCGATCTCGTTCTCGCGAACTTGGATCTGGTTGAACTCGACCGAAGAAGCGATGAGCGCCAGCACGTCGGCTTCACTCATCTTGGGTCGGAATAGCGTGTTGAAGATCTCAATACTGGCGTTTCGAATGTAGTACTTTGAGGCAATGCGTCCTAGATCTGTTGGTTCTAATTGGCCGAGATCCTTGTCCCATCGCACCATCTGTGTTTCGACGAGTCGTTTGGCCGAGTTCGAGATCAGGGTCAAGCGCTTGCTCCCCAAGAGAGGGTCGTCCGCAACCTCGGTGGCCAGCATGCCGTAGACCAGTGGATTCTTGCGCATGCGAACAAAGAGGTAACTGTACCCGAGCCATCGCACACCTTCATCCATATTGGTGACGGTTCCAAGACTAATTTCGGCGTTGAGCGAATCGACGAGGCCTTCCACAAACTTGGACTCAATCGGGTGTTGCTGTGTGATGGCCGAGACATAGTGATCGAGCTTGTCATAACTGGTGCAGATGTAGCCTACACCTTGGCTCTCGTATTGAGGTCGTCCAGCACGACCGAAGATCTGCAATACGTCGAGGATCCCCAGATCGACGAACGAACCTTTCCCGGCATCGTAGATTTGGGTTCCCTTGATGACGACAGCGTACGCGGGCAAGTTGACACCCCACGCGAGCGTCGCCGTACAGCACAACACCTGCATCGCAGTTTTAGGGAATTAGCCACACAGGCTACAATGACCTGAATCAGACAATAACTGACCTTGGTGACGTTCGCTTCAAACATCCGCTCTGCGATGTTTCGATCCGACCTCAACATGCCAGCATGATGAATGCCGAACCCCTGCGCAGCCAACTCCTTCATCTCCCTATTCCTCGACGCCGCCAAATCCCTCTTGAAACCCGGCCACTTCTCATTCTCATTCGGATCCAAAAGATCCGTGATGCCTTCGCCTTGTGCTTTCTCCTGGAACGTTTGCGCGGTCTTGACCGTGTCCTTTCGGGCGTGCACAAAGACCATGACTTGATGGCCTTGTTTGAGGAGTTCGGCGACTTTCTCGAATGCGGCGTTGTCGAGCCCTGCACGGGAGGCCGGGGTTCCTGCTTTCCCCCTGACACCCAAGAAGTGTTGTTCGAGCGGGACCGGCCGGAACGAAGCATCAAAGTAGAACAACCCCGTATGCCGGTTGACGCGTAGAAAGTCGGCGACATCGACGTAATTGGGCAATGTCGCCGACAACCCAACGATACGAATCAGACTCTGACTCGATTCGACTTGCCTCAACGTCCTCGCCACGATACTTTCCACGACCGCGCCTCGATCTTCGTGTAGCAGATGGACCTCATCGATAATGAGCAACTTGACTTTATCCGCCACATCGCCATCCCCTGCTCCCGCGCCTTTTCGCGTCACGACGTCCCATTTCTCGGGCGTCGTGACGATAACCCCTGTTTCGTCGACTTCCTTCTTGGTCAACTTCATGTCACCCGTCAACTCGCGGACTTTGACTCCGGCCCAGCCGAGTCGTTTCGCGAACTTGAGCGTGATCTCGGCAGCCAAGGCTTTGAGAGGGGCGACGTAGATGATCTTGTACGAGGAGGCCGGAGGCAGAGTTGGCTTTGCATTGCCGACCAAAGGGGTGTGTGCGAGTCCACTGAGACAGCGTAAGATCGCAAGTAAAGCTACGTCGGTTTTACCCTGGTTTGAGACGAAGAGAATCAGCGTCACGTCGGTAGATTTACCCAGGCTGCTTTATTTGACCTCACCGCTCCGGTCGGCGCACACACGAGCATGTTTTCGTTCGTACCGTAGGCCACCGGAAATACGATGCTTTGCAGGCGATTGAGTGAGGCATATGCCTAGAGCACGAATGAGATACATGGTCAGCTACCATTCGTGATCACTCAAAGCAACTTCTCTCGCAAGACTGACGTGGAATGTCCGCCTTCCCCAGGCGTCCATGGCTGAGATGGGCACCGGGTTCTCGTTGAAGCGAAAGGGCACCGGATCTGGTGCGGGTATCATGATCTCCTCGTATTCCTACAATCATGAACAAGTCCACATCAGTGATCTTGAGCACTCTGCGAGGAAGCCTAGGCATTCAGCACAGACTTACTCCTCGATCGTTCCTCGTTGTCCCAACCGGCAAGATCAATTTTTGACCTCCGAGGCCATGTGCGGCCGCCTGAGCCCCGGGAGCAAGGTAAACATTCGGGTATGGTATCGGTTCTTCCCATTCCTGTCAGGTCCATGGGAAGATCAGCTTCAGCCCCACTCCTTCCACCAAGCAAGACCTCCGAGAACTCACCCGATCGCTCGAAGCCAGAGGACCCGGACCCCTGGCCAGAGTCTCCTGTCTGAGTCTCTCCCACTCTCCCAAATCAATTCCACCGTTCGGTTCCCCACCATCATGACCATGCTGTCCTCGTGCCAGTTTGTGTCGTAATTTACGTTCCCGCTTGGCCTGTTCGAGGTCGGACTTGGACTGAAACATGATCTGAGCTTGTGGGGTTCGTTCTTTGGGGACGCTGAATTGCGACTGGGCGGGTTGATTATGATGGGCAGGTATTGTTGTTACGGAGCAAGCGAGTATGTTGGAGTCGTTCACTGCAAAAGCGTTCGCCTGTTGTTGGATCGTCTTCCGGTTTTCGATCGCCTGTCCGACCAAGTCGATGCCCTCAAAGCCGTAGATCTCGAGCAATGAAGTCGCGACATCTTGGTCCCCACTTGGGCTAAGTATAATGTCCAATGCCCTCACGTAGTCTTGCAGAGTCGGTAAAGACGCGCGCAGCCAGTCCAATGAACCAGCTCCAGCTTCAGCGCCGGACGACGAGGATGTGGACGTCGAGGCGAACTGATCGTGTCCACCATTAGATGTTGAGAGACGGATTAATTCGAGAGCATAAATCTCTGGCCAAGGATCATGATCCAACTCCTGCAACAAAGGAATTTGCGGTTCTACCTTCGCTGTCGCGTTGTGGGTCGCACCGTTGGATCGGCTCGAGGTGGATGACGTCGAGGCGGACTGAGCGAGCGCGAGCGCGGTATTGAACGTCATGCAGGGGTTGCAGGCCCGCTGTAGGGTGAGAGCATCCTGTAACGAGACGATCAACGCCTCTGGCGCCGAGCTCATCCCAGAATACGGTGCGAAGTGTGTGCCGAGCAACGTGAGTGGGGGTGAAGAGGACGACGGCGCGGGATCGCGAGCACGTGAGTTTTCCCAAATCGACCGAGTCAGGCCCGCTGAGCCGTGAAAGTCTGAACAGCGTCCGACTCCAACGCCATGACTCGGTAAGAAGCAGCAGAACATGGGCGGTTTTGGACGTGAAATTGAACAGCTCGGGGTGTACTCTGGGCCTTGTTCCCGATTCCCCATCTCAGGAGCCGAATTTTCGCAGTCTTCGGTTTTGGTCGTCGTGGCTCGTACCACTGAGTTCATTTGGGTCGCCATGTAGTACACGAAAAGCACAAAAAATGTCACCTCTGACCAAATCGACGTCAGACTTGACACGCTTTTGTAGCGAGCGCGGTTCAAAATTTGACGATGGCCAAGATTAAAAGGGGGGACTCCCGCCGATCACGTTAGCGCGCTCAGGAGGGCCGTGGACCGTGCGACCGTGATCGCTGCGAAGAGGCCAAGGCAGGCCAAGGCACCGACTACCTGCTCCTGTCTCTCTTGCCAACCCCACCCTCCCTCTCTCTCAGGCTCTTGCCACCCGCATACGACAAGTTCTCCCTGCACCCCCCAACTACCCACCACACCCCACGTGGAGAAGTGTCACAGGTACTCACCACTCGACCTCGTTCGCACTCTTGCTGGGCTCCCGCATCGGTCGCACCAGTCGCACCGTGACCTTGGCCGCTTCCTCCCGCCAGCCAATTCGTGCTTCAGAGTTGGCCCCAATAATAATCTCCCACTGCGTACCTCTCAACCTACACCGCTCGATGCCTTTTTCATACACCATCCTCAAACTCAACCTTGACTTTCGGATATTGAACTGAATAATTGATCATCAAGCGACTCGCCGACCGCCATAGCTAGCTCGGCTTCTCTCACGCCTTCCGAGATCCGTGGGCCTCGGCACCACCACCGCCACGAACTCGATATAAGCCACCCACCGCTTCCCACTCGCACCTCGCATCGGGCAGGTCTCATTTCCCCGTTCACCCTAGCATACGATACGCTTTCAACGCAAGTAATCTGTCGTATCACAACACTACCCAACCATCAAACGCACCGGCGAACCACCGCTGCGAACCCCCTCGCATTGCGCCACCACCCACCGCCCACCCGAGTGCTCTCCGCCATGGGAACCAAGACGAGTGAGTGCGACCTCTTGTGACCCTGAACGTACTCTCTGGGCAGTGCGCTTGTTCCACTCGATGCCACGGATATGTCTCGTGGCGCGGTCCACCGCACGAGCTCCGAGGCCCACTCGTCATCTTGCGAAACGACGATCACACGCTCGTCCTTCGCAACGCTAGCCGCACAACCCGAGACAATGGACTCGGCGCTCAACTAGCTGTGCTCGATGCATGCGGCGCGACCCGCTTGCACCAGACTCATGATCTTTCAAGTCACTGACGTTCCGACGTCGTCTGTGTGACACTGCAGCACTCCCAGGGTCCTTGCACGCTCCGTCGTCCTCGCATCCCCCCACCACCAACAAGCTTGCCTTCTCATCATCTCCCTCCGCATCCCGCAAGTCTTCCCACATCCTCATTCTTCACGACTCTTCGGACACATCCATGCTCTCATCGGACGATGGCGACTCGGACGACGACGATGCCGTGATTGTCACCTCGGTCGGTGATGCTGAAACTTCCGCTCCGAGGCGCGACGGGAATGGCTCGACCAACGACGGCGTCGGCGTCGAAGATGTCTGCCTCGCATGTCGCGGCGAATGTCAATGCGGAGGAGCCAGAGGCGATCCCGTTTTCGTCTCGTCTCTCGGGCACCATGGTAGCAGTAGCCGCGGATCGAGTCCGACTTCGAATGGCAAGGCTCATCCAAGGTTCAGTGGCAAGACCTTGACGGGGAGTCCGGCACCCGCTTCCGCCAGGGGGTCCCCTGAACTCGGCGAAATCCCGAAACGACAACGCGAGGATGCAGTTGACGAGACCGAAGAAGAAGGGGACGACGACGACGACGACGACGACGACGATATCGGTCGCCCACGCTTGGAACTACAAAAGATCCACAACTCCCACATCGCCGCCTTGCCCGCGACCTTGCCACCTCTACCCACCTTACCCACCTTACCCACCCTATTCACCAACAAGGCCGCTTCACCCTCTTCGAGGGCGACGTCTCCAAAGCCGACACCTTCGCCACCTTTAGTCTCTGCCAGCGGGACATCCACCCGCGTTTGCTTTGGAACGACGACCCCTCAACGCCTGACGCTTCGGCAGGTTCTTGCGCTCTCGGCGAAAGAGGCCGAGTCCGCCTCTGCGTCCGCTCAGTCGTCCGTCGATGGCGATGCTTTGGACGACGAACGGTATCGCAAGATCGCGGATGCTCGAGCTTTGATGAAAAGTCAGGACCCCGATTCGTCCGACCTCTCTGGCGAGGACGATGATGACGATGGGCCAGAGGACGTGGTCATGGACGAAATCGATACGAGAATGGAGAAGTCTGAAGAAAAGGCTCTCAGGAAAGAGATCGAAGAGAAGAAACGAAGGTTCGGCTCGGACTCGGATGCCAGATCGGAGGCAAGATCGGAGGCAAGAAGTGATCGGAATAAGAACCCAAAGCCGACCAAGGTCGTCGAGGAAACCGAGGAGGATGTCGCCGCGGCTTGGGAGGCGAACGTCGAGGCTTTGAATCGAGTACGCGCGAGAACGCTGGGCGAAGCGAAAGGCGGAGTCGTCGCGGCTGACGCGAGCATAGAAATTGACGAGGATGACGAGCTCGGCGTCACAGACCTACCTATTGTTGGAGGGTCAGGAGTTGTCACGTGGTCCGACTATGAGGATCTGGACGAATTCGAAACGATCGACACCACCGACGAAGAGGACGCCAACATCGTTATTCCCCGCGAAGAAGAAAACATCGAAATCCCGGAAGAACAAGAAAAGTCGCTCGCTATGGATCTCGAAGAGGAGCTCGAGGAGTTGCTGGCCATCTCAGAGTCCGTCGTGGGGCCGATACGGCATGACGAGCTCGAGTCGGGGGACATGTGGTTCGAAGCCGTCAGCGACGTCGAGGCTGATGGAGGAGCCACGGCTGACATTGAGAATGACGGCGATAGTGACGATGACGACTCGGATGACGATGAAGACGAGTCGATTGAAAGCGGCGAGACGCTGCTGTTCGTCGACGGCATTGAAGGATGGACGACTGCTGCTGGCGCCATGGCTGCTTTGCGACGGCGTGCCGAATCGGGCTTTGAATCCCACGACGACGAAGCCGAGACCGACGATGACGAAGATGAAGAAGGCGAAGAGGACGACGATGACAACGACATCGACCTCTTGGAGCTCGACGATGACGGTGGCGAGACGACCGACTCGATGGCTTCGGATGCGCTTGTCACTCGATTTGGCGCGCCGTCTCGAAAGGTCGCTGCGGACTTTGATGACGACTCAGGCGAGTCGACCGACAGCGATCCGGAGGCATTCAATTCGTCGAATGCGGTCGCTTCTACCTCTTCAGTTGTCTTGACTACGGAAGGCGACGCCAAAGGGAAGGAGACGAGCAATGGAAAGGGCAAGGAGCCCGCCGAACCTTCTCCGCGCGCCGTCCCGCAAGACGCCACCACACCGCAGGCGCCAGCGATGGGCGTTTTTGTCGCCAAGCGAAAGAACCGATCTACGAAGAAGGCAGTCAAGGTCGTTGTTATCGATGCGTCGACGGCTCTTGTTCCCAGCCCGTTCTCAAGAGCGAGGAAGTCTCAGGTACGTATTGCCTGCAAGCATACTTCTCCTTATCTGTTCTGATGCTGACGAGGCCGCATTCGTAGTCACAGCTCGATCGACTCACACGTACTACGCGAGCAGACTCCAAGGCATCGACGTCGACCGGCTCGATCTCGGGTGAAACGGTCGAGGCCGAGGTCGAAATCGAGGTAGAATTCGACCTCGACGAGCTGCTCAACGACGACCTGCTCGAATCTCTCTCCCCTTCCTCCGCGACGTCCGTCTCTACCCTTCCTACCACAGGCGAGAAAGTCAAGTCGACCTCGAAAGGTCTCTCCGACTTCGCGCGATGGTCTCGCGTTCCCATTGGTGCCTTCCGTTCACGGACGACGCCCCACCAAGTCGCCTTCAATTACGACGGGTTCGATCTAGTCCATGGCGGCACGGCTCGAACGACCTTGTCTTCCCCCGGTGTCCCAAACTATTCCACCAAACGAAGCGTCGAGAAACGAATGTTGACGTCGCCCGTCATGGGACCTTCATCGGTCTCGGCCAAGCATGGCAAGAAGAAAGGTAATAACGGCCACGGCAACAAACGACCCAAGCTTGGACATAACGTGATCTCCCCCTTTGTAGCCGCCCCGAAGAACAGTCCGTGGTTGTAGAGTATCATGACGAGCCTCCCTCTTTTCTGTCGCGCTTTCGATTTTTCGTTTGTTTATCACCCTTTTTCTGCTCTGCTCTCTCTTACCCTTTGGAATGTTGCTTTTACAACCTCTTCAACTCGATGATCAGTTACCCCGCAGCGCAGCAATAGTAATGGGTTACCGCTAGGCTATGTCTATCCTTCTGCCCTCGACCTCTCACTCAGCTCTGACCGAAAGAGTGGTTTTGAGCCGCCAAACATGGAGAGCCGCCCCCCTCGACTCGCGACTGTTTCTTGAGTTCTAGGGCGAGCGAGAAAAGCAGCTTTTGGCGAAATACCCGCGCTCCGCGACTCGCCTCAACTCGCCTGGCTCGCCCTCGCCCGCTTCGCCCGCGGTGCGCAAACAAGAGCGCCAGGTCAAACGATCTCGTCCTTGATGTTTTGCTTCTTCCTTTTCACGTGCCCGTTCTCGAAAGCTCCTGTTCTCAAGAGTTGACATCAAACTTGCTAACCCATTTCGTGGCCCCTGGGCCAGCAGGCCCAGCACGGTGACGGCAGCGAGCCAACGAGGTGCAGTGATCTGAGAAACTACTAGTAGACTACGATTGAATGCACTTGGGCGAAAATGGGTACTACTAATAGGGATTGTCCCGCAATAATCTAGTCACGTCAAAGATGAAGGCTGATATAAGAAGTCAAAGTAGTGTCTGCTCCGGTCCAAGAGGGGGCCCAGGCTCAGTGTTTCCTGAGTTGGGGTGAGCAAGCACGAGGGTGCCCCCCTCGCCTCGCAACTGTTTCCTGAGTTGGGGTAACATTTCGGCGAAGTGCTTGCCTCGCCTCGCCTCGCCCGCCCTCGCCCGCCTCGCCCGTGGCGCGCAAACGGGAGCGCCCGGTCGGACGATCTTGCCCTTGATGTTTTGCTTGCGGTCTACTCTTCGAATAGATGCATCGATTACGGAAAGAAATCGAAGTCTTCAAGAAGAGTTGACATCAAGCTTGCTAATTCATTTCGTGGCCCCTCGGCCACTGCGGCGGCGAGACAACTTAACGAGGTGATCTGAGGAACTAGACTACAATGCACTTGGGCAAGAATGGGTACTACTAAGAGGAAATGTTCCGTAAAAATCGAGTCACATTAAAAAGAAGACTCATAAAAGAAGTTAAAGTGTCCGGTCCGGTTCAAGAGGGGTGTCCAACCGCTGCCTCCGCTCAATAGCTGATGATCCGTAATTCACCCTGAGGTTCCTCGCCCTCGGGGTACGTCAATGATTCTGGTTCTCGCTCAGCGACTGGTTTGAGTGGAGATAAGAGGTGACAGACAAGGTCAGGATCGAGGGTCTTAATAATATCAAAAGAAAAGTGAGACAAACAACTGACCTTCAATCTCGTACCGCGCGACGACTCGTTCCTGCTCCTCGACGAGCTCGTTTGAATGACGACTATCCCTCGGTTGCGAGCGCTCGACGATCAACTGCACGTGGTGCAACAATTTTCGTCGCAATCAGCAATATACTTTATGCTCAAGCCAATGTCTCACAGATAAAAGCGACTCACGATCGGCAAGACTCCAGCATTTGCTCTCCTAGCGCCCCCACTAACTTCCTTGGTCCCCGTCTCATCGAATGTGATCCACCCGGGCAAGCCCTGACGGTTCCCATTCGTATTCCCAGGCGGGTCAAGGTACGCCTCAAACTCGGTCGACGAGCTCGAATGCTGCAATGGCAACGGAACGTGGAATCTGAAAGGTTCGTTGATGTTGACTTGGACTCTGCTGGGATCGACGGGCAGAGGGGGTACGCCATCTTCGTCGAACATCCCTAGGTCCGTTCGGGACGTCGAGACGGAGTAGGTAGTACTTGTCCCCGATAGAGAAGAAGGGTACCGCCACGTATTACCTGTCCCCGGTGTTGTAGGAGAGAGGGCAAAGGGCGAATTTACGACCGTTCCTGGGATCAGTCGTACACTGTCGACGCGTCCTCGTTCGGCATACTCCGAATACGTCGAAGGCGTGATTGACGGTCGACCTTGATGTGTGGTTGCCATCGAGTCCCTCTCATCAAGGTAAGGGTAGATGACCGCACTGATTGTTCTCGAATCGTTGGACGGCGGTTCATACACCGCACTCACGGGTCGAGCTGACATCCGAGTACCTCCCGCCGTGGTGTAGACAGCGGCCGATTCATCGGCATCCTCGATCGCCGGGTTGCGGTTGCCTGCTGTCCCTCGTAACGCCGTTTGTGACGAGTAGGAACTGCCGGCTTGTGAAGACGACGAAACGCGGCGTTCTTGAGTGAAGGGTCGAACTTGAGGCGGAGGAAGATTTTGTGAAGAAGCGAACGAGGCGTCGCCTAGCGAGGCATCGGTTGTGTCTCTCGGTACTGGGTGACCACTCGAGCCACTGGAAGGAGGGAAAGCCGACTCCCCCGACGAGTTCGTATGCGAAGCCACGAGACGAATCCCTGTCGCCGACGTGGACTGGCTTTCATCGGAAGATCCGTAAAGCTGACGACTTTGCGACGGCGAAGATGATCCCATCGAAGAGACCGAATCGTCCGCAGCATGTACCGCGCTCGATGTCCGCGGCGGAGCACTGATGACAAGGGCTTGGAAATCCTTTCGTTGCTGCGGAACTGAAACGCGCGGCTTGTTCGCGCGCTCTGGACCCGCTCGGTGGTACCTCGAATCACGATCCGACTCCGAGTAAAACAGCGAGGATGACGCTCCCGAGGCCCATGTCGACGATCGCTCGAGGTGGGACTCGTCCCTCGATTGCTCGGAAAGGTCCGATGACAGCCCGTCGTTTCGGCTCGTTTGACTCGGATCAGAGCCCGAATCGTCAGCGTGCCGTCCAGCTCCAACAGGAGCGGCGAAAGGATCGTGGTGTCGCATGTCGACAATGTCATGGTCGTTAGGCCGAGCTCCGTAGTACTGCCGCCGTCCATCCTCATCCAATGCCAACGAGGATGACGAGGCGCCGAGCCCCAACCCCCGCAACGAGTTTTGCTGCGCTCCGATCGGCAACGAGATGTCGGCCTTGTTCGTCGCCGGCTGCGAGGACGAGGGTCGAAGTATCCCTGTCGCACTCCTGAACATCCCCATCAGATCAAAGCGTCTCATCACGTTGGACGAGGAAGACTTGACCATGGCCGCTGCGCCCGCGAATCCACCTGGCTGCGTCGGCGTGGCCGATTGCACCGTCCTCGGCGACAGCTCCTCCATCCCGCCAGGCAGAACGACGGGAGCCGCCCAAACGCGTTGTTGCTCCTCATACTGCGGTCCTTGCGTTCCAACCTTCTCATTCTGTCGCTTCTCGAACGAGGTCCTCCCCTCATACGTTGAGCCAACGATGGTCGACGACCTTCCCGTCCGAGTAGACTTGAACGTCGTGGGCGTCGCCGCACCGAACGAGCGTCGATACATGTCCGAATAAGGTCGTTTCTTGTTCTTGCGACGCCACAGGCAAGCCGCGATGAATACCAGTAGGAGCAATCCCAGGCCCAGTCCTAAACCCAATGCAAGTCCCAAGCGAGCGGCTCTCGATAGTTCCGAGGGGGATCCCGAATGAATCCCCGTTGCCGCTGCGGCGGAGGTAGCTGCACTCTTGCTCGTTGATGATGGAGACACGACAGCGAGGATGAGGCTGTCCTGACTCGTCAGATTAAGCGTCTTCTCCACGGCCGTGAACGCGACGGAGACGTTCTGCACGGTCGTCGGCGCGGTCCCACTCAGGATCAAGGTCCGGGGGTCGAATTGCGCCCATTGCTGAGCTGACGAGGGACTGATGACGGCCGAGTAGGTCGCGGTCGTACCTGTCGCGATACTGGAGAGGTTCTGCGAGAACGTCTGACCCGCGACGAGTTGGATCGACGCGGGCGTCGAGTTCGAGAACAGGGATGCATAGATCGCCATCGACACATTCGTGGCCAGCGTGCCGTTGTACTGATCGGTGAGGAGGACGGGGATGGTGAAGTTCTGCGGGGCCATTAGGGTCGGAGGCACCGTTCCCGAGATGGTCTGCGTCGACGCATCGTAAGTCAAGAATGATGTGTTGGTGAGGTTGACGTTGATCGACGTCAGATTGGCGGTCGTGACAGAGGCGTTGTCGATGCGCAGACCGTCGAATTCGAAGTGGTACGAGACCGTGCTCGAAGGCGTGGTTCGGATAGGCGCCAGATTCTCCGCCATCGTCAGAATGTGCGTTCCTACGCGGAAAACGAGCGTCTGCTGTACATCCCCATATCCGAAATAGTTCGATCCATACGTGACTATAGAATAATCACCCGGTGTCGACGGCGCCACGCCACCGAAAGTGACGGTTCGGTTGTCGAACTTCAACCAGCTCGGCAACTGGGTCGTCCCCGCCGCATAAGAGGTGTAGTAGATCTGAGCGTATTGGTTCGTCTGGTCCTGGAATGTGTATTGCTGGAACCCGAGCGAAAAGGACCAACTCGGTGGCACTTTGAGTGTGCCATCGGGGAGAAGACTGGCTCCTCCTCCTCCGGCATAAGCCGCCGAGGATAGTTGTTTCGAGAAGGGCAAGAAGACGTCCGGGCCAGGATCCGTGACGACGAGTAGTGTGAACTCGTCCGTCGCTCCAGTGGCTACGCCCGTGACATTGGCCATAATCGTTACGGCGTGCGAGCCCACGTCCCTCGTTCTGGGATTCCCTGAAAACGTCGCCGAAGCGGAATCGAAATCGATCCAACTCGGCAGTGACCTCGACGTCAACGTCAAAGTCGACCCCGATGAAGCGTTGAACGTCCCCGGCAAGATTGTCCATGAGTAGGCCACGCCGACTCGAGCGACGGGAGGTCGTTGAGCTTGCAGAGGGTAGACGAGCTGCGGTGCCGAAGGAGCGGCGAGGACGGAGTCGAGGAAGGAAGAGAGCACGGCAATGAAGGTGACGATCCCGATCGCTGTCATCGAGAAGGTGTTCGGGGAGCGTGTTTGTCCGTTGTCCCCGAGGCGAGGTATCGGAATGGGTTTCGGCATGGTCGTGGAAGGCGCTAGGTCGGGCCGATGATGACTGCGCGGCGCACACGCGCGGTTTCAAAGGGGTGCTCTCACGCGTCGAGCGTGAGGGAGCGTGCGTCGGAGTCCGAAGTCCGAATGCCAAGTGCTGTGGCGAGTGGTGACTAGGGAGAGAGAGCTTCGTTGGTTCTTACTACAGTACAGATGAGAGAAGGCTTCCACGTCATGAGTGATCGCCTCAAGCCGAGGGATGGGTGCCTGGTGTGGCGATGCTGCGAAACTCACGCAACGGAGTGCTGCACCGTTCAAACGGACGCCGACGACAACGACGATGACGGGTGCCGACTTGCAACGACACTGCAGGCCTAGTAAACTACACATGAAGTCGATCATGAGCATCAGCAAATAGCCACATCCCTCAAACATGTCAAATCACGTGTCATCACTCACCTTTACCTCGCAAGCTGCCCAAGTGCGTCCACTGAGATCCTAGGAGCTCTTGCGGATCCCTGCTCGCACGAGACGCGTCCGAGCGGGTGAGAGTGCGACGCGACAAAGGGCGATCAGGCGCGCTGGTCCGATCTCGCGGGCCGAGGGTCGATTGGAGCAGGGGTCGACGATCCAGCGTCGTAAGGGAGTGGTGTAGCGAAAGGGCAAAAGGCTTGCACCTGGCAAATAACGAGGCAGGTCACGAAACGATACAGTCGATGCTGGGAGGTCTGAGGGAAGGAAAGGGTCGAGCACACGGTGCGCTTCAACTCTTCAGCTCGGTGTGCTTGTGGGGGTGAGGCCGCGCCGTTAACGGACTCCGCGCACGACCGACACGTCTGAGCCAAAACTTGTTTCTTCGAAGGTCACAGTCACATGGTTTTCAACGGGTTCACGCAGGCTGAACAATGCTGCTATGTTTGGCACAGATTGCATCCCCAGTGTTTCACTCCACAGCTCTACTAGTTCATCTCCTGATGTAAATGCCTTTTGTGACCGGCATCACCGACTCCGTCGAATTGAATGGACGCTCGGCGCGCTCCTTTGAGCAGGGTCGTGCGGCGCGACGCGTCTCGAGCACGCGGGCGGGCCCCCTCTCGGTGTCCAGCTCACGTTTCTCCTCGACAGGTGTTGAAGGAGCAAACCCGACTCAAAATATCACATCTAGAAAAGTAAAAGAAAAGAGCAAACATAGACGACCGGGAGAGCGTTGGTGTGCGCGCGCCTTTGTGCTGTTCCTACACACAAACCCAAAACTGGAATACTTAAGCGACGGCCTTGAGGACGGCGGCGGTGAATTCGGTGGTTTTGCTGGAGAGTGGTCGAGACGAATATCAGTACGCTGTACGTTTACAAGACTCCGTGCGAAGTATCTTCTTACCCCTTGCCTCCCATGTCGGGGGTCTTGACCGTTCCGTCAGCGATGACCTTGTACACAGCAGCGGCGATCTGGTTGGCATGGTGGTCGAGACTGTAGACCGGCCAAAGATAAAAGCATGAATCAGGTTCGGGGGGCATCTAGTATACTCTCACGGGGCTTATGAGTACTGACCCGAGGTGACGAAGCATCATGGTGGCGGAAAGAATCATGGCGGAGGGGTTGGCGACGTCTTGGCCCTCAATGTCCTGATGGGAGGCAAGCCACGCGCGAGAACATCTGATCAGCACTTCGCTCACGCGCACTAGACAAGGAAACTTTTGTCTTGACCTACCTTGGCAACGTGCCTGCATCCGGGTTCGAAGAGAGCGTAGTCCTGGAGGGAGCGACCGAGAACCAAGTCAGCACCTTGTGAAGCACCCACAGTTTCAACGAACTCACTCGTCCAATGTTGGCACCGGGGACGATACCGGGTCCACCGACGGTAGCCGCACCGATGTTGCCCAAGATGGAACCGTAGAGGTTAGGCAAGACCATGACATCGAATTGCTGACAAAGTGTGAAACAGGTTATCAGAAACTGAACAATCGTCCGACAACGTTATCGCGCATGGACTTACTTGGGGTCGCGAGCAAGCCTGCATCGAAGCGTTGTCGACGATCATGTCGTTGAACTTGATGCCCGAATCCTTGTACTCTTCGGCAACCTGGCGACATGTGTTAAGGAACAAGCCATCGCCGAGCTTCATGATGTTGGCTTTGTGCACGCACGTGACGGTCTAGAGAGGGGCGGTCAAAAATTGCTTGAGCGTGCTCAGTTTACGACGAGGGCCGTGCGTGTATAGCAGAAAGGACCAACCTTGCGGTTGTTCTTGATGGCAAAGTCAAAGGCGAATCGTGCGATGCGCTCCGACTTGGCTCGGGTCATGATCTTGAGACTCTCGACAACACCGGGCGACGACTGTAGAGAAGAGAGGCTGGACGTCAATCGGTCTGGAGTCAATCTGAACGCACCCAGGTGCCACGCTGCACTCACCTGGTGCTCGAGACCCGAGTATTCACCCTCGGTGTTTTCACGGATGATGGCAAAGTCGACATCCCTGTGGCGGGTGGGGAAACCGGGGACGGATTTGCACAAGACGACGGAGGCGTAAATGTCGAGTTGTTGACGCATGGCGACGTTCCATGAGGTGTGGCCGGAGCGCTCGACAGGGGTGTAGAGGATACCTTTTGAATGCAGTGGTTCATGTATGAGCATCCGTGGTGGGGATCCTGATCCGCATCGCCGCCCAGCTCACCCTTGAGTCCGACCTTGTTCCTCCTGAGCGAGTCCATGGACCTCTTGAAGAGGGCGGCATCCTGCGAGGTGGCGCCCGAGATGTCGAATCGCTCAAACTCGACGGGGACGTTGAGGTGCTGCAGGGATGGATCGTGCGTCGACGGCGCATCAGCACAGGCGAATCGAAAGGGATGCAGAACCGCTTTCGCGAAGGAACGACGACTGATCGATTGGATCGACGACTGACCTCGAAGATCTCCTCGACGGATTGGGTGATTTCCTTTCCGATACCATCACCGGGGATCAGGGTAACCGAGTAGACACCGCCGTACTTGGTCGGCAACTGACGAGCGAGAGTGAGAGAAGGGGGCCAAGTGAGTTGGGAGAAGGCACCGAAGCGAGCAACAGATGGAGAGCCTACTCTGGGGGTCGGTCGCTGGATGCCCAAACCAAGACTGGTGGCGGAACGGGTTTGGCCGATCTGCAGATACGGATCGACTCGCAGCGTCAGTGAGTGTATCCCGCGTCGGTTCAGACCGGCAAGCGGTGTGGATTGGAGCGACAATCGGGCGAGCGATAGGCGGGCAGCAGAGCGTTCGGCCGAGGCTGAGCAGTGAATGAGGAGACGACTGACCACGCGCAAAGACGGTACGAGGACCTTGGCCCTGGGGAGGATCGACTGCATTGTGGAATAGGTGTGTGAGAGGTGGAAGGTGGGGTGGACGAACAGAAGAGGGGCGCCGCCGCCGTGTGCGCATTTAGCGCTCCGCACCGTAGCACCGGACACGACCGGACACTCACCGGACTGTACAAACCGCGCGCTCGCACGCTCGCACGCTCGCAGGCCCCAGCTGCAGGCCGAGCCAAGACGGCCGCCTCGCAGCCAGCCGACCGACTTATTAGTACGCCAGTAGTCGCCAGTAGTCTCCAGTATAGCACGCCCCAAATTCAGCCCGTTCGGCGCTCAGTGGTGTTCCCCCCTATCCTCCTCCCTGCACCACCCTGCCTGCTCAACATGTTTGCTCTGCGTCAATCCCTCCGATCTCAAGCCAGAACCTTTGCCGTACGTCCATATCCGACGTGGTCCTCAACTGACCGTTCCGCCGGAGAGCCCGCGGCCTTATCGACGACAACGACGAGACGACGACGCCCGCGAACACGACCAACCGCATCCACCAAACTCCGGTCCACATAAAACTGACCCTCTCACGCCTTTCCTTGACATAGACCTCGGCCAGGGCTGCTTCGGCCGTCGAGTCTGGATTCGTGGGCAACAAGACCGGCGTCAGCAGCACTCGCTTGCACTCTCGCGCTCGGTCACCGCACTTTCAGCTCAACCGCCGCCCCTGTGCCCTTCACAGAACACCTTCAACGTCACCCTCATCCCCGGTGATGGTCAGTTTGCATTCACCCCTCTCGTGGGTACTCGGCCTCGTCCTCGAACTGTTCGCTGATCCTGCACTGCTTGCCCCCTCTTCTTTGTGCGCCCCCCCCCCCCCCCCCCCGCGCGCCGACGTTGGATCATGATCACGTTCTTCCTCCCTCTTCGCCTCTCGCTCTTCTTCCCCTCGCGGCAACATCACCACAGGTATCGGTCCCGAGATCTCCGAATCGATCAAGCAGATCTTTGACAAGGCCAACGTACGACACCCATTCACTCAAGTCCTGCCCCTACCACACGACTTGGGCCTCCGAGCTGACCCCTTTTCCACCGACTGGGCCATTCTCGCCATCCTCGCCATCCTTGCGCCTTTCTTCACCCACAGGTGCCCATCGCATGGGAGGAAGTCTCGGTCGCCCCCGTCATCGTCGATGGTGTCTCGACCATCCCCGCCGATGCGATCGCTTCGATCAAGAAGAACACCGTCGCACTCAAGGGCCCCCTTGCCACGCCTAGTACGTCCTATCGACCAAGCCCCCCTCCCTCGCGTTCCGTCATCGACGCTAACACACTCGACCCTACTCTCGCCAACTATCAGTCGGCAAAGGTCACGTCTCGTTGAACTTGACGCTCCGTCGCACCTTCTCCCTCTACGCCAACGTCCGACCTTGCCGCTCGATCGAGGGTTACAAGACCCCGTACGACAACGTCGACAGTGTCATCATCCGAGAGAACACCGAGGGCGAATACTCGGGTATCGAGCACGAGGTAAACAGCCCACGAATTCAATCTGGACGAGCCAAGTCAGACGGCTGATCCTGAGTGGCCTTCTCTCAATTCAGATCGTCGACGGTGTCGTTCAATCCATAAAGTTGATCACTTACGAGGCTTCGGAGCGAGTCGCCCGTTACGCGTTCGAGTACGCCGCCAACAACGGCCGACCCAACGTCACCGCCGTTCACAAGGCCCCCATCATGTGAGTGTCTCCCATCTCTCAGCAAGCTTAGGTACGCCGACGACTCACGTCCGGCTATTTGACGTCCGTGTGCTCACACAGGAAAATGTCTGACGGAATGTTCTTGCGAGCATGCCGAGACGTCGCGGCTCAGTACCCCAACGTCAAGTACGAGGAAGACTTGCTCGACCGAGTGTGCCTCAGGGTCGTGCAGAACCCCGCTCCTTACGCGGACCGAGTCATGGTCATGCCCAACGTGAGCAAAACCTTCCACCGTGTCGGTCCACAATGGCTCGCTCCTATGTACTGAACGAGCGCAATTCTTCTCGATGCAGTTGTACGGTGACATCTTGTCCGACATGTGCGCCGGTTTGATCGGTGGGCTCGGCTTGACCCCGTCAGGCAACATCGGGAAAGACGCAAGCATCTTCGAAGCTGTCCATGGTTCCGCACCTGATATCGCGGGGTGAGTGATGAGGGAACAAAAGTCCTCGAATTGAAGCTCATTCTCGCTCGGTTGCTAAACCATCTCCAACGATGTTGCTTCACCGTTCACAGTAAGGGTTTCGCCAACCCGACAGCGTTGCTCTTGTCGTCGATCATGATGTTGCGTCACAGTAAGTGCACGAGCCCACGCACGCGAGTGGATGCTTCCCTAATCTATATACTGATATGACTCGATGACGTTCCCCGCGCTCCTTCAACAGTGGGTTTGATGGAACAAGCCGCCAAGATCGAGTCCGCCGCTTTGAACGTAAGGCACTCCTGCCCTCTCTCCCACCCGCATAAGTTAGATCTGACAGAACCGCCATCCTTTCCTGGATTTAGACCATCGCCGAAGGCCGATACATCACGCGCGATTTGGGAGGTAAAGCCTCGACGTCGGAGTACACCAACGAGATCCTCAAGAAACTTTAATCGCTCTCGGGGTTGAAAGAGGGAACGTTCGGTCGTCGGTTTGTGCAAGGTCAGGGAAAAGAGAGGGGAGGTGGTGGTTTACATAGTTGGATGAGGTTCATGAGGGGAGCGGGGGATTTTGGACATATCATTCTCGGCCTCTTCAGATGCTTTTCATCCTTTGGGATGGTCAAGATTTGCTTTGGTTTCTGTAGAGAGAACCGGCTGCTGCTCTCGCTTCTAATCCGTCGTGTCACTAGGACCGGGTTCATTCATCGACAATAGCAGCAGGGGCTAAAACAAAAAAAATATGGTCGTCAAGAGGAGAGGACAGATTCACCGCACTACCATTTTTTCCCCTTCGTTCTTCTTCTTTTCGCTTGTTTCCGTATCCTTTATCCTTTCTAAACCTTCGTCCTCGGCATCCTCCGTTTACACGCATGTCAACCTGCGCGATGAGAGCCAAGAGTTCCACCGAATTTTCACGTTTTCAGCGAAGTGCTTAGTCCTCGGCGACAAGAGCCAGCTGGTGTGACGATAGGAAAGGATTATCAGCACTCGGAGGCGAGCTATAGTTCCGACGTCGCGGGTACTCACGATCATTCGATAGAGCGCGTAGAAGAAGAAGACCAAACTGTTCACAGAGACGGAACGGAATGCGGGAGGGTCAGAAGCTCGTTCCGGACTCGTACATTACGATGCAACTGCATCGCGGTAGCGGTAGCGGCCAGGACTGACTAGAAGCCAAGTTTGAAGAATGATTCTGTGTTACGGAGTAGGCAAGAGGGAAGTCAGTCGATCTGCTCGCGCAACTCAGCGACGGAGCGCAGTTAATAAAATCGAGCCGAACTGACCCTTCTTGTGCACTCCTAAAGTCCTAAAGATCTCCGTCGCATCAAACATGTGATTGCGATTGATGACTCTGTGTGGGGTTTCGGTGCGGGTCAGCTTCTCGCCTGCAGCTCTCGCGCATGCCTCCGCCCAGGAGAGCCGGCTCCTGCGTGGCAAAGAGGACGTACTTGTTGACGTTGAAGGCCAGTAACGGTACATTGAGTATGAAGGCGATGATTTGGAACGTGACGAGGAACGTGATGGTCATGAGGCCGTGGAGGATCATCTCGGGGAGGACAAACTGCGGATTGATGGGAACACCGTTGTAGACGGGGATCAGATCAGCTCGTCCTCACGCAATTCGATCAGTGGTCTTTCTTATTACTTGGTTGAGCTTGTTGCAGAGGTCAATGGGGTTGAGATAGTCGCATTCTGTGCGGGGTTGGCGAGGAGAGTGTGACGGAGAAGAGCGAGTCAGTAATGTGACCGGGTCACGGCCGCCGTCCACAGTCTTGAATGTGAGATTGCTTTGACGACGACGAACCGAGATCAGAGAACATGATGATCTGCCATGTGTAGGGAAAGTGAATGTTAGTGCGCCGCTGCAGGATCCACGCATACAACGCGGGCGGGTCGCGACCGGGGAGAGGTCAAGTTGACGTACAAAGAAGACACTGGTGAAGAGCAGGATCGCCGAGATGATGACGCTGGTAAGGAACAGCCATGCTGCTCCCATGGGAAGATGGTGGGTGCGGGGGATGGCGCGAACGAGCATTAGGAGGTGTCGTGGTCAACACATTGCGATTCGATTCATCGCCGTAGCGTAGTCGGCGGTTCGGTTTGTGACGCGTCGAGCATGGCGACGATGAGCAGCAGCGCGGTAGCGAGCACGGTCCGGCGCGAGGAGAGAAGGAAGTGGCAGAATGAGTACACGATCAACTCGAGATAGCTTGTCTCCGAGCATGGCCCGGTCTCCACGATCCGGCGTCGTCTCGGAGCGACGAATTGCTGCCGGCGATCCGCTCTCACCTTCTCCGCTCTGCCGTACCAGACATCAACAAGAGTAGATCAGTGACCCGCGCAGCTTGAGCAGGCACATCCAGCGATGACTGACCATGATGGGCAAACTGGGAAGGTCGTGACTCGTGAAGGAAAGAGGCGAGGCGAGGTCGTGAGAGAGAGTTGATGTCACTCTAGATCGCGCGCCCGCCGCATGCAAGCGCGCCCGTCAGAGCAGGTCAGAGCCCGTCAGCGCTTCAGCCTCGGTCAGCGCAGGAGAGCGCGGGTCAGCGCCAGCAGGCCAGCCGGCCAGCCGCCAGCCAGTGCGAGTGAATCGCCAGCGCACCAGCGCAACCCGAGGCTGATTATAGCGCTGATTGTGGAGGGTGCCTGGCACTGCAGTCACGTCAACGTCGAAAGTTTTGGCACTAGTACTTTACCTCGTATCCAACCGAGCTCCTCCGCTTTCTTCTTTCCCTCTTCCTCCTTGCGCGGTATTTCCTCGTTTATGCGACCCTCGTCATACCTCCCACTCGAGCTCGTCTCGAGAATACTCGATCACACCCGTCCGAGCTCGACGGGGGACGTTCAGGCATGGCGATCCCATTCGGTCGACCTCGAGCGCCACTACTCGCTCGTCAACGCGACCTGGCATTCGGCCGCTGCAGAGGAGCGCATGCGTCACTTGGTCATCGATGGGGAGCAATCGACCATCTCGAGCTTGATCAGGACATTCGATCGAGATCAAGAGGTGTCACCACAGCAGCAGCAGCTCGATCAAGCTCGACCCCACCTCGGTGACGGCGAATTCGACACGGGCTCGGATTCCGTGTGGGGCTCAGCCTCGGCGGGCGAGCTCGGCGAAGAGCCGCTGGGTCAAAGGGCGTTCCCGACGCATTGCGTCACCAGTCTCTTCATTCTGGCATTCGACAACCGCGCTAGATTCTCTACCATGCTACCCCTCTTGTCGCGGCTTCCCCGCTTGCGAAGGATCGTCTTTTCCCGGTGCCTCGAGCTCGACTTTGTCCAAATCGGCAATCTCCAGGGCAAGTCAAGATCAGGCTCATCCTACACTTCTCTGCCATATAAGTCTTGACGCATCCTATTCGCTACTATTGCAGTCAATCTTGAAGAGCTCTACTGCATCAATTCCTTCATCATCGAAGATCCTCGGTTCGAGCACCCCAGTCCTCCGCTGCGGATACGACGTTTCGTGCTCGATTCCACCCTGCTCCCCACCACCATCCCCGTCGCCCTTCTGCCCGAACTGACCCATCTCGCGCAGATCAACGTCAATGGCCGCTCCGCAGCCTCGTTCACACGTGATGCATGGCTGGCCGAGTTCGCTCCACAGTTGACGTCGTGCGCTCTGACCTTGGTCGGATCGGGGTGGCATTCGGATCTACCCATCATCCGGGCGATGAGACAGATCAAGGTGTTGGACCTCTTCATCCCCAACGCCGTCGGGTTACCCGTCGCAGCCATTCTGGGCCCATCTCCGTTCGAGTGTGCGATTGGGTCGACGATCGAGTTCCTTCGCATCGAAATGACGAGCTACCGCTTCAATACGTTCGTCTTATGGGCCCAAGACAATCCTCCGCCAAACAAGTTGAGGTATCTGGGCTTGAGGATCCAGGAATCGGTGCAAGACCGCGCTCGAGACAATTTGTTGCGGGTATGGGCCAAGGTCAAGATCGAAGTCATCGTGGTGAGAGAGAATAGGCGACGTGAGGAAGAATACGACGAGGTGTTCTGGAACCGAGTAGAAAGAGGAGATTTTGATCGCATCCTCGCGGACCCGAATTCATAGTCATGGGTCCAGTTGATTCCCTAGCCCATACCCTGTAATGCGACGAATGGGGCGTTCATCCCGTCGCACCTCGAACCGAATCACTCATCATCAAAGCTCAACAGGCCTTTCTGCTTCTGCTGCTTCTTTTTCTCCTTCTTGGCGTCCTTGATCTTCTTGTCCTTGTCCTTGATCGCTTCCTGTTGTTTCTTCTCTTCGGCCTGCTTCTTGACCCCGGCGGCGAACTTTGAACGCTGGATCACGTCTTGCCACGACTCGCCGTCCTTGACTTGACCGGTCGCACCGGACTTGTCCTTGGAGTCGCCCGAGGCCAACCTCAGACTACCCCCATTCTTGACGATCGCGGTGTCGTCGCCGCCCAACGCTCTCGAGGCCGCGAAAGGATCCGGGGCCGAGTTGGCTTTGGCTGTCAGCAGTCAACGCACGTCGAGGTGGTCAGGTGATGTGGCGCGCACTGCCTAGCTCCCAGTGTTCTGCTCCTGACCTTGTTCTCTCATCCTCTCCATTTCTTTCTGACCAACATGTTTCTCCTCGTTCAACACGACGACAGTGGGAGCCTCATCCCCGTCAAACTCGTCCGGGCTGTCCTGTCCGTCGTCCTGTTGACCATCAGGGCGAGTCGGGATCGGAGGCCGATTCGGGTCTTGAGCTTTGGAAGAGGTGCCTGATAATGCGGCATAGGCGTTGCGTAGAAAGGCAGGTTGGGCGTTGGCCGTGTTCCATTGAAGACCTGTTTGAGCGCGGGTGAACGAGGGACACCTCAGTGAAGAAAGACGAGAGCCTTTGACGAATAGGAGGTGAGAGGAGCCTACCTTTGAGTTGCACTTTGGACGGTCCAACGGGTTCATCGTCTGCACGAGAACGTTTGCCATTCGATGAGCCGCCGCCTCCTCCGCGACGTCCACCTTGTGGGGGCATCTCTGTCGAGTTTCGATCGAGAGCCGAGCGAGCAAGCGAGGGGCTCTGTTCCGGCAGAGGAAGGGTGATAGAGGAAAGCAGAGAGATGGTGATCTGGTCGCGTGAAGCAGGGCGCAAGACGGGCTGAGGAGCTAGCAGATCGTGACGCGCTTCACATCACACGTCACCGCGCTAGACCGCGCTCTACCGCGCTCGACCAGGCTCGACCGTGGGGCTGCCCGAGGCTGGCCGCGGCGGCTTGGCTGGGCTCTTGCGCTCTCTTCGCTGGCCTTCGTCGCTGGCCCGCCTGCGGTGCGCTGGCAGCCGCCGGCTCGATGCTACTGCTGCCCCCCCCCCCCCTCCCCTCGGCGCTGCAGGTCTGCGCCTCTCTGTCTTCCTCGCCTCCTCTTTGCTATCGGCTCGTACGACCCATCTCGCCCATCACGTAAGCCCCAGCTGTACGAACTGAAGCCATACCGTCACGCCCAGCTGCTGACCATACCTTCCGCCTGCACGCTTCACTTTGCTTTGACGTGGTCACCAATGACGTATCCCGTCGCCTCCTCCCCTCGGCAATGACTCGAGACCAGCCCGCAGCGACTCGCCTCCGACTACCCTCCCCACACCCCAACCAGCCCCAACCCCCAACCCCAGTGCCTCACCGCTGCTGCACACATGGCTGCTGCTCGATCCGTGTCTATTCCCCATTATGCCTGGGCAGGTCAGTCGTCCTATGACCTTGACCGTCTCTCCTGCGTAACCGCGTCGTGGCTGACATCACTGCAATCACTGGAATGTCCCCGGCGCTCCTTCGTCCAGGCGGTCACGCCCTCGTGCTCGCCGGTACAATCTACACTTTGATCGGCCTCGTCACGTTCCAGTCCAGGTCCAAGTCGTACTACCTCTCGTACCTCGGCGCGATCGTCTCGTGGGGGATCGTCGTCGTGAGTCCGAACTGAGCCTCCGCGATGCTCTCTGCTCGATCGCATTCGCTGACGACGACGACGTTGCTTGTCTGAAACCACTCCTTCCTTGCTCCCTGCCCTGGAATCGAACTGGTCTGCGCCTACTCTGGACGTTATCAGTACAAATCGTTGGGCATCCCTCAACCCAACAAGGCCTACATCCAGCGTGCCTTGCTCGACGAGAACGTCCAGGTCAGTGCGACCCCGAACTGACTCCCAGAACACGGCCAAGTACACCTTACTGAAGTTGGCTTTGCGTCCCTCGTCTTATTGTAGTACCTCATCCTCGCCGTGTACTGGTTCCTTCAAGTCAGTCCTGACTGTCATCAACCTGAGGGCCCAGAGTCGCAGACCGAATCCTGTGCTGACGGTGGTTTCTTCGGTCGTACTCGTTAGAAACCCATCTACATCACCCTGATCCCCTTCGCCACCTTTTCATTGTTCCACACTTGTCAGTCCGCGCACCGCTCGTTGGTTTCCGATTGGCCGTTCCGGAAAACGACATGCTGATACATTCTCCTTGGTCCAACCACGACTCGCTGCCCCCAACAGTGACCTTTGTGCGCACGAGTGTCTTGCCCAAACCCCCTTCGACCCCCGCTGGAGCATCAAAGACGGCTGCACCGCCTGCGACGGGTCAGGCCAAGCTCTCGAAGCAGATCCAGGTCAGTAGTAGCTCGCCCCACATCCCCACCTCGGAATCTTTGCGACACGAGGCTGACCTTTCGGGATCGGACTTGGATCGTCAGACATGGGTCAAGGCCAACTATGAAAAGGCGATGCTCTTTGTCGCGTTCGTCGAGGTCGTTCTCGTCTTTGGCCGAGTTCTGCTCGGTGCCATCACCTTCCGCAACTCGCTCCTCGCGCCGCTCTTCTTCGCCCACTTCCTCCGACTGAGGTACTACCTCTCGCCTCCGACGCGCCAAGCATTCGCCTGGGTCTCGACTCAGGTCGACCATGGAATCAACCACCCGAGCTGCCCTGCACCCGTCAAGAAGGGAGTGACGATCGCGAGGGATCTGGTGGGTCTGCCCAACACGTGGCAAATAGCCTCACCATGACCAAGTGCTAATTGGCTCACGTTTCACCTCCTTCGTAGATCATCCGATACTCCGAGTCCGTTCTTCAAGTCGGCGGCCAAGCGGGGGCTCAACAACCTGGAGCCGCGGGTGCTGCAGGTGCACGACCCGCCGCTGCAGGAGCCGCTGCTCGACCAGCACCCACAGCTGCCGCCGGAGCTGGAGCTGCTGCTGGAGCTCGATAAGAAGAGAAGGGGCTGTTGAGAATGGGTATTCGACTGTTTGAGATCTGGCTCGCTCTGTTATTCCTCGCATACAGGGATGTACGTCCTCCAACCTTTCTTTTTCTTTTTGCTGTAGCTATCCCCCCCCCCTCCCCCTCCCCCTTCCACACAATGCTCTCCTCTCTCCTCATCTCTCCTCATCTCACCTCCTTCAATTTTACTTCACCTGAAATACGTCATTCTAAGTGCCCTTCGAATGTTTCTCGGTTTGCCTACTCGAGATATGAAATATGAAGCTTTCCCTGAACTAGAGCATGGGTTGAGTATCGCCCGTCTTTTCTCAATGACTGCGGGATCGCTCCAAAGACTGCCGCTCGAACGCGCAGCGAACCATATCATATGGCAACGAATCATGTGGAACTATATATGGGCCAAGAGCCTGGCTTTTTCTACGCACAATGATGACTCCACTTAAATGTCGCTCGGGGCCGATCCTGCACTGAAGCCGGACCCTTGGTCCACCCACAAGCCAACCTGGACATCTACTTGCAGCTATCAAGTAAAATGTGAGACGGGGAATAATCACTCTTTCCAGGAACCAAGTATTTAACGGTTTGTCATGTGATGCGCAGGCCCTTCATCGATATTCGCGCCATCGACGGCTGAGGTTCATACAAGTTGTCGCCGGTCCGCGCTACATGACAAGCACGTGCCTCTGATTCGCCGCCACAGCGCGGCCTCGTACCAGCTCACGAAGCAAACAGGTGACGTTCGAAACTGGTCTCAAAACCCCCCCGTCGATTGCGGTGCAATACTACCTCCCGCGGGCTACTAAGTGGACCACGTCTTCCTTTCTCCTCCTCCCCTTCTCTCCCTCTTACCTCGAAAGAGCCTCGAAAGAGATCCTCACCTTTTCGTACACAAAATGACCGACAGCCAGGTCCGCCAAAAAAATCTCTTTACCCTTGTTCCTTCGGCTACTAGTCCTCGCTTCGGAGATCCGTGCAGACCCTGTCGGTACGAAAGTAAGTCTCCTATTCCGAACCGGGCACGGCAAGCGCGCAGCCTCCTTACCCGCACTCTAGCTCGAACTGATGATATAGTACCCCCAATCTCTCTTGGTCACGGTATAGTTTTAGCTATATGCTCAACCCCGGAACCCACCTACTGTAGTGCCAAGTTTGCCCTTGCGTGCGAGAAGCGCATTAGTACACTCCGACATCACTACCGGAGTATTACCACGTCTCCTTATCCGGTCTTGTTCTTAGCTTTTGCGCACGTGCTATCTGCCAAGCCTGGAGGCTGGATTGTCGGGTTTAATCGTCATGCTTCGCCAATAGCAAAAGTTCTCGGGACTAACGTGATCAAGACCCCGGGATTGTCGATTATCGACCAAGAAGTGACATTCAAACAGATGGAAGCGGTTGATGCGGCGCCAAAAGCACGGACAGAACGTGGCCTCTTCCCAGGCTGGGGTGTCTGTCGAGTGGACGAGAACCAACTTCCCAATTACAGACTGAATCGATACATCCACGCGCCGCGCCAATTATCGCTGACGAAGAATTAGTATCAAAATCCATTCGCTAACATGGAAGCGGCCATCCTCGCGTCGACGCGTTGCCTCTTGTCGTTCTCAACCACGACCGAACTCGCCATGCTCCTGACCGACCGTTTCTGCACGGGCGCTGCGGTCGTCGGTGCATGAGAGGATAAACGATCTCTAGCCTGTGCATCTTGTTGTTGCGGTTGTTGCTGCTGCGATACCGGTCTCGTCAGAATGGGCTGAGATGCCGTCGTGCCGTTCATTGCCTGGGTCGTGGCGCTGACGTTGGAATTGTTCGAGAAGTTCCTCTGCATCGTCGGACTGCCTTCGAAAGCCGACGAGGCCGTCCGAGGGGAGCCCATCCCTCTAGGTCCGACTTGACTTTGATAAATCACGCCACTCCTCCCTTCCTTGATGGCCTTCAACTCGGGCCTGACCATCTCCAACTCCTTCAGGATCTGCTTCTCGTACATGGTCATGATCCTCGCGTGGCCCATCAAAGCCATCAACAGATCCTCGTGCGTATTCTTCGCGTGCAGAGTCAAGGAGGGAGCGAGGTGCGACGAGATCGCCGACAGACGTTGCGACAATAGTTGTTCGTGTTTGACCGAATCGTCGAGGTCATCGAGCGCCTCGTCGACGCGTTCGGATCGGATCGATGAGAAAGATTTCAGTTTCTCGATGTTGCGCCGTTTGGTGATGGTCGTTTTGACCGCTTGGCGATGCTCGTCGACGATTGAATCGCGCGAAGAAAGAGTATCCTGTGTATTCTCACTCGCAGGTTCAGCCAAATCACCCGAGAAAGATCCTACTTTTAGGAGCGAGCACGACGCACCTTGGCCGACCGAGCATTCATGGCCTGGTAAGCGAACGAGTCCCCCAACGAGACCATCTCCGCCCCACTCTCCCCAATCAACACATCCGAGAGACTCTTGTGTGTCCTGGCCAATCTCTTGAAACCGCCCGCGAGGGGTCCGTACGTTTCGACGGTCGAGAACGTCGTCAGTTGATCGCCAACGTCGTTCGTCGCGATCGCGAGTTGTCGACGCGCTCGCGACAGTCCATCGATCGATTTCGACGTCTCTTGCAGATGGTGCTCGATCTTGGCGAGACCGGCTTTGGCGATGGTGAGGTCATCGTCGTTCTCTCCGGGCAGTTTGGAACTTCGCGAAGTGAGGAATCCACCGGCCGAGGTCACTGATCGTCGTTTCGAGGTTGATTTGGGGGTGTACTGGTAAACGTGTTCAATCCAGAGATCGTCAGAGACAGGGAAGGGCCGGCTGGACACGACTTTCGGCGACTCACGCCATAGTCACTCTCGATGAAGCTGCGCATCTCGTCGTCCCTGATGACGCCCGGGTCGTTGGACAGCCTGGTGAACCACTTTTGGAAGCTCTGCTTGACCAAGCGGTCATCTTCGTCGTTGGTCAGAGCACTCGTCTGGGCCAAGGGAAGAGCGGGAAGGATCGATTGCGGGCAGGTGACGGCGAGCGCTTCCGAGAATTTGATCAGTTCCGAGTAGGACCGCGAAACGGATCGGTCTGAGGGTGGAGAGGATGAGGGTTCAGTGCGTGTTGTTGGAACGGAGGGTGGAACGGAGGGTGGAGTGCCCAAAGTACTCACAGTTTGAACTACGATAGCTCGGCAAATTGGACTGAGAAGGTGGCATTGCGGCACTGATCTGTTTAGCCGGGCTAAAGAGTACACCCCCACCTCAACTCAAGGACCCAAGGTCGCTCGCTCACCTCGGCGTTGAACTTGACGTAGATATCCCTCCTGTTCTTGTCGAGGCCGAGGACCTTGATCCTGACGAAGGTTTGAGCGGATGGCGGTTGTGATGGTGCCTGCGAAGAGGTGGATCGGGCGAGCGACCTGTTGTTGCGGTCGTCATCGTCGCCGTCTCGATCCGGGTGTGGGTGTGCGCTCGCTCTTCTCGACTCGGCCCAGGTCTGCGGTGGCCGGGCGACCATTCCTCCCGAGCCAGTGGAGGTCGACGAAGAGGACCACTGATGATCCGAGCCTGGTGCGGAGGATGCAGCATCATTGCCACTCGCTGCTGCCGAATGGGTCGGTCGGACCGGCGAGGTCGGCCCCCAGGCGTCATCCGGGGGCAGTGGCACAGGCATGTGACCGTGCGGTTGGGGTGGGGTCGGCGGCAAAGGGTTCTGCTGCTGGATGTGCAACGGGCGATAACCTCGCTCTTGGCCGGGAAGAGGGGAGCGAGGTGCCATGGGACTGATGGACCTGACCGGTGTCGCCGATTGACCGCTCGGCCGAGACGAGCAGGACGATGATGACAGCGGCGAGGCGGCCGAGTGCGACGCAGACGGCGAGGCAGGCGACGACGACAGCCCCGTAGTGACAATGTTGGACAGAGGGTCCATGTGTCTCTCAGAGGTTCAGTGACTACGGTGAGGTGGGAGAGGCCAAGAGAGGGAGCAGACGCGTCGCAGAGCACAGCGAGAGGACAGGAGAGCAGAACGGGTGAGACGAGGTGGGGAGGAAGAGCTGGGAAAGAGGGGCGAATGTGGAATCTGATTGACAGTTTGTAATGAGCAATGCGATAATGAAATCGAGGAAATCGCCCCGAGTTGATGACGACGCGCCTCGACTGCCGCCTCGACTGCCGCCTCGATCGCCGCCTCGATCGCTCGGACAGACTCGGACGCCATCGCTTTCGCGCGCGAGTCTTTCTCTTCTCACCTCTCATCGATCTCATCCCCCTCACCATCGTCCCTCACTGGCCATCATGTGAGTACCCCGCGGAGTATGTATCAACAGCTTGACTGAAGTAGAACCCACCCGGCCCCGTCCAGGTCCTGGTTCAGTGGCAGTGCCAGCTCGCAACCGCCGCCCCCACCGACCGGGTCTGGTCGCCAGCCAGCACCAGCACCCGCACCCGCACCCTACTACACCGTCCCACCGCCCCAGCCCGCGCGATCGTCACCGGCCTCGTACCAGAGAGTACCCGCAGCCGCGGACCAGCAACGTCGACCCGGGCCGCAGTACGACTCGGGCTCGGGCCCAGCACCACCCTCGGCGACGAACACGTACCAGCAGCAGCCCCCGTCGCGTGGCGGGGCCCAGACTCGTGGCCAGCAGGGGCAGGGGCATGGTACACCGGGCCAGTACAACGTCGTACCCATCCCGCCCGGTCTCGAGGACCTGGCCCACACCAACAAGATCGTCGTCAGCGAACGCGACTGGCAGGGCGTCAACTACGTCAACGTGCGGCAGCACATGCGACCGAGCTCGACTCCGTATTCCATCCAGTGCGTGCGCTTGCGTGTGGGTGGCATGTGCGAACCTGATGCTGACTGAACATCGCCTTACCACCACTCAGACCCCATCCCCGAATCGAGTCCGGATCGATCGCGGCCGGCCTCTTGATTCGCACCCATCTCGGCTTCTCCAAGCTCGGAGACACCGCCGTGCTCTCCACCCTCGACTCGCTCGGACCCGATGCTTACCTCGCCAGTCTCGACTTGGAGGTACGTCCAATTTGGTCTCAGATCCTCGACGAACGACAGACGACTCAAACTTACTATGGCTCCGCCACAGGTCGCCTATTTGCAACGCAATGCCGAGCCCGATGAGCCGTACGACACGGACCAGCTGCAACAAATCTTCCTCAGCGCTTACGACGGCTTGATGGTCTCGATCGGCCAACCGATGGCGTTCGAGTTCAGAGGGCGCAACCTCAAGGTCACTGTCAAAGGGCTGCACCACCTCTCGCTTGGAACGAAGGGAGGGAGTGCTAGCCAGTCGGGCATCATCACCTCCGAGACCGAGGTCAACTTTATCAAGGATCCGGCCAGTGCGATCAAGATCAAGTCGAGTGCCAAAAAGTGAGTGGCATCATCACACACTTCGGAACTTCGAGAGAGAGAGATGTATTGATCAAGTCGCTTGCAACAGAGCCCCACCCAATGCGATCCTGGCACCCAACTTCAAGTTCGAAGACATGGGCATTGGTGGTCTCGACACCGAGTTCTCGGCCATTTTCCGTCGAGCTTTCGCGTCGCGAATTTTCCCGCCAGGCCTGGTAGAGAAACTTGGAATCCAGCATGTCAAGGGTGAGTGAATACAGAGCGCACAGAACATTGCAAATCGTGCTGACGTTTGGCGTAACTAGGTATCCTACTGTACGGTCCCCCCGGAACGGGCAAGACCCTGATGGCTCGACAAATCGGAAAGATGCTCAACGCTCGCGAACCCAAGGTCGTCAACGGTCCCGAGATCCTCAACAAGTTTGTCGGTCAATCCGAAGAGAACATCCGCAAGCTCTTCGCTGACGCGGAGAAGGAGGTCAGTTTTCGGCGATATGCTTTTCGCTCTAGAGGAGACGAGGGCTTAGCTGACACCATGGATTGTTGTGATGCGCGATGTTAGTACAAGGAGAAGGGTGACGAGTCGGGGTTACACATCATCATCTTTGATGAGCTGGATGCGATTTGCAAACAACGTGGCTCGACCAATAACGGAACGGGTGTAGGAGATTCGGTCGTCAATCAGTTGCTGTCCAAGGTAGGTTCGGACCTCCCCGCCAGATGATGAAGGGAGGGCTGGCGACGCTGACACACCCACGAATTACAGATGGATGGTGTTGACCAACTTAACAACATCCTTATCATCGGTATGACAAATCGAATCGACATGATCGACGAAGCGCTCACTCGACCCGGTCGACTCGAAGTACACATTGAGATCTCGCTGCCCGATGAGAATGGGCGAGTACAAATTCTGACAATCCATACCGCCAAGATGAGAACCAATGGCGTGATGGGCAAAGACGTCGACCTACATGAGTTGGCGAATTTGACCAAGAACTTCTCTGGTGCCGAGATTGGGGGTTTGGTCAAGAGTGCGACAAGTTTCGCTTTCAATCGACATGTCAAGGTAGGTCACGAACGAGAGCATACTCGAGGTCGGCGAGCGACTGGTCTTCCCGCTGACGAGTTCCTCAAAATTTGCAACAGGTCGGGACGTTGGCTGGTATCAGTGATGACATCGATCAGATCCAAGTCGGGCGAGAAGACTTTATGCACGCTCTGGACGAGGTGCAACCTGCGTTCGGTGTCAACGAGGAGGAGCTGCAGCAGGTCGTCCAGAACGGTATCATCCACTTTGCTGATCACGTTTCTGTGAGTCCTCTATCTGCCCAAGTCGCTTTTGGCCTACGAACAAGAGCTTATCCGAGTTCATACTCATGCACCGCAGAACATTCTTCAAGACGGTAAACTCTTCGTCGAGCAAGTGCGTTCCTCGACTCGAACACCGCTCGTGTCGCTCCTGTTGCACGGCCCGAGTGGATCGGGCAAGACGGCGCTCGCGGCCACCATTGCCATGGCTTCAGGCTTCCCTTTCATTAAACTTATCTCGGCCGAGAAAATGATCGGCTTCAACGAAGGTGCCAAGATCCAGTACCTCAACAAGGTATTTACGGACAGTTACAAGAGTCCTTTGAGTGTGATCGTCGTGGATGGGATTGAGAGGATCTTGGGTGCGTTGCATACTCCTTCTGGACGGGTGATCGCGCTGGTGCTAACGGCTTTCTCTGGGAACTGGTGATGCACAGAATACGTTCCCATCGGGCCCCGATTCTCGAACGGCGTTTTGCAGGCTTTGATTGTCTTGCTCGCCAAGCGACCGCCAAAGGTAAGAGCGCGAGGCAGCCTTCCTTCTTTTTCGGCGGGCTTTGAGCTTACCGAATGGACTATCTTGACGTGTAAAAAGGGCCGTCGTCTCCTCATCATCTCGACGACGTCCAATCGTCGTATGCTGCAAGAGATGGATGCGCTCGACGCTTTCGCCTCAGAACTCCGCGTGCCCGCCCTCTCGACCCTGCGTCAGATCGACTACATCCTCCGCGACGTCCAACTCTTCCCCAGTAAGGAAGAAGGCCAACGAGCAATGCAACTCTTGGTCCAAGCCGGTTTCGGCGAAGATACCAAGGTCGAAGGTCTGAGTTTGGGCGTCAAGAAGTTGTTGGGTATCGCTGAGATGTGTAGGCAAGAGCCCGAGGGGAGAGGGGACAAGTTGGTGCAGAGCTTGATGGAGTTGCAGTATTGAGTGGGGCGTTTCATGAGGGTGTGTTCGTAGTTACACTCGTTTGGGAAACCTCTACCAACTGCTTCCTTGCGCCGAAGGCACGCGAAACACACCTGTTTCTATGGGTTCGGTGAAGCGATCCCGCTCTGACCGCGTTTCGGAGGTACCTGAGCCCACGCCGTCCAGCGACGAGTCTACCCACCCGAATCTAGGGGTTTCAACTCCTGACGCGTCTAGTGTGCTTTGCCTCGGATTCCTGGGATTTTCACTTTGTACACTAGAAAAGGTACACGACTCCACTCCAACTGGTACAGGCTCATAAGTCATGGGTATGTTGCTCCATTGCGAACGTCGCACCGCCGAGATGAAAGGAGGTGTATACCTGACCAGAAGAGCTTGGTACTCAGCTGGATCTGGATCGGAAGTGGGTGACGTGCACCAGCACTGGGAAAGAGGAAAGAGATGATAGAGTAGCTCACCTAGATTCGTTGTAGCCGGTTTCATATGGGTTGAAGCGACTCGACGGTTGGACTGGGGAAAGGAACTTCGCGGTCAACGATTTTCTCGCACGGAAGCGCTCCAATCCCAAGCGCCACTGACATCACGGTCCGCCCCCCACATACCAAAGGCGTCGAACGGATACATCTCTCAATTCTGGGAAAGACTGGATCGTGGCAACACAGAGGCGCAACTGGTCTCCTGTCCTCTCCGAACCTCGATAGGCGAAGCACTCCAAGCCCGAAATCGCGCAGCAGTCATCCACGCCCAAAAAATTCTTTACGCGTGTGCGGCATCGAGTCTCTCGTATTTACAACATCACTGCGATTCAAACACGAGAGCGAAAAATGTACCAAAAGAAAAGGGGAGAATAGTTGGGAAGTTTGCTGCATCGGGCGGTACGAGGTCCAGGGGCACCATCAACTTGAGGAGCTCATGCTCCGGCGGCTTGACCCAGGAAGTGCTGTTCGGGCGTCATGAAGCGTAAGCCGACGCTGTTGGCAAACACTGAAAAGAAGAATTCGTAGTCAGTATGGTTTCCCACGAGGCTGATGGCAGACGAGTCGAGTAGATTTCTCACCTAGGTCGACGTCGGAGTGATCTTTTGGACGACCCGGACCGGCTGCTCTGCCAGCTGCATCACCCACAAAGAAGGAGCTTTGCCAGTCTGTTGAGATCATCAGGGATGAAGACATCAGATCTCCCGCGTGGTACGCGCTGTTCGTCCCGAGGATCGCACTCACCAATCTCGTCATGCTTCATCTCGGCCTCCTTCAGGAACCTCTGCCACATGCCTATGCCAACCCCTTTACGATGATGGTCCTTCTCCGTCGCGGCGAATATCCTCATGGGTATGTCCTTGAGTTTGGACGCGACGATGGTGGTCATCTTGGTCTTGAACCAGTCGAGTCGTTTGCCCTTGTAGTTTTGGTTCGAAAAGAGCAGGATCGAAAAGCTACAGGACGAAGGGGGGACTACGTCAGTTGACGCGGGGCGAGCTCGAAAGAGCAAGAGGGTATTTCCCGGGACGTACCCTTGACGATGCATCTCCCTGAGCTGATCAGGTACGTTCGGATGCCAGTACTGCCAATCTGTCGCGCCGGTTGGGAACTTTGAGCCGTGGGTCTTGATGAGGCAGCCGTCGACATCGTACGCGGCGACTTTGGCCGAACGAGGGAAGACGGTCGTCTTGGAGGGTAGGTAGGAGGCGTAGAGGCAGGGTACTTGGGCGTGGAAGGATGGGTGCCAGCGTAGGGTCGAGGGGGAGGAGGTGGGTGAGGCTCGAGAGGTGGGGCCCCCGAAGAGCGGGAACGCTGCAAAGGGAGGAGCCGGTTCAGGCTTCGTATTCTCGGTTCGTTCGAATGAGAAGATGCATACGACGGGGGATGACTGACTCTTGATGCTGGTCATGGTCGTCGTGATTCTTGGCTTTGAGCTCGGAGGACTGCTGGTCGAGGTGACCTGTTCCTGCTTGGTGGATTGATCGACTTGGAACGAGCGTTTCAGCGGTCGAGAGTTGAGGTTGGGTATGGTCATGTGTGGCCCATGCGGTGGTGGTGACGGTGAGAACTTAGAAGGCGTGTGACAGGTGACAGGTCGAGCTCCTCGCTGCTCCGTCCGAGTCGACGTCACGCGGAGGCTTCCTTCTTCATTTGTTATTACAAGTCGAGCTAATCGCAATTCTCTCGCTCTTTCGTGTCGCGCGATCCGCTCCCGCTCCGCTAACCAGTCCCGGGTCTTGCCCTCGACGCGGCCCTTGACAGCCCGTCGCGAGGCCACGTAAGCTCCAACATCAGCCCACTCTCGTCCACGTCAGCGCTTGGCAGCTAACCCGCAAGCCCACCCCCGCTTCTCATCCTTCTCCCCCTGACCTGACCGCTGCTCTTTCCTCTTCGTCATCGGGTCGACCGACGACCTTCACTTCAACATGCGCTCACAGCGTACGACCCGCACCCCCCGAGGCACAGATCGAAGGCACTTCTCCCTCTGCACCTCACCCTCCTCGCTCGACAGTGAGTCGCACCCGCCAGGCTGTCTGCTACGAGCTTGAACGAGGCGCGAGTCGTCGTCAGTCGGCTTGCGTGGCCACTCATTCGGTCTCCTCGCGCCCCTCTCGGCCAGATGCTGACCTCTTCTGCTTCTGGTGGAAATAGTGAGCGCTGCCGAAGAAGATGACATCTTGGAACTCGACAGCCCCGAGGCCGAGCCGATCGACTTGATCGAGGATGAAGAAGCCGACGACCTGCACATCCCCTCGTCCCCGTCCCACAAGAGAGGGCTCGCCGATGCAGCAACAGCAACAACCTCGTCACCGACGAACAAGCAGAGCAAATTACCGAAACCGGTCGAGAAACCGAGGCATCAGCAGCTGCAGTATCAGAATGCGTTGCCGTACCCGGTCGAGTCCTTGCAGGAGATGGACCACAAGTTGGAACTGATCGTCAGGCGATTGATCGAGTGTGTCAGCGCCAAGGACTAGTAGGTTGCCGCTTTGATATCTTATGTCTGTGATCCAAGCCTGATCGTTGTCACATTACCCACAGTGACGTTGGATTCGTTCGTAAGCTTGCCAAGGACCACTTAGGTCGACCGCGCAGCAAAACTTCCGCTACGTTGAAACTTAAACGTGCCCCTCTACTTGCACTTTCTAGAATGGAATCATCGGCTAGAATGCTGGACTTCGCTCAAGTACCCGATGCGGCGAGACATTCGTGCCAAGCTCACCAAACTCTACTTTGAGCTCTCGGTCCTCCCAGGCATGGACGCTCGGCTTGTCGACATTGCGGCCAACATGACCATGTCCTTGCTCGAAAACAAGAAGCGGATCGACATCACCGATATGCAACTGCCCTGGAGGCCCATATATGCAATCCTCGAAAAGGAGCTGTTCCCCAAGCAGAGAAAGACTGGGCTCACGTGAGTCGTGGCCTTTGACGTTGAGATGGGCCGATGCGGATAGCATGCTTACTTGACACAATTCTCATTCGGTCAGAAATGTCTCGGCGACCTTGCTCTCCCTGACCGAGTTCTCTCAGCGTTTCTTCCCGCCTCACGAGATCCCCGCCATGCTCGAAACGTTCCTGCCTCGCCTTTCGTCATCCCTCAACTCGATCCTAGCGACCCAGGCCTTTTGCTCTCACTTCCTCCCTCTCTCCCATCCCCAATACTACCTCCAAGCCGTATTCAAACTCTGGGGCGCTTTCAACTCGTCGATCTGGGACGAGCAGTGGCTCGACATGATGGAACGACTCGCGATCCGGCATCTCGACCCCGCCGTCAGCGATCCCGAAATCGTAGACGAGTTGCGCAAGGCCGCTCGGTCAAGGGGAGAGTACGTCGAGGAGAAGACGCGTTTCGAGGATCTCTTGCCCCCGTTGGCGTCGAGACGACCGAGTGAGGAGGACGTGGCCATGGAGGATGCTTCGACCACAGCACAAGCCCCGAGCTCGTCCGAATGGAAAGGAATACGTCAAGACGTCGGAATTTTCACCGACGACCAGTTCTCGTTGATCATGACCAAATTCCTGCGCGCTACAGGCGTGCCCGTCGGGGGTGGGAGTCGAGTCGGTGCCGAAGGGGTCGCCGCGACGGATTTTGCCACGTCCGACGCATCGGCCAGTGGTTCTTCCTTGACGATGAAACGACCTGCGGATCGGTTCGCTTCTTTTGCTGCTATCATCGTGCATTCGATGGCCGTAGATGCACCTGCTTCCGGGACGACGCCGATGCCGAGTCGACCGGCAAGTCCCGTCACGACGGCCAAGAAGCAACAGAAGAACTACCTCGCCGGATCGAAAGCTCTCGATGCACTGGCCAAACTTGTGCAGGCCACCGAGGGCTTCTTTCACCCTTCCAACTATGGAGCATGGGCCCCGAATCTGGGCCGCTTCTTGCAAAATGTGACATGGGAGTTTCACAAGCGCACCAAGGAGGAAGAACGAGCGGACTGCAAGACGCCGATGGAGTGGCGTCTGACCCCGACGATCCGACTCGAGTTTGTCAAGACGATGCGCACCGTTGCCTTGCTGTCCATGTTCTCCCGGGATCCCATGACGATCGCGAATGCTCAAGCGGCGCTCAAGTTGATGGGGTACCTCGAGCCCGACCTCATCTTCCCCGCATTGCTGGAACGAGCGTATCCTGCACTCGAGACCTTGCTCGAGACACATCGTACGACGGCTTGTATTACCGCCTTGTCGACCGTCTCGCCGCCGCTCATCTCTCGCTCCGTCTACCCCGCCGGAGCCAAGAACTTGGTCCCGCTGCTCGAGCTGTGCTTGCCCGGCCTCGATGTCAACGACCCGATCAAGACGATGTCGACGGCGATGTTCGTCATTCAAGCGGTCACCTCGGTCATGGTCGACGACTTGACGCGGCCCGAGCTTCAGTCCGCTTACGAGTCGGAGCATGAAGGACAGACACAGTCGGATGCGCCAGCCATCGTGCTCGAAGGCGAAGAGCCCAAACTGTCGAAGCATGAAGAGGACGAGGTCGTTCGCATTTCAACGGCAGGTTTCCCGGAATGGGTTTCGTGCTTCTTCCGCGCCGTCTTGGTCGTCTTCGACTCTCTTCCCGAGCCGGGCAAGAACCAGCGCAACGGTGGCAAGATGGAAGACCAGATGACGCAAACGATGATTGCGGCGTGCGACTTCGTTTGCTCACAGCTGTCACCGCCCTTGTTCGAGCTTGCTTTGGGCATCGTCTTCAAAGAAGTGACGTCGAACGTGAGATCCAATTCGGCCCGAGTCGTCTCGCAGCTCGTATCGTGCTTTGCTCGCGCCAACTCGTCACAGACGCTCAAGCTCTTCCTTCCATTATGCGACGATCATATTCGTCTCGAACTCGAAGGAGGCGCCTCGTCGACGCGCACGACCTCAACCAGCAACGTCATCGAGTCAGACGTGTCGCTGCATTGGTGGATCGGCCTCCTCACAGGCGCAATCACGAACGGAGGAACGGCATTGCTGCAACACAAGGATCAACTGATCACGTTGCTCAAGTACATGATCGAGAACTGCAAGAGCGAGCGGGGATACACGACGTCTTCGAGAATCTTGGCCCTGCTATTCGTCTCGTTGACGAACGTGTGGGTCAAGGATTATCGGTCCGTCAACGCCGAAGAATGGAATAGCGAAAGCTGGAAGGCCCATCACCACCAACGATGGGGCCGGTTGTACGAAGTCAAGGATGTCAAGATCGAGTGGCACGTTCCGTCGGATGACGAGATCGGTTTCGCTCTCGAGCTATTGCGGGAAATTGTTGAACCGGCCATGAACGCACTCGAGGCGCTGCAGCGCGAGTCGACGCAAGAGGGCTTCAATCGCTCGACTGTTTGGACGAACGACTTCTGTCGCTACTGCAACGTCGTTCGATCGGCCTTGTCTGGCATCCCAGCATTGGCGTGGCTACCTACACCGACTGAGCGAGGAGCGGTCGCTTCGGACGCGGGCGACGAAGTCCCCGAGTTCATCGACCACATGCCGCACTGTCTTTCGGGAATATGTCTCACCGACCCTTCGGATCCCCGGCACTCCTATGTCGTTAACCTTCGCGATCGAGCAGGTCATCTCTTCCACGAAGCCGTCGCAACGCTGAAAAGCAGTGCCCAAGACGATTCGATCGACTGCGTCAAGATGCTCATTTCCTCGATCCGCGTTCTCGAGTTGGAGTATCCTTGTATACATACGCACTACGGTGATATCAAGAAGACGTACGATTTTGCGTTGACGATCTCGAGGACGACGAGGAATCAGAAGCTGTTCCCTAGGTGAGTTTCTAGAGCCGGAGCGTGGAGTTGAACACGCTGATTGACTGGAACGATCATCGATGCAGATTTGTGTGGGTTCGTCGTGCGGCCCTTTATCATGCCTCTCGCATGCGCCTCAATTCGTTCTACCGCAAACGGACGCCGCTCGACGATCTACTCATCGCCGATCTATGTGAACTCTCGCTCAGCTCCTACGTCCAAATCCGTAAGGCGGCTCAAAAGGGACTTGACTCGATGATCTCGTACTTTGATGGGACGCGCACGCTCATCTACCCTCGACTGTTTGAGGCGCTTCAACCGGGAACGGACCACGATGTCATGAAGGGCGCGCTATTCGTGTTGGGCAGCAAGGCGACCCAGAACATGGCCATCCTCGACTGGCGCTTCACGGGCAAGTACCTCGAGACGATGCTCGCTTGCTCGCATCAGGAGCGTCCGTCAGTCCAGAATCTGGTCAAGCAGATCACACACGACTTCGTCATTCGCTTGGCCGAGCCTTCGACACTTAAGGCCGCCGTCGACTCGGAATCGCTCAAGTCGGCGGCCGATGACCTTGCGCGCCTGATCACCTATCCGGAGGATTTGGATCTAGTGGCTCGCGTTGCTGGCAAAGCGACGGGCCGTATGGATCAAAAGAACGAGGCGTACGATCAACTTTTGCCCATTCTGCTCGGGATCGCTCAAGCCTCGACGACGCATTGGCGCTATTCGTTGACCTCGACTCGACTCTTGCGTGCTCTCGTTCGTCGGGACCAACCGATGCGACCCGATTTGGCGGGTTACATGGCCGAACAGCTCATTTCGGACCTGCCCAACCAGCGCGCTCACTCGATGCTCGCGCTCACCAAGATTCTTCACTTTGTCAAACTTCGCACGGCATGCGGTGGGTCGAGCGAGAAGCTGTTGTTACAGCAGACGAGCAACCCATTGCGCAAGAAGGTCAAGCTCGAACGCCCTTTGCCGGAGGATTTCACGGAGAAGTTTATTGAATCGTTCTCCAAGCCTTTGGGCCCCGACACGCTGTTGATGGACAAGAACGCGACCGGGTGGCTGGTGTGGGGTGATAGCGTCGAGTTTTATGAGGTCCCGCCCGAGGAGGCGTCGGCGATCCTGTGGGATCCGACTTCGGCCGAGACAATTGATCGGTTGCGCGACATCATCGTTCAGCCGTCGTGGTGGGAGACGTTTTCAAGCCACCTCGCGATGGAGAAGACGATTGACTACCTCGCCGCCGACGCCATCACACTCGTCAAATCGATCTTCCAGATCTTCGAAGATGCGCCCTGCGAGCTGATTCAGCCGATCATCGATGGCTTCATCGCGGACCGAGCGGATCGGCACAAGCAACGCGCTGCGGGAGAGCTCATCGGTGGTATGGTCCGCGGGAGCAAGCACTGGCCGCTGCAGAAGCAACGCAAGCTGTGGGAATGGCTCGGTCAACGTCTCCCCGGTATCTTCCAGGGTATCACGCCCGAGACGCAGCTCGCTTGGGAGATATGTGCCGAGTACATCTTGACATCCCGTGATCCCCGTCGGAATCAGCCTCTCGTCGATTACTTAACCTCGCTCACGATCGACGCCGAGTCTTCCGAAGCTTTCAACACGTCCAAGCAGCAAGATCTCGTCGGAACGGCCATGAAGGCGCTCGGTTGGCACTTCACCCCGTGGGCCGACAAGTACATCGAGATGTACAGCCAGCACCTCGACCACCCGTACCAAGAAGTCCGTGGAGCCGTGGCCGATAATTTACGAAGTCTATCCGAGCTGCGCCTTCATCCCTCGTACCCTTCGGTAGAAGTGTTCTTGCGTGAATGCGAGACGCCGGAAGGAGCGAAGGCGCTCATGCATGTCGATGCTTCGTACGAGGCGCGCGTCGATGACTTTGGCGTGAGACTGAAGAAGTGGCGCGAGTCGAGGCAACCCACCGCGCAGGGAACGCAGACGTATGACAAGGCCGCTTTGACGAGTAAGTCGAGGTCTTGTCGACTATGAAGGTTACCGTAAAAGCGTGCTGACTGTAACCTGTGCTTGACTGCAGTTTTGTCCTGGCTCTGGACGAGCATGAGCGACTTCCGCATCGCCACAGCGTACCCTTTCATCACCAAGCTCTTGCCCGAAATCTTCCACATGCAGGAAATCCTTGACAACGACGTGAGGCACTTCTGTCCCGCTCTTTGACCTTGTACGCTTTATTGACGCTTGTGGAGTGCGCCCATCACAGGAGCTCAAGGGAACCGCGGGCCGGGTGCTCATTGCGGCTGCCTGTCTGCCGTACCCCATCGAGATGACTCGCCCTCTCATGACGCAGTTCTTGGATCTGCTCCGGAACAGCCCCAGTTGGCGTACCCGCCTCGACGTGCTCGGCCCGCTCCAGGTCTACTACTTCCACAACATCTTCAACCTCGACCATGAGCTCGTCGCCGAATTGCTGGAGGCGCTGTGCGACCTCTTGCGAGACCCCAAGATCGAAGTGCGCGAAGCCGCAGCCAAGACGTTGTCCGGTATCGTCAGGTGCTCGCAGAGGTCGGCGATCATGTCGCTCTCGACGAGGTTCTTGACGGTTCTTCGAGCGACCAAGATTCCCAAACGACGTAATGCGGCGGGTGTTGAAGTTGCAACCTACCAAGAGGCATTGACGATCGCGCGTGAGTGAGGGCTCAAGCCATCAGCCGTGAAGCGCAGTAGGCTGATTTTCCTTTCGTTCAATCCATAGACTCCGCCGTTCTGGGCGTCTCCTCGCTCATCAACGCATTCCCTTACGAGGTCCCCACCTTTGTACCCGCTCTTTTGATCGAGATGGCCACAAAGCACGCGTCTTCGCCCGTCCCTATCTCGACCACCGTCCGACAAACCCTCGCCGACTTCAAGCGAAGTCACACTGACTCGGTGAGCTACAAGCCGAAGATGATTCATTTTTGAGGATGATAGCTGACGGTCAGACTTTACGCAGTGGACTGAAGACCAAAAACAGTTTACTGAAGACCAGCTGGTCGACCTACACGACCTGTTGACTGGTTCCTCGTATTGTGAGTTATCACAGTATACTTCCTCATTGCAATCGACTGACGCCTTCGTTCGCAAATTTGCAGATGCATAATTCGTCTCGGCTTCCTCTCAACGCTGCGAACTTGGGCTCCTTACGAGCACCAATCGTCGCCCTGTATCTCAATCTCGCGGACTAGTTTCTCTCTGCAAAGTAGTCTTCTCGCTCGCAAGATACCGTGATGCAAATCTTCCGTTCGATTCCTTGGATGACCTCGAGCTATACTATGCTCTCAATTTCGAACAGTTCCGCCAAAGAGGACATGGGAGCCGTTGCGGCACTCCGCAAAGCTAGCATCTAGATTCATGACGATTTCAAGGGCATGAAGGATGCTACAGCTCACATCAACGCGATAGGAGCGATTCGTAGCCACTACTAGAAAAAGGAGGTGGCTCTCAGTGCCAGCGCAAAGCCCCCGGTTTTTGGAAATTGAGTGCGAGTCCGAGGATGCTGCCGCGATGATCCACGGTCATTCCACAACCCTCCCATGAACCCCCCGCGATTTGGAGACCGTTCTGGGATCGTCCTGGCACCACTTCAGAATCCGCGCGCCTTGTGCAGGGATAGCCCCGGGATGATCGTGCATCATCGTGGCAGCATCCAGGGACGTGCGCAAGCCCCTCCCCAAGCCATCCCACCGCCATTTCCAGCAAGATATCCTTTTTTGCTCTGAAGTGGGCCAAATTTTCGGCTGTAATGCAGACGGTGGACCTCTGAAATCGCTGTATCACCTACCACTGTAACTTGGACAAAGCGTAGACGTTCGTCCCTCTTTGTTGTGACCACCCCCCTGGGGCGGGTCCACGGCCCCTAGAATCCGAAGCCCCTATCCCGGACGACTACAGGTAGCAGTACCTTCCCTAACATACGCTTGGCTAATAAAAGGCCTAACATCTAAAATAAAAGGACCTATGCGTGTCACCCCGCCAGTTACCGCGGCAAGTGCGCAAGCACTACTGCCAAGTCGAGTTCGGAGTCGGTGACTCGTGAGACAGGTTGCTGCCTCTTCGAGTCTGACTCTTTTAAGTCGTGGCCGGTGTGGCCGTAGTTGGGGCGAAAGGCCAGGCCCTCGGTCGCGCCGTCACCTACGCGCCCGTCACTCTGGACTCGACGACCATTGGCACCTCATTACCGACAGGGTCACCTGCCCAAGGCTTCGAACGGCATCTACCCAGGCTTTCAACTACACAGTTTCCTTAACCTGCAAAAAAGAGCCGGTGCCTTAGAACCAGGTACGAGCCTGACTCTGGCTCGGCGAAAGAAAGCGCAGCAAGAATATTGCTGGGCAGGGCCGACCGGGAGCCGGCGCCGGGAGAGGGGAGCTTCCTCCGACATCTTGAAGGGCATTCGTAGTGTCATCGTTTTGACGGGTGAAGCGAAAACATCTGCATTTGGTGTCTCTTGTCCGTTGACCCACGATTAGGATTGATATCGTAGGGAGGGGGGACTTATGTTCACGTTCTCGCAAGTGACATTTTACCTTCAATAACAACGGGCCGATCAAAGATACCCTTGCCAAAGCCGTTGGAGATGCGCCGGCCTCCGCAATGCTTCGGGCTGGACAAGCCCTTTCGCCCCTTCGCGCCCGCGCCCGCGTGAGCGAGATGTGTCAGTTGTGAATGTGGGGTCGGCCCACGTTAATTGAAATCAGGTCCACACGCGTTGCACATCACCCGGCTGTGCAAGATTTCCGCCTTCCCTCTTCTCCCGCTACATCTTCTCTCACCCGCAGTCTTCACGCGTCAACAGTCACTCGTTTTTCCACACCCATCATGACGCGATGGATGTATGCTGTGTTGTGTGCCTTGGTCCTGCCGCTCAGTCTCGCACAAGGCGGTCCATCCCGAACGGTCTCCGAGGATTCCGAGCAAGCCTTCGAGGTGCACCAGAGGCGGGCGGCGATGACCCAGCTTTCGAGGGGGCAGTACATGCAGTCCGGCAACATCAACACGAACCTCCGCTGGCAAAGCTCTGGCGAATTGAACGCTCGCTCGTGCCCATCTCTTGGAGGGACCATGACCATCAGGGTGAGATTTGGAGCTTTTGATCCGTCCATCGACTCTTGGCCCTGGCGCGCCGACGCGCGGCCGTGCGAGGCGATCGCCGCCCGAGCTTTTCTCCAGTTGGGTGATAATAATCAGACTAACCAAATTCACGATCTCCATCGCGTCGCCGCCTCATTCAGAATTGCTATCAACTGTTTCTCGAACGACGCGGTATGCTTCAATCGACATCTCAAAGCTCTTCGACATCCAACCGATTGTTACGCCGAGCGAGTCTCGAGGACCAGGCTGCTGCGGATGATACAAAGCTGGACCTTTACTACCGCGTCTTCCCCGAGCAAGCCAAGTACCGATGGATGGCCAGCTCCATGGTCATGGTCGGTGGTCTGTACCGACGACAAGCTCCTGCTTGCCCCGTCGACAATACTACCACAACGACGCCTGGTGGGCCGACCCAGACGCCGACCGTTTCGCCTCGTCAGCGCATTGAATTCCTGACCTGGCCCGGAACGACGCCCAACCAAGTGTGGTCTTACACTTGGAAGAGCTACCAGTCCGCGGATACCAAGGGCACCAATAACTTCTTCCACGCTTGGCGTAAGTCATCGTCACCGCGTCCCGCCTGTCTATGTTGTCCTCTTTCAGAAAGTTAGAGCGCTTCAAGCTGACCGGCTCGCGTGCCTTACCGACTCGCAGAAATCTTGCGTCGCGATGGTTGCGGTGGCCCCGTCATCACGCAAGACTATGTCGGCGACAAAGTCCAGATCAACGACATTGTTCGCGGTTGCAAGGGCTGCACGTCCATGCCTCTCAAGTAGGTCTTGGCTTCGCGAACCGAACGATGCCCAAGTGCCTTCGGACTGACATCAATCGCACCTCTCCCCCATCAGGAACTGGGTTGGAAAGACCATCATTCACACCATGACGGTCAAGTACGGCTTGTCGGGATCGATCACCTATCAAGCCGTTGATACCAACAACCGCAAGGTACCATTGCTCAAGTACGCGGTCGCCAAGGGCGACATGGGCAGCTCGGCCAGTTTCAAATTCGGCATGTACCGCGCCGTCAACTCGCAATTGAGGGCAGCGACATCCTGGTATGGTGAATTCGCGGCGACCAAGATTTCGGGTTGAGCGGGGTCCCAAGACGTCCCCACTACGAATTCGGCGGCGCCGGTGGCCTTTCGCTCCTTTTGTCGTTTCGAATGTGACACGAGTCTTCCATGTTCGATCAAGCAGTGCGGTCTTTCTACGTAGCTTTAAACTGTTCCGGTAGTTCAATTTGTTCCTTCGGTTGTATGAATTTTAGACATTGGATTGACCTGTCTCTCGAGCAGTGGGAAATGTATCGGCTCAAGCGAGTCGAGGTACGCGGGATAAACCATTTGACGATGGTCGAGGGTTGGCGTGTGCTTTTGTTTCCGACTAGGATGTTTACGGATCTTCGAAGCTTGTTTTGAGGTGAGATCCGGTAGGCTTGTTGAAGGTCTCGGCACGGAGGTTGGCGTTGACACGGTACCGGCGTTTGGTTTCTTTTGACCGATGTGAACGCGGTCCCCGAGCCGCCGACGAATATTTCATAGCAGGGGTGTTTCAGAGAACGTTGTGCCAGAAAAATCACGTGTATCATTCGGTAAGTCCAGAAGTCGCCTTGATCGACATGGTCCCCCGAGCAGTTGGCAATCGTTCCTAATCAAGATCATGTCCTCACACTCTGACCTCATAGCCAGAAACGGGTGCCAAATCTGCAGACCACTTAGACCAGCGCTCAGACGAACTTCAGACTGATCTCGCCACGCGTGGAAGAAGCGAGTGGATGTCTTTGTCGCCACGGACTGGTACGTGCGCCACGAGGACAAGATGTTCGATCCTGCGTCGTACGCTGTGAATAATAGGTTCATCGTTAGCCGAAATGGACAGCGGCTATATGCTCCGGGGGTACAAGCTTACGTGGCCATGTAAGGAATCTGGATCGAACATGTCGAAATCGTCAGCCTTTCTGTTGGCGGACGCCTTTGATATTGACCCTGGCCACAAACTCACTTGATACGTTGCCGTCCCAAAGATGATATACGAGCTGTCGTAGTCGCCGATGCAGCAGTAGTAATCACCGCCGTAGTAGCCGCCGTGGTCGGACTAGCGAGCGGAGTCGACCCCCCCATCCACCTCGGAGCAAGCGACTCGAATGTTCGGCTGTCTCAATGCCATTCCGACGAAGAATTCTTCCTCGGCATCAAAGTCGACATTGGGGTCTTGTTCGATCGCGAAATTGGTCCCGTCGAGATTGGACCTTCTTCTCCTTCTCGATGAGGCAGAAGCGGTTTGAAGGTTGCCGGCTCCGTCGAGGCGTAGGAAGTAGCAATCCTGTCTCAAACAACGGGAGGGGTAAATGTGATACCCTTTCCACCGCTTCGCAGATGAAGCCATGGGTCTCATTGGACTCACGGTAATGTTGACTTCGGCCGGACACCCATCCCGGGTCAGGACCCGCAAGACACTCGCCGCCGTGTCTCCTGCGGTCTGGACCGAAACGTTCCCGTATGTCATCCCATCCCCCGTTGCCAAGAGTGAGGTCGGAACAACACCTTGCAACACTTGACCGAATTGAAGGGCTCGAGCGGCTTCTGAGGTTTGGGGCGTAGAAGCTAAAGAGGTGGTAGGAGCTCTGGCTGGGGCGGCGTGGACTCCGAGGCCACCTAGCCGCCCACCGAGGCCGAGAGGGAGGAAGTCGGGGTCATTCAACGAGGCCCACGCGAGCGTCGAAATAACGAGTTGGATCCGCATGTTTCGTCCTACCGGGAAGTTCGAAGTAGTCAAATGGAAGAAGAGTCGAGGAGAAAGTTGAGCCGGGGCATTCCCGCTTCGCGGCCGATAGCACTTTATCGCGAGTCGGAGATGTTGGGCGATAATTCGTCGGGAGGCCGCAATTCATGATCGAGAGTCGCAAGAGCTCGGCCGAGTCGACTTCGCCCGCGCCAAAATCGTTTTCGGCCGGGGATGCTGTAGTAGCCAGTAACTTTGGTGAGTGCCCACGGTATCCTCATCATCAGTGAGTATGCACGTACCCGCTTTTGTCCCACGAGGTAGCTTACTACTATTGTACGCATCAATCTTCAACGTTTCCGAGTTCCACAACAAGAATCTCCACCTCAAATTCCCCTCCATCGACTGGAACGAGGCGCGACTCGTCGGCGAAGGTGACCCGGAGTGGGGCATGGGATACCTCGGCGCACCTCAGCTCCTGCCCGGCCTCCCTTGCCTGTCCACGTGACGAGCGCGGTGCCAATGTCGGCAGAAGAGCTTCAGAAGCACCTCAATCGTGAGGAAGCCCAACCTGCGGAGACTCCAAAGGTTCTTCCTCGTCGCAATCGGATGTGGTGCTTTTCGAGCTCTTCTGGTGTCATTGGCACCGCGCTCCGAGTCGACGTGGACAGGCACTGCAGGGAGGGCGGGGAGGAGCTGAGGTGCGCAGAGGTATTCCATGCCCCACTCCGGCGGGTCACCTTCGCCGACGAGTCGCGCCTCGTTCCAGGCGATGGCGGGGGACTTGAGGTACAGATTCTTGTCGTGGAAGTCGGTGGCGTTGAGGAGTTTCTCATTCGCCGCCGCCGTCTTCGAGAGGCGGAAGTACGGCATCCAGTCGTGCCAGTCCCCATTTTCCTCGGATGATTGGGACGTGGCTTTGGACGATAGATGGGAAAGTGGAGTTGTCACGTTGGTGTGTGGTTCGACAACGGTGTTGGACGAGAGGAAGTAACATTGGTTAGGGCCCACCAGCGCGCCCGATCAAGTGCCCAGGGGCGAGTGTGATGTCCCTAGCTACCGAGTGTGCCACCCTGCGGCTTGACCCGCGCACCTCCGAGGAGTAGGCGACTCGCCGTCATTAGCTGCCCGTGCACGGCGGTGCATCGATGTGCAACAATACTATCTCAACGGCCGAATCATCGCAGAGGAGACATTGTGCGGTTTGACAAGGCTATCGGAACATCTGGCTATCGGACATTTTCCTCTTCCCCGATCCAACTTGTGTGAGCGCGCCAGCCCCACAACAAGCCCGTCGCCGAAATGGGAGAGGAGGTCTTTCTTTTCTCCAAGCTCGCTTGACCACACCGGGGCCAATGACTTGTTGAGTCGCTCGGACGGGAAAAAAACCGGATGCCGAGAGGCATGATCGATTACCCTAACTAGTAAAAAAAAGTGTCGATCCGCGAGCCATGTACCTAAAATCGCTGTTTTTGTCTGTGTTGCGGGCCGGAAGGCCGCAAGTGATGAATGCACCTGTACACTATTGAGTCTGCCGCACCTGCCTGTGGTATCGGCGTCTCGACCAGAAGTCATGTACGACCCTTTCTGCATTTTCTGGACCATAAAAGTCGACCTACAGCCCGACTACGATTTTTGTCGAATTTTGACATGGTGGGGAACTATTGAGCTGTTTGTGTAGGATTTAATGTATAGCAAGCGCGTGGGTTTGCATGACACTTCTTCTACAGAGGTCAGGCGTGGTCTCGCTGTCGTTGACGCGCGGACGCGAGCGCGGCTACGCTGCGCGATGCCCCGTCGATCACGTGACGTGTTTTTTGCATCCCGACACCGGTTTTAGGGGCTCAACAACAACATGACGTTCAGGCGGGCGCTGTGAATACTCCCGCGCTACTCTCTCCAATTTTCGCCTTTTCCTTCCCACTCTCATCGAATTTTCGTGACAACCGCGCCAAGTCTTTGGCGCGAGGGTAGCGCCGTACGATAGCGTACCGTCGTACTGCTCGAGGTTGCTCGAGGGCCCGCTGCTCGACTCTCCTCTTCGTCCCGCTCCCATCAACAGAATCAGCTCCCCGCGCGTGATGACAACCACTCGACCGATCTTGGTATTACGACCCGTATAAGCGTCCGCCGTACAGCTTTGTAGAACGAACAGCGTGGTCAGCGCGAGGACCCGATGGCCGATCCGACGCTGAGCTCGCCCCAGCACCACCTCTTCCTGCGCAGAGGCAAGTGCGCAGGCCTCGAATCAAGCTCAAGCCATTCAAGCGCCACGTTCCCATCCGCGACTACCTCGGCCCCAGATGACCGTGTGTACCCACTGCAAGGCTCGACACTGGGAGTGCGAAAGGACAAAGTCGACCGGACACTTCAGCACGTGCTGCTCGCAGGGCAAGGTGCAGCTACCTCCCTCTCTCCGGCCTAATTCCGACTTTCAACAGCTACTTGAAGGCTCGGATAGCGGTCAGTCTCTCCGTCCAACGACATTCGTCTGTAGTAGACCAACATGCTGTACTGTGCGACACTCACACAGAAGCTAAGGCATTCCGGCGTTCCGCGAGAATGCCCGGTCGTACAACAACGCGCTGTCGTTCACTTCGCTCGCTGCCCACTTTGACCAGACTCGACCAGGCACTCAAGGACCCCGCATGTTTTGGGTATTTTGTCGCCTTTACCATCGACTCGGGCACTCTCGGCGCCCTAATTCCTGCCGTCAATCAGCGCTCAACCTTTGCCAAAACATGGCTCATCTGCCCGGCCGAGGCCACCGACACTCAACTTGGACCCGACGGCGCAGACAGTCGCATACAAAGATCTACTTTGACCAAGCTCGACTCCATGTTGGGCACCGGACATCGCTTTGTGAGGGAGCTCGCATCGGCCAAAGCCCGCGCAGGTTGGGTTACGGCCAAAGAATGGGTCCTGCGCCTCTGTCTAACACTTGGCCGGGACCGACGCACCCACAACCTTCCTACGTGGAGCACGGAAATGGCGATGCCTATCTGCGATTCCGACACCAACATGTGAGGTCGTGGACCGCAAGACCTTAATCTTCAGGCGCACGGTGATCGATGTCCCGACGGTCGGCCCACGTACCAAGTTGTTAGCTCGCTCCATCCGTCTGCGATGCCTCTCCGTTCCCCACTCCTATTCCCTGCAGGAGAAGATGACTGCCTCCCCAACATTCCTCTTTGCAGTTCCAACCAAGCTGGGTCACCCTTCGCCGACGAAGAGGATGAAGACGAGGAGGAAGGGGACGAAGAGAATGGTGATGGTGAACGTAAGCGCCTTCGGCTCTTTCTCGGATGTTCCATTCTGTTAAGGCGCACGCACAGACTGACATTTAACGTTTTAACACCTAGGACGAAGCTCAAATAAAGGGGGTCGAGGTGGCGAGTCTCGCGTTCACAATTCTTTGCGTACTACTTGCACAAACGCGACGAGTACTTCTCAATCCCGCATTGCACCCAACGTGCCTTCCTGGCGTTCGTGATGACGGATACTCCCACGTCGAGACCGATCGACTCAACTTACCTCCAGTTGCATCAAGAAAACCTCCGCCTCACCACGGGCCAAGGTATCATCACCTTGACCCCGGATCAAATTGGATGTTCGGTGATTTTAAGCTCAACGTTCAAGAATAGACCGCGCGAGAACACGCAGCATTACCAAGATGCGATGGCGTGCGTCGTCAAATATGGAAAGCCTTCGCTGTTCATCACGGTGACGTGCAACCCCGAATGGCCGGAAATCAGGCTGCACTGGGGCCGAACGACCAAGCATGCAACCGACCGGATCTCATTGCACGAGTGTTTGAAGCCAAGTTGAACCGACTCTGCGACGACGTTTTTGGCAACAAGCAACGGACAGGCTGTTTGCGCGATGAATGGAGAACTGTTTCTTTGCTGTACTTTGTAGTGTGTTTTCTTAGCCTCTGTTGAAATCATGTAGACTGTTCGATTCTCCTGCTATTTGAATTTCACCCTCCCGTTAATTTAACGGGTTCCCACTGGTATCCCAATAAAAATAACCTTCAAATGACCGAATCGATGCGAAATGTTCCGAAGTGTCCCGACAGCTTGTTCGGACATCTCATGGCCGAGTTGAGCCGACATTGCCGAACTGCATTATAGCCTATAAAACCGGAGACATCGGCTGTTCTGGGCACGGAGAACAAAGCGGAAGAAAAAAGAAACTAGTCGACAGTAAACTAATCACTCGTTGCTTGGTGCGATGTACGTTTGCAGTGGTGATGCCGCGGAGCTCGGCTGGCTCGGCCGCACCTGTCTCCCTTTCCTCATCGAACTCGTAGAAAGGCCCACTGCTGCTACCCACACTTCGCACCCGCTCTCCCCTTCGTGTAAAATGGTCCGAGTATAGAGTGATGGAGTTGTGTGATGTGGGTTCTGCCTTGTTGCTGCGTTTCAAGGATTGGCCCGGTGCGACCTGGTGCTTGGGTTCTGTCACCTGTGACGAGTTTGAATATGTTTGTTTTGGTCGAGGTAGATTACATCGCACACACCAGTGCGGGTGGCATTCGAAAAGCTTCCCCGGGCTGCACATTCCGTGCGCTATCGGATGTTGCAAATTTCTACGCATCAACCTCCAACTGCACACGGTCTTCAAACTACCTCCCACCTCGCCGACCGAGGTGTCCCTTTCTTTTCTATCGCGTTCGAATTGATTTCAGCTCGGAACTCTACGTTAGTGGTGCTACCACGGTGGCAGGCGACTCGTCCTTGGTCGGCCTGGCCAGATCCGACATATATTGACCCTCCCTCGCGAACCTCTTTCTCGTTTTCCATTGTTGTATAGTTGAGTGCACGCATCGAGATACGCATGCACCACGGTTCGAGATTCGACAGTCAGAGCCGGCCGCGTCCCGCCGGCGCCCGTCAGCTCAGCGACCTCCTTGCGATGGCAACAGGCTGCGTAGATGCGTGAATCCCGTGCAGGCACCCTGGCTGACCATACCTAGGTCAGAAGTGCTAATTTTTACGCCACAAAGAGATATGTGCGGCACGAGACCAAGCGGTCTGAGAAAAGCGGCGGAAGCGATGTTCCATGCGGAAGTTCGCCTTGGCGGGCTTCGCCAACGAATCTGTGACCACGTTCCGGTCTCCCCACGTGCGGCGCATGATTTCTAAACTGCACCGTGATTGCACTATCAGGTAGCTACTGTCTTTGTCCGATGCCAGAATCGTAGCCGGTTGAGCCCTCTCGTCGGTTCGCCCACGACGGCCGTGGGGATGTCTATGCGGTACTTGTTCGGATGCCGAGTGTCTGCGAATCAATTGCACAAGAGGAAGATCAGTTGCGGACATGAGAGTATCAGGTAATCTTACCGAAACGAACCTGGTACAAAGGCAGTCAGCGATTGGTAGACGAAAGCACCCGTGGTCGGATCCTGTGAGATCGACCGGATCGACCCTAGTATCAGTTTCCCTCCTCAACTTGCATGGGTACGGGAAGATGTCACCTTTTTCAGCTCGGCCACGACTTCAGCCGTACTCCATTCGCCCAAGTCGGGTTTCCTCGCTCTTTTGAACAAAGCGGCCCCACTCGTCCCATTCTGAGCTGCGTTGGGAGCGGTTGATGTCCTCGGGACCAAACCCTTGAGAGCGCTCGACATGCCCCCAACGATCCATTCACCCCACCCAACAGGTTTCTTCTCCTTCTCCATTTGCAAATTTCTCATTTCCTCCAATTCGGCCCTCTTCTCATCCCGAGTGACGAACGCCTCGGGCTGAGTCGAGTCCTGCCAAATTGCAACCGAGACGAAGCGTTTGATCCAAGGCCACCACGCCTCTTGGTCCATTATCGGGTCGTGGGCCTGGACCCAGAATCGGATACGCATGAGGTCTTGGCCGGTTTGAGGGTCGGTCGAAAGTTGAGGGGATATCCGCCGGTTACGCCGGAGTCGGTTCGACGAGTTGGCGCCGTGGAACGAAAAAGGTTCGATCAGGACGCTTTGCAACTATTGGGGTGGGATGCGATAGAGTTAGAATATTTTCAATCGGACCCGTTCGAACTGGGAAGCCGCGCAGACGTACCTCGGGGCACTGCTTTACCCTCTCGGTCGCATCCTCAAAGATCCTCGTCGGGCTCGCTTCGGACCACAACTCGCTCCCCGTCGACCACAACACCACAACTGCCAACCCGCCGCCGACGAGTACGACCAAACCCGATCCAGTCCATACGGAAACGACGCCGATCTTTTCTCCGGTGCCTAGCTCGGCCCACTTGGCTTTCGCGGCTCGCATTTGGGCTTCGCGGGTGTCGTGAGGGAGGGGGAAAGGACCTAGGTGGGGTCCGGCGGTCGATCCGGAGCCATAGGTGGGGTTGGGACCTCGTCCACCTAGTTGGGAGAGGTAAGGGTGGGGATCTGCGGAGGGAGAGGAGGACGAGGAAGCGGAGGCGGAGGCGCAACGGAGACCAAGTGGGGCAAATGGAGCGATGGCAGGCAGAGCGAGCGCCAACGAAGGGAGGCGAGTCGGGTGGTGGTGGGGGCTGGTCAAGCGTCTAACCAAGTGCGAGGTGGGCTGGGCGGCCATGGTGTTGGGTGGGGTGATGGGGCCTACGCTGGATTGGGGGGTAAGAACGAGAGCCGAGGCCGAGACTGACTCGGAGACGGGCAAGCTGCATTATCAGCTGTCTGGCAGTGTCTTTAGCTGTATGCCGACGTCGCGCGTGCGCCGTGCGTGCGCTCGCGTGCGATTCGACCGGTAGGGCCGAGACGCTTCTTGCAGCTTCTTGCGAGCCGTGCCCGTCCTTGCCTTCGCCAAGCCTCCTTGGCAACATGGACAAGTTGTAAGCATTCCGGATAGAGGAACCGGTCTTGCTGTGTGGCCGACTGACCGCCTGAGCACTCCCTACAGCAACTCGTTCGCGTCCCAAGGTACAGTTTGCCCGTCCGCGCGGGCTCAACCATCTCCGCGCTTGCTCCGCTCAGCACGACCGACGTAACTGGTAACTCATCCGCACCGTCTCATTTCCACAGCCAAGGCCAAGGCCGAACAGGGCCGAGTTGCAGCACTAAACAAGATAGATCAACAACGCCACAAGCCCCCCTCATCGGCCCGAGGATCGGCGTCCGGTGCAGGTACAGGTGCAGGCTCCAGCGATTCCCCACCTCCGACCCCACCCAATCGATCTCGCGCTTCGAGTTCCGCCTCACCCCTCTATCCACAACACGGTCCAACTTCGTCGTCTCAAGTCTTTGTAGGAATCAACGATACGGACAAAAGTGCCTTCTTCTCCCTGCTCGACGAGTACTTTGCCGCTCGACCACAGTACAAGGTGCTGTTCAACACCCAGGCCGCCCCACTTGCCGCCGCTGCCATCGCGGGACACCACAATGCGCTAACAAGTGCATCCACACCAGCACCACCGTCGAGGGCAGCCGCGCCACCGAAACCACCACCGAGAGCGACACCGGCACCGAAAGGATTGGGCACAGCGACCGCCTTGTTCGATTTCGATGCTGGCGAGGCCGAGGACTTGGGCTTCAAAGAGGGGCAACAGATTACCATTCTCGAACATAGTCAGGTCACCCCTACGTGATTAGCAGCATCACGGCATGGAAAGCTAATCTTTTCCTGCTTGTTTTATTTGCGCGCAGTCTCGGACGAATGGATAAGAGGCGAATTGAATGGCCAGACGGGAATATTCCCCAAGGTTTATGTACAACTCGATTGATCATGCAAGTGCAGCATGTAAAACAAGGCCCAAAGTGCAATCGCATGCGGAGCAAACCCTTTCGGAAATGTCGGCATCCATCCAACAACTTGGCGAGGCTACTTGACCCACTATGTAGTACGCTCAGGCTTGCCCCACCGGATAAGCCTCAGTCACCCCCGGAAACGGCGGCAATGTGCTGCAAGGCGCACAAAGTGCGATCATCTTCTCAAGGGTGCTACATGTCAAACAGGATGTCTTATGAGCCCACTGCTACAGCCACATCAGTTTGTTCTGTGAACTCTTGTCCGATGCTCAAGGACCGTTGTGTTTCTTCTTGGGTCTGCTTTGAGACAAAAACCGTCTCCTGTCTCAAGATGTCAAAAAGGGGCCACGGCGCCAGGACGGACGGGTGGCGCGTACAAGAGCACTCCCGCGAGGGCCAGCGCGTAAGTGTAGTGCACAGTCCATACTTGTTGAAGACGTCGTTGCGATAACCTTTCGTCTCACACAATCGCTGACCGCTCATCAAACTCTCTTGGACCGCATCATCGCATCTGCCCCACCGGCGTGATGATCCCCTCCTCACCCTACTCGCTGTCACCTCGACGGCCCCGTTCGCCACCTCTACGTGCTCCCTCACCACTAGGTCAAGCCAGTCTCATTCTCCACGCTGATGGGGTGAGTTCCCTACATCCCCCTCGGTGTCGCAGCGGCCGTGTTGTAGCGTCCGCGTTTCCGTGTTTCAGAGGTCCGGTCGCTCGGCTTGCTTGCGTCATACACGCCGGCAGTGTATACGCGATCGTACTCCTCGATCTACGAGGAGGGATCGGCGTTCGTGTACCTTTCGAGGGGTTCGCGCTCCTTCGAGACCTCGTTTCGTGTTGGTGAAGCCTGATTTGGTCTCACGGTATCTGATCACGTCACCTCACTCGCGCAGAGCTTCGTCCCGCTCCCACATTATCGATGTTCGACCGTTCCGGCGGGGTGGATTTCGCCGGCCTCGCCACAACGGCCATCCAGTCCGGTAAGTATAACACTTGAAAGTCGGTCCTCGGGAAGGAGGAAGTGCGGTAATTATGCCGCTGACCTGTAGAGGAGCGCCTGGCTTGCGATCATTGCTTATGGAACAGAATTCGGGCTCGCCGCCACTACGTCCACCTTTACTAGTTGAGTCGGCCTTGAATGAATAGTTCACGCTTGCTCCATACTCGACGCACTTTTCCCCCTCGAGGAATGAACTTAATCATCACCTTGGCCCATTCGCAGGTCGCTCAATCCATCTCGAGACAAGAGTTGCAAAAGATCAACTGCGACGAACTGCAGTTGCGCCTCGGGAACGTCCTACTCGAGTTTCAGAAACAGGCCTTGGCGTTACGGGCGATTCAGACCAAGATCAGTAGGAGGTGAGATGCGCCTTTATCTACTGGGGCTCTTTGAGTGTTCTTCTGTTGACTGATGCGGTCGTTTTTTCGGCTGGGCTCTGAAAGTTGGACGGTCCCTCAACGAGCCGTTAGGGGTCGGATGAAACTCATCATCGAGCAGTAGGTCACCAGTTCACATTTATCTCACCTCTCCTCATCATCTTCACTCAACGACTTCCTCCCCGAACAGATTCACCACGAACGCGACCTACCTCTCCAAGTACCTCTCCTCTATGGCCATAGCCTCGCGTCAAATCCTCCACTTCATCGCGACCTGTATCCGCGAAACGCACGGCTTGACCGACTTCAACCACGTGCAGGATCTGAAACCGGTGATTGACGAATTGAGGTTATTGCATACCCAATGGGCGGCACTGACAAGAGCGAACGAGGTGTTTGGGGAGACGTTGAGTAATGCGACGATGGTAGGTTGAAGGGCTGGACAGGTTTGGGCGAAGCCTAACTAATGGAATTCGCTGCTTCGCAGTTGTTCGAAGAGGCGATGGATCCGGATCACTGGAGTGAGTCAGGAACCTGAGCTTCCCCTCAAAAGCATCTTCGCAACCACCTCACCTCTGACACGGTCGCTTTGGCATCTCTAGTCCCGACCTCCCCCCTCTCCCTCGAAACCACTTCCCTCGCCTCCTCGCACAACGCCCTCACCCTCGCCTTTTCCCACGTCTCGACCTTTCTTCATTCTCTCGCCATCACCGAATGGCAACCCCCTCTTCTCTCCCCCAACGACGTCAAACTCGCCGCCGGTCAATGGAGGGACGTCGAACGGGTCAGTGCGCAAGCCGCTAAAGAGGTTAGGGGTCCCGTCAAGGGCGTTTTGGAAGGCGCGGTGGTGTGTGCTTTCGTGGCTAGGGAAGAGGCGGAGAGGGTTTGGAAGGCTTTCGGCGAAGGCTTGGTCGTCGTCGTCGGAGGTACGTTACCGAGACCTTTTGCGCCCGTTTGGGAGTGGACCGGAGCGGGGGAGATGATGCTGGAGGGGAGAGGCGAGGCGAATCAGAGTTCGGTAGTGGACGGGCAGGATCAAAAATCGCCGATCGGAGTGGAGACCGTCGACTCGATCGAAGCTGCCGCAGTCTCGGGTGCTACAACAACTTCGGAAACACCTCCACTGCCACCACCGACAAACACTCGCCAAACCCAAGTACCACTCAACGAGGAACAAGCCTCCGTCGCCGCCGCCATCGCCGGTGAAAGCATCCTACGACCCCTCTCGACAACGCCTTCGTTTCGGTAACAAGACCACCAAACACAATCAAGCTCTCCCGAATCAAATCGTTATAGGAACGAATCTTTATGTAACTCGATCGTTCGCTCTTCTTGCTTATCTTAGGCCTTTATCTAGAAGCCGCCTCGTTTCATGCTATCGCGATCCATGTAATCGAAATATTCGGATAGGGTTCTCTCGCTTCAATTTCCTCCCGGTAGGCACGCCGAGGTGAGGAGTAGCTTTTTTTCTTTCGTTCCCAAGAAGAGGAACCAGAAAAAAAGAGGGGAAGAAGAGAGAATGCTTGGATGAGTAGTAGCGAGTTTCGTCGTTCGAGATGAGAGAATTGAAAGGGGCGGAAAAACACACAAGAAACAAAGGAAGAGAAGACAAATGAGAGCGTGGGGAGAACGTAAAGAAAAAAGGTATCAAGAGGAAAGAGCAAAAGACGAGAGCAAGGACTGGGGGTGGAAAAGGCATAAAATGAAGCAAAGAGAGACTGTCGTGATATGATGGTCGGACTGAAGCAGGGCACGAACGGCCCCCGATCCCAACCCGAGCGGGGGATGTGGTCCACCCCGGCTAAGCCCGCAAAAAGCCCTTCTTCTTCGTCTGTGGGCCGAAAGGAAGAGGACGTCAGTACAGAAATTTCTCCAATTACCGCAGACTGTACTGCGAGCGTACCTTCTCGGGCGTGAGCGGTCGTCCACTTTCGAGTCGTCGCTTCTTCTCCTCCAATTCGAGGCGTTGCTTCTCGAGCGCCTCCTTCATTTCGCGGTGGCGAGCGTACAGCTCCTCCTCGGATTGCTTGAGCTTGGCCTCCTTCTCGTTTACTTTTTGTTGGAACACCATCTTCATCTCGGCTTCCATCTTGGCCAGCTTGGACTCGTGCAGCGCGCGCTCCTCGGCCATCTTGGCCGCGGGGCTGTGAGAGAAACACCAATCAATGATCAGATCCATTGTTCCGCACAGCGAGAGATTCTAAAGCGTGCACCAACTCACTTGACTTCCTTGAAGACGGTCGAGTCCTGCGTAACGCCCATCCCGAGCAACTTGTCGGACCGGTACTTTTCGTACAAGTGCGTGTTGGTGTGCTCTTTGAGTTCTTCCATGTGGGTGCGGATGAGCATCTGGCGCAGCTTGACAAAGTCGCAGTGGTCCTCGTTGTCGACCTCGATCGTCCCCCAGGGGTAGGCTCGTCCGCGCACGTTGCGACCATCATGAGTCGCGACGACCGAATCGGACCCGACAACGGCGAAGGGGATCTTGCGCACGATCTCCTCGTTCTCGGCGATGGTCTCGTCGTCCTCGCCGTCGTACTGCGGCGCTTGGTAGATTTCGATGCGGTGGTGCGCAATGTCGGACAGGATGCGCGCCTTGAACTGCATCACCTCGTCGTCGGTCATGGTGTCGGCCTTGGCGATGATCGGGATGAGGTTGACCTTGGTGTGCAGTCTTCGCATGAACTCGACGTCGACCAGCTTGAGCGAATGCCCGGTCGGCTCGATAAAGTAGAGGCACGCGTGGATGCGGTTGTCGACGAGCTTGTTGCGGTTGACGCGGTTCTCCTGTTCGAGGTAGGCGTCGAAGCGAGCCTCGATGTTGTCGAGGATGGGTTTCCACCTATGGGTTACACATGGGATCGTCAGCTCTACCACGGTCACGTGCTCGGATCCCCTCGGATGACTTGTGAACTAACCCGTCCTCGTTGTTGATAAAGTCACCGTAGCCGGGGGTATCGACGACCGTCAGCCTCAATCGAACGCCATTCTCCTCAATGTCTGCAGTCAGAGTAGTGTTTCATCAGCTTTGTGTCCTGCGCTGATCAGAACGCAATCTCGTACCAGCGGTGATGCTCTCGATGGCAACGGTCTTTGGTCGTTCGTGGTGGGGTGCGGGCACGGTTTTTTTGGCGTAGAGCGAGGTATCGAACAGGGTGTTGATCAGGGTCGACTTGCCCAAGCCGGATTCACCTGAAGGGGGACACAAGGTGGAGAAGGGGTCAGTGCTCAAAGTGATTTGTTTGCTGGGTTTTCGGCCCGAGATCGAGGCGCGCTTTCGAGGACAGGGCCGAAGGGGTGCGCACTCACCGACTACCATGGTCGTAAAGTGGAAGCCTGCACGGGGTCGGTTTCGGAGGTTGAAGCCATGGGGGTCGGGTCCGAGGTGTCAGTCAGGAACAAAGGGGGCCAGCCCACTAGCGATGGGGCGATGGGGACGGGTACACTACCTTTTCGTACGGATTTGCGGTGTACCTGATTCGGCAAGTTGGCAACTGCGAGCGTTGTAAGGTTTTCATGGCAACGGATTGCGTGAGAGTGAAGATAGGGTCAGGATCGGAAGGGTCCCAGCGCGAGTCGGTGTCGTGTCAGCTCAGCTGCGGGGGGGGGGGGGGGGGGGGCGACTGAGGTGACGAGGGGGCGAGGGGGGGGCCGAGGGACCACGGGTAACGGTGCCTTAGAGTAGTGGCTCCTGGGACTGACATCCGACGTATCCTGCGAGCTTCTTCTTGACGACATTGGTGGCCGCTGTGGCCGCTGTTTGGTGGTGGTCGTCGTCGTAGCGGTGGTTGAGGGTGACGCCGGGGAGCCGGGTGGTGCGTACGTGTTAATGCGAGACGACGGTTGCCGAGTTGAGGTGGGGTGCAAGAGATGAGCAGAGTCAGTATGCTAGCCTGATGTGCCTGTACACGACTCGCGATCACTTTGCGGACTGACGTGGGTGGGCGTACTCGTCAGACATCTGGCCCGCGCTCGGAGGCAAGAGGAGCGTAGTCGAGCAGCGGTCACACCGGGAGGTCGCGCAGAGACAGGCGCGTGAGGAGCAGACCACAGGGGGAGGGCGAGAGAAGCGTGGTCCTTTCTAGAGGAGAGTGGGAGGTCCGGCTGTGGGGAGGTCGGAGGCGTGGTGCGCACGGCGAGGGTGGGTGAGGAGGTGGGTCGTCGTGCGGCGTGCCAGAGCGTGCCCAACTGAGTGAAGCTGAGTGAGGCCCACTACATAAGGCAGACTAAGGCAGACTAAGGCACACTTCACGAGTATTACTACTTCACGCGCATCACGCGCGGTCAAAGCGCACGCGCGGTAACTGTAATTGCCTCATCACAAACCGCCAACCCCCCGATCAGCCGGGATAAGCGGGGGATACTCGGGGATATAGGCCCGGATCTAATGACAATTGTCTAGTCATAGTCCCTCCGCCGCTCTCTGTCCCACAACCCCCCAGTGCTGCTCACCCAGGTGTGATCCTGCTACGATGCGGTGAGTGGCCACAACAAACACCACAGTATACCTATTCCCCACACTGACAAAGCCAGATCAATTCCTCTCCATCCACGCCTTGCATCCGCCAACGTGCGCAACGTGCGCAACGTGCGCAACGTGCGCAACGTGCGCAACGTGCCGCCGTGTAAATCCGGTCGCACCACTCGCCTCGCTCGCTCTTCGTCGTCGTGCTGCTGCCCAGTCTCGATGCGGATCTGATACAACGGACACCGACCTATCTGAACCCGCTCAAGGACCGGGAGCTCGACTTGCGGGGTCAGTACTGAGCCCAGCCGAGTTCGCACGCTCATTGACGAGCCGCATGCTCATCCCTGCGCTCTCCCACCCTCTGTTGCCCATCCGCCCATCACCCCACAACACCCCACAACAGGTCACAACATTGCCGCAATCGAGAACCTTGGTGTGACCAAAGACGGCATCGACTCGCTCGACCTCACCGACAACTCGATCACGTCCCTGTCCAACTTCCCCCTGCTCCGTCGTCTCCAACACGTCCACATCTCCAACAACCCGATCCGCACCCTCTCCCCCTCCATCACCACCTCCCTGCCCAACCTCCGCTCACTCGTCGTCAGGAACGGTAGCTTGCCGACCGAGGCCTTGGCCAGCGTCGGGAGCGTGTTGGGGCGGTGTCGAAAGTTGGAGATGCTCGTACTCAAGGGGAACCCGCTCGAACAAGCGCAGTACTACAAGGAGTGGATCGTATTCTCGTGCAAGGGCTTGCGATCCCTCGACTTCGAGAGAGTCAAGCAACAGGTCCGTCCATTCGCAAGCTTGCTTCCCCGCGCCGAATCCTAATAGCTCATCGTGATCATCTGTCGAGCACAGGATCGGACCCGAGCTTTATCCTTGTTCCAAACCGCTTCGGGTCAACCCACACCCCTGCAATCGACCTTCCTCGACGCCGCCGCGTCCAACTCGGCCGCCTCGGCGCCTTCGCTCGTGCGCACCAACGGCACCACAACAGAAGGAGCGGCCAAGACGTTCGAACCCGGAGTCGAAGCCTCGGTCGTGCCGAACACTAAGAACGCGGGGAGGTTGTTGACGAAGGAAGAGAAGGATCGAGTCAGAACGGCGATCGAGCGCGCCGAGAGCGTCGATGAGATTAGGAGGTTGCAGAGGATGTTGGCGCAAGGGTTTGTGTGAGTTGGGAACCCCGAGCCGGCGCCGACCGCCGGGGAGCGATACGGGCGGGGATGGCGAACTGACTGCTCGGGCTTCTTTCTTAATGGTGCAGACCTACGGAGAAGGATTTGAAGGACCTGCAACGAAAAAAGGCTGGAGCGGTATGATCTTTCCAGTCGCTCTCGTTCAGCTTGGAGGAAGCGCACTGAGGCGAGGGTTGGGGGAAGGCATCGAGCTGATTAAGGAAATGGAGAAGAGAGGTTGGGGCAACGACGAGCGTTGGTCGCTCGTCGCCCTTGAAATTAAAAGTGTATCATCTCGAAACACCAGCCAGCGATCCGCGCGAGTCGTCAGAACATGTTCCGGCGCGATGCACTCGCCGAGTTACGCGACTCAAGATCCAAATGAATAGGATCATGGTCATTTCGTGAGGGACGTAACGAGATAACGAGCCTTACGACAAAATCAATCGTTAGAAGAAGAAAAAGAGAGCGAAGAAGCAACCCATCAAGGGCAACTGAACTGCATATCAAAACTTAAAAGAGGGTAGGGACCAGACGGAAATGAAAAGAGTGGAAGGGCTACAATGCTGTGAGGGAGACTCGTTGTGGCACAGAGAGACTGATTTCGTGATAAAGGGTCGTTAGGAACTCATAAATATGGAACAGGGGTCCTTGTGAGAGGGTGACTAGGGAAAGAAGGGGGGGAGGGGGAGAAAGCGCACAGCGCCTTCCCGAAGAGAAGCTTAATCGAGGTACTTCCATTTGATGCTGAGCGGACGATATGACGAGAGGTGTCAGTGCGGTTGTCATCAAGCCCGACTGTGGAGGTAGAGGTCGGTGACTCACTCGATGACACCCGTAGCTTGTTCGGCGATTTGGTCAAACGCGCCGGTGCTCAAGTCGAGACTGTTGTAGTTGGCGCAACCGGGGCAAGCCTGTGACAGCACTCGAAGGAACATCAGTCATCGCCTTGAACGTTCAAATCTCGCCCACTTCAAACTCACATCCGCAACCGTAGCAACCACACTCTTGCCATTCGCCACGTTAACGACCTGCACCTTTCTCCCACAATCCGGTGCATCATTCGAGCCCGTCCCATACCTCGCCAACGCCAAAGCGACGATAGGATCTGAATCGGCATGGATCTTGCCACATGCGCCATGGGCACCGTATTGGTAGAAGAAGGTGCCTTTGCCGCCTGTGGTGTAGGTGCCTGTGATGGCGTTGAGGTTGACACCGCTCACTCCGGTTTTAGAAGCGGCGGCGGCGGTCGTGGGTTTGGAAGCGGCGGTCGTAGTGGTTTCTTGATCGTCGTCAGAATCATCGTCCGAATCACAATCATCGTCATCTTCATCATCCGATGACGATCCGGGGGTCGGAGTAGCCTTTGCAGCAGTCGTCGTTTTCTTGACCGCCAGATGGACAGGGGCGATCGTCGGCGTCGGCTCGGAAGTGGTCGTAGCCTTTGCAGCAGAGGAAGTCGCAGTGGCCGTGGCATCGTCCCATGTGATGGCGTTATCGACACATTTCGTACCAGCTGAACGAAGATCAAGCTCAGAGCAGTAAGCTGACACTGAAAACCGAAGGTTCGACTAGAATTGTACTGACCCGCAACCGACCCCATATCCGTACACCAATCCCCATCGCAAAGTGCAACGAGTAAGCCGTCAAGCATTTCAGCGTCGCTTCGGTAGCGCGATTCAGCCTCTTGGGACCACTCTTTGGAGCTCGATTACGGCGATTCATCTTGCGCAAGGAACGAGGGCGGGTTTGAGAGGCCGAGCCTGAGGTGGATCCGTAGGTTCGGAGATCGCGGTTGATGATGCGGGGGTCGATGAAGTCGGAGGAGGGGGAGGGGTGGGCGGAGAGGAGGGGGGATTGGAGAAGGAGGGAGAGGGAGAGGGTGAGGGTTAAGGTCGTGAGGAAGTGGAGGGAAGGCATAGTAAAATAGTGCGAGAAGGTGGGAAGGAGATCGTGGGGCGTGCGAAAGTTTGAGCGCGGCTCGACTTGGGCTTGATGGCTCGGAAGGGGTGGACACAAAAGCGGAAGTGCACGGCTGTACAATTGCAAACGACACAGAGGAGAATTGGTCAGTATTCTGCGTCGAATATCGCCTACACACGACGTAGGATCGATACGGATCCTGGATCAGAAGTTCGCGCGTCGCGACGGGACCTCCTGTGATGCACACACGCGCGGTAACGCGATCTTGGGCTTGGCGTTGCGCAGTCGAGACCGAGAGAACTAGCGCACTGACCTCTTTGTTGAAGGACCTGAGTGCCTAAACTAGGAAGGGGGGGGGGAGGGGAGAATGACCAACGAAACCGGTTCGTGCGAATGGACGTGAGGATGGAAGAGAGGGAAAGAGATGAGAGAGAGAGAGCCGAGAAACGGCCCAGAAAAGTGATCGCAATTACCCCGACGACGCGTGAAATGGAGATAGGGCACGCGTAGAGGCGCGTGCGCGCGTTGGACGTGACCGGGTGACCGGCGCATAGGCGTGCTTCTGGAATCGACGCCCTAGCCTCCAAGGCTTGGTGGACCGGGGAAACTTGGCTTTTCGGATATTGTTTAGGTATTGCGCACTCTCGATACGCGAAACTTGCAGCTGCCAAACTAACGGCAATATACTGCTGAACAATCTTCGAATCGCATTTCCAATATTTTCATACAGTCATCCCTAACAGTCCAGCTCCGACGAGTAATATAGTCGTCGCGATAAACATCCCAACCCCATCAATGCTGGTGTGCACACCACTCGAGGCAGCTCTTGTTGTAGTAGCTGCAGGAGAAGACGCAGCCCTACTACTCTCCGTCACTGATCTCGACGTCGAGCTCGTGCCGCTTGATGTTCCCGCGGACGCCGAAGTCAAGGTCGCCGTAGTACTCGATCCCGCCGTCGCGGTCGTGGTCGTATTCGAGCTCGCGACATTCGCCAGAGACCACCTTATCCCTTCGAGAATATGACTCTGAAAATCTTGCCTTTCCCATGTCGAGCTCTCATGCCCCAAGCTGGTCATCCACATCCTCCCCGTCATCGTCTTGATCCCGTTCGCAGCCGTACCATTCTCCAAATCCACAGGGGTGTCTCGATACCAAGCGATCGGGTGGGGTGTGCCTTGATAGTGAGGTCGTGTACCGGCTTTGGGGTCCGAGTAGGTCGAGTTGTCGACAGTGAGGAGGACGGTCGCGTTGACGGAGCGCGGGTCGGTCGTGAAAGAATAGACTTCTTCGTATAGCTGTGGATATCCGGCGAGGTTAGCTTTGCTCCATGACCTTATCTCATTACCTCATAATCAACCTACGTTGAGTCGATTGGGAAGCATGTTGATTGTAGGGTGCGAGACGAGTTTTGTGAAGGTCTGGCGACGGGAGCAGAAGTCTCTTCAGAAGACAGCTCTGGATCGTTCCGGGGGAGCAGTTAGAGGAAACTCAACCGCGTTACTAATATCGGGATGATAGTCGAACCTGCATTGGATGAATGTCATGTCAGTATCCCCCTACCGCAGCATCTCTAGAGAGCATGCTCGTTTGTCAACTGACCAACTACCGATCGCCACTCCAAACTCGGGCATCCTGAAAAGGCATGCCGTCCCCGCATGAAAGGCCAACAAGTTCCCCCCGCCTTGTAACCATTGCACGAACGCGACTTTCCCTCTATCCGTCAAAACCTCGGGATCGCCGGTTCCTAGTCCTTCGGAATTGCTGAGGAAGGCGATGGCAGAAAAAGGGGCCAGCCCGGCCTCGGTAAATAGGTTTTGGTCTGTGGAGAAGGTGGGGGTGAATAGGGTCGGGTTCGAGGTGGAAAGGCTGGTGATGGCGGAGATGGCCGTTGGGATACTGGTGTTGCCGAGAGGTTCAGTAGGCCGGGAAAAATTGTGCCGAGAAGAGCAGGAGGTAGTCAGCCCTATATTTGGGAGCAAGGGCCTTGAATCATCGAGCATGAACGTACGACTCGTGGTAATAGTCAAGCGTCAGATAAAAGACGAGAAGTCGGGGAGTTGCGGCCGTGACAGACAGACTGGCGCCTCCGAGGAGCACGAGTCCGATCACGACGAGCTTCACGAGGCGAGATGTCATCTGTGCAATGTGACAGTATCAGCTTGCGTTCCAACGAGACCGTGCACGGTCGGATACTAGCATACCGTATGACTCCCGGCAGCGCCTTCGCTATGGGGTTGATGAGCCTGAGATCTGGCGCCGTCACTCTGTGGGGGGACTCGGCCTCCGCGACCCGGGGTTTTGAGAGTGCTGCCGGTCTATTGAGACGCGTCGCAACCAACTTGACGAGTAGTGTACGCTGTGATGAACCAACCAAAACTTTTCCGATGCGGTCGCTACGTGACGTCTAGCGGTGTGGTGAAGTCGATGTGAAGGAGGAGAGCTATAAGATGCGAATTAATGTTGATTGAGCTCAGTCTAAGTGATTCCGATTCGGTTTCTTAATTCAAAGCGCGAGATTGCTATAATCATAAATCGCGAATCGCGTCGCGCGCGCGATGCCCGAGCGCTCGACTTGGCGATTGGACTTGGCGTTCGCCTTCTCCCCCACGGCCTTGCACCACCGCCGCAACGACCAATCACTGCGTACACGTCTCATCGCGACTCATGACTCGCAACAGTATCCACAGGATCATCATCCGGCTCCGATGAGCACTTCGAGGAACTACCCCTACACAGAGGATGCGTACGCCACCCTCCCCGGCGGGTCCAGCAATCGTTCCGACAGCAGCCCCACATCGACACCGCCGTCTTCACTCCTCAGTTACGCACTCACACGCCCCACTTCGGATCCACCAACCCGTTTAGCTCTCCTCGCTCATCCATGGGCTCGTCTGGGAGGAAGCAAGGATGATCATGTCGTCGTTGGGGTGACGAGCGCTCTGGTCAAGGAAGGGTATGCGGTCTGTCGGTATGATGCAAGAGGCGCCGGAGGCAGTGTAGGTGTGGGGGCTACTTGGACGTGAGTGCATCCGGTCAACGGAATTGAAAGTGTGATCCAAACAATGTATCTACGAGCTGACATCCCCCTCTTCCCCTCCCTTCAACAGCGGACTATCCGAAACCGCCGATTTTTCGCATCTCGTCCAAACCGTTCTCCTACCCCTCCTACCGCCCCATCACCCCTCCTCAATCCCGGTCGACCTCCTCCTCGTCGGCTATTCCTACGGATCCCTAGCAGCTTCTTCAGCACCCCCTCTTACAGAGGTCCCGCACGGTCTCACCCTCCGTACTCGCGCAATCCTCATTTCGTACCCTTGTTCGGTCCTCTCCTTACTTACGTTCTTTAAATACTCTCATTACACCCAAACCTTGATCGAGTCGATCCACAAACATCACAGACCCACCTTGGTCATCTGGGGTACGAGGGATCAATTCACCGCTGTGGGCAAGTACGAAGCCTGGTTCAAGCGCATTCAGGAGGCGGATTCGGATCGGGTTACGGAAGGGGTTCAGGTCGACGGGGCGGATCATTTTTGGAGGCAACAGGAGGATAAGCAGAGACTGGTTCAGTCTATTGTAGAGTGGGTGAGGCGGTGAAGAGCTAGTACACCCAAGCGAGCTTCTGGGGCACGTGTGGGGTGAGGTCATCGAGCGAGCAACTCTCATGATTAGAGATGAGAGCACGTCGCGGTGTCTCGGGAACGGTGGTTGTATTCGTACTACGTACACATTCGGATTCAAATGGAAAGTTCGTCCTCATACCCAATGTTGTTGCTACGCCGAGTTTGACCTACAATAGCCTGCCATCACTCGCGCCAGCATTCAAAGCTTCCCTCGCGTCCCTGCTTCTCCTCTGACAACATTCTCTTCCTTGATCCCTTCCTATTCCCATTGATCACGCGTATGAGAGTATTCAAGCCGAAGCACTCTGCTTGAGCTTGGCCTGGAACGCCGCCTTGGCTTCTTGATACGCCGCCAGCGCCTCCTTCTGCTCAACTTCCAGAGCCTATGAACGAGATTACAACGCCAGGGTCAGTGCCAAACTTCCCGAAGCCCAGCCCATTCGTCTGGGCCATGAAAATCAACGTACGGCCTTCTCTTCACTCGACAAGCTCTTCCATGCGGCGGCGAGCAACCTGCTCTGCTCGAGGATGTTGGTCTCGCCCTTCAACACCTCACCGGCGACGCCTTGCTCGTTTCGGATCTTGCTCGTCCATCTGCCAAAAAGGACGAGCGACGCATTAGAAACAAATCCGAGCCCTTGGTAGACGAGTTTTGTGACTGACAAGATGTAAGCTGAAGGGGGTCGCTTGGGTTGCCCCTCGAGCTTCATCGGCCCCTTGCGCGACTTGCCCAACTTCTTGCGCCGCGCCCGGATCGCATTCTCCTCACGAATCATCTCGGGCGTCAAAGACGCGGTCCATTCGGCCAGGACTTGGGCGAAAGCGGCCTTTTGTTCGTCGGCGGTGCGCAAGAGTTCGGCCTTGTCGGAGGGTGACAGGTCGCGGTAGGCCGGGGCGGCGTCGCGTGCGATCTCGGCGACCGAGGGGAACTTGCCGTCGGCGGGGTTGTGGGCCGCTTTACGTCCCTGCTCGGGTTATGGAAATTGAGAGTTCAGGATACGTCAGTGCGAGAACGGTGATGGTATTACGAATCGGGTGCTCCAGTAGGCGGGAGGCGGTGGGCGAGACACTCGCGGTGGATGACTCACGGCGGTGTACTGGGTCAAGAATATGGACCAGGTGTTCATGGGTTGCTTGGGCGGGTTCAATCGACTGGTCAATCTCGGCTTAGCTGTGTTACGGATGAACACGGGCCGATCAATACAAGTTTCAGCCCCAACGGGTTCCGCGGCCTGGACGACGTACGCGTCGCCTTTGCCTTTGCCTTGAGCTGCTCCTTCTTCTTCTTCTCCGCGGCCTGCAACTTGGCCTGCAACTTGGCCTGCAACTTGGCCTGCTGCTTCTTCTTCTTCTCGGCGGCCTTCTGCTTCTCCTTGCGCGCCTTCTCCTTCTCCTTGAGCTTCAACTTTTGCGCCTTGAGCTTGTCCTTGTCCGCTTGGCTAGTCGAGGCCTTTCGAGGCTTTTTGACGACGACGTCCGATGGTTCCTCAGTGGCTGCTGCTGCTGGTGCGTCGACGACTTCGTCCGCAATGACTCTCGACGAGGAGAAAGCGCGCGCGAGGCTGAGACAGGGGAAGCGCGTCGAGGTGGTCGAACTGGCAGTCAACAATGACGGCGACACGCTCGAACGAACGAGGCGGGCATGCGCGATCGTGGCAGAGACGGTCGGTCGAGCAAGCGACCTCAGGAGAGGTGTGGTAACGATCACTCGCATTCTGGTTCGTCGGAGGGCGCTGAGTAGGGACGGAGAGCGGTCGATGAGTCGGGGGGAGGAGGGTAGGAGGAGGGGGCGCACAACGGACTCTTACTCGCGCAACCCATTGAGAGCTAATGAGCGAGAGTGAGCGAGGCTAATGGTCTTTTCTGCTTTTGCTGCAAGAGTTTGACGCCGAGGACTCAAGCGCGCGCGACCTCTACCCTCCTTGCAGTAAGCCGTGCCCGCACGCCTGCCCCTCTTGCAATAAGCCGTGCCCCGCACGCCTGCCCTTCCTGCAGTAAGCCGCGCCCCGCACGCCTGCCTCGAGCCTTGGTCTGTAAGCCGCATTTGCGCAAGAGTTTACCAAGCCCGCTCCTGCCGCACCTTTCAGTTCCCTCTGCTTGCCGTTGCCGTACCAGTATCGCTGTGTACCTCTGCCACCTCCTGCCAAGGACCCCCCCAGCGATACCGTACAGCTTCCGCCTTCCAGTCTTCTGCCTTACCAGTTGACGACGAACAGCTGCCACTGTGTACGCCTCTCTTTTTTTTTTCAACACTCCTTGTTGGATGGTTGACTGACGCTCCATACTTTGTATGCAGCCGTCCGCCTGCACCTGCCAGTGCTGCGCCTCTTTCGTGTTCGACTGCGTCTCGCTCAAAGAGCCGAGGTACATCACCCACCTTCAGGCTCTACCTTAGGGTACTCCTGCTCTCGACTGTCCTTGTTGGACACGTTGACTGACTTGGCTACACTGCTACACAGACCCACCCTCGACGTGCCAGCGTCCGAGGTCTGTTTTCCCTTTGCCTGCACCTGCCAGTGCTGCGCCTCTCTCCCGTTCGCCTGCGTCTCGCTCAAAGAGCCGAGGTACATCCCCCCCTTCAGGCTCTACCTTAGGGTACTCCTGCTTTCGACTGTCCTTGTTGGACACGTTGACTGACTTGGCTACCTTGCTACACAGACCCACCCTCGACGTGCCAGCGTCTGAGGTCTGTTTCCTTTGCTGTCTTCTTGTCTCCAAGCGACACGCTTTACAAGCATAGGTATGCCATAGTCCTCAGAGTCTTTGCAGTATTCCGAGTACTAATAGAATCGCGTTTTACAAGCATAGTCGTTCTATCTTCGTCTCCTCCCACCCACCCTACAAAATAAATAAATACAAAAACAGCCTTGTGTTCTTTCCTTTACTTTCTTATCTATGGTCTCCCGTGGGTAGATTTTCAACCCATCCCGTTTGTTACGGGATGCCTGGTTCTTATGCTGCAAATCCGACTCCATCCCAGCTATTTCGGTTCGCATTGCGCTCTTACGATGGAGTCGAAAGCGTTTGCCCGCCGTTTTGCCTGATCGGGAGGTGGCGAGGGTGGGAGCGGGAGCGCGCGCGCGTGAGGCCTTGAAGGCAGCGGCGCAGGCGGACTGCCTAGTAATAGCTTCTACATTACATTACATTACACCCTATTAGAAGCGCCGTAAACCTAGTGCTGCATTCCATCCGTGGGCAGGGCGGGCCGCGCGTGCCCCTTTCGTCCCCTCGCCTTCGTTTCGCCAGCCGTTGCATCGTCGAGGTGTGTGGGCCTTCATCGGCGTGGGTGAACAGAGGGTCAGTCGCTTTTTTCCTCGTCTTGTGACTTTGGCTCGTCTTGTACACCGTATGAGACACAGCAAGCACCGCCCCTGACTCCGCCGACCACGTGACGACTGGCGACGTAGCGACCTTCCGCAAGCTCCTCCGCTCTGAGCTCAACAAGGGACATGGACTCGCGGCACATGCGATACGTGCGAATCCAGACGTGGCTCCGGCTACTGGCTTGGGCCCCACGGATACGCTGCTGCTATCGTTTTGGTCTCGGGTGACAGACAGCGACGGAGGCGGCGGCGACGTTGAACGTGCATGGTGACGTGACTCGTCGCGACTGCAGTCATCGCGCCGCCGGCATGCTCTCCTTCTGGGCGACTCTCCACTTCATAGAACGCGTGTTCTATTGCTTGGAGAATCACAGGGAAGAACATGGGAGGATTCATTTTTTTTTTCGATGACTCCCACATCTCACACCTTCTGTCCTCTGGCCAACCGTACTGACGCCTTGCCTTATTCGCCAACACCGACCTAGGCCTTCTTCCTGCCGGTCTTAGAATCTCAGGGGTCCTGGTCTTTAACTTCTCCAAGAAACATGCCTCTCCCCGATGAATCCTCAAGACCGTCGGCATCGTCGCTCATCAAGCGCTTCGAGGCCATCAGCGCATCCCAAGACTCATCCTCGGCGTCTGCGATGAACCGATCCGTTTCGGGCGGAGCACCAAAGAGAATTTGGTCCAACCCGAGTGCAACCACGGCTCCCGCTACGAGCGCGGTGGCGCCTTCCCTTGCGGTCGACACGAGGACTTCTATTTCTATCGATACCTCGAAGCCTTTGCCCGAGCCACCGACGGCATCCGATGAAGCGACGCCGAATGTGGAGCCGGAGCTAGCTTCTACAACACTGCCGGAAGCACGGTTTGCTTCGTCGCCTGGAGCCAAGAACCCACCTTCACCGACATCCCAAGCACCCGCCGAGTCGACAACCATCCTCTTCTCCGGCCCTTCTCCGACGACACCCATGAGAAACTTCCCTCCGCCCATCATCACCCAATCTTCCCTCGATGTCGACGGCCCACCCGTCGGTGCTGTCCCCGGATCCGCCAATGGTCTGCTAGCCTCGTCACCGCCTAACCCCACAAGCTTGACGGAGCTCGTCGCCGGAGGTTCAAAACATCATTCAAAATCGCCATCAGTCGATTCGACCTCTTCGAGAGTCTCGCACGAAGGTCTGAGTCAACCTACTTCGCCTCGCGTCGACGAGCAACGCTTGAGTGCTCCCCCTCTTCGTGGGGAGGCTTCCCCACCCCCATGCGATTCGGAGGATTCGCCACAGGAGAAGAAGTTTACTTTTCCGGCTGTCGAGAGTAAAGAACAGGAGGTCGCTGCCGAATCACCAGCAATTGATGGTTCCGCGCCGATCAAAGAACGCCTCAAGGTCAAGTCCACATCATCTTCGACCTCGAATGCTCGAACCAAGTCGACGTCCCCTCCCATCCGTCGAACCGTCTCACCCACCGTTCCCACCGTTCCCATAGTTCCTAAATCCCGACCTTCGCTCACTTCACCCACCGCGTCTTCCCTCGCCAAATCCCGTCTCTCAACCGATAAGTCCCCGCCTTTATCCCCCAAGATCTCACCTAGGACAACGAACGCTACTTTACCCAAAACGACCATGACGGTAGGTGGTGTCGGTGCACCACGATCAAGTTCGAGTGCTTCTTTAATCTCGAGGAGCGGTGCCCCTAGCCCAACACCTTCGACGGCTAGTCGATCGTCGGCTTTGGAAGGCACGACAAGGAGTAGGTCCAGTCGTGCGACTACACCTTCCACACCTAGTCGATCACCGCCGATGACGAGGAAAGGAACTGGTTCAGGGACGACGACGACGACGACGACTACTACTTCATCAACGTTGAAAACGCCAGCGAGGAACACCCCTAGAACACCTTCGGCTTCTACGCCATTGCGTTCGAGTACGCCGAGCAAGTTCTCGTCGAGAGGTAGTAGTGCGCCGATTTCAAAGACGTCACCGGAGGGGAAGAAGATCCCGACGAGGGTTGGGAACGTCAAGATGGCTTCGAGGGGGAGAATCGGTCTGGCCGGAGCACCGGCAGGTCCGAATCCTTCACCCAGGGGAGCGAAGAAGGTGGAACAGAGGACAGAAACGCCAAAAACGACGGTAGAGGATACACAAACTGAGAAGGAGGACGAGGTCGAGGCGCCTAGGCATGAAGATATTCCTGACATCCCAAGTGATGAGGAGGAACGGGTATTCGATCCGATGACTTTGCAAGGTGGTCGGCCTGCGCCGGGGAGGATTGGGATCCCCATGGACGTGGAGACAGGTCGAGCGGTGGGAGATGAGCAACTCAAGGCTGCGCAGGGGTAGGGTGTTCGTTTGAGGAAGGGAAGGATCTTCCATTTAGCATATAACGAACACTACGAGCACGATCAAGTTTAGTAAGAATTATATGCATATGTTCGCATTGATGCAATTCCAGTGGAAAGACTAGACAAACACCCAACGACCTTTGACTAGACGTTGCTCCATAAGGATAGGCTTCAATTCGATCCCGACTCCAGGACCGAAACGAGGGGTGACGATCGTCTTACGCGTCGAACCGTCCGTTGTAGGATCGGTTTTGGTAGCCAAGGACGTGGACGCTGTTTCGACGGGTTTCGAGAAGGTGCACATTGGTCGTCCGAGAGTCGGTAGCCAGGCGGGGTTGATCTTGGTCACGGCTGTAAGGCGAGAGGAGGGCGGGTCAGTAGATGCACTACCGCGCACGAGGTGTTTGAACGGGAACAACTCACTCTTCATCCAGAACTTGTTGGTCCTCATCACTTCTTGGAACACCACGAATTCCGGCGGCGCTTGGTGGAACAATGTGCTCGAAGGATGAATGAAAATGTCCTCGTCGATGCCGAAAGCGCGATAGGGAACGCCACGCGTCGAGACCGTCTTCGCATAAGACAAAGTCGAGGCCTTGTCGGCCAGATCCTTTCGAATCGCCACTTGGTCGATAAATGCCGAAGTGAGCAATTGACGCAGAACTTTTAATTGCGTCGTCGAAGGTGGAGGAAGCTGAGGGACGAAGCCGGCATCGAGTCCGTGGTAGGACGTCGATACGATGCGGGAGATTTGCGCGCGAAGCTTGTGAATCTCTTCCATGGCCTTGACGCGGACGAAGCTGGAGTTGCAGAACGACGCTTTGGCACCGTCATACTCGTAGGCGCCGACGACGGAGAGCATCTTGAAGACGTCGCTTGCTCCTTGACCGAGGGCGGAGTGAATCTAGGCAAGGTTTAAGTCAGCATTAGATGGCACTTTCAGGCATGCACGACGTAAATCACCTTTTGTGATTCAAAGAAGGCTTTGCGGGCGACCTTGAGTTCCTCCTTCCTCCTCAGTTCAGGATCCCGGATGTGTCGAATCTCGGCAGCACTCAGCGCTTTGCGCTCCTCGATATCAGGCAATTCGTCCTCATCGTCGCCAAGGTTGGCTTCGCGAATGAAAGGATCGCCGACCGACAAAGCGCACACGATGGCGATGACATAAGGCAAGCATCCATTCGATCGACCAGCGACAATCATCTTGGAGAACCTCGGGGACAAGGGGAAAAGGGACATGGATCGACCGAGCTCGGTGATCTTGTGGCTACTCGCGCCCTTGGCGCCTTCCTTAGCTTCCAACGCGCCGAGGTTGACCAACGTCTTTTCGGCCTCTCGAAGAGCGTGACGATCGGGAGGTGTTGGGAAGGGGAAGTTGGCGACCGAGTCGATGTTCATCGACTTCATCTGTAACACGATCCCTTCGATCGGCATGCGCAAGATCTCAGGTTTGGTGTGCGACTCGAAAAAGTTCTCGAATACGGCCGAAGAGTACAGTCGATAGCAATGTCCAGGTCCGGTACGACCAGCTCGACCTGCTCGTTGTTGAGCCGAGGCTTTGGAGATCCAGGTAACCTCGAACGACTGGATTCCGTTCGCTGGGTCGAATTGACGCTCCTTGGCTCGACCGGCGTCGACGACGTATTTGACGTTGGGGATGGTGATGGCCGTTTCGGCGACGTTCGTTGCGACAACGACGAGACGCGTTCCTTCGGGCGGAGGTTGGAAGACACGCATTTGCTTCTCCGTCGGTAGGAGGGAATACAACGGAAGAATATGCATCGGTTCTGGAGTGAAGAATTTCGCTCAGCTCGAAGTCCAGGCTCCGGGGGCACGTACTGCCCATCGCGGCGACTCACCGTCGGTATCATCTTCGAGATCCATCCCTCCCAACTTCTCCTCCTCCTCATCCGACTCGAGTCCTTCTGGGTCCTCATCATATAGCCCATCATCAACATCAGCCGCCAAATCCATGTCATCCTCCCCAAGTTCCAACTCCTCAACCTCGACATCATCTCCCATCTCAACCCGGCCTCCCTCAAAGTCCATCGCATCCTGTTCTCGTTCCTCCCTAGCCTCGCGCTCGGATTTCCTCTCTTCCTTGGCGTTCAACCTCTTCTGACTCCGGGCCTTCATCTCCTCGGCCTTGCGTTTCCTCGTCTCGATCGCCGCCTTGCCAAACTTGGCCTCGAGCTTCTTGCACAGACTGACGATCTCGTTTTGACCGGTGCAAAAGACCAACACGCCACCTTGGGGTAAGCGGGCATGGATCCGAGCAACCTTTTTGTACGCTTGTTCGAGGTAGTCGTGGTGCGTTTTGCGGGCAAAGTGGAGAGTGACGGAATGTTGACGCGCGTCGACGCGGAGGACGGGAGGTGGCGTAGGGAAGAGCGTTGAGTTTTCGGCAAAATCCGCCACGCGGAGGGTCGCGGACATGATGATCAGTCGGAGAGGCTGTGGATGGGGTTCTTTGTCAGAAGGTAGCTCAAAAAACTAGGGTGACTCTCGAACCCTAAGCTCACCTTGACTTCATCCTTGCCGTCGCGCCAAATCTTCTCCCGCAATCTCGCCACCCGGCTCAAGACACCAATCAATACGTCCGTGTTGACACCTCGTTCGTGAGCTTCATCAATCACAACGACTGAGTATTTGCTCAACAGGAAATCAGCCGCCAATTCTCGGAGAAGCACACCATCAGTCATGAAGACCAATTTGGTGTCGGCACCTGATGTCGAAGAGTAGCGAATGCGATGGGCGACTTGGGTCGAGCCGGAGGGGAGACATAGTTCAGCTCGGACACGCGCCGAAGTCGATAGGGCTGCGACGCGCCGAGGTTGTGTGATCGCGACCATCCCGGGATTGTCTGTGAGGTTGGGTTAATCCTCAGGTTCAGTGTCCCAGCAAGGGCATTGTCGTTGTGGAACAGGCGGACTCACCACTCGATTTGTCACCAAAGCCCGCTTCCCACAAGAACTGGCCGATCTGCGTCGTCTTACCACTACCGGTCTCACCACAAATGACAACGACGGGGTGACCTCGGATATAATCCATGATACGATCCTCCTCCTTGACGATGGGTAGCTCGGCGCGTTGCTTGTCCATCTCCTCCGTTCGGGTGATCGGGATATGGGTCGTGCGTTGTGGTGGCATCGACGGCAACTCGTTCTTGGGTAGAGGGGCTCCTAACGGTCCAGTGATGCCCTCAGGGAGTGTAGACGCTTTCACGCCTGATCCAGCCGGAAGTAGGGGCTCGTATACGCCATTGATCGGAGTCGGCTCGACCGATACTTCTACAGCGTCTAGCTGCCCCGATGCCGACAGGATTTGCTTGTCGGCCCAGGCCGTGAACGACCCCTTTTGATGTGTCGCTCGAGCACTCGGTGTTGCCTCTTCATCCGCGGCTCCGCTTGAAGCCTTGCCCTCCGCCCACTGCTCAAGCGTCTTCTCCTCTTCATTTCCCTCTTCTTGCTCGGCTCCGTCGGCATCTTGCTCATACCGTTCCTCCTCGATGCCATACCAGCTCTCGGCATCGCTGATCTCCTCATCCTCCCCGGACCCACTCTCCTCACTCGAGTCGAAATCGCTCTCTTCTTCATTCCCTTCTCCATTCTCAACATCTTTCCCCTTGCCTTTGCCGTATTTTGTATGCTCGACCAAAGCTCTCATGCGCCCCTTCTCCTTCTTGGCCCTCTTGACGACGGTGACTTGGGCGCCGGCGACCAGACCAGAGCCGACAGTCGCGGGGGGAGCAGGTGCAGTGGGTAACGACGAGGTAGAAGCCCTCGGTACATCAATGATCTCGAGTGTACCCGAGACGTTGACAGGCGGTGGTTGGCGCGTGTTCAAGGTCGTTGCGTTCGCTCGAGAGAAGGTCGTCGTCGGTTCCGGCGCGGTAGGGATCAACTCTCTCCGCATCAACGCCTCCTCCATCTCGACATCCTCCTGCTGATCCGAGTCATTATCTTCGTCATCCTCATCAATATCGACATCCTCATCGGACAAGTTGCGCGCCCCAGCTTTGCCCTTGACTCGTTCGATGATGGCTTTGGTCCTGCCTCGTCTCGATTCTTCGAGGTGGTTCGCATGGTTCAGTCGATCGGCTTGGGTCTTGAACTGCTTGGATCCTAAACTGGAGGAGCTTTGTAATGACAGGTTCTGCGTTTGAGTTTTGCTGAATAAGGTGACCAAGAAAGAGTCAGTTCAGAAGCCTCGAACGTCTCCGAGATGATTGAATATTTCAGTTGAGAGAAACTCACGCGATGGAAGAGATGAGCTCGGCTCGTTGTTCCTTTTTGAGTTTGCGAGTGACGAACGCTTCGAACCGCTTCCTCTTCTTGGATGACATATGAGTCGGGGTTTCGATCGTCTCTTCGGCCTGCGGAAGGGATCGATTCCGAGGAGAACGAAAGCAGAGAGAGGAGAGGGGAGGATGTCAGACCTGATACGTCATTCGAAGTCATAACAATCATGCCAATGAGTCCAGACGAGACGCCGCGAAAGATACCATGAGCAGTAGCTGCCCCTGCCACGTGAACTGGAGAGCGTAGCTGCGAAGGGAGCTCGCTCCACTTTGGGCTTAATCAGCAGCAAAGCGCAAGTACGCACCAATTTGCGCTGTTCCTCCCTCCTCTTCTTCTGCTCGACCGGGTCGATGATGAGAGCATTGCTGTCGTCGATCGCATCCTGGGCCTGTTCGTCCTGTCGTCTCGCACGCTTGCCCGAGGCGGTCGCCTTCGCACGCGCGATCGACGCCGCTCGTCCTTTTTGGTTGTACGGCACGTGACGGGGGGCGATCTGCGACATGCTGGAAGTGAGCTTGGGTCCTGACAGGTGACTTGCACCGTTTGACAGGGTGCCGGAAAGAAGGCCAGCGGTGACGAAGCACTTGCTCCGCTTTCGATTCGCAGTCGGGACGCGGTCCAAGCTCAAGCGCTCCAGCTCCGCAATCTTCCGCAATTCGCACGCGCCCCTGTGTGCTCACCGGCTCACCAGCAGCTCTCGCTCTCGCTCTCCTCCGCCCACCCTCGCCGATCCAGCGCGACGCCATGACCTCCAACACAGCAAGCCCCAACACCGTGGAGCGCACTTCATTCGACACCGTCCTGGCCCGTTCCTTACTGCCCTCCATCATCGCGCTCTCCCAGTCAGCTGCCTTGCTTCACTCGGCCCCGTCGACCACAACCTCGGACCCTACTTCGACCGCAGCGAGCAAGGAAGCCGCTCTGAACGCAGCTAAATCAGATCTAGGCCGACAGGCGAGTCCTATGTATCCCGGTGTCCCGTGACCCTCCGCGAACTCAGTCTTTACCCCTCCCCCACTCACCGTGCTCCACCATCTTCTTCCTCAGGCAACCCAACTTCGCAACGCCCTCGCTACACTCCAAACCCAAGCCCAACACCTCGAGATGGGAGATTTGAGCATCCAAGACCAATCCTGGATTATCAAAGAGCTGCAACTCAAGCTTGATCAAAAGAGGTGCGCTTCCATAGCGATGAGCCCTATAACCCCTGGTCTCTTTCCACAATCGCAGGTACTGATCAGGATACGGAACACGTCTCGTCGATCTTCGGAGCGATTAGAGATCAAGTGAAGGCGCTCCGGGACGTCATCCCGACACCCCAAGCTACGAGCACAGACCAAGCCGCCATGGACACGTCGAGCTGAGACCTCATCGACACGCGTGGTCCCACAAGAAATGGAGCGGAGTCGATCTATCGATTCGAAATGTTGTACGAATCAAAGCAAGCGCAGATGTTGTAACGAGTATTCTGATAGTGCCCCACATGCCAGCAAATGGTGGACCCGAAGCTTGCCCGCGACCACGTGAATCCTACAGGGCAGCAGCAAGAACCTGATGTCTCCCGGAACACTGTCCCCACAGATCTGCCAGCTGAGACACTGCTGCATCAGAAACGACCTTCTTTCAGCATGTCAGCGGCAAGGGCCTGAGAGGAAGACCTAAACAGCTCGAAAGCCAGATGGAGTGGGTGGGAGAGATGCGTCACGTGACCGATTTCGAGATCGCGGGCTCCCAGGAAGATCGGAACCAATTCGATTTTTCGCGGTGTTGCACGAGACGTACAAATTATGTAGGTCAACCTCAGTTACTTGATCCTATGACTAGAAAGAATCACTCAAGATTATCACCGGCATGTGCTCTACCCGCTCTTTTTAACCAATCACGAATCGGAAGAGCGAAGGGAGCAGCTGGTCGAGATCGAGATCCACGACGTCATCTCAAGCCAGCCCCGTTGCTGCATGAGCCGCCCATCCGTGATCGCCTCTCCCTCCTGGCCTTCAACCTTTTTCCTCAAAGCTCTCAATTCAAAAATACCTTTGTTGCCCACCATGTTCGCCGCTCGTCAAGCCTTGCGTCTCAGTCGACCTTCTGTAAGCCCTCAGTCCACGCAAGGACCCCGCCCCGCCCCCCACATGTAGAAAGTCGCTCTCCAGGATGCTCGCTTCACGATCGATCGGGAGCCTTCGATTCCGCGTGGCTGCAGCTCGACTGTGCATACACCTGCCCAAAGAGGACCACGAAAACCTGACCTTTCCACTTTCTTTTCCCCAGACCCGCACCTATGCGACTCAAGAACCTACTAACGTCCAACGCGGCCAGTCCAAAACCCCTTTCTATATCGCCGGTGCCGTCATCGTCCTCGGACTAGGCTACACGCTCGGAACAAAGGGCACACCCGCCACACCTGCCGTTAAGGGGATGCAAGAGGCGACGCACCCCAAGACGCCGGGAGCGAGGGAAGCCGCGGGGTTGAACGCCGATCCGCATGATCGACCGAGTACGGCGGGTGGCGACCAGAAGGCCAAGGACGACAACGTCAAGACGACCAAGGCGCTATAAAGAGGAGGAACGGGACCGAGCTTCCACTCAAACCCTGACTTCCCAACCGATCGCATCGAAAGTGTTTACATTTTGAGTTATACTTCGCTGTCCATCTGTATCGCGCAATGCAACCATTTGTCCCAAGTATAAGCCCGCGAATGGCCCACGCTTGCAGCTTTATGAACCAGACACGTGGGTGGACCTCATTAAACTGGTCTTTATGATTTTAAATGACTGTGTCGGACTGTTTTATGAACACGAAGTTGGATCGATCACAGAAGTCTTTTTTCATCGTCTCGGAAGCGCACAAACTATGTCTCCGACCTCGTCATGCTCAGTACCCGCGATCGGCGGTCATCGCTTGCCCAGGTTGTCGCAAGTTGCCCTCACCCTTCATACCGGCTCCAAGACCTTCCGATACTTGAGCGAGGATGAGAGGGTCGTTGTAGTGCGTCGTCGCTTGGACGATCGCTTTGGCGAGCAGAGCCGGGTTTTCCGCTTTGAAGATGCCGGAACCACTGAGGAAGGTGAAATCAAGTAAGGTCAAGAAGTCAGTCCATGCTGTAGTGTACCTTCAAGGTAAATCTTAACGTTGAGCACGTACACAAAAACACCATCACACCCAAGTTGCATCATCAACGCCGCATCAGCGGGTGTCGCGATCCCACCAGCAGAAAACATGACAACAGGGAGACGCCCGATCGCTCGCACCTCGCGCAACAACTCGATCGGCGCCGAGAGCTCCTTGGCCATGTTATACAGCTCGATCTCGGACGCGGTCGTTGCGCGCTTAATCGCGGCGTTGACTTCGCGGGCGTGGCGCACGGCCTCGATGACATTACCCGTTCCTGCTTCACCTGGAGATTATCGACGCAAAAGAGGGTTTCATGTTAAATGTGGTCAGGTCTCAAACATGACGGGTGTGAAAATTGCGGACTCACCCTTTGTTCGGATCATAGCCGCACCCTCCGAGATACGTCGCAGTGCCTCTCCAAGATCCTTGCACCCGCAGACGACTGTGCAAACAGAATGTCAGGTCAGTTACCGTATGCTAAAACGGTTCGTGATCCTTCCAACGGTGTGATTTACTGGCGGCGCAGAGCTCCGCGTCGCCAAAGACGGCCAAGTGCCGGGCTAAAACTCACAAGGCACTTTGAAAGCCTATTGCGAGGAGTGGACGGGACAATGTATCAGTATACGAGCCCAAAAACGATCTCAGAAAGACTCGTGCTGGCACTCACATGCTTGTCGACGTGGAGGGAGGGATCGGCAGGGGTCAAGACCTCGGATCTGCATAAAGGCGGAAGTGGAGGCGACGTCAGGGGCCCGATTCGGAGGGAGGGCGAGGGGAAAGAGAGGCCACGAAGCGGGCACGGGGCACACGCGACTTACTCGTCTATGTAGTCGACTCCGATGGCTTGCAAGATCTGAGCCTCGACAATGTGACCGATCCGCGACTTGGCCATGACCTGTGGAACATGGGTGCGTCTCCGTGTCGGTCAACTTCGGAAGTGAGAAAACTGAGTCAGGAGAGCCCACCACGGTCCGTACGGGGATAGAGACAGCCTCCATGATCTCTTTAATCATCTTGGGGTCCGACATGCGAGCGACTCCACCATCTCGTCGGATATCGGAAGGGACACGCTCCAAAGCCTGCGAGAGGAGACAGGGACGCCACGATGAGGAGGGGAAAAAGCGGTCGGTCTCTCGCAATCGATCGAGAGGGGCAGCGACGATGAGCAGCGACGTACCATCACAGCACAGGCCCCGCCGGCTTCAGCGATGCGTGCTTCATCTGCGTTCACGACATCCACTGCAGTTGGAATGAGAAGAGGAGACGGCCAGCTGAAATGAGCTCAGATATCCCCCCTGTTTTCTTCTGTGGTGGCAAAGCGAAGGGAGAAAGCCGGACTTGCTGATGACGCCGCCTTTGAGCATTTGTGCGAGACCGGACTAGATTGGAAATTCACTTAGAAGTCAGTGCAAGGGTTAAATCAACAGGGCAAGCAGCTCAACTGACTTTAAGGCCGAACGTGCCGTTGCCGAGCGAGGCATGGTAGCCGGCGCCGTTGACGTTCGCACCGTTGTCGTGTGACGGAGCGTTGAAGCTCGGCGTTGTGGGGTCGAGGGCTTGAGGCGACATGGCAGGATTCAGATAAGAGAGAGGAATGGTGTGGAAAAGATGCGGTGCAGTACGTCGTAAGAAGAACTGAAAAGTGTGCGACGGGTGAGGGGAGGAAAGGGAAAGAGTCGAGGGATAGCCAGGTAGGTCATCAAGATCGCGAAGCGTTGCATTGCACTAAGCGCGGCGCGGCGCAAGACGGCGATAGTCCGTTTAACGCCCGGATTTTAGCGAACGCTCGGCGCCGTTGGCCTCCGTTGGCTTGCCACGATGTTCGCTCGTCCGACCGCCGGGCCATCTTGAGCGCTTGCAACGCAACGCATCACTTCTTGCGAACACAAAACAATAGCTTACGGTCTGGCCAGTCCACGCGTTCTTTCCTTCTTGCCAACGGCCTGGTGCCCCAAACACCCCGCAGCGCGTCATGGTCCAGCCGTCTCACCCGTTGACAATCGGTGTTTTGTAAGTGTAGCGGCTCCACTCTACCACCCCCGCGATCTCCACCAGCCTCATGTCGACGCTCCCCGAGATCAAGTCGCTTACGAACGTCCCCCGGATGCCCTACACTGGCACAGAGCACTCCAAGGCTCCTTCGCCGAACACGTCGAGATCCTGCGCTCGCTGTCGCTGCCGCCGGGCGCATCGGTCACCGGCGTTCGCACGCCTTCGGAGTTGGAGCGATGCCGCGCGCTCATCATTCCCGGCGGCGAAAGTACGACCATGTCGCTCGTCGCTCAACGTGGGGGGATGCTCGAACCTTTGAAGCGATTTGTCGAGGATGCGAGGCACTCTAGAGGCAAGGCCGTGTATGGCACTTGCGCTGGGATGATTTTGCTGGCCAAGGAGGTCATAGGGGCCAAGGAAGGCTACAAGGGACTGCAAGGCGTCGATTGCAGGATAGTACGGAACCAATACGGTCGACAGGTGACTCATTCTATCTCTCAACAAGTGGTGAACACGTGAAGTGCTTGGAGCTGAGGTACTTGCAAATCCGACTTTTCGCCAGGCCGAATCCTTCGCTCACCCGCTCGAGATCAGCTCGCTGGCATCGTCGTCCATACCATACAACGCCATCTTCATCCGGGCACCCGTGATCCACTCCCTAATCCCTCCTCAGGATGCCTCGTCACCCCAAGTCGAAGTTCTCGTGCGTGTCCCTCGATCGGTACTCCCGAGTCCGACCAAAGCTGCGATCGCGGTCGGTGGCGCCTCGGAACTCGGACCCGATGCCGACGTCGTGATGTTAAGACAGGGTGACATCCTTATGACGAGCTTCCATCCCGAGTTGACTCCGGATACGAGGATTCATGACTGGTGGTGCAGGACAATGGTCTTCAAGGAGTAGCCTCGATCGGCTTCCCGACATGGGTGCGATGGGTAGGACTCTAGACGACCAAGATACTAGATTATCGCGCCCGCGTACGACGAGTCCCTGAACCTCTGACTCCTGGAAACGGTCTCTTCCGGATCGAGTCCATACTCGTGTAGAACCCTAACCAACACCCCAGAATACCAATACACGCAACACTCCGACTTATTAGCGCACACGTATGCACCGCCGTGCAGTCTCGGCGCCTTGGCTGCGAACCATTTGAACCGCCGTGGATCGAGCGCAGGATACTCGGGTTCAGTTCCCAGTGCATGCAACCCCATGCATGATGCACACCCGTGCAATTCAATGTGATGACCCATGAAACCCAGACGCACTGTTGCGCAAGCACGGTGAGTATTGGAAAATTGAGCTAGTATTGCAGCCCACAACCGATTGTCTCCTAAGCAGCGAGATTGCCTTTGAAGCTGAAGGTGTCTACTTGATCTAGATTACGTTGATTAGAGTACACAGGAATTACCCCTCGTTTTTTCTTCCTTTAACTCGCCGCATCGGAGTTCTCGGGTTACAGTGAGCCGCCCACCGCAACTCAGCTCCGTGTCGCAGCGAACCGAGGTGAAAGCGAGGTCGCCCCAGCTCGAGCAAACCTGCCGGAGCAATAACCACAGCATCGATCGCGATGATCTCAAGACTGGGGTGATCCTCAGAGCTCATCCTCTCTGCTGAAGCCTTACGAGGCTTAATCAATAAGGTATTTGGTTTTGCCGAGAGGCGAATTTTTGACCTCGATGTGAGGTGCACGGTCCCCTGTTCGTAGTTGTGCTTGAGTTCCGCGCCGCGCCGTGCTCGGCGCTCGGCAGAGGTGGAGAAAATCAGAAGCGATGACGTCATCAATATGGCTCATCATCCCCTCAGCCCTGTTCGTGGGCCATACCCAACTTAGCGACAACCTCTCACACCTCTCTTTCTCTCTGCTCCTGTCTTCTCCATGCCTGGCTCCGCACGCCTTAGCGAACGCGGAAATGTCGGGACCGCCTTCGGTCACCTCTTACTCAAGATTAGCAAGGATGGTTTAAAGTAGTAACCTCCCGGTCTCTGAGTGTTTCCTTTCTCGGCACTCGCTCGCTCGTTCTGGCTCTTGCTCGATCGTCGTCGATCGGGAGGGACGGCTGTCTCTGACCCGCTGTTGGTGCTCGGACTCATGCTGACCCAAAGCCGACCACTTAAATAATCAGTCTGACCTTCCACAGCCTCGCGATGGGCTGATCAACATCATCCCCAGTGACCTCACATTCATCTTGACCCATACAACCTATTGCGCAAGAACGGTGAGTCAGCTGGTAGTGCGACGTTGCTGCCCGCACCGGTTGATAGGCGGCCGCGTAGAGGAGGTCGCCTCAAGCGCCCTTGATCTGATGCCCTTGCCCCTGGCGACCCTGTTGACTGACACTGCCACATCATGTTGGTTACTCTGCACTAGATCGAGATGGACCCGACTTCCATCGAAAACGGCCACGCTCCCATCCGCCTTTCGAACTGGGATCTGCACGTGGGTGGGGTAGAGTAAGTTATCAACCTCGATTTGAAAGCGATCCAGGCTTGCAAGCCTTGGCCAACCCACTTCGCGCTCTCGGATTTGTGTTTAGATTTGGAACAGGGGGATTTGGAGCGTCAGGCGGTCACAGAGTGTCAAAGTGTAGAATGTTTTGGCTAGTGAAGTTCAAAAGACGTCAAAGTACGGTGAATTAGGTCGTGCAACATTCGCCCCTCGCCCTCGGTCGGTCGCCGTAATAGGGGGGGGGGGAGGGGGGTCCCGAGTCGACTCGGACTCGACCTCGCTCGACCACCACCATTATCATCATGCACGTCGTGCTGACTATTGTATACTTTGCTGTTTCAGGTCAGTAGTGGGTGGATCATCACGTGGGGATTATTTGAGCTCGATCATTGGAAGGTCTAACCTCGGCCTGGCGCTGCTGACCAATCCGCTCCCCCAGACGCGCGCATATGTTTTTAGACCTGGCGGAAGAACTTGGCGCGCCTGCTTTCTTTTTCTTTTTGTCCGGCCCAAAGTTTTATTTGATTTGTCGTAGACTTTCGAGTCGACGGGCCACGCGCCCAGCGGTTGGCCTCCGAGCAGCCTCCCGAACGGTTTGTAAGTTTACCCCTCGTATAATGGACCCGCTTCCGACGGGGATCGGGTCCCGTGACCACCCCATGATCATTGACCGCGCGATGTGCTGGCCGAGGTGATCTGGTCGAATCGTTGGGGGTTCGAGTTGATGCCACGTAAGCCCGAGTTTGGATGTCCTTCCTTTATTGTTGTTGTTGTGGCCGTGAACGGAGTGTTGGGGATGTGGACGGGATGGACTGGCTCCCCAGCAGGGTGTAGAATGATGAGCGCTTTCAGGAGGCTAGCTGGGGCCAAGCGCAAAGCCTTGACGCGGTCCGTGCGCACGTGACGGAGTAAACTCCTCATCATGGGGAGCGTTCGTTTTACTGCGTAGAAGCCGAGTTTGCGATTTTCGGGGGCGGAGAAGGTCCTGGCAGTCCTGACGACACGAAGAACGTTGGTCATTCAACAGGGGTCTCATCGATCGACTTCAGCCGAGGGAATCGGCCGAACCCCATCAAAAGGAGGTCACAGTTTAAATTTAAGGTTCTTCCACGGGGGGTCGTATCAAGGAGAGATGCTCTCACTCTGCCTCAATTTAGCCGAGGTTTGCTTGAGCGACGGCGCGCGCGCACGCGTGAGCTCGCGTTGAGGGCGCTTGGAGGCGCTTGGCCTGTCTGGGACTCTGGGCCGAACGACGTCCTTGTCTCGATTTGAACGTCATTCGCCTCCTCGCTCTCCTCCTTCAACTACACCCCCGATCGCGGCCCCGCACCATATCATACCTCCGCTACTCAGCCACGCATTGAAGACATTCAGCATGACCCTCGTTGCCTCGACCTCGTCGCTTAAGTTGCCGTACACCAAGTCGATGCACGTCAGCACCTCGGGCTTGGGGTCGTCTCAGTTCGGGGCGTCGTCTTCGTCGTTGAGCTCGCCGGTTCGAACACCATTCGCGACTCGCACCGGCTCAGCGTTTTCCAACACCTCGACTTCAAAGCGGACATCGCCTCTATCGTCCAAGTACTCGTTATCGACCAGGAGCTCAGAGTCCGAGGACGAAGACGACGACGTGGACAGCGACGATTCGACGGTAGCTTTGCCCCAACAAGCGATCCGCGCAAGCAGCGGAGGCGCGAGCGGTGCCTCCACCTCGGCCACGACTTTGCCCCCACCTCACCACCACAAGTCGTTCTCGCACTCGTCCAACTCGTCCGATGACGACGTATTGTCCCCTTCGGTCCAAGCCAACTACTACTTGCCCGCTGCGACGACCGTGCGCGCTTCCTCGGCGCTGACGGTCAATGGACTGAGCACTTCTTCGGCGAGTGCGACGGCCAGGGCAGCCTCATCCGCTTCGGCGTCGAGCATGGGCAAGAATCTCGCTCGCAAGCGCGCCGACTCGTTCAAGTGGTCCAAGTACGCCGGCATGGGATCTGTCACAATCGAACTCGGTCTCTCCAACGATGAACTACGACGCGTTTGAGACCCAATGTACTCTCACCTACAAATCGATTATTCGCGCTTCCCTTTAAGATCCCGAGACGACGTCGACGGCGGCCCTTTCCAACCGGTTGGGGAACATCCCACGACATACGCACGCGCACTCGACGTCTCCGACCTCTTTGACGACCCATGTATTCCGTTACTCATAACCTCAAGCATCTCAGCAACATTTTCGATTCAACATTTTCCTCGACCTTTATTCTTTACCCTGTGTTTTTTAGAACACCGCATCGCCCTTTTGCTTCTTATTCCCCCGAGACACATGCTGCTCTCTCTAGCTCCTGTTTTGATCCCAAGACTTTGAGGGGCGCAATCATTGTTGAGTAGTTGTTTCAAATAAGCAATCTACCCGTGTTCGAAAAGCGGCCGTTGTCGAGAGATAAGCTTGAGCGATCTTGATCCGGACACGTAAGCAGCGGTGCCCCAGAATTTTGTTGAATCGGATGTGGGGTTGGGTGACGGTGAGCGAGGTCGCGTCGCAGTTCATCTGACTCGGGCCCGCGCGCCCCGCCGCGCGCCCGAGACACCCTCGCAGTTGACGATCTTTTCATCGTCCGGGGGGGGGGCCTACAGCCGAACACGTGATACTACGCTAGGGTGTTGATCGCTGATCGAATACTTCACGTCTCTATTCCAACACATACAAGAACACATAATTCCACGCCTGAGGTAGAAAAGTCTATAAAGATCACGGCCCTCTAACCACGTCGATCAAGCGCTTGAGTTGCTCCAAGGACATACTACGCCGCGACGGAGTCACGGTCAGCTCGAGTAGGATGCTCGTTGGGAGAAGAGGTGCGTGTCTTACAAAATGATGATGGTGTTGGGACTGAGTCGAATCCATGCCGGTGTCCAGCCTTTGAACATCCACCGCACGCCTTCGGTCTTGAACGAGCGCGAGATGATGGTCGAAATCTGCCGAAGGTGAACGGGAGATCACGGCTGGTCAGCACCACAGTCGCCCACTTGTGCTGTGAATACGTCGCACTGACTGGCTCATGTGCAGAAGCGTTCATTATCCGCGATTTGATGACGTCGAACGGCGCACATATTGTCGTGGCGACCGTGCCCTGTGGATAGGATAGGGAGCGTGAACAAACCGGACCACGCCCCGGTGTCCTCGAAGTGGGTACACACTCACGGCGAGGAAGGAAGAGGTAAAATGTAACCCCAAGCCATCGTCCATTAACATGGCCCTCATAATCACACCCTTGAAGACGTCGTAACTGCAGAAGCACACGGCAGATACAACAGTTTGAGCTCATACTCGCCACGAACGAGGTCACCTCGGCGGTGAAGCTTTGAAGACTCACGTCGCAAGCTGAGAAGCGTTCATCAACACGGCCCTGGCCACGTTCGGGCCGAGTCCTCGGAACAAAGCCGATGAACCTGCCTCCTGGATAATTCTGGCTACACCATCAAAGCTGTCGAAGATTAAAGACACAGCGTTAGTCCTGGAGCTCCGAGGTCGTTTCAGGGCTCGTCTCCGCCCGGACTAACCAATTCCGATAACCTAACCTCTGGGCCGCCGGTCGTGTCGCATCACTCGTCATCCTAACCAAGACGATGTCCGCCGGATTTCCCGCGACCCCCCCTAAACCACCTGCAACGGATGCAGCGATCGCCATCTTCCATGCCGGCAAGGTAGGTTCGGCCGGAGTCGTCATAGCCTCCTTCAAAGCGTCGTACACGCCGAAGCGAGTGAGCGAGTACGTCATCTGACGTAGGATCGAGGCCGATAGTCCAGCGTAGGCTCCTCTTCTAATTCCTGTTCACGCGAGACGTTCGGGCGGAGAAACAAGAGATCACGTCAGCGAGATGACCGAGCAAAGTTGGAAGGCCGTGTGGGGGGAGGGGCTACCTCGGCTGGGAGCACAATGTCGCACGCACCATCGTTTTGGATCGAGGTTTTCAACGTGTTGACCAGCCCTTTGCTTTCACTCGTTTGCATGCGACTGTGTAAAGTACATTGATAGAAGCAACGCCGGTTTTAGCCGCATTCGAATCGGAGGGGTAACTGAGGTCCGGTTTTGGTCTGGCACGAGATGCCGGAAAGGAGGAAAGATCGCGATGCTGCTTACACCTTGGCCAGGTCCAGTGGATCTGCAGAAGGTTCAAAGACGGAATTTCAACATGTGAATATATATGATCCTGATCCAGCCCACTTGACCTGGTCGACAGCACTTACGAGTGCATACTGCAGCGAACGAAGCCGCGGCACCTGTGGATCCCAAGATAGGTAGGTCGATTCGGGCAAGCCGGAGCAGCACAGGGCGACGACAACATCAGCACAACTTCAACAGGGCTTCAGTAGGGCTGAGAAAAGAAGAAAACGCCCACCTCCAGTCCAAAAGGGATACTGCTTGTGCTGCACCTCGGCGTCGGGCATGACGGACGAGCGCACGGAAGCGAGCACAGTAAGAGCGCTCGCTCCCTTGCGAAGGCCGGCGATGGGGCCGAGCGGGCCAGAGCGGGCCGTAAGGGAATACGGCACGGAGCGACGGAGGGCCGAGCCTCCACCATGGTCATGTGATGAATGATGTCGTGGTGATCACGAGGATGGTACGGCTTTAGGTCAGCGTTTGCAAAATGATGTACACGCAACTTCACTTGGCGTCTGCCTACTTCGGAAATTGCGTGTTCTTGAGGCCAGTGGACCACTCTGCTCGACCTCTTACAGCGTCCAGGACATCGGCCGACAGAGCGGTTTGAGGCCCCTGGAGGCACGTAACGCAACTCATATCACCACGCCACGAATGATCCAGAGCCGGGAGCATCAACAAACCAGCAAAAAGACCGAAAAATCACGTTACAACAACGGCATACCCATGAAACGTCACCCACTAACTGACCGTACACAAAACAGACATGATCCTCGCGGGCTTCCTAAATCACACACGTTCTGGCACCCGAATATGCTCAGTTGCTATTTTCGCTGAACCAGACTCCGGCTCGTTTGACATCTGCGAGAAGAAAATAACGTCAGCTTCGAGGCAGTCATTATGCATGCGCTTCGCAATGGCCCCGAACCCACATTTATCGACAAGCATGCCAATGTCGCGCAAGATGAAGCGACAGATCATACCGCCAAAGAACTCGCTCAGACGCTTCAGTCGCAACGCCATTTGCGCTCGATCACGTTCGTCCATCTCGGAGAGGGGGAACGAGCGATCGTTTATTGTTACGAGGTACACGTCGAGGCATTGAGCTTGCTGAAGCACACGAGCAATACTGTCGACATAGGTCGCGGGATGGTCGAGACTGCGCCCGTTCGTCACTCGGTCGAGGGACCGCGATAGCTTCGAAGACCAGGCACTGAAAGAGTTCTGTCACATCACAAAAGAAAACAAACATCAGGATCTGGAATCATCAGATCAACCATACACGCGCGGAATTGTCGACTCACTGTCCCGACCTTCTTGCCCGTCGATGCATATCCGAGCTTCTTCGACAGCGTGCTCTGAATGCCCTCCGTAAGACCCTCGAACGACTCGAGCTCCTTCGTTAACCGTGCCGCCGCCTCACGCGTACTCCGACCACCTTCGGAACGCCAGCACGCCTTGCCAAGCTTGTCGACAGCTTCGAGACCGGTCAACAGCAGGTCGAGCATGCGCACTTTGGTCTCGACCGCAACGAGCTTGACGCCGGCTTGCGACCAGACCTGATGCGGGATGTACAGCGTCGGTGTGATGTAGGCGCCATCCGTCTCGATCGTTTGCAGAATTTGCCGCATGAGGTAAAATGGCCTTCGAACCGGCGTGGTCCCAGGAGCTCCAACCTCAGAGCTGCTTCCGCCTGCAGCGAGCGGTACTGTCGGCGAAGACGGTTCAAGGGAGGAGGCGTTTGCAGGCGAGGGGACATATTCCCCTACAGCAGCTATACTTCGACGGCCCGTTGATGCACCGTTGAGCACCTCGCGCGAGCTCGCGAATGTGTCAAGGTAGTTCCAGAAAGGCGATGGCGCACCGCGATGAGATGCATCTCGCTCCGAATAACTTCCTTGAGATGAGACCGAGTTGGTGCGCACCAGGCTCGGTGGGTGTCCGAGACCAGGTCCAGCTGGAGAGGTGGGAGACGGAACAGAACTCTTGCGCATCATCTTTGGTGGACCGTTGCTTGAGATTGAGCGATCGCCAACGGTAACAATTGACGGAACGGGCGGTTGGTTCTGGAAAGAGGATAGCGACGGTCGTTGACCAGGTTGCGAGTGGGTACGAAGCCGCGTTGGAAGGCTCGCGCTCGAATACCCTCCTTCCGAAGCCGTCGTCGGACCAAAGTCATTCATGAAAGAGGTACTGGCCGAGCTAGCCGATTGCAAGCTCGGGGAGCTAACCGAGGGACCGACGTCACTACGTCCCCTGGATGCAGCCGCATTCTTGGCGTCGCGTTGCGAGTCCTCGTCTCGCACCGTTCCAAGGTGCGCTCCTGAGGCTTTGACAGCACTTGTCGCGGTGGTCTCGGATCCAGTCACCGGGCTCGGAGCCTGCGAGCTACGGCGGCGTTGGCTGATGGTTCCCGTCGTCGTCGAGTCATTGACCAATGGGGAAACGTTCTCTCGTCGCTTCGCCGAGGCGCTGTTGCTCACAACGATGCCTGTGCCGCCACTGGCCATGATCGGGCCACGAGCGGGGTGAGGTCGAGCATCAATCAGTCGTGGCGCTTCCTCACCAAATGGCAGGTGACCGGCTGCCAACAAAGAGCTGGTGCGGACGCCCGTCGTTCGTTTTGTTGCTTCGTTGAGCGGTGAGGCCACGGCGGCAGAGGATAGAGCGGCACGCGTCTCGTTCGACCAGGAGGACAAGTCTGGGCTTGCACTAGGAGCCGCCTGATCTGAGGCTGTTCTTCGAAGCTCGTGCGGTTGAAAAGCATATTGGGATGGCTGTGGTGATACACCCGTTCTGATCGCGCCCGGGGTCGGCGAGTGTCTGCTTTGTGCACCATAGCTCGCGGGGGTGAGAGTCGTCTCTCGCTCCCGCGCCGTCCCGTTCTCGGGCTGCGTCGGCCAGCCGGAAGCGGTCTCTCTCGCTGTGACAGGCACGCGATCGTCACTGTCGTCCGAGCCGTTAGATGGAAACCGTTGGTGCGATTGAACGGCGAGATTATCTGAGCTCGCAGACCGACCGAGCTGGACGGGCCGCTCTGTGGTGATATGCTTCCTCAGACGTTCTGGGCTGAGCGAGGGCCGTCGTGACCCGCCAGCTGTCGTGCCATTGGAGTCATTTATCGCAGGCGATGGTTTTCGGAATGGCTTCGAAGCAAGTTTGGGTGTCGTGTCAGTCTCGTCGAGCGAGGTGAGCGGCTGACTGGAAAAGGCATCATCCGATGGTGCGCTAGCCTGATTGGACGTTGCGAATGTTGCTGGAGGTATGGATACGGTCTCGAGACTGCTGATGGACCTATTCTGAGACCGCCGAGATACCATGGGTGGCGCAGTGATATACGGTGTCGCGCTCTGCTCGGTCCTCGTCGGTGCTCGAGGGGCTGAACCTGACTCTTCAACGACAGGCTTCGGCGTCGCGTCGGCTTGCTCTAATTCGATCGACTGCAGCATCCGGATGCGATCCTCATACGTGTCATGCTGTAGTTAGCAAAGTGAGAAGCCCCAGTCAAGTCGTTGAACCCTCTGATAGAAGCCGTTCTACGAGCCAGGCGCAAAAATGCTTACGATGACCTTGAGCCTCCGAGCCTCGTCCATCTTGGCCCTCTCCTTCCTCTCTATCCTCGCGATTCTTTTTTGCGCATCTTCCTCGGTCTCCCCGGGTCGTACGACATAGCGATCCCCTCCTCGCTCGTTCAGCTTCTCTCGGTCGCGCCGCGCGCCGTCCTCGACTCGAGCCATGACCTCCTTGAGCAGTCGGACGGAAGATGAGTAGGCGCTGATCGCGGCGGGGACGTTGTTGGCCGAATCCAACAGTACCGCCGATTGTGCGCGTTGCAATGCGATGGTCAAGACCGACTTTGACGAATTTGGAGCTGCGGAAGAGGCAGATGATGCATTGAGGTACTGGGAACGAGACGAGGATGACGAGGCCACGGCGCCTGTATTTGAGGGAGCCGAGGTCGAGGCGATGGGGCCGCCGGCTGAGTTTTGATCATGATTTCCAAATGGCTCGACATAGTGCTGCCGCCGAGCTGGTCGAGCTGTGGAATCAAGGATAGCCGAGTCGGTAGGAAACAGCAAACGTTAGCTCGCGTCACGTGGTCAGAGCAAACGTAATTTCCGTCGCGTCGCTCGGCCGTAACTTCCGTTGCGTCGCTCGGCCGTAACTTCCGTTGCGTCGCTCGGCCGTACCTTCCGTAGCGGGACCTTTCCCATTGCTGTAGGCCCTGTCACAGTGCTCCCTCGATGTCGCCCACTGGTCCGATGAGGTGGTGGAAACGAAAGGGTGCTCGACTCTACGTGACGTCGACGAAGCCGTTGCCGAACCCAGCCCCTCGGCGGCGGTGGAGCTACCTCTGCGCACGAACGGCTTGGACGGCAAGGGGTCATCACCGAGCGAGTTGCTGCCGTGGCTATGACTGCTGCTGCTTGCGGTGGTCGATGTCGATGGGCCCGCGGTGTGCCTCGAGGTGACGGGTGACGACTCGCCGCGCTGTCTCAACGCCGATCCGGGGCCATTAGGCGCTCGGGAGGGCGTTGCCATGCCTGAGCCCGACGAAGGGAAAGGCACTGGCAGTGGCCCTGTGGGTGGTGCACTCGAAGGAGGGGATGAAGAGCCTGCAGTGGTCGTGGTGGCGGGGCGGTTGCTATAGTACCTCGGGACCGAAGCGGTCGTCGACGGGGGCGCACGTCCCGCCGTTGTTGGGTCGTCGTCGTCGTCGTCGACGTTGACGGCGTCGGTTCCACGTGAGGACAACGATGATGCACCGTCCAACATCACTCTCGCGGGACTCAACACGTCCTCGACTTCGACTTGGGGTCCGGTCTAGCACGGTGTCGTCTAGTCGTATCCAGCGCGACAAGGTCAAGCACGAACGCGGTCGAAGGCGAGTGGGTGCCGACAATGTTCCAGGAGAAGAGGAGCAATCCCCGCGTCGCGTCGTCGCGTCACCCGAATGCTCGGCGTCAGTGCACCATCGCGAGCGCGTGAGCCAAAGGCCACAGGGAAAACCGAGCCAACGGCCGTGTCCGGAAGCGGTCTTTTGGGGTGGTATCATTTCCGTTGGAATCGTGGTAGGTCAGCTTTGACCGGTACGAGAATCTCGTTTGTGTACAAGATTATGACATTCACTAGGTAAAGAACTGCATATGTCTGCACGTCCTCGAAGTCCGGGAAGGCTGGAGGTTCAGATTTGTGAAAGCGCCGTCGCACAATCCGGTGTCGATCTCGAAATGATTGCTTCTACCTCTAATCACACTCAAACAAGTAGTTCACAAAGCAGAACAGAAATCAACCGCCCCACCAAGCTTTCTGGACCGAACAAGACGATCAAGAGCAATCTTGGGAATACAAGGACATCATCATGATCAAGATATCAATGCTTGTTCTCATGGCCGTCGGCACTCTAGTCCAATCTGGGGATCAAGAGTCGGATGTTGAAGGTCCACCCTTGTGAGTCTGCCGGTCTGCTCGAACCTTTGCATTGCACAGCATGACTAAAGTCTCTTCAGCATGTCTCTCGAACGTTCTCCCGATCGAACGAGGCGTAAATTATGGCCGAGAATTCCCGGAGTTCCCGCACGTCTTCCATAGCCTATAAAGGGAAGAGCGGAGAACAAGAATGGTCGGTCAGTCAAACAGCCTGAGTCGCCAGGTAGACACCTCCAACTGACCTCGACGTATTCATTCGACATTCCACTCAGCACATTGTGACTGTGCTGAGCGAGAACAGGCAACAACTTGGCCAAGATCGTGCTCCTTTCGGTGACGTCTTCGAAACGACTACCTTGGCCCATCGAAGCGACGGGCGATTGGAAGGGCGCTTCCAACCCGAGGACGAGGCGCGTGAACATCGCGTCGAGCAGTCGTTGTCGCACGAGCTGACCATCGGACGAGTCGAGACAGTCGTGGGTTTCAGAGAGCAGTCGACGCAACTCGGGGTTGATCGTCGCAGAGATGGTGGGGATCCCGCCGGCTGTGAGGGTCTTCACCTCGTCCTCGAGCGAACTGGGGAATAAGACGGCTGAGAAGCTATTCAGGGGCGCAAAGTCGAATCAGTCCCATTTGGTGCGGCAAATACCAAGATAAACCTGTCAAGTCACTTACTCGAACATCGTCCCGTCCTCATCGGTCTCGATCTGGTTCCGAATCTGGTCCAACAGCGTCGACAGTTCGCCATACACAATCGGCGACTTGAGACCCATAGGCCCCACGACCTTATTCACAGCCCGTTGCACTCGATCACCAACCAATCTCCACCCTTCGTGCAGCAACCACCAACTAAAGGTTAGGTACTTGCGCTCCGTATCTTTGCTGACGCCGACGACTTGATCCGACGTCTGTGCCTTCTCGCCGTAGAGGGCCATCTCCAGATCCCGATCGGTGTTGAATTCAACGACGATGTCATCTTCGGCTTTGTCGAGGGCAGAAGGTACACTGAGTGTCGACACGACAGAGGCGACGTAAGCTGATCGACCCAGCAGTGAGAGCTGTACGTGCGTTTGCAGTGTCATCAAAGTGAGAACGTAGATTGAGGTGATGGTGCGAGTGAAGGCTGTGATCCGTACGACGAGATCAGCACATCGCACATATACGATCACGAATGGGTGAGAGCGCACACAGAAGTTTGATGTCGTTCCAAAGCTCAGCTCGTGTCCGCAGCGGAAGTTTGGGTTCCGCCTCTGCTACACCCACGATTTCGGAGAATGTTGTCGGATTCTGTGCAAGTCCTCTCGAAGGCATCGTGAGTTCACACAATCAACGATACAGTAGTACCATGTGACGAACCTCTTGATCCTTCTCAACGGGCTGCCCCTCCCCATTGACCACAACCTGTGCCCAACTTTTGCTCAATCCTGCGGTAGACTCGCCCATGCCGTTGTCTGTGTGCGTTGTCTCGGCGGTGGGTGCGACAGTCTCTGATGAAGCCGAGGCCGGTTGAGGCTCTTGAGCCAGTTCCCCAGAGGTTGAAGCGTTCTGTTGGGTTTGTCCGACGGTGTAGGCCTCGGCGGCGGTGCCACTTCCACCCGCAGTCGCCTGCCCTGCTGCATGTCCCTTGACAGCTTCGGCCCAAGTCTCCGGTGCCTTGTCTTCGACGTCTACGAGTCCACTCTTGGCCTGAATTCCATCTGCAGCCGCTGCTTCTCCGTTGTTCGCTTCCTTGACCACTTCAGCCCAAGTCCCATTCGCTTTGTGCTGCTCCTCCGACTCCCCCACCGTCGAACTCTCTTCTTTGCCTTCATCCCCTTTGACGACTTCAGCCCAAGTACCTTCCACCTTCCTCTTCTCAGTCTCGTTCCGTTCCTGTTCCTCCCGCTGCTTTCGTTCCGAGTCTTGCTTGGCCCGGTCGGCGATCGTTCTCAATCCCTTCCAGCACGCGTCGACGTCGTATTCGTCCAGAACTTGTCGTGCGACGGTTGGTAATAAAGCTAGTACTGTGAATTGTGAATCTTGGAGGTTGAGGTTGAATCGTTTGGAAAGACTGCTCGATCGGTTGGTAGACTCGAACAGCGTCAGCTCTCCAGGTCGTCCCCTCTACCAAGATACGCAAGATACGCGTGCCCCTTGTTGATGCAAAAACATATAACTCAACTTGTCCTTCTCGATGCCTTCCTTCCTCTGCCGTTCCGCGAACTCGCCCATCTTCTTCATCCCCCACTGCCCGACGAGGTAAGCCCCACCGATCGTACCGACGACCCAAGTCAGACCACGACGGCGCTTTTGGAAGAAGTCCGAGGTGCCGGAGGCGAAGGACGCTAGCATGGTGAGTGGTTAGGTGATGGAGGTGTAGGGGAGGGGGTTGAGTTGATCCGAGTGCCACGACTTGAGGCTGGCTCTTCCGAGGTCGTGCCGGATGGCGTTACGGGGTCGGATGCAAGGGAAGCCAGGCAGGACGAGAGCTGCAAGGGGGTGTAACTAGTTGTTGAACGTGAACAGGCTTCGATCGAGCTTGTGGAGCTACTTTGAGACGGTGGGTGCCGCACGTCGTCGGAAAGCACTCTTTGAACGCCGTCACGCACGTATGACGGCACCGAATCCAAGCCGAAGAAGCGCTTCCGACCCGGCAACAACCTCCCCGGCGTCGGACACGAATTGATGCCCCAGACTGGACCTGGACGTCATCTGACTTTTGGATGACTCTCACTGGGGCCGAACAGTGTGATGGAATTTCGATCTTGATTATTAAGGTCTTGTTTTGATTCAGATATATAATCGTTCTAAGGCTGGCTTTGTGAGATCAGCCTATTGGCCGCCTGTATACGACAGAAATATAAGAGGTATCGAAAAGTGAGAGGAACATTGCGGCTCGAGCTCTTAGAGGCTAGATCGGCCGGGTGAGATGAAGAACAACACAAGGAGTAGCAAGACATCGGATTATTGCCCAGGATTAGGATGGAGGGGTAATGTTGGGAGACAGTTAATTAGTAGTCGTCGGACGAGTCGTTGCGACCAGTGCCTGTGAAAATGTAAAAGTGGGAAGTCAGAAATTGCTTCGAGCACTGGCCCAGGCAGGTCAGATCTGTCGAGCCTTACAGCAAGCGATAAGGTCTATCGAGTAGAATGAACAGATCAGCAAGTAGCTCAGGTATCGAACGAATGGGCGACAGTAGACTTACAAGGAATGACGGCGAGGAACGCCGCGGCGGTGGCGCCCCAAAGGAGCCAGAGCGCGTTGCCGTAGGCGACCTTGATACCAAAAGCGACACCACTGATGGTCGCATTGTTGATAGCGGCCTTGACGCGCGCTAAAAGTATGGTGTAGATGATGGCACCGGCGGCGAGCAGCAAAAATGCCAAGAGGGAGACGATGGCGCCGAAGAGGAAGGCAAAGCGGTGGGCTCCGAACCCGACGAGCTTATCAGGACCAAACGTACAAATTGTAAGTTTCATCGCTCTCTTTCCGGTATAAAGAGCACTAGCGGACTGACCATCGCAAGAGCGGCAAGAATACTACCAATGAAGACTAAATAGTTCGCCACCTTGGTGAATCGACCGAGGTACTTGTCGTCGGAGAAAACGTTGTTCGGCAACGCCGCATCCAAAGCTTGCTCGTACTGGGTTGGCACGTCACCGAGGAGCGCAAGAGCGGGGCGGAACTCGAAGCCGAACGAACGTTTGGTGCAGTAAGAGCGTTGGCTACCAATCGAGCCTCCGGTCGTGCAGTAGTCTGTTCCGCGAAGCAAAAAGTCCCATTCGATTAGATCACACTCTCGTCCCCCAGAGCTTCACTTTTAATCAAACGTACTCCAGATGCCCCACTCGTACGTCTGGCGCAATCCCTGGTTGTTGCCGTTCACAGAGCGACCGCCGACGTAACCCGACGCGGTATCGTACAGATCGTTGACGTTGCCGAGCGCAGCGGCGAGACCAGTGGTGGTGATGGTCACTATTCGCAAGTGTCGAGGAATGGTCGACGGGTTCAATTGCGCGATCTGTGAAAACGGAGGCAGCGACAATCGTGAGCGCCGGGAACCGTGGGGACCGATTAGGAGAGCGAGCCGGAGCAGCCGAAGCGCTGACTTGGCCACCGATGAAACACTTACGTTCGCGAAAACTAAGAGGATCACGGAGCTAAGGTCATCGTGGAGAGCAGCAGTGGTGGGTCAGTGCCAGTCCCCATTTGTGAGTACAGCTCCGTCCATGTCATGCCAAGAGCTAGATGCAACTCGGTAGGCCTCCTCCTACAAGCAAGCGGCGAAGTTGGCCGATTCCGGGCGCCTTCGATGGCCCGGCGTGGCTTGCGAGGGGCGGCCCCGCCCGCGCGTGCGCAAGCTGATGTTGGACGAGACTGGAGCCTTCAAAAAGGGGGATGTGGCACTCACGCAACCGCGAGTAAGATGCCAAAACCAGCACAGCAATTGAGTCGGACCATCTTGGCAGGAGTAACTGGTAAGAGGACTGTGGGTGGTGATGTGAGAGGATGGTATAGATGACGGGGTTAGCCTGAGTTGAGTTTCACGAGTTGGGCCAGAGTTGTCCTAGCCGCTGCCGGGCTCCGATCTGGAATCGAGGTCACTTCTGCGGGAGTCGAACGGTCTACTCGGGCATCCTGAAACATGATGACTGACCTGATGAGCAGAGGGTGCTACTCTTTGGAAAGGTATGACAGGGTGAGTACGATCCAAGTGGGTGGTACGTGTAGGTGGTGGGTGATCAGATTGAACCCTCGTGAGAACCGCCCCGCCATGGACGAGCAACACTTCGGAATTTGCTCTGGCTTGGGCGATCGCCTATTTGTCTCACACCTGATCGAAAAGGGCATGCCGCATAACGTCAGCTCTCCTGATACCGCTTGCGCCGTGCATTTGTTTAGCGAGCGAAGGATGTCTTGTAGTTGCAGCAGGGCTTGAGAGAAAACCGAAGGGACCGTAGTGTAACTAACACGGACGGCCTTAGTGTAAATAATAAATCAAAATAAACAAAAATTAGAGGGAAAGGGAAGGAGGGCGGGAAGGATCAAAGGACGAAGGATCGCTTTGCGAGGCGTAGCACGTTGGAGATTCAGTAAGACAGAGCAACTAAGACATAGACAGTACCCCCAGCGTAGTAATATGGCATACCTTTGCGAGGCGTAGCGCAAGCGTCAAATAGAAGATTTGAGGGTGCTACGTGTTAGTTTGGGCGCGCCCAACTAGGACGCTCCTGAGAGACAGACGAAGGGTCGTACAGAGGTGAATCGCGGAGACCACTTGAACGAGTAGGGGAGCGGTTTGAGAACGTCAACAACTAGTCGAGCGTACTCAGACCGGCTCGAGGAAGGGCACGTGGCCGCTAGGAATCGTCGAGTCGCTTTTTTTTTCCCGCGGCAGACGCGTGATGCTGTGCGGGTCGTTGGGAGGTCGACTCGCAGGCAATTGCGAGGTAGATCGAGTGCAGCCTTGAGCAAGGTGAGATTCGACTTGTAGAGGGTCACCGAGAGGAGCAGCACGATCGTAACCGGATCCAGACGACGCGATCAGTGAAGAGCGAAGCCTAGCTTGGAGGCGCTGAGGGCTGAGCGCTCCGGAGAGGCTAGGAAAGTACGCTGAGCGCTCCGGAGAGGCTAGGAAGGCTGGTACGGAGACCAGTGGGGTGGTGCACGGATGCGCGCTCTCTCTTGAGCGCGGAACTCTTACCGCTAAAGCTGAACAGACATCATTTGGGGGGCGCTGGCGGTGTCCAGGGAGTGCTAACTTCGCTAACTTCAGGCGCGCGCGCGCTTGAGGCGCGCTTAGGCAATGAAGTTGGCGAAGTTAGCAGAGGCGTGGGGGGGGGGGCGGAAGTTGGCAGAAAGGTGGGGGAAGTTGGCATTGGCCCACGGGAAGTTAGCAGAAGTCACGTGTCGCCCGCGGCGCGACAATCGCATCGAGCTCTTTCTCAGCCCCCTACCTGTCCTGATCTATGCCCAACGTCCGCACTTCTTCGGCCTTCGAGCCAACACAACGTAACTTGCCACGTCACCGCAAGACTCGCTCTCAATTGTTGATCCCATCCGATGCCGTTCAGCAAAGCCGATCGAAACGATTTGGCGCGAACAGCACGCCTGGGCGAGACACTGAACTAGCACATCTTACACTTTAGGTCGACGAAGACACGGAGTCGGGCTGCTATTCAATGCTCATCTACCTACATGAGCCATCGATCGAGCAAGACCGCCATCAATCTAGCAGCACGAGCGCACCGACGTCAGGCTCCCGAGGTCCGCCGTCAACCGCCTACAACGCTCCATAGCATTCTTGAAGACGGTCAGACCGATGAAATAGCAAGTAGCGAAACTTGGAATACAGGCTGAGCGATACCTTCAGATAAGGCAAGTTCAGGAGTCGCCGATAAGGATCATGTCGGAGCCAACTTTAAACTTTGGTCGACCACGATCATTGAACTGCACAACGAGTGCAGGTCAATGGTAATAGCTCGATTACTAAGGATCGCCTCTGTGATCTCCGTTGCTATGCTGACAACAATCGTCACAACATCTGCCATGAAATAGGGCCGTTCGAGAAAAGGGACCGTGAGTCGTCGCCCGTCGCCCGACCGTTAGCGCGTTTGCCGTGCCGCTCCATCTCGTGTACTGAAATCGGCGTTTCTTTGTTCCCCGTTCCCAGAGGAGTGACCAGAAAGAAATACATTCATGTTCCGATACCCAGCCCGACTCGTTCAACGCATCTATCGGTCACTTCGAGCTACCCTTCGCTTCGACTATAGTTCTACCGAGCCCACCTGGTCCGTATGGTCGAAGATCCCAATGGACGCCGTCTTTCAAGTAAGCAGAGCAACCAACAAAGTCGATTCTTATCAAGAAGTACCGAACACACGTTACAAGCATCAAACGGCAAGAGTGGCAGGTCTTGTGCTCCCTCGGCGATTGAGGACGAGATGTGCTTTGGAACTGCGGCGGGACGAAATCGTGACCGATGCGACCACTAAGATCGGAACACAAGGAGGACGCAGATTGGCTCCAGGACCTGCCATCCAGCGTGACTTGACTTCACGCTACCAACGACCTTTGTATCGAAGCTCGCAAGAAGAAGGATGGGCATGAGTTCATGCTCGGCGGACCATATGACAACATCTTATGACCTCGGCTTGATCAGTATCGGCATCGGTATCGATCGCCATCCTTCCCTGCACTTCTTCCATGGGCATCCTCGGTATCTTGATATTCCATCGATCTTCAACTTACGACTTATTCCACCATTCAGGATGTGCTCTGACGGATACGAGCGCAACACAGCGGTCCTCAAGAAGGGTGGCTCGAGACTCGTTGGCAGCTCCGATTGGCCTCGCCGAATCCGCGATCTCAGTTGACCGGTCGGTCCCTGACTCTAGCCATTGGAACTCCAAACACGGTGAGATGTTCACACAGTTTCTGTGGAAGGCATTTCTGGTAAAGCAAAGGATATTTCTTATAATCCACGTGTTCAAAGCCTGCTTTTTTCATTGCTCTTTATACTGCTGTCCGAGCCTTGAAAAGGCTTTAATTTGAAGTGAGGCGGCTGCGAACGGGACTGTAAGCGTGTTTCTCAAGCTTAGGCATACCATCTTTACGTGTACCTGGTGTTGGTGTAAAGATACCAAATTTGGGCAAGTTCTGCTACAAGAGAGTACTATGACCATGTACATCATGTGTTCGTCTTTCCTTCTTCCCTTATCTTTTCCTTATTTCCTTCCTTTTTCTTTCTCTTTTCTTCTCTTTTTTCCTTCCTTTCCTTCTTTTTTTCTTTTTCCGCTTCGCCGGCAACTCCCTGGACATGGGTGGCGGCCCAAACTTCTTCTCAGTTTCGTGAGGTCGAGATCACATCAAGAGAGGTATTATGCTCACTATTCATCCATTACAGGAATCGGTATAAAATTATCAGGAGGAGTAGTCTACGGACTTCAGGCGGTATTACGAACTCCGGAAAGCGTCAAGCCACAGGATCGATCGGGACGAATGTAAGAATCGCGCATGCGAAGAAGCAAGCTTTGGTATCAGACCCCAACCTCACTTCTTTCCGTTGATGTACCAATCGTAGGTCGAGTTCCAAGCCGCCTTGGCTCCCGAATCCATGACGTTACTGTGAGATTAGTCAGCCTCGGCTATCAGCAACTCTTTCTGAAGGGTTCGCCCCTATAAGTTCAAGGCTCTGCTGAGAGGCTGCAATGAAACCTACCCATGGCAAGGGATCATGCGGTCAAAGTCCCAGGCTGAAACGACCTTGGCTTGCTCGGTCATAACCTTCTTATCCTTGCCCATAAGGTACCACGCCAGTCGCTGCGGAAAAAAAAAGTGGGCAAAAAGTCAGCCGTTTCGTTCAGACGCAGACCCCGGAGGGTGAAGATGAGCAGGCACACCTTGTGACCAATCGCTAGGTAAGATAGATGAAAGATGTCAGTGATCGAGTTCGAAATCATGATACTTTTCCGCTCCTCCAACACGTAGCCCTCTCGAGCCTCCCGGAAAGAGCACTCACTTCCGGGCCTGAGCAAGTTGGTAGCCAGGAAAGCGGTCGACTTCTTGGTTGATTTCGAGTACTGTGGATCATTTTGGAACATGACCTAATGTTACTTGAGGATGGAGTATTGGTTTGCACTCACCTGCTCATCAGGCGGCAAGTTGAAAAGGAGATCGGCCTGGATCAAAGTCTTGGTGGGGACGTGCAAGAACGCGACCTAAATCCCTCAAGAACAACAGAACAAGTCTTAGTGTCTCATCTTCTCATCTGGGGCTGGATTGAGCCATGCAAACCGGCTCACATCTTCGTTCCCATGGGCCTTGCCAAAGTCCGCACTGAGAATCTCTCCATTTGTCAAAGCCGGGAACGGATCGGCCTTGCCTTGACCAAACGTGAACGTGATGCGATTGATCAACGAGTTCTCGCCCTTCTTCTGCCAGTTCTCCTTGACTCCGAGCGGCACGAAGACTTGGGCTTCCGGGTAGGCGTCGATGTACTGCTTGAGAAAGATGTTGTGCTCCCTATCGGGGCTAATGATAAACTTGGTCGGGCCGAGGTTGTTCAAGGTTGTCAAGGTACTGTGACGTCGATACGGACGTATGAGCGATTGGGAAAAATGCCTAAGAACTTGAAATGGTACAGATTGATGATGAGACTCACTCGGGATCGAGAGGGTGCGAGGCGACAAGCCAGACGTTGCCATCTTGGAGCTTGATCGCGGTTGAACGACCTCCGAACGGAACGAGGCCACCTCGAGCAAAGGGGCACGAGAAGATGGTCGTCGACTCGGAGAGCTTGCGGATCTATCGGTGGTGGAATCGGAACCGATGAGTCAGCGTCATGCTGTAGAAGCTGGTCCGCTTCGAGTGTCGGAGCGACGGTGCGATGGTGCGCTCGGTCATCGGAGACGAGGGAAGCGCGATGGCGATCGATACGTCATGACCTTATGAGGGCCGACGAGGGAAGATCGAGATGGGTGTACTTACGACAAGCTCAGGGTTAACAGGGGCAGGAGCGTTGGTGGCCATTTTGAGAGAGTTGAGGAAAGTCGAAGAGGCGTTCGAGGCGTGAATGAGGAGGTGAGAACGAGTGCAAGACCGGAAACAGCAACTCATGCCGCAAGGCGGACGTTGGCCGAAGCAGGCCGAAGCCCACGACTAGCCCACGGCGGCATGACAAATTCAGCTCTAGCCAACATTAGTAATTTGGCACCGGGCTGTCGGGCAGCAGGTGGGGTCTCCGGTGCCACCAGGATATACCTCACTGGAAGTGTGAGTGATTTTTACGTATGTGACACCCACCATTAAACGAGCTGAGCAGTAGTAGAATTCTGGGCTGTGAGTCTTCTTCACTTTGGACTCCCAGTGGATCGCCGCTGCCAGCTCCTGCCACTGGCTGCCAGCTTGCCCCTGCATTGCAGCCGTGTCACTGCGCCCCTCGCCCGCCCGCCTCTGCCTGCGCGCGGCGCGTCTCCCGAGCTAAATTGCGTTTCAGCTCGTGTGCTCCTGCCGCATTTCTACACTGCTACCTATCACCCACACGAGCACCGCAGTCGCCAAAATGGAAGCACCCTCCTCGAACGCTGGAGGCATGATGACTGACAACGATGATCAGAGCCGTCGTGGGGCCGACGAAGCGGAGGAGGTTGACGAGCAAGGGCGAGCACCCGCCGGGACGCGTCGACGCGGCGCCAATCCGAACCGCGTACGAATCAGCAGGGACCAGAACGGCATCCCGCCTGTGCGCGATGACACTGGAGAAAAAGTTACGGAACTTTTCCAGCAGTTCCTTGAACAGTGCGTTTTCGTAGCGGTCTCTTGTGTGCCGGCACGCCGCGAGCTGCACGCGGCCTTTCATCAAGACGCGTCGTCGCGTCAAATGAGACTCGCGTTCGCGATTGCCCCCCTCCTGCGCAAAAAGATACTTACTCCCCTTTCGATTACCTGCTCTTCATGATAGGTTCTCCGAAGACAATGCTGGACCCCTCCCGTCGTCGTCGAACGCAGACCCCGCCTCGGATGCTCCCGGTCCTCATCACTTTTACGTGAGCCGCTCGCGACGCGTCCTGGTCTCTCCCGTGTTCTCAGCCTCGAGACGGAAAGCTGACTCGAACTTCGATCATGGGTCCACAGATCGAGCAAATCAAAGGCATGCAAGAGTTTAAGCTGTCGACGCTCTACGTCGACTACCAGCATCTCATGAACGCCAGGGACATTTTGGCTAGGGCCATCACCGAGCAGTACTACCGGTACGTACTCTTCCCCCGTCTCGTGTGTGCGAATTCATCCACTGACCTCGTCAATTCAACATGTTACACGCAGCTTCCTTCCCTATCTCCGGCGAGCCCTGCAGAACCTTGTGCGCAAGTACGCACGCACGTACCTGTACGTCAACTCGCACACCAACGCCACAACCGAGGCCGGCCTCAAGGTGCGCACCTTCTCGATCGCCTTCTACAATATGCCTTTGGTCGAAGGTATCCGCGACATGCGCACCGAGAAGATTGGCAAGCTGTCGAGCATCTCGGGAACGGTCACGCGCACGAGCGAGGTCCGACCCGAGTTGATCTTTGGCACCTTTACGTGTCAAGAGTGCAAGGGTGTGATTCGAGATGTCGAGCAGCAGTTCAAGTACACCGAGGTGAGTCTCATCCTGACTGAATTAACATAAAGGTTTTCGACTGACGCGGCGTTCATTATTTCCGCTACAACTCTTTAGCCGACACTCTGCCCCAACGTGACGTGCTCGAACCGATCCAATTGGAAGCTCGACATTGAGCAGTCCAAGTTCTCGGATTGGCAAAAGGTCCGCATTCAGGAGAACTCGAACGAGATCCCGACTGGGAGTATGCCCCGGTCGTAAGCAGATCCCCCATCCTTAATTTCCGATTCAGAGTCGATGACTGACCGGATTCCTATGACATGCTACAGCCTTGACGTCATCCTTCGAGCTGAAGTCGTCGAGCGAGCCAAGGCCGGTGACAAGGTTATTTTCACGGGCACGTTCATCGTCGTTCCTGACGTGGCTGCGCTCGGTTTGCCGGGAGTGAACGCCGAGATGCTTCGCGAAGGCTCCGGTGGACGAGGAGGCGCAACTGGTACCTTCGGTGGTAACATGGGTGTGACTGGACTCAAAGCGCTCGGTGTCAAGGACTTGACGTACAAAACCGCTTTCCTCGCTTGCATGGCTACGAGTGCCGATGCTAGGGTGAGTGAGCAAAGCAACCCGGCCTCCCGTGGTCAAAGCACTTATGGGAACCGGTCAATGTCAATTCGCAGACCACGTCCACCAACATTCGAGCTGACGCTGAAACAGGTGGCGAGCGATCTCGCAAAGACTTTGTCAGCTCGTTGACGCGCGAAGAACTCGCCCAACTCAGTGGCATGATCCAGACCAAGGACATCTACAACAAGCTCGTCGAGAGTATCGCGCCAACGGTGTTTGGACACAAGATCGTTAAGAAGGGTGTTCTGCTTCAGTTGATGGGAGGTGTGCACAAGCAAACGCCCGAAGGCATGAACCTCAGGGGTGACTTGAACGTTTGCATCGTTGGTGACCCGTCGACGAGCAAGTCGCAGTTTCTCAAGTGAGTACCAAACACCTCTGCGATTCCCTGAACCTTGGCGGCTGTCAATTGACGTTCTTACTTGTCACTCGCTGCAGGTACGTGTGCGGTTTCTTGCCTCGCGCTGTCTACACCTCGGGCAAAGCTTCCTCTGCCGCCGGTCTCACCGCTGCCGTCGTCAAAGATGAGGAGACGGGCGAGTTCACGATCGAAGCTGGTGCGCTCATGCTCGCCGACAACGGCATCTGTGCCATCGACGAGTTTGACAAGATGGACATTGCCGACCAAGTCGCCATCCACGAAGCGATGGAACAGCAGACGATCTCGATCGCGAAAGCCGGTATCCAAGCGACGCTCAATGCGCGTACCTCGATCCTCGCCGCGGCGAACCCCGTTGGTGGTCGCTACAACCGCAAGATGAGCTTGCGAGCCAACGTCGCGATGAGCGCACCGATCATGTCGCGTTTCGATCTCTTCTTCGTCGTTCTGGACGAGTGCAACGAAGAGATCGACACTGAGCTCGCCACCCACATTGTCAAGCTCCACCGCTTCCAAAACGTCGCAATCGCGCCCCCTTTCTCGACCGAAGAATTGCAACGCTACATCCGCTTCGCGCGCACGTTCAACCCCAAGCTCACCGCCGCAGCGTCCAAAGTGCTCGTCGAGAAGTACCGTGATCTGCGTAGCGAGGACTCGGACGGCTATGGTCGCAATTCGTACCGCGTCACCGTGCGTCAACTGGAGAGCATGGTGCGCTTGTCCGAAGCGATCGCGCGCGCCAATTGTACCGATGTGATTACCGCGGCGTTTGTCAACGAGGCCCACTCATTGCTCAGTCAATCAATCATCCAAGTGCTCAAGGATAACGTCGAGATCGATGACGATGACGATGAGGATGATGACGAGAACGATGGTGAGGACGGCACCGCAGGACCCGAATCGTCACAGACGGGCCCAGGGGCTTCTTCACCGACCCGGGGTCGATCACCTCGCGACGAGGACGGAGAGCAAGCAACGACGCCTCGCGCAACGACGCCTGCCGCACCGAAGAAGGCCAAGATCTCCATCACATACGATAAGTACATGACAATTATGCAGAAGGTCGTCTACATGCTCGCGGACGTCGAGAATCGAACGCAAGCTGGTCTGCCCCGTTCCGAGGTCGAGCAATGGTATCTCGACGAGATGGAGCACACGTTCAGCAATACTGAGGAACTCGATGCCGAGACGACGCTCATCTCCAAGGTCTTGACCAAACTCGTCAAGGAGAAATACTTGCTCGAGCTCAAGGCCGGGAGTGGGTCGGGGCTCGTCGAGGACGGTGAACAAGGGACCGACGATGACCCGATGCTATCCGTTCACCCCGAATGCGATGTTCTTACTAACTAGAAGCCTGTGGGTGATTAAAGTTCACTTGTAGAAAAGAGCCATCTTATTTTTGACCGAGTCTGAGGGGGGTGTTCTTGTCATTGGATCGTCTCATGTAATCATGATCGCTGTAGCCATTCGAAAACATTCTGCATTCTGCATGCGCGTGCCCCCATGCCAGACCGCGAACGTTGAAAGTTTACTCCACACATTACAAACTGTTTCTAGGTAGCTCTTCTCGTGCCGCGGACGCAGCATATATTACGTCCAAGGTTCACGGCAGCGTCATTAAAAAGGGATAAAATTCGTGTATAGATAGGAAAAAGGGGGGGAGAGGCGTGCGAGCGCGCAAGCTCTTCCAAAAAGATTGCTACTTGTGATTGGTCTGCCGGTGTAAGGATGGTGGGATATATTACCGACGACTGCACAGTGGCCAAGAAGATGCTGAGCGCGCTCGACGTGCGGGTCATACGAACGACTGTAAGAATATTCGGCGAGAGGTCAGAGTTCGCAACCTGCGCGGAAGTCTCTCCCAAAGAGGTCTTCAACTGACTTTAAGCTGCTCGTTCGAAGCCAAAGCGTGTTCTTCGCGCAAGCAATCCAGGGCATGCCCGTGGACGATGTTGATGCGACGATCTCGACAGAACGCAATAAAGTCGCGTCCCGCTTCGGTCGAGAGAAGTTCTCCTCGCGGCATGTACATGAATCTATAGTCGGAAGACAGTCATCAGCGTTCGTTTGGCATGCTGCACAATGTGACCCTGTCGGGAGCAGGACTTACCTTAGCGAGCGGAGTCGGCCCAAGTGCGGTTGTCCCAGGGCGGCGGTAAGCAGTCGAAGCCTGTTTCGATCCACAAAAGACGTGCTTATCTCCTCGATGGTCGAAGGCAGCCTCGCCAACAGGCCAACAAAGTCCTCGGCCGAGCGCTGAAAATCGACAAAGGACCGCAGCGCTTCGAGGCGCGAGATGGAATCGTTCATGAGGGCTCGTTGTGAAGGCGACTGCATGGCTTGCATTGTGGTCGTCAAGGACTCGAGGGTGCGTATCGCGTTGCTGAAAACGGCATGAATGAAAGCCAGGGGGTGATAGCTGCCTCCCAATACGAAATGGTGCAGCGAGAAGGGAAGATTTATTCGGATCGGGTCGACCCACCTGTTGCGCGCGCCACGAAAGTAGGTCAGGGGCCTGCAAGCTCGGAGATTGGCAGACAAGGCGACCGAAATCTGTACTCACAGCTTCGTATGTAATGTGAGCGACGTTAAGGTGTCGAGATGGGGATAAGTGAAGACAGATGTCGACAGGTTGTTGACAAAGTCGATGCGCAGCCGCTTGATGCCGCGTACGCGGCGCAAAACTTGATCGGTCGAGACGTTCGTAACTTGACCGCCTCGTCCATCGATATAGACTGATTCTGCATTGTGATGATCGATCGCGGGTGACTGGAACATAACATCAGACAGCTTAATCAGTCAAGACCCATTGTACACATTCAAGCACGACCGCGCATCAAACGCATCACTTACAGCGAGCCACCGCACCACTGCGCTCTCGTCCATAAAGACCAAATGGCCGAACAAGAGGCTCTGAGCCGGGCCGGTCCAAGACTTGGCGACGAGGGAGTAATTCGCGAGGGCCCGACGCTGTTCAGTCGATCCGAGCTGGTCGATGGCAAAGACGAGGATCCGCAACAGGGCGCTGCGCAAATTGTGAGCCTCGTCCCAGCCGACGTGGATCCTGGCGAGGTTGTCGGCCAGGGCCGTGGTGGCGACGGACTCCGAGCGTGACTGACAGCCCAGGTACATCGCCTGCTTCGACGAGGCGTGGCCGTGCGACCGTTGAGCGTTCGGCGTGTCGAAGATCGCAGACTAGGAAGGACGAACGGAAACCCGGCCTGGGGCTGGACGGGATGAACCGTCTGTTGCGAAGAAGCTCGTGCTAGGTCCGCTTGCTCGACAGTTGGGCACCCACGCGAGTAGCCGACAAGCGAGCTCGTCGGCGATACGCGAAAATGAAGCGAGCTTCGGGTCTAGGTTGGCGGGCGGGTGGGCGTCGCGCGCGCGTGTTTCGTCGGGCCTGATTCAGGGCAACTGGGTCGGCAGCGGCGGAGAGTGGGGGCCCTGGGCTGGAGTGGGGGTGCTGCCGTACTCTCGTGCTTCGCAAAGCGCCGAGCAATGAAACGTCGCACAATCTATTGGCGCACCGACTTGATGTACCGGTCTCGACAGCCTCCTCGAAGGCAAAGTGTGTAGGTAGAGTTGCTCGACCTGGCCAACAATATGCTCGGGTAGGTACCCAGTGAGATACGAATCGACAAAGATGGCTCAGGGTCGAGAGTCACGGTAGCCAGCTAGCTAGAAGGCGGCAGAATGCGTGGTCACCAGCAGCTGGCAGTAGAACGGATAGAGCGTGAAGTGTCGACAGTCGAAACGTCGAGAGTCGAAAGTCGGTACTCGAGGCGGCAGGCAGCAATCCGTTGTGAGCGTATATATCGACAACGAACTGTGCCTGTGCAGCTACGCAAAATGAGGGTAGCGTAGGTTCGATTGAAAGAGAGCACCGTAGAGTTGCTTGGGACGTCAGTCGAAGAGGGGGACACAAACCCAGGAAGCGAAGCGAACGGCCGATCGACGACAAGCTGCGGCTCGGCTGCCCGGGCGCCCGCGCTGAGAATGCGCGTCGAATCCCGCCAGGAAATCGACATTTTGCGTGATGCGTGCCCGAAATCGCGAAGCCCCTATACGCGGCCTCACCCGCTTCGATCCCGTGTAGGAAACCTGGGATTGAGAGTTTTCAAAGCGCGTTTTGAACCCCGTAGCTGTGCTTGTCGCACTGCAAATACTGGACATCGCCTGACACCGTTCGTCGGTTTTAGTCAATGCGGAGAAGCCCGAAACTGAAACAGCGCGCCCGAAAAGCAAGCGGGATCTAGGCCCGCGAATGGCCCGCCGTCGTCGGCCGCCGGGCGATTCGGTTGGCGTGGTTGCCAGCTGCCTAACTCGACGTACCTACCCTCGACCGACCGCGGCTACGCACCTCGCACCAGTGAATCATGAAATGGCTAGACGATCAATTCGATCAGTTTGCAGCCCTGGTGGGAGTATCAGTGAGTGTTTCACGACCCGGCGCTGCTGCAGCCCGGCGCCGGCCGTCCACTGACTCCGCAAAACTCGCGTCAAATGGGGCATGCATTCACACAGGGTGATCAAATCAAGCTCATCACACTGATTGTGGCAGCCGTGCCATTGTCCCTCGTATTCCCTCATCTGCCCTCGTCGACGGTCTCGGTGTTGCCGCACCTGTATGCAGCGCTGCCGAGCGTCGTGTACCTCTGCTTCGTGCTGCACCTTCGTCGCGGCTTTCTCGAGCTCGTGCTCAGCTCGTTAGTGGCATGGACGATCGTCAAGGTAGCCGTCGCCACAAAGAGGAAAGATCGACTGGCCCCTTGGCTCGTCTTTGTGGTCGTGATGGGACATCTCGCGGTCAAGTGAGTGCTCTGCTTCTCGAACGTGTGGGGGCGGCAGCGATCGAAGGAGAGAAGGGTCCTGCAGCCGACCTCAAGACTTTCTATGGAGCATGCAAAGGACAGCTGCTGTTTCCATTTGAATTGGCTCATGCGGTAGCATATCGCTGCTATGGCTGCCGACACCCCCTCGCTGTGCTCGGCCAAACTGCGCTGGAAGCGAGGAGATGAGGTCATCCGTGTGCTCGCTCCAGTGCCCAGCGACTTTGCTTGACCCGCCGCAGTACCCGGCAGCTGACTCAATCTGCGGGTTATTTTCGGCATGCAGTCATGTGATACGACATTTCGAAAAGACCGGACCCGAGACGATCGAGATCACCGGGTCGCAAATGGTCTTGTGCATGAAGTTGATCTCGTTCGCCTGGTCCGTCCACGATGGCCAGCAACCAATCGAGGAGCTCGATGCGACCCAGCGCGCCTCGAGGATCGTCGAGGTACCAGGTCTGATACCGTTCTTGGGATATGCGTAGGTTGTAAATGTGTGCCCGCGAGAGCCTGCGCCGAATACTCATTGATTTTACTTCACCCCCCCGGTCTGCACGCAGATTGTTCTTTCCTTCGATCCTGGCTGGCCCTTCATTCACGTTCGCTTCGTATACAGCATGGACTTCTCACGCCCTTTATCTCAAGGAAACCGGGCTACGAGAAGGCGCTGCATCCTCGACGACTCGGTCACGCGATCTCATAGCGGATGGTCGCCGAAGGAAGGCAGCGAAACGGTTCATCACGGGAGTCGTCTATCTGGGTATCTTTTCCAAGTACAGCTATACGTACGACTATCAGCGCATGCTCGAGCCGCTAGTACGAGTCTTGCCGTTGTGGAAGAGGTGAGAGCAAGTCATGCGACAGCACCTTGTGCGTCTATTGATCTCCTCTTCGGCAATTTTGATCTTCCGCGCAGGGTCGGTTTCATGCAGATCGCTGGTTTCGTCGCTCGGACAAAGTACTACGGCGTGTGGTGCATCGCTGAATCTGCCTTCATTATTTCGGGACTCGGCTACAACCCTCGCACCAAGCATTATGACGCCTCTCGGAACGTTCGCATCCGCTCGATCGAGTTTGCGCCAAACTTCAAAATCCTGCTCGATTCTTGGAACATGAACACCAACGTCTGGCTGCGCGAGTGCATCTACAAGCGAGTGACGTCTAAGGGCCGCAAACCGGGCTTCGTATCGACACAAATCACGTTCATCACGTCGGCGTTGTGGCATGGGGTGAACCCGTGCTACCTGATGACGTTCGTACTCGGGGGGCTGTTGCAATCGACGGGCAGGTCGATGCGATCGCTTGTGCGACCCTTCTTCCTCCCACCGGGTGCCGTCACGCTCTCCCGCTCTTCCGCTCCGTCCAGGAATACTTCAACGGCTTCCGTCGACACCACGACTCCGCCTGTGACTGAGCCCGAGAAGCCCGCCCCGCCCAAGCTCGCCGCTCCTCCACAGACACCTCTGAAATGGATGTACGACATCGCTGGCATCATCATGACGCAGCTTTCCCTCAACTTTGCCGTCGCTCCATTCATGCTGTTGACGGTCCATGGCTCGTTCGCGGTATGGCATAGCGTGCGCTACTATGGGATCCTGATCGTTCTGATCCCGGCGATCGCTCTGCGACTCGGCCTCGCGAAGACGCTGAAGCAAAAACTGAAGGCGAGGAATGCAGCGGCCGAGAAGATGAACGATGCGGAAGAGAAGAAGAGGCTGGAGTGGGAACGTGAGGTGGAGCGCAAGCGGATGCGGAGGGGCGTTGGGGTGGCGAGTCTTGCGCCGGACGTCGAGGAGCTTTTACTCGAGGAGGAACGCGAGGAGGCACGCTCGGCCAAGGATAGCACGAAATCACACTAATGAATTTCAACGACTGTGATTAAAGACATTTTATATATTCTGTAGCACCAGTTAAGGAATGAATATGAGGATGTTGCCTGTTCTGGCCAGTGGGGTTGAAATGCGCGCGCTGCAGCAAACCTTCGGCCGATGAGGTCATTGCGATGGAGAGGAGGCCAATCGCAATCGCTGACCTGGCTCCTCCCCGGCGGTCGCTTGCTCCGTCTTCGTGCGACCACCTGATACTCTGACTCCAAGACACGAAACGACGCTCAAGCTCGATTCAACTTCTGTACAGACGGACCAAGCATATCCCATCTCGTAGAGTGAGTGTAGCACCACCGCTACGTCGCACCAAAGCGGCCTACTGCGAATACCGACGAGGACTCGCAACGAGGATTTCCGCAGCTTGTTCGCTCGAGCAATGGCCGCGGACGCGCACTAGCGTGATCGACATAGCTACTGACTAGTCAGCTTACCCAGGTAGCACAGACTAGTTCAACGCCATGGACCCGTCAAGAGCGCTCGAGCTTGTTTGCGACCGCGAGGGTACACCAGCCGAGAGCGCCCCTGCAGCACCACGTCGTACCACTCAGAACGGAGTCTTTGCGTTACCTCACCAGCAAGCATCCAGGAAAACCGCTATCAAGACAAACACGAAAGGACCGGGTTCGACATCCAAGAGGTCGCTAGCCTCGACGCCCCCATGCGCGCCTCTTCAGAGCTCCTCTTCGAAGGCGAAGGCCGAACCCCCTCGCTTCGCCACACCGTCAGGAGGCGTGAGGGGAAGATTCGTACCTGGGGATAGCAAAAGTCCTGCATTCGGATCCGAGCCGGCTTTGAATGAGACCTTTGTAACACCCTCGAAAGCCAATGTTCGACGTTCGGCTCGATCCGTTCGCTCTTCTCGTACCGGAGAAGCCTCCGCGAGCCACCCTACCCATGCACCCGGCACTCGCTCCAGTCAAGACGTCGACGAGCAAGACTTAAGCGTATTTTCATACAAAAACATCACTTCACAAGTGTCGTCGAGCCAAACCGAAGTCGACGACCCCGGTCCATCGTTCGACTCGGCTGCGCGGGTCACGACGTCGACCAAGGTCGTAGCTGCAGAATCGGCTACTGCAAATGCCAAGGGTCTTCGACACAATGGGGAGGAAGCCGAAGCGGGCGATGATGAAGCAATATTGTTGCAAAACAGTTCTCCGCCAGGCACCTATGGTTCCGACGCAGAGTTCAGCGATATTGCGCAGTCACACCGTGTTGTCACTCAAGAAGGCTTCGTGACGGAGCACGACGACAACCACGAGGAGCGCGACCATGACGGAGGAACATACAGTGAAGACGAAGGAATCTTCAGGGAGTCACTCTCCCCAGTACCTCAGGAAGCGGGTGATGAAAGTCAAGCGCACCCTGACGCATCCTCCGGCGCAGGATCGCAGATGGATTCACGCTCGTCGGTAGAGTACGAGCGAGATTCGAAGCGGCCTCGGACGGAGCTACACGAGGTAAGCGGTGTCTGTACAAAGACTCATGCCGGTTGTTCTGAAGTTTTCTCGGGTTCCTGACAGACTTGGTCCTCGGTCACACTCGATCCCCTGTGCCCGACCCCCTCAATTTTTCCGGGGGCTAGCCCTTACCTCGATCGCGCGCGCACCCGCGTTCGCACGATGGAAGAGCAGAACGTTGAAGTGGATGAGCGCACCATGACGGATGAACAATGGCGAGAGAAAGGTCAAGAGCTGGCAGTCCGCGCTGGCAAGTTGATCCAAAACGTCATTGAGCTCAAGGTGTGAGTTGGCTATAGTCCGAGAGCATTTGCTCCTCCTGAAAGACAGGTGCTGTTCCACTAACACCTTCCCCATGCTCACTGTTTAGCAACCAGCATGCTCGTGCAGAGAGACTTCGGAAGAACATGCTTACGGTCAAATCAGCGCTCGCCATGGAGCAAGTCGAGCTCGACAAGTCGCGAGAAGGATTGTTGCAGTGGGTCACTCCGGTACTCACAATGGGCGGGACAAGAAGAAAGGGAAGCGAAGAACCTTTGGGCAACGAAACAGCTCGTGCCACAACCAAAGATGAGGGAGCGACGTGAGCAAGCTCCCTGCATGCCTCCGAACGCTCAGGTTCGCCCCCACATGATCGACCAGGCGCGACGTATCCAAGCTTGACCTATTCATTACAACATTGCAAACTAATGGCAAGATACCACTATCATCTCGCGTCACTTCCTCCAAACCATTAGCGGTCGCGAGAAACCACCCTAATGGACCAAAATGGACCTAGCGAGTTAGCGTGGGAACATGATTAAATGCTGGAAGCTTCGAGCAGACATACTTCTTCCCTCTCGATCGTATTTTCCAGTCGAAAGCCTACACTCTCGAGCTCTGCAATGAAAGGCGGCCACATTTCCAGCGTCTTGAACATCGGCTTCAGATCCTGCACGAGCGGCAGGGGTCAACGAGTTAGCGAGATCGCACTGTCCCCCAAGTCGATATGTCACTCTCACTCTACCCACTTTGTTCTTCCTCGCCGCTGATTGATAGTTACTTTTCTCCTGAGGCTCGACCACCAACACGCCTCCGTGACCATTTTCCTCGGCTCCAGAGGGTAGTGCTTCGTAAAGTGCCTTGAAAAGTCTGCGTAGCGCGGCATCGCCGTGGTTGAGATGGAGCCATTTGGTGATGCTGAAGAGTAGGATTGTATCGGCATCGCTCTTCTCGAACTGGAAGTCGGAAGCCATAAAGTCCTGACATCGCCATTCGACGTTGAGCCCCTGTTCGGTGGGATTTTCTCGACGTATCTCGGCTTCGGCACTACGGGCCTGCTCGATGAGGATCGGGTCTATGTCGATTCCGATGGCTTTTGTTGCACCCAAATAAGTCAGACTTTCGAGAGTGAGCTTTCCAGCATTGCAGCCAAGGTCGAGGATCCGTTGGTTGGAGAAGAGCGAACGAGGAAGGAGCGAAAGGCGAGCGTCGGGCGTTACTTGAGCGCGATGGGAGTCTGTCAAAGCACGAGAGCTCGATCAGTTCACAGAAGAATTGCACAGGCTTCGTTCTACTGGACCGGTGACCGGAACGACATGCCCAAGGCGCGGAGCGAACAACCGATTCAAGCGAGTTCACGGGGGAATGGGGCTGTGTCCCAAAGTGCAAGACGTACAGTACTGATGATAGTTGCCAAATGGTGTAAGACGGTGACTAAGCCTGTCTCTCGCGGTGTTCGAAAGCTTCTTTGCCGGTTCACTGGCCGTTTCCGTCGTCGTCGTCGTCATCGTCGTCGTCGCCGAGGTGGGCTGCGAAGACCCAGCCTGCACCATGTGGAGTGTAGGAACTTGACTCACGAGTGAAGGCCTCACGACCGATGCTAGGTGATGAATTGTTGGATGACTTGAGAGTATGTAGTAACGGTTCTGCTGTCGGAGGCGATAAAGGGAAGGTGGGTAAGACACAGCGAGGGGTTCGCAATCTCAGGCCTCAGGTTGGACGGTCACGTGGTGCGACGAATTGGCCGGCGGTAGCAGGTATTCTTAGCTTCGTCGTTGTCTTAGGAGGGCAGCGTCAGACAGATACAGAATCAAACCACTTCAGGACAACCCACTAGCTGACCCAGCTTGATCTTGGAAATGAGAATGAAAGAGTGACAACAGACAACATGCACACATTTTGCCAGTCTATTTACCTTCAGTGTGCTCCAGTGAACGGTCCAGCCTCACTGGCAATTAACTCGCATACTCTCCAGAGCGGCCTCCAAAGCTCTTTTCTGCTCCTCAAGCTGATGAATCTTGGTCATCAGGTCCTCGAGTGTACAGTCTTCAAGGGACGAGGGACTTTGCTCGACCAGCACAATTCCACTGCAGTGGCGATTGGCTTCTTCGGTGCGCGGATCGGTGAGGGTTCCCGAGATGATCTCCACTGAGGCACGCACCGCCGATTCGACTCGGGCTTGAACCACCTGAGCGGTTTTGAGATCAGCCTCGGTGCTCGTCGTACTGATTGTCGACGCGAATGAGCTCGTGACGTCGCGCAGTTGGAGCTGCGCAAGCAAAGGTCGGCCGATTGGAAATGGGGGAGCCAGACGCTGCTTGTATGCCGGGACGATAACAATCTGCTCAGAAAAAGGGAAGCTTCTGTGCGTTCAGATCGTGGAGATGGGATGGGGCGTACCGGTTGGGTGTTGACCGCCAAGCGTGACGGGGCCGGAACGGACGAACTGCGCTGACGGGTGGCCGAGGAGAATGCAACAAAATCTTCGTTCGCACGAACATCGTTTTGTCCGGTCATGGCCGATAAAACTCGTTTAAAACCAGGTGTATCGGGAGACGAGCGTGGAGTTGAACTGAGCGAGATTGCCGTCAGCTCGGGTGATGACAGGGGTTCATCCCCCGCCTCCACGTCGATCACCACACCCCTTCGCTTGAGCCTTTTCGCGATAGGGCTGCCTTGGAGATGCTCCGAAGGACTATTTGAGCTCTAAGATGAGATGCTCGATTCAGACCTGGTCGACTTGGTGGCGGACTCGGTCGATGAGCGGACTGGCGAGCTGGACGAGCTCGAGTTGGAGGACGTGTGGCTCCCCGCACGGCAAGCGAGGGGCATGCGAGCGTGCTTGGTCGTAGATCGGGGACGATGCATCACGGGCTCGGACACGTTGCTGTTGAGAGAAGAACTAGAGGTTTGCACTTGGTTGGCAGGGTATCTGTGTCTGTCGCGACGCGCGTGCACGATCGATGAAGGCGATGGCGAGCTCAAGACGGAGGGGGTCACGGGAGCAGACACAGCTGGTGAACTACCGTTGGGGTGTCTCACTGGACGGTATTTGCTCGAATGAGACGAACTAGAGCAACTCCTTGTCTCCTCGTGCGACGAGCAGAATGAATCGGCTTCGACCAGGGCTGTCAAGAAGCGTGGCTCGGGAGTCGAGATACAGCGCTGCGGTACCCTCGGCGACGATGGAAGTGCTGAGGCCTTCATGGCATGGGCACGTCGGGAGGCAGTGTGTGACAAGCTACTCGATCGAGGTCGACGTGCGACCGTGAACGATTCGCCAGTGAGCACGACAGGCTGGGGGCCCACGATCTGGCCGAGGGACGTCAGAGCAGGTGGGAATTCTTGACGACGGGTCACTTTCGCACGAGTGAAGAAGGTCGGTATACTTAGAAGAGGAAGAGACTTGGACGTCGAACCAGTCATGGGAGAATTGCTGGGCGTGGATGCTGCAGGCAGCCAGGGACTGGAAGGAACACTCGACTGAGGCAATGCATGAGTCGAGGAGTCACCGTCTGACGTGGTCGCTCGCAGGTTGAGCATCGAGCGTGATGATGACATCAGTCGCGCCCCACGAGTGGTCGAACGAGATGGGGAGGCCAAGGGAGGAAAGACAGGGTAGCCAGGAGGTGGTTCTTCCGAGCGTCGGGGAGGAGTCAAAGCTGCAAGCGTAAGACCGATGCGATCGAGTCGTTGTAAGCGGCAAGTCTCGTCGGTCAAACTCGTAGGCGACTCTGATTGATAGAGAGCAAGGGACAGGAGAGTGGGCTCCTAACCACTTACAAGGATTTTGACGCATGGTCTTCGTGTACTGAAGTAAGGAGCTGGGAGGAACCTCGCCGTCAATGCCAAGATCATGGTGCAAGGAAAGAAAGTAAAGTGAGATCGAAGTCGAAGCAAAACTCTTCGCCGGGCGAGCGGCTCGAGGCCTGTGCGCGATCGGGTTGCCAAGATCGCCGATCATCGAAGCGAAGCGACCCGTTGCTATCCCTTCCGCGCACAAGGAACTGTCCAGGAAAGCTCGACACGCACACATGATGATTACACGGCATAATAAAGTCCACTCTACCAAGGCTTCCTCGGCATAATTCCTTGTCATCAACCTCGCTCGATGATCGGCCACCCACTGCAAAAAGCGAAAGGAGGTCACAGTGGTCAGCTCTCAGTCAGGCGCTTCGGATCACTCGAGGGACAATCAACGTACTGATACACTTGGTGCATGACGTCGACGGCAAAACGACTGTACGTGCTCTGAGGTGTTCCAACCAGCTTGCAACCGTACGCCGCAATCTGGGCATCGAGCTGCGGATACATGAACTGGGCCAACGGGACTTTGTCGTACCGATTCCGCAGCCCCGACAATTCGTTGAACGCCGCGACAGGGTTGCGGTTGACCTCGGAAACGGAGGAGAAGTCGTTCAGAACGAAGGTGCACGGGAAAGTAGCGAAGAACAAGCCCAAGTTTGCATCTTCCGTAGGCTGCTTAGAGTCCGTCGCGATGAAGAGCGGGGCGTTAAACGGCAGCATCTCTTCGGTCACGTGGAAGGGCCCGCGACATGTCAAGCTCGGGTCGAGGAGTGAGTCCTCTCGCGATCGAATAACAGGTATCTTGGGTAGCGGACTGTGCTTGTAGGCTCCCGGACGCTGAGCGTGCGAGTTCCTGCGCTTCGTCAGGGGCGTGTTGGGCGGCTTGGATGGGGTCGAGTTGAACCAGGTTGCGATCTTGGGGTCGAGCTTGTCCGGGATCTGAGCTCGAGTCCGCAATGTCGCACCATCTCGGTAGCGTTTTGCGATCTGATCGCAAAGTTCCTGGGGCTGCTTCATCTTGACCGCGCACAAGTTCTGCCACACCCCGGCCATGTTCGCAGCCGCGCTCTTTTGGAAAATCCCGTCGCCGACGCGCAGGTGCAAGCCATAGTACTTGCCCGGTCCGCCCAGTCGATCGCGCACTGTTTCGGTAATCTCATCCAGCAATGCATTTTTGAAAACGGTCGCTTGTCGGAAAGCAGAACGCGCCTCGTACGCTTCGTCTGTCGTCGTTCGAACGCGCGACGTGCCGAACAAGGTGCCGAGGTTGACGAGCTTGTAATCGCGCGTGTCGCGAGCGAGTTTCAAGACATCAACGCGGTTTTCGAACTTGTCGAGCGGCGCCGTGTCAATCGACGAGTCGTAGTAGCGGAACTGGTACAGCATGTCGTCCTTGAGGTCATATCGGTCGACGCCGGGTTTGCCGCTCAGGTTCAGCTCCTTTGTCAGCCATGCGTCGGTCGCATCCCATCGCTCCTTCATAGGGACAAGTTTCCTGGCGCCGTTCAAGTCGACGATAAAATCCCACCCGAGCTGCGTCCAGCTAAAGTACCCGATGCATTCTTTGGGTATCGGGTCCTCGGAGTCACCGTCCCCGAAGTCTTTGCAATGGTCCAGGCCGGTCTTGCTCGCCATTGCCAACCGTCGATCGAGTTTGTCGAAAGAGATGTAGGGAATTGCATGACCGAGCCAGACCGGAGGGACGAGCAAGGTTCGTTTGAGCATGTATGCGATAGTCAAGGCGTTCTCGAGGGAGATGCGCTGATTATGATAGCCGGAATGCGGCGAGTAGGCGAGGTAGCGATCGATGGGGGGTGCCGGGTCGATCAAGGTCTCGGCGAGTGGTGGCGGTGCAACGTCGACGTCGATGACCGACGAACCTGGTTTTGTTGGGGTCAGCGGTTTCCTTGGTGGCCGCTTCTTCGGTTTCGGTTTCGGCTTGGGCAGGTCGAAGACTTTGGGTTGTTCGGGATCAGAATTTGACGGCATCGGGTCGCCGTTTAGCCGCACCACCTCGTCCGCCATCAGAACCTTCTCGTTCGCAAGAGATCCATCTGGTCGCGACAATGGCAGATTATTGTTGACAAGACTCGGCCTCGAATCGCTCTCGGTACCCCCGCTGCGAGTCCACCACCACACCCCCAACACGGCGGAAGCGAACAGTACGATCCTTAACCGCCCCTTGCCACGACTCATGGTGGACGCCCCCAGCGAGTTGGTCGCTCTTGGGCCCAAGCCATAAGCCGATGCTGCGGCTGCTTTCCCTACAAGCGTCTTGCGATCGTCATCGCCAATGCTCACGGCGACATGACCATGCTGGCCCTGGCTGCTCGAGCCCAAGAATCGACCGCGCTGTCGTGGCGAGGAAGGCGCAATATCCGCACTGGGACCGCGACGATCGAGGTTGTTGGTGTCGATTCGGTTTGATGAAAGAGGCATCATACCGAGGAAGCTGCGTACAGAGCGACGTTCGAGTCAGCCTGCAGGATGCGGGTTGCGGAGGCTATAGCTCAATCGACGGGACGCGTGTCGACGCGACTAACCGGTGGCGATCCAAGGACCAAGCGCTGCAGCGACGACCCAGGGATGCGTTCTGATACAATTTAGATCCAAAAGAGTGTGGTTTTTGCGTGACGGCAGGCGAGATGTAGAGCAACAGAGCCGCGTGCGTAGATGCAAAGAGCCGCGCGAATGTTCAAGCTTGTCGCCGGTTGGACGTGGTTGCACTCAATTGGCGACGCGCCTGCGCCCTTCTGCGCCTGCCCGCGCGCCTGGTCGGTACAGTCAGACCTGAGAAAATTTATATTTTCGGTGGACGGATTTTCCCATAAATTAAGACAGGTATAAGCTTGGAGAGTGCGGCTTCAGATCACTACATTATGACCTGAAACTCCGTTTTTGAGCTTCCTACATCAAATCAAGAATTTTCGTGCATCGTTTGAGTCGATACATTGACTTTTGAGGGGGAGGACATTCAGAAGGCCCGAAACAATATCTTGACCTACTGACGCTGGAAATACGAAGTCATTGTCGTCTGAATCCTCGCAGCATCCTGCTCGGCAACAAGAGTCCTGCGAATCCTCCTAGCCTCGTCCTCAAAAGAAATCAAATACGTTGGACCTGAGTATCCATTCATAGCAACCCTAAGGAAAACATCAAGCGCTGAGATTGCCTCCTGCAGCGTCGTTCGCTCCGCCGGTCGGAGCTCTATCTCCCCTTCCTCCTCTCCTCCTTCTCCCTCGCAATTCTCCTTCAACTCTTCGGCAATGACCAGGTCCACAATCTCCTGATCGGTCATTTCAGCCCCACCAGCAAGGTTCTCCTCCTCCACATCGACGAGAAAGTGGATACTCATCTTCTCGTTGCTCGTAACTATGCCCCTTTCGACCAGCTCATCGTTCGCCGTCTTCAGAGCGTTCATCGCGTTGATGATGCCGCGATCGCCATTGAGAGGCCCGCGACCGTTGGGAAGAGGTGTATGGTCGGTCGATCCTTTGTTCTTGCGATCAGACAAGATTTGTGCGTGGCGCCAGCAGTTGGCAATCGTCTCGGGGCGGATGTCGTTCCACGCCTCATGTCTCGCTATGATGCGAGTCTTATTCATCTTGACACCATTTCGACCGTTCCGAGCAAGGCCCGTAGACGGACGCATAGCGTAGAAGAGACCGGTTTCGTCCATGTTGAAGATATCACTTGGGTCGTACTTGTTCGTAAAATTGTCAACCGCCGCCTTTGCTCTCCTGTGCTCGCTTCTCGGCTGTTTCGGGGCATTTCGGACTCTTCCAGCAGGCGGCTCGTCAACAAGAACGCCGAAGGAGAGGCCAATTCCTGATCAATCGCTCATTTCCGGCTCTCTCTTATCTTATAATTTGACCTGTAAGCCCATAAATTATAAGGTATAAGATTGGACAGGTTCTGTCAGCCAAAAAAGTCGGGAGATTGAAAAGTCCATAAATTTTGACAGGTATAAGATTGGGCGATATAAATTTTCTCAGGTCTGACTGTATTAGTAAGTGCTAACAAGTCGCAGAAGTCACGGTCTCTGCCAGATTGTTTTCGTCGGAATCGGAATCTGGAAACAATCGGACTGCTTCATCAATTGAACAATTTTCAAATAGTGAGGCTGGAATCGACTATCTACGAAGGACGAGTCACGGTAGCGGCACGTGCTGTCCCTTTTGCAATATAGTATTGTGTTTGAACTTACTCCCTATTCCTTCAAGGCCGCAATTCCGCACTGCACTCGAAGTCCCGCCGGAGAACAGACACCGAAAATCTTGATGGCACTAATTACTGGATAAAGGGGTTTATTACTATGTGTTTTTTTTTGAACTGTCACACATGTTGTCGCACCCATAAGAGCCTTATACGTTCTTCTCACCCCGCGCCGCCTTCCGAGAACCATCTCGGACCTCTTCCTCCGATGGTATCGGAGAGGCAGACAGTGATTTTCCGTCAACTACCCCGTCACTCTTCGTGGTAGTACTCTCCGCCACTTTCTCAGCGTCCTCTTCGATTCTGGTCTTTTTCCCGTTTCCGCTGACCGACTTTCGTTCAAGCGAATAGTGCTTTTGGAAGCAGACGAGAATGGTAGATATCTGGGGGACGCAGTATTCAAAGTAGGAGGGTCAGCTACTAAATTATGAGAGCACGTGCGAAGCCTAATGCAAGCGCCTCACAAAAAGCAAAGGGGCACCGACGATCCAGGGACTGTTAATAGCCCTGGCGTAAGCATGAAGCACCTGAGCTTTCAGCTCCGGGGGCTCAATAAAGGCGAGCGAAGAAAGGTCGCCTTGGCTTGCGGAGGTGCCGGTGTAGTTCGGGATCGCCGCCAATCGTGACCGCAGTTGTGAGGCGTACAGTGCACCACTGACGGAGATGCCGACCGTGCCGCCAAGAGACCGAATAAGTCCAACCGTCGAGGTTGCTGTCGGCATGTCCTCGATGGCTACCGACGCTTGCACTAGAGTAGAAGAACCCGCACGAATAAGCGTCAGCGATGCACCCACCGTCTTCTATATCATTTACCGGCTCAACTGACCACCTGTGTACGCGCTTTGAAATAAGAACCCGACTCCACAAGCTGCAATGAGTTGGTATCCAATTTGCTTTCCTCTACAAACGCGGAAGGGGAAATTGGTGAATGAAAGTTGACTGGCGCGGTTTCAGACTCTGACCTCCTGACGCCCACTCACAGATTTGACGTCTCTGTCAGGGTTGCAAGAAGGGCAGTACCGATGGTGAAGATAAAGAACCCAAATATGATTGACTCTTTGACGCGGCCGGTCTTGTTGATGACGAAACCGCTGCCGATTGAAATGATCGCGCCGAGGACCGAGAACGGCATCAACCTCAGACCACTCTCGAGCGCATTCGAGCCTCGACTTTGGAAGTAGACGGGAAGATAGAAGCTGATCGCCAAGAAGACGTAAGCTTGTGCGAATGCCGAGATGAGGATGACGGCCGTAGTGCGGGTATGGAACAGTCGCGCGGGGATGATAGGCGACCGTTTGGTATGGGTTTCGACGAATCCGGCGATACAGAGCATGACTCCACCGACAACGAGCAGCGCGATCGTCTGTGCCGACTTCCATGACACTTCGCCAGACGAAAATCCGACGAGCAACAGGATGAGGCCGCCGACGATGAGACCCAGGCCGAGGAAATCAAAGGTCCGCACGAGGTCGGCGATAGGTGCCGTCTTGTGAGGGTTGAGGTTCAGGTAAAAGATGAGCACAAGCAATGCGATGCCCCCTGTTGGCAGGTTAATGAAGAATACCCATCTCCACGACACCGTGTCGGTGAAAATTCCACCGACGAGCGGACCGAGGACGGCCGCGATCCCCCACGTCGTGCCCAGGAAGCCCGAATATTTCGACCGATCACGGAGCGGGATGATATCGGCGACGCAGATCTGCGTAAGCTGTATGATACCGCCTCCTCCCACTCCCTGAACGCCTCGACAGACGCAGAGCCATGTCATGTTTTGTGCCGCCCCGCACATCGCAGATCCAAAGAGGAAGATGACTATGACCGTGTAGAACACGATTTTTCGTCCAAAGATTACTGCCGCTTTGCCCTGTAAAGGAGACCCTTTGTGTGAGCTGATAGGACCAGATCTAGTTTATGAAAAGAGCCGCCGCAACTTGCATAGAATGGCGACAAGGATGTCGAGGTCAGGAAGTAGGCTGAGGTCATGTGGAGGGCAACTTTGTCAATACAGATCTTGACCCGCGGCGGGGGTTCAAGACAAGACGTACCCGTCCCGACCCATGCATAGGCCAGGGATGAGCCTCCAAGCTCTCTCGAGATAGTGGGTAACGCAGTCGACACACTGTTGATTGAAATAAGGATGCTAGGAGTGGTCAGAATCGTTTCTTGGCCGAGCCGCTGCATCTCCTAGACCCCGGAGAACCGGAAGACTACCGCGTCGGCAGCTATCGACTTACATTGTCTGGTCGAGGGCAGCCAAGAATACGGTGAGCACTGTGCGCAGAAAGCCACTCGAGACGCGTCAGTCCCCATACTTGAGCTCCCTTCTCCCACGCAGAGGCCGTTGCGTGCTTGCCCCGGCCTTGGCGCTGGTAGCGGCGCCGCGGTTCGTCGGCCGAACCAGAGCGAGATCATGCCCACGTACTCAGCCTAAACAGTCGAGAATGGCGGCAGACCCAAAGGCATCAGTAGTGACTCGAATGTCGAAGCGTCGAAGAGAGCAAACGTCGAGTAATCCCACATACCCGGGAAATACGATCCATAGATTGTTCTTGGGCACGACGTGCACCGCGTCCTTCCATGCTTTTGCTCCGCCTTCGTTGCCACCTCCACTTGCTGCCGGCTCCGCGGGCTGCGAAAGGTCCTGCTTCGTGGTCGAGCCGGCCGTAATCATGTGGGTCACCGTCGGTGTAGGGGAGTTGGTTCCGGTGGCAGTATCCCCTTGAAATGCGGTCGACGTGGACGATGGTGGAGTCGAGACGTCGAGTGGTATCGACGAAGGCGGCGCGACCGCGGCCATCTCCACAATTTCGGTTGACTGGATCGCCGATCGCGAGAGGAGAGCACGCGGAAATCAAATAGGGGATGAGGAACGACAAAGGGCCGGCGTCGGAGCGAGGCGGAACTCGGGAAAGAGGGGCCGTCCAACAACAAGACAGACAAAGACAGTACAGATACGAGCGTTCACAGTACTGAGGTGCAAGATTGGGTTAAGGTTCAAGGCAGACGTTTACGCGCCCAGTCCCTCCACGCGCTCGGACGACTCGCCGCGTGAAGGCGCTGGGCGCACGCGGTCGTGGGCGCTTGACGAATCACGTTTGGCCGCGTGCCGAAAAGGCAGCCGAGATCGGCACGGCCGTGATCGGTCATCGGCCAGTTTATAGGCTCTCCGCGGGCCGGGCAGCTTCATTTGCGGGTTCCTGAGTGCTGCCTACTCAAATGAGAATATATCGGCCCCAATATCTGAATGAGACAGCGAGCTGGCGAACAGCCGTGCAAGCGCTCGATGTCGGTGGTTTGCATTCGCTGATTCCGCGGTCGATAGAGGCCCATCCTCGGCGGCCGGTGCCGGCTCCTCTTTGTGCGATTTCAAACTCCCGGCACCTCTGAAACTGCCCCGACGATTGTCTGCACCTCAAAAAGGCGAATCACGATCTTGCCCTCCCCTCAATCGTGAGTGTATCGTGATCGCCCACTCGCAACATAATCACAAAGCAGGCGAGCTTTGCAATGCCTATGGGCGGCGACTAAAACTACCAATGCGAATGCCATGACACAAACATCATCAATCTAGCGGAACTTGAATCCAGGGCTCGTCCATCGGACCATACTGCATGCAAAGTGACAGATAGTCATCCCAAGGGTAGTGCAAGACGAAGCTTGTCAGCACAAGTTGCCCATCTTGAGGTACCGAATTGCCCCCAGTGCATCCCCGCGACTACAAGAAAGAGTGAACTCACCGGTACGAGTGGCCTACGGTACGTGGCTATCTCTGAAGCTTTGGCTTCGAGTTCAGCATCCGAGTCGCCACGGACTGCAAAGGCTCAAGGAAAGGACTTAATCAAGGCGTCGACGATGACGAACGCTGGTGTCTGTTCATTGGACTGACTAGGAACCAAGACTCCAAGCTCGTAGCTTCAATAAAGCCAGTTCAGACGTCAATCAGTGAGGAGCCGTTGCCTCAAAAGCATGTATGATTACTCTACACCTACTTGTTGCACTTGAGTTGCGGCTCCTTGGTGTCACTGCTGTGCTCGAGCTGACCCCACGCTGATGGACCGCTGGGCAAGGGCACGGGTGTGGGCATCAGGGCACACCTTCGATCGCTGAAATTGCTCGAAGACCTACAAGTTGTGCGATCCGACGTAAATATAGCCTTCGTGCTTGTAAGATGGCGGACAAGGAGCAGCAGAGGCTCCTCGGGGCGGTTTGCGCAGAGCGACCACTGGTGCGAGAACGTGGTGGGTCGGATCACATGGTCACGATCTGAGGGGTCACGATGCTCAGTATAGCCTCGACTGACTTGTTTTGGTGTGAGCAGCGACTCTATCCCTCTTGCTCTGACCCCTGTGGAAAAGGCTAGCGAAACCCCTGCTGGCGCTCTGCCACATGTCGCGTCGACAAAAAATGGTACCTCCTCCGGGCTCGCCCAAGTGAGAATTGCGGATCTCGTCCATTGTCGGATACACGATCTTGAGCGGTAGATCCGCAGTGTTGGCAGGAAGAGCAGCAGGCCTTTTGATATTGGGTCGAAACCAGGCGCGAGGTCTGATGCCCGCCGCGGCGCCGTAAAATTGAGCGAGCCAGTTGTCCGAGCATTTACTCATCGAGGACCCCTGGTACTCGATCGTCCAGCGCGACCCTGGCGACGGGCTCGTGATCTCTTGTACCGCTTTTGCGAGCGCGCAAAGACCGCCTCCTCCCTGTTCCATCCTGTCGAATCCCTTCCACACGCCTTGGGTTGTCGCTATCAGGCGTACTTCGGCGGAGGAGGAAAAGTCGAAGTGTCGGTAAGGGGTCGTGAACTTCTTCGTGAGGCCTAGGCCTGCAAACCACCGATTGCCACTGTCAGGTGCTGAATCGCCCAGCAACGTGCCACCCTGGCCAACTTACTCAACATGACTTCCAACAGCCCACGAGAGAACGGGGTATGAGTCGGGTTGTGTTCCGGGGACCTTGACGTATTAGGCGTGTCTTGGAGTACCGGGAAATCGTGAACATAAAACGCATTGTCGATAATACTCCAATCATGTTCGACACAATTCGCAGTAGGGATGACGATCCGACAGAAAGACTTGTAGTAAAATATCAGCAACTTGGTATGCATCGTTCCCTTCCAGGGCCCTGGAAGCGACCTCTCCGGCAAGATGAGGAATGTCTGGGGCTTGATCAAGTCGTCGACCTTTTGATAGCGCGAGGGATGATCGTCGGAATGTCGTGCTCTGAAGAGCATCACTGGCGTCTCTGCCTTGAAGTGCGAGCAGACCCATTCGAGTTCAAGGCAGTACGACCCCACGATCGCCATCTCGAGCTTTTGGTCGGCGGCAACCAATTGCGCAAAGGTGAAGCTTTCGCCAAAGGTGTCGGGCTGCGCAAGTACATTGTGTACGCGACGGATCGCACCTTCCCAAAATCGGGTGGACTGCTTCCTAGTTGCCTCGACGGGTGGTGCAAGAGTTCGCGAAGTAGACGCTGTGGCATTGGATGGTATATTCGGGGCATTGTTGCGTGGCAGATCGGAGAAAGTGACAACATTGGGACGCGAGCGCTTCGGTGCAGGCGGCGCGGGAGCCGCGATAGGTGACGGCCCTGCAGCACGAACGTGACCATTTGATGCATGATGTTTCTTCTCCCGCTCTCTTTGTCGTTCGAGTCGAGCTTTTTCATCCAACTGCCTATCGGTCAAAGGTGGCCTTTGCCTTTGGCTTCCGCTCGCTAACGAACCGATGGGAGACGGTGATGATCCCGCGTCGACGCGCGGGGGGTTGCGTATGTCAACCGGGGAAAAGTCAAGTATCCAGTTTCCCCCGCAGTAAGGGTCTACTCACCTGGTGCAGCTGTGGGCGAATTCACAACGGTCGTATCCAGCAACGACAAAGCGATGGCTTGGGCCAGCTGTTGTTGCTCAGTCTCCTCTAGCTCGTCCTGGAGCTCCACATGGTCACTTCCTCGAGCAATGTTCACAGCGCTAGGGACTTGTTGGTTGTTGACGCCTTCATCATCACTGTCGTCGATGGTGATCTGCTCGATGGGACATTTCTGCGCCATGAGCGGTGGAGGGCATGCGCCAAGGCATAGGGCAAAGAGCAAGGGCGAGCATATGTCGCGTCTGCCTTGACCCGTGACTCGCGCGCAAGAGGTCCGAGCGGCACTGGTCATCCCGAAGGCCGACTCGGAGTCACGATCAATCATCCACCGCTTGGAAATGTACGTTGACTTGGAGTCAGGAAAAAAAGAGTAAAAATCGCTCTTCCTTCTGTAAACTTCATCTCGTGCCGACCGAGCGAGTACTTCAAAAAAGTGGGTAGTAGGTATTGGACTAAAACAAGCCACAACATGTGGGACTGAACAAAACTAAAAATGCTGGCAAGGTACGGCAAATGATACAAATGCACAGAAAAGAGGCAACTCGGCCAATTCGGACTTCAACAAACGAACTACCTGACCGAGCAATCCAATCCCTCATCTCCTCCCGCTCGCGTGGGGACAAAGCAGCCTTGGAAATGAGGACAGGCGCTGTGCGACTCGGGGGTTTGAACCATGTCCGACGATTCGCTGCCATCATCGCTTTCCCACTCATCAAAGCTATGGCTCGACGATCCACCTATTCGGTGCTCTTCTCGAGCCTGTTGGACAGCCACCTGGACCTCGATCTCCGAAGCGACTGACGTTCGGACACCGCCGGCGGGATCAGTGTAAACGTGGCGCTGGGACCATCTGAGGTGAAGAGACAAAGAGAGCACTCAGCTCAGCTCTGAATTTTATCTGAGTCAATAGGACCGGGAGAACGCTCACTTCCAAGGCCGATTCTGGGTATAGTTGGCATCCCACGGCTCGGGATCCTCCGTTCCGGGAATGACGAATCGTAGAGCGTGCGCTCGCTTCTGCAAACGATCTATCTGCCTCGTCGATTCGTCCTTTACGGTCGCTGAGACGAGTGAGAACGAGTCAGGTATCCGCGGTTCGCGACGCTTGATGCGCGAGTCGCTGGACAATCTTGCGGCGCGCAGCAGTGCTCGGTCGAAGTTGACCGCTGCGGGAGGGGACGAGGCGCTCACAACAAAGTCGGTGCCATAGACGCTAGAGGTGTGGCGCCTCAAGAACGATCGGAGGAGTGTGGTGGCCTCTTCCGCGTGTGTCAAATAGAGCATGTTGGGTCCACCTTCGATCTCGTGGAACTCGACTTTGGCCTGAGTCAACGCTTGTTGCACTTCGTGGGCCTCCTCCATGGAACTTGTAAGGTCCTTTGTCCCGTGCATGATGAGCACAGGTACTCGCACCGAAGCTGGACCAAGAGTAGAGGGTTGAGGTGTGTACTGGTTTCCGCGACAAACCTCAAAAGTGCGAGCCGCCTTGTACTGGTTGTACCTCTGTTAGATGGCAACACGAGTGTCAGAGAAGGTCATCCAGCTGTTCAGGCTGTGCACCCAGATGAGACGCACCCTCGAGATTACACCCATCGTCTTGTCGACAATCTGGACCATCTCTGGACCATCGCAGCCAGAAAAGAGGTTGTGCTCTGTGGACGGACGGCCGGGAGATGGAGACGAGCAAGTCAGCACACTGGCTCTGCCGACTACCGGAAGCAATCGCCTCCAGGCCGTATTTATGGGTGCGTGTGTGCAGTAAGACATACCCAGTCCTCCGAGGGCTTCTTCAAATTCTTCAGGATCCAGAGGGCATTGCCAGCTCTGCTCGAGGTCGAGCGTTTGGGGCAAGCTTTTCGGCAAGGCGTAGAGCCCGGTGACTGCAGCGAAAGAGAGACTCAAGACCTGCGGGCGGTACAGACCAAGATATGAGCAAGTAGGATCTCATGACGATAGACGATTCACTGTTACAACTCACAAGTTCGGGAAACAAAATGGCGAGGTTGAGCGCGATCTGGAAGCACGGCGAGCTCGGGGCATAGACATGGGACGGCGGCAGCTGCAAAGCCTCCATGACACAGGCAACATCCGCAGCGGCGGTCCACCTGTCATAGGTCGACTTGATCACACCTCTGGATCGTCCATGGGATCTCGGATCGATCGAAACAACATTGAAGCTCGAGCGAATCTGCTCGTCCTGGATCTGCGGGATCGCGCTCGCCGCGAGGGAGATGATTGGCGAAATGACGACGAGGACGGGCTTGGTAGGGTCGAAAGCGTAGGTTGGGCGAGCCGCGGCGGCGACCTGGCTCGAGGAGGTCGAGCCTGAGGCGATGGGTTGATGGTCTTTGGGAGGTAGTGGTGGTGCTGGTGGAGCACCACCGCCGTGGGTCTCGAGGTCAAGGCGCTGGGGACGGCGTTCCGGCTCCCGCTTCCCGAGCAGGAAGCGGCGAGCGCCGCTGCGTCGGCAAAGGCAGGAATGAGTTCCACCCAGAGTTCCACCTGCTTGCACGGCAGCTGAAAGTAAGGCATCGTGGTGGTGAGGCGCAGGCCAGAGTGAGCACGGGCTCAAACGTTTGGCAGGTTCCTTTCTTTCCTTTTTTCAGGGCAGTGCAAACGGGATGTAGGGGTAAAAGTTAAGCACGAGACGTCAAGCACGAGACGAAAGAGTTTCGGGCGTCGGGGACTCTTGGATGGGAAACTTTGGAGCCGGCGAGTCGGAGGCCCAAAGACAAGCATTCAGGAACGCTCCGCCGGCCACGAGTAGTGGCCTGGAGGCGTGACCGCCGCTGACCGGCGCCGCCAGGCAGCACTTTAAATGAGCCAGTCTCAAGTCGGAATCTCGACCACCTCGGCCTTCGTGCACGATGCTGGGCAGTAGTGGGCGGGCCCTACTGGCCGAGCCTCGAGGACGTTTTAAATGACTGAGACACATTTACAAAGACCGGGGCCGAGAAAACTCTTCATGAGTTTCCTCTTGACGTAGGCGACGGTGAGCCTCTAATTGATGCAGGATATCTGGGAGGATCAAGTACTTGGTACGTTTACTTACCTGCGCTTCAAGGGATCTGCACTCGACGGGTCAGACTACTGCCATCGGAGTTCGATTGATCTCCGTCGATGGCGTCAACGATGGCGGCACCGACGTCAACTTTAACTTAAGTTTCGACGTCAGGGTCGGATCCCGTGCCCGCTGATCCGCAGAGCTTCCCTCCTCCACGCTGGTGGCGAGGTGGGCGCCCCAATGAGCGAGAGTTGCAACTCGAACTTCCCAGCTACCTAGCAACAGCATATCAGCCCGAGCAGGGGCGATGACTAGGACCTTGCGAAGGTTCTTGCTGAGCTCGGCACGCTCTTGTTTCTGCTGCCGGGAGGCGAAATTATTCCGCTGCTAAGACTGAGTCGCCGAGTGAGTCGGTCCTGAGAAGATCCGCGATTCCACTATCTCGGTGCCCCTCGGTGCCCCTCTGTTCCCTTACCTTTTGGACAGAACTAACGAGCCTGAAAACTGGCAAAAGCTACCTCTCCAACCGAGGACGACTCAGTGACGCGTACATGTGATGAAACCGCGATGATGCAGCTGAGGCAGTTCGACGTTCTCGACCGGCTGCCGCGCCGTTCGTCGCCGACTTTCCGCAAATGGAAGGGCAGCAAGGGCAAGCCGTGCGCCGAGCCAACAGCGATGGCCAACAGATCCGCGCGGAGCGCAAGCTCAGTTGGGTTGAGCAAGTCGCGGGCAGCACTTGAAACTGGCAGGAATAGCAGATGATAGGTTGTCCGGGGTTTGTCCATGAGGCGTAACTGTTGCTACCCCATTAAGCACCTTTGCCAACACGGACTTGACGCACCGCTGAAGTTGATGGCCCCAGGATATCATGTCAACCGCCGACCGTCGATTGAGGAATTCAATACGCCCGAGACTCGCTTGAAACATAACAAATCAAAGATTCGAAAATGAGACGACAGCTACCTAGGTACTCTAAAAATGGTAGCCTTGGTAGTAGGTAGCTGGGTAGTCAGATCTAACTTGGGGATCGACCTGGCTTGAATGCACATCCTTGATCTTCCCCAGGATCTGGCCCGCTCAGGCTCAGAGCTCAGAGGGCCAATCGGGAAAGGCCGGCGCCATGCGCACCGCCGGTGCTCAAAGCTCGAAGCGACGTGGTCCGTGCGAGTTGACACTTCGCAGCCTCGACGACGACGGCGCGCGCTCACTCGTAGCTGATTCGACCGCTATCCCTCCGAGCCCGTACTGCACCATGGGCCCCCAGCGTTATTTTGATCAAGGTGGAGACGATATATCTCGACTGCACCACGATGGTGGACCTCACCGAGGCGGTGACCGAGGTCGCGGCGGCGGCGGAGGACGAGGCGCCAGGGAAAGTCGGGGAAGTCGAGGTCGCGGAGGGGCTTCGTCCGGCTCGAGTTGTGGCGGAGCAAGAGGCGACGGAGCACATCATGAGGCTCGACCCAAAAAAGAACCGTTCCAACCCAAGCAAGGCTTCATTGCGGCTGGACTGAAGACATAGTGAGTGCTCGTACCAGGTCGATTCCAGACCTTCGCTCGAGCTTCCGCTGTGCGATCCGACTCCACGATATCATGGTAGCATCTACGCGCCGAACAATGCCGTGAGCGAACGAAGATGGCTGATGAGATATGACCTATGATCAACAGTGCTGATGCGGCTGAAACAACACCGGACAATGACGAGCAAAACTCGGAGCAAAAGGCCAAGATCTCCGAAGGCTGGAAGGACAAGACGACTACACAGACCACTTTGTACCTCACCAATCTACCCCCGACACTCAGTTCGCCAGAGTTGTCGCTCATCTTCTCGTCGTACGCACCGCTGCGATCGGCTTTCGTGGTTTCGGCGGCGACGAAGAACGCTTCGGGACCTGGTGGGGCCGGCCCTTCGTCGGCCAATGCCATCTCAACCGGCGCAGGCAGGGATCGCACAGGCAAAGCCACGTCGCGTGGATTCGGATACGTGCGATTCGTCCTGCGCACCGATGCCGACAAGTGTCTCGAGGAGTGGGGCAGCAAATCGGGGATGCCCCGCAGCGCATGCTCTGAGCTCGAGAGCGCCGAGGGGCTCGAAAAGGTCGACTGGGACAAGCTTTGTGGGCGTGAGGGCATGAAGATGAGCTGGGCCAAAAAGAAGCTCAAGGAAGGAGAAGAACCCGAGGGACCCAAGGCGAAGAAGGAGAAGAAGGAGAAGGTCGCCAAGCTGGCAGCTACTGATGATGCCGAGAAGTCCGAAGAGCAAGAAGCCGAACTCGAGCAAGCCCCGAGATGGCGACCAGGAGTGTTCGATCACGCCGCCTCGCGATCGGTTGTCGTCCAAGGCATACCGACAGAAGTGGACCTCGAAAAGCTACGAGCTGCCAAAGCCAAGAAGGCCAGCGAGACGGATGTCGACGTGGAAGCCGATGCCGGTGCGGATCAAGATGGAGACGACAACGACGAAGCCACCACCAAAGTCGATGACGCAGAAGCAGCTGACGAGGACGGCGACAACGCTGAGGAGTCGGGGAAAGCAGTCGACTGGAAGAAGGCGCTCAAGCAAAAGGCTAAGAAGAGTGGCGATGTCGAAGATGTGAAGTGGCCCGTTGTTCTGCCATCTGGCGATACCGCTGGTGAGTACGCTAGAGGTGATGAGATCATTTTCCGCAAGGCTAACGTCAACTTCTCGTATGCAGCAATCATTGTCATGTACTCGCCTCGACATGCTCACGATGTGATGAAGAAGCTTCACAACCATGTCTTCCGAGGTCTCGTCGTGACCGCTGCCGTTAAGAGTTCTTGGGATTTGTGCCAACGTCAAGGTCGTGCCAAAGGTGGAGGACGTCTTGTGGTGCGCAACTTGGGCTTCGACATCACCTTGGCCGACATTCGGGCGGCTTTTGCTCGATTTGGCTCGCTCCATTCGATCACCCTTCCCGAGGGCCCCAAGACGGGCAAACCGCGTGGTTTCGCGTTCGTGTACTACGTCACCAAATCGTGCGCCGAAGCAGCGCTCAAGGCGATGAACGGCACCCGCGTCTACGCTGGTATTGCCACGGATCGTATCGCCGAGGAAGGAGGCAAGCTCGGCAAAAAGAAGGAGGTTCGTGAGAAGAAGAAGGCCGCGCTTAAGGAGAGTCGTGGAGGTGGAGGTGAGAAGGGACGTCTTGTTGCCGTTGATTGGGCCCTGAGCAAGGATGACTGGAAGAAGGCACAGGAGGCCGAAGTTGATGAAGCGGAACCTGGCTCCGACGAGGATTCTGAAGAGGACAGCGACTCTGACGACGACGACGACGACGACAGTCAGGAGGAGGACGACGATGAAAGTGATCTTTCGCCCGTCGAAGAGGACGAGTCCGACGATGAAGACGAGGGTGAAGAACTCGAACTTTCTGACGGCGACTCGGACATGGACGAGGAGCTGCAGTCAACCGAGCCTGAAAAGGGGACGACGCTCTTTGTCAGGAACATGTCCTTCGAAGCGACCGAGCCAGAGCTGTACGATCTCTGCAAGGAGTTTGGCCCCGTCCGGTATGCTCGCATTGTTTATGATCCGACTACGAAACGATCGCGTGGAACAGCCTTCGTGTGCTTCTGGAAGGGGGAAGATGCGCAAAAGATGCTCGAAGCCTCGGAAAGTCTCAATGCTGGCCTCTTCGTTGGCGAAACATCCAACAAGCGCAACAAGGGGGCTTCGCAATCGCTGTTGATGGCGGATCCCGGAACGTCAGAGGCCTCCAAGCTGACGCTGCATGGGCGTGTACTCGCTGCCGTGGCGGCCGTCTCGAAGGACGATGCTGACAAGCTTCGTGAGGATCGTGATAAGAAGGGTGGTGCAAAGTCCGATCGTCGCAACCTGTACCTGATGCGCGAAGGTGGTGAGTGACTAGATCCTGATCAGTGCCCGGGTACATCAGAGCTCATGTTTTCCGTTTTGTTCGGACTTCGCAGTCATTTTTCCATCGTGGGCGATCGCGCAGACTCTGCATCCTTCCGACATGGCGGCTCGTCAATCGTCCTTCGACGCTCGTAAAGGCCTACTACGTTCCAATCCTTCGCTCTACATCTCCCGCACTCGACTCTCGGTCCGTCAGGTCCCTCTCTACGTCACCGACGGCATGATGAAGCGACTGGCGAACTTCGCCATTCGCGAGTTCGACAAGGAGGTCAAGGCCGGCTTGCAAAAGCCTCTGACAGCGGACGAGCTGGACGACAGCGTTGTCGATGCTTCGGGATCGTTGCCAGCACCGAGCAAGGTTGAGCGCTTCAAGGGTGTTCCTCCGAGTCGCGTGCGACAGGCCAAGATCTTGCGTCAATCGGACCGTGTCGATCCGTTGACCGGGTTGGGTCGTAGCAAGGGTTACGGTTTCCTGGAAATGGGCTCTCACGCCGATGCGCTACGCGTCCTTCGATGGGCCAATGCCAACAAGGATGTCGGGGGTTTGCTTCGCAAGTGGTGGCGCGACGCTTTGGAAGCCATGATCGAGAAGGTGCAAAGTTGCGAAGGAAGTGTGGGCAAGGGTGCTGCGCTCAAAGAGAAGGAAGAACGACTCAAGCGATTGAGGGAGAAGATGAGTGAGCTTGTGGAAGAGGAGGAGTTGGCGGCTGGGAAAGCGGCGAGGAGGGAAGCGGCGGGTAAGACGACGGGTGAAGGGGGCCGAAGTACGAGGTGCCTTATTGTCGAGTTCTCGATCGAGAACGCCGTCACTGTCAGTATTTGCCACCTGTTCTCCACCAGATTCTGAAACTGACATCTTGAATGTCTTGGCCCAGACCAAACGACGTGCCGAGAAGGTCGCTCGTGCCCGAGAGCGCGCAAAGCGCAGCAAGGATCGAGACGGCTCCGACGATGACGGAGAAGACGACTCGAGGGATTGTGGCAAGTCTTCGCCCAAGAAGAGGAGACGCCAAGAAGATGGTGACGACTCTAAGCCGGCTAAGAAGGGCAAGAAGCCTGCGGAGGAAGCTGAGGGCGAGCCGGAGGCCAAGGAGGGTCGCACAGGTCTGAGCATAGGGGCCATCATTGGCAAGAAGCGCCGCCAAAAGAAGTAGTGATGCCATAGTCTACAGCGTTCCGTAATATCATGCTCCAATTATACGGTGTACTCCTGTTACGGTGTACTTCTGTAGCACCCATGAGAGCACGATAATTGGATAAAAATTATGTACTTCAGTACAGATTAAGAGACGCTACAAGGTTGCAAGATGAACAGTAGATACAATCGCCGCTGAGATTAAACGTGAGCAGGCGGGGCCAAGAAGAATGTCGCTACAGGGAGAGGGACAAAAGGACGTGTGAAGTTCCTCAGTTCTTCAAAGTGGAGAATCCAACGCGGTTCGATCCCAGATCGAACGTGACGTAGACGCCCTGTAAAAAGCTACCGCCGAGGACCCATCCGCTGATACCAACGTCGGCACCGACGATAGCTCCCACACATCGATCCGATCCGGCCGCGACTTTCCCGAGGTTGAGGGCATCGGAAAGAACAGCCCATTTCTGGGATCCTCCGGCGAAGGTGAAGGAAGCGGTGAGCGAAGCCTTGCAGGGGTAGGTATAATATCCTCCCCCACCGCCGTAAGGCGCCGAGTCGGCAACGGCGGCCCAGTAAGTCGCCGCATCCGCCGTCGGTGCCTGGAAGAGGAGGACGGTGTAAGCCAGGAAGGTGTGGCTTTGGGGTGATATATAGCCACACTCGCCACTCACAACAATGACCGACGTTCCTGTGTCAATGATTGCGTTGATCCCCTTGAGAGCGGCTTTCCCGTTGACGTTCGCATTTGCACTGACGGTCCAGTCTGCAGGCCATCAAGAGGTAAGCGAAGTTCAGAACACATTTTACTGATAAGTAACACAAAACGCGTCCTGTGCAACTCACATCCTTGGGAAACCACACTTGTCCATTGCGTCGAACCAGCGACATAATCGTTCGAGTTCATCCCCCCGAGGAAAAGCTCAGAATCGCCCGACGCTCCAAGCCTGAACGAGAACTGAGGTGCAGCAACTTGTTTCTCCGCGACCAAAGTCTGAAAGAAGGGCGTCGTTTTGGTTTGCGAGATGGAGGCATAGGCCATGCCCATCAGGCCATCCATGGGGTCGCTAGCCCAGTCGGAGGACATGCCCGTCGCGACTCCGAAACCTTGGCCGGTTGCCGTCAAACCGGCCAGAGTAACGGTGTCCCGGTAGACGAGGCCCGTCGTCGAAGAGCCGTCACCGTAAGTGATGCTCAGCTTCTTCGACGGGTCGGCTTTCGACGTCGACGATTTTGAAGGGTCGTATTTGGTGTGAGGGGCGCACACGGCCGAGCTGCAGCCAGACGACGGGACCCAGAGATCCGCCGATCCTGTGTCTACGAGTGAGAGAGAAAGCAGCGGTCCGCTGAGTGTCGGAAGATCTCCAAGGTAACACTCTGCCCTAGAACACTCACCAAAGTCGATGTTGAATGTCTTGGCCGGGGTACCGATGGAGATGGTACCAGTCCAAACTGCGTGTCGGAATCCTTGCAATGTCAGTCAGTAGCTCTTTACCACCACGCAAGAGATTTCCCAGCAAAGCGTACCTGAGCCGTCGTTGTAATTCGTCAAAGAAACGCCACCTGCCGAGGAGGAGCTCCCGCCACCTTTAGTCGCCGCGGCCTTTGCACCCGTCGAAGTAGTAGTCGCTCGAGCGCCGGCCTTGGGAGTCGTCGCCGCGGTTGTCTTGACTGTCGTCGCCTTTTGGCCACCTGCAGTCGTCGCCTTGTTTCCACCTCCATTGCGTCTCGCACTCTCCGCAGCTGCTCTTGCTGCCGCACGGGAGGCGACGGCGTCTTCCCGACTTTGTTGCGTCGGTTTAGCCGCGTTGACTCGAAGGTCCGAACTGGCTTCAATGACGGATTCGACCGGACTCTTCCTGGGAGGGTTGAGACCTCGACCGAACAATCGGCCTGCTCCACGAATACCCTTGAAGCGTTCGACGGAGAACAAGGTATCCCCACCTCGTCTCTGCTTCGTCGGGTCGCGCCCGCCACTAACAGTTCGAACGCCCCGACTCTTGACTTGGAGGTGTTCGGCATGAGGCTCCTCGATCTGACCTGGGGATTCGTCCCATTCCATCGTATTGCCTTCTTCCATCCAAGCTCTCTTTTGACCCATCATCGCACCGGAAACGACACCGTATCCGCCGTAGAGAGCTCGGTCCGAAGCGGGCAAAAGCGCTTCGCCTTGGTTCTCGAGGTAGGCTGACGTGCCGCGCTTGAACTTGGCGTGCGTTTTTGCGAGGTGTGACTGGATTGGAGAGACAGATAGGATACATCAGCTTTCCGCTGATTCGAAAGGTTCCATCGGGAGGAAGGCTTTTCCGAGCAAAATTTTTCGGTGCCGACTCTTTTCGGGCAGGGCTGGCAGGCAGTTTTCGCGGAGCCGCTTAGACCAGGCGCGGGCTTGGAGCGAGCGAACGTTCGAAAGCGGACCAGTGACCTAAAAACTCACCTGTAGTCGATCCCAAGAGATGGAGCCATCTTCCTTGGTCAACTCGGCTGAACCACGTTTACGAAGAGGGATCCGGATCCTCGTTCCTGGTGTTTCGTTCGTTGATGTTTCGTTCGTTGATGTTTCGTTCGTTGATGTTTCGTTCGTTGATGTTTCGTTCGTTGTCTGGGCTGAAGGCGTAGCGAGGTCGACGAGGTGGAGGTCGGCGGCGGCGGCGGCGGCCGAAGCGGGCAGAGATGGCTGCTCGAGCGCGGTCGCTTGCGCCGCGGTCAGGGACGCGAGAGGGGTCGCTTGGATCGACACGGCGAGCAAGAGTAGGGCCAAAGCTCGAACCATAACGAACTCGGGGGGAGAGGAGACGGAACGGGGTACACAGACAATGAGCTCAAGAGATCCTGGAGGGGATGGGACGAGAGCAAGTGGTTGAGGTGAGAAGAGAAGAACAGACCGTGTGAGCCTCGCAGAAGGTACCACTAGCCGGCGAGCGGAGGGACTATTTGTGACGCGAGAGGATTCCGAAGTCGGCGAGGAGGAAAAGGGGGGTAACGCGCGGGGCCCACCGCTCGGGTCTCGCTGGCGCGCGCACGCATTGGGCCGGAGATCGTCCAGGCCGACGCACGCGGCCTCGCAGAAGATTGTGTGGACCTGTAAATACAAAGCAGGGTTAATGTGGCACTGCTAATTGCTATGCGGCATATGGATGACGCGCATGAGCTTGTACCCGAGCGCGCTCCGCAGGCGTGCGAATGCCTGAGGCATTTCGCCCATTTCAGTTAGATTGGAGGTGGCGCGCGCGCGACCAAGGGCGGCAAGGGGCTGGACAACTCCCGCTCGCGGCTCGGCCTGTCAAGCGCTCGCACGCCACCTCGAGCGCGACTCTCGCTGGGAAAATGAACTCTATATTAAGGGTTCTTTGTGGCGTTCATTTTCCAGCAAAGCCTACTTCCACCCGGAGCAAGAGATGTGCTGAAACAACCCTCGTTACTGCCGCTCGCCGCGCCGACGGAAACGTTTCTCACGTGTGAGATGACCGGCCCGAGTGTTTCAAGCGTGTACCAGGTCTCAAGCCACCTCCTGCCGATTGCTACTGCGCGTTCCAAGATGTGGATGAGATGGCACTTGGAGCCACAGTCCTTCTTGGCAAAGTAACAATGAAACATTGGCATCCTTGTGCCTGCTGCGACGAAACATGGGGGTTCGGAACTGATCACGTGACAGATGTCCGAGAAACTCGGCTGAAACGACGGCAGCAACACATAAGGTTTTCATTACAAGACAAGAATCAACCCCTCTTGGCTCTAGCGATCCCCGCTTGAGCCCTGCCCACAGCCCTATCGAACTGATTCTTTTTGGTCGAGCCCTTCTTCCTCGACCCATCGTCAAACCCAGCCAGTCCGTTCGACCCCCTCCCCTCCCCTTGTTCCCCAGCGGCGCCTGCTGACCCCCTTTGGTCATCCCTCCTCATCTTCTTCATCGCATCATAAGCCCCTTGGTTCCTTCCCTTACTAATCTCACCCAACAAATCATCGAACTCGGCACCATAACCACCTAAACGACGCTTGCCACCTCGTCCAGCACCCAATCCACCAAACGCGACTTCCTCTTCTTCGGCACGACGCTTCTTGGCGTCCTTTTTGGACATGCGCATACGGGTGAAGTGGTCCATTTCGTATTGCTCGACTTGCTTGAGGTGACGAGCTGTTCCCGAGGTCAATGTCGGGTCCGCGGAGGCGGAAAGACCTGTCGTCGATTCGCCGTAGGGGGTCGAAGCCGAGAGTCCGGTCGACATGTCGGTGACGAGATGGGATGCGGTTGCTCTTTTGGCCGCTTTCTTGCCTGCAATGTGTTCCGGACAAGATCTGATCAGTGAAGGGTCTTTGCAATCGAGAGGGAATTCCGGGAGAAGGTGCGCACCTTTGGCAGGTGCTTCGATGTAGGGCACGGCGGCGACTCGAGGAGGCCTATAGATACCACCTGGTCTTGAACCAGAGTCATCGTTGATCGTCGCACCGCCGTATGCTCTCTCTTCCTGATCGTCTTCGTCTTCGGACACGGTTCGGTCTAGGACGAGGTTGCTGATGTTGGGCTTGAACGCGAGAGGGTCTGAGAAGAGGGGCAGAGAGCGAAATTCAGAATCAGCTACGCCTATCACCCCTTTTGAACGGCAGCGCTGACTCACCATTCATCATCTCCTCATCATCGACGCCCTGAGCGGCCTGATCGGCCCTGCGCACGAGCTTCTCGATCTGGTACTTGAGCTTGCCTTCGAGCGGCGAGATCTTTTCGAGTACGATGCGGTGCTTGATCAACGTTGCGACCAGAGAGGAGCCCTCGGGTGAGGTGAGGGAGGTCGTAGGGCATGCCAGCTTGAGTTGAAGGAGAGCAACGAGGTGGTGGAGGTAGGAGAGGAGGAGATGATTCTTGAGCGACAGCAGCGAGATGCCTTTCGCATCGTCCAGATCCGAGGTCGCGTCGAGCCTGCGAGATGCGTGAGATGTGTGGGCTTTGAATTGACAATGCTTGATGGGACAGTTGGTCACGTCAGACTGCTCACCTCTGCTGCCAGCCTTGGACGGACTGCCTGAGCTGACTCGCGCCGCTCCTGACGTCGGCGAGCAGGGTGGTGATGGTCGACACTTGATCTGCTGTGGGCTCGAAGGTACTTGTCGACGCCATGTTGCTCGATGTTGTGGTAACTGAGCGACACGGCGTGGGTGTAGGTGTATGCGTGAGTGTGGTGAGCGCTGAACCGGTCTGGCTGGCCCGGCGCTCGCCTGATTGCGAAGTCGGCGACCGCTCTCAGAGGCTCTCAGCTGCTCTCAGCCGCTCTCAGCCGCTCTCAGCCGCTCTCAGCCGCTCTCAGCCGCTCTCCACCGCTCGTCTCTAGCCGCTTCGTAATCGCGCCTACTAATAGTAAATAGTCCCGCTCGGAGCGTTCGGCGCGCCTGCGAGAACGGCACGCGCGAGCCGACACGCCAGGACACGCCTCGACTCGGCTCAGCTCCTCTCTATCAACCGCACGTCTCCCCCGGGCACCCAGCGCATCAAAAGTACCCCCAGCATCTACCTGTACCCCATCGGATCCGAGCACGCTACTCAGCTGGACTGCTGCACCTCAATTCCTCAATTCGCACCCCTCCCGTCCTCTCCTACCTCGCCTTGAACGAGTGCGTACATCCCCCCATTCGTCGCGTCTGGGACATCTCTCCTCACCAAAGCCAAGAACTGATATCTATGCATCCTCTCACAGTGGTCAATCTTCTCGGCGCAACCTTGCCCGATCGCAAGCTGGTCAAGGTCAGTCTCACCGTTTACTTTTACCTCCACCCTGTCTGCCCAATGTCTTACCTCCCTCTGACCTTCCTCCCTAGATCGCCCTCCTGGCCTTCTACGGTATCAACCACCACACCTCATCCCGTATCATGGCCCGCCTCCAATTCCACGACCAACTGCGCGTCTCGGAGCTGAGCGAACCCCAACTCAACTCTTTGTCGGCGCTCCTCTCCGCACCCCCAAGTGCGATCCGACCCAGTACACCCCTCTTGCCTTATTCCCCTTCGACAGCACCATCAGAATCGACACCGACAGCGAGCACTTCGTCGAACAGGGAATTGATCCCTCGCGATCCGCCTTCGGTCGCTCAAGATCCCATCTCGTCCCTTTTGCTCGAGGAGGATCTGAAACGACAGATGCGCGCCAACATTGCGCACCATCGACAGATCGGCACCTTGAAGGGACGACAACACGCTATGGGATTGCCCGTGAGGGGGCAGAAGAACAGAACCAATGGCAAGACTGCCAAGAGGTTGAACAGGATCGAGAGAAAGTTCTACTCCACCTCGACGACAGCAGGAAGCAGAACGACGACGACGGGTTCGACTGGGTTGATGAGGGAGCTGAAGGGGCTTTGGAGTAGTCAAGGCAGGAGTACTGCTTGGAGGATGTGAACCCAGATTGGAATCGAGGGAACTACAGATCGGATTGCATCGCCGTGACTGCTCGGCCGCGGGCACTTACAGCATCAAGGTATTGGATGCGGGATACATCACGTACTTCTCACGTGCTCTATACAAAGGCTGGGTGTATTCATCGTGAGCATCCAGCGATCTGCTGGATTTGTCGCCCTCCTCTATCGCCTCGACTCCGCCGTACCGAAGTCCCATTGACTGATCTTCTCCCTGCCGCTCTCGCCCGTTCCATCCCGGACCCTCACGTTGTTGAGAGCCAACCATTCCGAACAGTCTGAACCGCCCCTCGCTTCGCTCCTGGAGGCTGGGATGGCACCCCGATAATGTTCGATCGGCTCTTCCCGCTCCTTTTCGAAGGTCTGGAAAGGATGCTCGATGCCCGAATGACGATGCACCATCGTCGGGTCCAATCTCGTCCCACGAGGCAACGTGTCGATTTGAGAAGTGGCGCCCATCTCTTCACCCCCACCCAAAGAAGACGTCAACCCTGCAGCTGGCGTCCCACCCGACAAAGTTCGATAATGCCACAAATTCCGAATCAAACCCAGCGTAGCGCAACACGAACTGATGCCGGAGATCCAAGCTGCTCCGACCGTGGTGACTTCGGTGGCGATCCATGACCCATGGATGGTTTGATCTTTTGCGACCGCGTACGCCGAATAGATCAACATTCCGACCAGGGCGACGGCGTTGGCGCTGATGAAGGAGGAGAGCACGATGAGTTCCGAACGCGCTTTCGAGACGAGCACGAGCGTTTCGGCGCGTTTTCGATGTAGGCTCGAAGATTGGGCGACGAATCGGAGGCCTTGGGCGTCGAGAGACAGGTTCTTGGGTAAGATGAAGGTGCTGTGCGGTGGTGGGGAAGAGGCACTTTTGAATGTGGTGTTGGTTGGGGAGAAGACACGGATCGGGTCGTGGTAGGCTGAACCCGTTTCGGCAGGTTCGGCCGCGGTCGGTTCTTCTCCGGTGGGTTCTTGTTCGAGACTTCGCATCAAACCTTTCTTGCTGAGCTCGATATGGGCCCCCAGATGACGTGCCAAGCCCAATCCCGTCAGGCTGAAGACGTATATCAAGGAAGCAGGGATGCAGAGGAGGATGAAGTACCACTTGATCATGTGAATCAACTTGTCCGATGCCGAACTGAACGCCGCGCTGGCGCTGACGGCGCGCGTCGAGTCGGTGGGAGAAATCCCGTTTGGGTATGCGGTCGCGAGTTGGGAGAGGAGGTTGGTGAGGGAACGAAAACGGGACCAAAAGTCTGAAACGCATTCGATTTGCCAGACCCCGATCGCCTGGAGTCATAAAAGGAAGCGTGAACGGTTTGGACCGTCAGCCCCTTTTCGGCTCGGCGGGCGTGGGTACGGGCAGGTGGACTTACGATGCATCCTAAAAAGGCCGACAAGCCCAGACCGGCGAAGAAGAGGTTGACGGTAGCGGATGAAATCTTCGAAAGGGGTGAGGTGTGATTCGACTTGGATTTGTTGGTGAGGATGTACGTCGTGTAAATAAACCACGAAGCAACCCAGCCGTGAACAAACATCGGGCACATGACGAATGCGCGGACAAAGTGGCCGCCGATGGTGGGGTTACGGTGCTCGATGTATTGATTCAAGGCGTCGAGGATGATGAAGATCCAGCAGGTCGAGGATATGATGCCTAGTGTGGCACTGATGATCCGAGCGTTCATGACTAGAAGGTCGCCGGGGGGTTGCCCGACCTAGAAGGGAAAAAAATTGATCAGGCCGTGGACTAGTACGGCGTGACCAATCAAAGCGCTTGCCACTCACGAACTGATACAACCATTGTGGCGGAGAAGGAGTCACACGCCTCCTCTGTACTTCAAGTACAGCCAAATATGCCACGGACAAGATGATCACCCTGAACTCGAGACATCAGGGGTCGGCGGATGACAAGATCACCCGAAGGCGAGACACAGCGTTCTCCGTCAGGAGCGAGTTCGGTTCGGCTCCGAACTGCACTCACCCGCCGTTCAGCGCGAGGAGCACGATTGCTCTGATCTTGAATCCGTTGAGGTTGTCTTGAGTGTAATAGACTTGAGCCTGGGCGAGGAAAGGATTTGGAGTCGTAAATGAAGAAGTGTGGGTGTGTCAATGACGGAAATGAGGGCAGTGGAAGCGGCCGGCGACTCCAAAGGCGGATGTCAGCGTGCAGTGACTGACCTGCACCAAGTCGAGCGAAGCTGAAACCGCAGCCAAGCCCTCCAGCTTTAGCGAACCCTCAGGATCGTTGGCAGTGTGAGAGGAATGCATCCTTACCTTGAAAGGGATTGATGGTCGTCCCATTCGATTGTTGAATCATTTTCGGAACAGAGTGGCTGCTGGTCTAGGCAGCACTGGCTGCCGAAGTGGAGGACTCGGATTGGAAAAGGGAAAGAGGCGATGTGCACGGGTTTGATCCCTCAAAGCAGCAAGACCTGCTATGATAGACTATTTGATGTGTTCAATTCCTTGCAGATGGTCGATTTGTCCAAATTGCCTATTAGTAAAGAAAAGAGAGTGACGAGTGACCATCAAAGGTACCGTGACAAATCGAAAACATAAGGAGATGCGAGCTTGTCTCACTGGTGGGCAAGGCCCGTGTAGGGTATGCGCCTCTGATTACTTTACTCTATTACTCTAACTAGTAAAAAAAAGAGTGAGTTAAGGAATGTACCTAAAATCGCTATTTTTGAGTAGGTGGCGGCCCTCCGGGCCGCCTGTGGTAGATGTACCAGCATACTGTTTTGTCTGCCGCACCTACCTGTGGTGCCCATGCTCCGATCAGAAGTCATGTACAAGCTCGGTGGTGACTTTTGTATTTTTCGCGCCGTTCCAACGAAGCTACAGCGCTTCCAGTACTTTCCTTCACTTTTTCGTTGACGTAAAACAGTGAGAACACCTATATTGTATTTAATGGACGGCAGGCGCGTGGCTTTGTATGACATTGCTTCTACAGCAGAGCTCCGCCTGACGGGCGGGGCGAGGGATCACGTCTGTCACGTGATGCGGCGCGCCAGCAGTGTCATTCCGGCAGCCGACCAGCGGCATTTAGGTGCTGAACAACAAATCACACCCCGTGAACAAACCCGCGCCACTCCCTCTAACCTTTTCTTTTTCTCTCCCACTCTCATCGAATTTTGTGACACTCATTCAAGGAGAAACCCTCGCCACTATGCCCCGGTCCTAAGGTCGCCAGGGAGGGCCATATGCATCGCAACCTTTGGCCGCGATGAGTGAAAAATAGTTTCTCTGCTCTCTTTCGTCATTATACCGTTCAATTCTCCTGCTATTTGGAACCATATTCCCCTTAATTTAACGGGATCCCACTGGTGTACATAAAATACAATGTCGTTCTTGACCGCTAGGTTAAAAGCAAGTCGTAACTAGAACTCGATAGTTGTAGCTACTCAGAGGTTACTGATGGGGCTGTTCCTGTAAGGTATCCCCTTACAGCCCGTGCATGGGAGGGGGACACCCGGCCCCTCCTACGATGCCCGGCGACTTCGGTCAAGATGATGTTTTTGAGGCTGAAAGGTGGGGCGGGCCAGACAAAAATACACTCAAGATAGACCATGACCAGTGCAGGCGACGTAAAATTCCCGGAATCCGACGGCAACCCCATGGGAGCCACAGCGGGTTGAAACATGTTATGAGGGCATGTGTAAGGGGATGCCTTACAGAAACAGCCCCATAAGTAGCCTCTGAGTAGCTAGAACTGTCGAGTTCTAGTTACGACTTGCTTTTAGCCTAGCGGTCAAGAACGACAGATTGTATTTTGTGCACATCAGAGGCGCATACCTTACAGCATGCCTCACAGAGCAGCCCTTCAAACAGCCTCTGAGTACTCTGAGTAGCTAGAACTATCAAAACGTAGCATCGACTTGCTTTTGGTCTAACGGTCAAGAAAGACAGGTTGTAATTATGAGTCGCAGGCGCAAACCTTACAGACCGCGAAATAAAATTCGAGATTGGATATGGCGATATATACAGGGCCCTGGAATCGCTTGAGGTACCCCATGGTTCTGGTCGACCTACTTTGCGGAGAAAAAAAAATGTTCCGCGAGTGAGAAGCCCTGAGGCTAGCAGAGACTAGCCCCGAGGGTAGGAATACGAGTCGGCAACGGCCAAGCAACTGGCCAACGGCTCGTCGACCCCGGAACCCAATCGGGCGGTCACGCGCTTCGAAACAAGCTAGAGTTTTTTCTCACTGCCCTGTCAATTCATCAAAGGGCAGTGATTGATGAAATCACAGCAGTCACGGATGATATAGAACTCTCCGTGTCCTTATTTTTCTTTTCGGAGCCGGAGCTTGCACTCCCGCCCCGAAGGCTCGATCAAACAGGCACGACCTCTCCCGATTGCTGACTCGGAGGCCGTATAAGTTTGATCCGACACAGTTGAGGTGCTCATACACTTCGGTTTAACGAATGTTAGAATGCACACATCAGCTAGATCGTTCGTGCAAAATGCCTACGAGCCCTTCGACCATTAATTATCTTGCAGCACCCGTTTCACGCCCCTCATGCCAATGGCACCTTTGTGTCGAATCACAACTCCAGTGGCGGCAAGGCAAAGGTCTTTGACGGAGAGTGTGCATCTCTCATCGATAAGCTATGGTGCGCTTGTAACTTGTCCTCCCGAAGTGGTCTTTCGGTAGGGCGTAGGTCCTCGAGGAGGACAGCAACCGCCGACGGATTATAGAGCGTGTCGCCCTGTTTCGGATTAAGCTCGTCCCCTTCAAGGATGTTCTGAGACAAGCCGAGCAGGCTTGTCGCCCCTCGATGAACCCAGTTGTTGTAGATCAGAGCGACCGTCGCCACACTGAGGCAGATACTACAGACCCAAGCAGCACCCATCGCCGAAACTTCTGTCGCGACCCAGGAACCGCGCTTGAGTTGTCCATTGCCACACATCGTCGCGACATAGGTCATGATCGCGATCAAGGCGGCCGCGTTGACGCCGACGCAAGCCGATACGAGTAGGAGCTCGGAGCGTGCTTTGGTCACGAGTGCGATCGTTCTTGCACGTGTCCCGTGGATGCTGTCCGATTTGGCGATCCTTCGAAGTTCTTCGGCGGTGAAGATGACATGTTTCGACGAGCAAGTAGGTGATTCGTTTTCCGACTCTTTTATGTTGTCGCCTTCGAGGAGCATCCACGGAGCTTCCGGCCGACAACAAGAAGCTACTGATCTTGCACCTGGTATGCTCATGTTCCGCGCGAGTGATTTCTTGCTGTGGCGGATGTGTTTCCCGAGATCACGCGCCAAGAGCAGGCCGGTCAGACTGAAGAGTACCGTGGTAAAGGCGGGGATGCATAGTATCCCATACGTCCATTCCGTGACGGAGAGGAACCGATTCGTGGCTTCACTCATCCCGAGCGATTTCTTTGCAAGCTCGACGCTGGCATCAGGTGCGTTGTTGGGAAACGTATCGAGGGCTCGGATGAGAAAGGACTCCAAGTCAATGAACGAGCCCCAGAACTGGTACGAGACGCGAAGATTCCACACTCCTGTTGCCTGTCAGGTAATAGGTAGCTCAGAGGATCAATGAGATTGGCTTCACAAATCTGTACATTCCGCGGAAGGGCACTGACGATGCATCCCAAAAGCATGGCAAGCGAACTCCCAATGAACGAGGCGTTGAAGATGACGGCAGGTATACTCGAAAGGAATGTCGTTCTATCCGGTTGGTTCGTGAGGACGTATGTTGTGAACACGGACCAGACCGCTACCCATCCGTGCAAGAAGATTAAACAGCTAATAAAAGCGCGTGCGACGAGGCTTGGGCCGAGAGGTCGATGCTGAATGAAGAGTAACATGGATTCGACGACGATCCATATCCACCCGCCGGCCGAGATGACTCCCATGAATGCGATGACGAGCCTCGAGTTGATGACGAGGATCTCCCCTGTTGGACGGCGAATCTGTTGCAGAGCAGAGCGCTCGCAGGTGAATGAGCACCGCACCGATGCGACAGCCAACTGCTTCGCTAGTTTCGCTAGTACCACTGTCCCAAGGCTGCCCATTGCTCAACTTACGTATTGGTACATCCACCGCCGCTGAGGAGGGTTTGAATTACACCTCTGCAGCTCGAGCACGACCATGTAAGCGATGGAAAGCATGATGACCCTGTTATTGGTAGCGCAGGGGCCTCGACAATCTCGATTTAGCAGGGGACAGGGGACGATAAGGAGTACGCCTGGAGGTTTCGATTGAATCAGAGCAGATGAGATTCGCAACTCACCCACCGTTGAGAACGATGAGGATGATAGCTCGGATCTTGAAGCCACCTAGGTACTGCTTGTCATGATACACCTTCTCCTGTAAGCCAGAGCAAGGATCCGAGGTCAGCTTGAAAGTGCCAAAGCGTGGTGTGTGCGCTCTCGGGGAAGTGTGGCCGAGCTGGTGACCCTACTGACCTGGAGCGTGTGCAGGACCGCTGGCGACCGGGGCAGCGGCGCGAGATTCCGCCATGATCTCATCAGCATACACGCCCCTTTTAGGGAAAGTTCAGCAACGTGACAGACCACTTACCACTGTATAAGTTATAAGCACCAGTATGAGATGGTGTTGTCATGCTCACGAAGGTGGAATGAGCTGAATCGGCGCGAACGGGCCGACGCCCTCAAGAGATGAAGCACCGATTGGAGAATGAAAACGCCTTTGGAGGCGGGGTCTCAAGTGCTGCCCTCACAGCGGAGGGACGAGGGTCTTACCTTGAGCGCCAATGGGTACTCAGCTCTGACACTGCTCTGACCTCCCGGGGTGAATGCGGCGAAAGCCTTGACTTATGGACTGCGAATGTCTCGATCGCGCGCAACGGTCGCAAGCGGCGCGGGCCTGCAGGTTTCAGCGCAGCGAAAGGAGACAACGGCACCGCTTCAAAAAGCGTCGTACAGGACTTAGCTTATAATCGCTCCAATGACGCTTAACGAGATACCTAGCTTATTATGGGTCGCTTTGGTACCCAGGCACGCTGAACTAGTGCAGCACGGTCTAGCACGGTGATCCCCCTATGATCCGAAAGTTGCGGCAGCGAGAGTCCGCTTCGGAGGATAACAGTCTCGCAGACGATATGAAAAGTAGCATGGACTCAACATCTTGTTTCAAGTCAAAGGAGTTGCATTATTTGTACGTATTGTACTAAAAGCTGTATCTTCTTCTGTACAACTCCCTCAAACCTGAACAGTCGCCGGCGGGAGCTTTTTCGAAGCGAACAAAGCCGCACTCCAGCCCCCAAGCTTATACTTTCGGGACTTTCACGCGATGTCCGAAACTCATTGAGCTGAAGACCGGCGGAGAAAATGACACTGTCGACGGTTTAGTGATGGCTTGATAATCCGGTGGTGCTGGGTACGACTCATATCGCCACGCCGCGTTGTGAATCAGGACGCTCGTCTCGGAGCCGACGCAACTGCTGCACACTCACGTCGCACTCAAACTGAGATCTCCGTCACGGCCCATGAGTCATCTTCCAGCGCCTCGCTTACACCTAATATGATGACACACACTACGATGTTCCTCAAAAGGACAGCGGTGATGCCGAAGTAGACCGAGACGACCAAGACTTCGTGGGGCGCTTTCGCGACGAGCGCGATGGAGCGCGCGCGCTTGCAGTAAGGTGCACTGCCGGACTGAGCTAGTAGTCTGCGTTGTCGTTCGGCGTTCAAGATCACAACCGGATCTTTGTCGGACGCGGAGGAACGTGGAAGGATAGGAAAGGCTAGGGGTGAATTGACTAGTGGCCTGGACGTCGTGTCGGTCTTGATCAAAGCCCACGGCGCGTCTGAACGGCATCCTCGCCGTCTCGTTGTCGGAGCTTGCGTTCAGTGAAATTTTTCTCTTCGTTGATGTGTCGACCGAGATTGCATGCTAGGACGAGACGCTTCAGGCTCAAATCAGATACTAGAAATATTGGGATGCACATCAATGCGCGCGTGCTTGGCGATATGGCGAAACTCGTTTCGCGGCGAGAGGAAATGCATTTTCCGCGGCAACGCTTCCGGGTGGAACCTTGACTAAGAGGATTCCCAGATGACGCAGATGGGATGTGATGGCCCGAACGCACCCTAACGCACCTCCAAATTGGCGCATAGAGTCGAATCTCTCATATACCGAGTCTCTCAGCCGATTATCGCAAGCTCGAGTCAGCCGTGCGCAGTCGTCGACTCCTTGCAGCGCGGCCTTCGGCGTAGGATGCACGATATAGCCGACAAGGCCTGCTGTGGTGCTTCCTATCTAGATGGTGCTGATCGTCTTAGCGCGGAGGGAGAACACGAACGAAGGGTAGTCAGGCTTATCGGTGAGGAGGTAGGTCGTGCAGACCGACCAGACCGCGAGCCAACCGTGCAGGAAGATGGGGAAGCTGTGAATCGAGGGAGCGGAGGACTAGACCAATTTCGTGCTGAGCGATCGTTGCTTGATGTATTGCAGCATCGACTCGATAATGGTCCAGAGTCCTGCGGAGGCGGCGATGATCCCTATGAAAGCGATGGTGACTCAGGCGCTGACGACCGATAGCTTCCCCGAAGGCCGTCGAGCCTGGGACCGTAAAGTGGTGCCATAAAGTCCGTTAGCGGGTGTGAGAAGGGCAAGACGAGGTGCCGTGCGCTTGCGAATGACCTACGAAGTGATACAGCCAAGGCCATTGGTGGGGTGGGGATCAGGCTGTCTCCTCTGCAACTCCAAAGAGCGAGGTACACTCTCGATGTCGCATAGCCGCGGGTAGGGCGCCAAAGAGCCAGAAATCCAGCTGAACGCTTGACCTTGGAGACTCCTCGGGGCTGGCGAGGGCACTGTTATCCCGAAACGGCACGTGTGAGTTCGAGCTCCCCATTCCGTTTGGGGAGATGTTCTGGTGAGTGACGACTCCGGATGTCGGAGCCGAGTTCTGAGAGCCCCCGGATATACGGCATGACGTAACAATCGGATGCAGCCCTGGGAGAGATCCTTATGAACCGTTAGCGGGGGCACGGGGCGCCGCTCGGGAACAGGGGCTTCTCCGGTGAGGAGGAGCTATAAATGGGTAGCTACTCCGCGATCGGCTGGTCGCTTCCCAAGTCAGGCTCGTTCGAGGGACCAATTTGATCCGAAACCACTGGTGACTGAGCTACTGGTGGCTAGCCGGGCCGGGAGTCAACCTCATCCGTTAATGGGGCAAGTTATCGGGCGTCCATCCGTATATATCCGTAGGCTGCTATATAAGTGATGCCAAGTCTGTGCCGTGCAAACTTTAGCCCACGCTCGCGGACTTGCACTAGTAGTATATCAAAAGTTTGAAAGCGCCAGTCAGATTTTTGCATGTTTCAGGTTACCTCAACAAAGAGACACAGGTCCCGAGCACTTTGAGCTTTGCGAGCGAAGATTCGGCCCGAGGTGTGTTATAGGCCAAAGGGGCGTTGCTTACGTCGCATTTCGCATTTGATCGGGCTGATAAGCTCGAATCAGAACCAGAGCTGCTCCCGATTCTGAGCCTGTCTTCGCACTGCCTTCGCTCCGCCAAGCGTGCGACCTATCCGCAATAGTCGTTCTTATACACACTCTCTTCGGGACCACGACCACTTTATCTGCACACCGTATAAGGACCGACCCTCACGTTCGCACCCCTTCCGTTGTCCGCTTCACGTCACCCGTGCTCGCCTCGCCCCACGTCGCACGAACGACCGCGTAGCACGTCCGACTGGGCCTCATCAGCCACCACCACCACTTCCACGCTCCACCATGGCCCGTAATGAAGAGAAATCGCAGTCGATGCTGTACCGATTCCGGGAGGCACAAGCCGCCGAGTTGGGATTGGCGACCAAGACCGATCGACGACCTCGTTTGGCCGCGTCGTGCAAGGATCTCAAGCAGTGCGAACGATGGAGGGGGGAGATCCTCAGGGAGATTAGTAGGAAGGTTTCCAAGATTCAGGATTGTGAGTCGTCGAGTGCAGGGCGGGAGCGAGCACGAGGGGGAGTCGAGGTCGTCGTGAGCTGACACGCTGTCGATCCCCATTCCTCGTCCAGCTGGCTTGACCGACTACGAGGTTCGAGATCTCAACGACGAGATCAACAAGCTGCTGCGGGAGAAGCACCATTGGGAGAACCAGATCATCGCGTTGGGAGGCGCCAATTACAAGCGCGTCGGACTCGCGGGCCGCATGAAGGATGCCGATGGCAAGGACGTGCCGGGGACAAGAGGATACAAGTACGTTCAGTAGAGTGCACGGTGTGCTTGGTGTGTAGTCGCTGATTGGAGCCGCTACTGGGACTGCTAGGTACTTTGGTCGGGCCAAGGACCTGCCCGGTGTCAAAGAGATGTTTGCGTCGCGATGTACGTTCCTGATGGTGCAGACGAGCCACAAAGCTATTGATCACTGATCTACCCATCTCGCATCCTCACAGCAACGGAAGAAGCTGAACTGGACAGCCACAAGAAGCAGCGGATAGATCTCTTTGCGAACCCCGCCCCGGGCTACTACGGCGACGAGGACGAGGTTGATGCATCATTGCTCGAGTCCGAGAGGGCCGCCGAAGCACAAGGTGCGTCTTCAACAGAGCTATAATGTCTTTCAGTGGCGCTTGCTGATAATTCTCTGCCTGCGTCAACAGCTTGGGAAGACGCTCTAGAGAACTTACGAGATCTCGGTCTCGTGATCCCAGAAGGCGACGATGCACCCCCGCTCCCGACCGCCAAATACATCTCCCTCAACCCTCCCACAACAACCACGACAACAGAAGCCGCAGAGGTAGCACCACCTGCAGAAGCTGAAGCCGCGACGGGCTCGAAACGAAAAGCCGCGACAACGACCAAAGGGAAAGGGAAGAGCAAGAAGGCCAAATTGGACGAAAAAGCTGCGGAAGAGGAAGCAGCCAGCAAAGATGGGGAGGATCTTGGACCCACGAATGGTTTCTTGAGCATCCTCAAGGCCGAGGATCTGAGACCGCCGCAGTTGTTATCGGCGCAGGAGATTGAGAAGCTCGTCGTTGAGCAGCAGAAGAAGAAACTATTGGCCGAGTATTTGGACGAGGACAAGTGAGCTCTGATGTTTTGAGGTAGGAAAGTGTGAATGCATACGTGCTCGTACTATTACAACATTGTATCCCTCTACACCGGCTCCCACATCCTAATGCCTGCGGTACTTCCTCCTCCGCGAACTCTGGATCCCAGCCCCTCTCGGCCCGACACTAGCCTTGGGTTGAACGATCTGCAACGCCTCCCTTTTGACCAACCGCAATTTGGCTTGATCGGCCTTCAGTTGTTTCTTCTCTTGATGTCCCGAGAGGTCCATCGCTTTGATACTGGCGAGGTGTTGGGCAATCACGCGATCGATCATCGCTTGGATCGGTTCTTCCGCTTTGGGGATGTCCCCCTCCTCACCCTTCACCGCCGGTGTCAATCCCGAACCTCCAGTAGCTTCCGCAGCTGCCGCGATTTCCGCTTCTTTGACCAAGTCGACGGCTTCCCCACCCCTGCCCAACCCATCCAAAGTCCATCTGCCCAACTTGCCCTCCCTAAACGCCAACAACAGCCACCTGCCCGCGAATTCAAGATCGGGCTCCCCACCTTTTCGAACGGCTTTGAGTCGATCGGCTAGGGCGATAAGGAAGTCGGTGCTGGAGTCGAGGGTGGTGGTAAGGGGGAGGTGCAGGGCTTTCATGAGGTCGTCTATCCGAAAACAATGGAAAGTGAGAATGAGAAGCGGCGCCTGAGAGGATGAAACCCCTCCCGCCTGAGAACGCCCTCGATCCCGATCATAACGAACCTTTGGTATAACCCCCCACTTCCTCCTCACACCTAGCTTTCAACCTCCAGACCAGATAATCCCCGATCGTCTCACTCTCAAACAAACTCTCTTTAATACCCCCCGTCAAAGCTAACTTGAGCGCCATCTCGTCCCCTTTCGTTCCTTTCCCGAAGAAAGGGACCATGATCCCGGGTGTGTCGTGGATATATACGGGTGGATTGAGGGATATTTTGATGAAGGTTGAGAGACGACGGGTGTGTCCTGGGGCGGAGGATACGGAGGCGGCTTTGCCTGAGGAATTGGAGAGAAGGACGATTCGAGTCAGTGAGGAGGGAGCGACGGCACTAATCTTCGGTAGCGCAGCCTCACCTTTACCTACCCCTACGCGTCGAAGTGCATTGAGAATGGATGATTTGCCCGTATTGGGCATCCCAGCGATGAGCATCGAGATGCGATCCTCGGGCCCCTCCAAGGGGCGATCGGCGAGTTCTGAGAAAGGACCGAAAGTCTGAAAGTCAGTCTCAGCAGCGTCGCCGAGGGAGCTACAATGCACGCGAACGTACTGATCGCTGCTCGCATGAGATGTTTGATCGAAGCGTCCGATCTGGAGTCGGTGAAGAGTACGGTGTGGCCTGTTTGCTTTAATAGGGCTTTGATGATAGGCTAGAAGAAAAATTTTAGGGTGCATTTCGCGAACTCGACCGGTGTGAGCCTACAACACCACTCAGCCCAAACTGGGGACCCAGTCTCACCTCGTGAAACTCGGGCTGTGCCAAATCCGCTTTGTTATAAATAATCAACCGTTTCGCGAACGCGCTCGCTCCTGGGATATTGAGCAAGTGTTCGAAAGCGGGGTTGATCGAGGTCAGGGGCATCCGGGCGTCGCGGGCTTCGATGACGAGGTCGACTTTTTGTTTCTGAATCATGAGCTGCATCTCTTTAAGCGCTCGGGACATGTGGCCTGTGGGGGAGCAGAGGGGAGTGGAGGAAGGCAGGGGAAGGGAGACTTTGCATTGTGAGTTACGACTGATGTGGGGGACAGAGCGGAGCGAAGAGAAAAGAACGGGAAACTCAACCGATATACCATGTGCTCGGTAGAGTGGGGAACAAGAAAGGTGCCCTTCGTGGTCGGGGTGGCATGCTTGAGGACAGTGAGTGGACCCGGAAGGGCGAGGAAGTCGTGAGGAAGCGGGAGAGAGCGGGAGGAGAAGAAAGGAGGAGCGCCTCGAGATCCGGATCGCCTGCTTCGGCCTGTTCCTGTTGTGCGGCCGCTCTTTCCGGGGTTGTCCTCGTCAGTCACTGGCCTAGAGATGGGGTTCACCGGTGCTCCTGTCAGTCAGGGTCAGTATCCAGACCACCTTGTAACCCCTATGCCTCGCTCGAGCTGACGTGATTCGCGAGCCGGTCCGAGCTCACCGACTTCTTTCTCGTCAACAGGGCTCATCTCGGTCATTTGCGTCGCCTCGATTCTAGCAGCGACCACATCAACGCAGCACTACTTTGACCTCCCCCTCAGCCCTCACCTGACGCGTGACCATCAGTGGTGGAGGTTGCTGACCCATCAGATCGCGTTCGCCAACTCGTCCGAACTCTTCATCGCGGCTTTGCTGCTGTATTTCACTAGCGTACCTGTGGAGAGGTCATTGGGGAGTCATAAATATGCCGTGAGTCCAAGGTCGCTGTAGGCTGCGTGTGAAAGTCCCCGGAGCTCACGGATGGCCCACGTCATCTCCCGATAGTCGTTCCTCTTTGCGAGCTTCTTCTGGTCGACCCTGCTTTCGCTGCTGCCTCTCATCTTCTTCTCTCGCTTCGGCCTCAACCGGATACCGGCAGGTCCATTCATCGTCGTTTTCTCCATACTGTGCGTGCATACTCACTACCTGCGCTCCCCCAACGTGCTTCTCGCTCACCGATCTCCGTCCTTGTCTTCCCTCCTCACTCCTCCTGGGGCCCCACTTCCCGAAATATCGTGTCGGCGACTTTCGCCCTTCCTAGTGCCCAATCGATTCGCCTCATCCCCACCGTCTTCTACTGGCGACTCTTCGGCATCGAAGTCACATCCCGCATAGCGCTCTACGTCCTCTCCGCCCAAGTACGTCACACTTCACTTCGATACCCCGAAGCGAAAAAAACGAACGATGCCTCACTTACCCCCTCCTTCCCCTACCAACAGCTCATCTTCTCCCAACCCCCCATCTCCCTCTCCCTCTTCCTGCTCGGACTCCTCACCTCCTCCCTCTACCTCTCCAATTTCCTCTCCCTCCGAACATTCCGCCTCTCCCCTCGCGTAGTCACCCTTTCCCAACGACTCCTCACGCCTTTCGTTTCCAACGCCGTGATCGGAACGGGGAACTTACCGAGTCGATCAACGGCGACCACGTTGAACGAAGTGATGAGTTTACAAAGGAGGGCGAACGAACAAGCCGCTGGGAACGCAGGGGGTGGGATGGCAGGTTTCGTGAGAGGGGGAACTTTTTTACCTTCGGGAACGACCGCGACGACGAATACCGTTCCGCCATCTAGACCGGGGGTGACGACGGCGAGAGGGACGACGGTCGGGGCGATGAATACGGGTGTCGGAGGGGGTGTACCTACTCCTCCTCCACCAACGACGACGATAACTGCCGGATCGAATACGTTGGGGACCGCCACTCCCATCGTTCCTCCAACATCCACATCTCCAGCTGTGGCGGCTCGGACAGGTCCAAGAGCTTTCGTTCGACAATGGACCCAGGGGTTGACGGGGGGTACGAGTGCGGCACAACCTACTCAAGAGTGAGTCGGTCCTTCTTCAAAAGAGTTCGATCATCCCGGATTATTTACTCATGACCATCTCGTATTCGGTTGACAGACAAATCGCACATTTGACCGCCATTTTCCCCGTGCGTCCAGGCGATGTTTTTCTTCTTTTTTCTTCGATCCGACCTTCGGACCTGACTAGAGCCTCACTACTATACCCCATAGCATCATCGACGCGACCTCATCGTCTCGGCTTTACAAACTAACGAACTGGACGTCGAAAGAGGTAAGTTAAAAGCCGCTCGTAAAGCGCTCCACGAGCTGTGCGCTGATCATTCCCCCCCTTTTTTTGATTGTCTTACAGCCGCGACGACCCTGCTCGCTTCCTGAGTTGCAAAGTGCAAAGTATGATGACCGAAAGACCGTTGAAATTGCGATTCGCTTTCCACATTTTGTTGTTCAACTTTGACAATACAACAAACACTGAAAGAAAAGAGGATGATGATCGAGAGGGAAAACATGACTATGATACGGTGGAGAAGAGGACGAGGCATTCAGGACGAGGCATTCAGGTATAACGACGAAAGGAGGAGTATAGTCAGAGAGAGTAAGGGAGAGGGAGAGAGAGAAGGTGGTGAGGTATGGGAGGGTTGACGAGAAGGAATATTTGAAAAAGCAGAGCAACACCGATCCAACTGTAGTCCGTGATTCCACTCAAGGCGCCGGATTTGGCCCGAACCAATTCCATCCGTCTAAAGCGCCCGGTAGCAAAGTGTGCCAATAGTCCGTGTCCGTGAATTGCGGTTGTCCATCCAAGAAGGAGATGCCCGTCGTGGAAGCGAAATCGTCGAAAAGCTCGTCGCCCTATAGTTCACATCAACGAAAGAGGATCGGGGGTCAGGGTTTTAGGTTTACGACATCGTGGTTGAGGTTCAAGAGAGGTGACTTACAATGGTCCCCAATCCAGCGAAAGGGTTCTGTTCCTGCTGCAATTGACCGTTCGACGAATCGCCATGCGGTCCTCCGGCGGGTGTGGCGTTGCCAAAGCCGTTCATGACTCCCGAATTTGACATTTGTAAAGCGACCCTTCCTTCGACGTTAGAGGAACCATTCTGATGACCTGCTTGGCGGTGATTGAAGTTGGAAGGCGGGTTTGAGGATTGTGGTTGAGGCGAATTAGGACGCGTCGCCGGGATGGAGGAAGAGGCGGATATTTGACGTAAGACTTGACGATAGAAGCGAGCGATGTAGGCTGAGACAGCGGTGTCGCGCTCGTTGGCGACTTGTTTGCACGTCGTGTACACTGTGGAAACATCGCGAACTTCCAAAATCAGCATCTGATTCCAAGGATCGTGCTTGGGTCAGGCGAATAATGACTCGCCTTGGGTCAGCCAGCGTACGATTGTCGTCTGGTTCGTGATGTTGACCATGGGGAACAACTACCAACAATCAACCCACGCAAAATCAGCAACCATATAAGCCCACCTCTCCGAATGCTAGGAAAGCAAGCGATACGTACACGAAACAAAAACTCCGCCGCAGTGAACAAAGCGACGGCGACCGAATCCTGGACGATATCAATCACGCCCGACCTGGCGAGGTTGAGGCTTTCTTCGAAGAACTCTCCCGCGCGACCAAAGTATTCGGCTAGAACGGCGTCGTCTTTGAATTCGGTGGCGATGAGCAGGGATTGGATGAGTACGGTGTTGGTGTTGCTGTTCTGTAAGGGGAAGAGGATCGAGTAGGGATCAGCTGAGGTGCTCGGTGCCTGTGACGATGCTCAAGAGTACGGACCATCATCTTCATCTTCAACGCCCCCTCGGGCCTCGAACATCGATAATGAGGACTCGACGCATCCGTCCACTTGGTGCAAGTCCCCCTCAACCACGCCGACAGATGAGCCGCCAACGCATGGGCCCCACCCAACGACTTGCACGACTCGATGTTTCTTCTCAACTCGGTGATCCTACCCATCTCGACGGAGAGAGCGAGGAGACTGTCGTCTTCGACTTCGTAAGGATAGCCGTCTTGGAGCCAGCGATCGAGATCGCGTTTCTCATCGGGGATCATGAGGCCCACTCGACGGCCTTCGGATTCGTCGTAGAGGTGGTACGACTTGTCGAAGCAAACCAGGTTCAACCAGGTCCTCTCCCCATCGAGGATCAATCGAGCCTCCATCGTGTCCGCAGGAAGGGGTTGTGTTCGAGGTTTGTGCAAACGCAATTGGTAGCCCATTCGAATCGCAATCCCGACTTTCATCCAAGCGCTCGAATCGGTCGGTTCCTTCCAATACACCAATATCCCCAACGCCTGGACGATCCCAATGTGCGATATGTTGTCCGCCAACGCGCGTCCGACGAGTTGTTGGGCATGCGCGAGCAGTTGAGGGTAGAGGTCGACGCGGGTGAATTTGCCGGCGACGCAGAGCACGGCCGAGAAGAGGATCGGAGAGTGTTTGCGCGTGAATTCCATCGTATGCACTGTCAGAACGAAAACTCCGGCCTCTACTGTTAGTGCTTGCCTAACGTACCAACTTGAGCATCTGCAACTGACGATGTGGATCCAAAATTTTGATGAACGGATTGAGCTGGGTGTGGTACGAATGGAACAACTGCTCGGCTTCGACGAGGCCCAAAATATCTGCGTACACCAATTTACAAGGAACGTCAGATTTCCACACCGATTCATAACGCCGCCCCATCCGAAACTGACGCAAGTCGACCGGATCGACGTAACCCGGCAAGGCCAATCCTTTCTTCTTCTGCTTGGCCTCCAAATCGGCCGTCACCGCCGCGTTCTCCGCCATCGTCACTTCCGCCGCCTGGACCAATGACCTTAAACTATGATCCATCGCGTTCTCCCCGCCGACCAACTGCCGTCGAGCGCTGTTGGAGCCCGCGCCTTCGCTTAGGCGCGGAGAACCGGCGGTACCGGTGGAGGAAACGGAGGGGTGGTTCGCCGGGGCACCGTACGGTCCTCCTGGTTGGGATGACGAGGAGGGAGGCATGCTGGGGTGGGCGGGTACTCCTCGAGAGGTCGCTATTGGAGGGAAATGAGAGACGCTGGTGGACGGTCCCAGCATGGGAGGCGTGACTGAAGTCGTGGGAGCGTACGACGCGGGTTTGTTAGCCCTGTGGAGAATGTTGGGGCGAGGTCAGTTTTGGACACAGACGAGCCGCAGCGAGCTCGGCATTGTAACTGACCAGGGATTGGCTGGAGCTGAAGAGATGGGAGCGGTCGTTGATGGAGGAGGGTAGCTTGGCATGGGGGCCGACATGCTCGGCTTGGTATCGGCAGGCGGTCTCTCTGTCAATCAGGGAGCGAGGGATCACCTCCGAATCAGTTCGTGGACACCGTTGCACCACAACCCAACACAACGTACCTTCAAATGATGTCGAGGCACCTCCCTGAACCACTTCGCCCACTTTTGAAGGACTGCCGGAGAAAGTAACTCTAACGCGCATCAGCACCGAGGAAAGAGTATACCCCACACCGAAGAGACGGGGCGCTCACCTGTGTCGTGGTTTCCTCCCTTTGGTAGCCGGCGCAGGGTATTCGCATGGGAGTTCTGTACGAGGGAAATAGGGGGTCAGACATTGCAGGAATGCTAGGGAGAGAAAAGCTCAGGGCGGGGTGAAGCGAAAGCCAGGCCGTGATGAAGAACTTTCAGCGGGAGCAAATCGGGCATGGGCGGCCGCCGCCGACGGGGTGCCAGTGCAGTGGAGTGACGACTTACTCAGTCGAATACATCTCGTACATACGACGGCGTTGGGTTCATTCGCGGGAAGAATACACCGCACCTGGATTGAGGTCGGGGAAGAGAGTTACGAGGTGTTAGTGCTTGCTCAATGCCCGTGAAAGGGTGGTGATCGCCTTGAAAGGTGCGGGGTGCGGTGCGGCGCGCCGCGACGGTGGCCGACAGCCAACGCGCTCGAGTCACGCGGCGGCTCGCCCGTGAACAAGTCGACAAGTCCAGTCGGAGGACCCAGGAACGGGAGATCGGTCGGGAAGTCGTCGGCGAACTGACCTTGATGGTGCGGCAACCGATGCAACTGGGGATGACACACAGACAAAAGTGTCAGCTCCAAGCTACCGGTCACGAGTCTCTTCCCACGTAGTGCTAGGTCGCTACGACGTCCCCGAGACACCGGAGCGAGCCGAGGTCTCGCGTTGACCGTGGCGCGAGAGGCAGCAGCTAGCGGCCGGGGTGGTGGTGGTGGTGGTGGTGGTGGTGGTGGTGCTTGTCGGTGGGAACATCATCCACCCCAGCGCCCGCACCCGCCAACCCAGACTCCCACAACGAGTCAGAGCATCCATCACTCACGCAGGTCTCTTGTTGTCCTTATCCCCCGCATGCTTGCCCCTACTCCCACTGCCCCCAGCTACCGCCCCAGGACCGACACCCCCCGTACCACCACTGGCACTCCCCTCTGGACTGATCGGCGAAGCAGAGGTGGTGGACCGCTCGTCGAGACTAGTCGACATCGACACGTCCATTTGTGAATGGTGAGCTTTTTGGAGAGCTTTCTCCGTTTTGTGGAATCCGTCCCGTCCCGAGGATTGGTCGCGACGATGGGACTACAGAGACGGGGAGTAGCGGTCGAACCCGAGAGGCGAATTCCCTCGCCTCGCCCCGAGTGAGTCGAAGAGCGTGCCGATTCCCGAAGCAACGCGAGCCTCGGGTGGCCCGGCGGACGCACTAGTGATCGGCGATAAAAATCACCGCGAGAACCCAGTCTTTTCGCAGCGGAACAAGAGTCGTAGTTCAAGAACAGCGGAAATTCTCGGCCTTGCAAAGAACCTCACTTTTTTATTCACCGGCTCGTCAATGTCACGGCTCAGAAAACCGGCCTCGCTTCAACTCGATCTTCCCCCCCGTCGGCCGCCACAACGGATTTCAAGCGAAAAACGCGGGGGGTCGATCAGGGGGGCGAGGGGGAAATGAAAGATGTCTCGGAAAAGCGAGACGAGCGTCTTGGCACACCCACACCACACCCAAAAGGGGGCTCAATCTGGAGTGGAAGAGCAGAATAGTTGAAAGGCTCATTATTGCGGTGTTTCTATGCATGCACATAAAGACAAAAGGTTGCTAAAAAAAGGGAAACCGAAAAATGTCGTCTTGCTTGCTTGCTCGCTGACTCGTGATCGAGGTTCGAAACTCGAGGAGAGATACATCTCAAAGCGAGAAAAGTTTGGATGATCGTCGTCATGAGTTCGTGCACGGCGATCCCCCCGCGGGAGAAGCGGCCGAAGAGGAAGATCCTTGAAAAGAAGAACGCGACAAGTCAGGAGGCCTTGCGATGTTCTTCTACGCTCCCTCTCGCGAACCACGGTAGGATCTCCCAGGAAAATCGCTTAGAGTTCCTCCTCCTCCTCGGTCTCGATACCTCTCCCGTCCGCCTCCATACCCGCCCCAGCCCCCTCTCTCCACCCGATCACCCACCCCACCTCCTTCCTCAACCTCTCCCTAACCCCTTCCATAGCCCTCTTAGCGACCCCTTCCCCTCTGCCCCCTACCAATCCCACACCAGGACTATCGACGCACAACTCTTCCAATTTAGCGAACCAGGTCCTCAGTGTAGTTGCGGCTAGCATGCGACCTTCGTGATTGACCCCTGTTGAGAGACGCGTTAACCAGACGTGCCATTGATTGATCGTCAAAGGGAGGAGATGGGAAGCGATCGGGTTCATCGGGTCCGAGGTGGTGGAGAGAACTTGCGAACGCGTGGAAGGTAAAGCCAGCTCGAGCCTTCTCAACGAGGACGTCAAGGCGAACAAGAAGGCGAACGTCGTCGAAGGGTGCCCGATCTCGTCATCCGAGGAAATCGATGTCGAAGAAATGCGAGGCGTTGGAGAACAGAACGCGGCGAGGAACGATTTGGACTCGGCGACGAACTGCTCCAAGGGAACACGCACGCGACCAAAGACGTATTCGTCGCGCAGGTTCTGACCACCGGGCAAGGCGGCGACGACGGCGCGTTCGAGATGGTGGATCATTTCGATTGAATGCGAGAGCGTCGGCGGGGGGAGCAACGCTTCGATCGTCGGCACAAGTTGAGGTGAGGTCGAAACGAGCTTGTTCAAAAGGGACAGGAGCGACTCTTTGGAGAGAGAGGCTGTAAGGGAGAAACGGCAGCGTCAATTACTGGGCTCAAGAGAACGATTGATAAGCGCACAACTTACCGAGCGCTTTGCCAAGATCAGCCGTAGTAGGCCCAGGTGTGGCCTGAGCAATCGACGTCGATGCAACACGCGCCTTCTTGATCCCTCTGGTAGAGGATGGTGGGGCAGCTGCAATTGTGCGAGGCGAAGATCTGATGTGCTGGTCCATGGAGGCGTCCTGCGCTTCGTCATCGTCCATTGACAGGCTGCGCCGTCTCCTCCTGCGCGACGAGACAGCCACCGCCGGGCTGGCTGGCGTTGCTGCGGTGTTGTTTGATCGGAGCGCGGCCTGCTGTTGCTGATGTTGTGTCGTTGCTGCTTGGCCCCACGCTGCGGAGGCGGAGGCGGCATGACCCCATCCTCCCGTCGCTGTAGCTGGGGGCTGCTGCTGCGAATGCGACGACATGTGCGAGGCCGCTGACAGTCCGAACCCAAACGAAAGAGCACCGGGTTGGGATCCTGGAATGGCGCCGAAAGGAACGACATGCGAGGATGCGTTCGCTGACGACGACGGTGATGACGATAAAGACGGAGCAGCAGCTGACGCCACCCAGCTACTGGGCGGGTTCATCGAGTGATGGTGGTGGTGGTGGTGGTGGTGATGGTGATATTGGTGTTGGTGCGGTTGTTGATGCACGGGTGAGGGTGGTTCGACTTGCATCGACATGGTCTTGCGCGAGGGCTAGGAGCTACTGGCCGATGGAGGGTGGATGTGACATGGACGTGAGAGAAACAGAGCAGCGTGGCGAGTGGGTCGAGTTGCGGTAGGACAGCCTATGACCCCCGACCGAGCTCAACCAAGCTCAAGTGCAAGCCCTGGCGACAGGCTGAGAATACCGGTAGCGACTGGTTGAGTGTTGCCCCGCGAGCCAGTCGATACGCGAGACGGGGAAGGACCGAAGGACCGCAGGAGTGACGCTGACCGGTGCTGACCGGTGACTGAGCTTGACTGACGTCGGGCCTTTCGCACTCGCACGGACCTCTTTTCTCGGCGATAAGCGCGCGACTTGCCGGTGGGCGACGCGCTCCTTTGCAGCTCTTCCGCTACCTCCGCACACCTCAAATTCTTTCCTCCCCCGCCCGGATCGCGCCATGACCAGCCCAGCCACCAAGATCCTCTTCGTCACCGGCAACGCCAACAAGCTCAAGGAGGTACGCTCCATCCTCGCCGCCGGAACCTCCACGTCTACGATCGAATTGGATTCCAAAGCTTTGGACTTGCCCGAGATCCAAGGCACGACGAGAGAGGTGGCGAGTGCCAAAGTCAAGGCAGCTGCGGAGATCATTGGAGGACCTTGTATCACTGAGGTGAGTTGGAGTCTGCTGGCGGGTCGCGCTGTAGGCTGAGCTGATCTGAGCTGGGAGTCATTCTGATTGGCATTGTGGGATCTAGGACACTGCTTTGGCTTTCACGGCGTTGAAAGGTCTTCCGGGGCCTTACATCAAGCACTTTCTAGACTCGCTAGGCCACGACGGTACGCCTTTCACGCCCATCCCCTACCTCTCCTCCCCCACCTCACCCTAACCCCTTCTCCTCCTCCCTTCCAACAGGTCTCAACAAGATGCTCGTCGGTTTCTCCGACAAGTCAGCCACGGCGATTTGTACATTCGCCTACTCTGCCGGTCCAGGATCGGAACCTTTGTTGTTCGAGGGAAAGACGGAGGGGAAGATTGTCGAGGCGAGGGGTCCGACTCATTTTGGGTGGGATCCGATATTTGAGGCGCACGAGTCGGGACTGACGTAAGTGACGAGATTGAGGTTGAACAGGCTTAATTGAAGAGGATGAGGTTACTGATCATCATCTTTGGGTTTGACTCAGGTACGCCGAGATGGACGGGCAAGCGAAGAACAAGATCTCGCACCGGTATCGAGCCTTGGACAAGTTGAGGACCTACCTCTTGGCCCAACAACAGTCATAGTCCCCACAGCAGACGAAAGCATAATCATCTAATCGCAATATTCACTTCATGCATGCTACTACCCCAAGACAGAGAAGCTACCCCGATCAGAGCTTGGCGGACCCTTTCGGCCACTTGATCATCAGACTCGGTGTATCCTGCTTGACGTGCGTGCCGAACGCAACGAGGCGGCCCGTTTCACTATTTCAACGAAAGAAAAGAGAAAAGTTGACATCAGCCATGATCCTTATCCCTTGAGACCACCGAGAAGCGGGGAGTAAAAGGGAAGCGCAGAATCTTCTTCTAGTCCTCCGTGCCCCCCCTCTGTAACCGATCAACTATAGTCCAAACGTACGCATGCTCCACCCTCGTCTCTAAAAGACTAGAGGTTTTGCTTTGTTGCAATACCCGCGTAACGACTTTGAGAGGGGTGCCGCTCTGCAAAACCGAAAGAACCGAACATGTTCAGCCAAGCTTCACTTTGGCATAAGAAGCTCAATCCGCGGTCGCAATCTCAGAACTAGGTGAACTTACTGGTGCCGCAGAGATATAGTTGACGGTGAGGTTCGTACTGACACCACTCGTTGCCCACCTCCCATGTCCAGCCAAAGCGATCAAGCTCAAACTCGAACAGTGGTCGATCAACCATGCCAAGAAACCGCCGTGCTGTAGAAACACAATCGAAGTTTGAGCAGTTCCCCGAATTGTGAGAAGTACGTTGCATAGGATCGCTATGATACTCACCGCATTCCCACTCAAATTACACATCCCATCATCCACCTCCAACTCGACCGTCGTCAGCGCCTGAGCCCCCTTCCTAGGCGCCGTGTCCTCCTCATCATCTTCAGCCAAATCGACTCCAGAAACTTGAACGTCACCTAATCGACAGGAAGCCGCTTGTTGCCATCCGAAACCGGGTTCGCTGGTACCGGCTTGGAGAACGGTTTCGCACCGTTGGCGGATAATGGAGAGGACTTTGGCTTGGGTCGCCGAGGTGGAGGAGGAGCTGGTCATTCTGACTCAGCGACAGCTGGGAGGGTTGTGTGGGTTCGTGCTTGAGGGGTCGTAAGAGCGAGTATTGTGGTGATGATCTCCTTGGTGAGTCTGACTAGAGTCCTGAACAGGCCAAGACGACGTACGCAGACAGGGTTAGGGCCAAGCAATCGTGAACTCTCGTCGTTTTTGTAGAGTCGCGCTGACCCGAGCTGAGACCGGCAACTGGATCGAACCGGGCGTGTCGCCGGCCTTCGGGCCTTCACGTCGGCATAGGCAAGCGAGGTCCATGATCACGTGCTTATCATGTCCGAGCTGGGCTTGGGGGCAGTTTGCTTGACTGGTCATCACTTGGGTGCACGAAGTTATCTACACTGAGAACAGCGAGGAAATCACGAAACCCTTGAAAATGGAGTAGTAACTATTTGATCATGACAGATATGGAAGCGAGCGACTCAAAAAAAAAAAAACGAAGAACCCAAAAAGTGTTCAGAGGAGTGGTGTGCGCGAGTATATACACGGAAGAACGAAAATCGGTCCAAGAAGAAGAAGACGGGTGGGTGAGAAAAGGGAGACGAAGAAGAGAAAAGACGAAGCAGTGCAGACTCCCAACTCCTTGGCCCCTATCGACCCGCGGCCGGTCCACCCGCCTTTGAGGCCGCGAAAACGCCGACAATGACGATCCCGAGGAACCCAATACTAGCCGGTAACAAGAGATCCTTGGGGAGGAAACCAAACACGAGCTCATCCCCACCCGAAGGAGCAACCTTTTTCTTCTGCTTGCGTTTCAACGCCGCTGCCGAAGCAGCAGCTTCATCCTCGTCCTCCACGACGGTCTCTTCCGCATCGTCCTCGGTGACTTCGTCGAGCGCTCCGAGAGGGGAAGCTTTCTTGACTTTCTGACTTGTCGTATTCAGTTGTTGGACCGCCGCACGTCTCGCCAATTCCTCGTCCCATCCTTTCCCACCTGTGAGATGAACGACGACGCGATCTTTGCCTTGTTTACGAGCGGCTGAAACGGCGTCTTGGACATCCCGATCGGCGGTCATCAGAACTAGATCACCGTCATCGTCCGTGTAGGAAAGCTTGAAATCCCTTGGATCGGCGGAGGGGGTTTGGACGACTCCTTCTTCTGTTGTCGTGGAAGTAGAAGAGGAGAAGAATGGGTCTGAAGCAAGTTTACCGGCGATGATGTCGGTGATGAACTCGTGCGAATCGTAGCGCGCTTGGAAACGATGCGTCGTTCCACCGGGAGCGACGAACTTGAACAAATAAGTTCCATCATCGGCAATCGCGGAAGCGGCGGTGGCAGCTCCGATGGAAGAGGCTTGGCCGGGACCTCGTCGACCAACGTCCGAGTTGCCATCACCAACGGCCGAGGCCGAGTCGTTCGGGAAGAGTTCGGATCCAGGGGTGTCCATGCTGTTGTGCGAGCGATGACCCGGTCGAACGGGGGTTTGGAACTGCTGCGAAGGTGACTCCGAAATACCCGCAGCCGAAACCATCGACTCGGTATCGTCGTCTTGGATATCGGCGGCGGCACCAAAGAAACGACCCCACAGAGGGCCATTGCCTGAATCGGCGCCGTTCTCGGCTTCCATCGAGTTGAGCTGCTCGATCGTGGCGTACGTCAACTTGAGCACGTCGACGATACCGAGCAAAGAACCTTCGTCGTCGACGATGGGGAGGTTCAAATAACGACCGTCGAGCATCTTGCGAAGACCATCCTGAATGCTGTAAGTCGGAAGGGCGACGTCTGGGTGGGGCGTCATGACGCGCACGACGCTGCACGTCTTGGGGTCCAAACCGGCCGCGATGACACGGAGAACGACGTCCTTACTCGTGAAGATACCGGCGATCTTGCGTCCACCTTCTTCCATGACGCAGACGGCTGTCGTCCGGAGCTCACGCATCAACCTCGCCGCTTCGCGCACGGTCGTCTTGACGCCCACGGTCGCGGAGAGCGTACGAGGGTCGAGGATACTGCCGAGGTCGCTCGATTTGGTTCGGTCGCGGAGCGCCTGGATATACGCGAGGATGGGGTTCGAAGCGCCACCAAACTGCTCCTGAGCGCCTTCGACAGCAGCAGCGAGAGCGTCCGAAGTCCCGGCCTGCTTCTCGAGCTTCTCCAACGAGGCGTGGAAGACCTTGGTGATGTCGAGCAGACCGACAACGTCGCCGTCTTCGTTGCAGACGGGCAAGTGACGGAAGTGACGAGCGTTCATCGTCTCGAGCGCTTCGGTAGCCGAAGTCGAATCGCGAGTGACGATGGGGTTCGGGGTCATGATGGCGCTGACGGGCGTATTTCTAGGGTCGAGACCTTCGCCAACGACCCTGAAGGCGAGATCCTTGGCCGAAAAGATACCGCAGAGATGTTCCTCTTCATCAACGACGAGAACACAATCCGTGCGCTTGGCGGCGCAAAGCTGACTCGCGTCCGAGACGCTGATCGAATGAGGGACAGTCAACGCGGGAAGCGGTCGAAGGGCCGAGACAGTGCCCGGTTTGGGACGCGACATCGTGCCGCCACCGGCGCCGTTGCTACCATGTTGGGATCGCTGACTACGCTTGGCCCCGGGTCGCTTGCGGTTTAATTCAGATTCGATCTTCTTGCGAATGGCCTGTAGAGGAGGGCGGGTAGTCAGCTACTGGTGCTCGGAAACGGCGACGGATGTGGACGTTCCACGCCGAGCTCTAGGAGCGTGTGAGTCAATCAGAGTCACGAGCCGGGAGGATAAGAGCAAGAATGCCGCCGTAGTCTAGAACAGGCCCGCGACCCCATCATCGGGTATAACAAGTCTCGCACAGCGAGGACAAGCCCATGGTCGCGACGCGTACTCTGATGAGGACTGGTTTCGGCGTGACTCCACTCCACTGCCAGTCACGGCGCACTGTGTCACCTGATGAGGTCCCTTTCCATCATACAGTCCGTCATATCCCGAGGTGAACACGTCAATATTCCGTGGTAGCGCCCGCCGATTGAGGTCGGGCCCTTGAGGAGGGGTTCAGATGCGGGCGTGGCGGCCGAGGCAGCGCACCTGTACACGAGGCGATGTACGTCCGATGCCGAGCATGTTCTCCGACAGCGCTGATCGAACCACTCCATATCACCGCATCATCACGTCCACCTTGCAACATGCCTGCTCAGCCCGCCGCGCTCCCTTCGGCGCCCAGCGAAGACTGTTCGCCCGCATGTCACTCAACCAACCCCACCTCGCTCCGACGACCCGACGAAGAAGGAAAAACGTAACACTGACCTCATCCTTCTTGCTCACTCGTTTCCTCGTATCCGCCAAACCTGCATCGCTGTTGAACGGCACAACAAGCCATAATCAGCTTCACCATCAGTGCCCACCAACCCAACTCTGCCAGAGACTGACGAAGACGAAGCGCGCGTGCCCGCTCCCGCCCCGACGCGAGACGAAGGACTGTTCAGGTACGACGACGACGACGACGATGACATGGTGCTACCGGTGCTCGTGTCCTTGGAGTTTGGGGTCCCGTTAAGCTGGATCGAGGGGGACGAGGGGAGAGGGATGCGGGACATGTAGTACCGCTTGAGAAGACTGGGTTAGAGGGGACCGAAAGCTGACGGACGGACAGAGAGAAGGCGCGTCGTCGTCATGGCCGGTCATGGCCCAATTTGACGCTATGTAGTAATCTGAAAGTGGTTGATCGATCGACAGATTTGGACCATTTCCTTATGAGGCGCCTTTGGGGACACGAGAATCGCGCGCGCGCGCAAGGGAAAAAAATTAAAATCACACAACACTGCGCGCAAAAAAAAAAAAATGGGCCGCCGTTTGGGCAACAAATGGATCTGCGCGCCCGGGGCTACTTGCGCGTTACGATTCGTTTGTACGCGCGCCGAAAATCGTGCAATTGCGCGCCATTGGGCCTTCATACGCGCGTCATTCACAGCTTTGCATCCCTTGGACGCACTTTTGGTCTCTAACGCGCTCTGAATCCGTCGGAGTTGCGCGCTTTTCAGGAAAAACATCGGTTTCTGGCCCCTATTGGCGGTCCACGCGCGTTTCGCTCGCTGTTAGACTCGCTCGCCTCACCGTATCCGCGCACGGAGGGGGTATTACACGCGCTCCAGCGCACTCATGCGCGCGCAATCTACTCAATCTGCGCGCTTTTTGGCATTGTTCCAAAAAGAAAAAGAAAATCGGAAAAATAATTTTGATTTTTTTCAATTTTCATAGCTAAATTCCGAACCCCGCACTCCCCGCTCTTTACGATTTGCCCGCCTCGGAAGCTGCTTACGCGCGCTCGCAAACAGTTCTCACGCTCGCAGAATCGCAGATGCGCGCGACCGGAAACGCTCTCACACGCTCGCGGCGCTCTGATTCGCTCGCAGCTTTTTCCCCAACCGACACCGAGGAGGATTGCCTTTTTACTCCGCGGTGTCGATCTCATTTTCATGGCAGGAGGGCGTTTGCTCCGATTGCTAAGTCTTGATGTACTTGCAAATAGTGACATTGCTATGGTGTATTGGGTTGGCGGTGTGGCTGTTGAAAGCGTTCGAGGGCCGAGGCTCAAGGCTGGGCACTCAGCTGGCTCCATTGAGTTCCAGAGAACTAGTTAGTAGTAGGACTCGTTCCAGAGAATTATTTGTCGGGGAGGCCTGACAAATCCTGCGCCGGTGCTCCTGGCCCAAGAGTCTTGGTATGCAGCAGCAGAATCGTATATCAAACATCAGCACTGGAAGTCTGATCCAGCCTGAATCAGGAGGGGTCAAAGATTCGGCAACGAGCTCCCAGCTCAGCTTGCAACGTACCTGCACCCTTGGCGGCCAACTCCCTCTCTCAAGTCAGAATGATGCCATCTAATTTTCTCATGATGGCAGTTGAAGGCTGTTGAGTGAAACAGAGTCGTTATGAAAGCGGGGAATAACTGGACAAGGTTGACGCGGGGGCGGTGTGTGTGTGGAAGGAGGCGGCCGCGCGTGAGCTCGCGTGTGTAGCGCATGAACGACCGGAGACGAGGCTAGACGAGTCGCGGGCGCGCAGAAGCGTTCGGCGGCGCGCGCATATCCATATTTCTGCGCGCGCGGAGGCCCCGGGCGCGCAGATCCATTTGTTGCCCAAACGGCGGCCCATAGTCGAGTGGCTGAGAGTTGACGACAGCGCTCTACGTCTGCTTCGGTCCCCCTTCCAACGCCCGAGATAGCTTCGCTGCCGCCTGTTCTCATCCACTTTCAAGACCCACTTTCAAGACGGCGATCATGCCCTAGGAACAGAAGTAGACGACGAACGAAAAAGCCAAGACAGCGACAGCGCTGTTCGAAGAGATCCGAGTTCAAGGTTTCAAACTAATGCTCTTCAGATTGTGGAGGCGCGGCGGAAGTATCTGGTGGCTGTTCGATGGTCGGAAGAGAACCTTGCAATGTGATAGCTTTTCAAACCATACCCTATCGCTCGCTGGCTGGAATTGATGGTCCAAGCTGGACCTCGTCCGAGTGACAAAGTGACAGCCGCGCAGTGTCGCCGATGCGCCGATCGTCTCTGTCTCGCACAAGAGTCAAGATTTGGTACATGTTACAAATTATTGTTTATAGTTGCAACCCGAACTCGCTAGTCTACGACAACGCATGGTTAGTCTCGTGGCCGCGGGGGACGAGAGGTTCGTTCCGAGCGTCGAGGGGAAAAAATCTCCGAAGGGGGTAGCAAGGCGAGTGTGATCTTCTGGAGGTTCGGTCGAAGAGCTAGCGGTAGCATGTTCCCTTGAGTCGGCAAGTGATTGCATCTGCTGCTCAATCACTTGCCTTGGCTGTCGCTTCGGACCAAAGTTCGGCGGCGGAGGTAACGTATTACCCTCTGATCCCTCTTCGAATCCTGGACTTAGGATTATCTCCTGAATCCTTTGCTTCCCCGCAAGGATGTCCTGAACCTGACGCCTCTCCGCACTTGAGTCCGAAAGTCCCGACGAAGGTGAATCATCCTCGCTCGCTTCGTCGTCGTCGTCGTCCCGGCCGATCAACGCTGGCGCTCTTCCCCCAGTCTTCCTCTTCTTCTGCTTGCTCCCCACTTGCGAATCTTTGCACGCCCTTGCCCTTCCTGCTCTCCTCCTTGCTAGTGGGCATCAATTGCATCGCTTCGGCAGGGGAGGGGGCGTGCGAAGCGGATTTCTTGAGCCCTAGCTGAGCGCCACTCAGCCGGCCACGCGCCGAGGGTGCCTCTGGTGTCAAGAGCCCACCCCCATTGCGATCATTCGCATGTACCGGAGATGATCGCGACGTTCTTGCGTTGCTCGAGGTCGATCGGCTGAGAGCCGGGTCGGGCAACGGCGCGGCGGGAGCTGGATGACGGGTGGTCGAGGCGCGACTCGACGACTGCGAAAGAGTTGAGCTCGATCCCGAGGGATACGGACGAGGGACGACTTGAGGATGTGGAAAGAGTCGAGCCGGATTTGAAGGGATTTGACCGGTCGTTGACGTAAGGCTAAGGCACATTGCCGCGGATCCAGTCTACGAAACCGAGAGCCGAGAGATCAGCAATGGGACACGGAACAAGGGACGGCAGACGGCGAACGTGAATCGACGGGACTGACCTAAGCTGAAGGGGCGATTGCAGATGCAGATGCGGGTGCGGGGCTCGACGTCGAAGGATCGAGTCGAGGGTCGTATTCAAAGTCCCGGATTGGGATCCGAAGAACGAAAACATCGTTTGCATCTTTTGCATCGCTGGCACCATTTTCTGGAACGTCACCATCATGTTCGTCATTTCGAGCTGTTGAGCTAGAGTAAGTGGAGCTTGAGGTTGAGGTTGAGGGCGCGAATGGGCCTAAGAAGAGTCGGGCGCGAGCCCCACCACGCGGTCGATAGGTTGTGGTACCGAAAGAGGTGCATCGCCAGCGGTTGCAGCGCCGAAAGAAGGAGTCGTATCGGAGTTCAGGGCCAAGCTGAACAAATCGTCGGTCGAGCCAGATGTTGATCCGTTCATGTTTATCACGAGATGCGAGGGGAAGACAGTGGCAGGAGCAAAAGAGGCAAATCCAGGCAGGACTCGAGGCGGTCGGCGTCGCCTGGGTGCCGGCCTCAGGGTTAAGCAGTGCTGCAGCAGTAATAGCAGCAGGCTCAGGGCAGGTGGGTACAGAAGAGATGATGGCTACAATGAGATTCAAGAGAGCTTTCTCTGTCCCTTGGATTGAAGGGAAGTCATGCCATGCCATGAGTCTTGACTCATGACCGAGACCTTGCGCAGGCGGCCTTTTTTTTTTTTTTTTTTTCTCTCTTTGTCTCTTGTCTCTCTTTGCTTTTTTTTTTCTCGCGCGAATCTCGTGTCCCTCCCGGCGACTCATAATTTCCACCAGGCGACCCACAGGCGGCGGAAAAAAAAAAAGTGCTCTACACGACAAGTACACAATCTGTGTTTATATATGGTATCGCCCTAAATCCAAGATCCTCCAACTCTATTCCCCATCCGCGGACCCCTATTACCCAGCTATTCGAATTTGTGAACCTCCAACTCTTGCTTCTCCGCTTCGATGAACGCCGCGCAATCGCGATGACTTCGTTCGACGTCGAGGAAAGGTAGGATACCGCACGCCACGATACCGAGGGCGAAGAGGAAGTAGAACGAGGCCGAAACATTGTCTAGCCATTGTGGAGGGATAGGGAAGACCGTCGGATCGGCTGCGATTCTCCAGGGGCAAGAGACTGAGCTGTACGAAAGTCGACTCACTCGTTCGGTTCGAGATCGCACTCGTCACGAAAGGCCCGATGAAAGACGACGATTTGCCTGAGATGGTGAAGAGACTGAAGAACAGAAACTCGTGGCCGGCGGGGGTAAATTCGCTGATCATCGTTTGCGAGTACGAGTACCACGTGCAGCCGCCGAGGCCGTAGACGACTAATGATCGTGAGGGTGGGGACGAGTTGAATTTTAGCTATTGTTATGGATAAGCGATCTGCAACAAGGACTCGCTTACCTTGATACAGCCAGAACTCCCACTTGTTGTGGTAGCCAAACTTAGTCGTCCAGTTACCGATCATGCCCCAAACGACTGGTGAGAGGAAGGATCAAAGGACACACGAACTCAGTCGTCGAAAACAGAAGAGAGAGAAACTGGAAGTGATAGACGAACTAAGCAACATGACTGATCCGACGACATAGTGGAACATGCGAGGAGTCGAAACCTGCCAGAATTTTTGGATCCTCCAAAAGATGTAGACGCCGGCACCTTGGGCAACAATTCCGCTGTGGGGACGACGGCAAGGTCACGTTGATCCTCCCGCGTGGCAGCTCTTTCGTGTACGACCGACTTACACCAGAAGCAGCCAGTTGAGCGTGATCGTATCGAAAGTGACCGTCGCATACTGCAAAGTTGAAATGACGGTGACCTGCCAGAAAATAGCAGGACACGATAAACATCAACCACACAGAGGCATTTCCGAGGCGTGGGGGGAGTACCCCAACTCTGACTCACTCCTGTAGCCAAGACGTCATTGAACAAGAAGTAGAAAGCCTGAAAGCAGGAAGAGGATAGCTCCCGGTCAGATTTTGCTTCCACTCGGACGGAAAGAGCCGGCGGAAGCCCACTTACAAAGTAGAACATCGCATCCTTGAGCTTGTACATCTTTTTCGCGGCGATGTAAAGATTCTTGAATCCGACAGTAAAGTAGTTCGTCCCGGGAGGTAGGGTACGTCCAGGCCGGTGTTTTTCAAGGATGAACCATGGAAGGGCACAGAGGATCCAGACAGCTGCTGAGTATGCGCTGCGGGAAGCAGAGTTAGAGGTGAGCGAACCGAGCACCACGGACCTGGAAGCTCATGCACTCGACTTACCAAACGATCGAGAGGGCTCTTGTATTTTGAGCCACCGAACCGTTCGCCTTGATCCCATACAGGATCCCAGCCAGGATGAACAAAACGACCACCTCGCCTAGCGAACAAACTGCGAAAGCGATATTGGACAACCTGTTCCTCGACATCATATCGAGCGTGTTGAATGCTTCCAACGTCGTCTCGCCCGCAACGAGATCCGTTTGCGCTTGTTGCATTTCGGGAAGGTTGCGAGACAGACGAGGGAAAGCTGCGGCCCAGTAGGCAAGAGCACCCTGGTAGGCAATGAGGCCGATGATGTAGAGCGCTGTGGCGGCTTGCCACTTGTCTGGGGTATCGACTCCGAGCCAGGCAAAGGAAACGGCGATGGCCACAGTCGTCCAGAAGATGAGGATCCAGGGCCTCCAGGTGCCATAATCCGCATACGATCCGATCATCAGGAAGATGACCTATCGAACCGAAACGACGAGGCTCAATTCAGTTCGGGCGTCGGAAATGAAATCTGGACGGTGTAGCAGACGTACCACTTGGATTGCGAACGAGATACCATTCGCGACAAGAACCGTGGAGCTGACATTCCGTTCGGCTTGACCGAAAGCAGGGAGCACGCATGGGACTGAGCTATCACAGGGGTCGTTGGTGCCGAGGTTGTGGCCGGCGTAGTAGAGCAGATTTTGGAACTGCGTGGGGCCAAAGTTGAAGGCTGGCATTGACGAGGTAGTGAAAGCAAAATTGAATAGGTATATCGATATCTACAGTGACCTTGTATCATGAAGAAGCGTGACTCACGTCCTAGTCCCGAATTGCCAATCTATTACAGGGGGCCAGGGTCGAGACGATCGGGGAAATTGCCGCGGTCGCCGGGTCAGTTGCATGAGGTGAGGGAGGAGGTCCAAGCTGAGTCAGTGCCCACCGAAGCAAGAACAAGACCCAGTTCAGTGCTCACATAGTAGACGTAATAGCTCCACAGTTCCCACCTCGTCGTAACCTGTTCAGGATCGGTCTCGATCTCCTCCAAAACGATGCCACCGGCTGCGACGACTGTTGCTTGACCGACCCCGCCATTCTTCGCTCGAAGCTGATCGAGCGTCAGGTCGTTGTCGCCGGTCGACGAGTTGCCTAGGTGATGCTCTTCATCCCTCTTGGCTTGCAAAGTCTTCGGCTCCCGATCTTGCATAGTGTCAAGGTGCCGATGTTGGAGCTTGTGGACGAACAAGGACTGACTTCTACGCTGGGGGATCGAACATCCCCAGTTCGCACCCCAGAGTGCCAAATCATTCGAACCGAACATCGCGATCGGGCTCAGATTACTCATTTGATTTGCGCTTGAGCTTGAGCGCTATTTGCAATCCACCTTGCGCGTCAGCCAATCAGAGGGCAGCGCGGTGTCGGGATCATGAATCATGATTGCAACGCAAGAAAAGCCGCCTATGGTAGGAAGAGACGCAGAGGTATAGCAAGAAGATGATATCAAACAGTTGTCCTAAGCCAAGCTATCAGAAATTTTTGGATGAGGTGGGAATCGTCAAAAGTAGTAGGGGCAGGTAGAGATGCAAAGGCGATTGTTGCAGAACGAAAATCGTGATGAGGCGTTGCGACAAGACTAGAGCAAAGAAGACAATGAGAGGGAGGAAGAAAATGATCGAGTCGCCGCATGGAGAGAGGGAAAAGACAGAGTAGAAATGCGAAAGGGAACAGAGAGAGGGGAAGGGCGGAGCGTCGGCTCAAGCCCATACCGGGGCCGAGACGAAAGGGGCCGCCGCGCCAAGGAGGTAAGACAAGCCGGCCGGGGCGACTGCACCGGAACCCGGTGTACCGGCGGAGTAGCTCCCCTTGCGCGATTGTCCACCCCCACGCCGACGTTCACGGCTGCGACGCTTGCCGTCTCCCGAAGTAGAACCGTCGTTCGAGCGTGAGGTCGACTTGCTGCCGCCGGCGAGGCCGAGGAGGACGCCACCTCCAAGGACACCGACTTTGCCACCGCTGTGTTCGGTCAGGGTTCCAGCAAGAGCTTGTTCGCGTGTGCGAGAGGTTGAAGCGGTCGAGGTCGAGGTGACGTTCGAATGCACAGATTGGTTCGAGCCGACCGAAGTGACAGACGAGATTGAGGACGAGTGGCCGTGGCCCGAGCCCGATCCACCGCGCGTACCGCGACGACGAAGCTTGGACGGCGAGGAAGGGGCGCTCCGACTCGACGACTTGGACGGGCTCGAAGGAACGGCCAACGTGTGGACCGAATTTGATGGGCGCGAGCGGGAGTGAACTGGAGCAGCTGGGAAGATGAATGGCGAGGTCGAAGAGCTGCGGTGCGGGAGTGCAGGGTACTTGAACTCGCACGTCTCGGTGGGAGAAGTCGACATAGCTCTCCAGGACTTGGCCTCTTCGCCGGAGCTCAACAGGCTCGAGCTGACGCTCTCAGTCGAAGAGAAGATGCCGTCCGAGGAAGAGCCCTCACTGTCCGATGACTCGCCCATCGATCTATAGGACGACACGGAAGAGCTTATCGAAGAGCTGCGACGTTGGTAGAGCTTGGCACCGAGACCCGAGGGAGAGAGGCAGCTAAAGTCCGATTCCGAGGCGAGCGGGGAAGCGGCGCGCGAAGGGGCGCGCAGGGCAGGCGTCGGAGAAAAGACGTCCGCTTCGTTCGAGAGCATAGGTCGGATCGGCGTAGGAGGGATTATGAAGGGAGATGCCAAAAGTGCGAGGGGACCATTCTTGGAGGACACGGCCCGGACCGCAGGTGAGCAAGGAGCGGCTGACATCTCCGCAGCCGACGAGGAGGGCATCGACTCGGGCGAGACGACCCGTCGGCTAGGGGGCGGTACGATCTGGATCGCCTTGGACGACCTTTTAGTAGGAGAATAGGGACTCGAGATCTGCTCCGGAGTAGGAAGCGAGGAGGACGGCGAAGACAGTTGAACCGCCTCGAGCTCCGGCGTCGTGATGTTGAACGATCGAGCGCCCGAGTCCAACTTGGCGAGCTGCAACGCCTGAGGCCGCAATCCTTCAGGAAGCTTCCCCCAGATCTCGATCAGTTGAGAATCTCTTGTCGATGATCCATCGCCGCGCTCGACGCGGACCGAGACGCAGCCCGGGTCGACCCAGAGCGTCCAACGTTGCCCGAGCCAGATCTTGCCCTGTCCGCTCGCCAGCGCTCGTTCAACATCGGACCAGCACAAGCCTGACTGTTCAGCGGCTTGGATGATGGAGGCATCAATTGAAGTCGGTGTTCGGACAAGAGCGCGATATCCTGAACCCAGCTCAGAATCATGGACGTGCCAGTGGCCGTCGAAGCGTTGAGCGAGCGTCGCAGCGAGGTTGGAAGCGAACGAAGGCCGCTCTTCCTGGGGCGGGAAGAAGTCGGACAGGAAGTCGGACACCGCCGACAGTTCTTCCTTCATGTTACTGATGGATTAGGAAGATGTGTGGGTGCGAAAGAGATGAGGTTGCGCCGATGTATGGCAGCAAGAGAGGCTGACGTGGAGGGGGCGTCGGTCAAGTGGGGGTTGCGGTTGAGTGATGACGACGAAGCGGCGGCGGAGGCGGCGAGGTCGTACGAAATGCAGCGCGAGGCGGGCACAGAGGAGAGATCGACTATCGTCACTTGAAGATGCTGAGATTGTCTGCTGAATGACAAGAATTGATAGGTGCATGGTCAGCCTCGAGCGCAGCGCACGAACAAGGGGCTCCAAGGAACTTGAACGAACAAAGGCCCTTTCCACACGACGACGGATGTATGGCTTGCACGAGTGCGCGGGGGGTAAACCAAAAGAGTTGAGAATGGGAAGAAAGTCGAAGAGAGAACAAGAACCAAATGCAATGAGGATGGGGTGAAGCTCACTCGTCGAACGACTCGATCGTCGTAGGGCGAAGAGTTGGGTCAGAGGTCAAAGGGACTCGAAGCTCGAGCAGGCCACCCGGCATTGGGGCGCAGGAAGCTCACTCAACTTTTTTCCCCGTGCGCGGCGCGGTGCACGCGGCGAGACGCCGCTCGATCGCTTTGACCTGTCTCAGTTCTGCATTTACGCACCGAGTTCGAATTAGAAATGCATGTACATAGGCAGCCTTCAGAGCCGGAAACGGGTGCGAAATCGTCGGACCCCATTAAGACGCCCTCAGTCTGTTGGAGAAGAGCTCAGACTGGTGCGGTCTGACACCGCCTAAACCAGTAACTCGTAGGTACAGCATGATATTAGACGCTCCCGTAAGATTTCATGCATAAATTTGCCAAATTTGTTCCAAAACGCCGGATGCCGCTGAGATTCGCCAAAGTGGCCTGAAATCCCTCCGAACGGCTCAGATTCGGCCTGAGCTCGGTCTGAGATCAGTCTGAGATGAAGCTCAACTAAGCCCTCCCTCTGGGGCGTCGAGCTTAGTCTGAGATTGCTCTGAAACTGGTCCGAGCATGTCTGAGGTGTCTGCGGATTTGTCAGCCGTTTCTGGCTATGTTGCTGGCAGGAGTCGGCAGAATCGCAGATTGGCGTTCAAGTTAACTTCAGTGCCAGCTGGCAGGGATGGTTCTCATGCTACTAGATTATCGGCAAAGTATGTCACGATCACTTTCAATGTGGACCGTGATGCCAACTGCGGAGGTCAGCTCGGTACCTAGCGAGCTGAGCGCGGACTAGGACTGCACCGTCGGCCCCCGCTCGCGCGCCCACACATGCACGCATGGGAAGGTCGGCAGCCTTGTTCGGCCGCGCCGATATCGCTTTCAGGATGAATAATGGCCACCTTGAGAAGGTCTCCCAGCTGTGTTTCAAATCTGCTTCCTCGTCTCCCCAAAATTCAAGTCATATCGCTGCCACTACTGGCGCGCGTATCTCTGTATCTTTTTGTCCCTTCATAGTAGACTTTTGTCGGTTGGACCCGAGCATGACTCAACAGGAGTGGATAGTCGCAACGAGCTACGAGCAAAAGGTATAAATGCAAGATATAAAAATGTCTGAGGCCCAGGAAGTTCTAAAAGGCACTTATAACGTAGATTCGGAGTAAGTGCGCATGCGCAGTGATCGTCTGTAAATGGTCCATTTCCCGCCGTTCAACAAGATATCACTGGAGCTGTCGGAGATCCCAAAGCATGAGGTACCGATACTTACACTTATGGAGTGAAATCGAAGGCTGTTCAAGAAAATTGTCGAGCCGAGTTGAGGCCCCTCAGACCTAAGCAAGCCGGCGACGGTGGCGCGGTGGCGCTGGTGGCGATGATGCCGATGATGCCGATGCTTCCTCGTACATTGACTCGAGCTCTTGAATATCTTGCATCCCGTGGAGTTTGTACTGCTGGAGGTCATCTGGACCTCCGCCGTGCAACAAATTACAAGTGCAAGTCCGCCAAGGCGGGCAGCTGAAGCCCGACGGTCTCTGCCACGAAAACCGGAGGTCGCACGCAGTGACTGCGAGACCGTTTTACTGCCCTTCGAGATCGAGATAGCTAATTCACGCTTCTCGACGGCTGACTGCGGCGGAAGACATCGAGGGGTTGGCGAGTACCAAGGCGCTCAGGGCGCTCAGGACCAGGAGCGCTCAAGCCAAAGCATTTGGAAGGAGGGGAGCGGCGAAGCATGTAACGAGCGTGATGATTAGAAAGGAGGTATTCTGTGGTTCTGTTTATGTGTGTATCCTTGGACCATGTGTCGATCCTGATCTGTCCGGTATCCGACCTCCGTCCCATTCAGTAGTAGAGCACTTGAAGGACTCTTCGGAGTTGCGACTCGAGTTACTTTCCTGCACTTGATAAGCCCGATCAAGCCACGACTTCCTTGTCGATTTCAACGTACGAAAATATTCGGCTGACTGGGCTCGGCGAGGATGGTCTCGACTGACGCCGCGAGGTTTTTGGACGGCTCTCAGTAGTGCGAGCCAGCTTGAAGCTACTTGGTCGGCAAACCTGAAAGATGGTCCGAGCGCGACGCGCGGGTTTGACGCGTTTGCCAAGCAGCACTGCTGCAGCACTCGCGACAGCTCGCGACTCGGAGCTGAGGAAGGCTTTAATACCCGGGTGCTTCCCCGCGCATCTCCTTTCCTCCTGTCTGACATCAAGAATTCGCGTCATCCCACAAAGGCACGACTCTCTGGCTATCGCCAAGGTCACACTCCCCCCGCTGTATTACATCACCGCCGCCGCGCCGTCTTCGACCGGTTGCACGTCATCGGATAGCCGACCCCGCACGACCGAAGTCCCACATCCACACGATCACTATGGTATCTGACTCTGCCATTCACGCCATCTCGGGAGCCGCGGGAGGATGCGTGGCCATGTGAGTTCCTCGGTCGACCCGATCTTGTCCGTCGAGCAGCACATCGTGTGGTCGCGTTGTCCCGGCTGAGGCTTGCCCGTGATTCGACTCGCGCGGCGGATCGGTTCCGGCTATTGTTGGCGGCGGTCCTTCCGGGGAAAGCGGACCTCGTCTCCAGTGCAGCGTTCCTGCACAAGCATATGACGAAGCGGACAGAACGCACCTCGTTCCAACTGTACTTTTCGATATAAGCCACAGTCCCCAATGACGCGGGTTCATGTCGCCTGTGGAGCTCGTTTGGCCCGTCGGCCTACGTTGTTGCGCGGGACTTGGTTGCACTCGGATGACGTGGACGTGAGCGGCCGCTGACCTGCGGGCTCCGGTTACTCGGCTTTCATTTCCCCCCCCCCGGCCATTGCTGCGCATTCGTGCATCATGCAGGGCCATGACCTGTAAGTCTGCTTAGAGTTCTGCTCTAGTGACCACTGAACGCCCGTATGCTCCAAGCTCACTTGTCCTCGACTTCTGTTAGACCCCCTCGTCAACCTGTCGACGCGTAGTCAGGTCGCTGCAAGAGAAGAGGGCCAAGTCAGTGCGAACGGTTACGATGCAAAGAATTCATTGCTGATACTGTAAGGCATATTTGGAACCCAGAGCACTAGGGCTGCCGCTCTCAAGGTCATCAAAGAAGACGGCATTGTCGGATTGTACGATGGGCTGTCCTCGTCGCTGCTCGGAATTGCCATCACGAACGGGTGAGCAACTCCATCGACCAATAGGCGAGGTCCCAGAGTGTCAACTGACCGCTGGTGTATCTTTATACCCCAGTATTTACTATCTTTTGTGAGAACTAATTGCCTGAAGCTGGCGGCCGCAGTAAAGGTTTTAATCAGCTGAAGTCCTCTCCTGGGACCCGTACAGCTTTGAGGAGACCCGCGCTTATGTCATGCGAGCGAGGAAAGACCCCAGGAAGGCTCTCTCTACCATCGAGTCCATCCTCACTTCCGCTATTGCGGGTAAGTCAACCTAGGCGAGGAGCATCAACGTTGGATCTTTGGCTCATTTTTTCGACGTCTTTATAGGTGCCGCGACCTCGGTGTTTTCGAACCCCATTTGGGTCGTCAACGTACGTTCATGTTGGACCTTATGTGTTTGTGATCTTGAGCTTAAGTTCGAGTCGGTCTGTGTCCCCGCACCCTCGTGCAGACGCGCCAAACCGTGCGCACGACCGTCAAGGCCGATCCCTCGCTGCCGACCTTGCAAAGCAAGAAAATCGTCGTCGAGAAAAAGCTCAATGTCATCCAGACGATCATGCACATCATCAACACCGATGGCTTTGGTGCTTTCTTCCACGGCCTCGGTCCGGCGCTGATCCTCGTCAGCAACCCGATACTGCAATTCACTGTAAGTTCTCTCTCGGCATAGACCATCTAATAACGCGCCGTCAGAGTCGCGGCTGAGCATACGGAACTACGGGATGTTATGCAGCTTTTCGAACAACTCAAGAACATCATCTTGGCCCGTCGGGCGACCCGGCTCGCCAAAGGAGCCGGCGCTTCGCCTTTGACCGATCTTGACTTCTTCTTGCTCGGGGCTGTGTCGAAGCTTTTCGCTACGTCTATGACCTACCCTTGTATGTTCTTTCGGTGTGGTACATGTTTTCATCACGACCTTTTTGACCGAAGATCCCTGCTACGCTCCATTCCATCCAGACCTGACGGTAAAGGCCCGGATGCAAGCTGGCCACGCCGAGGGTCGCTCATACACGTCGTCGTTCGATGGCTTGAGAAAGATCATTAAGAAGGATGGTGTGGCCGGGCTGTACCAAGGTGTCGCTCCCAAGCTCATCCAATCCGTAACAACGGTACGTCCGATAGACGGGGCCGAGTCGACGCGCTCCTCTTGCAACGGACATGCTGATGAACCTGACCGTTCCTTCTTCGTTCCCTCACTGCCTCCCGCTCTTGTGACGCATCAGGCCGCCATTCTGTTTCTGGCCAAGGAGAAAATTTATCAAGCCAGTGTCAAGGCGATGTCGACTGTGACCAAGGTTTAAAGTGATCACCCTCTCACCACAGCACCAGTGTTCACCAAAGCATTTTTCAGAGACTTGACTTTGTTGGCGCGCGAGCCGAAGCGTTTCTTGGCTTTTTCAGCCTGCCCGACGTACCCCATCCCACATCTCTGTTCGACGTACCCTCCCCTCCCCTTCGTTGTCCGTGTATCCCTTGTTGCTGTGCCGCGGTGGCCCTCATCAATTGTCGAATGCAAAATCCCCTGATGATAAATCTTGCATACAATGCCTCGATGCGCCAAATGTCCATCTCCAACAAAGAGTACCCTTCTGTACCTCCCCCCCCCTTCCCTCTCTTCGGAATACACGAAGGGCCAATGATAGGAGGGCTAAGCCGGACAAAGGGGCTCGAGACGAGGCGCGAGGGCCGAGAGACGAGTCCAGAGATGTTCCAGGGACGTCTCAAGAGAGACGAGGACGAGGGAGGAGAGTAGAATCGAGTTGCAGAAAAGGAAGACGGAACCGAGTTGCAGTTACAGAGCTGAGGAGCTAGGTCGCAGGAGGCGGTAAAAACCCTGAGGAGAGGTCTTAGAGCGAAAGTCCGAGAGGCGAAAGCGAGAGTCGAGAGCGAGAGTCTGAGAGCCGAAAGCATAGCGTGGGAGAGCAAGAGGGAAAGGGCAGACACGGGAATGGCGCGCGCGGAGTCCAGAGTCGGCAGTGACGAAATCTACCTCCTGACACCGGTGTCAACTTGTAGGATCGTGGCACCTCTTGTCCTCTCCCTTGAATCATCTATCAAGGCCGACCTTTTTCAGTCGTTGCTATCCTCCTCATCCAAGCTCATCTCACAAGAACCTATCCCATGTACCATGCTGCTCCTGTGGTCGCGTTTGGCCGCGCTCGCTCTCGCCGCGATGGGTGGCCCCGTCTCGGCCTCGCCCCTGAAGGCCCGCGACAACGGCCTGAGCATCGCGCCCGCCTCTCGCACCGAACAAGTCACCAACTTCAACAAGCGAAACATCTCCGTTCCACCCACCCTCAACTCCATTCACTCCTCGATTCTGATCAGAGACGTCTCCGATTCCACCGGTCCCGCCTCTCACCCCCCGCCCCGCCCTCCCGCCATCAAACTTCTTTCGATAGGCAAAACGTACCACCCGGGCGACATGGTCCCTTTCAAGTGGGACCTGCCTGTATCTCTAAAACAAGCCGATCTCTGGATAGCTTACTACGGGGCTGTAACTCGATACCTGGTGAGCTTCTTTCGATGCTTCCCAGACAAGGTCGAAGGCGGCTGCGACCCCTGACCAAAGGGGAAATCCAATGTCCGACTTGATGCTATTCGGACTTGATGCGGACTTCATGCTACAGTGTGGTACAATTTCGGCATCTCGCTCACCACTGGACGCGGCGGCTTGGTTCTTCCGGCCGCCGACGCCATACCCTGGAAGGACGTTACCGGTCACGAAGGAGTACAAGCAAGTCTCGGCGTATGTACCTCCAACCTTCTTTTCTATCGAGATTTGATCAATTGAGAGCTTATCTCCCACAAATACCTTTACTTCATCTTCTCACCGAGTCAGTACAGCTATGATGCCAGAGTATACGGGGCAGCCTCCCAATCCTTCATCATCCAGAACAAGTAGAAGTAGAGGAGCGCCTTTACCCGGGCAGACCACCAAAGGCGTCCCTGTACTACCCTTTTTCCTTCGTCGACGAGCAAATCTTCAACTACACAATACAACAAGCTGTTCATCATACACACCCATATATACTTTTTTTGGCTGTTCATCTCAAGGTACATAGTTTCTCCCTTCATAGAGGCAATGACGACGACGACGACGCGGGTGAACTCCCTTCACTTCCTCTGTCGTTTCTTCAATCTTTCCAAAGTCTATTTGCCCGTACCCAAGGACAACCCAAGATCAGCAAGGAATATGAGCATAACGCAGAAATGGTGGCCACGCACCTGGTCATCCGTTGCCTTCTCCCTTCGCATCGGTCGATTCGCATTTGTATTTCCGTTGGCGATGGCGCCCCCCGCCGCGCCTTGCTTCTGCTTGTCCTTGTCCTCTGGCGCGCCGAAGCGGCCGTACATGACCCGCTTGGCCTTTTCCAACGCGTCCGCTTCAGAGTCGATCGGTTTGTGAGGTCGAAAAACTGTTGCACACATGTCAGAAGAAGAAGAGTAAGTCAGTCAGCTTCGAAAACGGGACCTGTCAGGACGAGACTTACATCGTTCGGCGGCGAATGCCTCTTGTTCAACTTTGGGGGCGTGGCGGCGCTTCTCGAAGAGTGCGCGTTTGGCCTTCTCCGTCTCTTCAATGTTTTTGAGCTTGGTGCTGTCGATGGAGAAGTGATGAGTGAGTCAGTTTCGTGTCACACCCGAGTGGAGAATTTAAAGCAGTTATGAAGCGGAACAACTCAACTCGATACCCAGGTCAACCTCGGGGATCGCGGTCAGCATCGTCGCCGAGAGCTGCAAGTTGCCATCCTCCTTCTCCTCCTTCTTCTCGATCCGATACCGCTCCGCGATCTGGTACAACTCGTCTCTCGGGTCCAACGCGCGGGTCGGCAAGTCGGCACCTGCGAGCGCGTCGGCCGAGTCTGCGCCTCCGGACTTGCGCTTGCGCAGTTCTTCCTCGATGTAGGCCATCATGTGCTTGTCGACGTCGATCGTGTTGGTTTGACCAGTGAAGTTGTTGTTGGTCACGAGCCGTCTTGTCATCTTGCTCGGGTCGTTCGGATCCCTGCAGTCGAAGATGAGAGCACTCGATGGCCACGATCAGTCTACACTCGTTCGAGACCGCAATTTCCAACGACTCGGAGAGAGGTTACGACCACTCACAGGTCGTCCGCCCCGTCCCTGACTCGATCCTTGTGCTGTATACCCCCGTGCAACCCCTCAATCATGCCATCCTCGTTAATCCGTTCGCTGGGATCAGCTCCGGTCGGATCGTCTCTGTTGGCTTTGGGTTTGCGCTTCTTCTCCCCAGCGTTCAATCGATCGAGATCAATGCCTCCCGTTGCTCTTTTGAGTTTGCGCAAGGCGATGAGATCCTCCAACGTCGCACTGTCGTCGTGGCAGGAGATTGATCACCAGTGAAGGGTCCGGAGCGGAGGGGGGTTCAAGTAGGTCAGCGAGAGCTTGTTCCTACGGCATACCGCTTCCTTCAGGCAGGACATGATGGCTACGGCCTTTCAGATCACGCACTACTGACCTAATCCCCGTATCATCCTCCGCTGCGGCCCCCGACTGCTCGCCCTGACCGACGTCCCCACTCGTCGACGGCTGCGAGGGATCCAACAAGCTGCCCACGCCCAACGCCTCGTGCACTCGCTCCTTCGCAACACCTTGGGGTCGTCCCTTCTTCTTAAACATCGTCTTCGATCGGCTGCGGTGGCAATTCGCGTTGGGGCGGGAAGGGAGTTGCTCGGATCTGGGATGGGAAGGACGGGAGTCGGGGAGGCGATGGCCCAAGAAGCGCATGAAGCGCGTGACCGGCGGGCGACTCGACGTGATCTAAGTCCGCGTGTCGATACGGCCTGAAGGTTATTTTGCCGATTTTCGTGCCAGCTTGAAGGTGAATCCATTCTGGATGGGACCCTCGCGAGTCGTACATGGCATTGGAAAATTTTCGTGTGGATGAGCTAATTGCAGGAGACAAGTTGTTGCCACTCGTCCACAGCTAGATGGATGGCGAGGAAGAGCTTTCACTATCAGTGTTTATTATAAACGGAAGTAATTGCGCTTGCAAGACTGGGGCAATATAGACCTTGCTATCCTCATATCCTCATCCTAGCCCACCCGCCAACAACCCTTCCTTCATACCATGCTGAGTCCTGTGGTCGCGTTTGTCCGCGTTCGCTCTCATGGCGACGTCTCGGCCTCGCCCCTGAAGCCCGTCGACAGCCGATCGACAGCCGCCTGAGCCTCGAGCCCGACCCTAGCAAAGAACAAGTCACCAACTTCAAGAAGCAAGACCGTTCCACCCACGCTCGACTTCATTCACCCCTCGATTCTGACCAGAGACGTCTCTTCCTACCCCAGGGTTCCCCATTAGATAAGATAATCTCGCAGATATTAGATTACTCTATTAGATTACTCGCTAACTAGTAAAAAAAAAGTCTGAGTTAAGGAATGTACCTAAATTCGCTGTTTTTAACTAGGTTGCGGCTCGGAGGGCCGCCTATGGTGGATGTACCAGCACACTATTGTGTCTGCCGCACCTGCCTGTGGTGTCTATGTTCCGATCAGACGTCATGTACAAGCTCTGTGGCAAGTTTTGTATTTTTCGCGCCAGTCGAACGAAGCTACAGCGTTCCCAGTATTTTCCTTCACTTTTCCGTTGACGTAAAACAGTGCGAACACTTATATTGTATTTAATGGGGGGGAAGCGCGTGGCTTTGTATGACATTGCTTCTACAGCAGAGCTCCGCCTGACGGGCGGGGCGAGGGCTGGCGTCTGTCCCCTACGGGAAATCCGCGCAACCGCAGTTAGACCACGGCCGACTTTGGCGCGACGATCGAGCCAAAGTCGGACCTGCGTGCCCGCGGTTGCTCAACCGTCGCGCCAAAGTCGACCACGGTTAACTGCACCTCGGGCAGACATAAAAGTACGCCTCAACAGGCGCGCGCGCAGCGCCCTCCCACGCGCCTTCCAAGCCACAAGCCCGGCGGGTTGCAACCTTGCTACCCCAGGTAGCAAATTAGGCCCAGGTCAGGTATGCCCTCCTCGATGTCGAGTTGCCGAGACGTTCACTCCCACTACAACTCCATCGAAGACCTGGGAACAAAGGCGCAGTCAGCGAACAATAGTGTATTCGGATTTTTGGAGATTTTTCGAGAGTTATTGTTGTCCTCTGCAAGCTGAACAGGCGCTCTACCTCGAACACGTGATTCGGCACGGGTCGCGCGGAACAATTGGGGCCGGGATGGCCGGGACGTCGACGCGTCACGACTCCGGAGACGCTGGAGATGGCGGCGACGCGTCGCGCTCGCGCATACTGCCCATTCTTCTGCTTTGCCCAATCGCCCCCTACTACGTATACGAAGTAACGAACTATACAACGAGCATCCGTCTTGCGACAGTCTGAAACGAACGCCCACTTCGAAACACCGGATTAGTCATACTTCTGCTGCTCCTATCATGACGAGTCAATCCAATCAACTTAACCACCTCCCGAATCGCAGGCGCTCCGGCGACGAACAGCAGTATGTTTGCCGCCGATCGACACGGGTGCTCTGACTGGACTACCGGCTCACGATCACATCTGACACATAGGTTCATATGCTGCCTCTGGGTACGAGTCATGCACCTCGCCTTGGACTCCCTACCAGTCCGCATATAACGACTATTCGGGTCCGTGGGTGGCCGTCGCGTCGATCGCGTACAGTATCGGTCTGTTCTGACGTTACACCGTCGTGCACCCGATCCAGCGTCCACTTCCGCTGGCGTAACGACCATCTCGAATCCTGCGTCGTACAACTATCAATCTTCTCCGGGATCTGCTTCGTCCAACCAACCAGTTTACCGTCCCACGTTCCCATCCTGGACGCATCGATGGCCCGTATCTAGCTCCGCCAGCAAGCAACAATCTCGCAAACATGGTCGAACAAGGAGGGAACAATCCTGACGGCACGGGTATTGTCTTTGACGCGGCAGGTTTGCCAAATACTGCACCTTCCGCTCGCGATCGCCAAAAGTCGCGGGCCGCACAAGTTTCCCAAGACGAGGAGGGAGGCCGCGCATCAGGAGGGAGGGGTGTATCAGCGAATACCTGCGCACAGCTTGGAACGCACCCGTGGCTGACAAGAACGTTGAGACCAAATTCCAATGGTACAGCATCATCCTCAAAGAACTGTTCCGTGAGTACAAGATGTGCAGCCTGCCTACTCTTCCATACACGGTGACTAATTTTGACCCGGCTCGCTGTCTTCAGAGTCCGCGCTGCGCCGACGCTCCGTGCTGGACGGCGAGAAGATCCAATCGCCCAAGTTCGTCTATGACGTAAAGGCCCTCAGGGACAACGCCAGAATCATTGTTCAGCGCGGCGCGCTCCTTCGCAAAGCGGATTTCCGAAGCCCGAGTGGCAAGCTTAAGTTGTTGGGACCAGACCTGGATCGGATCATCCCATTGCTGCGTGCAGGCGAGCTGAGCTTCAGGCTGGAGGAAGAGGTAATCGGGTCAAGTGCAGAACAGAAAATGGCCGACGGCGATGAAGGCGGCGACAGCGATGCTGACCGGCGGACTCGGAACACGAGCTCCGACGAGGACAGCGAGTGAGGTGACGATGGCCGAGCTCTCAGCGCCAGCCAGACTCGTCGACGCGCATGCGGTGCGGAGATCTTGGCTGTTGAAGGGCCAACATTCGTTGGACAACACAGGCCACCACAATATTTATTTCAAAGTTTTGCTTCATATGCATCCGGCTCTTGGTGACTAAAGGCGGAGAGGGTGATTGTTCGTTGCCCTTCGTGCCTAATCTTCCCCTGGGCCGCTCGAGATCGACCTCTCCTTGTTGACGTGGGATGTGCCAGTGACGTAATCCTGCTCACAAACATTATTACTCTTGTTCTGGGTTGTTTTCGAAGTATTATGTAGAGTTGAATTGCCTAGTGAGAATGGAGTGCTCCCTGACCCGTGGTCCAGACGGAGCGTCTGCTTTCCGGAAGTGACTCTTTGAGCAAAGAATGAATGAACAGAATTCGCAACGCGCTTCCACTAATTGCAGTGTATGTTAGCATCTTTTTATGATCTATTAGCACTAAAGTGAACGGGCAAGGGTTACATCTGGCCGGGCTCGGTCTTCGCCAAAGTGCCAATCAGAGCTGCTGGGCCATGGTGACGACCCCCGGCCGGCTGACTTCAAGCGGCGCGCGCTCCCAGAAGAATGCGAACTGATCTGAGCCCCTGAACGCGCAAGCGGAGCGGAACACGTAGGTAATCAGTCGTAAGTAGCGAAGTAGCGACAAAGTACGTGCTTGATGAGAGGTGGGTCGAACTCGATCATAGGTTCGGTGAAAACATGGAAGGCTTAGGCTTGTAACAGGCTCTTGGAGCGAAACCCTCACTTGACTCCGAGACATGATCGATGGCCGCTCATACCTACCTTTTACTTGATAAACATTCCCTCTCATCAATGAGGTAAGCCGCCAATCCTCAGGCCACATGGTGAGTGCTCAAAGCAGAGAGAATTCTTGCATTCGCCGCACTAAAATGAATTGTCAGCACTTCTGCCCCCGTCAAGCATAGACTAGACTTGATCTTGAGATCTTGACACCAAGCTTTTCTTATAACAGGCGCAAGGCTCAGTAGCAGGGATCGGGATCGGTCCAAAGGGTCTTTGGCCGCGCCATGGCAGGAAGTCGAATCCTTCGAGCGGAAATCCTCAGAGAGAGAGAGCCGCCGAGCCATCTTGTTCGGAAGAAGGGCTTACACGCACATGCCAACTTTGCTATTTAACCCTGTCCGAGGGTAGGAGATACATTCTCTATGTTGACCAAACCCACTCACCCATTTTCATGTGGTAGACATTCTAGGTACTCGAGCATTTGCATGCACTTTAACTGAAACGTCACCCGGCAAGTCACCCGGCAGTAGTAAGGCAGGCGCAGCCCAGAGATTAGGTCTGACAATATTTCTCTCTGAGACGGTGATATTACTCTCACCCACCGCAATTGAGACGACTTTAGTTTTCAAAGACCATGTCCATTGTTCCAACATTAACTTGCTCCACCAATTCAATCTAAATCAGAAGCTGGTCTAAACGCCCGAGAAGTATTCGTCTTCCTGACCAGCAAAGTCATCGCCGTAGCTTTCATCCGAAGAGCTGCCCATCTCACCGTCCTGCTCGAGGAGTTATGCGGAGAAAGGCCCCACCTCCTTTGCGAGTTGAGCCTCGTCGCTCATATCCATCTGCGCCTGAATGCCCCGCACTTGCTGAACGTCACGGGCCAGCGATGGAGGCCGCGCCGAGTCGTCGAGCCAGATGTCTCCATAGGACCGCGTGTTCCCGATCGATTATGTGCAGGTAGCTGGTGATGTTTCGCCTTCTTGACACTTCTTCCCGTCGCGTTCAATCGTTGATGTAAACCACGAAATTCTTGTTAGAGGTGGGGTCTGAGAGCCTAACTCATTGCTATTCGACTCCTCCATAGTGCGCGCTGTTTGTGGCGTTTGTTTTAGGATGGAAGAGTCGAGTTGCAGTGATAAGAGAAAAACCCGCACTCCGTAACAAACGGAGGGTTTTCTAAACAGGAGTTATGAACAAGTAGGGTGGGAGGGAGGAGCTCAAAAAAATGGTCGATCGGCTTTGCTCAAAGAGCGCAGGTCCGATTAGTAACTAAAACACTGCAACTGACTTGGGGGATAGGGCATACCTTTGCTCGAAAAGCGCAGGGCGATGGCAGGGGAGGAAGGCGACGCGGTAGGTAGACGCGGCCAAACGAGGTCTGTATACAAGGTAGCCCCATGAGTCAACTTGCCCAACAAGGACAAGGAATTTGGCAACATGCCCAACAAGGACAGTCGTGATCCGGAATGCGAACCTTAGCTAGAAACAGCGAGCCGCGATAGTGCGAGTCTCGAAAAGTTCGCCCTTGCTCTAAGCAGTGGGTGCGATACGACCTTGCAAAGCAGCGGGTACGGCGGCTGCTTACAACGTAGTGGCAGGCTAGCTCATCAGTCCAACTGTCCAACAAGGGCAGAGGGCTTACGAGGGATGTTACCCACTTTGAGTGAGTAGAGACTGGCAGGGGGGGTGCCGGAACCACAACACGAAACGCTAAGGCGTGCGGGACGACGAGGGAGAGGGAGAGGAAGGGCCCGCGCGCGCCAGCGGGTGAGCAAGGCGGGAGGCCCAAGGGGGCCGAGAAGAGTGCGTGCTGGCACAGGGTCCAAAGAATGCGTGTTCGAAGAGTGGAGCGCGAGCGGGCCCCGTTAGGCCGAGACCAGCGCGCTTGAGCTGTCCGCGTCAAAATCTTGCAGCAAAGGCCGAAAAGACTATAGTCTTGGTTAATTCCTTATTCTGCGCGCGCGCCTATCTCTGTCTTTGCGTCTTTTTTCCTTCTGGGTTTCCTTCTCCATGCTATTCTCATCATCTCACTCGTGTACCTCGGAGCTGAGTCGTGGAGTACCTCTTAGTCCTTGTCGTAATAATTCTGACAGTGCAGGAGGCATGGGCTCGGAATCGCCCTCTGACTGCCCGCGAGTGTCGAGCCAAACATCAAAGAAATGGTCGTTCTGGGACCAAGAACATTCGCGCAACTGAAGAAGCTCCATCCGGCGATCCAGTAAAATGAGCGCGCGGTCTCGGATCTCTTCAACATCTTCAGTGCCGAATATGGACTTGGCATCAGCTGGGTCGATCGATTCAGAAAGGGTATCTGTTGGGATGGTTTGAAAGATGTCAGGGCGACATAAGAGGTGATATGGAGCACGCTGTATCGAAAACTTACCCGACACTTTAGTCCAAAGTGTTTGGCAACTAGTGATACGAGTCTTTTCATCTTCGATCCAAGCCAAAGCTTGCCGCACCTCGGCGCCGATCCGCGCTTCCTCCTCACCGACTCGAGCCTTGGCGCGCACAGCTGCTACTCCTCGGAATGAGCGACCGTAGCCCGCTCCACAATCGCTCACAGCCCTCTCCATCAGTCAACCCGAAGTTCGGAATGAGGCGGGGGTTGAACTCGACTTGGCAGGACCAGATATGGGCGTATGCATGGAAGACGCTCGTGGCGAACTCCAGTCGCTTGAAAAGCTTTGGCAGGAGCTGCCTCGGGTGACAAATGATAGGAAAGTAGGCGCATTTGGTCTGTGCCAACGAGACTGAGGAGGAAGGGACGCGTCGTGATCGAAGCATACCTTTTCAATGTGGTGCTTGAAGTTACAAGCAATGTCGTATAAGACTCCAATCTTGGCGTTTTCAGGAAGGCGCTCTGAGATGCACTTGAGGATGGCAAGCGCATAGTATAATCTGAGCGGTCGGAGGGGAATATGCGCATTAGTACTGGGAGAGGAAAGCGGAAGCGACTACGTCCCAACCAGACAGCTCTGCGCTCACTTTTCACCAGACCTCTCAAGATTGACCATTTTCAGGTTTACATCATGACGGCATACGCAGGCAACGAGTCCAGTGTCGACTACTCGTGACGAGGTTGAGCCAGCTCCGTCGTCGGCAGCCTTCCACGACTCTGTGCACGCCTACGAGGGTTGGGTGGGTGTAGAGGTAAGCGATCCCATTAAGGCAAATGCAAAGAGCGGCATTACTCACCTTTTTGGTCGGCCGCACCGAAGCTTCAACCTCGGCCTTCATCGCCTGAACCTCTTCCTCACCCAGGAAAATGTCCGGAACGATCTGGTCGTGCTTCGAAGTTTTGTCACGCGTTTGCCGAAAGTTGCCGTCGTATGCAAGCACGCAATCCAATGGGACGTCGTGACAAGGTTGATTAAGTCACGTTGGCCCGAAGCACGCGGGACCCTTGTTGGAACGAATCGACGGTGCCTACGAGAAGGTCCCCGCTGTCCTGCTCGCATGTTTCGAGAGCGCGGTACTCGTCGATCGCGTTGCTTCCGAAGGTCTTTGTCCTGCATGCGCGGAAGGCAGGCTTTAAGCATCTGCCCCTGAAACGATGGCGGCGTCCAAACTGACCCAAGGATGTCCTGTATAGTGACCCCGAACCCACCCACAACGGGAGTAATACTCTTTGAGGCCGTCCGCATAGCCGGTGAGAGCGCGGGGGGTGACCCTCCAGCTCGCGTGGGTCTGCTCGACCAGTCGAAATGAGAAGGCGGTCATCGGCATTGAAGCGGTCGAAGAGATGAACCCTAGTTGGGCCAAGCGTTCGACGTCCTTAGCACACCGCGACTCGGAGGCACAGAGGGTGACCTGCAGTTTGTAGACCAACGGTTTGGACTTGTATCTTCTCTTCGGCGGCATGGCGACGCCAACTCAAGTGCATGAGCAAGAGGACGAACGCGAGCCATGGGGCCTGTACGGTCAATGGCGACGCTACAATGAGCTGTAGCGGAAGCAACGAGGTGAGGCGGCAAGTCAAGTGGAAGGTCCCTCGCGCGTGCGTGTGCTCGGACCCTTCGATCTCGGGACCGAAATCCCGGCGCGCGACCGCTTCGGACACGTGACATTGACGACATCCGAAAGATGCGAGAAAAAGATGAAGGAAGGAATGCATCTACTATGCACTTTCTTTATCAATCTAGCAGCTGTGAGAGTGTTGTGTGTACACAGAATCGACTCGAAGCAGGGAGTTGGGCGCAACCTGGGCCTAATCTGCTACCTGGGGTAGCAAGGTTGCAACCCGCCGGGATTGTGGCTTGGGGCGCGTGGGAGGGCGCTGCGCGCGCGCCTGTTGAGGCGTACTTTTTATGTCTGCCCGAGGTGGTTAACTGCGGTTGCGCGGATTTCCCGTAGGGGTCTGTCACGTGATGCGGCGCCCCAGCTTTATTTATTTATGAGAAAAGGACAAAAATGCCCTCTTTATTTATTTGAGGTGTCAGAGTGTCAGTCCGGCAGCCGACCAGCGGCATTAGGGCCTGAATAACAAACCCGCGCCACTCCCTTTAACCTTTTCTTTCTCTCCCACTCTCATCGAACTTTGTGACACTCATTCAAGGAGAAACCCTCGCCACTATGCTCCGGTCCTAAGGTCGCCAGGGAGGGCCATCGCAACCTCGCCAAGTCTTGGCCGCGATGAGTGAAAAATAGTTTCTCTGCTGACTTTTGTCATTATACCGTTCGATTATCCGGCTATTTGGAATCATATTCCCGCTAATCTAACGGGATCCCACTGGTATCCTTAAAACTATCTATCTACATCTATCTATCTATCTATCTACATCTACATAAAATAATGCACGACAAAACAAGCAATTAAGCTTCTTCCAGGCAGTCTCTCAGGTACATTAACCCGACTCAAATGGCTCTGCTCTGCCTGTTTTTTCCGTTTTCGCCCACAATTCGTCCGCAATTTGGCGCCTGTCTTTCCTGTTCTTGCCCCACAAGCAAAATCTGACATTCCCTTCTGTCCCACGCGCTCGCGCTCGGACCTCACGTGCGCTCGCTCCGCGAGCTGGCTATATGCACTCCCACGGTCTCGACACCGACCCTGCCCGCCACCTCAGAAAGATTTTAACGACTCCTCTAGAAACCAGAAACCTTCGGAAAAGTCGGAGGGAATGCTTTTACGCACACTGGCGTATACGTAGTCGTACCTGCACCCTTGGCGGCCAACTCCCTCTCCCAAGTCGGAACGATGCCATCTAACTTTCTCATGATGGTAAGCGAAAGGCTGTTGAGCGAATTAGAGTCGTTATGAAAGCGAGGAATAATTGGACAAATTTGACGTGGGGGCGGCGAGTGTGTGTAAGAAGGCGGCCGCGCGCGCTGCCAGGCTGGAGTCGCGCATGAACGACCGGAGACGAGGCTAGAGTGCGGTCAAAAGCAGAGCAATTTGGCCAAAAACAGTTTAGCCTGGCCGAATTGAAAGTTCGGGTGTGCATATAACGGTTCGCCAACTCTGGTCCCACGTCGGAGGCATCCTGGTCCCACATCGGAGGCGACTTTGGGGCCCGTACCCGTGCCGGGGGGTAGGGGGGCGGGGAAGAAGAAAAAAAGAATGTCTGTTCAGCTTTAGCGGTAAGAGTTCCGGGCCCGTACCCATGTCGGGGGTGGGTGGGAGGAGAGGAAAAGAAAAGAAAAGAAAAAGAAAAGAAAAAGGAAATAAAGGAGGAAAAAGGAGAAAAAAAAAGAAAGGAAGGAAAAAAAGAGGGGGGGGGGGGGAAGAAAAAAAAGGGGGAAAGGAAGAGGGAGGGGAAGAGAAAGAAGGAGAAAGAAGAAGAGGGAGGGGGAGGTGAAAAAGGAGAATGAGAGGAAGTGGTACGGAACATGTCATTTTGACAGCATACATCATATTACCCAGGTGTTATGCAGCTACAAAGTTGTGCCTTTTGATGCCGAGCTCGGCCATTCATCTCAGCCCTTGTCAGTCCTCTACAGAACCTTCGTGATTGTGCGTCGTTCGAATCCATCTCGTCTGTCAGCCCGAAAGGCTTCCCGCAGTCCAAGCACGCCCCGTCACACCCAGTCATCGATCCGTCATCGCTTAGTTTTGACCCCTTGCGTCGACAGGTAGTTTGGCCACAGAATCGACAGTGCCTTGCCCCTTTTGTCGTACCCGCGCGCGTCAAAGCGCTGCTCGTGCCCAAGTCCGCGCTCGAACCAGCGTCGCTCGAGGCAGTTGCAACAAAGGGGCGGATGGATGACGTTGGAGGATCCGAGGCATCGACTTCTACCTCTGTAAGCCTCCCCAAGACTGGCGGTTTGTGACCGAGTAATGGCTTAGCCGCTAGCATGCTAACATCACGACCGCGGGAGGGGTCGGTAAGCAAAGCTTGAATCACTCTGACGTCGTTCCCACCCATGTTCATTGTGGCTTGAACATTTGCCAGCGACGACCATCTCGATGCCCATGTATTGATGTGCTCTGGCATCTGTGTGAGAATTGCGCTTCAGCTCAACATCACCATTCAGTGTGACACAGACGCGACATACTTTGTAAAAAATGTCTATTCCGTTGGCATACTTGTTCCAAAGCTCGGTAATCTCGAGTATCCGAAGATTGAGGAGCTCCCAGTCGTACCTTGCTTGAGAGATATCTGTATAGCGCTCGTTCGCTGGGTGTATGGACATGCAATACAGCGAATCGAGTACCCTGACGTTCCGCTAGCCAGTCGTGGCGAAGCTTGCGATCGGTTGGCAGCCGGCTTTGCATATGCTGTATCGCCGGCGTATTGTTCTGCAGCAAGCTCCATGGCGACCACTTGACGGGCTCCAAACGCAGAGTCCCGCGCTCGACGTGATAGGGCTCGATCAAAAAGCGCATTTGCGCTGTTGGCGACTGAACAACAGGTACGATGCCGAATGTTTCGGTGGTGTAGAGCAGCGGGTTGACTATATCTGACACAGTGGTTGAGTGCCGTGGGAGAAATGCCGAGGTCTTGCGCCTCAGACGATGTAATTCCACAGTGAGCCAGAGGTCGTAGTGCCCCACGAATGGTTTTTCGGTACGATTGAACGTCCCAACCTGCGAACACAAGGGATAATGGGTGAGAATGGTTGCCGCTTCTTCGAATCACGATGGTGGAGTTGGACCGACCGTGAGATTGTGCACTAGCACGTAGTCAGCCAAGCACGCATTGGCATGGCACGGAGAAACACCAGACTTTGGAAATCGTTGGCGAAGGTTCCGGTGGATGCCTCCTTCGAGACTGTTGAAAGAGTCTGCTTTGTCGGGCAATGCCGATCCGACCGACGTCGGAATCGAGCGCGACGTGGAGTTGGTCGAGACTGAGGCATCGGATGCGGAAGGTATGGCAGACGAGCCGTCTGGAAACGGAGTTTGGGGTGAAGTTGTTGCCGGTGCAAAGTTGAGAGTTGTTTGAGTCTAAGATTAGGAGCCACGGACATGCATTAGTCAGAAGGAATACGGGCGACGGGAATGTAGCCCGGCTCACAGTGTACACTTTTGCAGGGGGAAACTGTATGGAAGGATGCGGCACGTTTAATTTCTGACGTCAATGCCACATGCCTAACAGGTTTTGACACTCATGATCCCACTGATCTATCGCAAATCGGGCTTTCACAACTAACCTGCATCCGCTGACTCTGCTCGTCTAATATGAGTTGGCGTTGAGGCGCTCGCTCGGCCTCTAGCCTAGCTCGCTCCGCTTCCTTGAGTTGTCTTGCACGTTCATCATCAAGTTCTCTTTCGGCAGCTTGCTGTGCTGCTCTCTCGGACTTGGCTATGGCCGTCTCCTCCTTCTCCTCCTCCGTCTTTCTCGGACGACCCTGAGGCCTGGTCGCCGCGGGCGCCGGGACTAAGCTACGGGGTCGACCTCGCAACACGATGGCTTCTTGGTCGACTGATCAATTGCAGTCGATCCTGCATTCTGTCCATCATTATGTATTGAAAGCTCATCGAAGCGGCGCTTCGCGGCCTGGACTTGGCTCGCGGTGTTCGCGCTGTGTAGTGTCGACACAGGGGCCGATCTCGTTCTGGCACGCTGTCGATGCTGTCGTAGCCGAGGTGCCGACGATTTTGTCGTCCGTGTTATCGGCGCTTCGTTTCCGAAAGAAGCGTGACAGCAGTTGCACCGTAGGATATGGCACGTTGCAGCATGAAGACAAGGGGATGGCCGCGTGCGGCGCTCCTGATTGCGCCAACTCGGTGCGCCAACTCACGCGCGCGGTGCGCTAACTCAAGTGCGCTAACTCGGGCGCTCGACTGCGCCAACTCAAGTGCGCTCACTCAATTGCGCCAACTCAATTTGGCGCGCGCGAGTTAGCGCAAGCGCACCCCCCGGCACCGGTACCGCCCCAGAGTTCCACGCTCATTGTTCAAGCGCGCATCCGTGCATTCTAGTCCTGACTCAGCGTCAGCCGATCCTAGCCTCTCAGGAGCGCTCAGCGTATTTTCCTAGCCTCTCCGGAGTGCTCAGCGTATTTCCTAGCCTCTCCGGAGCGCTCAGCGTATTCCTAGCCTCCCCGGAGCGCTCAGCGTCCTAGGTCTCTCCCTCTGCGAGTACCTCGCGTCCGCGCCGCTTACCCTCTCCTCGGTTCCGCACCGTCGACACGTTCTGGGACCAGCTCGCTGCTCCAGCACTGCCACCCTCTGCCAAGGGTCAGTCGGTCCTCCAACATTGGATCCTCATCCAAGCGATCCGTCGCTCACCCAGTAATCTCCTTCATCAGGACCTTACAGCAGCCCGCTGCTCTCCAGAAACCCTCGACGCACGCACGCCTGCCACGCGCTCGAGGTAAGTGTTCAGAATACGCTCGGCTAGTTGCACGACGTACTCATAGCTCACTTGCCGTACAGTAGTTCCCTGCGACCTCTCTGTACGATCTCTACCCTTTCCTGGATCGCCCTAGTTGGGCGCACCAAACTAACGCATAGCATTCCATAGGCTACCGTCCGCGGAGTCTTCCCGGACGCTCGTTCAATTGTATTGAACGCCTGCGCTACGCCTCGCAAAGGTATGCTACGCCGTGTCTCTGTCATAGTTGCCCTGTTACTTATCATCCCCGATCGCTACGCCTCGCAAAGCGATCTCTCGGTCTCTTAAGCTTCCCGCCCACCTTCCCTATTACACTCTAATGTCTCTTTCTTACTCTGATACATTTCTATAGTGACCGAGTTGTTAGTTACGACACGGTCCCTTTCGGTTTCTCGAGCCCCGCTGCAACATGACATGACCTCTCTCGCTAAAAATCACTGTTCAAGCGGCTTTGGAGAGTTGAAAAGAAAAAGAAAAGAAAAAGAAAGGGAGGGAAAAAAAGGAGGAAGGAGAAAGAAAAAAAAGGAAGGTTCGAAAGGGAAAGGAAGGAGAAGGAACGAAAAAGATAAGTGGTACATGATATACAATTGCAATAGGAATAAGAGTGTCTTCACAATGTCACAGCGGTTTATGATTATGACACTTCTTCTTATACCGAGCTCGACCACCCATCTCAGCCGTGGTCAGCCCCTTGCAAAACCTCGGCGATTCTGGGTTATTCGGATCCCTCTCTTCACTCAAGCCATACATCTTCCCGCAATCCACACATGGGTTTTCACACAGAATCTCCGATCCCTGTCGGGCTGACGCTGATCCCTTGAACTTGCAAGAGGCTTGACCGCAGAACCGACAGCGCCGCATTACTTTCCCGGTGACTACGCTCACTGAACTGCCACTGGTAGCAATCCCTGCACATGGACCATTGTTGTTTGTGTCCATCGCCCCGGATGGGCGGATGAATGATGTTTGAGGATTGGACGCTTCGACCTCTGCATCCGTGAGCATCCCCGAGACCGGAGGTTTGTGGCCGAGCAACGGCTTGGCGGGCGGCGGGCTGACATTGCGACCGCGGGAGGGTGAAAGGCACGAGATCGCTCTCGAGCCTCACTGATTCCGAGTCCAAACTGAAAGGATCAAACGGTGTAATTCGCAGGCGAAGAAAGACTACTAAAAGGACTAAGGTCAAGAGACGCGGCGGCGCCGCGCGCGAGGGCAAGCGTGCTGAGGCCGGTTGGCTCGAGGTCGTCGTGAGGCGTAAGCGGAGCGGCGCCTTACAGAGGGGTCGGTGATCATCGCTTGGGTCGCTTTGACGTCGTTCTCGGCCAGATTCATTGTAGCTTGAGCATTGCCCAGAGACGTCCATCTGGTTCCCCAACTACTGATGTGTTCTGGCATCTACGTATAAATTTTCAAGCACTCAGCTCGGTCTTAAGTTCAGAGGCACAACGAAATAGCGACTAACTTCGTAAAATATATCAATGCCGTTGGCATAAGCGTTCCAGCGCTCGGCGAGTCAGATGGCTCGTTGGTCTCGAGAAGTTGATAGTTCCAGATGGGACAAGATATGCTTGTACAGCGCTCGTTCGATTGGTGTGTGAACGTGCAATACCGCAAACCGAATACCTTGGCGTTTTGCAAGCCAGGTGTGACGGAGTTTGCGATCGGCTGGCAGCTGGGTTTGCATCTGCTGAAGCGTTCGTCCCATGTTCTTGTGCAGCAAATTCCGCGGCGACCATTTGAGGGGCTCGAAACGGAAAGCGCCACTCTCGACGCAATAGGGTTCGATGTTGTTGGACTTTTGAGCCGCCTCCCGGGGGGACTGCCGAGTTCGCCGATACCGGCATCGAGGGCAGATTGGGGTCGGTCGAGTGCGGGGCACCGGATCCGGAAGGCACGGCGAACGAAGGGTTTGAAGCTGAAGACGAACTTAAACTGGATGCTTGCGCAAAAGCTGAGAGTTGTCTGTTTCTGGAGTTGATAGCCATTGATATGCGTAAGACTTTGTGCGGCCCACGGACAAGACACTGGTCTACGAAACTCACGGTGTACGTTTTTGCAGGGGGAAACTGCGAGGGTGGAATATTGTAATAACCCCAGGTCAGCCCGAAATGTAACAGGATTGAAGGTTGGTCATCACACTAGGCTACCACACATCGAGCTTCAACAATTGACCAGCATCCTCTGAGTCTGCTCGTCCAAGACGATTTGGCGCTGTGGGGCTCGCTCCACTTCCAGCCTGCTTCGTTTTGCCTCCTCTCGTTGCCTTGCTTGTTCTTCATCTTGTCCTTTCTTTGCTGCTTTCTCTTCTGCTTGTTTTGCCTGGGCTTTGGCCGTCTTCTCCTTCTCCTCGTCTGTCTTTCTCGGACGACCCCGAGCTCGTTTCGGTGCAGGTGCGAATGCAGGTGGAGGATGGGGTGGTCGGCCGAGTGGCTTTTTGCCTAGCTGGTTGATCGCATTGGGTGTCGAATCCTGCCCATCGTTTAAAAGCTCGTTAAAGCGACGCTTGTCGGCCCGAGATTGGGTTGCACTGTCGGGAGTGTCGCGACTGGAGCCAATCCCGCTGCCCTGGCTTGATGTTGAGGCTGGCGGAGAAGAGGTAGCGGCAGCGACAGAGCCGGTTCGGTTCCAGGTTCCAGGTTCCAGAATGAGAGTGACAGCAGGAAACGCGCCGACCCGCCCCCCCTCATTAGGAATTTTAAACATCTCTTGAGGGCGCACCGAACGGGGGGGGGGGGGTGGTTGCCGAGCGAGGAACCGAAATAACCCCGAGAAATAACCCCTGCCAGCTGGCAGGCTGCAGTGGACGCGTGGACCTACGCAGGGTTCCGGCGTCGCGGGCGAGGGGCGCAGTCGAGGTCGAGTAAAAGATGAACGCATTTCCGTCTTCTGATGCGGACATTGTGTGCAATAGCCTTTCAACCTCACAAACCGATCGAATCTGAATCGCACGCGTTGGGAAGGGTCAAGCGGGTCATGTACAGCTGCTTCGGCGCGCCAGAGGACAGGAACAAAAAGAAGTACCGCGGCGGGGGGCGCCAACGCGAATGCATGCAGATCGACCTATGCCAAGGGAGACGGCAACGAATGACCAGGTGAGTGGCCACCGTGTCTTGCGTTTTGCTCATCCTCCCTTGTTGATCTCGGGTGTCTTTCGGAACGAACAAACAGGCTTTGGAAAACTTGAAGAAACGACAGAGAGGAAGTGAAGGAAATTCACTCGCGTCGTCGTTGTCATTGCATTCATGACGGGATAAAATATGTACTTTGAAGAGAACAGCAACCAAAAGAAGATGTGTAGGGGTGATCCAAACAGTTTTCTACGATGTACAATCACGAAATAAAAGTATGTGCTCATTGACATAGGGAAAGGGTAGAAAAGAGGAGCACTTCAGGTGATCTGGCCCTCGAACGAGAGGGTCCCACTCGATCGGCTCCACACGGGCATGGCGCGCTCCTTTAGTGCGGATTCTTGATGGTAAAGGATTGGCTTGGTTGCCCGAACACTCCTCCATCAAGGTAGTCATTCGTTGTGAAGCCGAAAAGAAGAGCTCTGCGGGAAGAGACAAGCTGTCAGATGATCAAACATCGAGAGAAAACCCAGTTGAAGGTACATACGCCCGGATCTTGTCTGCATCTCCTCCTTTTAGGGTCTTCCAGCTCGGAAGACCGAGGTCGTAGGCTCCATTGTCGAGCAAGACTCCCTTGACGACAAGCTTTTTAACATTATCTTAGCATCGAGTTCAGGTTTGCATCAGGTTAGTTAGATATCAAATTCGCCCTTGGGTCATGGGCTGCAGCGGCCTTTCGACCTTTTGCCGGAGGCATCTGAAGAAGCTCACCGGTTGTTGGTTCAGTCGATTTACGGTATAGTATCCAAATATCGGCATAGCGTGGACGCGGAGTAGGGGTCCACACGAGAGAGACATTGTTTTGTGTCTGGTAATGAACGCCAAAAAAAACCATGATGTTGGGGAGGTTGCGCTCGGTGATTCCGCTGGTCAGGATTGAAGGGGGGGTGACGTTGAGGGTGGATGGAACGGAGATGTCTCGCTGCAGGAATTTGGTGACTTGTTCGGGGCGAGGGGCGGGCTCGAGGCTTGGAGCGGTGTCGACGACCTTTAGGGGCGAGGCCGGAACGGGGCTACACGTCGCCAAAGTCGCCATGAGAGCGAGCGCGGACAAACGCGACCACAGGAGTAGCATGGTACGAGGGAAAGGTTTTTGGCGGATGGGCTTGAATGAGGATAGCAAGGACTGACAATGGGCGACTTTGGTGGATGATACAAGAGAGAGGACAAGGGGCGCCACGATCCCCCGAGTCGACCCCAATGCCATGAACGACCTTTTCTTTTCGTCTCCTCACTATGCTTTCGACTTTCGGACTCTCGCTCTCGCTCTCTCGGACTCTCGCTCTCTCGGACTCTCGCTCTCTCGGACTCTCGCTCTCTCGGACTCTCGCTCTCTCGGACTCTCGCTCTCTCGGACTCTCGCTCTCTCGGACTCTCGCTCTCTCGGACTCTCGCTCTGGACCCTCGGACTCTCGCTCTTCCTTTGTGAAACCCGAACAGCACATAAACGGCCTGAAAAGCACGAGATCGCTCTCGAGCCTCACTGATTTCAACCTAAGACCGGGTCAAGAGGCTCCCATGGCACCGCGCGCTGGTAATGCTTGGGGCACCGGAGGCTGGCTCAAGCCGGTTGTGAGGCGTAAGCAGGGTGTTTGTTGCCTTACACTCTCCCCTCCTTGAATCAATCCCCCTCCCTGGAAATGCTTGCAATTGTTACCTCGGACACTAGCCCTCGAGATCTGGGGCCTCATTCGCGAGTACACGCAGCTAGTCTACGACAATGATTCGAAACCCGTTAGGGATGCATCCGATGCGTACTTTGAGCTGCGCGAGCAGATTATCAGCAGCTTGGTGATCGTCTTATCAAATGAGCGTAACAGTGATTATACAACTCCGCTCAAGCGAGGGGAATTCAGCAACCCATCGGTCAGTCGATCAATATTCCTTTGCGTGCTATAAATCCGCAATGGGCTGATCGTTTTTGCCGTCCGCAGAGCTGGCTCGTGTTGCTTCACACCTTTACGCTCGACCACCCATACCGCGGGATCACTCGCCAACCTCATCGGCCCGAGCTCAAATCGAACGCTACTTTCAGCGAGCCGAATATTGCTCGGCTTGTCAATGGGTGCAAACCGAGGTCTTGCCAAGACGACACTACGTCGTCTGGCCCGTACTACTATCGAGTCTCAATTTTAGCGAGCCAGAGACTCTGTCGGACGTATTTGGCTCGGCCAGAGAGTCTGTCGAACGTATTTGGCTCGCTTGTTGGGCAACCAGCAGGGGCGGACATAGAGAAACAACATACAGGGCGTGATTTTCACAAGAGCGATTGCATCAGAGGCTCTTACACGCAGATCGTTTCGATCACCTCGCTTGTTCGTGTGCTTGTGTTCAACATAACCAGTATTCTCGCCACGAGCAACCCCTGCGTGAGCTTCGCTTGGCTGTCTCTGGTCAAATGGAGAAGTTGGTCTGGTCTCTTCGTTCAGAGGTGCGCCACATTCTCGGCGGTGACCATTTCGCAACGGATGCAATCGTCGGTTACAAGGAAGAGGCGCCTCGCCACCCCTTCGACGCAATGCGCGGTCATCTCGCCTATCCAGCCGGCAACAGGACCACCAACGGATTAGTGACTACGTTGTTCTACGAGCTAGAACCCAACTCGTATGACCTGCTACCTTCGTTCAATGCGCTGCTGGACCAACAATGGCACGAGGTGTGGCCTATTCTACGACTCCGAGGCTCTCACCGGCCTTCCCTCTAAAGTTTCGACAATGCCTCTGGACGCGTCTTTTGATGAGGGAAAAGGAGTCTGGAAGATGCAACTTGACCGCTTTCGTCTTGTTCCAGGGGCTTCAAATCGGTGAGTTAGGAAGAATTTGATACAGCAAAGATAAAGATCACTAAGGTCTTTCCCGAAGACTTGCAGCGGTGTGATCTTCTGGGCCATTTTTGTAGTAGTGGGCGCAGCAGCCAGGGCGCTCCTGCCATTGATGATGATACAACTTTAAAGACATGTTCATGATTCCCTTCTCCTAAAAAAGTTTGGTTAGCAAAGTCGCTATACAGGATATCTTCAAGAGTGTAGTAAGTATGTCTCATCTCTGCAACTGCTCGAGATTCTTAGGCGGACTCGGAGCTCGGAGTGTGGCCCGCCGGGATGGGTCCGCACTTGGCCCAGCAAAGTGCGGTCACCGGTCACTTGTCCGCACAGCTGAGGGCGGTCTGCGGTCCGCACTTGAGAGTTTCGACTTATCATAATTCTTGCAGCAAACATGGTATTGTCATTTGATATGTGTCTGTGCCTGTGTTATCCGCGCGGTTGCGCGGCGTGCGTTTAGTCATTAGTCACTTTGGTATTGGAGTTTGCTCTGTTTGAGTTAGGGAGCGCGCGGGGCTTTCTTCCCGCGCGTCTATTTACTCTGGCACCCGGACATAACCGCGCTAATAGCTCGTCACTCTGGGCTCACATAAGGACGGCTTTTAAGCCCACGTCGGAGGCACTCTAGTCCCACATCGGAGGTAAGCTCAACTAAGCCCTCCTTCTGGGAGGGACTTAGGACTTATCGGCGCGCCTGGCCCAGTTGCCCTCCGAAATTTCAGGGCCATTTTGGGGTGGTTTTCTGTAGCGTGGCAAGTACTTACAATTATCCAAAACGCAGAGATGTTATTGATCTTCTACTAGAAAAAATGGCCTCTGCCGAACGGCAAGAGGATACACCATCTGTAGCCGAAGCTATGATGATCTGAAGTGTGTAAATTTGGTCCCGAGTGGTCCGAGCGGCTGCTGCAGCCGCCGGCTTGCGCACTTCGGCGTGTGCGCATCGGTTTCTCTCCCGTCCCATTCCGCATCACTCGTCTTCTCGGTACTATGCTCTTCGCTTGTTCTCGGTGCAACACCGCGCTTATCGCAGAATGACGCGCAACCGCAGACGCTATGACTCGACGACTCGCCAGGATCGCCGCCGTCAGGCGGATCTATTCGCTCGGTTTCGGCTTCACAAGCTCTCACTATGTCAATACCTCTCGTAGTATTTCAGCCCATCAACACAACACGATGGTGTTCACAATCATAGGCTAAAGCTCCTCAACAGTAATTGGACCCAGCTCAAGCGTTTGGTGGCTTCCTGGCTGTTGAAGTACATGATGGACTGGGGAAAGATGCTGGGATCTGACCGCTGGTTAAGGAGATCCCTGATACTTCCCATCGTACCGTTTGTTCTTGGTTTCATCTCGACAGCAATATTGAGGTTTGGTCGGAAAAGGTCGGCTTTGGCGAAGAACGTCCGCGATTCGGAGAGACTGGATACCTTTAGGATCTTGTTGATTTCGTAGGGTGGAGCGCCGGCGGTGAGGAAGAGTGTTTGACAGCCAAGTAATGAGACGCCGCTCCGCAACTTGCCCATACACCGGGCGAAATGCAGACGAGCCTTCCATTGGGTGGCTAATAGCTCCGGCGCGCTTCCTTTCGCTGAATCCCCCCCCCCCACTCGGCGATCTTGATTGCCTCGTCATAGGCAAGCAGCTTGACTCGTTCTCGGAACGAGTCCTTCGATATCAGCTCAGCCCAGCGCTTGTCTCCATTGTGCATCTCTGGAGACTGTCGGAGATTTTTAGTAGCAAGATATCAGTACGGGGGTTGTGAGCATGCAAAAACCTGCGGCGGATTGACTGGACACGTACGATGAAGATCAATGAGACAGTATGGGAGGGATCGCTCAACTGCCGATACAGCTCTCCGTCACCCCATGTTTCCTTGCATATGACAACCGCTTTCTTTCGCTCTTGATTGAGATTGTCGGCCTGTAAAGGTATCAAGACCGTGGGACTCAGCACCGGCGTCGCCTCAACGGCCAACCGAATAAAACCTACCTGATGTTGGCTCAGCGCAGTCAGAGGACTGACAACTATGGTCACAGCCCGGCGTCCGTAAACCAACTACATGGCTTGTTGAAATATCAAGCTCTTCTCTGAACCCGTTGGAGCAATGACGAATACAGCGTCATACTGAATTCGAGTCTCGAACCGCTCGAGCTGAAAAAGTCCCGCTCGAGCTTCGATTTGCACCGGCCGGGGGACGAAGTCCTCGCCAAATTTGTCGACCAAAAGGAGACTGAGCTTCTTGCGTAACTCAGTCGGGTCAACTCAATCTTCTTGAGTTAATTGTGATCTCCAGTGAGCAGCCCGAGAGCGACGGGTAGGCAGTTCGGGGGTTGTGTTGGTTGAGTGATGGTCCCATGATGTCGTTGGCTTTGCCCTCGAAGCTGATCGTAAGGGCGACTCTCTGAACTCAATCGATGGAGACCGACGAGGTGTGCCTTTGACAAGCGTTGGCGTTTGTACGGGCATGGTGGATCATGAGGGCGGTAGCGACGTCGTGGACTGGCGTTGTGGACCGAACTGTCCGAAGGTGAGGCCGGTGAGGCGCGGCTGGCTGATTCACGTCGGCGCGAAGAACCGTCCCTCTGGGTCCGTGCGCGAGCCAGCTCCAAGTCGAAAATAACGACTTCTCACCGCTGTAGCTCAATGAATAGGACATGCAAGAGTCTTCCCTTGGGTAGATGATCGTAAAAATAGCATAAGAATGCGCATTTTTCTACATATTGTATAGGTGATTTTATTTGCCAAGCTACAGCAAGGTGGTACTTTTCTGGGCCAAATTTCGATAGGCAACTCAGCCAAACGCGCAGATAAGTCACAAGTTCCTCCACAGAGTGGAGGGTTTCGAGCTTACATCGGAGGCGACTTTGGGATCACATCGATGCGGACTTTGGGCTCACATCGGTGCGGACTTTGGGATCACATCCGAGGTCATTCTTGTACCACGTTCATAGGGACTTTGGTACCACATAGTGTAGACGCCTGTATCTCTTGCAATATGTGATGTATGACTCTGGCGACAGCAGTATGATATTTGTACAGGTCTATAGTACTTCTGGCCGGTGAGACAAAGCGGACAATGCAGTAGTTGCTACATCGGGATTCTGCCCTGCTGACGTCGGCCACGGGGTCGAAGGCCTGATCTCAAGGGGGGGCGCCTTACATCGGACCGCTATCCCGGCACGCGCTCGCCCTCTTGGGACCATCCTAAGCTCGACGCCCCTCCCAAATGTGAGTTATCCGCGCTTTTGGCTGAGTTGCCCTCCGATTTTGGCCCTGAAAAGTGCCCCCTTGCTGTAGCATGGCATATATTGGTGCTATCTGAAAACTGGAGGGATACGTCTTTACTTAATCATTATTGATGAGGCTTCACCGAAGCTTGAAGTCTAGGAACGCTTGATCATCTCGCTACAGCAGCTTGAATCAACTGATTCCGAACGAGACGCAGGTTGGCGCACGGACCAGTCGTAGTCCAGTCCGCGTCGAAGGCTGCATAGATCCAGGTCACTTAAGCCCGGCCGCGCCTCACGCATCCTCTCTCTCCTCCACTCAACATCGCACCTCCCCTCATGTTGAGCCATGTCGGTCCAAACACCGAGGCCGGTTAGCATCAATTGAGTTCAGGGCGTCTCCCTTGCGATCAGCTTCAAGGGCCAGTCCTACGACCCCAGCACCGAATCATTCAACCAATCCGACAGCCGTTCTCGGTCACTGGAGGCCACGTTTGACTCACCAGGACCGACGAGATTCCAGCGAATTACCAAAGTTATTCTGGGCGAAAGTCTTGACGAGGAGTCTACCCCCCGGCCTGTGCAGATCGAGGCCATTGCTGCCCTTTTCGAACTCGATCAATTTGGGAACCGGAATCGATATGACGCTGTGTTCGTCACAGCGCCAACAGGTTCAGGCAAAAGTGTTATTTTCGAAGCAATGTATCTCGTTTATGGACGCCGGGCAGTCACCATTGTTGTCAGCCCACTGAATGCACTGAGCAATCATCAGGTGAGTTTTTCTGTCGACTGGGCTTGCTGGACAGACATTCGTGCTGATTTCCGCAGTCACATGCTTCTTTCAGGCTGCCAATCTCAATCGAAAGGGAAAGAACGCGATTGTCGTATCTGAGGAGACCTGGAGAGACGGCGAGCTGTACAGGCAGTTGGACGACCCCAATCACAAGATCTCCTTCATTCTGATCGTATGTGCCGGTTGACCTCCAGTTTGAGTGAAGTGCACATGTCTTGATTTTCCTTTCTGTTTGCTGCGTGTCAAGTCTCCTGAAACGCATATCAACAATGCAGATTGGGCAAAATTGATCTCTAAGGAGTCCTTTCGAGAGCGCGTCAAGTTGCCCGTCTATGACGAGGACAGGGGGTGGTGTGCATCAAGAAGACTGAGGCCAAGATGAGGGACCAGTCGAGCAAGCGCTCGATATATCTGAGCTTTTATCCCGGTTGTAGATGACGAGTCGGATTGGGGAGTTGGGAGGAGATGCTGGAGATTGACTCGTGGTAAAGACGCTTGATGTGCAGAGTCGGCTCGAAGGTTGTAAGCGCCGGCAATATCTCCGTTCTGAATGTGGGCGTAACCAAAAGTTCCATGAAGCAGCTCGGTTCGTCGATCCAATTGCTGATCGTTGACGTGATGTGTGACGTCGATGTTGTCAACGGTCACATGGAAGTACTTGTTCGAGCCAATCTCCTTCAGTTTCGTCGAATTCGCCTTCGTCAAGCTCGCAGCTGCCTGGAGAGTCGCCCAGCGAGATGTCGTCAAGCCGCAATCGTACAGAAACATTGTCAATCGGTCGTTCGCTCCACATGCGAGAGTCATGAGACCGTTGCGATGCTGCATGGCGTTGTTCCTTCGGTTGCAAGCGAATGCGATCTGACCCATGACACTGCGGTAAAGCTGCGGCCAGCGTGTTGATTTTTGGTGTCAGTTCGCTGCGATACCCAGCCGAGCTAGGGTCAGAAACACTCACAAACTCGATACGCCTTTTTTCGTGACCAGGCTCTTGCTCTTGCTCTGGATCGGAACCATTCTCCGGGGTGGCTTCTTCCATCTCGACATCAGTGGGCGCTGTTGGGTCCTTGTCGCAATTAATTGGCTCAGCCGGTGGTGAGTCTCCGCATTGTGATAGCAAGTTACGAATCCGTCCGCTGATAAAAGGGTTGTCTTCGGCGATTGCATCGAGCCGTGCGTCGATGTGATCGGATGCAAGGACTTCGGGAGCCAAGTCATGGCTAGCTATCACGAAGGACGAAGATAGGAGAGGTGAGCCGGACGAAGGGGCTCGAGACGAGGGCAAGGGCGAGTGACGAGTTGAGAGGTGTTCTAGGGACTTCTCACAAGAGGCGAGGACGAGGGACGAGTGCAAGGATGTGACCTTTGACGAGATTCGAGTTGCAGAAGGGAAAGAGAGAAGTGAGCTACGGAACTGGGAAACTAGACCAGAGGAGTCGGGGACGAGGTGGCGAGCTTGAGGAGTCGAGGCACGAGGATCACGTAATAGTGTTGAGGCCAAGGACCACGTAATAGAGCTTGGTTGATGTTCACGTAAGAGTCGGGGGCGAGAGGGTTGTGAGCGTATAGTTGGAGGAGAAGAAGGCAGTGCAGGTGCCGAAGCGGGGAGAGGAGGTCCGAAGCGCGGGAAGGCCGAAGTCACGCGGATGACGTGGGTGCTGAGAGGCCGAACTTGGAGTGGCGAAACTCCCATTCGTGACACTAGCCGACGAAGGCGGACTTGGTTCGCTTCATCTCTTTAATGATGATTGAGTCGGCTTGCACGCGGATAAGGCAAGTATTCAGTAGCTTTTTCGAATCCGGAGAATCAATCCGAGAAGTACGAAGTGTTGCCCACCTGCTCGGCGATCCAGCCATTGATTCGGCTTCTTGACTCTGCGCCATCCTCGCGTGCAAGTCGTAGAATGAGATCAAGTACACGCTTAAGGCTGGACCATTTGCTGTTGAACAGCTTTGGTCGGTGTGTTTGAATGCCTTCAATCGTGTGGATGGGCTGAAGTACCACGATAGGTATTGACATAGCGAGAGATCGCGGCTACGAAATTCAGCGAACAGATCCGCCTCACGGCGGTTGTTCTGGCGAGTTGACGAGGTATGGCGTCTGCTTTTTCGGGTCATTTTTGGTTTCAGATATTGTCGCGCTTGACGTGGACGACGGTGATCGTGAAAAGAGGAGAATAGAGAAGCGGACTAAAAGGGATCAAGCCGAATGGAGCAGTCTCGCCGATGATGAGAGTGCCACTTGCACGATGCGCTCGGACCATCTGAGGCCCGATCGACCGAAATCGCAGACTTCGGAGCGCTGTAGCTCCACCCACAGCTTATGAAAGCTCTCGCCACTTGGGTATGTCATTTTTAGAGCATAAAGAAAAATAGGGTCCTTCACTTTTGCATGGTTGCGCCTACTTGCCAAGTTACAGAGAACCACCCCAAAATGGCCCTGAAATTTCGGAGGGCAACTCAGCCAAAAGCGCGGATAACTCGTAAGCCCCTCCCAGAGGGAGGGCTTAGTTGAGCTTAGGATCGTCCAAGAATTGAGCGCCGAGCGCCGGGATGGCGCCGGTATCGTCTCGGCAGAGCGCGCCTCCCAAAGCCATACCCGAAAAACCCCCGTTTTTTGCTATGACCCGCATCAGTCTCTGCCAGACTGCTTGGACAACTGCCCTCTGTGTACGCTGCTTCTTCAACTCTCCTTGTTGGACGGTTGACTAACTGCTCTTACCCCTGTATGCAGCCCCCGCCCTACGCCTGCCAAGCGTAGCCGTGCCACTTGCCATTGAGTACTACCGCGTCTCGCTCCTAGAGCTAAGGTACATCGCCATTCAATTCCTCTCCCGGGCTCTGCCCCAGGGTACTCCTACTCACAGCTGTCCTTGTTGGGCATGCTGACTTACTTGGCTACCTCGCTACGCAGACAATCCTCTTCACCCAACGTGCCAGCGTTCCGGGTTGATTATCTCTGTTCGTACGCGACGCGCTTTCCAAGCAAAGGTATGCCAAGTCTTCCCAGTCATTTGCAGTAACCCTAGATACTGATAGGAACCGCGCTTTCCAAGCGAAGCCGTTCCATTTTCTGAGCTCCTCCGCCACCCACCCAAGATAAAAAAAAAAAAAAAAAAAAAAGGACTTCCTTGTTGGTTGTTGGTTTCCCTTCCTATATTCTTTTCTTCTATTTCTGTTCTTTGATACATCTGTGGTTCTGTCCTGGTAGCACATCACCCCATGCCGTTTGTTACGGGATGCCGGGCTCAGCCCAAACCTGCAACTTGACTGGCTTCACCGGCTAACTTGGCTCCGCTCGCGCGCTCTACGAAGGAGTCGAAAGCATTACCAGCGCGCGATGCCATGGGAGCCTCTTGACCTTAGTCCTTTCAGCGGACTTGGTTCGCGTTTGATCCTGTCTGTTTGCCTTCGGAATCAGTGGGGCTCGAGAGCGATCTCTTCTTTTCAGGCCGTTTAATTGCTGTTCGGGTTTCACAAAGGACAAAGAGAGCCGAGGAGAGTCCGAGGGTCAAGAGTGAGCGAGAGCGAAAGTCGAAAGCATAGTGAGGAGACGAAAAGAAAAGGTCGTTCATGGCATTGGGGTCGACTCGGGGGATCGTGGCGCCCCTTGTCCTCTCTCTTGTATCATCCACCAAAGTCGCCCATTGTCAGTCCTTGCTATCCTCATTCAAGCCCATCCGCCAAAAACCTTTCCCTCGTACCATGCTACTCCTGTGGTCGCGTTTGTCCGCGCTCGCTCTCATGGCGACTTTGGCGACGTGTAGCCCCGTTCCGGCCTCGCCCCTAAAGGTCGTCGACACCGCTCCAAGCCTCGAGCCCGCCCCTCGCCCCGAACAAGTCACCAAATTCCTGCAGCGAGACATCTCCGTTCCATCCACCCTCAACGTCACCCCCCCTTCAATCCTGACCAGCGGAATCACCGAGCGCAACCTCCCCAACATCATGGTTTTTTTTGGCGTTCATTACCAGACACAAAACAATGTCTCTCTCGTGTGGACCCCTACTCCGCGTCCACGCTATGCCGATATTTGGATACTATACCGTAAATCGACTGAACCAACAACCGGTGAGCTTCTTCAGATGCCTCCGGCAAAAGGTCGAAAGGCCGCTGCAGCCCATGACCCAAGGGCGAATTTGATATCTAACTAACCTGATGCAAACCTGAACTCGATGCTAAGATAATGTTAAAAAGCTTGTCGTCAAGGGAGTCTTGCTCGACAATGGAGCCTACGACCTCGGTCTTCCGAGCTGGAAGACCCTAAAAGGAGGAGATGCAGACAAGATCCGGGCGTATGTACCTTCAACTGGGTTTTCTCTCGATGTTTGATCATCTGACAGCTTGTCTCTTCCCGCAGAGCTCTTCTTTTCGGCTTCACAACGAATGACTACCTTGATGGAGGAGTGTTCGGGCAACCAAGCCAATCCTTTACCATCAAGAATCCGCACTAAAGGAGCGCGCCATGCCCGTGTGGAGCCGATCGAGTGGGACCCTCTCGTTCGAGGGCCAGATCACCTGAAGTGCTCCTCTTTTCTACCCTTTCCCTATGTCAATGAGCACATACTTTTATTTCGTGATTGTACATCGTAGAAAACTGTTTGGATCACCCCTACACATCTTCTTTTGGTTGCTGTTCTGTGGTACTCGGGATCCCGTCGGAGACCTTTCGGACATAGCGGGCCGGGTTCAGGTTGTGGTACTCGGGTTCAGGAGTCATTTCGGACATAGCGGGCCCCGTCAGGAGTCATTTCGGTTGTAGCGGGATCGGAGTCACTTCGGGTCATTTTAGCGGGGTCTGCGGTACTCGCGATCCCGTCGGAAGCAGCGGTTGTAGCGGAGTCGTTTCGATCGAAGCAGGGTCGAGTTCCGAAGTCGTTTCGACGGCCGAATCGGGAGTCGTTTCAATTTCCACTAGTTCGGGCAGGATCAAAACGCCGGTTTCGGCAGAATTTTCGGCGATTAAGCGGTCCCGGATAAACTCAGTACTTCGGTGACTCGAGACTTGACTGTCAGCGACGAATCATGTGGCGGGATTTGAATGGAAGACCGGGCCGGATGCGCGGATGAAGGGGTGAAGGGGAATGAAAGGAGCGCAGCGGTTTGAATGGTCGGAACGTTTGAGGGGAGTTTGCTTCTTGGTTTTAGCCAGACCACTTCTAGGATCCAATACAGCATCTTAGCTGGTTCTCACTTTCTGCGTGTTTCAAGCCTCGTTCGGCCTCGTCTCCAGTCTCCAGTCTCCAGTCTCAGCGTTTCGTTCTCGTACTCGGTCTCGTTTCTCGGTTTGGGCCCCTTTTCTCTTCCCTGTCTCTCGGCCGTTCCGGTCGCTCTCGCTCTCTCTCGTCTCTCGTCTCCCTCGTCTTCGGTCTCGGTCCCGTCTTTTCCCCGTATCATTTCATATCATCTTTGATCGAACGCTTTGCTATACCATAGTTCTCTTCAGAGTACGTACTTTATCCAATGACAACTACGACGCGAGTGGACTCCCTTCACTTCCTCTGTCGTTTCTTCCCTCTTTCCAAAGCCTGTTTGTCCGTTCCGAAAGACACCCGAGATCAACAAGGGAGGATGAGCAGAAAGCAAGACACGGCGGCCACTCACCTGGTCATTCGTTGCAAGTTCCCCCTTCGCAACGGTCGATTCGCACGCATTCGCGTTGGCGGCCCCCGCCGCGGCCTGCTTCTTTGTATTCCTATCCTCTGGCGCGCCGAAGCAGCTGTACATGACCCGCTTGACCCTTCCCAACGCAGTCGATCGGTTTGTAAGGTCGAAAGGCTCGAATCCGCCCCTAGCCCGCGAAACTCTGCGTAGGTCTAGGCGTCCACTGCAGGGGTTATTTCGCGGGGTTATCTCGGTTCCTCGCGCGGCAACCACCACCCTATCCCCGTTCGGTGCGCAACGGGTCGGTGCGCCGTCAAGAGATGTTTGGAATTCCTGATGAGGGGTGCGGGGGGTCGGCGCTTTCCCTAATGAATCCAGTACAGAGGAACCTGTGGTTCGGTCACGTTCGCGTTCGCATTAGCGTCGGAAAGCGCGCTTAATAGCGATGAGGCGCGAAAGGCACGACGGATGACGTGCGGAGCGAGGGTGACGTTTCAGATTTTCTGAAGCCGATGAGCTAGCACTACCAAAGCGGACAATCGAATTTATGGATTTTCTCTTCAGGTGATTGTCCAAATCCAACAGACAAGAAGACCTCTACTGGTAAAAAGCCTCTCTCAAACCCGCCTAGGAAACACCGACTCCCGAGGCAAGACCTGACTATACACGCAACATTGGCGGCCTGAGGTAGCGGCCATTGCTCTTACACGTCCCACAAGTCGTTCCAGTCGTCTTCGGCGGCGAAGCAGTCTCGGCCTTGGTGGTGTCGATGACGCGCCTTGTGGTGTTCGTGGGAGCTTGTCCAAGTCGCAAGAGAGGAAGAGGGCCGGGGTCGTACTAGCAGAGGGAAGGAGGGAGAGGGTGGGTGGCCGGGGCAACCATCAGTGAGATCGATCATTGGTGATCGTCATCTTGACGTGATCGTACCCCCGAGTATTGTTGAGCCACCAACGAATCTCATCGTCGCACTCACCTTCCGAACTTGAACATGCGCTCGGGAGCCCGCACGCATTGTTGTGACAGCGGATCACCGCCGTAACAGCTCCTGGACCATCGCGTATGTTGATTCCGACAGTCCGCGAACTTGTTCTGATAAGCTGTGCAAGTGTTGCTGTAAAATGGGATATGGTAAGGATAGGATAGGGCGGGTCGGAGGGGTTGGTCAGGGTTTTCACACGGCTAGGAACGACCTACTTGAGACACACCCGAGGTTTTGCTTGTCCACTGCACGTCTTGGTTGCCCCGCTCCGCCCGGCGATAAGCACACGCCATTGGGATACCGATTGGAGTGGGATGACTGTGAGTAAGATAAGCGTGATCTGGGTAGCATGAGGACGCTTGAGTGGCGATGTGAAATGGGGCATGACGGAGGTGGGGCCCGGAAAGGAGACACTTCACTGCCCGTAGGACTGACTTGGGCTTGCAATTTCCTTGAGCGCATGCGCTCTGGTAGGCGAAAGCGAACGAGCTTGAGACGATGCATCGGTTGAATGTGGTGCAGTGCGTGTACGGCACGATAAGAGGAAGGACGATGAAGGGAAAGAATGAGAGGGGAAGAAGGCAGTGCGAAATGAAGATTCGAGAAGTGGAAAGTGGAGATACGGTCTTTGTTCGGCGCGCTTCCTTAAGAGAAGCCTTTACTTTCACGAGCTGAAGCCGAGGAACGAAGTACGTAAGTACGAGAGCCGATGATGATAGTAAAGATAGTTTAAAGGTATTGCACATGGCCGTGGGGGAGGCTCGACAGGTGTTGGAGCTTCGACGGGTGGAGGCTGGGGGGCGTAACCCGGGATGGACGGCTGCGTCACTCGGGTGGGCGCGATCGCGAAGGGGAACTCGGTTTCTACGAACGTCACATTGCGGCCCAGACTCACACGCATGGAGGAAGGGTCAAGAAGACGGTAGGCTTTCGCGTGTCGATCGTACCCGACGAAGACCAGAGGAATCCCTTTTGGGTCGAGCTTGTCCCGTCGGTGAGCCGGCACGGTGGTCCAAGCGCGACAACCGAATGCCCGAAGACCCCCTACGCCTGGTGTGTGGCCCGACCAACGACCGTTTGGGATGGCTCCACCAAGGGCCGCGTGAGGCGAGAGGTTCTTGGCGTGAATGTAACACATGGCAGCCTCGTCCCAGCACGATCGTGGGAGTCCCGAGTGAGACAGTAGTGCCAGGGTGCCCTCGACGATCGACCGGTTGGCTCGCTCCGCCCGACCGTTTTGCTCGGGTGTGTACGGTATGGTCAATTCGCGACGAATTCCGCGGGCCACGCAATAGCCGTTGAAAGCGGTAGAGACATACTCGCCCTCGTTGTCCGAGCGAAGTGTTTTGACCCTGCGACCCGTGGCGTTTTCGATCTCCAGAAGCCAATCCTTGAATGTCTGAAGGACCTCGCTCTTGTGCCCGATGGGGTAAACCCAAGTCTTCCTCGAGAAGTCGTCGATGAACGTGACGAGGTATCGCTTATGGCCTAAGGATTCCTCGGGGAAAGATAAGACGTCCGAGTGCACCAATGCGAGTGGTTCCGCTGCATGCGACGACGAAGAGGGGAAAGGCAAACGATGGGCTTTGGAGGCAAGGCAGGCGTTGCATGAGAAGTCTACACACTCGAAGTCACTATAGGGCCAATCCAAACCCTCCACCTGGCCGGAGGCCGCCAGTTTTTTAAGTGTCTGGACAGAGGCGTGGCCGTAGCGGCGGTGAAGGGTAAGTAAAGGTAGCCTAGTGGACTTGGTGGAGACGAGCGAGGGTAGCGCACCTTTGCTGCCAGCGCGGACTGAAGCGTTGAGTTTGTAAACGCGGGACGCGATGGCTGATGCCGTGGCGATGCACCCTTGCGGCGTGCAGAGCTCGACGTGTCCGTGTTCGAAGGTGATGCGAACGCCTTTGCTATCGAAGGCCCGGACCGAGATGAGGTTGGCAGGGCTCTCGGGAGCGTAGATCACGTCGTTGAGGGTGAACTCAGTACCAGTATCGGAGACGAGCTTGACCGAGCCGATTCCCGAAGCCCTCACCGTTCCCCCTAGACCTTGCAGGACTTGCTGGGTAGGTGAAAGGGGATCGTCAAAGAAAGACGCGTTGTTGACGACATGGCACGCCGACGCCGAGTCCAGCAGAAGGACGTCAGGTTGTCCGATGTTGACGAACGTGGCAGAAGAAAAGTAAGACAAGTCTTGATCCTTGGACGCTTCCGCGGCGGCCACTAACGTGGTCGTAGTCGATGATGATGCGCCTTTGAGTGCCTTCATGGCGTTCCTGAGCTCGATGTATTTGGCCCGCTTGCGCGAGTCCGGACACTTGTCGAGCCAGTGTTTGCCTTGACCGCAAGCCGGGCAGTTGCTCGGGGCAGGACCAGATCGATCCCATTTCCCCTTTTTGCCGGGAGCAGCGCTTGTGGTCGGCGCGACAGCTTTCGCTACGAGGGCCGGGTTCGACTCGTTGCGCAACGTCCGAGCGACAGTCTCCATCGACGCGAAGATTTGTTCGACGCGCGGCAGCTTGTTGTCGTGAACGTTCATCGCGTAGAACGTCGTGTGCCAGCCATCGAAGACGTGCGGCAAGTCGTCAAGGGCCCGGGCCGCGATGGCCTGTTCAAGGTCTAGCTGGGCCATTCGAAGGTGGTTGACGAGAACCATGGCTCGATTCGTCCATGCGTTGAAACCAGCCCAAGTGGGCGGGCATGGTGGCATGCTAAAATAGTCCTTGATCAGCGCCGAGTACGCTTGGGCATCGCTGGGAGCATAGCGTGCGGCGAGGGCGAGCCAGCATTCGTGCGCCGAGCCGCCCGTCTGAACGATTGGGCCGATGGTGGCCTTCGTGGTGACGGTGAGCGATCCCGCTAGCGCGCGGGCCGCGTAATCCTCCCAGCGCGAGCGTAAGGCGAGAGGCCACGAGGGGTCGTGCGTGCCCTTGCGCAGGTATGCGCAGACTTCGCGGGCGAAGGTGACCGACATGGTCAGGTCCCAGTCAACGTAGTTGTCCTCCGTGAGTTTCGAGTCGTCGGGGAAGACCGGAGGGTTGGCTGGGGGTAGGAGCTGACGCATGGAGAATGCGTCGTCGTCCCGTGCGGGGCGCTGGTTCCTGATCAGCTCGTCGAATTGCTCTTTAGTGAGCGTGACGGAGGTAACGGAGGCGACGTCGTTGGTATGGTACGACGTTGATGACGGTGGTGGAGGCGTTGGTGCCATGTCACCGTGGATGTCGAGGTCGCCCGCCGCTGATAGGCTAGGTGGGCTCATAACCTTTCACGAGCTGAAGCCGAGGAACGAAGTACGTAAGTACGAGAGCCGATGATGATAGTAAAGATAGTTGGAGAAAGAAGATAAGCGCTAAGGGAGCGCGCGCGAGGCTGGCTCGAGACGCGCGAGGCTGGCTCGAGACGCGCGAGGCGTCTAATATCAACAACTAGTAACTAATCATAATCGGGAATACCAGTGGGATGAAACAGCAATATATTGACATTTACTAAAGCGGGTTGGGCATTGGTTCGGCCGAGAGACCGATGCCCTTGACTTTGTGGTACGTGTTCTGGCAGAGGGGATCATCTGGGTCGTCATAAAGCCGGATCGTGGTATCTTGAGCACGTGTGCCGTTACAGGAGCGCTCTCGAGCACATCCTTCCGGAATGTCCGGCAAGTCGTCCACATCTTATTCCCCGCTTGGACCGCAACGTCTTCCGTGCAGACATCTATCGGGCATTTCCGTTCGGAAACGTGATGGTCCCGTTTCATCCGTTTTCGCATGCCGATCGAAGATGATGACCAGAGGAAGCAAACGAAAATGCAATGCGAACAAGGTGAAGAAACTACAGCAATACAGAAAACGCCCGAAGAAGCTCGCAGGTGAGGTCGCCTCTCGCAAACTCGCGAACCCTCTCCAAACAGGACACCCGAAATCCTATCCAACGAAAATAATCAAAACCTAACCTTCCTTTTCCTAGCCGTATACTTTGAATCCCTCGGTACGTCCGCCTTGCCTCGTTTGCGGTACAGCTCCTTCTTCCGCAAGATCCAATCCAAATCCTTCACCACACCTCCCTTCTTCCCCTTCCCACGGGACTTGATCTTGAGGCGTTGACGTTGTTGTTCGAAACCCACGCGGGAGGGGTTTTCGTCTGTTAGGGGTTCGGGCATCGCCGGTTTCGGTCCGGAGAGGGGTTGGCCTGCGAAGAGGATGAGGTAGAATTTCTTCCTGTGAGGAGGCGCAAGGGTGGACGGGGTCAGTCTCAGGCATCCGTATTGACATAAGTTGTGAGTCTTGAGGGGCTGTACCGACTTTTTGGACGAGTTGGGCTGTATTTGATAAAGAGATGGGGATGTGATCGAGGATCAGCGACGTAGTCTTTTCGTTTATTGTCCTACAAAGCACTTTGCTCGCACTCACGTAATCCACACAAAGTCCTCCTCCGAACCCAGCCTTTGTCGCATACCCCATAATAAAGCTCGCCTGCTCGTCCGACTCGGGGTAGAATTGAAATACGGCTCGAGCACCTTTCTTGAGACACCCGAAAAGGTCGGTGAAGAAGCGGAGGAGACGTTGGGAAGGGGAATGGGATGTTGCGTCGGCGTTGCAGAGCCATTGCAGGACGGAGACGCTGGGGAAGGGAAGGAGGAAGTTAGGTTGGGTTCGTAGGGGAGGTGTTGGGGTGGATGAGGCAGGACATACGAGATCGCGCCGTCGAAGGAAGCGGGTCGGAAGGGAATTCCTTGACCGATGTCGGCGAGGAAGAGGTCCCCTTCGACTTCTCGGTCTAAAGCGACCTCTGGGAGAGGTGAAAGGATGAAATGGATGAGTCGAATGTCTATCGAGTCCGATCGCCCGAGGTTGTGTATGACCTCGCCTCCTCGCCGACTTTTCCCACAAGTCCAGTCCACTTCCTCCAAGATCAGACCCCGAGTTCGCACTTACCCAACATCCCCCCACTGACATCCATCCCAACCCAATGATGTCCCTCCTCCGTCAAGATTTCGCCCGACAACCCCGATCCAGCTCCAATATCGAGCAAGTAAGCCTGCGTAGGAACGCTGGAAGGTTCGCCTTCCTCGTCAAAGTGTTCTTCGGTTGGACTATGAACGTAAGAAGAACGGGTAAGTTCTATCTTTCTTCGATGTTTGTGGAATGCGCGGTCTTACAGATCCAACAGTTCCAAACAACGATAGGTCATCTCGGCCTGGATCGATTGCACGCGCGAGTTGGACGTGTACTTTTGCGCCTCCAAAGGGTTGTAGAACACCTCTGGGGGGGCGATGTGTTCGGGTCGCGACATGGCGGATGGGTCTTGATGCGGTTCAAGTTGATGCAGGGAGGGAAGAGAAGCTAGGTCTACAAGGCGGTCACCTTACGGGCTCTTGCCTCTGTCTATCTCGCGAGATCTCGCGCGCGCGCCGCGTGACGATGACTGACGATGATCGATGACCTTGGCCTAGCTTGTTCGCTTGCGAAGTGCTGAGCGGTTGGCCTTTCGCACGCCGATCACCGCATACGGCGAGAGAGAGAGCCTACATACACCCACCACGACCCATCAAAATGGCGTCTGCCCACACCCCCGCCTCCCTTCATCTCAAACACCATCCTACCAGCCCCGCCAAGCCCGAGCGGCAGCCCCATGGCACAACATCCTCGGCTCCGGCCTCGTCGGACGAGTTCATCCGGTTCGCAGCGACGATGCGCCTACCCCTAGCTCCCGTTTGGAGTGCCGATGGAGCGGCTGGCGGGGAGACGGGGTCGGGCGGTACTGAAGGTGTAAGACAGGTACTAGCGGGGTGGGTGATGAGGTACGCCAGCATTCGGAAGTGTTCTCTGCGGGGTTACCGTAGACATTAGGGGCTGATTCCGTCTGTATGGGCTCGCTCGGCTCCCTTTGGTGGGTGGACTTTAGATACCTCCCACCATTACAATGCGTACTCCTCACTTTTTCCCCAACACCGACCTTCGTACACCCAACATCAACCTTCCCATCCCATGCTTCCCCCTTTCCACCCGTCTCTTCTTCAACTCGATCAGGCTTGACGCTCACATCACGTGAGGAATCGAACGAGGAGGACGATCTCAAACCGACAAACAATCTGGAGGATCAAGATGAACAAGAAGAGGAGGAGAAAGTCAAGTTCAAGGTGTTGCCCATGATCTCGGGGACCGGGTTCGGTTTACCGATCGTTCATTTCACCGGGGTTGGATGGAGGCCTAGGGTGGGGCAAAAGATTGGTATGTAGCTCGCATCGAACTCTTTTAGAGCAAAGAACCCTCTCACTCACCTACCTTGTGTTCACTCCGCTCCCCACCAGTCGGTTCCCCCACCCTATCGACCCCCTCGCATGTTTCTCTCCTCCTTCACAACCTCTTCAACGCGACTTTGCCAGCATCCCACATCCCTTCGGACGAATGGCGTTTCGACCCCGATTACGTCGTCCCGGCTTTCATCAGGGATCGACAAAAAATGGCGTTCCCTACTACGTCGGTTACCAAGGCGGCGAATGAGGACGCTGAAGAAGCTGAGCGAACCGAGGGAGGAATCGAGGCTGATGCTGAGGGCGGGGAGGAAAAGGAAGAAGAGCTTGCGCAGGAGGAAGAAGCTCGGTTGGCGATGGAAGAGGATGAGATGTACGCTGATCGGGGGTGGTGGGTTAATGTACGGACGGGGGAACCGATGGGTGGGGAGAAAGGGAGCGTTGAGTTTACGATTGTTAGGTGAGGGGTTCGCGCGACCGCGGGTTCGACTGGGTTAAAAGGGGTGGGCGCTGATTCTCGTTTCTTTCGTTTGTTGGATGCGTGACCAGTTTAACGATCGCCAACTCGATGATCACCATCACCGGATCGCTTCTATCTTCCCCTTTCTCCTCCAAAGTACCCCCTCAGAACCCCATCATCGCGACCTATCGATCCGGCCTCTCCAACGCGGCGGACGTGATGCGTCGTCATACGACGGAGGAACATAACAGGAAGAGGAAGGAGATGGCCAAAGAATTGGGCGAGGATGATGACGAGTCCCAGAGTGAGAGTGATAGTGAGGCGGAGGACGGAAGGAGGGGTGAGAGGGCCGTTAGTATGAGTCCGGTGGATCAGGTGCCGAGGGTCAAGGAAGAGGGAGTGGCGGGAAGAGTGCAGGAGGAGCGGAAGGAAAAGACGGAGAAGAAGGACAAGAAAGGGAAGAAAGAGAAGAAAGAGAAGAAGGACAAGGAGGAAGCGTCCAAGAAGGAGAAGAAGAAGAGAAAGAAGGAAGAGTAGAGCCACGGCGCTGCTTGGAATGTGGAATGGCATTCCAAGTTGCGCGTTATCATTGCTTTCTTCGTCAAGACACAATCACATATGGGTAGAGCTGCAAGATCGTAATGTAATGTACTGATAGAGAGAGGATGGAGACATATAGCAAAGGGATCGTGAGAAGGGAACCGTGGAAGAATAAAAACACTTTGAGGCATCTAATGCAAACCCATCCCTCTCCTTTCCCGATCCGCGAAACCCCCTTGGCCTTGACAGGAACCCACCAAACCAACGCCGGTCCCGGTGTCTTTCGAAGTCGCCCAAGTCGTTAACGAGCCTAGGAAGGAACTTGGACCGTCTTTGGCGCTCGCTGGAACAGGAACGGCGATGAATGAGCTTGTCGTTCTTGGCGTAGAGGCGGAAGGGGATGACGGCGAGCGGTGGATCTTAATGGGGATACTAGTGGGAGGGGGAATGATCGCCGGGAGACTTGGAACGGGAGGTATATCCTCTTCTCCTGAAGGATGAGGTGCAGAAACGCTTCTTAGTTGACTTGAGGAACGTTGGGAACGCAAGTTAGCCATTGAGGGTCGTCGACCGACGGGCGTGGTGGCGAGGAGCGAGTCTGTCAGTTGTTGTTTCCATGAAGGGCGCGAACAACTTGCTCCATCCGTGTCAGGAATACTGTTGGCGATGACGGGGATGGGTAGGGGCGTTGCAACAACTTGGCCCGAGGTCGAGTCACTCGAAAGAGCTAAAGTCGCGGGTGAGAGGATCCGATGATGAGGATTTGCATGCGCGACAAAAGTACTGCGGATCGACGAGTCCGAAAGTCCTCGAGGGCGGAGTTGGCGTTCTAACAGCGTCGGCATTGGAGCGGCACCTTCTTCGTTCGGGCCGGGGGCATGAGGTATCGAGTCGAGTACAGCGTTGGTAGTACTTGACATGGAGGGACGGTAAGATGCGAGGAGACGGTTGAAAGGATTGTATGAACCTGCGACCGAAGTCGATGTCGAGTTCGCTGGGTTGCCTCGAGAAAGGAGTTTCCATGGTTCCGAAGGTTTGGAAGAAGGTGGAGGCACGTTCGAAGCTCCCGCGAAGATGCTGTTGAGATCACGCTTGACCTGGGAGCCGGTGCGTCGGCCACTCGTCCCTTGAACATGGGCGCTGATCGCACTCGAGGGGGAAGCGTTGGCCTCCACGCCGGTCCCTTCTTCGCCAGGCCGATCAGTTTGAGCAGCGCGTCGCACGGCTCCCCCTTTGCCAAATTCGACTTCGACGGTCGCAGATGAAACGGCGCTAACGCCTGATCGTTTTGGTGCGGTTCGGGTTGTAGGGATTGGGGCAGCAGGACTAGCCTTCCTTCCCGGAGCTGCCAGAGTAGGTGGTGCACCGGTACTCGCTGAGGCTTCACTACCCGGCATCAGAGCTGAGGGGATGAACCGCGACAGAGGCGAGAGGAAGCTGCTGCTCGTAGGCGTCGCCAACTTGCCTTGCACGAGATCGATCACGCTCGGGTCGTCGAGTTTCCGCAGGTTCGTAGCGAGATGAGGTTCCACCTCGACCCTGTTGACCAGCGTCCGCAGTCGAGAGAGCTCAAACAAGAGGTCACGGAACAGCTTGACGAGTGCGACAAAGTCTCGGCGCAGGACCATCGATTCGGTCGAGGCAACGTCGCCCGGTGCTTTTGAAGCCATTGCATCCCTTCCGGCTCCGGATCGTTCCCGCTCTAACACCCTTCTGAAATGGGCTCGTAGCTCTTCAATGTCGTGGACCTGGTGCATTCCATTCCTCGGAGCAAGTCAGCAAAAGATTCTGCAGCGCGCTCTACGCAGCTCAACAGCTGACCGACTCACCAGAGTTTTCATGTTCGCCAACGCGACGTGTCGCACATCTCCCGAAAGGTGTTGTTTCTTGAGTCGATTCTCCTGCGACGCAATATCGGCGGCCTGTATCCTCGTAAACAATCGTGTCGCATGGTCGATCAAGCCGCTCAAAGCTGCGGTTCGCATCTCCATCGACGACGTGGGCACGAGTTGGTCGGTTTTGGGTGAAGGGTCCGTGTCCGAGAGGTCGGAGACTGTTGTGTTCGATCGTGGAAGGTCGCTCCCGAGCCGAGGTGAGACGCTGCGAGAGGACGATGTGAAGCTGCCCCGTCGCGGGATTGATGTCGTTGGGTGATAGATGATAGGCACGGGCACGGGCGCCGGCGAAGTCTGTGTTCCCGAGTCAACCAGGGCTGAACGACCGTCGGGCGATAACCCCAGCGTGCGCCTTCGTTTCGTCGGCGAGATCGGGCCCGAGGGTGTCGAGACCTCAGCAGGCGTCGAGGATCGATTAGTTCGCATGCGCGGCGAGTTGCGCGCCGTGGTGCTATATTTGAAGGGAGCCGAGTCGTCCTCCAGTACTTGAGGAAACAAAGGTGGACCAAGCGCGAGAGAAAGTGGTCGATGATGCCGCCGAGGTCGAACAAAGCCCGTTGTGTCCTCGAGATCGCTTCCGTTCATCGACAACGATGAGGGCGGTCGGTTCTCTTGCCCATAGTCCATGTTCGGCGAAGTCGGTGTCCCACCCACCGACATACGTCGCGAGTTGATCATATTGCTCATGGAAGTGACGTCGATGCTCATTGCTCGTCGCGCGTGGTGTCGCCTTCCGATCGGAATCCGCGGCGTAGGCAAACCTTCGGCTGACAAGGCCGCGCTCATCTGGTCGGTACCGCTGAATCTCCGATTCGTGTTGCGGGAAGTACTGTTGGCCAAAGGTGTGAAGTAGGAATGTCGAACGGGTTCATCCGAAGCGTGGACGGACCCGTCGCTGCATGTCCGCGACAGATCAATGGTGCGATTCGAGTGGGATGCGGTCGAACGATGCAAAGAGGTCGCCTCGGTTGACGACGAGGAGAACGGTAGCGATGATTCGAAACCCGAGAACGAGTGCGAGGCTGACTGGGACAGGGAAGGCGAGCTCAAGACCTCGGACATCAGGTTCGAGGACAGTTCCGTCGGAATCCTGTGGCCGTCGTACTCGTCCTCCTCATTCGGAGCGTCTTCGGCATGGAAGGGCGATCGGGATGACTGTTGCCCATCGCGTGCTGTGTCCAGCAGACTTTGGAGCTCTTGACTTTCGGACCGGAGCATCTCGTTCTCCGAGACGAGGCCTTCGACGAGCTTGAGCAACTCGACGGCTTCCGGATTGGCCGCGACCTCGGTGCCGTCCGAGCCCAAGATGGTTTCCGTCGAGGAGGCAAACTTGGCTTTGGCTTTAGCCAACGCTTCATAGCTTTTGCGACTGCGTAAGACCGTGTCCTGCCTCATTTCTTCGAGGTCTTGGATCGCGCGCTTGAGCCGTTCCTCCATCTCGGCCACTCTATCCCCTGCTTTTTTGACCCTGCTCTCGGCGTGTGTGGCCCGTTTCCGCTCCGAGATGAGTTCCTGCAACGTGTCCTCGTGTGTACGAGATAAGGATTTGAGGGAGGCCGAGGTCGCAATGAGTTTACCTGCGTCGGACGAGAGTCGGGTGATGGTTTTGCGATCCTCTTCCAGCGAGACGAGCAGGGCCCGGTTGTTGGCTTCAGCTTGTTCGAGGTTGTTCACAGTCTCTTCGAGTCTCTGCATGGCGGCCAGGAAAACTCATGATCAGCGATTCGGCACCTTCCGCTCTCTCATGGTGCCCGAAGCGTAAGTGGGGGCGGACAGGAGAGGGTCTCCTCTTTTTCACCCCACGTTTGCCCGCCTCGAATTAGTAGTGGCACCGTGAGCTTACCCTTTGCAGCTGCTGAGCCTCCTTGACGGCCGTGGCCAGTCGATCGAGCATCTTTTGGTTCCCTGTCTCGGCTGTCGCCAACCGCTTCTCCAACCCCGCCTTTTCCTCCAACAAGGCCTGCCCGACTTGAGCGGCCAATCGCAAGTCGGCTTCGAGCGCGGTCATCATCTGCTGAGGCGACGACGAGCCCGAGCCCGAGCTGTTCTTGATGATGTTCCATGAGAATCCCGTGGCGGTTGAAGTGGAGGAGGTGGTGGAGCGGGACCCGGTTGGTGCATCGTCGAAGCGTTCGCTCGAGCGTCGTTGTATGCTACGCAATGCCGATCCGAGCTCGAGCGACGGGCCTCCAACCGGGGTCGTTGTGGCTGCCGGCGACGACGAGCGCGATTGAGGCGACGACGGCGGCACGTGGGCCATACCCGACGCGGCTAGGACCATGCAACGCGTCGAGAGCGGAAGGAGATTGACCAACCACTAGGCGCTAGTACTCGTGATGCGGGGTTGCTTGTTGTGTAGATCGTCGGTCTAGGTGGGGGTTGAAGTAAGCTTGCGAAGAGGGGACTTGGAGGCCGCGTCGCGCTTGACCGGCTGTGTTTGTCGATTGTGTCGCGACGGTGAGCGACCGCGCCAGAGACCACGCCGCCCGTCCGTCACGCGGTTCGCCCGCGTCCGTTCCATTCTTCCCTTAATCCGAGAAAGGCGATTGCGCGGACACCATCGAGTTTCCATTCCAAGCCGAAGGATTAGGGACCACTGGCGAGTCATTCAGAGTCTGCTGATTGCACGCTAGGTAGACTGAAACAAGCTCAGAGTCACATCTCGGGAAAAGCCAACGCATCACGTGATCCATGAGGCTACCACGATCGTCCGTCGTCTGACTCGGCGTCAAACGCGTCAAACGTTGAACGCTAAGGATCAAGTTAGGTAAGGTCTGTTACAGAAACACGAAGCCGCAAGGGCAAAACCAGCAAAATGAAACAAGAATATACGACAGAGCACTATGTATATATGTACAATAAACACATAGAACAGTTAGGGGGAACATAAAGGAGTAGATCTGAAGAGATCGAGCAATCGATCACTCGTAGTTCCTCCTCCTCGTCGAAGCACTACCGTTCCAGCCCGCGGAGGAAGCGCTCGATCGTAGCGTCGGTACCGTCGTCGAATGCGACAGCGATGAAGGCTTGTACAGAGAATCGATACCGACGGTTGTAGGACTCGAGCTGAGATTAGCGCTCCCCATACCTCGTTGGTAAGCCGAGAGCGTCGGCGTCGTCCCGCTCGAAGGGATTACGTTCGCGAGACGAGATTCTTGCATGCTTCTCGGTCGATCGTTGCGTGCGGAGGGGTAGACGAGCTTCTCGCTATGATCCGAGGCGGAGATGATGGTCATTTCGCGTTCCATCTTTGTTTTTTGCCGCTGCAGCTCGGCGTTCTCCCTCAGCGTCGTCGTCAGGAGCGTTTGCTGTTGTGAGATCTCGTTCCGCAGGCGTGTCTGCAATAACGGGCGGGTCGAGCGGTCAGCGTCATAGAAGGAAACGAAGCAACATGAACTCTCAAAAAAAACTCACGACGTTCAACTCAGCTAATTCGCGCAACTTCTTCTCACTCTCGTACTCGTCCTTGAGGCGATCGGCTGACGTGTCGCGCACCGGTTTGTTGGCCCACGCCTGTCGTCGTTCCGTCTCTCGCTCATGTTGCATATCCTCCACAGTCTGCGTCAACGTGGCCCTCGCGCGTTCCAGCGTACGCACATACGCATCCCGTTTCTCGCGATCGGCTCGCATGCGATCCATATCGAGGTTCTGCAAGCGTTGCGCCTCTTCGAGCACTCGGATGTGTTCGACGACGGTTCGACCGGCCTTGTCCTCGGCGACGACGAGACGAGCATGCGTCGCGGCGAGTTCGCTGCGCAGGTCACCGTTGATCTTGTCCAAGTCGGCGAGGACGACGTGTTGTTGCTCGATCTGGTCCTCGAGCTTCCGTCGAAGAGAGGTCTGCGTCTCTTGATCCTTGCGCATCGCCTCGAGCGCTTGCTGAAGCTGAGCAACCTCCCGGCGCGCCGATCCCGTTTCGCGTTGAGCGGTGACGCTCGCTTCCTCGGCTTCGGTGCATCGACTCTGGGCCGAAGCGAGGTCCCGCTCCCACTTCTCCCGCTCCTTGAGCATCGACTCGGCAGCCTTGGTACGCATCAACTCGATCTCGAGGTCATGAGCCTGTTGCGCGCGTTCGAGATCGGCCGTCCGAGCCTCGAGTTCGGCAACGCGACTTGCACTCGCTCGTGCCTCTCTTTCCAAATCCGTCTTGTGCGAACGAAGATCCGACGCCTCTTTGCGTGCTGCATCAGTGTCCTTCCGTAGCCGGGCCAAATCACTAGCGGACTCGCGTTGAAGAGAGCGCAGTTCGTTCGTCGTCTTGGAGACTTGCAAGCGCAGATCTTGTACTTCGGCTTCCTTGATCTGGTTCAGCTCGGCCGTGCGTTGATGATCCGAGGACTTGTCGTCGAGCAATTTTTTGAGCGTCACGACGTCGGTGGCAGCTCTTGACTCGGCGGAACGGGAACTCTCGAGAGCGCGGGTCTGCTCAGCGAGGTCCTTCGTCAAGCTCGAGACGCGCAGCTCGAGATCTCGGACTTGAGTCATCGCCGCTTCGCTCTTCTTGACGATGTAAGCGTGCTCTGCAGAAAGAAGAACAATGCGTCAGCAAAATGATATCTGGATCAACCCCACAAGCTGACCACACTCACCCGACGAGATACGAGCCAGCTCGCTCTCCTTTGCCTTGACTCCTGCCTCGACCTCCCGCTTCTGATTCTGCATCACCACGGCATGCTCTTTCGCCGCTCTCATCTCCCCCTCAAGCGCAACAAATTTTTGCCTCGCCTCCGTCGAAGCCTTGGTCTCCATCGCCAACCTCGATGTCAATCCCACAATCGAAGCGTTCAACCTCTCCTGCTCGCGTTGTCGATCTTGCTTCAGTTCGACGAGTTGGCGTTGCAGATCGCTAGTCTTCGAAGCCGCCTCTCGTCGAACCTTCTTGATCGCCTCCCATTCAGCGGTCTTGACGGACGTTTGACTCGCCCATTCATGTTCCTTGGCCTTCCAAGCGGCCTGTTCGGACTGCAATGTCTCGAGCAACTTGTTCTGATTCCCATACGCGGCATTGAGTTCCCCCACGCGTTGTTCGGCTTGAGTCTTGGCCACCATCGCTCGTTCGAGCTGTCGATCGATCGTATCGATCTCCACGTCCGCTGCGGCCAAAGCTTCTTGCAGCTTGATTTCCCTCTCCTTCGATCGTTGGAGTTGCAACTCTCGATCCTCGACGGCCAGCCGTTCATTCTTTAACGCCGCTTCCGTCTTCTTGTGCTCCTCCTCGAGACGACGCTGAGCTTCCTCCAACCTTTCCCTCTCTTGCAAAGCCTTGACCGCCTCCTCCTTGGTCTTGCTCAACTCCTCCTCCTTCCTCCTCATCTCATCATCACTCCTAGCAGCCGCCAACAGAGGCCGTACGCGTTGAAACAAAGCCCACCAAGGCCAAGCCCTCAACTCGTTATAGACCCTCGCGTTCCTCTGAATCGTCCTCACCGCATTCGCGCGGTTCAATATCTTGTTCGCTTGGCGTTGAACGATGAAGCGACGACAGGTCGCTTGGATACGAGTGACGACGCCGGAGAGGTATTCGTCACGACGTTCTTCGAGTTCGGCGAGGATCCCGGCTTTGAAAAACACTTTGGTCAAACCGAGACGGTAGGACTCGGGACTGAGCTTTAGGTGGTGCAGGATCGTTTGGGACGCTTGTCCGCCATCGAAGAAACCTTTGGGGATCAAACCTGGGGCCAGGAGCTCGAAGCGACGACGGAATTCGGAAAAGGGGAGACGATTAGGGTAGCCTAATCGGGCGATACGGATACCTTCGAGCACACCGTTGCAACGCAGTTGATCGAGCACGAGGGGGACGTCGATTTGTCTGGGCGCTTTGGCGAGGTTGGGGACGATGCAACGGATGAAATGGGGTTGCGTCTCCTTCAATTGAGCCATCAGGTTCGCCAGTTGTTCCTTGTGCCTTTGACCGACGGTCCTGAACGCTCCCTTTCGAGCTCGACTCCTCGGCGCCAGATCACCCGCACCACCCCCGACAATCTCGGCTTCGGCGTACTCAGCAAACAGTTCGCCAACGTACGCGTCCGACGAGTGGGACAAGAGCGAAGTGATGTTGTCGTTGAGGGGGTCGCGGTTCTTTTCGAGCCAGCCCTCGGTACGGTATTCGACTTTGCCCGCGTAGTGGGAGACAGTGAATCCTTGTTCAATGCGAGAGGGGGTGAAATTGGTGTATTGCGTCGAGATGGGCTTTCGCGTCGCCAGTTCGGTCATTTTGTCCGTGAACTAACGTGCATCGACGGAGTTCATCAGTGTCTACCGCACGAAACATATTCCACAATCCGGCTCGACTCACCGACTTGTCACTAGCCTTGGGCATAATGGACGCATCATCCAAGCAACTCAAAATACCCATCGGGTTGTTGGACTCGATCAAATCGATCGTCGGCTGAAGCTCCAACCCAAAGTTGACGAATTCCCACGCGATCTCCTCACGCGAGTATTCATCTTGCTCGAGTACGAACATGTGGTGGTTGAAAAATTGTTGGAGTTTCTGGAAAGGACACCAAAAAGCACCTAGGGATCAGCCACAGCTTGAAGTTCCTGATTGGCATGCTTTGCACCTGCACACCTCGTTGGTCAAATTGATGCAAAGCTGTTCGAACCCGTTCGTCTCGAAGATCTCAAACCCCGCAATATCCAACACCCCAATGAAAGTCTTCGTCGAAGGTCTGCCCAGCGCAGCGTTGATCCTCTCGACCATCGCCCCAAAGTTCTTCTCATACAAAGCCTTGCTCAAAGCCGCGATTTCATCGAGGACTTGTTTCGCCGACCGAGCTTGGACGACCCATTCCCTCCCTGCTTTGACTTTAGGTCTCACGAGCGCGTTCATGAAAGGCGTTTCGTCGAGTCCGAGGAGGAAGCAGACCTTCTCGAGTTGAGTTCGATCAACGAGATGGGCTTGGTCCGTACCTTCGATTTGAATGTTGCCCAAATGCAAGATCGCCGCGATGATGCGGAAGAGACGAAGTTGTTCGTCGTCGGAGAACCCAACGGTTTCAAGGGCCTTGCGCAAAAGTCTCCATTCTTGCTTATCGTCCATGCCATCGACGTCTTGACGTCCTCCTGCAAGGTAAGCGTAATCCTTCGATTGACCGCTCAAGAGCAACTGTTGACGCAAGCCCGAGTCGGCGCCTCGCAAGAGTTGGAAGAAGATGTGGAAGGAGCGTTCCTTGTCGCTGCGGGAGGTGACGCGTGATTTCTCCAAGAGGTACCAATCGATGTTGGCCCCCGCGATCGCGCCAACCGAGTTGAAAAAGATGCGCACAAACTTGCCCTGGGAGCGAAAGAAATACGAGAAACATGGGTCATTCGTTTCGCCCTTGCGGTCTGTTGGACAATCTCCGACTCACGAATCGTGACGAATTGTTATTCTTGACCGTTTGCGCATTACCGAACGCCTCCAAGATCGGGTTCGCCTCCAAGATTTGCCTTTCCAATTGACCCAGTTTCTTACCCGTGGCTTGGTCGACCGTTCGGGATTCGACTTGGGCTTGTCGGGCCAAGAGATCGAAGGAGGAGGAAGAGGGTAAAGGGTCCGCAGCGATCGCGGCGAGGTATTGGATTACTTTCTTGGTGTTTTCCGTTTTACCGGCACCGGATTCTCCACTGTGGGGAGAGGGAGTGGGGGGATGGTCAGTATTCTGGGGTCCGATAGTCTCTCCGTCGGGACTCGATACTTACGTGACGAGAACACTTTGAGATTGATCCCGATGGGCGATCATGTTCTGCCATGCCTTTTCGGCGACGGCAAAGACATGAGGCGGGTTCTGATCCCTTCGGCGGTTCTTATAGCCTGCAGCGTACAATCCGATGGGTGAGTATCAGTGCTAACTTCATCCTCCCACGGTAAGATGATGACCTACTCTCGACAATCTTGGGTGTATAGATCGTTAACGGCCGATACGGATTGACCGCGACCAAGAACAAGCCCGAATAGGTCTGTCCATCGCGAGGTTTCAAGAGATCTCGTCAGCCGGAGCTCTTTGAATTCGCTCAATTCAAAAAGTGTTTCAGTTTCACGACAACCCGGACGGACGTAGATGGAATCGTTCATGTAGCGCGTGCGGAGGTTGTGTACTACGCTCGCTTCGTTGAGGTAGGTCAAGTCGGCGATATCGTCCGCGCCTTCGAACGTCGGGGGGTTCACGCGCGAAAGATCCAGGGAGGGAACTTGGCGCACCTGAGTACAACAAAGGGTGGGGATCTATCAGTAGCTGTTTCGGATCATCTGAATATGGGTGGAGTAGACATACTGCTTCACCCGAATCGATCGCGACAGCCGAGACCCCGTCCTCATCCTTGATGACCCAACCAGCGACGTATCCGTGCGTCGCGTCCGCAACCCAGACCCTGCACACACGACAAGAGTCGCAGAAGCCAAGCCAGTGTCAGTTAGCTCCACTCCATTGTAAATACTATTTTGATCGTCTTGTCGCATGTGATCGGCGTCTAAGGGCCGACAAGGACGCGTCTACCTCCGCAGTTGGACCGCTTGCCTTCCACCATGAGACTCATTCAACACTCGAGCGACCGACGTCCCCGCCGGCACGCGTTCGAGCGGACCTTCGACCCGTGCTTCCAAGCATCCAGCAGATACATGAACAACACATTCCCTTCAACCTATCCCACCCGTACATCTTGTTCTCCCTGCCAATCCCAACCCCATCCAATGTGATACCCCCGCGCAAGGTCCTCGTCCCTGTCCGTCCGTCCGTTCCAATTATTGCGCACCCACAAAGCACACGTGAACCTCGGACGACCGGGAGGACACCGCTACTGCTGACATACCATTTCCTCGAATTCCACTCCGCGATCGCTGCCGCATCAGCAGCCACGTCCTGACCTTGACCTCTTCTTGAAGTCGTTGGCATCGTTTGGTTCACGACGAGGCGTGGGCGCGCAGACGCGTGAGATGTGTATGTGTCAGGATCTGAAGGAAGGGGTGGCTCGGGCGACGGGGAGCGACTCGGCGTCATTTGGGGGGATGCAGGGGGATGCACTGGGGATGCGCGCACGAGGGAAGCGCGTCATTTTCCTCGAATATTGACAAGTTTTTTCTATTCGCTGGACTGGCTGACGCAGGGTTGGAAAGTAATGAACTCGTGGCAGATACGATTACAGTAGAGAGGGGGAACAGAAATCGGCCTCGAAAACGGGCAGAAAAGAGGGGGGCCAGAACTCACGCCCGACAGAAGCCAAACTCAAAAGACCACACGCAGTCAGAGGAAAAGCGGAACGACGTATAAGGTACACTCTCAAGGACGATTGAATGGTAGGAGAGCGGAAATACGGATGCGATGGATCACACAGGCATGAGACCAGTGCGGCAAGACGAGAGATCCTGAGTAAGGAGGAACGGGGGTTCGAGTAAAGACGACCGCGGAAGAATGATGATGGATCGTCTTGACGTGAATTGAAGCCAAACATTCATCCTTCTTGAACGTTTCGAAGAGTGTAGATTGTCGCATCCTCTACATAGCCAATTGGGCCTGCAATTGCCTCAACTCGGCCTCTTCTTCGTCCTCCTCGATCGCTTGTGCCGGCGTCTTGACTGTAGGCACGATACCCGTCGTAGAGAGCGAGGAGTTAGTATAACGTCCGTTCAATCTTCTTCCGCGACAGATGACCTACTTGGTACAGCCGCGGCGGGTGAATGTAATGGTGCGGCCTCGGCGCCGGCCAATCGGTTGTTGAGTTCCTCTTGTTCCAGTTCGGCCAGCTCGTCCAACACGTCTTGATCGTCGACCTGCATCAGAGTACCAGATAGTTCAGTGATGATTCGATTGTGTCTCGACCCCTTGTCCGATCTATACTCACGTCGATACCCATCCCCGCTGGATTGGAGATGGCTTCCGAGATCTCGTTTGTGAGTTCGAGCTGGTTGCGCACGTCGTCCATCGTCGCGTCGACCTTGTCCACATTACTGTGCAAATGTATCACAATCTTAGCCAGCATGTTCCTTTGAGTACACGAATCGATCCAGTCCGGACGCACAGCTTGCCATGGATCCCCTTGAGTACGTCAGCACCCTTCTTCATCGCCTCGAGCGTCTCCTTGTTCATATTCGCCGATTCGATCGCGTTGACCTGTGGACCCAAAGCCAGGCGTACCATACTCATCAGTGCCCAGAGAGTGCGTTGCGAATAGATGCGCTGTGGTCGGTGCGCACCTGGGTTGTGAGCGTCATCTTTCGCCCGGCGATGCTGTCGAGTTCATTCTCGTACAGCTTCTTTTGCCGCAGGGCTTGCTTGGCGACTGGTGCATGATGCGAAGAGGAACATGTGAGTAAGGGTCGGGGTTGCTGTTGCATTCTCCTCCGCCACCTCGTCCCCGATCGCCCGATCCCGATCCCGCTTTCACGCCGCGTCCGTCGCGCGATCGTCATCTGTGACTCGACCCATACCCATGCCCATACACACCCACTCCACCCACTCCACCCATCCGACCCATCCGACCCGAACCCACCACCACCAAAGCCTGCGCTCCCGAAACTCACCCCGCGGATTGCTCGTCGCATTCGCCTTGGCCTTCCTCAACTCGGCCTCAATCTTGGTGCCCAAGAACTCCTCCTTCTTATCGAGCATCATCAAATGTTCCCTCAGATTGACGATCGCTTCGCGGGTCGAGTCTCGAGAACCGCGCGAAGATCCCGAGCCGGTGAAGTAGGAGAGCCAGGAGGACATGGTTGGTGGGCTGGGTGCGGTGTAGTGGGTGGGAGCGGTCTCGGCGGGTGCGGTGGGTGGGTGAGCAGGGGGTTCGTTCGATGACGAGGAGGCAGGACGGGCACGCGCGAAGGCGGTGTGGAGTGGATCGAGGTGACTTGAGGTTAGGTAGAGGTGTGGTGATCAATGTTAGACGGTGCGTGAACGATACAACCCCGTTCGTGGATGTAGGCTGTGTGCAGGTGTGGACTGGCGTGCTCAGGGATGACGAGACGGACGAAGTGAGACCCAGCCGGTTCGAATAAGCCGTGAGCCCGTCCCAAGTCAGGTGACGAAAGCGGGAGAAAGCAGGCGCAAGGCGGGACAAATTGGTTGCGTCACGCGTCGCGGCCAAAGCTGGCGTCGTTTCCTCAGCTACAAATTCCAAAAAGGTTAGTGAAGAGTTGATACACACTTGAAATCGCTATCACTTTTTTTAAAAATAAGGCAAGAAAGAGGGAACAATTGAGATCGGGGGAAGAGCTTGGCCACCAAAACACAAAAGAAAAAAAAATGACCAGAGTGGGATTTGAACCCACGCCCTTTCGGACTAGCGAGATCACGTAGAACAACCTGAAGCTAGCTTCTTAGACCACTCGAACATCTGGCCGCAATGGGTAGTGAAGTCCTTTACGACGGAACCGTCCGAATTAAGCTATATAACAACGACAACAAGTCACGTGATTTCCTCACTTCACTTCACTTCACAATCGCCCTACTGCAGCCTTCGATACTCGAGTTAACAAGTGATACACCGACAAGATGTCTACCGGAGACCCTGGGTCCCCACTGCCGGCACCGCCACCACCGGTATCCGCCACCAGCGTCCAGCCCCCCCGCGACCGGATCCCGATAAGCTCGAAGAAGACGCAAGTCACGGGCCCCGCCACCGCCGCACCCAACTATGCTGCCGCTGCGAGTCAGATGGCGACTCAAACACCTGAACAACAGCAACAACAACAACAGCGTGCCAAGGCTCTGGGCAGCCTCCTACAAGCCATGGGTGCTGTACCCGGAAACCGCATGGATCGCTGGGTCCAGGCCATCTACTTCGCCGAACTCTACCCCGTCGCCACCGCCACATCGCTGAAATTTTCGGCCTTGAACGCGAACCGGTCCGTCGAGAACATCTTCGATTACGCCCTTGAAGTGACTCTGTCTCACCAGAGCGCCTCGCGAGCGACTCATGCCGACAAGATCGATCTCGTGGCCTGCGTCACGAGGCTGCTATCGCCCATCTCTCCTATCTGCTTTGAGCCTGGAGTTCCTCTGCCGGACCATCTTGCGGCTTATCAACCACAGATCTTAGGCGTACAACATTCATCAATCCTGCGTAATGGGGCGGCTCACCATCGCGTTACGGTTGGGTTCGTCACCGGCGAGGCACGTGACGCGGCGCTCACGACGCCCCCCGCTCTCACTTGGCGATCGGCGAAGGCCCGCTTCGCGAAGTCTCACAGGTTCCACCATAACATGGTCGAGCTTCGAATCAACGTCGGTGTTCAAGGAGTGCCCTCCATGGATGCCATCATCAAATCGTTCCAATCACTTGTGCAAGACCTGTCAGGCAAGGGACATTCATGCCAACTTGTGCAGGTTCTGCGCGTTATCAGCGTGGACAACGCCTCGGCCTTCGCCCACGTTGCCGGAGACTACTCGGCTTTCCTACACTTCGATGACGACTCCCTATTCCAACGCCCCAACACGACCTTGAAGGAGATTCTACCTTCGAGGATCGACCTTCCCACTCGAGGCATCCCGGTTACCGCCCTTCGCCATGACTATGAGAAGGAGGCGGCTTGCGGTAGGTGCCACTTTGTGGGTCACGTGGGAACCTGCGGACTGGATCAGGAGAGGAAGCGGAAGGAGGCTCACAACGGCATCATCAACAGCAACAAAAACACCATCACCCACAACACCAACATCGCGGAGGCCGAGGCCCCCATTCCTGTGCTGGTTGTTAACAGGATCGCATCACAGAATCACTTCGCCGGGCTCGAGGTCGAGGAGGGACAGGAGGAAGAGGTAACTGGCCAGGGCGAACAGGGACCGGAGGAATCGGGGGAGGAAGACGCTGGTGATAAGGCGGATGACGAGGACTCGGAGGACTCGGAGATGGAATCGGAGGCGGCCGCGAAAACGGAGGTCATCAAAATTGAAAGCGAGGACGAGTCGGTCTTGGAGGACTGCAGCGGATCCGATGGAGAGGTGATTGATGAGAATGAGGTGATGGCGGATGAAAGAGGTGAAGCGGAAGGAGAGGTGGCTACGGAGATGGAGGAAGAGGAGGTGGCGACGGAGGTGGGCGATGTGGACGAAGCGAGGGGATCGACGAAAGCGGAGAATGCGGAAGCGACGGACTTAGGGGAAACGAACAGGCTGGACAATGACGACGACAGCGACGCCACAGCAACCGCGCCACCGCTTCCCGCGAATCGACGCCGCACGAACCAACCCCACCTCTGTCACCCGAAACTCTCGCCAAGTCGCTACGCGAGGGGGAGGAGTGGGACAGGATCAGAGCTAACTGGGTTGAGCAGGCACGACTTGAGCGGGACCAAAGCATCGAGAGGAGGCTCAACGCTGAAACCCCTTTGGTGCGTCACAACTTTGCCACGTGGGACGAGGACGGTGAGATACGCTCCATCAACATCAGGGGGACCGCTGCGAAGTTCAAGAAGCAGGTGATGAAGAGGTCGCAGACTGCGGCGGACCTCAGTGACCCAAGTGACGAACCGACCGACGCCAAGCGAGTCATCATCAAAGGGAAGAGCCGCGTCGTGGTGAAGGATGGAATAGAGGGGCGGAGGGTGACGAGGTCGATGTCGGCGGCAGCGGCGATGCAGGTCGAGGTGACGAAGGTGGACAGAGGGAAAGGAAGAGGGGTAGCTGAGGAAAAACGATGGTCCGACCACGAGCCCGAGGACGATGTCCTGCCCGCCCTTCCCCTCTTTGAGGACGTCACCACCGCCAAGAGCGCCTCGACCTCGACTACCCATTAATGATCAAGCACACCATCATCACCTGGAACGTAAGAAGGGGCATGGGGGTCCCGGAAAAACGACGTAATATCTACACCTACCTTTCCACATTCAAAGCTTCCGCGATTCTCTTACAAGAGCATTTCATCAGACCACAATTCTGGCAGCTCATCAAGGACGAGTACGAGGGCAAGCTCTTCATCAACCAGCACTGCCTGACCCTGATCCCGGCCGACTCGCCCCTGATCGACGCCGAGCTCTTGCGCACCCACTCGGCACTCGACGGCCGGCTCCTCGTCACCTCCTTTCGTCTGCGGGGCGACATCAAAATTCTAGAAATCAATAACCTCTACGCGCCCGTTGACCCAAAACAACGAGCAAAATTCTTCGACAAACTGATCCTCCACAAAACACAGAAATCCCACCTCCGACTCCTTGGCGGCGATCTCAACGACTGCCCGCGCCCAGAAGTCGATCGGCGGAACCAAAGTCGGCGCGGCCACCACTGGCCGATTCTGATGGGCAAGCTCGACTCGGCCTACACGGACTGCATCCGCTACAAGCACCCCATCACCCCATCTTTCACTCGACCTAATCCCAATCGCAAGCGACCCAACTCCTTCTCCCGGCTTGACTACTTTCTCCTACAAAGAGCTCACCAAAAAAGGCTCGACCAGGCCTCGACGATCTACGACTATCCCAAGGATCTTTCCGATCACCGACCGGTCTTGATCGTACTGGCTCTCTCAGACGATCTTGATGCGGCTCTCCCACAGCTCAGCCTACCTACCACATCCAACCAACTACATCGAATCAATACCACAACCTTCAAGACGGTGGAATTTCAGCGGATGATGGAAGGATGGTTGGAAGGGGCAAGCGGGGAGGATCCGGTGCGAGAGCTTGAGGAGGTTCTGGAGGCGTGCAGGGACAGGGGTGGGGAGATGGCGAGGAGGCTGCATCGGGAGCGGACGGAACGGATGGAGTATTTGGTGGGGAGGGTGCAGGATCTGGAGGCGTTACCGGTATGGGGGGAGGCGGAAACGGCAGAATGGACAAGGACGTCCGAGGAACTCAAGCGGGCGGTCGAGGAGCGCGCGCGCCTACTCCGGATCCGAGCCCACGTCCCCGAGATCGCTTCCGAGGAACGACTGTCGCGGCCGGTCCACGCCAAGCTCGCGGCGCGGAACTCGGACTCCAAGATCACAGCACTGCGCTTGGGCAACGGAGAGCTAACGCATGACATTGATGTCGCTCTTGACCACACGCAGGCGCATTTCCAGCGCCTCTACCACATCGAGCCTCGTGATCCGGAACGCGTCGACCGACTTCGGGACGAACTCCTCGTGCCGATCAGGGCGGCACGGACTTGCGACGACCCGCGCTCAGATCCGCTCTTTCTGCGCCGACTCTCGGAAGCGCAGATTGATCTCCTCCAGCAACCCATCACCGAGGACGAGGTCGTGGCCGCGATCGGGACGACGCACCCGGGGCGATCGCCGGGCCCGTCGGGCGTGCCTTACGAACTCTATCAGACCGCACCGGAGGCGTGGTCCAAGGTGCTGACCAAGGCCTACAACGCGATGATCGAGCGCGGTTCACTCTCTCCCAAGCAGGGCCAGGGACTCGTGCGCCTCATCTTCAAGCGCCACAAGAAGAATGCCGATCGCGCCGAACTCTCGTCGTATCGCCCCATCACCCTGCGCGAGTGCGATTACAAGATTTTTACCAAGGTCTACGTCGCCCGATTGAACCAAATTCTGCCCGATCTCCTCCCGCCGCAGCAGCACGGCTTCGTCAAGGACCGCCGATCGGCCGACGCTGCACTACACCTTCGTCTCCTGATCGAGGAACTTGGCGCGCGCAGGACCGAGTTCCCCGCGGCCGCGCTCTTGTCTCTTGACCAATCATCCGCCTACGACCTCGTCGAGCATGACTGGATCTTTGCCATCTTCGACGCTCTGGGCGCTCCTACCACCTTTCTTCGCGTGCTGAGGATGCTCTACTCGGGTGACTCGACCTCCGCGCGCTACATCATCAATGGGTTCCTGACGGCGCCGGTGCGACTGACGTGTGGGCTCGGCCAGGGGGACCCGGCGTCATCGTCGGTCTGGGACATCGTGTTTCAGCCGTTCCTGGATGCTCTACACCGTCGAAACATCGCTCTGAATCTCTCCATACCTGCACTTCATCCGTACCCACAGAGCCGCGCCATTACATCACTTGCATTTGCCGATGACGTTGTCGTCGCCGTCGCGGGCTTGGAGTCACTCAACTTGCTCGATGACCTGGCGCTCGACTGGAGGCATGCAACGAATGGCCGGCTCAACACGGACAAGACGGTCGTCCTACCGATTGGACGTCGCTGGGACCCTGGGGAACGGCCAATCGTCGTCAAGGCCGCAGGCGAGTCGCTCGAGTGGATCGGCCTCCCCTTCGACCCCAGCGGCGACACCGAACTCGCCTACGCGAATCTCATCGAACGGCTCGAGGCGACGCTGGAAGCGGTTCAGCATCGCTGGCTCACGCACCACACCCGTGCCTTTTACGTCAATCGGTACGCCATTCCCAAGATCTTGCATTTCCTTGCAGCCGACATCCCGCCGCCCGAAGTCGTCAAGAAGCTCGATGACATGCTCGTCGATTTCGTCCGTGGGGGCAAGGGCAGGACCAGCTACGGCAGAGACATTGTGTTCACCGCCAAGAACAAGGGGGGACTCGGGGTGATAAGGATGCGGGACGTTGTGGACGCGGTTGCGGCACGGCTCTGGGACGTTCTTCTCGGCGGTTCCGGCGCGATTTGGCAAGGACTTGCGCGCGCAGCACTCCAGCGAGCTCAGCCCGACCTCGACCTGGCCACCGATCTCTGGCCACATCCATCCACTCCCATCCCCAACGACCTTCATCCCCGATGGCACGCCGCACTGGGTGTTCCGAAACTTCACGACGCGCAGGTCAACCCGAGGGCCTTGACCACCGCGAACCTGCTCGCGCTGCCCACCCTGCTCGGCAGCCTCCACACCCCCATCAGAGGGAGACAGACCATCGACGCGGTTCATGTACCTGACTACCTTCGTCTCCAGGGCTACCCGAAGGTGGCGGATCTCTATCGGCGCGAGTTGTATGCGGGTGGGGGGTTTCACCTCTGGACGCCGCCGGCGGATGTGCTCGGCGACAACAGCGAGTACGATCGACGCGGGCTCCCGCAGCGACTGGCAATCGCGGCCTGGTACCGGTTCACTGTCGATCGACACAAGAACACCCCCTTGGCGGCGGCGGTGGCGGCGGGACGACTCAACGTGCCTCCCCGGATCGGCACCAGCGCACCGCTCGAGGCGATCATCCCCAAGCCCGTGGCCCGCTTCGCAATGGAGCAGCGCCTTCCGGACCCGGTGCTTCCACAACAGGCGAGCCAGTATACGCTGCTGAACACGGCTCGACCCTACACAATCCGTCGCATCCGCCGGGTCCTGAACGCGAAGGCATTTACCAACACGCTCGGGCTCAAGGGACCACCTCAGCCGGACGACCTCAGGAGCTTCTGGAAGGCAGTCAACTCGAAGGCACTGACGGCGAGGGAGAGGGAAGTTTGGTTCAAGCTGATTCTCCGCTTCACCCCGACGCGCAAGCTCCAGCACGAGCAAAAGCACGACACTTCTCCCGCGTGCCTCGTCTGCGAAGCGCCGGTGGACAACACCGATCACTACTTCTTCGGCTGCGTCGACTCGCGGAACGTCTGGACCGCGGCAAGGGGCGTGCTCTGCGACGCGCTCGGATGCGACACGATCGAGGACGCCGAGTACACGACGCTTCAACGACTCTTTGGCCTCCCCAAGCTCAAGGCCAAGCTCAGCGCACAGGAAGGCGCGGGCAGGACGATCGAGATCTTCACGGGGATGGTTTTGGAGATGATCAGCAGTGGGAGATGGAGGATGCAGAAGCACGGGACGAGGATGGAAAGCGTGGAGAGGAGGAGGGTGGTACTGGAGGAGAGGATGAAGTTGAGGGCGGGAGGAGCAAGAGGCAGGCGAGGGCAGTAGAGGCTAGGTTCGATTTCCCCCCACCCCACTCCACACACACACCCACCCACATCACACATCCTCTTACAAAAACTGTATACTAAATATCTTTTCTTCATCTTTCTTTTATTACAGGTCTGCCTCCGTTGCTCATGGACCGGCTTGCGTTTTGGGATTGACTCGACGGTGGCTCGCGCTCTCTGGCTTCGGGGTTCTGAGTTTAAGGGAGGGATCAGCAGACACAGGCAGAAAGTCGGCTTTGAGGGGCCAGGGACTGCTGAGGTGGAGGTTTTGAGGGGCCTCCACCGCGTCTTGTTGTGACCGAGCATAGACTTGGGATTTCGCGGGTCAGGGTAGCTGCGCAGTCGCTCTCCTGTCTTTGTCTCGACCGAGTTGGGAAGTGGCGGCAGGGTGGGCCTCTTGTCGTTAGTACGCTAGTTGTTTTCCTTTCTCTCTTTCTCTCTCTCCTTCTCTCTCTCCTTCTCTCTCTCTCATTCGTCTCCTGGGGGGGAACAACCGCTTGGCTGGAGCACTTTGAAGTAAAAGTGCACCACCTATAGAGGTAAAAGTGCACCACCTATAGAGGTTGAAGTAAAAGTGCACCACCTATAGAGGTGGCAGCGGTAGGATGATACGCAGCAGTGTCAGAACCGATAGTTGAGGAACAAGTGATTAAAGAGAAAGCTAAACAAGGGAGTCCGCATTGCGAAGGCATAGGCCCACGCGCAAGAATATAATCCACTCAGACACTAAGTTTAATCCACTGCCTTAAAACCAGCCGAGCCCCTGGACCCGCGCCGCGCCTCGTTACCGATGGCCTACCACCTAGACAACACAAACGGGTCATGTACGGCCGCTTCGGCGCGCCCGAGGACAAGGAGAAGAAGAAGCAAGGCGCGGCGGGTGGCGCCATCGCCAACGGGAATGCGAATGCGGATCGACATATGCGCAGGGTGAACGCAACGGATGACCGGGTAATTGGCCACCGTGTTCTGCTTTCTGCTCTTCCTCCCTTGTTGAGCTCGGGTGTGTCGGTGTGTCCTTCGGAACGGATAGACAGACTTTAGAAAAATTGAAGAAACGACAGAGGAAGATCGCCCGCGTCGTCGTTGTCGTCATTGCATGCATGACGGGAGAAACTATGTACCTTGAGAGAAACAGCCAAACCAAAGTGTGTATGGGTGTTTGTATGAATTCAACGGCTTGTTGTAATGTGTAAGAGATGTCCACGTTGACGAAGAAAAAGGGTAGGATGTGGATGTTTTTGGTGGTCTGGCCGGAGTGTGACGCGCTCCTTTACTTCTAATTGTTCTTGATGATAAAGGAATGGGTATGGTTGCCGAATACTCCCGGATCTTTGAAGTAATGGTCCCGTGAGACGCCGAAGTAAAAGAATCTGTGGGGACAGACAAGCTGTCGGTTGATCAAACCTCGAGAGAAAAGGAGGGTGCAGTGGAAACACATACGCCGAGACATTCACATTTACTCCTTTGTCATCGGTGAGGAGCCAACTGGGTAAGTCAATCGGGATCGTGGTGGTGGTGCCTCCCCTGTAGAGCGGGATGTCGAAAGCGATAATCCCCGTAGCTTTGAGTCAACATCAAGTTCAAGTTAGCATCAAGTTTAGACTTGGGGTCTTCCTGTGGTCAGGGTCGCAGCGGCCTTTTGACCTGTTCTGGGGGGGATCTGACGGAGCTCACTGGTTTCCCCACCCGTAATCCCATGGCATGTTAACCAAAGATTGGCTTTTGCTGGGGCGTGGGTCGGCGGCCACCTGTAAGTGACCGTGTCGCCGGGGCGGTATGTCTCGCCTCCCCAAGGATAGACGATGGGGGGAGGGGTGAGAAGGGGGAGACGCGGACGCGGACGGGGACGCGGACGGCGGCGTTTCGCGAGAGGGTCGAGATGAGAGACGTCTCTGGTCAGAATCGAGGGGCGAGTGAAGTCGAGGGCGGGTGAAACGGAAACGCCTCGCTTCTTGACGTTGGTGAGTTGTTCGTTGCGAGGGGCGGGCTCGAGGCTCAGGCCGTTGTCGAGCACCTTCAGGGGCGAGGGGGAAACGGGGCTACCCGTCGCCAAACTCGCCACGAGAGCGAGCGCGGCCAAACGCGACCACAGGAGCAGCATGGCCCGAGGGATAAGTTCTTCACGGATGAGGTCGGATAGCAAAGACTAACAAAGGGCGACCTTGATAGATGATAAAAGGGAGAGAACAAGAGCGTCACGATCCTCCGAGTCGGCTCGGGTGTCAGGAGGAGGATTTCGTAACTGCCAGCTCTGGACTCCCCACACGCCCTTGCCGCGCAACCGGCGCTGTGCCCCTGTCTGCCCCTTCTCCTTTTCGTCTCCCACGTTATGTGCTCGACTCTCGGTCCAACTCTCGGTCGGACTCTCGCTCTGAGATATCTGACCTAGCTCCCCAGTTTCGTAGCTCGCTTCTCTCTTCCTTGCCTGCCCCTCAAAATTTGACAAAGGCCAGACCCTTACGCTCGTCCCTCGTTCTCGTCGCTCTCGAGAAGCCCCCAGACCATCTCTCGACTCGTCCCTCGTCCCTCGTCCCTCGTCCCTCGTCCCTCGCCGCTCGTCCTTCGTCTCGAACCCCTTCGTCGGGCTCACCCCCCTCTCATTGTCCTTCGATAGACAAGCATATTACATATATACCGGAGCGACAGCGATCATATCACAGGACGAAGGTATGCAGCACTGGATACTCTACTTTAGTGAGTGTTGAAAACCTCCTGATTAGGGCTGGGGGCTCACAACGTGTACCGATGGTGGCCTGTGACATATAACAAATTGGTAACATATATTGGTAATCTACAAGGAGAGGGGAGGGACGACATTCCAACGGTACAGTGACACTTTTTTAATACCAAGCACAGGCCCAGGGTGTGCATCTATTGAAAATTCAGCCCAGAGCGTCGTTCCCTGCCGTCGCAAGCCTCAAAGAGACCTGGAGGGTGCGGTCTCACCGCCTCGTCAGCTCCTCTCTGCCCGTCAGCCTCTAACCTTAAGCCTACCTAAACGGTATCGATTCCACGGGATTCCCCCGTGGACAAGAAAGTTGGGGTTTCCATGTTTTTGGGGGCGGAAGATCAAAACCAGTTGGGTCGCCGATTCTTCGCGGGGCCGTGTCGTGGGATAATTTGCCCCCAAGCCCAGACCAAAGCCATTTAGTATATATTTACTGAATATTCATCCACAGAGATTGGCACATATATCGTTCAGTCGGAGACTGCTCGTCATATTACTCTTGGCCAACACGAGATGGTCGGACGATTGAACAGATGGGATCGACGTGTTTCGAGACTAGAAGGCAGGGGTTTACAGGTTCTCTCTCTTTCTCTCTCCCTTTCACTTTAGAATGCTCAGAACGACGGATCTCCACATTGAAATAAATTTGTCTGACACTACTCTTTCTTGACGCAGCATTGAACAATCGGCGACCACCACAGAAAAGAAATGTGTCCAACCAAATCAGAGTTCTGAGTTGATTAGACTTACTTTTGCTGCCCAACCCAAACCAAAGTCTGGAACCTTGAAAACGTGTTGACCATAAAATACGAACCCTTGATGGTCTACACTAGCGCTGGCGGATGTGGGTGCGGCTGCTAGAGCGGCACCAGCAGTACGGGGCGGCTCCTGATTGCTTGGAGTTGCTCCTAACTCTGAAGTGACAGAGGACAAAGTCAATGTACCACAGATTAGTGTCACTCTTTCGAATTTATGGATTTCACTCTTCATGCATTTTGGGAATTGATCTACTGACCGTAACGACGAGGCGGAGATCCGCAGCAGTGCTCACAATATTCCTCAGCAGTTTGGCGCCCGCCGGGTGCCTGGCTCCAAGTCACGCCTTAATCAGAGCCGGACTCCGGTAAACTCAAGGCTTCCCTGCGGAGGGTGTCCGCCAACGGTATCTCGAAGGTGTCTGTGTACGATTACGCATACTTCGAGTTAGCAGAACAACCTCACGATTCCCGATCACTTGAGCGCGTACTTTCGCCATTGGAACGCATGGCCTCCGGCGAGGCGGAGCCGTCCTCCCATGATCTGTTCTGCAACCTCGCCGAGAAGTTCATCGCAGGCTTTAAGAGTCCTCGCTATCATGTTTCTTGGCAGTGAAGATCCTAACATAGTGACGCTATAGCAACCTAGCACTTATCTACAGGCACCAGTACACGCTGTGCGAGTCATCGGATAATACCAGCGAGTTGTCGACATGAGATTGGATCGCGGTGTGAAAGGCGCGCGGCACCCTAACGCGTGATCCAAAAGTAAAGCAATTTGAATTGATGTAATTCAAATACCGGGTGCCACATTAGGTGCGTAAGGCACAGCTGCCTTACATTTTCCGTAGGCCAATCAGGGGGAACAGGACTTGGGGGCAATATGATGAACAGTTTCTACAAAAAAAAAAAAAAACAGTGCTGCGCAATGTGGTCGCTGATCTTCTTCAACTGTGTGGGAGCAAGTGCTATACATCAGTAGCGTTGTACATGAAGCTTCTACCTGCTCACCGACTCTCCTGAAGATGCTAGTACTTCCTCACATTGGCCATGGCTTGAGTGAGCGCATCCTTGGCCGTTCCATAATAGGCCTTCGAGTTCCTTCGAGTTCAGAGTCGAGCAACCCCTCCTTGCGGACAAGCTTCTTGACTGCAGCCTGCGCCGCCTAGTAAAATCTGAATAGCCTTGGTAGGGCAACAACGGCTTTCGCGTACGGACCAAAGAAGTGCCAGATATCATGAATGGTGTTATTCTTCACTCGCAAAATTCGACCAAAACCGCTGCGTAAACCCGCTTACCTTCATTGACTTCGGTCAAATTTTGGTTTCGCGAGGGATTGAGTTGGGCGCCACGGTGAGGCATTTGGTCATGCTCGCAGTGCGCCAAGGGGGGCGCAATGTTATGCTCTTTCGTCGTGGCCAGTTTGTACGAGATGGATTGACCCGGTTCGAGGATTGAAGCATGTACCGTGGTATTGCTGTGGATGGGTGCGGGACCTTGTGCGTTATGGACGGACCTCCTGGAATTACGGTCGACAAGTAATTGTGTTGCAATAATGTCGTGCCACACATAGGATCATGCCCCCACTTTGGCACGGGCCCAGAATGGGTTGCCTAATCGAGCCGCAGCCGACGAGCGTGCCTGGCGTGCGGAGACTCTGGCTGACACGATGGGCGCCGCGGTCTGACACGGCTGAGCCCGACATAGCAGCGCCAGAACGGGAGAGCAATTTGTCAGATCTTGGCACGGCACTGTTACGGCACCCGGTACGATGAAGCATCCCTCCTTCCATCTCCTTCCATCCCATTCCTTCACTCAGCCCTCATCTGTATTGCCTTTTGAAGACCTGTTGACGAACACAGTCTTCAGGATCGACTCTGAAAAGCTGGCTTTCCTTCGTTCGTCTCTCTTTCCCCTTCTCATCACTCTCAGTTCACTCCTCCTCGCCATCTACCTCGACTCGCATTCCCTCTTACCTACATCCCTGACTCGACTCGTCAACAACCTGTCATCTCGCACACCCGCAATCCCCAACACCATCAACAAGCAAGACATGGCTGCTACTGCTACTACCGAGGCCGTTGCCTCCCAACTCAAGTCGGCGCTCAAGTTCATCCCTCGTCGCTCGGCCGCTCGTGGCCACGCCGATCATGGATGGCTCAAGTCCTACCATACATGTGAGTCACCCAACTCAGTAAGACCTAACTTGGAGAGCAGTACACTGATATGTCCCCTTCTATTCCTCCCCTTAGTCTCCTTTGCCTCCTACCAAGACCCGGCCTTCAGCCAATACGGTTCCCTGCGAGTGATCAACGAAGACCGCGTCGACCCCGGTGAAGGTTTTGGTCAACACAGCCACCGCGAATTCGAAATCTGGTCCTACATCATCTCAGGTGAACTCGAACACCGCGACAGTCTCGGCAACCTCGAGATCATGAAACGTGGGGACATCCAGATGACCTCCACCGGGACCGGCATCTCGCACTCGGAATACAACCGTAATTCCAAGACGCCCGTTCATTTCGCTCAGATTTGGGGGATGCCTCATACCAAGGGTCTCAAACCGTCATACTACAACCGCCACTTCACGGACGCGGAAAAGACGAATGTACTGGTCCGCGTCGTCGCTCCCGTAGGACGAGACGGTGTGATCGACTCTCGAAACGCACAAGGCCCTGCACCCATCCACAGTTATATCACGATGCACGCTTCAATCCTCGAACCGGGGCAATCCATCTCGTACGAACTGGCCAAGACGACCAAGCGCGCGTTCCTTCATCTCCTAATGCGTTCGGGGTATCGCAAGCCTTCGGTCTCGGCGAGTGACAAGTACGATCATGGTGGGGCGATTCTCAAATTGAACAAAGGATTGGTCTTGGAGGAGGGGGACGCTTCGTTCATTGAGGTCAACAAGGAGGGGGATAGGAAACTCGAGGTGAAGAATGTGGCGGATACCGATGGGGAGTGGCTGTTGTTTGAGATGGAGGAGTGAGCAACACTTTACTCGTCCTTCGGGCTTCAAGATCTCTGTATCGTTAGTAGGCTTCGAGTTGTTGCTTTGATCGTTCTCCTATATCATACAAACACTCATGTGCAATTGTATCGCTTCAAGTTTCGGAACACGGTGTGCAGGGGACAAACACAGAGGGTCGGGTCACGAGCACTTCGGAGCAGGCGGCAAGTTGATTGGATAGGAATAGTGCCTCACAGCCTCAGGGAACCGTGATTGTGCTCCGGTTGTCTTGATCGAGACTCTCTCGGATATTCGGCGCCTAACTCTCCGACTCTCAGCAGGCGCTCTACAGAATTCGAGGGCGATCCAAGTTATACTTAAGCTCATGAGGGACCGTTGCTCTAGATCTTGAGGACAGCGTCCAGCCCCACATTGTGCCCCCATTGGCATGGACTCCAGATCGTGCTCACAATTCCCGTTCGTACCGACTGTCTTCTCGCAGCGCCCACTGGCAACTCGATCCCACTGCGGAAGTGGGAGAATTGACCAACATGAAGAGTCAATGAAGGTAAGCGGGCTCACGCAGTGGTTTTGGTCGGAGTTTGCACGTGCCGAATGTTAGCCTTCACGATCCCCAGCACTTCTTTGGTCCTTATTTTGAAAGCTCTTCTAGGCGGCGCAGGCTGCAGTCTAGAAGCTTGTCCGCAAGGAGGGGTTGCTCGACTCTGAACTCGAAGGCCTATTGTGGAACGGCCAAGGATGCGCTCACTCAAGCCATGGCCGATGTGAGGAAGTACTAGCATCTTCAGGAGAGTCGGTGAGCAGGTAGAAGCTTCATGTACAACGCTACTGATGTATAGCACTTGCTCCCACACAGTTGAAGAAGATCAGCGACCACATTGCGCAGCACTGTTTTTTTTTTTTTGTAGAAACTGTTCATCATATTGCCCCCAAGTCCTGTTCCCCCTGATTGGCCTACGGAAAATGTAAGGCAGCTGTGCCTTACGCACCTAATGTGGCACCCGGTATTTGAATTACATCAATTCAAATTGCTTTACTTTTGGATCACGCGTTAGGGTGCCGCGCGCCTTTCACACCGCGATCCAATCTCATGTCGACAACTCGCTGGTATTATCCGATGACTCGCACAGCGTGTACTGGTGCCTGTAGATAAGTGCTAGGTTGCTATAGCGTCACTATGTTAGGATCTTCACTGCCAAGAAACATGATAGCGAGGACTCTTAAAGCCTGCGATGAACTTCTCGGCGAGGTTGCAGAACAGATCATGGGAGGACGGCTCCGCCTCGCCGGAGGCCATGCGTTCCAATGGCGAAAGTACGCGCTCAAGTGATCGGGAATCGTGGGGTTGTTCTGCTAACTCGAAGTATGCGTAATCGTACACAGACACCTTCGAGATACCGTTGGCGGACACCCTCCGCAGGGAAGCCTTGAGTTTACCGGAGTCCGGCTCTGATTAAGGCGTGACTTGGAGCCAGGCACCCGGCGGGCGCCAAACTGCTGAGGAATATTGTGAGCACTGCTGCGGATCTTCGCCACGTCGTTACGGTCAGTAGATCCTGTCACAGAACTGTTCTCAAGTGGAATCTGATGATGACCACGACTCAGTCCAATGAACAGGGACGAGAACAGAGTGGCCAGAGATTAAGGAACAGACTCGCGGAAGGCTAGATAGAGAAGCGTAAATCGCCTAAGAAACAATGTCAGAGACTAGCAAAGTAGGGAGAGTGAGTTACCAGAAGAACGAATAATACGAAGCTGGGCTCAATCCCAAGTACCATATTAGGAACAATAATAAGATGAAGGACGGTACAACCATATATTCCTGACAGATCCTTCCCTGAGAAGTACAAAGGATGACACCAACTTCTGATACGTTGACTTTGTGAGATTGACAATCTCCTCTGTTTCCTTCTCGCATCATGTCTTCCTTTCTCTGTCTTGTCTTACTCCATTTTGGCCTGCCATTCCCCACCTTAGCTCTCTCCCTCTCTGGGCTGGGTCCGTGCGCCTGGCACAGGCTGCTGGCCCAGCCGCGCGCTTGCCTCAGCCAACGGGCTCCGCGGTTATCTCTCTCCTGCTCAAGCAATTCTGGTCTCCTTGGTCCGTCGGTCAGAGCCTTACCACCGCTTGAGCAGGCGTCACAACTTCATAGACTTTGCACTTTACCACTCCAGAGTCAGGAGCAACTCCAAGCAATCGAGCCGCCCGGTGCCGGTGCCGCCACCAGCGGCCGTACCCATGTCCGCCAGCGCTAGTGCTGACCATCAAGGGTTCGTAACCCATGGCCAGCCCATTTTTGAGGTGCGAGGGTTAAAAATTTCGAGCTCATCCGGGCAGCAAAGGTAAGTATTTTCAACCCAGGATTCTGATACAGTTGACACGTTTCTTTCCTTTGGTGGCCGCCGATTGCTTGATGCCGCGTCCAGATAGAGTAATGGAAGGCTTTATATCAATATGGAGATCCGCCGTTCTGAGCAGGTTACAGTTAAATGGAAAGAGAAAGAGAAAGAACCCGGAAACCCTTTCCTTCTAGTGTTGAAACACGTCGATCTCACCTTTGGACCACCCGGTTTTCATTTTCCGCCCCCAGAATCTGGAGACCCCCTTTCTTGTCGGCCGAGAATCTCATTTGATCGATGCAACGCCGGGAGGTTAGCGGAAGTCAGACCGTGCGAAAAGCAGGTGAGAAACGGTGTAATGTGCCCAATCGACAGGGCTGGCCGTGTGGGCCGGATTAGAAGCGACGAGCAGACAGGAGCTGATGAGGCGGTGGCACCGCACCCTCCAGCTCTCCTCGACGGTTGCGACGGTTGGGAACAACGCTCTGGGCTGAATTTGTCAATAGAAGCACACGCTGGGCCTGTTACAACCTTCGTACAATTTTCAACGTCTGTAATGATGAAATCCCACCCAGGCGCGCGTGTCGGCCGTGTATTTTTCACAACTCGGGTATCACGTACGACAAAGATAGGATGGGTGACCCGACGAAGCGGGTCGAGGCGAGGGGCTAGGGACGAGTCGAGACATGTTGTAGGTACTTCTCAAGAGAGACGAGGACGAGGGGCGAGAGTAGGGATGGGACCTTTGACGAAATTTGGGTTGCAGAGAAGGAAGAGAAGTTATTAGCTACCAGTGGGAACCCCTTAAATTAACGGGATGATGAAATTCAAATACCAGGTGTATGCGACTGTCTGCGCCGTCTACGTCGGGTCCCAGTCGCGTGTCGGTGGCCTCGGCCAGGTCGACGGCGCATCGCGCAGCGTAAGCCGTGCCCGCCCCCGCGCCCCCGCGCCAACGACAGCGGGACCACACCTGAGCTCTGTAGAAGAAGTGTGATGCAAACCCACCCGCTTGCTATGCATTAAACACTAAATAGAGTGCTCAACAGTTCCGCACCACGTCAAAAATCGACAAAAATTGTCCTCGAGCTGTAGCTCGACTTTTATGGTCCAGAAAATGCAGAGAGCTTTTGGTCGGGACGCCGATACCACCGGCAGGTGCGGCAGACTCAATAGTACACTGGTACATTCACTATAAGCCGCCCTCGGAGCCGCAACACGTCAAAAACAGCGAGTTTAGGTACATGAGTCGCTTTTTCTCTTTTTTCTTTCTTTCCTTTTACTATTCAGCGTAACTAATAGTTAGAGTAATAGAGTAATGAAACTGAGAAGTTAGGTCAGAGGAGGCGGTAAAAACCACGAGAGACGAGAGCGAGAGTGCGAGAGTCCAAAACGAGAGTTCGAGGTTTGAGCGCATAGCGTAAGTAGGAGACGTAATGAGAAAGGGGCACAGCACAACGCGAGGAGAGCGGTGCGGGTTGCGCCCGAAAGGCGCACGCGGAGTCCAGAGTTGGCAGTTACGAAATCCTCGTCCATGATTAACGCGCCCCCGGAGGGGGCGACGGGTCCCTGAACCTCTGACGGAGTAACACCAACTGACAGCGTCAGCTAGTATTACTAAGAACGTGCCATGGATCGGGAATGCAGCACCGAGTTCGCGAGTCAGTTCGGTTCACATGAATGAGGCATGTAAGTGTACCAAACGTTAATGAGCATTGCAGACAAGACGAGATCGAGCCCGAGCCGGGGTTTAAATGCATAAGTTGAGATCATTCGACATCGCCCATGTCACAGTCCGCGTCTGGACGAGTTTGTGTTCGCATGTGGTCGTCAGCGCCGGGGACCCACAACGCGCTTTCACCGAACTTGGCTATAAGAAGTGGTTTTAGTTGATGTTGAGAGATTGGGACTTCAGGGAGCGACTTACGTTTTTTTTTTGGAAGGGGCACTGCAAGGTCAATGTCACGGTAATGGACCTCTTGACCGGTGATAGCTTTTTCTTGGGCGACGGTGGACGGTCGGTGAGAAGAGGGGGACAAGGCTGTAATGATGACGATGCGGTAGAATTGTTAAATCAGCTTACCCATACAGGAAATTAGTTGATTGTACGCGTGACTTGCATGAAGAGGGGCTTGTTCCTGGCATGTACCCGGATCCGATGCGGCACGAACTGAAAGCGAGCGTGTGGGGCTTGTCTCGCCTGGTTGAAGTACGTGTGTGCTTGGACGAAACGCCAGAATACGGTCGATATGCGGTAAATTTTGAGCAGTGCTGCTGCGATTCGAGCCACCTTTTCTTTGGGGACCCGAAAAGCGAGGTGGCGAAACACGTCTCGTCGGCCGGCGGAGAGTGTTCGAGATGATGAACGGGAAAGACGAGTCGCACCGAAAGTCGCTGTCGTATAGATTGAGCCAATGTTTGACTTGCTGCTCCAGAGAAATCTTGACGTCGCGCTCGACACAGACACCGACGAGACCGAATGGATCGAGGTGTGGCCACACTGCAGCTTTGAGAGCAGGAAGTCATCCGAAGATCCCCACAAAGGGTCGTCGCCTGTCGGAATGACATGGAGGGGCTGGTCTTGCAGTGGTTGAAATAACGGAGAGCTTTCTCAAAGAACTTCCACGAGTGAACTGGTTCGTCGGTAGCGGGTGGCGGCACATGGACGTGTTCGAATACTGGTTCATCAGAGTCGTTATGCGCTGTTGCGTAGCCTTCAAAGAGCGATGATGTTGGTTCCACTGTCTCTGCGGTAAACACATTCGCCAAAACTGCGTCGGGCACGAGACTGTCTCCATCCGAGGTTTGTCCATCCGACACTTGGGGAGCAACCGAGACGGAAGCCGAAGCCGAAGTGGAAGCTGAAACCGCCGTGGGTGCTGGAGAGGTAGAGTTGAGCACACCAGAATTGCGTCGAGCGAGCTGTGCAAGTCTTTCGCCATTAAAAAAGGAGACGGCAGAGTACGCCGGATTCTTGCTTTCGTTGATCAACCACCTGAGCATCTTTTGGATCCGACTCTGCTTCACGATCATGGGTCGACACTTGTCCAGCTCCGCAAGGTTGGGGTTCCCTCTGCAGAATAGAACGCACACACTGTCAGCGAGTTCCTCGACTAACATAGACAGTACATCGGTGAACGAAGCGGTGTTCTGGCTGAAGATGAGGGTGTTTCTGCGCGTATATTCTTGTTGAACTTTGGGATCTCCGAAACGAGTTAGCTTGTACACGCTCTTGTAGGCTCTGGCGCGCGCAGTGAAGAGGTGCTCAAGCTGACTCGCGTTGGAGAAGCATACTCGGACATCAGCGGGGACGTGATCCAGTGCGCGATAAAATCCGTTGCTCAACGACCGAGGGGGCTTAGTCGGTGGCCCTGTGGTAGGGAACAACCGTTTGAAGCAGTCTGGACAGAGTGAGCACTGAAGCGTGTTGTTCATGGGCGAGTACGCGATCTGATCGATTAAATCTTTCGGTCGCTGAAGACCTCGGGGATGGATGAGTGCGCCCCGCCAAGCTGAAGAATCGTAAGTCGGTGGTCGGAGGTCCGTACGTAGTGTAGAGTTGGTTAATACCTTCCAAATCCCTGATTCCTCACGCTTGATGTCGTGTTCAGGCACCCATCGTACTTTATGCCCGAAGACTCTCTCGGAGCACACCAGGCAGCAGAAGAGACGGGAACAAGCGTCGGTGAAGTAATCATTCCATTCAGAACGGTGCTCGGTCTTGAACTGATCGGATGCTGGCGCAAAATGCGATGTCACTTTACCGGGTTCTTCTTCTTCGGGTTCGGGATGCAGCGGTGGAAGTCTGTGCAGCGTTTGTTTATAGTCAGTCGCTGAGACGTTCTCGCGATTCTTCTGGACTTCCTCGTCAGTCAGGCTCGAAGCACGTCAACAGGTTTTGATGCGTATGCTCTGTGGTCGGGGAAGCAATGTCGACGTGGCGGAGTCACGGGGGTCGCGGCTTGTTGTCTTCTGAAGACATACTCATTTGAACAAGCATCACAGTTTGGATCGCACGACCAGACGAGTACTCGTAGGAATCGCTCTTTCGCAAGCGGGTTCCTGCTGGAGTATCCTTCCACGTGTGCGCCCGACAAAGCTCCTTCAGGAGATCCATGCTGAAGTTGATGCTGCTGCGCACGAGCTGCCCAAGACTGCATTTGACAACCACATCTTCGAGTACTGACACTCAACTATTGCGTAGGAGCGGACCGGAAGACACACACTGTGCTCGATCGGTGCGGCGGGATGATCGGCTGTCGCTTGAACACGTTGTGGAGATTCGAGGCGTTGAGCGTCGTGGGTGTGGGCTGACCTCGATGGTGCGGAGGTGTACAAGATCAGAAAGCAGTGACATGACGGCGATTGTGTGATAGCCTGTCTTAGAGATGCGAGGAAACTCGGTCCAAGTTAGAATAAGGCAGTACAGAGAGACGTAAAGGAGAGGGCCGGGCGGTGGCAACTTGCTAACGGAGGCCAGCCTGAGTGCGCTAGCAGTGCGCTAGCTTGCGCTTGTTTGCGCTAGTATGTAGTGCGCTCTGGCGCGGGAACTCGGGAAGGCTGATGACGCCCAAGCTATGTGCTGAGAGCGCCGACTCGGCAGGTTAGGTTAGCAACCGGGCTGGTGGCCACTGGCCATTGAGAATTAATGATCGGCGCGCTTAGCCGGGTGCTCCTATCCTGGGGAGCATTGTTCAAACCGATCGGCGCTGACACCGAGTCGGACTCTCCTATTGCGCTCAAAGGCAGGGTCCTCCCATCGGGGGGAGCATTGTTCGCACCAATCGGCGCTGATATCGGGCTCTCCTATTGGGGTTTCGACAGCCACGCGCGTGCGGGGTATTTCGGCCATTTCGTCCAATAAAATCTCAGAATAGCATTGACGCGCCGCGGGGCGGCGACGAGTCTCTGAACCTCTCAAGCGCGGCGCGGTCGAGTTTAACATCGAAAGGGCATTCATCTCAATTCTATACCAGTTGGTAAAAATGAGCTATGTACTAGAAAGCGAGTAGATTGGTCAGGCGCCCAAGTGTCCGAAGCTCGCGAGGCCGATTTTGTCTTCGTCCGAGTCGGCGCTGCTATTGTCGCTGTCCGACTTGATCTTTTTGGCTGCAAAAGGGGGAGGCGCCGCCGGGGGTGAAGAAAGGTTATGTCAGGTTGACTTATGACCTAGTGTTAGGCGCATCGGTGTCTCCACTTACCCTTATTAGTTAGGTCAGCAAAGTCCAATTCGAACTCGGCCTCGTACGCAGACCTCTTCACAGGCGAATGAATGGCCGATGAATTTTGAGGCGTGCCCTGGTATCGTGGTGCCGAGGAGGTCTCAGTAATTTTTATTTTTTTCCCAAAAAAACACATGGTTCAAGAGTAAGAGACCATGCTGATGGGGGCCCACCGCTGCACTCACCGATCCGCTGGCAGCAGGCTGAGGTGCACTGGCAAGTCGACCATGGATACGGGCTGCCACCGGGGTCAATTGATAGCGTTCAATCCATTGCTCTTTTCTCTTGTCCTCGTACACTGGATCTGTACGTTGCACATAATCCCACACACATCCTCTGCTTGCAGAATTGTGTGTGCGTATTTTTGTCGATTCGGGTCGTCTGCGAAGGAAACCGGGAAGGGCGTCGGCGCGGCCAGCTCCGTCGGTTTTCCTTGAAAGCGGAGCTGCAACAGCTCCTTCCAAAATTGTAAATATTCCCTTTCGCTTGCCGGATTCTCACTATCCGTCCCCAGCGAAGGAGGGATAGAGGCCTTGATGCTGGCAGGGAACGGGATGTCGCGGCCAAAGACGTGATTCCAGCAGCTGCAGAGGATGCCATTGTGAAACCAGTGTCAGTTTGGCCCCTTCTGCGGGAACTTAGTAGGTGAGGAAAACGCGCACTCACTCTTTTGTGGTCACCAAACGGTGGTGGATGTATGCACTATTTGAGTTGTGCCCAAATGGCGATGCCAATTCCGCAAGTTCTAAAGTAGCCGGTGGGAAGCAGCAGCAGAATCAGCACCCTGCTCGCACGCCCAACACCGCCTAAGTTCAGCAAGCGGCTCACCTTGAAGATTCTTGGGAAGTTTCCAGTGCTGATGAAGGGCTTAAGACACCCCACCTTGGAGCCAGTTTCGAAACTTTACGACCTCCGAGTCGGACTCGAACAGCTCCAGTCGAATCTCCCGGTCGAGATCTTCAGGCCTGACGCAATCTCGCTCAAGGCGCCATTGCTGGCTGTTCAGGGGCATGTATAGAAGTTTGCGGCATCTTGGTTAGCGCTAGTGTAGATCTCCAGTAACACGTGGCTTCGCTTACTTCTTTGGCACGATTCCCCCTGCAGGATCAATGGTTCGGATTCGGCCTACAAGCCATATGTTGGCGACTTGACCGGCCGCCGTAGCCAGTGCGACTTCGTCGTAGTTCCCCGGTTTCTGTAGACGAACGAAATCGGCAACCGAGCGATGATCGACGATGTTGGCTAAGGTCGTCAGGTAGGCGTTGTAGACCTCGACAATGTTCTGAACGTCTTCGTGGGTGAGGGAAGTTCGCTCGTATAATCTAGAGCGTCGTATGATGTTGGCAGTCGGTCGGTCAGAGAGGGGGTCGGAGTCATTGCTTCTCGCGGAAGAGGTAGATGAAGGTGGCGTGGTGACAAGTAGGGAGAAAGAGATGAAGAGACACCGAGGTTTTGAGGACAGCCAAAGATGCTCGCGGAGTCGACCCTGAACCATCCTTTGGACCATAGTAACTGTGTAGTACGATTGGCTGCTCTCGAGGGCCAACTTGTGTCGTTAACCTGATCTCATCAAACACATCAAGTGTATTCAGCTGAGAAGGCGCTTCAAATGTTTGAAGGTGAACAAGGTGCGACAAAGTAGACATGTTGGCTCGAGAAGCGTGCAACTGGGCACAATCAGCAGCAGAATTTGACTCGAGTTCGGGGATCTGGATCAAGACAGGTTAAATCCGGGTGGTAGGTCTGGCCAGTGTCAGGTCCGGATGCTGTAGGTCTGGCTACTAGGTCCGCGCTCCTAAGATGACAAGAAGATTGCAGAGTCTGACAAGCCCACAAGTGTAGAGTGTGCAGGGTGGGTCGGGCCGTGTGCGAGTGACGAATGACAAGGCGAAGCTTCGAAAGCGACGTGGCTCGAAGGGCGTGAAACCTGTGCTATTCTTAGTTCTTGCCCTCCCGCCCCGTTATGGCAACCGGCCCCCCCTCGCCCCCCTATGCTTTATGACGAGGTCCAAGGAGTCAAGGACCAAGAGCGACCCCGCCGCCGAGTCCGTGACTCCGTGGTCCCTGTCTCCTGAGGCCGAACAACGCCGCGCGCGTTTTCATAAAGTGCGGGGAAGCTGTGCCTGAGGACTGAGGGGCCGAATTCTGAGACACTTTGAGATTTGCACCAATTCTGGGCTGGAACCGCCCAATTTTCGAAACGAAACCTTCAGCTCTAATGAGCTTCAGGGATCAAGGTCGCCCTTTGTTAGTCGTTGCTATCGTCCTCGTGAAGAACTTATCCCTCGTACCATGGTGCTCCTGTGGTCGCGTTTGGCCGTGCTCGCTCTCGTGGCGAATTTGGCGACGTGTTTCCCCCTCACCGCCTCGCCCCTGAAGGCGCTCGACAAGTTACAACGGCCTGAGCCTCGAGCCGGGCCCTGGCAGCGAACCAGTCGCCGATTTCACGAAGCAAGACATCTCCGGTTCACCCACCCCCGACTTCCGTCACCCCTTGACTCTGACCAGAGACGTCTCTCATCTCGCCCCTGTCGCGAAACGGCCCCGTCCCCGTCCCCGTCCGCGTCCGCGTCTCCCCCTTCTCACCCCTCCCCCCATCGTCTATCCTTGGGGAGGCGAGACATACCGCCCCGGCGACACGGTCACTTACAGGTGGCCGCCGACCCACGCCCCAGCAAAAGCCAATCTTTGGTTAACATGCCATGGGATTACGGGTGGGGAAACCAGTGAGCTCCGTCAGATCCCCCCCAGAACAGGTCAAAAGGCCGCTGCGACCCTGACCACAGGAAGACCCCAAGTCTAAACTTGATGCTAACTTGAACTTGATGTTGACTCAAAGCTACGGGGATTATCGCTTTCGACATCCCGCTCTACAGGGGAGGCACCACCACCACGATCCCGATTGACTTACCCAGTTGGCTCCTCACCGATGACAAAGGAGTAAATGTGAATGTCTCGGCGTATGTGTTTCCACTGCACCCTCCTTTTCTCTCGAGGTTTGATCAACCGACAGCTTGTCTGTCCCCACAGAATCTTTTACTTCGGCGTCTCACGGGACCATTACTTGAAAGATCCGGGAGTATTCGGCAATAGTACCCGTTCCTTTATCATCAAGCTCAATTAGAAGTAAAGGAGCGCGTCATACTCCGGCCAGACCACCAAAAACATCCACATCCTACCCTTTTTCTTCGTCGACAAGCAAATGAATTTTCCTCTTCAACCTTACATTACACCAATCCTTTTAGATCGTTAAAACCCATGCACCTCATTTGTTTTATGGCTACGTACTCTCTCCTAGGTACATAGTTTCTCCCGTCATGGGTGCAATGACGACGACGACGACGACGCGAGTAAGCTCCGTTCAGTTCCTTTGTTGTTTCTTCAATCTTCCAAAGCCTGTTTGTCCGTTCCGAAAGACACCCGAGATCAACAAGGGAGGATGAGCAGAACGCAAGACACGGTGACCACTCACCTGGTCATCCGTTGCGTTGGCGCCCCCGGCTGGGTCTTGCTTCTTCTTGTCCTTGTCCTCTGGTGCGATGACGCGGCCGTACATGACCCGCTTGGCCCTTTCCAACGCGTACAATTCAGAGTTGATCGGTCTGTGGGGTCGAATAACTGTTGCCTCCATGTTCGCCTCGGAAGACTGAAAATGCGCTCATTTTTACTCGACTCCAACCCTCGCCTGCGAAACCTCTTGCAATTCATCAGATGCGGAGCCATTTGCGAATTTAAACCTGCGTCAGCAGCCCATGTGCCTGCCCCCCCTCCCTCATCGATTCAACTCGGTAGAAAGCTCGAGAGGAACCGAGCGAGTTTTTGGGGTGAGATTGAGCGAGCTCGACACGTTTGCCACGATATCGTGCCGAAAACTATCGGCGGCCCTGTCGATCTGCAAATCGCTTTGACGTAATACCGCACGAAGTCCTCGGGTGTGGAATTCCGTGTAACCAGTAGGTCAAGCTTACTACAGGTTGTTGCGGTCGGTTGGATATGGAACCGGCGGGCGTCGAACAAAGGAGCCGGACTCCGGGCACATCGATCGGACCCCTGTTCGTGGCTCCATCGTTGATCCGCCCTCACCTCATGATGACAGGCGTGTTCTCCGCCTGCGGCCCTTGTGTAGAAATCATCTTGCTCCGTAGCTGAAAGTTAGAGCGGTCCGATGTGCATCAGTTCTCAAACTCACCCCTCAAGCTTTTCCCAACTTGAGCTCCATCGTTACTCACCGGGCGACCCCGTTCCCTTCTCCGACCTGAATCCCGCCTTCTCCGCTCTCAGTCATCCTCCCCCTCTTTTCCCAACGCACTCATCTCCCACCCCTCATTACCCCCTCTCCCTCCCTCAAACCCCAATCCCAGATTCCGAACTGCGGTATACTCCCCCCGACTGTTTGAAGAACTTGAACGAGGATGACGTGGATTGGGATCGGGGTCGAGGCCGAAGAAAGAGCGGAGGAGATGGAATATGGACGGACCCATACAGGTCGCTTCGTGGCGGAGGAGGGGGCCAGGAGGCAAGGGGCAGGAGGAGGGGGTCAGTTCAAGTGCAGTGGCTGAGGATACGGGATGGAGTGGGGTGGGGGGTGGGGCAGCTTACATAGTAGTATGAATACGATCCATGCGGAGAAGAATAAGCAGAGGAAGATGATCATCTTGAACAGGGACGAGTCCATCCTGAATGCTGATGAGAGCTGGGAGTGAGATCGTAAGAGCGTAAAAGCGGTGAACGCGCCCGTTCTTCGCCCTTCCGCCTTTCCCCCCTGCCAGCTGGACCCGACGTCACGTGCTTCTCCATCCAAAGGCGGGAAAAGGAAGGCGTGTTCAGCACGTAGGGAGTGAGCTATGCCGTCGCGTCCCCCACCGCCGGTTGTCGAACCACACGAGATCGACCGACTTGCTCCACCGACCGACGATGTTCCATCTACGACGCCAGAGGCATCGGTCCCACCCGGCGGAGCAGCCGGCCCCACCTCCACACAGCCCGACGACGATGTCCACGACGACGAGGTTCGCGCAGATCGGGATGCGGAGGAAAGAGTTCTTCAAGGTCCACAGGGTAGGATCGATCCTATACCTGATACAAGGGACGCGTTGAAGAGGAGTGTTGTACAGGGGAAGGGGAGTGTACAGCTTGGGCAGGACGAGAGGGACCGACGACAGGGAGGGGACGAAGAGGGCGGTGCGAACGGGGACGGAGATGTGGAGGGGGAGGAAAGTATGATCGGTCATGGGGTCGAATCGAGCTCGAATACGGAGGACGCGCAGGAGCAGAGTGAGGTGCAGGAGGAGCAGGTGGGGTCGAAGGTCGTTTCCGAGCAAGGGGACGACGACGAGGGGACGGGCTCAGCGGGCGACGACGACGACGAAGACGATGATGAGAATGATGAGCAAGACAGCACTACCTACGACGAAGAAGAGCCGACACTCAAGTACGCCCGACTTGGAGGGGCGACGACCAACCTCCTGCTCAAGGACAGCGCCTCGGCCTTGGCCGTGTGTGCAAAATATATTGTCGGTTGTCTCGACACCTTGGTACCTCAGCATCGAGTCTCGAACTAATCTCCCATTGCTCTACAGGCGATGGGCACGTACAGCGGGGCGATCCTCGTCCTCGACCATCAGGGCCAACTCGTCAAGATCTTTAAACCCCACACGGCCATGATCAACGACCTCAACATCGACACCACCAGCGAGTTCATTGCCGCGGCCAGTATGGATGGTGAGTTTACGATGGGAAGTGCAGGTAGACTGTCGTCGGCTGATCCCCATCTTGTATGGCTTGCAGGCAAGATCTCGGTTCAATCCCTTCGCTCAACCAAAGAAGCCCCCGCCGAAGCCTACTCCTTTGATCTACGTCGACCCATGCGTTGCGTCGCCCTCGAACCCAACTTCGGCAAACGCAACACGCGTCAACTCGTATCAGGTGGAATGGCGGGGAACGTGATCCTCCACGAAAAAGGATGGCTGGGGTACAAAGAGACGACGCTCTTCGCTGGCGAGGGACCGATTTGGACGGTCGCTTGGAGGGCGAACTTTATAGCCTGGACTTCGGATGCGGGTGTGAGGATTTACGATACTTCGACTTCGACGCGGATCACCTATATTCCTAGAGCGGTCGATTCACCAAGGGCGGATTTGTTCAAATCGACGTTGCATTGGCAAAATGATCGGACCTTATTAATCGCATGGGCCGATATCATCAAAGTCGCCGTGGTCAAAACGCGGGAAACGAAACGCTCTTCGACCGCTGCCACGTTGGGAGGGATCGTGCCCACTCCAGGATCGAAACCGACCGAGACCTACGTCGAGGTCAACGCCATATTCCAGGTGGACTGTATGATCTCGGGCATCGCGCCCTACGGGGATTCCTACCTCATTCTGGCGTATCTCGTCGAAGACACATACGAAAATGAAGCGACTCAGGACAGGGATCAACAACGAAGGAAAGCGGGTCAGAGGCCTGAATTGAGGATTATCTCGAAAGAGGGGGACGAATTATCTTCGGATGCGTTGTCATTGAGGGATTACGATCGCTTTCAATGTAGGGATTATTCGTTATGTCGCGCACCTCCTTCGACGTCGACGACGAATGGAGTCGCAAGCGAGGAGAGGTTCTTCGTCATTTCACCGCAGGATATTGTTGTGGCTAGACCGAGGGACGAAGAGGATCATGTTGCTTGGTTGATCGAACAGAGGTTGTATGAACAGGCCCTCGAGGCGTTGGAAGTGATGGGCAATAAAGGTGTGTTGGGTGAGACGTTCGATGTTACTGAGGTGGGGAGAAAGTATCTGGATTTCCTCGTTGAAGAAGGTGAGTCCGCGGGAGAGGGGGAGAGGAGCGGAGTGGCAATACTGATGTTTTGCGCGGACGGTACAGATCAATATGAGAAAGCGGCCGAGGCATGCCCCAAGATCCTCGGGATCAACGCCAAGCTGTGGGAGGACTTTGTATTTCTTTATGCAGATCGAGGGCATATTAACGTCAGTGATGCTGCGCGCTTTCTATGTACGAGATCTTGGCTTACAAGTGCTGCGCCACTCTGCAGACCGTCATTCCTTACGTCCCAACGCATGATCCGCAATTAGGGCGGCTGGTGTATGAGATGATCCTCGCGTATTACCTGCGACATGACCCAGAAGTCAGTCTCAAGGATGATTGCATCCCCCACTGTCCTTTGACTAATATTTCTCCCCCCCATTACCCCTTAGGCGCTCCTCCAAACCATCAAAACCTGGCCCTGCGATATCTACGATACCAACGCCGTCCTCGTCGCGCTCCAAGCCCAACTCGAACGCACACCCTCTTCCACACTCATGGAAGCCTTGGCAGAGCTCTACGTTCTCCATCGACAACCGGGCAAAGCGGTCCCCTATTTCCTCAAGTTAAGGAGGAGGGAGGTGTTCGAGTTGATTGCGGAGTGGAATCTGTTTACGGATGTGATGGATTTGGCGTTGGAGTTGGTGGAGTTTGAGGAGGAGCTTAGGGGCGAGAAAGAAGGGAAGGAGGGGAAGGAGGGAGGAGAGGACCCGAGGCATGGGAAGGCGATCGAGTTGTTGGTCAATCATACGCACTCGATACCGGTGAGTTTGGGTGGGTGATAGACGTTATGGAGTTCCGAGCTAAACTAGTCCGGATGGTCGTGATGACAGGTTTCGAAGGTTATTGCTCAGCTCAAGAGACATCGCCGCTATCTCTACATGTATCTCGATGCATTGTTCGATGAGGACCCGCACCTCGCCTTCGATCACAGTGATCTTCAGGTGAGTCTCAATGGCCATTCCTTGAACGAACACCCCCGAATTGAACGAAAGCTCTCCCAATCTCAATCAGGTCAACCTATACGCCGAATACGACCCCAACAAGCTGATGGACTTTCTCCGTGCGAGCAACTACTACAGCCTCGAACGCGCGTACGACATTTGTGACAAGAAGGACCTCGTACCGGAGATGGTCTTCCTCCTTGGTCGGATGGGGGATAATAAAAGGGCTTTGAACTTGATCATCGAACGATTGGGGGATGTGCAACGCGTGAGTCGCACTTGAGAGCGATATAGAAACTGCAAAACGGTGTCACTCAAGCTTCCAGTCGTTGTTCGTGGGCTCACAGGCGATCGAATTCGCCAAAGAACAAAACGACCATGACCTTTGGGAAGATCTGCTCAAGTACTCGGAGACGAAACCGAGGTTCATTAGAGGTTTGCTGGAGAATGTCGGGCCGGAGATTGATCCGATTCGGTTGATTCGGAGGATCAGGAATGGGCTGGAAATCCCCGGGCTTAAACCGGCTTTGATCAAGATTTTGCAGGATTTTAATTTGCAGGTCAGTCGAGGGGCTTAGAGTTCCGTGGAGTCGAAGAGCAGCGGTGCTGATTGGACAATTGGTGTGTTTGGCGCAGATTTCTCTAATGGAAGGATGCAAGACGATCTTGTACAGTGATTGTCGGCAGCTCGCGCTCGCGCTCAATGATGGGCAATCCAATGGCTTCCTGTGGACGGGTATGTTGTGCGACATTGGCCTACTCGCTCTCTCGTGAAGACACTCACCAGGAATTGTTGTATAACAGGCGAAACGACGTGCAAAGGTACCGGAGAGCCCATCTTTCCTCAACTCAGCGGACAGCCCGCACCCGCTTCAATACCATTCGGCGTAAGTTCCTCGGCCGCTTGCCACCTCAGCCTGTCACGTGACTGATCTAGGCCGTTTGATCTCGATCAGATCCACTTCCTCTCCGGCGAAACCTTTTCCTCCACGCACGCCTTCCCATCCCTCGACCTCCCACGAGCCGTCACAGGACGAGATACGATGGTTGCGAATCTATTGGTTGAAGAAGTCGAGGGTCGGAGCTGGGTGCAGAGTGGGCAGACGGCCGAAGCGCGTGCCATGTCGCACAAGATTCGGTTCTTGGCGGATGTCAAGGCGCAGAGGGGGAGGGAGGGGGATAGGGGCCCTACGGGGATTACGGGGATTACGGCGAGGGCTTGAGGTGGTGGAGTATGTAGAGGGCCGGTGGAAGAATGCTTATGTGAGGGAAGGGCCCGCGAGTCAGGAGTCGCCTCGGCAATGCTCGGCAAAGGCGAATCTTATCGATGCGCGTCACTCTGCCTGCCCGAAGAGCCAGGGTCGAGGCTTTCCTAATCGTGGTTGATAATTTGCTTCGTTCTCTGATCTCACCCGAAGTGTTGTAATCGTGCCCATTTACCAATCGTCCGCGGAGTCGATCACTATAAGTCTAATATCCGAGAGATTGACTTGCCGAAGCTGATAAGACCGGCAAGCGGCGCATTCCGATATTTGCCGAGGCGAAAGATGCCGAAGCGCACGCGCGGGTCCGCGGCAGCGAGGTGCATCGGGCGACCGATACTCGACCGATCGGCCAAGTTGGAGGTCGAACCGGCGTGGCTTCTTTGCCCGGTGGAGTTTTTCTTCTTCTTTGTTTCCTTTTCCTCCCTTCCTCATCAACACTTTTTCGTCACCGTATCGCGTCTTGTGAGTTTGGTTTCATAGCTTGTTGAGCGTCATGCACTGACGCGCTGATACTCCCACTCCCCCCACTCTGGGCCCCTTCATTCCGCGTCGTTCCGCGTGTTTCTACAGTCTACGCTTGTCAGCTCTTTCAGCTTTGACACACCTTATTGCTGAAATCAGGTCGGTCTTTCTCGGATAGTGGTGACCTGTGCTTTTGCGACTTCTGCTGATTTGATGTACTGCATGCTTCCGAAATTTGGTTCTAAGCAGATCACCCCACTAGCCTCGTCCGAGTACGTGGAACGCCTCGCTTCGAGCGTTCAGCCTCAGCCCTTCTGAAACGCGCGTGCTGACCAGCTTGACCTACTTTACGACCCTACAGACTCTCTATTCACCATGTCCGGCTTCAACAACGCTTCGTTCAAGCTGCCGACGGTTGCGAACGAGCCCAACAAGCATTACACCCCCGGATCGCCCGAGCGAGAGGCGTTGTCCCAGGAGCTCAAGGCAATGCAAGCCGCTGCTCCGTTCCATGTCCCTGCTTTCGTGAACGCCAAGGAGGTGAGTAAAGCTTCCTATTTCCGAGAACGGGGTAACGTGTCGATCTGCCGAGCCCTGCTGTGGCACGGCACAGAGGTGTATGATTTCCTTTTGCCAAGAGTGCGGAAACTGACCATTGTGAAAGCTTTTCACCTACGCTTTTCAGGTCCCCGGTTCAGGTCCCAAGACCGAACAAGTGATGCCCCACAAGCACAAGTCGGTGCTCGCTACTTTCTCCACCTCGTCGCCCGAGCTCGCGTCCGAGGCGATCGATGCTGCGCTCAAGGCCAAGCCCGAGTGGGAGTCGATGCCGTTCAGCGATCGTGCGGCCATCTTCCTCAAGGTGAGTGGTCAAGAGTTCAGAGATTGGCATTGAATTATGAGCTTGTAGCTGATTGTGCGCGTGGGTATAGGCTGCGGACCTCGTTTCGGGCAAGTACCGCGCCAAGCTCTGCGCCGCGACGATGCTCGGACAGGGCAAGAACGCGTGGCAAGCCGAGATTGACGCTGCCGCCGAAGTGAGTCGATTGAGCAGCTGGGTATCAAAGCAACTGAGAGCTGATTCGTCTGCTTTTGTGGCCTTGCAGCTCGCGGACTTCCTCCGATTCGGCTGCGCTCAGGTCGAGCAGCTCTTCAAGATGCAGCCGACCGAGAACTCGCCTGGCGTGTGGAACCGAGTCGAGTTCCGTGCTTTGGAGGGCTTTGTCTTTGCTGCCACTCCTTTCAAGTGAGTGGAGTCTTTGACGAAAAGTGTCCAACCTACACACTCATGCTGACTCGCTTCTACTCTTTCCACCCTTCTCAAGCTTCACCGCCATTGGTGGCAACCTTGTCTTCGTTCCCGCCTTGCTGGGCAACGTCGTCCTGTGGAAGCCCTCCCCTGGCGCGACTTACGCCTCGTGGATCGTGCAGCAAATCTTCCTCGAGGCTGGCCTGCCCAAGAACGTCATCCAGTTCCTCCCTTGCCCCAACGGCGAGCCGACTATCTCGCTCGTGAACCGCGTCATCGACCACCGCCTCTTCGCCGGCTTGCACTTCACCGGATCGACGCACGTCTTCCGGGGCCTGTGGAAGTCGATTGCCAACAACGTTGACAAGTACCTGTCGTACCCTCGTCTCGTCGGAGAGACCGGAGGCAAGAACTGGCAGCTCGTGCACCCTTCGGCCGATCCCCGTGCGGCCGCGATCCAGGCCCTTCGAGGCGCGTTCGAGTACCAAGGGCAAAAGTGCTCGGCCCTAGCGCGGTTGTACGTCCCCAAGTCGTTGTGGGAAGGCGAAGGCGCATTCAAGAAGGTGCTCGTCGAGGAGGTCGACAAGATCACGCTCGGTGCGGTCGATCAGTTCGAACACTTCATGGGCCCCGTCATTTCGAAGCAATCGTTCGACAAGTGTATCGGCTACATTGAGAAGGCCAAGGCTGCTGGCGGCGAGGTCGTGTGCGGTGGAACTGGCGACGACTCCGTTGGGTACTTCGTCAAGCCGACCGTCATCGTCACCAAGGATCCCAAGTCCGTCACAATGGTCGAGGAGATCTTTGGGCCGGTTATGACCGTCTACGTGTACGAGGACGCCGATTTCGAGAAGACGTGCCAGTTGATCGACACAACAACAGAGTACGCCCTGACCGGTTGCATCTTCTCGACTGACCGCGTCGCGATCGTCAAGGCCAACAGTCTATTGCGCAACGCCTCGGGCATGTTCTACATCAATGACAAGTGCATCGGTGCCGTCGTCGGTCAACAGCCTTTCGGTGGTGCCAGGGGTTCGGGAACGAACGACAAAGCTGGATCAATGTCGATCTTTATGCGCTTCGTTCAGGCGAGGTCCATCAAGGAGACCTTCTTGCCCCCTCTTGAGTTCGCGTACCCCAGCAACGTTGCATAAATATAGAGCGTGTTCCTGCTTTTCTGCTTGTAGAATGTGTTCTTTTCCGACCCCACAATTGTCTGTACATCTGATTGATCGTCGTAATGATGTATGTGAATTGGTGCGGGGTGGCAAGGCAAACTTTTCAGTCGGCTGGAAACGGAAACTTTTGTCCATGCCTGACCTCGCCAAGAGATTCTCACATTCTCCGTCCGTGGTTTCATCGCGATCTTTGTAGTACTCGTTCTCGCTATCGTTCGAGTCGCCGGATTTACCCACGAAGCCTAACACTGCTTGCATCCACGCGTGATAGGTGATCTCATGAAGCACCTCGGTCGCCATTCGTTGAGCGAGCGATAGGCGGAGCGGCGAGGGCGGTTCCACCGTGGGCTTCTTCATCCTTTTGCTCAGGGGTCTGCCAGGCTTGGCTTGCCTCGTCCTCGGTTGCTGCTCGAGCACTCCTCCGAAGGGAGCCGATGCAGCGTTGAGACGCCAATTTGTGGCTTGAACTGGACGGATGACCTGCACGCCTGTCTCGACGGCTGAAGCAGCTGAGGCCAAGTGATAGGAGCGGGACTCAACCGATTGCCTTTGTGGAGTAAAGCCACGAATGCAGTAACAAATCGAACAACAGCTAGTCTTCACAAAGACCCAAGCCTTATCAGGCGAGGTACCACATCATTTGGGCAAATACCGCTGTACAATCTTGATTAGGCAAATCTTCTTTTGATCAGGTGTGGAATCAGTTGTTAAGACATTGAGAAGCTGGCCACCGGTACAAGGTACTACCCCGGGAGTTCAACATAGTCGAGTCCGAACTTACAGAGAGCTATGTGGCTGTGCTGGTTTTCGAACCTCTTGAAGCGATGAAAACTGAGAGGATAATGCACAGGTCTTACCAGCATTCTGAGCCATTCAGAGCCAGTCCCTGCCAGTCCGAGCCAGTCCGTGAGTCCCCGGGCTATGGGATCGCGCGCTCGAGTAGGACTTGGCCCTTGACTCCTGTCCGTCGCGTCACCATCCCCACTGAGCAATCTGTCGCTGTCGTACCTCTCACGTGTGGTATCCCGGCGCGTCATGTCGACCTCGACAGCAAGTGCATCGGTGACTGGTTCTGCAGCTCCAACAAGGGCTCTGGCTCCGATCGCGCTGCCTTCGCCGTTGCCTCGATTCCTCCTCGTGTACCCAGCGACATGGCGACCTCTGTCAACCGAGTACACGCACCAGGCATCGCCTACAGTTCGAATCAACGTGTTGGATTCGTCATTCAATCCACCGCACGTGGCGCACTACTCGTTGGCGCGTCTCGCCCCATTCGATCGCAACGGCACCTCGCCCTTTGATGCGAGATTGCTCGTACTAGGCTCTTCGAACGCGGATAAAGGATCTACGGGTCAAGATGAGATGAAGACGAGGCTAGAAATGATGAGATGTATGGCGATCGAGCTGGATCAGGACCTCGCGAAGGGCGGTGGTCGCGGACACGGTCAAGTCGGCGTCGCCGTCGTCGAAGGGGCTAGGTTCGTGGATAAGAGCAAACACATCAGGGAGCGGATCAAGGAGTACCATCAAGGTCTCGAAGTGGAACTTGTCTTTGCGCTAGGTTAGTCTCCCGGTATTGAAGGAGCAGGTACGCAGACCGGCTTCACTTGCTGATCCGAGACTGTATCCGGTTGCGACCCAGGGTGGGACACGGTCATCCGTTTCTTCAACCCGAAGTACTATGGCACAGAATTCGACTCATTCATGACATCGTTCTTTGATACCGACCGATCCTCGATCGCCTGCGCACGAAGAGGGGCCGTCTCATCGATCGAGGAGGAAGAATTCTTGTCGTCCCCGAACGTACACAAGTACCGCGAGAGAATCACCATGTGCGACGTCGACGATCAGGCGCTCAATGTCAGCTCAACGGATGTCAGAACTGCAATCAAGGAGGGGAGGTGGGGAGACGTCGACAAGTGGATCAATGTTCAAGGCGTGCGCGAGGTGATCAAGAAAGAGCGACTGTACGAGCACTAAGCGAGGCTAGGTGCTTTGTAAGACCGCCACGTGTTTATGCTCTTTGCAGTCAAGGGCAAGGGGCTATGCTCGAAGCGAGGCGTGCTCTCTACCCCAACCACCAAGCTGTCAGATTTGGTACCTGGATTCTCGAAGGGGAAATACCCACGACCAAGTCTCGTTGAGCACAGCACGATGCCGTTGAGTATATTCGATGGCTGAGTTGAAGCATGACCGCATACATCTAGTCATCCCACTGCATCACATCCACCGAAGGTTCACAAGGTCGGTGCTTTCTCCGGTGCTCAAGCAAATCATGGCGTCTCTCGCGGCCGGCTGTCATAAGAGGCTCGAGCACTCGCACCGCACCTAGCGCAGGCCTAGCTTCAAGCGCTCATCGTCCGGCGCTCAGTCCTCCATTACCAGTCCGTAGGCGTTGGAAAATCACGATTCGACCGCGTACTCTTCCTTTGGCCCGTCGCTTTCGTATATCGTTCGTCGAGGCCTGTGCCACCTGACGACGCGACGCGACGTGACAAACCCCTTGATCGAGCTACACCCATGTTTGCACCAGACCAAGGCCAATTACATCAATGACGGCGACGGCAAATACCAAGGAAGATCGCCACCCTCCTCTCAAAGAATATACAACTGGCTTCCTTGTCGCCCAAACTGATCGTTCGGTCACACATGATTGGAGCGTTTTTCGGCTGAAGGATCGACAGGAGGTCTGATGCGCATCGAGCGCGCCGATTCATTAGGCTTCGGCGCCACGCTCAAAGTCAGTGAGCTCGCTCCCATTGCTTTGGGCAGCCGCCAGGACCGTCTCTTGTTTGGATGCACACCGACTCTCAGCATAGCCTCTGAGACGGACATGCTTGGCGGTGGTCACATTTCTCAGCCGGCCCGGCGGAGGTCAGTGCCGGAATGTTCCTCGTCAAAGTATAGAGCGATATCACAACTCGTCCTTCTCCTCCTACATTCCCACTCGCCCGTTTTTTTCCCGATCACCCACACTCTTTTTCTCATCGTCCTACACGCTAGGCGTCTTAGACAGGCCCGGTCGCTCAGTCAAGTTCCCGTCGACTCGAGGTGAGTTGAGCGACGAAAAAGCTTTCGAAGGGACGCGCTTTGATCATATGCCCGTACTACCGTGTCCTTTCCAGCCTATCCATACCACACTCGTTTTACACATACCTTCTACTTCTCCCAGCCCACGATGAAGACCTTTTTTCTTCGCTCTTCGTTGCTCGCGCTCGCGACGTGCGCGCTCGGTGCCTCCGCCACCGTGACCAATCCCTCGGAGCAGCACGAGCCCTTTGATCTCGACAAGCGTACTTTCGGCCTCATCCCCCTTTCACCCTGCGGCATCTTCAAGGGAGGAATGAGTGGTATCAGTACCTACTCGAGTCTGTCGCTCAACCTTGGCCTCACCGCTCGAGTGCGCTGCCCCTTGACGTTCCGCTGTGACGGTAAGCCCCGATCCAATGCGGGCGCGGCCCGCGCTCAGCGCTGGCGCCGCTCTGATAGGATTCTCTTGCTGATACGACCTGCATCATTTCTCAAGGTTCGGGTACGGACGGTCACCTCTACGACATCAACGGCCTGCCGGTCCCGTCGTGTTTCCCATCCACTTGGCGCTACTTTGGCATGTGAGTGACGACAAAATGCTTCCGGGTGCGCGCAGTATGACACAGTTTCTGATACAGAAAAGCACCTTATCATTACCTCAGTGAAAGAGGATGGCAGCCCCCTGCTTCATTCAGCTGCGGGTCGAGCTGGACCGTCCCGACTGCGTGGTGCCCCTCGGTCCACCTCGCACCTTGGTTCCGACCCGGACCCGGTGTCGCGCTCAGCTACTCGTCCGGCCTCAACATACCGAGCTGGTGGCTCCCTTCTGCTGGCTGGTCGTGCTCGGGAAACCTCGGCATTGGTGGTTACGCCTTCGATCCCTACGGGCAGGGACCTCCGATTGGAGCCAGCGGGTTCTTGTACTTCGGTTTGGGCAGAGGATGGCTTCCCCCTGCTGGCTTGAGTATCGATGTCAACTTTGTGAGTCTCGGCCGTTTTAATATCCTCCGCTCCTGTGAATGGGACAGTCGACTGATCCCGTACCCTCGTTCATTTCTTCAGGTCTTCCCCAGCGGCTGCGGTAATCTCCACCTCGCCACCTGGTGGTCACCCCCTATCGAATGGGTCCCTCCTCCCAAGTTCGGCTGTCCCATATGGTGGAAGTGCAGGCGATGCCAAAGCCCTACAACTTCGGTCACTCTGTCTTTGCCTGCCCCTACGACGACCACCTCGGCTGCGACGATTGCTCAGACGACAGCTCCTCAATCGCCGACGACGAGTGCGGCGGCTACCACGGCGGCTCAAACCACTTCGAGTGCTGCCGTGACAACTACGAGTGCTCAAGCTCCGACTAGTGACTGCCACACTACGACCACCGCCGCGGCCACGACGACCGCGCAAGCCACGACGGCTGCAACCACCACCGAGGCACAGGCCACCACGACGGCGAGCACGACCACTGCTCAGGTCACTACCTCGTCGTCTACCTCGGCTTCAACGACGGATCCTCAGACTACCTCGACTGCTGCGACGACGACGTCCAGCACCACGAGGTCCGCAACGTGCACTTCGTCTTCGACGTCCACGTCTCGCCCCCTCCAACCTCCCACGACCGCACCCAGCCCCCCTTGCGCGCAGAGCACCACTCGCACTCACCACCACCACCATCACTCGGTCCCTACTACTCGACGCATCATCACGTCGACCGTTCGTTTGTTGACGAGTACTTCGTCTGCTTCGGGACCTACTTCGACTTCCGTTTCGACTTCGACTTCGACGCGTTCGAGTTGCGCGGGAGTGCCGACGACGAAACCTCATCATGGTCATCCTTGGCATGGCCATGGTCACTCCCACCATGAGCATGAGCACCACCCTCACAAGCATCCCCAGCATGGTAAAGGCAAGGGACAATGCAACTGTGTGCTTCAGGATACCGACGATGAGAATTCCGACTAAAACTTGAGAGGGAGTACTTACCTCGTTCTAGTCTCAGTCGCGAGTCGCGAGCGACGGTTGTATAGCATAGACACTCGTATTGTTTTCTTCTCGCTTCACTTTATACCCCACCTTCTCACTTTTCGTCTTTCGCACACTGGGTACAGCTTAATATACTCCATTACAGCGGCGGTCCTCATTCGCTGCGCCATAGTTTTGAAAACGGAGCTCCTCCGCTTCGATCTTCTCACAAGTTGGCATGAAGAACGACTGGAAATTCCGAAAGGTTACAGACAGCTCTCACAAGTTTAAACACAGCGTCCTACCCCTAGCGACCTGTTGTCGAACCAACCAAGGTTCCAAGCCCGTCGCGACGAGACTTGCCATCAGGATACCTATCCAAGACGAAGTATCAGTCCTTTGATCGAATCAAAGCCCTGTCGTCACATTTGACAACTGCTTGGAACTGACCTAACGTATCCGCGAAGCCGACACTGGCGATCCTAAACTCCCTTTCCAACTTCTTCCTTTCGCTCGATTTGAACCTATTCACGGCCCTGACCTCTTCGCCTCCTGATCCATCTCCTTTACCCTCCCTATCGTCCGTCTCTTCTTCCCTACCTAGCCTATAAAAACAATTCACGTACGCCGACCCTCCCGCCAACCCTTCACATGAGACCAAACAAAAAACGATGACGATCGTACCGTTCTCCCCCAACGACGAATTCAAAAAGATCCCCCTCGACGATTCCAGAAACGTGAGTGTCAATAGAAATAGTTGAAAGATCGTGGGTAAAGGTAGAAGCGCGATCGGTAGGGGAGGGAGGTGGAGGATCGAGAGGGAGGAGCGGGAAACGAAGACCCAGAATTGGTAGACGAGTTGCCAGAGGGGGTAATAATCGCGCAGGGAGTGGATGAGGGAGGAGAGGATCGGGGTCGAAGGGGACGGTACTTCGTAGATTAGGGTGGGGAAAATACCAGAGTTGATGGTGTATTCGGCGAGGTAGACTAGGCGGAAAAGACCCATATCAGCTAGACTTATCTGGAGGTCGGAGACGAAGCGGAGAAGGGCTCACCGAAGAATAAGGGTAACATGTACCGCTTGAAAAGCGGTTTTGCCAGAGCTGAGAGTGCCAGGAATTCGCGCGATCAGTCTCTTGTGGCGAACCTTTTTCTTCTACGGCGCTATTCCTCCCGGAGACTTACCCAGTTTCTCCCGCGTCGTCAAGGTGATTTCCTCCCCCTCTTCTGCCGGCCTTTGAGCTTGAGGTTGGATCAACGCTTCTCCGACTTGAGAATCCTCCTCTTCCCGCTCGCCCTCGACGTCATCCTCTTGATCCAAATCGTCCTCGTCGACAACGAACGTGTAGACGTCGAAAGGTGCCGAACCGAAAGTTTCGACGCGGGGCAACAGGAAGTAAAAAGTGAGGGCCATACAGAGCGGGAGGAACTAAGTGAACGCGCGTGAAGCAGAAATTCAGTCTCGTTTCGTCTCGTAGGCATCGTCGTGCGCGCTCACTGACCGAACAAATCAACAACCCCCCTTTAACGCCCAAACCTCTCAACACCCACCACAAGCCAGCCCCAACCAATCCCGCCGCCCCAGTCCCGGAACTGAACCAACCCACTGCGAACCCCCCGAGATCGATAGAGGCAGGGAGGCGCAGGGATCCGTAGAGGGTGGTGAGTTGGAGGTAGGTCATTTCGCCTAGGCCGGAGGAGAAGGAGGCGATGGCGATGCCGAAGAGTCGGAGGAAGAGGGTGGAGGAGGAGGCGACAATCTGTGATGAGGGGGAGAGGGATGGATTTGAGTACGATACGTGTTTTGGAGGTGACGGAGGTGACGTGGCGAGACGTACGATGATGCCAACGAAGGAGATGGCACTGCAGCGATCGGGGGGAGAAGAAATCGTTTCAGCTCGGTGGCTTTGGTCGGAAATTGGGGTCGACTCACGAGCAGCTCAGGATCCGACGATCATACCGTGCTTGTCCCTATTCGAGCGATGCTTTGAATCTGATGTTAGCAGGACTTGGTCTCCGAATTCGATCGGCCGCACTTGCCGGTACGAGATACGGCCACCCGACTTTGACGGCCAAAGCGGGCGCGACTGGAAACGTGGCGAGCGCGCAACCGGGAACAGTTGGGTGTCAGGTGGTGCAGGTGCAGCTACACATCCCCCCCCCCGCGCCCCCCCCCCGCGCCCCCCTCGGGAATTGGACCGACTATTAACAAACAGGATCAGTCCCTGAGCACAAGCACACATGCACCACGAACCGCGGGTCAGCCACGAACGAATCCCATCTCAAGACCGGGCGGGCGTGCCGGCGCTACCTGACCGTACGGACGTACCTTGGGCGTCGTGGCTTTGTCGACCAGGTCCAAGGCCGCACTGAGGATGACGACGTAGAGGACGTTGTTGAGCAGGCCGAAGCAGAAGAAACTGGCGCCGAAACGGAGACGATGTGGGATCGGTGTTGCTGTTGCTGCTGCTGTTGCGGCTGCGGAGGAGGAGGAGGATAAGGACCGGGGCATGCTGCTCGATGCTGATGAGGCTGGCGTAGGTGGGTATGTTGGGGTAGTAGAGGTGGGTACGGCCATCGACTGGTAGTCGGACGGGTCATTCGTGCGTGCTGCCGAACGTGACAGCGCAAAAGGGCAGGCTGTGGCTTGCTTGGGAAGTTGGGATCCGGTGGGGCGGTAGGGGGCGGTCACGTGCGCAGACGTGCGCGCACGATGGACGACGCAGGACGGAGACAGACGCGGAGGCGGATTTCCTTTCCTGACCTTTCCGGCATCCACTCCGCTCCAACATCAGCATTCCACAGCATGCCACCTCGCCCCTCTCTCCTTGGCAGCCATCGAGCCCTTTCCTCGCCCACTTCATCCCCTTCCTTCCTGATTCGCCACTCCTCCTCTTCCTCCGCCCCCTCTTTCGTCCCCTGCTCCCGCACCTCTGCCGACACCGAAATACCCTACGGTGATCCCACTCAAGCTTCCTCCGCCTACCTACCCCAGCACCCATCCACCCACCCCTCCACATCCACCTCCACCTCCACCTCCACCCTGGACCCCGCAGCGACGACTTCGACCCCTTCCACTTTGACCGATCGCCAGAGGCACGTACTGCAGCAGATCCTCAGGGTCGATCAGGCGGGGGAATTAGGCGCCAATTGGATTTACAACGGACAGCATGCGGTGCTCAAGAGGAAGAGGGATAGCAGGGTCGCGAGTCTAGTCCAGGTCTGTCCTTGTTGGTGGCGTCACGTCTCATCGGCGCGCTGACGAGACGAAAAACGCTGACTCGATTGCCCCCACTCCCCCTAAGGACATGTGGGACGGCGAAAAGAAGCACATCGCCACGTTCGACAAATTGATCACCCAGCATGGCGTAAGACCGACGGCCTTGTATCCCGTCTGGAAAGCCGCGGGATTCGCTTTAGGCGCCGGAACGGCCTTGTTGGGTAATCGCGCCGCGATGGCGTGTACGGAGGCGGTCGAGACCGTCATTGGGGAACATTATAATTCGTATGTTTATCGATTCCTGAACGGGTCTCTTGAGGTGGGACCTACTTCAGCTAATCGCGTGGATGTAAAACCCTTCAGACAACTCAAAGAACTCAACCTCGCCTTTCCCAACGACCACCCCTCCATCCCCTTACTCAAGCAACTCCTCCTCGAATTCCGAGACGACGAACTAGGTCATCTCGATACGGCGGTAGAGAACGAATCCCAACAGGCACCGGCTTATGCGTTGCTGAGTGCTGCTATTGCCACAGGGTGTAGGCTCGCCATCGGGATTTCGGGAAAGGTCTGATGGGATGGCGTGTGTGTAGTCTTTCGTAGAGTTCGTGGATTGTTTGTATTGCACGCATACCTTTTCACGTTTTTTTTTGGACCAGAAAACTGCCTTTCGAACTGGTACCCCAAAAAAAACTTATCCACACCCTGACCTCGAACCATTCACAAACCCCTCCAATCGAAAGCCTCCTTCACCACAACCTTCTCCCCCAACTTCAACTCCCCCGAATTCTCCCCTACCAAAATTTCATACTCCCCCTCTTCGACAGACCAAGATCCCTTCTTCTCATCCCAATAACTGAACGCTTCCTTCGTCACTTCCACTTTCACTACCTTTTCCTCCCCCGGTTGAAGAAGGGAAGTTTTCGTAAAGCCAATCAATTCTTTTTTAGGTCGATCGACGCCACGAGCGCCGCCTACTGCGCCGATGTAGACTTGGACGACTGAACGACCTGGCAGCGAACCGGTGTTGCGGACTTTGATGCTCAAAGTGCATTCGGCTTGAGAGGAAAGGGGTGTGAGGGATAGGGAGGACAGAGAGAACGTGGTGTAGGAGAGTCCGAAACCGAAGGGGAAGAGAGGGACGATGTTGTTCGCGTCGTAGTGCCTGTAACCCATGTAAATACCCTGAGAGGAGAGGAGACGCGGTAGTGGCTTAGCTGGGGCAAGAATTTAATGGATTAAAGAGCCTGAGCTTACTTCGGTGTAATGCGCTGCCCCGGGCGTAGACGAAGTAATCCCGAACGAATCGAACGAAGGGTTGTCCTCCAGTTTGACACTGCGAGTTCCAGTCAAGAGCCTGTTGTTCAGCTCCCTGAACAGAGCTCTTGTGATGTAAAAATTAATGACACTCACGGGAACGTCATTGGCAACTTCCCACTCGGGTTGACTTTACCAAACACGATGTCGGCCAACGCATTGCCCAATTCGTTACCGCCAAAGAACGCTTGCAGGACCGTTGAAGCTTGTTCGATCCAAGGCATCGAAACGGGACAGCCTGATTGAGTGACGATGATGGTCTTGGGGTTGGCGGCAAGGACGGCTTGGACGAGGGCGTCTTGGGCTCCGGGGAGGGCAATGGTTTTACGGTCGAAACCTTCGGATTCCCAGTCCTTGTTGGTGCCGACAACGACAATGGCAACTAAGACACGGGAAAGCGTGTACGAGGGCAATTGTCAGAGGAATGTTACTTTCAATCATCATCGTGCGGGGCTCTCCGCGACTCACCATCACTGGCCTTGGCGAGCTCGACCGCTTCTTGACAAGCGACTTCTTCCGGTTGGTCAGGGTACAAACCGAGGCGGAAGCCTGATCACAAGACCGATAGCGTAAAGGTCAGCGAAGGATAGCCCAGAGGTTTCATAGAGTGTATGAACTGACCAATCGCCTGCGGCATAGTCGAGAACGGGCTCGCCTCGACGCTGGTCAGATCATTCGAATGCCTCAACTCGATCAAATACTCCCTCCCCTTCTCCAATTGGATCGTCGCGCTCTCCTCTTCCGATCCTCCGCCGAAAAAGATCTCGCCGCTCTTGCGCGTCTTGATGTTGTCGAGGACGACGCGGCCATCGATGAGAACGGAGCCGAAGCCGAGGGTGCAGAGATCGATGAGGTAGGGGCCCGAGGTCTCCGGGGTGTAGGTGCAGGAGATCTGGAGAGACGAGCGGAACGGTCAGTGAGGCTCGAATACGATCAGTCCTGTGTTCGTTCACCCACCCTCGTTCGAGGTGTAGCCCCCAACTTGGCGTAAACCGACCGATCATCGACGAGGATCCCCATCGAAGTATCGAGATTGCACTGATAGTCCGGTTTAGGGGCTTTGGCATCGTCAAACTTCGATTGGTACCAGTCGTCCAGGAAATCGTCCTTCCACGCCTCCAGCTTGCCATTCTTCATCAGAGGATTCAAGAGGGGCAGATAACGGAAGGTCGAACAACCATTCGCAAATTCGACTTTGGCTCCAATTTCTTCAGCCGCGGAAGTGATGCCTTCGAGAGGGGAGACGGTGTAGGTCGAAGCGAGGGAAGCTGATCCACCACCACTCGCGACGGGAACCTTGGCGTTCGCACCGATGACGGCGATCTTCTTCGCATGTTTGAGAGGAAGTAACGAGTCCGAGTTCTTGAGCAAGACGTGCGCCGAGATGGCGGCTTCACGCAGCAAAGCTCGGGATTCGGGCGTATCAACGAGTGACTCGGGACTGTTGAAAGGGATGCCTGATGCGATGGCGTGGTTGACGAGCTCGAGCACGTTACGCACTCGTGCATCAATGTCAGATACCGTGAGCTTACCAGCAGTCAACATGCGACCGATGGCAGCACCTCGCATCGTCGTAGGTCCGGGCATTTCGAGGTCCAAACCGGCTTTGACGGCCGCGTCGGTCGAGTAAGTCCCCGTCCAGTCCGACATGACGAGCCCGTCGAAACCCCATTCCTTGCGGAGGACGTCGTCGAGCAGATCCTTGGATTCAGACACATGGATCCCATTGACGCGGTTGTAGGACGACATGAACGTCAAAGGATGGGCATGCTTGACCGCGAGTCGGAAGGGCTCGAGATAGATCTCACGCAGTGCTCGGGCACCGACGACCGAATCGGACGAGAACCTCTCGAACTGTGTGATGTATTCTCCCAATACGTGAGTGCATCTCTTTGGAGTCGTGCTGAATGGAACACTACACACCTCTTGGTCATTGGCGACAAAGTGTTTGACGCACGCGGCGACACCCGTCGATTGGACGCCTTCGACATAGTTCGCGGTCAGCATCCCACTGAGGTGGGGGTCCTCGGCGAACGACTCGAAACCACGACCGCCGAGGGGCGAGCGTTGCATGTTGCATGTCTATATGACCGGGGGAGGAAGAGAGTCAATAACTCCCGGCCGCATTATGTCTCTACCGGTGAACTGATGTCCAGCCGCGGGCCAAACTCACCGGTCCGAGCAAGACGTGAGCCCCTTTGGCGCGCGCTTCGTGACCGAGCGCGGCGCCGACCTTTTTCGCGAGCGGCTTGTCGAACGAGGCGCCGAGTCCGGTGCTGCAGGGGAAGCAGTTGGCCTGTCATGAAAATGACACAAAGTATTGAGCTCGTTTACCTTGTGTCAGCTGGGTCGTGAAGTGAGATCATACCTTGACACCGTTGAAGAACTTGGTCCCCCTGACGCCATTGGGCCCGTCCGAGACTCGGACCGATGGGATCCCGTGCCGTTGAACCTCGTTGAGGTGCCAAAAGTCTGTAGCCGGCGGGTCAGGGGTGAAAGACGATGCTTATCAGCTGTCGTCACCTTAACCTGTAGGTGTAGGGCCAGACTACAGGGGCCTCAAGGCATGATGCAGCCGCGTGTCATGCTCCAAGGCGGAGGCAGTGAGGGAGCTCGTCATCGATCATCACTGTGTCGTCGAAGCTCAGGCCTCAGGCCTCAGGCCTCAGGCCTCAGGCCTCAGGGCCGTGTGGGCAACACGAAGTTCATCGAGTCCAAACGCACCTTTCCCAGCGAGCAAGTTGGTCTTTTCCGTTACCGAAAGTTTGGCAAGCGTCGCATCGACGTCCAATTGCGTATAGTTGCGTGCCATGGCGTGCTGAAGATGGATGTAGTAGAAGACAGAGAAACCGAATAAACCGGCGTCACTGGCACGCCGGGATTGACCCCATCAAGTGCGGGGGGCGCTTCCCCGATCGCCGACACTCCCCGCGCGGAACTCGGCCGCCATTTTTTGGCTCGGCGGGTGATGAACTCGCCCGCTGAAACCGAGCAACTCACCCGAACGCCGGTCGACGTACCTCTAGCCGGTGTACCCAGCTGCCGAGCTCGATTCGGCGCAGTTTCAACCCAAGACCCAAGTCTTGTTAAGCTCCAGGCAAACCGCATGGGTAGGTAAGCAGTCATTGGAATTGTGCCCCTGCTCCAGCTCACCAGCTGTCTGCGCGCAACCGCCTCGATCAACCGGGAACGAATCTGCAAGTGCTGCCCGAGACCGAAGTTTCCGATGCCAAGGTTTGAACAAGCAGCGGTACACCTTTCTGGCCCACATGAATCTCATCCGGTCTCTTGACGGCATCATGTGCACACCATCTACTTGAGCAGAAGCTAAATACCGTGAATGTCAGTGCGCCGAATCCGAATTTTGGGCGTCAGCAAGTGCTGCGCATTGATTTCGCTACAGTAAGTACACGTTGCTCCCCAGGATGTCACAAGAACATACCACCGCTTCCTAACTACGTCCTAGTAACTCACTCATCACAAGCGTTTATTACATAGCTCTCTTTACTAGCTGTAGGCTTGCCTCGCTTGAAGATACCTCGGCCTTGGTCGATGTTTGCTAGCAAGTAACTCTATTTTCTGCACAAAGACTGCATCCCGATATATACGAAACGTTGCTATCTGTTGAATTACATCTTGATGATCGGTGGAAGCTGTCAACGAAAAAGTTTATTTCTTATTTCTACTTTTAGAGGTCAAACTTGAGTGAACTGATCTGCAACGCACGTTGCGCGCGCGAGACTTAGGGATCGCCTAGGTTGGCCAAGCGATCCGAGAGCGCCGAAGAATTCGGTAAGAATCCAACCCGGGCCAGCATGAGAATAACAGGTTTTGACCCGTGATCAAAGCTTATCGTCGCCCAACTGAGAAAAATGAAGGAAGTCCCCAGCGAACCCAAAGTTGAATTTCTTCATTAGCCCGAGCTTTGCAGTTATTAGCTGGGGCGCGAGCGAGTTTCACATTTCGTTCGTTGCCTTCCACGCCCCCCTCTCTCAATCGTCGCAGCCCCGACGACACAGCGAACGATGGACGTGGCCGTACCTTTGGTCGACACCTTGGTCGCTCCATTGGCTTTGGCGCCTTCTCTATTGAACACGACCGCTTTGGTCGCTTTGAAAGAAGGTCAGTCATTCATGACCCATCCAAGGCGATTCGCGTTGTCGTTCCCGATCGGGCTCGAGGCTCGGCCAGGGGGAGCGGAGGGGCTAAAGGGGGCTGGGTCGTTACATGAGAGGGAGAAGGGGCGGAATTGCTGACGAGCATCCATTTGTGTTTTGAAAAGAAATCAACCCGGAGACATGTGAATTGTTGGGGCCGTTCGCTTTGGTTGTTCAGGTGAGTTGGGTGGGAGCAAGTGTTTTGTAGAAGGCGGGGGGGAGGGATGACGACGGATGATGTGAACACCGCCGGCGACGCACGTTACCCCGCCTGACGCCAAGAGAGACGGGCTAGGGTACACGCATCAGAGACAAGACTGACTCACTCCATCGAATTCCATCCGTTCACTTCCCACAGGCCATCATGGGCGTCGTCGTGGTCGGGTCGTTGTTGCTCAAGCGAGCGCACGAGAAGCCACGACGAAGGTGGAAGGTCTGGCTCGGCGACGTCGGCAAGCAGATCGTAGGACAGGCGTTTGTGCATTCGTCCAATGTCGCTATAAGTGGTCAGTACATTCTAGAACGGCGGAACGGGGGGGAAATTGGAATTTCTCCGCTGACTCGTCAACTCTGGCGGATCCGTGCTCAGACTTGATCGCTCGCCACAAACTCGATAACCCTTGTTCGCTCTACGCGCTCAACATTTTCATCGACACGACCTTGGGTGTCTTGATCGTCTATAGCTTTCTGAGGATCTCGACCCATATCCTCAAGCAATATTCGCCGACGTACAAGACGGGCTATTACGGCAACCCATTCCAATTCACTTTCTGGGCTCGGCAGGTTAGTCCCAGAGCCCAGCCCAGCCTAAGGGACGTCACAGTGGCTGATGATGAATTTTGCTCTGGACCGCCCAGGCCGCCGTCTACGTCGGTTGCCTCACAGCGATGAAGATCGTCGTCCTCCTGCTCTTTTGGGCCTTCCCGACCCTCTTCGTCTTCGCCAACTGGTGCCTCTCCTGGCTCGAATCCGACGAAGCCCAAGTCATCGCCGTCATGCTCATCTTCCCCATCATCATGAACCTCTTTCAATTTCTGATCACGGATTCTATTTTGAGGAGTAAGGAAGTGCCTTTGGCTACTGGTGGTGGCGGTGGGGAAGGACATGAAGGAAACGGGGAGGATGAGGAGAGGGGTTTCTTGGAGGATCATGACGGGGATCGTGACGAGGAGGAAGAGGATGCCAAGCATCTTGCCGGGAGAGGGATACTCCATGCCGCGGGTGCAGGTGATAGTGGCTATGATACGGTCACGACTTTGACGTCCTCGATGGGGAGCACTCCACCACCCCTCGGATTACAAACCGATGGATTAGGTCGGAATCGAAGAGGTTCTTTCGTAGGCGGCAACTCTACTTCGCCTCATCAACAGCTTGGATCGGGGTTGGAAAGGAGGCTCAGTCCTTCGATCGCTTATCCACCTTCGATGACGTCGTCGGCCAAGAGGATCGTGGTACCGGTAAGGATCGAAACGAACAGTCAAGGTGTTTCGCCGATAGCGAGGACGGGGACGCCGGCGAGTTATTTGATACCTCCTACGACGACGGCAGTGGGGATGGAGAACCCGAAGCAAGAGGAAGAGGATGATTGGGGGGACAACTTTTCCATTTTAAGCGAGGAGGGCGAAGTGGGTGGGAACGCGAAGACGGAGAAGGAGGGTCAGAATCAGGACCAGGAACTTGGTCGAGGATCGTTAGAACGAGCGATCAACGATCTGTTGGCGAATGATCAAGAGGAGGAGGGGGGGCATACGAAGGTGTGGAACGAGAAGCTAGCGAGCCCCGGTGAGATGAGGGGGTTGGATCGGATACGGACGACGACGATCGACCCTCTGGCGGTGGGGGAGGAGGATGAGGAGATCGCGGAGGGGTGGGGTTTGTGATCGGATTATTCAGAAGAAGGGGACATTTCACTTTCGTTTGTGTTCAATTGGCGTGCGTTTTCTGTTTCTGTCGGTTTGTTGTATCCTTCATGTCGATATCGTACGGGGAAGTGGTTGCCTTACCCTTCGTTTCGCTCGTTCCACCGTGCTCTTTTTTAGCGTCTTTAGCGTACTACTACTGCATCTTCACAGTTTTCGATCTCTTTTCGCTGTATACAACGTGAGGAGGGAGCGTCTCGAACTCTCATGAGCTAGTGTCCAAGCAGATGTTGATGCCGAAAATTGGGGAGAAAGAGCGCCTTCCTCTCGAGTGGTAGTTGATTTCAAAACTACACAAGAGGGATTGACAACCCTTTCCCTCGTCCAACTTCAATAGAGGCAAGATGCTGTTTTGACCAGAGCTCTCCCAACGGTTTAACGGCTGGCAAAGTACTCCAACAAAACGTTGAGGGACTCGGACTCGACGCCGTAATCCTTGACGACGACGCACGAGCACCCGACGACCTTGCGAGCGACACCTTCCTTGTCGAGCTTGCACAGACCGGCCCACTCGCCCAGCAACTTGGGGTCCGAGACCTTGATCAAGTTGATCTTGTGTTCGGCGCAGAGGGCCTCGATCAATTGAACGTACGAGGGCTCGTTGCACGACTCGTTGAGGACCTGGTGAATGGAGGGAATGAACTCGGGATTGAGTAGACTTGCCTTCCCGACGAATTAGCTGCTTTGGCGGCAACTCACGCAAAGGTGGGCTTGACGCTTGTCAAGGGCCTTGGCGCACTCGCGAAGACCGCGCGCGAGACCGTCGTGGATCATGGCCTTCTTCAACACGTCCTGAGTGGATTGAAGAGGGAGCTCTCGGATCAGCCTTGAATCTTTGATGAGCCGTAGCCTTGTCGTACTCACTTGGAGGGCATCCTCGACGGACATCTTGCCCTTGGGGGCTTCGGCCTCGGCGACCTGAACCTCCTCGACATCGGCGACAATGGGGGTCTCGCTTCCGTTATCACTCATGATTATTAACTGCAGCGTCAAGGAACGGAAAAAGTGATTAGTTCCGGATGCTTCGAACGCGTGGATGAAGTCATGAGGGTGGGCGAGGGGGCGGCATGCGGTAGGCGTCAAGACTAGCTTTGCTAATTGAACCAGTTGGATATTGAATGTATGCGGCAGGCGTGGGCGGGTGCGCGGTCGCAGTTGGCTGGGTCGTATGCGCACCGTGCTAGGCGGGCGTAGCAGCCGAATGAGAGTTCCAGGTCCAAAGTCATTCGAAACAACCAAGTTGCTGTCCTCGAGGCCATCACACGGTTGGCCTAATTGCACGTCGAGCGGGATGGGTGGGTCGTGGACGTCTTTTCCCCCGCTGCGAGTCGTGTGCGAGGCTGAGCGGAGCTGAGAGGTATCGACACCAGACCGTCCTTGAAGTGGTCGAGCCGATAGTCGTTGGTCGAGGTGGTCGACAATACATCGTATGGTAGCTTGAGCGTACTCACACTTGAATGAAGCTGTCCTAAGCGATATGAAAAGAAGCAGAAGCCCGAGAGAGGCCAGGCGCCGTTCGCAGGCCTTCTTCTGCGCGCGCGCGCTCTGGCGGAAAAAATCTCGAGCCCACATTGAAGGCGCACCGCGTGCGCCGGGCGGGTAAGGGAGACTGCAATTCGGCATTATGATCTGGGCACGGCTGAGCTAATCGAAGCGAGTGCGGACGCCCGCGAGCGGACCAGGGAGAAGCAGGGAGAAGCAGGGAGAAGCAGGGAGAAGCTGGGAGACACTTGGGCAGCAGTGGGCAACAGTGGGCAACTAGGGGCAACTCAGTCCAGCTCAGTGCGGTGCGTCATTTTGTGTGGGCCGCCCGGTGTTTACCCCCCCACCTACACCACCTCTCTGCACTTTCCTGAGACTCTAGCTACCACCGCTCTCGTCGGGTCAAGGCCATTTTGATTCTGCTCAAGACAAACCTGTGTGAGTTCATGTTTGGAGCTCCACAAGATACCGGAGCCACCACCTTGTATTCCACACGCCAAGCCATCGTCGTGGTCTATGTCGCCTGTCGCCGTCACACACGTGCATCGTTTGCGTCCACACCGGGGCGTTGCATATCTTCATGCAACTCCCATCGACCGGGGATCGACCTTGTCCAGCAAACACCGGCATCTTCACACCATTTGCATATGGATGATGCAGGGGCACGTGCTGCTGTGTTGCCTAGCCGGAGTCGCACAGACCTCTCCGTCGGAAGACGATTCGAGCGTGAAAGTCGACAACTGACTGCACACCCAACCCGAGCCCACTCCTCGGTGAATCTGGGGCGACTCCGACACTTACTTTCGACCTTCAGAGATGGGTACCTTTCCAAACGGTTTTCGAACCTTGTGACTGAACCAATCACTCCTTTTCCTGCATGCAGAGCGATCAGTCGTCGTTTGTCCGCGCAAGCTCCGATCCCAACCCTCCGTGGGTGTGCCCGTGCTCTCAAGCCCCAATCGGCCCCCACTACAAATCATGGCCCCTAAGAAGCGCGCATCCGCCCCCAACTCCAAGGCGTCGTCCACCTCGACCTCGACCTCGACCTCGACCCCTTCCTCCGCAACACGGAGTAGACAAAAGGCCACCGCCACCGCCCCCGCTGCTGCGCCCGTCGTCATCGATTCCGTCTCGTCTTCCGATGTCGAATCCGTCGTCGCAGACTACACCGATGGCGACGACGACGATTCCGACGTCGATGCTCAAGTGGAACGAGCTGGACCTGCCACACCGACGGGGACCGTCAACCCCGTCTCCGCTAGCAAAGACCACGACTTTGCAGCCCGACTCGCCTCGCCCGCTCGACTACCGAGTACGCCCAAATCACCGTCGAGCAAAAAGGGCCCCGTCGAGGCCTACACCGGCGCCGACCATGACCCCAACAAGAAGGTCAAGGCCATCATCGAACGCACCGTGTGGGGCTTCGTCATGGGTGGTGGCGCGATCGCCCTCGTCGCTGCCGGTCATCTGTACTGCATCGTGCTCGTCTTTTTGTGTCAGGCAGTCGTCTTTTCAGAGTTGACGAGTCTCTTTGACGTGGGGTATTCCAACACCGTCCATGAGTCGGCTGTGGCTCCTGTGCATCCTTCGGATCCGAGGGCCGCGGAGAAGGAGTTGAGGCGAAAAGGAAGGAGGGAGGAGAGGAATCGCTACAGTCGGAGGATGAGCTGGTCAGTCCGCACGACTTACGTGACGTCTTAAGGATACGGAAGGAGCTGACCGTTCATGACTTTTATCAGGTACTTTTTCGCCGTGACCAATTACTTTCTCTATGGCGAGAGTCTAATCTACTACTTCAAGCACATCCTCACCTTGCAAACCTCATTCCTGCCCTCGGCCTTCACTTTTGCCCAACACCACCGTCTCATCTCCTTCGGTCTCTACACATTAGGTTCGTTTGGGTCTGTCTTCCGGGGTTTTCAGACATCAAATACTGATATCGGCTCCTGATCACCAATTTACGACCAGGCTTTGTTTCGTTCGTCGCCAACCTCGACCGCGCCCAGTTGAGGAGACAGTTTGGCCTCTTTGGCTGGATCCACATGTCTTTGCTGTTGATCGTCGTGAGCAGCCATTTCATTGTCAACAACATCCTCGAGGTAGGTCTATTTCCTGCTCAAGTCCGATACTAGAGATAGAATCGCTGATTTCTTCATCTGTGACCTTCATCTGTGACCTTCAGGGCATGATCTGGTTCTTCATCCCCGCGACGATCGTCATCACCAACGACATTGCCGCTTATGCTTGCGGTATGTGCTTGTCCCATCTGATTTAAACGTCGGGGTGGGATTTGTGCTGACGACTCCTTGATTATTCACAGGTATGGCCTTTGGTCGACACCAGCTCATCAAGCTGTCGCCCAAGAAGACGGTCGAAGGCTTTGTTGGCGCTTTCTTTGTGACGATTGCGATCGCCGTTGCCGTGAGTACTGAAGCTAGGATAATATCTGATCCATCTGTTGACATGTTCTCGCCTCATGCCCCGTGTCTAGGTCGGCACCTTGTTCATGCGTTCCGACTACATGATCTGCCCCGTACAAGATCTGTCCTCGAACGCCTTTTCCGCCGCCTCGTGCACGCCCAATCCCGTCTTCAACTGGTATAGCATCCCCCTCCCCTCCTCGATCGTAGCAGGAATGGAACGTCTCGTGAGTTTATTCAGTGCTTCGCAAAAGACTCGACCCCGCTCCCCAAAACTTCCGAGCTGATCACGCCAGAACCAAACCTCACCAGACCGGCGGTCATGCGATCCGTTCCCTCTGGTGGACGCCCTTCCAATTCCATCTCGTCGTCCTCGCCATTTTCGCCTCCCTCGTCGCTCCTTTCGGAGGCTTCTTTGCCAGTGGTTTCAAGCGTGCTTTCAACATCAAGGATTTTGGCGACTCGATCCCGGGTCATGGAGGGATGACCGATCGAATGGATTGTCAATTTTTGATGGGCTGGTTCACTTATGTGTAGGTCCTACCCCTCAGGAATCCGTTTCATCTTTCTCGAAACTGACTCGACGCTTTCATTGGTGATGGCAAAATCAGTTATTACGCCTCCTTGATCCGCGTCTCCCACGTCACGGTCACGAGTCTGATGGCCCAAGCTGCTTCGGCGTTGACGACGCAACAGCAGGTGGAGCTGTTGAGGGAATTGAACCAGTATCTCGTTTCGAAAGGGGTCAAGACCCAAATTGGGATTTGAATGTGAACGCGTGTTCTTCCACTCCCCGGAAATGTAAGGTTCTCTCGAAACGTGTTCCTATCGCCAACTCGCCTCTTCTCGTCTGTTGTCCCGCTCGCTCAGCCTCTTTGCGTCGTTCTTTCACCACACCATTCGCCCACCCAAAATCAGCTCTTTCACGGTTTCCCCCTCTTCCTATTGTTGAATGTTATGAAATGATGCTATTTAAAAACTGCTTCCCTCCTCGAGAAGGAGGTTCTTCGTTCGCCATTGAGAGATTCGCTCGTCGGGTGGGGCTGACTCGAGGCTTGTTCAACAAGGGGCAGTTGCTCTCACCGCGTGTCCGGATACTGTTACATACTACTCCGTAGCAAGATCCAAAAAAACAAACAAAAGTACTGAAGAAACAACTTTGATCTTGTGTTACATGTAAGATCCAACCATTAACTTGCACTGAAGATACGACACGCGCGTAGTAAACCCGAAGAACCCTTAAACCTCCCCCCCGTGGAAAAGCTCCACCGACCGACGTTTTCAATGTATTTACAAAACGTAGACGAAGTCCGGGTTCTGCTTATCGGTCATATCGAGGAAAGCGTTCTCCAGACCATGATCGACTTGTTCAAACTTGGTCGCCATGGACGTATCGTTGATTTGCGCGGTTTGACCGTTCGCGACGCGTTGCGCCGCTTTTTGGCGGTTCAACCAGGCGAGATTCGCGGCTTGCAATCCGATGAGACCGATGAGCACGCAAAAGATTGCGAGGGTGCCTTTGAGACCGGGGCTGAGAGGAGAGAAGCGGGAAGGTAGAGGGGTCAGTACGGCTCAAAGCAAAGCGGGGGAGAAAGACCTTGCTGAAACTGACTAGTAGTCGGGCCCGTCTTTGGACTTGAAGATGAAAGGTCCGGCAATGTTACCGATCGACGAAGCGGCGTTGTAAGCGGTGAAGACGGCCGACTTTTTGGTTTGACCACCCGTGTTGGCGCTGATCCAAGTGACGAGAAGAGGGTTCGCGGCAAAGACAAAGCCGATGAGGTAGTAGCCGACCAAGAGCGCCGAGCGGTGCGCCTTGGTGTGAGGGACGGCGTACAAAATCGCGACACCGATCACGACGGGCACCATGAACGCGGCGAGGATGACGGACTTAAGCTTGAAGCGGTACGCGAGCCACGACGACAAGAGAATCGCGAGCAACTGGATCGCTCCGAAGGGGATGTTGAGCAGCATCGACTCGTACGCGGTGAAGCCGACGAGTTGTTGGAGGATCAGGGGACCGAAAACGTTCGAGACCGAGGCACCGACGTTAACACAGAAGGAGCAGGCGAGGAAGATCCACGCCGACGGTTGGGTGAAGAGCTCAATGACCTGGGATAATTTGAACTCGGAAGAGGCAATACCGGTCTGGTTGGCGCGCAGGCGCTCCACGGCCCTTTGTCGATCCTCAGGCGACAAGAAACGAGCCTCCATGGGGCTATTGTCCATCCGCCAGTACAAGATCGGAGCGGTGATCACGGTCACGAGGGCATAGATGAGGAACACGATCTGGTAGGTAAAGAGCGAGCTCGACTTGATGTGGCCGATGCCGTAAACGAGGGCGGAGCCGACCATCGTCTGCAAAGGTGAAGAGAAGTAGCAGCGTCAGACAGCAGTCTTTACGATACCACGTGCTTTTATGATGAACGAACCGCCGTGCCATTTTGTAGATACTTTGAGATGATCAAATGTATCAAAGTCAATTTGCGTTTTGCTCAAGGCCACTTCAAGTCATCGGGTAGGGCAACTCACCCAAGTGGCAACGCGCAGGGGCTGTTCGGAGCGGCGATACCATGCCGAGGTGATCATCGCAAAGGCGGGGAGAATAGCCGCCTCGAAAGCACCCAGGAGGAATCGAGTGGCGAGCAAGGCACGGTAGTTGGTCGACACGGCCATCCCGACGAGCGAGACACCCCAGAGGAGGACAATCAAGGGTACGAATTGGCGCACTTGGACCTTGACAAGCAGGTACGCTGCGAGCGGCTGCATGGCGAGTTGAGCGTAGTACCCAATGTTACCGATATTCGAGTATTGATTTCCTACGAGGTGGGCATCCTTCTTCAGGCCAAAGACGGCCGAGAGACCAATGATGGACTTGTCCGAAATTTGAAGGAAGTAGACTGCAGGAAAGGTGTTAGTCAAATCGGACAGAAATGAGTTTCAATTGATGCAACATAAAGGCTTACCCCATGCGAGGAGAATGAGGACATGGATGTCAGTCCGGCGGCAGATTCGTCGACTCTGTGACGCAAAAGGGATGATCAACCGTCGAGGTGAGCTCACCGAGCCGAGGCGTCGCCGAAGTCACGCGCCGCTTGCGCTAGCGGCAGGCGAGAAAACCAAAGACTCACATCGGCTTCAGTAACGACTACCCGGTCCTCTGAGAGGGCAAGACCGCCATCGGCTTGCTTGGAGAACTCTTGGTGAGCAGTCGTGTTTTTGGCCACCGGTTCGGCGTGCTTGGACTCCGTGGACGAGATCGAAGACACCATGGCTGCGGCGGGCGAAGGGCGAAGGGCGAGAGGCGAGGCCGGCGAGGGGCGAGCTCTGGTTGTCGACGGTCGTCGATGAGCGCTGAGCGAGGTGGAGCAGGACTCAAGATGAGTCTTGGTCGAGGCAGATGAGGTGGTGCCTTGAAGAAACAGTCTGGAGAAGTGTGGGACAGAAAGGAAAAAGGGAGGGGTTGGAGTGCGGAGGTAGACGAGCGAATCGTCCCGGGCGACAAATCGTGGAAAAGTCAAAATCGTGGGGTGGTGAGGGGGGCAGTCTGACCGGCCCTCGGTGCCCGGTCCGTGAGGGTCCCGTGAGGGTCCGTGGCCGTGGCAAATCGTCTTTTGGCTCAGGATTGGCCTGGAATGACCTGCGCGCACAGAGCTCTGACATGCCAACTCAGCCGCGGGCTGGCTGGGGCGTCTATCGTTGTGCCAAGACAATCGATTTTCTTGGGCGCGTAGCGCGCGCGAGAGCGATTTAGAGACGCGGGGGGGTGGGAAGAGAAAAGCATGGGGGTGGAGATCACGTGATGTCGTGACCAGCCCAACACCGACCCCAGCTCCGATCTACCCCGATGAAGGGGAGAAGAGGGAAATGAGCCCCTGGCCATCTCCACGCGACTGCATTGCAGCTCGAAAGGCACGATAATTTCAGACTTCTGAGGCATTATTGACTAGCTCACAAGAGCTACAAGTACAAGATTGGATGCTGGTTTTCCTAAATACCCATTCCATCACATTCGAAATCGATAATTACTGGCGCATAGACTGCTCCGTGAAATCGTGCTTATTCTCCCATCGAGCAGCTCTTGCGCTGCAATAAGTAATTAGATATTGACAAGTGGAGAAGGGCAATGAAGTTTCATGTCGTAAGAGCTATAAACTCCCATCATGTAGCAACTAGAGTTCTTGAACCCTGTTGAGGTGAGAGAAGCCGGCCCGGCATTGATCATGTTACTCCTCGATCTGTAGCAAAAAGATCACATTTCAAATCGTCGCGCGCAGCAGACTTCGGGGAAGTCTCTTTTCTATGGAGTGGATGCGGAGCAGTAATGCCATCTCAGATCGCAAGCCTCCGTGCACCGGCCCAGCATTTGCCACCCCCACGGCCATTACATCACGTGATGTCATAGAAAGCGTGGGGCGTTGACGTTGCCCGGCAAGAGCCGAGTGGGGTCATATCACGTGACTGTCGGCGTGGGGAAAGCGTGGGCGACACATCGTCATCACCCGTGTCGCGGCTACATCACGTGACTGCAAGCGTGGGGCCGCGGCTCCCCACGCTCTTGGGAAGTTTTGCAGGACTACAGGCAGGTGCGGGTCACCGTGAGACCACGGTCCGAATGTCATAAGCGGCTCATTGAAAATGAAGTCTCGGCGCAAGTCTCGTGTCACGATTTACGACTATGCAGAGGGGTCCGTCGGTCGCACCCTGAAATCTTACGTGACTCTCACGGCTTGTCGTGTTTCTCATCTTGGGCACACGTCGAGGGCGATGCATGTATACTAGAAATCAAAGACAGCAAGAATCACAGAATATGCCGAAGGAGAGCTAAAATTCTGCATGAGTTGTGCTCTTGGACCTGCTGAGATTCGGGTCTCGACTCGCGCTTTCAGCCGTTTCTATCTGGCCAATGATTCCTGTGAAGCTGTGGGGAGCTTGGATGACTAGGCGAGATGTTGCTTTGTGAAGATGCAATGTGATTCATGACCTCCATATGTTTTGGAGCTACAGAACCCATGTCCCAGCTAACTATCAGAGCGGAACTAACAATTATCATCAGCGACTGCGCAAGAAATCGACGGCATCAGGCGCGAGGTTTTTACCGGCGAAGAGACGCCTTGTGCCATTTCGGGAGGAGTATTTTATAGGATAATATACTCTCACAGAACTCTATGGCGAACAACGATGGAACATGATACACGTCTGCACCTGCAAGTGCAGTCATGTCCGAGCTTTCTTCATCAGAAGGGCTCGGCAGGTTCATCTCCGAGAGGCTTACTTTCTTGTCGTGCAAAGGCTTAAATCGCCAGACCGCAGATCCATCCGATTTACCTTGCTTCAGAGGAAGGATTCCCATCAGTCAAAGCTCTCGATCTCTCGGTACAAAGCTCCTGCCAGGACCCGATATTGCGCGGCACTGTCCTAGGAGTGCTCTGACTGTTAATGATCTTGATGCCAATGGTCGTGCTATGCGAACTCTGGAGTCGTGCGCCACATTTCGGCTGAGAGCTCAGGCGAGTCCCGGCTCGGCTGAGCACCTGCTGCACCAGTATCTGTAGGGAATATACTGTTCCGTTCTCAGTTACTGCAGCTCTCGATACCAGAACCGTCTCCTCGGAGTCCGACATTTTGAAGAGTTGACCCCCTTCGATGCTCCGGGATCTGCCGAGCTCATTTGCTCAGAGTCAGAGGCACCCGGCTGCAAATCCCTCAACTTCATGGGTATTAATGGCGGTGTGAGACATCCAAGGCGAGGTCCAAACGCCGAAATCGCAGTGTTTTACTCTTGCTGCCTGACCAAAGGAAAATTTGCACACATCAAGACTGGTCGGTTCAAAGATACGGGAAGGCTTTGGATTTCGACTACTAGCTTCCTTCGCGGGATATAATCAGTACCTAATACCTTCACGCCTGAGAGGTGGTTTTGATGGACTATTAGTGGACCAAGGTGCCAGGACACCTCCGAGGGACTCTCACTTGACAACTATCCGAGTGAGTGGCATTGCCCCAGACAGATCCATCTCAAGATGGTGCCGATCTACAACCACCTTTGAATTTCGTTTGCACTGCTCCCCGCGATTGCTTTAGCATAGCTTTTGCCCGCGTGACCGTATCGGAGGTGAGCGACTCGACCTTCGGCCTGAACCGGTCGCAAATCTGGGCGCGGGTCTGAACTCCGGGGTCGCCTCCGGGGATGGCCACTGGCCCCACTATAGAGACCACTAAATTGAGGCGGAAAGGCGCTGTAAAAAGATTTTTTGGTCCTGGCTTCGAGGGCGTCAGCGCCTCGTGACGTTCAAACTCCCACTGGGCATCGAGTCATCGACATCCCCTCTTCCGTCTCGTCTACCTATCACTTCACCGCACACCACTTATCACCTGCAACACTTCTTCAACTACCAACCTTAAGTACCAACCATGCAAACCTCCCAGAAAACCCCCTTCTCCGACTCGTCGGACTCGCACTCGTTCAACGATGAGGCCAACCACGGCACCAACAATGGAGGCAGTCCCGCCCCAGCACAAGCGCAGGCCCCACCGTAAGTCGAGCACATCTGGAAGACGGTTCATAATACTGGGAAGCACTCAAAGTCTATGCCAAGGACGTGTACGAACTACGCGAGACGATAACAAGCCTATCGCCTGAGGAGCTTGCGCCGATGACGAAGGCTACGCTGCCCTGCCCGATGGTGGGTGGCCCCCGGTGATGGGTGGCCCAGGAACATCCACAACCCAGAAGCCGCCGTCTGGAGCCCCACTGCTGCCTCGCACCCACTGCAGCCGGCGTCTCTCCGCGATGGTCAAATCGAACTGACCTTTCTCTGCTGCACCGTATGGAAACAGACGAATCATCACTGTCCAGCCCCTTTCGAGGAGTGACATGCAGACTTCGTACGCTCAGGTGAGTGAGACCAACGGGCCCCCCGAGAGTGAAGGCTCGGCGTCCCTTGGCGCGCGCAATGTCGGGGCCGTAGAGGGAGCCATCGAGTCACGCTTGCTGACGTCGCTGCTGTTTGCAACCACAGGACATGGGCACCGGATCTCTCGACCATGATTGCTATGGATCGGTCCTCAACTTTTGCGGTGTCATCGTCGGCAACTGCGGCACGATTCCCTGCTGCCCGGCCCCCAACATTTACAAGGTCCGTTCGCTCCCCTTATGCCAGTGTGTGGCGTGCATCTTTGCTGAATTGCCGGCCTGCTCTCTGTATCTTACAGCAAGTCGGCCAGGGATCGGTCGGTCTCATCACTCGTTTCGGACAGTTCTACAAGTCCGTCGACCCCGGGTTGGTCAAGGTCAACCCTTTCACGGAGAGGCTTCGCATTGTCGATGGTGCGCGATCCTGCTTGAGTCAATCGCGGGTGATTTGCTAATCCATAGCCTTGCCGGCCAACAGTCAAGATCCAAAGTATCCCGATCCCACGTCAAGTAAGAATATGCTATGATGAGAGTGTGGTAGCGTTTTATTTGCTTGCTTATTTGATATCATTCCGTTTCGACCCCTTTACAGAACGTCACGACTCGCGACAACGTCTCGGTCGACTTGGACTCGGTCATGTTCTACCACATTGTCTCCCCCTTCCGCGCCGTTTTCGGCATCGCCGACGTGCGCAACGCCCTGATGGAGCGTGCTCAGACAACGCTTCGACATGTGATCGGCTCTCGCACGCTGCAGTCGTTGTTGACGGATCGAGAAGCCGTCGCATCGGAGATTGAGAGCATCGTGAGTCACCAGACAAAATTTCGCTCTGCCAGGCGAACGGGATGGATTCAACTAACCACATGGCATGCGATATTTCGTAGGTTGAGGGTGTTGCCGAAGCTTGGGGTGTCAAGGTCGAGTCGAGTGAGTATTCGGCGCCAACTTGAATAGGGCCTCGCGCGCCATCGTTGCTGATGATCCTAATTTACAGTCTTGATCAAGGATATCCTTTTCTCCTCCGAACTCCAAGCATCTTTGTCCTCGGCCGCCCAAGCCAAGCGCGTTGGTGAAGCCAAGATCATCGCTGCTCGTGCCGAAGTTGACTCGGCCAAGTTGATGAGGGAAGCTGCCGACATCTTGAGCTCGCCTGCTGCCATTCAGATTCGCCAACTCGTGAGTGAACTCGGTTGTTCGCCATTCTTAAAGGGCGTATGTTGATGCATAATGTCTCCAATTTTGACGCTTAATAGGAGGCTTTGCAACAAATGGCTCGATCGTCGCAGGCCAAGGTGAGCTTTTCATCGCTGTCCTCAGTCGCAGGCATGAGCTGATCTCGATGGCGCCGTCCCCTCCAGACCATCTTTGTCCCCATGAACCTCTTCGGCAACGGAGCAGCGGATACGGCAAGCGTCGCGGGACCATCGGGCTTGAACAACACGGCCATGATTAACCACCTCGCCGACAGTTGATGGGTTCCTACGGCTCCTAAGCCTGCTGCATCAAATCGCGATACTCTCTTCGAAACAAATCACCTCACCTATCTCGTAATTTAGCTGTGCTTCAATAATCAATGCATCGAACTCGTTGCTTGTCTTTATTCAGTATAGCGTCCCAATTTTTATGAGTGTTTAGGCGCGTTTCAGTGCGGATCTATAATGGTTTGACCGCATGTTGTGCCACTGTTACGTTGCGGTAAACTATCGAACGAGAAGTGGGTGTTAGCCCCTGTTGGGGGATATGAAAGCTGTGTGTTCAAGTTGAACTCGTGATGGCTGCAGGGTCCCAGCTCGGACAGGCTGGTGGTGGGCTCAATTTCCGTCAGTTCAACCCGGGCACGATCCGTCGACTCGCTAAGGTCTCTCCTCAGTGCCCTTCGCAACCCCCACTCTTCGTTCCGGACTCGGCATGGAATAGACTTGAGGCCTTCTCCTTGCCCCAATTAGCCTGCTCCGGGATTGTCTCACCTACAGCGCCTACAATGGTCAACAACATATCCCATCGGCGCCCATCGCTTCCACCTGTCGATGGTGCTACTGCTCGACACGCGTCCGATGCGCCAAGCCGCCCTTCGCCTTCGATCAACTTCGTCACCACGACCAGCAGGACCGACAGCATCACCAGCAGGAGCAGCAGCCATGCCAGCAGCTCTCGAAGCGACAGCCTGTCTCAGGTAAGTCCGCTCTAGCGAACCAGCCTTACCACTCGTCACCATCTGCCCTCACGAGCCCGCTCTCTTCTTTGCACCACCTCCAGCTCGATCGTGGCGAGGGAGCCGCGACTCACCACCCCACTTCAGCGGTCCGCACACGCCCGCACCGAACTGGCTCGGCACCGCCGAATCGCATGCGCAAGTCGGCTCTCGCTCGCATCATGAACATGGAAGGTCTCGAGAGTCAGATTCATGTCGATCCCATGCGGAGTGACTCGCTGCGACACTTCGATAGCGCCACTTCTGGTGCCAGCGGCTCCTGGCAAGGTGGTGACTCCGAATTGACCGACGGGCGGCGCACGCGTTCTGCACTTATCGACACGGTACACCCTCAACCCTTACCCGATGCATCTCGATCTCCGCACAGCAAGTTCAAGGCGCTCCTTGGCCGAGGCGCTCACCTATCGCTTGAACCCAGACAACAACACGATCCACCGTCGCGTTCACCGAGAGGGGGCGACGAGCCTCGAAGACCAGAAATGTCGAGAACAGTCTCCGAGCCCGGTCCAAAGGGACGACATGGTCGAGCCAAGTCGGTCTCGGCTCTGTTCGGCTTAGCCTCGTCACAAGAGGACGAGATTCCGCCCCTTCCGAACGGGTCCCACCGACCGGATGCGCAGAGCGAAAGCGTGCCCGAACCTTCTACCCCTGTCAAGACCCCGGCGGCCAGGCCACCGTCGTCTTGGATCCGGCAGCGCTTGCGACCCTCAAGCTCGAGTATATCTCTTGGCACCAGCCGGAAGTCACCGGGCTTGTCAAATTCCGTAAATCCTAATCGAACCGTAGGATTGTCCTCAACGCCCTCTTCGACCTCGGTTCACACCATCCAGTCGTCCGCTCATTCTCAGTCGTCGACCGCGCAGTCGTGGCAGTCGAAATCCGATTTCGGCTTCATCAAGGCCCTTGGATCCTTCGTCGCGGGTCGACTTCAAACCAAAGTCGACGATCCTATCTCTGACGAAGAACTTCTGCGTTGGCGCAAACCGGCCCTTGAGCGGGATCGAGCCCCTGGTGAGCTCGGGGCGAACGAGAGGTTCTTGACGAATTCCGAGCTGAGCTCGTCTGGGCGAGAGTACCGGGAAAGCTCTCGGGCAAGCTCTTCGAGCAATGTACCGAGTCGGGAGACGACCGAGGAGGAGATCTTGGTAATAGGAAAGTCTGGTCGCTCCGGTGTCAAGTCGACGAGCATGGTAAGTCGCACAACACGCCAAGAGCTTTCTGCGATGCCAAGCTCAATCATGGGTGTATGCCATTTTCAGGAATCGAAAACAAGAACATGTTGGGCCGATTCCGCAGTACCGCTCAAATCGAGCCATTCGAACAATCATATGCAACAATCAACTTGCCGATCGCGTTTCGGAGATGAACAGATGGGCATGCGGGCCGGCTCAAAAACCTCCCACCCAGCCACCTCATCCCCGTATCTAATCGAGAACCGACCGCTGCGTAGCCCCCGTTCGTCTCCCTGTTTACCTCGCTCCAAATCCACCGGGATGGAAGCAGCTTCGCAACTCGCCGCATCTCTCTCACTGCATACGCCCTCGAAGTCGAGACCGCCCCCGCTGCCACTTGGCTTGGCACCTCGACCTGCCGCGGCACCGAGAAGGAAGCCGCCGACCGGTCGGATGTCGACACCAACGGTTGGGGAAGCGCGGAGGATCATTTCGAATGAGGCTTGGGAACAAGTCAGCCTTTCGGCTCGTAAAACCTACTCGACACGATCGGTATCAGCGTCATCCGCTGCTTCTCCGCCATTGACGCCCTCGTCTTCGTCGAGGACGTCGGCGAACGAGAATTTGGCGGTAGGGGTGCAACATGCATCTTACGTCACCACATGACTTTGCTTGGATGTATGCTTCTGAAGGCGATGAGCTCACGTCAACACGGGTTTAAAAAGTCTAACGCTCAATATTAGAGTTAATTCCCCTCCTTTTTAGCACCCTCATTATATTAGAAAGTCACGGGTTCTCACAACTCTCGAATGGGTAGCCTACAGCGTGGTGAGAGCGAAAACGACCGAAGTTTGTTACAACAGACAAGTGTGCGAATAAGGAGCCGAACGAAAATATGCAAGCGTGATAGATCACTGGAGAGTGCATGGTTCAGTTGGCCTCGACAGCGACGGGTTCGGAAGCGTTGGCGGCATGGATGAGCATCCTCAATGAGCCGGCGGCGATCTGCTCGTCCGCGGGGGTGAAAACGGCCGATTGACGAAGAGGGGGTGAGGGCGACTTGATCTCGCGCGCGATCGTCGCCGTGGTTCGAACGGGGGACATCGGGATCGTCTTGGGGGACACGGGGCCGGTGAGCACACTCGGGAGCACAGTGACGGCGGAGGGCTTGAGGGGCCGAGGAGCAAGAGCGCGTGGTCGGTTGGCCTTGGACGCCGAGAGGTTGCGCTCGCACTTAGCTCGAAGGGCTTGCATCACTTCCTCGTGCGAGGTCTTCTTGGCCGGGGCCGAAGCGGCGGACGCCTTGACAACAGGGGCATTGCGCTTGGTTTTCCTTGAGGCGGGGCCGGTCAAAGCGACATCGTCCTCTTCGACAGAGCTGATGGAAGTGGTGCTCGACGACGAAGTCCTCGAGCGCGAGGACGAGCTCGAGGCGGTGCTGGCGGCTCTGGCGCGCTTACAGACCTGCTCGGAAGAGGGGCCGGCCTGGGCGGATACCGAGCTTTCTCGAAAGGAACCGGCGGAGGCGCTGACAGTGGCCGGATATAGCGAGTAAGGGGGAACGGGCGACAACAGACGCGAAGAAAGTTGTTGCCACGACGCCGGGGCCTCGACGCCGGAAAGGGGTGGTGTGACAGGGGTGAATGTTGATGCGGGGCTCTTCTTGCCTTGAGCCGCAGCAGCGGCGGCCGCCGCATACGCTGAATGTTGCTGCATTTGCGCCTGCATCCACCAGGCCTGGTGCATCGCCAGAGTGTTGGCCGCGCGAAGTTGTTCAACACGCAAAAGATCGAGCGCAGCTAGACGCTGTGATCGGTTGTAAGATGTGGCGCGGATTTCGGAAAAAGGTGGCAAAAATAAAAGGGGAAAACGAGGGTCAGTTTTGCGAAGCTAATGGGGCTATTGATAGCAATGGCGGGCGTCACATCACTGCGCGGAGAGCTTCGCCAAGCCCAAGAGCGCGCCAACCGAAAATAGCTTGGCCGCGCCTGGCGCCTGGACCGCACGCAGCAACTCGGGCCCTCCCGAGTCTCCGATGCGAGGCACGGGGAGGGCTGGGTGAGAAAGACGATAGGAGAGGGACGGGAGGCTTACCTCGTCTTCCTTGGCTTTGGCGTGCAAGAGAGCTTTGAGGAGATCGACGTCGTTGTTGCCCGGCAAGGCGTACGAACGAAGGATGGCGTCAATGGAAGGCGAGCCCGCCGCGGCGGGAGGCGCTTCGTCACCGTTGCCCTGGGCCGCAGGCGCGGACACGGGCTTTGACGCGGTCTCGGGCGACTGGGACCGCGGCGAGAGGGCGGGTGACGCTGGACACTGGGTCGTCATAGTCGTCGGATATTGTTCGATGAAGTGGTGGTCGCGTTCGTAAGGCAGTGGCTCACTGAAGAGGGCGTTGGTGATGTGTTCGCCAAGAGCGCAAGATGGGGGAGAGGGGAATGCCCAAGACAAGGCCAGAGAGGTCGAGTTCGATCGACCAAGCTGGCTGGCGTCCGCGTCAAAAGCGAACTCCAAGGAAAGTCTTGGCGAACCCTGGGTCAATTTTTGGCACTCGTCGGCTTTGGCGCCAATCATGCATCTGCATGCGCTAATCCGAAACAGCACCCACTGCCACGGGACTACCACAGCCATTCTCCGGCGACTATCAGGAAAAGGATACGCGGACACTCTTTGGGTACATGACTTACAACTCCCTCTCGTCTGTGTTCTTTGTGGCGGCGCGAAACCTCAGTGCAAATGACGGAAGGAGGATTCCTCCTTGGATCGCTTCGAGTCGCTTCGCCGAGAGATCACCTCAGCGCTTTTTTGGGCTTGGCTCTTGAGCGGCCAATCATGTCTCGCGCTGCCTACCCTGAATATTTGGTCAACACGCAAAATCCAGTGTAGAGTAGGGCACGTAGGTTCCTATAAGCATGATGTTCTCCCTTTCAGACGGAGATTCTGATCTATCGTGGCGTCAGTGGATGATGGCAGAGGCAGCACGGGTCAGCCAATCGCGAGCTCGATCCGTTGAAGTTTCTTTCATGCTACAAGATGCCTACCTAGGTAAGTCTTCCCAACTGTAGACGAATTCAACTTGGAACTCTACCGAACAAGGAATCCGTGCGATGCAAGCAGACTCCCCGATCCTCCAAGGGAGCACAGGCGCAAGCATCGCTCGGCGGCCACTGATCTCTGGGCATGGCTTCCAAGTTCTTGGACCCAAAAAGGGGTCCCGGCGCCTGCCGCCGCTTGCCTATTTTTAGCCACATCACGTCGGCCAAGCGCTACCAGTCGTAAGCCTGATTTCTCGATGCCGATCTGGCATGATCCGAGCCAGAAATTGATCATGCTTGCCATGAATACTTCGTCGCCTGCTTGGCTGCCGGCAAGACTTGCCTGCTCCGATTCTGCAGCTCTTACAACAGAGTGAAAAATCTTGTGCGGCTCCACGCCTTCTACCCGCGCGTGATCGCGACATCTCAAATCGGTGCAATCGCCTCCGACTCAGTCTTGGCGAAACCCGATCGACGCTGAGAGCGCTGAGAATAGAGTCTTCATCTGACCCGTACTGAAGAAGGTGATAACCTACAGACTCATCAAAGGTACCCAAGTAACTAACAGGCATTTTATTCTGCAACTTCAAGATACAAACAAAAATATAAGATGAACTTGGTTGCGCACGTTAAAAGCGGCTCGAATCATAGGCGACGTGAGAAACGTTCGACCCGGCCGAAGAAGTGGGATGGCGGTGAAGCTCAGAAGCTCTGACCCCCGCCCTCACCGCATTCGCATCCCGGAGGTTCGTACTCGCTTTTGGAACGGTTTGCTGCGGTGCACGCAATGGCGGAGAATGTCTCGATGTCAGACACCAAGATTATGTCACCCCAGGATGATGCACAGTTTGCACTGGGCCATTCCTCGTCGATCGATGGCGCATCCGCCGGCAGCCACCTTGCTTCGGCGCAGGACGAGGAGGAACGGCGGGCGATCGCAGCGGAATGTCAGGCCAAGCTCGATGCGCGAAAAGTTGGGGCATTCACCTCACGACCTTTGCTCAAGAGTGGGTGGATCGCGCTGACCGGGAAGCGGGATGGCAAGCGGCAGAAAGCCGTCGGCAAGCTCACGTACCGGTCGTACCGCGAGCGGCGGGATGAAATTGGCGACGACTTCTTCCAAGATGAGGCGACGTTCGCAAGCGAGAATCAACTGGTCAAGATAGAGGTTGTACCCAAGAAGGACGGTGGTCACAAGCGCGCACTGCACAGTATCCGTCGGTGGAAAAACAAAAAGGGCGAAATCGTGTCGACTCCTAGCTCGTCGGCGCAGGGTCCTGGTGCGGATCAAGATCTGCTCAATGACTCTGACTTGGACACGTACACTCCCAATCCCAATTCTTCCCGTCCCGAGACTCCGGCCGATTCCGATGACCCTTCGCGGTTCCCATCATCTTACGCTGCTTCGTGGATCAGCAGTCCCGTCGACTCGCCGGACCTTTCTCGGACGAGCACGAACGCCACCGATCAACCTACTCGACTGCCTCTACTATCTCAAATCCCGACCCGTGCATCAATAGCCGAGTCAAGTCTCAGTCTCTCTCGTCAGCAGTCCCAAATCTTGACTGTCGATCAGCCCATGGACACCCCGAGACGTAAGATTACGTTCCAGTCGGCGGTCACCAACACTCGCGCTAAGAGCAAACGAGCATTTGACGAGATACTGAGGACGCGGCAAAGGCAATACGCTACAGGACAATCGGCGCAGATTGAGCAATCCGATTCTGCCTTCGCCAAAGCACTGGCCGCCATCGCCGGTGGTGAGCGGGAAGAAGAGAAGATCGAGGTCATGGTCCTGTACGAGAACCAAAGAGGGTGCGTGCGGTTCAATGCGAACGGAAAAAGTCTGATCTGATACTCAACAACATATCCATGCTAACGTTACTGTTGGCTTCGCCCTTAGGCTTGTCGTCTTTGGACTACCGAGATTTTCGTCGGGGGCTTTGTTTCAGCTGGATCCATCGTCGTTTCAGAACAGCCGGCTGAGGTAAGAATGTCCCCAAGGCGCTTGCCATTCCTCGATGATGATCGTAATTGACTTCCCGCCCGACGTTTACTCTTTCAGAAACTCGCCTTACACCCGACACGAGTTTGGCTTGCCAACGCCACAGTGGAACTGGCTCGACCCCGACTGGATGGTCGACATGGGTGGCGATGTCGATGAGCACGGTTGGTCGTACGCGACACATTTCGGCAGTCGCTACTGGCGTGGTGTGGCCAATACCGGCCGCTCCTTCGTTCGGCGCCGCAGATGGGTTCGTGCGAGCATCTTCATCCCCGAGTCGCAGCAGGACTCGCGCGACGAGGACGTGTTCAAGCTTCTCGTTGATTGGACGGCCATGCAAAAGTACGCGCAAGAATACTCCGACTCACTCAAGCATCGTGACCAGAACAAGGAGTGCAAAGATTGTGGGCAACCGCGGACCGTCAGCCCCTCCGAGGGATGTTCACACGACTGGCCTGGAACCGAATCTACCCCGCCTCGCGCCGTGGTCGGACTGCGCGATGCCATCTCTTTGCTTCCGGTCTCGAACGCGTTCAAAGATGAGCTGTACGCCTGGCAGCCCGATGTCCACGTCGTTGATCCTTTCCTCGCATGGTCGACCATCTGTGCGCGTGGAGGGGATCGGGTCCTCGGAGAATACCGTCGCCATCAAAGAAAATGGGACTTGCCGAACGATGAAGATGCGCTCGTTGAGCGATGGCGACAAGCCGTCGTCGAGATCAACTACCGTCGCGCAGCGAGCATGATGCGGGTCTGTGCACTCGATCGCTCCAAGCTCATCCTGTGGCGTCGATGGCTTAACCTCGAAGCCGACGAGACCGCCGAAGACAGGCCGAAGCAAGATAGCAATCCTGACGATGATGACGACGAGGAGGATTCGCCGACCCGTCTGCTCCGCCGAACGATTTCGAAAAGAGATAAACCCAATCTGGGCCCGAAGAGTCCGAAGATGGATGACGTTTGGGACCTTGCCGAAAGCCGAGTGAGTACAGGGCGTACGGCGTGATGTCCCGAGCTCGAACACTGAATGCTCCTCCGTCCCGCGTGCAGCTCGGGGAGATCCTGCACCTGTTCGAATTCCAAGCCTCGCGTGTATCGCTTCTGCTCTTATTCATCTCGACTTATCCCGTCTCGCATCGATATGGTCTAGAGCCTCAAGAAACTCCACCACCTCGGCGGCTAGCCGGCGACGTGTCCGTACCCGACATTCGATTGGCTGCTACACCTGCGTCGGATTTCCGCCGGGAGCAGCTTTCCTTGATCATCCCGACCGTGACGGATCGCCTCACCCCTCGGCTAGAGTTTTACAACGATCTTGTCGCGACTATTCAGCGTCTCAAGGGACATATGGGCGACGCAGTCCAGGTCGCCGGTAATACTTATGATGCTGAGAAGGTACAGAGTGGGTCGGCGTTGGTTGGGGCTCAGCAACATGGCCAGTCGCGTGAGGCTTCGATGGATGACAAGTCCGCGACGAGGAGGGATGCTGCTGGTGCCTAATCGGGTGTCATATCATAGCATGTGTTGCCTAGCTTTGCTTATTGGGTCATCTTAGAGCTTCTAGTTAGCTGTTACTATGTAGTGTAAACCTGTGTGGTGTCCTTATGTTGTATAATGTGCATACTCTTGGCAATCGCAACGCGCAGCTCTGGCCTCGATGTGACGTTCGTGAATGAAGACCAAGAAGCTGTATTGCAAGAGGAAATATTGAGAAACGTTGAGCAAGGTACGCGTGGAAGGGTTGCAAGGAATGCAGTGCGCGACAAAAAAACACAACGAATAAGGCTCGTGGAATGGCGCCAGGGAAAGAGAGAACAGGAGGCCCGGGGGCGAAACATCAACGCTGGCGCCGCGTGTTAGCGAAGGGACAAATTTGGTCAATCGGATTCGGATACATCGCCGGCAACAGAATCAGAATCGGATCCTGATCCTGGTCCGCCTGGGCCTACACCTATAGAATGTAAGACAGAGTCTTAGCATACTCCATATGGGCCCTAGCGACGCGCTGAGCGCAAGACTAACGATGCGCCAAAGGATGCTGCCCTGTCTTCGGCAGTGTGCTCGGCGTTTTGCTCGGAGCTGAACCGTTCTTCGGAGATGCTAAAATATTTCGTGGTGTTGATGTTGCCGGGTTTGCAATTTTGGTATTTTCGTCGGGCGAGTCTTCCTCGCTGTCCGATTCGGGCCGATCCGTGCTCTTGGAGGGCTTTTTCGACGAAGGTATCGGAGGTTTCTTCGGTGCGGGGGATTTGGATCTTGTTAGAGAGGCTGAAGGAAGGGGTTTTGAAAGGGAGGGCGCGGGTTTGGTATTTGATGGTCTCGATAGAGATGACACAGTTATTTCGGAGGCGGGCTTTGGTATCGGAGGAGCCGCGGGTGCCGAGAGCGTCTTGGCGAGAGGATGAGAACCGATCGATGCGATCTGTGCTTGCAGTGCATTGGCGGGATGCGATGGTGCTGCGTGAGGTGAAATAGAAACGAACATCAGCTACTTTAATTCAACACGTGACAATTTCAAAGAAAAACTTGCTCGAAGTCTTGGCTTTCTTGTGCTTGCTTGTTCCATTGAACCCTGACAAGCTCGCCGAGCGCTTCAGTCCGTTCGAGCTTGCTTTGGTGCCATTTCCTAAGAAATGAGAAGATTGTCAGGGCATGATTAATTTTCAAAAAGGGGTGCGGCAACATTCACTCACTCTTCTCTGTTCCGGAAAGACTGTCTTCGTCACTGGCGTAGGAGGAGGCGCGGTCGCTGCCAAGTTGGCTGCTGGCAAACGAAGTGGGGGGATGGCGAAGCGCGGCAACCGGCGTCCCATCACGATGAGTAGAGCGGGTTAGCTGTATCGCATCTGAGCGCTCGGGCGGGAGTAGGAGGTAAATTCGACGAGCACTTGCCGAAGCTTTCCGTTGATAGGGGCTTTGTTCGTGGCCGCTCGTTTCGAGCGACCGGTTAAGCCCATGCAGCTTGAAAGGTGGGAGGCGAACCTGGGAGCTCCGATCTGGTTACGGATCGCCAAGAGTTTCGATCGTCAGCTCGGTTAGTTCAGATCCAGCGCCGCGAGCTCCTCTCACAGTACGTTTCGAACCGGTACTTACCTGTCTTCCGCAAATCATGCATTCGTAGAGAGCATCGTCCTTCTTGTGCGGACTCAGGTTCGAGGTGGACGCCGTCGCAGCTCCCGAGCTTGAGCTGGAGCTCTCACCGTTGGCACCGAGTAAGCGCTCCGCTGCATTGGCTTGGGCCTGTGCTTCGTTACTGTTTATAAATACGAAAAATCGGTAAGATTAGCTTCTCGCTCTTGGCAAACAACCCTGTTCGCGAAGAGACGCGGGGAGCAGGCGCGCTCCGCTCTCGTTCCCATCGACCAAGAACGTCACCAGTTGGAGCTCGTGCAGGGACTCGAAGTAGGCGCCCAGAGTCCCAAGAGCTCAAAAGCAGGTGTTTAAAAGCCCGGGAATTCAAACTGACGCTTGCATGCTTGTCCTGCGGCGCCATGCGAGGCGATGTTCTTCGATCGCAATGTCGGTGACGAGCTCGTGCAGCATCGTTCGCATCAACGCCGACGCCTGCGAATTGGAGCAGACTTGTAAGTCAGCTGGACAGCATGGTCGGCGTGAAGATGAGATGAGACGTTCAAACGTACAAGTGACGCTACCGTCGGCTCGTCCGACTCCGATGACATTTTGTCGTACCCACAAAGCACCGACAAGCGAGACAGTCGATACTCGTCGGCTGCTGGCCCGAGGCTGGCAATGACGAAAGGGCAAGCTGGCCAGAGCGAGCTGGCCTTTTCCGCCGGGCGCCTGCCGTACGCCCCGGTTCCGAATTTATATTTCTAGCCCATATCGGGGTAGGTGACATGTCGTAGCGAAACACTCGAGAATCCGATTCGTCTACAGATCTAACAGAACCAGGCGTGACACGCAGTTGAAGTCAGAGTTGGCGTAACGAGCGGATACTCTACTAGGACAAGTGCTCCGGGCCCGGGGCAACTGGCCGGCCACCTCTGGGCGATATAGATCCGGATCTTGGCCAAATATTCTCTGTTAACATCGAGGCAATGCTCGTTTCAAAAGCACGTAGAGGATACCGAAGAGCTACATTTACAAAATTGACGGATAGACTAACGAATTACGTCCCAAGAAAAGAAAACTCATCTCGGCTCCCCGGATCATCGAAGCTCGATCGCGACGGAGTCGTCGGCAGCCGTGTCGCGCCACGTTGACGACGGGCGATGTCACCTGTTCTTGCGCAAGGAAGGCTTGCGCCAAAAGTACTGCGCGGGGCGTTGTCGGGCACCTCGGACACGCTTCACGAATGGCTCCAGTGCCGCAACTCGGGATCGGGACGGATCAGAGTCGGGCATGTAGAAGAACAAGGGTTGAAGTGAGTGGCCCGACGCGTCCTACGGAGAAAAGAGTGAACTGATGAGTATAAAGTTGCCTCAGAAGACTCTGATACTGCTAACTCAGATGCCCATTCGTCTCCTCGGTAATTCAAACTTGGACCGCGTGAGGCTGTAGGTGAGCTTACCTTTAGACCAGCATTGTCGATGCAACCGAAGAAAGGCTCCTGGCACAGTACCCTCTCCACAACTTCCCACCACGCCTCGACCGCTTGATCTTCCCGATCCTGGGACAGATCCTCACTCCCTTTACCGTCCTCGAGCACGTCCCACATCCCTCCGACCTCACGGAGCAACGATTGCACCACTGTCTCGACGTCGACGGTCGAACGAGGGGAGAAGACGATCGCGCTCGCGATCAGACCGGGAAGGTCGAGGCCGAGCGACTCGACCAACGCTGCGGCTCGAGTCGATTCGGCGCTTATTTGGTCGACATTGTCCATCTCGACTTCGTCATCCTCTTGGGCCGAGGGTGATGAAGGAAGCGCAGACAAGAGTGAGTGGTCCGAATGAGCCGGCGATGCGGGGCCCCGTGATTTCTCGTTAGGAGTCGCCAGTTCAAAACTGCCGTCCCGATGGCGAAGGTTCGATGCGTCGCCGTCAGTGAGCGAGTCGTAGACGCTCAAGGCGACAGGTGAGAGAGGAGCAGCGTACGGTATATCTGTGGCATTGCGTTGCTTGGGCAGTTCAGAGTCGGCGATGTGGACGACGCCTTGCCAGCTCCACAGGGAGAGCTTGAGCTTGTGGCCGATGGGGACCGTCAAGACGGCGACGCTGGACTTTCGGAACAGTCGTCCGTCGATCTTCATACCGTTCATTCCCAGAACGTGCACTTGCACCACGACTTTGTGAGGGGGCGTTTGACGTGTCCTGGGGAGGATGCGGAGGGTGCAATGCATCCGCGAGGCATGCTTGGCTGATTTCGCCAATTGAACAGGTAAAGTCGTCTCGAGGCGCGGTTGAGTGGGTCGCTTGGCCTTGCGTCCAAGCTGCATGACGACGCCTCGCTCGAGGACCAGGCGAGTGTCGTCGTTCTCGATCAACTGAATCGGGTGAGCAATGACTGGTGCCGGTGACTGCAGCATAGACCGTGTTTCGGAGTTGGCGGAGGCGGCGCGAGCGATTGCGCCGACGGCGACCGAGAGCAGCGCCGAGGTCACGTGCGAATCGACGCGATCGGCATGTTCGTGTCCCGGAGATGAGGGAGGGGCTGATGACGCGAACTTATTTGATCCAGCGTCGGGAGAGGTCGGTGCGTCGTAGGCGGCGAAGCGCGAGTGTGCTGCGGGCGAGGACGAGAATGAGGAGGATGTAGTTCGTCCGCCCGGGGACGACGTGACTGGAAAGATGACAACGCGCGGTTCCCTGTTGATCAGTACCGCCGTGGGGATAAATGTGATATATTAGGAAACGAGACGTACGCAAACTTTGTTTGATGTTGATGTGGGGCTGATCCGGCTCGTCGTCACTCCATCGCGGTTTGGGATTCAAATCGCCGTCCATCCCGTTGGCCTCGACTAGTACGCGCCCGCCTGCGAAGGGAACAGGGGGTCGGACTCTTGGTCGGAGATGATTGACAACGTCCTGCAGCATGATGGTAGGCGAAGTTTTTAGGCGAGGGAGAGGAGTAGGCGAGGGGTGCTGAACGGTGGGAAGGAGGCTCGATGAGATCGGGGACCCGAGGCTCAGAGGAGTGAGCCCTGTTTGGGCGGGTTTGCGCCGTTTTTATGAACGCGGTCGGATCACGCGATCACGTGACCGTTTCGACGCGAAATCATTGGTCCGCGCGTGCAGGCGCGTGTCGCGCTGCTCGGCAACCAGGCTCTGGGCGGCGCGCGCCTGGCATACCGCAAGAGCTTAAAAAATTATAAGTTAGTAAAGCACCAAGTCGTTTCAACAGCATAGCAAAAAAGCCCCCCTGAAATGGGATGATCCCGGGATCGGGCCACCGATGAAACGCATTTGAAATCGGCGGAGTGATTTTGAGATGCATTTGAAATCGGCGCAGTAATTCCGAGTGTGTTTCAAATCGCTGTGGGATGATCGCGCGCCGCGATTTCAAAGGCATTTGGGATTGCCCGCCGCGATTTGAAATGCATTTGGGATCGCTTCGCCGATTTGAAATGCAGCCCGGGATCATCCCATTTCAAGGGGGGGGGGGGGGTGTTTGCTATGAGGTCTCAACACGCGAGCGTCAGTACGTCAGCGACCTACCTCCGGAAACTCAACATGTGCCCCTCCCTGTAACGGTCTTGATGAGCCAGAGTCCAAACCACGGTCCACGGCCCGGCTCAAAGATCAAGCTATCAAGCTTAGGCGCGACTGACTACAATCCTCTCCCCGCCTTTGTCCGAGGTCACATCGATCTGATACCGCGTCTCGTCCGGTGCTACCACCCTTTTTTTTTTTTTACTGGGGCTCATAAATTGCAATCCTTCGGGTTGGCTGGGACCGCTACAAAAAGAGCTAAAAGAGGTTATAAAGCAACGACGGCAAGCAATTGGGTGAAAGTCAAACCCCTGCGCGCAAAGAGCGCTGCGCAGATCAAAACCCGCCGAGCACCTAACGCGGACTCCAACGGGCGGTGAGTACTGCTGCCGCTTCACGTCCCAAGAGCGGGAGCGAAGATACTCGAAAACCAGGCAAGAGCGCCTAGAGAAAGAAAGGGGGAGAATATACAAAAATTCACGACCGGAAACACGGAGAACCAGGAATACTAAGACAGAGAGGAGGGGAGGAGGAGGGGAACACACCCGAGGGGCCAAGGGAGGGGGTCGAAGCCAGAGCTAGAGGTCCCCAGGGACTGACAGGCCGCAGCCAAGCCCCAGCTACTCGTCACCCCGACAGCGCCTGATGTCCTCCCTTGGCTGAGTCTCGAGTGCTGGCTGTTGAGCCGTCGGGGCCGAGCGAAAACGATCCAATACAACGAAACGAGCCTCGCCTTGACGCGAGGATATTGACCAAAAAAACGAGCGATCTTTCTTCCCGATCCATGCCGTAGATCTTGACCAACGCGAACGAACGATCTATTCGACGGAATCCAACACACGGCTTAGGAATAAAAGGAGAAGTGGCTGAAGCGTAGTCAACAACCGAGCAACAGGAACGAGATGAGGAAGAGAAGGGAGAAAGGGGGGGAAAGAGAGGGGAGAACTTCACAAAGCCTCCAACGCAACGACGATCGACCCGGCTTGCCGATCCATCCAAGAACGAAAACCGCTACTGCACAAAGTAGAGAGAGGGAGAGGTGCGCAGCCTTCCATTAACTCGGTCATCACACCTCCCAATCTCGAGCCCCAGGCACAAAGCCCGCTCGAGAGAGAAAATCTCGCTCGAACGCTCTGAGCGCACTGGGAAGCGAGGGAGAGGCCATGACGTTGTCCAGCTCGAACCGCTGATGAACGCGCCAGCGGAGCAGGTGCAGCCGCTGGAAACCGATCGCGCAGGCCAGCCGAACCCACATCCATTTCGAGGTCGTTCTCCCACGACCCCGCAAAAGGGGGAGCCCCATAGTCAGCTGCTCCGGAGTGAACGTCGACGGATCGACGTCGGTATCCTCGATGCCGAGCTTGTCAAGCAGAATGCGTAGCACCCCACCCCAGAAGCTGGTCGAGTACGCGCACTCGAAAAAGTAGTGGGACACCGTCTCGATGACCGCTGCATCGTTGCCGCAGAACAGACACGTCGGCGAAGAGGCATGACCCTGAGTATGCTGCCTCTTGCGCGTCGGCGTCACGTCGTACATGAGCCGCCAGTGGGTGTCCTGCTCGACAGCAGACGCGAACCGGTCATGAAGCCATCTCCAGAAGCGCTTCCTATCGCTCTGAGAAGTCCCATCAGGGAAACGCTTGACACGGTCCTCCCTCCCTGGGAACCGCACCTTGTTCACAAGCCGACGAAGCTTGCGAATCGTAAAAGGTCGGGAGAGCCCAAAGAAGTTGAAGCACCGAGGACGGGGAGCCTCCTTGAGAGGTATCCGAGCAGGTCGCAACGCGGTCTTGGGCAGCAACGCTTTCGCCTTGAGCAACTGACCCACGCGCGACCACACGTGCTCGTGCTGTAGGGCGGGTTCCTTAGAGTGCTGCCAGAACCCGCGTCGATGACCAACCAGAGCCCATCCCTTCCCTTCGTCCCTCCAGTACAGGTCCGCGATCTGCGCAAACTTCGCCACCGCGTCCGCATCGTCATATGCGTGCTGGGCACCTTCAGCATAGAGTGAAGGGAGGCGAGGCGGAAGCGAGAGCAATTCGGGAAGCGTAAGGAGTTCGGACTTGATGGTTGGAACTGTGACCCTGGCCGCTGCAACGACTGCCCCCCAGCGCGTCGAGTCGCGATACAGCTTCTCGACCCGAGCCGTGCTGCTGAAGAACCCCCACGGACTGAAATCGCGGGTCACAGCGACGAGGCACCTCCAGCTCTCGCGAGCTAGGGGCGCCCAGATCGCCTCGTCCGAGCCCGCCACAGCATCCCAAAATCGAAGCGCCACCGAATGAACGATGTCGCCAATCGAAATCAAACCCAAGCCACCGTCCTCCCGAGCCTGGAACACGAAATCGCGAGCGACGGTATTTCGCCCTGCTCCTCCCCAGACAAAGTCCGTAAGTGCCGTCTCCGCCGCCTTAATGAACCATTGAGGCGGTATGTCGAAGGACAGCACGTGGAGGACCGTCGAGATGATGTGAGCGTTGGCATAGAAAACCTTCCCACTCGGCGAAAGTGTCCGGTCTCGAGCGGCGCGGGTCTTGGCCTTGATCCTGTCAAGAACATGGGTCCAAAACAGTTTCGAGTCACCGTGGCGAAAGAAGGCATAGCCGCACCACTTGAAGCTCTCCCCCTCCTGCACCGTTGGCAGCGCCTGCGCAGTCTCGTCCCGAAGCCAGTTCGGTCCGAGTGGTAGCACCAGCGTCTTGTCCGTGTTGGTCTTCCCGTTGGTAGCCTCGTACCACGTCTGCGACAGCGTTTGCAGCTTCGACAATGCCGCCGGTGACTCCACCACCACCACAGCATCGTCGGCAAACGCCAGATGCGTAAGCTGCGCACGCGGCCCCCCTGGCCACACCTTCTGCAGGTCGAGCGCGATCCCGCGCCGAACGAGGGCGTCGAGGAAGGGCTGGAACGTGATGTTCCAAACCGGGCACGAGAGGGGATCCCCCTGACCGAGACCACACAGCAACCGCACCAAGTCCGTGGGGAACCCATTGACAAGGTAGCGCACCCCCAGAGTCTCGGGATCGTAGAGAGCGCGCAGCAGCGAGATGAAACGCTCACCGAACCCAAAGGCCTCAAAGACCTCGAAGATCCAGGCGTGATCGACCCGATCGTACGCGCTCTGCTGATCCAAAGACAAGAGGGCGCCCTCGGGGAAAACATCAGTGCCTAGCGACTTGAGTTTTTCGAGAAGGAGAGTGAGATGACTTCCCGCGTCCGCTGAACGTCTTGATGGCATGAAGCCGTGTTGCGCCGGCGGCAAAAGCTCGCCGAGCACCCCATTGAGTCGCGCCACCAAGACCTTGCTGAGGACCTTGTAGGTCGTCTCGCGCAATGTGATCGGTCGGTATGCCCCCAGTGATTTCAGATTGGCCCCCGGTTTATTCTTGGGCAAGAGCCGCACCAGCCCCTCTGCCAAGGACGCCGTCATTTTGCCGCCCTCCCAAATCGAGTTGAACAAGTCCAACAGCTTGGGAGCAAAGTAGGTTGGCAGCGCCTTGAAGAGCTCGTACGGAATGCCCGAGGGCCCCGGTGATCGCCCCGAATCCGTCTTCTTCAACGCCGCTTCAACCTCGAGGAGGGTGAAGGGCTCGTCAAGCGCCACTCTCGCTTGACGAGGCAGCCGACGACCGAACGTAGGGTCCGAGCGGTCGTCATCGTAGCATTTCGCTGCGCGAATAGGGTCGAGCAGGGACCGGCGTGCGTTCGTCGGGTCGCCACGAGCTGGGTCCGGCGTGAAGAGCGACTGCGCGTGCCGTGAAGCAATACCCAGCGCCTCCTGATCCTCATCGACCTCTATATTGAAGGTGTTAGTAGACCTTGCACTGATATCAGGGGCCGGATAGCTTAGAGGTCAAAGCTTTTCCGATTAATGGAAACGACCCAGGTTCGACTCCTGGTCCAGCCGTTCTTCTTCTTTTGTTGATCATTTTCGGGATCATCGTTGATTCCAACACTCTACTCAGAGGGCCGAGCGGCCTCACAATCACGAGCTCAACCGCTGAACTAGGCTGAAGATCTTATGACCGAAGATGCGACATTATGGATTGGACGACGACAAAAGTTGCCCATTTTTTGTAGTTCAGTCTCTCTCTCGTTTCGATCTTGCGTTCTGAGTTATCACATCCATTCGAACCGATCCTGAAACAACGGAACATCGTCTACAATACCGTTCGAGTGAACAACGACTACGAGAACGCTCGGCCCAGTACTCGCGATCCTTCTGTAAGGCCACCGCCCTTACATCTATCGCGTGTGTCAGAAAACACGACCTTCTTTCTTGAACGGTGGGGTCCTAACTTGGGGCTGCCAATTTAAGACAGCATCCAAGGCCAAAGACGCCATGATCAAGCTGTTGTTGACCAAGTTCACGAGAACTGAGCGCGCGGCGCTCCTCGAGTCCCTTTTCTCTTTCATGCGACAAGCCGAGGCGAAAGGATCGATCACGAGCAGCTGCGCAGTCGAATCAGTCTTGGCGAGCGATCAAAATCAGATTTCTCGCGTTGGGTGGCTCTCTGTTCGCTTTCGCTGATGTCGAAGTCTGGCAGCCATATCTATCGTGACAAGTGGGAAGGTTTGTATCAGTAAACCTTCGGCTGCATACATCGACACCGATTAACGCTGAGAGCCTGCCTCGCTCAGACCCTACCGGTTGACGGGGTGACCAGTACGATCGATTTGTTATTTGAGGGGGCAGAGAGCCTAATGACCGATCCGGAAGGGGTGGGAAAACGCATTAGAGATACCACGTGCACGGAAAAAAATCCTTGGCGAGGTTGCCAAGCAATAGAGGTGAAATGAGAGGCCCACTGATACGGCATGAACCTATCTACCAAAGAAAACGAAATTCTTGTAGAAATGCGGCGCTCAATCTCCTCGCGTGTGCGAAACGTTCGTGCGTCAGCGGCGCCAGGAGTTGGGATGGATGTGATAGTCAAAGGAGGGGCGTTCCCGATGCGAGCGAAACGTGGATATTATAACATCGGGAGTGGGCAGTGTAATAAAGCAGTAGGAAATGGATGCAGTCCCCCTAGCAGATTAATGGTTGATCAGTCTTGACGAAATCGCTGGCAGCGCTTCATTGATCATCGAGTTGGACAAAGCCCGAGTCTTCGAGAACGTGAGGCACCTCAAAAGAAGAGGGACGTCTAAGAGTGCGAACTATGTGTTCTATACTTGAGTTAGGAATTGCAATAACCTACAACAAAGCTTGCTGCAGTGCGATGATAAGCGTACACCACGGCGAGCCGATACTCAAGAGAAACAACTGATGCGACTAAGAGTGCGATGAAAAGAAAAAACATCCCATACATAATGGAAAAGATAAGAATGGCAAACCAAAAGCCATAGAGGGGAAGGGGGACTAAGTGAAGCACTTCATAACCGCTTCCTTCTTGGTCAAGACTTCGTCCCATTCCTTGGCCGCGTCTGACAGATAGGTGATCGCTCCACCTGCGCCGAGGGTCAATTCTGCGCACACACCGCGGCATCTTTGATCAGTAAAGATGGTGCGCATGATATGTATACTGTCAAGACCTACGGGTATCGTTGAATACAAGTGTGCGGATCACGACGGAAAAGTCCGTCGTGCCGTCGACGGCGACGTAGCCAAAGACGCCGGAGTAAACACCTCGGGCTCGATGACCTTCCAGGTCTTCGAGCAACTTGAGCGATCGAAGTTTGGGTGCACCCGTCATGGATCCTGAGGATGAGTGATGGATGTTTGCTCGAAGCGTCAGTCAACTGCGAAATGGGGATAAGCAGCAGGATGACGTACCTGGTGGGAACGCTCGCTGGACGGCCTCGAAGGGGTTCACTGCTGGCGTCAATTGGCCGACCACGCTCGTCACGAGTCTAAGAAGAACAACCAGTCAGCCAGATGACTGAATTGGGAAGGTTTGATGACCGAACTCACTGATGGACCGTTTGGTACGTCTCGACCTTCATCAATTTCGGCACCGACACACTCTGAACCTCGCAGAACGCCAATAAGTCATTGCGACACAAATCGACGATCATGAGGTTCTCGGCGCGTTCCTTTTCGTCCTTCTCCAGACTCTCTTTTCTTCGTTGATCTTCTGCCTCGTTGTCGAGACATCGTTTGACGGTGCCCTTGATGGGTTTCATTTCGACGTGGCCGTCCGAAGTAATGCGCATAAAGCGCTCGGGAGAGGAAGACAGGAGCGAGAGCTTGGAACGAGGAAGGCGGAGGTAGGACGAGTACGGCGCCGGGTTCGAGGATCGCAACGAGAGGTAGAGTGGGTAAGGATCCGAAGCTAGGGTGGGGTCGACCGTCGTTCGGAACTGTGTCGTCTGGCAAAGTTCGTATGATTCCCCGGCGGTGATATATTCTTTCGCCTGTTCGATCGACGAGATGTACGACTCTCGGTCCTGATCAGGCACGAGTGTCGGGAGAACGGTGGTTCCACTCGCCATGGGCAAGGTGGATGTCGATGACCGAGGCTGAGCAAAGAAAGCTCGAACTGTCGCCATCCAAGTCTTATATCCGGGCTCATCGATTCCCAAATCCGCTTCCAATCCCGTCTTCGAAGCATCGTTACCAACCGTTGAGGAACCATCCAGTCGAACCAAAGCCGTAGCGTACCACTTGCCCGTCTCGTGCGCGAAAGTCAAGAGTCGACTCGCGAACGCGAATTCGGCATCCGTTCGTTCTGCTTGCACGGTCGCCGCTGAAGTCGAAAGCGGCAACGAGACTTCCTTCATCTCGTAGCCGAAATACCCCACGAAGCCGACGGGGAAAGAAGGGAGTTCGGGGTTGAGGCGACGAGTGTGTCGTTTGAGAGTTGCCTGAGCGGTTCCGAGGGTGGAGAAAAGGGTGTGAGGTCCTTCGAGCTGGTAGCTCAGGGACTCGTCCGAGGAGTCGTGTCGGACGAGGATCGTGTTGGCGGGTCGAGTGTGAGTCCAAGTGGTTTGAGGCACGAAGACGTACGAGAATTGAGGCAATCCAGTGGGCTGTGGAGCACGAAACCATATCCATGAGCACGTCATAGGGTCAAAGGCACTCAAGAGTGGTGTGAGTGTGTGCTCTCACCCTTGCAGAATCCAGCCACACTTCTCCCAGGTCATTCACACCCTTGACAAGTCCTTCAAAAACCTCTTGCGGTGTCCTCTCACTCGCATTGTCCAGCTCGATTGTGCGTTGCTCCCATCGCCAAGCCCGGTACGACGGTGGTTCAGCCGGAACATCGGGGATGACGTTCGGAAGGCCTCGTTTATACGACGTAGTCAGAGCGCGTACGTCCAGGGGCAGAGGGAGAGTTGGGCTTGGGTTGCCATGCTCGGCATGATGAGCCGAGGCCAGCGAGAGAAAGTTGGACAGAATTGTCGAGCCGTGTGTAGAGCAGATGGACTGCGGCAAGCAAGAGAATAATAGATCAGATTGAATCATTTGTGGTTCGACAGGCCATCGGAACATACTTCTGGATGGAATTGTACACCCCAGAGCGGCTTGCTCCGATGGCGCAACGCCATAATCTCGTCCCGGCCGCCATTGTCAGTCCAAGCAATGACTTGAAGCTCATCCGGAAGTTCTTGCGGAGAGACGACGAGCGAGTTGAACTGAACTGCTTCGAACGTCGAAGGAATTCCGGCGAATAAAGGATCAATCGGGGCCACGTGGGTGTTGCTCGTCGGCAGTCGAATCATCGAAATTTGCCCGTGTCTAGGTTCCCTGGCTCGCCCAACCTAGATGATCACGGAAACCACACCCAGTGTCAATACATCGACGAGCAGCTGAGGCGATTTTGCAAGGCCTGACTCACCTTTCCTCCAAAGCTTGTTGCGAGGCCCTGATGGCCGAGGCACATGCCCAAAATGGGCAATCGGTGACCGAAGTTTTTGATCAATCTTTCTGACCATGAGAAATCCGACGTCCGACTTGGGTTTCCTGGTCCTGGTCCAAGGATGATACACGATGCATGCGGTAGGATGGTTGAAACAAAGCGTTCCCTGGGAAATTGCCGAACGAGGAGCGGGTGAGGAAGAGAGGAGACGGGGAGAAGCACGATCAACTGCGATGAGTCACGTGCGAGGGCCGATGAGAGCACACAGGTTTATGAGCCGCACGTACCATGTGATATCATCGACATTGATGACGACAACACGTTGTTGCCATCCTTTCTCGAGCCATCGCCTCGCCGGGAGTGTTCCGTCCCCTTGTCGATCTTGATCTTGCACGTGTCGAGCGCCAACATCGATCGTGGCGATCCCGGCTGAAGCTCCGACTCGAGGTTGGGGTGGCGGAGCGGAGAAGAGTTGCGAGAAGAGCACCAAGAGATTGCGCGTGTAGGAGTCGTGGTGGTCCAAGATGACCGTTGTTGGGATCGGAACGCAGGATGCAAGCGGCATGTTGGGCCTTGCCTCGATGAGTGGCCAACGCGGTCGAAAGCAAGCGGGAGCCCAAGCTGCGAAGTGCCCGTCGCGGCGGAAGCTGCCCGAAGCTGCCCGACATAGCCCGACGTTCCCGAGGTGGACACATCTGTGGAGTGTGGACATTGGCATGGTGGACAATCCCCAGAATCCACTGCCAGACGCTGTCCGAAGTACGAAGCTTTTTAAGGCAATTAGGCTCGCAACTTTGTCTGGCGAATTTTCAAACGCCAATCAAACCTGTGTAGCTCATCATATTCACCTCCTTCACCCTGGAGTCTGGCAATACTGACTTGGGTCGGGTTGACTGCTGTGCCTGGACCTGGTCCGTGCGCAGTCAGCACTCGCTCGGACTCGTACTTCCTCCTCTGTTTGAGACCCCTTGCATCGTGACGGGGGAAGACACCGCAATCCGACTATCGATAAGTATCGAATATAGACACAACTTGTGGTTCTCCAGCGCACTAGCCCTATAAAAAGCATAGGCACCACCAACAGAGACAGGTAAAAAGGAACACAAATGATATAGTGGATCGGCGCACTCTACATGACGAACAACAAACTGGTGTCGAGTTCGTGGGAGCACGAGAGCTGGGGTTTTTGGTCGTCTGTCGATAGCAAAGCAAGGTATGAGGATAGATTCTGCACCCTTACACGCGCAAACAGGGGAATCGCGACTCACATTTGCCCCTCAACGAGTCGCGCATTGTATTGAGCAGTTGCACATACGATTGTTGCGGGTACTTTGTCAACGAGTCGATGAACGCGAACGAGAGAGCACCGGTGGCTTTTCCAGCCTCGCTCGTGTCGGCACTCGTCTGCGAATCCTTGCAACCACTCCACGAGATGACATCGGCCATCGACGACTTGGTCTGCTTCGTGATCTGCGACGCCTTGTTGCCGCCCATCACTTTCTGGCCGACCGAGGTCACCGCTTTGAAGACGCCACCAAGATCGCCTCGAGCATACGATGTGAACGCCGACAATGCTCCCTGGCCTGCATCGGCGAGCATGCTGAAAGAGAGACGAAGCGTCAGTGACGTCCAAAGGGCCAAAACATAAACTCGGATCGCAAGCTTACTTGGGTTCCTTGATCTTGCCCTGAGTCGAGTAGATGTATGGTAGATCCAAAGCCGAACCAGAATGGCAAGAGTCAAAGATGGCGGTTAGTCGACACCCTTGTGGCAGTCGGGCCACCATGATGGCGTGCATCTCGTCGTCGATGATCTGGCCCGCGTTCTTGAAGTCGACAGGATAGATCGTCTCGTCGTAGCCATCGTCCTCGTCACCGTCCAAGTCCTTGGCCTGTCCTCCGTGGCCCGAGTAGTGGAAGAAGAGGGAGTCGTTGGGCTGCGCGTCGCTAACGAGCCATTGCATCGCCCGAAGGATGTTGGCGCGAGTAGGAATCTCCATGTTGGAAGATCCAGGTCGGTCGGTCAGCTGGACGACATCCTCGCGCTTGTAGTGGTATCGCTCGCAGATGAACTTGATCATGTTGTCACTGTCGTTGATACAGCCACGGAGCGCGCTAGAGGTGCCGGTGTAGTTGATGCCGATCGACAAGGCCTTGCCTGCACAGCCACCAAGAGCGGGAGGGGATGAAGAAGCTTGTCAGGTCAGAACGAAGGATGGGCAGCACTTGGGGGCGCCAGAAACGAGTACTGACGTTTTCCGGAGCAGTTGGAGTACATCTGCGCGTTCGCGACGGGTTGCTGGTGTACTTGGAACTGGTCCCCCTGGTATCGAGACGGCCCCTGGTTCTGGTCGAACTCGCCATAGTGGGTCGGTGGGGGACCGTTGTACTGGGCTTGCTGGCCCGGGAACCCGCTTGGAGGTGCGTATCTGGATGAAAAATCACAAGGTGAGGACTTGATCCGAAAAAAGACGCAGCGATAAAAGGTCAGAACGTACTGGCTTTGGATCGGGGGTTGGGTGGGGACGTAGCCGCCCGACTGCTGCTCGTAGCCGCCGTTGTAACCTCCTCCCCCACCGTTGTCGTAGCCCCCTCCCGCCCCGTACTGTTGAGGCGGGGGTGGTCCCCCATAGTATCCCTGAGGAGGCGGGCCAGGGGGTGGTGGTCCATAATTGTTGTAGTTGTAGTTGTTGTAGCTAAGGTGGCGCGGACCGGGTGCGAATGAGATGAGTGGGAGGTGGGGTGTCAGCTCGCGCACAGCTTCCCCGTCCAAAGTCCGTGACCCCCTCCCTGCCTGGGTGACTTGGTTACTCACGCATTTGGGTCGGGCATCATCGTGTGATGGTGGCCATGGGGTCGGTTCGCCCCCGGGTAGCCTGACATGTTGAGGACGGTGCGAGGCTACAGCGTCAAAGGTGGTACGAGGCCTGGACGGTGGCCAAGTACCAGCTGTGTCTAGTAGCGGGCGTGCGCGACCTTCACTTCATCATGGTCATCGCCAGCTATCGCCAGCCTGCAGCAGTCGAGCAGTCGCCAGCTATCGCCAGCCAACGGGGAGCCAACGGCGTCTCGCTGCGCCCAACGCAAGGTCGGCGACGGCCGGGCAGGATCGGAGCCCTTTACGCTGTTTTCGCCCGCGTCAAAAACGCTAGAGTAATGGCCCCTTATGGAGAGCTCTCCATATGTCGATTTTCTGGCAGGGTCGACGAGTCCTACACTTAGTACTACTGGCCTATCCAGTGTGCTTAAATGCATCTCCGACTTTTCCGAAAATTTCCAGGTCGCGCGCTAAGATCCCAAGCCTGCCCAAGCCAGCGGTGACGACCGGCGTTGTCCTTCGATCGACCACTGGGTACCTCCAGCACGACCCACTCGACTTTGTCCGGCTCAGTCCAAGCACATCGGAGTTACCGCATTCTATCGCTGTACCATAACCGGCCAGCTCCCAGCTCCCAGCCTCTCCCAGCCCTCCCCCCTCCTCCCATCGGCGCTTCCTCCGCCGCTTGCCTTCTCCCGCCGCCCGTCGTCGACTTGGCAGCTCGGCAGCATGAACAACCACCCATCCGGGACCGCGCCAGCGTATGGCAACTCTTCTCATCCAGGTACGCCATCAGATGCACTCGTATCTGGGGCATGAGAGCTGATCCGGATGTGCCTTTGCGCGCCGGTTTCCCGTCACTTGCGAACGGGGTTCGTTGACTCCACAGCCTACGCTTCCACCGCGAACCACTGGCAACAACAACAACACCAGCAGCCACCTCAACAGCAAAACTCGAGCTTTGGTCATGTCTCGAGCGTGAGTGGTCCGCTTTCTTCTGCTTTCGTCGCGCTGCTGGGCCAAGCTAATCAGACTTACTACGCCCACTCCATCGTCCGGTGCCGTGTACCCTCTGATCCAGCAGAGTCACTCGAGACAAGCATCGTCTTCTCGGGCCCATGGTCACAGTCATCCATCCGACAAGACCAATGCCAATGCCAATACCACGGCCTCGAGCTCGAACGCCCAACACGCCGCCTACGACTCGTCCGCCAATGCGTCCCCGTATGGCTACAATGCACAAGGGTACCACCTCGAGCAACAACTAGCTTCTCAACAGCAGAAGCAACAACAGCTCGCAGCCGCTTCATCGGCTCGATCTGCCGCAGTCCAGAACGTCCCCCCCTCGGCCGCAACTGTGCCCGTCGTATCCGCTCCCCCACCACCGGCGCCCGCCACCGCCGCGCCGACATCACCCAGAATACCCATGGCCGAGCGGGATGTATACATGCTGTCAGTCCGGATTCTTGGTGGCCTCGCAATACGAGACAGAAATCCGCTGACACTTCTCGTTGCTTCCCCTCCACTGTCAGATCCCTCCCCTCGCAGGACCAGCGCATCTATTATGACACCGAGTCTGGATCCTCGGACGAAGATCGAGACCCTAGCGATCTCGACTCGGTGTACGACACATCTTCCCTCGCACGTTCGACGACGAACCGGGGTCACAAGCTGTCACGCTCGAGCGCGCACATCCGTCGTGGGCGACTAGGCGCCTTCCCTCATACCGACACGGGGGGCTTCGAGCCCACGACGTGCACGAAACGACGCAAGTTGCTGTCAGGATTACCGCCCTGTTCCGGGCCTGGCGCCTTGGCCGTCGCGCCGAATCTTCATCTCATCCCTCGCGGATCCAAACCAAGACCACGCCCCGCCGTCTTGCCCCCCGTGCCCCAAAGTCCTCTCGATCTCTTGTTGACGCCCGGGTTGCAGTACACCCTCGGACCCAAGAACCAAACTTTCAAGACATTGGGAATGAGTGCGATGGGGCTGATCGAGCAAGAGGGGCCTTTGATCGGCAGCCTTGGCCGCGTCTGCGCTGGTCTGAGAGGCGAAGGGTTCGACTTTAGGTACCATGGCGATGATACGCTGTCGAAGCGATCGGACCAGGAACGCGTGCAGAGGCAGGATAAGGAACGGCTTGCGAAGGAGCAGAGGAAGTTGGAGGCTGAAGAGAAGAAGAGGGCACAAGAGGCGCAGGAGAGGGAGGTCAAGCGATTGGAGGAGGAGAAACAACGCAAGGAGACGGAGGAAAGGGAGGCGAACGAGCGCGTCGAAGCGGATGAGAAGAAGAGGGTTGAGCAGCAGGAAGCGGACAAGAGGAAGGCAGAAGAGGACCGACGGCAGGCGCAAGATGAGGCCACACGCATCGAGGTGCAACAGGCTGACCAGGAGCGCGATGCCGAGCGCAAGGCCGAGCAGGTCGAGATGGCCAACATGCAAGACGCCGCGACAGCTCAGACCGAGAAGGAGATCCCCGCAACAGCGGTCAACGATACTGTGGCTGCCAGCGAGGCTGCGCCTGCGGCAGCTGTCGCTGAGACGGTCGCTGATGCTGAGGTGCCGATGGAGCAAGCTGCCGCCGTCAATGCACCCTCAGTCGCAGCTGGAACCGAAACGAAGGCGCCGGACGACGCGATGGAAGTCGATGAAGCTGTTCCTTCGTTACCCGTTGTCGATCTGGGCGCACTGCCATTGCTGCCCGACATGAACGCCCCCCCCCCTCCGAGGCTGATGACGCAGCGATGGCGGCGGCTCTTGCGGCTGAAGACGATGAAGGGACCGCAACGCGAAGGCGATCCGGACGCGTTGCGAACCGACCTCAACCGCAGAACGTTGCCGAGTCCGGAGAGGAGGAGGACCTGATCGCCGAAGAGCCGACCACGTCGGCCTCGGCCAAGACGAATGGAGCCACATCCGCGATCGGCATTGAAGGCCCCATTGAAGAGCCAACCCCCGAAGACAAGTCGATGGTCGAGGAGTTGCCGGAATACGTCAAACGTTTGGTCGATCCCGAGCTCTATGTGCGCAGTTTGTTCGTGAGCTCGGAAAGCGTCGAAATGCCCATCACAAGACCGGGCTTGCCCGGACAACCTGCGGTGACGTTGATGGAGATGGTATCTCCGAATGATCAGGAGGTCTTGTTGCATGACTGCCTAACGTGAGTGTGGTGAACTGTAACTTCGTGATGAGATTCTCGCTTGCTGATATCCATGAGCCTTGTTCATTCACCATAGCGATCTGCATCGCTTCCTCGCTGATTCGCTTGAATACCGCGATCGGTTATCCGAAATCCGGGATGGCGTACTCGGCGTCGAACGGAGACGCAAGGGGATGTGGAAAGTTGTGCGCACCGTTGCGGAGGATTGGTTGCGAGAGGAGGCCGAGGCGCAGCAGAATGCTGGGTAGGCCTGTTGGCTGTGTGTTGGGATGGATGGGTGGAGGTAGTGTCGCAGCAGCATTGTTCCATGTGTTATAAAACTTGACTCGGTTGTAATGTATCTTAGTATACCACGTGTCCGATTGCAGCCACCTGTATAGACGCCAGGCTCTTCGTACTATGCTCGCTCAATCTTGCTCTCAAACTCCGACACGCCCACGGGCTCACTGGCCTTCTCATCGTAATCAGTCCAGCCGTCCGGGTTGGACAACTCCAAATCAACCTCATCAAAGACTGTCCCCGAATCCACACCCTTGCAATGCCATATCCCCTTGGGGTCGAATTTGATGATCTCGCACCCGCGGCATTCGAGGATCGCGATCGTGGCGAATTTTTGTGATTCGGATTGGTCGAAGGTGTAGAAGGCTTTGGAGCGGTTGAAAGATGGGTCGAAGTCTGCGAGTGTAAAATAAGGAGTTTGGTGGATGGAATGGGCGATAGGCGTAGGAAATCGATCAGTGACGCGTTTCAGACGATAACAAAGATGTGGGGATAGGAATGGGAACTTGCTGATGGTGTGCTCTCGCTTGCACATGGTGCATCGCCACACAAAGTTGGCCTCGCCCCTCGACCCGGAGATCTCGTGTGACTCCTGATTAACGCGGCGAGATTCAGATGGTCAGACAGACCGTTTGGGGTGACAGTGCTCCTGAGGGGCCTGGACTGACAGTTGCATCGATGCCGATCCAATTCGGGTGCTCCTCTCGGCAAGAACCGCATTGAACCCTGAACTGTCATGTGAGAAAGACACATGGTGTGAGGTCGAAGTTGGATATGGGACATCTTCGAGCGGCTCAGGTGACGGACCATCCAGTTGAAATCATCTCCATGGGCCTAGTTATCGCACAGAAGGAGGGAAAGAGGTCAGATCCCCGAAAGGAATGGCAATCGAGGTGATGACTCGAGCAGAGGACTGACTTGGAGATCTGTACAGTTCTCTAGCGTGGCCTGTAGGTGATAAGAACCGGAGCCTAAGTGTCCAATCAACCGTACGTCGCTACACAGCAACACAAGGCAAGCAGGAGCAAGAGGTCGCGCAACGGACCTTGATCAACACTCGCAGTTTCTGAGGAGAGGTGGGGCCAGTGCAAAGCTCGTCAGCGCTCGTTGTCTCGACTTAGGCTTCAGGTACGCACTAGAGCTTACTACCATGATTGAACGATACTGGGTATGGGTCTGAGGCCAAAGATAGAAACTGCCGCCAACTGCCGCCCTCCGCACGCGCGTCGCTCCACATCCAGCCACATCTTTCGTCCTTCCTGGGGCGCTTCGACTTTCGGCTCACTCGAAGTGGCAGGCTGCTTTCAAGCCTTAGCGGCTACTCGTACATGTCGTTGTTCGAGCAAAATATGCATGTGTGCCCCGACGCGTTTAAGATCGGCAGGCTGCGATTTCTCCGTCCCCCACCTGCGGTGATCGCCGTGCCCGAGTCGACCACACCGCGAACGCCCTGTCTGCTCCCGATCGAACTCCTGGTTGGTATCACCGACGATTATGGTGCTCATATCGACTCCTTCGCGTCGCTCGAGCTTCGACTGCGAGTCGTCGATTGTGACGACCTCCTTTCGTCTCCGATCAAGCATGTGGAGCTCCGGGTCAACGGCAGCGATAACGGTCATTACGTCTTCGACACGAGGCGCGGGAACTACCACAAGGTCGTTGCGTCCCTCCGAATAGCTCAATCACCGGACGTCTTGCCTAAAGCCGTGAGGTTCGAACTCTCGGTCGCACGGACCAAAGCGCCGCCGGACAAACTTTCGCGGGTCTCGCAACGAATGCTAGAGATCATTGGCGAGGGGGAGCAGGTCGTACTCGAGGGATGGGAGGGTCAGAGGTACATTTTCATGTCTTCTCTCAGCGGAGATGTCGAGCTCAAGAAAGGACGATCCTTGCCGAATGATCCGGGCAAAGTACAAACGAATCTGCGCCGCATCCACACCGACCTCGAACACGTAATATCTATCGTCGAACGCCCGGGCTTGAACAATTCGACCGGACAGCGGTTGTGGGACTGTGCCATCGGCCTGTGTGGCTTCCTTTCTTCCCGGCCAGACGCCTTGTACCCCTCGCAACCCCTGCCTGAAGCTGCCGAGTCAAGCATGAATGACCGCGCCGCTGATTGGGGCCTCGCCGCGAAACGATCCAAGCGGGCCCCTCCTCGGCTCGTGGTGCTCGAGCTCGGTGCCGGCTGCGCTCTTGCAACTTTATTTGCGGCGGTTCTACTGGACAAACTGAAACCAGACGGATCGATGACCGCTGCCCGAGCCCGCGTGGTCGCTACCGATGTCAAAGAAACGGTTTCGACCACGCTTCGCGAGAATCTTGACTACAACCACCTGTCGGAACATGTCGATTCGAAGGTACTGCGATGGGGACCACTCGATACGTCATTGATCGATTTTTTTATCGGCCGTGACGGCGAAGACACCGATCTAACCTTGCTCGGCACCGATGTTCTCTACAACCCCGAATCGCACCAGGCTTTGCTCGACACCCTGACCTCATTCTTGAACCGGCCGTTGTCGGCGGGTGGTGGGCATCAGCGAGCCATTATCGCCTACAAGGCTCGCACGGAAGGTGATGATCATTTCTTTCAGCTCGCTCGCGATGTACACGGGTTGCAGGTCACACTGGTCTGGAGGTGGGGCGAGATCTCGGTGTGGTCATTCCACGCGGCGGCGTCGTCATCCTCGTCGGAAGCTGAACGGCGTGATCGGTGTGTAATGTCGATGGCCGAACTTTTATGAGCCTTTTCCGAATCAGATGACCCCCGGCAGGGGGGCGTTCGAAGCCGCCGTCTCGGCGCCGTACGTTTAGGACCAGTTAGGAGATACTGACTTTAAAGCGTCGGTCGTACAAGCATGCATTCCTCCGGTCCGGGGGGGGGGGGGGGGGTTGGGTTTCAAATTCAAACCCCGGCTCCCGGCATCATGCAAGCCAGGCAATGTTCTAGGATATCTTCTTTCCGCCGTTTACTTTGACATCGCCAATCATGCGAAGAGGCGAGAAATTCGGTCTTTGGCACTTTGCAAGCATGCTACCGAAAATTTGGGTAGACCTGGCAAAGGCGCCGTGGAGATCCCCGGGCCGAGGGGGCCACTGAAGTACTGAACTTTGCGCCGGCGGCGCTTTTCCCCTCCGATGTCTCGATCGGATGCCAATGGGGTTCTCGAGCGCGGGAAGGGAATTGCGACCTTCCTTCTGTATCTTTCGGTTTGTTTGGTTGTGTTGGGATGAGGAAGATGATTAATCTTCCTGGACGAGACCCTGGGATGATGCGTACACCCCAATTCCCGAGCCCTCGGTTCGGACAGGCGCCCTGGCGCGGGACACGTACCACAGGTCACGCCCCCCACATTCACAACCAAAGAAACACAGCGAAAGATGCCTACGTTACAACGCATTCAGGCTCTAACCGAATCGAATGCAAGCTTGCCAGCCTTGCTCAGCACTTGGATCGCAATCTCCTTGTGCCGCCGCCAATACCTGTCAAAGGCATTCGATGACCAACGGCCAAGGTTTCGGATGTGATCCGTGTGTACACCTTCTCGAAGGTAAAACGTGGCCCCACCGGACCTAAAGGAGTGGTTATTTAAGGGCGCCCTTCCGCTCGCCTCGAGAATGTCTCTGATTCGTCGCGAGAACGCCGAGGAGGTCAGCTGTCGATGACCTCCCTCGCGCGCCCGATATGAGAACAACCGCCCTGGTGGAGGTCGTTTAGGCGGAAATGGTTATCGATGCCACCGACCGGGCAGAAGGGCTCGCCGTCTCGCGCCGAGACTACCAGCGTGCGGCCGACACGCCGGCGCACCTTGTCGAACGGGAGGTCCAACTCGTATCGGAGAGGAGCTTCGCTCGTCGCATCGATCCGGCGTGCATTGGCCACCGCTAGATGCCGCTCGGCTATGAACTCTTCGTCCGCCGAACCCGCCGTAAACTCGCCCAATCTCGCCATCGCGAAGAACGCCGCACACGCTGCAGCAAACACGGCCGTATCGAACGGACTGCACTTATCGATCCCCGCGGCCAAGCACCTGAGGTCGTCCAAAGTCGCCGCCAATCGGTTTGGGGCCTGGAGCTGTGGCCGCAGCCGCAGCCAGTTGCATCGTCCACATCTTCGGATCATAGTTCATACGCAGCCCATGCGTCGTGTGCCAAAATTCTAGGGCGGTACGGAATCGGCGGAAGTGGCTGACGCTATAGGCTCCGACGCCATTTCCCGACAACGCGATCCGAGTGAGAAATCGCCTGACGACGTCAGGATGTGCGGGGAATCGATCCCTCCGGTCGACCAAGGAGCGGACGTTGGACCGGAGTCGTCGGTGTGAGAACGAGGATTCGGTTGATGCCTCGATACGCCTTGGCGAACGCGGCGCACAGCCGCTCCTCCGGCGTGCAATTCGTGGATGAAGCCATCGGGGCCATCTCGTTCCCGTCTGCCTCAGGTAGGTAAACGACGATGTCCCCCGAATGGGAACTGCGCAACATCGGCAATCTTGGGTTCGACGTCGACGTGAATCCCAAACAAGTCCCTGGACTACAATCTAGTTTCACAATCGGAGGTGGCGCCGCAGCCGGTGCTCCATCGCGCAGCGCCGAACTCGACGCGTCGGCCCGACCGGTGAGCGCTCTTCCAGACTTGAACGCGCGCTCCCTAACGGCCATCGTCGGGTACGGAACGGCTCGTTGACGAAGCCTCGACGCGGCTCGTGAATCCTCGAAAGACATCTGTATTTTCCAGACGGCGTGCGACCCCCTCGTCTGACAAAGTGGGGGGGGGAGGCCGAACGTGCCAAGCACGCGCCTACGCTCACGCGATTCTCTCGCGGCGGAGACGGGATAGGACCGGATAACCGCACAGCCGCAACCGAGGCATAAGAGCGCGGCTCTGAGTCATGATAGCGTGACATTGACAAAACAGGACGCAAGAGGGTTCGACCTCACAAACAAGCAAAGGTACACGACCTCGCAGACACAGGGATACGCAACTCCGTACGAACGAGGCTCCACCTTCCACGAAGGGAGTCAGATATCTCAGCCTATCGCCCAGAGGGGCTCTCCCGCCGCCAGCAGCAACTCGCGCCCCGCCGGAAACTTCGACAGTGGGTGCGCGATCATGAAAAGTTTCGCGAGTGTAGAGGCAATGAGCACTGCCGTTCGAGCGAAACGAATAAGGTGCAGAAGCGAACAGGCATTTCTCTCGCCTTACTTCACTCTAAGCGCATGCGCGCCACCCCCAGGGGGGCGGCCCACCCGTTCTCAGCAGACTGCTTCTGGATCGTTCCCGCCAAGGCGCTCTTTGCGCCACCGGAAGGTGTTCAGACCAGGAGACCCCAGCGAGCCCCAGCGCGCGCGCTTCCGGTTCGACGGCAGCTGAGTCACTCGATTGTTCTCTTTCCCTTTTGCCCATCCCATTCCCCCCATCTTTCGCCTCTGTCGTACCGTGCAACATATACAAGACGCCTGTCTACACCCCTCGCACTCACTAGTTCAGCTTGCCACAAGTGGACAAGCTGCAAGGGCGCTCACTTTTGGACCGGGCGGACCGTCACCGTCGCAATCTTGACTGCGATCAGTATCGATCAGGCAGCGTCGACCCCGAAGCCCCCGGAGATCACGCGATCGGACCTCGGCCGTGGGCGTGTACGCCGCCATCCCAACCTTCGACTGCCATCATGTCTTCACCCTCGTCCATGTCGACCATTTTGGACAGCTTGCACCTGCACTCTTCATCTTCGACCACAACGATGCCGCAACGACGCCGCACGGTTGTGCCTTTCCCCATCGCAGATGACCCCGACCAGTCGACGGGCGGTCGCACGGAGTTGTGTCGGACGCCTGCCGAGCTTCCCGCCGATCACTTTCTCGCTCCACGCCCAGCCGGCTCGAACTTGACACAACCTGAGAGTCACAATTCGCCCGACCACGACTCCTGGCAACGCCGTGCACGCCCCGATACATCCTCCTTGGCCGCCGCCGACTACGACGTCTCTGTCGCGACCGGTTTCTTGCCTCCCGACGAGCCCGTGCAACAGCTGCAGCTCGGAATAGAGTGGCAGCGCTTCGAGAGATTACTCGAGATGGCCCAGAAGGAGGTGTCTCGGCTTGTAGGTGGCGGTGTGGGTCGATTGAGCGAATCGTGGCGACGACATCTGCGCGAGGTAAGACACACCCGTCCGCTTGACTCGGGAGCCCCGAAATTCGAGATCACCAAGGCTGATTCTCCCGTGTTTCATCTCGACCATGCTACAGCTCCCCCAACCTCCTATTTATGAACTCACATCACTTCCATTGCTTCGTCGAGCCCACGTCGTCCTCACATACCTTGCGCACTTCTACACGCATGCTGTCTATCCGTACGACACCCACATTCCAGCGACGGTCTCCGTTCCCCTCGTCGAGATCAGCAAGAGTCTCGGTCTGCCTCCCATCCTCACCTACGCTGACACGGTGCTGTGGAACTGGCATCTTCTTGATCGATCGCGGGGAATTCGAGCGGACAACATGGCCATCACCACGACTTTTACCTCGTCTGACTCGGAGAAGGCATTCTTCTTCCTCTCGATCCTGTGCGAGCTCCATGGCCCGATCATTCTGCGCTCCATGTCGTCCACGCTCGATGAAGCCTTTTTCGCCGATCGTACGGCACTCGTTCGTATCGCTGGTCATCTTGACAACATCGCTTCGGCTCTCGATGAGCTGGCCTTGCTCCTGCACGACTCGACTCGTGGGGCGTTCGGTCCAGCACCTGTTCGAGCCTCGATTAGCGCTCCCGTGTTCTACTGGGAGATTCGACCCTGGTTCAATGGAGGTCGTTGGATGTACGAAGGCGTTGGCGAGCGTGAATATGGGGGTCCCTCAGCCGGTCAGTCGTCGCTCGTCCACGCCGTCGACCTATTCCTCGGCATCGATCACTCGCCCCGTCCCACCTCGACGACGAGCACAGCCTCGGTCCCCGCCTCTTCGGGGCCACCGAAGGAGCCTTCTGCAACTCTGCCCAGTTCCGTCGCGCAGGCAAAGGGTCTTTCGGACGACACGTTCATGATGAGAATGTCAACCTATATGCCGGGTCACCATCGCGCCTTCCTCGCTCATCTGGCCTCCCTCTACCAACCGACCGAGGTTAGCGAGGTCGGCAGCGCCGAGAAGCTGCCCAGCGTGCGCGACCTCGTCATTCGCCACCCGCAGCAATTGCAAGAGTCGTACGACCGCGCCGTTCTGTCGATGAAGAAGTTCAGGGACGAGCATATGAAGCTCGCGACCGTCTACATCGTCGCTCAAGCGAAGAAGGAGCCAGGACGACAAACGGTGTTTTGGCAGGAATGGGAGGACAAGAGGATCGAAAAGGAGAGGCTTAGGCAGGAAGAGTCACGGGGCAGGCGCGAAGTGTTGAAAGGCACGGGTGGGACCGACCTCATCGTCTTCCTCAAGATGTGCAGGGAGCGTACCAAAGAGGCTCTGTTGGGTTAGACCGAGTCCATCGTTGGAGGACGAGAAGGAAGAACACTCGTCACATACCAAAAGGAGGCTGAGAACAGCCTTACGCGCTTCACGCTTTTGGGCTCGCTTCCGATTTCAGTGAACTTTCGCATCATTTAGTGGCTTGTAGTTTTCCTAGTTTTGCATACCCTCGCTTCGCAACCGCAACTTCATAGATTCGCTTTGTTTGCTCAGATCTACGTCTTGTTGTGTTGCCAATTCCACGCAAAAGTTCTTTCAGACTTTGACCGTGCCCGAGGCTTAGCGCTTGGTTCATTTTACGCAGTAAAAGCTCAACCCCGTCCTACATCGTTCAACCTCGTCCAGCAGTGTCCTATCGTCGGCTTCCATCCACCGATCCTCATCCGCGATCTCGCTCTGCTTGACCGTCTTCCACAATCGATCAAACTTGGCCTTCTTTGCAGCCAAGCGGCTCATCTCGAGCGGTGAATTGTGGCCCGTGAATATGACGAGGGCCGTCAGAGGTGGGAGAGAGGCGTGGAGCTTGGTCAATTGGACGTTGAGTCGAGCATACACCTCGTCGAGTGAGGGCGAAGAAGAGGATCTTGAGGAGGCGTCTTGAATTGTTGTGGATGGGACGACATTGATGCCGGGTAGGGTTGCAGACGATTTGCCGAGAGCGGCGTTGGACGGTTGGGACCCTGGAGCAAAGGAGGTTATGAAGGCCGATAAGTATTTCGATTCACTTGAAGGTGAAAGGGGTTCGCAGTGCTCACATCCGAGGGCGTGGCTCAGATCCATGAATCTCGCCACAATCAGGTCGTGATCTTCGACGCTCCGCTCCACCCCTTCAACAACCTGATCATCATTCGTGCATCCGATCGCCGAGTCGGCTTTGGCTCCATGCCATTGACCGGGGGTGCCGTGATCAACGACTGTGCATCTTTTCTTGTCTGTTCCTCGACCGAGGCGCTCAAAGATCGTCTCTTGGTCGTTTTGGAACTCGCCGAATCCGGGCCCTTTGGCCATCTTGAGTTTGAGCAGATCGACGCAAGTTAGGGCGTCTTCGGCCGAGTCGTGGCCTCCGATCGAAGGTGCAGTGGGAGCGGAGGGGTCAGTCCCAGTCGAGGCTGCAAGAGCGGCGAGCGCATCTTTGGAGGGAGCAATAGAGGTGGGAGCAGGAGGAACAATCGAGGCGGGGGTGGTACAGGTGTTGTTCTGGATCTCTCGCTTGAGCCATTTCTGAGCGAGCCATTTGAGCGAAGCTTTGAAGGGTGGCCCCCGAGGGTGCTGGTAGATGACCGAGGTGTCGATGATGAAGGAATGAACGAGCTGTGGGGATTGCAAAGGAGTGGCGCTTCAGATACCAGGAATGTGCTCTGCTGGGCCGAGAACGGACCTTGAGGACTCGCAAATCGCACTCCAGGGAATGTCCGATGAGGATGGTGTTGTAAGAGATGAGCTCGGACAGATCGCGTTGCACGTCTTCAAGTCGCTTCGTGACGTTCGAGAGCTTCTCCTGGTCGAGCCCCGAAAACCTGTGTGACTCCCCGAGACGGTAAGTAGACCGCTGCCTCTCGCTCTGACTGCGGACTTGGGGAAGGCTTCGGGAGCAATAACTGACCTCGTCAGGTAGTCGAGAATAGGCTTATCGGGCTTGACCAGGGAGTCGTACACGCTCTTGCCTTGCATATCGACGACGCTGACCCTCGTTAGTTCCGAGCCGTCCTCTGTGAGACACATCTCACAATCGATACCCAAAACCTGGGGGATCTGCCCCTGCTGCAACGGGGCCTGGTAAGGTGCCTCGACCCAGCCATCGTCTCGTTTCCACCCTTCGAATGAAACCTTCAGAGGATCGGAGGAAGACCGAGTCGGGAGTGGGTAGGCTTGTTCGGCCATCTGCTCGGGCGTCATGAGGTACATGGATGGGTCGGCTGTCTTTCTGTGTTGACCCTGTTCCTTCCTCGCTTTCTCCCTGCGGTCCTTTTCGCCACCGGTAAGGGAACAATTGATGAAGTGTTGGTAGCACGAGTGCAGCTTGTACTTGTCCCCGGGTGCTTTGGTTGGGCATGCATGAGAGAAGAGGGTCTGGAAGATCGGGAGCTGAGATGGTGTTGCCGGTGGGCTCAGTGCGAAAGGGAGATTGGCCGAAGTAGGTGGGGGCGGAATTCCTAGTGTGCTGGAGGTAATACCGGGTATCATGACTGCGACGACGCGTTGAACGTTGCGTTTGTTCTACAGGCAAGAGGTTAAAGAATGGTTGTGCTTGGTTAAGCTTTCCGAGTCATAGCCAAAAAGTCCGACGAGATCCCCAACAAAGACTTGCAGCGACATAGAGCCATTGCTGGGCCTTTTCTTCGGACAGCAAATGCAGTACAAAGTCGCGGATGTCCTGTGGAAACAGCAAACGAAAGCAGGGAGTTGTCAATACAGTTCGCATGGAAGGGCAAGGGGTCGCCTGAGCAGCGACAGACCTTGATTTGAATCATTCTCCCGCCTTTAAAACCGCGCGTGTCGAAGGCAAAGGAAGGAGGGTTCTCCTGTGCGAGCAAATCCGTTTCGGGTCAGACCAAACATGCCAACTCTGCACACAAGAGGGGTACGAGAACGTACAATGGCCTTTTGCACCTCCTTTCTGCGCTTCTTGGCTTTGGCCTTGTCAAGTTTGGACATGCCATCATCCGCGGAGGGGGACGCTTCGGTCTCGTGCTGCGCTTCCTGCTGGTTCCATGCACCGTCTTTCCCTCGTCCATTCCCGGCCAGAGGTGGTGCTGGTGAAGATGCTGCGGCCTCGACAGCTTGAGAATGATCACGCTTCCGCTTCTTGGCTGGTGAGGCATCGTGGCTCGGGGTGGATTGCGGGGGTAGCTTTTGCTTTTTGGGATGGGGTGATGACGACTCCATGGCTTGATCTTGAGATGGCCGGTCCGGAATCACAATTATCGAGATAGGGATGCGGGATAAGATGCAGACACACACACGCAAGCCAGAGCGAGAATGGACCGCTGAGCTGATGAGCTCGGCCGGGGCCTGACGTGAGAGCTTCGGTGCGTACTCGTGCGAAGGAAAGAGCCTTTGGCCATTTAAGTAAAGGTACGCCTTTGAGTACGGCGAGCCGTTTGGGTCATTAGTCCCCTATTTTCGGGGGTCTTTTTCTACAAACCTTCAGCTCTAGAGAGCTTCAGGGATTTGATGACTTTCGATAACAGTATAATTGTATTCATACCTAGAGGCGTCGATAAGGACCGTCTCTTTTTGTAGACTAGCTGGAGTTCAAATTCCCATTTTCTTCCGGTTATAAGCGCGACTGTGTCTCACGCGTCCCTGGATCTTGATCACCCGACGCTTGCCAGCCGCTGCCCGCTGCTGCACGCCGCTGCCCGCCGCCCTCCCGCCCCCACTCGCCCCCTCTCGCTACGGCAGTGCTACGGCCTCGCGCGACGAGTCACACACAACCCACGACCTCCCCCTTCTGGCTTGAGCTTGATTCGCCCCACCCCGACCGGCTACGCTCCCTTCGCCTGTATAACTTGGCCAGTCCTGGATACTGGGCAGCTAGCTTGCCCGCTCGGCCCGTGATGCCCTCGCGAGGACCACCGACCGCTTCGGCGAGTGCTTTGGCGCGCGCCAACGCCAAACAGGCCTCGATCGATGCCACCTCGGCCTTAAACCGATCCCGATCCGCCACTTCGAACAAACCGAGGCTGTTCAACAGGTCAGTTACACGGCTGGAGCAATTGCAGCCCACGGCGCTCGTCGTGTAGTGCGCTGCGCAGCAGTGGCTGACGGCCACCGTGTTCTGCTCTGGTCCCCCCTGTGGTCCATGATCACTCTCTCCGTTGCCGTTGCGCCAGGGGTTACGATCAAGAGGATGACCCCGATCGACTGTACTACTCCAAGGGCTTGGGCAAACTCGACAGTGATGACGAATCCGGGGATGACGACTCGGTCGGAATGGGCGAATCCTACTACAGCACTGGAGACGAGGACGAGGATGTGAGTCTCGCGATCGAAGACTCGGGCAAGGACCCCACTTCCCCACGCCATGCCGTATTTGTGCGCTGACACCCGCCTTGGTCCCCACTGTCCGCCACAAGCCACACGTGAACGACCATGACGACTATGATGACGAGCATCCGCACCTCAGTCGGCCACACCCCACACCCTTCCCCTCCTACGTGCGACCGGCCAAGTCATTCGATCTGACCCCGGCGAATCACGTCGATGGCGACTCATTTCACGGCGTAACCGGGAACCACGACGGTGTATATCACCCGAGCGAGAACGATGGTGGAGACGATGGCAAAGAAGAGGGTGGACCCGAGGTAGACGCCAGGTTCGAGTGGCAACATATGCTCGCCAATGTGCTTCAGGGCGACGTGCTGAAGAGCGAAAAGACTCGGCTCTCGACCGCATCCCTTTCGACCACAACCCATCTCACCAACAACCTCGTTTCCTTCTCCGGCACGGGTACACGCACAGGCAAGCGGCAGCAGGCCTATGCGATCTGGCTGTTGATTCGGGCCAAGATCAGGGGCAGAAGTCCGGAGGAGGAATCGCGGTACCTCGAAGAGGCGAGGGCGAAGGTCGACGAGGTGATCGACGAGGTGCTCAGATTCAGGGTCGTCGATCTCAAGCCAGCACCAAACGCCCCGCCCATCTCGGAAGAAGCCCGGCTACAGAATGCCGCCGATCAGGTCGCCGGTGTGCTGAGGCGCGTCGATTGGTGCGAAGGCCTGTACCCGTCTCGTAAAGCGCTGGCTTTGGAAAAGGATCGCGTCTCGACTTCAGAAGTCGTCCGACGGACCGATGCGTTGCGTACGTGGCAAAAGATCACGAAGCGACTCAAAGTGAGGTGCGGGATTCTCAAAGTCTGGACCGGTACCGAATGGGACAAGCTTTCGGATCCGGCGTGGAAGGCGAATCCCAACGAGCCGACGCCCGCCGTTGGCGATGGACGAGGCTTCGTCGCCAACATCCTGCGCGAGGACGCTCTACAGGAAACGTTCAAGAAACGATTGCTGTCGGATGTCTATTCTCTCGTCTTGACCGCCAAGGAGGCCATGACGGATCTGTCGGCCGATTTCCAAGCGATGAATCTGCCCGGTTTCGCCGCCGATCTGCATCGGCTGGCGATCTTCCCGTCCCGACTCGCCCAAGAGGCTCTACGTAGTATTCTCGAATCCGTCGCCAAGATTGACGACCCATCGGTCGTGTTGATTGACCAGCTGACGAACGATCTCCGCAAGGGACTCTCGTCCGCGTGCGAGGTCAAGAAGCAGTACCTCGACCTCGTCGGATCCGATCCCGCCGTCGGGTGGAGCCTACCTGGTCGAGTCGAAGAATACGAGGAGACGATGCTGTCTACGCTGCGCTATTTCTTCAAGCTCCTGCACTGGAAGCTCAAGAGCCCAAGCAAAGCGATCTACTTCAAGGAGACCGAGATCGTCGAGAAGGAGTGGGGTTTCCTCAGCATTGTCACGGAGCAGATTGAAGGGGGTGACCTGCTCGTCGGGGAACATTTCAGCACCTTAACACATCGATTGCTCGTGCGCGTTATGAGCTACTTTGAGACGCAATTACAAGTTCTCGAGACGAGGGACATGTCCCCACAGGAAACGCTGCGATGGTTCAGCCAGACGTTGGACAACGTTCGAGCCCGGCATCGCAAGCTGCTGCGCTTTGGCAAGTGAGTATTTTCCCCAATCACTCCCGTCCAGACCGAGATCTTGGTATGCTTGATAAAGTTGGCACTGATGACCCATAATTCTTCTCTCATTCACCTACAGGACCATGTTACAGCGCTTCGAGAACAGTGCCGAATACCTTCTTGACGACATTGATCTCACAGCGTTCATCAACGGTCTTGCCGATTCACACCACTTCATGGTCTACACCGGCACCTTTGAGCGGGACGGCATCTACATCGTCGGCGATCCCTCGATGCATGAACGGCCTGAGCTTGTGCATGCCATCTTGGCCCGATGTTTCAGCAGCACCACCCAGGGCGATGCTCAAGGTGTGCTTGAGGCAGACTACGACGACCAGATGCACTACGTCTTACTGCTTTCGCCACGTGACCCTTTCCTCTGGACCGGTCGGATCATGAATCTCGAGCTTCCTCGCATGGAATTCGACCTGCGAGAGAAGCGCGTACGCCTCGTCTCTGATGGCCCTTCGCTGCGCCTCGCTCGATCTAAACAAACCTTTACAGACATCTTTCCCCGTTTCGCTCGCTCGGTCATCTTCGAGCAGAAAGCGCATCTCGCTCGGGTCAGTCGCGAGATCAAGAAGATTGGACGCGCCATCTTCCGTTTGGCCGAAACGATACTAGGCTCGGTCGACCGTGTTCGTGCCGTCTCAGCGCGGAGGCCCGAGCAAGGTCAACAGGAGCTTGTGGGCAATTACTTCACCTTTGCTGCCGATCTGGGCAATCGCAGCATCAAGTATCTGGAGCCCGCGGTGAGAAGTCGCTACGTACTGATGCTGATGAAGTTTGCGATCGCATGGGTCGCGTTCATCTGCGACGACTGCGTACCGACCGATCCGCGGACGTTCAAGTGGGCGGTCGCAGCATTGGAGTTTGCTCAGTCCATCACGAGGGGCGAGAACATTCTCAAGTTCAGTGCGGAGGAGTTTGCTCTGCTGAGGACCAAGGTCGCGAGCTGCATGACTTTGCTCATCTCTCATTTCGATATTTTGGGTGCGAGGTCGAGCCAGGAAGCCAAGAAGGAGCAGGAACGTATCGATGCGGCACGGATTGAGATGAAGGAGCAGCTCGCGTTGCGCTTCGCGCAACTCAAGAAGACGCGGGGCACACAATCTGAAGCGACGGACGAACTTGAAGTGGGTGATCAGGTCGGACGAAGTGGGGATGATGAGGATAGCGTGGGATCCCTGCAGATGGCGTGGGACAAACGTATCGAAGCGCTAGCCCAATTGGACGAGCTGCGCGTCGCGGTCCAGACTTCGAACCGTGTTGTGGGGCGCGTGTTGGATCAAGAACGCGCCGAGGACAGTGCCCTTGCCTTTCTGGCATCGTCGTCTTCAAACATATCCATCCGCTGGCAACAAGGCAAATTCATCGGTGGAGGCTCTTTCGGTACGGTCTACCTCGCCGTCAATCTCGACTCGGGGCAAGAGCTGGCGGTCAAAGAGATTCGCTTCCAAGATCTTGCTTCGGCACCCCATTTGGTCAAGACCGTGCGGGACGAAATGAAAGTCATGGAAATGCTCCGACACGACAATATCGTACAATACTACGGCATCGAAGTCCATCGCGACAAGGTCTACATCTTTGAAGAGTACTGCCCCGGTGGTAGCTTGGCGAACTTGCTCGAGCACGGCGCAATCCAGGACGAAATCATCATCCAGATTTATGCCTTGCAGATGCTGAACGGCCTCATCTATTTGCATGCGCAAGACGTCGTTCATCGGGACATTAAGCCTGACAGTCAGTCGCTACTTGATTCTCGCTCTGGCCCGCGTGGTCCCTATTCGTAACGAGCACTGATCAATGAACCACCGCTACTCCAGATATCTTGCTGGATGCCGATGGAACGATCAAGTTCGTCGACTTTGGAGCCGCAAAAGTTCTCGCGAAAGGCCAGAAAACGATTGCCAGTCGATCCCGAATGTCCACGGGTGGAGGGGCTGCCGGCGCCGACGGTGGCTTAGCCGTTCCAGGCGCCGACCAGAATTCCTTGACGGGGACGCCAATGTATCTTAGCCCCGAAACAGTCAAAGGAGAACGTAGGGGTAAGAAGGGAGCGATGGACGTTTGGGCGGTAGGCTGCGTCATCTTAGAATGCGCAACAGGCCATCGCCCTTGGAGCAATCTTGACAACGAGTGGTACGCTATGTATTCCCTGCACTTTTTTCTCGCGGTTATGTGTGACAAGCTGACCCGGCAATCGACTTACCAACCCCGGATCGAAGGGCTATTATGTTTCACATCGGTATCGCGGTTCAACACCCCCCTCTGCCCGACCCGTCACAACTTTCTGAGCTCGGTATCGATTTTATCCGTCAATGCTTGACGATCGACCCCGACGATCGGCCATCGGCAGCTGAGATGATCCACCACCCTTGGATCACGATGGCTCTTGAGCAGCTCAGCGAAATGAACGAGACGGAGACCCCCCCGGTGACCGCATCGTCATCGAGATCAGGGTCCGCCTCGAGTGGAAGTCTTAGAAGCTCGCTGGGTACAAGCTCGCTTTTGAGTCGCAACACCTCAATCGCTGAAGAAGAGGAAGATGACCGGGCGCTGTCGATGGACAGCGCGGGCAGCCAGGCGACCGATGACTGGGTCGAGGGCGTCGACGAGGCCGTCGCCGAGGGGAAAGCCGAGGCCTTGGATGATGCCGAGCAGCATTTCGCGCATCAGGCTGAGCTGAGCAGCGTGGCCGAGGAGTAGAGGGCCCGGAATATGATTCTGTATGTATGTAACACACGTAAACCAGCATAATTCTTCGTGTGCTCGTGTAGTTTGTAACCAAACCCTCGATCGAACCAGATGAGTCGTGGGCCCGATGCAAGTAGAATCCCCCCTTTTCTCGAACTTGTGGCGCGCAACAGATCCACAACTGCAGAGGTTCAAAGCGATAAGAGGACTGACTAATCTTATGCTGATTTGGTGAAGCAGTGACATGCACAGGGAGGTGTGTCTAACGTAGGCACGTCCCCCGACCCCGCTGACCCTTTGTCTGAAAATTATAAATCTGCAGGTTCATAAAACCCCTTGCTCGCCACGCCTCTGCCATGGCATGCGAGCGGTTCAACTCACAGCATTCGCTACCTTGGCGGATCTCTCAAGGAAGAGAGGTGATATATTTTTAGGATGACTCGGCCGGTAAACGTTGAGCGCTTCGACTTGCCATCGTGCAATTGCCACGGCTTGGCAAAGTGCGGCCCCCCCCTTGAAAAACCCGACACACCGGCGAAGCCCGAGCGCGCCGTGCGTCAGAGCGTCACCGGACGAACGCGCGGCCAAACGTCCGGTATTAGTCGCGGGCAAACGTCTCATTAGAAAACAGGGTGCGAGGCGGCTGCGCCTATTATTAATGGTAGCCCGAACGTCGGTCGGTCGACGTGATCGGCCATGGGGCTTGGGGCGCCCACTCTGCCCTGTCATTGCACAGGTGCTACCATCGTCACACACCCACGCATACTTGACGACGGTACAGGTCTATCTGAAAATGTGCTGCTCTACGGCAGCGTGGAAGCGTGAAGTTGTCCCGGATCACAAGGTGTGTGTCTCGGCTGTCTCTTCGTCGAGGCGTCGGCGTCGCTGTCTCACCTCGGTCCTTCACGTTCCCACGCCACGAACGGGCGCGAGTTCGCGGAAATGGTTCGGGGTACTGCGCCCCTTCATGGTGCTCGTCATGCTTCCAGACGACGATTCGGGTGTATTGCGTGCTTAGTTCGCTCAGTGACGCGCTCGGTGTAGCGTGTCGAGCTTTGCTTTCATTGCAACGCAACTACGCGTCGTCGTCGCTCAACGTCCGCGCGTAGTCGCGCCAAGGGCACGAAACGCTGAGCGCCCGTCGTCGAATCCTTCGCAGTTCGATTTCATCGACGTCCACGAGTTCCATTCCAAGAGCTGCACGACGCGATTACAGTGAGTCTTGTTGATCCACTCCCTAATCTCGGTTGCCGAGCTCATCTCTGTGAGCCGCAACGAACTGACGCAACCGCCTCCGTTGCTCCTTTGTGATTTCCACTTCGCCGGTACGATCACCACTTGGCAGATATGGCTGGCTCTGGCTGTTATTTATCAAATCAATTGCGGTATACGTAGCCGATATCTACACTGCCATCGCTTTGCTTGCTTCGGGCAGGTGGTCGGGCTCGATCCTGCAGTCCGAAGCCGCCGCATCATCGTCCAAGGGGTCATCGGTGCTCGAGGTCCCATTCAACATCGGAAAGTACGTTCGGCCCGTGCGTGGGTAATCCTGATTCTTCAACCAAGGCTGATCTCAATTGCGACTGGTCTGGGACTCGACCACTCAGGTGGATTTTCACGGGCTGTATCATATTCTCGTTCCTGCTATTGGCCTGGGAAGCGCGCAAATCGAGGGCCATCATCAAAAGTAGGGACATCAGGTACGTCGAGCGCGCGAGGGAGGTTTGAGCTTTTGGGACTTCGCCAAGCTGAAAGTTGCTCCTCTTCATCGACACCGGTCGCAGCTACGCCTTCACCAACGTTATGAGTCAGAGTTGGTACGCTCTGAGAAGCTACGATCACTTCTGCTTTTTCTGTCAAATCGACAACTCGAAGAAGAAGAAGGACGAGTTCGCCTTTTTCGTCTTCTTCACTTTCAAAGGTAAGACTGAAGCTGTCTCTGCGCAGTGCGGCACGTTTTATTGACAGTGCTCGGGGGCGTTTTCGCAGGGTGGAAGCGACTGATTCTTGCAGACGGCCCGCGTCAGGTCATCAACGGCATCACACTCTACTCCTTCGGCAAGTCCGAAAAATGGACGACGGATCTTTCCGTTTACTTTGGCGGCGGTTTCCTCAAAACGGGCATCATCATCACCATGCTCTTCACCGTCATCATCTTTGTTGGATCGGCGGTGTTGCTCTTGATTGCAGCGATCATGTATGTGCCGCTGCTGTGCTACATCCAGGGCAACCTAAAAGAATACTGCTGCCACAAGGTCGACAAACGGTACTTTGGCACATTTGCAAGCCCCGAGCATTCAGGCCACGCATGACTGACACACAAGACCTACGTGCCTACAGAATTGCCGAGCTGATGAAGCGCAAGAACCGAAAACGCCTAGCCAAAGAAGCCGAGATTGCTCGGAAGGAAGCCCGAGGCGATTTTTCCCATCTTAAGGTGCGTTCGACGATCTTCGCTCTGCGTCAGATGATCCATTCGCTGACGCTATGGTAGTTTTCCCACGCAGGATAAGAAAACCGGCAAACTGGTCGCAGCGCCCCTGCCTCAGCCGACGTTGCCGAAAGTAGGCTTGCGGGACAACGATTTGTACGCACCATCATATTCCAACAGTGAGGTTAGCTCGGCGGTTGGCAATTACCGCTACCCGCCACCCAGCAACATCTCAAGCCATAGCGGGGCGGGAGGATACTTCGATGATCTTCGTTACGATCGAAATCAGCCGTTGCCCAAATCCAAATTTAATAATTACGCGCCTTCCGAGACGGACTCCTTTGACTTCCAGGCTCCCTCGGGGTTGTACAGTCACAGCGTGAGTTCGATGGAAGCGTTCGCGCAGCGCGGGGAGGGAATGGGGTACGATTCAAACCAAAGTCGAGGCCACATGGGTGGGGAAGAGATGTCTCGCGCGCCATCCTACCGGAGTCGCCAAGAAGAAGAAGAGGGCAAGGCCGCAGTACAATCACACCAATTCTACGCAAACTACTACCAGCCTCCGGCGATGCCTTCTCAACAACATGGGAGCCCGAGACCACACTTCCTGGAAGACGGCGTAGGCAACTCGGAGGTCATGTTCGATGGTCGGGCCCTCGGCCGGGGGAATAGTACAAGGTCGGACGCGCGTTCGGAATACGTTGTTCCCTCGCGACAGAACCTTTACGATCGGACGGCGGCACGGTATCCTTCAGACGACGACTCCGTGATTTTGACGTACGCTGCTTCACCACGTGAAATCAGATGAGCGATATTAGACCGCTGCTTTTTGGATCTCTTTATGGGTTTCGGTCGTCCTACGATTTTTACTCCCAGTGTTGTACCATTGCGCTATACGTTGTTCTTTCTGCATTGTCAAAATCGTGTTCCACGCCCACGCTTTTGCCGGATTTGGCTCTGCCCTGACCTAAATCCCGCCGACTCAGAGCACTCCCTGGGGGTAGGGGAGTGGTTGAGATGCAACAAACTTCATTTCGAAAAGCTTGAGAGGATGACGGAGCACCGGAAGGGCTCGTCAAAATCCCCGGGAATAACTGGATGAAAGCGGTGGGCCGAGAAGATTCAGAGGGAGGGAGGAGGAGGTGGGGAGGAGTGGGGGTGGCAAGGAAGGCGAGCTCATTATCGTACTTCCGGACCGATCCTGATCACGCTACGGCATAGTACACTATTCGGTGCGTTACCACATATCTGCGAGGGTGAAGACGCGTGTGAAAGAGGATAATGAATTATCAGCGCACGCTCAAGTACGACGGAGACGGCGTCATATCAGACAATACAATTCTCACCCTCCAAGGTCTGCAGCATGTCGGTAGAGTCGATGGTTCCTATCAGCTGCGCTGAATGAAGGGCATCGTACACGAACGCTTCGACGTACCATCTGTTTTGCAATATCTGTATTGGCGACCATGGCTTTGAAGTCTTCAAAATCGAGTTTGCCGACGCCCTTACGATCGGCCTCCATGATCGCTGTCCGGCGCAGCAGGAAGAATGTGATGTACGGTCAGTCCCATGCACTCCGTATTCTTCGCCCTCCAACGCACTCTTGTCCACAATCTGCTGCAACTGTTGATCCTGCAAACTCCATTATGTTCGGACATGGGGTCAGTCACAGAACTGGTTCGAGGCGAGCGGTTCGGACGACTAGCCTTGAGATTGTTGCCGACCATCATCTTAAGCACCAGGAAAAGCTCCCCGTTCGAGATGTAGCCGTCCCTATCCATATCGTACACCTTGAATGCGACTTTTGAGCGATTAGAATGCACAGACGTGAGCCACCTCTAGCATTGAACCACAATAGCCAGAATGCTGGGACTTCTCACATTTCAGCTTCTCTTCCCGCTCTCCTCGACTACTGAATGCACTCAGGCCCGCCACAAACTCTTGGAAATCGACGGTCCCACCACCGCTATGGCAATCAACATATCCGAACATGTGAAGCGGTCGTCAGCATGAGCTACTTGGCTGGCAGTCGGATTGTCGAGCGCGAGCCGATCATCCAGTTTGGCCGTGGCAATCGCTCCCCCAATCTCGAGAGAAGAAAAACTTACTCTTCGTCGAAAATGGCGATCATCCGACTTGCCAATGGGTTGTTTGCGATTTGAGGAATTTGCAAGAATTCATCCTTGTCAATCGAGCCTGAACCGTCCTTGTCCAACTTCATGAAGCGTTTCTTCAGGCGCTGGATTTCGGGTGCCGAGACTGTACACATATGACATGACATCGTCAGTGAAAAGTGTTGGAACAAGCTTTGCAGGCTCAAAAGACGAGAGAATGCAGACAGCTGAGGGTCCACAGCGAAAGCCTGAGACGAGGTACGAGCGCCACACGTCGAGATCGGTCCGTTCCGGTCGTGGCCGCTCTGTCCGTACAGGCAAGATGAGACACTGACAGTTGGAGTTCTTCTCCATCTCCTCCAGTAGTTGAGATTGTCCAGCTCCCATTTTCGGTTTGCCGATGCAGTTTTGCGACACTATATAAGACGAGGTAGACGCGGTGAGTGAACGCGTTGCTCTGCGAATCGGACGTCGTACGCTCGCCTGTGCTTATGCGAGTGAGATGAATTCGATGATCCGGTGGATGGGTCGGTCGAGGAGTCGGAAGTGTCTTGAGATCAAAGTGCGTCCGGAAGTCCCGAAGGTGGCGTCTTGTCTTGCTTGCGTGGGGGCTGTCGCAATCCCCCAGCGAGGTTGTGACGTGACGCAACCACCCACCGCGTGCGCGCTCGGACCCCTTCGGATTCCCCTGTCATAAGCTAAATTAAGCTTGCCAGATCGCGCGAAGTTAAGTTCACGTCGTATATGAGAGCAAGGTCTGAACTGAAGGATATTCCTGTTGTCATCGCATTCCGATTCTCGCTGATATTGATTCTTAAGGAGACCTCCGACTCGGACGAAATAATTGGATCAATTTGAATGAGTCCGTCGGAACCCTTGTAAGGACCGGCGCCAGCGGCAGCGCCGCGCTGGGGCCCGCCTAAGGCTTTCGAGCCTCGCAGCGGCTCTACATGCTTTTTGAACGGCGGTAGATCCAATTTTAAGATATAGCAGAGATTCTTGTCATTAGACAGCATTACAGCGAAATGGTGATAACCCCTTCCTGAGCCGAGGGCAGCAACCGCTTTCTTAGAGAGGGAGAAGCTGAATTTCGCATAGCAACATTGGCAGCGTTACGGGTGACCTGCCGGATACATGGCCCCAAGATCATGTCGTTGACCAATCAGTATTCGTATTCCGTTATACAACAGTTAGATGGGCGCCAAACCGGTCAGCGAGCGGAGGTTTTCGAAGAATAGCAGCGAAAGGACCGAATGCGGCCAGAGGCGCAAGAAGCACATTGTGAGACCCCGATAAAAGGCCAACGGTCCGTCGTTCCGCAATACCATGGCCGCGCAATGGAGAGTGTTTCGGTACTGGCCAGTAACATCCGACATTATTCGAACCTGTAGGATGCACAGAAGTTCGAGTCAGGCTTGTCCATGCCAAGGTGCCGAACCAAGCTCGGCGCGCAAGGTCCTGGCGACCAACCTTGACGACGTCGACTGCGGAACGATGCAGCCCAGAGGAGTGAAGTTAGCGGGTTCAAAAGCTTTGATCAACCCAATGCAGTTGATTGTGAAATACCTGGGCTGGAGACTATGGAACACGTGAATCCTGCCACCCCGCTGGCAATGAAGTGGGTGCGAAAGCCTTCCCGGAACGTGTCTGGAAAGTCGTTCATCAGGCTGCTCAGTTCGCCGTGTTGTGGCGAAGAGTCACGTATTCCAGTGTCAGCAAACTCGCTACACGGATAGAAGATTCTTCCTTTTGCCTTTCATTTTTGACTCACGTATGCTTGGCATGATCGTACGTCCCAAGTTGAGAAGCTGTTAAGATGCCTGCCCGCAGCACCGTCGGGGCAATGGCGCGATAGAGCCCCGCCACACCCCTGGTTCCGACGATATCTCCGACATGCCATCGGAGCGTTCCAGTTGCGCCTTTCGACTGCATTCTGACCTTGAGCTACGAAAAGAAGAGGTGCGCTGGTGAGCTGCGCGGGAGCTACTCCCACAGAGGTGAGGGGTTTTAACTTGCCAAATCGGCCGGGTTTGCCACGGCGGCACCAAGCATCCCACTCGTCATTCCAGCCGTCAATTTCGTGGCGAAAGAACCTTCTTCCGCCCACGGAAGGGTCACCAAAACAGCAGCTTTACAGCTGTCGTAAGCGCCCATTCGAAGCCCTCTGAAAAAGGGGAATAAAACCCGATCAGCAGTGGCGCTGGCGCTGGGCGAGGATAGAGACCGTGGTCGAAAGTGCCGCAACATGAGTGAAAATGGTCTTCAGTCGAAAGGAGAACGCCGTGGGGTGGGTTCATGTAGGCCATCTAGTTTCATGCAGGATCGAGTATCTGCAAAGCATCGAAAGCCAGTCCCAACTTCGCAGATATTGCAGCGCCAGGCCGATCGTGCCGACGAGTCGGCGGATAACCGTCCCCAGGACGAAGCTACGAAGATGACATCGCATCCGGGTCTGGACTCACGAATACGTCATTTCACGCAACATGCTGGCGGAGAGTCCTTTGTAGAGGGATAACGGCCCTTCCGTTTTAAACATGGTTCGCATCGTGGTAGCCCAGTTGGTTGTGGTTCGATCGGGTTGCAATTGTTGCCGAACCTTGACACTGCCATGGAAGAAAATGTTGAAATTAGCAAAGCCTTCTATGTGCTACTCCGTACGCGAGGATGAACATATTGGTCAACTGACAGATCAAAAGGATTTGTCACGAGGGAAGCGGCCTGTATTGCACTGGTCGCGGAGTTCAGCAGCGGCAGGCACATCTCGGCGGCGAAGAGCTGTCTTGCTGCACTTCGCAATTCGTTCTCGGGACAGTGATAGCTTCCAGTAACAGAATCACTCAAGCTCACACAGAACTTGCGATAAACTTGCCATGTTGGAAACGCCCGCCAGCACGACCTTCTGAGCGAGCATGCTCAAGTGACTCGCTTCCGATGCGCCGGCCCCCGCTTTTGGAGTTGATACCGGGGCAATGGGAGGGGGCGCCAGATGATCAGCATGCTGGGCTTGACGCATGTCCTCCAGGCGGCAGAGTTCTCTGGGAGAATGATGCTTCGCGGCCGCAAGGACGGGTGCCAAGCAACACGCTCGTTCGAGTGCGGGTGGGCGGCGCTGCCAGCTGGTTCCGGACTCCGGACATTCGTGGGCTGATTACCCCGGCCGACGGGTTTCCTGCATGTGGGGAACATCCACATCAGCAAAATGGGCACTCGGCGCGCACCGCTTAAAGGCGCTTAAGCGGGGGCTTAAGCGCCTTTAAGCGGTGCGCGCCGAGTGCCCATTTTGCTGATGTGTCCTCACAGCCAGAGGTCCGACTCGTCCGAGATCGAATCCCTCTTAGTATATGCATCCATACATAATGCCGCGAGTAAATGGTGCATTTACAAATTACGCGCGCGCGTTTACCCCCGAAGCTTGACCCATCTACCCCGGTAGTAAGGTGCAAAGTTCACTTACAAATGATGCATTCCTCGCGCAAGTTGGTGCGTTTGCTCCCGAAAAAAGGTGCGTTTACCAATTAAGGATGGTGCATCTACCACGTAGCTGGGCAATCCGCTGTATCTCGTGTAGTATGCCATGTATCACCCTGAAACTTGACGAGCCCTTTTACATGACCACCAAGTACGTCCACCTTCAGTAAGAAGCACTCTCACCAGGACCTCATGTAGTTGAAAATCGTGCCCGTATTGGCAGGGCCGGCCCTCGTCCCGGCCGCGGCCATGGTCCGGACCGAGTAACAAATCCCCCCGGGTTAAGTTCGGCGAAGGCCCCCGGATTCAGTTCAGCCACCTTTTCTTCTTACCAAACTAAGAGCACCAATCATGTTGGTGCTGCTGAATCTGTCTATATGGGGTGGGACACCTTGTAGTATAGTATTCCTTGCCGCATTTCCAGCCCCAGCAACTTGGACAACGAAGATCATTGATTGCCTCTTTATATCAGCGAACCTGTCCTAGTTTATTTAGCACATCACCAAGAGCTCTCGCAATGGTCACTAGCTGCAACTATCACCTCATTATGTACATTTCCTGCAGTTCTACTCATCATGACACGGCTTAGGATCGACGATCTCACTCCTCTTCTTGCAGCTGCTCAAGGAGTCACTAAACCATGACCAATGTGAGTGTGAGTGTTCTGGTGACATGGATCCGCTGCAATTTGGGAAGAGCCTATACCTTGAGCAAGTGACTTCAACATTAAATTTGTCTTGCGAGCCCGACATTGAGTGCAAGGCTTGAGCAAAACCGCGCAGCTTGGAAAGAGGGTTCTTCCCTCTTGCGCTTCGATTGGCAAGGACTTGGGCGCTTGCGGATATAAGGATAGTTGACCGGGCGGCTAGTGTACGTCTTTGATACCTTGACAAGGAACCAACGACCTCGAGTGGCTCGGACACCGGCAGGGAGGGAGTAGGGTCGACCTTTTACGACCCTTTGGCGTCTCATTGGTGGCGTAGCTGGCATCAGACCAATTGTTGTGCTTGACGGTGCTGAGGAGCTTCGTGGGTTTCGCGAAACCAACGGAATGGTACGTTGAGGATCGAAATTGGAATGAGAGGTGTCCATCGTGCTGATGGAAGGATCAATTAGGACGGGGGTAGGCGCCAAAATTTCAACCTTGGGCGATCCCAGGGGTTTTACTTCGAGCTCCAGCAAACTCTCCCTGAGCGCGAGTGGGACAGATTCTGCATACACATGAGTGTCAGCCTCAATATAAAGCAACTTTAAGATCAGTTCATTGAGATCAACAGTAGAATGACTGACCGCAAAGCGGAGGAGGAGCTGGAGGAGGAGCTCCAGTCCCCTCCGTCAAACCGAGGGGAGGGGGGGGGGGGTCAGAGTTTGCTTCCGACTCCATGTCACACCGCAAGCGAGTATGTATAACAACGTCCAACACGTACGCGTGTCTTTTGATTTGCTGGCCTAAATCGCCCGGTTAGGATGGCGAGTGACCCGGTGGATCTTCTCCCACTTCTTGCAATAGTCGGACAACACCTTCTCGCGTAAATTGTGAACGAACCCGACTCAGCGATGCGATCAGCAGACAAGTACAGCTTTCTCTTGGACACATCATGATGATTGTGATTCACCTTGCAACGCAGTGCTACGGGTGCTGCCACAACGAAGCACCCACAACGAAGCACTATCTGACGAGCGATAGTCCGCATAACCGTGGCCGGTTTCCTGACCGATTCTAGAGTCACCCGGCCCTCATGGTCGCCAAGTCTGTAGATCAAGGCGACCGAGACATTGCTGGCTGGAATCATAATCTTACAAAGCAGAGTGCGGGAACGAAATGGTTGTCAGCGCATGCGCAAAAGCCACGAACCCAAAGACAGCAAACGAAGAATCTCTGAGTCTGAGGTTTTGGCCAACTCACCTTCAAGTGTGAAGAGCATTCGCGCTCGATATCTTTGTCCTTCGGCCGCACATTTTAGTATATTTTCCCATCGTCTCAAGTGTAGCGCATGCAAGCGCCCGAGCACTGGTGCAATATGCGAAGCACTTCTTTGCGTGATTTATTCCAAGTGGATTGCAAATTTTTTCGCCGATCCGCGGGTGCTATTCGATCAATGCCATGTGATTCGCCGGATGCTGAAAGAAAGAGATCGATGGAGCACCGTGACGAATTTCTACTACGGCGACACAACGTTCCTATTTGCACGCTGTCCATTCATGCTCCTGTTCCGGTTGGTTCAATGAAGGATAGGAGGGGGATTGTTGAGGAAAAATGGTGTCAATTCTGCTTTCCACTCGGCAACTTCGACTAGCCACCAATGACTGCTTATGCCTGGAACCACCACCGACATACTTCGGTGTCTATGTACAAAGGAAGCTTGAGAATTGGTCTGGTGTCCTTGAGCTTACATTCGTCTGCTTTCTTTCGGTTGCCAAGAATCAGCGGCCACTGCCGTAGTCGGCTTTCTCTTCCGCCGACCAGAGGCGGTTCGACGACATGATCGCTTAACGTTTGGCTTGCATTGTGTCATACTCCAGCTGTAGATGGTTGGGTGCACAATTTTCGAGGAGGTTGACGACTTGGCGCAGTCGATCCATGGCTTCTTCGCCGCCATCGGAGGAGCTGGCTTCGGAGTCGTCGACGGCGGGGTCTGAGTCGGCGTTCGAGTCGACATCGTCGGAGCAGCACTCAGGAGTCATTGAGGTTTGATTGGAGTGCGTCACTGAAGGAGATTGGTCAATGATATCGGGTTCCCGCTGGGCCAAGTCTTTCTTCTGGGTAGACGTAGTCGAGGACATGTGGGAGGTGCCACGTGCAGGTGGGCTGGTCATGTCGATTGGTCGGGTCCCAATGCGGGGTCGGCAACCCTTGTTCTGGAGCGTTGCATTCATCTGCTGACTGGACATGACGTATGCGACACGGTTTTAGAACCAAGGCGAGTATCGGTCGATGGCAACGGATGGCAGGAACTGGCGTGGCGCGGTGAACATGAGTCGCAAGTAGAAGTAGGCGTTGGCGCGACGCGACGCGTCGAGCAGGCTACGTGCACCCAGACAAAATTGAGCAAGGTCGCTGGCGGCGATGCGCGGCTGTGCAGTGGATGCAGGGCCTACTTTGCTTGGGCAGTGACACGCATAATCGGATCACTTGACCCGTTGTAGTACCCAGCAAAAGAAAGAGTGAATATTTCGATGCCTGGGAGTCTTCGTCGAGCCCGGGGGGGGGGGGGAGTACGGGCACGATTTTCAACTACATGAGGTCCTGGTAAGAGTGCTTCTTACTGAAGGTGGACGTACTTGGTGGTCATGTAAAAGGGCTCGTCAAGTTTCAGGGTGATACATGGCATACTACACGAGATACAGCGGATTGCCCAGCTACGTGGTAGATGCACCATCCTTAATTGGTAAACGCACCTTTTTTCGGGAGCAAACGCACCAACTTGCGCGAGGAATGCATCATTTGTAAGTGAACTTTGCACCTTACTACCGGGGTAGATGGGTCAAGCTTCGGGGGTAAACGCGCGCGCGTAATTTGTAAATGCACCATTTACTCGCGGCATTATGTATGGACTAGGTGCGTTATGGATGCCATTATTATTGCGTCTCAGCAGAGCTCCGCCTGACGCGCGGAGTGAAGTGCGCGGCGCTGGCGTTTGTCATGTGTGGCGGGCCCGCTGGCGGTGATGCCATATCCCGGCAGTGGACCAGCGGTGTTAGGGGCTGAACAACGCTATCAAACCCCGTAAAGAATCCCGCGCGACTCCCTCTACTTCTTTCCTTTTCCCTCTCACTCTCGTCGAATTTTGGTGACGCTCATTCTAGGAGAAACCCTCGCCATTATACCGGCTGGCCCGGCCGAAAGATCGCCAGCATGCTGGGTGGCACGTCCCCCGGCTGCCCTCGGCCGGCAGAGTCCACCTCGCCAAGTGTTCGGGGAAAGGGTAGCAGAGGTAGCGCCGGCGCCGTACAATGGGCTACCATGGGCCTTGCTCGGGCACCTGTTGATGGGCGCGCCGCTGCTCGGCCCTCCTCTTCGTCCGCCCCGATCACCGAATCAACCGATGTTGGTAGTATTGCGGCACGTATACGAGCCCGCCGTGCAGCTGTGCAGAACGGACAGCGTGGTCATCGCGATGATGGGCGATGCGACGCTCTCCTGCTGGTCCCGTTACTTTGGCGGTTTTCCCGGTGTTTCTCGAAGTCTTCTGTTTGTACTTCTCGTTTTTTCGTAGACATTTTGACGGCCCCACCCGGGGCAGCTTTAACCCCGGAGCAGCCTCACACACGGGTTTGTTACAGTACGTTTAAAACGACTTCTTTGACCACTGCATGGCAGCGACAGCGACCGGCCGGGCGCCGCACTACGTTAAATTTCGTAATTTTCGGCAAATAGCAGCCGGCGAGGCCCGCGAGGGCCGAGTATGCTCCGACTCCGCTGACGAGTCCCAGTCTCAAGTTCTCCAATGGAATGCAATGGAGTGTGCTGAGGTTTCTTTCTCCCATCGATATGAGGGCGGAAGTACAAGCTGATTATTGCCATATGCTCCATGAAACACAAGCATGGAACAGATAATGACAAGAATTGAGAAAATTGCCACAGAGCACTCGGATTTGTTCAAGTTTTTTTATAAGTGGTGACGGCGTCAGCGTTTACCTGCCTAATAGCTATGTGTCGAAGGGTGAAGCTTGATACAAATTAAGTGAGTTGACAGGCTCTCAATCTCTGGCTCATCGATCCGTTATCCCAGTGGGTTGCATGATCACTGTCGCAAGTACTCTTAGCACTGCCTGCTACATGGCAGCTGAGCGCTGAGGCGCTGAGGCCTGAGGCCAATGTCGCCACCTGCCCCAGCCTGCCCCGCAGACTGCTGTGACATGGTCGGCGACTCTGACAACTCAAACCGATCGGCACGGCTATCTTCGGCCTTCGCGCGGGCTGTTCGCTCTTTACTACTACTTAGGCAGCTATCCGAGGTGATACACCTGTGCCCGACCTCTTTCCGTCTTCCAGTATAAGGCGAGGGACCTCACGTCTCCAACTGCTTCTTCGACCCCCGAACCGAGTGAGTCTTACAAAGGCACCGAAGTGTGCCGTACCCACAGCGCAGCCTGATTGCCGGTCGGGTCAGTCCATTAATGATGGCGATGCCTCCAATGCCCACCCTGCCCCTGCTTTTGTCTCGCAGACTCCATAGTACACACATCAACAACCGTAGGGTCCAAAGCACGACTACCCCGCAGTCCCCCATTCAAAGATGAGCTCCAGCCCGGTAGCACCTAGTGACGAGACGCCACCCGCTCGGAATCCTCGCCGGGCTCGATTTGATGTTGCGCCGTTCACCGAGGTCGACAACGGAGGATCGTCGACCAGGAGCAACAGTCCTGAGCCTCTTGCCACGCCAACGCTCAGCGAGAGCTATCACGGGCTCAAAAAAAATCTGTCGTTCAAATCTTTGCGCGAACTCGAGCTCAGAGAAGTCAGGTCAGCAATGTGGAGGAAAGGTGGAAGAGGCGATCCTGGGGAACAAATCTATCGTCCCAAAAATACCGAGGAGGCATTCGCTCATGCGTTCAGAGGAGGTCTGCGTAAGTGCATTATCACTACACACATCTGAGGGGTCTACAGAGACATCTGAAATCATGGTAGTCGCTGACCCACTTACTCTGTACAACTCGATCCCCACTTTCGACCGTCCAGGCTCACTGCTGCTGGCCGGGGGTTTGCGAGCGCTCGTCAATCTCTTCGTCGTAGCGTTGCGAATCACACGCAAGCGGTGCGTACTGCCTTTTGTGGTTCACAGCTCCCGACGACCCTCCATAGATCGAGGCTAAATCGCAGTTTCATTGTCATTCCCAGCGGTCTGCCCATGGCCCTCGTTTTTCGGGCGCTGTTCGGGCTCGACACCCTTCGCTTTGCGGCAATGCTAGGCGGCTTCACGTTTCTGTATAAACAGACTTACCATAGCCTTCGCATCTTCAACCCGGGAAAACGGGGCCCAGGTCAAGAAGAATGGTGGCATGCTGTCGTTGCAGGGTCGATCTCGGGTGCCGCAGTATGGGCGGAAAAGCCTTCGAGGCGTGTGACGATCGGACAACAGATGATGGTCCGCGGGTTGCAGGGGCACTACAACGTTGCGAAACGTCGAGGCTGGATCAATCTACCCCACGGTGACGTATTATTGTTCGGACTTGCTTGCGGCCAGATCGTGAGCACCTACTACTCCTTTTGCCTAACCCATCGCCAAGGAAACTGATTTCTGTCTCGGAATGCGGTAAGATGGAGTCGTGGCTCATGTCCCCAGAAGCTCTTCCTTCCGGATATCGTCGGTGGATCACACAAGCGAGTCGAGTCGCGGAGCCCTGCCTCCCCCTCAACCTCGCTGCGTCTCGCACCGGACGCTTCGATCCCGAGCAAGCGCGCAAGACGATTACATGGAAGTCCGGGGCTACCCCTCGCAATGCTCTGCTCATTGAAGAATATGCCCGCGCCGCAGAGAAGGTGGGTTCATTGCTTCTTACTTTCGGAAAGCTATGCCGTCGACTGATTGAACGCCGTCGACACCTCCCTAACAACCGTTGCTTTGACGTTTAGGGCGATTTCGGACCACCGTTTGCGCCTTGCGCAACCATTCACCCCTGGGTTGATTCGTGCAGCTGGGTTGCAGTCGATCGATGGCAAGCAGTGTTCAGGTTCGTAACGGGGCACGACGTCAATAGCATGGATCCCAATTTGCATCGACTGATCTGACTTGCTCTCGTCACTCCACTTAGATGGATGCTTCCCGTCTATGGTGCTCTCCACGTGATACCGCCGGTACTTTTGAGGAGCAAGGTCTTCGTGAAGGAGTGCGTATCACTGTGCCTTTCGGTCATTGGAGTCATGCCGGGTCGTGCTGTCCAAGAGTGCGGATGACCGACTTTGTTCCCTCTCTCCTCTTCTTATAGCCCTCAACGTGTGCTTCGCAAGTCTGTTTTCGGAACGATCCGCAGTTGTTCTTTCCTTGCCACCTTCGTTGTCATCTTCCAGAGCCTGGTCTGCACCCAACGAAATATCTATTACATGATCCATGGCAAGGTACCCGCATGGGTCGAGCGGGTCTTGCTTCACAAAGGATACTACTGGGTGTCAGGTACGAGCTCGTCCCAGAGAACCTCGGCTTTCAGGTGGTCGGTCTAACAATGTGTCATCTCTCATAGGATTTCTCACCTGCCTGTCCTTGTTCATCGAGGAGAAGAAGCGCCGCGGCGAGCTTGCCATGTACGTCTCGATGGGAGGTCCAATGAAGGAAAGAGAATCCGACAAAGGAAACAGACACTCAACACCAATCCCTTTTCATTACACAGGTATGTACTCCCTCGAGGTATGGAGTCGCTCTGGTCTGTTTTGCGTCGTCGGTCTTACGTACCATTCGTTCCGGGCGGAGAGATTTTGATGACATCGTGAGTAGGCGCAGTGAACTAAGGCCCTGGAGCGACAACAGGCCGCTGATGCTTTGAAGTGGACGGTGCAGGTTGGGTCTGGGTATGGTGATGTCTACATATGCCCATGAGCCCAAGATGCTCTCAGGGCTTGTCAGATCGGTATTGTATCAATTCATTGGCCACGGCTAAGCCACCGATTCGATGTGTCAACCAAGTTTCTCAGTGCTAGATTCGATAGTGGCCTCTTTGAGTGGAGGTACTTATATGGGTGACGGATGATTGCCTGCGATACATGTGGGTGTCAAATAGTCCATTGTATTCATACTCTGAGCGCAGTCAAAATTCGATGCTCAATCCTTGAAGAGATCAAACCTCTACCTATGAGGACCAGTTTTGACAGGGGCATGGCACCCTGCACAGCTTGAGCGTCCATTGACGCCACCTCGTATAGATCAAAAACTTCTCGGACGCCTTGCAAAACGAACGTCCGACCTGTATCGTGGGCGTGCAGCAAGGCCTTGGTCCGGAGAATACTGACGGACTCAGCTTGATGTGAGGGAGAGGCGGTTGTGGGCTCTTCGTCCGGCACCATTCCTTCCCACAGCAAATCTCGAATAACTCGATAGAACGTGCCCAGGCGTATATCGTGCTCCGTAAGGTAGGGTAGCCCAATGGAAACACTCGTGATATCGTTTTGGTGCGTCAAGTCTTGTTCTTGACAGCGACCTTCGACCCCGCACTGGTCGGTGTGAAGATGAGATAAGGCCAAGCCTGTCTTGGGGTCCGATGAGGGGAACGAGATGTCGAAAGACGTAGAAGCAGTGTACATGTTGAGGTTCAGTACGGCAGAAAGTTGTATCGCGGCCCTAGTCGTACGATGTACTAGGGCCGTTGGATTCAAAGCGCTGGGCACATCGACGTTGTGATTCTCAGCGCCGGCAAATGAGCACCACGTTGGCAAGGACGGGAACCCACCGAAGCGCAAGCTCGATACGGTCAAGAAGATGTGGTGTTGACAAATCGACCTTGTTCAATAGTATAACATCTGAAGAACCAACTTGCCTAACGGGGGTGAGGCACCACAAGAATGGATCAGCGAATCTTCGCGGGATATAGTCCCGACGAGTGGACGGACCTTTGCGCCTCGTTTTCAACACCGTCCTTTCGCTGTTCTCGTAATTGCTGCCACGAGGGTACAAAATACGGTTACCAGGCTAGCGTATAATGTAGGAAGCGGCTTCAGGTCACTTACTACCTCGATTCCCTGTGCGTCAACTACGGTTACAACTGCGTCAAGCACCACGTCTGTGAGGACGACCAGGGAACTCGAGCCAAGCTCAGTGGACGTCCTCGCCAATCACTGGTCCAAGGCACGAATGAGCAGCTTACCCAAACAAAGTGCTGGCTCGTTCCAGAACGCTTGAATGATCGGGGCGGGATCAGCCAGGCCTGTTGTTTCAAGGATGATGTGATCGAAGCGGCCTTTCTTCTCCATGAGCGTCAGAATCGCGGACAGTCCTGTGTCGCGGACCGAGCAACAAAGGCATCCATTGTTGAGATCGAGCCATTCTTCAACCGAGTCACTGCCGGACGACACGTTGATCGCTTTGGCTATTTCAGGGTGATGACGAGGAGATGTTTGGCAACACAAGAATGAGCCGGACTAGCCCATGTTGCGCCAAAATGCTCGGGCTTATGCCCTAGGGCCCGAGGCAGATTTTCTGGGCTCACATTCGATGTCCCCCGTGTCGCCGAATTCGTTCATGATGACGGCGATACGATATCCGTGTTGTTGAGTTAGGATGTACTCGAGAAGCGTTGATTTACCTGCACCGAGGTATCCTGTGAGGATTGTTAGAGGCACCTTGGCCCGCTCTTGTACAAGCTCGGGTCTTTGAACAGTGTGCCATAGGCGCATATACGCATGTACAATCACAAAAGTATGGAGTAATGTCAGTGGAGATGACTAGGTATATAAGCAATAGCGAAGCCAGTGACGAACGCGGGCGGGAGCGACTATCTCGTCATTACGAAGAGGACACGACGAACCACGTACATAGAGTCATCTTCGTTCTCTTGCAGCGTTTCCGGTGCCGAAGAAGAAGTGTGAAGCATCAGGAGGCCCTCCGTTGTCGAATCTTTGGGCGTCGGATGAGTCCACAGACATTATCTCGCTCGGGGGAGAAAGACCACAATCGCGGCTTGGCACGGGTCAGCGTCGGTTTTCTTTGTATCAAGCCTGATTAGATTTCACATATTCGGATATCTAGGCAAAATTAATGTTTCTTGAAAAGGGGGGTTGAACTTATGTAAAGTCATAGACACTAGATCCATGCAGCCCCCACACTCCTGAAACCACCAAAAGTGTGATTCCAATTATGTGAGCACCAACCACCCTTCCTATTCCATGAGCGCCGCCGGCCGGCGTAGGTTGTCGTGGGTCCGTGCTGGTCCGTGGCGCGGCTTCGCGAAATCATGATGGTGGTCTTGGGGGGCGGTAAATTGCCTCATACAGGCACTCAGTGGCACAGTCGACGAATATCCGGGAATCATACCTAATAGGCTAATACTTGCAACTATTTCGGCCGAAGGCAAGAATGGGATTGACCATGAGCATCATATTTATTGCAGCATGGAGGGCGGCCGCCCTGCCCGCGCAGGTTGACCCGACTGTGGCGTATCAGGCCAATCAGGTCAGATCAGGTCGAACCAGGACCCGGGAAAGCTCAGCCGAAGGTGCGTCTCGAAAAACCCCGTTTTTAGGCCGATTTGTACACCGAATATCCCTATCCAAGGGGTGTATGTATTCCGGTGTAAGACCAAAGTATCGGGCTGTGTTGAAAAATTTACTCTACCATCAAAAATTACGTCATGTAGCATACACATGGCATAAATGGGCCCGAAATGTACAAATCTATCGGACGCACATTGGGCTGAGCTTTCCCGGGTCCTGTCGAACCGATCAAGAACCCGGCGCGCCTTCGAATCACGAGCTGCCGCATTGTCCCTGTGTCCCTGTTTCTCTGTGTCCCTTTACCCGGCTATCGAGATTCTCGTACAGTCCACCCATCTCCAAGCGCCATGGCACCCAAGTCGATACTGAAGCAACGCACAGTCTCTGGTCATTCTGCGTCCGCTTCTGCTTCTCCGAAACGAACCATTGTCGTGCCCTCGACTTCAACTTCGCAAGCTCGCCCGGCTCGAGCGTCGCACCGCGCTGACGAGGGACGGATCCAGGACGGCCTCAACGCTGGGAGGAATACTATTGTCGGAACGGATGACGAGGAGGGGGAAGACGACGACGACGGCGATGATGTATATGGTGACCACGATGATGACGAGGAGGAAGAAGACGAGAATGAGGACGAGAATGATGGCGACGAAGACCTCGACGAGTTTGAAGCGCGAGGCGAGAGTTCGCGAGGATCGAATGGTGGTACGAAGTCTAAGCCGGTCAAGAGTACGTCACAAACCAACCTAGTGTCGTTTGACAGCCTGAGTGGGGTGTTCCGTCACTCAAGCCGACAGCTGAAGACTGAGCTGCCTCGCTTTGTTCGCTTGCAGAACTCAAGAACCCTACTCTGAAGCCGACGCCGGCCCCGGCCTTCTCGCAGGCGCTCCATCACCTACTCAGTCTACCACCAACGACGGCCTCGCTTGCTCCGAAGGTGGCCCCTCCTTCAGCTCACGCACAACGACTTGACCGTAAAGCACGCAGTATTTTGCGTGAGTCCAAGGCGCAGCATCTGGCACAAGGTCACGTGCCGGATGTGATCGCCGGGTGGGGAGCCCGGCCGCCCTTACCATTCAGTCTGTGGGAATCCAGTCAAGCCAGGGATTTCGAACATGCAAGACGAGGTGGAGATTCGTCACTGTCGGAGGTCATCGAATCGGGAGCAGAACGTGAGAAGCGGCTGCGCAAACTCGCGCAGCGCGGAGTAGTCCGCCTTTTCAACGCGATCGGAGCTGCTCAAGGTGTGCCGGATCGCTTGGACCGAGAAGACGTTAAACGTCGGCGCACAGTCGAGAGTGTTGCCACCGGGCTCCCTCGTATCGGCAATGGGCCGCTTGGGGGTACGATTGCGCGGCAGCCGAATGTATTAGGAGGACGTGGCAAAGGCGAAGCCTGTGAGTTGATCGCCATCTCGCGTTATCGTATCTGAGAAAGGTTACACGTGTGCTCATCCTGCATTCCGTTACAAACGTGTATAGTGAGCAACCTATCTAAGCAGTCGTTCTTGGATCTTGTGCGCGCCGGCACGACATGACATGTCTGAGCGCACCCAGCACCTTCATCAATGCGGGCTAGCACAGCGCCTCTTCGGTTATGCACGGCAGTGCCCCTCCGCTGCCTCTTGTTGTGTTACATGCACCGGCAAGCCAAAGGCTCCAGAGCGACCCTCAAGCACGAGGTCTTCTAGTCGAGCGTCCGTCGCAGTTTTTTCGGCGGCCCCCGTATAACTTTTGCTCCAGAAGTTGTATCCAGCCAGCTCAGATCGCACGCAATGCAGATGAACGTATTCTGTAAACGGTGCATCAATGTCTTACCGAAGTCACCAGGTCCATGCAGCCCTCACCGTCCCAACAGCTGACGATTGCTGAACAGGCTGAGAGCTGCCGAGGGCCGCCGAGAGCCATCGCGAGCTGTCGAAAGGGCCGGAAGGGACCGAGCTCAGCGTGGAGCGCACGCTATGCGCGCTGTCGCAGGCTGTCGCGCGTGCACGCGTGCACCCAGACAGACCCAGACTGAGCAGAGAACGGCTTCGTACCCAATAGTGGCCAGTCAGTCATCGACTCTTCACTGTCCGCGCTCTGAGCATAGGTCACGCTTCTACGGTACCTACTCAACTCAGCGTATTCAAACACTTCTCTGCACACCGATGGCGTTCTTTGCCAAGGATCCTCGCTCGCAGATGATGCTCGGTGGAGGAGAGCGGGTCAGTGGAGCTGAAGTGCGCGAACAAAACGTCCAGGCTGCGGTCGCTATCGCGAATGTCGTCAAGTCTAGTTTGGGCCCTCATGGACTGGACAAGATGATGGTCAGTGCGAAAGCCACCGGTGAAAGCCGGTGATCCTACTTTGCTCTACTCTACAGCAACTGATGGCCTTCTGCAATTGCTCCCGATCCTACTGTGGGAGAACGACCCTTTCGCGATGACGAACACCGGTGCCACTAGGTGGATGACATCGGCGTAAGTATACTCGCCCACGGTGTGATCTGGATGTCTCTGATAGTGTAAATCGAATTCATCTCTGAATTGACCCGTTTTCTACTATCCCTACTCTTCCTGGTCCCGGTTCCGCGTGCAAAGGACGTGACGATTTCCAACGACGGCGCGACCATCCTCAACCTGATCGAGGTCGAGCATCCCGCTGGTCGCATCTTGGTGGAACTGGCTCAACAACAAGATAAGGAGGTCGGTGATGGCACCACTTCCGTCGTTATCGTTGCAGCCGAGCTATTGCGCCGAGCGAACGACCTCGTGAAGAACAAGATCCATCCTACGACGGTCATTACTGGCTATCGTCTCGCGTGCAAAGAGGCCGTCCGCTTTCTGACCGAGCAGCTGTCCGTCAAAGTGGACTCGCTTGGCAAGGAATGCTTGGTTAATATCGCAAAAACGAGCATGTCGAGCAAGGTCATCGGCGCGTAAGTCCCCGTTTCGCTGTCGTGAGAGCAGCGAGGCCTCCTTACTTAGCAGCCCGCTCCGCCGGATCATGCGGATCACGACCTCGCCCGCACAGGGACGATTCTTTCTTTGCCAACATGGCTGTTGACGCCATGCTAGCTGTCAAGACGATCAACCCTCGCGGCGACATCAAGTACCCGGTCAAGGCCGTCAATATCCTCAAAGCGCACGGCCGAAGCGCAACCGAATCGGTGTACGTGAAAGGCTATGCTTTGAACTGCACAGTAGCGAGCCAAGGTACGTCCATGCTGCTTTTTTGGAGGGGTCGCACATTCGAGGCGGTCTTTACTTACAGCACAAGGCAATTCTGCTCATAGCCATGAAGACGAAGATCACCAACGCGAAGATCGCCTGCCTCGACATGAATTTGATGAAGGCGCGGATGCATCTTGGAGTGCATATCACAATCGATGATCCGGAGCAGCTGGAGGCAATTCGTAAAAGGTGAGTGAAACTGCTCTCGATGTCGTCAATGACTGCTCACGCGGCCAGTCTTCGCATGCTGTTGCAGGGAATCCGAAATCACGCTCGAGCGGATCCGAAAGATTCTTGCGACAGGCGCCAACATCATCCTCACGACGAAAGGTATCGACGACCTGTGCTTGAAGGAGTTCGTCGAAGCGGGGGCGATGGCTGTCAGGCGATGCAAGAAAGAGGACCTTCGACGCATCGCGAAAGCGACGGGTGCAACCATGGTCAGCAGCTTGGCCAATCTCGACGGTGAGGAGACTTTCGAAGCAAGTAGCCTGGGTCAAGCAGACGAGGTTGTGCAGGAACGCATCAGCGACGACGAGCTGATCTTGGTCAAGGGGACAAAAATCGTCAACTCGAGCTCAATCATTTTGAGAGGAGCCAATGGTTAGTGCTCGGCTATTCGTTAGTTTGTACAAGCGGTGGCTCGGAGCTGATTCCTGGTCGCTTTTTCCTGGGCTAGACTTCCTCCTCGACGAAATGGAACGAGCGCTACACGACTCACTCTGCGCGATTAAACGAACCCTCGAGAGTGGCAGTGTCGTTCCGGGCGGTGGCGCAGTCGAAACGGCGTTGAGCATCTACCTGGAGAATTTTGCGACTACTCTTGTATGTCAACCCCCAGGTCGGAAGTTATGCATGTGACTGACTTGCGCTTTCTCTCACAGGGATCACGTGAGCAACTAGCCATTGCTGAGTTTGCAAGTGCCCTGCTGGTCATTCCCAAGACGCTCGCTGTGAACGCAGGCCAAGACTCAACAGAATTAGTTGCCAAGCTGCGAGCGTATCACAACGCTGCACAGACGGCTGCGACTGGAGATCCCAAACGAGGTCTGCGCTTCTACGGGCTCGATCTTGCTAAGGGCGAGCTTAGGGACAATGTCCAGGCCGGTGTCCTGGAGCCCATGGTCAGCAAGGTCAAGAGCTTCAAAAGTGCTCTCGAAGCTAGCACTGCATTGTTACGAATCGACGATCGGGTGAGATGATTTTGCAGGCGCTGCGGCGTTGAGAATGCATGACCGAAGCGATCCTCACCCTGTCACTCAAAACTTCTCACCTCACAGATCACTGTACCTCCAGCGCAGCAAGGAGGCGATGATGGTCATGGGCATTAATCAAGCGGATGCTGGGTAACGGGAGAAGATGAGAAGGAAACGTGCTCATTATCTTTGATCTGCCGATGAAAATCTTGGCCAACTCAGTCGGTACCTTGTGTCTCGTCCTCATTCCTTTTTCCAGCCTCAGTCATAAATAGGATATAGCAGAAAAGGTCTTGCCAGAATATTGCAATAGGGGTCATTCATATGATCGAGGCTTCAAGTCTCCCAGGTCCTGATCCTCCCACTGCAAGTCGTCAAGTGTAGGAAGTCCAGATTAGTTCAGAGCAGTTCAGAGCTGTTCAGAATCGTGCGCGCTCTCGCGCACTGTCACGCTCTTTCTCTGTCTTTCTGTCCCCCTCATTCCTCAATCGTCTGGCATTAACTTGCATTCTGTCAAGCCTTCGAACACTTCGACTTTGGACCGCCGTTTGACGCTCGCCCGCCTTTCGCCTCGCGCCTTCGCCTCTGCGAGCCTCCACTGCGCCCCCTGTCCCTTGAGCCTCGCCGCATGATCCTTGCGCCCAGCCTCGTTCCTCGACTCATGTGCGCGTTTGTCAACACGTCCACATCCTGATTCGTCTACCCGTCGTTGCCTGCTCTGCCATGCTCGCCACCACGCGCCCTTGCCTCTTGTCGCTTTCGCCTCGGCGCCTTCGCAGCGCCCCCTGTCACCTGAGCCTCGCCGTCTGATACATGCGCCTTGCCTCGTTCCTTTGACCGGTGTGCGCCTTTGTCAACACGTCCACAATCCTGGTCCACCTGCCCGGCCGTCGCCTGCTGAGCCTGCACGCCACCGCCCGTTTTTCGTCTCGGCGCCTTCGCCTTCGCAGCCAAGCCCCCGCCCCTGTTCGCCGCCTCCGCGCCAGCCTGGTTCAGCTCACGCTCGCGCGCCGCCGCCTCCCACGCCGGGACTTAGTCGATCTACCTCTCCTGTCTTGCCGAGCCGTTGCCTCCGCCTAGCTACCGTCAGCTTGCCGCCACCGTCCTCATGTTCCATCGGCCATCAGAGCATCGCCCATCCATGACGCTCGTCGCTTGCAACCTGAACCTTGTCGCTCCGGACTGCCCCGCTCACCAACACTCGACCATGGTAGATAAGTTTCCCCTCGTGTCCGCTGTCCAACACAGCCCCTCTCAGAGCCTCGATGGCCCGCTTGGAGTTCGGTCTTGAAGCTTCGCATTGTGCTCGCCCAGTTTGACTTAGACCTATGAAGTTGTGACGCCTGCTCAAGCGGTGGTAAGGCTCTGATTGACGGCGAAGAAGACCAGACCAAGAAGTTGCTTGAGCAGGAGAGAGAGAAGCGCGGAGCCAGTTGGCTCAGGCAAGCGCGCGGCTGGGCCAGCAGCCTGTGTCAGGCGCACGGTATTATTGCTGGTGGGTGATCCGCTATGTATCTCGCTTGTATAAATCTGAACGACACTTCAGTTAGTCTTCAATGCGAGAGCAAATGAAGAGAGAAAGAGACGAAAATCTGCTAGAAATGCCCCGCCTCCCTAATTAGATGGCGGGCCCAATTAACTGCAGCCAGGGTAAGATGGCGATCCCAGTCGAGTAGAAACATCCTGCCATTCTTCCATTTAATCATATCTTCAGAGTCAAGAACAAGCCAACCCTCCAAATCCAATACTGTCCTTCCTTCGTCTTTGAACTCGGATCCTAATGTACAGACTTGTCGTTGACACTTCCCCTGGTTCCGATGTTCGAAAGCTGAACCATTCCCATCGATTGACGATGACGCTCGAACTTGATACGACCGAGACCTTTGGTGAGAGTGTCGGCGACCATTGAGTCCGTGTCGCAGTAGACGAGCTTGACCTCACCGAAGCCAACTCGCTCGCTCACAAAATGATGAACAACATCGAAATGCTTGGTACGCGCATGATGCGTAGGGTTGTTGGCAATCTTGATGGTAGCCTGGTTGTCCTCATGGATGATCGTTGCCAATTGCTGAGGGACGTAGAGATTGGTGGCAACTTGTCAAAGCCAGACCGCCTCCTTGGTAGCCATAGTGTAAGCGCCGCTCCGCTTACGCCTCACGACAGTTGGTGTGTTGTGAATGAGGATTAGTAGGAAGGCGGCTATTGGCTATTTGATTAGAAGCGCGCGTTTGTTTAGTGAAGCCTGGTGATGCGCACCAACCGTTGTCTTCTCTCCACGGTTGGATTACACGCTCGTCAGGTACGTACATTTAGCACTACGGCTACTATCATCTGCAATTAACAATGGTTGGTGCGCATCGCCAGGCTTCACTAAACAAACGCGCGCGTACATTTAGCACTACGGCTACTATCATCTGCAATTAACTGACGGTTGGATTACATGCTCGTCAGTCTCTTATTAAACAAACGCACGCTTCTAATCAAATAGCCAATAGCCGCCTTCCTGCTAACTCTCATTCACAACACACCAACTATGACGACATTGAGCCAACCTCTGCGGCCTCACAGGACCCGGGAAAGCTCAGCCCAATGTGCGTCTCGAAAAACGGCGATTTTTGGCCGATTTGTACATCGGGATGAGGTGTCTGAGGGGTTGATTTGTACCTATTTTCGGTCGTACATTGGAAGAGTTCCGAAACATGAAAAATTCAATGTCGTGAAATTGCCCAAAAATCGCTCTCCAACAGCCAGAAATACGAAAAATTGCTCCGACGACCCGGTACTAACGTCGCCTCCGCTTGGACCCTGTGAAGGGCCCGACCGCTTATCGGCTCCGCTCCCTCCGTCTGCATTGCCCCTCTCCTTGCCAGCATGCGCAAGTCCCTTCCGAATCGGGGCCAAGGACGCTGCAAGGGCCCCTTTGAGGCTTTACAGCTGGTAATATCGCGCTTGCGCCTGTGGGTCCAGGACTCGCCAAGTGTGGCCGTCGAAGCCAAAACTGGCAGCTGGGGGCTCAACGGTCTACATGCTCGAGTTGTAAGTGTCAAGGCAGCTGACGACCCGGTGACCATTCAAGAAGAAGATTCGAGCTTGGCCGCGGCTGTTGCGATTGGTGAAGACTCCGGAACTGGCTTGCGTAGGAAAGAGCTCCTGAATCACAATGTTGGAGACGAGTCCGAGGGATTCGGTGCTCTCAACACTGCAGTGAGGCATTGCTGGTGACGGCTTTGTGTAAATATAGCGCACTGTGGTGCATGCAGACGCCGACGTGATGAGCAACTTTTCTCGATTGCAGTGAAGGGGTTCGAAATGCAACAAGCAAGGCGCTTGCCAGCTTGATGTACGCAGCGTCGCGTTTGTCATTGACCTCAACATTGCTTAGCCAATCAACGTTATCCGAGATGGTTGACTTCAGCTGCTCGACAGAGTCCAGATGTTGCCAGAATGCTTCGGAACCGATTGGCATGTGTTCCACTATCGACGTGCAAGGGGATTGAACCTCGATGGATCGATAGCTGGAGGCGTACAATTCTCGAAGATCATGAGTTTTGTTGAATAATGCACGGGTAGTGTTATTGGGGTGAATCTGATGCTGATGGAATGTTGGCTCGAATTCGGAAACGGTGAGCGCTGCGGTCAGGTCAGGCCGGGTAAATTTGAACGCGAGAAGCTCGCCGACAGTGAGCTCGGCAACAGGAGACATAGCGGTGAATTGCTCCTCTGGAATCTCGAGCATGTCGTCTAAAAGCAGTTGAATTCGTGTATCTGGAGGGGCTGCTGTAGATGACATGCTGTCCTCTTAACCCTCAGCAAGGGCACTGTAAGGCGCCGCTCCGCTTACGCCTCACGACGACCTCGAGCCAACCTCTGCGGCCTCACGCTTGCCCTCGCGCGCGGCGCCGCCGTGTCTCTTGACCTTAGTCCTTTTAGTAGTCTTTCTTCGGCTGCGAATTACACCGTTTGATCCTTTCTGTCTGGACTCGGAATCAGTGAGGCTCGAGAGTGATCTCGTGCCTTTCACTTAGATGCGGCAAGAATCTCGGACTCGGTAGTAGAGGTGGCGACGAGCGACTGTTGTTTGGACTGCCAAGAGATTGCAGCCCCTCCAAACAAGGTGACAAAGGCCCCAACTGATCAACGATTCACAAAGTCGCTTGCCCAGCTGGCGTCGGAGTAGATTACGAGATTGGTAGAGCCATTGAGTTGGTAGCACAATCCGAAGTCGATGGTTCCAGCGAGGTAGCGAAAGATGTGTTTGACGGCAAGCAAGTCATTCTCGGTGGGAGAAGTAACTTGATGTTGGGCGACGGCGCAAACTGCGCAGCGATGTCGGGACAAGTCGTCTGAGGGGCGTATTGAAGAGCGCCGACCATGGACTGGTACATGTGAAGATCATCGAGTGTGGCAGAAGTGTCAACCGCGCGATCCTCCTTGTCGAGCATGGGGGTTGCCTTGGTCTTCATCAGCAACTTTGCCACTCGCGCTTTAGTGCAATTTAGTGCCAAAAGCGCACTTTTAGTGAAATTTAGCTCGTTTTCTATAATCTCCGGTGGGTCGCTAAATAACACTTAAAAGGCACTTAACTTAAGTGCACTTATAGTGCTTTTGCAACAGCAACCTGATTTGTGTATAACCGCGCTTGAGCGATCAATGCCTGGTAGTACTGGTATATGCTTGCATTCCACTCATATTACGCAGTGCTAAGTACTAGGCTACTGCCAGCCAGACAATCTATTCTGAGTCCTCTTCTTACGTATCATTCGGCGCCTAGTGTTCCTAAAGTGCCAGGCCCCTGGGCTTGCCTCGAGCGAGTCTTTGGCCACTGTTTCGCCGCCTGAAAACGGAAGCATACCCCCCCCCCCCCCTTTGCCCGCTGCGGAAACAACCCGTGTATGTCACAACATCTGATGATTGAGACTCACCGGAGAACCCCGCAATTGGGGGCATCACCTTTTGAGAGACACGCGCGCCTATTGATGAGACCGGTAGACGAACGCTAGGTCGAATGTCAGAGGAATAAAACCAATGTCCATGGATGATCTCTCGACTCACCGCAGCTTAAGCGTAAGAGCGTAAGATACTAGACCAAAAGCCAGGGCTTGGTGGTCCGGCTGCACCGCATTGAGGGAGGCCAGCTTTTGGCTCTTGGCGCAAGCTGTGAACACGGCGGCGAGATTGTTCAACAGTGAGTTTGACAGGTCGTTGAAAGGTGCGCGGCACCCTAACGCGTGATCCAAAAGTAAAGCAATTTGAATTGATGTAATTCAAATACCGGGTGCCACATTAGGTGCGTAAGGCACACCTGCCTTACAGTCGTCTGGCTTCCGGCCGAACTGGAAATCTCTCTGCAGTAATGCAAATACTTACCAGCAAATTCCTGCTCTGGACAAAAGTATAACTTCCTCAAGCTCACCTTAACAGTGGGGCCACAGCGAAGTTCCAAGAACCCCTCCAAAGATGGTTAGCGTTGCCAAGATGTGACGTGCGCCTCTCTGCTTCGTGTTTGTTTTGACCGCGCATTGGTCCCGCCGGACGCTGGCGGTGTCTTTGCCGGCGGCTTGTAACACTTCAGCCATACCTTTCAATGGCTGCGCCATACGGTCGACTCACTCGAAAATAGCCGTGGGCAGATTGAAAGATGATGGTGGAGGCAAGAGGGAAGAAGGGGTGGGCATCGCGAGCGGTGGTAGTGAGTGGGAGGAAGGAAAAGGAGGTTCGCGACGGCGCGTGGACTTGGTAAACAACAACGCGGCCATGGCCTAATGCGAGTCACTTGGCCGCGACGGCGCTTGCACTGACTGGCAAAGGCCCGGTTCACGCCAGTTGGCGTGCCGCGCGCGGCAACTCGCACCTTACTCCCAAAATTTGTCTACGTCCCACTCCGTTCGTAGGCGCATTTCCTTCTTCCGTCGCCGCACAGCGACTTCAATCTATGACACTCGGTTGAGGATGTTTTGTTTTACGATCAGATCTTAGTCAGGTGCTACTTTGACAAATGGAGATCACACCGGCATGGAATATCCAGAATGTTGTGGACATCTGGAAAGACCAGTTGACTGTAAATCTGTGAACTTGTGAGCATGTATGTTATCGCTTTGCGAGATTATTTAGCATCAAAATTCTACATGATCAGAGAACACCTCAGAGTCGCGGGAAGGGGAAAGGGAGGGCGGTGTGAATGGATCTATCAGAATAGTGTTAAATCGTGTGTCTCGAGAGGGGACTGGATCGGCAACCAGTGAGTACACGAGACACAGTACGAGTGTTAGGAAGTAGTTTGGAGTGTTAGGGGGAAGACTAAAGAGGCTCGCGGTGCGAGTGCGCGAAATATCTCTAAGTCCAAAAAGGGGGTCCGAGCGGCGCGCGGCTGGCTAGGCTGGGCGCGGGCTGGAGATCGACCTAAGCAAGAGTGTATGGAATTCAACAAGGTCGGCGGTAGGGATTTTGTCGAGGACTGCCGAGACTTCGGCCGAGTCAATCGAATTCGCAAGGACCTCATGAGCGACGGCGTCGCGAGCGGAGCGTTGCGAAGGTGTCCAGTCGTCGGGTACAATACCGTCGAGGACGTACGAGCGGATGTCGTCCGCTAGGCACAGGCGAAGTTGGCGTGTCCAGTTCGCGAAGGTCTTCGCACCATCCAAGCGTGCGTGCTTTGGAAAGGCAGTGCGAGTGGTGCCGGACGTCGTGGCGGGTGTGGCAGTGCCGGAAGCGGCAGCGGTGAGACCCGACAGCAGCGATGTAAGTGCGGCGAGCTGTTCGGCGGGAATCAGAGGGTTGGCACCCGTCGCGAGGGGTGGTGTCGTGGTCATGCCAGCTGGTGGCTCGTGGGCTTATAACCTATGAGACGATCACCACTACTGTCAGGAGAGGTTGAGAGTCGAACAGAAGTGATGAGAAGGAAGCTAAGAAACAGAAAGGGGGGGCCACGCTGGGATAGGCCCAGGCGCGTGACAATGTACATCCCTAAGTCAGCCGCGGGTGAAATTGCCGGCGCGCCTAAGTCCCCACCGCCGGGGGGTGGGCTAGCAAGTGCGCGCAACGACCGAGGTGCCCCTGTCGAGCTGAGAGTGGACTCTTCACACCACGAACCAATTCTGCATGAAGTAGTCACGAACTTGTAGCTGGAACTTCTTGATCTTTGCCTTCCCAACATCCGTTGTTGACGTTTCATCGGATGAGTGCGACTTAAGGATCCATTCATCGGTTCGGGTTAGAAATGTCTGCACTCTTGCGTCAAATTCCTGACGTCGTCGCACGTTTGCAAGCTCCTCCGTTTCCTGTGGACCCCTGACGAACCAGAAGTGTTGGATGATTGAACGAAAATCACGCAAAATATGGACCAATATGGGCTTTGATACTGGGGACCTGTCAGTCTTGCTCGCATGGGTTGCATCCGTTGACCACCGAGTAATTGCTTGAATCGCATGAAACTGACAAAGTCGAATTTGAAACTCGAGCCCATGCCGCGATGCCCCTGTTGCAGACACAGACCCGTGAGGGGAGATCACAAAAAATGATAGGTCAGATAAAATAACCCCTGAGACCAATGATCACCGCCTAAGAGGAAAGTGCCTCACATTTTTTGAGGGCGCTCAGTTCGGTCCTGCACTTGTCGATCATCAAGTTGGGCGGTTGCCACTGGTGCTGTACAATATACTGAGCGTTCTCCAGCAGATTGGGCAGGTTACCGGGCAGTTCGCTGACAGAGCCCCGTTGAGCATCTACGCTTCGCGAAAGACATGTCAATGCGCTGTGTCAAGGCCAAAGTATCGACAAACTGACTGCCGAACCTACCTCTGACAATAATGGCGGCCCATTTTTCGACTAGGTCCTTCACAACGTCCAAATAATGCAGCAACGTCCCTTGCTTGACGTCACTCGAGAGTAGCATAGGCCCTACAGAAAAGAGAATGTGCGAAAACTGATCAGCGCCGAAGGCTGAAGACGCTGAGACTCGCAAGCAGGCACAGGATTGGGCAGGGCCTCCTTCGCGACTAACCCAACGCCATCTGTTCGTTCGTACCCATCGTCGCAAGAATGGTAAGCGGGGCACGGTTCTCATTCAGATACCGCCAAGACGAATCAATCCCAAGGAATTGTGAACCGTCTTCGGCAACATTTCCCATGGTGGCAAAGGCGATCAGGATATCGATCGAATGCAAGGATGCGAGTACGCAAATGAGTGACTTGTTGTTCGTGGCATTAAAAGGTTGAAAACTGCAGGACACACGTACGACGTGTAAGCCATGCATTAGCAGATGCAAGCGCGACAATGCGTCGGATGGAGAAGAAAACTCACTAGGCAACTCCGTGAGTCATCGGTTCGGACGCATCGTCCAAGCAGAATTTTCGCAGTTGAGCTGTGCGTGATAGGGCGTATAATGGAGAGGAATGTGTGTACGCCTTCGCAGCCTTGGTCCGGAACATGCTCTTGAGTTGTTTGGCCCAAATGACCCGGTTAGGATGGAGAGTGACTCGGTGGATCTTCTCCCACTTCTTGCAATAGTCGGACATAACTTTCTTGCGTGAATGGACCAAGAACGCGAGTCAGCGGTGCAATCAACAGACAGATACAGGGTTCTGTTGGACATATCATGATTGTGATTCACCTTGGAAAGCAGTGCTTTGGGTGCTGCCACACTGTTGCACTATCTGATGAGCGACAGTTCGCATAACCGCGGCCGGTTTCCTGACCGATTCTAGGGTCCGCCGTCCCTCATGTTGAATTCCATACACTCTTGCTTAGGTCGATCTCCAGCCCGCGCCCAGCCTAGCCAGCCGCGCGCCGCTCGGACCCCCTTTTTGGACTTAGAGATATTTCGCGCACTCGCACCGCGAGCCTCTTTAGTCTTCCCCCTAACACTCCAAACTACTTCCTAACACTCGTACTGTGTCTCGTGTACTCACTGGTTGCCGATCCAGTCCCCTCTCGAGACACACGATTTAACAGGTTATGAGCCCGAGCTAAAGCTGCTACAACGATGCCTTCACCACCATCGTCACTTGCCACCATCATGATCGCGTTCGTCATCATCATCGCTCTGTACCACACCGTTGAAACCGCCCTCGCCCATGCGACCGGCCGTTACCACACCATGACGCAACTTGACACGTCGCACCTGGACTCGACTGTGAGCATGACAGTCCGGCCCAGCGTGAACGTCGTCGCACTCCTAGGTCGTCTACCATTGAACCGTGAGCTCCACCTTCCAAATGACACCCTTGTACTCGACTCGGGCGCCTCCCACCACATGGTCAAGGACGCGTCTCTCTTCGACGCCTGGCACACACGGTCACACGTCGCCGTCGATGGCGCTGGTGGGTCACTCATGGCACAAGGCACCGGCTCGATCACGATACGAACGTCGAAACAACGAACGATCAAGCTCTGCAACGTCTACTACGTCCCCGACCTTCCGGCCAACCTGATCTCGGTCATGCAGCTGCGCCGCGAGCGCGTTTACACCCACTTTGGCAAGACCATCGAGCTCCGGTCACAAGGTCAACTCATAGGTGTGGCATCCCTCATTGCGAATCAACTGTCGACACTGGACGCCACCCCAATCCGCAGCACGGTGTCACCGGTCGCAGCAGCCGCCATCCCTCTCCTGACTCTGCACCAACGATTCGGCCACCTATCCCTCCCCAACCTGCGAAGGGCAGTATCGTCGGGTCAACTCCAAGGACAAACATGGACGTACTCGGCGGCCGAATGCAAGGCCTTCTCCTGCGACACCTGCAAAGCCGCCAAAGCAACAAGGACACCTTTCCCAACGTCGGACTCTCGTGCTTTGCAACCACTCGAACTGGTCCACTCCGACGTCCTCACTCTGCCCGAACCCACCACCGATGGGGAACGATACGTTGTCACCTTCATCGACGATTTCTCCCGGAAGACGTGGGTCAGCGCGCTGAGGAACAAGAGTCAGGTCTTCGACACCTTCCAGCGTTGGCATGCCATGATCGAGCGCTCGACGGGCCTCAAGCTTCGCACGTTACGAACGGACAACGGCGGTGAATACACGTCCAAAGCCTTCATTGAGTACTGCTCTCATCACGGCATCACCAGGCAACTCACGATCCCTTACACCCCGGAGCAAAACGGCCGAGCCGAACGGACAAACCGCACAATCGTCGAGGGGACGATCTCCCTACTCCAGCACTCGGGTCTGCCCATGAGACTCTGGCGCGAGGCCCTCTGGTACGTTGTCGACACCAAAAACCTCAGCCCGCACAGCGCCATCGATCACAAAATCCCGGACACTATCTGGTATGGCAAACCTCCCAGCACGGCAAACCTGAGAGCATTCGGCTGCCGCGCCTGGCACACCACCCCACGTCTGTCACTCCCGCCCGTCGTGCACGAAAATCGATTTGCCGCACTTGAGACCGACGCGAGCGACGACGCAACAATCGAAATGTCCGATGATGGTTTTGATACCCCGTCCGACATGTCCATGGCTCAGTTCTCGCTGTCACCTCCTGCGTCGGACGTGACCGATGACTCGGCCGACCCCATCGACTTCCTGTCATGCCCGTCTCGCGCCGCTGCCTTTGCCGCCACCACTGCAGATTCACCGGTCGTCGAACTCGAAGGGCCAACCGAGGACCCCCAGAATTGGTCGCAGGCGGTCAAGTCAGGTAAAGAGGAGATCTGGAGGCAAGCAGCAGCCGACGAGTTTCACTCCCTTGCCACCGAGTACAAATGCTTCACCCCTGTTGACTCCTCCTCACTGCCCCCTGGCGCCAAAGTCCTCGGATCCAGGTTCATCTTCCGCACCAAACGCGACCAACTTGGCAAGATCACTTCGCACAAGGGCCGGCTCGTTGCACAGGGATTCTCCCAGCGCCCAGGTATCGATTACGACGAGACTTTTGCCCCTGTTGCCAAGTTCACCTCCATCCGAGCTCTCATCGCCCTGGCCGCTGCCAAGAAACTCCACGTCCATCAGGCCGACGTTGACAAGGCGTACCTCCACGGCGAGCTGAAGGAAGACCTCTACATGCGCGTCCCACAAGGTGTTGACATGCCCGGTAAAGTCCTCAAGCTCCACCGATCGATCTACGGCCTCAAGCAGGCCGGCCGTGACAGGCAACGTCGGAGGGGATGACGATGACTACACGCGAGAGACGAGGGAGAGAGCGAGAGAGCGCGCGAAAGCGTGAAGAAGCGAAAGGGGTGTCAACCGAGGCGGCGGCAGTCGACCGAGAGGCAACCGCGGAGGATACGCGGTTGCAAGGCTCGCAGCAAGTCCAGTGTACCGAACTATGGTGGCCAACGAGGTCGGACAGAAGAGGGAGGGCAAACGATCCAAGAAATAGCTGACCAGGCCGGTGGGAAGGTCGAGTCGGCTGGGCGGCGGAAGTCGACCGAGAGCAACCGAGGAGTGGATTCGGTCGGAAGGCTTCGCAGCAAATCAAGTGTAACGGACTTAATTGCCAGCGAAATGGGTAAAAAGAGGGAGGGTACGAGTCATGATAATGAGTGGACCAAGCTCTAGGGGAAGGGTGGCAAAAGCAAAAGGAGGGAAGTGCTCCGAGCGAAGGAAAGACTGAATCAAATAACTACACCACGAGGTCGCTTCAGGGGTAAAAAGGATTGCCTGCAAGGCACCGGTAAAAACCCCGAAGCCGGGCCTCGGATAACAAAAAGGAAAAGAAACCAAAAGGCAGATCACGCTCCGGGCGGATCGAACCCTCGACCACTGAGTGCGCGCCCGCGCGCCCTCACGACTACACCATCGCGCCGACAATGCTTGCAACGAACAAACCGGTAGCTGATGTCGACTCCGGCCGCAAACTTGGGAGACTTCCTTCGAGTATTGATGGCAGTGCAGGCTGTGCTCCTGACAGGATGACGATGACCACACGCGAGAGACGAGGGAGAGAGTGAGAGAGCGCGCGAAAGCGCGAAGAAGCGAAAGGGGTGTCGACCGAGAGGCAACCACGGAGGATATGCGGCTGCAAGGCTCGCAGCAAGTCCAGTGTACCGGACTATGGTAGCCAACGAGGTCGGAAAGAAGAGGGAGGGCAAACGATCCAAGATATAGCTGACCAGGCCGGTGGGAAGGTCGAGTCGGCTGGGCGGCGGAAGTCGACCGAGAGCGACCGAGGAGTGGATTCGGTCGGAAGGCTTTGCAGCAAATCAAGTGTAACGGACTTAATTGCCAGCGAAATGGGTAAAAAGAGGGAGGGTACAAGTCATGATAATGAGTGGACCAAGCTCTGGGGGAAGGGTGGCAAAAGCAAAGGGAGGGAAGTGCTCCGAACGAAGGAAAGACTGAGTCAAATAACTACACCACGAGGTCGCTTCAGGGGTAAAAAGGATTGCCCGCAAGGCACCGGTAAAAACCCCGAAGCCAGGCCTCGGATAACAAAAAGGGAAAAGAAACCAAAAGGCAGATCGCGCTCCGGGCGGATCGAACCCTCGACCACTGAGTGCGCGCCCGCGTGCCCACGATGCTTGCAACGAACGACTGGGTAGCTGATGTCGACTCCGGCCGCAAACTTGGGAGACTTCCTTCTCGACGACGACCAAACGACGATCACCACGGTTTCCCGCGAGTCGACTCCTCGGAGTCCCTCGTGGCCTCCACTATCTCCTGAGACGTTGGCAAAGTCGCTGCGCGAGGGTGCGGAGTGGGACCGAGCTAATGCCGAAGCTGCTGCACGTGTCCAAGCAGAAAAGGAGGCGATCATCAACGCCCAACTCGACGCGGAGGAACCGCTCGTTCGCCACCAATTTGCAGAGTGGGGTCAGGAAGATGGACAACTGCGATTCATCAACATTCGTGGCACCGGCTCCGGGTCGAACAAGAAGATGAAGAGGTCGCAAACGGTGGCCGATCTCAGCAATCCGAGCGACGACCCGGTCGATATCAAGCGCGTTCTGAACAGGGTCAAAGGTCGAGCAGGAAAGGAGGTAGCGGGTCAGGGGAAGAGGGTGACGAGGTCGATGTCGGCGGCGGCGGCAATGCAGGTCGAGGGGGCCAAGGCGAAAGCGGAGAAGGGTAAAGGGGTGGAGGAGGAGAAGCGCTGGTCCGACCACGAGCCCGAGGATGACATTCTCCCCGAATTCCCACTCTTTGAGGACGACACTACCGCCAAGAGCACGTCTACATCGTCTACCCAATAATGATCAAGCACACCATCACCAGCTGGAACGTGAGGAGGTGCATGGGGATCCCGGAAAAGCGACGCAACATTTACACCTATTTATCAACATTCAAAGCATCCGCCATTCTACTACAAGAACACTTCATCAAACCGGAACTCTGGCAATGTATCAAGGACGAGTACGAGGGCAAGGTCTTCATCAGCAAACACTGTCTGACTCTGATCCCCGCCGACTCGCCCCTGATCGACACCGAGATTTTGCGCACCCACTCGGCACTCGACGGACGAATCCTGGTCACCTCCTTTCGACTTCGAGGCGACATCCGGATACTCGAGATCAACAACATTTACGCACCAGTCGATACAAAACAACGACTCACATTCTTTGACAAACTACATTTCCACAGGACGCAGAGCACCCACCTTCGACTCCTCGGCGGCGATCTCAACGACTGCCCGCTGCCGGCGATCGATCGGCGGAACCAAGGTCGGCACGGCCATCACTGGCCGATCCTGATCGGCAAGCTCGACTCGCCCTACACCGACTGCATACGATTCAAACACCCGCTCACACCATCTTTCACTCGACCCAACATCGTCCGCAAGCGACCAAAGTCCTTTTCACGACTTGACTACTTCCTTCTGCAGCGCACCCACCAAAAGCGACTCGTCCAAGCCTCGACGATCTACGACCACCCCAAGGACCTTTCGGATCACCGACCGGTCTCGATCGTCCTAGTTCTCTCGGATGAGCGAGGAGACGCGGCTCAACCCAACGACATCAAACCAATTACATCGTATCAACGCGGCGACCTTCAAGACGGCGGAGTTCCAGGGGATGTTGGAAGGATGGTTGGAAGGAGCGAGTGGGGAGGAACCGGTGGGGGAGCTCGAGGTGGTGCTGGGGAACTGCGCGAAGGAGGGTCGGGAGCTGGCGAGGAGGGAGCATCGGGAGCGGGTGGAGCGGATGGCGGTCTTGGTGGGAAGGGTGCAGGATCTGGAGGTGTTGCCGGTGATGGGGGACGAGGAGACGGCCGAATGGACGCGGACGACGGAGGAACTTAGGCGAGCGGTCAACGAGCGCATGCGCCAACTTCGGATCCGAGCCCACGTACCCGAAATCGCTACCGAGGAACGACTGTCACGGCCGGTCCACGCCAAGCTCGCGGCACGGAGTTCGGATTCCAAGATCACAGCACTGCGATTGCCCAACGGAGAGCTGACACATGACATTGACGTCGCGCTTGACCACACACAGGCGCACTTTCAGCGCCTCTACGATCTCGAGCCGCGCGATCGGGACCACGTCGAGCGACTTAGGGACGATTTCTTGGCGCCGATCAGGTCGGCGCGCACTTGCGATGACCCGAGCTCGGACCCGCTCTTTCTGCGACGACTCTCGGAAGCGCACATCGAGCTGCTGCAGCAACCCATCACCGAGGACGAGGTCGTAGCCGCAATCGCAACAACATACCCCGGTCGATCGCCAGGTCCATCTGGCGTGCCCTACGAGCTCTATCACACAGCGCCGCGGGCGTGGGCCAAGGCGCTGAGCAGGGCCTTCAACGCGATGACCGAGTGCGGCTCGCTTTCACCGAAGCAGGGGCAAGGACTCGCTCGCCTGCTCTTCAAGCACCACAAGATCGGGGCCGATCGCGCCGAGCTCTCGTCGTACCGGCCCATCACCTTGCGCGAGTGCGACTACAAGCTCTTCACCAAGGTCTACGTTGCGCGACTCAACCACGTGCTGCCGGACCTGCTCCCACCGCAACAGCACGGCTTCGTCAAGGGCCGCCGATCGGCGGACACGTCATTCCACCTGCGACTCTTGATCGAGGAGCTGGGCGCGCGCGGCACCGAGTTCCCTGACGCGGCGCTCTTGTCTCTTGACCAATCGTTGGCTTACGACCTCGTCGAGCACGAATGGATCTTCGCCATCTTCGACGCTCTCGGCGCTCCTGCCGCCTTCCAACGTGTTCTGAGGATGCTCTACTCGGGTGACTCAACCACGGCGCGATATATCATCAACGGCTTCTTGACTCCGCCGGTGCGGCTGACGTGTGGGCTCGGCCTGTGAGGAATCCACTCTCCGCTCGGCTCAGGACTTAGGCGCGCGGAGCGAACCGGGCGCGGACTTAGGCGCGCGGAGTGAGCCGGGCGCCCCGGCCCAGGACTTAGGCGCGCGAAGCGAGCCTGGGACTTAGGCGCCCGGAGCGAGCCTGGGCCATTGGCTCAGCCCCAGGCTCGCTGGCTGTGGACTTGGGGCGCGCGGGTCTCTTATTGTTAGCTTCCTATTCATCACTCTTGGCTATAACTACATCGCTGACGTAGTAGAGTTGATCGAATAGGTATGTTGAAATGCATTCATCACTCTTGGCTATAACTACATCGCTGACGTAGTAGAGTTGATCGAATAGGTTATAAGCCCACGAGCTACCAGCCCCGCCGCTTGAGGTTTTTTCGCTCGAGCCCAGCCACTCGAGCCGCACACGTCCATCGCACCATCACATCATGGACAGCTCTCCCGCCTCGCCTTTGGCCCCCAGGGATCCCAGCTCCCCTGAATCTTCGATCGGCGAACAAATCGCCACTCTACAGGCCCAGCTTGCCGCTCTGCAGGCCTCGCAACCCGCCGCCGCCGCAGCCGCCGCACCCCCGGCCGTCACCGTCGTGCCGGGGAACGCCGCCACCGCATCCAAGGTCGTGTTTCCCAAGCACGCTCGTCTGGACGGCCCCAAGTCGTTCACCAACTGGTTGCGTCAACTCCGTCTTGCACTCCCGAACCAGGTTCGTGGTTACGTTCTCGACGGTGTCGTTCCCCCGACCTGGACCGCCGACCAGCTTGCCGCACGTGACGACGCCGCCCGGGAAATCATCGTTGGCTCTATCGACTCCGCCGACGTATCGGCCACCCTCGACGCCATCCCCAGCGACGACCTGTCGGCACCGCGCATCTTTGCCGCTCTCAAGGCTCGTTTTGCACCGGACGACGCTACACGCACTCTCGAGTTGTTCGCTCGCCTTTGGGACTTCAGGAAGATGCCTGCCTCCGTCGAGGCCTACGACACTTGGCTACGCGAGTACATGTCGATTGCTCAGGAAATACGCGACGCCAAAACATCGCTCAACGACGTGCTCGCCACCCACGTGCTCGCCATGGTCCCGTCTTGCCTCGACAGCTTCCGACTCACGTTCACGGACGAGCAGCGAAACCGACGCGACCTTCCCGAACTCACGACGCTTACGGACCGCATTCGCATCCAGCTTCGTTCGGCAGGACTCTCGACCTCGCATTCGGCCATGCTTGCCACCAGCTCCCCCTGCCCCGCCTGCCGCGCTCCCGGTCACCGCCTGCGCGACTGCACTTCACGTGCGAAGCACCCGCCCACCGGCCCCTGCCGCCGATGCCACAAGAAAGGTCACTGGGCACTCGACTGCAAGAACCGGGGTGAACAGGCACGTAGCAGCGACGACACCCAGGACGACACGTCTTCCTCCGCGGCCTCGCAACCGAACGTCGGCTATTTCGCCTCCTGTCTCTTCGCTCGTCGCCAACTCCCAACTGACGCCTTTGTAGTCGATTCGGGTGCCACGACACACATGGTCGCCGACCGATCTCTATTCACGACTTATCGTCAGACGGCACACACCAAGATCGGCGGCATCGCGGGCGGCATCACGGCTATCGGCATGGGGGACGTGGCATTCGTCGCCAAGACTGGACACCCGATCACGCTCCGTGGTGTTCTTCACACGCCTGGCCTACACGTCAACCTCCTCTCTGTCTCTCGCCTCTGCGACACCGACCGCGTTCGTCTCGCCTTCACCAGCGACGGCATCGACATCGCCAAGGACGGCCGGGCCATTGCTCACGGTACCAGGGTCAACGACGGTCTTTACCTTTTGGACGCGGATCACACCAAGTGTCAGCATCTTGCCTTCCTCTCACGCTCTGAGTCTCCCGTGCCCCTGCTTACCCTACACCGCTGCCTCGGCCATCTTGCCCCATCCTCTATACAGAAGATGATTGCTGCAGGTTTGCTGGACGGGTTTGGGGCCGGGTACAGTGACAAAGACGTAGAGGAGTTTGTTTGCAATGCTTGCCTTGGTTCCAAAGGTCACCGCCTTCCCTTTCCCGACTCTGAGTCGCATTCCGCCGAGAGACTTGGCCTCGTGCACAGCGACGTCCTGTCGTTCCCCACTCCGTCCTTGACCGGGAAGCGCTACCTTGTCACGTTTCTAGACGACCACTCTCGCAAACTCTGGGCATATGCGATCGATCACAAAAGCGATGTTTTCCCGACCTTCCAGACTTGGCTCGCCGAAGTGGAGTTAGAGACGAACGCGCGGTTGAGGATCCTTCGAACCGACAATGGCGGGGAGTACCGATCAAACGCATTCACGGAGTTCTGCAAATCCAAGGGCATTCGTCGTCAATACTCTATCCCTTACACGCCTCAACAAAACGGTCGCGCCGAACGTGTCAACCTCTCCATCGTCGAGGGCGTCCTCGCTCTCCTTGCGGACGCCCGTCTGCCGGCCACCTTTTGGGATGAAGCGGCTGCGTATTTCGTTTATTGCAAAAACAGGTGCTCACACTCAGCTTTGGCCAAACAGACTCCAGAATCCGTTTGGAACGGCCAACGCACCACCGCCACCGCCCTCCACCCGTTCGGCTGCACAGCCTGGCTCACGGTCGCCCCGGACCTTCGCAGCAAGCTCGACCCCAAGGCCGCGCGCGTGATCTTCACAGGTTACGACCTCGCCTCCAAAGCTTTCCGTTTCTTTGACCATTCCATCAACAAGATTGTACTTGGTCGCAATGCCACCTTCCTCGACGACGACTTCCCCGGCCTGCCAGTCACCACGCCCGTCGATGCAGACGACACCGACCGTCAGTTCGTCGTTCCCGCCGACACGCCCGCCCCTGCCGTCAAGACGAGGACCCCACTAGTAAGGTCGGCGCACATGGACGTCTCATCCTCCCTTGATGATTCTGCCATGAGCGCCGTTGACGTGGCCCCAGGGTACACTGGCGGAACCTTACTTAATTCCACAGATACCGAATCGTCCTCGTCACCGTCTCCTGAGCCGTCCTCGTCACCGTCGCCCACAAACCCTTTGTCACCGTCGCCTGCGCTGTCACCGTCGTTGGCAGCGTCATCGTCACCCTCGGTCTCACCGACCGACTCTGACTACTCCGCCGACCCTCTGGACCTCATCGGCTCACAGACCCCGACTCGCCTTGGCCCACCGGACGTGCACCGCCCAGACTTCAGCACGTACCGTGAGCCCGCATCGGCTGAGGAGTCGCCCGACGAACTCGACATCATTGGGCGTCACTCGCGCGATGAATCGCCGGATGAAATCGATTTCCTCACCCAACACCACCGCGCCTTCATCGCCACAGACGACGACGACCCCACCCTCGACGCCATCGAGCCCGTCAAATCGATCACTAGCGACCCCCAGACCTGGCGCGAAGCAATGTCCAGCGACGAGCACAACATCTGGGCTGAGGCCGCCGCCGCCGAGTTCACCGCCATGCGCGACGACTTCAAGGTGTTCACCATCGAGCCTCGCTCATCTGTACCGCCGGGCGCCACCATCGTCACCTCCAAATTCGTCTGGAAGACCAAGCGCAACGCAAGCGGTGAAGTCACGGGGCGGAAGGCACGTCTTGTAGCGCAGGGTAACCGACAGCGCGACGGCATCGACTTCTCAGAAACCTTCGCACCCGTCGCCCGTTTCTCCTCCATTCGCTGCCTCCTGGCTCTTGCCGCTGCCAATGGCTACCACGTTCATCAGGCCGACATCGACAAGGCTTACCTCCACGGCGAGCTCGATCATGATATCTGGATGACGACACCACGCGGTTTCGACTTCCCGAGCGATAAGGTTCTCCGGCTGCGACGCTCAATCTACGGTCTCAAGCAGGCCGGTCGCATCTGGAATCGTCACATTGACACATCACTCAGGAATCTGGGGTACAAGGCAACAGGCACTGATCACTGCATTTACTCTCGCATTGACGATCAGCAGCGGCCTCACTATATCGCCTTGTATGTCGACGACCTCCTCATTGTCAGTCCAGCCCTCGACGAGATCGAACGTGTCATCTCCGGCCTTGAACAGCGGTACGGCGTCAAACGACTCGGCCCCGCGGAGTACATCCTCGGAATCCAAATACGCCGCCTGGACGACGGTTCCATTGCTCTATCCCAGGAGCGCTACATCATGGACGTGCTGGCCCGTTTCCACTTCGACACCACGACACGCGGCACTACGGTGCCGATGACGCCCGGCCTCTCGCTCACGGCAATTCCGGGTCAGGGAACGGAGCGCATTCGTTCGTGGTACCTACAGGCCATCGGCTCCCTCCTCTACATCTCCCTTGGCACTCGACCCGACATTGCCTTCGCCGTCTCGTACCTGTCCCGGTTCGCCAACAACCCCGGCCGCCGCCATTGGATTGCCGTCAAACACGTCCTTCGCTACCTTCGCGCCACGTACCGCGATGAGCTTCTCTATGCCCGCGGCCCAGCAAAAGTCACGGGTGTGGTTGGTTATTCTGATGCGAACTGGGGCGCCTGCGTCGACACATCCATTTCAACGATGGGCTACGTATTTTACTTGGCAGGCGCCGCTGTCTCTTGGTCGTCGAAGCGTCAGACTCGGGTAGCGGATTCCACCACTGATGCCGAGTACCTGGCCTTGTCGCACGCGGGTAAGGAAGCGATCTACCTTAACCAACTCCTCTCCGAGCTCCACGTTTGCCCAATCGCTGCAGCTCACATCTTCACCGACAACGAGGCCGCGGCCGCCGTCGCTCACGACCCCGTTCGCACCTCCGGCACCCGGCACATTCGCCTCCGCGAGCATTTTGTCCGTGACATGGTCAATCGAGGTGATATCTCTCTCTCACACGTTGGCACAGCAGACATGGTTGCGGACGTATTCACCAAAGCGCTAGGCCCCAAGATTTTTGGTACACATTGCTATGCTCTAGGCCTCCGGACGCGACATCCACGGCTCAAGTCTACCTCGCGTTCGCGTGGGGGGGGGTGTGAGGAATCCACTCTCCGCTCGGCTCAGGACTTAGGCGCGCGGAGCGAACCGGGCGCGGACTTAGGCGCGCGGAGTGAGCCGGGCGCCCCGGCCCAGGACTTAGGCGCGCGAAGCGAGCCTGGGACTTAGGCGCCCGGAGCGAGCCTGGGCCATTGGCTCAGCCCCAGGCTCGCTGGCTGTGGACTTGGGGCGCGCGGGTCTCTTATTGTTAGCTTCCTATTCATCACTCTTGGCTATAACTACATCGCTGACGTAGTAGAGTTGATCGAATACGGCCAAGGGGACCCGGCGTCGTCGTCGGTCTGGGATGTCGTGTTCCAGCCGTTCCTGGATGCTCTGCACCGTCGAGGCATCGCGCTGAACCTCTCGCTTCCTACCATTCACCCCTACCCACAGAGCCGCGCCATTACATCCCTTGCGTTTGCCGATGACGTCGTCGTCGCCGTCGCGGGCTCGGAGTCACTCAACTTGCTCGACGACCTGGCACTCGACTGGAGGCTCGCAACCAATGGCCGGCTCAACACCGACAAGACCGTCGTACTACCCATCGGGTGTCGCTGGGAGGCTGGCGATCGTCCGCTCGTCGTCAAGGCCGAGGGCGAGTCGCTCGAGTGGATCGGCCTATCTTTCGACCCCACCGGCAACACCGAACTCGCCAACGTGAATCTCGTCGCACGGCTCGAAGCGGTGCTCGATTCGGCACGGGACCGAGGGCTCACACACCACACCCGAGCGTTCTATGTCAACCGATACACCATTCCCAAGATTGTGCACATCCTCTCCGCCGACATCCCACCGCTCGAGGTCGTCAAGGAGCTTGATCACATTCTCGCCGACTTTGTCCGCGGCGGCAAGAGGAGGTCGTGCTATGGCAAGGACATCGTCTTCACACCGAGGTTCAAGGGGGGTCTTGGGGTCATGCGGATGCAGGACGTCGTCGACTCGGTTGCGGCACGCGTCTGGGACGTGCTTCTTGGCGGTTCGGATGCGATCTGGCAGGGACTTGCGCGCGCGGCGATTGTACGAGCCCATCCCGCCCCCGACTTTGACTTGGCAACCGATGCGTGGCCTTGCGACTACACTCCGATCCGAACCGATCTACACCCAAGATGGCAGGCCGTGCTGAAGGTACCATCGACGCACAATGCGCAAGTCAAGCCGAGGACGTTGACGCTCGCGAACCTTCTCGCTCTTCCGATCAAGTTGCACACCCTTCACTACCTACCGGGAGCACCAGCTGTGTCGCGACCACCCTACGACGCCGACTATGCTGCGTTTGCCATTTACGCCAAGGTAGCGGACCTGTTTCGACGCGAGCTGTACCCGGGCGGGGGCTTTCATCTCTGGACGCCGCCGATGGATGTGGTCGTCAGCAACAGCGAATACGATCAACGGGGCCGCCCACAACGAGAGCACATCGTGGCATGGTACCGACATGCGATCAATCGATTGAGGTTCACACCAATAGCTCAACTGGTGGCGGCAGTACGAATCAACGGGCCTCCCCGAGTCCGCCCCACCACGCCGCTCGAGTCGATCCTGCCCCATCCGATCGACCCGCCGCAGCGCCTTCCGAGACCGGCTCTCCCAGACCAATCAACACAATACAACTTGCTCAGCATGGATCGGCCATACACCATCCGTCGCGTCCGCCGAGTCTTGAATGCAAAGGCCTTCACCGACACGATCGGTTTCAGGGACTCGCTGCAGCCCGACGATCTCAAGGGATTCTGGAAGGGGGTCAACTCGAAGGCATTGACGGCGAGGGAACGCGAGGTGTGGTTCAAGCTCGTCAGGAACTTCACCCCGACTTGGAGCCTGCAGTTTCATCAAAAGCACGACGACTCGCCCGCGTGCCTCGTCTGTGGAGCGCCCAAGGACGATCGGGAGCACTACTTCTTCAACTGCGTTGACTCTAGGAACGTTTGGATCGCGGCAAGGGGCGTGCTCTGCGACGCACTGGGGCTCGACACGATCGACAACACGCATTACACGGCCGTTCAACGCATGTTCGGACTTCCGAAGCTCAAGGCCAGTCTGCGCGATCAGGAAGGAGCGGGGAGGACGATTGAAATATTCACCGGGCTGGTCTTGGAGATGATCAGCAGCGGGAGGTGGGGGATGCAGAAGTGGGGGACGAGGATGGAGGGTGTTGGGAGGAGAGGTTGAAGCTGAGGGCGGGAGGAGCTTGGGGGAGGAGAGGGCAGTAGAGGCTGGGTTCGACTTTCCCCCCACCACCACACACACACACCAAATTCTCGTGACATCATTTTCTCCTACTGTACACTAAATAGCTCGCTTTCCTCTTTCTTTTGTTACAGGTTCACCGTTGCGGATCATGGACCATCTCGCGATTTGGCGTCGACTCGGTGTGGCTCGCGCTCTTCGGCTTCGGGGTTCTGAGTCAAGGGAGGGATCAGCGGACACAGGCAGAAAGTCGGCTTTGAGGGGCCAGGGACTGCCGAGGGGGAGGTTTTGAGGGACCTTCACCGCGTCTTGTTGTGACTGAGCAGAGACTTGGAGCGTCGAGGGTCGTGGTGGTTGCGCAGTCGTGCTCTTGTCTTCGTCTCGACCGAGTGGGAAGTGGCTGTGGGGTGGGCCTTCTGTCGTTAGTACATTTCTTTTCTTTCTCTTTCTCTCTCTCATTCGTCTCCTGGGGGGGAGCAACCGCTTGGCTAGGGCATTTGAATCCGAATCTCGGATTGGTGGACTTGGCTCGTTTCTCGCACTTTTGCGGGCGGTTTGTGTTATCATCGTAGTCTTCCTGTCAGGAGCACAGCCTGCACTGCCATCAATACTCGAAGGAAGTCTCCCAAGTTTGCGGCCGGAGTCGACATCAGCTACCGGTTTGTTCGTTGCAAGCATTGTCGGCGCGATGGTGTAGTCGTGAGGGCGCGCGGGCGCGCACTCAGTGGTCGAGGGTTCGATCCGCCCGGAGCGTGATCTGCCTTTTGGTTTCTTTTCCTTTTTGTTATCCGAGGCCCGGCTTCGGGGTTTTTACCGGTGCCTTGCAGGCAATCCTTTTTACCCCTGAAGCGACCTCGTGGTGTAGTTATTTGATTCAGTCTTTCCTTCGCTGGGAGCACTTCCCTCCCTTTGCTTTTGCCACCCTTCCCCTAGAGCTTGGTCCACTCATTATCATGACTCGTACCCTCCCTCTTTTTACCCATTTCGCTGGCAATTAAGTCCGTTACACTTGATTTGCTGCGAAGCCTTCCGACCGAATCCACTCCTCGGTTGCTCTCGGTCGACTGCCGCCGCCCAGCCGACTCGACCTTCCCATCGGCCTGGTCAGCTATTTCTTGGATCGTTTGCCCTTCCTCTTTTGTCCGACCTCGTTGGCCACCATAGTCCGGTACACTGGACTTGCTGCGAGCCTTGCAGCCGCGTATCCTCCGCGGTTGCCTCTCGGTCGACTGCCGCCGCCTCGGTCGACACCCCTTTCGCTCCTTCGCGCTTTCGCGCGCTCTCTCGCTCTCTCCCTCGTCTCTCGCGTGTAGTCAATCTAGTTTTTCCGTAGGCCGAAACAGGGGGAACAGGAATTGGGGGCAATATGATGAACGTTTTCTACCAAAAAAAAAAATCCTTCGAGTATTGATGGCAGTGCAGGCTGTGATCCTGACACTCTCGGCGGACGATCAACATGAAGGCTTGTTCCTACGCTGTGTTTGTCCATGGTGGCGGCGAGAGTGAGAGTGACGGGAGGAGGACCAAATGTGTGTGCGTTATCGGCGTGTGGCGTGGTCGCGTCAGAGGCAGCGTCGGGTGTCGTGGCTGGGGTGGGTGCAGCGAAGACGGCGGGTGCGGTGGTGGGGTACAGCGTGGCTTGGACAGGGCTCATAACCTGTTAAGTTGGGACCGGGGGGGTCGCTGGAGAATCGTGAGGCGGCACGGACCGGATCGTTTCGGGAGGTTGCGAGGCAGGACGACGTAGCAAAGTGCCCCCCGGTCGAGAAGTCGCGAGGCGGTGAAGACGCGGCCTGGAGAGGCAGCCGCGGCGCAGCCGAGCGATCTGTTCTCTAACGAATCTCAGCAGTCTGAATGATGAGATGAAATGATAGAGAAAAGGGAAAGAGGCGCGGGAGCGCGCGAGTCGGGCGAGGTTCTAGCAAGGGAGCGCACAGAGAATCTAACTGGGCAGGCACACAATGCAAAGCTTCAAGGACCAGACTCCAAGCGGGCCATCAGGGCGTCGAGAGGTGTCGTGTTGGACGACGGCACGAAGGGAAACTTATCCACAAGGTCAAGTGTTGATGAGCGAGGCGATCCGCAGCGACGAGATCCAGGTTGCAAACGACGGACGTCATGCATGGGCGATGCTCTGGATGGCCAATGAATCATGAGAGCGGCGGCGGCGAACTGGAGGTAGCTGGGCGGAAGCATCGACTCGGCAAAGCTGTAGAATGCGGGCTGACTAAGTCCGGGCGTGAGGGCGGCGGCGCGCGAGCATGAGTTGAGCAGGCTGGCGCGGAAGCAAAGGCGAAAGGGCGGCCTTGGGCGCAATGGGTGACCAAGCGGCAGTCAAAGGTACGAGGGCGTTGACAGGGGCACTCGGACGGAGACGAAGAACACGGGCCAGTGAAGGTGCACTGACAAGACAGACAGCGCCATGCGAGGGCGTGCGAAGGCGAAGGCGCGAAGGCAGGGCTGGTGGCGGCTTGCGAAGGTGCAGGCGACGACCGGGTGAACAGACCAAGATGTGGGCGAGTTGACAAAGGTGCACAGGGGTCGAGGAACGAGGCTGGGTGTCAGGATCACAGCCTGCACTGCCATCAATACTCGAAGGAAGTCTCCCAAGTTTGCGGCCGGAGTCGACATCAGCTACCGGTTTGTTCGTTGCAAGCATTGTCGGCGCGATGGCGTAGTCGTGAGGGCGCGCGGGCGCGCACTCAGTGGTCGAGGCTTCGATCCGCCCGGAGCGCGATCTGCGTTTTGGTTTCTTTTCCCTTTTTGTTATCCGAGGCCTGGCTTCGGGGTTTTTACCGGTGCCTTGCGGGCAATCCTTTTTACCCCTGAAGCGACCTCGTGGTGTAGTTATTTGACTCAGTCTTTCCTTCGCTCGGATCACTTCCCTCCCTTTGCTTTTGTGAGGAATCCACTCTCCGCTCGGCTCAGGACTTAGGCGCGCGGAGCGAACCGGGCGCGGACTTAGGCGCGCGGAGTGAGCCGGGCGCCCCGGCCCAGGACTTAGGCGCGCGAAGCGAGCCTGGGACTTAGGCGCGCGGAGCGAGCCTGGGCCATTGGCTCAGCCCCAGGCTCGCTGGCTGTGGACTTGGGGCGCGCGGGTCTCTTATTGTTAGCTTCCTATTCATCACTCTTGGCTATAACTACATCGCTGACGTAGTAGAGTTGATCGAATAGGTATGTTGAAATGCATTCATCACTCTTGGCTATAACTACATCGCTGACGTAGTAGAGTTGATCGAATAGGTTATAAGCCCACGAGCTACCAGCCCCGCCGCTTGAGGCTTTTTCGCTCGAGCCCAGCCACTCGAGCCGCACACGTCCATCGCACCATCACATCATGGACAGCTCTCCCGCCTCGCCTTTGGCCCCCAGGGATCCCAGCTCCCCTGAATCTTCGATCGGCGAACAAATCGCCACTCTACAGGCCCAGCTTGCCGCTCTGCAGGCCTCGCAACCCGCCGCCGCCGCAGCCGCCGCACCCCCGGCCGTCACCGTCGTGCCGGGGAACGCCGCCACCGCATCCAAGGTCGTGTTTCCCAAGCACGCTCGTCTGGACGGCCCCAAGTCGTTCACCAACTGGTTGCGTCAACTCCGTCTTGCACTCCCGAACCAGGTTCGTGGTTACGTTCTCGACGGTGTCGTTCCCCCGACCTGGACCGCCGACCAGCTTGCCGCACGTGACGACGCCGCCCGGGAAATCATCGTTGGCTCTATCGACTCCGCCGACGTATCGGCCACCCTCGACGCCATCCCCAGCGACGACCTGTCGGCACCGCGCATCTTTGCCGCTCTCAAGGCTCGTTTTGCACCGGACGACGCTACACGCACTCTCGAGTTGTTCGCTCGCCTTTGGGACTTCAGGAAGATGCCTGCCTCCGTCGAGGCCTACGACACTTGGCTACGCGAGTACATGTCGATTGCTCAGGAAATACGCGACGCCAAAACATCGCTCAACGACGTGCTCGCCACCCACGTGCTCGCCATGGTCCCGTCTTGCCTCGACAGCTTCCGACTCACGTTCACGGACGAGCAGCGAAACCGACGCGACCTTCCCGAACTTGTCAGGCAAACAGCGATACACTGACAGCAACACTCGAAGGAAGTCCCTGAGGTAATGTGCAGGTAGAGTTGAGGTCACCAAATGCTTCCCTCCATTCAAGCATTGTGGGCGTGATGGCGTAGTCGTTCGGCGCGCGGGCGCGCACTTAATGGTCGCGGGTTCAAGGCGCGCAGAGCGCAATCTTCTCTCGGTTTTTGTTCTTTTTGTTAGCTGAGGCGCGGCCTCAGGGTTTTTACCGGTGCTCCCGCGAGCAATCCTTTTTCCCCCTGAGGCGACCTCTTGGAGTAGCTGAATTGGCTAAGTCCCCTCTGCGCCTGAGTGCCTCCCTTTTGTTTTTAGCACCTTCCCACTCAGCCTGGTCCGCTACATCTCCCAAGATCCCTTCACCTTCATCCTTCGTTTTCGATCTCGTTGGCAATAAAGTCCGATATACTTGACTTGCTGCGAGCCTCACAACCGCGTCCCCTCCTCGGTTGTCCCTCGGTCGCCTGCCCCCGCCCAGTCGACCTTCCTTCGGCCTGATCCCCTCCTCCGCGTGTAGTCAACGTCTTCTGAAGAGGACGTTGCCTGCCACTTTTTTCAAGTCCGGCACCGCCAACCTTCGATCTCGCTTGCCCTTGCTCTATCCTGCATCCTGGACGAGCAATCGTCCACTACCCCTGAGTCGTCAGCTTCCTCCCCGTTGCCGAACTCATCCCCCGCTGACGCGTCGTGGTCATTCGCCACCTCATTCACTGAGTCCGACGACGAACGCGTCATCCCTTCGTACCCCTTCTTCCATCCTTCTCGAGCTCGCATCCGTTCTCCCCACAACCGCCAACCGCTACGCCGCGAACTCGCCATGGCCGAACCCACCGACACGTCGCGAGACACCACCGCCCCCGTCCGCGAAGACCCCTCGCGCGCGAATCCGCCTAAGTCCCCGCCGACGCATTCGCCGCACCCGCTCCAGGCCGCCGCCGTCATCACGTCCCTTGAATCCCGCCTCGCAGAATCGGAAGCCCTGCGCCGCGACTCGGAGACACGCATCCGCAAATTGGAGCAGATGGTGGAACGATTGATGAGAGAATCCACCGCACCTGCTGGGGCGCAGGTCGGGGAGGCTCTGCCGGTGAGACCGGTCCCCCTGGACGTCCCCCCGCACACATTTTTGGGACGCCCGGGAGCTGCCGCTGACCCCCTTGCTCGTACCCCTGGGGGGGAATCTCACAGCGGAATTAGGGACGGCCCTTCCTCGGCGGTGATTAGCTCTCGTTGGAGAGGGACATTGCCGGACCGGGAAGGGTTATGGACCGGAGATCATCCGGAAAGGTTGGTGATTTTCACTGCGTTTGGGGAGTCGTATCTTTCTCTCTTGTGCGACATCTCCACCTCCGACCTTTTCGACACGAGCCGAGTGATCCAGCTTGTGGCGACGCTATTTTTTCGTACGACAACCCGACAGCGCCGCCAATCCCCGCTCGATTGGGCCGTCGAGGCGATGAGGGACGCGCTTGGAGAAGGGCGCCCTCATTGTTGGACGTCGCTCATGAAGGCAGTGGGACGTCGTTGGCCCGACCCCGGGTTCGCCGATAGAGTGGCTCAAGACTTCCACGGATGTCGCCAGTCGTCGTCTCGGGCTTACGACCATGTCGGGGAGTGGCGGGCGCGGTACCGTGCCTTCGTGCACGACAACGATAGTTTCACCCTGTCGCCGCTTCAGCTCGCCACGACCTTCTACCAATCGCTCAGTGACTCCTCCAAGCGGGAAGTGCGGGCGGGAATGTTACGTGAATACCACGACAACTCGCTGGTGACAATTGGGCGATTCGGACTGAAGGTCCCGTCCATCGACGAGATTACCGAGTGGGCCGCTATCGCCGACGACATTTCTCCTCCGCCTTCGGTTCCGACCCCACCAAGCCGCACCGCGACCTATGGCGCGATCGTCAAAGCTCCCCGAGTGAGCCCACCTGCGACCAACACGCCCACCGTCGACGAGAGGTTCCCGATCCGACGAGCTCGATGGGTCGACCGCGCTACTAAGTGGCAGCAATCGCACTTGTGGAAGGACCGCTCCACCTGGTTTTCCCCGGCGCCCAGCGGGGTACCCACCAGCATGGCTTGCTTCAACTGCGGACGAGGCGGTCATTTCTCGCAGCACTGCACCGCGGAGCGTCAATCCCCGGTCGCCGTCCAACTCTCAGCGGTCGCTGTGGCCGACTTGGATGACGAAGATTGGTCCTCGGTCGCAGGTGGTGACGAGGATCCCGAGGTGAGAGTCCCCATTTCACTCGAGCGTGTTCAGACTCGACCTTTGAGTTCCGTTTCCGCTTCAATGACGCGCCCTTCTTGCCCTCCCGCAGACCCCGTTGGCCGAATGAAAGAAGGGGCTTCTTCTTCAGTCGACGTCGAAGTCTCATCAAGTAATCCGCAGCCAACCGCGCCGGCAAGTGATGCAGATCTACGTCGTCTTGCCGATGACTCGACCGACTCTGCGTTTGACGCGGTGGAAGACGTCCCCTCTTATGCTGATGCCGCGTCGCGAATGCGGCGATACTGGGGGCCGGAGGTGGTGTCGTCGCGCAAAGCGGAGAGGACTGCATCGGTGAGCTCTGTTCGTGTTCCGGTGCCGTTGGGGGTTTCTCTCTTGGAGTCCGACACGCCCCTGATCGACGTCGACGACTTCGCCCGACCCGCCGAGCCCGCGATTGTGCGCGCCCGCAATATTATTGCGTGGACGTTGCCGTCTGGGCGAACGCTGCGTTGCCTCGTCGACTCTGGTTCGGAAGTGGACTTGGTGGATCAGGATGTCGTGCGAACAGACCCGAGTTTCACGACGTCCCGCCTTACCGCGCCGCTGCACTTGCGCCTCGGCACTCGCGACAAATCTGACCGCTGCGCCGTGTTTGCCAACGCCCTCTTCACGTCCGGTTCCCTCGACCTCGGCTTGCGGGCGTTTTTCATTTGCCGTGTGACGGCATATGATGCTATCCTGGGTTTGCCGTTTCTGAAGGACACCGGCATGCTGGTAGGCTGGGGCGTCTTCACCGTCGCACGGCCGGGCCCTTCGCAGCCGGTCGCCAAGGGCACTCACGAGTGGGATCGCGCAGTCACGGTGGCGCCCATCTGCTCCGGCTCTGCCATTGGCTACGATCACCCAGGGTTGCTTCCTGACGACGAGATCATTGGCCTCGAGCCGCACAACCCTCTACTGGATGTCGTCGACGACCCGGCGCTCGAGGATTTGTCTGAGTCCGAAGCACGAACACGATTGGCTGCCTTACTCGAGAAATACTCTGATGTGTTCGTAGATTCGCTCCCAATGGACCGACTCCCGCCTTATCGACCCGTCAATCACGAAATCCCTTTGATCGACCCCAACGAGAAGGTCAAGCCGAGGGTCTATCCCCTTGCCGACAAATATCGTAGCCAGTGGGCGGAGCATTCAGCTAAGTACACTCGCGGTCGCTTCTGGGTTTCTGGTCCGATCGACTCTGCGGCTCCGGTCTTCGCCATTCCGAAAAAGAACTCCCAGACCGCTCGCTTTGTGATCGACCTCCGCGCTCGCAACAGCAACACCGCCAAGCGTTTTTCACCTATCCCCGACATGACCAGTGTTCGCTACGAAGTGGCACGTTCGCGCTACCGGTCCAAATTCGACGTGGCCGCAGCGTTTGAGCAGGTGCGGGTCATACCCGAGCACGTCGATCGCACCGGCTTCGCCACGGTCACGGGCACGTACACGTCGCGGGTGATGCAGTTTGGGGACACCAATGCGCCCAACACCCTGAACTTGTTGACATCGGCGATGTTTCAGCCGTGCCTCTCGTTTGCCAAGATCTTTTTCGACGATGTTCACGTCCATTCCGATACTCGTCGCGCGCACTTAAGACACATCGAGATTTTGCTGATGACACTGCGACATTATCGGTTCTACTTAGGATCCAACAAATCCGAGTGGTTCTCAAAGTCGTTAGATTCCTTGGGCGCGATCATCTCCGACGACGGCATCGAGGTCGACCCGGCCAAGTGGGAGCGTATCCGACAGTGGCCGACTCCACACAACAAGACCGACGTTCAGCGTTTCCTCGGCACCGTGAATTGGATGCGAGATCACCTGCCCCACCTCTCGATCACCTTGGAGCCCATCACCGCATTATTAGCGCAATCGACGTCGTGGCGTTGGAACGAGCGCGAGCAGCAGGCCTTCGACACCGTCAAGTCCCTCGTGCCAGCAACACTGCGACCGATCGACGGCGCTAAGGTCACCTCCGGCGAGCACAAAATCTACTTGTTCACCGATGCCAGTCGTGTTGGCATTGGCGCTTGCCTGGCCTCGGGCCCCACTCGTTCGCAGGCCATTCCTACGCGATTCTTCTCCGCTAAGTTCAATGGCGCTCAGCTCAATTATCACGTCACTGATAAGGAGTTCTTAGCCGTCGTTTCGGCGTGTCGGGCGTTCGAGCAGCACTTGATCGGTTACCCCTTCGTCATCGTCACCGACCACCAAGCCCTTCGCACGATTAAAACGCAGAAGTTACGCCAAACACCCCGGCACATCCGCATGTGTCTCGAACTCAGCCGTTTCGACTTCGAATTCGAATTCATTGCGGGCAAGAACAACTCCCTTGCCGATTCGTTGTCACGCTTGTGGGAAGTCAAGGAGGGATCGCCCGAGGATCAGGTCAAGGAGAATGAGTTGGAGGATATGTTCTTTGATGGAGAACGCCACGGATTCACTACACACGGTGAGAGCCTCCCTGAGGAACGTCCTTACACCTCACCATCTCCCGATCGGTTGCCTCCTGTTGATTTTGCCTTCGGGCCCCAACGCGACGATTGCGAGGCAGGCTCTCCCGGATACTACGCGCTCAAGGACGAATCGCAAGACGAGGACGTGAATGGACGGGATTTAGGGAATTTGTTCTTGAAGGAAGAATGCCACGAGTTCACTACACCTGGTGAGAGCCTCCCTGAGGAACGTCCTTACACCTCACCTTCGCACGATCGGTTGCCCCCTGTTGATTGTGCCTTCGGGCCCTGGGATCACGGCTACGACGCAGGCTCTCCCGGTTCCCATCGTCTGGCCGAGAACATTATGTCAGGAGCACAGCCTGCACTGCCATCAATACTCGAAGGAAGTCTCCCAAGTTTGCGGCCGGAGTCGACATCAGCTACCGGTTTGTTCGTTGCAAGCATTGTCGGCGCGATGGTGTAGTCGTTATGAAGGAACAATATACCACTGCACCAAAAGGCGAGGCACCTCTACTTCAGTGAGCGCATATTGTCCTAGAAGTGAGATGGAGCGAAGTTCAACACCCCCCTGTGCGCGAAGCTGAAGAGCTTGTGGCAGTGGGTGCGGCTGTGAGGCAACTGGGCATGTTGATCAGGTCGCTTGGGCAAGTGCAGCTTGGGCACTGTGAGCACTGTCGATGCGCCAGGGTGCTTGGCACGCCGCTGGGCAAGTGCGGGGGCCGGGACGCTGAGTGTATGCGCGCAAAATTGCCTGACCCCAGGGGGGATTGAACTCATGACCTGCTGGTTGCTCTGGGCTCATAACCTATGAAGGAACAATATACCACTGCACCAAAAGGCGAGGCACCTCTACTTCAGTGAGCGCATATTGTCCTAGAAGTGAGATGGAGCGAAGTTCAACAGTCGTGAGGGCGCGCGGGCGCGCACTCAGTGGTCGAGGGTTCGATCCGCCCGGAGCGTGATCTGCCTTTTGGTTTCTTTTCCTTTTTGTTATCCGAGGCCCGGCTTCGGGGTTTTTACCGGTGCCTTGCAGGCAATCCTTTTTACCCCTGAAGCGACCTCGTGGTGTAGTTATTTGATTCAGTCTTTCCTTCGCTGGGAGCACTTCCCTCCCTTTGCTTTTGCCACCCTTCCCCTAGAGCTTGGTCCACTCATTATCATGACTCGTACCCTCCCTCTTTTTACCCATTTCGCTGGCAATTAAGTCCGTTACACTTGATTTGCTGCGAAGCCTTCCGACCGAATCCACTCCTCGGTTGCTCTCGGTCGACTGCCGCCGCCCAGCCGACTCGACCTTCCCATCGGCCTGGTCAGCTATTTCTTGGATCGTTTGCCCTTCCTCTTTTGTCCGACCTCGTTGGCCACCATAGTCCGGTACACTGGACTTGCTGCGAGCCTTGCAGCCGCGTATCCTCCGCGGTTGCCTCTCGGTCGACTTCCGCCGCCCAGCCGACTCGACCTTCCCACCGGCCTGGTCAGCTATTTCTTGGATCGTTTGCCCTCCCTCTTCTGTCCGACCTCGTTGGCTACCATAGTTCGGTACACTGGACTTGCTGCGAGCCTTGCAGCCGCGTATCCTCCGCGGTTGCCTCTCGGTCGACTGCCGCCGCCTCGGTCGACACCCCTTTCGCTCCTTCGCGCTTTCGCGCGCTCTCTCGCTCTCTCCCTCGTCTCTCGCGTGTAGTCATCGTCATCCCCTCCGACGTTGCCTGTCACATTATGGACGCCGTCGACTCTTCTACCGGTCCCCTTTCTCCTCCCATCGCCGTCAATCGAGTTCATGCTATCGCCGCGGCCCCCGCCAACGACGCGCCCATTCCAGTCGATGCCGACGCCGATGAACTCGACTTACTGGGAGCCGCCGCCGATGAGGTCAACGACGCCCCTGTAGTCCATCGACCGCCCGACCCGCTGCCGCAACCTTTCCTCGACGCCGTCATCCGAGCCTACGCCCACGATTCGCAAGCCCAAGTCATTGTTGACGACCCGCTGTCATGGCCGATGTTTCGGGTGACCGAGGAAGGGAGGATCTTGCGTGTACATCCAGATGAGTCTCTTTCCCTGTTTGTGCCTCGCGGTCTCGCTACCGGCGTTGTCGACTCCGACAAGCTCCCATCGCTGCGCGAGCTCGTGCTTTCGGAGATCCATCGGAGCGTCGGGCACGCGGGACATCGCATCACCTTGGCCGCCATACGTCCTTTGTATTGGTGGTCGTCCATGTCTGCCGATTGCGCCAAGTTCTGCCATTCATGCGAAGATTGTGCCCGAGGCAAAGCGTCCACTCAAGTCCCTTATGGCCGACTGCATCCGATGCCGATCCCTTCTGGCCCATGGGAACAAGTGGCCATCGACTTCATGACGGGACTGCCTCCGGTCGAGTTCGAAGGGATGATGGTCGCTCAAATCATGGTGGTCACTGACACTTGGGGCAAGATGGTCCACCTGATTCCCCTCCCAGCCGACGCCGACTCCGAGCTCGTTGCCGACAGGTACTACGCCACCATCTTTCGACTGCATGGGACGCCTTCCGCCATCGTTTCCGATCGCGATCCCAAGTTCACCTCGCAGTTTTGGCGAGCATTGCAGGCGAAGGTCGGCACCGTCTTGCGGATGTCAACAGCGGCGCACCCAGAGACCGACGGATCGAGTGAGAACCGAATCAAGATGGTCACCCAAACCCTGCGCATCATGGTGTCGTCAAACCACGAGGCTTGGGCATCTCGTCTTGTTGAAGCTGAGTTCGCTCTTAACTCTTCCGTTGCTGTTTCCACGTCTCTGTCGGCTTTCGAGGCGACTTACGGTTACCTTCCTCGACGCTGGCCCACCGATTCCTGGTCTGTCTCGGACGTCCCGCGTGCGGAAGCGTTTGCCCGAATCCGACAGTTACGGAATCTCGATGTAACGGACTTAATTGCCAGCGAAATGGGTAAAAAGAGGGAGGGTACGAGTCATGATAATGAGTGGACCAAGCTCTAGGGGAAGGGTGGCAAAAGCAAAAGGAGGGAAGTGCTCCGAGCGAAGGAAAGACTGAATCAAATAACTACACCACGAGGTCGCTTCAGGGGTAAAAAGGATTGCCTGCAAGGCACCGGTAAAAACCCCGAAGCCGGGCCTCGGATAACAAAAAGGAAAAGAAACCAAAAGGCAGATCACGCTCCGGGCGGATCGAACCCTCGACCACTGAGTGCGCGCCCGCGCGCCCTCACGACTACACCATCGCGCCGACAATGCTTGCAACGAACAAACCGGTAGCTGATGTCGACTCCGGCCGCAAACTTGGGAGACTTCCTTCGAGTATTGATGGCAGTGCAGGCTGTGCTCCTGACACTCGACGTCACGGATGCGATCATTGGTGCACGCCTCGATCAGACTCACCAGGCCAACAAGCATCGACGCCCGGATGATCCCGCCTTTCGGACCGGCAGTTATGTCTATCTTTCGACCAAGAACCTGGCAGTTCCTGAAGGGATGAAGTCGAAGTTGTTGCCGCGCTACATTGGTCCTTTCCGTATCCGAGCGGCCATTCCAGCGACGTCCAGTTACGACCTCGAGCTTCCCCCAGCAATGTCGCGAGTGCACAGTCGCTTCCATGCTCGACTGCTTCGCCCCTATGTTGAGAACGATGCTGAGAGGTTCCCTGGGCGTGACCCCGCAGTTCTTTTTGTTGAAGATGTAGCCGACGCGGCCGACAACTCCGCCATTCCGGAACGGATTGTTCGCGATCGTCGGAACGCTCGGGGCAATCGTTCGTTCTTGGTTCGATGGATTGGCCGTAAGGACATCGATGACACTTGGATGTCAGAGCAGTCCCTCCGCTTCGACCATCCATCCCTACTCGACGCCTACCTGGCACAACTCGATCGCTCAAATCGCCGCCTGTCCTCCCGGTAGACTTCCTTCTGGGGGGACAATGTCAGGCAAACAGCGATACACTGACAGCAACACTCGAAGGAAGTCCCTGAGGTAATGTGCAGGTAGAGTTGAGGTCACCAAATGCTTCCCTCCATTCAAGCATTGTGGGCGTGATGGCGTAGTCGTTCGGCGCGCGGGCGCGCACTTAATGGTCGCGGGTTCAAGGCGCGCAGAGCGCAATCTTCTCTCGGTTTTTGTTCTTTTTGTTAGCTGAGGCGCGGCCTCAGGGTTTTTACCGGTGCTCCCGCGAGCAATCCTTTTTCCCCCTGAGGCGACCTCTTGGAGTAGCTGAATTGGCTAAGTCCCCTCTGCGCCTGAGTGCCTCCCTTTTGTTTTTAGCACCTTCCCACTCAGCCTGGTCCGCTACATCTCCCAAGATCCCTTCACCTTCATCCTTCGTTTTCGATCTCGTTGGCAATAAAGTCCGATATACTTGACTTGCTGCGAGCCTCACAACCGCGTCCCCTCCTCGGTTGTCCCTCGGTCGCCTGCCCCCGCCCAGTCGACCTTCCTTCGGCCTGATCCCCTCCTCCGCGTGTAGTCAACGTCTTCTGAAGAGGACGTTGCCTGCCAGAACTCACGACGCTTACGGACCGCATTCGCATCCAGCTTCGTTCGGCAGGACTCTCGACCTCGCATTCGGCCATGCTTGCCACCAGCTCCCCCTGCCCCGCCTGCCGCGCTCCCGGTCACCGCCTGCGCGACTGCACTTCACGTGCGAAGCACCCGCCCACCGGCCCCTGCCGCCGATGCCACAAGAAAGGTCACTGGGCACTCGACTGCAAGAACCGGGGTGAACAGGCACGTAGCAGCGACGACACCCAGGACGACACGTCTTCCTCCGCGGCCTCGCAACCGAACGTCGGCTATTTCGCCTCCTGTCTCTTCGCTCGTCGCCAACTCCCAACTGACGCCTTTGTAGTCGATTCGGGTGCCACGACACACATGGTCGCCGACCGATCTCTATTCACGACTTATCGTCAGACGGCACACACCAAGATCGGCGGCATCGCGGGCGGCATCACGGCTATCGGCATGGGGGACGTGGCATTCGTCGCCAAGACTGGACACCCGATCACGCTCCGTGGTGTTCTTCACACGCCTGGCCTACACGTCAACCTCCTCTCTGTCTCTCGCCTCTGCGACACCGACCGCGTTCGTCTCGCCTTCACCAGCGACGGCATCGACATCGCCAAGGACGGCCGGGCCATTGCTCACGGTACCAGGGTCAACGACGGTCTTTACCTTTTGGACGCGGATCACACCAAGTGTCAGCATCTTGCCTTCCTCTCACGCTCTGAGTCTCCCGTGCCCCTGCTTACCCTACACCGCTGCCTCGGCCATCTTGCCCCATCCTCTATACAGAAGATGATTGCTGCAGGTTTGCTGGACGGGTTTGGGGCCGGGTACAGTGACAAAGACGTAGAGGAGTTTGTTTGCAATGCTTGCCTTGGTTCCAAAGGTCACCGCCTTCCCTTTCCCGACTCTGAGTCGCATTCCGCCGAGAGACTTGGCCTCGTGCACAGCGACGTCCTGTCGTTCCCCACTCCGTCCTTGACCGGGAAGCGCTACCTTGTCACGTTTCTAGACGACCACTCTCGCAAACTCTGGGCATATGCGATCGATCACAAAAGCGATGTTTTCCCGACCTTCCAGACTTGGCTCGCCGAAGTGGAGTTAGAGACGAACGCGCGGTTGAGGATCCTTCGAACCGACAATGGCGGGGAGTACCGATCAAACGCATTCACGGAGTTCTGCAAATCCAAGGGCATTCGTCGTCAATACTCTATCCCTTACACGCCTCAACAAAACGGTCGCGCCGAACGTGTCAACCTCTCCATCGTCGAGGGCGTCCTCGCTCTCCTTGCGGACGCCCGTCTGCCGGCCACCTTTTGGGATGAAGCGGCTGCGTATTTCGTTTATTGCAAAAACAGGTGCTCACACTCAGCTTTGGCCAAACAGACTCCAGAATCCGTTTGGAACGGCCAACGCACCACCGCCACCGCCCTCCACCCGTTCGGCTGCACAGCCTGGCTCACGGTCGCCCCGGACCTTCGCAGCAAGCTCGACCCCAAGGCCGCGCGCGTGATCTTCACAGGTTACGACCTCGCCTCCAAAGCTTTCCGTTTCTTTGACCATTCCATCAACAAGATTGTACTTGGTCGCAATGCCACCTTCCTCGACGACGACTTCCCCGGCCTGCCAGTCACCACGCCCGTCGATGCAGACGACACCGACCGTCAGTTCGTCGTTCCCGCCGACACGCCCGCCCCTGCCGTCAAGACGAGGACCCCACTAGTAAGGTCGGCGCACATGGACGTCTCATCCTCCCTTGATGATTCTGCCATGAGCGCCGTTGACGTGGCCCCAGGGTACACTGGCGGAACCTTACTTAATTCCACAGATACCGAATCGTCCTCGTCACCGTCTCCTGAGCCGTCCTCGTCACCGTCGCCCACAAACCCTTTGTCACCGTCGCCTGCGCTGTCACCGTCGTTGGCAGCGTCATCGTCACCCTCGGTCTCACCGACCGACTCTGACTACTCCGCCGACCCTCTGGACCTCATCGGCTCACAGACCCCGACTCGCCTTGGCCCACCGGACGTGCACCGCCCAGACTTCAGCACGTACCGTGAGCCCGCATCGGCTGAGGAGTCGCCCGACGAACTCGACATCATTGGGCGTCACTCGCGCGATGAATCGCCGGATGAAATCGATTTCCTCACCCAACACCACCGCGCCTTCATCGCCACAGACGACGACGACCCCACCCTCGACGCCATCGAGCCCGTCAAATCGATCACTAGCGACCCCCAGACCTGGCGCGAAGCAATGTCCAGCGACGAGCACAACATCTGGGCTGAGGCCGCCGCCGCCGAGTTCACCGCCATGCGCGACGACTTCAAGGTGTTCACCATCGAGCCTCGCTCATCTGTACCGCCGGGCGCCACCATCGTCACCTCCAAATTCGTCTGGAAGACCAAGCGCAACGCAAGCGGTGAAGTCACGGGGCGGAAGGCACGTCTTGTAGCGCAGGGTAACCGACAGCGCGACGGCATCGACTTCTCAGAAACCTTCGCACCCGTCGCCCGTTTCTCCTCCATTCGCTGCCTCCTGGCTCTTGCCGCTGCCAATGGCTACCACGTTCATCAGGCCGACATCGACAAGGCTTACCTCCACGGCGAGCTCGATCATGATATCTGGATGACGACACCACGCGGTTTCGACTTCCCGAGCGATAAGGTTCTCCGGCTGCGACGCTCAATCTATGAAGGAACAATATACCACTGCACCAAAAGGCGAGGCACCTCTACTTCAGTGAGCGCATATTGTCCTAGAAGTGAGATGGAGCGAAGTTCAACACCCCCCTGTGCGCGAAGCTGAAGAGCTTGTGGCAGTGGGTGCGGCTTGTGAGGCAACTGGGCATGTTGATCAGGTCGCTTGGGCAAGTGCAGCTTGGGCACTGTGAGCACTGTCGATGCGCCAGGGTGCTTGGCACGCCGCTGGGCAAGTGCGGGGGCCGGGACGCTGAGTGTATGCGCGCAAAATTGCCTGACCCCAGGGGGGATTGAACTCATGACCTGCTGGTTGCTCTGGGCTCATAACCTATGAAGGAACAATATACCACTGCACCAAAAGGCGAGGCACCTCTACTTCAGTGAGCGCATATTGTCCTAGAAGTGAGATGGAGCGAAGTTCAACACAATCTACGGTCTCAAGCAGGCCGGTCGCATCTGGAATCGTCACATTGACACATCACTCAGGAATCTGGGGTACAAGGCAACAGGCACTGATCACTGCATTTACTCTCGCATTGACGATCAGCAGCGGCCTCACTATATCGCCTTGTATGTCGACGACCTCCTCATTGTCAGTCCAGCCCTCGACGAGATCGAACGTGTCATCTCCGGCCTTGAACAGCGGTACGGCGTCAAACGACTCGGCCCCGCGGAGTACATCCTCGGAATCCAAATACGCCGCCTGGACGACGGTTCCATTGCTCTATCCCAGGAGCGCTACATCATGGACGTGCTGGCCCGTTTCCACTTCGACACCACGACACGCGGCACTACGGTGCCGATGACGCCCGGCCTCTCGCTCACGGCAATTCCGGGTCAGGGAACGGAGCGCATTCGTTCGTGGTACCTACAGGCCATCGGCTCCCTCCTCTACATCTCCCTTGGCACTCGACCCGACATTGCCTTCGCCGTCTCGTACCTGTCCCGGTTCGCCAACAACCCCGGCCGCCGCCATTGGATTGCCGTCAAACACGTCCTTCGCTACCTTCGCGCCACGTACCGCGATGAGCTTCTCTATGCCCGCGGCCCAGCAAAAGTCACGGGTGTGGTTGGTTATTCTGATGCGAACTGGGGCGCCTGCGTCGACACATCCATTTCAACGATGGGCTACGTATTTTACTTGGCAGGCGCCGCTGTCTCTTGGTCGTCGAAGCGTCAGACTCGGGTAGCGGATTCCACCACTGATGCCGAGTACCTGGCCTTGTCGCACGCGGGTAAGGAAGCGATCTACCTTAACCAACTCCTCTCCGAGCTCCACGTTTGCCCAATCGCTGCAGCTCACATCTTCACCGACAACGAGGCCGCGGCCGCCGTCGCTCACGACCCCGTTCGCACCTCCGGCACCCGGCACATTCGCCTCCGCGAGCATTTTGTCCGTGACATGGTCAATCGAGGTGATATCTCTCTCTCACACGTTGGCACAGCAGACATGGTTGCGGACGTATTCACCAAAGCGCTAGGCCCCAAGATTTTTGGTACACATTGCTATGCTCTAGGCCTCCGGACGCGACATCCACGGCTCAAGTCTACCTCGCGTTCGCGTGGGGGGGGGTGTGAGGAATCCACTCTCCGCTCGGCTCAGGACTTAGGCGCGCGGAGCGAACCGGGCGCGGACTTAGGCGCGCGGAGTGAGCCGGGCGCCCCGGCCCAGGACTTAGGCGCGCGAAGCGAGCCTGGGCCATTGGCTCAGCCCCAGGCTCGCTGGCTGTGGACTTGGGGCGCGCGGGTCTCTTATTGTTAGCTTCCTATTCATCACTCTTGGCTATAACTACATCGCTGACGTAGTAGAGTTGATCGAATAGGTATGTTGAAATGCATTCATCACTCTTGGCTATAACTACATCGCTGACGTAGTAGAGTTGATCGAATAGCTTTTGCCACCCTTCCCCCAGAGCTTGGTCCACTCATTATCATGACTCGTACCCTCCCTCTTTTTACCCATTTCGCTGGCAATTAAGTCCGTTACACTTGATTTGCTGCGAAGCCTTCTGACCGAATCCACTCCTCGGTTGCTCTCGGTCGACTGCCGCCGCCCAGCCGACTCGACCTTCCCATCGGCCTGGTCAGCTATTTCTTGGATCGTTTGCCCTCCCTCTTCTGTCCGACCTTGTTGGCCACCATAGTTTGGTACACTGGACTTGCTGCGAGCCTTGCAGCCGCGTATCCTCCGCGGTTGCCTCTCGGTCGACACCCCTTTCGCTCCTTTGTGCTTTCGCGCGCTCTCTCGCGTGTAGTCATCATCATCCCCTCTGACGTTGCCTGTCACATGCAGTTTGGTGACACCAATGCGCCCAATACCCTCAACCTCTTGACCTCGGCGATGTTCCATGTCAGGAGCACAGCCTGCACTGCCATCAATACTCGAAGGAAGTCTCCCAAGTTTGCGGCCGGAGTCGACATCAGCTACCGGTTTGTTCGTTGCAAGCATTGTCGGCGCGATGGTGTAGTCGTGAGGGCGCGCGGGCGCGCACTCAGTGGTCGAGGGTTCGATCCGCCCGGAGCGTGATCTGCCTTTTGGTTTCTTTTCCTTTTTGTTATCCGAGGCCCGGCTTCGGGGTTTTTACCGGTGCCTTGCAGGCAATCCTTTTTACCCCTGAAGCGACCTCGTGGTGTAGTTATTTGATTCAGTCTTTCCTTCGCTCGGAGCACTTCCCTCCTTTTGCTTTTGCCACCCTTCCCCTAGAGCTTGGTCCACTCATTATCATGACTCGTACCCTCCCTCTTTTTACCCATTTCGCTGGCAATTAAGTCCGTTACACTTGATTTGCTGCGAAGCCTTCTGACCGAATCCACTCCTCGGTTGCTCTCGGTCGACTGCCGCCGCCTCGGTCGACACCCCCTTCGCTCCTTCGCGCTTTCGCGCGCTCTCTCGCTCTCTCCCTCGTCTCTCGCGTGTAGTCATCGTCATCCCCTCCGACGTTGCCTGTCACTTTTTTCAAGTTCGGCATTGCTAGCGACAGTCCCAGCTTCTCTCACCGCTCAGTCCCACACCCTGGACGAGCATTCCCGCCCTCCCGCCCTTCGTCTTCGCGTCGTCCGCCTCCTCTCCGTTCGGCCTCTCGAGTTCGGCCTCTTTGACGACCGCGTGGTTCCTCCCCCCCACCCCCCCACACCTCCCCCACCCCCACCCCCCCACCTCTTCTTACCGTCTCGTGACCGCCCTCGTTCGCCCTGGAATCGCTGTTGACTGTGAGTTGAGTGATCGCCATGGCCGCCGAGTGTGACACGTCGCGCGCCGCTGCCGCAGCCAGCGCGCCGCGCCTCTTCGCAACCGCGACCCCGGCCGCGCGAACCCGCCCAAGTCCGCCTGCCACCACACTCGTTTCGCACCGCCGCCGCCTTATTGCATGGTCGCCTCGTGCCCGCCTCGTTCGTCCTGGAATCATCGACTGTCGTGTTGAGCGATCGCCATGGCCACCGAGCGCGACACGTCCTGCGCCGCTGCCGAAGACGGCCCGCCGTCCCCTTCCGCCAATCCGACCCCGGCCGAGCACGGCCAACTCCGACCGACCCGGCCGCGCGAAACCGCCTAAGTCCGCCCGCCGCCCAACTCATTCCGCACCGTCACCGCCTCGCCGCACGGTAGACTTCCTTCTGGGGGGGATAGTGTCAGGAGCACAGCCTGCACTGCCATCAATACTCGAAGGAAGTCTCCCAAGTTTGCGGCCGGAGTCGACATCAGCTACCGGTTTGTTCGTTGCAAGCATTGTCGGCGCGATGGTGTAGTCGTGAGGGCGCGCGGGCGCGCACTCAGTGGTCGAGGGTTCGATCCGCCCGGAGCGTGATCTGCCTTTTGGTTTCTTTTCCTTTTTGTTATCCGAGGCCCGGCTTCGGGGTTTTTACCGGTGCCTTGCAGGCAATCCTTTTTACCCCTGAAGCGACCTCGTGGTGTAGTTATTTGATTCAGTCTTTCCTTCGCTCGGAGCACTTCCCTCCTTTTGCTTTTGCCACCCTTCCCCTAGAGCTTGGTCCACTCATTATCATGACTCGTACCCTCCCTCTTTTTACCCATTTCGCTGGCAATTAAGTCCGTTACACTTGATTTGCTGCGAAGCCTTCCGACCGAATCCACTCCTCGGTTGCTCTCGGTCGACTGCCGCCGCCCAGCCGACTCGACCTTCCCATCGGCCTGGTCAGCTATTTCTTGGATCGTTTGCCCTTCCTCTTTTGTCCGACCTCGTTGGCCACCATAGTCCGGTACACTGGACTTGCTGCGAGCCTTGCAGCCGCGTATCCTCCGCGGTTGCCTCTCGGTCGACTTCCGCCGCCCAGCCGACTCGACCTTCCCACCGGCCTGGTCAGCTATTTCTTGGATCGTTTGCCCTCCCTCTTCTGTCCGACCTCGTTGGCTACCATAGTTCGGTACACTGGACTTGCTGCGAGCCTTGCAGCCGCGTATCCTCCGCGGTTGCCTCTCGGTCGACTGCCGCCGCCTCGGTCGACACCCCCTTCGCTCCTTCGCGCTTTCGCGCGCTCTCTCGCTCTCTCCCTCGTCTCTCGCGTGTAGTCATCGTCATCCCCTCCGACGTTGCCTGTCAGTGATCATCTCATAGGTTATAAGCCCATCGAGCTACCGCTGGCATGGACACGTCGTCAACCCTCGCGACGAGCGCCACCCCGACAATTCCCGCCGAACAGCTTGCCGCACTTACATCGCTGCTGTCGGGACTCACCGCTGCCGCTTCCGGTATTCGATCAACTCTACTACGTCAGCGATGTAGTTATAGCCAAGAGTGATCAATGCATTTCAACATACCTATTCGATCAACTCTACTACGTCAGCGATGTAGTTATAGCCAAGAGTGATGAATAGGAAGCTAACAATAAGAGACCCGCGCGCCCCAAGTCCACAGCCAGCGAGCCTGGGGCTGAGCCAATGGCCCAGGCTCGCTCCGCGCGCCTAAGTCCCAGGCTCGCTTCGCGCGCCTAAGTCCTGGGCCGGGGCGCCCGGCTCACTCCGCGCGCCTAAGTCCGCGCCCGGTTCGCTCCGCGCGCCTAAGTCCTGAGCCGAGCGGAGAGTGGATTCCTCACACCCCCCCCCACGCGAACGCGAGGTAGACTTGAGCCGTGGATGTCGCGTCCGGAGGCCTAGAGCATAGCAATGTGTACCAAAAATCTTGGGGCCTAGCGCTTTGGTGAATACGTCCGCAACCATGTCTGCTGTGCCAACGTGTGAGAGAGAGATATCACCTCGATTGACCATGTCACGGACAAAATGCTCGCGGAGGCGAATGTGCCGGGTGCCGGAGGTGCGAACGGGGTCGTGAGCGACGGCGGCCGCGGCCTCGTTGTCGGTGAAGATGTGAGCTGCAGCGATTGGGCAAACGTGGAGCTCGGAGAGGAGTTGGTTAAGGTAGATCGCTTCCTTACCCGCGTGCGACAAGGCCAGGTACTCGGCATCAGTGGTGGAATCCGCTACCCGAGTCTGACGCTTCGACGACCAAGAGACAGCGGCGCCTGCCAAGTAAAATACGTAGCCCATCGTTGAAATGGATGTGTCGACGCAGGCGCCCCAGTTCGCATCAGAATAACCAACCACACCCGTGACTTTTGCTGGGCCGCGGGCATAGAGAAGCTCATCGCGGTACGTGGCGCGAAGGTAGCGAAGGACGTGTTTGACGGCAATCCAATGGCGGCGGCCGGGGTTGTTGGCGAACCGGGACAGGTACGAGACGGCGAAGGCAATGTCGGGTCGAGTGCCAAGGGAGATGTAGAGGAGGGAGCCGATGGCCTGTAGGTACCACGAACGAATGCGCTCCGTTCCCTGACCCGGAATTGCCGTGAGCGAGAGGCCGGGCGTCATCGGCACCGTAGTGCCGCGTGTCGTGGTGTCGAAGTGGAAACGGGCCAGCACGTCCATGATGTAGCGCTCCTGGGATAGAGCAATGGAACCGTCGTCCAGGCGGCGTATTTGGATTCCGAGGATGTACTCCGCGGGGCCGAGTCGTTTGACGCCGTACCGCTGTTCAAGGCCGGAGATGACACGTTCGATCTCGTCGAGGGCTGGACTGACAATGAGGAGGTCGTCGACATACAAGGCGATATAGTGAGGCCGCTGCTGATCGTCAATGCGAGAGTAAATGCAGTGATCAGTGCCTGTTGCCTTGTACCCCAGATTCCTGAGTGATGTGTCAATGTGACGATTCCAGATGCGACCGGCCTGCTTGAGACCGTAGATTGAGCGTCGCAGCCGGAGAACCTTATCGCTCGGGAAGTCGAAACCGCGTGGTGTCGTCATCCAGATATCATGATCGAGCTCGCCGTGGAGGTAAGCCTTGTCGATGTCGGCCTGATGAACGTGGTAGCCATTGGCAGCGGCAAGAGCCAGGAGGCAGCGAATGGAGGAGAAACGGGCGACGGGTGCGAAGGTTTCTGAGAAGTCGATGCCGTCGCGCTGTCGGTTACCCTGCGCTACAAGACGTGCCTTCCGCCCCGTGACTTCACCGCTTGCGTTGCGCTTGGTCTTCCAGACGAATTTGGAGGTGACGATGGTGGCGCCCGGCGGTACAGATGAGCGAGGCTCGATGGTGAACACCTTGAAGTCGTCGCGCATGGCGGTGAACTCGGCGGCGGCGGCCTCAGCCCAGATGTTGTGCTCGTCGCTGGACATTGCTTCGCGCCAGGTCTGGGGGTCGCTAGTGATCGATTTGACGGGCTCGATGGCGTCGAGGGTGGGGTCGTCGTCGTCTGTGGCGATGAAGGCGCGGTGGTGTTGGGTGAGGAAATCGATTTCATCCGGCGATTCATCGCGCGAGTGACGCCCAATGATGTCGAGTTCGTCGGGCGACTCCTCAGCCGATGCGGGCTCACGGTACGTGCTGAAGTCTGGGCGGTGCACGTCCGGTGGGCCAAGGCGAGTCGGGGTCTGTGAGCCGATGAGGTCCAGAGGGTCGGCGGAGTAGTCAGAGTCGGTCGGTGAGACCGAGGGTGACGATGACGCTGCCAACGACGGTGACAGCGCAGGCGACGGTGACAAAGGGTTTGTGGGCGACGGTGACGAGGACGGCTCAGGAGACGGTGACGAGGACGATTCGGTATCTGTGGAATTAAGTAAGGTTCCGCCAGTGTACCCTGGGGCCACGTCAACGGCGCTCATGGCAGAATCATCAAGGGAGGATGAGACGTCCATGTGCGCCGACCTTACTAGTGGGGTCCTCGTCTTGACGGCAGGGGCGGGCGTGTCGGCGGGAACGACGAACTGACGGTCGGTGTCGTCTGCATCGACGGGCGTGGTGACTGGCAGGCCGGGGAAGTCGTCGTCGAGGAAGGTGGCATTGCGACCAAGTACAATCTTGTTGATGGAATGGTCAAAGAAACGGAAAGCTTTGGAGGCGAGGTCGTAACCTGTGAAGATCACGCGCGCGGCCTTGGGGTCGAGCTTGCTGCGAAGGTCCGGGGCGACCGTGAGCCAGGCTGTGCAGCCGAACGGGTGGAGGGCGGTGGCGGTGGTGCGTTGGCCGTTCCAAACGGATTCTGGAGTCTGTTTGGCCAAAGCTGAGTGTGAGCACCTGTTTTTGCAATAAACGAAATACGCAGCCGCTTCATCCCAAAAGGTGGCCGGCAGACGGGCGTCCGCAAGGAGAGCGAGGACGCCCTCGACGATGGAGAGGTTGACACGTTCGGCGCGACCGTTTTGTTGAGGCGTGTAAGGGATAGAGTATTGACGACGAATGCCCTTGGATTTGCAGAACTCCGTGAATGCGTTTGATCGGTACTCCCCGCCATTGTCGGTTCGAAGGATCCTCAACCGCGCGTTCGTCTCTAACTCCACTTCGGCGAGCCAAGTCTGGAAGGTCGGGAAAACATCGCTTTTGTGATCGATCGCATATGCCCAGAGTTTGCGAGAGTGGTCGTCTAGAAACGTGACAAGGTAGCGCTTCCCGGTCAAGGACGGAGTGGGGAACGACAGGACGTCGCTGTGCACGAGGCCAAGTCTCTCGGCGGAATGCGACTCAGAGTCGGGAAAGGGAAGGCGGTGACCTTTGGAACCAAGGCAAGCATTGCAAACAAACTCCTCTACGTCTTTGTCACTGTACCCGGCCCCAAACCCGTCCAGCAAACCTGCAGCAATCATCTTCTGTATAGAGGATGGGGCAAGATGGCCGAGGCAGCGGTGTAGGGTAAGCAGGGGCACGGGAGACTCAGAGCGTGAGAGGAAGGCAAGATGCTGTTGAACTTTGCTCCATCTCACTTCTAGGACAATATGCGCTCACTGAAGTAGAGGTGCCTCGCCTTTTGGTGCAGTGGTATATTGTTCCTTCATAGGTTATGAGCCCAGAGCAACCAGCAGGTCATGAGTTCAATCCCCCCTGGGGTCAGGCAATTTTGCGCGCATACACTCAGCGTCCCGGCCCCCGCACTTGCCCAGCGGCGTGCCAAGCACCCTGGCGCATCGACAGTGCTCACAGTGCCCAAGCTGCACTTGCCCAAGCGACCTGATCAACATGCCCAGTTGCCTCACAGCCGCACCCACTGCCACAAGCTCTTCAGCTTCGCGCACAGGGGGGTGTTGAACTTTGCTCCATCTCACTTCTAGGACAATATGCGCTCACTGAAGTAGAGGTGCCTCGCCTTTTGGTGCAGTGGTATATTGTTCCTTCATAGATGCTGACACTTGGTGTGATCCGCGTCCAAAAGGTAAAGACCGTCGTTGACCCTGGTACCGTGAGCAATGGCCCGGCCGTCCTTGGCGATGTCGATGCCGTCGCTGGTGAAGGCGAGACGAACGCGGTCGGTGTCGCAGAGGCGAGAGACAGAGAGGAGGTTGACGTGTAGGCCAGGCGTGTGAAGAACACCACGGAGCGTGATCGGGTGTCCAGTCTTGGCGACGAATGCCACGTCCCCCATGCCGATAGCCGTGATGCCGCCCGCGATGCCGCCGATCTTGGTGTGTGCCGTCTGACGATAAGTCGTGAATAGAGATCGGTCGGCGACCATGTGTGTCGTGGCACCCGAATCGACTACAAAGGCGTCAGTTGGGAGTTGGCGACGAGCGAAGAGGCAGGAGGCGAAATAGCCGACGTTCGGTTGCGAGGCCGCGGAGGAAGACGTGTCGTCCTGGGTGTCGTCGCTGCTACGTGCCTGTTCACCCCGGTTCTTGCAGTCGAGTGCCCAGTGACCTTTCTTGTGGCATCGGCGGCAGGGGCCGGTGGGCGGGTGCTTCGCACGTGAAGTGCAGTCGCGCAGGCGGTGACCGGGAGCGCGGCAGGCGGGGCAGGGGGAGCTGGTGGCAAGCATGGCCGAATGCGAGGTCGAGAGTCCTGCCGAACGAAGCTGGATGCGAATGCGGTCCGTAAGCGTCGGTTTCGCTGCTCGTCCGTGAACGTGAGTCGGAAGCTGTCGAGGCAAGACGGGACCATGGCGAGCACGTGGGTGGCGAGCACGTCGTTGAGCGATGTTTTGGCGTCGCGTATTTCCTGAGCAATCGACATGTACTCGCGTAGCCAAGTGTCGTAGGCCTCGACGGAGGCAGGCATCTTCCTGAAGTCCCAAAGGCGAGCGAACAACTCGAGAGTGCGTGTAGCGTCGTCCGGTGCAAAACGAGCCTTGAGAGCGGCAAAGATGCGCGGTGCCGACAGGTCGTCGCTGGGGATGGCGTCGAGGGTGGCCGATACGTCGGCGGAGTCGATAGAGCCAACGATGATTTCCCGGGCGGCGTCGTCACGTGCGGCAAGCTGGTCGGCGGTCCAGGTCGGGGGAACGACACCGTCGAGAACGTAACCACGAACCTGGTTCGGGAGTGCAAGACGGAGTTGACGCAACCAGTTGGTGAACGACTTGGGGCCGTCCAGACGAGCGTGCTTGGGAAATACGACCTTGGATGCGGTGGCGGCGTTCCCCGGCACGACGGTGACGGCCGGGGGTGCGGCGGCTGCGGCGGCGGCGGGTTGCGAGGCCTGCAGAGCGGCAAGCTGGGCCTGTAGAGTGGCGATTTGTTCGCCGATCGAAGATTCAGGGGAGCTGGGATCCCTGGGGGCCAAAGGCGAGGCGGGAGAGCTGTCCATGATGTGATGGTGCGATGGACGTGTGCGGCTCGAGTGGCTGGGCTCGAGCGAAAAAGCCTCAAGCGGCGGGGCTGGTAGCTCGTGGGCTTATAACCTATTCGATCAACTCTACTACGTCAGCGATGTAGTTATAGCCAAGAGTGATCAATGCATTTCAACATACCTATTCGATCAACTCTACTACGTCAGCGATGTAGTTATAGCCAAGAGTGATGAATAGGAAGCTAACAATAAGAGACCCGCGCGCCCCAAGTCCACAGCCAGCGAGCCTGGGGCTGAGCCAATGGCCCAGGCTCGCTCCGCGCGCCTAAGTCCCAGGCTCGCTTCGCGCGCCTAAGTCCTGGGCCGGGGCGCCCGGCTCACTCCGCGCGCCTAAGTCCGCGCCCGGTTCGCTCCGCGCGCCTAAGTCCTGAGCCGAGCGGAGAGTGGATTCCTCACATCCGGCACTACCGCACCCGCCACGACATCCGGCTCCAATCGCAATGCCTTCCCGAAGCATGCGCGGTTGGACGGGCCGAAGACGTTCGCGAACTGGACACGCCAGCTTCGCCTGTGCCTAGCGGACGACATCCGCTCCTACGTCCTCGACGGAATCACCCCCGACGATTGGACGCCTTCGCAACGCTCCGCCCGCGACGTCGTGGCACGCGAGATCCTTGCAAACTCAATCGACTCGGCCGAAGTCTCGGCAGTCCTCGACAAGATCCCTACGGCCGACCTCACAGCGCCCAAGATTTACTCGACGCTGAAATCGCGATACGCCCCTGATGACGCCACTCGCACGCTCGAGCTCTTCTCGCGACTCTGGGGCTTCCGACCCATGCCCGGAACGGTTGGCGAATTTGACAGTTGGATCATGGACTTCAAGTCGGTCGCGCAAGAGATCATCGATACGAAAACGACGATCAACGACGTCCTTGCCACACTCCTCCTCGCGATCGCCCACCCGTCACTCGAGAGCTTCAAGGCAACGTTCACCGACGAACAACGCACGCAACGAACTCTCCCTGACATCGATTCAGTGGCCGACCGTATGCGAGTTCAACTCCGGTCAACGAACCTCTCCAACGATCAATCGGCCCTCCTTGCCTCGTCGTCGCCACGTTCTACCCGTACCAAGTGCCTCGCCTGTCGCAGCCCTTCTCACCGCGTCGCACAATGCCCTACAAGGGCCCAGCATCCACCGCCAGGCCCGTGTCGCTCCTGCAAGAAGAAGGACCACTGGTCTTTCGACTGCAAAAAGGCTCTTGAGGACGGGAAAACGCCCGACACCTCTGATGCGCAACACCATGTCGGATGTCTCGCCACCGGTCTTCTCGCACATCGTCGTCAGCTTCGCAACAACTCCTTCGTCGTCGACTCGGGTGCCACTTCGCACATGGTCTCGGACAAGTCGCTGTTCACGGCCTATCGCCACATCGCTCCTACGAAGATTGGTGGTATTGCAGGGGGCATCAACGCCGTCGGAACGGGAAACATCGCCTTTGTTGCCGCCTCCGGTCACCCGATCACGCTTACCGGCGTGCTGCACACCCCGGGCCTGTCTGTCAACCTCCTCTCGGTCTCTCGACTTTGCGACACCGACGATGTCCGTGTCGCCTTCACGAAGCACGGCATCCATATCGACAAGAACGGCAATGCTATCGCTGAAGGCGCAAGACTCGAGGAAGGGCTCTACTTGCTGGACGCTGATCATTCCAAATGTCAGCATCTCGCTCTCCTCTCTCGCTCACAGTCTTCCGTGCCCCTGCTGACCCTTCACCGCTGCCTCGGCCATCTCGCACTATGAGACGTTCACCACTACTGTCAGGAGAGGTTGAGAGTCGAACAGAAGTGATCTATTTCAGCGTACCTATGAGACGTTCACCACTACTGTCAGGAGAGGTTGAGAGTCGAACAGAAGTGATGAGAAGGAAGCTAAGAAACAGAAAGGGGGGGCCACGCTGGGATAGTCCCAGGCGCGTGACAATGTACATCCCTAAGTCAGCCGCGGGTGAAATCGCCGGCGCGCCTAAGTCCCCACCGCAAGGGGGCGGGCTAGCGGGCGCGCGCATGAATCCGCCGGCGCTGGCGCGCTGAGGCAGTCGCGCGCGTCTAAGTCCCCACCGCCGGGGGCGGGCTAGCAAGTGCGCGCAACGACCGAGGCGCCCCTGTCGAGCTGAGAGTGGACTCTTCACACCCCCCCCCACGCGAATGCGAGGCAGACCCAAGCCGCGGGTGTCGAGTGCGAAGGCCGAGGGCGTAGCAGTGCGTTGAGAAGACCTTTGGGCCGAGAGCCTTGGTGAAGATGTCGGCCACCATGTCGCTGGTACCCACATGCGAGAGAGAGATGTCGCCCCGATTCACCATGTCCCGTGTTGAACTTCGCTCCATCTCACTTCTAGGACAATATGCGCTCACTGAAGTAGAGGTGCCTCGCCTTTTGGTGCAGTGGTATATTGTTCCTTCATAGGTTATGAGCCCAGAGCAACCAGCAGGTCATGAGTTCAATCCCCCCTGGGGTCAGGCAATTTTGCGCGCATACACTCAGCGTCCCGGCCCCCGCACTTGCCCAGCAGCGTGCCAAGCACCCTGGCGCATCGACAGTGCTCACAGTGCCCAAGCTGCACTTGCCCAAGCGACCTGATCAACATGCCCAGTTGCCTCACAGCCGCACCCACTGCCACAAGCTCTTCAGCTTCGCGCACAGGGGGGTGTTGAACTTCGCTCCATCTCACTTCTAGGACAATATGCGCTCACTGAAGTAGAGGTGCCTCGCCTTTTGGTGCAGTGGTATATTTCAACACTTCGCTCCATCTCACTTCTAGGACAATATGCGCTCACTGAAGTAGAGGTGCCTCGCCTTTTGGTGCAGTGGTATATTGTTCCTTCATATCCCGAACGAAGTGCTCACGCAAGCGTATGTGCCGAGTGCCAGAGACGCGGACAGGATCGTGAGCAACTGCAGCAGCGGCTTCGTTGTCAGTAAAGATGTGAGCCGGTGCAACAGGTTGTACATGGAGCTCTTCGAGCAGCTGACTGAGGTAAATCCCTTCCTTGCCAGCATGCGAGAGGGCGAGGTATTCAGCGTCGGTGGTCGAATCGGCAACTCGAGACTGGCGTTTGGACGACCAGGACACGGCCGAGCCAGCGATGTAGAAGACGTAGCCCATGGTGGACACCGATGTGTCGATGCAGGCCCCCCAGTTCGCGTCGGAGTAGCCTACCACACCCGTGATGCGAGCCTGGCCGCGAGCATACACGAGTTCGTTGCGATACGTGGCCCGGAGATAGCGTAGGATGTGCTTGACCGCAATCCAATGACGACGACCGGGGTTGTTGGCGAAGCGGGCCAGGTAGGACACGGCGAAGGCGATGTCAGGGCGGGTACCGAGCGAAATGTAGAGGAGCGAGCCGATAGCCTGCAGATACCATGACCTGATCCGTTCGGTGCCTTGACCCGGGATAGCAGTGAGCGAAAGGCCGGGAGTCATCGGAACTGTAGTGCCGCGAGTCGTGGTGTCGAAGTGGAACCGAGCGAGCACGTCCATGATGTACCGTTCCTGGGATAGGGCGATAGAGCCGTCGTCGAACCGCCTGATCTGGATGCCGAGGATATACTCGGCCGGGCCGAGGCGCTTGACTCCGTAGCGTTGGTCCAGGCCTGAGATGACACGTTCGATTTCGGCCAGTTCCGGGCTGATCATCAGGAGGTCGTCGACGTACAGTGCGATGTAGTGTGGACATTGACGATCATCGAGCCAAGAGTATACGCAGTGGTCGGTGCCCGTCGCCGTGTAACCGAGGGCCCGAAGCGAAGCGTCGATGTGTCGATTCCAGATTCGGCCAGCCTGTTTGAGCCCGTAGATGGAGCGTCGCAGGCGAAGCACCTTGTCGCTGGGAAGGTCGAAGCCGCGCGGTGCCGTCATCCAGATGTCGTGGTCAAGGTCGCCATGCAGATATGCTTTGTCGATGTCCGCCTGGTGCACGTGCAAGCCGTTGGCGGCCGCCAGCGCGAGGAGTGAGCGTATCGAGGAGAAGCGTGCGACCGGTGCGAACGTTTCGTTGAAGTCGATGCCGTCGCGTTGCCGATTGCCTTGCGCGACCAGCCTTGCCTTGTGTCCAGTGACTTCGCCGAGTGCGTTCCGTTTCGTTTTCCAGACGAACTTGGATGTAACGATAGTCGCACCCGCGGGCACCGTGGCTCGGTCCTCGATGGTGAAGACCTTGAAGTCGTCGCGCATGGAGGTGAACTCGTCGGTGGCGGCTTTGGCCCATACTTCACGCTTGTCGCTAGACATCGCCTCGCGCCAGGTCTGTGGGTCGCTCGTGATGGACTTGACTGGCTGAATTGCCTCTGTGTCAGAGGTGTCGTCGTCGATGGCGATGAAGGCGCGGTGGTGTCGGGTGAGGAAATCGATTTCGTCCGGAGATTCGTCGCGAGAGTGGCGCCCAATGAGGTCGAGTTCGTCGGGCGACTCCTCAGCCGATGCGGGCTCGCGGTACGTGCTGAAGTCTGGGTGGTGCACGTCCTGTAGATCGAGGCGAACCTGGGGCTGTGAGCCGAGGAGGTCGAGGGGATCGGCGGAGTCTTCAGAGTCGGTCGGTAAGGCCGAGGGTGACGATGACGCAGCCGACGATGGTGAAAGTGCAGGCGATGGCGCAGACGACGGTGATGAGGGCGACGCAGGCGACGGTGACGAGGACGATTCGGCATCTGTGAAGTTAAGTAAGGTTCCGCCAGTGTACCCTGGGGCCACGTCAACGGCGCTCATGGCAGAATCATCAAGGGGGGATGAGACGTCCATGTGCGCCGACCTTACTAGTGGGGTCCATGTCTTGACAACGGTTTGAGATTCGGTGGTGGGAGCGCTGGCGAAGTGCGTGTCGCCGTCTTGCTCAGTGGGGTCGCCATGTAATCCGGGGAATTCAGTGTCGAGGAACGTGGCATTTCTGCCAAGTATAATCTTCTGTGTTGTAGTGTCGTAGAAGCGAAAGGCTTTTGAAGCCAGGTCGTAGCCGGTGAAAAAAACGCGAACCGCCTTCGGGTCGAGTTTGGAGCGAAGTTCGGGCGCGACCGTAAGCCAAGCTGTACAGCCGAACGGGTGAAGCGCCGAGGCAGTGGTGTGGTCACCCTGCCAGACGGAGTTTGGTGTTGCCTTGTCCAGGGCCGCGTGTTGACACAGGTTCTTGCAGTAAACGAAATAAGCTGCAGCCTCCTCCCAGAATGTCTTGGGTAGGTGGGCGTCGACAAGGAGGGCAAGGACGCCTTCGACAATGGAACGATTGACCCGCTCTGCACGACCGTTCTGTTGAGGCGTGCGTGGGATAGAGTATTGTCGACGGGTGCCTCGTGTCTTGCAGAACTCTGTGAACGCTCTCGAACAGTATTCGCCACCGTTGTCGGTTCGGAGGACCTTCAGCGTCGCACCCGTCTCGAGTTCAACCTCGGCTAGCCAAGTTTTGAATATGCCGAAGACTTCGCTTTTGTGTCCGATTGCGTAGGCCCAGAGTTTGCGCGAGTAATCGTCAAGGAATGTGACCAGGTAACGTTTGCCAGTCAAGGACCGCTCGGGGAAGGAAAGCACATCGCTGTGTACAAGGCCGAGTCTCTCTGAGGAGTGCGAATCCGAATCGGGAAAGGGAAGACGATGGCCCTTTGCGCTGAGGCAAGCATTGCAGACAAACTTCTCTACCTCTTCGTCACTATATCCGGCCCTGAGACCCTCCAGCAAACCAGCGGCAACCATCTTCTGTATGGAGGACGGTGCGAGATGTGAGGAATCCACTCTCCGCTCGGCTCAGGACTTAGGCGCGCGGAGCGAACCGGGCGCGGACTTAGGCGCGCGGAGTGAGCCGGGCGCCCCGGCCCAGGACTTAGGCGCGCGAAGCGAGCCTGGGACTTAGGCGCGCGGAGCGAGCCTGGGCCATTGGCTCAGCCCCAGGCTCGCTGGCTGTGGACTTGGGGCGCGCGGGTCTCTTATTGTTAGCTTCCTATTCATCACTCTTGGCTATAACTACATCGCTGACGTAGTAGAGTTGATCGAATAGGTATGTTGAAATGCATTCATCACTCTTGGCTATAACTACATCGCTGACGTAGTAGAGTTGATCGAATAGGTTATAAGCCCACGAGCTACCAGCCCCGCCGCTTGAGGCTTTTTCGCTCGAGCCCAGCCACTCGAGCCGCACACGTCCATCGCACCATCACATCATGGACAGCTCTCCCGCCTCGCCTTTGTGTGAGGAATCCACTCTCCGCTCGGCTCAGGACTTAGGCGCGCGGAGCGAACCGGGCGCGGACTTAGGCGCGCGGAGTGAGCCGGGCGCCCCGGCCCAGGACTTAGGCGCGCGAAGCGAGCCTGGGACTTAGGCGCGCGGAGCGAGCCTGGGCCATTGGCTCAGCCCCAGGCTCGCTGGCTGTGGACTTGGGGTGCGCGGGTCTCTTATTGTTAGCTTCCTATTCATCACTCTTGGCTATAACTACATCGCTGACGTAGTAGAGTTGATCGAATAGGTATGTTGAAATGCATTCATCACTCTTGGCTATAACTACATCGCTGACGTAGTAGAGTTGATCGAATAGGTTATAAGCCCACGAGCTACCAGCCCCGCCGTTTGAGGCTTTTTCGCTCGAGCCCAGCCACTCGAGCCGCACACGTCCATCGCACCATCACATCATGGACAGCTCTCCCGCCTCGCCTTTGGCCCCCAGGGATCCCAGCTCCCCTGAATCTTCGATCGGCGAACAAATCGCCACTCTACAGGCCCAGCTTGCCGCTCTGCAGGCCTCGCAACCCGCCGCCGCCGCAGCCGCCGCACCCCCGGCCGTCACCGTCGTGCCGGGGAACGCCGCCACCGCATCCAAGGTCGTGTTTCCCAAGCACGCTCGTCTGGACGGCCCCAAGTCGTTCACCAACTGGTTGCGTCAACTCCGTCTTGCACTCCCGAACCAGGTTCGTGGTTACGTTCTCGACGGTGTCGTTCCCCCGACCTGGACCGCCGACCAGCTTGCCGCACGTGACGACGCCGCCCGGGAAATCATCGTTGGCTCTATCGACTCCGCCGACGTATCGGCCACCCTCGACGCCATCCCCAGCGACGACCTGTCGGCACCGCGCATCTTTGCCGCTCTCAAGGCTCGTTTTGCACCGGACGACGCTACACGCACTCTCGAGTTGTTCGCTCGCCTTTGGGACTTCAGGAAGATGCCTGCCTCCGTCGAGGCCTACGACACTTGGCTACGCGAGTACATGTCGATTGCTCAGGAAATACGCGACGCCAAAACATCGCTCAACGACGTGCTCGCCACCCACGTGCTCGCCATGGTCCCGTCTTGCCTCGACAGCTTCCGACTCACGTTCACGGACGAGCAGCGAAACCGACGCGACCTTCCCGAACTCACGACGCTTACGGACCGCATTCGCATCCAGCTTCGTTCGGCAGGACTCTCGACCTCGCATTCGGCCATGCTTGCCACCAGCTCCCCCTGCCCCGCCTGCCGCGCTCCCGGTCACCGCCTGCGCGACTGCACTTCACGTGCGAAGCACCCGCCCACCGGCCCCTGCCGCCGATGCCACAAGAAAGGTCACTGGGCACTCGACTGCAAGAACCGGGGTGAACAGGCACGTAGCAGCGACGACACCCAGGACGACACGTCTTCCTCCGCGGCCTCGCAACCGAACGTCGGCTATTTCGCCTCCTGCCTCTTCGCTCGTCGCCAACTCCCAACTGACGCCTTTGTAGTCGATTCGGGTGCCACGACACACATGGTCGCCGACCGATCTCTATTCACGACTTATCGTCAGACGGCACACACCAAGATCGGCGGCATCGCGGGCGGCATCACGGCTATCGGCATGGGGGACGTGGCATTCGTCGCCAAGACTGGACACCCGATCACGCTCCGTGGTGTTCTTCACACGCCTGGCCTACACGTCAACCTCCTCTCTGTCTCTCGCCTCTGCGACACCGACCGCGTTCGTCTCGCCTTCACCAGCGACGGCATCGACATCGCCAAGGACGGCCGGGCCATTGCTCACGGTACCAGGGTCAACGACGGTCTTTACCTTTTGGACGCGGATCACACCAAGTGTCAGCATCTTGCCTTCCTCTCACGCTCTGAGTCTCCCGTGCCCCTGCTTACCCTACACCGCTGCCTCGGCCATCTTGCCCCATCCTCTATACAGAAGATGATTGCTGCAGGTTTGCTGGACGGGTTTGGGGCCGGGTACAGTGACAAAGACGTAGAGGAGTTTGTTTGCAATGCTTGCCTTGGTTCCAAAGGTCACCGCCTTCCCTTTCCCGACTCTGAGTCGCATTCCGCCGAGAGACTTGGCCTCGTGCACAGCGACGTCCTGTCGTTCCCCACTCCGTCCTTGACCGGGAAGCGCTACCTTGTCACGTTTCTAGACGACCACTCTCGCAAACTCTGGGCATATGCGATCGATCACAAAAGCGATGTTTTCCCGACCTTCCAGACTTGGCTCGCCGAAGTGGAGTTAGAGACGAACGCGCGGTTGAGGATCCTTCGAACCGACAATGGCGGGGAGTACCGATCAAACGCATTCACGGAGTTCTGCAAATCCAAGGGCATTCGTCGTCAATACTCTATCCCTTACACGCCTCAACAAAACGGTCGCGCCGAACGTGTCAACCTCTCCATCGTCGAGGGCGTCCTCGCTCTCCTTGCGGACGCCCGTCTGCCGGCCACCTTTTGGGATGAAGTGGCTGCGTATTTCGTTTATTGCAAAAACAGGTGCTCACACTCAGCTTTGGCCAAACAGACTCCAGAATCCGTTTGGAACGGCCAACGCACCACCGCCACCGCCCTCCACCCGTTCGGCTGCACAGCCTGGCTCACGGTCGCCCCGGACCTTCGCAGCAAGCTCGACCCCAAGGCCGCGCGCGTGATCTTCACAGGTTACGACCTCGCCTCCAAAGCTTTCCGTTTCTTTGACCATTCCATCAACAAGATTGTACTTGGTCGCAATGCCACCTTCCTCGACGACGACTTCCCCGGCCTGCCAGTCACCACGCCCGTCGATGCAGACGACACCGACCGTCAGTTCGTCGTTCCCGCCGACACGCCCGCCCTGTGAAGAGTCCACTCTCAGCTCGACAGGGGCGCCTCGGTCGTTGCGCGCACTTGCTAGCCCGCCCCCGGCGGTGGGGACTTAGACGCGCGCGACTGCCTCAGCGCGCCAGCGCCGGCGGATTCATGCGCGCGCCCGCTAGCCCGCCCCCTTGCGGTGGGGACTTAGGCGCGCCGGCGATTTCACCCGCGGCTGACTTAGGGATGTACATTGTCACGCGCCTGGGACTATCCCAGCGTGGCCCCCCCCTTTCTGTTTCTTAGCTTCCTTCTCATCACTTCTGTTCGACTCTCAACCTCTCCTGACAGTAGTGGTGAACGTCTCATAGGTACGCTGAAATAGATCACTTCTGTTCGACTCTCAACCTCTCCTGACAGTAGTGGTGAACGTCTCATAGGTTATAAGCCCACGAGCCACCAGCTGGCATGACCACGACACCACCCCTCGCGACGGGTGCCAACCCTCCGATTCCCGCCGAACAGCTCGCCGCACTTACATCGCTGCTGTCGGGTCTCACCGCTGCCGCTTCCGGCACTGCCACACCCGCCACGACGTCCGGCACCACTCGCACTGCCTTTCCAAAGCACGCACGCTTGGATGGTGCGAAGACCTTCGCGAACTGGACACGCCAACTTCGCCTGTGCCTAGCGGACGACATCCGCTCGTACGTCCTCGACGGTATCGCACCCGACGACTGGACACCTTCGCAACGCTCCGCTCGCGACGCCGTCGCTCGTGAGGTCCTTGCGAATTCGATTGACTCGGCCGAAGTCTCGGCAGTCCTCGACAAAATCCCTACCGCCGACCTGACAGCGCCGACAATCTACTCGACGCTGAAATCGCGGTACGCCCCTGACGACGCCACCCGCACGCTCGAGCTCTTCTCACGACTCTGGGGTTTCCGTCCCATGCCCGGCACGGTTGCCGAATTCGACGGGTGGATCATGGACTTCAAAGCCGTTGCGCAAGAGATCATCGACACAAAGACAACTATCAATGATGTTCTCGCCACACTCCTCCTTGCAATCGCCCACCCGTCCCTCGAGAGCTTCAAGGCGTCGTTCACCGATGAACAGCGCACGCAACGAACTCTCCCCGACATTGATTCGCTTGCCGACCGTATGCGAGTCCAACTTCGGTCAACGAACATCCCCAGCACTCAATCGGCCCTTCTTGCCTCGTCGTCGTCACGTTCTACTCGTCTCAAGTGTCTCGCCTGTCGCAGCCCTTCGCACCGAGTCGCGGAGTGCCCTACGAGGGCGCAACACCCGCCGCCAGGACCCTGTCGCTCCTGCAAGAAGAAGGATCACTGGTCTCTCGACTGCAAGAAGGCGCTCGAGGACGGCAAAAAGCCCGACACCGCTGACTCGACCGTCGACTCGCAACACCATGTCGGATGTCTCGCCACCGGTCTTCTCGCTCGTCGTCGCCAGCTTCGCAACCACTCTTTTGTCGTCGACTCGGGCGCCACTTCGCACATGGTCTCGGACAAGTCGCTGTTCACGACCTATCGCCATATCGCTCCTACGAAGATTGGTGGTATTGCAGGGGGCATCAACGCCATCGGAACGGGAAACATCGCCTTCATTGCCGCCTCGGGTCATCCGATCACGCTTACCGGCGTGCTGCACACTCCGGGCCTGTTTGTCAATCTTCTCTCGGTCTCTCGACTTTGCGACACCGACGATGTCCGTGTCGCCTTCACAAAACACGGCATCCACATTGACAAGGACGGCAACGACATCGCTGAAGGCGCACGACTCGACGAAGGGCTCTACTTGCTGGACGCTGATCATTCCAAATGTCAGCACCTTGCTCTCCTTTCTCGCTCACAGTCGTCCGTGCCCCTGCTGACTCTCCATCGCTGCCTCGGCCATCTCGCACCGTCCTCCATACAGAAGATGGTTGCCGCTGGTTTGCTGGAGGGTCTCAGGGCCGGATATAGTGACGAAGAGGTAGAGAAGTTTGTCTGCAATGCTTGCCTCAGCGCAAAGGGCCATCGTCTTCCCTTTCCCGATTCGGATTCGCACTCCTCAGAGAGACTCGGCCTTGTACACAGCGATGTGCTTTCCTTCCCCGAGCGGTCCTTGACTGGCAAACGTTACCTGGTCACATTCCTTGACGATTACTCGCGCAAACTCTGGGCCTACGCAATCGGACACAAAAGCGAAGTCTTCGGCATATTCAAAATGTCAGGAGCACAGCCTGCACTGCCATCAATACTCGAAGGAAGTCTCCCAAGTTTGCGGCCGGAGTCGACATCAGCTACCGGTTTGTTCGTTGCAAGCATTGTCGGCGCGATGGTGTAGTCGTGAGGGCGCGCGGGCGCGCACTCAGTGGTCGAGGGTTCGATCCGCCCGGAGCGTGATCTGCCTTTTGGTTTCTTTTCCTTTTTGTTATCCGAGGCCCGGCTTCGGGGTTTTTACCGGTGCCTTGCAGGCAATCCTTTTTACCCCTGAAGCGACCTCGTGGTGTAGTTATTTGATTCAGTCTTTCCTTCGCTCGGAGCACTTCCCTCCTTTTGCTTTTGCCACCCTTCCCCTAGAGCTTGGTCCACTCATTATCATGACTCGTACCCTCCCTCTTTTTACCCATTTCGCTGGCAATTAAGTCCGTTACACTTGATTTGCTGCGAAGCCTTCCGACCGAATCCACTCCTCGGTTGCTCTCGGTCGACTGCCGCCGCCCAGCCGACTCGACCTTCCCATCGGCCTGGTCAGCTATTTCTTGGATCGTTTGCCCTTCCTCTTTTGTCCGACCTCGTTGGCCACCATAGTCCGGTACACTGGACTTGCTGCGAGCCTTGCAGCCGCGTATCCTCCGCGGTTGCCTCTCGGTCGACTTCCGCCGCCCAGCCGACTCGACCTTCCCACCGGCCTGGTCAGCTATTTCTTGGATCGTTTGCCCTCCCTCTTCTGTCCGACCTCGTTGGCTACCATAGTTCGGTACACTGGACTTGCTGCGAACCTTGCAGCCGCGTATCCTCCGCGGTTGCCTCTCGGTCGACTGCCGCCGCCTCGGTCGACACCCCCTTCGCTCCTTCGCGCTTTCGCGCGCTCTCTCGCTCTCTCCCTCGTCTCTCGCGTGTAGTCATCGTCATCCCCTCCGACGTTGCCTGTCACTTTTTTCAAGTTCGGCATTGCTAGCGACAGTCCCAGCTTCTCTCACCGCTCAGTCCCACACCCTGGACGAGCATTCCCGCCCTCCCGCCCTTCGTCTTCGCGTCGTCCGCCTCCTCTCCGTTCGGCCTCTCGAGTTCGGCCTCTTTGACGACCGCGTGGTTCCTCCCCCCCACCCCCCCACACCTCCCCCACCCCCCACCCCCCCACCTCTTCTTACCGTCTCGTGACCGCCCTCGTTCGCCCTGGAATCGCTGTTGACTGTGAGTTGAGTGATCGCCATGGCCGCCGAGTGTGACACGTCGCGCGCCGCTGCCGCAGCCAGCGCGCCGCGCCTCTTCGCAACCGCGACCCCGGCCGCGCGAACCCGCCCAAGTCCGCCTGCCACCACACTCGTTTCGCACCGCCGCCGCCTTATTGCATGGTCGCCTCGTGCCCGCCTCGTTCGTCCTGGAATCATCGACTGTCGTGTTGAGCGATCGCCATGGCCACCGAGCGCGACACGTCCTGCGCCGCTGCCGAAGACGGCCCGCCGTCCCCTTCCGCCAATCCGACCCCGGCCGAGCACGGCCAACTCCGACCGACCCGGCCGCGCGAAACCGCCTAAGTCCGCCCGCCGCCCAACTCATTCCGCACCGTCACCGCCTCGCCGCACGGTAGACTTCCTTCTGGGGGGGATAGTGTCAGGAGCACAGCCTGCACTGCCATCAATACTCGAAGGAAGTCTCCCAAGTTTGCGGCCGGAGTCGACATCAGCTACCGGTTTGTTCGTTGCAAGCATTGTCGGCGCGATGGTGTAGTCGTGAGGGCGCGCGGGCGCGCACTCAGTGGTCGAGGGTTCGATCCGCCCGGAGCGTGATCTGCCTTTTGGTTTCTTTTCCTTTTTGTTATCCGAGGCCCGGCTTCGGGGTTTTTACCGGTGCCTTGCAGGCAATCCTTTTTACCCCTGAAGCGACCTCGTGGTGTAGTTATTTGATTCAGTCTTTCCTTCGCTCGGAGCACTTCCCTCCTTTTGCTTTTGCCACCCTTCCCCTAGAGCTTGGTCCACTCATTATCATGACTCGTACCCTCCCTCTTTTTACCCATTTCGCTGGCAATTAAGTCCGTTACACTTGATTTGCTGCGAAGCCTTCCGACCGAATCCACTCCTCGGTTGCTCTCGGTCGACTGCCGCCGCCCAGCCGACTCGACCTTCCCATCGGCCTGGTCAGCTATTTCTTGGATCGTTTGCCCTTCCTCTTTTGTCCGACCTCGTTGGCCACCATAGTCCGGTACACTGGACTTGCTGCGAGCCTTGCAGCCGCGTATCCTCCGCGGTTGCCTCTCGGTCGACTTCCGCCGCCCAGCCGACTCGACCTTCCCACCGGCCTGGTCAGCTATTTCTTGGATCGTTTGCCCTCCCTCTTCTGTCCGACCTCGTTGGCTACCATAGTTCGGTACACTGGACTTGCTGCGAACCTTGCAGCCGCGTATCCTCCGCGGTTGCCTCTCGGTCGACTGCCGCCGCCTCGGTCGACACCCCCTTCGCTCCTTCGCGCTTTCGCGCGCTCTCTCGCTCTCTCCCTCGTCTCTCGCGTGTAGTCATCGTCATCCCCTCCGACGTTGCCTGTCACAAAACTTGGCTAGCCGAGGTTGAACTCGAGACGGGTGCGACGCTGAAGGTCCTCCGAACCGACAACGGTGGCGAATACTGTTCGAGAGCGTTCACAGAGTTCTGCAAGACACGAGGCACCCGTCGACAATACTCTATCCCACGCACGCCTCAACAGAACGGTCGTGCAGAGCGGGTCAATCGTTCCATTGTCGAAGGCGTCCTTGCCCTCCTTGTCGACGCCCACCTACCCAAGACATTCTGGGAGGAGGCTGCAGCTTATTTCGTTTACTGCAAGAACCTGTGTCAACACGCGGCCCTGGACAAGGCAACACCAAACTCCGTCTGGCAGGGTGACCACACCACTGCCTCGGCGCTTCACCCGTTCGGCTGTACAGCTTGGCTTACGGTCGCGCCCGAACTTCGCTCCAAACTCGACCCGAAGGCGGTTCGCGTTTTTTTCACCGGCTACGACCTGGCTTCAAAAGCCTTTCGCTTCTACGACACTACAACACAGAAGATTATACTTGGCAGAAATGCCACGTTCCTCGACACTGAATTCCCCGGATTACATGGCGACCCCACTGAGCAAGACGGCGACACGCACTTCGCCAGCGCTCCCACCACCGAATCTCAAACCGTTGTCAAGACATGGACCCCACTAGTAAGGTCGGCGCACATGGACGTCTCATCCCCCCTTGATGATTCTGCCATGAGCGCCGTTGACGTGGCCCCAGGGTACACTGGCGGAACCTTACTTAACTTCACAGATGCCGAATCGTCCTCGTCACCGTCGCCTGCGTCGCCCTCATCACCGTCGTCTGCGCCATCGCCTGCACTTTCACCATCGTCGGCTGCGTCATCGTCACCCTCGGCCTTACCGACCGACTCTGAAGACTCCGCCGATCCCCTCGACCTCCTCGGCTCACAGCCCCAGGTTCGCCTCGATCTACAGGACGTGCACCACCCAGACTTCAGCACGTACCGCGAGCCCGCATCGGCTGAGGAGTCGCCCGACGAACTCGACCTCATTGGGCGCCACTCTCGCGACGAATCTCCGGACGAAATCGATTTCCTCACCCGACACCACCGCGCCTTCATCGCCATCGACGACGACACCTCTGACACAGAGGCAATTCAGCCAGTCAAGTCCATCACGAGCGACCCACAGACCTGGCGCGAGGCGATGTCTAGCGACAAGCGTGAAGTATGGGCCAAAGCCGCCACCGACGAGTTCACCTCCATGCGCGACGACTTCAAGGTCTTCACCATCGAGGACCGAGCCACGGTGCCCGCGGGTGCGACTATCGTTACATCCAAGTTCGTCTGGAAAACGAAACGGAACGCACTCGGCGAAGTCACTGGACACAAGGCAAGGCTGGTCGCGCAAGGCAATCGGCAACGCGACGGCATCGACTTCAACGAAACGTTCGCACCGGTCGCACGCTTCTCCTCGATACGCTCACTCCTCGCGCTGGCGGCCGCCAACGGCTTGCACGTGCACCAGGCGGACATCGACAAAGCATATCTGCATGGCGACCTTGACCACGACATCTGGATGACGGCACCGCGCGGCTTCGACCTTCCCAGCGACAAGGTGCTTCGCCTGCGACGCTCCATCTACGGGCTCAAACAGGCTGGCCGAATCTGGAATCGACACATCGACGCTTCGCTTCGGGCCCTCGGTTACACGGCGACGGGCACCGACCACTGCGTATACTCTTGGCTCGATGATCGTCAATGTCCACACTACATCGCACTGTACGTCGACGACCTCCTGATGATCAGCCCGGAACTGGCCGAAATCGAACGTGTCATCTCAGGCCTGGACCAACGCTACGGAGTCAAGCGCCTCGGCCCGGCCGAGTATATCCTCGGCATCCAGATCAGGCGGTTCGACGACGGCTCTATCGCCCTATCCCAGGAACGGTACATCATGGACGTGCTCGCTCGGTTCCACTTCGACACCACGACTCGCGGCACTACAGTTCCGATGACTCCCGGCCTTTCGCTCACTGCTATCCCGGGTCAAGGCACCGAACGGATCAGGTCATGGTATCTGCAGGCTATCGGCTCGCTCCTCTACATTTCGCTCGGTACCCGCCCTGACATCGCCTTCGCCGTGTCCTACCTGGCCCGCTTCGCCAACAACCCCGGTCGTCGTCATTGGATTGCGGTCAAGCACATCCTACGCTATCTCCGGGCCACGTATCGCAACGAACTCGTGTATGCTCGCGGCCAGGCTCGCATCACGGGTGTGGTAGGCTACTCCGACGCGAACTGGGGGGCCTGCATCGACACATCGGTGTCCACCATGGGCTACGTCTTCTACATCGCTGGCTCGGCCGTGTCCTGGTCGTCCAAACGCCAGTCTCGAGTTGCCGATTCGACCACCGACGCTGAATACCTCGCCCTCTCGCATGCTGGCAAGGAAGGGATTTACCTCAGTCAGCTGCTCGAAGAGCTCCATGTACAACCTGTTGCACCGGCTCACATCTTTACTGACAACGAAGCCGCTGCTGCAGTTGCTCACGATCCTGTCCGCGTCTCTGGCACTCGGCACATACGCTTGCGTGAGCACTTCGTTCGGGACATGGTGAATCGGGGCGACATCTCTCTCTCGCATGTGGGTACCAGCGACATGGTGGCCGACATCTTCACCAAGGCTCTCGGCCCAAAGGTCTTCTCAACGCACTGCTACGCCCTCGGCCTTCGCACTCGACACCCGCGGCTTGGGTCTGCCTCGCATTCGCGTGGGGGGGGGTGTGAAGAGTCCACTCTCAGCTCGACAGGGGCGCCTCGGTCGTTGCGCGCACTTGCTAGCCCGCCCCCGGCGGTGGGGACTTAGACGCGCGCGACTGCCTCAGCGCGCCAGCGCCGGCGGATTCATGCGCGCGCCCGCTAGCCCGCCCCCTTGCGGTGGGGACTTAGGCGCGCCGGCGATTTCACCCGCGGCTGACTTAGGGATGTACATTGTCACGCGCCTGGGACTATCCCAGCGTGGCCCCCCCCTTTCTGTTTCTTAGCTTCCTTCTCATCACTTCTGTTCGACTCTCAACCTCTCCTGACAGTAGTGGTGAACGTCTCATAGGTACGCTGAAATAGATCACTTCTGTTCGACTCTCAACCTCTCCTGACAGTAGTGGTGAACGTCTCATACGCCCCTGCCGTCAAGACGAGGACCCCACTAGTAAGGTCGGCGCACATGGACGTCTCATCCTCCCTTGATGATTCTGCCATGAGCGCCGTTGACGTGGCCCCAGGGTACACTGGCGGAACCTTACTTAATTCCACAGATACCGAATCGTCCTCGTCACCGTCTCCTGAGCCGTCCTCGTCACCGTCGCCCACAAACCCTTTGTCACCGTCGCCTGCGCTGTCACCGTCGTTGGCAGCGTCATCGTCACCCTCGGTCTCACCGACCGACTCTGACTACTCCGCCGACCCTCTGGACCTCATCGGCTCACAGACCCCGACTCGCCTTGGCCCACCGGACGTGCACCGCCCAGACTTCAGCACGTACCGTGAGCCCGCATCGGCTGAGGAGTCGCCCGACGAACTCGACATCATTGGGCGTCACTCGCGCGATGAATCGCCGGATGAAATCGATTTCCTCACCCAACACCACCGCGCCTTCATCGCCACAGACGACGACGACCCCACCCTCGACGCCATCGAGCCCGTCAAATCGATCACTAGCGACCCCCAGACCTGGCGCGAAGCAATGTCCAGCGACGAGCACAACATCTGGGCTGAGGCCGCCGCCGCCGAGTTCACCGCCATGCGCGACGACTTCAAGGTGTTCACCATCGAGCCTCGCTCATCTGTACCGCCGGGCGCCACCATCGTCACCTCCAAATTCGTCTGGAAGACCAAGCGCAACGCAAGCGGTGAAGTCACGGGGCGGAAGGCACGTCTTGTAGCGCAGGGTAACCGACAGCGCGACGGCATCGACTTCTCAGAAACCTTCGCACCCGTCGCCCGTTTCTCCTCCATTCGCTGCCTCCTGGCTCTTGCCGCTGCCAATGGCTACCACGTTCATCAGGCCGACATCGACAAGGCTTACCTCCACGGCGAGCTCGATCATGATATCTGGATGACGACACCACGCGGTTTCGACTTCCCGAGCGATAAGGTTCTCCGGCTGCGACGCTCAATCTACGGTCTCAAGCAGGCCGGTCGCATCTGGAATCGTCACATTGACACATCACTCAGGAATCTGGGGTACAAGGCAACAGGCACTGATCACTGCATTTACTCTCGCATTGACGATCAGCAGCGGCCTCACTATATCGCCTTGTATGTCGACGACCTCCTCATTGTCAGTCCAGCCCTCGACGAGATCGAACGTGTCATCTCCGGCCTTGAACAGCGGTACGGCGTCAAACGACTCGGCCCCGCGGAGTACATCCTCGGAATCCAAATACGCCGCCTGGACGACGGTTCCATTGCTCTATCCCAGGAGCGCTACATCATGGACGTGCTGGCCCGTTTCCACTTCGACACCACGACACGCGGCACTACGGTGCCGATGACGCCCGGCCTCTCGCTCACGGCAATTCCGGGTCAGGGAACGGAGCGCATTCGTTCGTGGTACCTACAGGCCATCGGCTCCCTCCTCTACATCTCCCTTGGCACTCGACCCGACATTGCCTTCGCCGTCTCGTACCTGTCCCGGTTCGCCAACAACCCCGGCCGCCGCCATTGGATTGCCGTCAAACACGTCCTTCGCTACCTTCGCGCCACGTACCGCGATGAGCTTCTCTATGCCCGCGGCCCAGCAAAAGTCACGGGTGTGGTTGGTTATTCTGATGCGAACTGGGGCGCCTGCGTCGACACATCCATTTCAACGATGGGCTACGTATTTTACTTGGCAGGCGCCGCTGTCTCTTGGTCGTCGAAGCGTCAGACTCGGGTAGCGGATTCCACCACTGATGCCGAGTACCTGGCCTTGTCGCACGCGGGTAAGGAAGCGATCTACCTTAACCAACTCCTCTCCGAGCTCCACGTTTGCCCAATCGCTGCAGCTCACATCTTCACCGACAACGAGGCCGCGGCCGCCGTCGCTCACGACCCCGTTCGCACCTCCGGCACCCGGCACATTCGCCTCCGCGAGCATTTTGTCCGTGACATGGTCAATCGAGGTGATATCTCTCTCTCACACGTTGGCACAGCAGACATGGTTGCGGACGTATTCACCAAAGCGCTAGGCCCCAAGATTTTTGGTACACATTGCTATGCTCTAGGCCTCCGGACGCGACATCCACGGCTCAAGTCTACCTCGCGTTCGCGTGGGGGGGGGTGTGAGGAATCCACTCTCCGCTCGGCTCAGGACTTAGGCGCGCGGAGCGAACCGGGCGCGGACTTAGGCGCGCGGAGTGAGCCGGGCGCCCCGGCCCAGGACTTAGGCGCGCGAAGCGAGCCTGGGACTTAGGCGCGCGGAGCGAGCCTGGGCCATTGGCTCAGCCCCAGGCTCGCTGGCTGTGGACTTGGGGCGCGCGGGTCTCTTATTGTTAGCTTCCTATTCATCACTCTTGGCTATAACTACATCGCTGACGTAGTAGAGTTGATCGAATAGGTATGTTGAAATGCATTGATCACTCTTGGCTATAACTACATCGCTGACGTAGTAGAGTTGATCATAGGTTATGAGCCCAGAGCAACCAGCAGGTCATGAGTTCAATCCCCCCTGGGGTCAGGCAATTTTGCGCGCATACACTCAGCGTCCCGGCCCCCGCACTTGCCCAGCAGCGTGCCAAGCACCCTGGCGCATCGACAGTGCTCACAGTGCCCAAGCTGCACTTGCCCAAGCGACCTGATCAACATGCCCAGTTGCCTCACAGCCGCACCCACTGCCACAAGCTCTTCAGCTTCGCGCACAGGGGGGTGTTGAACTTCGCTCCATCTCACTTCTAGGACAATATGCGCTCACTGAAGTAGAGGTGCCTCGCCTTTTGGTGCAGTGGTATATTGTTCCTTCATAGGTTATGCGCTACCATTGAACTTTGCTCCATCTCACTTCTAGGACAATATGCGCTCACTGAAGTAGAGGTGCCTCGCCTTTTGGTGCAGTGGTATATTGTTCCTTCATATGCCGGGCATGGGACGGAAACCCCAGAGTCGTGAGAAGAGCTCGAGCGTGCGGGTGGCGTCGTCAGGGGCGTACCGCGATTTCAGCGTCGAGTAGATTGTCGGCGCTGTCAGGTCGGCGGTAGGGATTTTGTCGAGGACTGCCGAGACTTCGGCCGAGTCAATCGAATTCGCAAGGACCTCACGAGCGACGGCGTCGCGAGCGGAGCGTTGCGAAGGTGTCCAGTCGTCGGGTGCGATACCGTCGAGGACGTACGAGCGGATGTCGTCCGCTAGGCACAGGCGAAGTTGGCGTGTCCAGTTCGCGAAGGTCTTCGCACCATCCAAGCGTGCGTGCTTTGGAAAGGCAGTGCGAGTGGTGCCGGACGTCGTGGCGGGTGTGGCAGTGCCGGAAGCGGCAGCGGTGAGACCCGACAGCAGCGATGTAAGTGCGGCGAGCTGTTCGGCGGGAATCGGAGGGTTGGCACCCGTCGCGAGGGGTGGTGTCGTGGTCATGCCAGCTGGTGGCTCGTGGGCTTATAACCTATGAGACGTTCACCACTACTGTCAGGAGAGGTTGAGAGTCGAACAGAAGTGATCTATTTCAGCGTACCTATGAGACGTTCACCACTACTGTCAGGAGAGGTTGAGAGTCGAACAGAAGTGATGAGAAGGAAGCTAAGAAACAGAAAGGGGGGGGCCACGCTGGGATAGTCCCAGGCGCGTGACAATGTACATCCCTAAGTCAGCCGCGGGTGAAATCGCCGGCGCGCCTAAGTCCCCACCGCAAGGGGGCGGGCTAGCGGGCGCGCGCATGAATCCGCCGGCGCTGGCGCGCTGAGGCAGTCGCGCGCGTCTAAGTCCCCACCGCCGGGGGCGGGCTAGCAAGTGCGCGCAACGACCGAGGCGCCCCTGTCGAGCTGAGAGTGGACTCTTCACACGCACCGTCGTCCATACAGAAGATGGTTGCCGCTGGTTTGCTGGAAGGTCTCGGGGCCGGATATAGTGACGAAGAGGTAGAGAAGTTTGTCTGCAATGCTTGCCTCAGTGCAAAGGGCCATCGTCTTCCTTTTCCCGATTCGGACTCGCACTCCTCAGAGAGACTCGGCCTCGTACACAGCGATGTGCTTTCCTTTCCCGAGTCGTCCTTGACTGGCAAGCGTTACCTGGTCACGTTTCTTGACGACTTCTCGCGCAAACTGTGGGCATACGCGATCGGACACAAAAGCGAAGTCTTTGGCGTGTTCAAGACATGGCTTGCCGAGGTCGAACTCGAGACGGATGCAAAACTGAAGGTCCTCCGAACCGACAATGGTGGCGAATACTGTTCGAGAGCGTTCACGGAATTCTGTAAGGCACGCGGCACACGTCGACAATACTCTATCCCTCGAACGCCTCAACAGAACGGTCGTGCCGAACGAGTCAATCGTTCTATCGTCGAAGGTGTCCTTGCCCTCCTTGCAGACGCCCACTTACCCAAATCATTCTGGGAGGAGGCAGCAGCTTATTTCGTCTACTGCAAGAACCTGTGCGAACACTCGGCCCTGGACAAGGCAACACCGAACTTCGCCTGGCAGGGCGACCGCACCAACGCCTCGGCGCTTCACCCGTTCGGCTGCACGGCTTGGCTCACAGTCGCGCCTGAACTTCGCTCGAAACTCGACCCGAAAGCGGTTCGCGTTCTCTTCACCGGCTATGACCTGGCTTCTAAAGCCTTCCGTTTCTACGACACGACGACCAAGAAGATCAGTTTGGGCAGAAATGCCAGGTTCCTCGACAACGAATTTCCCGGGTTACGTAGCGACTCCACCGAGCAAGACGCCGACACGCACTTCGCCAGCGCTTGCCCGACCACCGAATCCCAAGCCGTTGTCAAGACATGGACCCCACTAGTAAGGTCGGCGCACATGGACGTCTCATCCTCTCTTGATGACTCTGCCATGAGCGCCGTTGACGTGGCCCCAGGGTACACTGGCGGAACCTTACTTAATTCCACAGATGCCGAATCGTCCTCGTCACCGTCTCCTGAGCCGTCCTCGTCACCGTCGCCCGCAACTCCCTTGTCACCGTCGCCTGCGCTGTCACCGTCGTTGGCTGCGTCATCGTCACCCTCGGCCTTACCGACCGACTCTGACTACTCCGCCGACCCTCTGGACCTCATCGGCTCACAGACCCCGACTCGCCTCGGCCCACCGGACGTGCACCGCCCAGACTTCAGCACGTACCGTGAGCCCGCATCGGCTGAGGAGTCGCCCGACGAACTCGACATCATTGGGCGCCACTCGCGCGATGAATCGCCGGACGAAATCGATTTCCTCACCCAACACCACCGCGCCTTCATCGCCACCGACGACGACAACTCTGACACAGAAGCCATTCAACCAGTCAAGTCCATCACCAGCGACCCACAGACATGGCGCGAGGCAATGTCGAGTGACAAGCGCGAAGTGTGGGCCAAGGCCGCTACCGACGAGTTCAATTCCATGCGCGACGACTTCAAGGTCTTCACCATCGAGGACCGATCCACGGTACCAGCGGGTGCGACCATCGTCACATCCAAGTTCGTCTGGAAAACGAAACGGAATGCACTCGGCGAAGTCACCGGCCACAAGGCACGGCTCGTGGCGCAGGGAAATCGGCAACGCGACGGCATCGACTTCAACGAAACCTTCGCACCAGTCGCACGCTTCTCCTCGATACGCTCACTCCTCGCGCTGGCGGCCGCCAACGGCTTGCACGTGCACCAGGCGGACATCGACAAAGCCTATCTGCATGGCGACCTTGACCATGACATCTGGATGACGACACCGCGCGGCTTCGACCTTCCCACCGACAAGGTGCTTCGTCTGCGACGCTCCATCTACGGACTCAAACAGGCTGGCCGAATCTGGAATCGACACATCGACGCATCGCTTCGAGATCTCGGCTATACGGCGACGGGCACCGACCACTGCGTGTACTCTCGGATCGACGATCGGCGACGCCCACACTACATCGCGCTGTACGTCGACGACCTCCTGATGATCAGCCCCGACTTGGCCGAAATTGAACGTGTCATCTCGGGCCTCGAACAACGCTACGGCGTCAAGCGCCTCGGCCCGGCAGAGTACATCCTCGGCATCCAGATCAGGCGACTCGAAGACGGTTCTATTGCCCTGTCCCAGGAACGGTACATCATGGACGTGCTTGCTCGGTTCCACTTCGACACCACGACTCGCGGCACTACAGTCCCGATGACCCCCGGCCTTTCGCTCACCGCCATCCCGGGTCAAGGCACCGAACGGATCAGGTCATGGTATCTGCAGGCTATCGGCTCGCTCCTCTACATTTCGCTCGGCACCCGCCCCGACATCGCCTTCGCCGTGTCCTACCTGGCCCGCTTCGCCAACAACCCTGGACGTCGTCACTGGATCGCGGTCAAGCACATCCTCCGCTATCTCCGGGCCACATATCGCGACGAACTGGTTTATGCTTGCGGCGAGACACGCATCACGGGCGTGGTTGGCTACTCCGACGCGAACTGGGGGGCCTGCGTCGATACGTCGGTGTCCACTATGGGCTACGTCTTCTACATTGCCGGATCCGCCGTGTCTTGGTCGTCCAAGCGTCAATCTCGAGTTGCCGATTCTACCACCGACGCTGAATACCTCGCCCTCTCGCATGCTGGCAAGGAAGGGATCTACCTCAGTCAGCTGCTCGAGGAGCTCCATGTCCAACCTGTTGCACCGGCTCACATTTTTACTGACAATGAAGCCGCTGCCGCAGTTGCCCACGACCCTGTCCGCGTCTCCGGCACTCGACACATACGCTTGCGCGAGCACTTTGTTCGGGACATGGTGAATCGGGGCGATATCTCACTCTCGCATGTGGGAACCAGCAACATGGTGGCCGACATCTTCACAAAGGCTCTTGGCCCAAAGATTTTCTCGACACACTGCTACGCACTAGGCCTTCGCACTCGACACCCACGGCTTGGATCTGCCTCGCATTCGCGTGGGGGGGGGTGTGAAGAGTCCACTCTCAGCTCGACAGGGGCGCCTCGGTCGTTGCGCGCGCCTGCTAGCCTGGCCCCTGTGGTGGGGACTTAGGCGCGCGCGAGTGCCTCAGCGCGCCGGCGCCGGCGGTTTTCGGGCGCGCGCCGCTAGCCCGCCCTTGCAGTGGGGACTTAGCCGCGCGCGACTGCCTCAGCGCTCCAGCGATTTCGCCCGCGCCTGGGCATATCCCAGCGCGGGCCACCTTTCCATTTCTTAGCTTCCTTCTCATCACTTCTGTTCGACTCTCGACTTCTCCTGACAGTAGTGGTGATCATCTCATAGGTACGCTGAAATACATCACTTCTGTTCGACTCTCGACTTCTCCTGACAGTAGTGGTGATCATCTCATACTTCCCACCGGCCTGGTCAGCTATTTCTTGGATCGTTTGCCCTCCCTCTTCTGTCCGACCTCGTTGGCTACCATAGTTCGGTACACTGGACTTGCTGCGAGCCTTGCAGCCGCGTATCCTCCGCGGTTGCCTCTCGGTCGACTGCCGCCGCCTCGGTCGACACCCCCTTCGCTCCTTCGCGCTTTCGCGCGCTCTCTCGCTCTCTCCCTCGTCTCTCGCGTGTAGTCATCGTCATCCCCTCCGACGTTGCCTGTCATTCCAGCCGTGTCTCCCGTTCGCCAAGATCTTTTTTGACGATGTCCACGTCCATTCCGATACCCATCGCGCGCACTTGAGACACATCAAGATCCTGCTGATGACATTGAGACATTACCGGTTCTACTTAGGATCCAAGAAGTCCGAGTGGTTCTCAAAGTCGTTGGATTCCTTGGGCACCATCATTTCCGACGTCGGCATCGAAGTCGACCCTGCCAAGTGGGAGCGTATCCGTCAGTGGCCGATCCCTTGCAACAAGACCGATGTCCAGCGCTTCCTCGGCACCGTCAATTGGATGCGAGATCACCTACCGCACCTCTCGACGATCTTGGAGCCGATCACCGCGTTGTTGGCGCAATCGACCTCGTGGTGTTGGAACGAGTGAGAACAGCAGGCTTTCGATACCGTCAAGTCCCTTGTGCCCGCCATCCTACGACCGATCGATGGCGCCAAGGTTACCTCGGGCGAGCACAAGATGTACCTCTTCACGGATGCCAGTCGGGTTGGCATTGGCGCTTGTTTGGCGTCCGGGCCCAACCGTTCGCAGGCCGTTCCAACGCGATTCTTTTCCGCTAAGTTCAACAGTGCTCAGCTCAACTATCATGTCACTGATCAAGAGTTCTTGGCTGTCGTCTCGGCGTGTCGGGCGTTCGAGCAGCACTTGATCGGTTACCCCTTCGTCATTGACAAGCGACGTCGGAGGGGATGACGTCGTCTACACGCGTTGGTACGGGGGGGGGGGATTTCTGGAAGTGTCGGCTGTTGCGGCGGCAGTCGACAAGGGAGCAACCGAGGAGGGGAGTCGGTCGAAAGGCTCGCAGGAAATCAAGTGTAACGGACTTAATTCCCAAACGATCGACAAGAAGAGGAGGGGCAACAAAAGAGAAGAGCGGACCAAGCTCCCGGGGAAAGGTGGTAAAACTAAAGGGAAGGGACTGTGCCAGGCCCAGAGGGGACTTAGCCAAATCAACCACTCCAAGAGGTCGCCTCAGGGGTAAAAAGGATTGCTCGCGGGAGCACCGGTAAAAACCCTGAAGCCGCGCCTCGGTTAACAAAAAGATAAAACAAACCGAAAGAAGACTGCGGTCTGGGCGCCTCGAACCCGCGACCACCGAGTGCACGCCCGCGCGCCTCACGACTACGCCATCGCACCGACGATGCTGTGAAACGAGGCAAGTCTCTGGTCAAGTCAACTCTACCCGCACATAGTCTTGGGGGGGCTTCCTTCGAGTACACGCTGTCATCCTGACACTGTCCCCCCAGAAGGAAGTCTACTGACAAGCGACGTCGGAGGGGATGACGTCGTCTACACGCGTTGGTACGGGGGGGGGGATTTCAGGAAGTGTCGGCTGTTGCGGTGGCAGTCGACAAGGGAGCAACCGAGGAGGGGAGTCGGTCGAAAGGCTCGCAGGAAATCAAGTGTAACGGACTTAATTCCCAAACGATCGACAAGAAGAGGAGGGGCAACAAAAGAGAAGAGCGGACCAAGCTCCCAGGGAAAGGTGGTAAACTAAAGGGAAGGGACTGTGCCAGGCCCAGAGGGGACTTAGCCAAATCAACCACTCCAAGAGGTCGCCTCAGGGGTAAAAAGGATTGCTCGCGGGAGCACCGGTAAAAACCCTGAAGCCGCGCCTCGGCTAACAAAAGATAAAACAAACCGAAAGAAGACTGCGGTCTGGGCGCCTCGAACCCGCGACCACCGAGTGCGCGCCTGCGCGCCTCACGACTACGCCATCGCACCGACGATGCTGTGAAACGAGGCAAGCCTCTGGTCAAGTCAACTCTACCCGCACATAGCCTTGGGGGGCTTCCTTCGAGTACACGCTGTCATCCTGACACTGTCCCCCCCAGAAGGAAGTCTACCGTGCGGCGAGGCGGCGGTTCGAGCGATCGAGGCGCGCGAGGTAGGCGTCGAGGACGGACGGATGGTCAAGGCGAATGGACTGCTCTGACATCCAAGTATCGTCGGTGTCGTTACGGCCTACCCATCGAACCAAGAACGAACGAGCGCCCCGAGCGTTCCGCCTATGAGACGTTCACCACTACTGTCAGGAGAGGTTGAGAGTCGAACAGAAGTGATCTATTTCAGCGTACCTATGAGACGTTCACCACTACTGTCAGGAGAGGTTGAGAGTCGAACAGAAGTGATGAGAAGGAAGCTAAGAAACAGAAAGGGGGGGGCCACGCTGGGATAGTCCCAGGCGCGTGACAATGTACATCCCTAAGTCAGCCGCGGGTGAAATCGCCGGCGCGCCTAAGTCCCCACCGCAAGGGGGCGGGCTAGCGGGCGCGCGCATGAATCCGCCGGCGCTGGCGCGCTGAGGCAGTCGCGCGCGTCTAAGTCCCCACCGCCGGGGGCGGGCTAGCAAGTGCGCGCAACGACCGAGGCGCCCCTGTCGAGCTGAGAGTGGACTCTTCACACCCCCCCCCACGCGAATGCGAGGCAGACCCAAGCCGCGGGTGTCGAGTGCGAAGGCCGAGGGCGTAGCAGTGCGTTGAGAAGACCTTTGGGCCGAGAGAAGATTGACAAACAGGCCCGGAGTGTGCAGCACGCCGGTAAGCGTGATCGGATGACCCGAGGCGGCAATGAAGGCGATGTTTCCCGTTCCGATGGCGTTGATGCCCCCTGCAATACCACCAATCTTCGTAGGAGCGATATGGCGATAGGTCGTGAACAGCGACTTGTCCGAGACCATGTGCGAAGTGGCGCCCGAGTCGACGACAAAAGAGTGGTTGCGAAGCTGGCGACGACGAGCGAGAAGACCGGTGGCGAGACATCCGACATGGTGTTGCGAGTCGACGGTCGAGTCAGCGGTGTCGGGCTTTTTGCCGTCCTCGAGCGCCTTCTTGCAGTCGAGAGACCAGTGATCCTTCTTCTTGCAGGAGCGACAGGGTCCTGGCGGCGGGTGTTGCGCCCTCGTAGGGCACTCCGCGACTCGGTGCGAAGGGCTGCGACAGGCGAGACACTTGAGACGAGTAGAACGTGACGACGACGAGGCAAGAAGGGCCGATTGAGTGCTGGGGATGTTCGTTGACCGAAGTTGGACTCGCATACGGTCGGCAAGCGAATCAATGTCGGGGAGAGTTCGTTGCGTGCGCTGTTCATCGGTGAACGACGCCTTGAAGCTCTCGAGGGACGGGTGGGCGATTGCAAGGAGGAGTGTGGCGAGAACATCATTGATAGTTGTCTTTGTGTCGATGATCTCTTGCGCAACGGCTTTGAAGTCCATGATCCACCCGTCGAATTCGGCAACCGTGCCGGGCATGGGACGGAAACCCCAGAGTCGTGAGAAGAGCTCGAGCGTGCGGGTGGCGTCGTCAGGGGCGTACCGCGATTTCAGCGTCGAGTAGATTGTCGGCGCTGTCAGGTCGGCGGTAGGGATTTTGTCGAGGACTGCCGAGACTTCGGCCGAGTCAATCGAATTCGCAAGGACCTCACGAGCGACGGCGTCGCGAGCGGAGCGTTGCGAAGGTGTCCAGTCGTCGGGTGCGATACCGTCGAGGACGTACGAGCGGATGTCGTCCGCTAGGCACAGGCGAAGTTGGCGTGTCCAGTTCGCGAAGGTCTTCGCACCATCCAAGCGTGCGTGCTTTGGAAAGGCAGTGCGAGTGGTGCCGGACGTCGTGGCGGGTGTGGCAGTGCCGGAAGCGGCAGCGGTGAGACCCGACAGCAGCGATGTAAGTGCGGCGAGCTGTTCGGCGGGAATCGGAGGGTTGGCACCCGTCGCGAGGGGTGGTGTCGTGGTCATGCCAGCTGGTGGCTCGTGGGCTTATAACCTATGAGACGTTCACCACTACTGTCAGGAGAGGTTGAGAGTCGAACAGAAGTGATGAGAAGGAAGCTAAGAAACAGAAAGGGGGGGCCACGCTGGGATAGTCCCAGGCGCGTGACAATGTACATCCCTAAGTCAGCCGCGGGTGAAATCGCCGGCGCGCCTAAGTCCCCACCGCCGGGGGCGGGCTAGCAAGTGCGCGCAACGACCGAGGCGCCCCTGTCGAGCTGAGAGTGGACTCTTCACACCGCCGATCGCGAACAATCCGTTCCGGAATCGCAGAATTGTCGGCTGCGTCGGCTACGTCTTCGACAAAAAGAACTGCGGGGTCACGCCCAGGAAACCTTTCAGCATCATTCTCAACGCAAGGCCGAAGCAGTCGAGCATGGAAACGATTGTGCACTCGCGACATCGCTGGAGGGAGCTCGAGGTCGTAGCTGGACGTCGCAGGGATGGCCGCTCGGATACGGAAGGGGCCGATGTAGCGCGGCAACAACTTCGACTTCATGCCGTCAGGAACTGCCAGGTTCTTTGTCGAAAGATAGACGTAACTGCCGGTCCGAAAGGCGGGGTCGTCTGGGCGTCGATGCTTGTTGGCCTGATGGGACTGGTTGAGGCGTGCTCCAATGATCGCATCCGTCACGTCAAGGTTCCGTAATTGTCGGATCCGAGCAAACGCTTCCGCACGAGGGACGTCCGAGACAGACCAGGAATCCGAGGGCCAACGTCGAGGAAGGTAGCCGTAGGTTGCCTCAAAAGCCGACAGCGACGTGGACACAGCAACAGAAGAGTTAAGAGCGAACTCAGCTTCAACAAGACGAGATGCCCAAGCCTCGTGGTTTGACGAGACCATGATCCGCAGGGTTTGGGTGACCATCTTGATCCGATTCTTGCTCGATCCGTCCGTCTCGGGGTGTGCCGCGGTTGACATTCGCAAGACGGTGCCAATCTTTGCCTGCAATGCCCGCCAAAACTGCGAGGTGAACTTGGGATCACGGTCGGAAACGATGGCGGAAGGCATCCCATGCAGTCGGAAGACGGTGGCGTAGTACTTCTCGGCAACGAGCTCCGAGTCGGCATCGGCTGGGAGGGGAATCAGGTGGACCATCTTGCCCCAAGTGTCAGTGACCACCATGATTTGAGCAACCATCATCCCTTCGAGCTCGACCGGAGGCAGTCCTTGTGAGGAATCCACTCTCCGCTCGGCTCAGGACTTAGGCGCGCGGAGCGAACCGGGCGCGGACTTAGGCGCGCGGAGTGAGCCGGGCGCCCCGGCCCAGGACTTAGGCGCGCGAAGCGAGCCTGGGACTTAGGCGCGCGGAGCGAGCCTGGGCCATTGGCTCAGCCCCAGGCTCGCTGGCTGTGGACTTGGGGCGCGCGGGTCTCTTATTGTTAGCTTCCTATTCATCACTCTTGGCTATAACTACATCGCTGACGTAGTAGAGTTGATCGAATAGGTATGTTGAAATGCATTCATCACTCTTGGCTATAACTACATCGCTGACGTAGTAGAGTTGATCGAATAGGTTATAAGCCCACGAGCTACCAGCCCCGCCGCTTGAGGCTTTTTCGCTCGAGCCCAGCCACTCGAGCCGCACACGTCCATCGCACCATCACATCATGGACAGCTCTCCCGCCTCGCCTTTGGCCCCCAGGGATCCCAGCTCCCCTGAATCTTCGATCGGCGAACAAATCGCCACTCTACAGGCCCAGCTTGCCGCTCTGCAGGCCTCGCAACCCGCCGCCGCCGCAGCCGCCGCACCCCCGGCCGTCACCGTCGTGCCGGGGAACGCCGCCACCGCATCCAAGGTCGTGTTTCCCAAGCACGCTCGTCTGGACGGTCCCAAGTCGTTCACCAACTGGTTGCGTCAACTCCGTCTTGCACTCCCGAACCAGGTTCGTGGTTACGTTCTCGACGGTGTCGTTTGTTGAACTTCGCTCCATCTCACTTCTAGGACAATATGCGCTCACTGAAGTAGAGGTGCCTCGCCTTTTGGTGCAGTGGTATATTGTTCCTTCATAGGTTATGAGCCCAGAGCAACCAGCAGGTCATGAGTTCAATCCCCCCTGGGGTCAGGCAATTTTGCGCGCATACACTCAGCGTCCCGGCCCCCGCACTTGCCCAGCAGCGTGCCAAGCACCCTGGCGCATCGACAGTGCTCACAGTGCCCAAGCTGCACTTGCCCAAGCGACCTGATCAACATGCCCAGTTGCCTCACAGCCGCACCCACTGCCACAAGCTCTTCAGCTTCGCGCACAGGGGGGTGTTGAACTTCGCTCCATCTCACTTCTAGGACAATATGCGCTCACTGAAGTAGAGGTGCCTCGCCTTTTGGTGCAGTGGTATATTGTTCTTTCATATCGTTCCCCCGACCTGGACCGCCGACCAGCTTGCCGCACGTGACGACGCCGCCCGGGAAATCATCGTTGGCTCTATCGACTCCGCCGACGTATCGGCCACCCTCGACGCCATCCCCAGCGACGACCTGTCGGCACCGCGCATCTTTGCCGCTCTCAAGGCTCGTTTTGCACCGGACGACGCTACACGCACTCTCGAGTTGTTCGCTCGCCTTTGGGACTTCAGGAAGATGCCTGCCTCCGTCGAGGCCTACGACACTTGGCTACGCGAGTACATGTCGATTGCTCAGGAAATACGCGACGCCAAAACATCGCTCAACGACGTGCTCGCCACCCACGTGCTCGCCATGGTCCCGTCTTGCCTCGACAGCTTCCGACTCACGTTCACGGACGAGCAGCGAAACCGACGCGACCTTCCCGAACTCACGACGCTTACGGACCGCATTCGCATCCAGCTTCGTTCGGCAGGACTCTCGACCTCGCATTCGGCCATGCTTGCCACCAGCTCCCCCTGCCCCGCCTGCCGCGCTCCCGGTCACCGCCTGCGCGACTGCACTTCACGTGCGAAGCACCCGCCCACCGGCCCCTGCCGCCGATGCCACAAGAAAGGTCACTGGGCACTCGACTGCAAGAACCGGGGTGAACAGGCACGTAGCAGCGACGACACCCAGGACGACACGTCTTCCTCCGCGGCCTCGCAACCGAACGTCGGCTATTTCGCCTCCTGTCTCTTCGCTCGTCGCCAACTCCCAACTGACGCCTTTGTAGTCGATTCGGGTGCCACGACACACATGGTCGCCGACCGATCTCTATTCACGACTTATCGTCAGACGGCACACACCAAGATCGGCGGCATCGCGGGCGGCATCACGGCTATCGGCATGGGGGACGTGGCATTCGTCGCCAAGACTGGACACCCGATCACGCTCCGTGGTGTTCTTCACACGCCTGGCCTACACGTCAACCTCCTCTCTGTCTCTCGCCTCTGCGACACCGACCGCGTTCGTCTCGCCTTCACCAGCGACGGCATCGACATCGCCAAGGACGGCCGGGCCATTGCTCACGGTACCAGGGTCAACGACGGTCTTTACCTTTTGGACGCGGATCACACCAAGTGTCAGCATCTTGCCTTCCTCTCACGCTCTGAGTCTCCCGTGCCCCTGCTTACCCTACACCGCTGCCTCGGCCATCTTGCCCCATCCTCTATACAGAAGATGATTGCTGCAGGTTTGCTGGACGGGTTTGGGGCCGGGTACAGTGACAAAGACGTAGAGGAGTTTGTTTGCAATGCTTGCCTTGGTTCCAAAGGTCACCGCCTTCCCTTTCCCGACTCTGAGTCGCATTCCGCCGAGAGACTTGGCCTCGTGCACAGCGACGTCCTGTCGTTCCCCACTCCGTCCTTGACCGGGAAGCGCTACCTTGTCACGTTTCTAGACGACCACTCTCGCAAACTCTGGGCATATGCGATCGATCACAAAAGCGATGTTTTCCCGACCTTCCAGACTTGGCTCGCCGAAGTGGAGTTAGAGACGAACGCGCGGTTGAGGATCCTTCGAACCGACAATGGCGGGGAGTACCGATCAAACGCATTCACGGAGTTCTGCAAATCCAAGGGCATTCGTCGTCAATACTCTATCCCTTACACGCCTCAACAAAACGGTCGCGCCGAACGTGTCAACCTCTCCATCGTCGAGGGCGTCCTCGCTCTCCTTGCGGACGCCCGTCTGCCGGCCACCTTTTGGGATGAAGCGGCTGCGTATTTCGTTTATTGCAAAAACAGGTGCTCACACTCAGCTTTGGCCAAACAGACTCCAGAATCCGTTTGGAACGGCCAACGCACCACCGCCACCGCCCTCCACCCGTTCGGCTGCACAGCCTGGCTCACGGTCGCCCCGGACCTTCGCAGCAAGCTCGACCCCAAGGCCGCGCGCGTGATCTTCACAGGTTACGACCTCGCCTCCAAAGCTTTCCGTTTCTTTGACCATTCCATCAACAAGATTGTACTTGGTCGCAATGCCACCTTCCTCGACGACGACTTCCCCGGCCTGCCAGTCACCACGCCCGTCGATGCAGACGACACCGACCGTCAGTTCGTCGTTCCCGCCGACACGCCCGCCCCTGCCGTCAAGACGAGGACCCCACTAGTAAGGTCGGCGCACATGGACGTCTCATCCTCCCTTGATGATTCTGCCATGAGCGCCGTTGACGTGGCCCCAGGGTACACTGGCGGAACCTTACTTAATTCCACAGATACCGAATCGTCCTCGTCACCGTCTCCTGAGCCGTCCTCGTCACCGTCGCCCACAAACCCTTTGTCACCGTCGCCTGCGCTGTCACCGTCGTTGGCAGCGTCATCGTCACCCTCGGTCTCACCGACCGACTCTGACTACTCCGCCGACCCTCTGGACCTCATCGGCTCACAGACCCCGACTCGCCTTGGCCCACCGGACGTGCACCGCCCAGACTTCAGCACGTACCGTGAGCCCGCATCGGCTGAGGAGTCGCCCGACGAACTCGACATCATTGGGCGTCACTCGCGCGATGAATCGCCGGATGAAATCGATTTCCTCACCCAACACCACCGCGCCTTCATCGCCACAGACGACGACGACCCCACCCTCGACGCCATCGAGCCCGTCAAATCGATCACTAGCGACCCCCAGACCTGGCGCGAAGCAATGTCCAGCGACGAGCACAACATCTGGGCTGAGGCCGCCGCCGCCGAGTTCACCGCCATGCGCGACGACTTCAAGGTGTTCACCATCGAGCCTCGCTCATCTGTACCGCCGGGCGCCACCATCGTCACCTCCAAATTCGTCTGGAAGACCAAGCGCAACGCAAGCGGTGAAGTCACGGGGCGGAAGGCACGTCTTGTAGCGCAGGGTAACCGACAGCGCGACGGCATCGACTTCTCAGAAACCTTCGCACCCGTCGCCCGTTTCTCCTCCATTCGCTGCCTCCTGGCTCTTGCCGCTGCCAATGGCTACCACGTTCATCAGGCCGACATCGACAAGGCTTACCTCCACGGCGAGCTCGATCATGATATCTGGATGACGACACCACGCGGTTTCGACTTCCCGAGCGATAAGGTTCTCCGGCTGCGACGCTCAATCTACGGTCTCAAGCAGGCCGGTCGCATCTGGAATCGTCACATTGACACATCACTCAGGAATCTGGGGTACAAGGCAACAGGCACTGATCACTGCATTTACTCTCGCATTGACGATCAGCAGCGGCCTCACTATATCGCCTTGTATGTCGACGACCTCCTCATTGTCAGTCCAGCCCTCGACGAGATCGAACGTGTCATCTCCGGCCTTGAACAGCGGTACGGCGTCAAACGACTCGGCCCCGCGGAGTACATCCTCGGAATCCAAATACGCCGCCTGGACGACGGTTCCATTGCTCTATCCCAGGAGCGCTACATCATGGACGTGCTGGCCCGTTTCCACTTCGACACCACGACACGCGGCACTACGGTGCCGATGACGCCCGGCCTCTCGCTCACGGCAATTCCGGGTCAGGGAACGGAGCGCATTCGTTCGTGGTACCTACAGGCCATCGGCTCCCTCCTCTACATCTCCCTTGGCACTCGACCCGACATTGCCTTCGCCGTCTCGTACCTGTCCCGGTTCGCCAACAACCCCGGCCGCCGCCATTGGATTGCCGTCAAACACGTCCTTCGCTACCTTCGCGCCACGTACCGCGATGAGCTTCTCTATGCCCGCGGCCCAGCAAAAGTCACGGGTGTGGTTGGTTATTCTGATGCGAACTGGGGCGCCTGCGTCGACACATCCATTTCAACGATGGGCTACGTATTTTACTTGGCAGGCGCCGCTGTCTCTTGGTCGTCGAAGCGTCAGACTCGGGTAGCGGATTCCACCACTGATGCCGAGTACCTGGCCTTGTCGCACGCGGGTAAGGAAGCGATCTACCTTAACCAACTCCTCTCCGAGCTCCACGTTTGCCCAATCGCTGCAGCTCACATCTTCACCGACAACGAGGCCGCGGCCGCCGTCGCTCACGACCCCGTTTGCACCTCCGGCACCCGGCACATTCGCCTCCGCGAGCATTTTGTCCGTGACATGGTCAATCGAGGTGATATCTCTCTCTCACACGTTGGCACAGCAGACATGGTTGCGGACGTATTCACCAAAGCGCTAGGCCCCAAGATTTTTGGTACACATTGCTATGCTCTAGGCCTCCGGACGCGACATCCACGGCTCAAGTCTACCTCGCGTTCGCGTGGGGGGGGGTGTGAGGAATCCACTCTCCGCTCGGCTCAGGACTTAGGCGCGCGGAGCGAACCGGGCGCGGACTTAGGCGCGCGGAGTGAGCCGGGCGCCCCGGCCCAGGACTTAGGCGCGCGAAGCGAGCCTGGGACTTAGGCGCGCGGAGCGAGCCTGGGCCATTGGCTCAGCCCCAGGCTCGCTGGCTGTGGACTTGGGGCGCGCGGGTCTCTTATTGTTAGCTTCCTATTCATCACTCTTGGCTATAACTACATCGCTGACGTAGTAGAGTTGATCGAATAGGTATGTTGAAATGCATTCATCACTCTTGGCTATAACTACATCGCTGACGTAGTAGAGTTGATCGAATAGCCTCGGGTACAGTCTTCACATGAACGGCAGAACTCGGCGCAATCGGCAGACATGGACGACCACCAGTACAAAGGACGGATGGCGGCCAAGGTGATGCGATGTCCTGCATGCCCGACACTTCGATGAATCTCCGAAAGCACGAGCTCGCGCAGCGATGGGACCTTGTCGGAGTTGACGACGCCAGTAGCGAGACCACGAGGCACAAACAAGGAAAGAGACTCATCTGGATGTACACGCAAAATCCTCCCTTCCTCGGTCACCCGAAACATAGGCCATGATAGCGGGTCGGTAATGATGACCTGGGCTTGCGAATCGTTGGCGTATGCTCGGATGACGGTGTCGAGGAAGGGTTGGGGCAGTGGATCAGGCGGCCGATGGACTACAGGGGTGTCGTTGACATCATCGGTGGCAACTCCCAACAAATCGAGTTCGTCGGCGTCGGCATCGACCGGAATGGGCGGGTTGTTGGCAGGGGCCGTAGCAATAGCGTGAACTCGATTGACAGCGATGGGAGGAGAGAGGCGGCCGATAGACCAATCGACGGCGTCCATAATGTTCTCGGCCAGATGAGGGGAACCGGGAGAGCCTGCGTCGTAACCGTGACCCCAGGGCCCGAAGGCGCAATCAACAGGGGGCAACCGATCGTGCGAAGGTGAGGTGTAAGGACGTTCCTCGAGGAGGCTCTCACCGGGCGTAATGAACTCGTGGCATTCTTCCTTCAAGAACAAATTCCCTAATTCCTGTCCATTCACGTCCTCGTCTTGCGATTCCTCCTTGAGCGCGTAGTATCCGGGAGAGCCTGCCTCGCAATCGTCGTGTTGGGGCCCGAGGGCAAAATCAACAGGAGGCAACCGATCGGGAGATGGTGAAGTGCAAGGACGTTCCTCAGGGAGGCTCTCACCGGGTGTAGTGAATTCGTGGCGTTCTCCATCAAAGAACATGTCCTCCAACTCATTCTCCTTGACCTGATCCTCGTGTGAACCCTGCTTGACCTCCCACAGACGCGACAACGAATCGGCCAGGGTGTTGTTCTTGCCAGCAATGAATTCAAATTCGAAGTCGAAACGGCTGAGTTCGAGACACATGCGGATGTGCCGAGGCGTTTGGCGCAGTTTTTGGGTTTTTATCGTGCGAAGGGCCTGATGGTCGGTGACGATGACGAAGGGGTAACCGATCAAGTGCTGCTCGAACGCCCGACACGCCGAGACGACAGCCAAGAACTCTTTATCAGTGACATGATAGTTGAGCTGAGCACCGTTGAACTTAGCGGAAAAGAATCACGTTGGAACGGCCTGCGAACGGTTGGGCCCGGACGCCAAACAAGCGCCAATGCCAACCCGACTGGCATCCGTGAAGAGGTACATCTTGTGCTCGCCCGAGGTAACCTTGGCGCCATCGATCGGTCGTAGGATGGCGGGCACAAGGGACTTGACGGTATCGAAAGCCTGCTGTTCTCGCTCGTTCCAACGCCATGACGTCGCTTGCGCCATTAACGCGGTGATCGGCTCCAAAATCTTTGAGAGGTGCGGTAGGTGATCTCGCATCCAGTTGACGGTGCCGAGGAAGCGCTGGACATCGGTCTTGTTGCAAGGGATCGGCCACTGACGGATACGCACCCACTTGGCGGGGTCGACTTCGATGCCGACGTCAGAAATGATGGTGCCCAAGGAGTCCAACGACTTTGAGAACCACTCGGACTTCTTGGATCCTAAGTAGAACCGGTAATGTCTCAATGTCATCAGCAGGATCTTGATGTGTCTCAAGTGCGCACGACGGGTATCGGAATGGACGTGGACATCGTCGAAAAAGATCTTGGCGAACGGGAGACACGGCTGGAACATCGCCGAGGTCAAGAGGTTGAGGGTATTGGGCGCATTGGTGTCACCAAACTGCATGACCCGCGACGTGTACGTGCCCGTCACCGTTGCGAAGCCGGTGCGATCGACGTGCTCCGGTATGACCCGAACCTGCTCAAATGCCGCGGCCACGTCGAATTTAGAGCGATAACGCGATCGAGCCACCTCGTATCGAACATTGGTCATGTCCGGGATGGGCGAAAAACGCTTGACGGTGTTGCTGTTGCGCGCGCGGAGGTCGATCACGAAACGAGCCGTCTGGGAGTTCTTCTTCGGAATGGCAAAGACCGGAGCCGCAGAATCGATCGGACCCGAAACCCAGAATCGACCACGAGTGTACTTAGCTGAGTGTTCCGCCCACTGGCTGCGATATTTGTCGGCAAGGGGGTATACCCGGGGTTTGACCTTTTCGGTGGGATCGATCAACGGGATCTCGTGGTTGACTGGCCGGTACGGTGGGAGTTGGTCCATCGGTAGCGAATCTACGAACACATCAGAAAATTTCTCGAGTAAGGCAGCCAATCGTGTTCGTGCTTCGGACTCAGAGAAATCGTCGAGCGCCGGATCGTCGACGACATCGAGCAGCGGGTTGTGTGGCTCGAGGCCAATGATCTCGTCGTCGGGAAGCAACCCAGGGTGATTGCAGCCAATGGCAGAACTGGATAAGATAGGTGCTACGGTGACGGCTCGGTCCCATTCGTGCGTATCCTGGGCGACGGGTTGCGAAGGGCCGGTGCGCGCGACGGTGAAGACGCCCCAACCAACGAGCATGCCTGTGTCCTTAAGAAATGGCAGCCCCAAGATGGCGTCGTACGCCGTTACACGGCAAACGAAGAATGGTCGCAAACCGAGATCTAGGGCGCCAGACGAAAAAGGAGCGGTGGCGAACACAGCACATCGGTCGGACTTATCCTGGGTGCCGAGGCGCAAGTGCAATGGTGCAGTCAAACGGGCCGTTGCGAAGCTCGGGTCGACTCGCACCACCTCCTGATCCACCAAGTCGACCTCTGATCCAGAGTCGATCAAACATCGCAAAACCCTTCCAGAAGGTAGCGTCCAAGCGATGACGTTGCGGGCGCGTACAATGGCGGGCTCGACAGGTCGGTCGGGTTCGTCGATGTCGATCAGGGGCGCAGCGGACGCCAAGAGAGACACACCCGACGGCACAAGAATCTGGAAAGTGTTGAACTTCGCTCCATCTCACTTCTAGGACAATATGCGCTCACTGAAGTAGAGGTGCCTCGCCTTTTGGTGCAGTGGTATATTGTTCTTTCATAGGTTATGAGCCCAGAGCAACCAGCAGGTCATGAGTTCAATCCCCCCTGGGGTCAGGCAATTTTGCGCGCATACACTCAGCGTCCCGGCCCCCGCACTTGCCCAGCAGCGTGCCAAGCACCCTGGCGCATCGACAGTGCTCACAGTGCCCAAGCTGCACTTGCCCAAGCGACCTGATCAACATGCCCAGTTGCCTCACAGCCGCACCCACTGCCACAAGCTCTTCAGCTTCGCGCACAGGGGGGTGTTGAACTTCGCTCCATCTCACTTCTAGGACAATATGCGCTCACTGAAGTAGAGGTGCCTCGCCTTTTGGTGCAGTGGTATATTGTTCTTTCATAGAAAGAGCTCACCGAAGCAGTCCTTTCCGCCTTGCGAGACGACACCACTTCCGGCCCCGGATAATGACACAAGCGCGACGCGGCATCAGCGTAGTACAAGACATCTTCCACCGCGTCAATCGCGATGTCAGCCAGGCTATCGTCGAAACGATGTTGATCTGCATCATTTGCCGGCACGGTTGGATGCGAACTACTTGATGAGGTCTGAACTTCAAAAGAAGAAGAGGCAACGTCTTTCACTCGGCCAACAAGGTCTGCAGGAGGGCAAGAGTGGTGCGTCACTAAGGCGGATGCGGAACTTGTCAGGATGACAGCGTGTACTCGAAGGAAGCCCCCCAAGGCTATGTGCGGGTAGAGTTGACTTGACCAGAGGCTTGCCTCGTTTCACAGCATCGTCGGTGCGATGGCGTAGTCGTGAGGCGCGCAGGCGCGCACTCGGTGGTCGCGGGTTCGAGGTGCCCAGACCGCAGTCTTCTTTCGGTTTGTTTTATCTTTTGTTAGCCGAGGCGCGGCTTCAGGGTTTTTACCGGTGCTCCCGCGAGCAATCCTTTTTACCCCTGAGGCGACCTCTTGGAGTGGTTGATTTGGCTAAGTCCCCTCTGGGCCTGGCACAGTCCCTTCCCTTTAGTTTACCACCTTTCCCTGGGAGCTTGGTCCGCTCTTCTCTTTTGTTGCCCCTCCTCTTCTTGTCGATCGTTTGGGAATTAAGTCCGTTACACTTGATTTCCTGCGAGCCTTTCGACCGACTCCCCTCCTCGGTTGCTCCCTTGTCGACTGCCGCCGCAACAGCCGACACTTCCTGAAATCCCCCCCCCCCCCCCGTACCAACGCGTGTAGACGACGTCATCCCCTCCGACGTCGCTTGTCACTTTTTTCAAGTTCGGCATTACCGACAACGATCCGCACCTCTACAACCGCTTCGTCCACCGTCCTGGACGAGCAGTCGCCCCCACTCTCTGAGCCTGAGTCTTCAGCCTCCTCTCCGTTGCCGAATTCATCACCAACGAACGCGTCGCTGTCCTTCCCGACTTCCTCCACAGAGTCTGACGACGAACACGTTTATCCTTCCTACCCTTTCCGTCAACCGTCTCGTGCTCGCCTTCGTTCGCCCCGCAATCGCCGACGTTTGAGTCACGAGATTGCCATGGCCGACGAGCGCGACGTGTACCGTGCCGCCGCCGATGATCGAGACGCTCCTCTCCGCGACGAAGACCCCGGCCGCGCGAAACCGCCCAAGTCCCCGCCGCCTCAACCCTACCACACCGCCACCGCTCTATCGTCCCTCGAAAGCCGCCTCGAGGAATCCGAAGCCCGTCGTATCGACTCCGAGGAACGTGTTCAGCAATTGGAGAAGTTGGTGGAGGGTTTATTGAAAAGCTCACCTGAACCAGCTGCGGCGCGGGCCGGAGTCTCTGAACCAGCTGTGGCGCGGGCTGGATTCTCTGAACCAGCCGCAGCGCGGGCTGGGGAGTTTACGTTTACGCCGGTGAGATCGGTCCCCTTGGACGTTCCCCCACACACCATTCTGGAACGTTCAGGCAATACCGCTGACCCCCTTGTTCGTTCCCCTGGGGGGGAATCTCACAGCGCACGAAGGGACGGCCCTTCCTCGGCAGTAATCAGCTCTCGTTGGAGAGGGACGTTACCTGACCGGGAAGGGCTATGGACAGGGGATAATCCCGATCGGTTGGTCACTTTCACTACATTTGGGAAGTCGTACTTGTCTCTACTTTGCGACATTTCCACCAGCGACCTTTTTACCACCGACCGCGTCATCCAGCTTGTGGCGACCTTGTTCGTTCGTTCAACTTCTCCCAAGCGCCGTCAGTCTCCGCACGACTGGGCCGTTGATACTATGACGGACGCGCTCCGGGACGAACGACCTCACTGTTGGACGACACTGATGACAGAAGTTGGACGTCGTTGGCCGGATCCTGGCTTTGCCGACCGAGTGTCCCACGACTTCTACGGGTGCCGACAGTCTTCGTCTCGCGCCTACGACCATGTGGGCGAATGGCGTGCCCGCTACCGAGCGTTTATGCACAACGACCCCAGCTTCAGCCTCTCGCCCCTTCAACTCGCCACAACCTTTTATCAATCGTTGAGTGATGTGGCTAAGCGGGAAGTGCGGGCTGGTATGCTGCGGGAATATCGGGATAACTCACTCGTGACTATAGGGAGGTTCGGACGAACTGTCCCGTCCCTCGAGGAGGTTACCGACTGGGCCGCCATCGCCGACGACACCGGCACGACATCAGTTTCGACCCCGCCGATTCGTACGGCGACTTATGGAGCAATTGCAAAAACGCCACGCACCGCCCCATCCACGCCGAACGACGACGCACGTACTCAGATCCGTCGAGCTCGATGGATGAACCGCGCCGGTAAATGGCAACAGGCCCACCTGTGGAAGGATCGGAACACATGGTTCTCGCCAGCATCGGGTGGGGTACCCGCCAGCATGGCGTGTTTTAATTGCGGTCAAGGTGGCCATTTCTCACAGCATTGTACAGCGGAGCGACAATCCCCCTCGACCGTCCAAATAGCAGCAATTGCCTTCGCCGACATGGACGAGGACGAATGGTCGTCGGCCTCAGGTGACGTTGAGGACCCCCAGGTGCGATTCCCCCTTCCCCTCGAGACTGATTTGACTCGACCGTCGAGTTCCGCATCCGCCTTAGTGACGCACCACTCTTGCCCTCCTGCAGACCCTGTTGGTCGAGTGAAAGACGTCGCCTCTTCTTCTTTTGAAGTTCAGACCTCATCAAGTAGTTCGCATCCAACCGTGCCGGCAAATGATGCAGATCAACATCGTCTCGACGATAGCCTGGCTGACATCGCGATTGACGCGGTGGAAGATGTCTTGTACTACGCTGATGCCGCGTCGCGCTTGTGTCATTATCCGGGGCCGGAAGTGGTGTCGTCTCGCAAGGCGGAAAGGACTGCTTCGGTGAGCTCTTTCCAGATTCTTGTGCCGTCGGGTGTGTCTCTCTTGGCGTCCGCTGTGCCCCTGATCGACATCGACGAACCCGACCGACCTGTCGAGCCCGCCATTGTACGCGCCCGCAACGTCATCGCGTGGACGCTACCTTCTGGAAGGGTTTTGCGATGTTTGATCTATGAGACGTTCACCACTACTGTCAGGAGAGGTTGAGAGTCGAACAGAAGTGATCTATTTCAGCGTACCTATGAGACGTTCACCACTACTGTCAGGAGAGGTTGAGAGTCGAACAGAAGTGATGAGAAGGAAGCTAAGAAACAGAAAGGGGGGGGCCACGCTGGGATAGTCCCAGGCGCGTGACAATGTACATCCCTAAGTCAGCCGCGGGTGAAATCGCCGGCGCGCCTAAGTCCCCACCGCAAGGGGGCGGGCTAGCGGGCGCGCGCATGAATCCGCCGGCGCTGGCGCGCTGAGGCAGTCGCGCGCGTCTAAGTCCCCACCGCCGGGGGCGGGCTAGCAAGTGCGCGCAACGACCGAGGCGCCCCTGTCGAGCTGAGAGTGGACTCTTCACAACAAGACCGATGTCCAGCGCTTCCTCGGCACCGTCAACTGGATGCGAGATCACCTACCGCACCTCTCAAAGATTTTGGAGCCGATCACCGCGTTAATGGCGCAATCGACGTCATGGCGTTGGAACGAGCGAGAACAGCAGGCTTTCGATACCGTCAAGTCCCTTGTGCCCGCCATCCTACGACCGATCGATGGCGCCAAGGTTACCTCGGGCGAGCACAAGATGTACCTCTTCACGGATGCCAGTCGGGTTGGCATTGGCGCTTGTTTGGCGTCCGGGCCCAACCGTTCGCAGGCCGTTCCAACGCGATTCTTTTCCGCTAAGTTCAACGGTGCTCAGCTCAACTATCATGTCACTGATAAAGAGTTCTTGGCTGTCGTCTCGGCGTGTCGGGCGTTCGAGCAGCACTTGATCGGTTACCCCTTCGTCATCGTCACCGACCATCAGGCCCTTCGCACGATAAAAACCCAAAAACTGCGCCAAACGCCTCGGCACATCCGCATGTGTCTCGAACTTAGCCGTTTCGACTTCGAATTTGAATTCATTGCTGGCAAGAACAACACCCTGGCCGATTCGTTGTCGCGTCTGTGGGAGGTCAAGGAGGGATCGCACGAGGATCAGGTCAAGGAGAATGAGTTGGAGGACATGTTCTTTGATGGAGAACGCCACGAATTCACTACACCCGGTGAGAGCCTCCCTGAGGAACGTCCTTGCACTTCACCATCTCCCGATCGGTTGCCTCCTGTTGATTTTGCCCTCGGGCCCCAACACGACGATTGCGAGGCAGGCTCTCCCGGATACTACGCGCTCAAGGAGGAATCGCAAGACGAGGACGTGAATGGACAGGAATTAGGGAATTTGTTCTTGAAGGAAGAATGCCACGAGTTCATTACGCCCGGTGAGAGCCTCCTCGAGGAACGTCCTTACACCTCACCTTCGCACTATGAGATGATCACCACTACTGTCAGGAGAAGTCGAGAGTCGAACAGAAGTGATATATTTCAGCGTACCTATGAGATGATCACCACTACTGTCAGGAGAAGTCGAGAGTCGAACAGAAGTGATGAGAAGGAAGCTAAGAAATGGAAAGGTGGCCCGCGCTGGGATATGCCCAGGCGCGGGCGAAATCGCTGGAGCGCTGAGGCAGTCGCGCGCGGCTAAGTCCCCACTGCAAGGGCGGGCTAGCGGCGCGCGCCCGAAAACCGCCGGCGCCGGCGCGCTGAGGCACTCGCGCGCGCCTAAGTCCCCACCACAGGGGCCAGGCTAGCAGGCGCGCGCAACGACCGAGGCGCCCCTGTCGAGCTGAGAGTGGACTCTTCACACCCCCCCCCACGCGAATGCGAGGCAGATCCAAGCCGTGGGTGTCGAGTGCGAAGGCCTAGTGCGTAGCAGTGTGTCGAGAAAATCTTTGGGCCAAGAGCCTTTGTGAAGATGTCGGCCACCATGTTGCTGGTTCCCACATGCGAGAGTGAGATATCGCCCCGATTCACCATGTCCCGAACAAAGTGCTCGCGCAAGCGTATGTGTCGAGTGCCGGAGACGCGGACAGGGTCGTGGGCAACTGCGGCAGCGGCTTCATTGTCAGTAAAAATGTGAGCCGGTGCAACAGGTTGGACATGGAGCTCCTCGAGCAGCTGACTGAGGTAGATCCCTTCCTTGCCAGCATGCGAGAGGGCGAGGTATTCAGCGTCGGTGGTAGAATCGGCAACTCGAGATTGACGCTTGGACGACCAAGACACGGCGGATCCGGCAATGTAGAAGACGTAGCCCATAGTGGACACCGACGTATCGACGCAGGCCCCCCAGTTCGCGTCGGAGTAGCCAACCACGCCCGTGATGCGTGTCTCGCCGCAAGCATAAACCAGTTCGTCGCGATATGTGGCCCGGAGATAGCGGAGGATGTGCTTGACCGCGATCCAGTGACGACGTCCAGGGTTGTTGGCGAAGCGGGCCAGGTAGGACACGGCGAAGGCGATGTCGGGGCGGGTGCCGAGCGAAATGTAGAGGAGCGAGCCGATAGCCTGCAGATACCATGACCTGATCCGTTCGGTGCCTTGACCCGGGATGGCGGTGAGCGAAAGGCCGGGGGTCATCGGGACTGTAGTGCCGCGAGTCGTGGTGTCGAAGTGGAACCGAGCAAGCACGTCCATGATGTACCGTTCCTGGGACAGGGCAATAGAACCGTCTTCGAGTCGCCTGATCTGGATGCCGAGGATGTACTCTGCCGGGCCGAGGCGCTTGACGCCGTAGCGTTGTTCGAGGCCCGAGATGACACGTTCAATTTCGGCCAAGTCGGGGCTGATCATCAGGAGGTCGTCGACGTACAGCGCGATGTAGTGTGGGCGTCGCCGATCGTCGATCCGAGAGTACACGCAGTGGTCGGTGCCCGTCGCCGTATAGCCGAGATCTCGAAGCGATGCGTCGATGTGTCGATTCCAGATTCGGCCAGCCTGTTTGAGTCCGTAGATGGAGCGTCGCAGACGAAGCACCTTGTCGGTGGGAAGGTCGAAGCCGCGCGGTGTCGTCATCCAGATGTCATGGTCAAGGTCGCCATGCAGATAGGCTTTGTCGATGTCCGCCTGGTGCACGTGCAAGCCGTTGGCGGCCGCCAGCGCGAGGAGTGAGCGTATCGAGGAGAAGCGTGCGACTGGTGCGAAGGTTTCGTTGAAGTCGATGCCGTCGCGTTGCCGATTTCCCTGCGCCACGAGCCGTGCCTTGTGGCCGGTGACTTCGCCGAGTGCATTCCGTTTCGTTTTCCAGACGAACTTGGATGTGACGATGGTCGCACCCGCTGGTACCGTGGATCGGTCCTCGATGGTGAAGACCTTGAAGTCGTCGCGCATGGAATTGAACTCGTCGGTAGCGGCCTTGGCCCACACTTCGCGCTTGTCACTCGACATTGCCTCGCGCCATGTCTGTGGGTCGCTGGTGATGGACTTGACTGGTTGAATGGCTTCTGTGTCAGAGTTGTCGTCGTCGGTGGCGATGAAGGCGCGGTGGTGTTGGGTGAGGAAATCGATTTCGTCCGGCGATTCATCGCGCGAGTGGCGCCCAATGATGTCGAGTTCGTCGGGCGACTCCTCAGCCGATGCGGGCTCACGGTACGTGCTGAAGTCTGGGCGGTGCACGTCCGGTGGGCCGAGGCGAGTCGGGGTCTGTGAGCCGATGAGGTCCAGAGGGTCGGCGGAGTAGTCAGAGTCGGTCGGTAAGGCCGAGGGTGACGATGACGCAGCCAACGACGGTGACAGCGCAGGCGACGGTGACAAGGGAGTTGCGGGCGACGGTGACGAGGACGGCTCAGGAGACGGTGACGAGGACGATTCGGCATCTGTGGAATTAAGTAAGGTTCCGCCAGTGTACCCTGGGGCCACGTCAACGGCGCTCATGGCAGAGTCATCAAGAGAGGATGAGACGTCCATGTGCGCCGACCTTACTAGTGGGGTCCATGTCTTGACAACGGCTTGGGATTCGGTGGTCGGGCAAGCGCTGGCGAAGTGCGTGTCGGCGTCTTGCTCGGTGGAGTCGCTACGTAACCCGGGAAATTCGTTGTCGAGGAACCTGGCATTTCTGCCCAAACTGATCTTCTTGGTCGTCGTGTCGTAGAAACGGAAGGCTTTAGAAGCCAGGTCATAGCCGGTGAAGAGAACGCGAACCGCTTTCGGGTCGAGTTTCGAGCGAAGTTCAGGCGCGACTGTGAGCCAAGCCGTGCAGCCGAACGGGTGAAGCGCCGAGGCGTTGGTGCGGTCGCCCTGCCAGGCGAAGTTCGGTGTTGCCTTGTCCAGGGCCGAGTGTTCGCACAGGTTCTTGCAGTAGACGAAATAAGCTGCTGCCTCCTCCCAGAATGATTTGGGTAAGTGGGCGTCTGCAAGGAGGGCAAGGACACCTTCGACGATAGAACGATTGACTCGTTCGGCACGACCGTTCTGTTGAGGCGTTCGAGGGATAGAGTATTGTCGACGTGTGCCGCGTGCCTTACAGAATTCCGTGAACGCTCTCGAACAGTATTCGCCACCATTGTCGGTTCGGAGGACCTTCAGTTTTGCATCCGTCTCGAGTTCGACCTCGGCAAGCCATGTCTTGAACACGCCAAAGACTTCGCTTTTGTGTCCGATCGCGTATGCCCACAGTTTGCGCGAGAAGTCGTCAAGAAACGTGACCAGGTAACGCTTGCCAGTCAAGGACGACTCGGGAAAGGAAAGCACATCGCTGTGTACGAGGCCGAGTCTCTCTGAGGAGTGCGAGTCCGAATCGGGAAAAGGAAGACGATGGCCCTTTGCACTGAGGCAAGCATTGCAGACAAACTTCTCTACCTCTTCGTCACTATATCCGGCCCCGAGACCTTCCAGCAAACCAGCGGCAACCATCTTCTGTATGGACGACGGTGCGAGATGGCCGAGGCAGCGGTGAAGGGTCAGCAGGGGCACGGAAGACTGTGAGCGAGAGAGGAGAGCGAGATGCTGACATTTGGAATGATCAGCGTCCAGCAAGTAGAGCCCTTCCTCGAGTCTTGCGCCTTCAGCGATAGCATTGCCGTTCTTGTCGATATGGATGCCGTGCTTCGTGAAGGCGACACGGACATCGTCGGTGTCGCAAAGTCGAGAGACCGAGAGGAGGTTGACAGACAGGCCCGGGGTGTGCAACACGCCGGTAAGCGTGATCGGGTGACCGGAGGCGGCAACAAAGGCGATGTTTCCCGTTCCGACGGCGTTGATGCCCCCTGCAATACCACCAATCTTCGTAGGAGCGATGTGGCGATAGGCCGTGAACAGCGACTTGTCCGAGACCATGTGCGAAGTGGCACCCGAGTCGACGACGAAGGAGTTGTTGCGAAGCTGACGACGATGTGCGAGAAGACCGGTGGCGAGACATCCGACATGGTGTTGCGCATCAGAGGTGTCGGGCGTTTTCCCGTCCTCAAGAGCCTTTTTGCAGTCGAAAGACCAGTGGTCCTTCTTCTTGCAGGAGCTGTGAGGAATCCACTCTCCGCTCGGCTCAGGACTTAGGCGCGCGGAGCGAACCGGGCGCGGACTTAGGCGCGCGGAGTGAGCCGGGCGCCCCGGCCCAGGACTTAGGCGCGCGAAGCGAGCCTGGGACTTAGGCGCGCGGAGCGAGCCTGGGCCATTGGCTCAGCCCCAGGCTCGCTGGCTGTGGACTTGGGGCGCGCGGGTCTCTTATTGTTAGCTTCCTATTCATCACTCTTGGCTATAACTACATCGCTGACGTAGTAGAGTTGATCGAATAGGTATGTTGAAATGCATTTATCACTCTTGGCTATAACTACATCGCTGACGTAGTAGAGTTGATCGAATAGGTTATAAGCCCACGAGCTACCAGCCCCGCCGCTTGAGGCTTTTTCGCTCGAGCCCAGCCACTCGAGCCGCACACGTCCATCGCACCATCACATCATGGACAGCTCTCCCGCCTCGCCTTTGGCCCCCAGGGATCCCAGCTCCCCTGAATCTTCGATCGGCGAACAAATCGCCACTCTACAGGCCCAGCTTGCCGCTCTGCAGGCCTCGCAACCCGCCGCCGCCGCAGCCGCCGCACCCCCGGCCGTCACCGTCGTGCCGGGGAACGCCGCCACCGCATCCAAGGTCGTGTTTCCCAAGCACGCTCGTCTGGACGGCCCCAAGTCGTTCACCATGTTGAACTTCGCTCCATCTCACTTCTAGGACAATATGCGCTCACTGAAGTAGAGGTGCCTCGCCTTTTGGTGCAGTGGTATATTGTTCCTTCATACACCAACTGGTTGCGTCAACTCCGTCTTGCACTCCCGAACCAGGTTCGTGGTTACGTTCTCGACGGTGTCGTTCCCCCGACCTGGACCGCCGACCAGCTTGCCGCACGTGACGACGCCGCCCGGGAAATCATCGTTGGCTCTATCGACTCCGCCGACGTATCGGCCACCCTCGACGCCATCCCCAGCGACGACCTGTCGGCACCGCGCATCTTTGCCGCTCTCAAGGCTCGTTTTGCACCGGACGACGCTACACGCACTCTCGAGTTGTTCGCTCGCCTTTGGGACTTCAGGAAGATGCCTGCCTCCGTCGAGGCCTACGACACTTGGCTACGCGAGTACATGTCGATTGCTCAGGAAATACGCGACGCCAAAACATCGCTCAACGACGTGCTCGCCACCCACGTGCTCGCCATGGTCCCGTCTTGCCTCGACAGCTTCCGACTCACGTTCACGGACGAGCAGCGAAACCGACGCGACCTTCCCGAACTCACGACGCTTACGGACCGCATTCGCATCCAGCTTCGTTCGGCAGGACTCTCGACCTCGCATTCGGCCATGCTTGCCACCAGCTCCCCCTGCCCCGCCTGCCGCGCTCCCGGTCACCGCCTGCGCGACTGCACTTCACGTGCGAAGCACCCGCCCACCGGCCCCTGCCGCCGATGCCACAAGAAAGGTCACTGGGCACTCGACTGCAAGAACCGGGGTGAACAGGCACGTAGCAGCGACGACACCCAGGACGACACGTCTTCCTCCGCGGCCTCGCAACCGAACGTCGGCTATTTCGCCTCCTGCCTCTTCGCTCGTCGCCAACTCCCAACTGACGCCTTTGTAGTCGATTCGGGTGCCACGACACACATGGTCGCCGACCGATCTCTATTCACGACTTATCGTCAGACGGCACACACCAAGATCGGCGGCATCGCGGGCGGCATCACGGCTATCGGCATGGGGGACGTGGCATTCGTCGCCAAGACTGGACACCCGATCACGCTCCGTGGTGTTCTTCACACGCCTGGCCTACACGTCAACCTCCTCTCTGTCTCTCGCCTCTGCGACACCGACCGCGTTCGTCTCGCCTTCACCAGCGACGGCATCGACATCGCCAAGGACGGCCGGGCCATTGCTCACGGTACCAGGGTCAACGACGGTCTTTACCTTTTGGACGCGGATCACACCAAGTGTCAGCATCTTGCCTTCCTCTCACGCTCTGAGTCTCCCGTGCCCCTGCTTACCCTACACCGCTGCCTCGGCCATCTTGCCCCATCCTCTATACAGAAGATGATTGCTGCAGGTTTGCTGGACGGGTTTGGGGCCGGGTACAGTGACAAAGACGTAGAGGAGTTTGTTTGCAATGCTTGCCTTGGTTCCAAAGGTCACCGCCTTCCCTTTCCCGACTCTGAGTCGCATTCCGCCGAGAGACTTGGCCTCGTGCACAGCGACGTCCTGTCGTTCCCCACTCCGTCCTTGACCGGGAAGCGCTACCTTGTCACGTTTCTAGACGACCACTCTCGCAAACTCTGGGCATATGCGATCGATCACAAAAGCGATGTTTTCCCGACCTTCCAGACTTGGCTCGCCGAAGTGGAGTTAGAGACGAACGCGCGGTTGAGGATCCTTCGAACCGACAATGGCGGGGAGTACCGATCAAACGCATTCACGGAGTTCTGCAAATCCAAGGGCATTCGTCGTCAATACTCTATCCCTTACACGCCTCAACAAAACGGTCGCGCCGAACGTGTCAACCTCTCCATCGTCGAGGGCGTCCTCGCTCTCCTTGCGGACGCCCGTCTGCCGGCCACCTTTTGGGATGAAGCGGCTGCGTATTTCGTTTATTGCAAAAACAGGTGCTCACACTCAGCTTTGGCCAAACAGACTCCAGAATCCGTTTGGAACGGCCAACGCACCACCGCCACCGCCCTCCACCCGTTCGGCTGCACAGCCTGGCTCACGGTCGCCCCGGACCTTCGCAGCAAGCTCGACCCCAAGGCCGCGCGCGTGATCTTCACAGGTTACGACCTCGCCTCCAAAGCTTTCCGTTTCTTTGACCATTCCATCAACAAGATTGTACTTGGTCGCAATGCCACCTTCCTCGACGACGACTTCCCCGGCCTGCCAGTCACCACGCCCGTCGATGCAGACGACACCAACCGTCAGTTCGTCGTTCCCGCCGACACGCCCGCCCCTGCCGTCAAGACGAGGACCCCACTAGTAAGGTCGGCGCACATGGACGTCTCATCCTCCCTTGATGATTCTGCCATGAGCGCCGTTGACGTGGCCCCAGGGTACACTGGCGGAACCTTACTTAATTCCACAGATACCGAATCGTCCTCGTCACCGTCTCCTGAGCCGTCCTCGTCACCGTCGCCCACAAACCCTTTGTCACCGTCGCCTGCGCTGTCACCGTCGTTGGCAGCGTCATCGTCACCCTCGGTCTCACCGACCGACTCTGACTACTCCGCCGACCCTCTGGACCTCATCGGCTCACAGACCCCGACTCGCCTTGGCCCACCGGACGTGCACCGCCCAGACTTCAGCACGTACCGTGAGCCCGCATCGGCTGAGGAGTCGCCCGACGAACTCGACATCATTGGGCGTCACTCGCGCGATGAATCGCCGGATGAAATCGATTTCCTCACCCAACACCACCGCGCCTTCATCGCCACAGACGACGACGACCCCACCCTCGACGCCATCGAGCCCGTCAAATCGATCACTAGCGACCCCCAGACCTGGCGCGAAGCAATGTCCAGCGACGAGCACAACATCTGGGCTGAGGCCGCCGCCGCCGAGTTCACCGCCATGCGCGACGACTTCAAGGTGTTCACCATCGAGCCTCGCTCATCTGTACCGCCGGGCGCCACCATCGTCACCTCCAAATTCGTCTGGAAGACCAAGCGCAACGCAAGCGGTGAAGTCACGGGGCGGAAGGCACGTCTTGTAGCGCAGGGTAACCGACAGCGCGACGGCATCGACTTCTCAGAAACCTTCGCACCCGTCGCCCGTTTCTCCTCCATTCGCTGCCTCCTGGCTCTTGCCGCTGCCAATGGCTACCACGTTCATCAGGCCGACATCGACAAGGCTTACCTCCACGGCGAGCTCGATCATGATATCTGGATGACGACACCACGCGGTTTCGACTTCCCGAGCGATAAGGTTCTCCGGCTGCGACGCTCAATCTACGGTCTCAAGCAGGCCGGTCGCATCTGGAATCGTCACATTGACACATCACTCAGGAATCTGGGGTACAAGGCAACAGGCACTGATCACTGCATTTACTCTCGCATTGACGATCAGCAGCGGCCTCACTATATCGCCTTGTATGTCGACGACCTCCTCATTGTCAGTCCAGCCCTCGACGAGATCGAACGTGTCATCTCCGGCCTTGAACAGCGGTACGGCGTCAAACGACTCGGCCCCGCGGAGTACATCCTCGGAATCCAAATACGCCGCCTGGACGACGGTTCCATTGCTCTATCCCAGGAGCGCTACATCATGGACGTGCTGGCCCGTTTCCACTTCGACACCACGACACGCGGCACTACGGTGCCGATGACGCCCGGCCTCTCGCTCACGGCAATTCCGGGTCAGGGAACGGAGCGCATTCGTTCGTGGTACCTACAGGCCATCGGCTCCCTCCTCTACATCTCCCTTGGCACTCGACCCGACATTGCCTTCGCCGTCTCGTACCTGTCCCGGTTCGCCAACAACCCCGGCCGCCGCCATTGGATTGCCGTCAAACACGTCCTTCGCTACCTTCGCGCCACGTACCGCGATGAGCTTCTCTATGCCCGCGGCCCAGCAAAAGTCACGGGTGTGGTTGGTTATTCTGATGCGAACTGGGGCGCCTGCGTCGACACATCCATTTCAACGATGGGCTACGTATTTTACTTGGCAGGCGCCGCTGTCTCTTGGTCGTCGAAGCGTCAGACTCGGGTAGCGGATTCCACCACTGATGCCGAGTACCTGGCCTTGTCGCACGCGGGTAAGGAAGCGATCTACCTTAACCAACTCCTCTCCGAGCTCCACGTTTGCCCAATCGCTGCAGCTCACATCTTCACCGACAACGAGGCCGCGGCCGCCGTCGCTCACGACCCCGTTCGCACCTCCGGCACCCGGCACATTCGCCTCCGCGAGCATTTTGTCCGTGACATGGTCAATCGAGGTGATATCTCTCTCTCACACGTTGGCACAGCAGACATGGTTGCGGACGTATTCACCAAAGCGCTAGGCCCCAAGATTTTTGGTACACATTGCTATGCTCTAGGCCTCCGGACGCGACATCCACGGCTCAAGTCTACCTCGCGTTCGCGTGGGGGGGGGTGTGAGGAATCCACTCTCCGCTCGGCTCAGGACTTAGGCGCGCGGAGCGAACCGGGCGCGGACTTAGGCGCGCGGAGTGAGCCGGGCGCCCCGGCCCAGGACTTAGGCGCGCGGAGCGAGCCTGGGCCATTGGCTCAGCCCCAGGCTCGCTGGCTGTGGACTTGGGGCGCGCGGGTCTCTTATTGTTAGCTTCCTATTCATCACTCTTGGCTATAACTACATCGCTGACGTAGTAGAGTTGATCGAATAGGTATGTTGAAATGCATTCATCACTCTTGGCTATAACTACATCGCTGACGTAGTAGAGTTGATCGAATAATAGAACGATTGACTCGTTCGGCACGACCGTTCTGTTGAGGCGTTCGAGGGATAGAGTATTGTCGACGTGTGCCGCGTGCCTTACAGAATTCCGTGAACGCTCTCGAACAGTATTCGCCACCATTGTCGGTTCGGAGGACCTTCAGTTTTGCATCCGTCTCGAGTTCGACCTCGGCAAGCCATGTCTTGAACACGCCAAAGACTTCGCTTTTGTGTCCGATCGCGTATGCCCACAGTTTGCGCGAGAAGTCGTCAAGAAACGTGACCAGGTAACGCTTGCCAGTCAAGGACGACTCGGGAAAGGAAAGCACATCGCTGTGTACGAGGCCGAGTCTCTCTGAGGAGTGCGAGTCCGAATCGGGAAAAGGAAGACGATGGCCCTTTGCACTGAGGCAAGCATTGCAGACAAACTTCTCTACCTCTTCGTCACTATATCCGGCCCCGAGACCTTCCAGCAAACCAGCGGCAACCATCTTCTGTATGGACGACGGTGCGAGATGGCCGAGGCAGCGGTGAAGGGTCAGCAGGGGCACGGAAGACTGTGAGCGAGAGAGGAGAGCGAGATGCTGACATTTGGAATGATCAGCGTCCAGCAAGTAGAGCCCTTCCTCGAGTCTTGCGCCTTCAGCGATAGCATTGCCGTTCTTGTCGATATGGATGCCGTGCTTCGTGAAGGCGACACGGACATCGTCGGTGTCGCAAAGTCGAGAGACCGAGAGGAGGTTGACAGACAGGCCCGGGGTGTGCAGCACGCCGGTAAGCGTGATCGGGTGACCGGAGGCGGCAACAAAGGCGATGTTTCCCGTTCCGACGGCGTTGATGCCCCCTGCAATACCACCAATCTTCGTAGGAGCGATGTGGCGATAGGCCGTGAACAGCGACTTGTCCGAGACCATGTGCGAAGTGGCACCCGAGTCGACGACGAAGGAGTTGTTGCGAAGCTGACGACGATGTGCGAGAAGACCGGTGGCGAGACATCCGACATGGTGTTGCGCATCAGAGGTGTCGGGCGTTTTCCCGTCCTCAAGAGCCTTTTTGCAGTCGAAAGACCAGTGGTCCTTCTTCTTGCAGGAGCGACACGGGCCTGGCGGTGGATGCTGGGCCCTTGTAGGGCATTGTGCGACGCGGTGAGAAGGGCTGCGACAGGCGAGGCACTTGGTACGGGTAGAACGTGGCGACGACGAGGCAAGGAGGGCCGATTGATCGTTGGAGAGGTTCGTTGACCGGAGTTGAACTCGCATACGGTCGGCCACTGAATCGATGTCAGGGAGAGTTCGTTGCGTGCGTTGTTCGTCGGTGAACGTTGCCTTGAAGCTCTCGAGTGACGGGTGGGCGATCGCGAGGAGGAGTGTGGCAAGGACGTCGTTGATCGTCGTTTTCGTATCGATGATCTCTTGCGCGACCGACTTGAAGTCCATGATCCAACTGTCAAATTCGCCAACCGTTCCGGGCATGGGTCGGAAGCCCCAGAGTCGCGAGAAGAGCTCGAGCGTGCGAGTGGCGTCATCAGGGGCGTATCGCGATTTCAGCGTCGAGTAAATCTTGGGCGCTGTGAGGTCGGCCGTAGGGATCTTGTCGAGGACTGCCGAGACTTCGGCCGAGTCGATTGAGTTTGCAAGGATCTCGCGTGCCACGACGTCGCGGGCGGAGCGTTGCGAAGGCGTCCAATCGTCGGGGGTGATTCCGTCGAGGACGTAGGAGCGGATGTCGTTCGCTAGGCACAGGCGAAGCTGGCGTGTCCAGTTCGCGAACGTCTTCGGCCCGTCCAACCGCGCATGCTTCGGGAAGGCATTGCGATTGGAGCCGGATGTCGTGGCGGGTGCGGTAGTGCCGGAAGCGGCAGCGGTGAGTCCCGACAGCAGCGATGTAAGTGCGGCAAGCTGTTCGGCGGGAATTGTCGGGGTGGCGCTCGTCGCGAGGGTTGACGACGTGTCCATGCCAGCGGTAGCTCGATGGGCTTATAACCTATGAGATGATCACCACTACTGTCAGGAGAAGTCGAGAGTCGAACAGAAGTGATGTATTTCAGCGTACCTATGAGATGATCACCACTACTGTCAGGAGAAGTCGAGAGTCGAACAGAAGTGATGAGAAGGAAGCTAAGAAATGGAAAGGTGGCCCGCGCTGGGATATGCCCAGGCGCGGGCGAAATCGCTGGAGCGCTGAGGCAGTCGCGCGCGGCTAAGTCCCCACTGCAAGGGCGGGCTAGCGGCGCGCGCCCGAAAACCGCCGGCGCCGGCGCGCTGAGGCACTCGCGCGCGCCTAAGTCCCCACCACAGGGGCCAGGCTAGCAGGCGCGCGCAACGACCGAGGCGCCCCTGTCGAGCTGAGAGTGGACTCTTCACATGCAGGACATCGCATCACCTTGGCCGCCATCCGTCCTTTGTACTGGTGGTCGTCCATGTCTGCCGATTGCGCCGAGTTCTGCCGTTCATGTGAAGACTGTACCCGAGGCAAGGCGTCCACTCAAGTCCCCTATGGCCGACTGCATCCGATGCCGATCCCTTCTGGTCCTTGGGAACAAGTGGCCATCGACTTCATGACAGGACTGCCTCCGGTCGAGCTCGAAGGGATGATGGTTGCTCAAATCATGGTGGTCACTGACACTTGGGGCAAGATGGTCCACCTGATTCCCCTCCCAGCCGATGCCGACTCGGAGCTCGTTGCCGAGAAGTACTACGCCACCGTCTTCCGACTGCATGGGATGCCTTCCGCCATCGTTTCCGACCGTGATCCCAAGTTCACCTCGCAGTTTTGGCGGGCATTGCAGGCAAAGATTGGCACCGTCTTGCGAATGTCAACCGCGGCACACCCGGAGACGGACGGATCGAGCGAGAATCGGATCAAGATGGTCACCCAAACCCTGCGGATCATGGTCTCGTCAAACCACGAGGCTTGGGCATCTCGTCTTGTTGAAGCTGAGTTCGCTCTTAACTCTTCTGTTGCTGTGTCCACGTCGCTGTCGGCTTTTGAGGCAACCTACGGCTACCTTCCTCGATGCTGGCCCTCGGATTCCTGGTCTGTCTCGGACGTCCCTCGTGCGGAAGCGTTTGCTCGGATCCGACAATTACGGAACCTTGACGTGACGGATGCGATCATTGGAGCACGCCTCAACCAGTCCCATCAGGCCAACAAGCATCGACGCCCAGACGACCCCGCCTTTCGGACCGGCAGTTACGTCTATCTTTCGACAAAGAACCTGGCAGTTCCTGACGGCATGAAGTCGAAGTTGTTGCCGCGCTACATCGGCCCCTTCCGTATCCGAGCGGCCATCCCTGCGACGTCCAGCTACGACCTCGAGCTCCCTCCAGCGATGTCGCGAGTGCACAATCGTTTCCATGCTCGACTGCTTCGGCCTTGCGTTGAGAATGATGCTGAAAGGTTTCCTGGGCGTGACCCCGCAGTTCTTTTTGTCGAAGACGTAGCCGACGCGGCCGACAATTCTGCGATTCCGGAACGGATTGTTCGCGATCGGCGGAACGCTCGGGGCGCTCGTTCGTTCTTGGTTCGATGGGTAGGCCGTAACGACACCGACGATACTTGGATGTCAGAGCAGTCCATTCGCCTTGACCATCCGTCCGTCCTCGACGCCTACCTCGCGCGCCTCGATCGCTCGAACCGCCGCCTCGCCGCACGGTAGACTTCCTTCTGGGGGGGACAGTGTCAGGATGACAGCGTGTACTCGAAGGAAGCCCCCCAAGGCTATGTGCGGGTAGAGTTGACTTGACCAGAGGCTTGCCTCGTTTCACAGCATCGTCGGTGCGATGGCGTAGTCGTGAGGCGCGCAGGCGCGCACTCGGTGGTCGCGGGTTCGAGGCGCCCAGACCGCAGTCTTCTTTTGGTTTGTTTTATCTTTTGTTAGCCGAGGCGCGGCTTCAGGGTTTTTACCGGTGCTCCCGCGAGCAATCCTTTTTACCCCTGAGGCGACCTCTTGGAGTGGTTGATTTGGCTAAGTCCCCTCTGGGCCTGGCACAGTCCCTTCCCTTTAGTTTTACCACCTTTCCCTGGGAGCTTGGTCCGCTCTTCTCTTTTGTTGCCCCTCCTCTTCTTGTCGATCGTTTGGGAATTAAGTCCGTTACACTTGATTTCCTGCGAGCCTTTCGACCGACTCCCCTCCTCGGTTGCTCCCTTGTCGACTGCCGCCGCAACAGCCGACACTTCCTGAAATCCCCCCCCCCCCCCCCCCCCGTACCAACGCGTGTAGACAACGTCATCCCCTCCGACGTCGCTTGTCAGACCCGGCTTGCCGATCCATCCAAGAACGAAAACCACTACTGCACAAAGTAGAGAGAGGGAGAGGTGCGCAGCCTTCCACTGCGCAACAAGTTTCAAGACAGTCAGCTTCTGACCGGAAAGGAAGGACTTAACTCGGTCATCACACCTCCCAATCTCGAACCCCAGGCACAAAACCCGCTCGAGAGAGAAAATCTCGCTCGAACGCTCTGAGCGCACTGGGAAGCGAGGGAGGGGCCACGACGTTGTCCAGCTCGAACCGCTGATGAACGCGCCAGCGGAGCAGGTGCAGCCGCTGGAAGCCGATCTGACAAGCGACGTCGGAGGGGATGACGTCGTCTACACGCGTTGGTACGGGGGGGATTTCAGGAAGTGTCGGCTGTTGCGGCGGCAGTCGACAAGGGAGCAACCGAGGAGGGGAGTCGGTCGAAAGGCTCGCAGGAAATCAAGTGTAACGGACTTAATTCCCAAACGATCGACAAGAAGAGGAGGGGCAACAAAAGAGAAGAGCGGACCAAGCTCCCAGGGAAAGGTGGTAAACTAAAGGGAAGGGACTGTGCCAGGCCCAGAGGGGACTTAGCCAAATCAACCACTCCAAGAGGTCGCCTCAGGGGTAAAAAGGATTGCTCGCGGGAGCACCGGTAAAAACCCTGAAGCCGCGCCTCGGCTAACAAAAGATAAAACAAACCGAAAGAAGACTGCGGTCTGGGCGCCTCGAACCCGCGACCACCGAGTGCGCGCCTGCGCGCCTCACGACTACGCCATCGCACCGACGATGCTGTGAAACGAGGCAAGCCTCTGGTCAAGTCAACTCTACCCGCACATAGCCTTGGGGGGCTTCCTTCGAGTACACGCTGTCATCCTGACACTGTCCCCCCCAGAAGGAAGTCTACCGTGCGGCGAGGCGGCGGTTCGAGCGATCGAGGCGCGCGAGGTAGGCGTCGAGGACGGACGGATGGTCAAGGCGAATGGACTGCTCTGACATCCAAGTATCGTCGGTGTCGTTACGGCCTACCCATCGAACCAAGAACGAACGAGCGCCCCGAGCGTTCCGCCGATCGCGAACAATCCGTTCCGGAATCGCAGAATTGTCGGCTGCGTCGGCTACGTCTTCGACAAAAAGAACTGCGGGGTCACGCCCAGGAAACCTTTCAGCATCATTCTCAACGCAAGGCCGAAGCAGTCGAGCATGGAAACGATTGTGCACTCGCGACATCGCTGGAGGGAGCTCGAGGTCGTAGCTGGACGTCGCAGGGATGGCCGCTCGGATACGGAAGGGGCCGATGTAGCGCGGCAACAACTTCGACTTCATGCCGTCAGGAACTGCCAGGTTCTTTGTCGAAAGATAGACGTAACTGCCGGTCCGAAAGGCGGGGTCGTCTGGGCGTCGATGCTTGTTGGCCTGATGGGACTGGTTGAGGCGTGCTCCAATGATCGCATCCGTCACGTCAAGGTTCCGTAATTGTCGGATCCGAGCAAACGCTTCCGCACGAGGGACGTCCGAGACAGACCAGGAATCCGAGGGCCAACGTCGAGGAAGGTAGCCGTAGGTTGCCTCAAAAGCCGACAGCGACGTGGACACAGCAACAGAAGAGTTAAGAGCGAACTCAGCTTCAACAAGACGAGATGCCCAAGCCTCGTGGTTTGACGAGACCATGATCCGTATTCGATCAACTCTACTACGTCAGCGATGTAGTTATAGCCAAGAGTGATGAATGCATTTCAACATACCTATTCGATCAACTCTACTACGTCAGCGATGTAGTTATAGCCAAGAGTGATGAATAGGAAGCTAACAATAAGAGACCCGCGCACCCCAAGTCCACAGCCAGCGAGCCTGGGGCTGAGCCAATGGCCCAGGCTCGCTCCGCGCGCCTAAGTCCCAGGCTCGCTTCGCGCGCCTAAGTCCTGGGCCGGGGCGCCCGGCTCACTCCGCGCGCCTAAGTCCGCGCCCGGTTCGCTCCGCGCGCCTAAGTCCTGAGCCGAGCGGAGAGTGGATTCCTCACACCCCCCCCCACGCGAACGCGAGGTAGACTTGAGCCGTGGATGTCGCGTCCGGAGGCCTAGAGCATAGCAATGTGTACCAAAAATCTTGGGGCCTAGCGCTTTGGTGAATACGTCCGCAACCATGTCTGCTGTGCCAACGTGTGAGAGAGAGATATCACCTCGATTGACCATGTCACGGACAAAATGCTCGCGGAGGCGAATGTGCCGGGTGCCGGAGGTGCGAACGGGGTCGTGAGCGACGGCGGCCGCGGCCTCGTTGTCGGTGAAGATGTGAGCTGCAGCGATTGGGCAAACGTGGAGCTCGGAGAGGAGTTGGTTAAGGTAGATCGCTTCCTTACCCGCGTGCGACAAGGCCAGGTACTCGGCATCAGTGGTGGAATCCGCTACCCGAGTCTGACGCTTCGACGACCAAGAGACAGCGGCGCCTGCCAAGTAAAATACGTAGCCCATCGTTGAAATGGATGTGTCGACGCAGGCGCCCCAGTTCGCATCAGAATAACCAACCACACCCGTGACTTTTGCTGGGCCGCGGGCATAGAGAAGCTCATCGCGGTACGTGGCGCGAAGGTAGCGAAGGACGTGTTTGACGGCAATCCAATGGCGGCGGCCGGGGTTGTTGGCGAACCGGGACAGGTACGAGACGGCGAAGGCAATGTCGGGTCGAGTGCCAAGGGAGATGTAGAGGAGGGAGCCGATGGCCTGTAGGTACCACGAACGAATGCGCTCCGTTCCCTGACCCGGAATTGCCGTGAGCGAGAGGCCGGGCGTCATCGGCACCGTAGTGCCGCGTGTCGTGGTGTCGAAGTGGAAACGGGCCAGCACGTCCATGATGTAGCGCTCCTGGGATAGAGCAATGGAACCGTCGTCCAGGCGGCGTATTTGGATTCCGAGGATGTACTCCGCGGGGCCGAGTCGTTTGACGCCGTACCGCTGTTCAAGGCCGGAGATGACACGTTCGATCTCGTCGAGGGCTGGACTGACAATGAGGAGGTCGTCGACATACAAGGCGATATAGTGAGGCCGCTGCTGATCGTCAATGCAAGAGTAAATGCAGTGATCAGTGCCTGTTGCCTTGTACCCCAGATTCCTGAGTGATGTGTCAATGTGACGATTCCAGATGCGACCGGCCTGCTTGAGACCGTAGATTGAGCGTCGCAGCCGGAGAACCTTATCGCTCGGGAAGTCGAAACCGCGTGGTGTCGTCATCCAGATATCATGATCGAGCTCGCCGTGGAGGTAAGCCTTGTCGATGTCGGCCTGATGAACGTGGTAGCCATTGGCAGCGGCAAGAGCCAGGAGGCAGCGAATGGAGGAGAAACGGGCGACGGGTGCGAAGGTTTCTGAGAAGTCGATGCCGTCGCGCTGTCGGTTACCCTGCGCTACAAGACGTGCCTTCCGCCCCGTGACTTCACCGCTTGCGTTGCGCTTGGTCTTCCAGACGAATTTGGAGGTGACGATGGTGGCGCCCGGCGGTACAGATGAGCGAGGCTCGATGGTGAACACCTTGAAGTCGTCGCGCATGGCGGTGAACTCGGCGGCGGCGGCCTCAGCCCAGATGTTGTGCTCGTCGCTGGACATTGCTTCGCGCCAGGTCTGGGGGTCGCTAGTGATCGATTTGACGGGCTCGATGGCGTCGAGGGTGGGGTCGTCGTCGTCTGTGGCGATGAAGGCGCGGTGGTGTTGGGTGAGGAAATCGATTTCATCCGGCGATTCATCGCGCGAGTGACGCCCAATGATGTCGAGTTCGTCGGGCGACTCCTCAGCCGATGCGGGCTCACGGTACGTGCTGAAGTCTGGGCGGTGCACGTCCGGTGGGCCAAGGCGAGTCGGGGTCTGTGAGCCGATGAGGTCCAGAGGGTCGGCGGAGTAGTCAGAGTCGGTCGGTGAGACCGAGGGTGACGATGACGCTGCCAACGACGGTGACAGCGCAGGCGACGGTGACAAAGGGTTTGTGGGCGACGGTGACGAGGACGGCTCAGGAGACGGTGACGAGGACGATTCGGTATCTGTGGAATTAAGTAAGGTTCCGCCAGTGTACCCTGGGGCCACGTCAACGGCGCTCATGGCAGAATCATCAAGGGAGGATGAGACGTCCATGTGCGCCGACCTTACTAGTGGGGTCCTCGTCTTGACGGCAGGGGCGGGCGTGTCGGCGGGAACGACGAACTGACGGTCGGTGTCGTCTGCATCGACGGGCGTGGTGACTGGCAGGCCGGGGAAGTCGTCGTCGAGGAAGGTGGCATTGCGACCAAGTACAATCTTGTTGATGGAATGGTCAAAGAAACGGAAAGCTTTGGAGGCGAGGTCGTAACCTGTGAAGATCACGCGCGCGGCCTTGGGGTCGAGCTTGCTGCGAAGGTCCGGGGCGACCGTGAGCCAGGCTGTGCAGCCGAACGGGTGGAGGGCGGTGGCGGTGGTGCGTTGGCCGTTCCAAACGGATTCTGGAGTCTGTTTGGCCAAAGCTGAGTGTGAGCACCTGTTTTTGCAATAAACGAAATACGCAGCCGCTTCATCCCAAAAGGTGGCCGGCAGACGGGCGTCCGCAAGGAGAGCGAGGACGCCCTCGACGATGGAGAGGTTGACACGTTCGGCGCGACCGTTTTGTTGAGGCGTGTAAGGGATAGAGTATTGACGACGAATGCCCTTGGATTTGCAGAACTCCGTGAATGCGTTTGATCGGTACTCCCCGCCATTGTCGGTTCGAAGGATCCTCAACCGCGCGTTCGTCTCTAACTCCACTTCGGCGAGCCAAGTCTGGAAGGTCGGGAAAACATCGCTTTTGTGATCGATCGCATATGCCCAGAGTTTGCGAGAGTGGTCGTCTAGAAACGTGACAAGGTAGCGCTTCCCGGTCAAGGACGGAGTGGGGAACGACAGGACGTCGCTGTGCACGAGGCCAAGTCTCTCGGCGGAATGCGACTCAGAGTCGGGAAAGGGAAGGCGGTGACCTTTGGAACCAAGGCAAGCATTGCAAACAAACTCCTCTACGTCTTTGTCACTGTACCCGGCCCCAAACCCGTCCAGCAAACCTGCAGCAATCATCTTCTGTATAGAGGATGGGGCAAGATGGCCGAGGCAGCGGTGTAGGGTAAGCAGGGGCACGGGAGACTCAGAGCGTGAGAGGAAGGCAAGATGCTGGCACTTGGTGTGATCCGCGTCCAAAAGGTAAAGACCGTCGTTGACCCTGGTACCGTGAGCAATGGCCCGGCCGTCCTTGGCGATGTCGATGCCGTCGCTGGTGAAGGCGAGACGAACGCGGTCGGTGTCGCAGAGGCGAGAGACAGAGAGGAGGTTGACGTGTAGGCCAGGCGTGTGAAGAACACCACGGAGCGTGATCGGGTGTCCAGTCTTGGCGACGAATGCCACGTCCCCCATGCCGATAGCCGTGATGCCGCCCGCGATGCCGCCGATCTTGGTGTGTGCCGTCTGACGATAAGTCGTGAATAGAGATCGGTCGGCGACCATGTGTGTCGTGGCACCCGAATCGACTACAAAGGCGTCAGTTGGGAGTTGGCGACGAGCGAAGAGGCAGGAGGCGAAATAGCCGACGTTCGGTTGCGAGGCCGCGGAGGAAGACGTGTCGTCCTGGGTGTCGTCGCTGCTACGTGCCTGTTCACCCCGGTTCTTGCAGTCGAGTGCCCAGTGACCTTTCTTGTGGCATCGGCGGCAGGGGCCGGTGGGCGGGTGCTTCGCACGTGAAGTGCAGTCGCGCAGGCGGTGACCGGGAGCGCGGCAGGCGGGGCAGGGGGAGCTGGTGGCAAGCATGGCCGAATGCGAGGTCGAGAGTCCTGCCGAACGAAGCTGGAGAGCAGCTGGGGGGGGTGTGAGGAATCCACTCTCCGCTCGGCTCAGGACTTAGGCGCGCGGAGCGAACCGGGCGCGGACTTAGGCGCGCGGAGTGAGCCGGGCGCCCCGGCCCAGGACTTAGGCGCGCGAAGCGAGCCTGGGACTTAGGCGCGCGGAGCGAGCCTGGGCCATTGGCTCAGCCCCAGGCTCGCTGGCTGTGGACTTGGGGTGCGCGGGTCTCTTATTGTTAGCTTCCTATTCATCACTCTTGGCTATAACTACATCGCTGACGTAGTAGAGTTGATCGAATAGGTATGTTGAAATGCATTCATCACTCTTGGCTATAACTACATCGCTGACGTAGTAGAGTTGATCGAATAGGTTATGAGCCCAGAGCAACCAGCAGGTCATGAGTTCAATCCCCCCTGGGGTCAGGCAATTTTGCGCGCATACACTCAGCGTCCCGGCCCCCGCACTTGCCCAGCAGCGTGCCAAGCACCCTGGCGCATCGACAGTGCTCACAGTGCCCAAGCTGCACTTGCCCAAGCGACCTGATCAACATGCCCAGTTGCCTCACAGCCGCACCCACTGCCACAAGCTCTTCAGCTTCGCGCACAGGGGGGTGTTGAACTTCGCTCCATCTCACTTCTAGGACAATATGCGCTCACTGAAGTAGAGGTGCCTCGCCTTTTGGTGCAGTGGTATATTGTTCCTTCATAATCCGCAGGGTTTGGGTGACCATCTTGATCCGATTCTTGCTCGATCCGTCCGTCTCCGGGTGTGCCGCGGTTGACATTCGCAAGACGGTGCCAATCTTTGCCTGCAATGCCCGCCAAAACTGCGAGGTGAACTTGGGATCACGGTCGGAAACGATGGCGGAAGGCATCCCATGCAGTCGGAAGACGGTGGCGTAGTACTTCTCGGCAACGAGCTCCGAGTCGGCATCGGCTGGGAGGGGAATGTCAGGCAAACAGCGATACACTGACAGCAACACTCGAAGGAAGTCCCTGAGGTAATGTGCAGGTAGAGTTGAGGTCACCAAATGCTTCCCTCCATTCAAGCATTGTGGGCGTGATGGCGTAGTCGTTCGGCGTGCGGGCGCGCACTTAATGGTCGCGGGTTCAAGGCGCGCAGAGCGCAATCTTCTCTCGGTTTTTGTTCTTTTTGTTAGCTGAGGCGTGGCCTCAGGGTTTTTACCGGTGCTCCCGCGAGCAATCCTTTTTCCCCCTGAGGCGACCTCTTGGAGTAGCTGAATTGGCTAAGTCCCCTCTGCGCCTGAGTGCCTCCCTTTTGTTTTTAGCACCTTCCCACTCAGCCTGGTCCGCCACATCTCCCAAGATCCCTTCACCTTCATCCTTCGTTTTCGATCTCGTTGGCAATAAAGTCCGATATACTTGACTTGCTGCGAGCCTCACAACCGCGTCACCTCCTCGGTTGTCCCTCGGTCGCCTGCCCCCGCCCAGTCGACCTTCCTTCGGCCTGATCCCCTCCTCCGCGTGTAGTCAACGTCTTCTGAAGAGGACGTTGCCTGCCACTTTTTTCAAGTCCGGCACCGCCAACCTTCGATCTCGCTTGCCCTTGCTCTATCCTGCATCCTGGACGAGCAATCGTCCACTACCCCTGAGTCGTCAGCTTCCTCCCCGTTGCCGAACTCATCCCCCGCTGACGCGTCGTGGTCATTCGCCACCTCATTCACTGAGTCCGACGACGAACGCGTCATCCCTTCGTACCCCTTCTTCCATCCTTCTCGAGCTCGCATCCGTTCTCCCCACAACCGCCAACCGCTACGCCGCGAACTCGCCATGGCCGAACCCACCGACACGTCGCGAGACACCACCGCCCCCGTCCGCGAAGACCCCTCGCGCGCGAATCCGCCTAAGTCCCCGCCGACGCATTCGCCGCACCCGCTCCAGGCCGCCGCCGTCATCACGTCCCTTGAATCCCGCCTCGCAGAATCGGAAGCCCTGCGCCGCGACTCGGAGACACGCATCCGCAAATTGGAGCAGATGGTGGAACGATTGATGAGAGAATCCACCGCACCTGCTGGGGCGCAGGTCGGGGAGGCTCTGCCGGTGAGACCGGTCCCCCTGGACGTCCCCCCGCACACATTTTTGGGACGCCCGGGAGCTGCCGCTGACCCCCTTGCTCGTACCCCTGGGGGGGAATCTCACAGCGGAATTAGGGACGGCCCTTCCTCGGCGGTGATTAGCTCTCGTTGGAGAGGGACATTGCCGGACCGGGAAGGGTTATGGACCGGAGATCATCCGGAAAGGTTGGTGATTTTCACTGCGTTTGGGGAGTCGTATCTTTCTCTCTTGTGCGACATCTCCACCTCCGACCTTTTCGACACGAGCCGAGTGATCCAGCTTGTGGCGACGCTATTTTTTCGTACGACAACCCGACAGCGCCGCCAATCCCCGCTCGATTGGGCCGTCGAGGCGATGAGGGACGCGCTTGGAGAAGGGCGCCCTCATTGTTGGACGTCGCTCATGAAGGCAGTGGGACGTCGTTGGCCCGACCCCGGGTTCGCCGATAGAGTGGCTCAAGACTTCCACGGATGTCGCCAGTCGTCGTCTCGGGCTTACGACCATGTCGGGGAGTGGCGGGCGCGGTACCGTGCCTTCGTGCACGACAACGATAGTTTCACCCTGTCGCCGCTTCAGCTCGCCACGACCTTCTACCAATCGCTCAGTGACTCCTCCAAGCGGGAAGTGCGGGCGGGAATGTTACGTGAATACCACGACAACTCGCTGGTGACAATTGGGCGATTCGGACTGAAGGTCCCGTCCATCGACGAGATTACCGAGTGGGCCGCTATCGCCGACGACATTTCTCCTCCGCCTTCGGTTCCGACCCCACCAAGCCGCACCGCGACCTATGGCGCGATCGTCAAAGCTCCCCGAGTGAGCCCACCTGCGACCAACACGCCCACCGTCGACGAGAGGTTCCAGATCCGACGAGCTCGATGGGTCGACCGCGCTACTAAGTGGCAGCAATCGCACTTGTGGAAGGACCGCTCCACCTGGTTTTCCCCGGCGCCCAGCGGGGTACCCACCAGCATGGCTTGCTTCAACTGCGGACGAGGCGGTCATTTCTCGCAGCACTGCACCGCGGAGCGTCAATCCCCGGTCGCCGTCCAACTCTCAGCGGTCGCTGTGGCCGACTTGGATGACGAAGAGTGGTCCTCGGTCGCAGGTGGTGACGAGGATCCCGAGGTGAGAGTCCCCATTTCACTCGAGCGTGTTCAGACTCGACCTTTGAGTTCCGTTTCCGCTTCAATGACGCGCCCTTCTTGCCCTCCCGCAGACCCCGTTGGCCGAATGAAAGAAGGGGCTTCTTCTTCAGTCGACGTCGAAGTCTCATCAAGTAATCCGCAGCCAACCGCGCCGGCAAGTGATGCAGATCTACGTCGTCTTGCCGATGACTCGACCGACTCTGCGTTTGACGCGGTGGAAGACGTCCCCTCTTATGCTGATGCCGCGTCGCGAATGCGGCGATACTGGGGGCCGGAGGTGGTGTCGTCGCGCAAAGCGGAGAGGACTGCATCGGTGAGCTCTGTTCGTGTTCCGGTGCCGTTGGGGGTTTCTCTCTTGGAGTCCGACACGCCCCTGATCGACGTCGACGACTTCGCCCGACCCGCCGAGCCCGCGATTGTGCGCGCCCGCAATATTATTGCGTGGACGTTGCCGTCTGGGCGAACGCTGCGTTGCCTCGTCGACTCTGGTTCGGAAGTGGACTTGGTGGATCAGGATGTCGTGCGAACAGACCCGAGTTTCACGACGTCCCGCCTTACCGCGCCGCTGCACTTGCGCCTCGGCACTCGCGACAAATCTGACCGCTGCGCCGTGTTTGCCAACGCCCTCTTCACGTCCGGTTCCCTCGACCTCGGCTTGCGGGCGTTTTTCATTTGCCGTGTGACGGCATATGATGCTATCCTGGGTTTGCCGTTTCTGAAGGACACCGGCATGCTGGTAGGCTGGGGCGTCTTCACCGTCGCACGGCCGGGCCCTTCGCAGCCGGTCGCCAAGGGCATATTCGATCAACTCTACTACGTCAGCGATGTAGTTATAGCCAAGAGATGATAAATGCATTTCAACATACCTATTCGATCAACTCTACTACGTCAGCGATGTAGTTATAGCCAAGAGTGATGAATAGGAAGCTAACAATAAGAGACCCGCGCGCCCCAAGTCCACAGCCAGCGAGCCTGGGGCTGAGCCAATGGCCCAGGCTCGCTCCGCGCGCCTAAGTCCCAGGCTCGCTTCGCGCGCCTAAGTCCTGGGCCGGGGCGCCCGGCTCACTCCGCGCGCCTAAGTCCGCGCCCGGTTCGCTCCGCGCGCCTAAGTCCTGAGCCGAGCGGAGAGTGGATTCCTCACACCCCCCCCACGCGAACGCGAGGTAGACTTGAGCCGTGGATGTCGCGTCCGGAGGCCTAGAGCATAGCAATGTGTACCAAAAATCTTGGGGCCTAGCGCTTTGGTGAATACGTCCGCAACCATGTCTGCTGTGCCAACGTGTGAGAGAGAGATATCACCTCGATTGACCATGTCACGGACAAAATGCTCGCGGAGGCGAATGTGCCGGGTGCCGGAGGTGCGAACGGGGTCGTGAGCGACGGCGGCCGCGGCCTCGTTGTCGGTGAAGATGTGAGCTGCAGCGATTGGGCAAACGTGGAGCTCGGAGAGGAGTTGGTTAAGGTAGATCGCTTCCTTACCCGCGTGCGACAAGGCCAGGTACTCGGCATCAGTGGTGGAATCCGCTACCCGAGTCTGACGCTTCGACGACCAAGAGACAGCGGCGCCTGCCAAGTAAAATACGTAGCCCATCGTTGAAATGGATGTGTCGACGCAGGCGCCCCAGTTCGCATCAGAATAACCAACCACACCCGTGACTTTTGCTGGGCCGCGGGCATAGAGAAGCTCATCGCGGTACGTGGCGCGAAGGTAGCGAAGGACGTGTTTGACGGCAATCCAATGGCGGCGGCCGGGGTTGTTGGCGAACCGGGACAGGTACGAGACGGCGAAGGCAATGTCGGGTCGAGTGCCAAGGGAGATGTAGAGGAGGGAGCCGATGGCCTGTAGGTACCACGAACGAATGCGCTCCGTTCCCTGACCCGGAATTGCCGTGAGCGAGAGGCCGGGCGTCATCGGCACCGTAGTGCCGCGTGTCGTGGTGTCGAAGTGGAAACGGGCCAGCACGTCCATGATGTAGCGCTCCTGGGATAGAGCAATGGAACCGTCGTCCAGGCGGCGTATTTGGATTCCGAGGATGTACTCCGCGGGGCCGAGTCGTTTGACGCCGTACCGCTGTTCAAGGCCGGAGATGACACGTTCGATCTCGTCGAGGGCTGGACTGACAATGAGGAGGTCGTCGACATACAAGGCGATATAGTGAGGCCGCTGCTGATCGTC